TGGGCCAACACCGCCGAGATCGGTTTGGCTATTTATCTCCTCGAGCGTCAGCTTGGAATTTCCTGCGTTGTTCCGGTCTGTGTCGCTCTGGTTGCATTGGTTGGATCTCTCATCGGAATGTCTTTTGTGGTTTCTCGACAAGCCAAGTGGCTCGAAGCCATTGAACGACGCATCTCGTCTACTTCTGGAATGCTAGGATCCATCAAAGGTGTTAAGATGCTCGGCCTGCAGGATTCGTTTATGAAATTCGTGCATGGCCTGCGAATCGACGAGCTAGATATCTCCAAGAAGTTCCGTACTCTTCTGGTGTACAATATGGGCTTCGCGTGGTTGACTCGCATCTTCGCGCCAATTTTCACTTTTGGCGTATATGTCGCTATCTCCGACTCGACATTGAATGTCTCCAGAGTTTTCACCTCTTTGTCACTCTTTTCACTGCTAGCTGATCCCCTGCTTACTCTCGTTATGGCTTTGATGTCTTTTGCCGGATCGGTTGGATCATTCTCTCGCATTCAGGAGTTCCTCGACAAGGAGGATCACTCTGACCAGCGACGCAGTGCTCCACAGATTCCTTCTCTCGAAGATCTTGGCGAGGCTAAGCTCCTCTCCAAGTCTGGTGATCTGGACGTTTACTCGAGCAACTCCGGGTCTGTCGAGTCTTTGAAGCGTGGCTCCACTTCTTCCTTCTCGGCCAATGCCGCTATCATCCAGAATGGTACCTTTGGGTGGAATGCTGAGAAGGACCCTGTCCTGAAGAACATCAACCTGGCTGTTCCTCGTGGCAGCTTCACTATGCTTGTTGGACCTTCTGGTTGTGGTAAATCAACTCTGCTCAAGGCTCTTCTGGGTGAGATCCGGTGTGAAGAGGGCAAGGTCGAATTGACATCACCAAGCGTGGCTTTCTGCGATCAAACGCCGTGGCATATGAACGGGACCATCAAGGACAGCATCGTCTCCATGTCAGAGTACGACCCTAGATGGTATTCATCCGTCATTCAAGCATGTGCGCTGGAAGAAGACCTTTCTCAATTCCCTCGTGGAGACCGAAGTGTCATTGGAAGCAAAGGTGTTGCTCTCAGTGGTGGCCAAAGTCAACGTATCGCGCTCGCCCGAGCGGTCTATGCCCGAAGGAAGATTATTATTCTGGATGACGCACTGAGTGGCCTTGATGCCACCACCGAGAGTCACATCTTCCACAACCTCTTCGGAAACATGGGTCTCTTGAGAGAAATTGGTACATCTGTCATCGTCGCTTCGTCATCCGTTAAACGTCTACCCTACTCTGATCACATTGTTGTCTTGGATAAGACCGGTTGCATCGCCGAGCAAGGTAGCTTCAGCGCACTCAACAAGACCGGTGGATACGTCTCCAGCTTTGATCTAAGTGCACCGGATTGGGACTATAAGCCAAAGAGGTACTCTGCCTCCCCGAGCTATAGCACTGTCGACTCCGTGGAGAAGGAGAAAGAGGCTATCATCCCTGAGCCTGAGAAACGCGACACCGGAGGTGATCTCTCCATATACACCTATTATGTCGACGCAATCGGGTGGCTCCCTGCCTTGATTTTCATGGTTTCCATGGCCATCTTTGTCTTCTGCATCTCGTTCCCCAGTATCTGGTTGAAGTGGTGGGCCAACTCCGACGCTGCAGAGCCCAAGCAACACGTCGGTTATTACCTTGGTATCTATGTTATGCTCGGTTGTGTCGCCATGGTTGCCTTGATCGTGGGCTGCTGGGAGATGATCATCACCATGGTTCCCAAGTCTGGTGAGAGCTTCCACCGCAAGTTGTTGCAGACTGTCCTCAGTGCCCCAATGCTGTTCTTCTCGACAACGGACAGCGGCAATATCCTAAACCGATTCAGTCAGGACCTGCAACTCATCGACATGGAGCTACCCATTGCTGCTATTAATACCGTTGCCACCTTCTTCCTCTGCCTCGCTCAGATGGCTCTGATTGGCGTCAGCTCTAAGTATGCCGCGATCTCGTTCCCGTTCGTCCTGGGACTTTTATTCCTCATTCAGAAGACGTACTTGCGCACTTCTCGGCAGCTACGTTACTTGGACCTTGAAGCCAAGGCTCCATTATACTCGCATTTCACCGATTGTCTGCAGGGCCTGGTTACGCTCCGAGCCTTTGGCTGGCAGCATGGCATGGAGATGAAGAACATTGAGCTCCTGGATTACTCGCAACGGCCATTCTACTTTATGTTCGCAATCCAGCGCTGGTTGACACTATCTTTGGATCTTGTCGTTGCGGGTATTGCCGTGCTGCTGATTGTTTTGGTCGTCGTCCTTCGTGGGACCAGCCTGGGCGCTGGATCTGTCGGTGTTGCCCTTCTTAACGTCATTCAGTTCAGTCAGAGCATTAAGCTATTGGTGACCTTCTGGACCAACTTGGAAACCCACATTGGTTCCATCCTTCGTGTGAAAGACTTCACCCAAAACGTGGAGTCTGAGGACCAACCTGGAGAGAATGGTGATATTCCTCCCAGCTGGCCATCGAACGGCGCAGTGACATTTCATTCAGTATCTGCGGCCTACAGGTAGGACGATTAACTTCTATCCGTTCGGATTGACTCGACGCTAACAATCTATCCAGACCTTCAGAGCCGGTTCTCAATGATGTGTCTCTATCCGTTGCAGCAGGAGAGAAAGTTGGCATTTGTGGACGCACTGGAAGGTGAGAATCCACAACAACTATTGTCATTGCGTCTCGAAACTAACATAACTACAGCGGCAAAACATCTATGATCATGAGCATCTTCCGGATGATCGAATTGACTAGCGGTATCATCACCGTGGACGGTGTTGATATCACCAGTCTGCCTCGTCGCGAAATTCGCTCACGCATTAATGGGGTCTCGCAAGACTCGCTGCTGTTCAAGGGCAGCGTTCGCCTCAATGCCGACCCAACCGGCTTGCGCACCGACCAAGACATTCGCAACGCGCTCAAGAGCGTACAGCTCCTCCCTGTGATCCTTGAGAAGGGCGACCTCGACTCGGAGATGGATGAGATCCACTTGTCGCACGGACAAAAACAGCTCTTCTGTCTCGCGCGCGCACTCCTTCGCCAGGGCAACATCCTCATCCTCGACGAGGCAACCAGCAAGTGAGTACAAGTCATTTATTGAACCTCCCCCTAACGTGGTTCCCTCGCATCGTCTCATCCCCACTTTGTTTTCTTTTTTCGTTCGGAATATTTTTCTTTTTCCTATACTATTGTTTCTTTTTTTTCGCGCCTGTCAACTCCCCCCTGCATATCCGGCTTGATCCGAGCGCCACATTACGCTCGGATCGACTGGATGGTGTTTCTTACGACCCACCACACGTACTTTTACCACCCCTTGCAGTCTCACGAAAAAGCCGGAGGAAAATCACAAAGTCCGAGACATTATTTGCTAACGAGTCATTTCTAAATAGCATCGACGCGAAAACAGATGATATCATGCAACGCGTTATTCGCGAGAAGTTCTGCAACCACACCATCATCGCGGTCGCGCACAAGCTCGACACCATCCTCGACTTTGACCGCGTTGTGGTGCTTGACGCCGGCCGGATTGTCGAAACTGGAGAGCCCTACGCGTTGCTCGCAGATCCCAAGTCTCACTTCGGTCGACTATATGCGAGCAGTATGGTGACTGAGGACGCGCAATAAGTAGATCTAATCATTGCCATCCCCATGCTCCCTGCCCACGCTTTCCTTTTTTAATTACACTGCACAGACTCATCATCACTTGGCCTCTATTTACCATGGTCAAGTTTGCTTTGGCGCGTTCATCGATTTCTAATCCTCTGCGGTACATATCGACGTCAGCATGCAAATTTAGTTTGCCTGGCGCTGTTGATTATATGCTTTTTGTTCTTTGTACTTGTGATTTGATCCTTTTCTCGACTTTCGTTCATCCCAGTTGCAAGTCTGGTTACTTCTTACTCTCGTTGACTCCTTTGGACTTTTTGATTTTTGCTGTGCCTGTGGCAGATGAAATTGGGTGGCTTGTCTATAACTGGGCTTACTTATGCTCGTGCGATTTTACTCTTAATGATAATCAGGGGAATAACTTGAATATCAAATACATTATTCAATTTGAGCATTATTCCAAGATTCTTAAACCTAGCGTAGTCGTGACCTTGTTGATTTTGAATACTGACGGGTTGACTTCGGCACAGATGGACAAACAACCTTGCCTACCAGGCTTGTTAGTGGAAAGATGGATTGTCAATACCCTCGATCACATCTACCCACGGAAATCAAAATTCCTTCGGGAGTGAATTACAAAAGATAAAGCCAGCTCTATTGTAGGATTTCAGACCCTTCATTGTCTAGTCACTCAATTTGATTTGTTGATTGTTGGGGTGCTTTATCTTCCTTGGCAATATATATCTCGGGCCACCAGGTGTACGCTCCATCACCACCTAGAATTTCCACACATGATTACCTACTTAGCAATGTATGGTTAGAAGCAGAATCTACACATAATTCAATTCGTACCTAGGCTTAGAAAGGACAATTTGCGATAGCCACCTTGTGATCATGACATTTTTGTAGGTAGGTATACCACTGACCCTACCGGGCTGAGGTTGCAACCTATCGCTCCTGGGCGGGCGCCAGCCTCCAGCATTTAGCTGGAGCCCGGTATCTTGCCACGACCTAGGCCCCTCCCAAACAGAGACCTAAGTAGGTATAGCCAACGATCAGAACCTATAGTTTAGATGAGACTGTGGAAACTAAGTTAGGTGCCTATGGATCTATCTCCATCAGAAGGAGCTTCTAAGATCAACCAAGCAAAGACAAGATTGGAACCTTGAACAGTCCAAATACTATTTTGCACCGTCCATATAAGATGAGACTACCCTATGGAGAGAGGATGAAAAAAACAATTCGGGCATAATGCTAAACTCCTCCTCAACTTCCTGCCCGGCATACACAAAAGGAAAAAAAATGAGAAAAAAAAATCGAAGTTTCCTAACCCCAAATCATAGATGCTCACCCGTCAACGCTACGACAGAACCATCGTGTCATCATTATCGAAGTCCTCGTCTTCATCGCCCAAGAGACCAAACTCCCAGTCACCGCGCTCTATACGGCTCACACGATCGAGTTCGGATTGATACTCGCGACGCAGGTGGTCAAGTGTAACAATGATTCTTTCTTGGGGTGGTTCGACTAGCGCTTTGAAGGATACGCTGCCGCGTCCACCGCTGATTGAGGAGCGACTGTCTCTGCGGCCGGCGGGGATGATGGAGGCTCCGCTGGAGGATCTGCGCCGGGCTTCCAAGGGAGTGGGGGACGTCGCATCTGCATCTTCCATGAAGACGTTGCCGTCATCATCTGCTTGGCGACGCTGCTGCTTTGGAGATGGTGTGCCCGCAGCAAAGGATGCGAGTGGGCCGGTTTCGACAAGAATGTAGGCTTCACCCTTGTCGACCGAGGCGAGCAGGTTGATCAGTGACAGTAGCTCATGACGTATCTCCTTACTCTCAAGGTCGTCTTCAGGTACACCAGAGATCTCGACTTCTCTCCGGTTTTTGTGGACAAGCGCAGATGAAGGTGCGTCCCTTGCCTTGCGGAGGCGTTGGACGTTCCGGTAAGCGATCTCGGCGGCACCGCGATAATCATTGCGGGCAATGCGATAAGCCTGCAAGATGCGGTTGTAGTCGATTGATGAAGCATCAACCTCGTTGTTGTCAATATCGGTCCAAGAGGTAAAGTTGTTCTGCTTGCGGGCGAGAGACACGAGGACTTCGTCGACGTAAGAGGCAATGTTGGGAACAAGCGCGGTGGGGAAACGGAGAATCTGCTTGATTCCAGCGGCACCGGGTCCAGACACGGTGAGGACACTAGAGATCAGAGAACTGAGAGCGGACCTCTGTAAGGCAAGATCCTGGTAACGGGCCAAGGCGGAGTATGCCTGGTCAAATTGACAGGTCTTGAGGGAAGCGTGGAACAGACGCGAGAGCAGATCAGTTCGCATGCTGGTGTATTCGGGGTCGTGCTCGGCCCAGGCCTCCGAATCGAGGGCCTGCAGCGCAAGGCTAGCGAATTCCGCGACATGGGAGAACGAGCGGACTTGCTCGAAGACAGAAAGGATGTGCTGGTAATATTTCGGGATACCATTGTGGAAGCAATTGACGGAGACAAGGTCAAGGAGGGTTGACGACATTTCATGTAGGTTACCTAAGGGCTTGCCACAAGCTGCAAACTTTGTTAGCATACCGAATATCCAATAGGTTCAGGTCCGAGGTCTCCAACTTACACAGAAGATATGCCGACTTGCGGAAGTAAATGGCTGCAATGTCATACTCGGCCATTGCCACATGCAGGCGACCCTTGACATAGGTTGCCCAGGATGTGCTGGCTTGAAAACGCAGGAAGTCCCATGCGAGGTCAATATTGTTCTTAGCAATAAGGTCGCACTGAATGTAGGCCAATGCGTTCGGATAAGCCACTTCACCAGGTCTTGTAACCCAGGCCAGGACATCCCTGATCCCAAGAGTCAAGGTATAACTCTGGGGCACACCAATCGCTTGACGTGGCTTGATGTCGGTAACAAATAGGTCTTCCAGAATAGTCGCCGTCCGAAGGTTCTTGTTGGGATTAGACTTCTTCTCCTTCAAAGAGAAGACCGGGGTCGATGCCTCTGTGCCCGTATTGGCGGCACGGTCGGGGCATTTCCGAACATTGGAGCTGAGCCAATACATCATTTCGTACTCTCGGAGGGAATCAATGAGTGTGGAGAAAATATCAGCAGCGTCGAAGTTTGAGCGTTCGCCCTGTTCAATCTCGCCGTCCACAAACGTGACCAGGATCAACAAATCATAGAGGATCTGACGCGTGAGAACCACCGTCTCGAATGCACCACTCACAGCAACCCGCGCACCAAAGTATGTTGAAAGAAGCCCAGAGTCCTTGCCGTTGAACCCTGAAGGAACAGTGTCGATGATAGCGTAGAACGGATCCCCAGACAAGTTCTCGGCATCCAGGTACTCGTTCAGCGCCGCAACTAGACCCTCAAAGGTCTTGTTGGAGATTCGGTCTCCAAATTCACAGCGCTCCCTGAAGCTATCCATGCGGTCGACAATAGATGAAGAGGGCTCGTTGAAAATTTCGACTTCGAGAGCAGCCCGACATGCTGCATCGAGCTCTGCCGAAAACTTCTTCCTGAACTCGGCAGCCACCTTCATCAATGAGGAAGCTTGTTCATAAAGATTGCCAAGCTCGGCATGGAGATTGCGATGTCTCCATCGGTCCACGATCTTGGGAGCCTCCTCGCGTAGATCGGAGCTAGAGTTGTGTAGGAGTAATTCGGCAGTATTGCACTCTCGTACCACAGCGCAGGAATCGGAAAGAAGAAGCCAGGGCATTTCGTAGAAAGAGTCGTAAGCAAGGGAAACGGGTTCGAATCTGCGCTTGTTGAGGTCTTCGGCAACTTGCCAGAACTGACGCCATTTGGCATCTGTATCCGTCCGGAATCGAGCATAGTCCATCTCATCCTCGGTATATTTGCGAAGGGAGACAGTAGCTGCAATTGTAGAACAAAGCCTCTCCGCCAGTGATACATCCTTCTTCAAGACTCCGGATGAGGTCGAAGACAGCGGTCTAAGCGCCTCCTGGTAGACCGCCAAGGCGGTTTCAAGAACCTCGGGCAAGTATCGAGTTGGGTGCAAGAGATAAGCAAGCCACTTCTCGGTCGGGTCCTCCACATCGTCGAGGGATGGTGCGGGTACTGGCTCCTGTCGGTGCGTTTCGAATGTTGTTGACACCCAGTTTGATGACCAGTCCGACACCAAGGTTTGTAGATCAAAGTGTAGGGTATAGAGCTGGTAGAGACCATGGTTTCTCCATAACACCCACAACTCCATTCCCTTTCCTTCCTCCGCGGGCTTGACCTGGAAGTCCGCAATGCTCCAGAACATATTCCCCGTCACATCTGGGTCCACGGGTCGGAAGACTGTATCGGCAAAAAGGTCCTCAATGACAAGATCAGACGTTAAACCGCCTTTCACAGCCCAGAACTTGAAGCGTCCGTCCTCGAATGGAGAGTATGTAACGACATAGAATCTGTGTCCACCGTCCATTGCCCTCTCCGCATTGAATACCCGGATGAACGATGTTTCAGCAGGATTCAAGGTATACGGCACCGCATCGGGGTCCATCGAGCGGCCCAGAAGATCCTTGGTCGCCGCAAGCTTGTTCGTAGCAAGATTCCAGATTTTCAAGGTGTGGTTCAGACAGATAGCAAAGACATAGGTCTCGTCGGAGGTTGTAGCGATGGCATTGGCGACATTCAGGTCGAGGTTGCGTCCATTGTGCTTGATCGAGGAGGTTGCGTGCCATTTAACGAGGCCTCGAATAGACGCGCCCCATGTTCGTTCGTCGAAGGTAAGAGGGGTCCAGTGCGAACCTATTCGTATTACAGAGTCAGTCTTAAATCTCAGTCTCGTGGAGATCTCATCAAGGGTCTTACCATCATCTCCAGCTCTGCGGGTCAACCGCAGGAGTGCGCCATTGTCGAGGGAAATGAAGAGCTCTTGCGGGCTGCTCGCGTGAAGTCTGTGGGGGTTGGAGAAAGAAAGAGGCGCAGGGATGCATGTCTTGCACCATTCGCTCACATTGTCATCGATTGACTCCGTTCTCCGGAAGAACTCTGGTCGAAGCGACAGGGTATGGAGCTGCTTGGACGCCGTAATCACAAAGACGCTGAGAACCTCGTGTTCCTCCACATCTGCCAACGCAACACCGGATGGAATAATCTGCTCTGGGAAGTGCAGCCGCAAGGTCACATTGTATTCGAAGCGCTCTGTCCCACTTTTCGTCAAGTCGGCGCATTGAATCTCCAGCACCTTGTTATCATTGACCACCCTCCACACGAAGGTCCTCGGGTAGGACTTTCGTTTGCGGAAGTAGACTGCACCCTGGGTTGCAAGGTATCTTCTGGCGAATTCGTCTTCATCCTTCGCGATCGGGATTTCGGGCTGGTCTGGGGTAGAGGAGATCGAAAAGCGAGCCCGACGGGACGCGCTTTCTTGAGGTGAGATCTGGATGTTGGCGACCGTGGTCGGCGAGAATGGCCGTAGGTCGACCCTCGTATCTTTGTAAATCTTCGCCATGGTGAACAACTGCGAAGCCTGTGCGAGATTCAGGGCCGACTCAGAGTTCCATGGCCGATGACAGACGGGAAGGTGTGCAGGGCGGAAAGCTGGAGCTTCAAAAAACAAAGTCTTGGCGCGGACCCGCGCGACCTTCTTTCTGGCGGCTGCGGCAGTTTGTTAGCCGCCTTGGATCTACAAAATACACCCCACCAACAATTATCTAGAGGTAAAGAGAAATTCTAGGCAAACAGGATCGATCAATGCAGGTAATTGGTGCTGAGTAATATTATTCTACCATATAAACAAGAGCATTCACAACAGTTGTTTTTCAGACACAGGTCGCTACCACAGCAGCCACAACAAAAAATATTGGATAAAACAGCAGGGCAAATCAGGCTCGTAAGGTCACTAACATCGTGTCAAGGCTAATAAAATAGGGGAGAAAGATTAATCCTTCTCCAGATCCTTCTCACTAGGATCACCAATGCCATCTTCATTGATAGCAAAGAGACAGTCGCTTTCGGGCAGGCAAGGGCTGTCGTAGATCTTGCAAATACGAGTCTCGCCACGACCCTTCTTCAAGCTCAGCCGTGTTGTACTAGCGTGGGCAATGATGTTACCTCCAATAGGCTTCTTAGGGTCGGGATTGAACATAGCACTGGGGCCGCCGTCGACCTGGGCGACAACCTGGTTGGTGATAACGACCGCAATGCCGAACTCATCTGCGAGATGCTGCAACGTGCGCAAGAACTTTGCAAGATGAGTCTGCCGTGATGCAAGCTCACCACGGCCATTGAAGTCTGTACGGTAAAGCGAGGTCGCCGAGTCCACAATAAGGAGCGAGAATCGAGTCTCACACATCATCTGTGAAGCCTGATTAAGCAGTTGCAGCTGGTGGTCGGAATTGTAAGCTCGAGCATAGGCCACGTTGTCGAGAACTTCCTCCCCAACGAGTCCGTATCGCTGGGCAACTGCCAGGAGTCGAACCGGTCGGAAGGTTCCCTCTGTATCGATGTAGAGACACTTGCCCTCGCCTCCACCCATATCAAAGGGCAATTGGCAAGTCACAGCAAGAGTATGGCAAATCTGACTCTTTCCCGTTCTGAATTCTCCAAAGATCTCCGTGATCGACCCGGTTTCGATGCCACCGCCAAGCAGAGTGTCTAGTTGTTTGGATCCGGTTGTAATGGAGATAAGCTCGCTTCGTCGGGCGTGCATCTCGGTCGCAGTTGTGAAGCCGAGGGGAACAAGTTTGTTAGCTATCCAAAGACAATATGTCAGCATCATCCTCCTGAAATGGAAATCCCGAATTGGAGAATTCCATAGCATCGTAGGTAGTGACTCACCCTCGGCCAAGATCTTGCTAGCTTTTTGCTCTGAAATACCCTTAATCTGCTCCAGCTGGCGCTTCGGTCTATATTTGTCCACCGTCAGTTCATTTCGATCCATGGAACCCGGTACTCGTCAATGCGGTTGTAATGGTTGGAGGAGCAAAATGGCTCGACACGTACGTGAACGCAACCCTCTCGACAGTGTGGTATCCAGCATCGACAAACAGCTTGATATCTCGAGCAGTCAAGCCAGCCATACCCTACCATGCAATGTCAGCTTTCCGTACCGCCAATGAAGCCTGTGTTTCGAGGTCACCTCTCGTTCTTACTCACCTCCAGAGCAGAGAGCGGGGTAGGAGCCCCAGGGCCGGTCAAACCACCGTCATCATACTCTCCTTGGGTCTCCATATCGGCAGTCATATTTTCAGGTCAGGCGGTCTCTTTTCGATGGCGCGGGGACTCTTCAGGCCAAGTTCGTGATTTGCGAGGTTTGTCAACACGGGGGCACGCGTTCGATCGATTTGGACGAGATTGTCAACACAGCACCCGGGCTTTCCGAAAACTAGAATGATGAGGATCTCTGTGTTTTCAGATAATGAGTCACTGGGATATCTCGCTTACAGATTGGATTTGTTTGTGGCAAAGCGAGGTATCCCCAAGAGTCAACGTTCGCCTTCGTGCAAGACGCGTCGTGGCTGTCGCGCAGTCACGTGATACACCATTTATATGGAAGCGACAAGGCAACAATGGGCTAAGCGGCGTGCTGCCTGTTGCTCGATACAACACAATAATAATAAACATGGATTGTAACTAAAACTCAAAATCCTAGGGATCTCAAAGGAATGGCCATGTTCGCTCTCATTTCCAGCGGTGTAATGAATACAGATCTGTTTGCGTTCCAGGTCTACCACGCCCTTTCACCGAATCTCCAAATTTCTCGTTGCCCGACTTCATCGAGCAAATGACGTATAACGAAAGTATTCTCCTCCAGACAACCATGATCCCACGTCAGTATCAGCACTCTTCCCTCAAAACTTGAAAACAATTCCACTCTCAATATCTTCCAGTGGAAAATATTACCTCGTGGATGACAACCAAAGCCACCTCAACCAGCCCATTCGCATGTCAGCCCTGATCCTCTTCCACTCAATGGTCCCATGAACGAGATTGCGTAAGGATCGACTTCCGTTTGTGTCTACCTTGGGTGGACCGAAACATTGGGTCGATTTCAAGCCGCTCAGACGGTGTATTGATGAGGATTCGCTCATTGAAGATGGCGCTCATCTTTCGTCGGAACTCCTCTGAAGACCGCTTGCGAAGGACTCCTATGGTTACAGAGTTGGCTCATGGTCCCGGCGCTCTAATATGGCCGCAGGATGCACTTACTTGAGATTCGTGAAGCCCGACGCTGCTCATCCAGTGAATGAGGAATAGCCACATTGCCAGCCAGTGCTGAAACGGACTCATCGCGTTCGTGGCGTCTCGCTGTGGGCTCAGCGTCGAAGACTCCGCCTGCATGCCAGATGCGGGAGTGGAAACTGGCACGCTTCTGGTTGTGCTTTCTGTCGGCAAGGAAGCTCTCGCTGTGGCGGTTGAAGCTACTGGGCAAGCTCGGGCTTTGGGACACGATGGTCGGAGTGTAGACTCCAGTGGGAAGGTCTAGCTCAGAGCTCGATGCCGTTGGAGTGTCCGCGGGTAAAGTCTTTCGGGCACTCTTTGCATTCTCGATAGCCGTCGACGAGGCCGGAGTTGGAGGGCGTACTGGGTACTTCCTCGGGTCAAAGCTGGATGGTTGGTCTGTAATGGGTGTTTCGGGTTGGAGTGTACTCGAGTGTGGAGTGTTGGGGCTTGAGACCCAGATGCCTTCGACCTGCACGCCTCGCTCAAGAGCCTTTGCACCGAAGGGCACATCATCTCTGGATAGCATGGGGTACAGCTCTGCCTCTTGGTCCTTCTGGCGCGATTCAGCCTCGGCGTAACGGCGGGTCACCCATGTGTTGAATGCAAGGACGCAGGAGGCATATACGAATACAAGAACCTGTATCATCGTCAGCTTCCTGCCCTCTATCTCTGTATAGTAACAGGTCTTGTCGCACAATCAAAAGCGCCAGCACCTAGTTTGGAGATCGAGTCAGAATAGAGGTACGAGTTCAAAGAACGGGCGACATACAAAGCTCAACTGCTCCCACAGCGCCCAGTCAACCCAGAAAGCCATGGCAGGTTCAAGAACAAGCCACCCGCAAAAGACTGTGCTGCTAAAAAGTATGCGAATTTGGTTGTAATTGACAAGTTGAGGTCGAAGGAGTAGCGAGGTTGTTGTGGAAGGGATCAATGTGGTTTATGAGTTTCTGGGGGTCGCCGAGATGGAGGGAGGGCACACGGTGCCTTCCTAATTTGGAAATGTTGCAAAGTCAATGGCGTTGGCCATTCACCATGGCTCTGGTAACGTCATTTTGTCCTCCTATGTCATTAGATTTGAGTCAGTCAATGGTTAATGTTTGCTCAACGCTTAGGTTGGTTTACCCTCTGTTTGCGTCTCATAGATCTTGCGTCCGAACCGTCTATACTATGGGCTCCTCGGCCGGATCTGTCTATGATCAATTTTATTCTGCCAATTAAATACTACAGTAGGAGCAGAATGTAAGTACTGGTGAAAAAAAAAAAGAAAACATGAAACAAAACATTCATAAGGTCATCCGAGAATACCAAAAAGAAAACATGCAAAAAGAAACTCTCCCTCGGGGAATCGAACCCCGGTCTCCCGCGCTTATCGGTGTTAATGACAAGCGGAAATCATGACCACTAGACCAAGGAAGATGTTAATCGAGTTACCGCTCGACCACTTGGTGCTGTTGATGTATGGAAGGGCGAAATTTGGATATATCATTCAAGGTCTTCTTTGCTCCTACCACTAGCATGTTGAAGCCATTCTCCTATCTTACACCGGAAAATGTACTAGTTGAGCCCCATTATAATTATTTAAATAGTCTTCTAAGCAGTACAGAATATCATTAATATGCTTGTAGATACTCAAGATGTGGTTTGACCTGGTTCTTGTTTTCCTATGGTTAGCATATATATTTGGGCCATACGGTAACAATGCGTCGGCCACAGATTGGATTCAATACATTCCAATCAGTAATTCCCCCCTCCCTCGCAAGCTCCCTAGCACCCAATCCAATAAAGCACGTATCATAGGTACCATGCAGATAGTTCAGCCTACAGATATTCCCGATGATTACCCCGAGGCAGAGAAGCGAATCAGCGACAAGAACTAACAGTGGACAAGGACAGAGCTCTGGAAGAGCCTTTAGTTATCGCCTGTAGATTTGTCGTAGAATAATGACAACGAAAGCAAAAAAAAAAAAACTGAGAGCCAACATGATCAGAAATACTCCGACGATATGCATGCTCTCAGATGTTCCGAAAAGAAGAGAAAGAAACGGCCCGAGATCTTGGAGTTGGCAACGCTCATCGGGCCGAGTGTGCATCGCGCGCGCAGAAACTATGCATTGTAACAGGTATGCATTGATTCTGAACCCAGGATGAGGATGAGGGCTAATGATAATCGAGCCATATCTCCTCCGAGTGTCATAAAGAATGGGAGACTCACTAGAGTGGTTTTCTCTTCTTTCTCGTCCATAGCGTTCGCAACTGATAGATTTCTATGCTTCAAAGCCTCATAAGCTAGAATTTGACTAAAACCTGTTGCACTCCAGTGAAAATTATCAGGCTAGCTAGATATTTTGAAGCATCTCATAAATAAATACGTCAAAGACCTGGTTTCCTTCACGGGAGACAGGAAATCCCAGATGTCGAGTCATCACTTTACTCCATTTACCTCTCTACTTTCTAGCCCTATAACCAACTTTTTTGCGGAGACAGTCTGGGGCCTAGGACTAAATATCGATGAGACCACACAGTGGGTCTCAAGTTGCTCTGGACCATTATTCAGAAGACCAGAACCCTCCGTCGCACGTGTTTAAGTGGATGGAGCTTATCTCTCATATGGCCTTTGCTGGTCCATCACAGCAGTTCGGCGTTCTTTCCTTCCTGCGGCCTATAATGCCAACAACACCTAATTAGCCTAACTTTTCTACATCAAATTTTCCAGATGGGACACGTGTCAAGGCAACTTCAAATCTTTGATCAGATGTCTTCGAAAGTCTCGATCATTGCGTGCGATAACCGGTCCACACCTGTGGGTGCTACCCGAACAAGTTGTACCCACTTTTTAAATCGGACCTGCTCCATAGTTCAGATTTTTTTCTTAGGTTTTTGTAATAATCCTATAAATGTTCAGAATGTTCACGGTTTTCCTCTCAATTAAACGAGACTCCAGGACTCGAAATGGCCATTTTCAACTGGCTTCGTCGACTCCGTGGCCAACAGGCATCTCGGGTTGACGAGGACTACTTTTCCAAGAAAGTCCTCCCTAAAAGTATTGAGCCCACAGTATTCTCCGTTCCTGGAACATCGTGTCCTAGTACACCATTCCCAGAGACTCCAAATACTGCGGTGGCATCACCTGCTGGGAGTGAACAAACCTTAGTATTGGAAAAGCTTCCAGAAGAATTCGGTCGGCTGGCATCTTGGAGAGGCTCCTTGATCTTGCTGGTGACTTCAGGCTCCCAATTCCTCGACAATGTGTTCATGACGAGTTCTAATATGGCGTTGGCGTCTATTCAAGAAGAATTTGACGTAACTAGCTCTAACCTGCAATGGATGATTTCTGCGTACACATTGACATTTGGCGGTTTTCTTCTATTAGCTGGAGCATTGTCTGATCGGTGAGTTCTTAGTAACCATGCCAATGATATTCAAGCATACACTGACTTCTATTCTTCAGCTATGGAAGGAAGAAGATTCTCTGCATGGGCCTATTCTGGCTGTCTGTGTGGACATTGGCTATTGGATTCGGCCAGTCTTTCATCCAACTCACGGTATTTCGCGGCATCCAAGGAATTGGTGCCGCATTGACTGTTCCATCTGCAATCGGAATCATCAGTTCTTATTTTACAGGTGTTGATCGAACCCGAGCACTCTCAATCTATGCCGCCTCTGGCACATTGGGCTTTTGCGCTGGCCTTATCTTTGGTGGCTTCTTAACGTCCTCCTTGGGATGGAGGTACATCTTCTACTTTATTGTCATTATTACCGGCTCCCTGGGGACGTTAGGTCTTATTGTTCTTCCTCAAGATCGTGTGAATACCGAAGTGCGGGCCAGAATGGACTACTTTGGTGCAGTCCTTTCTACGGCTGGTCTTATCCTGCTCCAGTTTGTCCTCTCCGGAGGAGGTGTGTATGGCTGGGATAAGCCATTTATCATTGTTCTCTTGGTACTGGCTGTTGCCATGCTAGTTGGCTTTGTCCTGTTGGAAAAGTACATCAGTAATCCGTTGATGCCTCTCTCACTGTGGAAAATTCGCAACTTTGCTGGTCTCTGGGTTGCAGGTTTCAGTAAGTTGCCTCTGCACCGAGATATTTGTACCCAAATACCTAACATGATAACAGCCTGCTACGGGAGTTACCAGAACGTCATTTACTATATTGTGTTGGCCGCCCAGCGAGTGGATAAGTTATCTGCTGGCGATACTGCGCTTCGATTTTTGCCGATGGGTGCCATTGGATTCATCGTATCCTTGGGCACTGGAAAGCTTCTCGAATACATGAATGGCAAATACTTGCTTCTTGCAGGCCTCATTCTCACTGTAGTGGCCCCAGTCCCGAGCGCATTGACCGTAACTTCAACTACCGACTTGTATGTGTCTCATACTTCATTTTGTTAATTCAATCGTGCTGACTTTCATAGCTGGGTGAACGTTCTCGCCACATCGCTTATCAGCATTTCTGCCGTATCCCTCATTTTTGTTACGACAAGCACGACGATCCTGACGACAGTTCCAGTCGAGGTCAAGAGTTTGTGTGGCGGAATGGTGAGTGGATTATTCTTTCAAATTCCCCAATTAAATCAACTAACAAGTCTCTAGTTAAACACTGCATTCCAGATTGGTTCTGGCGTCGCCCTGGCCATATCTGCTGCAACCACCGAAGCTGTAGATATCGAGAAAGGACACGACATTGCCCAGCAGTACTCTACCGGGCTTTGGTGCTCTACCGGACTTGCAGGTCTCGGCCTCATTATTGGGATTGTAGCTGTTCGACGACGGGGAATTGGCCCAAAGGACAGGATTGGTGGCCCCGTTGCGCTCTGATCCCATTGACCATTTTATTCAGCAAGCGTTTTTGATTCACATTTAGACTATAGATTGCCTTTGTTTTTGGCTTGGATAACGAGGATATGGCAGTTTACGGATACATCACGATTCAAAATTGGAACAAGTTCATTACATGCCTACTTCGAATGAAAAAAAGTCTCTACATACTGAATAATCGGATACTTCCAAGTGCCTGTAGTGGAGACAAAGTCAATGGCGAACTGGACCCACGACCCACTGTAGATAAGCTTGTCCACCATTTTCTAGACCAATCTGAATTGTCCAGACCACCCTGTGGCTCTATCGCAGACCCCGTCCATCTCTTATCTCCGAAATTTCAGCTGCAAACCTCGATTCTCGGTGGCAACTTGCATGCCAAAAACTTCAGACCCGCAACAAATGGACTTTCGCCCTACGGGTTCTCCGTACCTACCGATTATATCCAAGGGTCGGTTCCCACTCGGCCCGCCTCAGATACTTTCGGGCCGCTTTTTTTTTCTGAAAATCGTAGGGAAACTTTGCCGAAAGCGACTGTTGGCTAAAAGCACAAGGGATTATTTCAGAGCAAATCACGATCTGGAAGGTTATGATTGCAACCATGGGGACATGAAATTGTGATAGGTGTGAACTCCCGGAAAATTGAGAAAACGACACGCAGGGTAGCTTTTTGCTTGCTTTTTACTTGAAGCAAAAAAGAGCTAGAGCTGTAAATCAGCTGAAAGGCTGAATTTCAGATCTTCAATCTTCGTCCACATTGGCAAGAAGGGTTCTGGCCCATCAAAGTATCCTTTTAGTGTTCGTAATTATCTCAGACTAGAAAGCTTAACATTATTATTAGTTGGCTTAAGAGAAAGTAATGGATGAAAAAAAATATGAGATTAAGTTGTGTTCTTTACTGTTGACAACTTCCGAGTATAAAAGCCGCCGAGGTTACGAAAGGACTGGGCAGTAGACAAGACCAACTAGAGTATATGGGGCTCCTTGATTGACACTATAATTATTTTCCAATTACCTTCCCGACGTATTACTTCTGGTGCTGGGCCTTTTTGTCCTCTTCCCGGGTTGTTGGCTCTCTCTATATGAGGATCTTCTTCTTTCTCCCCTTCTGTCCTCTCTCCAATATTGCCTGATGTATTTCTTCCAGAAAAACTATTGATGTAATTGATTCTTTCCGCTATCCTTTCCTTTCTACTTCTTATGTGCTGATGTAATTAACACCATCTGCTCTGGGGAATCGACAAAAAGAATTCTGCGATGAAGGGCATGCTAAAGACCTGTAATATTTTCGGAAATTGGAGGGAAACATGGAAACCTAAACTTGATGCTGAAGGCATTTTATTTAGAGAGACACAGAGCTACATTTTGGCTCAAAATTCTCGATCGATTGGCGATTAGGCAGAAGGGTGACGATGGCGTCGGTTGTATCGTGATTCCCGTTGCCAGCCGCTTGGCCCCCACTCTGCAATTCAACAAGGCTGCCGCATCATCCCCCCTCTTCAAGTCTAACTTCTCAATTTACCTTTGCATTCATAAACTGTGCTTGTCATAGGGCTGTAGGTCAAATTATTCTGAGCATTAGTAGCTTCCGGCCCTATATCTTCCATTTTCGACGGATTTTAGCTCTCTAACGAGTCTCGCTGGTATGGCGAGCAACACTTGGAGCGGCAAGTCTAGCGAGAAAGGCCACTATGCATCAAGAGGTCTTTCAGAATTTGTGAGCAACTTGCTTGAAAGCTGGCATGTTCCTGGTATCTCCATCGCTGTGGTTGATGGGAATGATTTTCTTACTGGGGTGAGTGTATGATCCTGCCTTGGAATTATGTATAATATCAGCATTGGAGCTTAATGAGGATTGCGGGGAATAGTCTTCAAGATTAACACAACGCTAATACGATATATAGGGCCATGGAATGGCAGAGTTACCCTCAACTCCGTTCTCTGCAGACACTCTGTCATACGCCGGCAGCACCACCAAGGCCCATGTCGCCGCTCTTCTTGCACTTCTCATCGAAAGTAATCAGTACAAAGATGACAGAGACCAGCCACTCTCTTGGAAAACCCCAATATGCTCTCTTATCAGAGCGGATTTTGTACTGAAGGATGAATGGGCGACTAACCACGTCACCCTAGAGGATGCCCTCTGTCATCGTACAGGCCTAGCAAAGCATGACAACGCATATCCCCGCTATACACGACCCGAAGGTTTTGACGGACCTAAGCGGCTGGTTACGCTTCAAGAAATGGTACGGAATCTGCGACATTTGCCAATGGCAAGCGAGCCACGCACGAAGCATCGCTACAGCAACCTTATGTTCGCGACTCTATCGCATGTGATAGAAACGGTGACCGGCCAATGGCTCGGCGATGCCCTCCGCACCTGGCTCTGGGAACCACTGGGGATGAAGGATACGTATCTCTCGCTAGATCAAGCCTTGGCCACCGGGTCTCATGTATCCCAGGGATACTTCTGGGACGAGGACCGGCGTCAATATAAAGCGTTGATCCGAATGCCCACCGAGGAAGTCAGTGGGTCTGGCGCAGTTATCATGTCTGCAGCTGATATGGTGAAGTGGTTGAGATTTTGGATTCGTGAGCAGAAGCCACTGAGCCCGGATGCGCACCGGAATCTACGCCATCCACGGATAGCTGTTGGAACGGGGGATCCGGCTCCTTTCGATACGCCCATTATGTATGCGCAGGCATGGCAGAGTTCCTCCTATCGTGGAAATCGCTTTTGGAGGCATCATGGAGGGATGGATGCTTTTGGAGCTTTGGTTACCTTCTTCCCTGATTTGGACTTTGGGATTGCCGTGATGGGGAATACTGCATTTACGGCGAATGCGGTTGCGGAGATAGTTACCTGGCATCTGGTTGACAACAAGCTTGGTGTTGCTTCTAGAGAGAGATACAATTGGACAGAACGGTGAGCAAGAACAAACTTGGAATAAGGCTTGAAGATATGATAACATCAAATTTTCCCTCGCAGGTGGAAAAACACTGTGAAGCAAGTCGGTCAGAACGTCCAGAATGGCTTGGATAAAATCTATCTTACCCGCCCTGAGAAGCCCATACGAGCTTCTCTCCCGCTATCCAAGTATGCCGGGCTGTATTATCACCCCGCATACAAGTACTTGAACGTGGTAACCACCGACGGAAAGGAGGGAAAGTTACTAAATGCAAGACCCGATGCGCAACTGCATGCAGAACAGCCAGATAACAACTTCCGCATCAAGTGCGACTTTGTCCATGTCTCTGGGGAGAAGTGGATCATGTATGTGAACTTGATGGATGCACCGACTCTAACGATGCATGACTTTGCAGCGGTGGAATTTCGAATTGGCGTTGATGGAGAAGTTGAGTCTATGGGAATTGAATGGCGGGCAAGGAACGATGTTGATGGGTGGATCTGGTACAAGAAACTCCGCGCTGGAGATGAGTCTCTTAAGGCCTAGAAGAATAATATGCTAGAGTGACTATTCTAGATTTGGGCTAGACTGTAAAGGAAGATAATGACGAAACGGATGATTCGAAGATAAAGAGCCTGGTTTTCTGTAGTCATAAGAAATATTTTGTTAGAATTGAATGACTGCCAGAAGCTCGGCTTGCAATTTCGGGATGCAGTGGGAAGATATCGCAGTAAAAAGGTTTATAAGTCATAGAGAAATAACAATGCAGCCCCACCGATGATACTAGAAGTGGAAAACCCTCATTGTGAAGCTCCAACAATTTTGATGGAAAGATATCCCAGTGAGAACATTTATCAGACATGAAAACGAAACCATCGCCATTGGAACACATTCATTGTGAAACTCCCACAATTTCAACGAAATTTGTCTTCTCTTCGGCGATCGATAGGCTCGAGGTTTCACACATTCAACCAGAAGCGCCCTTCTGGGGAAATGCAAACAGGCTTATGAGCCTTCCAGTGGTTTCGTTGGCATTTCTGGGAAGTATCAGCAGCATGTCACAGGGCCAGAGAAGAAGTTGCTAACTGACTTTGTTGCAGTACCAGGCTCGCTTGCACTTGGTGAATTGCAGAGGCTTGTTACCGATTTCAGACTCGATTTTGCCACATTGGAAACAGCTTGGACAGGGAAATCAGAATTCTGTTGCAGAACTACCCAAATAAACTTGACAACATGAAGTCTTACCTCAACTCTTGAAAATCCCGCGGCTTACCCGGCTCATAAGCATCCAGGGCTGCCAGGAACTGAGCCTTCCCCGGGCTGCGAAACCCACCATCCCCCAGAGGCCAGGCAATTCCGGGAATACAGACAACCTTGGAAACTAGACCCCGAAGAAGCCGACGATCCTCATCGTTAATCTTGGCCCCAACACGCATGAGGAGAGCCCCAAGAACGATCGTCTTGTATTCGCCGGAGACAATACTTCCCAGATCAAGTTTGCCCTCTCGTGTCTTGCTCTTGGCAATGAGGCACTCGCCCAAATTATCGGCGTCTAACTTTGCGCGGACGTAGGGGACGATTTCATCCTTGAGCTCTTGGGCATACCCTTGGGTCTTGTAACGGGCTGCGGACTCTTGGGGCGCCAACATGTCGGTTTGATTGACCGTTTGGGCAGGTCTGTGGGTCCATTCTTCGGTTTCAACACCCAGTTCGTCGAAGAGACCACACGCGATATCGAGGTCCATGTCACCTTCAAAGAGGCCTGGAGAAGGGAGGTCAGTGAGGTGAGCGACGCTGAAGATGTCAGAAGGAGGGTAGTGGAAGACTCACGGTAATCTCAGCGACCCATGTTGATTGGTTGATGTCAGGATTTGGGAGTTTGAAGAATTTGAAGATAAGGAGGTAGAGTAATGTTGCAAGTCTTGGAACGAGTGGGAGGAAGAGAAGGAAGAAGTCGAGGTGCGAGATGGGCCGTGGAGAGAAGAGCTTTGATGGAAATGCGGTTGGAGGCGACGAGACCTAGGGCTGGAATATCCCAAAGAAATCCCATAGAAGGACATATTCAAGAGGAAATCAAATATTACAAAATAGTTTCCAGGATTGGTCCGTCGCTTTTCTATACAATCAATTTCTGAAGCTATTCATGTCTGTAAGAAGGGTCTATCCCGCGGATTACTTGGCTTTGTATTTGTAGTATTTTCCAGCCAACTGTAGCTAATGGCACAACTGATTTACTCCGTACATTCACATTTTATAGTCCTCTTCTAATACCATTGAGTTTTGATAAATATCGGTATATCTAACCGAGGACTAGTCCACTAGTCCACTAGTCCAGGGTCCACCATTGGATACGAGATACGAGAGAATCCAGTGTCAGCCTAGAGCCTCATCTGCCTCCAGGACCCTTTTCTCCTAATCCTCCCCTCGCAGAAAGACCCTATCACATTCAAAGCCCTAAAAGTTGACATCTCTCCGGTCACAGCGACTCTTGTGTTTGTTTGCTTTTTCCCATTTGCGTGAGTGGATCAACCATGGGCCGCCTCCACCGTGACGATCTCGCGGATGCCGCCTCCTCGCACTCGCTGCATTCCATCGCCGACGAGGATGAGCTGCCACCTCCTTACACCGACGAACCCGATCTCAACCCCGTCCCTGCTTCTAATCCCACCCCCGCATCCTCCTCTTCACGCCCGACCGGTGCATTCCGGCCCCTCCGCATCGTCGACGGGGCCTATGCGATCCCCGGCTCCAAAAATGTCCTCTCCCACGATAAACGCGTCGTGTCTCTCGCGCCGACCCTCTCCAGCAACAAAGATGAGCTCCTCCATGTTATCCGCAGGCAGTTGAAACTGCCCGTGCGGCCGATGCTGCTCATCAAGGGCACGCATACCGAGTCTTCCAACGATGGCAAGCAGAAGAAGAGCAACGCCGTCACCGACTTTGAGTTCCAGCTGGATCTCGCAGAGACCATGCTGACGGGATGGGAGGGTGGCCCGTTGTATGTGAACTGGATGGAGATCGATGTGATTCGGGACGACGACGGAATCTCTGCTTTCCGAGGTGGAATCTTACGGTCGCGCGACTACAAGGCTCCCAAAGCGCCCTCGGCGCGTCTGGTCCTTGATCAGGACGTGGACAGCGATGCTGCCCTTCTTGGACCGGATGCCGAGGCTGGCATTGATGCTGATGTCCAGGAGGAAGAAGAGCATGCTGCCGTGGTGAACATCAACAATGATCTCGAGCTCTGGTGTGAGCGGTTCTGCCTCGACCCGGCGCCTGTGAAATCGTATGGCTTTCCTTCCACTCGAATCCACCAATTCACGACCCTTAAGGGCTTCTGACTAACGCTTTCTTGCAATTCTAGTTTCACCATCTACCGCCAGTTGAAGGGCTTCGACCACCAAGCGATGCGCAATATTTTCGACTCACATATCCGCGAGCTGAACTACCGTGGCACCATCTATCAATGCTTCACCCAAGCCCACAGCTCCGTCACCATCTACTCCCCACACTGGATCAACCGCCTACGCACAAACAAATATATCTGGTGGCTGGTTGTCCTCCTTCAGCTCTGGATTATCACCTGGCCCATTATCTGGTTTATGGAAAAGCGATACGAAATCGCTTTTACACGCTGGAACGCCTCACTCGACCCCAACACCGAATCCAGCTTGGTGAAGTGTTATGCACGGAATCGCAACGAGTCAGCCCTAGCGGAGTGGTGGGCACCAGCCGTCAAGCAGGCTGCATGGACGCGCCGATCTGGCGACAATAATCTCCTTACAAGGCTGGATGCTGAGCGAGTGCAGGGAATGAGCACGGAGCAGTTAATTAACTTCCGCCCTCAAGAGTCATGTGCAGAAATCGAGCGTCGGGAACGTATGGCCAGAGGTCAAGGTGGCTTCATCGATAACGTCGTGGGATTGGCTCGCGGAATTAGCGAAGTCGGACAGGATTGGAGGTTTACCATGGGATGGGGTGCTAACTCTTGATTCGTGTCTGTTTTCCCAGCGACTTTTTTGTGCTTTTTCTTTGTAGTTTGCGCTGGGGGGCTTGAACAGCCCCCAAACAACGTGGTTCGTCTTGTGGATGCACTTAATACATCCTGGCTCGAACTGCCCAATTTGTTGTTCCACTGACCCTGATTCGGATTATAGCTGATATTGATGGTCATCCGTTGTATAATTTCTCTAGGATAATGCCAGCTTTGGCGCCTGAAGTAGATCTAGCCATTGCTTCTCCACCCACGAGTATCTGCCGATCGAGGCTGACGTGAGGGGCTAGTCCTGGGCAGGCATTTGGATTTGTGTTTAATCCTCCGATAACGAGATGAATCTCGAGTTTATTTTGCCCAAGGAGATGATAATATTTATAGCCAGCAAGCGCCAGGATGCCACGGTTCTCTAGTGCTATCAATAACATGCAGCGGCGTTTTAACCCCCACTTGAAACATGTCATTCTGGGGAAAAGCAGACAGTGGCAGTGCAGTACAACCACTAAATATAGGCGGTGAATTTAGCGGTGAATTCCAACTTAATTTTAGGACCTCATTTATACTTTTTCGTCATGGCGTCAGCATCCGTAAGCACAGCTGAAATACGAATTCCCGAAGACGATCATATCTCTGACCGGCAATCACTCTTGATATCCACTCAAGCTCCCCTCGACCTCTCTGCACACTACTGCAACCCCATCCCATCCTTATTTTCCCTTGTGATTCACCCCTAACCTAAATACCCCTCCAAAATGCTGCGCAAGAAAGAAACTTATACCAACATTACTCCAATCCCCTCGGGTGTACCCCGCCAACTAGCCCTGGACATTCTCCATAGCCATGGCGAAATCATCACCCTTAACCCTCTGGTCCTTTCATACCATGCCATCAAAGCCCCTCGAGATGCCGCTGCAGATGAATACTACTCCACATGGTACGAGATCATCGAGCGCGTCCAGTATCTCCCGGGCCTAGGTAAGATGGGATCCGGCAAGGTCAGCTTCAAGGGCTGTTTCCACGACACAGAATGGGGTCTGGAAACGCATACCTTTGTCCCTCTGGGAATCGACATCAAAAGTAAATGGCGCATTGCAGGAAATCAACCCGACGAACCTCGGAAATTCCGCGAATTCCGCCACGACGACGCCCCAGAGAATGGGCTGTATTTGCAAGAGGATATCGAAATCAACTGCAATATCACGTTGATCTCGTTCGTCAAGAATCAGTTGAAAGCTGCGTCGAAGGTACTGGTCGATCGGCTTATTAAGAAGGCTGAGCTCCTTGATGCGGGTGTCCTGCAGGCGATTATGGAGGACGGCAGACTCAAGACGATTAATCCGGCCGACCGGTCGAGTATGGCGCGGACGGACTCGCTGGCATCGCGACGGCACTCCGATCAGATCTCGCTCAATTCATATCAATTGCCCCGATCGCCGACTGGTTCGACGAGGCAGCCGTCTGTTTCGGGGGCCTCACAGTCCAAGTACCCCTTTGCACCACCACAGTACGGTCAAGGGAAGACCTTTGCGGCGGAATTGCCAGCTGATTTCCATCATCCGCAGTCGTTGTCAGGTATGCAAAGCGGAAAAAAATTTGGAATTGTATATGTCGTTCGTTGACTCACATTTGAACTTAGATGCATCATCCTATCGGGGTAAATCATATACGGCCGAATTACCTGCAACACTCGAGGGTCCAGAAAGGTATACCCAACCACAGAATATGGTTCATGAGCTACCCGAGTCCCATCATTGAGTGAGATTGTTGGAATTACGAAACTGAGATACCCTTGTTATACACATGCCTTTTTGTACTTTCCCCATGCCTTTCTTTCTACCTCTTTTTGATGAGTGAGATGACTTTTACGATTCCTCGAGATCAATTTTATATGCACTGAACATATTTGTTCGTGCAATGTTTACAATTATGTTGACTGTACGAGTTGATTTTTGAACGCGCAGGCGTTAGGATACTTTTTGTGCAATTCTCGAAAATTATTTGCAGGGGTATATTCGGACAAATCAAAATATTTCTTTTCTCAATAGGCAAGACCTTGAGCCAGGGGTGTCCAGCGATATAGAGAGAGTAACTCTCTGCGCCGGGCTTTATGCTCGTCCCAGGAGTGAGGCCCAGCCTGCTGGGCGTCATATAACATGGACCTGAATACCTTGCGGAAGTTTTTCTACAGAGATTGATAAGCATCTGGCCGAAAGTTCTGTTTGATAGGAGACTTACTTGGAAAGTGGTATCGAGAGTAACCACGCTGACCTCGTGGGCTCTGATGATCGTTTCACACACCTCTTCCACAGATCGATTTGGGCCAAGTTCCGGCATACGGTCTACAAAGAGAAGGAGAATGAAACTTCCCTGGAGAAGGTAGATGCCGAAAAGGTAAGGCATAAAGGTCATTTCCGGGTCAATGGTTAAAATTTGCGAAACTACCCCGGATGCACTCAACGCGTGTGAGGCACAGGTTAGAAAGCTTTCCGAGGTAATCCAATCGTCTCTGTCTTCGATCATTGAGATGGGATCCCATTTCCCGTGTAACAGGATGTAGAAGACGTGCAGTAGATAGGTACTGTAGATCTTTACCAGTTGGAGCTTCGGATCCTTTGATGTCCCTGCAGTGGGTGATCCAAATGGATCCACGCCCTGGGGTGGCCCGCCATTGGATTGTCGAGGGAAGGGGTGAAGTGCGCTGTCGTTTGTGAGATATGAATCGGTTTGGTTGTCCAAATCAACAAGCTCCTGCTCTCGCTGAGAAATCATCGCTTCTATACGGTGAACAGCTTCAAGAGGAATGTACTGCCCGAGTGTAGGATGAGCCCGGACGTGGTGCAAGTCGATGATATGGCCCAGAACTCGTGCCAAAGGGAGGAAATACTCGAAGAATCCCGCGCCGGAGATCTGAGTTGGAGGACCCAGTGAGCATGCCGGAATACAATTCAGATCCGCTGTGTCAAGAGACTGCCAAAGCTTCTCCGGCAAGGGCGTTCGCACGCAGAAAGTGCCTTCCGCAATACTCAGTCGCATATTAAATGAAAGAGCCAAGTGTCTGTCCAAACAGTAGACCAGCCAAAAAAGACGCCTGCGCTCTTCCTTTGCAACCATCCATCTTCGAAAGGTAGCGTCACCGTTGTATAGCCCGCAGAAGACGGGGCCGAGGTCAATATCTTGATCTTCCATGCTGAGACCACTGGCTCGAACCAGCCGGATTAACTTGTCGCGCCATTTTAGCGAGTCAGCTTTATAGTGCCCGCCCGATATCACTATTGTCAGGATAGCAACGGCTAGAATTGTGTCGGTTGAGCCTAGTTGTCGTGGTAATAAGGCCTTGCCACTCGGCTGTCGATCTGGAGCCGAGTGTGAATTACTTGGTGTGCCGCCGCTGGGGTGGGGATGAAATTGCCAGCCGTCTATAGCGAGTCAGTGAGTGTTCGCATATCCTTTGTAGGGATATACTTACCAGATGTACGGAAATAGTTATCTGGATCTTCAGATTGAAGCAGGTCTAATGACAGACGATAGAGATCCACGCTCATGCGTTCTCGCGCTCCCGGTGTGTCAAATATCTTCATGTCGGCAGTCTGCGCGACGCAAAACAGAATGACTGCAAGAAGAGCCGATGATGTTGGGCGAGGGTCGGTGGGATGAAGAACGGATGATGGATGCAAGACGTGAGCAAGCATGTAGGGAGATGTTGATTTGAACAAGGAGTTATGCTTCTCATTGAAGTAAATCTCGAGCATCTCCGATGCCTCCTCTGCAGAAAGGAGTCCATTCAAGTGTGGAAGGATTGACTCGAGGCAGCGGTAGGGTGATCTCATCGAAACGTGTTCTGACATTGACCCAGGGACATCGTCAAAGACACTCTGATGAAGACCTGACAATGACCCTCGATGATCAAGAGATATCTTTGAAAGAAGATTAGTCAAGTGAAACTTTTGGAATTAGCAGTCGCGATTCGGAAGACTTTACCCGAGGGGGCGATATTGCTGAGCTTGTCTCCATTCGTACACTGCTCAAAGAAGTCTGGAACAGCCCACCCAAGGGATCTTTCTGCGCAGAAAACGGTTGATTGTTGGTTGCAAACTTCTCTGCGCCAGAGGGACTTGTCATCGGCCCTGGGTCATTTGCATTTGCATCTAGCCCATACGACCGATGCTCCAAAGACGAAATAACCGAAGGAGCATCTTGATTTGAGGTGCTACTTGACATCACAGTGTCTCCAGGACTCCTTGACTGATTCTGCGGCGATCTGTTTTCAAAGATCTGGTCATCGCGTTGAATGTCGCGGCCAGGATCTGTCCTTGGTCGACGACCGCGCTTTCGAACAGCCTTGGTATAATGGCATTCCTCTTTGCGTTCTGAAAATACCAGTCAGCGAATCTGCTTTCGACAATAGTCCAAAGATCTTCAATGTACCTGCACATCGCCGGCTTAATGTGACGTGGCTAATCAGCATGGGCCTTAAACTCGCCTCTCGATACACTTACCACGGTCGCTGGCCATCGCATCTTTGTTTGGAGTATGTACACGAGTCGCAAGCTCTTAGGACCCTAGTCTGGCTCCGGTGGGCCATGTTGGTGCTGGTCATTGCAGATAAACAGGAGTGATCGAAAAATGGGCCGTGACTGCGGAGACAAAAAATGCGGGGAGAGCTAGTGGAGTCTTTTCACAGCGAACAGGCTAAATCCCCGATCGCTTTGGCCAATGAGGGTTTTAACCCGAGACTGCAACCTTACCCCTGCAGGCTTTACTACGAGATCTGCGACCTTTTTGCCTAAATTGGCGTGGCAAAGCTGTGATAACTTATTATTGCAGTATTATTGTTTGGAGGAAATTATGGACGCTACAGCGGCTGATCGGGAATGTGATACTACTATCCCGAAGAACCACCGGACAGAGACCTAGGTTACTGCCAGGCCTAGATAGATGAGGCAACTCAGAGAAACGGGTTATACCAATTCTGTCACTAGCGCCTTATGAATGGTAGTAGAGTGCAGTCTGTCATCTATCATATGTGATTGCCGGAATTACTTAGAGCGATTTAGCCTCATAATCTAGCGGCAGCGGGCTTTTTGTTGGCAACATCCCAGTCATCACCCGGACTGGGGAAGGAGTAATCGTGCCATGGCCCCAGAATGTCGTGCACGGCTGCGCAGAGTTGTGCATCCTCTCTGGCTCTGATCATATTGATCTCGACAGACGGACCAGCATCTGCACTCCAGAGCCAGCGAGGTTCATCCGATACGCGTAGAACCTGACGAGCAGTTGTCAGGTTGTCCTCCAATTCTGCTATGGAAGTAATTCCCATGATAGTTGTTATGCGAAAATCGGGAGTTGACAGAGACTGACCCCGGCGAATAGAATGTCTGAGCGCTAGGGCTGCCATCGATTCTCCCTGCTCTGCGACGTAGTCGGCTGCTTCTTTAACGGCGCTCCGTAAACCTGAAGGTGCTGGATGAAAATCTCCCAAATCTCCAACGGGTACGCCGTTTGCACGAAGAAGACCAATGGCCAGCGGGCTCGAGTTACAGACGCAGGAAACTCCTGCTTCGTGAAAAGCCTCCAAACCTTCTCGTGCCAGGCGGTCATTCTGCAGCGTCATTTGAGCCCAGTTCTGGATTATGTCAAGAGGTCGAGAGTATTGAATCTGAACGCGGCGAGCAATTCGGGAGAGGATGTCTATTCGGTAGCCCGAGATACCGACGTATTTGATATAGCCCTCGCGAACCATGTCAAGCAAGACACCGATAGCGCCCATAACTTCTTCTTCGGGGACAAATTCGACATCATGGCAAAACACAACGTCTAGATACCGAGTGTGTAGTCGTTCGAGCGAACGCATGACAGACTGTCGAACCCATACTGGAGAATAGTCGAATTCTGTTGCTGTAATCCGACCAACCTTGGTCATGAGAAGATACTGATCACGAGAGTATAGACTCGTAATATCTGGATGTGACAATGCTTCACCAAGAAGTATCTCCGAGGGATGATAATAAGCGGATGTGTCGATGGCGCGTAGTCCTAATTGGAAAGCACGTTTGAGAACTTGCAGTGCCTGCGCTGAATTGGGATTTCGGTATACTTGGTGGCTGAATCCGGCGCCACCAAGAATGAGCGGTGGGAGAAGATGGGATAAAGGTGTTGAGGCTTGGGAAACACTCATACTGAGAGCTCGTCCGTGCGAAAACTATACCAGAGTGGTAGAAAGCTTCGGGGAGAGAGACGAGTTTTGCGACGTATTCAAATAATGCAACCATGAGACTAACCTTTGTAAACCTTCGCCATTTATCCGACAACCCTCTATGCCCAAGGCAGCATGTTGCATCTGGACGCGGAGTCTAGTTGAGGCTAAGGAAGACAACGCAGCAAGAAGAGCGATACAATTTCCCGCTGTAAATACCCGACGGAAAAATGCTGATTGGCGGGCGCGAGGTCTGCCAATCGTTGCCTCTTTGATTGTTCAAAATGCCACGGTCGCCTTCATATATAATCAAATATGACAAGAAATCCACTGGACAATCATTTCCTTTGAATTTGAATCATCGCGTTCATCGAATATGGTCTTTGCGGAATCGCTATTGACGAGCATGTTCCCGGCGGATCGTCTCGGTCGTCGAAGCCTCAACGTTCAGGGCTGCATCGTTTGCCTCGGGCAATATTATCTTAGCCTGGGCAACGGAATCATTTATATGGCCCTAGTTTCCATGACGGCAGCGCATGTGGACTAACTCTGAGTGACGATGTAAACAACGCCTTTGTTCATGGAGAATCGAGCCCCAATCAAGCTCAAGTGGAGAAGTAGCGTCTACCTCCATCGTACCCCTCAGTTGTCAAGCATTCGGTCGGGATGTCATCGAACTTGGATATGGATGGAAGTAGCTTTCGTGTATTCCCAAGGAGTTTATCAGGTCACAACGAGCAGCCTGAGAGATCATTCACCAATTCAGGAAACGACTGAATGGGCGAATATCGTGAGCTTCCTCAAGCAAAGCCCCGTGAAGTAACCATATAGCCGTCTTGGCGACCCTGCGAGGATGATCAACAGGGTATGGAAATTGACGTTTATGGCAAGCTGATTCAATGGAAACTTCCTTAATAGTTAATTATCGAGTAAGGACTAAATTTCGAAAACGATTGGTTTAACACATGCAAGACTTGACAGATAGCCAAGTTTTGCAGCAACATGAAACCCGCCCGAGGTCTATCCCGAAGCCTATACAACAGCACCTCGGGCCCTTAGCCCCAACGCCGAAGTTCGAAAGTCGGGGTACTCGGGGTACTCGCCGGCCAGCGAGAGACCGGTAGTCGGATATAAGAGTACCAGTCGGCAATTGCCGACTTATAAATACAGATCTTCTTCCCTAGACAAAGCTACGAAGTTAATTCACTACACAATGGCCGAAACAAAGATTGCCTCCTTGCCTACCCCTCAAATTATCCCAGCCTCAACAAAACAGGCCGAAGTTAGCTATCCAAGATGGTTTGGTGGCTCGGCATCTTGCATGGCGGTAATGGTGTCGCATCCGTTTGACCTTAGTAAGTGCTTTCTCTGTAACCTAGCTTCGAACATGAAAAGCTAACACGAATTCGCTCTAGTCAAGGTCCGCATGCAGACTGTTGCAGACGGTGCGAAACAAGGTTCAGTTCGAACAGGAATGCAGATTATCCAGAATGAAGGTGTTAGGGGTCTCTATCATGGCGTGAGTATCCGGCCCACGGCGCCATATAATACTTCCGTTCATATAAACTAACCTCCACCCAAAAGCTTTCCGCTGGATTGATGAGATCATGTAAGTATTACTGCATTGAGAACTTCAAAACGAGGTCTAACACATTCCTAGTAACATACGGAGCCTCTCGTATCGCTTTATACGAAGAGCTGAAACAATCAGCAAAAAAGTCAGAGAAGCCCATCACCACTCCAATGCTCACGGCGATGGCAGCGACGTCAGGCTTCGTGGGAGCTATATTTGGTACGCCATCAGATATTGCAAATATCCGGATGCAGAACGACAGGTCTTTGCCTATTCAACACCGCCGCAATTACAAGCATGTGTTGGATGCCTGGGTCCAAATGAAGCATCATGAAGGTTGGAGAGCATTTGCACAGGGTCTATGGCCTAACTGTTTCCGGTGTGGAATCATGACTGCAAGCCAGCTTGCGTCTTATGATACATTCAAAGAATTGCTGCAAAGGTGGAGTAGTCTTAGCGGGGAGAGTCCGGTCATTCACATTTCGGCCTCGTTGTTGGCTAGTCTCGTTGCGACTTCAATTTCGAGCCCGATGGACGTGATTCGAACACAGCTGATGAGTTCTTCGAAACGAGTATCAGTGTTCAGGATTGTGACCAACTTGACTCGATCTGAAGGTTATCGGTGGGTATTCCGTGGCTGGACACCTAGCTTTGTGCGCTTGGGTCCTCAGACTATTGCAACGTTGGTGGCACTGGAGCAGCATAAGCGGATATACCGTCTCCTCAAGTCTGGAGATGACCAGTTATGAGATATCATAGACTTTGAGTTTGAATAGAAGGCATAGATTTCTCCGACGGACATATTCCATCTATCCTCGGGCGTGAAGTCTAGTTTCGAGCATGCACCGCTCTTTTCCCTTTCCATGGAAAGGAGAGACTTATTTTTCTTCACGGCGTAGGGCAAATTTAGATAGGTATCGATATGAAAGGTTGGTCATGAAATTAAATGCTATTAGACTAGTCATGGTCTTCACCGTTCTTGTCGTAGGAAAGCAAACTGAGCCTGCTCAGTGCCTTTCCGAACCGACTTGGACGTCTGTGGAAGTAATTCAAGTGTTTGAAGAAGAATCGACTGCAAATTCTCACAAGTCGTCTGATCCATCTGACCATCGTCAAAATCTCGCTCAATTCCTTTCCACAGTAGCTGCACACCCGCAAGAAGATGGTGGGGATAAGGGTCGATGGCCACTAGTGGGAAAGAGCCAGAAGTGCTGTCTGGGCCCTGGCGCGTGGGAATTGTGAAATGATTGCTGAGGCCAAACTGTAGGCAGTTGAGGAGACTGCCCTGTGCATCTGACTTTGTGACGCTCATTTTCTCGAGAATATCTTCCCTTGATGCGATCTCGATGGCATCAATCATAATTAGAATACTTAAGTGGTGATGCACCATAAGCTCGTCTATTTGTGCCCAGGAGGCGATTGTTAGTATCGTCGAGCTTCATATTTGAGACCGGACTTCGGAAGATAAAACTTACACCAGCGAAGCTTTGTGTGTTGCGATAAAAATTGAAGTCGTCGTTCGCACGCCGCCAGCAACGGGCGATAAGTGACATTGAACTGTCTGATTGCCTCTGCGGCAGAGGTATGTGCGTGGTATACGGCATCTTCTCCATGACCTTCACGAAGAGCTTCCTTCAGAATAGTACCCATTTTCCACACGCGCAGTTTCCATGCATGGGCTGCGCCAATGATTTGATTTGCCGTTTCTTCAGTGACTAGTACTCCATGAGTACGCCATCTCTCAGACTGTTCGTGGAATATGTTCGTGCACGTCTGGACCATCCGCCACGAGGACTCCGCTTCCCAACCCAAAAGGCCCGAAGAAAGAACGGATTTGGTGTTGAAAGTCAAGGCAGATGAAGTATCAAACGTCATGGCTGCCCAGTATATCATACTCTCAATGTGCATGAACTCAGATCGAATTTGTTCCGGTGTGGAGATGGGTGCCGCTTGATCTGATAAAAGGGAGACCTTCGAGCCGTTGAATTCGAGACTCCTTTGGCGGGCGCGAAGGTACTGCACTTGTTGTAAAGCAGCTTGAACGCATACTTGAGCAGGTACACCACTTTCCTCCTCGTCTTCGGGTATTCCGACCGGTACCGGGACCATGGCGAAAAGGTATAAGCTTAGCATGGATCGATAACAGGGTCGATTCATGGATTTGAGAAGGTTCTGTCTTAGTTCCCTCCAAAGGGATTGAATCAATGGAGTTTGTGCCAGCTTCTGCTCATTCAAGTGATAGGTCAGGGGAAGCCATCGGGCGGAAAAGGTCTGAATTGCTTGGTTCAGTGTGGTTTCAATCTGCCATTCCTTCACTAATTCGGCTTGCGTCGGAGGGTGAGTCCTCGCACCCGTCGGCCCTTGCTTTTCCAGGTCCTTCATCAACTGGTCGAATTGCCTGCACAGTGATGAAATGCTGACCGATAGAGAAAATCCTGGATGATCGCTTGCGCCGCCTTCCAAGTGACCATTCTCCCCGAATCTAACCCAGCATTAGAACCAATGTAAATTGAATGGTGCTGGTGCGCAGTCCGATGGATTGCTCCTCACTCACGAGAAAGGACAGCTATAATTGCCTAGCCAGGACCCAAAGACCTGCTCGAAGACATCTTCATACATTGATCGAAGCCAGTTCGAGACTTCCAGACTGACCAGCGAGGAACGGGCAGAGGGTGTAGGGGTCCCATGGTCGCGGTGTACTGGACTATCATCCACCCTAAAGGACAAACGGGTATCAATAGATGATCGCAATGGCCAAGTGAAGAATCGATGGGGCAGCCTTACCCAGTTCGAGGTGAGTCTCCCCCAGGATCGTTGAAATGCGGCGACAGATTGAATCCTTCCTCCTGGCTCCTGCCATAAGACGGCGGCGGGGAGAGAAGGGGATTCCAGCGATCCGATGCAGGACTGGACCCATCAGCTCTGGCAACGACTTTTTTCATCCACTATAAACATATTCTGTCAGTTTCTCTCCTAAAATATGCAGTCAACCGCGTAGAAAGCGACTATCCGCACCTCGAAGCTGCAGTGTCGGTTCCGAGCCGCACAGCGGCTACAAGTGGCGACACTCGACTCTTCGGTCGCAGGGCGTCTTCGCAACGCATCACAGGCAACACGAGATTTACGACACGCATCGCAGCTGGAAAATTGCCTGCGTCGATGGACTCGGTCGGTATGCATCCTGAGGATGGACTGATAAAGTGCGAGTTAGACGCAGATATGGGGAGGGATCATTCCTGTATTATGAGCATTGACTGGGTCCCACCCCCGCAGGCTAACCGAGTGGCACAGACTGTTGGACGAATCGGCGAATGCGCAGCAAAGTCATCGAATTGTAATAATGGAGGCACCACGAGCTTCCCCGCTCAGATCTCCAGATGCCAGACTCGTGTTAACGTGCATTTTTAGTGCATGCGAGCAAGAAATCCTGGGGGCAATCCGGGGTAGGCTCCAAGGAGAGCGCTTCCACTTTGGATCTAGGGAGCTGGATTACTTAGTCGAGACTGGCATTGAAGTTACATCTACGTTTATTGAATGAACATCAAATCAAGCTCAAAGACTTGGTACTTGCCAGTCTATGTAGAGATAACGGCATATCACCACTAAGTTCACACCATCTTCCCAGGGCCTCATGACCCGTCATAACTCCCCACAGATTGGCATCTAGTTCTTGGATGTGATTTTCTGGTCTGACTGTCAGTCCTTGAAGACTCAAACAGTATCGGGATGATCCTAGAGCCATCTTCAAGAGCTTTCCCATGCAAAATAGTGCCTCTGGCCATCCGAAATTCCGAGAATATATACTCATACATCATCGTAGGAGTCAATATCACAGCTTCTAAATGGTTCTACCTTAGGCGCATGTAGTTATGCCTTGATTTTGGATTGCTTCGGACTAGAACCTCATGACGCCCAGTGCGGCTTCCATGTTGACGTACTTTGTCTGTTTGTCAAGGACTAAGATTTCTGCTTGGAGCTCCTGCTACTCTACAAGGGCCACCAGGTTTTCTATATGTTTGATGTTTCCTTTCTTCTCTACGTTCTTGGGTCCGTGGCCTTCACACGAGCGAGATCTCTGGTCATCTCCGTGGAGCCACAAGCAACTTACCGGCCACAAGCCTTTAGCTAGTAAAGTGGCATTGCTAATTGTATTCACTGACTGTAGGTGAAGGTATAACCGTTCATACTGTCCCTTCTGCATGGCCTTTGTTCTTTGGAAAATCAGATCTTCGTTCCAGCGACCCCCTGGTGACCGTTTAAGGAAAGCAACTAGAACAATGGAAACTGTCATTCGCCCGGACGTTCGGTTGAATACTAATCATGTCTGCAACCCATCGGCTTAATGAGTATTACCAGGAAATCTGGGGTAGCACTGGAGCTTATGACGCCCCTTGTTCTTGGCACCTCGCTTCGGATCCGATGTGGATACAATTTCCACCAATCGACAGCCTTTTTTCGCCGGATAAAGGAGGAAGATGAGATTTAGCGTTGGACCCCTCGGCTCAGAACCGACAAAGACACGATTCGGGGACAGGAGTATCCTAATAGGGGATCAGAGCCGTGGAAAGGACGAACAAGACCGTCTTATTTGCTGCAGATCGGCAATGCTACTTATGGAGATACCGGATCCGAGTGACCGGCCCGTCATCCTATATCTGCCTTACTTGCCGGCGATTTCATTCGGTCGGTTGAGTTGAAGAATTCTACATTTAGCCGCATTTCTAGACTCTTTAAGATTGCAGCATAACTTACTTCAAGATTTCTCTACAGACAAACAAAACGACCTGAACTTGGTACTCTCTTCTTGTCAATTTGTAGAAAGTCGGGCGTCAAAATATGACGATTAACACCACTCAAGGGCCCAGCGGGTCTGTGGTCATTATCGGCGCTGGAACCCAAGGACGACGACTCGCATTCATGGTGAGTGAAAGCCTCGAAGATTGATAACTAAACGCTGGAGCTGACAGTATGAAGTGGTCCGGAAGAGGCGGCTCTGTTTGTCTCGTCGATCTTCAGAAGCAACAATTGCAAGATGGTCTGAGCTATGTCAACCAGCTTCGCAACGCAGCAGTCGATCATGACAAAAATTGGGGAGAGGTTACAGTTGCCCATCCAGACTCTTTGGAATCAGCTCTTCGAGATGCATGGTTGGTTGTAGAGGTAATATATTTTGACTTCAATTTTGATGCACGATGAATATGATCTGACTTGTTTACAAATGAAGTGCGTGCCGGAGAACTGGGCATTGAAGCAGAAGGTCATCACTCAGCTTGATGATCTGGCTCCTGCACATACCATCATTGCTTCCAACTCAAGCAGCTATGGAATTTCCGAGATTATCGAGGGCCTAAATCTGAAGCACAAAAACAGGATATTGAGTGCACACTGCTGTATGAGACCTCCTCTGTCCTCATCCTTACAAAAGAAGCCCTTGCTAACATGTTGCAATGTGCAGACTGGCCTCCAGAGACATCAGGTACATATGTCTAAGCCCCAAATAACTCAAAATGTGAAATCCCAGCACTAACGAGAAACTTATCAGCAATCGAAATCATGGGACATCAAGATACTGATCCCGCCGCTATTTCCCTTTTGTTGGATCAATGCAGAGCCCATGGCTTCTCACCCTTCCACGTTAAGAAAGACTCCATTGGCTACATTTACAACAGGTAAGTCTATATGAGCTGACCCCAGCACTTACCGGTAGCTTACTGTATGCGCAGGATTTGGGCCGCTATCAAGCGCGAAACACTACTAGCACTCTCCGAGGGTGTTTGCACACCTCGAGAGATTGACGCAATTTTCAGGGATGTTCTCAAGACACCCAAAGGGCCATGTGAACAGATGGATGTGGTCGGCCTCGACGTGGTGTTGGACATTGAAAACCACTATGCAGACTCCCGAGCCGGTATTCCTGTCGAGCCGAGAGAGTACCTTCAGAATATGATTCAGAGCGGGCGCCTGGGTGTTAAGAACGGGGAAGGGTTCTATAACTACGGTAAAGAGACGACCGATAACAGCAATGTGATGAGCACGCCGAATTTGTAGTTCGGAGTTTTCATGTGTCGTTTTGTCTGTTAATTGTCACAAGAGTATAGATTTGATTTAACCCAACATCATTTCTCGTATCTGATTTCTATGTAGTTCAATCCAGTAGTCACACTTCATTCAATACCGGCTCCTGCGCTCCATCGGCACCGAGCATTATAACTTTGAGCACCCGCAAACTTTAAACCGTATCGAGTCGGAACAGAATATCATCGTCGACCATATTAACCATGTCATAACTCCATTGATACATAACTCATACCTTCCGTGCTCCATTCATTTCCTTCCGCCTATAAGCAATGATCTGGGCTACCAGAAGGAGATCCCCACCACGTTGGGAATGGGTGCTCTGTTCCACTAGCGCCAAACACCGCAAACGACAGAATAAAGATGACAATCTGAGAGCCTCCATCCATAGCCGCTCCGATGAGATAATTGTACTTGTTGTAAATTCGGGGCAGTCGGCGACGAAGCCAGAACTGAGAAAAGACTCCCACCGCGATCGAAGACCAGATCCAGGAGGTATTCCCATAATAGGTGTAGCCAGAATACAACGCAATAATTGCAGTATTGATCGGCCAATTGCGAACCCGCGGGAATATTTTAGCCACGCCCCAGTGCAATACCGGGAGAGCAAGGCCAATAATAATACCAAGAGGGACGATGAAGTATCGGCTCTTAGCACCGTACATATCCTTGGCCAGAGCCCAGGTAATGGCTTGAGAATTGAGACTCTGCATGTAAGAGCCACTCCAAACACTGTTTCCTTCGGGATCAAGGAGAATCTCGCGCTGGTTTGTCACAATAGTGGTCATCACAGCGTAGTTTAGACCAGCTCCGAGAAGAGTTGCGTAGATCTGAGTGCCAAACATAACCCGATGCGGTACCTTTGTGTACTGTCCAACCTTCAACCAATTTGCCAAGTTGACTGCTAGCAAGATGACCTGGTGAGACCAGCTAGCAAAATAGAAGTTGGCCAAAGGTCTGCCAGGGTGTACTGCGCCTGCAACCATCTTCGAGATCTGATTTGTCCCTACTCCGCTTCCATAAAGCCCGTATAGAATGCAGGAGAATGGTGCAATGAACCCTCCAAGTAGTAGAGAGATTATATAGCCCCAGACAGGAAGAGTTGTCTCACCGTGGGCAGTCACAATAATTCCCGCAATGAAGCAGAGAACGAAGAGAATCAAGTACCACCACAATGGAACCTCTTTGTATTTGAGCATCGCACGATAATGTGGGTCAGGTTGGGTTTTATTCCGGGCCTGCTTCCATGCCAGCACCATGTCCTTGCCGTAGAAAATTATCACATGAGTAATTAGCGCTCCAATTGCGAGATTCTGTGTGAAATATCCCCAAACAGTGCTGGAGGTCAAGTATGGCAGTCCAATCTTTGCAAGCTTGGCCTGGTCGATGATTCCCTTGTCATTCAAGATTGAAGTCGTAGTCAGTTTGGTTCCATCACTCTTGAATAGAGAACTTGACATGAATGGAAAGTTCTGGGCGTTCCAGGCATTGCTGTAGTAGAGACCTAGCATTGCAGGGTACCAGATCACATATGCAATCCAAGTATTGACCTGTTGCTTGAATGGCAATGACAGATACTGACTCTGAATGTATTGCCAGTCGAGAGAGAAGTTGAGCAGACCCAATCCTTGATTAGACGATGCACCTCCGAAAATTGTGGATATGATTGTTCTCGTGTGTGTTGGGGCTTTCATCGATGCCAAGCAGACGATGGAGAGTCCACCAAACCAAGTAATGATATATGATGGGAAGAATTCCCAGATTGCAGCCAGAGCAAGAGCCCAACCGAACTTGATAAGCCGGCCCCTGTTCGCGCGGGTATCAAAGTGGAGATTTTGAAACAGAACCACCTGTGGCAAAGTGCTCCAGTACACCATTTCTGCAGGGTACACGATGAGTGGTCGTAACAAGCCCGCCACGACAAATCCGCAAAGGGAGATGGAGAAAGTAGCTAGCACAGCAGTAGATGCGGAGACGCTACGGTCGTAGAAAAGTCGCTCAGCAGCATAGACCTCGACTCCAGCGAGGCCATTGTTACCGGATGAAGCGATCAGTGACGCGACAACATGTTCTTTGATTCCGAATGGCTGTCCGGAGTTAAGGAACCGAAGGGTTTTCTGTACCCATCTCTGTTTGAATCGGTCCGGTCGAGGGGTGAAAATTGCCCATGCTTCGCCAAAGATGTAGACCAGGACTTAGAAAACGTCAGAAAAAAGATCACTCGATATTCGCTTTCAGATAGCTTACGCTGAAGGAAAACCGCCGAAACTTGCATCGTGGTTGGCTTGAAAATGTAGATCATGGTGATCACACTAGAAAGGGCCGTGAAAGCTGTGCCCAGAACTATCGAACGAAATGTGAAGGCAGGGTCACCATCATCACGATCGGATATCAGGAATTTTGATACATCGTCTCCTATTCTCTCATAATGAGCAACGGAAAGTATTTTCTGTACGCGTAGTAGCGATCATACCGTTCTCGATAACAGGGTGACCGTTGACATAGACGGTATCGTCTTCGCTTTTAGATCCAGCGGAACCATCACCTTCTGGTTTATTGGCTGAGTTTGTTCGCGATTCTTCTTCAACTGCGACTGAGGCCTCTTTAGTGAGCACGTCAGTCTTGCTCGCTTCTGTAGCTTGCAGGTCGCCACTTCTGTCAGAGCTGTCTTCTACTAACGCCGACATGTTGCAGACCGAGCGGGCGCTTGAGATTGTCTGCGAGGAGAGTGTGGGCAAATAGCGCCAGTTGGGCTTGAGATCAAGCTATGTGCCAGTTCGCGCGGGGTATAAGCTGAGAGGGGATCTCCAAAAAATTTCATGAGAAGATTTTCTGTGTAGGAGACTATCCTATAATTTATCTAGTTCGAAAGGCAATATTCCTGATCAGACTAACATGATCAATATCGGCTCGGCTATTTGGAGTACGCAATGGTGCGATCTGTGACAGTAATGGTGAGTTATCGACGGAGTCCGGTCGCTTTGTCTCGGGTCCCATTATCCCATAACCGACGAGGTATTTGACACCAATCCGCAAATCTAGACGGGGATACTGAGAAGTAGCGCGAGTTTGCAACTGCATGTATTGGCTATCTTGAACTAATTTGACAAATGAGAATGGCGCAATTATGCTCGGCAATGCCGAAGTGAAACCAAATCTTAGCCTTGACACTAAGAAGACGCTAACGCTGGGAACGTGCTAGGACTGGGGGGGTTTAAGGTGCTTAAGAAGTCTGCTAAACTGGATAGGCAATGTTTGTACGGCATCTCCCGCAGCTTTGGGTTGCATCGTGGCATGTTACAATCCCCCGTCCCCCCACTGCGAGGCTTTTCCTCACTCTATTCAACCGGACAAAAAGCTTGCTACGCCCTCAGCAAGTCATACAAGGTTCAGAAGGCAGATAAATGCTTCGAGTCCTCATGCTCTAGTAATAAAGCGCCACTCGCCTTCCTTCAATCAATAATTCTACCATTGATTCGCTTTAGATCCCGATGACTGGGAGGCCAAAAGCCTGCCTCTACAAATCCTAGTTTGGTCCTAGACCTTCAATATAATTGTTCAGAGCCGTAAGGTTCTCGGATTTTCAGTTCATGATTCATGATCTACAGTCGTAATGGGCGTATCTGTGTAAATGTCTCCCCATCCACGAATTCTCCCTTAGCAGAGATTTGTTGCCTTGCAATTTAAATACACTGCCCAAGATTGCATCTAGCAACAGAGTTCCCCATAGTCTGTGCTGATGCAGTTGTCTGCCATTAAGAATGTGTGTAAGCTTTCTCTGAAACAGCCAAAGATAGTAATTTGAAAAACTTACTGATGTCGATATGGGCAGGTACATAGCGGTGCTCTCCATCAACATTTCGGCACTGGCATATTGAGCTTTCTCGTCCACGTGATTGAATTTCTTCCCTAAACCTCTATTTTCCAAATTGAAATCGAGGTTTATTATCTAAAGCGGTTAAAACATCGTATTCGAGAGACCAATAACATTTGTCACACTGGCAGTTGATTCTTGCTGATGGCGCGGCAGTTGGTGAGCCCTCACATACAAGGAAACGGCGAGTTTATTTCCTAACTTGACAGTGTTTAGGGAGTATGAAAGGCCAAGCATGAAGCTAACCATGTGTTAAGAGACACAACGAGTGCCCCTCAATGGTGACAGACGATCCTCAAGTGTTGTGTGCATTTCAACCACTCATCCCACTGATATCACGTATGTGATTTGGATCCTCGATGTTATATACATTCCTCGATTCGTTGGTCAGAGGATAAACTCTGTCCGGTATGCGTAGATGGTGTTTAAAATTACAGCTCTTCATGGCCACCTAGCTGTTGAGACCCCTGGTCTTCTTCAATCCGATGTTCAGCTTCATGAAACATGAAACCCATACGAGCACCAGCTAGAGCTTCCAGTAGGACGTCCGAGTCCTTCCTACCTCCAATAATTGGAGCATGATCACCGACACTCTGTCTCACGGCCTGCCTTATGATTGACCTATCACAAAAATTGCCTAGAATGATAACCTTGTCAAAGATTGAATATGCCTCATCGGATTTGTCTGGGTCCTGGGGTTTAGTCTCTGTTTAGAATCCAGGTTAGTTTACCCAGGCAGCAGGATACAACAAGCGAGTTAAAGAGTGAATAAAGAGCTTCTCTTACCTTCGAGGCAAAGTAGAAGCCTATCCAATGTTTCTGCAAGTTCGCTGATATACTCAGCTTCAACGGCTTTGATATCGTCCCAGGTGATGAATGCCTCCTTCCCCTGACCAATCCACCAATCATCTAGATCAAGAGGCCATTTTTCAGGCATTTCCCTTTCAGATTCTTCTTCGTCAAACGAGTTTTCACCACCGTCCATCTTCATCAGCTCTCGTGCTTTATATATAGCGGCAGCAAGAGGATTGTATGAAGCACCTTGATCAAGTTGTTGCTGTATGTCCACGTTGGTTGAATTCAGCGTTTTTATAAGTCTGTAGGGGATGCTCGCACAGCCCATCGAGTCGATTGGGTAGTTCAGTTTACAGCGCCTGCCATGTGTCTGAACATCGATGTACCATAGACCATAATCGACGATTAGGAGCTTTTGAGGATTATCAGCCAGGTTGACGGATGTGATGTTCTGTTCCAGTATGTTTTCAACCATACTTAATATCTTGTCAGGGCTTGTTGGAAGAAATGGCCTGATACCAGCTTCATCTGAGGCCTCGATGACAAGCGTTTGAACCTCATCGCTCAAAAAGCGTGGGAAGAAGACGACTGCGGATGTAATATTTATACCAGATTCCGCCAAGGATACATTTTTCACCCGTTCAAATGCCTCTATAAAGCCTTCCCTTATCTCATCGGGAGAGGGCCTTTTATCCACGCCTGACGGTGGTGGACTCTTGGAAGTAAACAAAGCATCTCGTAGACTATAAAACTTGCTCAAAAGGCCAGAGGGACGCTGAGACTTGGCATAACGTTCTTGGTAATAATTCGAGCGCAGCAAAGACGTGGATGCAGCATATTTTGGAAGAGGCGAAGTAACAGACCGAGGATAAATAGTTGCCAGAACGACGGTCTGGTCAAGGGAAGGGACACAGATGGCGGTTCTGAGATATTATTAGATTGGTTATCCCATCACCACTGGAATTGCGACTGGGGGACCTCTCACACTGCATCAAGAGACAAATTAATTGCGATTGGTTGTGGATCTTTCTTATCCCTACATGGTGATAGATTCGAGGCATGGATCAGTCCCCAGCAGTGGAGGAAAAGAATCGCTCGAAGCCAAGATGATCGGCCCACCATCTCCCAATCGCCCTTGATCGCCCCAATCTGTCGACGTGATTTGAGCTTCTGCAAGAGATCTGCAGGGGGAACAGACAGCCAATTATCGATAGCAAAAATCAAACATGCAATAGAATATTTCGAGGTTGGGGATTCCTGGAAAATGAGACAAAACCGGGCATCAGCATCACGTGGGAGGCTCTTTTTCGCTTGGACCCCTTTCCTCTTTCCCCCCACTTTTCCTCCTTCGCTCGTCCTCCAACAGCCCTCTCATCGGTCAACACTAGACAGAATGCAAGGGCAGGAAAGGACCTGCATCGGGAGAGTTTACTTAACCCCAGGCGACAAATAGGACCGAAAATACCTCATACGCAAAATTAACCTAAGGTGTAGCTTGTGTGGGCTTACGCCTTCCTGCGCAACATACCAAAGCGCCACAAGATCCAAGAGGATAGCTCTTTTTGCTGCATCTTGACTGTCGGGCTAATATCCGTGGATAACAGCCATTTGAAATGGTACAAGTCGATACGAATGGGTTTCCTCGCCCCTTGCGCACCATGAGGCCGCCACCTGTCTGCTATTCGTCCCTGGGCCAGGTTTCCCGGATAGCCGCCGAATTTTGACTCAGCCCTTCTATTTAACTTGCCATTGATGCTCGTGTTTATATATCCAAAGGTCCTTCATCACCATAATGAGCACTCCATCGTAGTAGATACTAAGCCCACGCAGTATCTCTTGTTTGGCCATCGCCTAAAGGCATTCTAGCACCCCCAGAACTTTTCTCCAGGCACTATGGTTCAGTCATGGTTTTGATTATCCATAGATCATAATAAGCATTTAAGCACCCATCCCCCCTACAAAATAATATAAGGTGCTTCCCCTTAGGTAGGATCATCATCATAATCTCATATTTGCCGAAATTTGAATGGCTTTGCGAAAGAGTCGGTCATGTTCCCGCAATAGCCAGCAATAATCCTGTCCATAGCCACGAATTTTGGTCGCATTTGATAAAGCCAATGAGATTTGCTTAGATCTAGACTGAAACGTCACCATCGAAAGCGCCAGTATATTGCAGCTTGTTTAGAGTTATTGCCTAGCGCTTGTCATGTCACGGCGTAGTCAGAACAAAGAAATCCACGCACTTTCCGGGAGAAAAGAGGGCAAAGCGGCGGACTCTCTGATTCGTCACATATCCCTCTGAATTGACACAAGTTTACTATGGGGTAGTATCTGTGATATCTGGGGCTCTCAGACCCTAGATTCGTTGGTACAGTAGGGCGGGTCGGCCTACAACGCGTCCACGGCGCTGATAATCTACAAATGGGACTCGAAGACCTTCTTTTATATCTCTATTGACCCTTCTTAGATAGTTCTTTGTGTATTTTGATGATAATTTCGCCACATCGATGGAGGTCCTAGCAAGCAACACGATACGAAGAAGTAGTAACCCCGCTCATAACGGAGAGTGGTTCTACATGGTTGATGTTACACGGAGCGCTTAGCAGCCCGATGGTAGCCGGATGCAATTGTTAGACAATATCTTGACTCAATTTCTGGAATATGAACAAGCCATGAGCATCATTTTAAGTTATCAGTTTTACATGCACTTTCGACCTTGCTCTTGCATGGCTGGAAAGCGCGTTGAAGCTGGGAACTACAAAAGCAGTAGACATCCTAAGTTCTCAGACAGATCACAAGTAGATCTCAACATGGGGTTTCGCTTCTAGGATATGGTTCAGAACTGGGAGGCTGGCCAATATGACCTGTCGGTCTACCCCGCCACATCCCTGTCCAGCCAACCCCTTCGTCGGCAGACGATGCTAGTCACTGTGGCAGCTGATCACCTGGGCGATGCTTATCGGTATTCTTTGACCTACTGGAATTGAGAAGTGTTGGTTTGGTTCTTCGTTTAGCTGCACGTTTGGGAAAATCGGAGGGTAAGATCCACGTGGAGAGGTTATTGTTTGTTTGCGACGGTACAAAACTCTGGAAATGCGCCGAGTTGATCTCCGGGGTGCATTGGCTCCCTTAGATCTTGCGACCGTTTGTCAAACCAGATTGCCTTAGAAAGTTTGCACATTCTTCCAAGGGGCCAGCGTAAATCCAAATCATCAATCCATATCTTCTCCTCTCACCTAGTCTCTCAGCAAAACTGTCACCTTCCATTCCTTCGCCATAAAAACTACCCTCCTACCCCCTCGCATTCCATTATGGATGAGAAGGTGGAACCGGCTATACAGGCGCCCTCTCAAGAGGTGGCCTTCAACACTCTCATCAAGCCGCAGGCTCGCGAGCCGTACGACTCCAGTGTCACTTTCGATGAATATTCCTTCTATGCACAGAAGACACGAGCAGAGGAGCTGACTTTGGAGTCGCCCGTTCTCAACATACGACGTGTCCTCGGAGGAAAGCGTGGAGCTCACGATGATGACAACCAGGTCACTACTCATCTTACTGCGGGTGACTTTACGCATCGTGAAAGAAGACTGCTGATCACCGATGAAGAGTGGACTAATGCAAGCCGGGCATTCAGATCCGCTTCGTGGGGAGCCTGTGAATCTAGCCAGGCCCGTTTTCGATATCTAAATTACGCTAATATCTTTGCCAGGCTTCTTTCTTATCACCACCGACATCATGGGGCCGTATAGCACTGGCTTTACGATGGGCACACTTGGATGGGGGCCAGGTGAGAGACCCAAAACGAAGAAAAACTGCATTTTCATCGTCAATTGCTGACGTTCGATAGGTATCGCATTCTACACCGTCTTTGGTATCATGGCTGGATATTCGGGGTATCTAATTTGGCGAGTCTTCCTTGGCGTGGACAGCTATGAGTATCCCGCAAAGAACTACGGAGATCTTGGTTTCCGAACACTTGGGCGATTTGGTCGCTACATTACAAATATCTGCCAGGGAATCTCTCTGCTCTTAATTGTTGGACAAGTCACGATCTTATTCGGCCAGAACATCTCCCAAATGTCAAAGTTCCGCCTCTGTTATGCGGTCTGCCCGGCCATCTTTGCGTGCGCTGGCTTTGTCGTCACCCAGGTTCGCACTCTGAGAAACTATGGTTGGTTTGCAAATGTTGCTGTTTGGATGAACCTATTCGTCGTGTTCATGTCGATTGGTGTTATGGCCAATTCGCCCCCAAACTATCACATCTCCACCCTAGGCTCTGCAGGTAGTGCGGTAGATCCGGAAACCATCAAGCCTGACAAAGCCGGCAATTACCCTCCAATCATTCATTACAACACCATTCCCTCTGATGGACTGATCGGTGCAATCAATGGGATGCTTTCCGGAGTGACCGCATATGCAGGCGCGCAATTGTTCGTGGAATTCCTGGCTGAGATGAAACGACCCCGGGACTTTATCAAGGCGATGTGGGGCGCGCAATTCTTCATCTATGCTGTTTATCTCACGTATGGCTGTGTGGTGTATCACCTGCAAGGACAGTACAGCTACAATCCAAGCTACCAAGGTGTCAGTATTTACGCATGGCAGACTGTGGGTAACATGGTGTCCCTTCTCGCAGCTTTGATCTCAGGAGGTCTTTATGGCAACATTGGTATCAAGGTGTTTTACAACAACGTTCTGCTTGATATCTTCAAAGCTCCTCCTCTCACTACTCGGACTGGAAAGTTCATCTACGCGGTCTTGGTTCCTCTTTGGTGGATCATTGCATTCATTATCGCAGCGGCTATTCCCGATTTCTTTGGATTTGTCAGTGTGGTCGCGGCCTCTATGCTTTTGAACCTGACATACGCTTTCCCTCCCCTCTTTGCGTTATGTTTTGACATTCAGAAGAACGCTATTCATGACGCAGATGGTGAAGGATTCAATCCCGTGACTGGACGCGTGTCCAGAAGCGATACTGCCGCTAGAAGATGGATTCGAGGCTTTATGGCTGGCGGCCCGTTTCAAGTCGCTGTCAATATCTGGCACGTTATCTACTTCTTGGCAGCTCTCGCCATGAGTGGGCTTGGCATGTACGCGGCTATTGTTGGTAAGTCTGTATCCCGATATCTTGCTCGGGTCCAAGTTTAACTCCTCGCTATAGGTCTCATTGATGCCTTCAAGATTCCGCAGTTGACATCGTTCTCCTGCGTATCTCCCCTGAACTTGGTTTAGTTTCGAGCCTTTGGATCCATTGAACTTTTGGGACTTCAAATTGGAATTGGCTTGAGGTCATGGTATTTTTTTACTTTACGTTTTTGATTCTACAACCAAATAGGCCGAGTTGGCAATACTTTATGCACATTATTGTGACGAACAAGCGTCTGGTCCCTGGGCCCGTAATCAAATACACAGCATCGCCCTCGGTACCAGTGCGAAGATTTATGTATCTAGCGAGTCAGAATGCCTACTCTATTGCTCTTTCACTCTTAAGTCGCGGTTAATCGAATACCTCGGCAGTGCATTTTAATAATCGACCACCGAGGTGCTTCCCAAGGCTGTGCGGCTACGGCCGTAGTGCGGGGTCACCCAGCGCGCGATGTGATTCGATCACCCGCAAACAGCACATCACCCCGCAAGAGCATTCTGGATGACCAGGCAGCATAAGATTGCGGCTGAATACCCTTTTTGAAAGTGAGAAGACTTTTACAATCAACAACACAATGGCATCTTATCAGTACACGGATATCAAGGTCGAGGTGAAGGGAAAGATTGGTGTCATCAAGGTAAGCCGATGGATGAATACCTCGTAAATGATGATATTTCTAAACCGAGGCATAGTTCAATCGACCCAAATCGCTCAATTCCTTTGGCGTGAATCTCCTTGTTGACACTCTACATGCCGTGAAAGAACTCGATGAACACCCAGATACTGTCTTCACAGTCTTGACGGGTGAAGGACGATTCTTCTCCGCCGGCGCTGATGTTCGAGGTCAGTCTGACACCGTGACAAATTTATTGCGGATGAACTCTTTGACTGAATATTGGAGTATAGGTTCACGGCCCCTGGATGAAGGGATGGCCGATCTCACAAAAACTCAGTTAAAGCTTCTCCACTTGTCTCGTTTCACTACCAGTAGGTTAATTGGTACCCCGGGCGGAAACATACTGCCAGCTAAATCATGACAGTGATGGAACTCATGAGATCGCTCATCGATCACAAGAAGGTATTCGTCTTGGCTTTGAATGGACCAGGTGTGGGAGGAGGAGCTGCTTGGTTCCAGGGAATCGCCGATATCATCCTTGCATCCGAGACGACCTATCTCCAAGTCCCATTCAATTCGTTGGCCTTGGTGCCCGAGTCGGGATCTGCGACCAACCTGGCCCGACACATGGGTGTTCATCGCGCAAACGACTTTTTGATGTTTGGCCGGAAGCTTACTGTCCAGGAATTGGAAGGTTGGGGATTGATCAACCGCACCTTCCCCGTTGACGGCTTCCATAATTCTGTCGTGGAGTTCCTGGAGAAGCAGCTCGAGGTCAACGATGGTGTTAGTATGATGGAGACCAAGCGGTTACAGAATCTACCGCTTAGGAGTGAGCGCATCTTGGCGGTTTATAATGCGACCGATGCGCTTTCGGAGAGGCTTGCGAGTGGAGCGCCAGCTGCACGATTCCGAGCGAAGAAAGCTGAACTTGAAGGTATGACAATATCCTATTTTGATGCTGCCCATGGTCTGATAGTTTCCGGTAGCGAAATCCAAGTCCCGGCTTTAATCTTGGGCAGTTGGATATCTTTAGAGATTTTATACGTCCCGCTTGTGGATGATTCTTGCACAATATTTGCAATGGGAGGGCCTCTGTGGCTGGAATGCACGTCATACAACAGCGAATTGGGAAAAGAATCAAATTTTGTAGCGTAAGGCAAGTTGTAGCACCTATAGAGCCATGAGAAATACTTGAAACAGAGTGTGCCTTCAACAGCCAAGTTAAACTGGCTGATGACCACCACACAGTGTGGCGCAAGAAGACTAGACTGAGGATGGTCTGCAGCGTTCCTCATTCTTACTGCTATCGATTGCTCTGACAGATAAGCTGGAAGACTATGTTAATGTGGTCAGCGCTAGTAAATACTCGCAGCCTGACAGCCTTGCAATAGCCAAAGGAGGCGGGGCGCCAAAGGAGAAGGAGCAGCTCCTTCTGCACACGCACCTCATCCAAAACAATCCCAGAAGCTCACCTGCTCCCCATTTCTTCTCCCCTTCAACCCTCCATACCACACAACAGGGTCTAGACAAAATGCCCCGAAACGAGAGCAAGATTGAGATTGCTGCGCCGCCCGCCAAAGTGCGAGAAGTGGTACGTCGTCACAGGTCATCCATCAGAGAGGCGGCTACTCCGTACAGGGGTTACTGATACCAAACAATAACTAGCTCCTCAACTTCTCCGCTTACCCAGAATGGCACACCGATTTCATCAAGGGTATCACGATCCAAGACGAGTCCAAGACAGCTGAGTCCCTCGTCAATGGAGACAAGGTCGAGTGCAACATTGAGGGATGGAAATTCATCGCCGAGATCAGGGTGGGTACCCGCCCGGGCCGCTTGTTGTTTAACTATCCAGCTCCAACTCAATGCTAACGACTGTTCTCTCGCAAAGGAAAACTCTGAAGGGATGTTCTCGTGGCAGGGTCCTCCCGTCATGACTGTCGCGGGTCTGCACCAGTTCCGCATGGAGCCCGCCAAGGACGGTACAGCCACTATCTTCACACAATCAGAGGATCTCAAGGGTCCCCTGTCATTCTTGATGAGCCCGTCGCTGTTGGGCAAGAAGATGGCTGCTGATTTTGCAGAGTTCAACAGAGATCTCAAGGCTCGGGCAGAGGCTTCTTGATCTCTAATGGACTGACACGGACACCAGAAGCCTGGGACTCCCATCGGCATCCAGCGAGGATGGCGTGTTACCTGGTGGGCCCGTGGCTTATACTAGATCTGTCGATCTTTTGTTTACTGCACACGCACCTCCGATCGATCGTGCATCCTTTTTCCAGCCCTGTTAGGCAATGACTATTTTGAAGACAACCCCTAGTCGTTTTGAGTGTGATTTTAGTCGTTCTAGTTATATAACATCTCATTTTCTTGCAACAGCCTGATAATTCCGTGGATTCGAACCTAGTGGGTTTAAGAGTGTGGCTTGCATGAAGGATTCTTCAGCGTAAAGCTTTTGGCCCCCAAATGGCCTCCACTCGGTAGATTGATTAGGGATCGAGACCATGGCTTGTTAGAAATAGAGCATCTTAGAGACTTGATTCTGTAGAGAAAAAAAGATCATTGGCGTACATAACGAACAATGACACAAAAATTTAGAAAGGAGAAAAACAACGAGCTAGGTGGGGAGTGGATAATAATGTAAACAAATAAATACAAGTTAAAGAAAAAAAAAATAGAAAGGTGCAGTCGTCCCACCAAGCAGCCAGCTTCCCTGTAACGGGACGGTGTATTCCGGCGACGCCACCCCAGGGTGGAAGTGTCTCTGCAGAATTGCTTCCCTCAAGGGTCACTTCCATTGCTTAGCGCCTCACAGCGTCGTGGATTACTCACACGAGTGTGGCGGCGACCCCAGGGTTCGTACCGGGCACGCGTACCCGCTGGCACAAGGCCGAAGCAAGGTTGCTAGCTTGGCGGTGGGCCTCCCACTAGGTTATCCATGACAGATTAAATATTTTGCAACCTTTTCATCTAGATAACCTTACTTTCGGGATTTCGAGGGCCCGGGTTCGAACCGGGCCGCCACCACTATCATATTTATGGACTCCATCTTGGATTACTATATTTTATTCAATAGCTTTCATTTTCTAGAAAAATAAATTGTACACCTAGTTCACCCCGACAACGATGTAAAAACTACGGCTGCCCTCTTCCCAAAGAAGCAAACCTGCCTGTATCGAGCTCAAAGCTCAAAATGGAGGCAAATGTACACCCTGACACCCAATTTGTCTCCGATACACCAGGAGTTTCTATGAATGTGCAATTACCTACAGTAGGAATTCTCATGATCATTCTTATAGCTCATTATTTTCCGATCGTGAGTCTTCCAGTGGATCTATAAAATCAAGGCTAAACGTACAAACAAGGCACAATGGGAAGTTTAAATGGTACACATCCTCCAAATTCTCATACGACTTAGCATCTATGTACACTTTTTCCGCTAACACATATCATCAAACCGCCACTTCATCGTCAACGAACAAAACGACCCAGATCTCCCACAATACCCAGACCTCCCACGACATCCACCACCGTCACATCCCCCATCCTACAAATCCAAATACTCCAGCGACTCATTTTACATACCGGTCACCGAAGAGCCCGCCACCACGAGGCCTCAAGCCTTCACCGAATTTGAATGCGACGAGCGTCAAGCAGGTAATCGAGCTACAAAGCTCGCGAAGGTGTTTGTCGCTCGCGTCCAAGCATTGGCACATGTGCTCCTATGGCCCTTTTATCGCGCAAGGTCGGTGAGTAGGTTGGTATGGTTGTTGCTATTGGTCATTCTTATTTATCTTGGGGTCCTGGCGGGCATAGGCTGTGGGCTCTGGGCTTTAGTTTCACCCCAGGGACCTTCGGTTGCCGTGGCTCCGGTTCCAGAGGTAGCTCCAGAGGTAGCTCCGGTTGAGGTGGTGGTTGAGGCTGCGGTGGAACAACCTTCGGGGCCCCCAGTAAGCGGCATTTCGGATTTTGAAGGAGATATTTGGTGTAGTATTCTCGGATAAATACTTGACAACTCGGGAAGCTATTAAGAGGTCTTCGCGCTGGCTTGTTTGTGTGATGAAATGTGTTTCAATTTGTTGCTCTATATATCCAGTCTATGGGTTCTATTCCAAATTATTATCTCTAAATTAAGCAGACTTCTGTTTCTTCGAACCAAAGTTCCACTTCTTCACACGGAAGCAGTAGTAAAGTGCAACGGCGGCGGCAATATCGAATACGATGTATACCCAGAAAATGCCGAAATTGCGCCATCGCTCATCCCATACCATTCTCACGGAGCCCAGATATTGGTCAGCGTTTGAGAGAGAGCAATATGCGCAAGACTGAGTTGCATTAGGGTTCTCCAGATACCCAGGCGCCACGGATAGGTACTTTTGGAGGTATTGGCCACAGGTCAAGCCCGACGGAGGGTTGAAGACAGACATTTCCGTATCACTGCACTTGATCTCCCGTCCATGCATTTGGTTGGCAGCGACACCGCCGACCCAGTATGTGAAGGGCGAGGCGCGGTACATGAACTTCCAGAATCCAGGGAGCGCATCAGGGGTCTGCATGACACCGTTGAATGTCAAGGCCATGGAGAACAGAAGAGTGACGATGGCGCCTGCTGTTTCAGCATCCGGTAGGGCTGCGATGACCATATCTGCGAAAGTGCCGGAATACACGAAAAATTGCAAGAAGAATAGGAGAGCTAGTCCTTGCCGAGAGGAGCTTTGTATACCATCCACGGCATAGTAGTAGCAACCATAAACGAGAATACCCATGATGATCTGGTATGGGATTTCAACCAGAATGGACGAGGTCATGAACGCGACCCAGGAGTACGTCTTGGAGGGACGTTCGCGGACTTCATAGAGGGCCCGTTGGGTCAAGAACAATGGAATGATTTGCTGAACCAGGGAGGAAAAGATGGCGCAGATCATGAAAAGAGAGAAAATCTGGTTCTGCATACCCTGCTGGGAATGGTCGGGTTTGAAGAATGAGAAGCCGATGAAGAGCCCGGAACAGAGACCAAGCATGATTTTCGCAATAACGTAGTCCGGCATCCGCCAGTATTGCTGGAACACTCTGGTAAAGACGATGGGCATTTGCTTCATGAGGGGCATTGCAAACTCGGACTGTTCCCTTGGGTCTGGAAGCTGATCCGGATCGTGCGCGGGCTGGTTCTTCTTGCTCTCGTGAATACGATCAATCTCGTTTTGCACACCTGCTGCTTCGGCACTTCCTTTCCAAAGGTCGAACCAAGTCTTGCCTTCTGGATTGGTGCCAGCGTTGACAATTTCGAGCATATACTCTGCCGGGTTCTCATCATCGGCACAGGGGCGGGCTCCGTGGTGTTCGAAGTAGTCGAGGAGGGTGCGAGAGTTGTCACCGATGGGCCCAAAATAGACAGTCTTACCACCACGGGCCAGGAAGAGCAACTGATCGAATTGTTCGAACAAAATTGCACTGGGCTGATGGATGGTGCACAAGATTGCCTGACCGGCATCGGCGAGTTTGCGTAGGAAGTTACAAATTGCCCAAGAGCTCTGAGAGTCCAGACCGCTATAACCGGTTAGTAAATCGTTTTGAGTAACATGGAAAGAGGATCATACCTAGTTGGTTCATCAAGGAACAGCAACAGTTTGGGTTTAGCAGCCAGTTCAACACCGATAGTCAACAGTTTCCTCTGTTCCACATTGAGACCCTGACCCGGCACACCCACGACCGCTTCGGCGAATTCCTCCATGTTCAGCATCGAGATAACTTCCTCGACGTACGCGTACTTCTCTTCCTTCGAGACGGAAGCTGGTTGGCGAAGCATTGCACTGAATCGAAGACTCTCGCGCACTGTCGCTGTCTCAAGGTGTAGATCCTGTTGTTGAACGTATCCCGTCTTCCGCTGGAAGCTAGAATCAAGAGGTTTTCCATTGACGAACATGTCACCAGTGATGACACCCATAGTGGTACGATGGGCCAACACGTCTAGCAATGTGGTCTTGCCAGCACCACTGACACCCATCAAGGCAGTCAATGTGCCTGGTTTGACCCAGCCGGAGACATTGTCAAGCAATCTTCGAGGCTCGCCCTTGATCTTGATGTCATAAACGACATCACGCCAAGTGAAGAGATCTCGCTGGGGAGGCAGGTTTGGCAGATTATATTGAGACTTCTCATTAGAGGCCACAACCTGTGTGCCATTAGTGTCTTCTTCATCGGCGCCGCCATTCTTCAAGGCCTTTGGCTCATGTCCCCGCCGGAAGACCAATACTTCAGCGGTGCTCGTGGTTGATGAGTTCAGCTCCGTGCAGACGAAATAAATTGCCAGGAAACCAATCAAGAACGCAATCAGAATACCGAAATTTCGCCAGACGTGCGTATAGGAGTATTTATAGGAGGCCCAGATGTATGCATCACCACTGACCGTGCTTTGACCGGCCACGGCACCTTTGGAGGAACAGATGAAGGTATCACCGTCCATGTTCGGGTAGGCCGGGATCATCGAGGAACAGGCAAAATCGCGACCGTGGAATTCGTTGGCAATTAGGATTTCAAAGGCATAGTAGATGGGATTCAGATAGTGAATCCAACCAAACCAGGGATGCATGTATGGGACCGGCACAACGAATCCTGTATAGATGACCAATGCCAGAATCAAGATACCGGCGAGAGTCATGGCCTGGGACACAGTTTTGGTGATGGCAGCCATGGTGCGGAAGACTGCACTCATGACAAACATGATGATGAAGTTGATGAGAAAGTATATGAAGAATTGCGAGGGTTCTCGTCGGAGATTACTGAGGAAGTATAGGATGACGTTGAAGGCGATCGCGAGTAAGAATTTGACGGGGATATCACTCAGGATTCCGGCGATAGCTTCGGTGAATGGATGGTAGAAAGCATACGTGTTGTGCTTCTCAACAATCGGTCGCTGTGAGTATAAACTGTTGATCTCGGTCATGGCTGTCAGGGCGTTAAGGAGTACTGCATAGAAAAGCACGGCGCCTTTCTGGTAGAAGTTGCTGGTCTCGGATGGTGTGCCGTAGAATACGGATCCGACAATCAATGCGATAATGCAATTTCCGACAAAGCTGGTGATGGTAGATGTACGCTCGTTCCACACACGTTGGTACGCGCGCTTAGTATTCATCTTGATTTGCATCGGCACGCTGAGCAGATACGGCGACGCTGAACGAGTGTGGTCTGCTTGAGCCTGGATTTTCTGGTCCTTGAGTTTGCGAACGTTGCCGTCTGAGTTAGAGGTAACTTCATCGTTGTGTTGCTTCATGATACGCTGTAGCTCCTGGTATTCAGGCGACCGGTGCCAGTAAGCCTCGAACTCATCTGGCGTTCTCGGGACGTGGCTCTCCATACCCTCGCGTGCCTGACGCTCGATCGGGTTGGTGACTGATGTAAGGAAATCTCCGGTGGTTTGACGCGATGGGCAGTACCAGCCCTGTCGCTCAAAGAAAGCCTTTGCAGCACTTGCAGGACCAAAATAGATCTGACGTCCTTCATACAGAACCACAGCCTTATCGAACAAGTCATAGATCGCTTGACTGGCCTGGTAGATGGCGACAGCATGGGCTGAATCGTCGATATCTGCGGCTAGTCGTAGTGATTGAACAAAGCGCAAAGCAGTCGCTGAATCCAAACCACGCGTTGAGTTATCCCACGCAGCGAGCGGAGCCCTAGCGAGAGCCATCTCTGCAATACTAACACGCTTCCGTTCGCCACCGGATACACCACGTACAGTGTCATTGCCCACTTTGGTGTTGTAGGTATGTGAAAGTCCAAAGACTGCCATCATCACCTTGGTGAACGACTGGGCGTATTCTTCACGAGACAGTCCCTCCCGACGGGCAGAGGGAGTACGGGCTGCGGCAGCGAATTCAAGAGTCTGACCGACAGTCAGATGAGGGAAGTGTTTGTCAACCTCTTGGTTATAAACCATTTCACCCTTGAATTCCTTCTGCATCGTCTGTTGAGGGATGCCACTGTAATGAACCTCGGAAGCTTCGTCCAGCTCCAAACCATGTAGCTCTCCACACAGAGTCTTGAGGAACGTACTACAGCCGGAACCGGGTCTTCCAAGTACAATGAGGAGTTCGCCGCTTTCAAGAACGCCATCGAATTGCTTCAGGATTTGCTTCGGCGTTTTAGTGCCGAGACTGAATGTCTCTCGTGGACGAAGAAGGGAGGTGAAAATTCCGTCCACGGTCTGTTGTAGCTGCAAAGCAGCACCGGTGCCTGTGACATGGACATTGCGAAAGTAGACACTGGCTTTGGAGTGAAGAATGCCTTCGTGGTTCAGCTGACGGACAATGAAGCGTAGCCATTTGGAGAGGTCGAAGTCTTTGCTCTCGGGATCGAGCGCAGGGTCATCAGCGCCTATGACTCGTGACGCAATCTTGGATAGTTGCTTGTCACAGCTGACCATTTGAGTGATGAATTGAGCATCTGCGGCGTCGATCTCGGGCCGTATATCTGTAGGTGATGCGAGGGTCTTGTCGGAGTGATCGGAGGAGGCAGATGAAGGTGGCACCTGATTATAACCATGTTCATTGTCGAGATTGTGGGAAGCCTCCTCGTGGGAGTCTTCCTCTTTCACGACGTACATGGTAGGTGAAAAGAGCGACGTAGGTTAGGGATTGGATAAAGAATGAATGGAATTCTAGTACCAGATGGGATATCCTCATGACTATATGGCCGGGGAAGGGCCACAATACTGGGATGCCTTGAATCCACCGGAAGACATTTGGTATCCACCTGCCAGAGTTCTAGAGCCAATTGAGAAAATTGAAGGCATGGGGCCTGGCTACCTAAGTTGCCACCAAACCATGCCAAGATTCATCGCTACGATTCGGAGCTGTAATTCACGCGGAACGGAAAGTAATTTTGATCCGAGCCTGAGATCTTACGTGGGGATGAATCACACCAAAATTTAAGCTGTGGTAATCATCGTAAATATCAGCGAATTGCGTCGTCTGCCTCCATATCAAAAGCCATCCTCGCAAGGTGTGGGCCAGAGTATAACTGGTTCACCCAATCGGAGGCACGGGCTGACCACCGGAAAGGCGCCTCAGTTGGCCCGACAGAAAACAATCGGCCTTGAAATAGATGGCCTTGGCAGTCGGAAGACCTCGGCTCGAGAGTGAATAGTAATCAATTCGTAGTCGAATAGCTTACTCATAAACTTGGTTTAATGCATTGGTATTTGCATAATATCTTAAGTAGATTGGGCTTACAAACATGCCCACGCCCGTCTGCCCGGTCATTCCTAAGCCTATGGCTACTAGGTATGGGGTCAATCGGGCTGATAATTGCTCCGACGGCTAGACTCCATCAGAACTTCCGTCTCGAGTGCTGGACAATGACGTGAATAGCATTACATATTCAATTGCTAAGCTAGTATGCGCTCTTAGTGAATTTATCCATTGATAGTTGCATCATAAGGTTCAATTTTGCATTTCGCACATTTAGAGTTCAAATGTCGGCATCGGCTCTCTGATCTGCGCATTTTGAACATCTCACACAATTAAGTTGAAACATATGTTGGAGCTGGACTTCCACTAAAAGTACAAAAAACCTTCTGCCTTGAGTGAAGTGCTAGGCATCAGGCATAATTGTGACATGTCTTGGCTATGCTTTTAAACCCTGCATATCTACACAACTGTTATAAAGCTCCTTCAAAAAATCTTGTCGCCCTCGGCTTTTGAGTGGAAATTGTCGACAAGGTCTTTTCACGAGGCAGCTCTCGGCAGCATCAGGTATCAATGGGGTCAGACCGAACCCCGAGCCCCGCATGGCAAGCGACTGATACCGTAGTCACCACCAGTGTGCATATCGGTTCCCGATGCCCGACGGTCCGACTTGAGTGCGGCGGGCCGGGCCTCACAACCCAGGTCCGAGTACACCCTATGGCCGATAGTAAAAGCTCTATGTATTATGTAGATAACTATAACCTTTTCTCTAAGACATTATATTCAAATTCAGAACGTACAGCTGTCATTGCGTGGAAAATTATGACTTTGCCGTAATTTTTGAAGGTCTGTTTAGTTAATGGGAAATGGTGTCATTCAACGGGGCAACGATTAGGATATTCTGTCACTAGTTTTTGGCTGTTCGATATGAAAATATCCCATAAGGCTTTGGTAGAACACATGGCCATCAAGAAATGTCTTTCATGTGACAGTGGGACCACTTAAGGGGCTGACGAAGATCTATAGAAGACGAAGAACCCACCTTAATCTTGGCGATATCCTTGGCGAGCGGGCCCTATAGATTTAGTCTTGAACAGTTATGGATATTTTTCACATATTCTCCTTGAGCATGGATAGTCTTCCTTGTGCAGGAAAGGGGGCGAGTCCTTGCTGCTTTAGGACGAAACCTGGTTGTCTTCTCTTGCACATCTAAGTTTAAAACAGCTTCTGCTTCTAAATCAGATAGAATACGAGAAACAAGATTGAATTATATATAATGCTATCGCTCTAGTTTCCATCGTTCAGACTTTCTTTCTCTTGAGTCAGAAGTCATATACTCCTTATGGTGCTGAACTGTGACGGTGCAAGGGTTGTGATTCAGGTCATGTGGTAATATTTTAGTAGAAGTGGCCTAGTCTTACTGGATAACCCTTATTGGACAGCCGTAAAAATCTTGGGCATCGGATCATCTAACCTGGAGCCACAGTTGAGATGGATGGTCATCCATAACAGTTTCTGTGATCCATACTTACATCCCCGAAGATGAGATCCAAATTACATAAGGGTCGTATGAAATAGGAAAGGGTCTGTTCCTATGCAGAAAAGAAAAAAAGTGTCTAAGCCATAGTTGTTGAGCCGCAATATCTTGTCGGATCCGCAAAGGGACGCGGCCATACCCATATATCACACTCATATTCCAGTGCAGCTCCCAGGATCATTGCAAATACAAAGATCTTCAACACTCTCATTATTATCAACCCTTGGAAGAATTATCAGTTATGGTTCATAATAACGGTACTTTTGCCCGATGTATAGATACCATTCCTCTTGACTGGTCACAGAAGCTGATACAATATAAGGCAACGAGGACCTCGAGTCCGGTAATCTCCCACCACATGGGTCAGATGGCACAGCTATTTTTGACTTCGAACAAAGCAGTCCTGAAGAAAGCGAAGACAAGCATAATGCAGCCCGGGGCTGGATAGCAGTAATCATTGTTGGGTGTATCATCCTGACAGTTCTTGCTCTCCTCATTTGGGGAGTCGTAGCCTATACAGCCCCAAGCTCAAAGCCCCCGAGCCCCTCTGAACAGGCTGCGCCCGCCAAGAATATTCTCTCCAGAAATACCCCTTACTCAACCGCCAATGTGAGCTTCACGGACAGCGTTGCGAATAGCTCTACTCACAACTCCATTTTCAGCTTTATCAACACTTCCAACGGTACTTATGCCAGTTCTCTTAACGCGACTGATAGTCGATTGTGAGGTCAAATATGACTGCGGCTGGAACGAACTTCGCTCAGACGGGACCTGCGAGTCAGGTTGTGAGAGCAATGTCGACTGTCTTCGTTCGCAGCGTCATAAGAGTGGATAGTGTTAATACAAAAACAACCCCTTTTGGCAGTTTCCCTATCATCTACAGTGTGTTTTATATTTGTCGAAGCAGTTCCAGAAATGAGAGGGTGAAAGTGTGCCTGGCAGGATTTAGACAGCAGGCAAGGTGGAGAAGATATGAAAGGGGTAGATACGATTTATCGCTTTGCTTGTATACTACCATTCATTAATTCGCTATTGTACTGATCAACCTACAAAGTAATAATGAAATTTGTTGCTATCATGTCTTTCTACCCGGTTGAACATAGTTAAGCGTTGAGCTGCCGGCCTTTAGATGGGTAAACAGTACAGAGAGGTTAGGATATTAGCGCGGTTTTGTAACCTTTCTGAACTACCATCAGCTTAAAGTATTAGGCCTAATTTCTTAGGATACACTTTATAGACCGGAGATAGGGAGCAATCTAATCAAGATGCATTTTTTCATATAAAACAATGGACGCGAGGATTTCTCAAATAGCAAATCAGTATTTCAATGAGATACAATCATATTTATCCGATAGTTATCCAAAAAGCACAACCGATGGTATCTCCAGCGATGTTGAACTAAGCACTTACCGATCCTCCTTGGATTTGTGTGCTAGAACTTCTTTCTGATGCTTGGAGCTTATTCGCCCCTCATTGAAGCATCTTCACGGCTTCTTAGAACTGCTTCGGTGATGTTTGGTATCTCAATTCTCGGTATGGAAGTGCTCAATACTGCATCTGTCTAGTACCTACTCAACCAGGCAAAGACGAGCAACGGGCTCTGAGAATTCAGATATGGGGATGAACATCGATGCCGTCACACAACCAACCAGTATGACCGAAACCCCCACTGCCACAACGGCCATAATGCAAAAGGCTATGAAGGGCACTGAAATCGCCACTTTCCAAAATAATTCTAGCCATCTTCGCAGAACTGGTAAAATATGCGCTAGCGTTTCACGCAGTCGGTGAAACCTTTTCTTCCACATGTTGCTCGTAATATTTCCGGTATTCTCGTCATAATCGAAGATAGTGACGGCCTGATCATCAACGGTGGGAATATGAATGGTGGTTTCCCCTTCCGTGATGGATGTGTCAGGTAAGTTGGATGTACAGTCTCTGGATTTGTAGGATGGGGGGTATGAAGAGGATGGATAAGCCGGGAGGTTGGATTGATTCTGGGAATTCATAGCAGAGACATGATCTAAACAATCCCGGGGTTAGAGACATGGTTGAAACTCCTGCCCAGAAGCCTTTGAAGCGTATACCGGTGGAGTTATCCATTATTAGTATATCTGCGCGTTTAGTGTCGATTGCGTAATTAGACAGGAGGCATCACAATCATGAGTCGACATTCTGCAGTGAGAAAGGCCAAGAATGATCATGTCAGAAGCTCCTAGTCCTATTGTAGCTATATTCAGATCCATGGATTTACTTCTCTTTCGGAGACGTAACGGGTGTCGGGATTTGCACTTGGCTCCATGTCCAACCCCAATACAGATCCTGCCGCTCCCTAAAGGGACAGTGGCGACATATTATTTTATTTCTTCGTCAATAGAAAGGGAGTTTGATATGGATAATTGATTGCATTATCATTTCGCTTTCTCAGAGCCCGGACAGTCTCCTTCCGCAGACTCTGCAAGGCTGCCATTTGCAGCGCAGAAGGCTAGTCAACTATACGGTAATGAGATACAGCAAATGCTGAAGATATATGTTAGCGTACCCGACTCTTAATTAAGTTCCCGGGGATGTAATCCAGGCATCGCAAGAATCCGATCGTTCGCACGATGATAATAGCGTCACAAATACACGATCTTTACGTGACAATACTCGCTTGATCAGACACTAGGCCTAGCCTTCCTAAATCGAGTGGTGTAGATATTGGAATATCCGAAGACATGAAGATAAGGACTGGGGTAGTATCACAAGATCAGCAAACAAGGTGATTGATCGACAGAGTGACCTATCAATTACATAAATAGGCAAGCTTGTGTGTCCATCACCAACAGTAGACCTGCAAGTCCTGAGAGTGCGGAGGTGTTAAGCTAAGACTGGTTAGGAGTCAATTTTCTTTTTCTTTTGGATGTGAGCTGGCCACTTAGAGGCACTAAAATTTAGCCCTGAGCGTAGCTTCAATGCATTGCACCACCAGATGCTCACGCGGGCACTGCCTCATCCGGGGAGGGGGGAAGTAGAGGGTGGAGTCAGGAACAGGATTGTAGAGCCATCGGACCACAAAGGGAATGGACAGGGATGATGAGAGAAGCACTGTGGTTCGCCGGAAGAAATTCACCAAAAAAGAAGAAGTGTAAAGAGAGAAAAGAAGGAAGAGCAGGCATGACGTAGGGATCGGAGAAGTCTCGGGGCGCAGATCATGTGAAAAAGAAGTCTCCAGTTGGTCCCCTCATTCGCTTTTTCCGGGGTTCCCTTGGGACTCGATTTTCTGGCTCTGTTCCTTCTTTTCCTTTCACGCACATCTGGTCCTTCACTATGCCTCCTTTTCGCAATCTTCTCGGTCGGAAGGCCCAGCCCAATGGCCTCGAGTCCGATGGTTTCGACGAGGCCCATTTATCGCCAAACGGCCGCCCGGGGCCCGCTCCCATTACTATGCGCCGGAGTTGTGATGGCGAACAGCCTCCCGAGTACAAATTGAGTGGTACGTCTCGACGGGACTTGGATTCCGGGATGCAAGAGAAATCTACGCCAGTGGAATTGCATGCTAATCTCTACGGCTCCGATAGTGGTGAACGATAGTGGCGTTTACCTTCCGGTATATACTCCCTCACGATTGAACAATGCGACCGGCGACGCCAGAGGGAGGGGAAAAAGATACCGACTGACAGTGCATACATAGCCCTCACCCCCTGAGAAACAAAGCTTCTGGCACCGATACCCCGGCTCATCGCGATCGACAAACCATCGTGATCTTGTCGACGAGAATGAACCATTCTCCATATCCCGCGAATCATTCGATTCCTACCGCCGGTCATTTGTACACTCTCCCCAATTACCATACCTGGCCCGGCGGTCTACAAACCCATACTAATCTCTCGCAGGACATCTCTGCGCGGTCCCCAGTGATACACGCCGAAGCCGCGCCCTCCCGGACATCCCTAGACTCCCGCTTCTGCCGCATCAACTCCCCGTCCATGCGATCCACCAGTTTCGAACGGCCCGAACGCATGGAAGAGGAAGCCTTCGAGGATGTTGGTCTCAACGACGATGCCAAGCCCAAGAAAAAGGGTATTTTCGCACGATTTGGCGATTCATCTAACGACACCCAACAACCAGCGAACAAGTCGTCAACATCTTTCGGGTTCCACATCCCCGGCAGGAAGCGTGGACAGAGTGGGGTTGGATCGGAGTTGAGCGCCGTCAAGACACCAACGACTACTGTAGCGCCCGCCCTTGAAAATGGGGAATAACGGACGCCTTGAACATGCATGATAAGACGATCTTTTTTTTCGACATTGGGTTTGATTTCTCGGGGCGTTCGGGTTATCTGGGGTGGCCTGATCATTGACTCGGGCCACGGTCTTTTGTTTCTCGATGATATCCACTGGGCACGCAGCTGTCCTTCATGGATGCATGTTTCTATCGAGGATACACAGCCTTCGTTTCTTGTTCTTTCCTTGTATATTCTATCTTTTCTTTTGCCCTGACCATTGATCGAGGACTGGTTATAATGGCGGTACCGCAAGACCTAGTCCACTCGTTCCACATCATTTTGTTTAGAATTGGCTATATATATTGCCATATGAATCATGCGATTAATCATCATGATCAATAGTTCAATTTCTATTTGATACTTTTGTAGTTGAAAAGGCTTTTCCCTACAAGTCTAGAATGGAAATCTTGTTCGTTTCCGCCAAATCGGTGGCCCTTATCGGTGCAAACCCTGCAAACAACCGGCAAAAAAACTCCCTCCGCCTGCAATCAAAAAAATTATCCACCAGCACGCCGAGCATCTGCAGCTCGGAATCCCACGCACCTTTTTATCCCTACCTGGTCAAACGATAAAATCAGCGTCGCTGTGATCTATATTGACAATGGCCGGTGTCAAGCGTCGCGTCGATGGCGCCGAGGACCGCAATGGAAAGCGGAGCAAGAGTCAGGTCTCCGCACCAGTGAAGAAGTCCAAGACTGCTGCGCCAGAGAAGAAGAGTGCTGCTACTTCTTATAAGAAGGGCTCTAAGTCTGGCAAGTCCGACAAGAAGACCTCCAAGAAGAAGGTTCAACAGGAGGACTCTGAAGATGACGAGGACGACTTTGATATGGACGATCTTTCTTCGGATTCTGGAGACGACGATTTCGATACCCTGGATGCCACGGCCGACGATGTTGATATGGATGATGTGAGCGATGAAGACGAGGACAGTGAGGAAGCCGAGGAGAAGCCCGCCAAGTCGGACAAGAAGGATACCAATCAACAAAACGGCGAGGAGCCCAAGAGTACGTCCTTCTACCCGTCAGGGTTCCTGGCAATGAAATTTGACGAGACTAACACGCATAATGCTAATAGGCAGTAATTCTCGCGAGTCGCATCAAAAGCAAAAGGCCCTCCAGCAGGAGCGCAAGGCCGCCAAGCCCAACGCCGACATGATCGCCCGCTCGAAGAAGCTCTGGGAGCAGCTGCGCCGCAAGTCCCACGTCCCTCTGGAACAACGCAAGAAGCTCATCAAGGAGCTGTTCGAGATTATCACCGGCCGTGTCCGCGACTTCGTGTTCAAGCACGACTCCGTCCGAGTCATCCAGACTGCCCTGAAGTACGGTAACCTGGAACAACGCAAGATGATTGCGCAGGAGTTGAAGGGCAGCTACAAGGAGCTGGCGCAGAGCCGCTACGCCAAGTTCCTGGTTGGCAAGTTGATTGTACACGGTGATGCAGAGACCCGCGACCTCATCATTCCCGAGTTCTACGGACACGTCAAGCGTTTGATCCGCCACCCGGAGGCATCCTGGATTCTGGACGATATCTACCGCACAGTTGCATCCAAGGAGCAGCGCCGACGGATTCTGCGTGAGTGGTACGGTCCCGAGTTTGCCATTTTCCAAGACGACAAGGAGACTTCGGATTTGGCCAAGATCTTGGAGGCACACCCCGAGAAGCGGGGACCTATCATGCACTTCTTGCATGAGCTCATCAACCACATGGTTCAGAAGAAGACCACTGGTTTCACTCTTTTGCACGATGCCATGTTGCAATACTTCCTCAGCACAAAGCCCGGTAGCAGCGAGGCTAACGAGTTCATTGAGTTGCTCAAGGGCGACGAGGAGGGCGATCTGGTGAAGAACTTGGCTTTCACCGCGTCCGGCTCCCGTCTGATGTCTCTGAGTCTCGCTTATGCCAACGCCAAGGACCGTAAGCTGCTGCTACGGTTCTACAGGGATACCGTCAAGGTGATGGCGGGTGATGTGAACGGTCACATGGTGCTCCTTGCCGCATACGAAGTAATTGATGACACGAAACTGAGCGGCAAGTCCATCTTCCCAGAACTTCTCAACCAGAACGATGCCGAGGAGGCTCGTAACGAGGAGCTGCTCCTCCAGGTGAACGACCTGGTTGCTCGTGTTGCCGTCCTGTTCCCCTTCGCGGGCGACCGCGCCAAGTGGCTTCTTCCCGAGGCCGACCTGGAGGTGTTGAAGGAGATTCGTGAGATCCGGAAAGAAACCTCGAAGAAGGATCCCGCTATTCGTCGCAGCGAGTTGGCTGCGGCCGCCTCTCCCACTCTCCTCGCCTTTATTGCTGCCCGTGCCGAGGCTCTTCTGGAGACCTCCTTCGGCTGCCAGTTCATCGGCGAGGTTCTCTTCGAGTCTACCGGTGACAAGAGTGCTGCCCTGGAGGCCGTCGCCAACGCTGCCAAGACCGAGTCCGAGAAGCGCGATTCCGCCGCCTTTGGCCGTCTCCTCAAGTCCCTCGTGCAGGGTGGTCGTTACAACCCCGCCACCAAGTCCGTGGAGAAGGTATCTCCGGCCTTGAACTTCCACGATCTGCTATATGAGCAGATCCGTGATGAGGTCGTGGAGTGGGCTACCGGCCCCAACACCTTTGTGATCGTTGCGATGGCCGAGTCGGACGACTTCAAGGGTAAGGCCGAGTTGCTCAAGACTCTTAAGAAGAACAAGAAGGCCCTGACGCAGGCTTCGGAGTCTGGCAAGGGTGAGAAGAAGGCCGGACCTGCAGCTAGCGGTGCCAAGCTGCTGCTTGAGAAGCTATAGATTATGGGCATTTTGGGCATTGGCTTGATGATGTTTTCTTGTTACTGTTTGAAAGGGCGTTTTCTTTTCTCCATGGATGTCGAGTATTTTGTAGTATGTACAAACGGAGTCCCGAATCAAAAGCATAAAAGCATTTTATTCTGATGATGATCTCTATGGAAGCATGTTATGATGATAGTTGTGTTAATTGTCTCCGTAGTTCATGAAGTTTTCATCTAGTTAGTTACTCCGTATACTCTGGAAGCCAGGGACTTTTTATTGCGATGGCACCTGTAATTCCTTTGGTTCTTCTAATTCCTCCAATCATCCAATCATCCCCATGAAATTAGTCTCCACTCGGTGGTGGATTCCCGTGGATTGCATCCGCGGGATCTCAGGGGTTCGTTCCATTCAAAATGGTTATTCTTAGGTTCAAGTCCGAAGATTGGGCTGAAACAAGAGGTATCCTTGCTTCTCAGCTTGCAGCTATTGCAGCGGTATCATCGTGCATATGCCCCTTGTACGACGTTTATCTGAGCTATGAGATACGAGCTACTGTACGAAGCTGGGGCATGTCCACTATTTGCTTAAACCAAAATCGTCGTTACTATTGGCCACTGTAAGCACGGGCGCTCTAGACTCCTTCGGTGGAGGTGTAATTAAACGGACGAGCTAAGAACTCTATGAGCTTCTCCTGCACGAACACAATGCCTTGTTGACTTGGGCATCTTTTGTGACTCGTATACTTCCCAACCCACACCGACTACTTTCTCTCCCAACCTAATCTCCTTCACCCACCAACCATTCTGCTTTTCGACCCATCAATCTATAACGACAAAAAGACTCAACTCTCTCTTAGCCAACGGCACACGAATATCTTCAACCGCACCCTTCCTAAACGGGCAATGATCACGGCACGCTAAACCGCATCCACCGCGTGCCCGTTAGGGGCAACTTTTTCAGGGTACAAACAGACCGAAACCCGAGACTCGACGAACTAACTCACGGGAACTACTTGTCTTCCTCTCTCCTCTCCTTTTTACCTCTTTTCTCCTCTTCAACCGTCACACGCAATTCCAAGGCCCCGGGCCTTCCCCCCATCACGCATGCCCTCCCTCACTCTGACCGACCCGGACATGATCCTGCCGTATGACGGCAGCGAGCGCGAATCCCAAACTCCCTCCCCCGCCCTCCCAACTCGTCTACCTGACCAACTTAAATGCCCGCTACAACGCCGCCGATCATGCCGGCTCCGCGCGCCCCAAGAAAAATTTTTCTCGCCATCGCTCCCACGACGACAGTCGTCGCTTGTCCGATATTGGGGAGGAAATGTCGCCCGCGCGGTCTGAGGTCTTTGACGATGCTCAAGCTTCGCAGCACCAGCAGCAGAGGCACGCGCAGGGGTCAAGAGGTTCGCCTCTTCCAAGGAGTCGGAGTCAATTGGCCATATCGGAGAATCAGGATTCTGGGAATGCGGCGCGGAGTAATAGCTCCAGCTCGACGGTGAGTGCGCGAAGCGGGTGCACCTCGGGAGAGGCGTCTTCGCCGCAGACTGCGCCGGAGACGTCGCCCAATGTCAATGCGGTGGAGAGCGCAAACAAGAATGGTACCGGGGATGGAGTCAAGACGGGCACTGGATTGCCTGATAGCAGCATTGTTGCATCTGCTGTCAAGGGTAAGGGTCCTGGGGAAGAGTTCTCGTCGGCGATCTTGAGCAGTGAGGCGGAGAGGATTCTTGAGAATGCAAAGAAGCGTCTGACGGTATGTGGAGAGACCTGCCATTGCAAAAATGCGAGACCAAGCATTGGAATATTCCAGTGCGAAGCTGACGTGTTTCACAGTTGATGGAGGGTAATTTGAATCGCGCACGCTCGGCGGTGCGTCTAACGCCTTCACCTTCGCCGTCTGCGCCGGGTAGTACCTCGCCTATGGGTTTGCACCCGGGTGGATTGTATCGGTCGATTTCGAAAGCTGATCGCAAGGGATCGGCTCTGCGACGCCAGTCCTTCGTTCCGTCGCAAGATGGCTCGACTAATCGGCATTCGCGCGTGCATAGCGAAACCAATTTCCCGGCTGAATCGAGCTTGTCGTCGGATACGAAGCGAGTGTCTCGGTCGGTCTCAGCGATGGGATCAAGTAGCACGTCCAACTTTCACAATGACGACCGGTCTTTTCGGTATGAACCTACGCGGTCGTATCTCACGCATCGCGCGTCGATCTCGTCCATCCGACCCCCGCATTTACTCCAAATACAATCGCCTAAGTCAGCGCAGTCTCCAGTCTCTGCCGGATCTCCCGTCATCCAGTCTCCCGTCATCCGTGAAGATAGCTCATCCTGCTCCTCGCCGAGAGGTTTGGGCATTTTGTCCGAGGACGACTCCAAATCCAATGGAGGTGACTTCAGCCCTGTCTATAGCTCGTTCGGCCCGCCCAGCCGTGCACAGTCGCAGTTGCAAGTGCGCGACCTTCAGTACCAGATGAAGGGTCTTCACATCAAGATCTCCTCGCTCAAGGTGCGCACACAAGAAGATAATATGCGACGTCGCAGCTTGCAAAGTCTGCGCACGCCTAGTCCTTTGACTGCCGCGGACCCTTGGTATCAGAATGGGCTTGAGGTTCGTGACGGACGCAGCAGTCGTGGGTCAAATCCTCGACGAGACGGGAGCTCGGAATATGTACGCGAAACTCAATCCCGACAGTATACGGAGACTGCCTCGAAGGATCGCAAGGGGTCTTATAATCATGAGCGTATCGATGATAGCCCCGTTGAGCAGAGCCCCCATCTCGCGCAAGGCACAGGCGAATCGTGGCAGGGTCATGACATTGACTACGATGGCCGTGAGTCTGCAGCAGAGACCATGTACGAGGATGCCGAGGAGGGCGATTACTATGACGACGGCGATATTGACCGAGAAGCGCTGAATGAGATTCTGCGTGAACCACTCGATGCAGACCTAGCCACGCCCCACGAGGAACGTGAAGATGCCTTTGATTACGAGCATTTCATTCTTCACAGTGCTTTGGGCAATTTCTCGCAGCAGATGCGTCATGATAGCGTCAGCTCTCATGGCTCCGTTGAGACAACGCGACCCACGCACTCGGTGCGACACTCGCGCACCAACAGTTCTCTTTCTGCCTCGACCGATGCTACGTTTGCTACGGCTACCGAGGGTGAGCCGATGCCCGATGATGAGGACGACATTCTATACTGGGATCGCAAATTCAACCATGAACTGCGTCACCGCCACCACGGTCAACACGCCAATGCTGCCATTGAAACAGACCGCTCCGCAACGCCCCGTGGTTCCCGAGAAGACACAAATGCCACTCCAGTGGAAGTTCAGCAATCTCCCGCACGAAGCGTGGATATGACTGGTCGCTCAACGGCCGGCTCTGCGACGCCGACATCGCTTGTTTCTTCGCTTGTCTCGACGGTGCGCGCAGCATCTAGTCCGCACCCGGGCTCTGCGACTCCCACTGCGGGCGGTATCAATGATGATGACACCCAGATGCTGGAGCAGCTCTTCTCGAGTCTTGGAAAGGTCTGCATGGACCTTCAAGCCATCACGACCTCGCCGGATCCAGACTCCAAGGCTGCACGTGTCCTGCGTCGACGATTAGATGCTGCACGGAGAGTCCTTGATGGTGAACTCGATGCTTAATTTATACTAATATGCGGATGATTTCTGCTATGGACTGCGTTTCCAGGTTTGATTACTTTTTGGCAGCCCCTTCTGTTCCTGTACATTCTCCTTGTTTTCCTTCCCTTTTTTGTTCTTTTTCTTTTCCTTTGCCTTCATGATACCTTCTTTTTCTTCCATGATACCCAATGTCTTTCTCTACACTTTTTATCAGACTTTATTTCTTCGTGCTCGATTATCATCCATGTCAATAGTAATGTTTACTATACGATTATATTGAACTTGTTTATTTCCTACGCTTTCACACAACCTTAATGTTGAAAAGTATTTCTCTCCAGTTAAAATAGGACATATTATAGGGCCCATAGTCCCCAAATACTATAAATCCCCTTCGCTAATCACAATCCAGCTATAAGTAAAGAATCACGCGCTCGTGGCGGATCTCCTCGAGCCCCACCACCATAAAACGCGTACGGCAAATGAAGCGCAGCACAGCACCGATCCACCAGAGAAACTCCCCCATAATTCAAGATTCATCATAAGCGCATACCTCTTGACCACGACGCGACCACGTTTATCTAATCGCGATCTATCAAAGATCCTCCCTCGTGGTGGCGCAGATAAACTACGCAGGTGGTTCCCCCCTTTTTTTGCCCCGCGGTTCCCCCTCCACGTTCCGATTTGATCGCCGGTTCGACGCGATAAGCAGAGCCTGTCGCTGCGATTCTCTGTACGAACAGTGCACCAGCTGAACCCACAGATATTCAGTAAGATTATATAGATAGACGCGATTCTTCATTATTTTGGATTATACTGATAGCGTCTCCAGATCCAAATACTCTCATCAGCGCGAGGTGCGAAACACCTACTCCAGTTCCAACCCCGGAGAAAAAAAAAACATTGAAATCGTATCACCATCAAGTGCCTGATTCGCGCAACGTCTACTGGGATATTTGATATCCAGGATATCCAAGGGGAGATAATACAAACTCTCAACCTGCCACTTTTTCTATTTCTTTCAACATCGATATCCACATCGCCATGAACAAACCACAACACCCGCAACCCTCCCGCCGCCTCCTCATCTTCCAGGAGACGCGCAACCCACACAACACCGCAGAAGTCCTCTACCTCCCCGTCAACAAACTCGGTCTGCCCATTTGCGGCGATGGCCCAGACCTACCATCGATTCTGGAACTGCCTTTACGCATTTTGAAGGTTTTCACTGATATTTTCAATCAGCCAAAGTACAAGGGGTGGTATGTTGAACCTTTCCTTCAATGTAACCTAGTTCCTATTGTTTTGCAGCCAAGCTAACCCTATATTTCTCTTTTGTGGGTGGCAGGGCTGTCCTTTCTGCGGGTCGTTATCATGATACTTCCGAGGAAGGAAAGTTCTATGCGGTTATTTTGGAACAGAGTGTTGTCCCGGGGCAGCAGGGATCCGGGCAGGGGACGATGGATTTGGGGACTGTGACGCCTTGAGGGATAGAGATGGGGGTTAAAGTTAAGGAGGATGTTTTTTTTTGTATTTTGGCTTTTGTATTATTTTACTTTTCTTGTTGTGATTCCTGCGAATGAAGGTTGTATGATCTTTTTAGATTGGAAGGTCTGGAATAGATACCAAGTCGACACGTTACTACTTTCGATGATTTGATATATAGCTTCCAGCTAAGAAAGAAGCCCAAGTCGTTTTACTTTTCCCATATAATATAAGCTCAGACTCGGGGTTCTTGTTAACTGTAAGCAAAGCGGGAACAAGTGAGAGATGTAGTCACTAGACTGCTTGTGCCCTGTTCCAACCATCGATGAGAACTTAAATGAGCGTCTCGATTGTAAACCGTAGCTTAACGGATAGATAGATACGGGGATACCCGGACATCTTCCTAACAGAGCTGGCTAGGTCCACAGTGGCGATCACTTGCGAGTCTAGGGAGCCTTTTATGCTGCCTGAGCACACCACCAACGTGCGAGCCTTACACTAGTAAATTTAGCCTGCCAGTTTGTCCAGGTTTGACCCGGCGTCAGCGATCATCTATATGGATAGGAAGAGGCGGCTCCTATGGCCCCAAATTAAGGGGTTGGCTGCGAGTTTAGTGTTTAGGAAAGTGGAAGATTTCGATATCCTGAGCTCTCAACTTTGTTCAGATACACTAAAAGCTGGTACAAAATAACACTATCATATTATAAGCTAGGACAATCATATGATTCCTATTGAGTCAGGGAAAGACCACCCAGTCGATTGAATCCTCAACAAGATCACCAGACAGTGATAGCAGAGGAGCCACTGCTTCCCCAAAGACCCTCAGTAGAAAGAATCTGATAGCAGTAGGAAGACGCATCAAAAGTACCCAAGCTCATTCCATGGGATGCCCAAGCATTAAAGTGGTTCGAGGTGGTGATAGTTCCTCCAACCCGAGGAGTGGTTCGAATAGACTAGTATTGAGTGAAGTTCGCAGTGCCAATGATGGAACCTGCATTCTCACGAGGCGCAGTGTAGATATTGTAGGTGCCGCCATCAGAGTCAACCGAGCCCATGTAAGTGAACCCAGCACTTGCATCTGTGCTAGGGTCGGTAGCGTAGGAGTCGGTGATGTAGTATTCGATCAGGGGATTGACCGTCCAGCCATAGACACTCAGAAGAGCATTTCCGGCAGTTGGGGTGAAGCTGCCCGAGTAGTTGATAGTTCTGAGATTTGTCAGTACGCAAAGCCTGCAGCTCATTGTTTATGATTCGGGGATCAAGTACCTGTCGCTACCGGGCATCCATCCCTTTCCAGCAGTGAAGTCTGCAACATCGGACCAATCGATAGAGTATCCACCGACATCGTAGTTCTCGTAGTCAATGGTACCCTGGCCTGCGGTCCAGTAGGAATAGTAATAACCATTGTTATCACCACCGCCTGGCGGGACGGATCGCTCAGCGACAGACTTTTTGGCCAGAGGAAGGTCCTCAGCTGGGGCTGCGTAGGAGCCGACTATGGCAGAGCCCAAAAGAAGAATGGAGGACAGGATAGGCATGTTAAAAGATTTGACGATGATTCACGACTTGGCAGAGAATGGTGATCTCGAAAGTGCTGGTTGAGATCTTTTTCGAGGCACATCTTCTTGTTTATATAACTTCTACTCTACATTAGACTTTATTCATCGCGTAACATCGAAGAAGAGACTACACACCAATTGCCTACAAATTGATCTCAAGGGATGCAATATCCGGGGAATATGGAGTGTGGGGTTGCAAAATCTGGGGATATTCCAGCACTAACTTGTTACTGTGGAGGTGGTGAAGCTACACTGTAACCCTGAAACGGAGAAACTCAAGTTCAGACCGAATTCATCCAAAATAGAGCCACGCAGAAGCTCAGACCGGGAAAGTATAATTGACTTTGCTAGTCTCGTCCGGCATTCCCCTAGCTTAATATCTTCACGGCTAAAGTGGAAACCAACCAATCGGACGAGGTTGTATATAAGCCCGAGTCCATCGGCTCGTCGGCAACCCTCACGTGGCTACTATCGGAATGAGATTATTTTCCGTGGTAAACCACCTTCTATCACCAAATTCACTCTCATTTTGTCAGCGGATAATTCACCCTGTGCATTTTCATTTGCTTCCTCGTTTATTCTGACAGCGTGAAAGCTCCGCTCGTTTGAAAAGCAATTCTCGGTCCCTGCCAAGATCAAAATGTGAAGACCCTGCGTATATGCCGTGGCGTGATCTCGCTAAAAGAAGAATAATCTACTACGTATTTAGATTTACTGCTGACACCGAGAATAGTGTTAGAGCAGGTCTAGAAAGCGACCGTTGAAGGTCCACTTCGTAGCACCCTTTATAGCGGAATACTAATCTTTTCCATCGGCTGATTGCCCAGATAAAGGCTCTTCACCCGTAAATCGGCATCAACGTGCGACGGTAACCTACTTGGAGTGGATCATAGTCCAAAGGACCTGGGCAAGATTCATGAATTCACACAGAGAAGTGGCATTTGACGTATTGAGTAGATCCAGATTTTCATTTGTTTCATGGCCCATCGCATGAGATTTATGAGTATTCACAAGCACAACTTGAAGTCTAATCCTCAAAACTTTGACCGTTCTTAAAATTGATAGGTCCCATTCACATATGGGACTAAGAAACATGAGGTTTCCACAAAGACTCCGGTAGATTATTGTTTTCGATGTCAAAAATGCCTGGTAGTATGCAAGGGAGATTTTCGGACCGTAGCGCCGGGTACCGGTCTCGGATTGTTTGAAGTAGTACCTCATACCAAGCCTTGTATCCCTGGCCATTCAAGTGAACACCATCGGTGAAGAGGTTGCTCGGTTGCTCATGATGCGAGAAAGCCTCCCACAAGTTCACGATCGGTACACTTAGCGCTTCGGCTACACTACAGGCGGCCTCGGAGTAAAGTTGACTCCTCGAGCTCAAGCCACTGAGTAGACTCTCTTCGCCACTGCTAGCGATTGCCGGCGCCACAAGGATAACGGGAATTTTTCGTGATTGAGCTCTCGAGACAATAAACTTCAAGTTCTCCGCATAGCGCTCGACAGGAACGTGCTGCTGGGTACAGCTCACATCGGCAGCATCATTGGCGCCGAAAAAGATGGTGATGAGACGGATTTCATGGCCACCTGCTATCTCCATATCAAGGATGGGATCGAGGAGGTGGCGCCCGTGCTCGGTGTTGTAGCCACCGTATCCATGGGTGATGACCTGTAGTCTGCGAAGATACTCGTGTTGAAGAGCAGGAGCCAGGCTAAAGCCATGTTCCTGATTTGAGCTCAATTCGGTGATTGAATCTCCAAAAAGCACGATCTTATCGAGTGGTGCTAGCGGCGGCATTTCTAAGCGATCAAGGGGGGAGAGCCAAAAGTCAAAATTATTAACAGAAGCGTGCTCGTGTCGCCAGATGAATTCTATGGAATATGTCTATTTAACTACCGCCAGCGGGGACTGACGGACTTGGAAAGTTAAAAACCAAAACTGACTCAAGTTTACTCAAACAGCCGCTAAACAAGTTTGGGTAAACGAGCGGCCGTTTAGCCCCGGGAAAGGAAGCTGAGTTGTAACAAGCAACGCGGAACCACGGCTTAGCTTTCCCCACGGGGTGTTCGGGCCTTACTGGGGAAGCATTGCACTCCACAGAGTTAAACAATTGTGATAGCGTCCTGCAGATTATTGAACAGGATAAAGTCTGCCTAGAATCTCAGTAAAAGCAAGACAGATTCAGAAAGATAGCTTTTCTCTACACCTATCCTGTCAAAATACGCCTCGTATAAGACTTTGGCTACAGTCGTTGCCATCCTCGACAACAATGGCGGAAATTCATGATGTCAAACCAGTTGTCGAACATGTCAGTCAGAGCCCAACCGTCGACAATGATGACGATCACGACGACAAAGAGAAGTTCGGCCTTCACGAGGTCACTGTGGAGGGCTCCGAGGCGCTCAAAGCCGCAATCGAGAAAGAACCTCCGCAGAAATGGCACCGACGTTCACTGCAGCTCTATGCTTGCGTTGGCGTTGCTTTTCTTGTTTCAACCATCCAAGGTTACGATGGCAGTTTGATGGGCAATATGCTTGTCATGCCAGCCTTCCAGAAAGAGTTCGGTGCGTCCATCGTGGGCATCAAGGCAGGCTATATTTCCGCCATGATTACGATTGGCGGTGCATCTGCTCTTCCATTTGTTGGACCAGCAATTGATACCTGGGGCCGTCGTGTCGGCATGGCCATTGGCTGCTTCTTGGTCAGTGCCGGTGCTATCATTGAAGGAACATCCGGAATATCAGGCTCCCTAGGCCAGTATCTTGCCGGGCGTTTCTTGATCGGCTTTGGAAACAGCATTGCAGCTTCCGCGGCGCCAATCTACGTCGTCGAGCTCGCGCATCCAGCCTACCGTGGACCCTTGACTGGCCTATACAATACCCTCTGGAATGTGGGTGGAATCCTTGCTGCCGCTACCCTCCGAGCTGGTCAGAATTATGAAGGAAATAAGGCCTGGCTCATCCCAACTTGGGTTCAGCTGCTCATGCCAGGAATTGTTCTCTGCGCCGTCTTTTTCCTCCCCGAGTCTCCACGTTGGCTCTATAGCAGAGGGCACACCGAGAAAGCGTCTGCTATTATCGCCAAATATCACGGTCTTGACAATCCAGATTCGGTTTATCTGAGTCTCCAGTTGAAGGAGTACGCTGCCGGCCTCAAGACCGATGGTGCGGATAAGCGCTGGTGGGACTATCGCTCCCTCTTCCGGGACCGTGCCTCGCGCTATCGAGTGATGTGCAACTTGATGGTGGCTGTTTGGTCCCAGTGGTGCGGCGTTGGCTTCACTGGATACTTCATGCCTGCGTTCCTCAAGACTGCCGGCGTCACCGATCCGATTACTATCCTCAACATCAACCTGGGTACCTCTTTTGTCGGTGTGTTCGTATCCATGACTGGTGCCTCCTTGGTGGAGAGAATCGGCCGCCGGAGGCTATTCTACCGAATTCTGCTCATCATCGCCTTCTGGTGGGTCATTATCACGATCGCCGCTGCTATCTACAGCGAGACTGGCAGCAAGGGAGCGGGCTATGCCGCAATTCTGTTCGTCAACATTTTCGGAGTTACCTATGCATTTGGAATCACACCACTGCAATCTCTCTATCCTGTTGAGGTACTCAGCTACGAGCAGCGTGCTAAAGGCATGGCATTCTCTGGTCTCATTCTCAACGCGGCCATCATGGTCAACCAATTTGGCATGCCAGTCGCTATTCAGGTACTTGATTGGAAGCTCTACTTTATCTTCATTGCCTGGTGTCTCGTTGAAGCTGCTACCGTGTTCCTTTTCATGGTTGAAACAAAGGGGCGCACTTTGGAGGAGTTGGATGAAATCTTTGAAGCACCGAACCCCCGAAAGGCGTCTACACAGAAGAAAAGAGTTATGTTGGATGGGACTTCAAATGTCCTGAACGTTGAGGCCGTTTCGTAATGTCTTCACTTTTAGTGCGGACATGACCAAGGAGAGGTTGAGATGAGTCTTGGATAATCTGTTCTGTCAATGAATAGCATACTTGAGCTCGTAGTGCAGTGTGGGTTAAAGTAGTGTGTTGTTGGTAGCTGTGGAAATCCCTATGATTTTTTTTGATTTATTCTATCAATATCAATTGTCTATTGTATCGCTTTCCACAGCAATTGAAGCTATCATCTTTACCCTCCCCAGTCCATCTCCCATGGTATTCCCCATGGTCAAATTGAAGAATTTTCGCCTATGGGTCAAGATTGTGCGCAACATCAAACGCTCCTATCTGGACCGATGATTGTTTCTCGTCGATTTTCATAGAGGCAATTTTTGATTTCTTTTGAATTAACTGCAGCAAAGTATAACTAGCTATACCAAGAAATTCAGTAATTCTAAATAATACTCTCTTCACCCAGGCGTTCTGATATTTCTCATTATTGTTATTATGCTCCTAGACTGAATGGTCGCACAAATCTAGTGTGAAATAACTCCTACACACCGCCCTTAACCATATCTCTACTTTTAATAATCAGACCACTTTCTAAGAAACAATAGTACGAATCAGGAGTATTGAGTTTTTTCTCATTAAAAGGTTGTTCCTTTGCCAAATTATGGGGTTGTACATTGATTAACGCGGCCCTCCAGCAAGATCCCCTAGTAGTCAGCTCTCTCATCATGAAAGGACTTCTGCTCCGATTCATCTAGATTTCTTCTGTCCTTTCCGCCTCCCCCTCTCTTGGGATATCATGACATGAAAATTGAAGAAATTTAAGACAACCTAGTACCCCATCAATGTTTTAAATAGCGCCTCCTTGCCCTCAAACCCCTGGAATCCTTTGAACTTGGATTCGTCTACCCCATCAGAATAGTCTGGTGGCGCCAGACCCAGTGCCATCTTGTCATATTGACCGCGCATGTGCTCTTTATTGATCCTAGTTGTCGGGGTAGCGGCGATATAGGCAACGCTTGCCTCGATATTTCCAACATGTTCGGGATCGACCGCATGGCATACCTGTTAAACGTCAGCTTGGGTGTGTCTCGGAAGAAATATAATGAAAATGGGAACGAGAATCACTTGAGGGAAAGATAAACTTACATCCGAATGCCACCAAACCGTATCACCCGCGTCCAATGCGGGGACGTGAAGCAGGCACTCTTTCAAGCGCAAATGGGGATGGGAGGACGGGCTTAGGCATTGCCCACCGGTCTTCGAGGCTCCGGGGAACCAGCTACCGCTCGCATCAAATGTCCACTCATGTGGGTCCATGATCTTGGTCTCGTCGGCTGGTGGGGAAAAGAAAGGGCGTAGGAGAACGTAGGCAATTGCCAAATGAACGTTAGGGTAGAGCAAGATGGTTCCCTCTTGAGGTGCTGTTTTAGTGAGCGCTGTCCAGCCCTGGAAACTCCTTAGGACAGTGGATGCAAGATCTCCTGATCTGCTATAGAATCCCTGATCTGCATCCTTGCGCTTGCTCATATTATATCGATTTCGGCCCTCAAGATTTCCCGAAAAAATATCGGAATACACCTCCCGGTATACTGGCTCAGTCCATCGACAAAGGCCACCAGAATCAATATGGGGACCAAGCCCCAGAAATTCAGCACCCGGTGCGCGTACACGAACTCTGTCCGCATAGACCAAAGGGTTGGGCGAGGTATCAGAGTCACTTTCGGAGTAATCCCAAAGATTGTTGGCCCATCGCATCAAATCCACAAGCTTAGGATGGCTACGTAGATTGTTCTGAGCCGGTGAGCTGTAGACGCAGTAGATGGCAGGGTTCTCATGAGGATAGCCAGTAATCTCGTCTTTGTTGGTGGCGATATACTCTTTCAGGTCTTCAAATATGGGCTCAATCTCTGAAGAGGGAATTACACCTCTCACAATAAAGCTTCCAATTCGGCGAATCTCGTCCAGTTTCTCGGGCGCGTCGAGACCCCGGGCGATATCCTCCATCTCAATCACTGGGAAGATCCCCTCCCGTTTCTCTCGAACCTCTTTAGCCAGGGCTTCCAGCTCCGTACAGGTCTTAATCCATCCTTGAACAAGGCTTTCCTGGCCAAACATCTGAGTGATTTTTTGCTTCGCGGCAACATAATCAGGGTCGTCCAAGTAGTGCTTGAGAGTGGTGGCATCATCCGTAATGTCCGGCCAGTTGGGCCACGAGAAGGACTTGTTGGTAGACATGGGGAATCAATAGAAGAAGAGTAAAAGCAGTGGTCCAATACTCCAGGAAGGCTTTCCGTCGAGGAATTCTGGGTAACCCATTATCGTACATTCGGCCTATTTGTGTCTTTCCCCAAAATAAGCCCCAAAGACGGACCTTTGACTTCCCATTTCGTCGAAACGGCAAAAAGGACTGCGACCTTCCGAATTTAGGTTAGCATTTGCCTCGTTTCCACTGCCAGTTGTTCCAGCCTCATTCAGAATAATCTGCCGTGTGACCATGGCTCTTTATCGCGGTAAGGCGGGGGAGTTCTTGGGGGAAAAGTGGGGGGAAAGCGGGTCGAGGTCCATGGCGAAAAAGCAGGGTCCGTATAGTCCGTGGCGCCCCGGGATTCCCCAGCTCTTCCTTCGATTATATTCAGTATATCTTACCCTACATCTCACGACGGGGCCTACCGGTAGTAACGCTTTGCGACCCTAGAGAATCCTGGTGCATATCCGCGGCCTATCATCGGTTCGTTCTCGCTATCCACATTCTGCAAACTGCGCGCTCATGGAGCACCGGACCCTCGATGACCAAGCATTTCTGCTTGACTCGGTAGAGCGTGCATTTCCGTCGTTTCTACAGCCAGAGTCAGGCGGTAGTCCGCCTCTCAATAGGCTCCACGACAGCAGACCGTCGAGTGGGCAGAAGCGCAGCCTGGCTACATCCAGGACTGCTCAGTCGTACCCCCGAAAACGAGCGGTGACAGCATGTCAGACTTGTAGGGCCCGCAAAAGCAAATGCACTAACGAAAGACCAACATGCTCAGCATGCGCTGCGATTGGGGCAAACTGCTCCTATACAGACCACACAGATCCATCTTCGTAGGTACCCTGTGTGCTTTCGCATGTAATAATAGAATAAGGCGACTGAAATTAACACACTTGCTGCTAGTTTCGATCCTGCAAGCTTACTACTTCTCGAGAAGTTGAACGAAGTGCTTGCCAAGTTGAACTCCCTTCATTCTACACCACCTTTAGCTCCGGTAGCTAAGAGCCTTACTCTCACAACGCCGCCTCAGGTCCATTCAATCGAATTCAACCCAACACCGTCCACGGAGAATGTGGACGAGCTGACCTCGCAAGAGCAATTGTTTCCGGCTGCAGGAAGAACAAGTGCAGATGCGGTTCTCAGATGGCCCGTGTTTGAAACCCAGCCTTGGGATCTTACTTTTCTGAATCATATCTGGGCAAACTCCGAAGGAAATCCAATTTCGCCAGATCTATTACCCCAAGGTCTGGGGGCTCGCCATGGCTCCCAACCTTTGCAAGTCTCTATGGAAAATGCGCCGAGAATAGTCAATGACTTCTTCCGCTATGTGCATCTGAAGAACCCGATCCTCGAAGGGAGGACGATTCGTGAGGGAGCGAGGCGCCTCGCCGAGGATGGGCCTCAATGGGATGCAAACTCTTGCCTTGTGGTATGCAACACCTGGACCCTTTCCCACTCTACATTGCAGAGTCAACACAGCCACGTTCATTATCATCCCGGCCGCTATTTTTGCATTAGAATGACCAACCTTTTCTCGGATTCGTACTAATATGTCATTGTAGCTCCTTACATGTGCCTTGGGTACCATTGCAAAACCATTTGATTCGGAGCCATTCGATTTGGGTGATGAAAATGCACATCATTCATCCATAAGTCGCGACTGGGATAGTCGGAAAATCGCTGATGACTATTTTTACCTCGCGAGGAAACGCTTCGGACTTCTCGGTCGTAATGTCATAGCCTGTCAATGCTATCTTCTCTCTGGAATATATTACATGTACACATTGCGACCGTTACAAGCGTGGAGTGACTTCGCCCAAGCCTCGGCAACTTTTTTCCTGTACCAAAAAAGGCAGTTGGCCGTCCACGCGCTGGCGGCAGATCAAACCGCCGAAGTAGATCCATCAACCCGTCGCTTGGAACAAAGGTTATACTGGACATGTTTCAAATCCGAGTGGTAAGAAATATCTTCTTCTTAATTGATCATCTATTAACAAAAGTTCCAGTGAGATTCGTGCTGAGATTCCCGTTCCGAAGTCTGGGATATCTGAGCTTCATTATCCATATATGTTCCCGTCCCCACCCACCACCCCAGGAACACCGATCGAAGGTGGTTTACAAGCTATTGGAGATACACGGTCAATCTTGGCTGGATGTACGCCCACAAGCGAGATTAGCGAGAACCTCGAAGAACAATCTTGGTTTTACTATTTGGCCGAAATTGCACTGCGAAGAATCGGAAACCGCATAATTCACGCATTCTATTCATCAGACCACGAGTCCTGGGCCGACTTTGACGTGACTGAGTTCATCGCAATGGCAGAGGGATTCGAACATGAGCTTGAAGCATGGTGAGTACTTGGAATATGGCCCTCTATAACACTATTCCCGCGCTCAACGATAGTTTTCGATCTAGGCAACAGTCGCTACCAGAACCTATCCGCTTCTCTTGCCCCGACGGTAGCGCCATAAATCCTTTGAATGAGCTCCGCTTCATGAACCGCGGACGATATTTTGATCTTCAATTCATGCTTTACCGACCTTTCCTGTACTATGCCATCCACAACCAAGGCGATACTACTCCATCTCGTCTAAATCGATATCTCGTGCAGCCATATGCTCAAAAGGCGCTCAAAAGCTGCCTCAGACGAAATGATGGAGTAGGGCTTCTCCACCGTCACCATGGTACTTGGTACACAACTCGCAGTGCAGTGACGACTATCTTGCTTATTATTGCAGCAAAAACAAGCGGGAAGGTGCCCGTAGAGCCCTTGGCAGATTATCAGCGCGCCATTGATCTGGGCATGCGAGAGCTGGCATTTTGGTGCCATGAGTCGCCTGATTTCAGGCAGCCACTGAATGTCCTTGAGAGGATGCTGAAAGATATTGGGCTCTGCTAAAAAAAATAAAACCAAAACTGTAGCCTCATGGGGTATTTTCTCAAGCCCCTAGGAGTCTGTTATCATATTTTATCATTATTATGACTGTTGAGCAAGATATACCGGGATTTTGCTTCAGTCTGAATAGTTGTCTACTATCAAGGAGAAGGGAATTTCATAGCAATTCTGTTATTGAAGGGGGTGTGTCATGCAATACTATTAGGGAACAGCAGCCATGAAGCAAATGGCTATAGAGTATCCCTGGATCTTGTCAAACTGAACATATCGGTTACTCTCGTTGACTTCCATCTTCTCACTAAGCAAGCTCTCGAAGTAATAAACAAGTTCCACCTCAGGCACCGAAGCCAGACCTCAATACCATCTTAATAAGTTCCACATCGTTCCTGGCATCACACACACTAGTTTTTGGCACCCTGTCATTGATAACACAATCATAGAATTCCAATAACTCCAAAGTATAGGGATCTTCGTAAGTCTTACGAATCTTTCGTTCTTGGAAACTAGCTGTTCCAATCCTCTCACGAATTGTCATCGTAACGGGAAGACCCTTCACGTAAGGAGTATCGAAATCCACTCTCACAATCTTGTCGGGAGAATAGACCTCGATGTGTGCGTCGAATTGCGGTACATTTGTGATTCCGGACTCGTAGGTGACAGGGAAACCCTTGTAGCGGAATATAACGCTCCAGATGCCTGGAAATTGGAGAAAGGCTCCTTCTACCCTCTCTGGCATGCCAAAGATCTCTCGCATAGCTGACAAATCGTGTGTTCCGAGCCTGTTTGGTCCAAGAAGGATAATTAGTATCATGATAAAATTCCCCTCGAACACGATAACTGGACAAAAATAGATATAGAAAAGCGTCACTTACCCTCCTAGAAGTTGCAACATAGTCTGTGATTCGGGCGTCCATGGTACCTCAAATTCATTAGTAAGTGCTTGTTCGAAGATGTCGCTCTCTCTTCCAGCTCTATCTTGGACATCGGCTTCAGTGAAGTCGCTGAATCGTCGCGGGTAGGTGCATGATTGTTCCACGAAGTCCGAATTAGGTCCGATAATGTCTCGCACGCGTCCGTATATTATCTTTTCCATGCCGCCCACTTCTTGGACGGCGTCGAGGAAGGCATGCGCGTAGCGCCGCATGGTTCCAATCAAGACTCTCCCCTTAGAGACCTTCTCTGCCTCGATGAGTCTATCAATATCACGAAAGCAGATTGAAGCTGGCTTTTCGATCATACAGTATTTGTCGTTCTTAAGAGCCAGAATACCATGTTCAACGTGGTATGCATCTGCATTGGCAATGATAACCACGTCGACATCCGGCGAGGTGCAAAGCTCTTCTACGCTGCATGTCACTTTGGGTGGCCCACCGAGGACTCTCCCGGCACAATGCTGTAGCGATTGCTCAGAGATATCACAGAGGTAGGTTGTTTGGAACCGATGTGAGAGAAAATTGATGGTTGGTATATGCGCAACCTGCGATATTTCTCCACAGCCGATTATGCCAACGCGTAAGACGGGCATATGGCCGTTGGAATTCGAATCCACATGGCCGTTGGTATTAGAATTCGACTGCTCGCGTTTCACCCCCATCGGATTTTTCAACACGAAATGGTGATATGAAAAGAATGAGAAACTCCCGCAGAAGATAGGGTCTTTTAAATATTGCATTTAAGGTGGACCACGAAAGGTGGGCTTTAAGAATTATGATATCCGGCAACTACTATAATTGAAGATTTGCCATCCTGCACAGCCGGGGAGTCACGGATGTGGTATGTATAGAAACTAGTCAATTTGCGTAATTCAGCCCCAATTCATCTAAAAGTAAGTGGAGATAGAAAGGTTGTCTTGTCACTGCATGAAAACCCATAATTTGCCCACTATCCCGTGCCTTAACTAGTTAGGAAATTGTGCGGTGGGCGCATCGGGGAGTAGCGGCTTAACGGTGATTCGCCCATTTGTGACGGATTTCCATTTTAATACATTAGCTTACAGGCGAAACGTTACAAATTTGCGGCTTTCCCATCACCTATTTGATTAAAACTACTACAACTTTTCCTGCTAAAAAGATTATCATCAGTAACGGAACCAGAAATGTCTGAACATCGATTGCCTCCTCTACGTTGGGGAATCATTGGCACAGGATTGATCTCGTCTTGGTTTGTGGAAGATCTCCTCATCAACCGACCAAACAAAGTGGCAAACCATATCATACAAGCAATAGGCGGCTCTTCTATTAAAAAAGCTCAAGCCTTCTCCGAAAAATATCCTTCCAGCAACAATGCTTCGGTATATGGCAGTTATAAGGATCTTTACGAAGACCCCAACGTTGACATCGTCTACATCGGTACACCCCACGCGCTTCACAAGACAAATTGTCTTGATGCGATAAGAGCAGGGAAACATGTTCTCTGTGAAAAAGCCTTTACTCTCAATTTGACCGAAGCCGAGGAAGTCATTGCCGAAGCCAAACGACAAGGCGTGTTCCTCATGGAAGCAATGTGGACTCGGTTCATGCCTTTGGTGGAAAGATTGCGACAACTCCTCCATCAAGAAAGGGTTATAGGAGATATTCATCGTGCTTCCTGCGATTTTTCGTTGCCGATGGATCTTCCCTCCTTGCCGTCGACATCCCGACTCAAGAATCCAGCCTTGGGTGCTGGGAGCTTGCTGGACATTGGCATCTACAGTTTGACGTGGGTGATTCTCGCAATGGAAACGGATTTTGGCCACGAACGGCCCCAAGTTCTGGCTTCGCAGGTCATTCGCGATGAGATTGACATAGCCACTACTGCTATTTTGACTTATTCTCATGGAAAGCAAGGAGTTGCAACGTCTTCTATGTCGACGACGACCCCATCATCTTTTTGTCGCATCGAAGGTGCTAAAGGCTTTGTAATTGTGGATGGACCTGCTGCGTCCGTGCCCCAGTCCTTCACAGTTTATGTGCACAACCAAGATCCCGTGAAGTATGATTTCGAGGCTCCTGGCCGAGGATATTACTGGGAGGCGGACGCAGTAGCATTAGACATTGCGGCCAACAAGAAAGAGAACTCTGTCATGCCATGGACCGAGACAATTCGCATCATGAGCCTTATGGATGAGATCAGGTGTCAAGGAGGGGCTGTCTTTCCTATTGAGGAAAATGTTTGAGAACCTTCTGCATCCTTTTGTAAAGGGGAGAGGATGATAGCCCTGTGGAAACGGCAGATACTGAACTTGCAGGGCGCATCAATTGCTACCTGAGTTAGGATAGTCCCGAAATCCAAGAAAATATATACACTACAAATTTCATAATTAACTTATCGTTTTATTCATATAATTGTTGTATAAGTACGTCGATTGAGAATCCATACTCCTGCTAGATTTGGTTGCTCCATGTAGTATTAGTCCTAAGCCGTGAGCAACAGCTTGATGCACGGCAAAGGCGCAGATCACTGAGTCTATACACATCAAAATCGAACGTGATGGGGCCATAGTTTTTGTGGGACTAAAAGGTAAGCCCTTTGAATTTCTAAAATCTAATAATTCTTGCGAAGGGAAAAGTTATCCACAATGTCTCAAATGATATTATGTTCAAACAAGAAGAAAAATACCCGCATGGCCCCGCACCTGTCTAGATTTCATGCAACCTCTAGGATATTTGTTTCTCCAAAAAGACCACCCTGCTCGCATATTCTGCTTGAAAAGAATAGTGCAACCCAACATTCATCAGCACGGAGCCTGAAAAGGGTCCACGTCCGTCAACACAATATTCAGCCTGTGGGTCTAAACCCTGCAGTTTGACTCGTGGCATCATATAGTTGACCCTCGGAGCAAGCTGGAAAATGAACAGTACCGCCTGAGAGCCATCCGCAGCAATAAAGAGCGCCGATGGCCAATTGGAATCTTCTGGCAAGTTCAAGCGCCATAAATCTCCGGTCAGTACAGTAGGGCTTATTCTATCTGCCAATTCAATCAATTTTGGAATTTCCATTTTCTCTTCCTCCGACAGGTCAGTTGGGTCAAGTTCAAACCCAAATGAACCACCCATCATAGCGACATGGGCCCGGAAGGAAAGAGGAGTTATGCGTCCAGTTTGATGATTTGGCGCCGCAGAAACGTGTGCGCCCATAGAGCTAGCAGGGTATACAAGCGAGGTACCGAACTGGATAAAGATACGGTCAATCGGATCGGTATTGTCCGACGCCCAGATCTGCGGGAAGAACTGTAAAACCCCCGGGTCGAATCGTCCACCACCAGAGGCACAACCTTCCCATAGGATGTCTGGGAAGCGTGATGTGAGCACATCGAAAATGCGGTATAATCCCAACATATACTCATGGTTACCGCTCGGTGAGGAAATCTCCGATATCGCCCTATTTTGGTCCCATTTCACATAGGTAATTCTTGCACTGTGAAGAAGATCCGTGATTGAGTTTATAATAAACTCTTGTACATCCGGCAAAGCGAGATTGAGCACAAGCTGGTTCCGTTGTTCGGTGCGTGGATATTTGCCTGCGTGGAGCACCCAATCAGGATGTTTGTGGTATAGAGTTGACTGTGGGTTCACCATCTCGGGCTCGATCCAGATCCCAAAGCGCAATTTGTCTGAAGAGTTGGCGACATTCAGGGACGTTATTTTGCTGACCATCGGGCCCAGACCATCAGGAAACCTCGCAGGATTAGGCTCCCAATCTCCTAACCCTGCGGCGTCTGACGTACGCGGGTACTCTTTCCCGAACCAGCCATCATCCATGACAAGCAATTTCACGCCGAGCGCTGCAGACTCTTCTGCCAGGCGGTGCATGTTGTCCTGATCGATGTTGAAGTATAGCGCTTCCCAGCTGTTTAATAGCACTGGCCGACCTTCGGTGGCAAACTTGCTTTTCATGAGATGGTGACGATATAGGCCATGGAGCGAACGAGACATGCCTCCTAGCCCGTCGCTAGAGTAGATAGAGACACATTCAGGCGATGTCAATGTCTCGCCTGGGGCTAGGGACCACGAAAGGTGATCTGGGTGAAACCCTAGCGTCGTGCGTATTAACCCCTGTGATCCCCTTTCGATATGTCCGGCGAAGGAACCCGTGTATACCAAGGAGAATCCCCAAGCCTCCCCTTTTGACTCAGTGGTAGAGGGATGCACTAGGGCGAGGAAAGGATTGTGTATATGGGACGAAAATCCAGTTGCACTTCCGAGGCTATTAAATGAGGGAGTCAGTAAAGATACAATAAGCAAGCTGTATCATTTTGAGCACATACCTTTGTACGCCATATTCAATCTTCCGTCTTTGACGCTGTGCTTCCCTCGCCCAGTCGCCCCGAAGGCCCACTATCTCTAAATCCTCACTGGAAAAGTCCACGCTTAAACTAGCCAGTGTCTCAACTGAGATATTGCTCTTTCCCTTGTTGGTGACACTGACACTTCGCACGATGGCGTCGTACTTGGGAATAATTGAATAATTCAGATCTGCGGTAACCTCGCTGTACTCGTCAAAAAGATGGACCACCAGAGTGCTGACATCTTCTGCGTTGCCGAATGTAGCTGGTAAACCAGGCAAGGCCGGTTTTCCCTGCAATACAACATGTGATTGATAACGCAAGGCTGATACGGCATAACCATCTGACTGGATAAGTCGAATCGCAGGAATCCGAAAGTCTCCTCGTCCTTGATCGGGGAACTCGCGACGCACACGGTCCGGCGTCTTAGTCCAAACGTCGTCTACGGCCGGCGCTGGGTCGGTTGGAATGGCGCCCGTAATACTGCGACCAAAATGGTCGGATCGCAGGTCTCCACTGCTTTCGTCCACATGGAAACGATAGGAGACATTTTTGCCGTGTAGGGAGAAACTTGTGCCGTCGACACTGACTGCAGTAGAAAAAGATTATTAGCCAAATCAAATCCAAATATATCTGTTCTTTGTTTTTCTCTTACTATAAGTGGTCTTTCGCGTCATGCTGAATGGATATAGCCAGGTCCTGCTGATGCGTGATTCGTATCAAGGAGATGGTTCTTGTCCATCAATTGAACCTCGGCAACTAGGTTCGAAAATAGAGCGCACTCACTCTCATGCGTATTTTGGCACCTATATACCTTGTCCTTCGAACCGAAGGCCAGGCCACGGTCGCAAATTCCAATCTTTAGATTGACCAAACTGGCACGGGCTTATCTCCGCGTATGTACCGGCCCTGATCCGTTCAGTACATATTCCGCCTGTCCCCGGTAATTATTACCCGCAAGGCGGGGCAGACCCTTCGAATAGGTGTCCGGGGAGTAGCGTAACGCCGCATTGACTATTAGGTCCACTGTATTAGGTAGCAGAAGGAAAACTGTAAGCGCAAGATCTTAACCAAGGTTTGAGGCAGGCTACTCTTCCCTTGAACTGATGATTGGGTGAACTACCTACGAACGCTAACGCGTTAACTAGTCATCTGAGCGCCAAAACACCATATTAAAAACGTATTGTACAGTGATAATATTCAACGACCATAGCTTGGAACTTAATTTGGTTACATAGCGGTGCTTCTTGTGATAGCCTTAGCATACTCCAAGAGTTTATAAATATTTTAGAGGGAGAAAGAGTCAAAGGCTCAAAAAAACTGAACAATACCCGTATCTTGGCACTTTATCAGACCATTCTTAGATCACCTTATACTGGGCCCTAGATATAGAGCTATCATTTAGTATGATGGACTGTAGAAAGCGGTATCTAAATCTTTAATCGGTATTAATTATTGTATGTTGAGATATAGGGTCAGAACGTAAAGAAAGATGTATGGATAGGCTACGAAAGACCTTTAGATTCCGTGGAGTCAGTGCCTCAATCCCAATCAGAGGCTGAGCACCAGGTCCTACCAGAGCTCATGCATTTCCTATCGTTGCCGATTCTCCCCGTGGCATTCTGGCTAATTAGACAAACTTAACCGTTGGTGTGGAGGGATGAAGCGGTTCAGAACATCATATGACAATATAAATGAACCGGGTATTTGTTGGCAGAGTCAGCCCAGAAATCCTATGTTCACAGTTAGAGCAATCATTTTCTCTGTCAGCGAATACTTTGAGTCATGGTTGTCGAAGAGAATATGTCAAAGGCCTGGAATGAGAGTGCCACACTCCAAATAGTCGACGCTGGAGAGTTCCAGCCAGACAAGACAGCCAGCCAGCTAAACACGAAATATGGTTCTATTCTCTATGAGCGAGCCCGAGTCTCAACTGATGGTCAGTTATGAATGTTTCGTACATCTCCTTAATAACTTTCTTTTTCCAGCAGGTTTCCTTCTCCTCTTCAGCAAAGGACGATTATTGACATGCACTTATAGACTATCGTAAGTTGAACCAACAAGGGTTCTTGAAAGTTGAGGGACTATTGTCTGCGGATGATATTCGTGAGCTCTCTCAACACATGGACGATGTCCTGGCAGGGAAGGAAACAGCACCGGGGTTCCCCAAAATCGACCCATCTTTCTCTGCGTCACAACGTGTTGCAGCATTCTCTCGAATACATAATGCGCATCGCGTTCATGCTCTGCACGAACGTTTTCTTCTGCACCCGCGCATCTTGGATGTTGTGGAGCAGCTCTCGGGACCGGACATTCTCGCACTGCAGAGTATGGCCTTCTTTAAGGAACCTGGGCAGCCGGGGCAAGGGTAAGTTTTCATATTACTCAGGTGGCTGAATCTAGTTCTGATATATTGATCGGCTTCGGCCTTCACAATAGGTATCACCAAGACTCATATTATATTCCCACTCAGCCTAACAGCTTAATCGCTGCATGGGTCGCCATTTCAGACGCCACAGAGGACAATGGTTGTCTCTGGTTCCGCGCAGGCTCCCAAGTCGAGCCGACTTATCCATGCCCCGGGAACTCATTCACACAGGCGGCTAGCGGGCTAGACGGTGTCTTCCAGAATTTCACGGCATCCGTCCTTGAGCCTACAGATAACCAGCTAACTGGGGTTGCCGAACGTTATCCGGAGATTCCATGCCCTGCGAAACCTGGCGATGTTGTCTTTTTCCGGGGGAATATACTGCACCGCTCGCATGCCAATAACAGCTCTACATCGCGGCGTGCCTTTGTCGCGCATTACTGCGACGCTAGAAGCTTTGTGCCATGGAACATTGGCCGTGGCTGGGAAGGGATGGATGAAGGAAAGGGTGCAAATAATCTGCATATTCTGGCGAGGGGTGGTAGCCACTTGCCTTATGCACACCCCAGATTCGGCACACCTATACAGCGGCTTCGATAGGCACTCCAAGCGGGCAGTGGTATATGGTTTAGCAAATTGTTAGCTTCGGCGAGGAGGAGTAAAACGGGTCTATATATCAAAACAGTTACTGCTTTGCTAATCTGTTCAAATTTAAGGAGTGGATAATCTATATCAGATATCAAATAGCCCTTGTACCTCACCTTATCAGCCGGAACATTCCATTTTTCCTTCATCCTCATCCTCATCCTCAATCCACCTCGCTAACCCTTGTTCATATCTCTGGGTATTCAACATTGCTAACCTATCTCTCATCTCCCATTCTCTCGGATCTTATCAACATCTTACGAGTCCTTTCATAGTCGATTCTTGAACAAAAGACTGATATTACTCTTATATCCTCAATCGACATCTAACCTATATCGTCCTTCTACATCGTCCTTCTACATCGTCCTTCTACATCGTCCTTCTACATCGTCCTTCTACATCGTCCTTCTCTTCACAGTTATCTCCTCTCACATCTCTCAAGAATCAGCCTCGCCAGTATCAGCTCATTCCTCGCTGACTTCTCGACTGGCATTCCCTTAGCTTTCATCAATATCTTCCCTTCCTTCACCATCCACCTTCTCATAACCTGAGATCTATCAATCTTCCAACAACCTCTTCATTGCACCCATCCAGCTTTGACCAACAAAATTCCAAAAATGCGCAACATCAGGCTCCTTACCTACCAACATGACCACGGTCGGCTCTATCTGGCCAACAGTCCCGGTCTACCAGTCGCAGAGGACTCGGTACTGCTTGGATTTGGCTCATTCAACCCTGCTGATATGAATTTCGACCTTATGGCCGCGGTGACTCGGACGTTGACCGGGCAGGATCCCACATTCCAGGATTTGTGAGTTTTTCTCTACTCCCCGCATATAATCAAGATCCTAGTTACTAAGACTTTTTAGTACTTTCCTATGGAGCTGGGACAATCAGCAACTAGGCCATCACTATGTCCTCGTGGAGTCGACCCCATCCACCATCGAGGCCCATTCCAACGATGACATCTGGGGCACTACAAAGCAAGCCTCATGGGACAGTAACACTAACACTGAAGCCAAGGCTGAGGAACCAACACCAGAGACTCCCGTCTCCCTGCCCTCCGATTTCTGGTACTCCCCCGACAGCAATCCCCATCCTGATTTCTGGTATGCACCCGAGGAAACTGAAGACTTGTGGAACACCCCAGTATCCGAGTCTTGCGGCCATCAATCAAGCGCGGGATCAGCTTCGACATCTACCAACTCTCACAGCCAGACCCATGACCGCAAGAGTCATAGTGCCCCGAAACACGATGACAAGAAGGGGGAGAAGACGAAGCGGGTGAGGTTTAGGGTTTATGAGCTTCCAGAGTCAGAGGAGAATAATTACCGGCATGATAGATCAAGCCGGTCTGGCAGGGTTGATTTCCAGGGTGTCAGAGAAGTGCGGGATCACTACCACTACCGCTGAAGGGTTGGATGGTTGATGACGCGGTCCGGAGATGATCGGTTTGCTTGACGATCTTTAGTAACGTCCAGCTTTATGGGGGGTGCCTTTGATAGGACCTTTGGTTTTTGGGATTTGCTCTTTATACTCTCGCTTCTTGATATTTTGGAATCAGTTCTAGAGCTCCTTCGGGATCTTGGGTGATTTGGTTGAGGCGTCGATAGAATCGATTGATGGGCTATTTCCCACTTTGAGATCATGGCTTTGAGCATACATATAGCTTTGATGTTCCAAGATAGCCACTGTTCTTCCTTCTCTCTCGGAGATTCAGCATCCACTTACCTTGTCTTCTACGATACCTTTCCTTGTCGGCTTTGATGGTCCTAATTAATATCGACTAGTAAATTGACTGAAAATGAGTCTATCAATCTATCTGTTCTTCTGTATCACTTCTGGACGACCGTTAGCCGTGCCAACCTACGTAGCCTTCTCTGTCATTGCTTTCCGTCTATAGTGATATATCTGAGTCGTAGGCTGGCAAACTATCTAAAAACTTCCTCCCTTCAGGAGATATAGGTCGGGGAGGCTCTGGTACGTAGTTCTTCGGTACATAGTGAACAACCTCCACGAATTCAACATGCAGCGATTCATACCCAATCATCCCGAGATCTTTCAGGCCGTCAAAGAAATCCACAATGACATTATACTTCCCTTTTTCTTCATAGATTCGCTCTCGTTCCTCGTCAACTAATCTGATGAAATAAGCCAACCGCCTTGCAGTTTGCCCTTTATACTCATAAGTCCCCTCTATCCATGCAGGCTTCTGGGACTCGACGGGATAGTGAGCGTCGTATTCCTCGCCAAAGTACCAGTTAGGTAACCATCTAAACTTTTCAATAGAGGAGATAGCTTCCTGATCTAAGTCTGCGGGGAAATAGATTGTCAAGACCTCATAAAGCTTTTGTGGAGGGAAAAGCGGGTTTGCGCGTATAACCACCCCTTTATTAGGTATCAGCCACGCAGCTTCTTGGCTCCATGAGCGATATGCAAGGGCTTCATTCAATCTGAGGGAAAGCTCTGAGGCAAGAAACTCTTCCCTTCCCTTACTGCTTCTCCACTCTAGTGGTTGGTTAATTATTGGATATTTAGAAGACGGCATAATATCTTCTGATATAGAAAGGGCAATACTACTTACCAATAATCAGCCACTCCACGTGGACGGCCTCGGGCTATAACGATGCAGTCTTGGAGTTTGTGCATCTCTTGGAGGGTGGCAAAGAGGTCGTCGCTATTTGGGATGGCAATATTAGGTGGATCTTTCAGCGATATCCAGTCCAGCAATCTGCAGCTCTGAGGTGGCCTTGTTGCGGGATATGGATATTTGCCGTTTGTTTTCGTGGTAGTGTTGTTGATAACACGCAAGCCATTCTGTTGCTTTGAAGTGCGTTTATTGTAGTCTTCTCTGCATCCATTTCCCTGGCACGTTTGGCTAATCGAGTAATAGGCATGGTGTGGCGAACCAGTAAGGCGCTAAATAAAGAGAAAAAAAAAGAGGTTGAGGAGTTTCAATAGGAACAAAAGGCCAGTATGGAGGGGTGAACCCAATCACTCTACCATCACACGACTGCACTGACTAGATCTCTAAGAATAAGCCCGTGCTATAGGACCATACTCACGTGACATATATTGCCCTCACTATGTACTACCACATCTCCAACCACCAGACTTCCAAGCTTATGACCTACGATCTTGAAGAACAAGAAGACGGATTACTCTGATAAGTAATATGACATTGAATCCTAACAATTAATCTTGGTAAGCAAGACGGCATAAAAGCCGGGCACGTTTCGCCTCGAACCCCAAAACACCATCTGAATCCCATGGACACCATTTGAAAAGCAGAAAGAAGCATCAGAACAAAATGATGACCCCTGCCTCGCTCGGAATTCTTGCACGGAATTCTTTTCAGCGGTAGTTTCCTTATCGAGCAGTGGAGTCATCCATCCCCTTAAATCATACAATATCAATGACGTTGTTGTGACTCGTGGCATGTCTCAGGTTTCCCGCGGGAGATCTGAATTCGTGACTCGTGATTTAGGCGTTGTGCGGCAACAGCAAGCTAGCGCTGTGGCGAAGGTCAAGCGAGCGCGAGTCCTGGGCATCGAAGACGGCATTGGTGCGCTCCTCGAGATAGAATGGGGTGACCTGAATCATGTCGAACCAGCGCATTGCGTACTCGTCGCTGCCGTCGACAGCCTTGAGAGTGCCATTATCCGGGCGAACTACCGACTTGGGAGGCAGGCTGCGCATGCGGAGGAGCATGTGCAGGATGTCGGCGAAGCGCTCGGATTGGCTGTAATAGTAGGGTGGACGCTTATCTAAGGGCCACTGTGCGAAGTTAGCAATTTGAGTATTCAGAAGTCAAAGAAGACAAGTCAAACTTACACGCTGAGCGAAGGTTTCGTTGTCCCACGAGCGGAAGAGCCAGCAGGTACGCTCGACGCAGTTCAGCAGGACAACGGCAACGAGGAAGGTCTCAAACCAGCCAGTCTTCTGGCGCTGGAGCAGACGGCGCTCAAGGTCATTGATTACCGACTTGCTGAGCTGCATGGCACGCTTCTCCATGGCGGCTCGCAGCTGGCTGCACAGAAGGGCATAGGACTCGGGGTCCGATACTTCCTCAATTGGGAGGCGACCCTCATCCGAGGGCTGAGACAATGAGTGCATCGAGGTGGGAGGAAGAGTAGGGTTGCAGAAGGTCTTCCAGGTAAGCTCATTGTCGACCAAAATGTGAGTGGCGACCCACAGGTCCACGGCACGTTCGAGGAGCGTATCCTTCTTAGCCTGAGCCAGCTCAGAGGCCAGCAGTAGAGTGGACTTCATAAAGTTGGACTCCTCGCGCTCGAAGAAGAATGTAGCAGTCTTCTTGATGTACAATTCCAGCTTACTGGGAATGTCATCGGCATCGCTATCCAGCAGGTAGATTTCCTGGGCAGGTGCAGAGAACTGGTCGTCGCCCAAGCCCTGAAGCTGCGGGTCAAGAGCTGAGACGGAGGCACGGTGGCCCTGGAGTCCGCTAATGGTAACATAGACCAAGCTCTCCTCGTGATGGGTCACCTCAATGCGGCCAGCGTAATGCTCAAACTTGACCTGGTTCTTAATGGAGTTGGTGTCGTGGTAGGCGAGAGTTGCATGCAGATCTTCACAAGTCAGTCGTTAAGTAAACGAAAAAAGTATCGAATGAGACAAAAACTTACTGGCATTGTAAAGCTCGAATTCATCAGACAGGCGAGTTCGGATACACGGGTGCTTCCAGAGGCGAGCACTCTCAACACTGGCACACGTGGTGCAGGGAGTTTCTCCCGAGCACTAAAAGTCATTGTCAGTATATTTCTTGCTAAACCAGGACGTTGATAAATCATAAATGAAATTCATACCGGCTTCTTCAGCATACGGCAACGGATGCACGCTCCTCGTTTGCGCACTTCCTGAACCTCACGACGACGCTCATCTGAGAAGCGGCCGCGAACCTTGGGCTTGGCAGGCTTGGTAGAGTTACCAAACTCGTTGACAAACCCCTTGGCCTGGGTATTGGGGTTCATTGCAATGGGTCGTGGGAACGATGCGGCGCGCTGAGTGGCAGCAGTCAGGGACGGGTCATGCTCCTGCAGACTGTCAAACAAGAGCTGCTCATGGGTAGTCAGCTGCTGGCCCCATTGGCCCATCTTCAATCCGTCATCATCCATTGTCAGTCCCTGGGGGACCATCTCGTTGGCAGAGGCGGCAATCATCGAGAGCTGTGACTGGCGCGCATTGGAAGTCGAGTCGGGGGTCATCGAGTGGTCACCGAGAGGGGGCGACATGGAAGTAGGGTGGTCGGAGGTATGGCTGGGGAGGGCAGGAATGGTAGGGGTACCAGAGGAGTGAGCATTTCCTGACAAACGGCCATTGTTAGCATGCGAAGTTTTAGCTTGAATGAACTACACCACACAAACGCTACTTACCCTGAGCATTCTCGTCTTCTTCTTTGACATCAGACTGCACGGTAAACTCGGCCTCCAATGCTGGATCAACTACCACGGTCTTTCCACCGGACGTCACGGACTGAGCATATGCAGGGCCTCGTTTGGTATGATCCGAGGCACCCACCTGGCGGGACGCCTCTGCGAGTACGTTTAGACCATCGAAGTTGGGGCGAGTACCGAAGGATCCGTCGCCCTTCTTTCCAGCGGGGGCATTGGGATCCTTGTTGGCATCACCTTCGGCGAGGTCGGGGAGTTCGTGGAGGCGCAGGAGCACGCGCTGACGGTCACGGAGCGGAATGGCCTGGCATTTCTTGACCAGATGGTTGGTGAGGCTATCGATACGGCCTTTCGGGAACTTTTCGCCACAGGCCTTGCAGGTATGCTGATAGCGGTTGCTCGAGTCCTCTAGCTTAGGACCTCGAATGAAGAACTCAAGAATGAGCTGATTGGGCTTACGACCCATTTTGAAGGATAGGCCGTAGGTGGTCGGGGCCCGGCGATTGGACTGTGCGTGTATGGAGGTGGGGGGTGTGTTAGAGTCGAAATTTGCAGACGCGTCAGTGACCAGGGTCTACCGACCGCTCCAATTGCCTTGTTGGCACTTTCGAGTCCTCGTCAGCGATCAAGTAACACACGCGATGACCTCGGCCACAGAGCAGCACGCGGTCCGGACGAATCAGAGGGAGAAGGGCAGAAACCCAGCTGAGCACAACAACACGTCAGGTCGACGTGACGGGAGACGACCTCGACAAGTGACGGCAAGGGCAGGCCGAGGAACCAGGCACAGCCCAAGTCGAGGTGCACGTCGTCGTCGAGGAGCTCTCGATAATGTTTTCGTATTGGATGTGCGGGCAAAACTGGGGGGCAGTAGAGGGCGGTCTGCGAGTCGCAGGGGGGGAACAGAAAGCGATGAGGCTTCACCGCACGGGAGGCGGTGATGAAATGAAAAGGCGGTGATGATGATAAAGGAAAAGGCGGTGATGGAAAAGGATGAAGGCGGTGATGGAGAAAAGAGGGGTGGAAGGGAGAGAAGAAGGACTGAAGGCGGTGATGGGGGGAGAAATCAAAAGACTCGGGTCTCGAGGGGAGGATCAGTCAACGATTTGTCGTTTGCCTTAGTCCAACGGAGGGGTAAAGAAGGAAAAAGATGGAAGTTGCCTTCCATGGCAAAAGTGTTCAAATTGGGAAGGCACTTTCCAGTAATCACCTGTATGCACCTCTGGATTTGACTTTGGCTGGCCGCACCCGCGTCGAGCTATCCATGTCTATATCCTGCACAGTCATCTACATAGTCCATAGGAGGTTGTGAATGAAATAATAATAATATATCCACCTAACTGCGTTCTCTGCTAGCAAATTCTCTGCTCTGGAGGTCGCCAGGGTACCTCTAGCACTGCGAAGATTCGCCGCTCATCGCAACCTTCAACCAGTTGGCCCGGATTGACCTTCACCTGCCCATTGCGCAGCACATTCTTAAATAGTCCTCGCTGGTTCAAACACATCCCTTTCTTCCGAGCAAGCAATCGCATACTGCGATTGAAGATATCATTGCCCGTGAAGTATATCATCGCCGCTCCAAATTGGGCTCCAGGAACAAACAGCAGATCTAGTCGCCGCCAGACTGCGCTTCCCGGGATCATGGATGCCCCCTGCCATTTTGAACCATCTCCATTCCGTCGAGAAGTCTGCAGACCAATTTGCAGAAACCCATCTCGGAACAGCTGAGGCACCACGGTATCTAGGATCAGCGACCGGATCTGCTCCAAAGTAGCGTCTGGCTTGGTGATAAGCACATCAATGTCGCCCGAGTCTTGAGCCCCGCGGCGGTAAGAGCCTGAGATGATCACTTGCATATCCTTGTCCACCGCCTGGACTGCCAGGCGCACTATCGCCCCGTGGGCCTCGACCTCCTTGCGCGGGATCCGCTGTGCAAAGTCGTGGTAACGCTCCATGCCGATGCGCTGATTCTTGGTCAAAGACGCTCTCTCACGAAGGTCGTCGAGACTCCGGTATCCTTGCGCCACCCATTTCGACGCCTGGGCAAGGCCACACCCATAGATGCCGAGGAACTCCTGGATTATATTCTCTGCTTCCGTCTTGTTGGCATGGTCAAGCCGGCGCAGGTGGTCGGTCACGACGATTTCTTCAATCTTGTCTGCCAGCCGATCCCCGATGCCAGGGATAGACCGTGCCTCCGTTCTTGACATGATCTTCTTAGTCTGTCGCCGGAGAGCATTGATCCCCTTGCGATAAGCCAGCGTCCGCCAGTGATCTCCCGTTCGCGTATAGTAATCCAGCATTTGTTGCAATACCTCGATGGTTCGGTTGTTTGGGTTTTCGCGCTTTGCATTGGGGTCAAACTTTTGCATGCAGGCAAAATTGCGTGCCCATGATTCAACAACAGGCTCTCCTCGCGGTTCCTCCCTTGATCGGGACTGATCAGCCTCTGAATCTGACTCACTTTCAGAGTCGCCAGATTCCTCATCGGAGCAATCGATTGGGTCAAGCGGCTGGCCAGACTTGTTAGTTGGTAAGACTCCTAATTTTGGGTTCAACTCACAAGGTGGCTAGTTGCTTTCGCCTCGGCTATTAAATCATCGAGAGCATCACGTTGGCGAATCTCTTCCGGGCTGTCCTCGGGGACAGAAGACCTGACAGCCACTTCCGATGCGGCAGGACTGCCCGGTATGGCCTCTTGAATCGGGGGTTGTGATGGCTCTGGCGTCTGTTCCTGCTCTTTCCTGGATGCCTTCAGAGGCAGAGATTCTACGGAGACAGGAACATTTACCAAAGCCGGAGTAGGAACTGGAGCCGGGGCATCATTATGGCCAGATGTCGGGGTTCCTTCCACGCGGAATCGCACTTGTGATGGGCTCAGGATAGAGCGAAATCTGATGCATTCTGAAGGGAAAGACTCATTTACAAGAGCCACGCTTTCCTATAGCTATTGTGAGCAGATGCACAGTAGTCACGAGCAAAACGTACTAACCGGAAATGAGTCGAGTTTGAGGTGTTTGATGAGATCAGAATACTGTAGATCCTTGTCAACAACCACATGTGTGATATTCTCGGCCCAATCCATCGCCCAGTGAGCACCGTATTCCCGTGCTCGCTGGATGCGCAGTCGGCGAGAAGGAGAGATATCATTATTCGGGAAGAAGACTTATTTGAGAAGTCAGTAAGAGAGAAGAGTGACAACAAACAGATTATAAAGAAAGTCTCACAGAAGACGAGTTCTTTGAAGATCCTCTGTTCCTCGGGGACCAGTTTAATTATACTGTTTGTTCTCCTTTTCTTCAGAGCAGGGCCTCCTTTCTTAAGGGCTGACGTAGTGCTGGGCATAGTGCCGGTGGTCTGAGAGCGCTTCACAGTCCTCAAATTCGGTTCAAGAGGCTGAAGTCGTCTTCTTGGGTGAGCGTCATCGGCGCTGACTTCTTCTCGAACTTCTTTGTTCGTATACGAGGACGAAGGCGCCGTGTTTGCCCGGGTCAGCGCAATAGGCTCCGGGTTGGATAGGGCGGCGGTCGAATTTAGAATTTCTGTAGGCTTCGCGTGAGCCAGAAGACGCTCCAAAGAATCTTCATCGTCCTGAGAGTCATCGGAGTAATCCAAGTGCTCAAGGGCGCGAAAGAAGCTGGCTTTGCTTTTCATTCCCGACATGATGGCGGACTAGTCAGGCATCCGATAGCGAAAGGAGCGTTTGATCCTTGGAGGAGTCATCGCAGTTGCCTGGGAGGTACGAGACCGTGCCGGATTGGCGGTATTACCGTGTCACTACCGTGTCACCGCAGGCAGCTCCGACCACGCAGTTGTCGGGGTGAAGCACTGGAGCCACAGTTAAGGCACCCGTGGACGCGGCGTTGCGCGAAAACGCCGCCAAGTCACGGGACTGCCCATATAACCGAATCCGTCTTGCTCGAGCGATGGCCATAAGAAACACGCATGGCTTAGGCCCTAGGAAGAACTAGGTTTGTATTTTAGATTAGGTGAAATACATGACTTCTTTGCTCAAGTCATATTCTATGAACCTAATGCCATTCAATGTGGCCCGGAATATCTAGATCTAGATCTCTATATCTTAGAAAGTAAGACTTGTCAATGTCTGAACCTCCTAACATCTATGTTTTTCTGTACAGGCCCGGCATCGACAAAGTATTTGCCACCGGACTTGAGAGCTTTTTATGGAAGTAGCATCAGAATCCACATAATCCATAAACACCGGAAACCTGCTTGGATCGTTGAAATCCAACTCCGAGTGAACTGTAGATAGATCATGTGATCCAACCATCCCCGGCAATTTTGAAGATCGCAAACCACCGAACCCGACGGAGAATCAACTTTGCTCGAACCCAGTTGTCGCGCCCGGCATCCTATCACATACCTACACCAGACAAGATGTGGAAATCACCACTGCCAGCCTACTTGGTATCGGAGCTCCCGCTCCTCCGAAGTGGCCGCTGTCTAAGCTGTCAATTCCGAAGCACCACAGCACTTTCCCACCTCCGCGCGAAATCCCCCGCGATACGCCACTATGCCTCTACACCAAGCGCAAAAGAAGCGAAGCCCAGCAATGGCAGCTCCGCGGCGACGATATCATCCCCGCCGCGTAGGGAGCCTCAGCCCGTGCGGCGCGGCACCCAATTCCAACAAAACCCAGACATGAAGCCCCAACCGGGCGATGCGGACTTTAAGCCACCAATGCTGGACCGTCCGATCGGGACTACAACACCACCAATGGCAGGTGAGAATACAGGAGTGGACACACGTTCCTTGAAGCAGAGGCGAGACGAGTTTGTGGACTATGATCGGCATCTTGAACGGCGGAAAGAACTGTACGTTCTGTCTATCACCCAGGAACACGGAAATGGGACCTGAAGCTAACAGCAGCTCCAATTACTTTCTAGGACACGCCAAGTCGCCAAACCCTACTTCCGAGAATGGTCAAACCTGCGCTTCTTGGAAGGTAAAACCTTCGTGTCAAACCCCCGGCTTTTCAAAGGCGACAAGGCCCTATACTTCCCCAACATGTCTGGCGTAACACTCGCCGAGCCAAAAGATAAGCAGCACACAACTTCAACCCTGCAGGGCAAGATCAGCGTCGTGAAGTTGTTCTCCAGCGTCTGGGCAGAGACTCAAGTAGGAACATTCACGGGGCCAAGCCAGAACCCCCAACTGGCTGAGATCCTGTCCAAGAACCCGCAATTTGCGCAGATGGTGGATATCAATTTGGAAGAGAACCGTATGAAGGCGGCGCTGGTGAAGATGTTCATGTGGAGCATGCGCCGTAAGTTGCCCGCTCCGCAGCACTCGCGGTATTTCCTGGTGCAGAAGGGCTTTACCGAGACCCTCAAGGAGGCCGTTGGCATGATGAATTCTAAGGTCGGCTATGTGTACCTTGTGGACTCGGATTGTCGTATCCGTTGGGCTGGCAGTGGTAATGCCGAGCCAGCGGAGATGGAGACGCTCAATACGGGCTTGCAGAAGCTCATTGTGGAGAGAAAGGCCATCTACGAAGCTGAAATGGCGAGTCGCAAGTAAAACGAAACGATGGGAAGCAAAACCCAAGCCTAAATCAGGGCTACCCCCTCAAAGGATCACTGTATGATACGGAGTCTCCTCTCAACAACTGGATTTGTACATGATAGAGAATGTGTATAATAGAAAGACCATAGACGCCATCACAAGCCAAGTGCAAGTATTATCTTCATTGCCGTAACAGGGAGTCCTCAAGGAAATGCCCAACCCCCAAACGCCGCAATAAAAACCAAAAAGAAATACTCAGTCGCTGTACGAGCTGCATGACACGCAAGAGATGAACCGAGAGACGGAGCGCAATGATAACAAAGCAAATCATGAGACGAGCCCAGCCCGCCTACCGGAAGTACACTAGCATCAAGAAGCAGAATCCAATGAAACAGCCTAGGATGATAGCATCTCGCCGCTTCTTGGTCCCAATCTTCCCAATCAGATAGTTCATACCGGGTACCTGGCTGGCAGCACCGACGATACGCCGGTTGATACTGGCGAGTGTTTCGCGTTGGATGCCAAAGTTCTCGTTGATGGCATATGCCTGGCTGAGTACGCCGTCAATCATGTTGTGGCTGTTCTCGACTCGGCCCCGCTCTTCAAGCATATAGTCGGCCTCGGCGGCGCCGGGGTTGGATGCGCGGTAGGCATCGATATCGGAACGAACATTGGAAAGTAGATTGGCGCGGTCGCGCGACTCGGCGATAGCGGAGGTCAACCGTTGGAGCTCCCGGCGGTGGTCGGCCAGGACTTCGCGGTGGCGGGCGAGGTTGTTCTGTTTGAGGGCGGAGGAGGTGAGGGTAGCTTCGGAGTCGAGGAGACGAGAGAGTTGGGAGATGAGAGATTCACGCTATATGAGACAGTCAGCCTGTTTCCTTCTTGCTTCCTGTAGGACTTGACTTTGGGGGATGCCTGGCGTGGACGTACTCGTTCAAGGAGGTCTTTCAACTGGGACTCGAGCCGTAGCTCTTCCTCTGTGGGAGACGGTGGTGGTTTGGTGAGGGAGCTGAATTGTGCGTATGTATGGAAGAGCTGCTCAGTCTATTTATCACACTTCATATTAGTCTGGTGTATCTGGTGTATGGGGATGATATCTTCGAGCTATTCGGTACCTGAGTTTCGAGCGAGCGGGCTTGCTGTCGAAGCTGTGCCCATCCAGAACCCGTGGACGTCATGATGTGTAGATGGTAGATAGTTCACAGACGTCTATCAAAAACGACACTCAATTCACTCTTTCTATCTCACCCATTTAAACCCCGGACATGCCAGAGACAGGCCCGCTGCCAGTCGACGTAAGTGCACCGCCGAGAGACTAACCCAATCCGGTAAGGGTCTTTGCCGCCTTGACACCTTAATACCTCGACACCTCGACACCTGATAAGACGGGGGCAAAAAGTGGCTGCCTTGAAAATCAGACACCCACACATTTTTCAACTTTTCCTTTTCGCCCATCATCACGTGCCCGCTTAGTGCGACCAACTCGCTTAGCCCTAGTCCCACAACCACAATTTGGTCCATTGGACATCTTCAATTCTCAACGCCGACAACCCAGCACACAACACACGCCACCATGGTATGTTCGACGACAATCGCTTCGTGTGGAATCTCGCGCTGATGGAATTTACGTCTAGTCGTCCAAGGTCAAGGCTGGTCAGCTCTGGGGAAAGAACAAGGAGGAGCTCTCCAAGCAGCTCGAGGAGTTGAAGACCGAGCTTAACCAGCTCCGCGTCCAGAAGATCGCCAACGGCGCTTCTACCAAGACCCAGAGAATGTGCGTACACCGGATATCGACATCCCTATCACCACTACACTTTTTCCACGGATGGATTTTCTGCGACGAGCGACCGGGATCGGGGGTTTCGTGCGATGAGAGATTCGGGCAACGGGACACGACCACGATGAAAAAAAAATTTACGAACCGTCAAATTTTCGCAACAACAACCGAAACGATTCACGATACATCCCGGGACCACGTCGCAGAAATTGAAATATCCATCGCAATCCGCATTTTTCAACCACGTCGAAAAATTTTAAAGATCGTACACTGACCCTGGACTCTTTTCTCATTTACAGCTCCGACGTTCGCAAGTCGATCGCTCGCGTTCTCACCGTCATCAACGCCAACCAGCGCGCTCAGCTGCGTCTGTTCTACAAGAACAAGAAGTACATCCCTCTGGACCTCCGCCCCAAGCTCACCCGTGAGCTCCGCCGCCGTCTCACCAAGTTCGAGGCTACCCGGACCACCGAGCGCCAGCGCAAGCGCCAGATCCACTTCCCCCAGCGGAAGTACGCCGTCAAGGTATGAAGAATTCCGGCAGAGAGTGTGGAATGGTTGTGTTCCTTGTCTGGATGTTGTCTATACACACCATCAAACCGGAATCAGTACACTGCCTATTCTACACTCGATACAACTGCCCCCTGTCAAGTACACCGGTACTTTCCCAGAACACCCTGCTAACATGTCGAATCAATAGGCCTAAGTGCAGAACTTTATCGGATCTGGAGTTTTGTGGGGGAAAGACGTTACTTGCCCTTGGACACATTAAACAGGATGTGTGATGTGTGGACCTGAGCGGGGTCGATTTTCTCTTTTTTTTTACATCCAAAAAATGGAACTTGATTGTGTATCTTAAAAAACGATGCAAATCGACTCTTGACATGACATGACAACTTAGACGTCTTCTACCTCGACCAGTGCTGGAATTCTCGTATTCTCGTATGCACAATGAGCAGAGGCTCTCTATAAATTTGTCTAGAACAGCCTTCTTTCATTCGCTGCTAGAAATCCGATTCTGCGCGGCATGGACTTTTCTCCTGGTCTATTTGGTCTAGATCGTCTCGTAGATTGTCGTAAACCATGGGGTCCTCTGATGACTTGGCCTATCCATGATCCTCTATCTAAGTATACATCCATCAACTCCTAGCGGAAGAAGTAGTCTCTACCTAGTATCTATCCTTCTTTCTCATCGCAACATTCTCCGAAATAGCAACATACATTCCATAACTGGTCATAAAACTGTTCTATCGCATTAAACCCCAAAGAAAATCCCAACCCACAAGACTATGACCCCATAACACCCACAGCCCTCGACGCCGACACATGCCCCGACACTAACGCCCCAGCACCCTGCGCACCCGCACCATCACCACCAGACTCAGGAATCTCCATAACCCACGCCCCACCACAAGCACAAGTGCGAAGCAAATTAAGCCGATGCATCATCTTCGTCCAAGGACCCGTCCTAGGCCGGCCCCCATCCCCAGAAACCTCACAACAGCGCACACACCGACGTCTCCTCAACATCTGCGCGGGCCCCGAAATGTCTCGTCCCGCGGCCACAGGGCGTAGGGGGAGTTTCATCAAGATATCGACATCACGACGCTTCCGATACGCCACCGTCCGCGGGTCATTCCCGAAACCGAGCCAACTGTAATCACCCAGCACGATGTCCTTCCGGTTAATCTCCGATCGAATCGACGGGACAGTTTGACTGAGTAGCGTTTCAACGGCGGAGATGAGGACCGGTGGGATACGTGCGTTCACGAGAAGTTCTTTCTCTGGACTGGGCCGTTCGGCGTCTCCGAAGCCGGAGCCTTGGTAGGCGTGTTTGACGGCGGAGTCGACGCCTGCTAGAAACTTTTCGTAGATGTCCACGCGGACCGGTGAGGTTTCGAGCGCTTGGCAGATGTCGATGTAGTAGACGCGGGATTCGGGTTCGAGCATTGCTGGGTTTATTTGCTCGAAGCCGTTGCGGAGACCGCGGAGGCCGCGGCAGATGAAGCGCATGAAGGCGCGGGACATGCTGGAGAGGAGGATGAGGAGGGGGAGGGATGTTGTTGTTTTCACTGGAGAAAGAGTGGTTTGTTAGTGAGGCTGTGGATGAAGGCGCAGAACAAGGTTTCTTGGGGTTTGAGGCTTACGTTTTTGAGTAAATGCTTCCGAGTCATGGAGAACATTTTCAAAATCATCGGCTAGATCGAAGATCTCGCTTAGGATATAATGGGAGAAATCGAGAGCCCATTTCGTGTTTCCTAGGAGGGCATGTAGAATTCCTAGGCTGTTGTTAGTACTGGCGATAGAGTTGATATTAGGGTATATCCCAGCTTACCTGAATCATGGGCCTCGGCGGGCACGTTCTTGCTGTTCTGGAAGTAGGCTGCGTAGAGCACAGAAGAATGTCGTAGCTGTAGGATAGCCCAAGAAATAGCCGACGACAGAGTCCGGGGATGGCTTCTTCCCTTGAAGCCCAGACTAGCTTGTAAGCTAAGTGCTCGCGGGATGTATGCATGTGTCAAAAGCTTTTCCTGTTCAACAGTGAAGTTGCAGTTGACAGACAATGCACGATATACTTCGCTGAGGAAGGTGGATTGGTTTTCTATCAAGATTATTAGGAAATTGCTCGGTTTCCCTTTCACGGTGTTGTCCGTCGCTTACCGGGAGAAAGCTGCCCCAGGACAATCATCAGAATGTCGTCCGTATTGGCATCACTGCCAGAGCCACGGCTGAAAGCCAGAGTCAATGCCGCAATCGCAGCGGAGAATTTACCTGTAAGAGCCGGGTAAGAATGTATTCGGTAAGTGGGGAACGAATATTGCATACTCTCATCATAAAGACCACCACTGGATCCAAAGGTGTGCTCCATCCATCTCAGCCGAGATTGTCCCTCGCTGTCCAATGCCACTGCAGCGCAAGAGTTTGGAGAGAACGCGATAGAAAGGCCTACATGGATTAACATTAAATTCAATGAGACAGAGCGCCGACTTTTGCGATGAACATACCTGGTGTATCCATTGGATACTGGAAACCTGCCTGGGCCAAGCAGTTGACCGTATTGGCATCATCCAACCCATTGAACATAGTCATGGTCTTCGTTTCGTAGAACGTAATAGAACCATCATCATGAGTAAGTGCCAGGGCAGGAGCCGTAACGTGCTCCATCAGGTCCACTGAAATAATATATTTATGTAGGTGGATGTCTTCGAGTCGACGCATCTCGATTTTGGGCTATAAATTCTGTTAGTATGACTTGTCATGGCAATCCGAGATTTCCATCATACCCTAGCCTGTGCGTTATTCTTCTTTGACGCAACCTCGTCGAATTTGGGGTGGAATGTTTGCTGTGCGGAGTCTAGTTGCCATCGAACAATCACACTGAGAGGACCTTGCTGGTCTGGATATTCTGGCGTGGCATGGAGGGGTTTGGAGAAGACCCCCAGAATCCAAGGGCTGGTGGTAGTTGGCCCCGTAGGGCTATCGACCTGTCCGGGGATGACTTCAAGACGGGTCAACGAGTATACCGAGTTGGGAAATGGCATTGGTTGATCCGAGTGCTCTTCAGAGCCGAGGTTGACGTTCAAGATGTTGCTGGGCATATCGATTTTGTAGTGGAGGAGGCGAAGGGAGGGGATCGGCCATTTGTTAGGGCTTCTGATTGCGGTAGGGTCCCATTTGTTGGGATTCCAAGAAACTTCAACTCGATATAGACAGATCTTCTGGCATACAGAGTAAGTGGCCAGCAAGATGGTTCCTAAATGGGATATGTTAGCCATCCATACATACCATAGTCTACGGGAAGAGGAAGAAACCACCAACCTTGCGTGGCGACCATAGCTGCGTGTGTCAATAACCGATCTGAATATCCGGTATTCTTCAATTCGGCAGGGACCTCAGCCCACTTGCCATCCATGTTCTGGTACATCAGTTTGATCTGGCCTGCTCGTGTGACAGAGATCAAGGAACTTTTCCCGGCAGGATGAGAGGGATGGGTTGGACGCCAGCGGAATGGCGAATATGCCCATCTGTTGTTAAGCTTTGCTGCTTGTTGGAAAGCATGAACCTGTTTGGAAGATGTCAGTATGTTGAAATTTTCATATGGTCACTAGGCTTATCAGCCACGAGCTGCATAGCCTACCTGACGCCCAGGATTGAGCCACATCAGGCCAACAATCTGATTACTATCATCACTAGAGTCGTAGGTTGCCTGGCGCAGGCCTGTAATATTATTCAAGGCCATAAAGACTGAATATATAGACACCCGACCCAAACAGTCGACGACGGCCAGCTCCGATCCGGCATCGTTCCAGGAGAGATGAAGCAGCAGATTGCCATTATGAGCTTCAGTGACCGGTCCCAAAGGGAACTCGTCACTCAGAACCCATTTCCCATCAGAGGAACGAGATTGAAGGTTTCGCACACATACTCGCACTCCATCGGAGGCGATGTAGGCTATGCCTCCTAGGCGGGACCAGGCCACCTTCCTGCGGAGAAGCAAATACATGATTAGTTTTGAGTTACGTTGATAAACCGAGATAAAGTAGATAGCTACTTACTGGCGACAACCCAGCAGGCGCATCTCATCGAGACATTGGGCCAGCCCTTTGGTGGGCGGGGCCGGTGCCGGGGGTAACCCCAGATCCAAGGAATGGGCCTCACCGAAGAGGTCGTCGACATTGATAGCTTCCTCCATGATCAATGGCATTGCTAATAGTCAGGAAATCCACTGAACGGGATCCAGCTGTCATGCAGAGGGCCAATGGAGCCCACCCTGCATGGCACAGGGGGTCAATGCTGGGAATGCCGATACGTTGCGGGGACGGTTTGGCGGTGTTGATATGGCGAGAACCGGGATCAATACGCGCAGCCAGGCACCGATCGAGAGAATTCGCAATTGATTCTTGCTGAAGGCAGCGGGCGTAGAATTTCAGGAATATAGTAAAGGCTATCAGATAATAGTCCCCAAGGGAGATTGATGATGATGATGTATAGCTCGGATTGGTATTGTTCGACTTTGAAGCATCGCAGAGCTGCCCATTTTGGTTGGTGACCCTCCCCGTGACTCTCCCGTGACTCGGCCGGGCTCTGTGCTGACTCAGCGAACCAGAAGGGGCGGGTCCAACTAACCTATATTGCACGTGACCTATATGGTAGCCCTGCCAACCACAACCCACCAATCAACAGCTATTATCAGTCCCACATCCAGCTGGGCCAATCAGAGCACTTTAACATGAAAACTGCCACGAGAAGCACAAAGCAAAGCAGTGAAAACAAGAGCCGCCCGTACGACAAACAACGGGCAAAGAATGAATGAAACTAGAAGAGAAATCCCTATAGTGAAGGACAAATGACAAATGAATTGCAATTTGGAGTATATCTTTCGTAGTCATCTATATATACACCTCGTTCAACCCTCTGCTTCGACTCTCCCAATCTCCGTCCTATTCCTTGTCCGGCCCAGTTCGACGTTACTTTGCATCAAAACAAGCGCATCATCGAGTCCCCGCCGGAGGTGCACATACCATCGACGACCACCAACTCAACTACTCTGCCCATCCCGGCCCATTTTCCATCAAATCTCCGCGATCTTCTTTTCCTTCGCAACAACCACATTCCACAACCTCTTCTCCCCATCACAACCAGATCCTGGCCCCGTCCAAAATAAAAAACGAGAGGAAAGGGTTTTTTTTTTCCTTTTCTCCTGGGTCTCGACGGGCCCGTGTCCGTTTTTTTCACTGTACCTTATTCTCGCTATTTTCTGATACTCCCTCAGTATCATCGAGCACCGACAGCTGACCTCATCGTCTTGTGTCTCCCTTTTCCCTCCTCCCTTCTTCTTCATCTACCACCATCCCTCCAACCTCCCACTTCCTCTCTCGTCTTGTACCAGCTTTTCGAATTCTCTCCATTGATTGCGCACATGATTCAACACCTCTACATGATTCTACCTGTGTCAATTTCTCCGATCTGTGTGTTCCGACGAGCGGCCTAATCTTTCCCATCCGCGCCCCCTTCTGGCCCCCCTCTCTCCCGAGTTTGTCCAGCTGGTCCAATTCCCCTAGGGCGCACCCAACCCTTTTTTTTCTCGTTCCTCCTCCCACCCTTTGCCTACTTCCCAGACGGAGATACACGACACTCTCCGTCATGGAAGGCATGGACTATTATCTATCGAGCGATTCGGATTTGAGCTCCGCGCCACCATCATTGCGGTCCTCGCCTGATCGGTACCTGACGCCGTCATCTCAGGATACTGAGGATTCGACGCGCCAAGACTGCCCTCCGCCCGCGAAGAAGCGGAGACGCAACCCCCTGCCCAAAGAGCGTACCACTCAGTATCTCTATCTATCCAAGTCCTCCTACGAGCAGCCAGATCAGGTGAAATTGCTCGTCGACACTCTCCGCCACCAAAAGGACATTGTCGCCATTGCCGGCGCGGGCATCTCCACCTCGGCGGGTAGTAAGTTTTTCTCCCACCTTTCCCGTTACCCGTCACCCGTCACGTCGTCAAAAACCTAAGCTAACCGCCGCTGACAGTTCCCGATTTTCGCTCCACCGATGGTCTGTTCAAGTCTTTGCAGAAGAAGCACAACCTTAAGGCTTCTGGAAAGCTACTTTTCGATGCTGCCGTCTACCAGGATGATGCCCTAACGGGCCCCTTCCATGAATTGGTGCGGTCGCTGTCCGTTGAGGCGGCCAAGTGCCAGCCCACCAAATTTCACGAAATGCTCGCCAGTCTCGGCCAGGAGAACCGACTCAAGCGGTTGTACACCCAGAATATCGACGGCCTCGAAACTTCCATGAAGCCCCTAGAGACCGAGATCCCACTCAGCATTAAGGGTCGCTGGCCCGTCACGATCCAGCTCCACGGTAGTATCACCAAGATGGTGTGCCAAAAGTGTCGCCATCTCGAGAACCTAGAACCCGACAAGTTCTGTGAAGCTGACCCGCCCGATTGCGAAGAGTGCGCTGGCAACGATCGAGCCCGCATAGGAGCAGGCCAACGGAGTCACGGTGTTGGGCGCATGCGTCCGCGCATCGTTCTTTACAACGAGCACAACCCCGACGAGGAGGCGATCACATCCGTCATGAATGCCGATATCAAGTCCCGCCCTCGCGTTTTGATTGTCGCTGGCACAAGTCTGAAGATTCCCGGTGTTCGACGCCTCGTGAAGAGTCTCTGTACGGTTATTCGCAGCCGCAAGGACGGCGTGACCATGTTCATCAACAACGAGCCGCCAGCAGGCAAGGAGTTTGAGAATTGCTTCGATCTGATTGTACAAGGCTCTACCGACGATGTCGCCGATCTGGTCAAGCTAAAGAGCTGGAAGGACCCTCAGCCCTACGACAGGCCGCTGCCAGAGCCCGTCTTCGGAATCAAGCCTGGTTCCGACGAGGAGCTCTCCTCGTCAGATTCCGAACAGAATGTGTCCGTGGTTATTACCTCCACGCCCAAGAAGCGTCCTCGCAGCGACACTGGCTTGATGACACCCTCCTCCTCTCACGACGAGAGACCCGTGGCTAAGAAGCTTACCCAGCGAAAGATCAACAATCCGGCTAGCAGTGGTCCAACCATCGACAGCTTGCTCAAGAAGGATGGCAAGCCAGTCGCGACAACTAAGGGCGGCCGCAAACCTGCATCGAAGTCTGCTCCCCCCAAGAAGCGCGTCCTTAAGGGCAAGACCGGGCCTGCGGCTAGCAAGCCCATTTCCTCCTTCGCCACTGTCAGCAAGGCGAAGAGTGTCACCGTTTCTGTTAACAAGAAACTTAGCCTACTACCACCTGGTGCCGCTAGAGCTAATGGCTCGGGCAAGCCAGAGTCCATGTTCCCTGGACTCAAGGTCGGCATTCAAGCGCCCCTAGTCGAGGAAGTGACCACCGGATCATCCTAATATCCATGTCTTCTCCCGCTATGGTCGATTCTTTATTCATTCTCACCACCCTATTTTTCTTATCGACACGTCATCAGATGCATAACCAACGGCGCCCTGGTGTTCCTCTTCTTCACCCATCTCCTTGTGGGCATTTTTTGTTTCTTCTCTGGCTGCTCCGTTCGTCTTCCAAGACACTGGTCGGAGCAGTCCATTCTTATTTCACCATTCATCCGTCCTTCGCAAAGATACCAACGATAGACTACGGATTTGTTGCATGAGGTGGCGTTGGCGTTTTCAGTCCGGGGTGACTTGTTTTATTCATGGGTTGGGGTGCATTGCCCTGGGGTGTTTCATGCTGTGTTGCTGTTGCTGTGAAGCTTGCATGTTTTATTACTACCTTTCTTAAGGCATCGGGGTCGTGGTGATGCCCGTTTTTGTTTTCTGGTATGGATTATGAGGTAGTTTACGTCTGTCATAATACATGTGAGCTTGAATGCTCTGAGACTTGAGTTGTTTCAAATCTTTTTCCCAGGAAGGTTGATGTGGCATATATATCATTCTGTAAACTCGTTTTGATGCGTCACGTCTCTCGCAAGGCTGTGCGTATCAACCTTATGCTCTGCCCGGGAGGCATGTCACTATATATACACCTTAACCTTAGAAGCACCTCAAACTTCGACCTCGCCTGCCGGCCAAACTCAGGCGATGTGCGCCCAACCAGATACATCGGTGGTCGATATAGGTACCATATGCTCTGAGATTTGGAATGCTCTCTTTCAAACCAAAATGCATAAATCGATTCGTCATTATATATATCCATTTCTATAGCAATGGCGAACCCACCCAAGGACCTCGCCCTCCAACCTTCAAGACAGCACCAAAATCCAAACGACACACATGACGACCTATTCTCCCAAGCAACGTCCTCTTATCCAAGACCAAGGTCATCCCGCAACTGACTAGCAGGCCCATCATCATCGTCCGTCTCATCAGCATCAGGATCCATCCGCCTAGGCGCATCCAAATCCTCCACCCGATCAATATCCTCATCACCCCTCCGCCCCTCATCATCCTCCTCCTCATCCTCTTCTTCATCCTCGCCTTCTTCCTCCTCATCTTCGGGCTCACCCTCATCTTCCTCCGCATCTTCCTCCTGCGTCTCATCTCCATCAGCCTGCACCGCACCAGCACCAGCACCCTCGTCCCCATCACGCTTCACCCGCTTCGCGGGGTTATCAACCATCTCAACATCCTCGTCTTCGCCGCGGGTTGTAGAAGGGCCCGCAGCGGCGGTGGAGTCAGCGTCACCGCCGCCGTTGGCATCGGTCTTTTTGGCTTTGCGCTTGCCGGCTTTGATTTCTGTGTAGGCTTCGAGTTCCTGTTCGAGGCGGGTGCGGAAGGAGTCGAATTCTAGTTCGGAGAGGGCGTTGAAGACGTCTGCGGGGGCGACGGTGCGTTTGAGGGTTGCGTCGTTGGCGCTGTGGAGGTGAGGATTGGGTTAGTTTGGGTTTTATATGGCAGGAGGATAGGGTAGAGGGTATAGGTGGCGTATTCCTTTCTCGATTCGATCAAGGGTGTAATAACCAGGCGGGAAGTAGGAAGGAATTATGGGACAAGGGAGATTGATTAACGTACTGTGACGAGAGGTAGGAGACGAAAACGGTAGCAGCCTTTTGGATAGCCAGGACGGCATCCTTTTGGATCGTCGTGTTGGGTGGGAGCACCGATTTCGCCAGTCGGATTGTCAACGAGCGCGGGAGGAGGTAGTCCTATACAGTGTAGAAGATTGTGTCAATTTAGTGTCTTCCAAAGAGCCAGTCCCTTCCTCGTCTTTCCAAGACTTGATGGCCTGCTTACATCAACGCTGACACCTAGCTCTGCCCGTGCCTTTATCTGCTGCTCCGTCGCGGTGATGGGCTTGTCGGCCGTGCCCTGCGCTTGCGGGGATAACTGTGACGGCTCATCTGTCTCGGCAGGAGTCACCGAGGAGGTAGATTTGCGCGGTGGCATGGTGTTCTTGTGATGGATCGGACGTTTTGTCCTCTTTTTGTGGTGGTCGAGTCTTCTCTGTAGATGGTGATGGTGATTCGTCGCAGTTCGAATTGGATATGGGTTGCACTGGATATGTGCCCGGGTCGGGCGAAGGATTAGTTAGCCCCAATTTTGCTGGGACTGGATAATCCTGGTGTTCTGGTGAGTTGGTTTGAAGGGTGGCGGGTTGATGAGAACGCGAAATCCGCGACGCGAGGTTGCGTTTCGGCGGAGCGCGGTGTGGGGACTGCAACTGTATGGAGTATGTATCCATATGGCCATCAAGGCATGACTAGACCTTAGACATGGAAGGCATCTACTCTTCTATTCATGTCAATTAAAAAGGTATACAGGAGAGTATCAACTCGTTTCTTATTTTCAAATAAAATGTCTCAGTATTGATGCTCATTGAATTCGCTACTTTCTCTTATAGAGTATGGACAAATGCCTGAACTGCGACAAATACGAACGACAAAGAAAACAATGAAATAAAAAGACCATCCATCATCCAAGAAGATTAAACGCCCACTTTTTGGTATCCAAGAATTCTAAAACGAGAACGGATGACTTCGTAACAGGAGCATCTCAACTCCGAATAAAAGACGGCCCTTTTTTTACTCGGCCATCTCCTCGTCATCGCCCTCGCCATTACCCCAAAGGCCCTCGATCTTGAATTCCTTAGCCCACTCCGTAACAACCTGAACATTGTCCACGGGACCGGCGCTAGGCTCCGCAGCCTCGGCGGCAGATCCAGCAACGGGCAGGACGGGAGCATTGGCCCAGCCCTGAATGCGGCCGTCGCGCCAGTCGTTGATCACGGTCATCGCGGCGCTCTCAACGTTGGGGACACCACGCTTGCCGAGACGGCCACGCTTGCGGGCCACCTGGACCAGGAAGTCGGTGGTCTTGTCACCGGTCGGGAAGAGGGTGGTGATGCCGTACACCTCGAGCATCTTGTTAATCAGGTTCTCAGACGAGGAGAGACGCTTGATGAGCAGGTTAACAGCGGCAACGGGGTCCTCGATCTGCTTGGGTGGGATGGCGTTGAGCAGGACCAGGCGGGCCTGCTCGTTCTCCTTGGACTTCTTGCTGGTCTTGCCAGCCGCGCTGGGGAAGACGATACCGGGGGAGTCGATCAGCTTGAGCTTGTTGTCGAGCTTGACGCTGCGCAGAGTGGTGGTAACACCGGCCTCGGCACCGGTAGGGCAGGCATTGCTGGAGCCCTTGTTGAGGCGAGCGGTCAGGGCGTTGATCACGGACGACTTGCCGACGTTGGGGTAACCGATGACACCGACGGAGATGGATCGCTTCAGTTGCTTGCTGTGAGCGTAGGACTTGAGGGCACGGAAGAGAGTCTCCGAGGTACCCTTGACGGACAATTGCTTGTGGTCGAAGCTGTGAGCGTTGGGGGCGCCGTTGGAGGCCTTCAGCGGGAGGGTGGGGAAGTAACGGCGCAGGTGAATCAACCAGGCCTTGAGGACTGGCGGAGGAACGAGATCGATCTTGTTGAGGATGAGGATCAGACGCTTGGAGCCAGCATCAGCAGCCATGATCTCGCGCTCAACCTCCTTCGACCGGGTGCCCTCGGGGTCGCGCGCATCGAGCACGTACAGCACCACATCAGCCGCATCCGTAACCGTCTTGAAGACCTTGTCGAATTGACGCCGTGAGCTCTCCTTGGTAGGGTTCTGTGCGCTGCCTAGCGTGGGAGCATCCTCGAATGTCACACCGCCCTCCTCTTCGTCCTCATCCATCTCATCGTCGTCGTCCTCCATCTCCTCGTCCTCACTCTCGTTCTCGTCATCGTACTCCTGGGCACGGGCCCGGGCAGAAGCAAGCAGCGCCGCCATGGGGTTCGAGTCGTCGCCATCAGCGTCCATATCATCATCGAGCAGATCGTCCTCCATAATGTCCACGGCCGCCTGGGGGCCACCTTGGGCCTGCTTGGCCTCAATCTTGCGAGCGCGAGCCTCCTCACGGATGCGCTCTTGCTCCTCAGCCTTCAGGCGCTTCTTCTCTTCGATATCATGGAGGAGCTTGTCCTTGAACGGGAAAAGGTTGGGAATACCCGGGTCCTTCTTGATCTTAGACCGCCATTCGGGGTTCTGTAGAAAAAAGTATGAGCACGGTTCTGAGAGAACTTCTTTGAGTGAAACTGATTGCATGGCTCAATTACCTTCTTTGCGAGCTTCTTCTGCTTCCTCTGCTTCGCAACAGCAGCCTTCTCAATCTTGTGTCTCAGACGGACTGGCACCCGCTTAGAACTTTTGCCTGCAAAACGTTAGAATTATGGTCTGAGAGCCTGAAAATCATGCAGGGTGACAGGAGACTTACCAAGTTTGGTCATTTTGCCTGTATACCTATCTTCACTGAGTAGAGACGAAAAAAGGCACACCGGTACAGTGTCTAGTGCTCCGCAAACTTGAGTCGAAAAAGTTGAGCGCCAAGATTTCGATAAGCGGATAAACACTAACGCCGATCACCGGTCCGCGGCGGCGGGACAACTACGCCATTCGGCAGTGTAACCGCTTCAGGACGTCGAGAGGCCTCGAGATAATCTTTCTGTTCCTTCTCCTTTCTTCTAATGATATAGACATAGACTTCTTTTTGCGATTTCTTTACATTAATTTCCTTTTACATATACTACATCTACCGTTCGACCCATTCCTCGAACGGCTCTCCCCAACTTCAATCTCTCCAACTCGTCTCCCTACAGAACCCCTCCCCCGCCATGTCTTCGGCCGCGACAGAAACATTCTCTGCGCCTGCGGAGGTGCACACCTTTGATGGTCTCCTCTCCGACTTTGATGGCACAATTGTCGACTCTACAGACGGTATGGAAGACTTTCATCGCGACTCCGAAACCCAATGCGACGCGGCGACTAACTATACTGCTCCCTAATAGCTATCGTGAAGCACTGGCACCAGTGAGTCACCCATTACAGTCCCCGATAACCACGCAAGACAACCTCTCTAATACACTGTTTTAGAATCGGTGCCGAGCTGGGCGTGGACCCCAAGACCATTCTGGCCACCTCACACGGCCGTCGCAGCATTGATGTGATGGGACTATACGACAAGACCAAGGCCAACTGGGAATGTACGTCTTCAACACTCCTGGAAACATATGTTCAACCTTCTAACACGTTCCTCAACAGACGTCACCTTTATCGAAGGCCGCATCCCCCAAGAATACGGCTCCGACGCCGTCGAAATCCCCGGCGGCCGTGACCTCCTCAGCGCTCTTGACAACTCCTCCGCTAAATGGGGCGTCGTGACATCCGGCACTCGCGCTCTGATCGATGGCTGGCTCGGTGTTCTAGGCCTCACACACCCGAAACACCTCGTCGTCGCCGAGGACGTCGAGCTGGGCAAACCCGACCCCCGCTGCTACCTGCTCGGAGCGAAGAAGATCGGGCTGGAGAACTCGAAGAACATCGTTGTCCTCGAGGATGCGCCGAGTGGAATCAAGGCTGGCAAGGCAGCGGGGTACAAGGTGATTGCGCTGGCGACGACGCACTCTTTGGAGAAGATCCGCGAGGCCGGGGCGGACTGGATTGTTGAGGATTTGCGCAGCGTCTCAGTCAAGGGCGTTGTGGATGGTCAGGTCCAGATTGAGATTCGGAATGCGCTGCAATAGGCGTGGAGATGTGTTGGGGTTTGGGGTTACATTGGGGATACAGATGCAGGGACCAGGATTTGAATTGCTACTAGGTTGAGTCGCACAGTAGGAGATGATGCTTTTGGCTTGAGATAAGCGTGCGCAGCAGGTTTCACAATAGCTGTGCGATTACTCGTTGGCTTGATGCCGAGTCCCTGGATACTGGTACCTTTTTGAACCTTCTCAGTACATACTCTTCTACCTATGGTTCCTCTTCACTGCGTTGGTACATAGCACCTTACTTGGCCTGACCATGTCGATATCTTGTTTCTGGGAGTGTTTCGCATGTACATTCTTGGACATATCTTACTGGCAAAAAGTCAGACTAAAGGACTACTGGCGATAGAGAAGCATAATAGATGATCAATTCGAGTCGCAGGGTCGTTGCCTCGACCTACAGATCGACATTCTTCCTCTACGCATACATCCTGCTATGTCTTGAGGCCAAAGAACTTGTTTATCACTCAGCTCCAAGACACGATGAAACTGGATTACATCCACCAGGTTGGAGGGTAACACAGTATCTACGCCCTTGAGACATCGGGCACCGGCCCTTCAACGCCTACCGAATCCAACACCGAGCATGTCCGAAACACATCTTTACAAGTCTACGCCCTGTCGACAACGCTGTCCAGCATCATCACCAAGCTGAAACAATGCAAGCTTGACAAAGGGCGCAATATGAAACTCCTACCCTCCTAGGTAAAAGTCTCGTCCTGGCTGAGTATGCACCGACAGATGCCATTCTACATATGCCGCATACTGTACTCCAAAACGAAGAGATCCTCTATGATGATGACATGTCAGCCCTAGACCCTGCTTTGCTGTGCAGTAAGCATGACGACGAGCACTGGATTAGAGGCTCGGAGTTTCTTCGCCGCGTTTCAATATCAATCAAGACCCTTGAAACGGTGTAGCCAAGGGGTGGCGCGCAGCAGGGGATTATGATCCTTGCAGGACGGACTGCCCAGTGGGAGATGGCCGGTTGCTACGGAGGGACGTAGGGTGGCCAGTACTGTCTGTAGCTACAAGGGTACTACATAACTACCCTTGTCCTGCTCTACAATACTCTACTGTACGTGCAGTGGTATCCAGCGGCAACGTCCAGCCCAGTAAGTAAGTAGCCAACCACGTAAACGCCCCGGTTTACTTCCTGCGAACAGCAGTTCATGCAAGTTTGGCCACGGCTGTAACTCGGGGTCCAGTTCAGAGGACAATATTGCCAGGATCCATCCCCCGAAGTTGAGATCCGGACGTGTTGAGGGAGGCTGGATGATGGAGAAGGGAACTGTGACTTGGGGAACAGTCCCAATCCCATCAAAGCGAGCCGCATCGTGCAACCCGGGTGCTGCACGGCTAGGGCGCGTCCTCACGAGGCAAATTCTGCTCGGCAACAAAGTATATTGTCCAGTTGCTTTTGAAGGATTGAATCTCGGATCCGACTCGGTATGCGTTGCAGATCTAGGTGTCGATCCTGATTCAGCTGCCGATGGTCCGGAAGACGAGATAGGACTGACGCGAAATAGAGCAGATCAAGTCACACCTAGGGCAGAACAGCCGCCGAGTAGGAAAAAGTAGTTGCATAGCACCAAGCTTCCTCCATTGGAGCGGTGCAGTAAGTCCCGGTGTGCAAAACATGCAAGGGGGATCCATGTCGAATCCAGTGCACGGGTCAGAGCTCGCATCACCGTCCAACGAGACTCAAGCACGAATGAAGAAGTCCAAATAGAGTATCTCTCGGTCAAGCTCAACTCACAGGCCCCAAGTCAACCCCTCGGTACGCGTGATAAGGAAAGAAAAAAAATGGTCACGGTAATGCAAAACCAGCACGTACATGACGACGAACTGGACTGGGGGGGGAGTCCAGTGCATGAGCTGGATACTCTTTGCTTTTTGCTTCTTGCGGCTGGCCCTGATTCCGATCTTGACCACAGCATCGGGACGTGCTGGATCGAACGGTACGGCAGCACCATCCCCTGATCCTCGCGCGGTACATGCAGGTGCAGGGTGCAGGATGCTTCCCGACAGTGTCATGGCGGATCATTCTTCTCCTGCCTGTTTCAGCGCAGCAGGATCCTGGGCAGATCATCCGTGGCTTGCTACGTGCAAGTACGTGCAGGTTCCTGTAGAAACAAAACCTTCGTCTTCCCTGAAGGACGCACCGGACAAGCCCTTGGTAAAAACGCCATTGGCCCATGGCTTTGACAAATAACTTAGCGTCCTGTATCATATCTTTCTGCTTGCAGGATGAATTATTCCTGGGCATCACGCACCGCCACAGGGTTAAGCGTTCGAAAAATTGCCGTGCCACATGAAGGGGGAGACGGAACGATGGGAGATCGTCAGGCAGGAGTAGATAATGGAAGAGAAGGACTATAATAGTGACAGTATTCCATATTTCCAGAGGTATTCCGTACAGTACGGAGTACTATACAAGGTTCAGGCCCTGGACAAGAGCAGCAGACAAGTCACATTTCGAGGAACTTTGTGGCTTCGGTGCATCTCGTAGAGGTAGAGACGTAGACGAAAAAAAATGTCTCTCAACCTCAGTCAGCCACCTTCTTCCTCTTCAATCCTTTCTTTTCTCCTCAGGCTGTTGCTGTTATTGCTGTAGACTGAAGAGGCCGAAAACCCCCGGGTCCGCTCTTGCATCGCATGAGACTCGAGTACAGGGGGGCGTTGAAGACCAAGTGTCCGCCTTGACAATTCAGGGCCCACCTGCAGAGCCACCGTGTTCCAGAGATTATGACACAATGGCTTGAGATCTAGGGGGGTGGCTTCAAGTAGTTGGGCTTTGGATGATGTGGGAGTTGGTGGATCTGAGGATCTCCCCAAGTTGCTAAATGCTAAATGCTAAATGCCTAGGCCAACGCGCTTGAGACACGGGGTGATGGAGCGACAGAAAGAAAGAAAGAAACAAAAAAAGTCCTATACAAAGTACTATACAGTCCTGTGGCTGCCGTCACACGTCGATCAGTAAGAAACCAAAAAAGTCGGGGAATTTTCTGGGTAGAGGGTCTTTTTTCTTGAGCCTGTGCTTTTCCCTTGTCCTTTTTTTTGCCGACGAAGGGAGAGTACGATACGAGGAAATCTAGGTGTATGGTATGTTTACACGCGTATACGGAGATTTAGAGGCGTATATTTGAGTAACTGTGTATTATTCAAGATTTGAGATTGTTTGATCCCGGCACAACGGTTCACGCCAGATTCGATCAATAGTCGGATGGGGGGGCTGGGGATCCGTGCGGGCGTTGCAGATCTCTCCAAGTTGAAGCATTGCTCATGGAACCAATGAGAGAGGAGGAGAAAAGAGGTGCCATTGGGCGGTTTTTACCTACGAGGGACGGAGAATAGGGAGAGACTCAAAAGGAGGTGCACTAAATGGGACTTGACCAAGTTGAGTTAGTAACCCCAAGTTAGACTGTCAGTGTCGATCATTCGTGCTTGGCCTTTGGAGTTTGGACTGTGCCCCCTTCTCCGAGCCCATGGTACATAGTTAACTTAGGTTAGTTAGTTGGTTGACTAATTTCTGACTGATTTCAGACTCCATTTCACGAACATCGTGATCATGGCGGAGATGGCGGAGATCATAGTCGGCCCCGTTCCGGCTCAATTGGTCCCCTGCACGCCATAGCTAAACATCCTAGACCATCCCGTCTCGGACTGGCGTGTCCATAGTCAATACTAGTGATCTACTGTCATCTACACTTTCCTCACGGGGAAAAAAACCTCCACGAACATGTGGACAGAGCGAAGACCTCAAGGGCTTCTCGGGAGATTCTCGGCTTGGCTGAAACCAATAGTTAGAGTCTAACTATCGACGCCTGATACAGTAGTTCGCACGACAGTCCTTCTCTTCTTGGTTTTCTCGATTCTTGGTTCTCGCCATGTGCGCTGTGGATTCGGTGGAGATTCTCCATAGTTGCCGAACCATGAGAACCGGTCCTCCCAGATTCCCACGAAATAGAGTCTACAGACAAAGCCAAATAAACAGGAATCTGTGATTGGCGGCCCTGATAAGCGCTCTGCTGCACATGAAGCTTTCAGTTCATCACAGATCTTGGCTGGCAATGACGGTGGGTGATGATATGCCATACGATCATCACCACGAAACGATCAGCCAGACGCGGCATTGTTCTCCCTGTTAGCAGTTCACACCGCACGTCTACCAAGGTCCTCGGATCGGTGATCGACCGTACAGAGTAACAAGGTTTGTCGGGTGCAGAAGAATGCCACGTTGTAGCACGATTGACGTGAATGCGGAGCCTGAACTGCCCCTAGTCTGTAGATCCCATCCCATCCCCGGTCCAGTCAGTCTAGTCTACAGCACAGAGAGTACGTGGTGGTTAGTACAGAGCACATGGGGCGGTGCTATACCAAAGCTCCAGACTATCAAGCCTCATTGTCACTACCCTCGTTGATGAGAGGTCACGTTCATGATGACAATTATCTCCGGTGAGAGAGGAAAATGGGGCCAGTTCGTGATCACTGCTCTCCACTTGCAGGTCCCCGAAAGAGTGATCCACATTAGCCCAAGAAAAGGATCGCCCGGAAATCGTCGAGCGTTGGACATTCTTGCTGCGTTCGAGTCAGATCCTGTGCTGAACAGGGAAAGCTGATTCGTTGATCACTGCGCGAAGTGGGATGGAGGGGTTGTTTCCACGCCTTGGGGCTTGGAAGCCTTGGGCAGAGAACGAGAGCGAGAGCTTTGCTTCCTCCGGTGGTCTGGAATTTTTGTCTGATTAGACTGATCACGACTATTGGCGTGGCTATGTGGATAGCTAGTATCTACAGCGACGCCTCGAGACGACTTGTGGAATAGAAGCGGGGATGGAAGGCGTTCGTACGACAGTATCAGAGTTTTTGAGATGGACAAAAAATACTTCTCTGGGACAGTGGGACGGGCCAAACCCCATAACTTAGGGTTTGCCAACAGTAATCGCCTGTGAAACGTTTTGGTGACAATCCAATGATTCTGGTTGCTGGTAGTCTGGATGCTCCTCTAGAAACGTCATCTCGTGGGGCGGCGTTACGAAGGGGAAGAAGCACCCCCGGAAAAGCGAAATCCCCCCTCGCTTTCAGGAACTGGGGATATTCGAATGTACGTACTCCGTTGAGGTTAGCATTGGAGAATGAGGAACGGAATACGGGGTGTGGGAGATGCAGGCGTCAAAAAAAAGCCATCAGGTAAGCATCATGCAGTGGCCGTCGTGAATGAAATGTCTGCGGTTCTGCAGATCCAAGCGTTTTGGCGCTCCAACCTTGACAGGCATTGGGTACGGACGGTGCAGTACCCTGCAGCAGGCACTGGCAGCAGCAGTATCTTCTTCCGGAGTGAGCTTCTCCGTTGCGTCCAGCAGCAAAGCTCTGGTCAGGCCAAGCTCCGAGTCACCCGGAGGAGCTGCTGCAAAGCCTGGACGTGCGCCTGCAAGTCGAGGATCAGGAGATCCTCTAGACATGTTCCGATCCTCCGATCCTCTGATCTTCCGATCCTCTGGGGGAGAGGGGGAGATGTTCCCAGTCCTGCCCAAATCGGCGAGCCAACGAGGTGACGAGGAAAACGAGGAAAGGGGGTGGATTTTGAGGCGTCAGCCTCGTGATCCGCGGTGCATGGAGCCTCTCTGGGCAGGACGTTTAGCGCCGCGACCAGGGCCAACCAGACCATCGGGAGAGAATGAGATGTGTTGTATCGTTCAACAATGACTGGAGCCTGTTCTGACTGCTAGTATTCTCCAAGGCAGATTTGTGAATTTGTGAATTTCTTGACTCGGAAATAAAAAAGAAAACCGAAAACAAAGCTCGGCAGATCCTGAGTGATCGACGGGATCGGTCGACTATTGATGTTTAGCCTGGTCTTGGCGGGGCCTGCCATTTCCTGCCTCACTAGTATCTTTTTGGGGTCGACGTGGGGGCTTGAGACTTGAGACGCTGCCAAACCTCGAAGAACGGGGTCAGCCTCAGATCTCAATAGTGTGTATGTTGACGACATCAGGATCCATTCCTTGAGTTGGTCCCCTTGGTCCCCTATCTCCCAACCGCAGAATCACGTGGTACTTGGCATAGCCAATTAGCCATACTTACATAGAATAGTTAGTTAAGTTAGACTTGGGAGTTAATTAACTACGGAGTAGCTGAATACCAAATCGAGCCCGGGGAGCAGGAACCCGATCACCCGACCCAACGGACTGGTCTGGGACGAGGAAATATCTCGAAACACCGGCAAAGCCTGCCTTGGCCTTTGTGCGCCCTTTCTTCCTGCATGTCTGGACGTCTACACGGTCTGCGTCTGGCTCACCACGTTGGGTACTACACCGTATACTCTGGGAACGTCGAGGCCTTGGATACCTCTCAGGTTCAGTCATGAAGCTTTGAAAGAGGGGGGATATGCGGGGCTTATCTTAGCGGCAAGTTAAACGTAGTTACATCCTTTTCAGATTAAATTGTCATACATCTTAACTTACTTTGCATTGATTGGCGGGTTACGAATTACCATGGACATCCATTCCGTGTAGAATCCAGTCGGAAACCAAACTATCTACTCCATTGTGGAGTGATATTTTCAGTCGAATCTACGGAGAATGAAGCCGATGCTGGACACTTGGTTACTGGGATCACCACCCCTGTGATCGGTCTTGGCTCCACGATGAGCCACTTTGGGGGATCAGACATGACGCTAATGCAGGAACTGTCCAACAAGCGGCTGGTTCGGTCTCGAGCGAACTTGGTAATTTTGATACCGGATTTACTTTGAGCATACTTAAAATACCACATATATTAGACACTTTACCGCTCGTCTGGACACTTATTGAGCATGCTATAATTAACTCGGATAGGCTGGATAGATATAATGCGTATTTCTTCAGACTCTGATCCGTAACATGTTACTATACAGGGTAAACTGACTCGTGAAAAGATCGGAACGCTACCCGTCGAGGTTATCATCCACACCGTAACCATGGATCGTTTGTTTACTTGCGAACCTTGTGCCTGACTAAAATGCCTGGTCACGGGTGTTCTTAATCAGCCTATCCAGTTAGCGCCAAGCCCCTTTTTTCCAGTAGAGAAGATAAGTGATGGTCCAAATCCACCAAATTCTTCTCAAGCCAAATTTGCACAATTTTAAACTAATGAACTAGTGATAGTTTTAAAGTTTACAGTCCCCCGTCTTCAGTAGTGTACGGGGTACCAGATCCAAAATTCTCCTACGGAGAACAATCCTACGTACGAATGTGTTGAAAAAAAAATACCGTGTCTCTGCAAAATACCGTATCTACTTCAATACCGAGTTCAGGACTGGGTACCGCATCATAGTGGAGCCCAGACCTCAAACAGCGGTTGATCAGACCCTCTCTGCTGATTGGTGCCAGCGATCCAAATTGGATCTCTCCATTTTTTTGGTTTAGGGCTTGCCGATAGACACCGATACTCGGGGAGGAGAAGAAATCCACTTTTCTGGGAGAATCTGTCATGGCGATTAGCTCTGCTCTCCCGAAGGCTGAAGGCTACCCTAACAAAGTTATCTACTGTACCCTAAATGGGATGTTCTTCGGAACGTCCCCTAAACTATACTATCCGTCTGTATAAGTTTATCCTATACACAAGATATACCATAAACTCGTGTTGTAAAAAAGTAAAACACCTATGCACTCTCTCCCCAGTCTCGCCAGTCTGTTCGAGGGCCCAGGCCAGATCGGAATTCTATTCTGGACCCGATGAGAGAGGTGTGTGTGACCTTTCGCAGCCCGCAGCAAGCAGTCGAGGGCCGAGTACCTCCGGTAGGTCCAGCAGGGCCGCCACCCCCTAGAAACCGCGCGGGTGGTAGCGCGACTCCACGAAGGCCGTAAGTGGGGAGGTTATTTTCAGTTTTTTTTTTTTCAGCCCAGTTGAAGAGGGTCCCATCACGAGAAAATGGGGGGAAAAGGTACGAGTCCGAGTCTTTTTGGTTATAGCATTACGGGAAATATATTACAGCCGGCTATAGTGGGGACCCTTCTAACCAGAACTGGGCCTGAGAGACGATCTTTGTCCCTGTGTGCCGTGTGAGATGCTCGAGCGCCGGCTTAAGCCCCGTCGATACCGGCACCTGGCGTCTACAGATACGAAGAGCCTGTGCCAGAGAGTGGTGGCTCGTATGGGGAGAGAGAGGGAGTTGCGGAGGAGCTTTGGACGGGCTTAGGGAATAAATTAATGAGTTTTTTGTATATAATAGTAAACAATTCACATGGATAATAATAGCAAGTGATATAGCTTTACGGAGTACCTGGTGGAAAATAAAAATACGGGTACCCGATCGTACCAGATCTGTACCACAGCTCCCCCGGTCTTTGCGTACCGCCCCGTACCAAATTACCAAGCCCAATCCTCCTCCTCTTGTCCCGATCCTCCATCTCTCTCTCCATCGTAACTCCGCCGTGCTCCTCTCCTCCTCTCCTCCTCCTTCTTCCTCTTCTTCATCACTCCCTCCCCACTAACTACTACTTTCCTTAATTCCCCTATACATTCTTTTTCTTTCCTTTTTCTGATTTTCTATTATCTTGGCCTGATTCCTTCTAGGCCTCCGTCTCTCCTTTAATCAACCTTGTATGCCCTCACTTGGCTCGTTTCTTTTTCTACCTACGTCCACCCACATTCCTTCCAAGCTCGACACTCATCACACTTCGCGCTGTTCTTGATATAGCCCTCCTGTGTCGTACCTGTACTCCCCTCCTCGTGCAGCGACCTTCCTTCCTTTAGAACTCTCGTTCTCCCTCCTCGATCTACTCTTCCCTAATCCCTCCTCCACCTCCCTCATACAACATCTCTCTCCCTCCTCCTCCACCCTCTCACCCCCGTCTCTCATTTCACAGCCATGAGCTACATTCACCCCTCATGGAACTACCAACCCCATTCGGGTATCCCAATGGACCACGCCATGGCCTATGACCCGACCATGGTGCCGCCGCCCATGATGCACCACCACCCCATTGACGGCTATCTCTACCCTCATCCACCCATGGAGATGCTCGACTATTACCACCAACCCATCATGGACTACGACGAATACACAGAGAACCTCTCACGCCCTCGCTTGACCAAGGAGCAGGTCGAGACCCTGGAGGCTCAGTTCCAAGCTCACCCCAAACCCAGCAGCAATGTTAAGCGGCAATTGGCGGCTCAGACTAACCTAAGTCTCCCTCGAGTAGCGGTATGTCCTCCCTATATTGATTTTACTGGTTACCACGATCGGGGTGACAGATATGCTAACTTCCCACCCGCGTAGAACTGGTTCCAAAATCGACGCGCCAAGGCCAAACAACAAAAACGCCAGGAGGAGTTTGAAAAGATGCAGAAAGCCAAGGCAGAGGCCGAGGAAGCTGCACGACAAAAGTCAGAGACTATCGATCAACTGTCCGAGTCTCGCCAGGCCTCAACTGTCAAGGAAGAGTCCGAGGACTCCGCCACCCCCAAGCCAGAGACTACCACCACCGCATCCACAGCCACCACTTCGACGCCGGAGACCAACAAGGAGGATGGCAAGACAAAGAAGCACCAGAAGACAAGGAGTGAATCAGCTCGGGAGGCAACGTTCGCTTCCCTGCAACGGGCATTGAACGCTGCTTGCGCTGCCCGAGACCGCTTCACGGGCCGCCGAGGCAGCAAGCACGAGGAGGAAGAAGCCGTTTCTCCCACCTCGATGGCCCCGCCTAGCACTGCCCCCAAGTCACAAGAAAGCAAGGCCCAAACCACCTATGGGGCTAGCTACCCGGATTGGCAGAATAACGAAGAGTCCGCGTCATGGGCCTCGTCGCATGGCCATGCCGAGACGAACTCGTGCCAACCAATTCCAGAGGTGCCTAGCTCCACGCACTCTGCGCCCCAGAATGTAGAGGCCTTTGCTGGAGCTCAGTACCCAGCTCAGAATGAGGAATGGGCCGAACACTCCAAGAACAAGCTTCCCGGACATGGGAGCCTCGAGTACAATAACATGCAGTACCCGATGGCCCTGCAGACACCAGATATCTCCGTCACTCGACGCGAGTCTTCTGGTGCGCTCACTGCTCTCGATGGCATCGGAATTCACACTGGCGAGTCGGGGATGCCGCAATCATTGGGCCGTAGTGGAGGAGCATCGTGGAAGGAGGCTGGAAAGGAGCTGGATCTTGCCGCGCGGCGCAAGCGCCCCCGTCCCGCTGCCATTGGCACCTCAAACACCCACTCTCTGGCTGTCTCGACTTCTATGTCTTCCCTTTCCCCCACGAGCCGCGTCCCAAGCTCCGCCGGTGCCGGCAACTCCATGAGGCACTCCAAGTCAGCCCAATGTCTCAACACCCGGTATGCCGGTGTCCGAAAGGCATCCGCCGCCCAGCGCTCTCCTCTGAACTTCACTTTCGCCGAATCCGGGTCTATGAAGGCCAGCAAGGCCGAGATGCTGCGCCCGTCCGTGTCGTCGTCGAGCCTGGCTCCGCCAACTCCGTTGACCCCTCAAGACTTCCAGCACTTCCTGCCTGCCTCGCCGACGGAAAGCAACTACTGCTTGTCTGCACACTCTACAACTCAGTTCTTCCCTTCCTCCCAGCCGATGCAAGTAAATATCGCGTCGCCCCCTACCACGCCGCTGGATATTTACTCTCCCTTCCCATACCAGCATGTCGCCCCACCAATGTCAGCTCCGGCGCAGGTTTCCACATTCCCCGAGTATGTGAGCTGTGATCCGGTGCCCATGACCGCCCGGAGCTGGGCAGACACTGGCTCTATTCCCTCTCCCGACTTCCAGAGTAGTCTCCAAGTGGCTCATTCAAGCACTGTCTCTCCCATTGCGTTTGAGTCAGCGGTCGACCACTCTGGCCATGCATTTGCCATGGAACCCGTTTCCGGCTCTCCCTCTTTGATCTACTCGGTTGAAGATGCGGACATGCAGGGATCGGCGGACGCTGGTGAACGGAAGCAACCTGAGTTTATGATGCATGACTACGAGCAGCAGCACGACCCTCGCTTTGCTGCCCATCACATGGGCCACAAGGCCAAGGCCTATACGTTTGCGAACAACACGACCCAGGGTCACTACCCTTCTTGAGGTGGTTGACTTCCTTTTACAACCCTTCTTGGAATCGGGATCGGTTGGCTATTGAATGAGAAACGTGCCGCGATAAATATGCTTTTGTTGGTCTGGGACGAACTGCTACGCACCTTCTCGTTTTTCACGTGCGAGTTGTTTTGCTCCCGCTTGATTTTCCCGTCTTTTTTGGTCTTCGCTATTTTTCCACCTACGGGGGGGGCCCCTGTTTATGTTTGATGCCCCCCGTGCGCGGATGACCAGTCACTGTTGAAAGCTGCCTCTTACATAACTCCTTTCTTCTTTTGTCTCTCTATTATTCGGTGTTTGTCCCACCGGGGGTGTTTACATACTTGGAGCATTGTGTGCATTTGTGTTTATTGGCCTGGGATATTCGATTTGGGTGTCTGATATGACTTTTTTAATTCTTCCGAGCCATCGCTGCTCGAGACCCTTTTTTTTACCTTCTCTGTGGCCTATTGGACCACCCATTGTTCGTTTCTTCGTTCATTCTTACACCTATTGTTCTTTTGGGGATTGGGCTTGGCTCCTTTTTTTTATGGGATGGGTTTTGGACTTGCATATTTGGCAGCAACTGGCTATTTGATACATACTGAAATGTACCTATCTTCTCTATACCTACTCTATTCTTGTTCGCTATTAATTGCTCTCTGTGACTTTTTCGCTCGTGACATAATCTATATAACAGGGTTTAAGTGTCCACCATGGTTCAATATGCAATATATTATCTCTCGAGAACCATTCTTCATTCGAATGTCATTTCCGAGCTACCCTGCGCTTACAGACGATCCAAAGGCTTCTTTGCCGACGCACGACGTCTGCCATGGCTTGCGATTGGCCACACGTCAGGAAGTCAACGCAATTGAAACTTCCAACAGCGACTAATTCGGCGTCGCTTCCTAATTAGCCGATAGTGAGTCTATTTGATATGGCTAGTAGCCGAGTAGTGGAAGTTTTAGTTTGTTTAGCGGCCAGCCAATTCTTCCGGATGCTGGCACGCCCTACCACGTGCGCCGCTCCGTTGGCCGTCGCTCCTCCGCTTCCTTTGCGATCGACCCACTGCGGAGAGCTTCAACGTCCTCGCCCTTCCGCACCGGACGGTCTCCGACTCTCCGTTAGTGACACTTGGTGTAGGTATAAAAGTGATGGCTCTGCCGATCTTTTCACGGCTTCTCTCGCTGTCCACCTGCCCGACAGTCTTCGGTATCGTCAAACTACAGTGATCCGCAATCATGAAGCTTTGCGCTCTGAGCCCGGCCCTTTTGGGTCTTGTCGCATCCGTGCAGGCCACTTCGTCCTGGTCGATTGAATACTCCACCGTGACGGGATATTTCCTGCAGGATGAGACTGCGACTGATGCGTCGACCTTTGACTATGTATGTTTAGCTTCGAGATCTTTTTTTGGGAAAAAATTACCGATCTTGATCTAACCATTCCTTTTGTTTTGACGTACAGACTGCTGTCAACTTCGGTCTCATCAACCGCACTTACCCCGCAGACCAGTCGCTGAAGCACAATGGCAAGGACTTCACCCAATGGGAGCGCTTCTACCACCAGGTCCAGAAGCTGAACGACGAGTCCAACAAGGACGTCGAGTACAAGGTGCTTTTCCTCGGCCGCCATGGTGAGGGTTGGCACAACGCCGCGGAGACCTACTACGGTACTCCAGCCTGGAACGTGAGTCCACATTTCCCCCTCATAGCAACCTTCGCCCACCACCTAGCTAACCATGATCCCCCTCCAATCCAGTGCTACTGGGCCGAACTTGACGGCAACTCAACCGCAACCTGGCACGATGCCGCCCTGACCACCAACGGCATCAACCAAGCCCTCAAGGCTCACAACTTCTGGCAAAAGGAGATCGACGAGCAGCGCATCCACACTCCGGATAACTACTACGTCTCCCCGCTGACCCGCACCCTCCAAACCGCCAACTACACCTTCAACGGCCTGAACCTGCCCCACGGCGCTGCCTCCTTCAAGCCGCTGATCAAGGAGCTCTTCCGCGAGGGCATCAGCATCCACACCTGCGACCACCGCCGCAGCAAGACCTACATCAAGGACCTGTTCCCCTCCTGGCGCATCGAGAGCGGTTTCGCCGAGGACGACGAGCTCTGGAACGGCGTGACCGCTGAGACCAGCGCTGCGCAGGACGTCCGCTCTACTACCGCGCTGGGCGAGGTCTTCTTCGCTGCTAGCAGCAAGGAGGATTCCTTTGTCAGTGTGACCAGCCACTCGGGCGAGATTTCGTCTATCCTGCGTGTCCTGGGACACCGCACTTTCAGTCTGAGCACCGGTGCTGTTATCCCTGTGCTTGTTAAGGCGGAGAAGGTTAAGGCTACTGCTTCTACTACTACCTCTGTGTCGTGGACTGTTAGTGCGCATTGCACGGCGCCCCCCGTGACTAGTGTTACGGCTTGTGTTTGCCCGTCGAGTGCGGTGCCTGTTACGACCCCTTTGGTGACCGATGTTTAGATTAGATTAGATTTTTTTTTAATTGACGGGACGCCGAGTCCCATGGCATATGTACATTTATGAGTGTTTGCATGTAGATTTATGGATATTTAGTTGTGTGCGACAGCCGTGGCTGTTTGAGTGTTCGTAACAGATCGAAGGCTTCTCATTTTTAATGCCCTAGCTGAGAGGTATGAATCTATCATCAGCCCCTCCACTTTGATGGGAAGCCGTATAGACATACGGACACCTCGAAAGGCCCTTCGGCGATTCTCTAGCTAGACATGGAAAAGCGAAGCTGGTCCGGTCTAAAATCTCCTCGGTATGAGGAAGGTACGAGGCACAAGTGAGGCATTGGAGTAGAGATATAAACCCATCGTCCTATCTCTTAATTGCATTTTTTTGAATCGATGGTACTATCTATCTTCCTTCTTCCTCTATTAACTACGCATTGGCGTAGTTTGATCATCCTTCACAATGAGTGTCTACAAGGGCAAACTAAACGCCCCATACTAGCTATCCTACAAAGGACGTGGTTATTACCCTCGTGGCTATGGTTTCTGAACAGACTCAACAGCCGTTTTTTCTGGCTGATTCACTGTGTACTATCATTATTATCCCAAAGCCAACTATTCTATGACTGGCACCATTATAAAGCTGAGGGTAATGAGATTGAGTTGTTCGTGAGCATTAGTATCACTGGTAGGATCTTCCTCTTTTTGCGTGGTTTTTTGAATGTTCGTCCTCTACTCTATACTTGGTTGTTTTTCTATGTACAGGTACGAATCTCTGGGTTTAGGTTCGTGGGGACCGTATCGGGCGATAAGATCAATTTGAATATGAAGGAAGGTACTAAGGATTATGGGGATGCCGAGTTATCTCTTTTCTTCTCTAGTACGTGAATTAGATGAGTCTACGGTATATAGTGTTGTTATTTGGACGAGAAACCGAATGTAAAGGACCACGTTTAGTGATATTCAGAACTATGCTCGTGATTCTCTCTTCTGTATTCCTATTCTGATCTTCGGTTATGTGGCTGCAGGATGATTGATCTACTATACATGCTCCTTTTGTATGAGATGCAGTATTTTAATAGAAGAAGGGCAGTCTAGGTATTGAGGTGATAAATAGGCAAGTTATTGTCTTTCATCGGATATTTGGTCATATATAGGCCTAGGTACCTATACCTGCTAGTGGATATCTTGGTGACGGGCGGGGAGCATCCAGAAATATATTTTGTGACTTGTGAAATTCTTCATTATGCCCCTCTCTACATTAGGTATAAAAACATTACAGTAGAAGATTATTTGATTAATGGTACGAACAGTATTATGTACCTAATAAAAATATTTGATAGGACTCGAAAACAGCCATAAAGAATGACTGATGAAGATAGTTTAGAATTTTTTGTTGCAGTGTAAGTAAAAACAACAAAAAGATAACGCACGTCCCCGGGAAGGCTCGAACTTCCAACCTCCTGATTAACAGTCAGACGCGCTAGCCGATTGCGCCACGGAGACGGGTGCTTGATATAAGGCAACTAAAAATGCAATATCAACCTATTACTAGGAGGCTAAGCAAAGCAACGCTGGAAGCGGATTTGGATCTAGAAGGGGCTACAAAATGGCTTAGGTTTAGTGCATCACCATAACAAAAAACGGTAATGCCAGCGAATTACAGTCGTGCTCGGAACTGAAATTAAATAGGACTTAGGCACGTGTGTGTTTTTAGTATAGAAATATCTTCAGAATTCTCGTAACGCTCCTCACGATTGCAACAATTAGAAACCCCTTACAAGTTTAGTTGACGTGGTTGCTACTTTACAAGTTGCCCCTGCTACGTCAACGGTCATCCTCATACTGACGACATAGATCAACGTATCTTCCTCCTTGGTTTTCAAGTCTTCCAGAACGAGCGAAAGACTGGGCGACCGGTTCGAGTATGACGTACATTGAGATCGTCTTCCCCTGCCCCACCTGGTTTACCTCCTTGAGTTCTTGGAAGCCTACAGGCCACGGATGTACGTCAACCAACCAACCCTAAAGTAGATCGGTCGATCATCGATCATCGATCTGGGGATAGTGTTGGCCTAATATTATTGTCTTGTTCTGTTAAGAATAACAATGACTACAGGAAAGAAAAATGATCGTCCGCAGTTAGAAATTATGAATCATGACCACTGTCTGCTAGAATTATTATTTAATGCGCCTTGTTGCTCCGGCGATGGGATTATCGCGACGACCTCGCGGATAGTGACTATCTTGCAGGACGACCGCCACCGACACAATTTCGTGCAACAAGCCAGCTATGGCGACTCAAAAATCATGTGATACCGACTGTCCAGGGCATAGTTAGAGGAAACATGCAAATAGTTGGTTTCGGGGTTCATCGGAGCCGACAAAAACCAAGGTTCGGGTTCAGCCACTGCGTCACCGCGGAGCCTCCCGAACTAGTCCCCCTTCCAAGTAACCTAGATTGTACATTCTATGAAAATGTCTTCAGAATTTATTACGAACAGAAGATATTAATCCTGAATAAATGCGAGCATTTTGTTTTCTAGCTCTGTAGCATTAATAATATCATATAGAAATTACCCTGAAAGCTTGTTCGGCAACCCAAATGCTCCTTGTATAGATAGTCCAACCCCGCGAGAACTAGGCCTGTGGCTTGGCAGTAGCAGAATCTTGATTCTTCCGAACTCAAAAAACCCCAGAGCGTTTCTCCACAGTAGACTACTACCAGGAACTGCAAGCGTCACTGAGGGTCTAGACGGCCATGACGTAGTGAATCGAAGGACGACAATGCCATGAAGTCGAGGATAAATAACCCATGAATTGCCCTCGAACGAACTCTTTTTTCCATCAACAATCGCAATAACTAAAACACCAAACAAACCTTTCTACACTCTTCCAAACTCTACCTTCGCCGCAATGGAGACCATCAAGGTCCGTGGCTACCCATCATTCCCTCTTTTATCGCCTCTTTCACACTGTGTACTGACACACCTTTAGAACGCCGCCAACTACGTCTCTGAGACTGTCCAGGGCGCCGGTGCCCAGGCTTCCAAGACTGCCAACAAGGAGGTCGCCAAGGACTCCGATGCCAGCCTCGGCACCCGCGCCAACGCTGCCATTGATGCTCTCGGTGACAAGAAGGACGAGCACATCCACAATGCCAAGGCCGATGTCCACAAGGGTAAGCCATTTAAAGCCCACTCCAACATAATTCTTGAGCATTTTCTAACGTGGATCACAGAGGCCGCTAAGCACTAAATCGACCAATGAACGAAATGGCGTATAATGAAGACAGTGGACTGCCGCGGTACTTCTGGGCGGGTTCTTCCCTAGAGCCGCATATACCTCATGTCGCTTTCCTTACGAATACCCCATCAGATATAATTTGGCTCTCGGGCGTTCCATATATATTAAATGAACATATTTAACTTCAAAGTCGCTGTTTTTCATATATTTAATGCTCCTGGATCTTGACAGATGTTGAAGTCCCCTCGGCGGAGGACCAATTACTATAAATTTGGGATAATGGGCCAGTGTTCTTATGGCCAAGGATCGAAGTAAAGAGTTCTAACATAGTTACCCAATATAACCAACGAAAGATTGAGCGTAAAGAAGGAACAGCCTCAAGTATGTCGTGAGAGCTCAAGAGTAAACATGACCATGAGTTAGCTGCCGAAGGAATCAACAACGCAGTGGAAGTATCACTTCCTCCACGTTCATACAGAAAACCTGTTGTTCTATCAAGGTCCGTCTCATTGAATATGCACCGCGAAAGTAAAGAGCGTCAATGCCCTATTTGTAATAGAAAAATTACTCTCAAACAGTAAGAATCATAAATCAAAGCCCCGATCTTATCGGAGAGATACTGTCCACTCAAGATGTTTATGAAAGGAAAGGCAACAAATCTGGCTACTTCGCTATTGCCTGATTAGATATTCCTCCCGTTTTACTGGTATAGGGATACTATTTCCTATTCCCGACTCGCAACTTGAAGTAAGACCGGACAAATATCGGATAACTAACAAATGGTGAGGTTGGATCTAGTTGTCACATTTTAGACTAGGGGAGGCGTCAGCACTAACGGGTCTAGATTATATGCTGGGTCACTGTAAATTATTCAACAGCCGATTGAAACCTTCAAGAACCGTGTGACAAACAGCTAGCGCTGCATGTCATGCCGAAAACGCGCGAGGGGAACAGGCCATGAAACGCCACTAACCCATGATTATAACTGAGGTCGGGCTTTATGTGGTTCTGTAATATCTTCAGTGCTACTGATTCCGAAGCTAATCCGATAAGGGTATTTGGTTTCTGGCTTGTAATGTAAGGTATCACAACTGCCAGTGTTTTTGGGGGCTGGATCGACTGTAACATCCCCACAGGCATTCAACAGACGTTCACCGATAATTAGTGATTAGTTCTATTACTATGTAACATGTCAGCATCCTTAGCCTTCACCAGGCCCCTCAGTCAGCACTAGCTATGAATGTCTAGGGAATCGGGCTTATTATCTAGAATTTGATCCTCCGCTCGTCATAATACTAGTTCAAGACTCTCGGTGAGCAATACCAAAAACAATGGGGGCAAATCCGGGGCTGGAACCTTCAAGTTACGTTACGTTTAGTTATTCTCTAGGCCTTTAATAAGCTGCAGCCTATGCAGATAGCAGCTCCTTGCATTTACTTTACCCCGCTTCTCGCTAGAGGTCCACTTTTTCTTTCTGTGGAAAACTTCTTACCACGAAGATGTCAAATGGAGCTAGTTAGACTCACCGAGTAATTAATCCTGCGTGAAAATCTAGTTCAGGAGAAGGGAACCTGAGGAGTGCAACTTCACGTATGGACCCTTAGCTTTTAGCCCCTAAGCTGAAGTTTGAAGCATCTGGCGAGACACGTATGTGCAGGTTTCTCATAGATTCGTTCCGGCCTTTTGACTGTCTATCATCCCGCTTCAGTACAGTTTCAAGACATCGAAGTCCTGTCCTGTTCACCGAAGGAGTCGTCCTTAAGCTCGAGATTTAGAGTATACATGACTCTTCGCATTTGTCGTAGTGGGGCATTCTTGTCCATGCTAGAGCTGTCGTCTAAGAAATTGCTCTTTATCATCTGTAGAATGCTTCTTCGTTGGGTGACTTTAGCTTAGTGACGACTGCTTATTTGATATATTTTAATCACCCTTTTTCTTGATTCATTCATGAGGTTAGCATTAAGTCCAAATTTTGCATATTGGAAATATCTATCGAAGTCTTCGTGGTACAAGCAGCCATAATTCAAATCCATAGAGCTGCATGTAGCTCCTTAGTTGCGTATCTGCTTAGAGCTTCAAGACGTAAAAGCTCTCCTTGAAATTAGAGCAATAATAGAGAATTCCTAACAGAGCCACACCCGCCGCAAACTTGAGCCCAAAGAATCGAGTCCCTTTAGCTCGTTGATCCTGTATTGTTTCGCCTCGCTTGAATGTAGCCTTTGTTTTTGGCATCTTGGCTTTGTTGGCCGCGCTATATGGTGGATATCTGAACGCCAGCAGACGATCGAACCACTTTGGCGGGCTCATGATAGTCCTCATATGCGAAAAAGTTCTGAAGCCATACGGACCATGATAGTAGCCATGTCCACTTCCCCCACCCCACCAAACGGGGCCCCAGGAAAGCCGGCGTGAAGAATGACATCGTTAATTGTCACTCCGCCTGAGTTAGTGTTGTCAAGTACTGTTTCCTTCTCGTCAGTAATAACATCTTGGTATTCAAGGGGCCTGATGGGTCTACGCAACTCTCTTGAATTTCTGATTTATCCGAGCTAAATATGTACAGAGCCAAGGGATAATCTTTGCTATTTGGGAGTTAGTAAAGCTCCCTGGCTGGAGAAATAGCAAACTCACCTCTTAATTGTGCGACAGGCCTCGCGAACGTCTGATTTCAGAATGGGACAGATGGGCCCAAAGATTTCTTCAACGAGTAACGGGTCTAGCGATGCGTTTTAGCATGAGCTCTGAATGAAGGAAGCAATTCGAAGGCCATATACCATCCATGTCAAGACCAATCACCACAGCTGGCTCCATCCGACAGAGTTCATCACTTTGCCCTCCACCACAAACTACCGTTCCTTTCGTCTGTTGTAAAAGGCTGGAAAGCCTGTCCCAGTTCTGCTGATTGACGATCGCTGTGGTAATCTTTTGCTCACCGTGCAGGAATTGTTGACTCCAGTGTCTTAATCTCTTCACAAACTCGTCATGCACCGCTGCATCAACAAATACATGATTGACTGCTAGACAGATTTGACCTGCGTTGAGGAATTTGGAATATGCAATAGCTTTGGCGGCGCGCTCCAAATTTGCTGATCTACCGACGATAGCAGGACATTGACCACCTAGCTCCAAGGTCGTAGGGGTCAGACTTTTTGCTGCAGCTGTACTTATATGCCGACCAACATTTGCAGAGCCAGTGAAGAAGATGTGGTTGAAGGGAAGCTCAAGTAGTTTAGTGGTCTCGTCGACGCCGCCACAGACTACCCTAATTGCAGTCGGATCAAGATATCGAGTGACCAAGTCTCGAAGTAGATTTTGACAGGCCACTGTAAGTTCGGATGGCTTGATGATTGCGCAACAGCCAGCTGTGATAGCAGCGATGAGCGGCTGCAATACAAGTAGAACCGGAAAGTTCCATGCACCGATGATGAGAACAACGCCCAGAGGCTCTTTTCGAATTCGTGCCACACCTAGTCGTTTTGCGATGAAACTATCACCCACAGGCTCATCGGCTGTCCAGGTATCTATGTTGTCAAGGTGATACAAGATGTCCTTTCGAATGCCGGCGAGATCGGTGAGATAGGTTTCAAAACCAGGTCGATTCAGATCACCTTTGATAGCATCAACAATAGCTTGCTCATTTTCTTCGACAAGCCACCAGAGCTGCTTAAGTTGCCATTTGCGCCAGGCAATGTCTTTGGTTTTACCTGTTCGAAACGTGCTCACGAGGGTGGAATGGAACATTCGGATTTCTTTAACGCTGTCATATCCACTATCCTCGATACCCATCTTGTCAAAGATAGTGCGAGGTAGAGCCAAGAATGTATGTGAGTTAGAATAAGGAATGGGAGAGAAAGAAAATGATTTAATTGGAGTTTTGAGTCTATCCACTGGCTTGTCACCAGTTGCTGCTTATTGTCAACAGCCAACATCTTGTATGTAATGCAGAAAGTCACGAGACTACGGTCATGGTATTTCAAGTATTGTTCCAGACTGGTTTGGCCACCGTTTTTACCTGTCATTACCGTTCAGCCAATTCCGTGCCACTAGCATGCTTAAACCCGATGGATTTTATGCAGAGATTGCCGATCAAAACATTACCGACAACTTTCCTTTCCAACCTCCTCAACCCCATGGTAACCCCATGTCGAGAGGGTCTTTAGTGAAGCGCTATGACTTGCCTCGGCTCTAAGATATACCGGAATTTTGAGGCTAACCGGGCGTATGCATGCGGCCATTTTAGTGCTTACTTTGACGGAAAAGAATGTCCCGATTAAGCAAAACGAGACTGCGGAGATTTCCATATCAACGGAGATATTGAGGAATAGGATCTTAATCCTGCTGCAGGATCAGAACCCAACAATTTACCCCTCTACTGCAATGCAACCTTGAATAACGGATATCTCCTGTCACGGCGGAATATCGGAGCTTGCTGTCTGGTCCTTTTTGAACTAATTATCTATGCCAACCGCTGAAATTGGACGATCTCATCAAACATGAAGATGTCTCCGAACAGCCCATCTGCCTCAGCGATGCACCCGTTTATCTTAGTGGATGGAGTCACCAACTTCCGCGATATCGGAGGCTATGCATGTCAACCTTCCACCACCGCATTGTCCCCTTCAAGCCGGGCCGTCTTTGAGGATCCCGAAGAACAATGGTGTATTCGGCCAGGCTTCCTTTTCCGTGCAGCACAGCCATCCCAAATCACCCCGGCAGGGGTGGAGATCTTGACGAAGAAACTGGCTATTCAAGCCATCTTTGACTTTCGCTCAGAGAGTGAGATTCAGCTTGTGTCCAAACGCTATCCCAACTCGCTCCTCAGTATTCCGGGGACCACTCGCCACGCAGTGCCAGTATTCCAAGCCGGCGACTACTCTCCAGTATCACTGGCAAAACGATATGGAGTCAGTGCGGATGACTCGACGCAGGGTCAGGAAATCAGACCGGGATTTGTCAAGGCCTACGAGGCCATTGCGCGCAACGCGGCTCAATCGGGCAGCTTCCGCGCTATCATGCAGCACATTCTGCAGGATTCGACAGGCCCGGTATTGTTCCACTGCACCGTGGGCAAGGATAGAACAGGGGTGTTTTCGGCTTTAATTCTCAAGCTGTGCGGGGTGGCCGATGAGGACATCGTCGCCGATTATGCGCTCACAACGCAAGGATTAGGCGTGTGGCGGGAGCATTTGATCCAGCGGCTTCTGCAGAGAGAGGAAGCTACAACTAGGGAGCAAGCTGAAGCTATTATTAGCAGTGACCCGAGAGACATGAACGCCTTCCTGAGCGACGTAGTGGAAGCTAAGTTTGGAGGTGCGCGAAAGTATTTTCTCGATCTCTGCGGGCTGCAGGAGGATGAAGTCGACCGCATTATCACCAAGCTCGTTGTACCAAAGACACTTGAAGAAAAAGCAGATGGAAAGAATATATAAGGAAATTGTGGAATTGGTCTCTAGCTAGAAATTTCGACCTGCTGATCTGAAAATGTTTGTCAATGCGATTTATCAAGCTCAAATATCCAATGGTCTGAAGTAGCAACCCAGAAGCAAATTTAGCATAACGGTTCCGCTCAAAATCTCTTCATTGATCCTCCAGAGACATTCGAGCCAAAATCTTTCGTATTCCAAGATTCTCGCCCAATCCCTGCTTCTCTAAATCCCCAATCATATCCATGGCCTCAGCCTTGAGACTCGTAACAAATGTTCGAATATACTCGAAGGTCTTAGTGCTCTCCATGTATGAAACAGCGAATCGTTTGAGATCCTCATCCTGAGACTTCTGTTTCAAGACATTGATAAGTTGCCGGTTGCCAGGATTTGAACGAATGCTGTGAATAATGGGAAATGAGAATTTGCCCTCCGTGAGATCCTCACACAGGCCTTTCTTCTGCAGATAACTTGTCGACTTCAGGTTCAGGTAATCGTCACAAATCTGGAAGATGATGCCAAATTGTTGGACAAGAGGAGTGAAGTCAGCCTGAACGGTGCTGCCGACCTGTAGTAGATCGATGGCGAGACCGAAAAGTGCCCCCGTCTTGTTAGCGACCATGTCCAGATACTCTTGTTCCGTCGGACATATGAGCGAATCGCGCCAGAAAACATCCATGCCTTGACCTCGATGCAGTTGAATCAAGGCATCGATATAGATCTCGATCGCCCGTGGGCTGTTCAATTTCTGGATCTCTCGTAGTGCCAGGAAATAGACGTAATTGCCGGAATTGAATGTTTGCGCGACGCCGAAAATGCTGTGTGCTACCGGCTGACCTCGACGAAGCACAGAGCTGTCTTCGATGTCATCAACGAGGAGCGATGCCGTGTGAAGCATGGTGATAACCCTTTCGACGACTTCCAGGTGCTCTGGTGGTACATTGAGCCAGGTGTTGAAGGCCTGAATGAATTTGGATCGCATGTTCTTCCCTGGTAGGCTCTCGAGATAGTCGAAAGGCCCGAGCAAGATTTTTTCTTGTTCTTCTGTCCATTCGCCTCGTTGGCGATTGGTGGTAGTATGATCGATATAGATTGGCTTGGACTTTAAGTTCTGCTCATGACTATCCCCGTTCTGTTGGTGAACCAAAATAGGTACCTCATGAATTGTCATCATCTCGGGAATTTCCATAACCTCAGGAATGGTGGCCTTTGGCTCTGTCCCATTGGTTTCAATACCATTCGTTGTAACAGCTTTGTGGTTGTGGCCGTTGGCGTGTATCCCATTTGTGCCGTTGGTTTGTTTCTCATCCTCGGCATAGTGTCCATTGACCCCATTAGTAGTAACAGATTGAGGCTCACTCTCCACGTCCACACGCAAATTCATGGCGTTATTCAGTGCAGCCAAGATATATGCCTGCGACAACATCTCCGACTCATAAGTAACTTTCTCCACCCATAGCCGCTCTGAGCCCACTGAAGTGTCTGAGCGAAGGAAGGCGCAGCCGTCGTGAACAACATTTCGGATATCTTGATAAGATGAGTCTTCAATCTCACATTGCACCGCATATGTAAGCATGAGCACTGCATATGCAGTTTCCTCTTTGGAGTTCCTGGAACCCCAAGAGCCAGTTTGATTCTGTTGGCGGAGAACAGAGCTCGTCATGTCCCTTAGCAGCACTGACAACTCCTCTTTCAAGGATTCTTCCAGAGAGAGTAGTTGCTTATCCTGGCATAGATGGTGTAGGCGGGCGATTGCCTGTGCCATCAGCATCCAAGAGTATAAAGGGGACAAGTTCCATTTATCTTGAACCTGAAGATCGGCAGATTCACGGAAATGTTTATGCAGGAATCTTGCTGCCTTCTCAATCTGTGAGGCGTACTCTGAGGGCTGTTCCGCGTGGAGCAACGCTAGTAAGACATTGCAGTTGGCTGAGAAGCTGGGATCACGCTCATAGGGATAGGTCTTGAAATGGTGTTCAGCCTCAAATGCTGCTAGCATTGCATCTGGCGATGCATGCGATTGTAGCAAATTGAGAACGAGAAGAGCCTTAGCCGTATCATCGGCATCGGCACAAACACGGGGAGTGAATCCGACGGTCCCTTTGTCCGCAATGAGCGCATTGTAGAGGTAAGTCTTGGCCTTCTCGACGGCGGGTAGAGATTTCACATCCAAGTCAAACCCGGCTTTGAGCAGGGTGGAGAGTGTCCAAGTTATCTCGAATATGGTGGACGGAAAGGCGCTGGGAACACCTCCAGAGTCTTTGCCAGATGCATGTTGGATGACATGACGAATGTATTCCTCGCATTCTTCGTCCCATACAGATGCATGCATCAGCACGGCAGCTGTGGACGATGGCGACGCCATGAATGAGCCGCTGACTTTGTGGTGAAGGACACGATCAAAGTCAATGAGGCCAATAAAAGCCTCCAAAGAATGCAAGGCAGTGGTTTGAATTGGCGCATATAGAAACTCAGCCTTGAATCGGGCTAATTTCTGGTCGCGGACGGTAAATAACAGATCATGTCCAGGGAAGTTGAAGGTGATGCTTTCCTCCGCTAAATAGCCTAGCAATGCGGGGACAAGAATTTCGAAACCAACATGCAAGGTAGTTTCCACGTTCCAGTCATGGAGTAGCCGCTGCAAGGCATTCGTGGCTCGATCAATACGCTCTGAGAGAGCTTCCTGTGATATGGTGCTAATCTGAAGTGGTGTCATGAAGTGACGCTTCATAGACAATAGAGAAGCAGCGGTGTTAAGAATACCGTCAATCTGTGAGGCATATGTGATCCAACTGCCGTCCTCGAGCTGGGTTTGCAGAAGATACTCGAAGCACTCAGGGAACAACCACGTCCTCTGACCATCCGCCCCTTTCTGAATCATTGAAACCCATGCAGTATCATAGATGGCAGGGCTCATAAAGCCCAGTCCGTGGGGGTCTTCCAGATGTTCCGTCAATTGATCAAGGAGTGTCGCCGCAGAACGACGCAAAATTAAGGGGTCCATTGTAGGGTAGGCAAATCCCTTAGAGATAGAATACGGTTTCTGTTCTATTTCCCAATTCAAGAAATTACCATCTAAACATTTATACAATCAATTCTTTCTAGATTTGACCTTAGTGTTCCCCGCACACCCCCATGGTACTTCACCCATTCCCAAATCAAGTATATCATAAAGTTGGCCCCCACTAATCATCTAGACTCTCTCGAGATTCCCGATATTTGGCCGCAACCCTTCGGGCATTTTGTGGTTGCATTCAGGCGGGATGACCTGCGAGTAAGCCATAAGCGATAAGCAATACGCCAAAAGGCAATAAGACATGCCCCATCCGCCATGCATCAAACGCGATGTACCCCGTATCGTTTTGGTATTTACGTGGTTTGTTCGTCATGAATATCGCGAACCATCCCATGCATCTTCCCATTCGCTAGTTTCCGCTTCGAAGCGAGCTCAATTCCCGTGTGAGTTCAATACCTTCCGGTTTCAGAGAGTCCCAATTGCTGACAGCATACTGACTTAGCGATTGGACAGGAAGCCACCGATGGGCGAGGTCAGGCCAGAATTTCACACGGGCCTTTGACCATTTACCAGAAAGGACACCGAAAGAAAGTATATCTGCGTCGGAGACGGAAGCTATAATCTCATCATCGAAATTTATCTGTATTAGCTTTAACTCTGCCGCTATTCGGGAGATAGACAAGTCCCGGAGTTCTACCAAGTCCTATATTAACCGCCATCGGATTGTTGAGACACAGGCCGGAATCCACGTGGCCCTGTAGCGTTGATTTTCTGCGTTGCCGAGCCCAAGGAATTTATCAATAATTCTTCTAGTCGAAAAATCGGCAGCGATAGAGAAAATATCCCTTTCATGATGGCTTTGTCGTGGATATACAGTCTATCTTTGTTCCAGGCAGTTCTGCTGTTGCTAGGCGTGGTACGTCATCTAGAAGTACATGATTTGTTTATGAATTGGATCTGACTTGCAATTTAGCTCATCAGCTATGTGCTCTGGGTTGCGATCTATCGAATCTATTTTCATCCGTTGTCAAAATACCCAGGCCCTAAGCTGGCAGCTGCCACCCGTCTGTGGTGGACATGGCACCAGCTGCGCGGGAAATTTCCCTTGACCGTGCATGAGCTTCATCTGAAATATGGAGAGATTGTACGGATTGCGCCCACCGAGTTATCCTTCACAGGGGCCGATGCCTGGAAGGAAATCTATGGCTTCCGTAGTGGTCTGCCCGAGAACCGCAAGGATCCCGGCGAGAATACAGACGCTGACAAACGGCATCCAACTATCATCAATGCTGATCGCAAAACCCACGGTGACTTGCGCAAGTTACTGTCTAATGCTTTCTCAGACAAGGTGCTGAAGGGCCAAGAGCCCGTGTTGCTGCACTACATTGACCTTCTAGTCACTCGGTTGCATGAAGTGGTAGAGAAGGGGGAGCCAGTTGACATAGTGAAATGGTTCAATGTGAGTGTTGTTGTTTCTGGAAGGACAGAATGTGCCTGACCTCAACATAGTACGTGACTTTTGACATCATCGGGCATCTGGCCTTTTATGAATCATTCGACTGTCTCAAAAACACCGAGTACCACCCGTGGATGTCCATGATCTTCAACGCCATCATGTACGTGCACTATGTACGGACATTCCAGCGATTCATTGACATCCGCTCGATAATTCTAGCCATTTTACCCAAGCGAATTGTTGAGCGACGTAAGTGGCATATTGGCCTGGTCGAAGATAAAGTTATGCGTCGCAAACAGCAACATCCTGATTATATCGATTTCATGAGCCACCTTATCCAAGCTGAAGAGAAGGGCAAGCTGACAACACCCGACCTCGTGGCAAATGCAAATCTCATGGTTATTGCCGGTAGCGAGACGACGGCGACCATCCTTTCAGGCACGATTTATTATCTTTGCACTCACCCTCGGGTAATGCAAAAGTTGCTCGCCGAGGTCCGCACTTCCTTTGACTCGAGTGACGAAATCAATATCGCCCGGATTAGTAGCCTGAGGTACATCAATGCCGTAATTGACGAGTCCTTCCGTCTCTACCCACCAGCTGCAGGCAGTCATCCGCGCATCACGCCGCCAGAGGGAGCAAAGATCATGGGAGAGTGGCTTCCTGGTAACGTATGCATCGACAGTTTCCTTCCTCCAACCCATCATGTTTAACATGAAGACCATAGACATCAATGGGAATGGCTCAGTACGCTGTATTCCGTTCCCCCGCCAACTTCAAGGACCCTGAGCTTTACCTCCCCGAGCGATGGCTGGATACAGAAGGTCCATATGCCCACGATAAGCGAGAGGCTCTCCAGCCCTTTTCTTTTGGACCCCGAAATTGCATTGGCCGAAAGTAAAGACACCACCCATTGCTTTATTGAATTGATAAATCAAAGAAATACTAATCAAATCTTATTTCTCTAGTTTGGCAAATATCGAGCTTAGATTGATCCTGGCAAAGATGCTCTGGCATTATAACTTCGAACTGATGCCCGAGTGCCACAATTGGCCAAAGGATCAATACATCTACACATCGTGGGAGAAGATCCCCCTGAAAGTCAATATCACCGCACGAGAGTGAGAATGCTTGTCAGGAAAGACCCTGTCATCGCTGAGCCGTCGATCAGGAGAGGGGCGAGTGGCGAGGTATTTCCCCAACAGATTGGAGGATTATCCTAAAGTAGCGAGAGGCAAGCTAGTGAATTCTCTGTGAGAACTAGGAAGCTACTGATTTCTATAATTTGATGAATTTACTGTTTGGGTCTGTAAAAGCCGACACGGTCTTCCTTCTGACATTGAGTAAGACTATGGCGTTTCATCCGGAGATTTCCCCTCTGTGTTGAGAGCGATGTAACCGAGCACACCTTCGTGGGGGCCATTTTCTCGACAGACTTGAGATTCTCCGTCTATGCGGGGGGTCAATCTACGCGACTAAGATAGGAAAAACTGCGCGCCGAAAAGGAATTTTGACGTTGATGACGATAGGCTGCTATGAATACATACTGTATGTAATACATGGAAATATCGGAACGAGACAATACCATACCAATGCCCCGCTGTGGAGACAGGTGTTTATGCATGCACCCTGGACTTTTGCTGTGACTTGAAGAGGTGAGAAATTGCCTTCAAAAGGGAGAAGCAGAGAAGGAAGATATCGAGGAATAGTGAACTCTCAATTCCTGGAAATTCCTAGTTCCCGTCATGTCCGCTGTGGATGTAGCGCTGTTAGGCTGCGTCTTGCAGACAGTGATCCTCTGCCGGCTGTACTCCTCTCAATCCACTGTCGTGATAACAGGCGGGTCGCTGATCTCTTCTCTATTTCTGCTGGGGGCATGGAGGCTTTACTTATGGCCATTATGGTTCAGTCCCTTGCGTAAACTGCCTGAACCCCCCGTAAGTCCACTCCTGGGTGAAATAAAGAGGACCAGAGGTTGGAAACACTGACCATCAAGCTAGGGTGGCCACCGCTTGCACGGCCATGTGAAGCTAGTCCCCAATGAAAGATCCGGCATGCCCCTACAAGAATGGATCAATGAGGTCTCCAACTCTGGTCTGATCAGATACCGCATGCGATTCAACAAGGAGGTTGTTTTTGTTACCAGTCCCAAGGGCCTTTCGGAGGTGCTCGTCCAGAAGAGTTACGAATTCGCAAAGCCTGCGAAGTTAAGACTAGGTTTGGGGCGCATCCTGGGAGTAGGCTTGATTGTTGCTGAAGGCAGTGAGCACAAGGTATGTTCTTCTTTTTTTTTTCCTGCCGGTGGGGAATGAAGAGGGAGACAGGAGTGACCTGACCATATTACCAGCGACAACGTAAACACTTGATGCCTGCCTTCTCGCACCGGCATATCAAGGACCTCTATCCCATATTTTGGAGCAAGTCTGTTGCACTAGCTCGAGCGTTGAATGAAAATATCACCCAAAGCACAAGCGAATCTACCAAGGTCTTTGATGTGGCAGACTGGCTGGCACGAGCGACATTGGACATCTTAGGTGCAGCCGGACTTGGGGAGGAGTTCGACACTCTCCATCATCCAGACAATGAGATATGCAGTGCCTACCGGAATGTCTTTGAGCAAAAACCTCCACAAGGAGCATTCGCTATGGGGCTATTCTTGGTACGCGAGGCGCTTACAATGGCGCTAAACCTGCCACGCAATGACAGCATCGCCGTAGCTACCAAAACTCTTACGGGTGTAGCACGCCGATTGATAGCTGACAAGAGGGCCAATATCAGCGTCGCAAAAACTGAAATTGATGGTCGCGATATCATATCCGTCGCATTAGCATCAGGCAGCTTCACCGATTCGATGCTTGAGAACCACCTATTAACATTTTTAGCGGCCGGGCACGAGACCACAGCAACATCCATGACCTGGGCACTTTATGCTCTGTGCTTGTATCCTGAGATCCAAGAAAAGTTACGCATGGAGATTCGCAGCCGGATACCGCACTTTCTGGACGAATCGTCATCTGCACCCATGACGGCCGAGCTATTGGAAAGCCTGCCATACTTGCATGCCGTCTGTAACGAGGTCTTCCGTATTTACCCCCCTGCTGGACTCACACGAAGAGTGGCAGTGCGGAACACATCAATTCTGGGCCACTTTATTCACGCAGGCACTGAGATCGTGATCTCCCCTCGTGCCCTGAATGTTTCGCGAGAACTTTGGGGCCCTGATGCGGACGCCTTCGACCCTAACCGATGGCTTAAGCCGAATCAAGCCAATACTGGCGGTGGCCTGACTAACTTTTCCTTCATGACTTTTCTCCACGGTGCGTGCAATGAAAATTTTCAATTATTTAAACTCTGCTCATCAAGCTTTTTAGGTCCGCGATCCTGCATTGGTCAAGGCTTCGCTCGTGGCGAATTTGCCAGTCTACTCGCCGCTCTTGTTGGTACATTTGAGATGACTCTAGCGGAGAAGGAGGAGATTGTCATTGAGACAGGATTGACATCTCGGCCTAAGGGAGGACTACGCGTCCAGTTCCGTCGAGTTTGACTTCCAATCAGGGACTAGAGGACGAGAGGATTCATGATAGATGTGATGTGTTCACAGTATATGACCATTTCTTAGTCCTCATATCGCAATTTGAAGATAGAACTAGGAAAGACAATAAAAATAGTTTATCATACAGTCAAACTATATTTCATCCATTGGCTGATGAGGTGAAAGAGTCGACATGACATCCTTCCCTAGATCTTGAAATCCTACCCGCATCCAATCAGGAAGTGCTCTCGTTGGTGGCGAGATATAAGCCAGGGCTGGCGTCATCCGATTTTGTGCTTTCCCACTCCAAAGAATCTCCGCGACGACCGAGCCAACGTCAGCCGGCTGCAAAAGTGACACAGAGGCAGGCGTCTGAATGCCGCGAAACATCTTGGTCTGCACAGCCGACGGGGAGACGCACGACATCCGTACCGCAGGCGCATGGTAGATGTGGCGCAGTTCTGTCTGGAGACCTTCGTAGATGGCTAATGCCCCGGCTTTTGTCGCGGCATAGTCTACCACACCCGCCGTAGCCAGATGGGCTGTCTGCGAGGCCATGATCAGGAAGTGGCCGTGATTTTGCGCTACCATGTCTGGAAGAAAAGTCTGTGCCGTCCAAACTAGACCCAGATTGTTCACTGCAAATGTCCTGGATAGAAATCAGCTAAGTCATAGTTTTTTCTAATTGGGGTTTGAGAAATACTTACAATTCAACATCTCGTGGCGTAGCGTGGAGCAAGGGCTTGCCGCGACAGATGCCTGCGTTAGCCACAACGCAGGTGGGCGTACCAACCTCCCTAAAGACCATTAGCTCATCGAGGTATAGAAACCTAAAGTGGGCGACCACATAGAACCGCACCGACGGAGAGTCTCGGCGACCGATTCCAGCTCAGACCGGTTCGTCAAGTCGCATCTATAGTAGTGCACATTTTTCGCTAGTTCGAAAAGTTAGCAATAAATATACTATATCATCCGGGACTTACAGAATCTGCAATGATTGACTTACGAGCATCATACTTCAATGGCCGGATGTCCAGCACGATCACAGCCGTCCCACGCTCAGCCAGCTTCAGGACCGTCGCTGCCCCAATGCCATCTGAGCCCCCCGTAACGATAATTATCTCTTTCTTCCAATCAAATATTGCCTGAACGCCATTGTTAAGAGCGCGACTATTGAGGTATCGGTTGATCTGGAGAGCAGCCCATAGAAAGGTCAAGGGAGGGGCGACCTTCCAGATGGGCACCTGCGGCCACAGGGAATATTCAGAGATAATTGCTCGTAGGTCAAAAGCCATGGCTAGTCAAGCGAACTTTTGTAGGGAGGTCTGGTTTAATTCGTTAGGAAGGGGAAAAATCTCAGTCTTCTATAGTGGGATTTGCGGGGTTCCATAGTATATCGGAGCGTTGCATTAGCATAAACTAAATCTTCTACCAGCATATCGGAAAAAATCAACAAATAATCTGAATTTCAGATGGAAAATTTCGTAAGGACAAATATGGAAAGGTAAATTACCAGCAAGGAACTGAGCCGAGCCATTTGTGCTTATGTCGGGCCGCATAGTTAGGTAGTGCTGACGCTGACCAACGCTACTAGTGGACTAGGTAACATGGTGGTTTTTCAATTCCGATTGGATCCACAAACCGCCCCCTGTCGATGATATCAAGAAATGTTGACCGATCTTGCAGTAAATTTCTTACTAGATTTCTGTCCCTGCCTCCCAGTTCTCGGCTACTACATTAACACTGCATATTCGTTCCCCAGTATCAAAATTCCTCACAAGATATCCACTGCGTTGCTAAGTCCCTTTCATATGATATGAAAAGTTTAGGAAGCGAAAAATTAAACAGAAGAAATATGCCAGACGGGTATACGTCATATAAGGGCATAGTCAGAAACTAGAGAATCTCACACCAAACGCCCATTCATTGAGTCTCAAAACCACACGGACAACAGGCAAGCCGACATCTCACAGCGCCCAAGCCTCCTCGGTCACCAGCTTTCATAGAAGTCTTATCTCATCACTATGCGTTTAATCCATGCCTCAGTTGCTCGTATATTTGCATAACTTCTTCCGTCCGCCCAAGGTTATCGTACAGTGATGCGAGATCTCTACCCATCTCTTGAGTTAGAGACTCATTCGGGCCTAAAACTCGCATTGCTCTTTCAAACGCTCGCTCAAGAGTGGCCTTTGCTTCCTCCGGGTGCGACCGCATTTTGTAAATGCGCCCGAGGTTATGCATTTGTCCTAGTGTTGATGGATGATCTGGTCCCTTGGTCTCCTCGAAGCCTCGCACCGCTCTCTCCCACATAAGTTCCGCCATATCAAGCTTACTTTGCTTAGCATAGAGCAGCCCAAGCGTAGCAGCTGCTTCTATCGCCGAAATGTTTGTTGAACCAAGGGTCTTGTCGAAGATTTGCAGCGCCTGCGCCGCCATCTCCTCTGCATCGTCCAGTTGACCCAAGTCTTCATATAACTCAGCAAGGATGCTGCACACTTCCCCCGTCGAGGCGCGCTCTGGACCACGCATCTCATAGTACCCTTGGAGAATGTCTCGGTATATGATAACTGCTTCCCGCAGCCTATCTTGTCGCACATACACCTTTGCCAGGTTTCTTTTCGTCCGACCTGTAGCATCGTGTTCCGCACTATAGAGCTTCTCATAGCCACGGGCCGCTCGCTTCAGAATCGCTTCGGCGTCCCCATATTGTCCGTGTGACGCATACATTGTCCCCAATTTATCCATTGCATCAATGGTCATCTTGTCATCGTTGCCTCGCGTTCGTTCATAGCCCTTCAGCGCTCGTTCTATCAGTGGTATCGCCTGGTCAATCCTATCCTGGTTGTCGTAAAGCACACCCAGGTCATATACCGCGATCAAAGTTCTGGCATCGCTGGGCCCGTAAAGCTGTTCCCGGCCTTGAAGGTGTCTTTCCCAAAGGGGGGCAGCTTCACTCAGCTGGCCTTCTGTTGCGTAGAGGAGGCCAAGGCAGTGCACAGAGTCTAGTGTGGCGTCGCCATTGTATCCAAATAGCTCCTCTCTACCAGCTAAGGCGCGGTTATACATTGCCTCTGCAGCCCTGAAATGTCCTCGGTTTTTATACAAGACGCCGAGGTTGTTCATTGTGTTGAACATGGCTTCTTGGTTGGGCTTCTCTGCCTTCTCATACCCTCTGAGCGCTTGTGTATAGAGTTCCTCTGCCTCGTCAATCCGACCCTGGTCCTCGTAGAAAGTGGCAAGGTTATTGAAGGCAGCCAGTACCGGGTTACCATTTGGTCCCCACAGCCGCTCACGACATGTAATGAGTCGAAGGTGCATGGCTTCTGACTCGTGAAGGCGACCACTCTTTGCAAGCTGGGCACTAACGATTCAGCTCGTCAATGACATCACTGTCAGCAATCTGGTCATCAATTTTGAATTGCTGCTTGTCTTCAGGAATAATCGCAGTCAGGTATCCCTCAACCGTGTGATGCCTAAATTCAAAACTGATTTCGTCGGGTGACTTGCGAATCAGCTGCCCACCAATATCTGCAACTTCCTGTTCATCCACTTGGGGCCCCATTTGGCTGTCCTCAATGTTGTGATACAAAAGCAGGATTGAGAGAAAGTCACACATCTCTGCAATAGAGAGCCGTAGCTCAGGTAGGTTCGGCATGCCCCCCACATATATCCACCTTAAGACTCTCCACAGAATGAATATCTTGCGGGGGCTACCTTGCCGTAGAACCCGTTCTAGATACGACTCATAGGGGAAGCAAGCAATGTTCCAGTCATTAGGAGCGGGTCCATAATTCCATACGGGGTTGGAGAATGGGTCGGGATTTCGGGTGTTGTTAGACGGTGGCTGCCACGATCCTCCACTCGCTAGATGGCACTGGTTGTCTAGCTCACAAACAGCCCAAAGCCAGCTTTAGTCTCATCAGTAACAGTACCCTATGCTTCTGTCAAAGTAACAAGAGAGCTTGGAACATACGCGCCATTGCTATAATTAGCAATATAATCTTCGATCCCCCCGCGAACATGATCCGGTTGCAAGAATGCGTCACCACTGTTGATACGCCTAGCAATCTCAGCGTGCGTAAATAGGCGGATGTCATCAGCGCTGCCCTTGACATTAATAGGACAGCAATTGATCTCAGCAGCTAGTAGTTCTTGTTGGCCTTTTGTTGAGGTACTAAACAACACGTGAAGTTTGGATTCCGGACTGTCGACCAGCGAAGCAAACAAGCGGACAAGGGCAACCTCTGCCTCTGGATCTATGAGATCAATAGAGTTAATGACGAGGGAAACACGCTCAAAGCACTGAGAAACTGCTTGAAGTAATTTTCCGAGGGTATCCATGTTTAAGGAAGAAGCCGGTTGTTGCCCATAGGCCTCAAAGTTTCCTGGGGGCAATCCAATATTATGTCCACCTTGGAGATAAGTTTCGATCAGCTTGCACGCATTCTCGTTCTGCCCAGCCAACTGGGCTATCAAGGTTCGGAGAATATTCAGCGGGTCGATTGCTGGGAGGCGCGATCGGTCACAAAAGTAGTAGCCAACGGCATGGGTTGCTGGGCACTCTCGGATCAGATGCTCTATAATCGACGCTGTGACGACCGTCCTGCCCGATCCCCAAAGACCATGGAGCCACAGCTTGGTGATCCTCGACACCGGCGTCTCCTGCCCGGACGGGATAAACCGCTTGTCCGTGCTGCCCCTGATCCAGGCAGAAATCATTTCATTCTCAAATGGCCAACGGATGGTGCCTGGCTCCCTCTGTCGTATTATTTCATTCAAGATGGCGGTCATGGGTGTCGGCCTGAGAGACTCAATCAAGATAGATGGAGCGGCGGGCAGTGACAGGCCTAGAGCCTCGCCGCAATATTTCTCCATGGTGCCGGGTATTCCCGTAGTCGAGGTTTGCAGTGACTGCTGGCGTCTCGTACCTTACTCCGTCGCAGGGCTTTCGCCAAATTTCAACCCTTAGTTGCCCCTCTGATTGCCTGAAAGTTGGCGGGCATAGCCATGTTTTATAAGAAGTAACGTTCTGTGTCGATACTGGTTCTGTAATCGCGATACCATAGAGCTACCCCCGCTTATAGACTAGTGGATCTTGGCATTGGGTTGAGGATACGGTTCGATAGTGCAGTTGGTTGCGCCAGGTTCCAGTTGCAAATTGCTTTTATTGCGATGGCATTGGTATTTTCCCAGAGAAATAATCCAGGCCAATAGCTGATAATGCCCTATTTCGACTGTTGTGTTGGCAGGGTACAAATAAAGGAATCAAGTGCATGGAAAAGGTTACTTCCAAAATCCGACATTGGAGACTTACTGTTACGGCACGTGCCCAGGCGCAATAGCCAAACCAGCCAAAAGACTAAATATGCTAGAACGCTATGTTCTAGCATTCCTGGGACCGATATAAGTAGCGCACATTGATATTAGGACTAGGTCCTAATACTTACAGTGGTAGATTTCCACATTATTAATACATGTGTTGATACTCAATTTAACCCCACTTTCATTTTTATCATTAGGTAGAGTAAAAACATCTAAAAATCCTTTGAATCTTCATATCCATTCAAGTCTGCCTATGGCTGTCCATTCAAATCATAGGCTTCCCTGATCTCTTCCGGTGTGAACTTTTGCCACCAAAGCTTGGATATCTCAAACCAGTGAGCTAAAACAAATAGTCTTGGGAAATTCACTATAAGTTAGCATAATCGATCATAGTACAATATCTCTTTCTTTTTTTTCGCGGAATGAATTAGATGTCCTCCTGCTGAACTTACACTATAAAACTGGTAACTGCCGTGTTCATCTTTGCAAGGGTGTTCACTTGCGCATTGCTCGTGGAATAGTAGCATTTGTAACTGGTATATTTATTGTGGCACTTTCGTAGCCCTCCTTCCCTGTCTTTTTCGTCGTCGAATGGCATGGTTCTGACAAGTACAAGGACCACGCAGGCCATAGTGGTGAACCACATAAGAGAGGACACAGAATAGGTGAGTATATACCAAAGAGACGGTCGAGGATCCGTGGGCGAAGCAGGCTTTGTGGTCTTAGCCTTAGTGAAAAGGTAAGTCAGAACGACATGGATAGCGGCCTAGAGAAGCTTTATATTAGATCAAGCGAAACAGAGTTGCTAGCCCCGCTGCACGTAAAGATGTTTGGCAAGTTACTCTTTTGCAAAGAGTAAGCACTTACAACGGACACAATATACCCGAGCATTGGGACAATAGATGGCAGCCCCGCTGAGAGATAGAGGGACTTGGCCGCTACGCCCAACACCCAGAACGTGAAGAACCACTGGCCGAGGATGCATATCCTCCCAAGACGGTATACACGCTGGATACGTGTCATGAGTAGCGACTTTTCTTTTCGATGGGTCAACCGGGTTGTATCCTCGTCGAAATATACGATATTTACACTGAGTTGGGGGATTGCTTGGAGCTGAGGGTATTGGGGGGCGTAGGACGCTGGTTTATAAGGGCGATTTCGATATTTCTGTTTTGCTAAGAGGCTTGTTTTATTTCAAGGCTGGCTAGCTTAGTGACTTGCAAAACAGCAGCACTGGTGCGAGATCTTAGTGTCTTTCGACGTCCTGAACTGCCAATCAACGACTCCCGGTCTCTGAAGGTTTACGGCCAAGACTGACCAGAGTGCCGATCATCTCGTATTTAATTGAATGCCAAGGACGGTGTGCTAAAATGAGGCCTAAGTTCGGACCTATGTAACGATTCTGTCGGTGTATGTAATCTTACCTGTAATTGGTTGTATCGATAATTACAGGATATTGATCCTCGCATTATCAAGTAGGTAGGATCTTAGCCCGGCTGTTTGAGAAACAACATAACAGTAGAAAAAGGAGACGGTTCTCTTACTTTTTTATCACTCATTCTCGCCTCTTTTACCCCGAGCCCCAATCTTCGCACGCCTCTTACCTAGTATCACCATTCAACGACACTCCGGCGCTGTTTGAAAGCAAAAGGACGCACGAAAAATTGACTGCATATGGTATGGGTCTCGAGTACAATGTACAGGTAAGAGATCAAGGTTCGATGCAAGGCTTAAAAGGTCTACTGTGATAGACGTGAGTATTGTATACTATGCCTCGAGTCCAGAATAAGCTAATGGTTTGCTCCAGGCCACAATCCCTCAGGCCTGAAGGCTAGTCCCACCGCTCTGAACTTTGCTGAATGCATTCACTTCTGTTCCAACCGAAGCTGGTGCGACTATGTCCTCTGGTCTGATAAGGGTCTCAATTGCAATACCTACGAGCGCGCGGTTGGTTACCGGGTATTGTCAGCGATGAGTGGAAGACTGCTGTCAAGAAGCGCTAGGGAATTTTATCCCAAGATTGCGACTGCTTGCATCCAACATGCGGCAGATCCTATCGTCCCACCTTGAAGCGCCTCTTGTAAGGTGGGGGGGCTAGTTCTGAGATTCCAACCTGGGTTATCCGTTCTCTTGCAGCTATTCTAGCTCATACACTCCCTGATATTTCCTACTGAAATTATGTTGTCTCTGTTATTTAATAGTGAGGAAAGTGTCTTTAGTTGATCACTGCTAGCCAATTCTATTAAACAATTATGCCAATTCTTTTTACTACTGTCAACAAGCTCAAGCCTCCGGCTAGTGTATCACCCACCGTGGAGAAGTGATCACTCTATGGTGCATTCTTGGCACTGCAAAAAATGTACAGAGTACATGCGTACTACCTCATGACCAGCAGTCTGAGATACTTGCGTTATGTATACCAATCAAGCTAGGAGATTTTACATACCCATCAAATGACCTGTATGTGATTCGGCCTACCCGTTTTCCTAGTCTTGCGAGTCAACTATAATAGAATTCACTAAACTGGCCTCGTTTGCCACAAGCGGGTCTCCGTGGCGCAATCGGCTAGCGCGTCTGACTGTTAATCAGGAGGTTGGAAGTTCGAGCCTTCCCGGGGACGTCTATTTTTGTCTTTTTCGAAGAGCAATTATTTTTGAACTGATAAGGAATCAAGGAGTCGTTGGTGCTGCGTAATTTTTGCATTGTGAGCGGAGCCGAGGGTGGAAAAACTCGGTTTTGTGGGAAGTGGAGACATCAGACTCGGGTGCCTGCTCGTCGTTGATTTTCAGGAATCAATTGGTTCAACGAATGCATATTTACTACGAGCTATCATTTCTTTCATTGTTGATGTGCTAGGTTCGCATCTGTCGCGCCAAATTTCGTATTTGTATATGAATGCACTGGGTTTCTGGTATGGTTCGCGCGCATCGCGCCAATCCCGGCTTGGGGTTAGGGCGGCTATAGGTTTCGAGTCCATGTATCTACATACCGATTTATCATGTCATATTATATATAGGTTTTATATAAATGCCCAGTGGGGTTATTATCTTATCCAACCCGCATTTGTTTTGTTTCATGGGCAAACTTTGCGAGGCGACTCGCTCTACTCCCGAAGATGGGGAGGAGATGTTTCTCGGATGTATGTCATCACTGGACGGCAAATATGTGCGTTATCGGTATACTCTGTGAGATATTAGAACTGGTTGATCAATTAATTTTCTTGCTCGCTGGGGTCGCAAAGAGGCATGGAAGTTTGAAAGATTCAACCTTGAAGATGCCGATTCTTCAGGTAGTGCTTCGGGGTATTGAATTGACTTGGACCCGTTCACGATGAGACTTTCTCTGCATTTTCTTGCCTCCTGTTCTTTTATACGAGCGCTATGTACGAGCGATGTTATGGTGGAAGCTATAGGCCAGCCCCTGAGTATAACTTTGTCTTCCAAACATGACTTTTCATTGGGGTTGGTGCTGAGGAAATTGATAAGTGTGGTGATCATGCTGGCGGATTCCACCACGTCGAATATATATTTCTTATGGACGCCATTACGGCTCCTGATTGAGCGACCGGAAATTATGCCTAGAATGCCGAAGATTTCACATTGGGTTCCTAGATAAGAGAGATAGTCAAGGGAAACTATTTATAACCTTAAACTGTAACCAGAAGTATAGATATAACCCTAAATCTCGTCTAATCGTTTAGTCTTCTGACATGGTCCTTCGGCTATATACAACTTCTCAAGGCTTAAGCTAGAAAAATATGACCTCAACTATAATTCTAGAAGTCAAGCCACTTTACATCAGCCGTCTCCGTGGCGCAATCGGCTAGCGCGTCTGACTGTTAATCAGGAGGTTGGAAGTTCGAGCCTTCCCGGGGACGTCGACTGTTACCTTTTTGCCATTTTTTAGTATCGTGGTGGGAGTATTTTTGATCACGACTGTAAGTAAGTAACTATTAGCATAAAATCGAAGGAAACTGCACATAAAGTTGAGATGGAATGAATATGAATCAACGTACACTTGACATCGGATGCTTAAGGAAGGTACTTGCGTGCCTTGCCTTGCATTAGCAAAAAATTCACGAGATCCTTAGACACAAACGTGATGTAGGTTTTAGCAAACCTCTCAGGGAAGGAATTTCATCGGTTTAGTCAAGGGTATGGTAGCCATGCATCTCTAGTAAACGACGATATCATCCCAAATAATCGCCATACAATGCCATAATGGTAGCCGAATAAGAACGTCAAATGAATGGCGTTGTATCCCGCCAGTGAAAAACGTGACAGAAACCAGAAGTGTCAGATCATTTTCAATTTGAAGCTACCCATAGCCAGAGGGGGGAATATGAAACAAATTTGAGAGGAAGATAGGATGAAGCTTGCCGCGAGAATAACACATGATAGAAATATAAACAGCAGAATCATAGATAGGGGATAAAAGGACCAATAATGTCATTCGCATAAGTCAATTGGATGGAATAGACAGCAAAGCAAGAAAGGGGGAATCCGAAGAGGGGCACCCGCAGAAAAAAAAAATAAGAGGCAAACGGTAATACAGACAAAAGAAGCGGAACACACGCAGAGTGAAATCACATAAAGGCAGCTGTCGATGTACGCTCCTTGGGAAGGAGCATGATCGAGATATACAGCGTTGCGCAGAATAGGCACAGATAGCAGGAAAATCTCGATCCCATAAAACAAAGTCCGCCGAAAATACCAGCGGTGATACCTTCTCTATCGACCATGTATGGGGAAGAAGAATGAAGAAAGAAGAAAACATACATACTCATAGATCTGTAATAACAAAGCGGCTGCTGCATAAACGCCGGAAAAGTCAAGCAATAAGAAACGCCGAGAGAAATTCCCCCAAACCAGTGGAATGAATAGGATAGGAGAGTCAGAACAAGGAAAATAACGGTGCAAAGACATCAATCAAGACCCGAGCCGAACCAAGTACAACAAAGGGTATAGGGGGGCTGGCCCAGATTAACATTATCGAAAACCACTCGATGAGGGGTAGTCACACAAGCAGACACGAGATGCAAGGGGGGAGAGGTTAAAACAGGTTGATCACCATAACAGGAGGTTGAGGGGGAAAATGAAGAGCGGGAATCGTTCAAGGACCTCAAGAAAGCGATAAAGAAAACAAGAAAAATTGGCGTCTCTGATGCTGAAAATCGTGTCCCATAAACGCCATTCTAGACAACGCCAAACCACGATCTAGTAGCCTGACCATCCTCCTAATGGACTGCCAGACTGACCTGGCTGAGGCTGACCAGGTTGCATCGGGGCACCGGCTCCCGCAGGCCAACCAGGCATACCACCCGCACCCATACCCATCGTCATACCTGCTTGCTGGGGGTTGCCTGCCATGAAAGCCTGACCGCCGGGGCCCTGTGCAGAAGGGTACATTGCCCGCGCCATGGCAGGGTAACCAGCAGGTGTCCCAGCAGCGGCAGCATACTGCATTTGCTGTTGCATTTGCTGTTGCATCTGGGGATGCTGCTGCATCTGCTGGAATTGCTGGGGAATCTGTGGTACCGACGGACGGTGTTGGCGAGGAGACTGCTGGGGTTGCTGGCCATGGTGCATCGGTGATGGAGCCTGCTGCGGATTTGCTGGCATCTGCTGACCGTACTGAGGCATACCCACCCCTTGCGGTCCCGCAGCCGATAAGGGCGACGGTTGAGGTTGCGGTGGCGGTTGACCCCACATCTGCTGTGGCTGCTGAGAAGGATACGCGTAAGAAGCCTGGGGCACACCGGCTGACATGGATGGATTAGATCGCTGGTGCATAAGGTTGGGTTGCATGCCAGGAGGGATTCCTCTGACGGGAGATTGTCCGATTGATTGTTGATGTGGCTGCTGGGGGAAAGCTTGTTGGCCAGGCACCATAGCTTGAGGAGGAATCATATGTTGAGCATGGGCAGAGGTTGCCATTCCCGCGGGTGGTATTTGGGCAGGCTGAATAGGCTGCGAAACAGACAATCCGGAGTCAAGAGCAGTGGTGGCCTGGCCCTCAATTTCCGGGGCTTCGCGAGGTTTCGAATAAAATTCATCCAATCCCTTCAGGCGGAAACTTCTTTGAGCATTCAAAGCCTTATTGAAATCGGCAGCGGTCTGAGCCTGATGAATGATTTCAGCTCCAGTACTTGTCCGTGTATTGTCCTGGTATGGTTGGCCAGTCAACTCCTGGCGTGAACGCGGCATGGAATTGTAGTCCCGCAGCCGAGGATCGTCGGTTGTCGCCATATGAATCATCGGGAGCTGGGCCAACGAGGTAGAGTCCGTAACATCTAGAGACAAGCCAGGCGGCAGAGGCTCAACCGTACTGCTAAATATGACATCGTTGTGGGGAAGTGGCAGCAGTGTAGAAGTCTGAGTGTCTACCGGAGGATCGCGAGCCTTGGTGGTTCCTGGACGTTTTTCGCCGGCCAAGTCCTCCTCGGTAAAGCCTTGTTTCCGGGCCTTGCTCTCCCAATAATCGTCACGAACTCGTCTGCCGTTCACGATCACACGACTGCCGAACTGACGGAACATAGACCTGGCGGAGACGATGGCGATTTGTCGAGAGCGGTAGGAGTACGGGAGAATGTCTTGCTGGATGAGGTCGTCCTTTTCGATTTGAGACGCAATGATCTTGTGCAAAGAGCGATTCTTGTTGAAAAGTAGATACGAATCCCGATAGTTCAACACCCTCGCACACTCTGTTGCCAGCATGAAGAGCTTGGTGCCTCGGTGGGGGACACGGAAAGTGCGACATTTGTATTCGCGGCCACCTAGAGGATAGCCCATGGAATCCACCTTTGTTTCCCCTGCATCGTCAAACTCCTTGGGGATGTATTCATCACCTTCATCGTTTAATTGATCAGATGTATGATCCCTGACAGTGGGAAGCGCTTTGACGAGCGTCTTTGTCGGAGTGGGTTTGTCCGGCGGCGATGCAAGCGGCGGGGAGCCGGCACCCTGGTGAGGTAGAGGCCGGCTTTGCATCTGAGGCGTTTGAACAGGGGTACCTGCGGACTGATGGTCGTTGGAGCTGGCCCGAGGCGTTTTGGGGGGACGACCGCGTTTGCGACGACCTTGGTCCTCTAAAACCATTTCGTAAAGGCATTAGCAAACCGTGGGAGAACAAAGTGCAGAGCAACTGCGACGAGAAGCAAGGAAGGTGCAAGTGGAGCGAAAAGAAATAGATGTGATTTCCATGAGGGAATAGGCGAAAAAGACATAAGGATAACCAGAGTCCCTCTCTCTCTTCCCCCTCTTATCGCGCACGTACCATCATCTTGATCACCATCTCCGAGTCCATTCCCGCCGTGATCTGGCGTGCGACTACGCTTGATACCACGGGGACTTGGCTCAGCAGTGGATGGTGCCGGCATAGTAGAGACTAGTAGGGGTATCAGTTTACAGGAAGGTGACTGGGGAAGTGACAGAATAGGCGAAGAGTAGGAAACGAAAAGCCAAGCGCCATTAGTGACCGGTTGCGAGGAACCTCATCGCGCCGAGTTGCGCAATAAGACGACAGGTGCAGTCGGGACAGCGAGCAAACACATATGGCGCAAGTGCAAGGAACATCAAAAAAAGCGACGAAACGACGACCATGCGACCGATATAGTATCATGACGACGAGGGAGGAAAAATTCAGACATACCGGAGTTGCTCAGGTTTGCGGGATCGATGGTCCCCGAGCCATCGACTACCTCACCCAGTCCGTTCATTGTCGCGTGAGAGTGAGGCGTGCCATACATCGTTGAACGATCCAACGGCGGAGGCCGCGAAATGGCGCGTCAAGGGAACGCGCCCGGGGGATGGGTTGAGATCGAGTCGCGAACAAGTTGCGACAAGAGTCGGTGGCGCAAGTGGGCGGGTATGCTAGGCTTGCATGCAGATGGGGGAGTCGGGCCTCTGAGGTCGATCTGCGGGAATGGTTGGGTTAGATGTGGTCGAACGATGGAGCTTCGGGCGTCGGGATGCGCTGGGAGTGCGAGAGGGGCGAGGCGGTGAGCGAGTTGAGGGTGATGGGTTTTTGGATGCCTGAATAAATGCCGGGTTGGTGCCTGGGGTTTTGTGTGCCTGTGGGTGCCTGATTCTGTACCGCAGAACTGCTGGGCGGTGTCGCCTGAGAAATCAGGAACTCACAACTGCCACGTGAGGCTGGCGCTATGCAAGACTCCCCAAAAGGTGGGCCGGAGTACCAAGGCTTTGATAATATAGGCGCCGCCAACACCTCCCGAATAATCAGATAAAGTAGAGACGAATAAAAGCCCAGAAAACCCACCAAGTCAGATAGCCAGACAATGACGGTTGACCCACGACGACGGGTCTCAAGGGGGTGGGAAAAGATGACGGGATTTGGGGGCAAGGGGGGGGGGGGGGGGTGGAGATGTGAGATGCGCAGGTGCAGGTGGAATGCAGCGTCGCGTGATTAGTCACGGGAATGGATAGGCCGGGGAGGTATAAAGCCAATTGTTTGAGGGAAAAGTAAATCGGAGAAGGCAATAATAAGAAACCAGGATTATGACCAGTCAATCAGAATCGAGGATCACAGACTATGATGTAAATCAGCCGAATAAAAGCTAAAAGAATATCAAATATATGAAGGGATAGGAGTCCCCTCGAACTGAAAAAGGGAATGATCGTAAAAAGTAATATGGAAGCAACCTTGTCAACGATAACAAGGTAGTTCTCGGGCTCGGGATCTGCCGTGGGGCCGTAAAGCATAGGGCAAAATATGGAGATTGGGATAGGGTATAATAGGCCTAGAAGAGAAGACCGGTTGAGTACCGAAGAACTGCAGCCTGCAATATGCAGTTTGCCGTAAAGTCTTCGGACTATAGAGATGATCGGATATAGCCCAACGGTGAAGGATCAGATCTAGGAGGGGAATAGGGACTGGAAGTTCGTTTTGATCCTCTTAGGGAGGGGCGTCGCGGATACGGCGCGGTCAGGCTTTGGGGGCTCCCAGGATTGGCGGCGAAGAGAGACAAATGAGAGGCTTCGCGGTGGATATCTCGCCCTTCGCTCCTGCAGCAAATGGCTCGAGCGGAAGGTGATTTTCCCGAGGTGGGACAATGATCGATAGGGTTGGCAAAATGGAAAACCCTGCGTGATATGGGCATGAACGGCGTGGACAAAGATTGCGTGCCCTTATGCAGTTGGCACGTTCTGGATTTTTCTAGGCAGAGGAAATAAGGTGTAGTAGAAAGGGGAAAAGAGGCAAGATGACAGTCGTACAAGTTGGACTTCAAATTGAAATTCGCGGGGCTTATCACGAGATCCTCGAATGGGGATAGAATGGGATACAAGACTGGGAAGGCTGCACTGTGTAATATGAGGTACGGAATATCTAAGCGCTATGAGCTTGTGCTCGTGAGATATAGGTGAGCTAGAAACCATATCAGGTCTAGAATAGAATACCCGTAGTCTATAAAGTCCCTTGCCCCTCTTCGAAGCGTCTTTTTCTTCATGGCTCCATCACACAGCTAGGGAATAGGCTCGATATGATAGGCCTTTTAAATTTTGTTGATCGCATCCGGCCGGTCTGGACTGTGTAACTTGATGTGTCTTAGAACCAAATCGCCAACTACTAATCAATAACATCGATATTTTAGGCAAAGAGACGAAATGGCAAGAAGAGCTAGAGCCGTTGTGATATAGTTAGTTACTTTAACCACTGGCCTAACACGAGAACAACGGTACTATAGAAGTTTCCTGTCTTTATCTTACTGGCTATGCATATTCAAGAAAATCCAGCCTCATCTCTGCAGAACAGCGCCAAAGGTCCCGGCCAACGGCCATTCAACACGGCGACATGCAGTCGGATTATATCGGACTCAACGGCGAATCTAAATCATCAATATCCTGGCGCTAAAAAAAGGGGAAAAGATTTCCCTTGTCAAGTAATCCAGACATGTCTTGTTTCTGCACCGACCTTTCCTCCCTGGTTGGGCAAAAGTGCTCGGAAAAAATAGGCAATGAGGGGAATTCTAGGCTACTACTTAGATCCGAGGACGAAAGGTCAAGGAGCTCAGGCCGCATCTTGTCAGCCGGACGAGACGAGCTAGGAACGTTTTAGAACTAGCGGGTTACGGATGAATATGATGCTCGCGCGCGCTCTGATGCGGCCGAGATTCGAGAGGCTCGAGTCGCGGGGTACAGATGGAGGATTCATCTGATCCCACGATGAAGGCCCGAGACCGTTGAAATAGACCTGAGCGAACTGTATAGTTGAGAAGTAAGTAAATAATCAATATACTGTAACCAGATATATCAACCAGTCTCAAGAGGATGAGATGGCCCGGTTCGTAATCTGCACGGGAGCCCCGCCGGACTGACTGGGTTCAAGTGGGTTCTCCTCAGATCAAAGCAGATGACCTTTGAATAATGACCCAGCCCCGATCACTTGAGAAGATCGGCGGTCCATGCGCCTCGACCTTCAAATTCCAAATAATGTAGACGCGCGATCGTTTTTGGGTTTGATATGACTCGAGCAGAAAGAGTTGAATCCCTTCCTCGACGGCTGTACAAGGGCGGAGATGTACAGAGTTGCACAATAACGACCAAGGGTCTAATTTAGCAGGATAAGAACATAATGTACGCCTTTCAGAACGGAAAGAGTGTCTTAAGAGTTCCAATGTATGCTTCTACCGGGTCTCACAGCAGGACGGGTTGCTGTGTTCCCGTTTACACACGCTCGGCCTCGGTAGCCATCTTCTTTAACTTGTCCTGGTTACACAGAGTTTTCAAGAGGAGAAAGGCGCAACATTGGACCCTGATGAGATGGCATGGTTCTGCACCTCTGATTCAGGCTATTCTTGGGTCATATTGGTGCAAAGGAACCCGGTACATGATTGACATCATGGATGTAACAATGCAGGTTGGACGACCATATCAGACACATTATCTGATGTGGCAGAACCTTTTGATGGGCAAATTAACACGCTGGAATCTTGAGTATCATGCACCAGCTCTGCGAGCATACGCTCTTTAGACGGTCGACTCTGCGTTGGCCGTCCTGTAGAGAGCTATTGCTTAATAAATACGTATAATGTCACCCTTGCTTTATTTGTTAACGAGAGCTAACTAGTCTACATTATACACAAACTTTCAAATAACTGCATTCTCTAGTTTAAGTTGGAGCCTGTCTCTAAAAGGCAATTTTGCGTTAAGGGTGTGGCCCAAGTGCCGAGTTCTTTGACAAGCAATGTAAGCGTTAAGCTACCTTCATAAGTACAATGTGATGCCCGAAGACGAGTTGATGGCCCTCAAACACTGAATTCTTTATCTCACTCTACTTAGGTGACCGAAAGTGCTCCTTGAATGCTACAGCAGCACCAGACACCCAATCACTCATTGCCAAGATTAACCAGGCTTCAACGTGACAAACGTTCCCATTAAGAACGTACCTTGAAAGACTAGACCGCTACAGAAAGTATGCTCGTAGAAGGCGCCAAAACCCAGCCTATCCCAAGCCTCTCATATACCATAAGCGGTATGTCTGATGAGCAAGCGAAGCCCTGATTCGACCAGCATCAGACAAACCGGCTGCACAGCTGAGGCATGTGGACGTGCGCATCACGCGCGCTACGAGTAATAGCTAGGCCAAACCTGGCCCGAGTCTCTTTCTTTGTTCTATAATGAGAATTCTCGGAGCGTTACGTGTCGGGCAAAGCCACGCGTTGCACAGCTTACACCTAGACCAGGAGAGCAGCAAATACAGAATAGGCAGGATATGATTTCTAATCCATCAAGATAACCTCGTTGGTGGCTATTGAGAGGTTTGTAATAGCCTCAGATGCCGAGCTCGAAGGCTGCATCGCAGGGGTCTGACTGATATCTTCTACCTTGAGACATCGTGACTAGGGTCCGCAGGGTGTGAGGACCCAATCATTCTTACCGAGGTGCAGATCATTGCAGTTCTTCATCAATATCAACCCCAGAACCCTTTCACAGTGTGAGTGATGGGCATCGGTCAAAACCGCCGTCACAGTGGCGTTGTCTTTCCATTCTTCGAATGTAACGATAGTCAAGACCCAGTGACGGGCGGCCTGGACCGCCGCGGTCCGAATACGTGGATTGAGTTTGGGTGCTTACCCCCGAGGATAGAAAGGAGTTTATAGAAAAATAATAACAGATATCATGGGTCAGAGCATAGCAAGGAAAAATGCAGAGATGCTGATCAAAAATTCCAAGTGAAGTTTGGGTAGTAGATTGATGCCCGTTATCGATATGGGTCATCATCCTCCGTGGCTAGCCTATGGCAGTTGTCGGGTCGCACTCTTGCATTAGTCGCATCCAGGAATGTTTCAGACTGCAGGAGGGGGAGTTGGCGCGAGGCGTACGTGTTGCGCGCGGGGCAGTTGAACCCATGACCGATAGATCGGAATCCGCAGCGTTGCGACCTAACAAAAGTCATCCGTTGTCGTGCAGTAGTTCCCGCTGGTGACTTAGTTGGAGTAGAAGATCGGCAGTTGGCTTAGGGTTGAAAGGACCGCAGAATAAAAATTAAAAATGAGGCCTAAATGTAGATGACTTACGTGTTGGTAGTCAGATGGGTTTCAATACCACCAATATGGCCGACAATCAGTAAGACTGGAAAGATTGAATATCAGAAACTTCTATCAATTGATATTAGGCGGAGAATTGGGAGTTCTTGCATTGCTCAAAATCAAGCAACGATAACTGATGTTTACCTTGCCAATGGCTATGATCTATTATGCAAGGACTCCAAATACAAGCCGGACTTTGGGTTATAGAAAATAAAGTTTTGTAGCAATTGACATTACTCGTAAGCCGACCTAGTCAAGACTCTATCAAATATTATGGCCTAAAATCAAAAATTTGACGAGATTTACTGCCAAATAGCATAACTCGTCTATGAATTTTCACCATGATGGCTGGGAAAGGGACGGGATTTGTTACGACGAGGGAGGAACGGCCAAACAGATGGAACGGGGCAGTAGACACCCTCTAATTAAACTCAGGCCCTTTCAGACTCTCTCTTTTTTCGTCTTCTCTTGTTCTTTCTCTAGAGTTGATCCTTATTACTGTGCGTGCTTGCCTTTTGCTTCTTACATATTTCTTTTTATATCCACAGTGGGTCCAGCACGTTTGCGGTGGCGCATAATGATTGACGGATAAGAAAGATGGGACTGTTGGACGATGTATGCCACTGACTGAGTAGTTTTAAAGAAGTATAGATTAAAAGGATCGGTCAAAGTGATGTATGTAAGGAGTCTAAAGAATGATTACTTTTGGGATAGAAGGTGGTATTTGGACATGGAAGTCTGCCTGATGTTGCCAGCAATGATCTTGTCTCCATGTTCTTTTCACACTCCACTCCACAAGAAGATCCCTATTAATAGAGTCTGGAAGAAATATACCACCGGTACATCAAAGATCTGTCAAGTTACCCTAATTACCTCGTCTGCAGGAATGGAAGGTGGAATAAATGGGTCTGCTATAATTATATTGCGGGAGACTCTTATACTTCACCTGAAGATCTCGTCTGAAAGCCGTTGCGAAATCGGGAGACACAGGAGGAGAGTGGGGTAGTGGCAAGAAGATCTACGGGGGCCATTATTAACTCCGAAAGCGAAGAGGCCAGTTGCTGCAGTGGATGAGTTTCTCCGGGGATCATATACTTTGTGCAACGTGTGTCCTCTGGGGCGCAGTGGACAGTTTGACAAGTTACAATTCATGAACAATCACGATGTCTCCGCCGTGGACCTTTTGCTACGGAAATGCTGGAAGGAGTAGGAAAAGCCTTGGCAAGAATGTGAAGCGGGGCTTTCTAGTAATTCCACTGGCACACAGGGGTCCCTCCTTAGGCCCAGGTTACCTAAGGATTTCTTCAGTCAACTTGGTGATTCCTATTAGTCAAAGAGAGAGTTAGTCAAAGAGAGAGAAAGAAAGTTGAGGTATGTTTAGATTGATTTAGATACACCTTTTGAATAAAAGGAGAGAGTGTTCAGGAAAAAGTAGCTTGATTGCGACCGACTATTCCTTAAGAGATCTTGGGTAGTAAATTAGTACTATCGTCGAGCCCTAGCCGGACTCGTCACGAAGTTGAGGGTGTTCGGATTTCCTGGAAGGGTAATCCGCGGAGATCGTGAGTCTCCCCTGGGCGTGGTGGATCGTGGAATGTGGTTTGCCAGTGATTTGGAAGTGCTGAATAAAGGAAGATAAGCTCCGCCGCAGGGTCTCCACAGAAAAAATTTCGAAGCATCAACTGATCACGAATTCTCCACTCTTTGCTGGCCCGATTAGCCGGTCCACCACACTGTGCAACAGAAAGGACGTTAACGTATACTAGACTTTGAAGATGAAATCCTTCTACTATGAAGGATCAATAGTTTGAGATTATGAAAGAAAGTCATAATTTTATGTCAGAATAAAGTCAATAGATCATTCGATGGCAAATCTAAGCATAGTGATGAATCATAGAGAGTCATACCATCATTCATCGGATAAAAATGGAAGGGAAAAATACCCTAGAGTAACTAAGTAAGTGAACTATGCAAACTGCAGGAGAAGGGTTGGTCAGCGTAGAAAGGGCCGAAAGCGCCGGACTCTCAGGCTGGACCAGCAGCAGCCAACAAAGCACGCCTTCACGGGCACTGGTCTAGACTTTGGGTCACACACGGCAGAGTTTTTGCCAACACTCTAGCGGCGCCTTTTAGCGCCGGTGCTTGGGCCAGGTTCCCCATACTGCAGATCCGTCCCGTATAAGACTGGCTTTCCTCCTGCTTTTTTTTAACCCTCCCTCTCCCCCATTTGACCTCGAAAGTTATATACTATTCGGCTCGACAATAATACATCACTATTCCAAACATCGAATTCAATCAGGAATCAATCATAATTCCTAACGCTAAACACCGAACTACCAAACTATACAAACCCTTTCTACAATCACACCACCCCTCGCCAGTGACCAGACGAGAATGACAGTTACTCGCGGCCTTCAAACTCCTGCCACTCCTAAGCCTGCACCTGCTGTGCCAAACTTCACAAAGAACACCAACAAGCGGTGGCCCCCCATGGCAAACCGAAACGCTCTTCCATACAAGCTCACCGTTATCTCCAAAGAGAAGCTCACTCGGGAGGCCACCGCGCCCGATCCGGACCTCCGCCGCTGCGTAGCGCACTTCCGGTTACATTGTGGATCTGTTCTCTGGACTGAGAATGATATGAAATCTCGTATCAGCTCCTTCGACTTCGAGGAGACCGACGAAGAAGATGAGAACGATCTTCCTGAACTCAAGGCACAATCCGAGACAGTGGCCTTTGTTCGAGTGCCAGCGACCGAGACGCCCATTGATACGGAAGCCGAGACATCTCAATCATCTCAATTATTGCCTGATAAGGCTCTCTTTCCGGATCAGAGCCACTGCATTGAAGTGACCTCCAAAAACAACCTCTGCTGCATCTCCGTCTCTCCTATTGCCGGTTAAGATGGGATAAAACCCATCTCTATTACCTTCGACACTACCTCTTGCGATTTTCACCTCATACTCTACTCTTCCGACACTCCCCTCAATCATCTCCTGACCGACATAATGACTCACGATGCAACGACGACCATGACAATACAATCAAACCAAATCCTGTACATAGCTACAAACACTATCATAATGACAAAATTTTTGCTGGCCAATCTTGATTCCTTGTAGAAACCTATCCATGTGTGAAAAGCAAATCATTATCAATGACTCAATCGTTCCCTGCGATTATCGCCGATAATTTTCGGCCAATCACTCCGGTCACTCCGGAGACTCGGGAACTTCCCGAATCCCGAAAAATAGTGCATCGTGAGTCAGTCCAAAATCACGTGGGTCGATTAGGGCTTGCCACGAACGCAGCAAAGATCGTCCATTGCCAATGTGCCCATGTCATATATGGGGAATTACTATTCTCGAAGAAACCAAGAATTATGGATAACCGTGGAACCTGCCGACGTACACGAACTCTCCCATAATTAAGATCGTACCATGTATGGCTGCAGTCAGTCATCCTGGAAGTACCAAGTGTAGCCAGGGCAGTGGCAAATCACTGCCGATCGCCGGGGATGTCATCATGCTCCGTCATTTTGGAGATAGCTCTGGAGCCTTGAAGATATACTCAAGACAAACTCTAGTATGACATCTTCCCGAACCCCAGAGCCATGTAATTGAAGGTCCTCCGGCGTCAGACCCCGGCGAATTGGACAAAGGCATTGTTCTACTTACAATTGGCGGCAACGGCACCCCAGGCATTATTGCCAAGTCAAGGGTTATGATAGATCAGGGCAAATTTACGCATTAATAACATTTCCACTTCGATAGAGTCGTCAATAGTACCTTTGACTATCCATTGCCAAGGTTCAAGCTCTCAGGGCTGCATCATCCCCCCAGAGGCTGGCCCACTAGTGAACGGGAACTACGATTCATTGGCTGGGATTGCATCCGTGCTCAAAGTCCATCGTTCTGGAGTTGGTCTGTTTACTTCAATTTAAGAAGTACGGTCGAATGACGATGTCATTTGTATGATGTCTTTTGCTCTGTAGATATCGTTGCCCGCTACAATCGATCGCAATTGCCATATTGGGGATTCCGAGAAGGACGGAATGCCTATGTACACATCTTGCGAAATTAAGACTCAGACTATGTACAGCATGAATAATACTGGCCCTGAACTACTAACATGGACCAATATCACACAGCAAAATTTCACGCCTTAGAGACGATCACGTCAACCCCAGCGGAATCTAGCTTAATCAACGATCCACCTCTCTGCGTCTCTGCCTTCCCTGAAACAGCGTACTTGTCAGAGGTGCCAGGTGTCTCGACCCAAACGACAGTCGAAGACGCCTTTGCTGGGCCAGGCACGACACGCAGCTTCAAGGAAGTCAAATCAGACGTATCGAACGAAAACTCCTCAATCTGCCCCACGCTGATCGTAACATAAACACCCAACTGTGCAACATAAACACGACGACGCACAGCGTCCCGGGGCTGAACCGTGACAGAATTACCCGACACATCCATGTTCCCACCATACGTCACAAGTCCAACATCAGGATCGTGCACGACGTACACACTAGACCCGATCATCATACCGAGGAAGTTAGGGCCGTAGTCTCCCGAATAATCGTCACCGCGAAGGGTATCGGGGAATGAGTGGAAGGCGTTATACATGGATCCATCTTGTCGGATATTGCTCAGCGGGCCCGTGATACCGCCGTATCCCACGCGCAGAAGGTAAGCGTCGTTGGGGGTTTGGCGGAATTGGGAAAGGAGTGGGAGGGCATTGAGGCCAGACCCGTAGTGGTGGATCATGCGCTCGATTCGTTCCAATTTGCCACCGTAGCTAGAGAGATATATGATCAGAGGATGTTTGAGGCGGTTATTCTGGGGGGTGCATACATGAAGTCCCAATATCTTCGAGCATTTCCGTTCCAGCCCCAGTGGGAAACGGTGGGCATGTACCCGATGATGCTGTTGATGGTTTTCGTTGCCGTCGACGCGAGATTGAAGTAGCTGATCGTGAATAGCTTGTTAGAACTTGCTCTCACCTGTTTAAAAAGGGAAAAACCTACTTGCTCCAGTAATAGATTCCTTCTTGGCCCGTTGAATCCCAGGCCATCTCACTTCCGTAAGGCACAGCCTCGGTATCCCACGCATCTGCTCGGAGCTTCATGGCAGCTTCAACAGCATCAGCTTCACCAGTCCAGCCCTCGCGCTGAAGATCAGCCAGCAGCTCTCCTACCACAGTCTCCCCCATGAGTCCCAATCTCGAGTACCCAATCAATCCATTTCCATCCGAGTCTGTCGCGAAACAGGTGATTGTAGTATTATACGCCTGACCAAGGTACCACTGCCAGTCATTGACCCTGAGAACTGACTCATCTGCTCTTCCAGCACGATAGAGCGCCCAATACGCCCCGATAACATGGATATAATCATATGCGCGATCTGTCGCATACGATGCATCCTTATTCCACGACCACCAGTTACCCCAGTCAATAGACTGGTCGTATTCGTACCCGGGCACTAGATCAGGCTCATAGAAGAAGATGCTCTTGCGAACAGTGAAATCCGGGTTCTGAATTGTCTCCGAAAGAACATCTTGCGCGAAATTTTCGAGCTTTGCGATTTCCGCGGCGTTACTGAGACCGAATTGTTTCATTGCGGTTGCTAAGTAGATCACGCCGCCTTCATCGCTCAGTCCTGAAATCCAGACTCGCGGGTCTTGTAGGACCTGTGCCCCGACTGAATGGTCCCAGGTTATGACAGAGGGTGCGCGGCCGAAAGGATCTGAGGTATCGTCAAACCACATGGATGTGGTTGAGAATTCTCCGAGTTTGCTGATGACTGTTGGTGCAGAGTCGGTGATGAAATAGTGCACCGTTTGAACCTTTCCATCTGCATATGTGATGGTTACCTTGGTGCGGCCCCAGATAGACCCGGTTGGAGTCAGACTGAGGGTGTCTTCTGAATCTTGCGAGATCTTGAAGGCGTTCTTGTCGGATACAACCTTTGAGATAGTCCCATGGAACACGTAGAGTTTAGCAGTCAGGTCAACAGGAACGACGTAGCCCGGAATGCCGATAGTAACAGGCGTGTTTGTTGACTGAACAGCCTTTTGGATACCACGTATGCCATCTTTAACAATGGAGAATCGCAGGCCATACGTAACCGACTCGCCAGACTTCAGAGTCTTGGAGCTTGGGTCATTCCAAGGTGTGACTCCAGACCATTCGTTTTCAGCATACGCCTTGCTATGAGTCTGCCATTCGTAGAACCCTTCGAAGGTCTGACTCCCATAGTATAGAGGGGCAGTGCTGGACTCATCTAGATTTCTCCACGCCTCGAGAGGTGTGCTGGTGTTGACAAGAGGAGTCACAATCAATGCAGCTCCTGTTCCAGATGTCGGAGTTACTTGTAGATAGCCAGCATCCATGCCAATGTAAGGATCCGTTAGAGAGCACTTTGCAGCCATGTCTTCAGCAGCGCGATTGGTAAAGATGCTATTGAACTCTGTGGGAAAACCGAGACTGCCTATCTCTAGATTTTGTTTGCCCGTGTTTGTGAGAGTGAATGCCAGTCCCAAGTCTCCATCGACATCCGACCAACTTCGGATCACACGAATTGGTGAATTTGATGGCAATGTAGGAGAAAGGTCGGCAGCGGCAAGACCACCAGTTTTGGCGCTCTTGACCTGCTTTCTCGCGGTCGACGAGTCGGCCGATACCCATTTAGTAGCACCAGAAGTACGATAGCGAAATGTGATGTCGCCATTATGATATTGACCATTAGCTGCTCGGTAGGTGATATCGTCGAATGGCAAGAAATCAAAATCATTGCCGGTCGGTTTCAGCGAGGCAAGAATTTGAGAATCCTTGACCAGCTTGATATCGAAATTGGCTGTTGAAAGTGATGTGTAACCACTGCTGAGACCAAGAGTGTCATTCTGCCCATTTACCGCAAGGGCAAACAGAAGAATAGAGATCTGAGCCCGTATCTTCATATTGAGGTGTATGCTCAATTCGGAGTCTATGCTTGACAAACCCCCGAATCGTGGAAAGCTCCATAGGCAGGTGCTTCATCTTTAAACAACACACTGACAACGAAATGGGTGTTTTCTTTTGGGCACGGTCTTCAAGACATCTTCATTAGAGGAAAAATCCCAGCGGAGAATAACGTTCTTGTTCGGATGTAGATCAGTTACCCCACACTCACTCCGTAGCGTCGTATTGAAGCTGTCTCCTCCTCAACTAGTCGCGGCCCTTTTTTCCGATGAGCCAGGGGCCCTGCAGCCTGATCCAAGACATCCAAGAGTATCCAGAGGCCAATTCGAAGTATTTAACCGATTATAACATTACATAAGCTCAAGATCCTGCCTATTGGGCCTGCCTTGTCCTTGTTTACTACATCAAGCTTGCTTTAACTCTCGATCTTTCATTGGACACTTCTACACTGGTAATAAGTGTACAAAATATAGGTGAAACAACTTCTCATTCGCTGTCTTCCTCAACTGCAAGCTTCTGGTTCTTTTCTTCCTCTAGCGGTTGCGTCAATTTCGACGGATCGAATGGATAGATGCCCCGGTCGGCAAATGCACGCTTGATAATATCGGGCGTCAAGGTCACTTCACACGCGGAACCAAAAGTAGTGAGCCACCACATCTTCTCTTCATCAGGATCTTCGGGAGGTATGAAGCAGTCCGGTCCATACTTCTTGTAAATCGAAAAATGTTCCAGATCAAATGGTTGCATGTGATGCGCAATGTTGAGCGGAAAGCAGAATGGAATGATCCGGTGCGCCTCACAGAATCGGAGGAAATTGAATGTCAAGAAAAAGGGTTGGCCCTTGAAGAGGAGGAGACGTGATTCACTGTCGGCGACGCGATCTTTGGTCCTTTTGTGAAAACGTTCAAGCCAGCCCAATGCAAGCTCCTCAGTAAGTCGACCGTTCGGTGTTTCGTGGAGCTCCGTAAAATCAGGAATATCATCAATCACGTACTGGTAATCGAGTTCCTCGTCGATTATTGCGGACTCTTGAATGACAAGGTATGAGCCTGCATCCCGTCCGTCGGAAGCAATGCATTCAATCGAGGTAATCCATTCACACCACTCTCTGATGGAAGGGTAGGGATCGCCACGTCTACCAATGTACAGCCTCGGTCTCGTTGTTAGGCCGATCTGGAAGTTGGTCTCATCAAAATTATAGATGTTTGCTGGGGGGATGTCCGCGATCAAAGGCTTTAAATGGTCGAACCAATGCTGAACAGTCTCCAAATCAGATGAATCAAGACGCCTTTTCTTAGCTTGGAGGCGTTTAGACGGCTTCAAGTCATCCGGGAGGCGTTTGACAAATTGAGAAGTCCAAGACTGCTTAAGAATGGTGGTGTTGCCATCGCGTTTATGAAGTTGGCTCGCGCTTTTAAAAATTTGAGATTTCGTCGTAACACAATGTAGCTCCTTCACTTCTCGAATCCATCGAACCAACGCGTTTTCTTGGAAGCCATCAAGTGCGTTGCAAGTGCCTTTACGAGTGAGCGAACCGGAGGGGGGTTGTTCACTTCTTGCAACGGTTGAGGAGTAGATGTGCTAATTTCTCTTTTCAAGGCGACAATATTTGACGCGGTAAATGATTTTGGTTTCATAGAGGTCTTGGAGACTCGCCCTGGGGGTGTACTGGGACCTTTAGGCATGATGGCGTGGGTAGATTGGAAGAGTGAGAATGATAAACAACCACGTGTCTGCAGTATGAGGCGGTGCGGGTGGGTCACTCACTGCTTAAGTTAGGCTTCGTACCTGCTACGCAGATGGGCATTCCTTTTAGGCCTGTAGAATTATCGGGGAATTCTCTTGTGGAGCTACTTGTGTGTTGTTTGAAGTTAAACACATATTGTTACATAAAAGTTGCATAGGATGTGATGGGTGACATCAAACAATCCAGCCTTTTTGCTTCTCATCACCAGAGCCAAGAGGCTTTCTATAACAAAAGAGGAAGTTACAATCTCCGAATAGCATCGAATATCGAATAGAAAGTTACCTAGTCATTCATCGAGAAGACCTCGAGATTTCGCAACCACTACTCTTGGTAACGCTCCTTTTTTGCACATGTTTTGAATATAGAGAGCAGACAAGCATTCCAACAACATCCTTCGACTTCCCATCTTCTGAAAGACCTTTCTAAGTATGTTTCATGCCGTATGTTTCGATGCCTAGGATATCTTGTCTTCATTGATTATTTCACTCGTGACTGATAAAATGATGCTGAAAATTGTCGGTTTACAACTTATGAACCCACTGACTGTACAGCGGAGAAAGTAGGAAGCCGCCAACTATCCAACTTACTTCAAATTGTCCAACTGAGTTAATATCTTGTTACAATTTGTTGAGGATGTATACCCATGACCTTTCAGCGAAAGCGCTAGAAGTTATCTTGCATGGGGCGTAGCTCCAGTATTAGATGCCTTGCGAAACGCCTTGACTATCGGTCACCCTGTGCACAACTACGCCGTATCTTGTGCTGTGCATTCAATTCGAGTTAGAAAGCTGCATCTGTACCAATCATTTCCGCCCACGGGGCTGGATTTCTGGCATACCCCTGCCTCGCAGATTTAGTCTGCCCTATCTAGCCATGTTCGCTAAGCGTTGGGGGCCATGCAGCTAAGCGCTTCTAACCTCCTCCTCGCCACTATCTTTCCCCACTTCGGACCTGCTACACATACTGATATGCACAGTCTAATTAGCATAGCCCGGGTCACTTGAGAGATTTAGTTTCTTGGCATATGCAGTTCATCACTTTGCCGACAAGGTTGATCAGAGAGGCTCGACCCGCGAGATATCCATGTGTCAGGACGCGCCGGCAGCGGCAGTAGCCTAGTTACAGACCTCTCAAGGTCTTTTGGAATGGACAACAATGATTCGAAAGCGAACTATCTATGTATCTATAAATACATTAAACTGGGATACAATGCCTATCAACAGAGTTCCAGCATCAAAAAGCATGGGACTTCTCAGAATGTTTAAACATCGTGCGAGTCATGAGGGAAGAAAGATGAAGCAAGATAAAAATAAATCTTAACCACACTAAACCGCTCTGATCAGAGTTTTCGAACTCCAGAGTAGTGAGAACCAACAGAGGTGCTGCGGCAGGAAGCTAATGCGAACAAAACGGACTATGGCGGAGTTCGGTGTGCTGCCTACATGGGACCAGAGAGACGAGGCGATCTTGAGAAAGCACTTAAATACGTGCTCATAGACCGGCCACAAAAAAGAGGCCTTTCAACCAGATATCTTTTCTTTCTATTACAATTCATCCGATTCCCATCAATCACTTTAGTCCCATCATGATTTCAAAGCCAGAAGACAAGGCCATGCACCAGCTGCGGTGCCAGCAATCCGAGCTACTTGATAAGATTGATGAACTTCGAGGCATCGGAGTTGGAGGTCTCGTGGAGCTTCCTCAGCTCATTGTCTGTGGTAGTCAGTCCAGCGGCAAGAGCTCGGTTCTTGAAGCCATCTCCAGAGTACGCTTCCCAACCAAGGGAACACTTTGCACACGATTTGCGACCGAGGTCATTCTTCGTCGGAAGCCACAGACGAGAGTAAAAGTTTCAATCGAGCCAGGAGACTCAAGAACAGATGAGCGAGAGCGAGAGAGACTCCGAAACTTTACCTCGGAGGCCTTTTCGAGCGACAACGATCTCTCTGAGCTGATCAATCAAGCCAGGGATTTCATGGGAATCAGCGACAACGTCAATCAACACGCCGGCTTCAGCGATGACGTTCTCAAGATTGAGATCTCTGGGCCAGATAAGCCAGAACTTACTCTTGTGGATCTCCCTGGCCTATATACTTCCGCTAGCAAGGAACAGAGCAAGGAGGGAATTCCAATCGTTCGGCAGTTGACAGAAAGATATATGGCTAAAAGCCGCAGTATTATCCTTGCCGTCATCAGTGCAAAAGTGGACTATCATATCCAAGAGGTCTTGGACATAGCGAAGGATCATGATCCACACTATGAAAGAGTCCTTGCTATCGTCACTCATACCGACAAACTTGACGAGGGGTCGGACGAGGAAGAGCGATACCTACAGTATATCAGGAATGAAGGTATCAAGTTGAAGCTAGGATGGCACGCCTTACGCAACCGCTCACACAAGACACGCAATGTCCCCGATGACGAACGTGACGAAGAGGAGAGGGTTCACTTTTCGAAGGGGCGATGGGCTTCTCTTCCTCGTGCACACGTGGGAATTGACCGTCTCCGACATCGACTAAGTAGCATTCTACTCAAGCATATCGCTGGAAATCTACCGATTTTGATCAGAGATATCGATCAGAAAATTGATGACCGGAAGCAAAGCTTAGCCAAGCTTGGAACAGCACGACCAACAACTAGAGATCAACGAGGCTTCTTACTCAACATTAGCTCCAATTTTCAGCGAATTGCGGCGGAAGCCTTGAATGGCATGTACTCCAAGGACTTCTTTGGTGGCCTGAACAATGAACTCTTGGAGTCTGGAGATGCTCGTCGCCTACGTGCCGTCATTCGCGAATTAAATGAGTATTTTGCAGATGCAATGTCCATGCACGGTTTCCGTCGACAGCTCCCCAAAGGTGTCAGCGAGGTGCCGAAGCCACTATCGGACTTGAGAAACCTTAAGTTCCAATCATACTTGAACCAATGGGTACCGGAAATGGTCACCGAAGAAGAGCTTATGAACCAAATGATGAGGCAAGCTTCGAACAATCGTGGCATTGAATTCCCTGGAAGCGCCAACCAGCTGCTCGTTGGGGAGTTATTCCGCGATCAGGCTAGACCATGGGGAGATATCGCCCAGTATCATTTGAACCAAGCCTGGGAGTCGGTAAATGAGTTCGTCCAGCTTGCTTTTGGGTATCTTACCGACGATAGTACTCAAAAGGCACTCTTGGCCGGTGTTATTAACCCAGAATTGGAAAAGCTAAGAGATTCTCTGGATAACAAACTTGATGAATTACTTTCCTACACGACAAGCGGCCATCCTTTGCCTATTGGGAGAAGCTTCCTTGAGAGAATTCAGCAATCTCGAATAAACCACCAGATGCGGAACTTGAAGGATAATCTAGTATTCAGCAATAATTCCTCCGAGAACTGGGGTGAACAAGGGCAAAACACATTTACTCTTCATGACCTCGAGAATGCTGCTACCCAACTTCAGACCACGGAAGGCCAATTTGCAGTTGTCGACATTGTGACTCAGATGCAGACATACTATGAAGTGAGTGCAGCTGCCGAAAGATTCTAGTACTCGAGCTCTACTTGCAAATATGCTAATAATGGTGGATTAGACTGCTATATTGGTTTTTATCGATAATGTCGCTATTCTTGCCATCGAGAATTGCTTACTTCGTCCCCTGGAACATATCTTCTCAAATCAAGTCATCAACAGCATGGACGACGAGGAAATCGAAAAGCTTGCCGGGGAATCCCAAGAAGTTAAAGAAGAGCGAGAGCGATTGAGTCGAGAATTAAAGAAGCTGGAGGCTGGCATGCGAACCCTCAGCACTTTTAGTGCTGATAGGTCGTCTTTAAGCCGGCCATCCGCCCTAGGTAAGGATTATGAATCGCTGATATACAATGTCACAAGCTAATCAACGAGTGGGGATAGATTCTCATTTGACTTCGCCGTCTAGAAGCCCAGCTCCCTCTCGCAGAAGGAGCAGCGCTCATCACAGGGGCAACTCGCCTGCTATCCAAATGTGAGTATTTGATAATACCCAATAGATAGAGAAGATACTGATTCGGAATCTAGCAATGGAAGTTCGAACGGGACAAATCATCAGGGAAGTTTTGAGATTGGCGATGTCTATTGAGTTTCTTGCTTAGTTTCTTGCTTAGTTTCTTGCTTAGTTTCTTGCTTAGTTTCTTTGTTTTAGTCTTAAAGTTGTGCTTGAATTCATCACCAAATCCTAGTCCAAGTTCTCGAAAGACCTCCTTACTTTGGCTCTAAGCCTGACTAGCATCTAAAACTATATCGATATTCGCGAGGCACTCCGTAACATTCACAATAGCGAAATCTTCTGGGGTATTATTCGCGATTGCGTTCTAAACAATTCACTAGCAATAAAGTTCTCTATATACAAAGCCTGAAAACATCTATACACTCATTTCATCGTGCTATCGACCAACTCCCGATAGATCTTCTTCAGATCAGCAATATCAGCCTGAAGCTCCTCGACCTGTTCGCTCTTCTCGCCTAGCATCTCAAGAGTTGTCAAGTATCGCTGGTCGATATCAGCAAGCTTAGCTTCGAGCTCCTCCACTCGAGAGTCGGCAGTCTTCTTCTCTTCAAGCTCACGCATGAGATCGACGACCTGCTGTCTAGACTCATCACGTTGAGTTGTGACCCGTGCGAGCTCATCTTTGGACCCTGCGCGCTCGCTCTCCAGTCGGCGGACAGTAGCACTCATGCGCTCAACTAACTGCACAGATGGACCAGCACCGACAGTTGATTCCGAGATGATGTCGTTGATACCGCGTGAAGGACCTGCTTGCGTGCCGCCGTAGGCGGATGGCGTGGCGGGGTCGCCAGAGCTGAAGAACTCATCTGGTTCAAAAGTGATTGAGGGGGTTTCCAGAATCATAGATGGAGGGCCCATCGTAGTGCTGATTGGGGGCGGGGAGAGAGTTCCTTGAGCGATTGAGGTTGGATATGAATTTTGGCGCGGCGGTGTGCCAATGTCTGGTGAGCCCGGGGGCAATGTAGACGAGCGTCGACTGGTGGGACGGTAGTCTGAGAGAATGGATGGCAGAGTGTCGAGGTTGCTCGAACGGCGAGTGGACGGGACGGGTGAGATTCCACGAGGCTGTTGCAAGCTATTCACTTGCTCTCTCCATCTGGCACGTTCTTCTTCAAGTTTTTGTGCCCAGTTTGCATCCCACGCCTTCTTCTGCTCGACTAGCTCCTTTTGCGCAGAAGTGACCTCGTCGGTTGCACTCTGGAGCTTTTGCCGCACCTTCTGAAGATCTTGCACACGCGTCTCGAGTTGACTTTCCAAGTCATGCTCGGCTTCCTTGGCATTCTCTAACTCCTCTTCTAGCTCCTTGACTTTGAGGGTCTGGAAGAAAAGAGTGTTAGTTGTTGATATTCCCATGGCCCATTCATTGAAGTCTTACCATTTCCCGAAGTTTCTTTCGTAGCTCCTTCTCCCTATCTCCAGCCTGGTCACGTTCCTTTTCTGCGGCATCGAGCCGGGAAATATAGGAGCCTTCCAAAGTGTGCCAGTTCTCACTAGCAACAGAATATTGCGTCTGCAAGGTCTCGATTTGGCGTAGCAACTTGGCCTGCGTCTCTCCAGTGGCCCCGGAAGAGGCTTCCTCTGCACGGGCACGCAAGCTTTCCATCTTGCTTTCCAAAGCTGATTGCTCTCCCTTCAACTCAACCTCAAGCAAGCGGGCTCTCTCTTTCTCCTGGTCAACCGTCTCCTTGAGATCTGTAATCTCTTTCTTCGACGTTGCCTGACTGATATCAAGCTCGATTTTGGTGTTTGACAACTCCTCTTCGAGCTCATCTGCTCTTCGCTTCTCCTTCTCCAAGGCATCCGAGTGGGCTTTGGCTTCGGCGGCTTCGGCACGCGCGACCGCTCGGCTGATTTGTGCCTTCATTTCGCGTACAGTTTGGTTCAAAGCGTCACGCTCATTTGTCACGGCTTCGAGATCTTTGGCCGTCTTGGTATGAGTTGATAATGAGTCGTTTGCCCGCTTCTCTGCCGCTTCAGCTCGTTTTGCTCTGCTCTCGGTGTTAAGCAAATCTCTCTCCAACTTCTCCGTCTTTCTCTTCATTTCGATCTGTGATTTCGAATTTTCGGCAAGTTGTTGCCTCAATCTTCTCACTGCAGTGCGAGAGTTCGCCGCCTCCGATTCCAGCTTCTGACCCTCTTTCATTAGCAACGCGTACTTCTCCCTGGTTTCTTCGAGCTCTTTCTCGCGGCTCCCCGGAGAAGCGGCAGCGGCAGCATCCTTTGCCGACTTGGCAGCCTCTCCTGCCAAATTCTCCAAATTTCTCTGAAGCTCGTCAATGCGTGCCATATACTCATATCTCTCTTGTTGCCACTGGGACTCGGCTCCATTGTCTTCACTCGTTCGAGACTCGGACGGTGTGTCAACGCTTATCCGAGTGCTTTCCCCGGATGCACGCCCACCAGATAATTCACTTCGTTGTGAACTTGGCAGATCCAAGCTCATTCTCCCTAATTTCGAAGACTGCTCATCTATCTCAATTGAGGCCCTAGGCAAAGATTCTGCTCTGAATGCTTCGATAGATTGACGTGTAGATCTATCCGATTCGTGGCTTGTTCTAGTCGCACTTGCATGGCTTGTGACGCTCTCTCCATCTAGTGGATGGCTCTTCAGATCATCTGAAATGCCTGAAGCGGCCGCAAGACTTGCATCGATGTCCAAACTTGATCGCGCATCATTGCTCGGCGCTGGACTGGCTGCTGTCGATGAGATCTGCCCAGGGGAAGATTGTGAGTTCCGGTTCGCTGTGTTTGACTTGACCACAGCTCGCGCGAGACGTTCTTGGAGTCGATCATTCCTGCGCGCATTAGACGAGCTTCGCGAAATTGCTAGTTTCTCGATTAGCCAAGTTCCAACTCGGTCAGTCGAGATACACCTTACAGCCAGCGGGAGATCTTGAAATTGGCGACGCTGTAATTTCCGCCTCTTTGGGTTTCGCTTTCTGAGCGTCCTCCTGGTCCATCAATATATTATCCAAACGCGATTCGACGCCCGCAACGGCTTGCTGAAAGAAACTGCCCACGCCCCATTTGGACTTAGGGGCCTGCGAGTTTTGCGCCATGGTGAAAGGTATGTTGTAAGAGGGCGACGCGGCTTCTAGGCAGCAAATGCCTCGTGTTCAGTTTGCATGGGTTCGGTGGGGGGGCTGTGCTCGGACAACGGTGTTCTCTGCGATTGCGATGGGTTCAACTTGGAGATTTGAGAGAGTATTTGAGGCAAAGTGAGGCCCTAATATATGGAAGGTCTGCGGGGCAATCGAATGTGTAAACGAAAGACTTGGAGTCGCATCCAATTTCAAAATAAAAGTACAAGGCAGCGACCACGTCGCAAGATGAACGTCACACAGCAAGCTTGAGTCAAAAAGAGAGCGAAAGCGACAAGACCACTGATAGCGGGTTACGTCTGTAGCACACAAGGTGTTACCAGGTGAAGATTGAAAAGAAAAGAGGAACCGTGAGACTTGAAGATGGAGCGATGAGCCAAGATCCGTTGGGAGGGCCGACATGTGGTCTTGGCGTCGCCAGCTTCCGTCATCCCCCCCCCAAGCTAACTTAGCTGGAGGTCCTCCCCTTCTCGAATCACCTCCACCCAAACTCTCCGGCCTGCACTCCTTTCCCCTGGCCCGGCGTGTTACTCGATCACCATGTCGCTGGAGCCGCCCACATACCTCAGCTCTCTGCAGAATAACATCCGCGCTCGGCCAATTCCATGGGAGGGCGCCGTCCGTGCGGGCAACATCACCGATGACCACCTCAAGAAGATCAAGGCCGTAGACAAGGTGCGCAAGGAGCAGCGCGTTCAGACAATAGAAGCGGACCTTGCTGGGTATACAAGCTTGCTGGCTGGCGGGTCTCAGGGCAAGAGTGTTCTGGAGTCGGCCTCTCGGAGGACCGATATCGTGCAATACATCTTGGTGCTGGCATCAGACCTGATTCAGGGTATGTGTTACATGTGAGGGAGCTTCGTTCTCCTTAAACTAACGTCATCCTTCCAACAGATGTCCCTGCGCTAGCCGACTCGCTCGTTTCTCACCCCGAGCCCTACAAGCCATTCCTGCCATTCTTGAGCAACTCCACCAACGCCGAAGATCCCATCCCGCTGCTCACATCTACCTTCCTCACGGCTCTCGTGTCGCACAGCCTTGTGACCTCATCCAAACCTGCTCAGCGAGACGAAGAGGCACTTCCCCAACTATACCTTTATCTCTCTACCTTGACCAAGAACAATGACAGCGGACTTCAGGATATTGGTGTCCAAGGGTTCTCCGAGCTTCTGCGGAAGAAACACTCGCGAGAGATCTTTTGGAACCACCGCAAGGAAACTTTGGATCCGTTGATTGAGACACTCCGCGCTGCAGCGGGGACTAAGGATAACGGCAGTATTACGGGAAACAGCACACGTGGCATTGAGCCTGGTCTTGCTGGTGGCGTGGGTCTCCAGCTGCTGTACCGGGTCCTCCTGGTGATTTGGCAACTCACCTTCGAGAGTTCGCTAGTTGGTGACGAGCTCCAAGAGTAAGTAATCTCCGCACGAGTGAAGAAAGAAATCGCGGACTGGGCCATTGACTTTTATGCAGGAGCTATGAAATCATTCAACTCTACACCCAACTCCTTCGCCTTTCACCGAAAGAAAAGACGACCCGCCTTCTGCTCGCCACTCTCTACAACTTGTGCCTCAGCAACCGGACGACTCTCTTGCCCGTCGCTGTATTTGTTCGACTCCCAGCTCTCCTGACCAACCTCGCTGGTCGTCACCTGACGGATCCCGATCTCCTCGAAGACCTTTACGGACTTTCTACCATGTTGGACGAATACACAAAGACCCAGACCACTTTCGATCAATATGCCGCCGAAGTCCAGTCCGGTCACCTGCGCTGGTCGCCCCCACACAAGAACCCGACTTTTTGGAAGGAAAATGCCCGCCGAATCCTGGACGAGGGCAACGGAGCATTGCCCAAGAAGCTGGCAGAGATTCTTTCCAAGGACTGGGAGAATGATAAGCAAGTACTGGCAATTGCCTGTAATGACGTGGGACACTTGGTGAAGGAACTTCCTGAGCGACGCACTCAACTCGAACGGACTGGCTTGAAGACCCGAGTGATGGAGCTGATGGCCGACAAGGACGAGACGGTGCGATGGGAGAGTCTTCGGGCAGTGGGCGAATGGCTCCGGTATACATTCGATGGATGAGCAAGAAAGTTACAAGGACGCTGGCTTTTTCTTTTTCTTATCTTCTCAGGGATTTCGTGGGTTCCCTGATTTCTGAGATGAACATATACTCTGGTTGGCATGTACTGTGTATTCTCTGCCATAGCGCACATTTGTCTATTTTCTCGGGAGAGCTTATTATCCTTATGATTATTCTGTAACTGGCTGATTTAGACTTCAATACTTCCATCTAGCAGCACGAGTATGTACTGATAAACCCCCGCTGATCAGTGGATCCTCACGAGGATTGGCCGCTAGGCTACATTTTACAAGAGAACCAAATGACAAGAATTGGTCCCTGATAAGATGAGCCAAAGGTTGACTTTGACTTTTTGTTTCTCCTCCTCTTTAACTCTCTCTTCCCAGTAGACGCAAGGACTCCTTATCTATTCCCCAGAACCGCCGCTTCGGATTCGCCACGCGGGACTCGACCGATCACCGACCGGAGATCGCATTCCCCGCAGAATTTCTTCTTCTCTCCACACACCCACGAACACCCCTCCCCCAGCACCCATGTCGAGATCCTTCACCGGCTGCACAAGATGTAAAGCGCGGCGCCAGAAATGTGACGAGCAAAGACCCGTATGTGGGCGCTGCCAGTCCGCTGGCGTCCAGTGCAAGTACGCCATGCAGCTGCAGTGGGGTGGACGTGCGTTCTCGCGATCGCGATTCGGAGCTTGCGTGGACACGGGGAACATGCAGAGACTGGGTAGGATGCTGGAAATGGCTTGAGATTTGCTGGATATGCACATTCTGACTCGAACCCGCAGAGTACTCTCCAGGAGAGTTTATCTATACCACCAAGTCGGCGCAGGCGCAGGCACAGGCACAGGCACAGGCACAAGCGCAAGCACAAGCACAAGCACAAGCACAAGCGCAGGCTGCATCGGAATTGACCTTAACGAGACCCGTCGATCCATTCTCCTCCCTCTCGCCCGATCAAAGAGCCTTGTTACACCATTTCATAAACGATGCGTCCCAAATAACCGCGAGCCACTCAGGCATGCAGCAAGATATCTGTCGAATGATTGTACCCATGGCCCTCCAGACCCCATCCTTACTCTACGCCACGACCGCCTTGTCCGCTATCCATATCCAAGCCCTCCATAACCAGTCGGAATCCGCAAAAACTGCGCCGGATATTGCCCGATTGATGGGGCTCAGTCTGGAACATTTCCGGAAAGAGCTACAGAATCCATCGTCCACGGACTCGGAAGCGCTGGTAGCGACAGCCCGAACTCTGTGTCTAGCAGAGATCCATTCCGGAGCGATCCATCCGAATTCATGGCGAGCACATATCGAAGGTGCAAGGGCATTGATGAAGACGTTAGGGACGACGGGTGAAAATTCGCTTCGGACAGAGAGTGGCTTCCGTCGATACCTAGACCGCTGGTATTGGTCAATAGTGTCGCTGACAGCATTGACGGGGAATGGACCTCCCATCGGAGACACTTCAGACTTTGCGCCTTCAGATTTGGCAGGGCAGAGAGAATCACCGGACTACCTGGATGATTACTGGGGATTCACGGTAGACCTAGCAGCTGTCTTCCGACAGATTGGAGCTGCTGCTTGGAGGACCCACCAAGCTGAGAAAGACATTCAAAGCCAGGGATTTGTGGCGGGTGAGATTGATGGTAATGTTGAAGACGAAGCCGCCGCGCTGGAGTCATCAATACGAGAACTCATGGATCGAGGCGCGACTTCCCAGCCCTCGTTTTATCCTGGTGTGGCAGAAGGGCTGTCCGCAGACAGTGCACAGCATCTTGCTCTCTGCAACGAGGCATTCCAACATAGTGCATTGATCCAGATCCACAGACGACTTCGCAAAACGCCGACCACGTCAGTGCTTGTGCAGCAGTCTGTTCAGCGGATTCTAGAATGCACGGCTCAGATCGGACCATCGGCTGGTCTGAGCCCGTGGGTAATGTTGACGACTCCACTATTTATTGCGGGTTGCGAAGCTCGCGGTGAAGATCGCGATACAGTGCGGCAGCTTTTGGCATCATTACACGATACTATTCGGGTGCCGAACGTGTTGCAGTCTTTGAGGTTCCTTGAACAGTATTGGGCAAATCAACTCAGCGAGGATGAGGATTGGAGTCACTTCCTCGGTATGTATTCTGCAAATCCCTTGGTTGTCATGTTTCCCTCTAATGATTCTTCTTAGATCGTATGAACTTTGATTTCATCCCCTACTAAGGCCTTTATGGGTCTGTTCAGTTACCTTATGCATGATGTGCTACGATTGACGTCCCCAGACCCACGTCTGGATGTTTTGACCTATTTATTTTCTTTTGATATCAACCAGCTACAGGCGCAACGAGGAGGACTTATGGAGTACATATTTTGGTTGGCCTTGGCGTTTAGATTCCATGGCATTATGGCGATCGTATTGTAATTTATACAAGCTGAATATAACAAAACAGTTGAACAATAATCATGAGAACTAACAAAGCGAATTCCTCGAGGCTGCGCTGCTTGATGCAGGCCTGACTTGTGCCAGCTCTTGAGACCCAGCTTCATGGCCAATGCGACGGTCCCAGCTCGCCAGTACAACATTCAGCAGCTCATTCGCAACACCAAGCAACAAGAAGATCGCAATGACCTGCCCAAAGGTCCAACCCTTTTCCTGAGGATCGAGGGTATTCCGTTGAATTGTCTGTTCCAGCGACACGATCAAGTAGATGCAAAGCCCGATATATGCCGCCCTATTTAAAGTGAAGTTGAGCAGGACTTGACCTGCCAGCTCTTCCCGTTGATGGTTGCTCTGATGATCGGCACTCGTTGACGTCTGGATAAACCACTTTGTACAACCTCGTTTGCGAGCCAAGCCCCCGTTCCCCTGCGAATCTCGTCGTCGACGAATCCACGCCCCGCATATACACGGCAACATGCAAGTAAAGACAAGAATAAAGCCCGCAGCACTAGCACCCAACGTACCGAGGATAATATATCGAAAAACTGGAGATGTAGCATGGATGCTTACCCCAAATACAACATAGACCGTGTCCGGGTTGCAAGCGGGCTGACTACCGAAATGAGGCGCCGTCACCCAGAGATAGACATTGAAAGCGATGAATGCTCCAAGTGAGATGACCTGGATTAACGCAAAGAACCACAGGCGCCAGGGGCCAAATCCAGCGTATCGACCTTTGCTGATGAGATTCAGACCCAGAAGAGCGAGCAGGTGGACCACGCAGATGGCGTGGAAGAGGGTCAACTCGTTACGGAAGGTCTGGTAAATTGCTGTACAGAGCAGTGCTAGACCTTGCATTCCTAGCGCAGAGGATACACCGCGGGAGAACTCTTCTTCGTCTTCTCCTGGAGAGAAGACTCGGAGGAAGTAGCTCACGAGCGTACCGCCGAGACAGAGGGCGTAAATAGATGCCCGGATCTGGAGGGGACATGAGATCAGTCAAGGTCACTGGTCACCCAATAGCAGAGAAACTTACACCGGTCCCAGATACATCTGGATTGGCCTCAATAACACAAGTTGTCGAGTTCATTCTTGGTCTTTGAGCAACAGACTAAAGACAGTGGGAGCGATTGACAAACGTGCTAATATTCCCAAGACAGCGCGACAGCCAGAGCAGATGTTTATCTGGCAGCTCTTAACCCTTAAGGGTCAGCACTTTGGAAGCAAAAGAATTTTCAGCCTCCTCGAGCCCCGAGCCCAAAATGCTGCCCTGTCCCTAGTCTTCCAACGTGGCTACGCAGCGTCATTGCGCCACAGCCAATCCCCAAAGCTGTCGAACCAGTCCAAAAAGCAAGACCCAACTCACAACCCCACGGCTTCACGGCATATCAGCCTTGGGCCGCCATTGGATCGCATCGCGATGCCCGATAATACTGTGGCGCAGGGCGATGCTGACCGCAGAAACTCACGAGCCAAGACCCTCGCCCTGAACTAGTCTCGGCAATACGCACCTCCCATTGGCTACTGTCGAAGTACATCTTTTAGTCAACTTAGTCCCTGCGGCTTTGTTTTTCCACTGTCAATTGTCCATTTGTCCGATGGGGATGGAAACGGGAAAGCCCTGTTTTCGATCTCTTCAGCCTCCCTCTTAGCGCGGCGCTATCTGAGTGTTGGCTAGCCTCGAAGCCATCATGATTAGAGCTTCGTATTCCGTCATGGGGGTGGTGCACTGACTGTCTCTCTTATAAGAGTAAGGCATGGCCTACTTGACATGCATAATGCATGATCGAAATTCCACTCGATATATTGTCAAGACCCCCGACACATCATCACTTGCAGCTGTCCCTGAGTCTAGCTAACATCACACACCATGGACACAGATCGTCCTCTCCCCGCTATAAATGGTAACTAACTTCCTCCTCCTCCTCCCTCCTACCTAACTACCTTCCACCAAAATCCCATACTAACAAACCATCCACTCAAGTATGGACATTCTTCGCCCTGGCAGCCCTCGACATCGCCGCAAACGCAGCCGCCGGCCCCGCCGCCGTAGCAACAGCAATCCACGTCAGCGGCGGCATCCTCACCGCGCGAGCCCTACAATTAGGTGCTCTAGCGGGCGTCACAAAATCCGGTGTCCTAGCATTCGTCGAGTTTATCGCGTACGCGGGTATACCCACACCGGCATGGATGCTGCTTATCTTGCTGGCGAGTAGTTTTGGGATTTGCGTGCTTGTTACGGCGGAGATTAGTAACCTTGTTCTTGGGGAGAGTATGTATTCTGAGCAAAGCTTCTTTGGTAGGAATGGTATTGTTGGGAGGGAAGCTAACCTTATGATTTGTCGTGTAGCGCCGAGTGGATTGTTGATTGCGGCTGTTGTTGCTGCTATCCCGTTAGGCGGGGAGTGTATTGGGATATATCAGTGTGAGTTGACAATGGTTCTGGGAATTCCAAAACAATACACACATAGAAAGCATGTTTCTAACTCCATCATATTACGAATAGCGGCCGGAGGTCTAACAGGCGGCAAACCTCAAGCCCAAATCTTCATAATGGGCCTCGACGCCCTCGGCGGCTACGTCTTTGCCCGAATGGCCCATAACGAAGGTACAATCCACTCCCGGCCCCCTTCTCAACCAACCCAAGCACAGCTCTCCTCCCTAAACGGAACCTCAATAAAGTAAAACAACACTAACACTTCCACCCAACCGTAAAGGCCACGATATCTGCGCATACAACGTCGCCGCCGCTGCCGGAGCCGTGTACGGTGTCATAACCGGATTCTTCCACACCGTGATAGGCTGTATGGCTGGAATTACGCATACGACGAGTACGAATGGGCACTACGTAACTACGAATATTTTTGGAACGACCTCTGGGTATGATGAAAATTGGCAGCGGAATACGTTTTGGTAAAGTAAGCTTGGATGGGCATGAGTGATATGGGGTTATGTAAACCTAGGGAGTACCAGGTAGCCCTGGTAGGTAGTGTTATTGTCGATAGGGGCATGATTTGTACGTATCTTTATCTTGACTGCTCTTAGAAAATAATTTTTTTTTTTTTTTTTACATTTGTGTTCTTCTCGTATACTTGAAGTGTGCTGAGGGCACATGGGAAGCTGGTTCTAAGGGCTCTCGTCTACTTGACACTAGGAAATACGGGACATGGGACAAATCAAGGGCTTGAAAAAGCATCTACTAGTGTCATCGTAGTCAGCCAAGGGTAACCACTAACTAATCAATAGGAAAATTCAAAATATTTCCAAAATCGCTCTATTGTTGAAGTAGAACATGCAAAACCGAGTATCTCAAACCCCAGAAAAAGGGAAAAAAAAGGTTGCGAAAAAGAAACTGTATGTACAAGAGCAACCAAATATATCATAACTTATCGTTTAGCCCACGCTTCACCCACAAACACAAAATAATTCAATATAAACCCGAAGACCGGGACAAGTTTCTCGCACCATCTAAGACGGGCGGTGGAACTTGCTCTCGATCCACGGCATACCCACAACGGTAGCCTTGCGCACCTTATTCCGGACCTTAACGCCGAGCTCGGTGCCCTTCTTGTGCAGACCATTCTTGACATAGGCCATGGCGATGTTGGCTCCGCCAAGCGTGGGGCTGGGCAGACCGGAGGTGACGACGCCGACCTCGACCGGGTTGGCGGGGTCGGCAAGGTCGACAACGACGGCACCCTCGCGAGCGGGGGAACCCTTCTCAACGGTCAGACCGACACGGCGCTGCTTGAGAGTCTTGGGGCTGGCGAGTTGGGAGAGGATGACGGAGGCACCGTTGAAAGTGGCAGTAGCCGCGTCACGGCGGTCACGACCGACGACCCAACCAAGAGCGGCATCGGGGGGAGTCTGGGCAGTGGAGATGTCGTGGCCGTAGAGGCACATGCCAGCCTCGAGGCGGAGGGAGTCACGGGCAGCCAGACCGGCGAGACGGACGGTGTTACTGTCCTTGAGGAGAAGGTTGACGACCTGCTGGGGGAGGTCTGCGGCACCGGAGGTGGGGATAGAGATCTCGAAACCATCCTCACCAGTGTAGCCAGTACGGGAGATAAGCAGAGGCGAAGGAGAGACCGAGCCGTCGGCCAAAGTAATGTACAGCTCGCGGCACTGGCCGAAGTACAGGGTGCTCAAGTCGGTTTCGGCGGTGGAGGCAGAGGTGTTGATGAGGGGCTGGAGGGCGCTGGGAGCGAGGGGACCCTGCAAGGCGACCAGAGCGCGGTCCTCGAGGATATCCCACTTGATGCTATCCGCACCGTGCTGGGAGCGGTAGGCCTCGATCTCGGACTGCAAGAACTCCAAGTCCTCAGCGCGGCGACCGGCGTTGGTGACGAAGTAGAAGGTATCCTCGCCACGGCGGGTGATGACGGTGTCGTCAATGATGCCGCCAGTCTCCTGTTCCAGGAGGCAAGAAAGGGTGGAAGTGTTCGGGGCGAGCTTGTCGAGCGGCGAGGGAGTGATCTTCATCAGCAGCGGGAGGGCACCGGGGCCGCTCAGGTGGTGCTGAACCCTATATAGAGCAATTGATTAGCTCTGATACTCCAATTCTCCAATTGACGTTATTTTCATCCTGCAAAAAGATTCAATTGACTTACATGTGGCTAACATCGAACAAACTAGCCTTCTCACGAGTCCAGGCATGGCTCTCGACATGGCTCAAGTCCGCATATTGCAGCGGCATAGAGTAACCGGCAAAAGGCACCATCTTGGCGCCATGAGCCTCATGCAGCTCATACAATTGAGTCTTAGCCAGAGACTCACCAGAGCTAGAAGCATAACGAGCAACCTGGTTCTTCACCTGGGGAATTGCAACCCGCGAGGAGATTCTAGCAGCCGGCTTGCGGGGAGCTGCCCGCACCGCGGAGGAGAGCTCCCTCCGCAGAACTGTGGAGCCGACAGAGGCGCGGGGTGCGTTGAAGGCAGCAGCCCTCACGGCGACGAGGTCGACACTTTTCTTGAGAGAGCGAACGCTAGACATGATGATTCAATGAGGAATTGAATTGACAGGAGAGGAAGGAAAGGAAGGACGAGAAAAAAGGTTGGCGAGAGAAAGTGGTGCTCTCCGCCGTCGGAGAAGGACAGCGGGAAAATCACGTGGCGATAGGGAGACCCCGGGGGAATTTGAAGAAGAAGCTGCTTTCCCCATTTGGTAGGCGCAACTCCTCGGGAAGTTACGACTGATATACAGTTGGAATAGAGTCTACTCCATAGATATACCGGGTATATCTATGAGATCGAAGAAAGGTAAAGCCAGTGCTTCTGACGACGGCCAAATAATCACTCGGAAAGCAACGCAGTCCGATGCCAGTCGCCCGGATTCAATTCAATGCCGCGGGTTTTGTATGTGCAAGGAATGCTGGTGCAACGTATGTAAAGCAAAAGATCCCAACATGCCAGGGCTCCAACAAATCAAACTAAATAGTACAAATCACTTTCCAACAATACTGTCCCTACCCAGAACGAGGAGTAACATTTAGCAAGCGAAAAGAAAAGAACAAAAAGTCATGCAAATCCCAGGACCAGACTGCGAGCATTCGGTTATATTGTTCTCGATCATCAAAGTCATTAGATCCCTCCTCAGTCAGCTAGACCAGCTTGGAGAGACCGCAGCAGGAGAGAATGAAAAAGAAACCATAGTGCGAGACGACAACACACTCCCCGCCCTGCGGGAATAGATCAAAGTGCATTGCTAGCGCAAGTGAAGACACCGCCGACGGTGCCAGACTGGTAACTTTGGACCACAGACATGACGGAGGCCTGAAGAAGGAAAAAAGAACGTTAGCAACGGGAGAAATGAGATTAAAAGGGCGTCCGGATTCAATGATACTCACATAGGTACCCGGTCCCAAGAAGAAAAGACCGACGAAAATCAAAAACACATTAAAAATGAAACCACACCACCCACGCAGACCACGAGTCTTATAAAAGTCCGGTCCATGATCGGCAGCCCGCATGCGAATATACGCCACGCCCCAGAAGATGAAACCAAAGAAGGAATCAAACAGGGAACTCATGATCGATAACAAGTCCGAGAAGAAGGGGATAACTTCAGCGATGATCCAGGCCATAATCCACAGGACGGCCAGGATACCCGCCCAAGCAGCCCAGCCCACGACGGTATTGTTGCCCTTGTGGCGGGTTCCCTCGAACAGACGGAAAAAGACGAAACGGGCTGATACGGAGGCGTACAGGACGCCCAGGAAAATGATCGTGGGAATCATGAAGGAGAAGGAGACCTTCTTGTAGACTTCGTCCGAGAGAGAGCCGAAGGCGGGCGCGGTCACGTATTGGGTACCAGTGTAGGCATACACGATTGACCCGACTAGACTGAAGACGATCACCTCGGCGATGGTCACGGCAGTGACGGACTTCCAGAAATCGCGTGGCTCCTTCATCTCGGCGATGAAGCTGGGCAGGGTAATCTGACCGATGAAAGTGTAGCTAATATTCAAGAATGCACTCATGCCAGAAATAAACGTCGTGCCCTTGGCGGGAATCGCCAGAACAATGGGATTTCCCTTCTCGGGGTATCCAGCGGGATGATCTTCAATGCCGGCAAAGATGGTCGCCAGAAGGACGGAGATGAAGGTGAAAAAGGCGGAAAAGGTGGCGACTCGGGATAGAGCGCTGAATGTGCGAGGCAGAGAGAAGAAGAACGAGACGATTGCAACGATGAGGGAGAAGACAACTGTGCAGACTGCACCACCGGACATGGTGTTCAAGTACTCGGCACCGACGACGCAGTGCAGACCCTGGATGAAGGTGTTGTTCAGTAGGAACATCACTGCAGTGGCCCACCAGGCGATCTTGGAATCCCAGAAAAGATACTGGCCAAGATCGCACACATCACGGATCTCGGGGTGTCGTAGACAGAATCGCCTAGAAAATATGTGTTAGCTATGCACAGCTGCGTATATTAATGTAATGTAGAACATACCAGACAATCAGCGAGGTATACAGCACGATAGCCGCAATAACAATAGTCAAGATCAGACCGGGCACGAGACCCAGAACAGAGTACGACCAGGGGAAAGACATGATAGCCAGACAAATGTACTCGGAGAAGAGCAGGGCAGCAGTCTAAATGCGTCAGATTAGCACCAACTCTCCCAAGTTCCCTCCTCCTAGTAAAAACACCACCATTCAACCATATCGCATAGACAAAATCTCACCTTTTGCCAACTACAAGTCCGATACTTAATAGTATTCTCCGACTCCATCTCAATCTGACGACCAACGCTCTCACTCGTGGACGACGAGTCAATCGCCGTAACATGATGATGCGACAATCGCCGACCCTGACCCTGACCCTCCTCGAGTTCCTTCAACTTCTGATTCCGCTCCAACTTGTCATTCAAGTCGGGAGAGCGATCGCTGTCCCCCTCATGAGTGTCCATTGCTGCAGTGTCTTCTGGCCGAGCCATTTTAAGCTTAACGAGCGGGCGAGCCGCTGTTGACGGTACTCGGCGGAGTCGAGGAGTGAAACGGTGCCGAAGTTTTTCGGATACATAAAAATGTCCGCCGTGGATGAGGGTACAGTTGCGTTGGTGGACTGGGAATGAAAGTACTGAAGTTGCGTATGGGAAATGCTGGTGTTTCTTTTCTTTTCTTTTCTTTTGGGCTCTTTCTGGTTCTCCGAGGGCTGGAAATCAATGAGATCTCGTTACCAGCAGTGGAATAATGGTAGCGTTCCGGGGATGCGATCAGGGCAGACGGGATCTACAAAGAGACCCGGGGAATAGACTGCAAGAGCGCAATGGATGAACTGGGGGAAGTTCAACTTCAGTCTCGACAAAGAGCAGAAAATTCAAAGAAAGATCGGAAGAGAGAAGAAGAAAGTGAAACGGGAATCGCAATAAATTAAAAAAAGAGAAAAAAGGCCAAGAAGGGCCAGAATTGGTATCCTGGTATTCAGCTATACCTGGACTACGTACCGTTGCGATCGTAGCGGCGCGGTAATTTTCTTTGGAGTAATTAATATTCAGTATTCAGTATTCATGGATACGCTGAACCCCACTCCCAGAGCCGGAATGGAAAAATCTCGTCGATCTCAGGACATGACGTGATAGAGGGTAGCACGTCAGCCGCAATGGGCGAACCTATTCAAGCCACGGCGGAGTTCTGAGGGAAACGTTGGAAACGATGGATGGGTGCCGCTGGTTGGAAGTCCAGGGGGGAAGGTACAAAGTGACTACGAAGGCAGCGGAAGTATCAGCCCAGGAAAGCCCAGCAAAGCCCAGCAAAGCCTAGTCAAGCCAAGAGGCGAAGACTAAATACGCCCTCCGAGGACCCAGCTATATGCCCTAGAAAGGAATTAGATCCCCGTGCATCTAACTCGTCTAGAGACCGTGAGTCTGTGAGTCTATGACTCTGTGCTCATGAATCTGTATGCGTTTATCGTATATTGAGTTCTCCCAGTCTGCAATCTGCAGTCTGCAGCAGTCTCGTGCACGCTGCAGCAACTCGGACAAAAAGATCCAAATTCGCATGATAATACGGGCTCACGGCCAGTCCGAGATCCAACGCGATCTCCAGCCTTGCATACGACCCAAGGAAATACCCAGATTAAAAAAATCATAAACGTATCTCACGTACGTAGCCCCAAAATGGGTTGCGCCCGCACACCATATCCGTAAGCCACGACCTGCCGAAGTGGGCCTTCACCAACCCCGCCGGATGCGATCGAATGAAGGCTTGAGAGCCCGCCCCGCAGTCTCCTCCTAGAGACCCGGTCGGAAATCAGAAAACCCGTGCATTCAACCTCTGAAAACATGGAATCCTGCTGCAGTGGTCTTTGTGCCCGTGCTGATTCGATCCTGTCGGCGGTGCTAAACCCGGATGCGGTGTTGGAGGTTCCTTGGAGGAAGGGGGTCTTAGCCTTAGTCTTTGGTCCACTGGCCAATTGAGCATTGATATTGCTGGGATTAAAGTGGGGGATCAACGATATTGCCCCTGTGCAGTGTGGATGGTAATTTCCTTGATCGTTCTTTTGTTGGTCTGGAGGCGAAAAAGAAAAGAAATGATGAGTTCTGAGTTGAACTTGAAATCGCCCAAAGCGGAAATCACGGTATTGCCCTGACAGTACCCGGACCACGTGCTGCCTGACTTAGCATGCAGCAGTCACCAATCAACTACAACTCCAACCAGAGTACAATCCTGTATGGACATATTAACAGTCTATCCAATCATAAATATCCAATAAACACTCTCTTATATAGCACCATTCTAGCCCACATTCCTCCTAGACCACCAACCACCCAGTGACCGAGGATACCCCCGTATACGCGGCATGGCCACCTTCCCGCCTCTGACGTGCTCGTCCTCCACGATGGCCTCATCCCAAGTCCACAAACAGACTCGGCATTCCATTTCCTCCCCAGGATCCCGCGACTCTGTTTGGCTGAGTATATTCAGGATTTCTCAATGTTCTTAGCAAATTGGACTCTAGTACATACTTCGTACGGAGTATGCCGTACGCTACTGCAGTCTGCAGGGTGGCGTGCTACTGTAGAACCCGGGGGCGTTCTGGAGCCGCTCGGCTCGTTACCCGGACGCCTTGTACGGTATTATGGACCCTATCTAGACCACTTGAAATGTTAGGTAGGGTGGTTGTTATTGGGGAGAATTGGTGGAGGGCGTATATTGCGTGATGACCACTGGATCCAATCGTAGTAGAGGTGTCGGGTACCACGATGATGGGATCCCTGGGAGACCCTATTCTTGATAGCTACCTTTACCAGTAAAACCCCCAAGAGATCATACGAAGAACAACTCAATGAAAGCCTGAATGGCATTGATTTTCATCCCCGGGACCCTAAACCCAGGCCCCGTCGATATGTAAATAAAAAATCCCAACGGAGCACTGCCCTCCCATAACGAATATTTTTGATGCAAAGAAAAACATATGTCCAAGTATATAGTTAAGACAACAGAAAACCACCCTACATACCATCGTCCTCGTCCGCCAGCAGCGCCGCATAGTCGTCCGCAGAAGCAAACGTAGGCAGGTGCTTGAGCTTGCGCCGCTTCTTCTTGTTGTCCGAGGCATCGGCCTTGGGCTCCAATTCCACACCACCGAGCTCCATGTCGGAAGGCAGGTCGTCGTCGCTGTTGAAGAAGGCCTCGTCGTCCGACACGTCCATGTCGAAATCGTCCGATTCCTCTTCCTTCTCCACCTTGGCGGCCTTCTTGGCAGCCTTCTTCGACGGCGGAGGAGCAACTTCCTCTTCCTCCTCCTCGAAACCGAAGTCGCTGGCATCGTCCATATCCTCATCGGATGGGACGTCCGACTCGTCGTTGAAGATGACCTCGTCGTCGCCACCTGCGGCTTCCTCGCCCTCTTCATCTTCATCTTCATCCTCATCATCGTCAAATTCAGAGTCCAGATCATCCATATCCAGATCATCGTCATCGTCATCATCAGCCTCCAGCTCAGGCCGGGAGTCGACAAGAGCCTTCCAAATCTCGGACTCGTTGTCGCTGAGATCGGCGGCATCCTCGTCGGCACCGTCCTCTGCATCCTTGCCCTTCTTGGCCTTGGTCTTGTCCTTGTTAACACGGTTGAAGTACTCGTGGAAGAAGACATCCTCTGCAGCGACCTCGTCGGCCTTCTTCTTCCAGAAGTTCTCTGAGTTGAGAGGCTGGCCCTGCACCGCAGACTTGCCGGCCTCCACGAGGCGATCTTGAGCCTCGCCACCAGCGAGAGGCTGCATGATCGAGGCACCACGAGAGGTAGCGTTGGCCTTGGGAGTACGGTAGACGAAGCGGTCAAGGAAGTGCGTAAGAGTGTGGATGGTCATGTCAGGCTTGCCGCTCATGGCCTCATGCTCCAAGAGACGGGAGGCATTGACAGAGACGGAGGGGTGGAAGTGGGACACGTAGGGAAGCTAAGATGCGTTAGCGGGGGGTGAATAATAATGGGGGTAATAAGCCAGCTACATACCAATTCCCAGAGACAGGTCTTGTCGGCGTTGCTGTGCTCCGGATCACGCTTGCGAGGATCGTATCCGTTGTTCTGCTTCGGCTTGGTCTCGACGGGGGCGGGGGCGGGTTCCTCATCATCCTCATCGGGCACGTCGCGGAAGACCTCTTCGCCATCGCTCTCATTGTCCTCCGGCTGGTCAAACAGAGACTGAAGGCCAGTGAAGGTCTTCTCCAGCTCGCGGACCAGGTAGAAGACACCGCAGATGAACGCAGGCTGGTGCATTCCGAGCACCTGAACGATACGCTTAACAAAGGCCTTTACCCGGCGGACGTTCAGATCGTTCTTCAGTGCCTTGAACAAGAGGTTCAAGTAGAGAGACTGCTTTGATGAGGTGGCAACACGAGGATCCAAGAGAGATTCGTACAGCGTCCGGTAGAAGCGATCGCTGGCGACTTGGGTTGATCCAGTGAGCTGCTGGATGAGCATGAGAGCCTGAATACTAGTGTTGAAGTTTGATGAGTGGGTGATGCGGAAGAGGGTATCGATGTGTTTCGAGAGGCTAGAAGTAATGTTAGTATACTTGATATCGCTGTTTATTGGGCGTAGAGTCCACGTACCGGTCGGAGTCGGCGTCAGTGAAGGGATAGGCACGGTTGACACCGGTCAAGACACCAGAGGTCAATTTCTCACGCATCTCATCATCTTGTGCTTCTCCCTTGGCGGGCTGGTTGCGGCCCTTGCCCTTCGGGCCCTTCTTGCCGTGGGGCTTGCCCTTCGGACCCGGCTTATCGGGCTGAGCGGGCTTCAGAAGGGTGACGAACATGCCGAAGTAGATGTCCAGCAGCTGCATGGCAACCTTCTCCTCTTTCAAGCTGAGAACAGTCTGGTTGAGAGTGATGATAGCGTAATACTTGGCGTGCTGGCTCTGGCCAGGCCGGAACAGCAACTCCTCAACAGCCTTGATGATAAGAGGCTTCATCATAGGGTGTGTCTGCTCAAGCTGCAACAGGAGGTAAGAAGCACGCGAAGCAATCTTCTTTCCGGGGTCACCAAGCTTGTTCACGAGAAGGCGGAGCAAGTTTGCCTCTTGCTCGGGCTTCTCCTTGAGTAGCTCGTAGACATAGCTGACAGCGCGAGATCGCGAGAATTCAATCTCGTCATTGCACCAGACCTCCAAAATCTTGAGAATCTCAAAGTACTGCTCCTTGAGGAAATCCTCAAACGCCCACACAATCAGATGGCTCTTCTGTAGACCACCTGGGAGCGGATCGCGCTCCGTCCATCGTCCACCAGCGCCCTGGAATGCAGCAACAAGACCAGGCTGGTTGGCAAATGACTTCAAGCGACGATCCGCGGGCAGCAGAGTACCCTGGGCGAACATATCCTTCAGAGACCGAAGAACCTCAACAGCCTGGGCACGGCTGCGCTTGCCTCCCAGTCCGATGAGAGTCTCGAGAGACTTGGTGTTGTGTAGAGGCGACTCTTGTACGGCAAGAGTAAGAGCCGAGATCTTATCGCTCAGGGTACCGGAAGACATAATGGTCGTGTAGAACTTGTGCGATGAAGAGGCGGATGCCTGCTGAGCTTTGGCGTATTCGTCATTTTCCGCCTGGAGAAGGGAATTGGCGAGCTCGTGGATTCGGTCGATTAGGTGACGGGGAAGCGCGTTCATTTCCTTTGCACTGCCAACTGGAGACAGGGGAATGGCATACCAATCGGAACGAGGGAGAACGGCCTAGAGATGAAAGGGTCAGTATGAATAACCAAATTGGCCAGGGTGGGATATTACATACAAGCTTTGCAAATTCCTTGGGAATGACAACTTCAGGCTCCTTCTTTTTGACCTCTTTGGGAGCTGGGGGTGCTTCCTCAACGTCGGAGGCTTCAGAATCATCGTCCTCGGGTTCGCTGGTCTCTTCGCTATCGCCCTCAGACCCTTCGTCTTGGGCTTCTTCTTCCTCCTCCAAGTCATCCTCGGCCTCGGCTTCTTCCTCCACTTCATCCTCTGCTAGGTCCTCTGGGACAACGTGGCCCGCAGCTTCTAGCATCTTGGAGAGCTCCTTGCGTAGATCATCGTCACCACCCTTAGCCTTGGGCTTGTAAGATGTGCCTTCAACTTCGGATTCCGAGTCGACATCGGCAAGTAGTTCAAGGTCCTCCTCAGTACCGCCCAGTGCCAAAATCTCCTGGCGCAAAGTATCATCACTGTTACTCTTGTTCGCACCCAAGCCAGGCTTCTCCTGCTTGCTCTTTCCTCCCTTCTTCTCGTCTCTGGCAATCACATCGCCGTTGCGATCCCGCTTCTTGCCCTGGGCAGAGCCTTCTTGCTTCTTGCCGGCCTTGGGGGTATCCTGCTTCTCTTTCGTCGCGGGAATCTTCTGGGCGGGAGCATTTGACTTGTCGTTCTTCTTCTTTCCCTTGCCAGAGCTCTGATCCTTCAATCTTTGCTCGATCTTCTGTCGGAGGCCAGCGAAGGCGCCCTCGTCTAGCTGAGGCATCTCGATTTCGGGGGCGGATTCGGGTTTGGAAACAGAGACACCTGCATCAGCAAGAGTCTCATTTGCGCCCGATTGGCGCTTGCCTTTCCCTTTCGCCATGGTGGTATATTCACGGCTTTGGGGGACTTTTTTTCTTGGAGAGAAAATTGGACGGAGAAATCTTTTGCGGCGGACCGATTATCAGGACGCTCGGACCACCCGATAAGAAACACTCCCCAAGGACCGCCGCGCGACGCTTTTCTGGAGTTTCCTGCCGTCAGTCGGGAATTTTTAATTGAAGGTTGATCGGTTGGGATTTATCTCCTCAATGATCCCTGGAATACGCCCCGTACCCAGTCGCTTCCCTGGGAGGCACTTGGTGCTGGGCCGCCGCGTCCAGCGCTGCCAGCTTCATGTATGTGCCGGCAGATGACTGATTCCCCGGATCATGCAATTGCAACCGCTAACAGGCTATAGAATGATGGGCGGACTCGAGTATCCAGCTTCTGGATTCCTACGGGCGGTATTTCTAAGAAGGCCGTCAGCGGAGAGAAGGGTACGTCCATTGCGACAAGGAACTTTTCGATGGACAAATACTAACAAAACGAAGAGGATGCGAATGACCTCTTGGTTAGAGGAGGATTCCTACGCCAGGTAAGCAACCAAAGCTTGATTCGTATCTCTCTTCAAATTTCTGACCTTTTCGGTAGGCATATTCTGGAGTGTTTCACCTCCTGCCGCTTGGTTTGCGAGTTCAAGACAAACTAGAGAGTCTCATCGATAAGCATATGCGGTCACTAGGTGAATAGCATACACCCGAAGTCTCTGACCTGTGTACTAATATCTACAAAGGGGCATCGAAAGTTTCGCTATCGTCAATTTCTTCCCAGGAGCTCTGGGAACAATCCGGTCGACTGACCGAAGGCTCCGACGAGGTAGGCCTCTTTTATTGATAACTAGAGAATCGGCTATTAATGTGAACAAAGGTATTCCGATTTGAGGATCGAAAGGGTAGTCGCTTCATTCTTGCTCCGACTCATGAGGAAGAGATAACTACTCTGGTCGGTAATTTAACAACATCCTATAAAAGCCTTCCTCTACGAGTCTACCAAATAAGTCAGAACTCCCCGCCCCGTTATAAAATACCTCATGCTGACTTTCCTAAAGCGAGGAAATACCGTGATGAGGCTCGTCCGAGACAAGGCCTTCTTCGTGGGCGAGAGTTTGTCATGAAGGATCTCTACACATTCGACTACAATGCGGATGAGGCGCTCAAGACGTATCGCGCTGTGAAACATGCCTATACCCAACTATTTGACGAACTGAAGATTCCATATCTTGTGGCGGCAGCAGACTCAGGAAATATGGGGGGCAATCTCAGTCACGAATACCACTTCATCAGCGCCAAGGGTGAAGACCGGGTCGTTAGCTGCTCAAACTGCGACCATGTATACAATGAGGAGCTCGCAGACGGTAAGACCCATAGCCTCCCTGAGGAATCTGGGAAGGATCCTGTACCTGGCTTCCAGACAGAGGAGGATGCCCCTGTCGAAGGAGGCTCAACAGTTTCAACTGGTATGTGGATGGCCATTTCGCATGATGGGAATACTCTTCTCCGGGGCTGGTACCCCAAATTCTCGATGCAAAATGGGTCCACAGAGCCAGAAGAGCGACACGTCAACTCGCATGCCGCGAAAGCAATTGCAACGGCAGCAGGTATCGACCTCGACCTCAGTGTCGAGAATCCATTGGAGAAGTGGGTTGCCCATGTCAAGTCTCGCAAATCGTCTGAGAAGCCGCGTGTTCTCGACCTGTACGACTCGCAGGTGCGGGTGTACCAGCGCCCGCCGCTTAGCGATCTTCTCCAAGAGTCTGGCTGCACCACTGCAGACATCGAATACACCATGTTGGACCGTTTCCCTGGAACCTCGAACAAGCTCAGTCTCGTCCGAGTCCACGACGGGGACCGCTGCTCGCAGTGTGGGGACGGTGTTCTGACGAGTAACCCTGCGGTGGAGCTTGGCCATACTTTCCACCTAGGCACGCGGTACAGTGAAGTGCTCAATGCCTCTGTGTCTGTCAACTCGGCGGTTCTTGACGGATCTGCTGAATCCGGGGGCAAGTCTTCTAAAGAGGTGATCGTGCCCATGCAGATGGGCTGTCATGGAATTGGAGTTTCACGCATGATTTCAGCCGTTGTGAACCGCTTGGCAGATGACAAGGGATTGAACTGGCCTCGTGCCATCGCTCCTTTTGAGGTTGTTGTGGTTCCTGGCAAGGGACTGGACTCGGTGGCTGAACAAGTCTATGACAGTCTTGCCTCAGGAAATTCGAAGCCTGTGGACACCCTTCTTGATGACCGGGACAAGGGCATGGGGTGGAAACTGGGCGACGCTGACCTGATCGGTTACCCAGTCATTGTGGTGGTTGGCAATGGCTGGAAGAAGAACCAGACTCTGGAGGTACAGTGCCGCCGTCTGGGCGTCAAAGAGGATGTATCTCTCCATAATCTTCCCACGTTTGTTCAAGACCTGCTCGCCCAGCTGTGAGGCCGTAGCCAGGTGTGAATCTGTAGCATATTGTATTTTATTAAGGCGCAAAATGGATAGCCATTGTAACATAGCGAATTTACCCACCACTCTTCTGCTTTGCTTCGATATACCTGTAATAAGTTATCCGATAGATTCTAAGAGTATATCAGGCTTTCTTAGCTGTAATCTTGTAAACAAAAATCAAAGCGGATTTCACGAAAGACTTTCGAGGCGGGACAGAGGTGCGTGCATATACCACATCCCACTCCGGAGATACACTGTGAATCCCTACCCGCACTATTTCCACAGCCCTCCTCCCTTCATTTTCCTCAAGCTGCCAAACCCCCACCTCCGCCCGCATATTGAATGCGTGCAGAGTCCACCACTGGGCGCATAAGATTCTGACCTCGAATTGCTACAATTCGAATCTACCCACATCACACAGCCCGCAATGGCATCCTCAGACGGCTCCTCCGGAGCTCCCTCGGGCTCAGGTACGCGCGCAACCCGCAAATCCACGGCCAACCCAACAAACCAGCTAGCTAACGTGCACCCTATATGGGATTACCAGTCAATCTCGCCTCCCTCTCCGTGCCTCAACTCCGCTCCCTCCAGACCCGTCTCACCTCCGAGCTGGAGCACTTGACCTCATCACATGCGAAGCTGCGCGCCGCGCAGGCCAAGTTCCGGGACTGCGTGAACTCGATCAATGACGGTGTGACCGGCTCTGCGAAGAAGGGCACCGACGGCCGGGATGAGATCTTGGTGCCTCTGACTAGCTCGCTGTATGTCAAGGGCCGGTTGACGGATCGGGAGAAGGTTCTTGTTGATGTTGGAACTGGTTTCTACGTTGAGAAGGTATGGTCGGAAAAGGCCGAGAGATGCATTGAGACGATTCAGACAGCTACTGATTTGTTTTCGATTTGTTTTAGACTACTGAGAAGGCCGTTGCTTTTTACAATGACAAGGTGAAGGGCTTGGATGCGAATCTACAGGAGTTGGAGAAGATCGTACAGGGCAAGAACCAGCAGCTGCGGATTGTTGAAGAAGGTGAGTGTTTCCTTGGTCATGAATGATTCTCGTTCCAGGCTGCATGCCCGGATTGATGAGCTATCTGCTAACTCTCCATAGTCCTCCGACAAAAGATGCTCAGCGGCGAGGCCGTTCCCGCGCAGACTGCTGGTGCAGCTGCTGGTTAAACATCTACACGCAATTTATGAGTGCGAACCTATCCTAGGAATGCTAAAAAATATCAAAACGCTATATATCACATCAGCTCTGAAGTCGAATGCAGGGATTTTATCACCCATTTATGCTAGACTGCAAGTATCCCAGTGGAAGAGGTATACCTGATTTGGAAGGTATACGAATCCCAGGCATCTTCAAAAAACTCTTCGGCCAAGAAGTTTTAACACAAAATATTTGATTACAATGAAGATGAGTTAGTCAACGGGGTGACCAGTGTTCAACTTGAAAACAGTCATATCCTTCAAAGCTCGTTCGACATATCTAACCGTACATTCAACCGCGGAAGATATCAAAAGACATAATGATAATCACCCTAGAACAGTGTTCCAAGCTCCAAGTCCATCAATCCAGCCATGCTATCATCCTTAGCCGGCCCACTCAACCCAATCTCAGGGCTACCCATAAGCGCCGCAATCCTCTGTACAACTTCTAAGACCTCCTCCAGACCAGCGCCTTCCTCTGCATTACCGCTGCGAGTTGACGGGAAGAAAGCCTCCAATCCGGCGCCTCGTGACTGGAACTTCACGCCGCCTACCCCAATCTCTCCTCCCATCAGGGAATCCCAATTAGGGTCGAATAATGTGGCGCTCAAGTACGAGTTGAAGTAGGTGGCTCCCCTGTAGACGTCGAATCGAGCGAGCTCGAGCATAAGGTTAGTTCCCTTGACCTTGAACCGAATCGCGGACTTTTTGACAATGTTTGCGTCAGGTGTGTCTTTGGAGACTATGATGTTCATGGCAGCCTTGGAGACGAAGTGGTGGCTGTCGCCACTACTGGCGAATCGGATGCTGGATGCGAGCTCACGATGGGATTTGGTGAGTTCTCTCTCTTCGGCGACTTCGAATAACTCGATGTTGCATTGCCAGTCAGCCCTGTGAGATATTGTCAGTATATACTTATCATATGGAATGAGGGGGGGGGGGGGGGCCTACCTAGCAAAGTCCACCATGACCAGCTGCAGCGGCATTCTCAGAGTCTTGTCTTCGCCACGGCGCGCCTTGAACCAGCGGTGACCTTTAATCTCAACTTCGCCCGCACGCGAGATTCTCTTGAGGTAAAGCTCCAGTCGAAAATCCGAATTGTCTCGTGTGAACTCAATAGTGGCTGAGTGTATAGGCTCCATGAACTCCAGCTCATTCAGAGGCCGTACCTGACCGATGGGCTCAAGGAGGTCATTTGCTTGACGAAGCCGATTCAACAAGTCGTCTGTTCCGATCTTCAGTCTATCCAGATTGTCAGTTAAATGTGATCTTGCACCAGAGTTTCAAGCACATACCCAGGCACGACACGTCCGCGACACTGCTCATGTCCAATCATGGCCGCAATTTCAGCCATGGAGAACGCATCTGCTCCGGTTTTCAACAGTCGGTATCTGTCTAGAACAAAGGTGCCGAAGTGGAATCGCATCCGCAGATTGCCATTGAAGTAGTTGATCATGGAAAGAGAGGTCTGCATGTTCTGCAGAATCTCGTCGAAGATCGAACTGCGAATAGAATCCATCACCTGGGTAAACGCCAAACGGCGGGCATTTGCATCTTCACTTCGAACTCTGTGCAAAAACGGTTTCGTGATCGAGCCATGTCTTTCGATGGTGACGCCGTACCTGGAAAATTCGTGGCTGAGTGGTGCAAGCATGAGCTTCTTGATGTGCAGGTCAGTTCTCCCCATTCCCTCCTTCCATGCTGCGCGAAGGAAATCCACAACGGATCTAGAATTGAAGCCTTCGTTGTTGGCAACAACGACGAGTGTCGGGTTCTCGGGGTCCAGGTAAGCATGGACTTGATGGTCGAAACGGATACTGTCCAGCTTCTCGAGATCCATCCCCAGGCATTCTTGAGGTGAAGGCCCATCGGTAGGCCACACGAAGATAAGTTTTTGCTGCATGAACTGATTAGGATCCAAGAAATTCTTTTTGTTTTGACTGGGGCTCCACATTTTACACTCCACACTTTTGGGCTCTTTTCGAAGTGCTTCCAATGCCATTTTCTCTTGCTTGCATTTCATTTCTTCATGGTTCTTGTAAGGCGAGATCTTCCCCCACTCTAAAGGATGTTTGCGCTCAAAACCGGGAGATTGACGCGGTGGTTTTGGTTCGCGGTAAGGACGAACTCGCGATGTTCCCGGTTTTGGGGATGGCCTCCTGGCCTTTTTGGCCAATTCTTCGCGGTGCTCGATCGCTAGATTTTGGATCATTTTCTTGGCCTTAACTACCTGATCTTTGTTTCCCCATATGTAGAGTTGCTGTGAATAGTCAACAACAAGAGCTTGATATTGGGATTATATGGTGACCCAACGTACCGTGTCACTCTCGACTGGGGGTTTGATGAAGGCGCCAGTGCTCCGGCAAACGTCCTTAAATATCTCTATTCGTCCAGGACGAGCAGTTGTTCTGCCAAACAGCGAGGTTATCGAGGCATCTTTCCTTCTTTCATGGCGGATTAGCTAACAGGGACTGGAATAAGGCACAGAACGAGACCTTACGCATTCAAATCGCCCAACACGAAAATGGCTGATGATTGAGTTTAGTACCGGATCCTCGACATAATGCACGGGTTTCTTACAGTCAGGCTCCATATTAGCACGCCATTTTGACCTTGCTGAGAGGGTCTGGCGTGGCGGGGGAGTGTTTTCTGTCTTAGGGATTGGTGAGCGAAGGCCGCTAGAAGATGGATAGTCACGTCCTCTATGGCCTTGAGACGACGTAGAATGGCCTGTATGTTGAGTTGTAATAATGTTTGGAATCGTTGGCTTGGCTGCCGGTTTGTCTGTACGTTGGTCGATTTGGGGCGCTGGAGTACTTAAAGTAGCCAACTGGGGCGATAAAGGAGGACTGTCAAGATCAATGAGGTTTCCTACTGGAATTTCGGCAGACGGTGTGTTCCGCTCTTGGTGGAGTGTCTTTTCATGATGTCCATGTTCGGAATAAGAACTGTATTTTGGAGGGTAATGACCTAGCTCTTGAGTTAGCTCCTATATGGGCAAAGGGGCCCTAATGGCGAGGCGATTTTGGTATGTGGGTGGCATACTCCGGGCTGACCCAGGCCTCAAGCGATCTCTGCAATAATATCAGTAAATAGAACTATACCCGATATCTTCAGCGGTCATAGTAGAAGCTCACGGGTCCATAGTTGGATGACTCAATCAGGATTCAGCAGACATGGATAGTGGGCAGAAGTGGGATCAAGAAGAAATCAGAAATACTGATTTTGGAAATGAAAGATTTGATCAGTGGGACGTGAGAGAGTAAGTGGATAACTGAAGAATTGCAAGACAAGTTTCTGGTAGATAGTAGAGATTGAATGAAGAAGCACAGGGGCGCAGGGGATAGACATAGCTCAAAGATGCAGGACCCAAGAAAGCATGCAAAGAGGGCATATGAGTGTCTTTTTAAAGGGCACAAATGTCGCCTGGAAGTTACCTTTACCCAAAAAATGGAGATCCCCGGAAGGCTGGTGGACTAGAACTAATGGGACCTTCAGGAGCGAGAAGCTTTTTAGATAGGAAAACCCACCGTGTTACTTATAATTATTAGAGAAGGGAATACCTACTAGCAAGAGAGGAATAACAATTGTTAGATTCTCGGGCAGCTACATCTATTCTACTTCAATATTCTTTGATGTGATTGCATGCTCTTGTGTATATCTTTCGACAACGGTTTGAGAGTCACCTATCCAAGCAAATGAAGACTACATAGACGGAGGTATCTAATTTTAATTTTCTATTCTTTGACCTATCTTGCAGAGTAAACTAACTAAATAGCTGAAATACTGGAGCTTGTAGGAGTATACAGTATACAGTAGATGGGATCCACTTTCGGATTTCCTATTGGCGGGATCTGCTAACCACACTAAACCAAAAGGGGAGTAAAGTGGACAACGCGTGTTTGCAACGCGATTTCCATTATTTCTCTGCAAAAGCTTTCGTCATCGTCGAGCCCACAGTCCACTCAATTGAAGTGCTTGGCGTGGTCGGGCACAATGGCAGTTGATACGGATCACTCGAGCGATGAGGGCTCTCAGAAACGCCGCAATGTCCGCCAGCGCGCCCAGCAATGGATGACCAAGGGGGCCCTGGTGCATGAGGACTCTGACGATGAATTGGGCGACGAAGACCACCCTTGGGACTGGGTCTATGCTGTTGAAAAGCCTGATGTCAAGGAAGATCCTGAGACAAGCAAGGCCAGCCCCGAAAAATCTCGCCGACGACGGTCCTCCCGCCCTGCGAAGAAGGGCCCAGCAATCGTGGGCGCACGGATGGGTTCGTTCGAGTGCAGATTGGGCGACGTCGTGCTCCTCAAATCTCCCGAGAATGGCAAGGACTGGGTCGGAATCATTACAGAATTCCTGGAGGAGGAAGACGACGAGGAAGAGGGGGAGGTGATCAAGTCGGTCAACATCATGTGGTTTGCCTCGCCGGACGAGTTCATGTCGACAAGAAACAAGCGGAGACCGGATGCATTGCCCAATGAACAATACCTTACGGCCGATTTCAACGTCAACCCAGTCACGTCGATCAACGGCAAGGCGACGGTAATGTCAAAGGATGCCTTCTTCGCCAAATACCCGAACGGAACACCCCCCAAGGATAAGGCAGAACATGCTGAGTTCAACAAGTGCATCGTGTGCCGTCGAGGCGTCAACCAAGTGCAAGGTCGATACACGGACGAGTTCAACTGGGAGCAAGTGTACGGAGAGCGTAACATCCATCAACTCATCAGCATGGTGAAAGACGGCCTGAAAGCGGCTCGGAAGAGAAAGGTGGCAGATGACGAAGTAAGCCTCCTACTGCTGGTCGAAATAGAAGGATCATTCACGTTGACATGAACTGACTCTGTTTGGTAGTATGTTGATACCAAGGACGAGACTGCAGCCCCATCCACGCCGAGGAAACGACAGAGAATGGCTGCAACCAACACAACACCCAAGACACAGCGCAAGAAGGCGTTGACAACACCATCGAACAAACGGTATGCAACCATTGCTATGTCTGTGCTGGTATATCGATAAACTAACAGAGACTCTAGAATTGTCGTAAAGAAGCCTCTTGAATTCACCCCGCTGGGCACTCGCGTCCTCGAGCCATCTCACTTCGCCTCGCCCTACCGGCAAGCACGTACACTCCTGCACGTTTCGACGGTCCCACAATCACTCCCCTGTCGAAAGACCGAGTTCGATACCGTCTACAATCATCTCAGTGCTGCTATCATGGAAGGCACTGGAGCTTGTATCTACATCTCAGGTACGCCCGGTACGGGTAAAACTGCAACTGTGCGAGAAGTTGTGGCCCAGCTCAATGGTGCCGTACTTGCAGAGGAGATGGATGATTTTATTTTTGTGGAGATCAACGGTATGAAAGTCACCGATCCGCATCAATCCTATTCTCTCCTTTGGGAGGCATTGAAGGGCGACAGAGTCTCTCCTTCTCATGCGCTTGATCTTCTCGAGCAAGAATTCTCCAATCCCTCGCCTCGCAGAGTCTCTTGCGTCGTCCTGATGGACGAATTGGATCAGCTGGTCACCAAGAACCAGTCAGTGATGTACAACTTCTTCAATTGGCCTGCTCTTCGACACTCTCGTCTTATCGTTTTGGCCGTGGCGAATACTATGGACTTGCCTGAGCGTACCCTGAGCAACAAGATTTCCAGTCGTCTCGGTCTCACCCGTATCACATTCCCTGGATATCGACACACCGATTTGATGGAGATCATCAGCACCCGTCTGGCTAGTGTTCCAGGCAACATCGTTGATCCCGATGCCATTCAGTTTGCTAGTCGAAAAGTTGCTGCTGTCAGCGGTGATGCTCGTCGCGCCCTGGATATTTGTCGACGTGCCGTTGAGATTGCCGAACAAGAAGCCGATGAAGCCGCCAACGCCGCCTCAGCGAGCAACGACCCTGCAGATGACGTTCCTCCAACTCCGAGCAAGACTCCTGCTCGCCGGAACAAAGCGCTCATAGAGAAGGGAGCAAGTGATTCACCGGCCCCGAAACCTGCCCCTGGCAAGGGTCAGCCTGGCCGAGTCACAATTACAACCATCAAGCAAGCGATCCAGGAGGCAACATCTACACCCCTTCAACAATCCCTGCGCTGCCTACCTCTTTCTGGCAAGCTTTTCCTCGCTGCCCTGTTGGCAAGAGTGCAACGTACTGGAATCACCGAGTCTACCTTCGGTGACGTCCTTGACGAAGCCCGTCGTATCGCTGACGCAGCAGTCGCCGTCGCCGGCGCAGCTGGCGCTGGCGTCAAAGACTTCCTACTCGGAGGAGGTGCTGCGTCGCGGGTGCGAGCTCTAGGCTTCGCCGCCATGGAGCTCATGAACTCTGGCGTTCTGGCTCTGGAACAAGGCTCTGGCACGAAGAACGTGTTGGGTGGCTCTACGATTCCTACCCGTGGTGACCGGAGCAGCAAGATTCGGCTCCGTGTTGCACCGGAGGATGTGAAGATTGCATTCCGCGAGGATGTAGAGGCGAAGAGTTTTGGTATGGGGATTGAGCAGTAGTTCTCCTGTGCATTGTTTCGTCGCTTGACATGCATTCTTGGAGTTTAGTTCTGCATTTTGTAATATTTTACCTCCTGCGGAGTGGGCAGTTAGCATGGCATATGATACCCTTTACTCATACTTTCCCTCCAACCTTATCAGTACTATTCGAACTGTAGTTACGCGTAGACTAGTAAGAAATATTGCGTGTAGCACTCAAAGAAGAGCCTTATATGGTGTTACTTATACAAAACATGAATCTCTCCTGAAACATGAAACCTTTTTCCAGAAATGATTTTCTCCCAATGCCCCAACTTCAGAATTGTAGGGCAAGCACATGAACCACCTTGAACGCCACCCAGTGCCGTAACAAGAAAGACCAAGCAGACAAGAAGGGTATTAACAACTGAGAACGGATGGCCCAAAGAAACTCTCTAATACCGCTGTCTGCCAAGAGTAGGAGCCCATGTAACAGGGTGAGTCTCGGGGGTGGCGTTCTCATCCTCCTTCCAGATCTTGATAGTTTTGTCCGCCTCGCCGGTAATGAGACGCAGACCAGTCCGGTCAAAGGTCGAGGCCATGATACCCGCTTCGGCCTCGAGGGAACCGGGCTGGGCCATTGTGTCAATGGACTGGAACTGGTATCCAGTCTTCCAGTCCCAGAATGACATGGAGCCGTTGTCACCGCCAGAAAACATGACGTTCTCGTCGTTGACGGAAAGAGTGTTGATAATGGCATTCTGGCCGTCAAAGTTCTGCATAAAGTCACCCTCTGGGCACTTCCACTGCTTGATGGTGCCGGTGCTGGCACTAGCAAATGTGAACTCGGTGGGGTGGGTGGCAAGTGCACGAACACCCTTCTTGTGATGCGTCAGGACGCCCATGGATTTGCCAGCTGCCAGATCCCAGAGCCGCACCGTAGCGTCTAGCGAGCCGGAGATAACCTGAGGATCGGCTTCCTGGCACTTGATGTCGGCGACGGTGCCCTTGTGTCCGGCAAGAACGTGAACGTTGCTTCGCGTTCGCATGTCCCACACTCGGCATACACCGTCGCGACCACCGGTAACCAATAGATCCAAGCGAGGGTGCAGCGCCAATGTATAGACACCGCTAAGATGGCCGTGGTAGTGGCGGATGACCTTATTCGTCTCCAAATCCCAGCACTTGACCATCTTATCCTCACCGCACGAGAAGAGGTATGGATGCCGGGGTGAGACCGCGAGACCGCGCACAGTCGAAATGTGACCCGTCAGGGTAAGTCGCAAAGCACCCGTCGCCATGTTCCAAATCTTAATTGTCCGATCACCAGCACCACTGGCAAACCACTCGTTATTCGGCTCGACCGCCAAAGCTCGTACCCAACCCAAATGTCCCGAGATCACACGCATCAACTTCCAGGGCGCGTGCCAATCTGGCCGCTGTTGCTTCGTCGCAGAGGGTCTCTGAATCAAACTTTTAGGCTGGTCCTCACCACCACCAGCGCCTGCGCCCACACCCGCAGGTCTCCTGACGAGGGCCATCGAAGCACCGCTGCCATCACCCGCAGACTGAGACTGAGCTGGTTGAATCTTGGGTCGTTTCGTGCGTCCCGCAGCGGCCTTGGCCTGCTTCTCAGCCAGTGCTGGGGGTAATTCCATCACATCTTGGTATTCTGCTTTTCGCCGGTAGGACACGCCGATTGAGCCGTCTGCCAGGGTCGAGGGTGTGACCATCAGGTATTCTGTGCCGAAGAGGTCGGCGGTACGCTTCACGGAGCTGCGGACAGCCTCATCGGCCGTTTGAGGAGGTAGGGAAACCATTGTTATGACGAGAGAGGGATGTGGATAAGGTAGGGTCGCGGTTGGGAGAGATCGGAGTGTCGCAAAAGAAGTCTACGCGCAGAGGCTTTACGCCTCGAAAGGTAGCGTGCGCGGCGGAGAACCTTTCGTCGGGTCGCAATTCGTGTAATTCAATAGAGCTCAGTATGCACTAATGATACTGGCAGTCAGCTCCGATACTGCAATGGTGAGGTGGGCGATTGGAGTTTGAAGTGTAGTGGATGCGGATGCGAATCTTCTTAATGAGAAGTTGGCCCAGCCTTGCTGCCTGAGGTGTCAATCATCAGGTGTCAACCTTGTCTTACTTATCGCAGCTCTTATCGTGATTCCTCCACTTTGCCATCGTCATGGATCCTGATCAGAACGCTAAATTTCCTCTCCATGAGGCTGCCCGTGAGGGCAAAAGTATGTATTACTAGGTGCTGTACGTTGAATCTATTCTGACCCCATGAGATAGCTCAAATCGCCGAATCGTTGTTGAACGTGAGTGATCGCCATCTGCAAAGCTTCGAGCTGCCCCGCAGAACCCGCACTCTGCAACCGGAGAGGACCGGGTCTACAATATATCTTTTAATCTGTGATGTGCAATCCGGACTAATAAAGCTACTCAGGCAAACCCCAAGACTGCGCTTGTCAAAGACGATGATGAGCGTCTTCCTATCCATTGGGCTGTAGCGTACAATCGGCTACCTATTGTGGAGCTGCTGGTTGCCGACAAGAACTTTGATCCAGATGTTGAGGTGAGATTTCCCCCATGAACTCAAGCTTCTATCATGGGCTAAATAGCTAAATCTAAATTATTTAGGACGGATCTGGATGGACTCCTCTCATGATCGCTGCCAGTCTCAAGGATGCCGAAGGTGATAAAATTATCGACTTGCTTCTGCGCAAAGGTGCCGATGTCACCATGAAGAGCAATTCTGGCCAGGTTGGTGACCATTTTTAGCTCAGTGGGCCTTCTGGCTGACTATTTATAGAATGCTCTGCATTTCGCAAGCTCCAAGTCCAACATTTCTACGGTCCGAAGTTTGCTAGCGCATAAGTGCAGCGCTCGGGTAAAAGACATTCGGGGTCAACTACCTCTCCACCGCGCGGCGGCCGTTGGGTCTGTGCCTATTATCAAAATGCTCTTGGAGGAAGGAAAGAGCCCTGTTAACGCGACTGACAATGACGGGCTGACGGCACTGCATCATGCTATCTCGGAGGGTCATGGTGATGCTGCGATTCTACTCTTGAAGTCAGGCGCAGAGGCAGAAAAGCGAGATGGCGACGGACGACTAGCAATTGAGCTAGTTCCAGATGATAAGGTAAGTGGGTTCTTGATGTTGATTTGACTCGATCGGTCCTTTTTACCTGTTTCCGCGTGCGGCTCCTTGAAAGTGTCTCTAATGGTTTATCTTCTCAACTACCAGGTCAAGCAATACATTTTGCAAACAGCGGAGAGAGAGGGAATCGAGCTACCATGAATCAAACTTGTTATTCTCGTTATTAATTTCCCCGCACAGCCAAGGTTCTGCAGGAAAGCCGTTGGTGTTTCATGTAGCCCGAGCTACCTCGGTGCGTAACCAGCTTCCCCGCACACCTCCGCGTTGCCGAATCATGGCAATTCTCGACATAGTATCGGAGTTGTAAAATATCTCAAGAGCCATTTGAGTGCCCTTGTAGTCATTAAGAGGAGTCGAATAAACTCAGTTTTGTGCACTAGATTGTGTGGATAGGCCGTCCAAGGCGAGCTTTATGGGTGGCCTTAGACCTGTTTAGGTTGTGCTCAACCGGGACGTGACTGGGCGCGAATGACCTCCTGCAGACTCACTGGTACAGATGAGGGGGCCTCGGGGTATGCAAGAAAGTTATAGTTCAGACGTAGACTGGGCTATATAGGGCATGATTGCAACCCCCGCAAGGCGTGGTAAACTATTTTCTTCTGATTCTTGAGAGCGAGACGCTTTCTACCCCGGAGTCAAGATGCCTGCTCCCTCCAGTACCCGTCTTCCGGTAGGAAACAAAGACTTTACAAACGCAACTGTCGTCATCATTGGTGCCGGAATATCCGGTATGTTGGTTGTCCATGACTAGAGAGGGGAAGAAACTGACCGACCTCGCATCAAGGCATGAACATGGCCATAGACCTCATCAAGCGAAACAATTGCCGCAACTTTGTCATTCTTGAGAAAAGTAGTAACATTGGCGGAACATGGAATGACCAAAAGTACCCTGGGTGCTGCTGTGATGGTATGTTGTCTGTTGCTTGAAAACATACCGGACACGCTGCTCATCCATATCAGTCTGGAGTACCTTGTACAGCTATTCCTTCGAGCAAAATCCCAAATGGTCTCGTGAGTATCCTGGCCAGGAGGAGATCTATGTAAGTTAGCACCTACTCTCCATTACTCCCGTGGCCCATGATCGAGTCTGACAGAGAATCTTTCTCATGAATTTTAGGCATACCTAGTGGGCGTCGCCGAAAAATGGGGCCTCTATAAACACATTCGATTCAATTCGGCTGTGGAAGAAGCTCGTTGGGACGATGATGAATCGAAATGGAAAGTCACTGTCAACCTATCGGGGCAGAAAGACAGCGAGTTTGCAACCTCATATGTCATTGCCTCTGATTTCCTAGTCTCCGCTGTCGGCCAACTCAACCTGCCACGATACCCCGACATCCCAGGCCTCGATGATTTCCAAGGAAGAATGATGCACTCCGCCCGATGGGACTGGAGCTATGATTTCAAGGGAAAAAAGATTGCGATTATTGGAAACGGTTCGTTATATCCTAGTTTAGCCCTCTGGAAGACTATGTATAGGTCCTAACAAGCAGTATAGGGGCCACGGCGGCCCAAATCATCCCAGAAATTGCACCGACTGCTTCTCATCTAACAGTCTTCCAGCGAACCCCAAACTGGCTCATCCCTCGCCTCGACGGCCCCGTGTCTGCGTTCCACAAGGCACTATTGACCTACATTCCACCTATTCGCTGGCGCAAACGTTCGGCGATGATGGAAATGCGTGAGGATTTCCACTCTGCCATCTTCGACGATGATTCCGACAACGCGCAGATGATTCGAGACGCGTGCAAGGGTATGCTCAAAACACAATTAGCGAATAATCCAGAACTCTGGGAGATCTTGACGCCCAAATATGCACCTGGGTGTAAGAGGGTTATCCTGTCCGATGATTACTATCCCACGTTGGCGCGTGACAATGTCGATCTAGAGACACGGCGAATCAACCGCATCACGAGCAAGGGCATCGAGATTGAGGGCGTTGGCGAGCAGAAATATGACTTTATCATTCTAGCCACTGGATTCAAAACGGTCGACTTTATGTATCCAATTCAGGTCTATGGCACTAAGGGTCGCCCTGTTGCGGATATTTGGAAGGATGGGGCGAAGGCTTACTATGGAGTCACCGTGGAGGACTTGCCAAATTTCGGAATGTTCTATGGTCCCAACACTAACCTTGGTCAGTGGAAGTGTCTTTCCAGAGTTTGACCCTTCCTTTTCTAACGCGAATGCAGGCCACAGCTCTATAATCCTCATGATCGAAGCCCAGTCACGCTACCTGAATGCCTTGGTTAGAGAGGTGATTCATTCCAAACAGCAAGGAAAGACCCTCGCGCTCATGCCGACACCAGAGGCGTTGAAAGAGTACAACGACAAACTTCAAGCTCTACTGCGTAATAGTAGCTTTGCAGACCCCAAGTGCAACAGTTGGTATAAGAGAGACGACGGAGTCATCACCAATAACTGGTCTGGCACTGTGGTTGAGTACCAGAAGAATCTTTCACAGGTGCAATGGGAGGATTACATCGCCGCAGGTTCTGGTAGTCACCTTTTCAAGAACAAGAGGCCTACTCAAATAGGACGGGTTCATGAGGAGCCGTATCTTAGCAATACTTCGCTTCTTGCAGGGGTGGCCGGTCTTCTGGCCGTCGGCGGCTATATTGTCACTCGCGCTAATCGACAAAAGGCACGCTGATAGTTACATTTGCTCATGTATTAGAAATTTATTAGTTTGGCATAAATGATTTTGATCTCGGGGCAAATATCCACTTCTAGCTTCTTAATGGGGAAGATAGTGTCCTAGTCTATTCGGACTGATGCTATGATCCAGCATCAAGAGCATGCCCCAATGTTCTCATCCTGCCTCGCTTCATCAACAAATGGTCCAGTGCAACCAAATACTTCTCCCACAGTCCATCAGAGCCCCATAACAACAAGCGCTTAAACCTTGAATAAAAGTGTACATGTTCATCTTCTTCCTCGGTCTCCAGCTGACCCAGTGAATCTGGACCCCAGACCTCCCAAAACTCAGTCCGCCACGGCTCCTGGCCCCAGGCAAACTTGATCCAAGCAGAGGCCATGTCACGTCTCATCGCGCGTTCCCTAGCGTTAAGCTTGTTGTCGAGATTGCCGAATAGATACACCACATCAAACCCGTGATACGCCATCCCATTCAAGGCATTATCCAGGCGGGAGCGCTGGTCGAAGTGATACTTGAAGATAGCTTTCTCGTCTTGCAATCGCTTGTTAACGTTTGCAGTTAGATAATTCTGGATCTTGAAGACAGCCTCTCCTCCCATATTGCACACTCTTTGGTTGAGGTCTAGACCCGAGGTATTTTGGGTGATGCCATATTCGAGAAGGATTCTGTCGACGTAAACTTCATTTTGTATGCTTTCCAGTAGTGTCTGTCGCACGGTTTCGTACGTGTCATTCATGACATTCATCGTCAATATCACGCCTTCATCATGCACATCACCTATCATAAATGATTTCAACCAAGCCGGTGCCTCAGTCCATGACTGAAGTCGCGGGTCAAAAGCATAGAACCACCCATCATTGCAGGGATTGCCTGTTCCAGAAGGAACTCCCTGGATAATAGGGTCTGCATTTGCCATTTCCTGTTCTGGGACTTCCCTTAGCCGAGCAAGTGCATCCGAGCCCTTGGGATCGATAGAAAAATAGCGACACGTCGCGTCAAACAATACCTCATGCTCATCTAAATCCAAGGGTGCAAGCGTACTTCCCAGTCCAGACATGCAAATCGCCCGATCAAACTTCATGAGATTGTTCGCTGCCATCTGGTGTCCAATCGAGACGCCACCCGCCGACTGACCAAAAACCGTAACGTTGTCTCGATCCCCTCCAAACTGATCGATATATTCCTGAATCCACTCCATGGCGATTTTTTGATCTGCAAACCCAAAGTTCCCGTTCCCCTCGAACCCATCTGCTTTCAATTCCTCGCCAATCTTTGTACTGGCGAGGAAACCGCCTAGCCCCAGCCGGTAATTAAAGCTCACCACCACGACGGACCACCCGATATCGACACTGTGGGAGACCAAATTCACGGCATCGTATATCCCATAGTTTGCGCTGCCGTAGAGCAAGGATCCCCCGTGAATCCATGCGAGTACAGGGAATTTCTCTTCTTCGAGGCTTGGGTGTTGTGGAACAACGACGTTCATGACTAAAGCAGTCTTTTCGTCAACTTCTGGCTTACGGGGGAAGTTGGGGTTTGGAGGGACTGGTATGAAAATATTGGTAGTGTTGTAGCCCGGAAATTGCGGGCGTGGCATATTGTTACTGCGATATAAGTGAGTGAGAATTCCAATCTGGGGTTAGCGACGCGTAGCTCACCCCAGCTCGGTTCCATTGTGGTAGTCATTTTCCCAGGATGTCCTCAGTATAGAGCGCGTCCATCGCTTTGATAACGAGGCATAGGGAATGCCGCAGTATTGCTCCACTCCGGTGGCGTAGTGGAATCCATCTATTGTGCCCAATCCCCCGATGTGAGTTGATACTGTCGACACGGGCGTCTGAAATGACATCTTGATGCAATTGGCTTGTTTGATGAAGCAGCAAGAGTTGCGATAAATCGGTCGGAACGTAGGCTATTGGTAGGAAAAAGCGATTGTCACAGCGAGTCGGTCTTCACAGGATATGAGGTGCTATTATCGCGAATGATCTCCCATAATTGATGGAGGCAAGAAAAGGCGTGCGCTTTAGCTTAGATATTTGTTCTTGTCAGAGTCCTTTTTCTCGCCGAGTGTATCGCGAATGATCCGAGGTGTAACATGACAGATGGTCCTCTAGCCACCATCATAGATGAGATACAATATTCAGCTCTGAATGGATCTCGTTGAAAGAGCCAGCAAATTCCCGGAATTTTCGGTCATGCTTAAGGAGCTGTTTGTTTCAATATATTCCGTGGCATCGCGACATTATCAATCTGAAGCTCGCGTGGCCGAAGAGTGCTAGACTTGGAAGAGATTGACTGGATGACAGAATAGAGGTCGAATATCTAGCTAATTATTGAATTCATTTCCTTTCAATCAAGTCCAGTTCTTGGGTCCAATGCGAGCTAGTTAACGCATTTGACTTCAATAGCTTTGCGAACATAACTCCATTGCAATGCACAATTGCAGTTCACGGGAATGGTGCTATGAATCTGGCTATTTCCAGTGTGAATATATAGGCTTTCTAAAGGGTCAATATCCAAAATCGAGGGCATATTTTCGGCATGGCTCGATAGCCCACGAAATGCAATCGGCCATCAGCGCATCTTGGGTAGCACAGGTATTAATTCGAGATCAGTGATGAATAGCAGGTCGTTAAATACGCCGTACAATCGATTTTTTACAGAATCAAAGACATGAAGATGTGTGAAACCCTTAGGTAGACCCCTTTAATCTGCTCTTCGTGTTGGTTACAGCTCCAATTTATATAAATAAACCCTGTGGACCCTGGCTTACCCGTCCTATGCCTTAGCAAGCCAGCAGCCCTACGCGGGCGTTGGTTCAAATAAATAAAAGGCGTCAATAAAGACGCATGGTGTAACAATAGAGCAAGCCACGGGACGTCACCAAAACGGCACAATATATCCTATTTATTCTTCAAACACCGTGTGGTGGGACTGTACGACGGCCCACGGTCGGGTTTCCCGCGTCGGCGCGACGAGGCGGAAACTTGCACGGTGGACACTCACTCTGGAGCTGTCAAGCTAGAGTGGATCTTGAATCAGACCACCTGGTGAAAAAGAAAAGAAGTCTACTGCAGTCTGTAGGAATTCTGGGAGCAGGCAACGATAGGCCCAGACTCGAAACTTGGACCAAGCACACGACCAAAGTACTTTCCTTGCGCTTCCTGAGGATGAGTCCAGCCTGTTGGACCTTCGCAGGTTCCGAGACATGGCTGGCAGCTTTTCTTGTCTTTCATGTACCCCATATATTTCTAAAATCAGGAGGTTGTCAGATGCTGACCAGTCTGGACTCCCAGCACTAGGAGAACCATGCATATACTACGAGTGGTTGGTTGACTTCTAGGTTTCTATCACAGTATCCAGTTCGTGGCTGGTCGTGGGGCACATACCTTCAGCTTCAAAGACAATCACCACCGATAAACAAAAACATGGAATTGTCGAATGACAGTTCCTAATCTAGGACTAGCATGTCTGATTCGAGTCAATGCCTCACCGACTTCAGCACGGGGCAAACCGAACAGTTGACGCCCCCCTCAGGGACAGCCCAAGAACCCCTCAGGGACCCCCTCATTCTACCGCAGGATTGGCTAGGCCAATGCGACCTGGCCGGTGCAGGAACAAGACCAGGCTTATTGAAGAAGTCCACGCCGGCCAGGCGCTGGCCCGAGTGTTAGGCGAAGATGAGTGATTGGGTGATAGCCAACGCCCTCTAGGCGCTACGGTTAGCCCTGCAGGACGGGAGCACGTTCGCTCATGGAATTACTGGCCTTGCTGCCAGCTGGCCCTGGCCCATACTGTAACCTTAGCTAGGAAAGGAACAGCATGACCGGCGCGTACTGTCAGAGTCATGAAGATGAGGGGGAAGCCAAGGACTAGAACTCCATGCACGGGCCGAAGAGAGTAACTGCTGCACGTAAGTGTCTTTGTCTCCGCTCGCTTCACTGGATCAAGGAAAAAAAAGGGGGCAAGGATCTTTTGGTTCCACTTGGGAGGTAAATGGGGGCAAACCGATTTTCCACGATAGTTATTGATCGGGGAGGGGCCTGGAAAAGGTTCAAAGGTTTGGAGGATCGTTAAAAATGGGGAACCCCCTTAATCTATATCGAGCGGAAGGAAAGCTCCATTTTTTTTTCTATATAGATTGGGTACGTAAGAAGGTTCATGTTTAATAGTGTCTATGCCACTATGGAGCTTCATCTATCATGGTTATATAGTAGGTAATATCTACTCCTAGAGTATACGCTATACAAGTTTAATCAGGAGTAGTTCCATGGAATGAATGACGAGCAGTGCTCAGCTGCGTCGCATCAGCTGCGTCACAAGTAGAATCCGACCGTGCATAAATCATGATCGGATACTACGGAGTACAGTAAGCATAAAAGTCCAAGCTGATGGACAGTGGACACGATACGGGATACGCAGTCGGCATCATGGTCAATTGGCATTGACCAGCCTTGCGTGGCCCCAGGAACCTTGGGCCTGGGGCAGGAGTTGCGGAAAGGTACTGTAGAAGTACTTTTTACGTATCTCAGACATATCAAAAGTACCTGCAGGATACTTGCAGAGAACTTGGTTCTACCCCTGAAATCGAGCGCCCCTCAATGCCAGCAACTAGCGCGGGTCGGACCCAACATCCAACCTCTTGATCCACGACTCAAGGGGTCAATTTGGCAGTTGGGACTAGTGAATCCAGTTTCTATTTTCATCTGATAATACTGCGAGGGATTGACTTGAAAATGAATGTGGTTGTTATACTACTCAACGAGTATTTACGACTCCTATGGTAGTAGGTACGGAGTACATAGTACTTAGTAACACTGTAGCTTCATTATCGCCAACCACCAAAAAAAAAAAAAGCCCCCCAATTTCCTTCACCACGTTCATCGGCAAGCATTGTCGATCACCGCCGGCCAGAGCGCACCTTGGCAAGCCGCTCTCAGCGCGCCCATTGTATTGCAGTGCCAATCAGATGCAATCCATCCAGACCATCCATGCAGAAAGAGGGGCCTTTGCTCCACTTACGCTTGACTTATCCGGGTCAAGGGCGCTAAATTGTGCCAAACGCTAAACTACTTTCTCTCCCTGCCCTTTTTTTTACCCCTGGACCAGAAGGACTGGAAGGACTAGAAGTTAGACAAGCAGCGAGACAGCAGCAACTCCCAGTGGCTAACCAGAGGAGCCCACAGGCTTGGCCCAGCGCTAATCGCCCGTCTTTCAGAACAGCGCTAAGCTGACCACATCTTTAGTCCTCTGGTCGACTCTGACTCCGTACTCAACTTTCCTCCTTTTTTTTTAAATTCCCTTTTTATTTTCTTTTTATTTTATTCTCCAATTTTTTGGGATGTTCCTGAACTCTCTCTTGATTATCTTTTGATAGTCTCGAACAAAACAGACCACTCCATCCTTTCCCCTTTGAGCCACTCACTCGAGCGCGTGCCAATTGCTTTCCCCTCTTTCATCCCCTAGTCCAATCTCCATTCTTTGTCCCGTGTGAATCGGTATGGACTGTCGATCGATGGCTATTTTTTGATCCTCACTAGGCTGGTTTCATGGCGTCTCCTACTCCTGCTCCAACTCGGGGCTCTCCCGCTTCTCGGTCTTCAGATCCCATTCCTCATCCCACTGCGACACCGGTTGATACTACTGTGCCTCCTCCTCCTACTACTACTACTTCGACTACGGATATCAATCCTCCCCCAGACACTCCGACTAGTCGCTACTCCGCTGCTTCCAGAGCCAGCTCCTCCTCTTCCTCCGGCCTGGACTATTACTCCCACAACTCCCCACCTCCCCTTTCGTCGCAAGTCTACGATCACCACCATTCCTCCTCTATTTCGGGCCAAGATTACGATCTATCCTACGATCAACCACAAGTACCGGTATCTTTGCACCGAAAGCCCGTCCCGCCGCCGTTGCAGGACCAGCATGCCAGTCCTGTGATCGACCCTGTCCACCTTTCCTCTCCCCTTTCGATCAAGAATAAAGCCCCTCCCATTCCTCATTCTGCTGTCGGTTCTATATCCCCTTCGTCCGTCGAGGGAGGCGACTCCTTTACATCTGTGCCAAGGAATTCCAATAGGTATGCGACGCCATTGTTCCACTCCCCCTGTTCCGCTCTTATCATCCCATCAATATATACTCCCTCCCCGGACACCGCACGAACCTACCTGATATACCCACAATTTTGGCTAGCCTATGACTGCTCCACGTTTCATTTCTTTGTGACGAAGCAAAAAAAGCCACAATTGCCAAGCAGGAGTTCATCGCGTGTTCGGGGGGAACATGATGGACATGGGCGATCCATGCTGTCTCGCTTCCCCAAGACCTGGAAGACCTTTCATCGCTTACCTTCTTCGCGATTTCCTAGATACTCCCGAGGCCGACACCCTGCCAAATCTCTCCGTATAGATACCGCCCCAACAGCTGCGTTTCTCCGGTCCGTGGTTGAGGACGAAGACGACGACGACGACGAAAGCGCCGACTATTTTGACGAAGATTACGAGAACCAGTTCACGAATGGAAGCGGCTTTGGAACCCCCCTGCACAGTCGTCTAGTGAGCGAGCCATTTATTCCAATCTTGAACTCGCCACCCCCTACTCAGCGCCGCGCGACGAGTATGGCCTTGCACCCTCCGATGAACCGCCCACCTCCTTTGCAGATTGATGTCGATCCACGATCCATGTCCATGGGCCACGCCGATCCCAGACAGCCTAAAACCCCCGGAAACAAAATTAGCTCCTTCTTTGGCTGGAAGGCTAATACCGCAACCTCGCCTGGCGCCGAGTCTTCCAGTACCGAGATTTCCGACGGCGGCCGATCACCTATGCCTTCTCCCATGCCTCCCCTAGCCAACGTCCCGATGAGACCCCCTTCTTCATACGACACCAAAGCCGGTGGCTTTGGCCCGCCTGCACGGACTCCGTCATTAGGGACACTTAGCGCTCACGATACTGTATATGCGTCCAAGTTGGCCGATCTTGAGAATGAGTTGCGTGAGATCAGTTCCGAATTGGCGGGGTCGATTCGTCGCGAAATGGAATTGGAAGATCTGATCGAGCGTTTCCAAACAGAGGGACCGGAAGTCAATCGCCGGACGAGTGACTACTTCTCTGATTCGGGTACTAGTTCTATTCGATATGGTCCGGACCGACAGGAAGATATTGAGAAGATTCGTCGGGGCGCGGAGCAGGAACGCGCGCAATTGAAGGCTGAGTTTTCGCAGAGGCTCCAGGAAGAGCGCATGCAGCGAACTGCGTCTGAATCGCACGTTCAAATACTAGAGAACCAGGTTCAGCAGGTGAGTTTGAGGCTTTTTAGCGGCATATAGAGAGTTCTTAACTGACGGTATTTGTTAGCTTCGGCGAGAACGAACGGATCTATCAGATCTCTCATCTAAAACGAAAGAGTTGGAGACTGCTTTGGAGAACACGCGGCGGAAGCTGTTGGAGGAACGTCAATCAAAAGACAACTTTGAAGATTTACTCACAGCCATGCGCGTTGAACTGGAACAGTTGCGGAACGAGCGCGATATCCTTCGAGAAGGAAAAGCAGCGCCTGTCGTGCAGGCACCTCCCGCGGCGGAGATGCAGCGATTGATCGAAGAGATTGAGGCCTTGAAGATTGAGAACGCTTCACTAGCGCAGCTGCAAGGCGGACGGTTCGCATCAATTGCCGAAGAGGACAGTATACAAGTGAAGCGCAACTCGGCGTTTGGTCTTTCACGATCCAACTCGCTCGCCCGCAAGCCTACCATTGGTCTGGCGCGCTCCGGTTCCTTGTCCCGCTCCAACTCTGTATCTGGTAATAAGGACCGGGGAGAGACACGCGAGTCGCTGGTCGACAAGGTCAAGGATATCGAGACCCAGCGAGATGCTCTCCACCGTACATTGAGAAGCCTTTTGGACCGCCATGCTTACCAGGAGCGCGAGTTTATGAAGCACACTCGCCTTCTCGAAGCTGAGGTTCTGCGCGCTCAGGAAGCCGGCCCACCTCGTAAAATGGGTTATGAGCGCGAAGTACGCAGCCTGCGTGACGAGGTGAACCACCTCCGCATGCGCGCCGAGGATGCGCTGGATGGCAAGTGGCAGTGCGAGAAGAATTTGGCGGGTCTCAAGATGGATCTTGACCGTGCCGAGCAAGAGACTAGCTCTCTTCGGGTTCTCCTTCAAGAACACGATACCGAAGTACCCGAATGGCTCGAGGCGGACCAGGAAAGCTTTGCCGAGGTCATGGCCACCTCTTCTTCATTGGAATCTGCCTTCCAACAACTCCAAGCAGACCGGCAACAAGCCGAGGCCAGCGGCGAGTCTGCTGACCTGGAGGCGATCAACATCCGCAGCAATGAACTCGCTGGCTATGTCCACCAGCAACTGCAAGTCAACAGTTCCCTTCGCGGCCGTCTGGCAACGGCCATCGACAAGGGCGAGCGCGACCAGCAAATCTCCGTTGAGCGCATCAACGCTCTGCAGAACCGCATGAAGGAGCTGGAAGAGAACCTCCTGAATGCCCAGAACCATTCCGAAGAGGAACTCGGCAAGCACGAGGAAGAGATCCGCCTGCTGAAAGAGAACCACAATGCCCAGCTCCAGCGCATGAAGAACGGCTCTCGCACACCCGCCAGCCTCTCCCCACGACCACCAAACACACCCTTCGCCGGCCGGTCCCCACGCCTGGACAAGACCACTAGTGGTGAGGGCGTCCCCCTGGCGACCGTTGTCCGCGCCGAAGTACTGGAGAAGCACGTCAAGGCTCTGGAGCGAGCTATTCGTGATGTAGACATGGAGATGGAGGAAGTAGTAGGACGGATGAACCGCGCACAAGTTGATGTGGCCCAGCTGCAATCTGACAGGTACGTTAAAACTTTTTTTTACACTTTGCACCAACCCGTTAATTCCGCGGATGATGATTCCGATCTCATCCCGGCTCGGATACGAGATACATCGTGTTTGGGGGCGTCAAGCTAACCCTGTTCGTTTATTACAGGGACGAGGCTCTCCGCCAGACCCGCCGCTTACAGGCAGACATTCAGGCCGAGAGGGAAACCCTTCGGTCTTTGATGTAACGGGCGTACACTTTTGATGCTATTTGAAAAAGTGTTTGCGCTTCCATTTAGGTCCCGTTCATTTCTATTTACATTTTTTTTACTGCTTTCCTTGCCTATACCACCTCATCTGCATCTGCATCGGGACACACCTCCAACCTTGGTGGTTGGAGAAGTCGGGTGTCTAGGAGTTTTTGGTTTCCCAAGCGTTGTTATTTTCTGTTTAATATCTGTGTCTAATTTGTTTGACTTTTCTTTTCTCACATTGGATTTGGATCTTGGACCGTTATATCGTGCGCGTGGCGTCGCGCAGACCTCGTGCTGGGAGCCACGGTTGTCCATTTTACGAGTGTCACCCACTTGCGCTTGTATATACACATCACCACTACTTACTTACTTTGCTATTTGGTATATAATTATCGACTGTACAGTACTTTCCATTGGGAAAGACTTGTATTATTTTTATTCATTTGATCTTCATCTTGTAGCTTGGTTGTAGACTTAGACTTGGAATGGTCCTGTTATGGCTGCAACTGTTTGTTTGTTTTGCACCGTCTTATCTCCGCAGCTTTCGCGGATTGAGCTCCGACCTTCACTTTCCATCTTCCACCTTTGTCTACCGTCGCATTGCTATATACGCCTCCTCCTACCCTTCAATCTCTCTATTTTCCTGTTCAAACTTATCAAAAACGTCTCGTCTACACCTCGGGTTCCAAAATAGCACACCCTCGCAAACAAAGCTTCTTTGTCCTCGCAGTCTACCATATCAGCTACCAACCCACCATCTAAATCACTCTCAAACCCTCGAAACCACCAAACAACTCAAGACATTTCATAACAAAACCTCACACAAGAAAGAAACCATGGATCACCTCCCAGGTAAACCCCAGCCCCTTCCTCCCAACCCCCAAACCCATCACCATTCTAACAACGCACTAGAACCCCTCCAAACAATCCTCACAAACGCAACATACACCTACCTCCACTCAACAGCCCACACCCACCTAACAAGCCACCTGACCACCCTACGCACCTCCCTCGTGGACCCCTACATCCTAACACCGCTCTCGCACCTCCTCGCCACAACGCTCAGCTCAAGCACCATGCCCGACCTCATGTCCGCGCTGGTCCTAGCAGCCACCCTGCTACTCTCGCTGATTATCCTGGACTATATACGGCGGTTCGTGGTGTGGTGGGTTATGTGGTGGGTGAGGTTTATTGTGCGACTGGTGTTCTGGGGAACTGTTGTTGGGGTGGGTGTTTATGTTTGGAATGTTGGTGGGGAGCAGGCTGTTCAGGATGCGGGTAGGGTTTGGGGGTTTTTGATGGGGTTTTTGGATGAGGGTTTGGCTATTGTTGAGGGTTCTGCTGGTGGGAAGGGGAAAGGGAAGGGTGGATGGTTGTAGGGGTATAGGGAGATGATGGTTGAATCCTCTGGGGGAACTTTACATTGCTGGCGCTGGATATTGCGGGTTTGAATGGACAGACATGGCGTCTTGTCTGTTAGTTACGGTTTATTCTGTTCTTCTTAATCCTAGATTGGTCTGGAATTTGGGATTCCTGGGCTTTGCACATGTTCATCAGTCATGAGGTGTTGATTATGGAAGTCTATGAAATTAGATAATTGGTTTTTTCATATCGACTTTTCTTGATCAACAGAGTCGCAATGGTAGTAATCGTAGGGTAGATTGGAAACAAAAGGCAAGACCAAAAAAGAACTCCACATAAATGCTTGGTGAGATGTGATCTCCAGTACAATCAGCCCCACATCCGTAATTGCGGGACAGGGCTTCACAATTGGGGCCGGAATTTCGTCATTAGAACGGGGATTTGCGACACGCTGTCGCTGTTTATAGGCTGAGTATGACTCGGTGATGTGCATGGATGAAATGGCGTATGTCAGGCCACGGGAGATCTCGGACTCGTTGCTAGGCAAAAGTACCGAGTATAACCGTGTGTAACTTGCGGGGATTTTTGTCGATGAGAGTCCTCGACAAAGCTCGAGGTGCTGTTATGATGGTTGCGAATACCTCGCTCTTTATTCCTCGTAATTCACCTCTTGCTCATCCTTGGGCTCCCTAGGCTCTTGAGCCTCGTGGTATTGAATGGCATCATCAATATGGCTCAGAACACCCGCAACGCTGTCCTCGTCCGAAACATCCAACTGCAGGAACGAGACCATGCTGAAATCATCAATCAACTGTGCCACCGCCCGGTTGAGCTGGTTGAACGAGCCACCGCTCATCAAAGCATCCTTCGCCATAGGATTGGCTGGAGCCCCGACATCCTCGTCATCTTTTTGTAAAAGTTGCACATCGACATTGGCGAACCGCCTCAATTCCCGACGCGTCACCATATCCCGCACCTGGTCCATCTTGCTGAGAATGTTGACATGAGGAATTTCCAGCATCAGCATGGCCGACATGGCGCTGAGGGTGCCGGCGAAAAACTTGGCTTTGTCGACGACGAAGGTACTTTCGAGGAGGTAGGCGGCGCAGAGGTTGATATTCAGGGGTCCTTGACGGGAAAGGAACTGCGTTAATGATGGGAGGAGAGGGATGTGTGTGTAAAGCTCGATCTGGCCGGGCATGTCGAAGATGATCAGGTATTCCTCGCTCAGCGGGTCGAGGGCTTCGGTCAGGAATTCGAGGTTTTGGAGGAGGAACTCGAAACAGTAGATGAGGCCGCCGTTAGGACCCAGGCCCAGCTCTTCCATGACATCTTCGAGGGTGATGAGCTCGCGGATGTCGAGGTCGGGCTGGTAGGCAAAGTTCTCGGCGGCCGGATCGAGGTTGACGTAGAAGCAGCTGCGGCGGGTGCTCTGCAGGTGCTGGATGAGGGAGTTGCTAAAAGTGGTCTTGCCTGCACCCGCAGGGCCCATAACCAGGACACCGAACTTGGACATGATGGGCCGTAAGCGTTGGTGCTAGTGCTAGTGCTGGGTCCTTGTGAGCTTCAACAGATAAAATTATGGGCAGCTTTTCATATCAGCTTATCGAGCCGGGTAACAAGAATTTCGCACTTGCCGGAGGGGCTGAGATCTGCCAGTCGTGACCGCCCGGCAGATCCACGGGATGGCGCAATCGGGGAGGGCTGACGGGTGCAGGCGGTGAGTGACCAGCCCCACGGTCTACGGTGTGGGAGAGTTTCCGGGATAGAAAGTACGAGGAACAATCGGACATTGGAACCCATTCATTCAACTCTTCTGCAGAGTGGCCACTAGTTCAACTGGCCCCAAGTAGTGACTTCGGTTGTACCCACGTGCACCACCACACCACCATTGGCGACCAACGTACAGGCCGAGTACTTTTATTCTGCCACTGGGCCGCAGAAAAAAACCCCACCTAATTATTACTTTCCCCCCCCCTCGTCTTCTCTTCCTTCTTCTTCTTCTCCTCCCTCCCTCTTCTTTCTTCATTCATCCTCTCTCCCTCTCTTTTTTCTCTCCCCTTAAAGACTTCTTCAAGTCACACAATTCGTCACAATGGGTTCCCTTGCAACCGGTTCGCAGCCCAACACCTTCCTCTTCACCTCCGAGTCCGTCGGTGAGGGTCACCCCGATAAGATTGCGTGAGTTTTTTTTTTGCCCCTGAGGGAAAAACCCCAATGCCATCCGATTCAATCCTAACCCTCCTCCCTTCTATAGCGACCAGGTTTCCGATGCCATCCTCGATGCCTGCTTGGCTGAGGACCCCCTCTCCAAGGTTGCTTGCGAGACTGCCACCAAGACTGGTAAGTTTTTTTTTTCCTTTTCTCGGGGACCCCTCGGGAATCCGTCTTACTTCCCTCCCCCAACCCCGAAGTGGCCCCCCAGAATCTGACATGCATTCCCTCCAGGTATGATCATGGTCTTCGGTGAGATCACCACCAAGGCCCAGCTGGACTACCAGAAGGTCATCCGTAACGCCATCAAGGACATCGGTTACGATGCCTCCGAGAAGGGTTTCGACTACAAGACCTGCAACGTCCTCGTTGCCATTGAGCAGCAGTCTCCCGATATCGCTCAGGGTCTCCACTACGACGAGGCTCTTGAGAAGCTCGGTGCTGGTGACCAGGGTATCATGTTCGGTTATGCCACCGACGAGACCCCCGAGCTCCTCCCCCTGACCATCCTGCTCTCTCACAAGCTCAACGCTGCCATGAAGGCCGCCCGTAACGACGGCTCCATCCCCTGGTTGCTCCCTGACACCAAGACTCAGGTCACTATTGAGTACGCCCACGACAACGGTGCCGTCAAGCCTCTGCGCGTCGACACCGTCGTCATCTCTGCCCAGCACACTGACGATGTCTCCACTGAGGAGCTCCGCACTGTCCTGAAGGAGAAGATTGTCCGCAAGGTCATCCCCGCTGAGCTGCTCGATGACCGCACCGTCTACCACATGCAGCCCTCTGGCCGCTTCGTCATCGGTGGTCCCCAGGGTGACGCCGGTCTCACTGGCCGTAAGATCATCGTCGACACCTACGGTGGCTGGGGTGCTCACGGTGGTGGTGCCTTCTCCGGCAAGGACTACTCCAAGGTCGACCGTTCGGCCGCCTATGTTGCGCGCTGGATCGCCAAGTCTCTGGTCAACGCCGGCCTTGCCCGCCGTGCCCTCGTTCAGCTCTCCTACGCCATTGGTGTCGCTGAGCCCCTCTCCATCTTCGTCGAGACCTACGGCACTAGCGACAAGACCTCCGACGAGCTGGTCCAGATCATCCGCAACAACTTTGATCTCCGCCCCGGTGTGATCGTCAAGGATCTTGACCTGGCCAAGCCCATCTACATCCAGACCGCCAAGAACGGTCACTTCACCAACCAGAGCTTCTCCTGGGAGAAGCCCAAGGCCCTCAAGTTCTAAGCAGGTCTCCGTATGGTGACCTCGGGAAGAACATTGTGACGACTGTGATGAGTATGCTTTGTTTTCAACAACTCAAAGCACGTGCATAGACATTTTTTATAAAACTACACAAACCTTTCTTGTGACAAAAAGTTTGGGTCCTTTCCAGATGATGGAAAGGCTCGGCCCTTTGTTCCCTCTTCTTTTTTTCCCTTTTCCTTGTTTCATTATTCTGCATGGTCGCCCCAAAAGACGGGCCTTACGGCGAAGACAAAATTCAACATGATACCACTATTCATCGGCTGGGAACGGGAAGTTTTTGGCGTTTTTGCGGAGCGAAAGTCTTCAACAACCATACCACCTTTTCACTACTCGACCAGCCCCCCGAGTTGTGTGGATTGATCCTGCAGGGGCATTAATCCTCGGAGTCCGGGGGTGCGGGTCGGAGGGAGTCCTTGTTGCTTCTTGTTTTGTTTCCTCAACATTCAAGGCTCCCTCTTGACCCGTGGGGTCTGCTGCTAATCTAAACATTAGCAAATAGAAATAATATCCACACCGTTTCAACGATTTAGTTGAATAATAATCATTGTCCATGTTAGAGCTCTGTAAGGCTTGTAGATACGCCCGACGTCTCCAATTTTCAGCGCAAGTGCTTCAGTATTTTCCCTCTTGGACTGTTCCACTGCTGACACCTGACACTTCCAAAGTTATTCCTATGGGTGAGATCATCCAATCTTCATGGTTCTCTCCCTTGCATCCCAGCCCGAGTATACGAACGGGGTCCTACAGTAGCCGTAGATGCCACCTGGCCTGATTTTTTCGCCATGGCCCCCATCTTTTTATGATGCAAGTACGGGCTTTATTGATGTGATTGATCCTTTGCATCAATTTGCTTCTTTCATTGCCTCAAATGCAGGGATCGATTCTTGATTACGCGTTTCTTGTCTGACGGCTGATTTCGCCTTTACGTATTTTCTAGGAATATGAATAGCCGGTGAGCTTTGTAGACTTGGTGCTATCTTGGTGATCCATGTGGTCCATTCTGATTATTGCTCTCTTAAGTACGATTAACAGCAGATAAATTTCAAGTCATACTACATTCGATTCCACTCTACCTACAATATCAAATATAATCAACCAAAGATATCTTCGCTACTAGAAAAAACAAACTACTCCCCTCTACCTAACCCTCACAAATTCGCCCCAACAGGACTTCCAACCGCACCCCCTCACTAATCATCTTACTCAACTTCGCCGCCATAGCAGCAATAGGCGCCGTCGGATGCCCACTAATCTGTTCCGGAAACACACTCGCATCCATAACACGCAAACACTTAACCCCATGCACCCGACACTCCAGATCAACCACACTCGTCCCCGGCGAGGGACCCATGCGCGCTGACCCCACGGGGTGGTACAAAGTAAACGCCTTTTCATCCATGAAGCGCAGCAGTTGCTCGTCGGTGATTTTGTCGACGTCGCTGCTGGAGTAGGGCCACCAGTAAGAGGTCGGGTCGTCGTTTGGGGGGATGGGTTCGAAGTAGTTTTTGAAGGAGGGGCTTTGGAGGAGTTTTAGGCAGACGCGCAGGCCGATTAGGAGGACGTTGCGGTCGTTGTTGGTTTTGTCGGTGAGGTATTTTGGGTCAATTATTGCTGTTTATTGGGGTGTTGTTAGTTTTGGGTTGCCTTTGATATTTTGATATTCAGTTAGGGGCTACTTAGGGCAGACTTACGCGCATCAAAGACGTCTCGGCTCTTGATTGATACTGTGCCGTGACTTTGTGGGCGAAGACCGATGGGAACGATGCTGAAGACGCTGCTGTTGTCGATTGGCTTTTCTTCGCCGTGGTGGATGAATGCTAGTGGGGCGCCGATGATTTCGAGGTCTGGTGCGTTTTTACCAGAGGTGAAATCATTCGGGGCATTCACTGTCTGCGGGAATTGATAGTCGGTGGATCGAATAAAAGCAGCTGCCTCGCCGACGTTACTGGACAGAGGACCACCACCGGTCAATAACCAGCGAGCCAGTGCTGGAAGGGCCTTGATTTCGTTGGCCAGGTAGTCCAGTGTGACGCCGTCCTTGGCCTTGACGATGACCGGCGTCGTGCATAGATGGTCTTTCAGATTGCGACCAACCGCCTCATTCTCTCTGATAGTTGGGATACCATGAGCTTTCAGTGTTTCAGCTGGACCGATACCACTCAGCAATAGCGTCTGCGGTGTATTAACTGCTCCCCCGGAGAGGATAACCTCCCGTCTTGCGTGGACCTCGAAGCGCTCACCACCACGACTAGTCTGGAACTCGACTCCAATGGCCGTCGGCTCCTTAGTCGTGAGTTGATCAAACAGCACACGGGTAACACGGACATTGCACGCAACATATAAATTGGGCCGCGCTAATACTTCTGGCGTCAGGAAAGCCGTAGCCAGCGACGACCGCTGACCCTTCGTATCGATAAAAGTCTGGAACCTTGTCACACCCAGACTACCCTGTTGGGTATTCACATCCTCAATAGCCGGGATCTGCACGTCTTGACAAGCAGGCAAGAAGCCCTTCTCGACAATCTCAGATAACCACGAATACCCCGTCTGCCACTGCCCAGTGGACCCGCGATGCTGGGGATCGATCGCGGGCCGCCCAGGGTGGGGAGTAAACCGCTCCATTCCTCGCAAGAATGGGGCCAGATCTGAATAGCTCCATCCCTCGCAGCCATGTGTAGCAGCCCATTCGTCAAAGTCGGATTTCGAGCAGTGGTGGTACATCATTGCGTTGAGGGAGGAGGAACCGCCGAGGATTTTGCCTCGGGGCCAGTAGAGGGAGCGGTTTGCTAGTTGGGGCTGTTCGACGGTGTAATAGTCCCAGTCATGTTTGGTGTGGAAGAGTTTGGAGAAGAGGATGGGGACTTTGGATTCGAAGACTTTTGTGTTGTCGCCGCCGGCTTCGAGGAGGAGGACTGAGACGTTTTTGTCTGAGGAGAGTTTGTTGGCTAGGACGCAGCCTGCTGCGCCGGCGCCGATGATTACTTTGGATTGGGATGGAAGTTAGTAATTACAATGCTTGCTTTCTGTTGTCTTTTCGATTAATTAACGTACCGTAGTCATAGCTAGTAAGACCTCGCTGGGCAGCAGCGTATGTGGCTGGAGGTCCGGTGTGTAGTTGAGGCGTGGCATAGTGTAGTGGATTGGTGAGCGGGTTACGATACTTGCGGCCCATGGTGATGAGAAGAACGTAAGATGATCAGAACGATTGGATAGATTGGTATACAAGGAATGATAGATATAGTTGCTTATTCGGACAGATATATGTCAAAATAAATTCTTCGTCAGACCCTCCTCGTGAAACTTGCGGGGTACCAATCGTCCCTCGGGAACTACCCATTTAGTGATAGAGTTTGTCTCCGCATTGGTTGTCTCCAGTCCCTTCGGGGACCCTTCCCCTCATTAAACGCCTCCCTCGGAACTTTACGGAGTCCTGATTCGTCCATGCAATACGTCTCCGACGGCGTTCCTGAATTTGGTGGAAAGTGCCTCCGACTCATCTGCTGATAACAACGGCGTATGCATGCTTCAACGCTGAGTCAGATGGACATCATGCCATTGGCAGCTGGTCTGATCATCCTCAACACTCAAGCGGCTGGAGATCATTCATTATCCGTTATTAGATCATTTTTATCCTAATTTATACATATATCTGAGTGGCTGCTTATGGGTATTTTTGGTCTTGATGTGAGAATCTCAAGCGAATATTACGCTTTGATTGAGCCATGGGAAATCAATTGGAGGTGCATACACTTTCACTAGTCGAGCTTCCTTCATGAATTCCCTTTCCTTGATATTCTGTTCTTTGAACATATTGAGTAGGTAAGAGCTAGTGGCTCGTTCAATCGCTTCTCATCCGCTTCAATTGCGCATTTTCCAGCCACTGTTTAGCCCCCTGGTAGGAATAATTGAATTCGGCGAATTCCTCGGGTTTCCTAGAGTTGGAGAAATTAGATCAAAATCCAGCCCACAAAAAGCCATTCAAATCACTTACATCTGAATCTCAATACTATTCTTCTCGGTTGCTGGCTTTCCTTGCTGACGGGAATACTTCTGGATCAGTGTAGCACGCTCATAGCGTGCTTCGAAGACTTTAGCTAGCCGTGCTTGAACATCCTCTGCGGAAGGGCGACTTTCTATGTCTTCGAAAAACGCTGCTAATGCCTCCTTCAATACGCGGATATGTTAGATCGACAATAATTAAGGGTCTGTAACAATTGGAAAAACCACATACTGCATCTTCCACGGCTTGGCTTGCTCCTTGTCCTTGGGTAGGAAGCATAGCGTGCGCAGCATCACCGATCACAATAGCATGGTCCTTAAACCATGTATCCAGTGGATCTAAATCACGCAGCTGCCAAAGACCCAGCGACGTGATATTTCTAGGTATAAAGTTAGCAAAATTCTTCAGATCCTCCGCGTGAGGACAATTACTGGAAAGGCTTAAGAAGCCATGTTGGCAGAACGGAGAAGCTGTCTAGGAAACTCGTAATGCTTCCAGATGAAGTCCAGTTTGTGTGAGAAGAATCTTCGTGCATTTTTTCTGTGAGATTTTCGTCAGCTTCTAGTATCATTCTGGCCCGGCACAAGGAAAGCTTACCATCAGGAACGAGAGCGACCACTGAAAATGACTCGCCATGTCGAATAGGACCCATGACCAAGCGACGGTCATGGCATAGCACCATCGTGGTAAACTCGTCGCGAGGATTGATGTGCCGAGTAAACTCAGTTTCGGCCTCAATTTTCTCCATTGGAATCTGAACCCTTTGATTAGGCCACTCGCCATGTCAGAAAAGATAGATAAACGAGCCCTTACAAGAAAGCGATAAGCTGCAGTGAATGCTTGCATTAGAACAGAAAATCCAAAGATGTAAGGCTCGTGGCATACCGGAAATTCCTGTCGGCATAGCGTCTATTTTGTCGCCACAAATAAATTCTCGGATTCGACTCTTTCTTCAGAGTGATGGTGTCAGCAAACTATATCCTCCTTTCACTGCTTTTGACGATTTCGCTCACATCCCATCCGCGCCAATAACTAGATCTGCCTCAAAGATGGACCCATCTTCAGTAGTCACTATTCCCTCTGCGGTATTGCAATAGCAGACATTCTTGGAAGTCAATATACTGACCGGCCTACCAGGCCGCTTCGGATCAATGGCTGCCTCTTTCAAAATGTCTTGCAGATCTTGTCTATCCAGAAACGTTAACCATGTCTAATATTTGGTATAAATGATTCTCACCTGTGAAAGACAACTCGGGACTGCAAATATATCAGCATATGCATAGAGTAGGGGCCCTTGTCAAGAAAAGACATACCCCGCCGTATTTACTCGCCGTGTCAAGGGATATATTCCTCTCTAGTTTACCATCCGCTCGGTAGATACGGAACTGGTCCAAAATGTGTTAAGTACAGACGTGAAGGATAAAAGCAAGATATTTGATTTACCCCTTTGTCAATTGCGGAGTTTCTTTATTCTAAATTAGATCAATTCACGCACGAGTAGAGGACCGACGGAAAATACCTTTCTTCAAGTCGCCGCTTGAGGCCCCACCAATCTTCGACTATTCTTTATGCAAACGGCCGTCAAAATTGACCGCTTTTTTAAGGATTGAAAGACGTACTTTGAAGCATTTGGTTGCAACCTGAGATCCCTGGTTAGACATATTCTCTTGCGAGGCCAAAGCATACGTACGAGATACCAGCACCGATTTCTTTGAGCTGGGCCGACTTCTCAAGCACTTTGATGTCTCGATTCTCAGCACGCAGTGCAACTGCCTAGGAAAAGTAAGTGAAAGTTATTCCCAAGGTGGCATTGTTCGATTCTTACTGCCGATAGGCCTGCAATTCCGCCCCCGACAATGACGATGCGGAATTCGCGATTGGACATGATGGAAAGACAATAATACTGCTGAAAATTGGTTACCAGGGACAAACCTACTTTACTTCTTATAGGTTCATCGGAATTCCTCTATCAATTTACCTCCATATGATTATATGGTTTCCGGAGAGTCGAAATTTGTTTCCAACTCCGGTTTCCGAAGCGGTTCTTTCCTTGCCGGAATCGGGACGGAATTGCGCTTTTGTCACCCTCTCTCTTTAGGTATCCCGTAGCCCTGTTGTGTTCCATAATATTAATTAATAAAAGCATAAAAGCGCTCAGGGAATTTTATCCAAAGTCAGCGACCACAATTCCCAGATCCGTCACCTTTATAACATCTCATCTGATCTTGATCATTACATTTCTTCATGATGTCCTCTGCACAAGCCATCACCACCACTACAACTCGCTCTTTTGAGAACATCCGTCTCCGCCTAACTGGAAACGAGGGGCCTTTCGGAGATTGGCGTGACGACCTTGTTCGGGATGGTTATGCTATCATCAAAAATGCGATTCCGCGCGAGAGGGCGGATGCATATGCCAATGACATGTATTCCTGGCTCGAAGACTTCAACTTGGGTTTCGATCGTAACAACATCAAAAAAACCGCGAGAGAGGAGCACCTCCCAATTATCAATGAGAAAGGCATGTGCTGGTGGTATAGCCTAGCACATGAGGACTTTGTGTGGAAGATGCGAGCGGAACCAGGTGTTGTTGGTGCTTTCGAGAAAGTCTACAATACCTCTGATCTCATTGTTTCGTTCGATGCTCTGAACTTCACATTTCCTGATCGAGACGATATTCAACCCAACAAACCCTGGCCACACCAGAATCAGAACCCAGATACCCACGGATTCCGTTGCTTGCAAGGATTAGTTAATCTGCTGCCGAACGGGCCCAAAGATGGTGGTCTAATCGTATGCAAGGGTGGCCACCTCTTGTCCGAAAGATTCCACGAGGAGATGAAAAGCGAGCCGCGTATCCCGGGATTCTTTCACGAGTGGTATGGATATACCGATGCTGGCATGAAATGGCTGGCCGATCATGGCCTTGAATGGGAGAAAGTATGCGTTGAACCTGGTGATCTTATTGTTTGGGATTCGCGCACACCGCATTACAATCTTCCATCGTCTTCATCCCGCCCACGCTTCTGCATTTACACTTGCTATATGCCAGTGTCAGATGTTACGCAAGAGGATCTGAAGCGAAAGAAAGAGGCGTATGAAGGCTATCGAACTACTTCACATTGGCCGAACGCGAACTTTGTCGGCGCAGCCGATGCCACCAGGAAAGGCAAGCCGTGCCCCTATAATCGTCACAGACCAACCAGATTGCCTCAGCTGGACGAAAATGCTTTCAAGTTGACTGGGATCCCATATATTACCGAATGAAAGCCGGGATCACTGGCAGTCTAGCTTCCTCCCACTCATTCGATCATTGATGATCGCTTCCCTGAATTTTACTGATTTTGTATTTTTGACGGAGACTTGGAACCTGGAATTTAGTCATAAATCAAATGATTCGTTGTTGTTTACAGTAGTTTTCGTGATCAGTTATACCTCTACACTCTTGCGACTTTATTCCCGGAAAATAAATCCGGAACACGCTAACCTCCTTTAGCTTACCGCTCTATACGTTTGGCAAAACATTCATAGTAATGGCCTTACATGTCACATGAGTGATCGTAATAATACTGTTAGGTTTTGTGGAACTACGTAGAAGTCTTGGGGGAGCTAAGGCGATCTGGCATGATCGTCTAGCTTACTCACAGCCTCCTCGCCTCTTCCACCCGTTCTTGCCCCCTATTCTTCCCGTATCCGACGTAGCTACCCGCTAGTTAGAATATAGAAGGCTGCGCTTATACTGTAGAGAGCTAACCCTGATAGGTAAAGATGTATCTCTATTTTTATAGCTTATATCACCTTTTACGAGTTTCAGTCACTACTAGCCTGCTATTAAAACGTGGTTGTAATAAGAAGCTAATGTATGTATACCAGTCTCTTCCACACGGATATGCATCTATTCAAGTCAAATACCCGGTCCATCAGCTCATATTGATTACAGGCTCGCAATTCTCCAGTCCCGCTAGCACGACAGTAGGCACAGGAAGGGACCCGAAACACACATCGACTTCCTCAGCAGGTATCAGCCTGCCCTCTCTCTCTCCCGAACTACCTTCAGAAAGCGGACAGCCTATGTCGGGATTCTACCCGAATGGTACCCGGAGCGAGGATATGTCGCAGCAGAAATGGGTGTCGGGCCAGAGCTATGGACTCGGTGTGCATGGAGCACAGAAACCAGAGCCGATACAGGAGTTGGACGGTAGTAATGTGGCCGATTTGCATGAGTTGGATGGATCCGGAGGCAATCGGCGATGGTGAATGCCTGGAGCATTGGGGGGTTAGATACTAGATTGTGAATACCCTGAGCTAGTATTTTGTATATTCGTTGTATCTAATTCAAAAGTCACATTCGCATGGACTTCAAGAACATTATCAGGTGTATTTTGGCGTGGTGGAAAGACAAACCGAAGACCGAACAAGTATTCGCGGGCAGCATTAACGGGACTGAAGAGCCCCTGCTGGCCCTCATATCTAAGACCTTATCAATAAATAGGTAGTTCTTCAATCGGATTTCTTCTTTCATTCTCTCCGCTGACAAAAGAAATTCAAGTAAGGCGAGCATCACAACGTGTACTTACCATGCGTGCCAAACGGCAAACGTCTTCCTCGCTCCAATCCAATATTTGCCTGAAGACATGGTCCCTTTGCCCACCGTTTCCGAATAAGGGAGTTCATGCGCTGTGTAAGTAATTTGTGGGCCTCTTGGGTCTCGAGAAGACGCGCAGGCGCCACCTTTCGGAATTCCTAAATTTTTATAATACATACTAATTTTTCTTTGATCGAAGAATGGAATATTCGTGGTACTCATTGGCTCATAGTCCAAGCCTCTCTGTTGATAAAACAAGTATGAACTAACGCTGACGCATTAGCAACTTACATAGATCCACTGGAACTTTGTGAGAGTTACAAATTACAGTGAGCTCTGAAATAACCAACATGCGTAGTCTTACCAAATCGCTCTTGGTCGCTAATGTAAAGGAGATTTGCATTTTCAGTGTTCACTTGATCACCTAGCGCTCACTATATTGTAGGCTTAACGCTTATGGACTATTGAACCACCTGAGTTCAGTTTGGGTGAATTCGATATGCAGGCTTAGGTCAAACCAATGTTTCAAGTTGCAATACAACTTTTGAAGTGAGAATAGTAAAGACTTGGATACGCACGGTCAAGAAAAGTTCAATATGTATTAAACAACTCTCAAAATTATACGCAGTATGACATTCACGAACTTCTCAGAGAATTAAGACAATAAGATCCCAGCATCGCAAGGTAATAAGAAATGAAACCCAAAATTCTAGGAGCTTGGAAAGAATGAGCACTTGAAAACACACTCAGAGCCTCTTTTTCTGGTATCAAGGAATGACGAGTCCTCACTCCTAGACTGTCCCCCGATATCTTCTTGTATCACGGTCTCCTGCTAGCAGGTATCCATCCGAGATTGGTCCTTGAGCTTCGCCGTCTTTCGTTTGTTTTTGCTTCCATCCCGTATTTGATAAGAAGTAGCTCGGGTGCCAGATGTTGAACAACGCCAAAGCAGGCAGAACCACGACTGACTCAAAGACATAAAAGTTCCATTCGTGGGTATACAGGTAGCCATCAAATCCTGTACAAAACTCGATCATGCGATATACGGAACGAATCTTGGCCAAATTAGCACATAATCGACACAGTGATGAAAGGATTATCTCTCACAAATATCAAGCAGGACGCGATATTTAAGACCAGAAGCAACTTTTTCCAACGATGATCTGGCCAGGATACTTGAAACCTCGGTGAAACCATGTGAAACCGGAAGGAAATAATTATAAACAAGCCAAAACAAATAAGCTGAATGACAAGTCCAATCTTCATAATGCGAAATGCGCTCTCTTGGCCTGATACTGTATCGCTGAGGGTGCTCTGAAGGCCACCGACCACTTGAATGAGGAATGATACCACGTCGCAAGAGACGAAAAACGGTGCTAGATATTTGATCAGCCGAAATTTTTGCCATATAGAGACTGATCACTTACTCATCCATCTGGGAGTTGTCCAAAGAGTTTTCCAAGTAAGATGCTCCTTGGGTGTGACATGCAGAATGACTCTCCCCTGGCAAGGTTAGCCTTCTAAGCAAAAGCAAACAATATCCAATTTGAATAGTTACCATTGCCATATAGCACGACGCAGCTATGACAGCCGGAGCAAGAAAGATTGGCAGAAATGAGAGCGCGTAAAGGACTGGCTAGGATTAGGTTCATTCTCGACCTTTCACTATTCGAGACTCGGCACTAACATGTTGACCCAGTATTTTTCGCAGAAAGTATTCTTGCTATATACCCCACGGATTCCACTGATCATTGTATTAGATTGAAATAGTATTCTCTCAAATTAGAAGAATCACTCACTGATCGACGCGATGACCATGAAAATCCAGAACCAGCACCGTAGCTTGAAGTACTGGAAAATCGTTACTCCACAAGTCAAGGTATATAGAATTGCAAATATGACCGCCGCCGCTACTGATGGCTCATATTCGTATAGTGCTATCATGATTCATTCCAGTTAGTGTTTCGAGACTTATACCAGTGTACAAGGAAGCAGCCTTTCCCGAGCTGGTTTCATTTGCGCACCTATCGATCCCATGTTTGCGTGTTGATCCAACTTCTTAACCGAAAGCGCAGACAAAAAGTGATATGGGCTGGAGTCCGTCGCAGTGCCAGTTCAAGTGAGTTCTTCGGAGGCTCAAGGTCACTTCAGACAAGCAAACTGATTGTTCAACAACTCGCAGGTCCGGGGCCAGGCTATTTATTAAACTCCTCGTGAATCGCATTTACGCGCCACAGATTGCTTGGGATACTCGGGTAATAACACTCCGATGCATAATGCCCCTTTTTAAATACCCTGGCTCAGCGGTTTTTGAATCTACATCGTATGGATGCCACCCAAAATACACGCACATTTATACCTGAAACATTCGTAAAATAGTATGACCAAACAGAACGAAACATCTGAAGAGTTTCTATATTTGCAGTGAATTCAAGGCATCTCATGTGTATTCGTAAACAAATTACCTTATCTTACAGCTTCAATTGGTTTAGCTTCGAAAACATATTATATTTTGCTTCAAATTATACATGCCTTTCTGGAGCTGGCTAGAGGGTACAGGCTTCCGAGGTTCAATTTGTCGCTGTACTAGTGATGTACTTTTTGGAGCGAACTAGTACATTTCTGGAAGAAGCCCGCTTACTCAGCTGTGAAAATTCTTCTGATTGGTTTATGCTGGAACATGGAGCGTTATGGCTCCACTTGGAGCCGCGTTTCTTTCACAAAGATTTCATCGGACGCGTGGAGAGGTTATTCTGGGCCTCGTAGGGGGCCAGGCAAAATCAGACTAACGCAGTTTACATCGCATAGTTACTAGAACATTCAGATAAGGTTTATTCCCAATCGATCAGCTAGCCACGCGTGGTCGTGGGCCACTAACAATGCCAAGATATGAAAAATGTCCACGGGCCTGTCAATACTAGCAGTTTGCCGATGATTTAATTGCCGAGATCCAAACGTTTGAATCAACTCTACCGTATATCTGGATGAAGGTCTACTTGGTAGTATTGAATATTTTATTTTACAAATGCGGAGTGTACATCTCTTTGTAAACCATGAAGGCAACTTGAAGGAGACGTCAGCCGTACAGCCTTAGGGCTAAATGTTGATGCCATCAATGTCAGTCTACAAATATGTACATACATAGGGGTGACTACTAGTGGACAAGGCTATAGAGACGTTCCAATGATTGAAAGAGACCTCGTGCGAGATCACAGATGCTGGACTTAAATTACTAGTGTAAATTTGTCCAGGATGCCATTTAAAGGGATGAGCAAGTATTGCTATAGCGTATTTTCAAACACACTCTGTGGCAGTCCCCAAAATGTTAAACCTGACTCCGAGGCTAGCTCCGTGTTTCGAATAGCTAGTTGAGCACCTTTCGATAACTCCCTCACGTAGTTGACTGCTCTCTGAGCATTGAACCTTTTATCATGTTGTTGGGATGATAATATGGACTCGACAATCATGCAAAGGCTCTGGATGAGCTCTAGATCATGTTGAGCTTCGGGGCTGGTAGGATTCTCAATGAGGTTCCGATAAACAATGTTGAAATTCTCAAGACAAAGCGTGATAGTAAAACTGTGCAATATTTGCGGATTTTGAATTAGAATCGACTTGGTTGAAACATAAAAGTCGGCCACTTACCTAAACGTTGTAGTAGAAAATATATTGCTGATAGACTTTAAATGAAGAAGGGCAGATCGCCCGGCCTCTAGGCAAAGTGCGAAGCTCGAGTTCACGCATCCTTGTAAAGCAGGGTAAATGGAGGATAATTCGCTGAGCCTGTTACAAACATGGTGAATGTTGGTGATACACCAATAATAATCGAGACGAAGCATGAAAATATGAAAACAGGGGCTGTCGAGAATTCTCGGATCGGAGCCAAGAAAAGACAGAGAAAGCCTCCATTCTGGAGGAAGTGAGCCTCTCCAATCTTCGAGCTCTTTGTCGAGAATGCGAATATCTCGTAAGAGTGCTTCTGTTGGCTTTCTGGTAGCAGTTGGCGATAAAAAAGCATTGTAGATTTTAGACTTGATGATGCTTAAACGAAGATCAACGGGAAATATAGGTCCATCTGCCCTAATCTTAGAGCTTGATGAGAGATCAAGACTTCCTAAAGATCTGTGAAGATAGCCGCCAGGAAGAGATAGATCACATATACTGTCGTCAATCAATGAAAATGGTCTGTGATGCGGAGGGAAGAAGCCCTTATCGATAATGTAACAGAGCCAGAACATATTTCGTAGATGCCTGCTTGTTTCTGAAACATCGACATCGCTAGGTGCGCGATGGCCCCCCTTCTCAAACAACATACTCAATGCCGCGGAATGGTAAAGCGCAGCGAGTTTCTCTTCACCAGAAAGAGGTGCAAGAAAAACCATCATTACCAAGGCCTGAATTCCATCAATTGAGGGGTTTTCAACAGCAATTGAATGGAAGAAACGCTGAGGTTTTCGTAGTGCTTCTCGGTCATATTCATGGGCTCTTGTGGGTCCAAACTTCAAAATGTTGAAGAAATGGAAGAAGCAGAAGACGGATACCCTCGAACTCCACGGAATGCGGGTCGACCGATCGTCATATGCTCGCTCAATAGTCATCCGAAATAGGACTGGTTCAACGACGGGGAAAATGAGTCGGAAAGTCGAATTCTCATATTCGTCGACGCATCGCAAAAGAATATGGAGGTCGGGCAGTTCCAGATCACAATACCTCGTCACTTCTTGAGCTGGAGGGGCAGAAAGTGTAAAGAGCAAAGCATTATTTTTGGTATCTTTCAATTCACTATTATGACTTCAAGTGGATTAGAACAGACGAAGGAAGAAAGAGCTTAGCATGAACAGATGATGAAAAGGATTTGTTACGCACTTCGATTTCCGATTTCCGTTATATTTAGAAACCCGAGGCTTGGATCTCTGAAAGGTACACTCGACATTATGGTGAGAACACCAGTCGCATGCCGGACTCGCGGAGTCACATTTGATCTGCACTAGCCAGTCAGCTATGATTCGCTAAAGAGAGCGGCAGTGATGGGAAATGCCTTTCTCCGATAGCAGGCATCGCAGGCGTGGAACCACCGATTGCGTGGCCCCTTGCGTTTTAGCGCCATTGGTTCTTCGAAATGGAAAGATACTTCCATTGTTTTTGCTGAGCGACAAAAGGTGGGTTGAAAGTGGGAAAGAAGAAACCTGTGAGAGTCACAGTAAAGGGATCGTCTGTTGGTGACCACTGACTAACCATGTCCAAAAAATACTTTGAAAATGGAAAGATGGGCTCCACTCTAGTTAACTCTGAGGCTCTTGCCAAGTCCTTACTCAGCGGAGACTTTCCACTTTTGGCGGTTGAAGTGGGTCGAGTGTTCATCCTTCTACGGAGTATGTGCCGAATAGTTCTCGACTTAATTGACCCGGAATAATAAACAGTCGTCTTTGCAAAGGGGCCTATCTATAGACTATAGAGCATCAAAGGAGACGAGCCGATCACTTTCCGTTCCTGGTGTCAACACCGCTTACTCATCAGCCCCAAATAACGTAATTCACGGCCGACCGGGTCACACGGGCGTTCGGGTCACCCCAAAACATATACTAAATTGGATAAATTACATCTTTATATCTCAACAACAATATATATTAAAGATAACATATTAAGGATATTTAAACTGGAGAGTATAAATAGACTACTTATAGAGTAAGAAAAGCTAAATTTAAGTAGTGCGAGACATATATATTTGAATCTGAAACATCAAAATTACGCTGTATTTTATGGTAAAGCATTAAAATAATAGTGTGAACGGCCTAAGATTCTATATACTATATTCTTATGCCCATAATAAGATATATTCTAAAAATTAGTAATACTGAATTAGTGGTGGTTAAAATATAGAGGAATCAAAATATAGCATATTCTATGTATTCTGGTGTGACCCGGACGGCCGTGAATTACATTAACTAACCATAGTAAATACGATAAATTACATGATATCTCAGAAACCCTAGACCTACTTGGATGGCTAAGCGAAGCCCCTGTCATTCTTGAGACCAATATTTCGTATAGTATACCCTAAGCCGGAGCCAACGCTTTCTAATTCCCAGGCAACTGCCAGCGATGTCCTTACACAAGTGACTGAGTGGCAACAGTTGGATTTAGGGACCGGTACTCAACGTTTAGTGTTGTAAATATTTCTTGATTTCAGCAGATATTTTAACTCAAGCCGGACAACAGAGCTTTAATTGAAGTAATACACTATATTACACGCCGATTTAGCTTAATTTTTCATTTTTATACACAGGCCACAGACACCATGTGCCCATTGCTCTATCGGCCTAGCGATGAATAAGAGATCATTTTAGGGCATCTACGCGTCCAAATAAAAAATGAAAAATCCAATAATCAAAAATTACAAAGTAAAAGACTATCCACTGGGGCAATTACGCCTACTGATTGACAAGTACCAAGTACTAGTGGCTAATTCTGAAATTTTATGCAATTTTCTTCCACATGTGCAAGATTTTGTAGGTTCAAATGTTGCCCCACCCAGCGTGCCGGTGCCATGTACTGTAGGCCCCAGGGTATAACTACTGAGTTTCAGGTACAGCTTGAAGGAATTCAAGTTTGAAAACAACGCTAAACTCCTCCAAGATAGTAGTAGCCTTGGAGTGGATATATAAGCTGCACAACTCTCCAACTTCAGTATTGTACCTCCCAGTTTCTAAATTTTGGAATTAACTACTCACAATAACTTGAATCTTTGAAGTTCCTCGAGACTTGGAAACATTTTGAGTCGTTATGGATTCATTCCTACCTCCCATCCTTGCCCCTCTATCACTGGCAAGTGGCTTTACGGCTGGTCCAAATCTCATAGCTCATACCATGAAAAAGATGTTGCTTTTGACTGTGGTTTTCGTTCTTCTGACAACAACCTCCGCTCAAACTACCACGGAAGTGACTACCATGCAAACAGTTGCATCTCAGGGCGCCTTGGATGGATCGAAAATTCAAAACGCCAACTCTACCAGTTTTGACTGGTGGTACTTTGAAGCTCTCTCCGACGATAGCAAATCGTTCATCACCGTCGTATTCAATCTTGGTTCAGAGAACTTTGTGAATATTGATGCTTTGTTTGCAGATGGCTCGCAGTTTACTACCACCATCTATACTGAAGGAGCCATCATTGAGAATCTAGGTCAAGGGTCTTATGGAAATTTCAAGAACTCTGGATGCTCTTGGATCACCTCTCCTGATCTGCGTTCATCCTCCGTCAATTTACAAAACTCCACTGCTGGTGTTGAAGGAGCACTGCGGTTCACCTCAGTAAGTAATTACCGTACTGCAAAGTACATGAGCGGGTGCACCAGAACTTTATGATTCCGGACTAACAGGAGATAGGTTGCCCCAGCACATTACCCGTCAGATCTATGGAATGTCGTCGATGCCTCGGAGCTGATAAGTCCATCCCTCGGATGGGCCAATGCGATTCCCAATGCGCAAGTCTCGGTGGATTTGAAGCTGAATGGAACATATCTTAAATTCCATGGCGTGGGATACCACGATAAGGTGTGCAAGGATATAGTATTCTACAAAGAAGAATTTCAGAGTCACTAATGTTTTTTTGGCAGAATTGGGGTGTGACTGCTTTGCCATCAAGTTCGAGAAGTTGGTACTGGGGACATGCAAGTGTGGGTCAGATGTCACTTGTATGGTTCTATTTCCTAGGTCAGGATATGCAAACCTATACCAGCGGCTATCTCAGTGAAGGAGGGAGAATTTTGGCATTGGGGGATAACGTTGTTGTTCGTCCCAATGGTCCTAATACAAGCTACCCTCCATTGATAGGCGGTTCGGTGCCCACGAGTTTTAGCATCCACATCAAGGACAAAAATGGTGAAAAATACCGGTTTGAAGCAAGCGGGAACGTTACTAGTACGTTGGACATGGGCGGCACACAAAACGCAAATGGTTATACGAGGTGGATTGGAAGAGTTATTGGGGGGCTTGATGGTGGAAGGAACTTCAGTGGCCCAGCAGCGTGGGAGTGGATGCATTTCTTGGACTACTCCGTGTGATAGTTAAATTTACTACTGAAGATCACAGGAAAGATGCGGCTTAAGTCAGCGGGGGGCATCTAAATGGGGAAAATTGCCACAAAATCACTAGGGGATACGGCCAGTTTTACGCGGCCCGAAAGAAAGATGCCTGTAAAATACAGCTAGTTCAACTTTATATTCGCAATAACTTGAGCAATGTAAAGCCATCTGATTAGTCAATCGCTAATCGGGAAATTATATGCCCAGCCATGAATATTAGAACCCGGCTTCTATCCTGAAAAGTGGGACGCTGGTTCGGCTTCATGGACATCCGTGTTTAAAATGCCTTGACGCGCGTGCTGGGTTCCCCAAAAGGTTGGATCCAGTGCCAGAAAAAAGAAAAGAAATAACAAGAGTCGAAATAATAAATAGCTAAGAAAATCTCCCCAGTCCACTGCACGAAACCTGATCTCATCTTCATCCTCCAACCTTGAACCCGAATCAAGTGGACGAGACGCCAATATGTGTTCTACAAATATGGCCATCTACGCGGCCAAGAATGGACAATTTTTAGCGAAAAACTTCCCTATCGCCACCCCAGACGACAAGGAAGTGCAAATAAAAGTCATATGCAGCGGGGTAAATCCAGCAGATATTCGGCATCCACGATATGCTGGACTTGTCGATTCGATCATAGGAGATGACTTTTGCGGCAGAGTCACCCAAACTCGCTCTACAAAGTTCAAAGTTGGCGATATAGTGGCTGGATATACACCACCTGGACTTCCCCGGCCATATAAGTATGGCACTCACCAAGCATTCCTATGCTGCCCGGAGGACATGTGCTTTCATGTTCCTCCTAGTATGCCCCACGAGCATGCTGCAGCACTGACTGTGGTTGCAATGACTGCAGCCGATACACTTTACAATTTGTTCTCTTTTCCACTGCCGACCGAGTCACGTCGACAAGATTTGGGGCCACTGCTTATATGGGGTGGTTCAACCAGTGTTGGCGTTTGTACAATACAACTAGCTCGGGAGAGTGGTTGCTTCCCAATATTCGTCACGGCATCGCCAGAAAGGCATGAAACTCTCCGAAAGCTTGGTGCAACTGCATGTTTCGATTATTTGTCCCCGAAAGTGGTGATGGATATCCAGGAGGCAACAGTTCAAGCGGGGTTCCAGTCGATTCGGTACGCTTTCGATGCCGTTGGGACAAAAGGTCGGCCCTCCTCCGCTCAGTTACTCTCAAAGTGTGCTTCTAAAGACACTATTCTTGTCTCTGCTGTCGGCTCCCTGACTGGAAAATTCAAGATGCCTCTTGCCTGCAAGAATATAGATGTCACGATTAAACCTTTCTCCTTTTGGTTTAAAATTACTCTTCGCAAGAAGCCGGATGAACATTGGCGGGCGTGGAAAGCTTTGACTTGGATAACTGAAAATTATGGTCAAGATCAAAAGTTTGTTCTTCCTCAGGTCCGAGTGTTTGAAGGAAGTGGAGAGGAAGTCATCGACATTGCAGAGAAGGTTGCCATCGGGAAAGGGGGTTTTGGCAAGATCGTTGTCAAACAGCCGATGAACAATAGCGGTGTACCTATTTAGAGTGTAAATTTGTCGGAGAACATAATACTCTTTCGTTTAAATAGAAAAGTGTGAAAACAAAGAACCTGCTTCACATGGTGATCCTATATCGTCAGAGATACGAGTATTGTATATCCTTCTGCCAGAACAGGCCAGCCGTTATAGTGGCTTACTGCTGGCGAAATATAGAAACCATCCCTTCAACTTGGTGAACACATCCTTGCACTGGGCTCAGCTCTGGTGTAAAGGATCCAAGGGGTGAAACTCGAAAGAGACACCTCAACAACTAACTCAGTTAACCTACAGGCTGCTACTGGGTACTATTCAGAGTACAGTATTCCAAATCAGCTTTACCTCTGTCCTTTCTTCTTTTTTATCTTATATAAAAAATTATTTCTCTAGCCCGACCTCGGGAGTCAAAACGCAATATTCCGCCTACCCCTCTTTGATGTTGTAAAATAAGTTTTTGCTAAAGAAAGATTATGTAGATAGTAATCTCGTAAATTAGCGTTTTGCTCTCTCGCACGTTACCGTGTAGTCTTTTTCGACTAATCCTTAGCGATAAGGGCCCTCCTAATACTAGAGGTTATAACTATAGTCTAAAACTCATCCTAAAGGAATATAGCTATCTCGTCTAGGTATAGGCTAGGCTTCTTATATAGATAATCACAGAGGGCTTCAATCATCGGGGGTGTTATAGTTCGTTTCCGACCTACTCGGGTTTAAGGGGCGTAGATACTTCTAAATTGTCGTAGGTTTCTGCGGATATTGATGATGGTTAGCTTATTGCATTTAGCCTGCTCGGCTATTTCAGATGTAGTGAAGGACTAGCTCTCTATTATATCACGTATAAGAACGAGCTTAGCTAGAGAGAGTCTTAGAGCCATATCGCCTTGAAGTAAATGGGTGCTAGGACTAGGAAGATGTGATGCGTAGGGAGGTTGTTAAAGTGACCTGAGGGGGTAGAAGGGGCCGTACAGGTTAGCGTGTGTATGTCGGTTTCGTGTAAAATACATCATTCCTGGTCTGCTGGTTGTATTATAAAATACAGCGACAGTTATAGAAAGCGGTCTGAAATGTAGCTTTAAATAGCTTATCCAATCAGAGCTTACAGCCGGCGGAATTATTTTCCGGGAATAAAGTAGTAAGAGTGTTGAGGTATAACTGATTTCGAAAACTACTGTACAGTAGTCCTTTCTTGGTAAATACCAAAGATAGCTCCTTCAGACCAGCTTCTATTGCATCAGAGACTGAGTATGTTGTAGGAGCACTTAGTTCAAGGCATCTCGTAAGCCCTCTCTCGAAAGGCCCCAGCACTGACACCTTTATAGTGAAAGAAGGATATTACACAATCATTGAAATCCAATTTCTGCTGATTTATTAGGGAAAGCAAGCCCTTTTGATGTCGTGATCCAAGCTTATGGTACTTGGCGGATAACTAGATATCCAACGACTCAAACATGCCTGTTCCCTAAAAGCGATGAAAGGAATTCATATAACTATGCTTCGTCGTTACATTATATGCTGTTCTTCATGGTAAATTTAAGGAATGGGTGGTTTTACATCAGCTTTCACCTAAACGAAACCAAAAGAATTTCATTTTAACTTTTTATTTTCTGATCTCTTATCTCAACGAGGACCATCCACAAGTATTGGTTCAGAATAGGACATACTCACGATGCCAACAATATGTAGTAAGGTTGAGCTTGCCGAACATATATTCTTTCCTTGATTTATTTCAAAGGAATGAATGGTAGGATAATGCTGCTTCGGTGTTCAGGCCCAAAGTGGATGGTGTGAACCCCCTTGTTACGCTCTTCTTCGGGCCGTGGGTTATGGTAAGCAGAGTATTCTGCAATACTAGGAAAGACCCCTCCAACCTAAAAAAATGATCAGTATATGTTCACCAGATAAGCGTCATACTAATCCAAAGAAACTAGAGCGACTTACGCGAATGCTGATCGTTTCTCCGGCCTCGAAGTCGATACCCATCGACCAGATGCCGATTTCAAGTTTCACAATTTCTCCAGGGGTGACTTTGTCCTCCGTATCATGCGGATGGAAAGGAAATTGGGGATGGATGCTTTTGCTCAAGTCGTAGTTCCGATGAGAGGCTCGAAGCTGGCCAGTGGGTCCCAGGAAAAGGGTTGTGCTCGTCCGTTGCTCAGGCTTGATGTCGGCAATTCGTTGAACGGGTGTGACCTCACGAGGAAAGTTCAGATGCATTAAAGGTGTGCCGTCGCGACCCTTCTTCCGGATGATCACATATACACACATGTCATCATGTTCCTTGCACGACATGTAGAGGGTTGCTTTTGGTAGCCCAATCAATCGTGACGCATCCGTAAAAGTAAAGGAGAATTCTGCGAAATTTTGCGGATCCTCCGAATTGTATGACAATGAAGACGCCGATGAAGCTGGCTCTTGTATCAAGGTATTTTCATGCAAGAATAGTTCGCGATAGTCGGTTTGCGGAATCGGAAAGTTGTCGTAAACCAGATTCTCGCGAGGATTGCGATCGCCGAATTGCAGGGATGTCCAGCGGACTTGAGGTGTCTTCTCCCAGTCGTTCTCGATGCCAATAAGGTAACGATCAAAGAACTGGTGTAATTCTGCGTCCATTTCCTTGTTGCAATATAACTCAAACCACTCTTGATATCCGGACCATCGAATCCACTTATTGGCGTGCGTAATCTCCATCCAGCCTCGAATAGACCCCATAGTATGTATAGAGCTCAGGTCAGATCCGACGATAAACGTTGGACACTGAATATTGGACATATCTGCCCTTTTGTCCTCCCAATATGTATTAGACGTCTTGCAGCGTCTGTACATCTCAGCCAGATCTTCCACTCCCGAACCTCCCCGAATACTTTTCTCGGTGATCATCTCGAAATTGCTCATAGAGAATATACCTCCTCGACAAAACTGCTCCCGGAAGATGTCGGCTGCCCCTTCCCAAGGTGCAATCGCTGCAAGAGACGGCGGGGCTAGCTGTGCAGTAAACCATTGAGAGATCGCCAGCGCTGAATTCCCCGCCAATCCGACCCGGCCATTACACCAAGGCTTTGCAGCGATCGCCTCAACAACGTCGTAACCATCTTCGCCGTCTTGAGAGCCCATCAAAGGAATCTGGCCATCACTATTACCGGTGCCGCGAGAATCGACCGAGATGATCGCATATCCGCGGGGGCACCAGAGCTGAGGGTCGAGGCCTTCGAATTTTTCCAGTCCAGAGAGGTCGGAAGGGTTGACACAGACATTCCATACAACTCGGGGAAACATGTGGTAGGAACTGTATTTCTTTCCGTAGCAGGACCAGCCCATAATTGCAGGTACCTTCTCGGAGCTGTTGGCCGGGCGATATATATCGACGTACAATCTGCAGCCATCGCGCACAACTATTTCAACATCATGTTCAACCAACAGATCCTCAGTCAGGGCTTTCGTTTCGTGGCATAGCTTCCAACCCTTTGGAAGAATCTCTTGACGACCAGGAGCAAAGCCTTGGTAGTTGTTCTCGCCTACTCGAGGTTTGTGGATTGGCGTATAGGCCACTTGAACGGGTGCAGGCATTTTAATTGAAAATCACTCGTAACCGCAATTTTTGTTTTTGACATGGAGCTACTGCCGGCAAGTTATGTAGCCCCCTTGAAGCCCGCCAGTTCATCATCATTAGGAGCACCGGAAATCAAGGTAGGAGTTTATTGGTTCACCTGCGCACTACCAAATGGCAACCCGGCTCGGAAACCGGAGACCATGCGAGTGCGGGGTAAGATCGAGGCTTCCGGCTGGTTTCCGGTGGGGGCTATGGTCGAAATCATACTACAACTCAACAGCTAAAGAGTCAAAATTAGGTTCTCTCAAGGAAAGGATCTAGACTATTTTTTTTTTTTTTTTCAAATCATCAATTCGAAGGGATGGGGAGAGAGTGCACAGCGGGATTGAAGGGCGCGTACGATTTCACCGTGGCTGATTGCGATACATCGCCAGTGGCAACAACCGAGGGGTGGCCTTCAACTACTACCTATGAAAGGAGATTGCACAAAAGTCTTGGAAGGCATAGAACTATGGAACTAGCTGGTGTATTAATCAGCCCACGCCTAGCTTGTTAACCTGGACCGATTATGCAATCGGTCCAAGCTGTCGACCAATTCACACCTAATCGAGTTACACTCATTTCGGCGCCGCCCATTTGCCTGTAAAAGCCCGGATTCGCTTTCCAAAGAGGTAAACTACGACACCTGCTGCACCACATCCAGCAGTCACACCAGCATATCCACCAAAGGCCCCATCGTATCCGGCAGTTTCAATGAATTGGTCCATCCCGAAGCTTGTTCCGAATCCAATGAAGCCTCGTAGCGCACAGATGATCACAAAGATAGGCCCGGCTTTCCCAGGGTATGCATCCAGCAAATAGGTAGCGGAAGCAATATAGGAACCAATGAAGGTGAAATAGTAGCCAGCGTTTGCAAAGACCACAGCGAACCAAGAAAACCGATCTGGATGGGAGCCGGCTTCTCCAAAAAGAATACAAGATAGTATTCCAATAGATATCGGTAGAATCAATACGACCAGCCGTGTTTCGGGCTCGTGGACACCTTTGTTATGTTTGGCTCTCCAGCTGACAAATTTGTCGGATCCATAGCCAAACAATGGGAACCCAATCAACGACACAAAAATCTGGCCTGTATTGGCGTACGAGGCCGAGCTGCTGGGCCAGTTATAAGGGGGAGATGTGACCACTTTGTTGTAGGCAGTACCGATAGCGATGTTGATGCCCAGGGTTGCACCGGCCAAACAGAAAGCCCAGAAAACATTGGGAAACAGAAAGAGTGCGATTATACTCTGCATAAACATCAGCCTTTCCTGGTTCGTTTTTCATAAGCAGTAAGCACAATAATCTGCCTACCTTGAGTGCTGCAATGGCTTGGTCCCACTCAGGAGAGGCGGAAAGAAGTCGTAAATCAGAGCGCCAAGTCCGTGGACTGTATCTTTCAAAGTCCAACGGGGCCCTCTCGGATTGCGTGACTGGGGGAAGTTCCTCTTCTTCTTCAGATCCCATATGCCATTCATGGAGAGAACCATGCTGATATGCGCTTAGAGGTCTCTTATATTTTGTCTCCGGCAAAAATATAAGTGCCAAAATAAACTGGACGCCCGAGAGACCTGCTGCAAGATAATACCAATTGCTAGGGCCTATTGCACCGGCGATTGGCGAAGCGAAAATTACATAGACAGTTGAAAACACGATTTGAATTGCCGACTGAATCATCAACGCTCGACCTCGCTCGTGGAGAAAATGGATCTCCTGGTTCGATGTTAGGACCGAGTCTTAGAATAAGCCAGTTTTGGATTGAATCAAAGAGGCTCACTTGAGTGATCATGCCAACAAGGGCTTCCGATTGGCCGGCTGCGAGACCCAGGATAAAGCGAAACGCCAAGTGTTGTCGGTAATTCTTCGCACATGCACATAGAACTGACCCAACTACCAGCAGTATTGTCGAAAACAACATGACAGGACGTCTTCCGATTGCCAGTGACATGGGAATGGCAATCAAATTGGCGGCGCCCATAAAGGCTGAGGGATAAGTCATAAGGCCCGTGATATCAGCATTGTTTATTCCAGCGTCTGCGTATTCCTCGGCGTAGAATCCCAGCAATCCACCAAATCCGGAGATAAGAGAAAGGGAAATTGCAGAGACTATGGCGTCCAAGCGTCAGTTGGCCCCGCTGAGTGGTCTTTCTCCCTGCAATATGTCCACTTACAAGTCGATAAGAGTGTGACGATCAAAATCTTTCGCCACATGGGTAGGTTGAGAGGATCTAGTAGAACGTGAGCTATGAACAAGGAATACAATCAAGTCCTAATAGGCTGGATACCCTGAGGATCGGCAGTAGGAATTGGAATCAGATAAACCTCGTTGTCTCGGGTCATCCTCACCGTTCCCATAACATGATCTCCTGCTGCTGGCAACGGCTTTGTCACATCTTCATTGTGCTCAACGATGCTCAGATCTTTGATGTTGGCCATCGCGAAGGGATTTGGAGCCCCTTGAATGGAGTCTCAAAGTTGGTGTGCTTAGGTCGGACAGAATATTGGATCAAACATCAAAGATCTAGGACTGCTGGTTCTGTGACGGGCTTTTAATAGCGCCGGGTAGGGGATATGCCTCCGGAAAGCCTCGGAAAGAAAATCAATCTACACGAGATAGCATGCAATAGAAGGATAGTAGTGCTGCGGCTGATACTCACGTTAGCCGAAGGATAAGTGGTGGCTAGCTGCTTAACTGTGCTAATCTCAGAGGGGGTCACAGGAATCTAGATAGCTCCACCGTATTAGATTGACTGGCCACTAATTGGCTCAAAAGCGATAGGATTTGTCCCCAGATTCCTGTTAATGCGCTAGAGCATCATTATGCAAAGGAAGCGGAGACGAAAGTCTGTTGTTCTAAGGCAAATGAATTCCCCATTAACCCCCATCTTTCCGGGGCCCCGCAATGCCCCCACCGCACGAGCCAGGTCTTTCCCCAACGTTCTATGTATATCAACCATTGTGCATCCTCGGAAACCGACTTCATTTCATCTTGCCTCGGAAAGATCTTGTGCCGCAACTCGCTACTTGAAATCTGTGTTACCCGAAGGCCGGAATGTCTAATTCTCCTTCGCGAACAAAGAGCCCGCTGATCAGGCGAAGCCGCCTTGCGGTGGCGTGCAATCCCTGTCGAGAAGCGAAAGTCCGATGCGATGTCTCGCATAATGCGTGTCGTCGGTGCCAGGAAAGGGGGTACGATTGCGTGGCAACTGATCCGAAAACCGGGGAGATGATCCCCAGGCGTTTGGCCAAGACTACTTTGAGCAAGCGAGCTAAGAAGAAGGCTTCGTCTGGTACGGAGACTTCTGGGAAACCAGGGGTCCCAAACAGAATTTCAAGATCTAACAGCGTATCCGGGAACATACCTACCATACCCTTGGACGACGAGCACCAGTCGGTGTCTAGTACATGCTCACCATACGCCCAGACCGCAGACGGAGGGCCTAGTACCCACGCTTCTACTCACCCGGAAGATTGCTGGCCTTCAACTGTGCTAAGCACAGAAGAAGCAGCACCGCCGCTATCCGAAGATCTAGCCCTGGAAGTAGGGGCAGTTCAAAATAACGATGGTGAAAACCGCCTTGCCGTTCTGGGCTCGACAAATATGCAAATTCTCGCTGCCGGGTGGATCGATCGTTACTTCGCGTATCTTGGACAGCCTTTCCGGGTATCGGGTTGCTTCAAGTATGGCATGCGACATGCAGTCGAGGGTGGGAAACCTCGAGATATCAACCCGGCCCCGGTAGTGTCTCAGCATATGCATGACGCTTATCTGGATGCGTACAACCAGGCTATATACCCTCTCTTCCCGGTTTTTGATACGACCAGTTTACCTTTGTCCTCGCAATCCCTAGTTTCTGGGGAAGATGACCTCTGCTTACGAGCAGTATTGTTGGCTGTGTATAGCTTGGGAGCTGACTCAATTGCAAAGGGTGTGACCCCAGAAGGAACAGCCTTTCTCTACGAGGCATACTCCCTAGTTGTGGAGCTGATGAATAATCCCTATCTTACCTCGATTCAGGCATTGGTCCTTATTTCGCTTGCGTTTAGGAGCCGTGCAAAGGATGGTCAAGCTGCTTTGACAATATCCTTGGCCATAAAAATGGCCCTCTGCCTCGGATTTCACCGGCATATTCAGACTTCTGTCCCCGAAAGCGATAAACAGGCGCATGATCGGGACAGTCGATTTCCCATAAGCTCAAGAGTATGGTGGTGTCTATATTGCTTGGACATTATTTCTGCTCTTAGCTCTGGTAATCCTAGAAGCATTCATGACGGTGATTCTGATCGTCCGCTTCCCGCACTGTCAAATGACCACGATAACCTCATCGAGTCATTATATTATTTTAAATCGTTCATACACCTGTGCCGAGCAATAAGTATACTGAGAATATCGCCGTCTCGAGCGCCATTCACATCGGAGGCAGACCGTAGGACACAGCTTCTACACGAAACGCTTGAAGCCGATGACGCATTGAAAGCCTGGTATCACAACTTGCCACTAGAAATCAAGTAAGACAATTTCTGCGATTTTTAAAACATGGCTGACAACTCTAGATCGGGGGTGACCCCTTCCTCCACCGTAGAAGCCCCCTTCTACGCGTTTCTAATACTCTATTACTACCAGTGGTATGTTCTTCATCATGAATGTATCATATCACGTTTAATGTTAACATTATGAGATAGCCTGATTCTTGTACACCGCACAGCTCTGACGACTCGAGAAGAAAGCTACCGGGTAGAGGTAGCGCAGCGATATCAAATTGGCTCTCGACAATACAAGCAGTTGCTCTCAAGCCAGTCATGCTGTTACAATTCTGCACTTGAGATGATCAAGATTTTCCATACCCATGAGGAGTATGGGATTTCTCACAGGTTAATCCCTATCTCTCATATATCCTACGCAGCTGTCGTGCTTTCGGTATGGATTTTAAGACATCCTTTCTCAAGCTTCCATGCGGTCAACATTGCCGTGAGTACCATCCCTTTGGCATGCAACTATACAAATATTAACTCTGCTTGAAAATCAATAGAACTTGGATGTCGCATGCAAGTGTGCTCAAAGGCTTTACCAGAGGGCAGGTCAAGATGTTCAATTTACAAACGGTATGGCATAGCACAATGTACAAGCTAGCGGTCGGCGGCTAATGCAAGCATAGGATGGTCGGACTGGTATAATGCAATTCAGGGCCATTTGAATTATCAGATTTCGGCCCAACCGCAGGCGACGGCGACATTAGACCCGTTAAACCGTACACAATCGACTACTTTTGAGAACCCGCTTCCGCTCACGTTGCACCCAGATGAGCGTGTCGATACATTAGGCACTCCTGCTTTGAATCCGGCGGATCTAGACATCTGGGACTGGAGTACATTCCTCGAATTTCCAGTGGGATTAGATATGGATTTGAATAATCACCTGTAGATATATTTAATTTTCCAAATTTTCATCCTTGAATATTTTTATGCTCTAGAGTCTACTTAATATTAGGCTTGCGAAACTGCGGGAAAGTCTTGCAGAATATTCATTAATTGAACTTATTGTGATATTTGCTCTAATACTTGTCTTTCCAAGACCTTTTTGACACTGCTAGATAATAAATTCAAGCTTGTAAACTATTAGTATGCTATGACAAGACCCGGAAGGGCTATTCTTTCCGATGTTAATCTCACTCCTCCCCAATGACTATTGCCTTTCTCAGGAAATCCTCCGCATTGTGGGGTAAAAGGCAATGAGTCAAAATATCCCGGCGCTGCCAATTCCTGTTTTGCTCATTCTTTTCCGTCGAAACTCGTCTTTCCGGGTTTCCAGTTTCCGACCCCAAATCCGAATCTCAGCAAGGTTTCTAAGAATCTGAATCCTCATCTCGAGACCAAGATGCAATTTATAAACGGATCTATGAGAACCTTGGTCATTCAGCCATTTTGCTCTTCGACCAACTGAATTGAGCAATACGCCAACTTGATTCCAAAACACTTTGACGACAATATGAGTTCCCAGGTGACAGAAACGCACTCCGACCTCTTGGTCCACGATGGCAAACCGCACGGCAATTGGCGCGACGACTTTTTCAAGAACGGCTATGCAATCATCAAAGGAGTCATCAGTAAGGATAGAGCAGAGTATTACCGACAGCAACAATTCAAGTGGTTGAAATCCTTTGGCCTGGGCTTCGACGAGAATGATGAGGCTACTTGGGACAATGATCATCTGCCTGTCGCGTTCAAAGGTGGCATGTACTTGGCATATTCTGCTGCTCATGAGAAGTTCATGTGGGAGGGTAGACTGTATGCAATCTCGTTTCCTTTCCCTTCCCCCACAGTTCTCGACAGTTTTCCACTGACAACTCCTCTAGAGAGCCAGCCGTTCAGAAGGTTTTTGCCGATATCTGGGGAACTGACGAGTTGCTGGTATCATTCGACGGTTTCAACATGACTCCACCTCGCCTTCGTGGCACGGACTGGAAGCCCTGGCCGCACTGCGACCAGCATCCCCTTCGACGTGGCTTGCAATGTGTGCAAGGCTTGATGAACTTTGCTCCTAATGGACCCAAAGACGGCGGCCTCTTGCTGATGGAAGGATCGAGTCAGCTATATGACACATTTTTCAAGGAGAACCGCCAGCAGGAAGGAGACGCAGATCGCCCAAAGGATTTATTCATTTTCACCCAGGAAGATGTCAAGTGGTTTGAAGCGCGCGGCTGTAAACTGATCAAAGTTTGCTTGGAGCCAGGCGATTTCGTTGTCTGGGATAGTCGCACTATGCATTACGCATGCTTCCCTGATGCAGAGAGCCAAACCATCCGGTCCATTCAGTATATTTGCATGACCCCGGCCAAATTCGCCACGAAAGAAGATTTGGAGTTGAAAGCCGAGTTGTTCAAGGGATGGAATAGCACCACTCATTGGCCTCATTGCAATATTCATCGACAGGGAGCCCCGATGAGGAATGGGGAAGTTGACCCGCTGGATAGAAAGGAGCCGCTAGAGAAGCCAGTTCTCTCGGACCGGCTTCTACAGCTTGCCGGAGTGAAGGCTTATTAGGTGGCTATCGCCCGTCTGTGTCTGTTGGGGCAATTATCGCAAGGATTGAATCACTTTTTTCAACCCATGCACTCGACATCGATTGAACGATTGGTACTAGAGTAGAGACAATCAATCTTCCCATAGCGGTGTTGAAATATATCAAAACGGCCATGTATCTAGTCAATTTTTGTTTCAAATCCACTCGTTTCTTGCCTGTACATTTCTCATAGGTAATAGTATCATAGATAATTACTCTTTATTATCAAGAACCTCGACGATTTCAAGATATTGCAGGCGCTATAACGAGATGAAGACGGGTTCAAGGCCATAGCAGACCGTTTTGGTGAAGTTGCCGATCACGCTGAAAACCGCAATAAAAAAACGTAGCTTTTCTTATACCGTGAGCAAACGATTATAGTCTATCACATGCGGGGATCTTGCATTTATTCCTGTGGTTATTCTGTCAATCAGTAGAGTCTTTAGGGCTGGCGATCTTGTAAAGTGGGGACGAAAACGCTTGGGCCACGACGCGTGACGCCAACTCCAGACTCGCGCTCCACCACGATTATCCATTCGAGCACCCAAGCATTCGAGTATACGGGCAATTGCATAGCGTTTTCTTTAATTCTTCATTTCTGCGTTCCGTTATTGCCTTTCATCTCGCTGGGTCGGCCACGACAAGATGCACACAACCTTTTAAACGCGACCATGACCACGCGCCCATCTCCCAGCGCCCTCGATCCCCTCAGTTCCTCCTCGCTGAACAAACTGCACGAGACCCAACCACCCACGAAAAAACGCAAGATCGGGACAGAGGGTGCTGTGAGCCGGCTCTCGACAAGCTCAATTGTGATCCGAGTGAGTACCTGGCTCCTCGGAATTGGGGTGCTGAAATCGAGGAAGAAATCTCCCCAGTTAACCGTTCGTTTTACCGACCTGTCCAGGCCCATGCAGCGTCCTTATCGGATGAACCGCTGATCCTCGAGTCAATCTGTCTAATCCCTCGATCTCGTTTCCCACTATCATGGCTTGAAGACGCGTCTTGGTCGCGCTCAGATGCCCAGCCCGGTGGCCTCTTCGTCGCCGATATCCCCGCTCTCGAAAGTGACTTGCGGACTTGCGCCGAACCGACGGTGCTAGCGGTCCGGTTAGCTGCAAATGGAGGTCTTTACGTTGTCGAGCGAGTCAAACGGGGCATATACTCTCTTTCCAGGCTCGCAAGATGGGTGCAGGAAGGCGATGTAGTTGTCGCGGTCAAGGAATGGCAAGGGCCGGGTGATGTTGTCATGGATGTCGACGTCGATGACAAACCATGCACGGCCCTAGATGCTCTAAATTGGTGGCAGACAGCGAAAATTGAGGAGCCACTCTCTGATCTGGGCCTGGGCGAGGAGTTCGCTGGGTTGCAGGTAGATGTTGTATTTGGGTCTTCGGGCACGGATACCCAGGTACAACCATCTTTCGTGGATGTACTGGAATATCGGAGCCAGTCTCTTGCCCCAGCTGTGACTGGAGATGATTCCCAGGTAGATACTTCATTTGGGCCCGGTGATTCGCAAGTCCTTGGTACCGCAGGTTGTATGGACATTGATCCTGTTCCGGATGCGAAGCAATCTCCGGAAGACCTACTCAACGGAATGCGAGAGCACTATTTGCAAGCTCTCTATATCTCAAAGGTGAGGATTCCAGTGATCTATTGGTGTGGGCCATCCCTGACGTGTAATTCCAGACATCTCTGGCTTATTTTGCCAAGGGACCATTAACACGCTGCCGGACTGCTTTCCAAACCCCCGGCCCCGAGCATACTCAAACGCCTGGCCACCTCATCGACTTCTACAGGGAGGCCGTATTAGCTGCTAAGAAGATGGATCTCAAATACCGCGAGTCTCTGCCCGCATCAGTCCGCGAAGCCGTGCTTGCTGTCTCTGACGATGAAGCTGCTCTAACCAAAAAGCGCAAAACTAAGAAGAAGCTTGGTAAGAATGGCCTCTACCCAGAAGAGGACGAATTTGTCCGCAAATGGTGGAAAGATCGGAGCATGGTGGAGGCCTCGACTCAAGAAGGCTCCCGTGAGGCAGAGACGAAAAAGCATATTTCCGATCTGCGACTGCGCGAGACACAGTTACAGATCCTCTTGATCTTGGAAGTGATGGCTTTGGAGTCGACTCTCATTGAGAAAAACAGCCTGGAGAGTGCAACACCAGCTGGCGAAGAGACAAACACACCTAAGAAAAGGACCAAGAAGCCTCAAGATCTCAATGTTCTCCTTGAACTGCATCTGGACCGACTTTGCATTTGGCATGCTGTTAGCATGGAAGAATCGACTGCTGCTGACTCGGCGAAGGCCTCGTCCTTCACCGACGGCCACAACTCCGGGAAAAAAGTTGAAAGTGATGCAGTCCGCGACTTTTGCACCGAAGTCGTCATCCCGTTCTACGCATCAAGACTGCCGGACAAGTGCAAGCTGATCACTCGCAAGTTCGGCGTATCTGGTGGCATCTCTCCTGCGGCCAAGAAGACCCAATCATCGAGCAAGTCACGCCGCCCAGAACCGGGCTCTGATGTCAGGCGAGAACCCCCAGTGCAAAGGCCTAGACGATCACTTCAACGTGTTCTAACAGACGAAAGAGCCGCGGCGTCGCAAATTCGCCATCCATCTCTCAGTCGGTCCAAGACTGCCCCGACTCGGCATGATACAAAGCGTGATTCCCTAGAGCCGATGCTGCCAACGGTAATGAGCGGTAGCGTCCGTGGTGGTATTCAGATCAAGCGCGTGGAGAATCGCGAGATCGATCTTAATGCAGCTGCCAGACAACACGAGAGCAAGTTGCGCAAGGTGCAGATGTTGGCCGATCAGAAGAAGGAACTCGATAACGCCATCCAAACGCTTCGCAAGCCGAATCGAGAGGTGGTTGCTCGGGACATTGCCGAAGATGCCTCCAAACGAATGTCTACAGGAGGGGGTAGCTCTCGGAAGTCAAAGAACCCTGTCCGGAATCCACTTGGCGAAGGGGTGCAGGTCATGGCTACGCCTCGTGGAAATCGCAGGAAGGATGCAGTTGTCGGACTACCCCCGTTACCGCGTAGCCTTGCTCCTTCGCGGTCTTTTGCAGGAGAGATGGACGACCACTCTCTTGCAGAGTCTCCTATCATGATTCCCTCGTCCACTCGGCGGGCTATCTCATTCTCTGGCCCTGATTCAACACCCTTCAGCTCTCAGCGTGCTTCAAGAAAACGGCAGCGCGAGCCGCAGACCCAACCAACTGAACTTGGCTCAATTCAAGAAACACCTACTCGACCTCCATCCAAGCTATTCTTCGATAGCCAAGGCACAGACCTGGCACATCGACCGTCCATGTCTTCCGGCAAAGGCAAGGGCCTTTTCCGAGTGCCCGATCTCCCTGCGCCTCGATCCAACGGAGCCGACCCATTCTCACAACCTCAGCTCACAGCACCAACTACGCCCGTGTCCTCCCGCCGCAGGAGCATCACGATGGCTCTCGACTCGTCTCCAAATCCGGGGAGGTCCCCGCAAGGTCCTAGGTCTTCGATGGTCACTGAAACCCCTCCGAAGCAGCAAGGCCTTAATCCCATGCTCGTTCCTCGATCTGTGCCCTTGTTCGCTCCTAGCACGTCCCAAGTTCCCTCCTCCCCAGCTGCCATGGGATCACCTGTCAAAAATGCTCCTCTTGTACCGGTCACGCCGGAAAAGTCACAGACAAAATCGATCTATGAGCAGCTGGGCTGGGACGATGATGAAATGGACATGTGAGGGGGTTCTCAGGCTACTGATTTTTCCAGGGTGGGCTTTGTCGTGTCCCCATTTTGCATTTGCGAAGGCGCTTATGGTAGCATAGATATCCGAAATAATACATCATCATGCATCAAAGCATGCACTTATCCATTAAAAATGATCTTCCTGTTTCATTTTTGACCCAGCGTAGCGGCAACTTCCACCACAAGGAAAATATCGGCGGTCGTAGAAACCGTTTGTATTGAGGCTCTAAGCGAGCTTTCTAAAGGCGTTAGTGGCGCGCAGAGCCACCTTACCTCCTCCGAAATTCTCCGAATCATTTTCTTCAGCATTATACTACCTCTCTATGATTAATGGTAAGTTCTTCCCAATATATGGCAGCAGCCTCCCCCCCCCCTTCCCCCCCCAAGATTATCATGCCAAGCTAATCTATATATCATACCGCAAGATCACGTCACTAAAGAAATTGACAATCCTTGGGGATGTATGCTGGAGATCTCGAGTCTTGTAAGATGAACTTTTTCGGCACGCCCCTACCTATTAACGTGAGTGGATGGATGATTGATGAGACTTCTGTATAGTTAGTTGCCCGGCCTCTGTGGCAGAGATAGGACTAACCCCGCGATCCTGGAGGGCCTACCTTGTGTGGCCGTCATTTCTGGATTACTTTGGTCCCTTGAGCGGCAATTTCGGAGGCGCGTCACCACTCTTGTATCGTCAACGCTACAGTTATACATCCTCGCCGGCCAGTCAGTACCTGTTGCTTTCTTTCTTTCAATGCCATAGACTGACTTTCTTTGTGACTTGGTGAGGTCTTCTTGGATAAGCATGAAATTTCCACATGAGAACTTGATTTACTCTGTCTACCTCAAGACTGCCACTTCCATGGCCCCAACGTGACTGATTAAGTGCAACACACATCCTCCAGGAGTCGTCGTCCAGGCAGACTCGCAATGATGAGGTGACGAGGAAGGACAGCCGCTGCAGGAACAGTGGCATTGTATTTTTACTGTGCCCTGCGGCTATAAGAGCTCCGCCTTCGTCGGAAAGGCCAGGATTGAGCTCGGAAAAGTCTCCGTACATCACGCCATAGAAAGGAAGAATCTATCAGTGAGGAAGAACCGGAGGCTCTATCGGGTTAGGCGAGAATTTGACATGGTAGATATTTTCTCGACAGGCTGGTTGCTACTCTCCCTGGTTTTGCTGGTTCGAATTTGATCGTAGGATACTCGGATAGCCTGACTCGCCCCCTGTGAAGTACTTACGTTTACGACTCTTCTACTTGGTTGGTAATCATTATGTACGCAAATATTGAGGTTTTGTTTTTGAAACAACTAACACACGTTGTGGCTAGCACATACCCAGTTCTTCCTTAAAGGGCATGGGCAATGGGATAATGCCAAAGCTGTTCACGAACTTGGCGTTGGTCAAACTTTGAACCCTCTAGTGAGATCGGAAGACTGGAGATACCCTCTGCCCCTGCGAGGTGTGGGTTTGATATTGTTTCGAGGGAGGGGAAGGCATGATTCTGAACACTTTACATGTCTTGAATACTCAGTGACAATGTTTAATAATAATCCGACTTGAATTGACGCAGCACTTTACAGAATAGGATAATAACAACGCAAACCTTTGTCTTCAACCCCTACCAACCCTTCTGCCAGTGTGGTCCGCTAGCAACCTTAGCGTGATGATTCAAGTTCATAGCATGTCGAGCATGGTTTCCCCGTCTGCTAGTAAGAGGTCTCTCAAGCCGATCCAACTCATCAACGATGCCCCCGAAAGAACGACCCACCACGCTCGAGGAAGTGCTATCGGACAAAGAAGGCGGGAGGTCCTGAGGTCCAGTACCCCAGGCGCTCTCATTACGACCCAAAATGAGCACCAAGTCTTGACCCTCGGTAAAGAAGTCGTGGTCAACCCAGTTTCGGGTATATGGTTGACCATTCAGTGTCGCCGACTGGATAAACCCAGTACCACCGGTGTTGTTGAGCGAATTGAATTTACTCCAGTTCGCAACGCTTACAGTAGCCGTGTTTCCAGTGAGAGGCGAAACGATGCTCACTGACTCGAAGAATGGTACGGTGATGAGATAAACGCTCTGTCCTGGATTAGGGAAGAGGCCCATCATAGACATCGCAACGAATGAGCCCATGGCACCGGAGTCGTCGTTGCCAGGGAGTCCCGCCGGTGTGGGAGAGAAAAAGTCTGGAATGTATGTGCGAACCCGAGCGGTGGATTTGGCGGGACGACCGGCATAATGATATTGGAAGACAGTGAGGAAGGCAGGTTCATTGCCAATGTAGGTGATGTTCTGATCGTGGAGGTAGTCGAGGCGCTTCACATAGCTAGCAGGGCCACCCAGCATGGGAATTAGGGCTGCCATGTCGTGGGGAACGAAGCTTTGAAGTATCAGTTAGTTTTAGGCAACCGAGAGCAACAGAAGAAACGTACAATTGATATTCCCAGATACTGGACTCGAATGTCTCTGCAGCGTTATTCTGAAGAGAGCAGACACTTCCACTGTTATCAATATTTGAGCACTTCAAAGGATCCTGATGTCCCCAAGTTTGATTAAGGTACTTGGGCTGGAAGAAACCAGTAAACCCGGTGTCGATTCCGTTGATGAAGGAGGTCTGGTCTTGTTTGAACAAGTTCTTCCAAGACTCGGAGCGCTTCTCATACTTCTCAGCGTCAGCAGTCTTGTTGAGGCCTCGGGCCATCTGCCCAATAGCAAAGTCATTGTAAGAGTACTCAAGAGTGCGCGAGATACTGCGGGTCATGGTGCCAAAGCCGAAGTAGTCAAAGTCTTCCACGGGAATATAGTTAAGTGATTTCCAGCTTTGAAGGCCTCCGCGACCCTCATTCGACCAATCGTACGGCTCCTCTTCAGCGTCTTTCTGAACTGCAGCGTAGCCTGCGTCCCAATCAATCCCATTATTGAGGCCTTTGACGTAAGCGTCGACTAGGATGTTGTCCGCATTTGAGCCACCCTGTGTGAAACCTGAAAATTAAAGTTAACTAGTGTCTATCTTCTGATTTCGCCCAACTTGAGCAAAGCACCTTTACATAGCGACATGCGGCAGTCGGGTAGCCATCCCAAGTGGCGCTGGGTATCAATAAGAGAGCGCACCATCTGGGCCACGGAGCTGGGGTCGAAGATAGTCAGGAATGGAATCTGGGAGCGGAAAGAATCCCAAAGACTGAAAATGGTCAGTGTTCCGCCCCATAATCCCTAGATACGAACGAACCAGTAGAAAGAGTCAAAGTATGGCTCGGAGCTTGTCCACAGGGCGTTCTCGCCCGTATAGTTCTGTGGATTAATCATGGTTCGGTAGATACCACTGTAGAAGTTAGTGAGAACGGACTCCTTCACACCATTTCGTGAGACACGAATAGGTCGCATTTTCTCTGTCCATTGATCAACTGCAGTTTGACGTGTAGACTCAAAGTCGAAATCTCCTATCTCCGCTTCCGCATGGGAACATGCTTGCTCGGAGCTAATGTAGCTCACACCCACGCGGGCTTGGACAACGCCATCGGAAGGAGTCTTGTGGCGAATAAACCCGCCTCCCTATAATTTTGTTAGGCTCGAGACTTTATCCCGTGTCATTGTCATTCCTTACCGGGAGTGGATAGCCATTGATACTCCGAGAAATAGTCAGGTCATGGACGCCAGTGCTGGCTCGAGCATCGACAAAAATACCACTATCCCGTAGCCAGCCGGAGCTTTGAAAATCGGCACAGAAATGTAGAGTATACGCTCCACTTCCAAAGCTAGGGAGGAACCTGCCACTACCCGTCATGCGGCCACTGGATTCATCAATGGAGATGGATGCGTTGTCCTGCCGGGAGTCGGACAGATCCGAGAGATCCAAAAGAATCAGCGGGTTGCTTTTCTCTGGGAAGGTAAATCGAAACAGAGAAGTATGCTGGGCAGCAGTCATTTCGACATAGACCCCCGACGCCAATGAAAGCGCAAAGTAGCCCGGGCTGGCCTGGACCGATCCCGAAGTATAGGGCGTTGCGCGGGCTTTCTTCGGATAGACGCAGCCATTCACGTCGTCATCCTTGCATTGGGCGTATGGAAAGAGAGGAAAATTGCCGAGAGAAGGACTGCCACCTGTGCCAGAGTCATGCATACTTGAAAAGCCAGTTACATTGCTGCCATCGTATGCGAAGCCGCCTTGGTTGCTGTCAGAATTGGTATCGGCACCCGCCTTGGCCATGCCATAGGGCAGTGAAGCACCGGGGAAGACATTTCCTGCAAAATCAAACAGACTTGTCAGATAACATAGATCGAAACAAAGATACAGAGTGGCTCCCACTTACCTCCGTTGGCGCTGCCGATCAGCGGGTCGATATACTGGAGTACATCATAGTCCTCCACAGGGGAAACGGCGGCACCAACCAACGCGCGACCGCTGGCAAAAAAGAGCGACAGAATCAAATGCTGTGAAAGCATGATTGGAAAAGTGTGTAAATCAAAGGACCCGACATTATTCTCAGAAGGGAGAAAGACCGGTATTTAGTAGAATTGCAATGCCCCTGCGTAGGGAGTCGTGGCTGCCCGCCGGCATGCATCCCGCCCCTGTCGATCATCCCCGCGTCGCGCTGTTGCATTGTGGCCCTGAATTTGCAACACTATATGCACGTTGCTGCACGCGAATTAGCTGTGATTGGTGACACAATATAGATATATAGTAGGTAAGTTGAGCACCTGGTACGGTCGCCCGCGGCGATCAGGCGGGCCGATTCGAGAGTCGGCTGATCGGCCCAGAGTCCGAGAAGCCCCTTTCATTCCACAGCTATCGAGATCTCATCTGTCAAATGGATAGATAGCGGATGTGTCTCTGAGAATGTAACGGTGGTTTTCCAAGTCGATCTGGGAACGTAAGTATGTATAGCATTACATTTGTCCATCGCTATGCTATGAACGCAGTAGCACAATATATATCTGCACGAACCTTTACTGGCACCAGCACCACCCTAGAGTTTTCTGCCATCTTAACCACTTCAAAATTTCTGAATTCGAGTTTTGATAGCTTAAGATGTAGTAATTTATAGGAGAATTCTAAGCTGCTGCATTTTGTAGAAGAGACAAAGTACTCGAACCGGGCGATCGTCATACCCAATAACATCATACAAGGAGCAACCCTTTGATGACCGTTTCCACGCACAAACGATCTGGTGCCTCGCAAATGTCTGTCTGATTGACAGGCCCGTGACCGCAACCCAAGATATGAACGTGGCACGTGGGGTATTTTTGAGTGGATCCATGGAGATCATTCGTCGTATAGATCGGGAGTATGAAGGTCTGGTGTGTAGGGCACTTGCCTAGATGTTGCTTGTCTTTCCCCGTCAGTTGCGTCAACATTGCCACAGCCAAGTTGGATTGGTAAAGGACCAAGGGAGATATCCACGAATCGTAACTTGAATAGCTCGGTAACGAGCATTCTGCGGGGTTTCAGCAGCAACTTGTATCGCACGAAGGACTTCCCGGAATACAAAATTCGAAAGATAAACTGTCCCAATACAAGCACTAATAGAAAGCGTCAGCTTCAATCTCAGCAAGTGAATGCACAAAAAGGATCGGTATATGTTGTTAAATATAGAAGGGCAACGGTCTACCCCTGCATGATAGGTGAAAGAGCGAAAGTAAAGACACTCCACGTAAAATGGCAAGGAAAATGGAAAAGATAATTCTCTAAGATATTCTTACTGAGCAAAGCCTACCTCTTGCAGAATTTGTGGGCTAAAATGTTGGCCTATCTCATCCGTACCATAATTTCATACGGGCCCAGGTATAGGTACTTGGCAATGTAAATACTGAGCCATTGGCATCTATGGTAGTTTAATCCGTTACCTGAACAGTAAATGTAGAGATATCAAGACTGCTTTCAAAATATGATAGAGTAGCGTGTTTGTAATTAAAGGTTTCGTTGCCTAGGCCGCGAGTGCCGTATTCGTTGATTACTGCATTGGTCTGGTGTAAACGAAATCCCTCCTCCACCAAAATGCTACCTATTCATACCGATATGTACCAAAGGTAGAAGCTTTTCTATCTTGTAATGTCATCTACAATTATCTGATAAGTCTATGTAGTGGTAATTAACCTCCTACAATGCACGTTTGAGTGAATATAAAAATCGAGGGCTTATCAAGCTCTGGAACCATTCATTAGCTACAGCTTCTGAGCTCGTCGAATTCTCCGGCACTTTTAGAGAGCACCTAAAAAGCGTTTGTTCCACTAAGTGAGTCGGAATTTCTCTACTTCTTGCCCTCGACTTTTCTTGCTTCTTCGCATTCGTCTCGTGTATCCTTTTCCATCCTCATCCACGCACACGTTTTCGTCTCCATCAACAACTCCTACAGCTTCATCAATCGCATCAACGAGACCTTCTATCTCTTTCTCAACCATATCCACCAATCCTGCAGCTTGATCCCGTCAATCACATAAAGGACTCCTGCCTCCTCTTCAATCGCATACACAAGTCCTGCAACCTGATATCTTCTCTAATCGCCTCGAACCGTGCAGCTTCACCTCTCCTCCAATCGCATCAACAAGTCCTTCTATCTCTCTTTCAACCGGATCTAAAATTCTGCTGCTTCATTTCTTCTCCAATCGCATCAGAAAGACCTTCCATCTCTTTCTCAACCGTGTCCGCCACTCCTGCAGCTTGATCCTTACCACAATCGCATCAAAGACACGTACATCCTCTTCAATCGCATCAAAAATGGCTTCCCCGATTGATCCCACTGCTATCCAACGCCTCGAAAGCCCTGCCTATCCAGTCAACCCGCTGATATCAGCTCTTTTCTCTGTTCCACCACTTCCTGCGCCTACTTCAGGATGTGGAGCTTGCAACAAACAGAGTGATAATCTGATACGTTGTGCTGGATGCAAAGTGATGTTCTACTGCTGCCGCGCACACATGGCTCATCACTGGCCAGCGCACAAGGCCGAATGCAGCGGCCTCGATAAGCATGAGTTCATCGGGCCCATCGTCGAAGGATACAGTGCGGCATTTGTGGGCAACTTCAACAATCTGCTAGGGCCAGCACCCTTTGCCTGGGGCCCGGAGGTAGACCTGATTCAGACGGAAGAAACGATGAGTTATCTTGGAGATATCTCTCACATCAACACCGTTGTATCAGTCAAGATCCAGCTTGATCGAGTCATGGGCCTGCTCCGAATGGGCCTGACTCAAGATCCTGGCATGCGGGATATCCCACCCGCTCTCCTCCTCCGTCTTGGCCGCTGGCAAGAGTGCTATGCCCTGTTGAAGTGGTATGCGGCCCCCACCGCAGACTCGCCATACCTGTGGATTGATGAGGAGTATGTGGTGTGCCGCACCGAGGATGCCGACATCTTCGAGCCGGTCAATGTCTTCCTCTACGATCCTTACTCTTACGCCCCTGGAGTGCACCACACGTTCGCCCACCATGTCGTCCTCGCCCTCCTCAAGATCTGCTTGCTCTTGGAACTCCAGAAGATGGATTCCACGGCAGTCGTGCTCCGAAAGCGGCTGCCACAAGAGCTCGTGGATCTTGTGTTGGGATACGTGGGCGATAACCCGGCAATATCTACGGATCCCCGCGCCATGCAGTACAATACTCGCGTGAAATTGGTGAATGAGTTGAACATTCAGATCCTCACTGTCTACAAACATGTAGACCAACTGAACGCTCACTTCTGGGGGGCTCTGCTCAACCCAGACATTCACCTGCGAGCTCGGCCGTCTTCATGCAGGTCGGGGTCCGTAGAGGAGGCGCGGGTTGTCCTTCTCAGGACCCATCGCGAGTGGGTGCTCACACCCGGCGCGATGGACTACGTGATGGGCATCCGAGGGCGCGAAACGTGAGACGTGGAGGATAGTTGACGATGCGAGAACTGAGCAGCCGCTAGGATAGCGCTGCTCATTTAGCTATCAGGCTTAGGTCCGAGAGAGAGGGTCAGGAGAACCCGAAATGACGATCTCATGTTGCTCTGTCTAGATATCTTCGTGAATGTCACCGTAAACATGGTCGACGCTCTGAATTCCACCCACTGCCACTACATAATTTTTCAACCTGAATTCATCGTTAGTTTCACATCACTTAGTTTCACGTCACTTAGTGACCAAGATCTGCAATACCTAGCCCTGGCAACTTTTAAAACCGTATTTTCTTCCATTGTTTCTGTAAATTTACGGAACAGAGAGAAGTGGATCATGTTTCACGTGTTTACTAGACATCTTGATTGATATCTACGGGAAGCTAGCTGTCGTGTGCATATTCCTATCTATCTCAGAATAGATAGGCTCGATAGAACCTGAGAACATGGGAGAGACTCCCGAGGACCGAAAACGAGATCGATTCCTTTGTTGCATCAAAGGAATCACAGATCTCCTGCTTTGGTCATGATCTCCCGGAGGAGGGTGATCGCCCCGGGAGTCTCGATCCACGATTCCCAGTTCATCTTCACCTGGGCTTCCATCTCCTCCACCAAGGTATGATCCTCACTCGGCCATGGAGTGTCTCCCCGCATCAACCACGCCATTCCTTTCCAAACCAAGTGATTCATGCTCTTGACCTTGCGGTAGAGCTTTAGAACCTGTCCCATCAAGGCCTTCATTGTCGCACGGCGTGCGACGGCACTCTTGATCAGATCCTTCTTTTCGGCGATCTGCTTGGTGAATGGGATGTTCTTCAACACAAGGTCTAGAACGTCACCGTTGAGCTTGTCGCCAAATGCGCGGACTGCCAGGTGCAGTCGTTGCACGTCGACCAGGAATCGGATCTTCACCAGACACAAGGGGATCAGTGTCATGATGGGTGTTTCGGGACTGAAGACATCGATTGGTTCGAAGATATCTTCCTGCTCGTAGCCGACGAAGTCTCTGCGGGGGTTTGGAATGATCGGATTGACGAGCGTGGGGTTTGCGAATCGGAGGCTCAAGTAGTCGAGGGCAGTCTTGCTGTTGGGATCCTCGGATTGGTTGGTGCGCCATTTCATGAAGTCGTAGCACTCTTGATCTCTGTTGATGCGCATCATCAGGGCGGGGACCTTGAATCTGTAACCATAGCTGTCAATTCCACTCATGTACATGATGTGGAAAGCGAAGATGAGCTGTCTCTCGACGGCGCACCGATGTCTGATGGGCTCGTGTAGTTCGATCAAGGTCGACAGTTCGGCAAAGTAGCGTTGGGCTCCCGGGATCAAGTGTAGCTCTCCAACTTTTGTGCGGAAGGGTTGGCTGGGGTCTTGCTCGAGCTTCACTCTCCATTCTTCGGCTCTCTCGCGAGCAGCAACAATGAGTCCGCAAATCTTCTCGTGCGAAGCTTGGTCCAGCAGTAGGTGCTCCTGGCTGCAGTATGTCATGGAGAGGCAAAAACCGCAATCACTGAGATCATCTTGCTTCGGGCAAATAGCACAGCCTGAGTGAAGAATTTGCCGCACTTGTCGGTTCAACTCCAAGTCCAATGGGTCCATGCAGCGAGGTTCAGGACCCGACAATCGGCTCAAGATGAAGGCATCCGGGAACTGCGAACCCTCAGAGGACGAGCGATTTTCCACATTGGCGGCTAGATCCAGGATGTTCATTCCACCAGTGCGGTTGGCAGGATGTTCTGGGATCTCAAGGGGCTTGGGAGGATCCCGCAACGCCTCGATCATGGGACCATCCCACGTGTCCAGGCGTTCGATGTCCTCCAAGAACTTGGCGTACAGATCATCAAACGTGTTCGAAGAGGACTGATAAGGATGAGGCCGAGTACGATAAAAGGTAATCATTTTGAAACTGAATATTTGATGATGTTGAAAAGATGATTTTTGGGAAGAAAATCTCGAGGTTTGGGAGTGAGGTGTGATGAGAGATGAAAGGTGAAGGTGGGGAGGTGTCAAGAGAGAAGGTGCTGAAGCACTCATCAAAAGATGGATTGTTTGCGAAGCTGTAGAGATCAACCTCCTTGATCACCTTCCTCATTTACCATCGGTATCTTTTTTCAAGGCCTTTGTTTCCAATAACCCCGACCTATCTCTTGTAGTCTACGCAGCCATGCCGAAGACATAGGCAGCCATCATTCGCCCGGTATCAAGCATCCACCTTCAAAACATACGATATAGAATGACCAAATATAGATTGCCATAAAATAGTACAAATATGAAGATCTAGTTCTTTTTACTCGTTGTTCCTCCTCGAGTTTCCCTTCCCAATCGCCCACACCATCAAATACCGCTCCATGGCTCCACAACACAAAGCATATCTGCTTATATTTTTGACGGTATCGGCTTTCATAAAGTTTCAATCTACCCATCGGGCATCGGGAGACCTAGTCGATACAGTAGACGTGCTAAGCAGGGGGATATTGGCCTTCTAATCCTCGTTGTCGTTTTATACTTCGGCAAAATGATTTATCCGGATGGTATACGCAGCACGTGATGAGTACACTAACCGTAAATGGATCATACCTCTTCCAGCATCTATTCTCGATGGACTCGATTCCGGTGAGAATTTATGTCGAATACCCTTGTGTAAGGCTATTCTTGAATATTGCATTCATAATATTATAATAGTATTCGATGCAATGTACCGTGTATTGTTGGGATAATGGGCGAGGAGGGGAATGAGCCGGCTACGGTACCTCCGTACATCGTGAGTTTCCAAATAGATTAAAAATTGCTTAGAGCCATCTTTTCACAGTTTATGAATAATGATAGATCTTATTTAGGGGACTAGAAATTGAAGGTAATAGTGACTGATTCTCATATAGATTACGCCTACGTTGTTGCATGGCGGGAATATGGCTTGGTCCTAAATTTGACAAGTATCTATTCCATTGACCTTACCAAAGGTGTCCTCGTGTGAATTCAATATTGAGCTTAAGAATGTAAGAGCTCCAGATTATTTTCCAAAGGCAATCTGCCGTGGCTGTAGGTGTTTACCATGGATGCTTGCTACAAGTATGTAGTGGAGCGGTGGAGATAAATCTGCACTGGCGATCCAAACGGTCATGCCAAACCCAAAGTAGACAAGTTAGAATCAAAAGGTATTCATAAAAACAACATTTAGACACTAATACACGCTATCTACTCATAAAAGATCAACTCAAGAAATTTTCGGGCTTGGCCACCACATAAAATTTTCAGGCAACATCCATTGATGACAAAAAAGCCCGGAAAACGCCCAAGACGGACAGGATGCCGAGGTAAGTTGGCCGGAGTCCACTCTCCGTCCTCAACCAACCTTTGCCTCCCAACAACTCGACAGTGACGCCGTTCAAGCGGATCGGATTTGGATCATGCTCCATCCGTCATCTTTTGCTGCTTCCTCCTTCTCCTCCCTTTCCTCCTCCATCTCCTCCACAGCCCGATTCACGCCAGCTCCATCTCGGCTTCTCCTCCAGCGCCGGATAGCCTCATCAACTCGGCACTCGTTTGTGTCTCCGCGGTATACACGCAGTCGACTATACTCTACCGGTAAGCCGTGTTCTACCATCTACATCCTGATGCATCAGTGGCATCGCCTCTCCAAGTGGAAAATATTCTAATCTGTCGGCTGTCGCAGAACCGAACCCTTCCGTTCACCCGCAAACACCCCCTCCTTCTCCTCCTCCGCGATCGCGATTCCGCCGTTTCCTAGGCTTCACCTCGATCGCCGTTCTTGCCTTCTCCGCCGGCCTTCTCTACCAGACTCAACGTACCGTCTCGCGACTCATGTCGGCCCCTATGATCTCCAACGCCGAGACCCTGACGGCCTTTGTCCCCGTGGACGCTCAGGCCGAGGAAGTCAATGAGTATCTCCGCACACACCCCGAGGCCGACAGGCTTCGCGCAGATGGCGAGTTCGAGGAGTCGCGCCCGCATTTGCGGTTCCCAGAGGGACTCCGCGCGCGCAGTCTGACGGCCGGTGCTCTGGCGGGCCCGAACAAGCTCGTCGTTCCACCGTTCGTGTTCTCCCACCGGGAGGGCAAGAGCCTGGTCTCGCTGATGTACCTGGGCTCTGATGTCTGCGGTCACCCCGGGATTATTCACGGCGGTATGCTGGCTACGTTGTTGGACGAGGGTCTGGCTCGTTGCTGTTTCCCAGCGCTGCCCAACAAGGTCGGTGTTACCGCCAACCTGAACATTGATTACCGAGCGCCGGCCATGGCCAACTCCTACGTGGCTCTCCGGGCGGAGACTGTCAAGGTGGAGGGCCGCAAGGCGTGGGTTGAGGGTCGCATTGAGACTCTCCCCGAGGACGGAAAGGAGCCCGTGGTGCTGGTCGAGGCCAAGGCTCTGTTTATCGAACCCAAGCAGGCTGCTGTAAGTTTACCTGTATTGGATTGTCTAACTTTAAACTTTTTGTTGTGGCGAAAGTGTGGCTAACTGGTTAACCTTAGGCGTTGTCTGGTTTGTACCGTGGCGTCAGCGATTGAAAAAAAAATCTCTGACGTGATCAACTTTGTTCCTGGTTCCTGGCGTACGGGCGACACTCATTCTGTTTAATTTCCATTTGTTTTCTAGAGGGCATTTTGTAATTATCCTGTCGGACACGACTGGATTGTGTATAGCATAGAATTTATTCATTTTTTCGGCATCTTTCAATGTGGATCTAGAATTAATCGTTAACTCGATACCAAAAATCCAGTAGAATCGATGGCGCAATTCGTATAGAAACCGGCAGTTTTGTATCCCACCCGACCCCGCGATCAGCACTCCGTTTCCGCTCTTACGCGGCCCGTTTCACCGTCTCTTTTAATCTCCCTCGACTATTCTGGACTCTTCTTCCTTCCTGCACATATTCACATCCTCTTCAAAATGGCCACGTAAGTCAATTGAATCCCCCAAGATCTCAACATCATGCACCCAATTGCCCCTCAATACACAGAGTACAGAGTACCGGGAACTATACTAACCCCACCTTCTGCAGCAACATCACCTTCCACGCTGCCGCCCTCACCCGCAAGGAGCGCAACGACCTGCGCAAGCAGCAAGGTTTGACCATCTGGCTGACCGGTCTCTCCGCCTCCGGCAAGTCCACCCTCGCCGTCGAGCTGGAGCACCAGCTCCTCCACGACCGTGGCGTGCACGCCTACCGCCTGGACGGCGACAACATCCGCTTCGGCCTGAACAAGGACCTGGGCTTCAGCGAAGCCGACCGCAACGAGAACATCCGTCGTATCGCCGAGGTCGCCAAGCTGTTCGCCGACTCCTCCGCCATCGCGATTACCTCGTTCATTTCGCCCTACCGCAAGGACCGCGAGACTGCCCGCCAGTTGCACGAGGTCCCCACCCCCGGCGAGGAGACTGGCCTGCCCTTCGTCGAGGTCCACGTTGACGTCCCCGTTGAGGTTGCGGAGCAGCGTGATCCTAAGGGCTTGTACAAGAAGGCTCGTGAGGGTATCATTAAGGAGTTCACTGGTATCAGTGCCCCCTACGAGGCTCCTGAGAAGCCCGAGGTGTACATCAAGAACGTGGATCTGGCTATCCCCGATGCTGTGAAGCAGATCATTGATTATCTTGACTCCAAGGGTTATCTGCCCCCCAAGCAGGAGTAAACTGGCTTTTACTTCTCGGTTATGAATGGTGCTTTTTTTTAATGTTTTGTACGAGCTGATATCGGCCCGATGGGCCTGGAGAGAAGAAGAGGCAGTCGCATACTGTGGTGTGGATCTGGAATGGTTGTCTTTTGTCTTGATTCCCCGCATTCAGGCGCTGTATATACTGGACAAATATAGATCGCTTTACAAAAGAATTGATTCTCTGAACAGGGCCTGAAGATTGGAACCGTAGAATCCCCAATTGAGGAAATGTATTCGGTAGGTGTAGAACAATCGCAACCCGGATCAAAACAAGATAGAAAAGAAAAACATGCTAGTTTGTGCTCAATGTACCTGACTGGTATATGTACGCGAATCCCTCTCGCAACAAGCCCCCTTCTCTATACCCCGGAGAAGGTTTCACTGGAACTCGAACTCGTAGTAAACATATGGCGTGTACTCTGCGCTTCCCTCGGCGCCCGCATGCATCTCGTTCGGGTCGTCCCGTTTAACACGGCCCTTCTTGTCTCGGCCAAAGGCATTGCCCGCCAGGTATGAGTACTTTTCTTCAAGGTTGATCTTAGCCTTGTCTGCTTGCTTGGAGGACGGGGTCTAAAGAAGAGCAATCCCGTTAGTAACTCACGCCCACCATCAAACTCTCACTGGTTAGGATTAGGTGAAAGACATACCCGAATCAGACCGCAGACAAAGTCTAGCGGAAGACCATACCGTAGGACAGTCTCGACAAACACCCGCAAGACCAGAATATGGATCCAGACCATAACAGCCTCACTCCACGCAGTCCGTCCCAGACGCAGCGTCTCACCCCAGAGCTTACGCTCATCACCACCAACACGCTCAACTTCCTTGCGCTCCTCCTCCTTGCCACCCTCGACGTACTTGAAGTCGCGCGGGATCCACTTCTGCTCACGGCACTTGTGCACGAACTCAACACTGTGCTTCTTGAAGCTAGTCACGGCATAAAGAGAGAACTCGCTGTCCTCGGCGAGCAATTGTGCAGATCGGGGGACCACCATCGGGGCGACGGTCTCGTAGGTCTTGAGGAAGTCCTTGACTAGCTGGGAGGGAACGGCGATCAGGTGAGTCTCGATGTATTCGGAGTTTTGGACGATGGATCGGGGGTCGATGACGGAGGCGAGGGATTTTGTGGAGAGGTTTCCTCTGTGTATTAACAGTAGTGTTAGCTTGCTGCAATCATTCGCGATAGAATAGCGGTGGAGTCGCACGTTTGTTTCCGCTGGAGCGTAGCCAACGTGTTCTTAACTTGGTTATATTGCGAGTACTTGGACCGGATATCGTTGTCGATGCTAGCAGCTTCCTGTAGGATATATTAGTCCGAGATCCGCTTTGAAACGCTTTGTCATTTAGAATCGCTCTGCAACTTACCTTGTGCAGCAAATCGATCAACTCTGCCAGCGGCTTATCCGCACGGTACTTGACCTTATTCCAAGAGAACGTGCGCAAGTATTGATCAACAGGCTCTACGAAGCTTCAGTCAGCACTTTGTGAACAGTATCCACTTTACTCCGACCACGTACTATCATTCACGACCTTCATGCGCTCAATCTGCGCCTCGTCGCCCTCGAGGATATTCTTCAACGCATCGCCGACCTTGGCAACAACCGCCTGGCAGGAATTCTCCAGCTTGGCTAGCTCATCAGCCTGCTGTACCAGCGCATCTAGCGTGCCGATCTTGAATTCCGGGATCGGAAAGGAGGCTACGGAGCCATTCTCGGGGGAAACGGTAGCCGATACGGCGTCGAGGGCGTCATCGCGGTGGTGCGAGGGGACGATGGAGGTCGGAAGGGAGACGAGGAGGTACCGACCGGGCTTGGACATGGTGACAGCGGCGAATGGAAGACGGGATCTGGAATAAAGAAGCCCTCGAGGCGGGGCAGGAGGTGAGGGTTGGGGGTAACAGGAGCTGCGGGAAGCTGGTGAGGTGATGTCGTAGGCGGTCGGGCGGTGATTGGCGCCGAGGCCACAGTATGGAGACTCTCCAGTATAAACTCCCCAGTTAGTCCTGGGCAGCACCAAAGATGTTGTAATTTACAGCAAGCTGCAGGGTGTAAATTGTTCATAGTTTTCTACCAAAGTATACATCTTCTATCTTTATGCTCAAATACCACTTAACGCCTGATACTCTGTAGATACGGGTCTTTCGCTTGTCAGCTACCAACATTGGTATGTTTCCTACTACTGAATCTCTATGGAGCTATATCTACCACCTCTTAGGTACCTATTCCTCCATCTTACAATCGAAGATTATCTTTCTATGCTAGCCCACAGGTATGAGCTATATGACCTCTCCCCGCCTTTTCTGGCCGATGAAACTACGGGACAGCCAACGGGCTTCGATTGGTCACAAATTATACCTGGCTGCATAGCCCTGTATCAACCAATCGTTCTTGGGCTATTCTCGAGGCGCTGCCACGTCTAACCTCGTCAGCCTCATTGATGTCTGTGCATCGCATGGTGGCTATGTCCCCATTCTACGATTTATTTACCGCTACCGCCCTCTTGTTCGTCTCATTTAGTCTTATCCCGGCCGAACTCCTTATTATAACCGTCAAGAAATCTCCAGACCGCAGATATTTACCATGGCCGAAGTCGCCCTCGGGGTCGCAGGATCGGTAGTGGGGATTGTATCCCTCGCAGGTCAAGTCTGCGCTGGCATCCAAGAGCTCTATGCACTCCTGGACTCGGTAAAAGACTCGGAACTTGATATGAAATGCATCAAAGACGATGTTATTCTTTTCCAAAACACGGTACAGTCAATCCATCGAGACTGCACAAATATCCCAGATCATGTGGATGCCACGCTTCTTAGGACGTCTCTCGAACTGTGCAACTCTCGCATCACAAGGCTCTTGGCTATTGTCGGATCCTCCGAAATCACGGATCATAGGAATAAGACGTTGAAAAAGGCTACGGACAACGGCGAAGAAGAAGAGAGTTGTTGACTTTGTGAGGGATCTTGACAGCGCTAAGATGAGTTTAATGCTTGTTCATCAGCATTATATCCGGTATGGAAACATCGTATATTGATCACATGTTTTGCGTATGAACTGATACTGACCCTGCCTAGTGAAAGCGCTCCAACGGGCACTGTGGGAGGAGCAAGCGACCCTGTTACTGCAGTAATTAGCTCTGGTGAACCGCTTATCAAACAGGATCCTACATGGACCAAAAACAGCAATGGCGAGAATTATCCAATGCGCATGAGGAGGCCGAACCGCATCATCGATACAGATACATCCGAGGTTGAATATCAGTTCTTGCTTGGAACACTATCCAATAAACTCGATCAAGTCGTCCTATAACAAGGAAATGTGATTCCACGAGCAATACTCAAAATGAAATTAAAACGAAAACGTTCAAACTTGAGTTAGCAAGATGGCTTGCCTCCTTCAATATAGAACTGCAAGCTCTGGAACGCTGGGGAAACTGGACTTATCAATTGCGACATTGGCGCGTGGTCAGTGGCAGGTGTCTATTATTCCAGTTGTGCAGGGACGGGGACCTGAAAAATATTCAACGACTTTTTGGTGAACGACTTGCCTCTCCCTTCGACGTGTCCCCGAAGGGTGAAACAGTCTTGCATGTAAGTTACTCGCTTTGCAAACTGACCTACATCACCAGATATTGACGATCTCTATGCAAAGTATGCCGCATACTCGGGACATCCAGATCTGGTTTCCTTTTTCTTGCAATTGGGGGCAGATGCAAATGCTAAAACCACAACCGGATTGTATGCGAACCTTCCACGTTTTCTATCATATTTACTTACAAAGTGGTACAGAAGTGCATTTCAATATGCAATGTGGAGCCCACGACAAAAAACCCATCTTGAGTTAGCACGGCTATTTATAAACCGCGGACAAACTGACCCTATGGCTTCTGGATCAAGGTGTAGCATCATCCACACATATCATGGTACAGCAGAGGCATTCGAATATATGATCAAGCAAGATCAATTTTTGATTGACCTAGGAGAGCGGGATCAGCAGGGCGACCATCCAACATTATCAGATTCTCTACCTACTCCTGAAACGGAATTCCCTCCAACGAATCGAAGCTCTGCTTGCCACTGGCGATCACGTCCTTGACAGCAGAATTGTGGGTGAAGCTGGCGGATATTATCAAGCCAATGGTTATACTGCACTCCATTGTGCTGTTCAAAGATGGATATGGTTGAAAATAGCGGACGATGAACGCGCCGCCCAGCGAGACAAATCAACCGTGCAAAGTCTTCTGGAAAGAGGTGAAAACATACACGCCATAAGCGATGGTCGAAGTTTTACTCCCTTGGCGGTGATTTGTGAAACGTCAATCGGCCAACCAGCTTCCCTAGTGGAAGTCCTGTCCGAATGGCTGGACCTTCTCTCAAAGGCTGGCTATAAGCTGAATGAATATCTCCTGACAGAAGCCAAACTGGAGCGAGAGCGACCGGAAGATAAAATTCGGCCCGATTTTCGCATTACCTTTGAGCAACAGAACGGCCAGTCATTGCCTCAGATCTTGGTGTCTTCATCGGATTCAATGATGGTTTCGCAGGATAATCAGTATCGGTTCTCGGTTACTGCGGAAAAGTCTGTAGCTATGAACATGCATAAGACCGAGGCTCCGAACACTATATCATCGCTATTGCCAGCTCTACATCTGCCAGGACTTTCACATTCTACTCGAGGTCTCTTAGCTTTATTCTTGTTGATTGGTTTCAATGCGAGCCCAGCTATGACGTTTCTTGCAATCATGCTGAGTTTGGTCTTCGTCCTGCGACCAAGTGAATAGCTGGATGCGATGGACTTTCAACTACTAGAGCGGGTAATCGGTGAATCTAATAGACCTCTCATTATTGATTCTCTCAAACTCCTTCGCCTTAGCTAGGCTATATAGAAATTTTCAAATCCACTAACATCTGATGGAGATCGACTGCTCCAAAAGTGTGTAAGAATGTAGAAGGTGGAAAGATGTCGAGCTAAATTATGGAATTGGATATAATTGCATATAAGTAGCAAGAAGCAGCCAAGGCGCTGCCTGATACCTCCTTGAGCAGAATCCTTGGCATTATCAACTAAACGGGACTTTCTGAATCGCAGAACGCAAATATAGACAAAGATAAAGCAAGACAGACCTAAGAATCTTCCGTCTTCCAAACCTCCCACCATCTCCTAGACCTCCCAAATACACCTCGACTCACCTACTCCATCCCATAAATACCCCCTTCAACAACAGCCCTAACCTCCTCATCCCCAATTCCCTTCGCAATCTCCACCATGCTCCCAGCCAAAAGAACCCCACTAAGCCTCCCAATCTCAAAAAAGCCCCTTGAGCCATCAACCCGTTCCACTCGAGCCGCAGCCCAAAAGACAAGAACATTCACAGAAGCACCACACTCAGACATCTTCCCAATTACCTCCCACGGCTGTCCAGACTCAACTGCCGACAAGAGCCCTCGACTAGCACCGACTCCGCCCGCATACAGATCAGCACCGTGGTTGAGAAGGAAGTGCAGAAGCGGGAGCGTCAATTTGATAGAATCCCGACAGCCGCGGCAAGTTTCAGTCAGTAAAGTCCGGTGAGGATCTATTTCGAGGTTGACGATTTCGGGAGAGTGGGCATAGAGAAGGGAGATGATTCCAAGATTCGGGTGCTGGATAAGCGCCGAGGCGATTTCTTCATAGCTAATATCGCCGACGGTGTATATTGATAGTAGATACGTTATCACAGCTACATTCTCGTGGGTTATCGCCGCAGTAACGAGTTTCCAGGTAGACGGGGGACTTTTATCCATCTCGAGCCATAGTACCTGGGAGCCTGGGAGCGTGTTGTAGGTTGTAAAGTATGATTGGATGGTTTGGAGGTTACCGGCCGCGCAGGTGGTTAGTAGGGCTTGCTTGTGTGATTGCTCGGCCATCATGGTAGAAATGTGGTTAGATGTTAAGAGAATAGGACAATCTAAGTGTCTCGGGGCGGGAGGCACACAATTGTCAAGGGAAGGGATCTTCATTGAGGCTTCGCTGTAAGTAACTTGCGCCACTTTATAGATCTCGGGGCCAAGTCAATATCTAGAAGACTTATGAGTTCGCGCCTCGCCATGGAGAAGATGTGCCCAATTCCTTGACTTACCCCACGGAGTATGTACATCTAACTGCCTACATACACCGGGAAATATTTTAAACCACATCATCTACAAAGATACACAAAGAATTGAATATCGGCCAGCGATAAAAATGCATAACGCTATTGACACTATCCAATGCTCGCTCAACACGGTGTGTGGATCCAAATAGGGGTAAAGTAGAAACAATAAAACAAAGTAAAAAAAAAAAAAAAAAAAAGGGTAGAAACTCGAAGCTTGAAACAAGGACAAAAGTCATTGTAAAACCACCCAAGCAGAAACAAAATTTTGAGTGAATCCCCCCAGAGACCAAGCAGACGAATACGCTGCAAGACCGGGCAAACCGGGTAGACGAGACCCAGGGAGGGGAAATGAGAATGACGGACTAGCTTCGGACCTGCGGAATATGTAAAGAGAAGTGGCGACGAAGCAAAGAACGCAGAAGCAAAGGCATGGCAGGGTATCTGTATCGAGCGTGCAGCGCTGATCGTAAACAGAGTATTGTGAAATGAAGAAAGAGGGGGGAGGATAGGTGGGAAACAAGCGACCAAGAAAGAGTTGGTCTGGCTTCTGTACAACGGTACAAAACATGAAACACCAAAAGGGAGACATCAAGAAACAAATAGTCAAAAATAAGACAAAAACGAAGTCAGGAATCCAGAATTAGTTCTGCATGCCCATGAAGACGTCCTGGCAGTTTTCGACTAGGAACTTCAGAATGTCGTTCTTCTTCTGCACATCCGTCATCTCGCGAGCCAAGCTTTCGGGCCGCATAATGGTCGGCGCAAAGACGACGGCGATGTTCTGACTGGTCATCAAGTTCTCGTCTTGGCGCTCGACGACACGCTTCAGATGGAAGACCAGGAATTCCAAAACGTCACGGTGGACACGGGGCAATTCGGACAGATTCTTTTGTAGGAGTTCAACTCGTGCAGGAGCGTGGGTGATCTCAGCCGAGTCGATGATCTTATCGTAGATGTCATACGTGATCAGTGGCATTGGGAGCTTGCGGAAGTATTGCTTAAGAGCAGAGGTAACGGCGTGAATGTCAAGGTCAGGGTCAGAAATGTCATAGTCGAATGGAGAGCGTTCAAAGCCGTCGCGAATACCCTGAATGGCAGAGGCAGCACCTGATTTACGGTAGATACCTTCCATATCCATTCCTAGATAAGAGTTAGACAAACACGCTGCGATCATTATAAAAGGAGAGAACACATACCTCGCAGTTCAACCTCCTGGATACACCGCGTGATAATGGCCGGAATAATGCTCTTCTCGTGCTCCATACGCGCCTCCAGATCGGTACCGAACAGACCTAGAAAGAATTAGCTGGGGCTTATAAAGCAGACGAGTGAAAAAAGTGAAAACCTACCACCAGCGACTTCGGCCAAAACTGGCACGCTGTCGGCCTGCGACATCTTGCCGCCTTGCTTGCTGCGTTGGTTGCCAAAGAATCCAAAGCCTTGTCGGCTAGGATCCTGAGTCTGAGATCGGGGGAGGCCGCCACCACCCTCTGCATTCTCGCTGGACATAAAGGCGCCCTTAAGACCCTTGACACCCTTCGCAACATTCTGTCCGCCCTTCTTCCAGTTCATGAACTTGCCCTTGCGCAGGTTGACAACCTGAGGACCAGGAACAACGGTAGCCGTAGCAGTTTGGGTCTCCAGGTCATCAGAAATATGGGCAGTCGAGATAGACGGCGCAAGGCTATCAATGGCCGGCTTCAGAGTCTCGAGCGAACCAATGGATCTGTCTTTGCTGTGAGAGACAATACCGAGTCCGTTGGCACCACGCTGACCGTCAGAGGTGGTCTTGTAAAGCTCTTGAATCTGGTGCACCAGAGTGTTGTTCAACTCAGCCAGTTGGGCATTCTTCGACGAAAGTTGCTCGAATTCTTGGAAGACCTTTTCTTTCTGCCGGTTGATGTTGGCAAGTTCCTCTGTCAAATCATTGCGCTTTTGAATGAGATCCTCGATTTGGGGAGTGTAGGATTCCTTGAGTTTGTGGATGGCTTCGGCAAGTTCACGAAGGACATGGTTGGAAAGCTTTCCAAGATCCAGAGGTCCACCAGCAGCACCCCGTTTCTCCGCTTCCAAATGCTCCGTCAGCACCGTCAGCTCGCGGAGAACGATTTCTCTCTGGGCGTCAAGAACAACCATGGTGGATCGCTTCTCCGAGAGTTCAGTGTTGACTTGCTTCACATCCGCGGTAGCGCGCAGAGAAGCCTCCATTTCAGACACGCGCTGACGTTCCTTGCGAAGCTCGTTGCGAAGCCAGGCAATCTCTTCGGCTTGAGCGGTGCTGGCCGTAGGACTGCCGATATCCGTGCCAATCGAGCTGCCATTGGCAGGCGAGCGAGGATATTTGCCGTCTTTTCCGAGGCGAATACTCTTGTCACTGAAGCTTCGGCCATGGCGAACGGAGTTGGACATGCGTCGAAGGAATGAATCGCTTGTTTGGTCATCGTCCGGAGAGAATTCGCTTCCATTGTATCGCGTCTGGGATGGCGAACCTGCGCCGTCCATTGTGGTGGTCACCGAGGTGAGGGTCTGTGTCTGCTGCTCAGTGATGCTATCGGGGAATCTGGGGGATCCCCCGTAAGCGGAAGATGCAGGCGATGCACCAACTTCCTTGCGTGGGATGTGGTGTTTGCCCTCGAGGGAATCGCCCCGCTTTGGTGGGTATGCCATGCTTGTTGTAGGCTGCGAACGGCTCGAGTCCAAAGTTGTGTGATCGTGGGGTCGGCGTAGTTCGGTTGATGGACGTGCAGAGCCTGGAGTAGCCCCATCCAACCCAGTTACTTCCTTTGGCCGGCTACTATCAGGACTCGTCTGTCCAGAGAAAGCACTCATCTCTCTCAGCGCCAATGGCAAATCAGACCGAGAGCTGCGAGCAGACTCAGACTTGCCGAGCCTAGCTCTCTCCGAATGCGAAGTAGAGGGCTTCTCTGGCCATCCATTCCTGGAATCCATGTCACGCCGACTGGAGTCGTTCTCACGTGCGTCCCGACCTTTCTCCTGGTATGCAATGTGCGGAGAGGGTTGCTCTAATGAAGCACGAGAGGGAGGTTCCAGCGTGTAATCCCGGCCGTCACGAGAAGTTTGGAGAGATGAATCGCCAGACCCGATCTGACCAAAGTAGTCACGGGGCAGCTCTTGCTGGGGTTGTGTATTGGAGGAAGAGCGAAGAGCCTCTGAGGGGTCGAAGGTGAGGGGAATAAGGAATTCGCCGCCTTCGTCGGCGTCGTTATCGCGCTGTCCACCTAATTGACGACTGCTTCGGTAAGTACTCGAGGGGAGGATGAGGTTGTCTATACCAGGATGAGGTCAATCGATCAGTTCTCTAGGTCATGGAATAGATGGAAGGGTCGTAGCTTCCTTACCTGTGGCAGCTGCCTGACGAGAGGGCGACTCAGAACGAGTGTTCTCGCCGTGGCCGTCTGTCCTCCCATGCGAGGGCTCCGTAGCCTCTGCGTAGCTCTCACTCGCAGCCTCGTCGATGGATCGGGTTTCCTCCATGCTCGGGGGAAGCGAGGGCAGCGACTTGTCCAATTTTACCCCCGGTCCTCCCGGTCTTTTCCCCGTCGCACTTGCTTTCTTTTTCCTTCTTCGTTGCATTAAAGATTCGTGACAGTCCATACAGAATATTCCTTGTGAGGTGCGGGCATAGCGGAGATTCTCAATCTTCCTCTTGCAGTTACGGCAACGGAAACACTGAGCACAGAAAGCCTGGTCACCTGTGAGAATCGCCAGATCTTCAATCTTGTTTCCACACGAGTTGCAACTGTAGGTACAGCTGCTACAAATTAGGGAGCCGTCGCCGAGGAGAAGGAGGTGTGCGTCCGAGTCGAGAAGGGTGCCGCAAGTGCTGCATCGGAAACAATCAATGTGCCATCTCTGTCCAGCTTTGGAGGGGTTAGTAAGGGTACGTCGATACAAAGCGTTCAACACAAAGCGGCGAGAAACCTACAAAGCTCAAATGCCTTTCCTTCTTCCAAAATCTAATTGGGGGTCAGTCTGCGACATTGATGAACATTGTCAACACGATTCGTACCTCTCCACAACCCATACACGGGAAGGGAATATCCTCCTGGTCCATAGGAGACTCCGGATGAATCGCCGGTGATTCCATCTTGAATTATTTCTCCTACTGTCAAGGTTCACCAGTGGTCGTTAAGAACCTATGCGCTCTGCTGTCGCCGTAAATTGCGGGTTTGTTTGGCAGTTCAGTAATGTAGCAGAGCAGGTCACAGTCGCGAGGAAGAATGATGAATACACGCGCTACGTGAACATGCGATCGCGCCCCCCGTTAGACGAATCGAGTCTCGATTGTTGTGGGTGTCGGAGTATGACCAGGCTGAAGCCGACGTCAAGAGTTGCGCGGGATCGGGGAGAAGAGGGGGGTGGGATGCGACAGGGGTGGGCGGGCTGGTGAAAGAAAGCCGTGGCTGAAGTAGAGGAGAGCTGAGGCGTTAGCCAACGATCAGACCCATGATCGGGTTAAGCGTGAGACAGAGCTTGCCCCTGGGGAGAGGGCACTGGAAATCGGGTGCAGTGCTGAGGTGAGCGAGGTCGATGGGCACCTTCTGGCTGAAATGGCTCAAAGATCCGTACCACTACGATCACGGAGGAACTCCAGAGTAGGGCCAAGGGGATAAAAGTGGAAATGATCGTACATACCAGAGAAAGAGACGGGACCAGCAGACTAAGTGCTACACAAGGTTTCAGGTAGATAGGCGCGGGTGTTGTGACAAGCGCTTCAGGCGAAGTGACAGTTGCCCCTCGCGGAAGTAGGCAATTCGCGCGAAGTACGGGGGAGTACAGTACTTTGCCAGGAGGGGGGAGGATCGGAGGAGAAAGCGCAAAAAAGAAAAGAAGATCGTGGGGGTTAGAAAGAATTGGTCGTTAAAGTCGAAGACGAAGGGAAGAAAAAGAAAAGAGAGGAAGTTGGAGTCGCGCAGGGGAGGGGGAAAGGAGATGGAAAGTTGGATTCCAATTTGGTGGCAGAAACGACCGCCAGCACCTTTTTTTTTTAATTTCCCACTCTATTTTCCATACAGTACCTCTTTTGAACCACTCTACTTCTCTCCTTTCAAACTATTTCCTAATTCCCCCTCTAACACCCTCCTTCAATTTCCAGTCCGGGCGACTAAGCTTAAATTGCAAATCATGAAGCTCGTCCCAGGCGTTACGTGGATACTGTACTACGAAGTTAGTGACGACGAGAACGTGCGGGCCGCATTGCTACCCATGAGCCCGCACGGCCCAATTGGATCGCCCAGGGGCGTTATTTAATTAGACCATGATCCAGCCACTGTCTGTCAAGTTGACAATGTCAAGTTATCAACACATCTTGGATAATATCATGATGAGAGGGAAAGAGATCGAGGCTACAAGTCCCGAAATTCAGATCTCAACACCACGGCACTTCCAAGGCAATCTGCTCCGCTTATCAGCTTGGCCTATTTCTGGCCAAACGTGAGCATCGCCCATGGAACGGCTCGTCTGTCTCAAACATTTACCCCCGGTTTTTCCTTTTCATTGGCCAGTTCTGGCCCCCGCTTTTCTCCCCTGAACGAGTATTTGGTCTCTCTCTCTCTCGAAGACTAAGAGGGTTTGCCTGTAACAAAAGAGACAGTACGAAGGTTATTCTTCGTATTCCTATCTTACACTCCTCTTCTTCTACAATCCCCTGGTCCGGGCGAGACATCTTATACGACTAGTAGTTAACCCGTTAATTCTCAGCTTGGGTCGCCTCGTTTCAGCGCCATCCTGAAACGCCTGCAGTGTCACGTGGCGGGCCAGCATGCCCCTGTGTCTTATTCACGTTGGTACTGATAACAGAATTATCCTGGGCGTTTATTTGCACCTAACTTCATAGACTTCATTACATGCATATACTCGGATCTGACTAGTATGTGAGCATGATCAGCATATCCACGAATTCACATTTCTTGGATAGAACTTTGTTACGAGGATTCTCGTATTCGTTCTTGTTGATTGGTCCGTTTGTTCTCAGATTAAGAATGATTAAAAATAGAGGGCACGGGCTCTATACCTAACGAGGATCTACGACTTCTCTAACCTCACGGTCCACTCCAACTACATAACTCTACGTATCAGCAGACCAATAGACTAAGTTTTAGAATATGGTTCGAACAGTGCGAAGCAGGAGAATATCAATCCAAAGGGGGAGATCAAAAGTCCATAAATGCAATATGCTAGTGGCAGTACCCCATACAACAAATGAAGATATCCACCTAGGCTTAACTCTTACCCCCCGACTCCAAAATCAAACTCGGCCTCTCAACCAAAGACCCATCCTTCAAACTCTCCTCCCCCGTCCAAAACCGCAAATTCAACCTCCCATCCTTCCAAAAATTCACAACAACATCATAAACCCCACCACCCTGACAACCCGGATCCACAAGCCCTTTAATAGTGAAACACTCCCGATGACCGGGATCTCTCTTCCAATACGCCATCTTCTTCTCCAGACTGATAACGTCGATCTCGCGGTAATGGTATCCACGCTGCTGCATCGCATTGAGCAAGCGACACTGGTAAGATTCGGGGTCGAATTCGGGCGGGATGGCTGCGATCGTTTGTTTTCGTGCTGTTCGGCCGGCAGCGATGAGGAGGGCGAGGACGATGCATGAGATTAAAAGGCCTAGTTTGAGGCCGTAGTAGATGTCGCCTTTCGTCCGGGTTGTGCCTTCCACGGGGAGTTTTGTAGTATATGTACCGTATTCGGTGGCAGCGTAGAAGAATGACCATATCATCACAACGCGAGAACTGGGAATGGAGTTGGTAAAGTGCTTTAGGAGTATCTAATCCTGGTTTGACCTCTTTGATAGGCCGAGACCTCACAATTACTCACCTCGTCGGAAGATAACCAATATAGCGGACGAATCGACTCCACCGAGACGCTCGGTCTACGGCTGGCTTAACCCCAGACGGACCCTTGAAGATAATAGCCCGATCATCGGGGACATGGCTGCTCGCGAAAGAAGGGTCCTGATGAACGCCACGGCGGGCAGCTAGCAGGAATTGCAGCGGCTCCAGAATATTCTCCTCGGCCGTGTTGTCGTTTTTGGGGGCCACCTTGGCGCTCTCCAAGTCTGCCAAATGTTTCTCAGTTTGGATATCTTTTGCGTGGTTCATGATTGTGAGTCAATCCGAGTGCTTCTGAGAGATGCAGAAAGCGATTTTGGACCCTGGATGGATGTGGGTTGTCTTTCTAATGAGGCGCAGGGTCTCGGTAGAGGCTGAATAATGGGACTAGAGGTTGTGGAAGTGGAGATGTAGTGGGCCTTTCAGGCTGGCCCCCAAGGCCATTCTGTACATAATTAGGCTCCCGACATACGTCTTTCAGGACAGAACCATTTCATCTTTATATTTTATCAGCATAAAGCAGAGCTCAGGGAGAAGATGTCGAAAAGAGGCGGATACTACTGGAGGCGATAGGAGAAGCCAAGATCAGTCAGTATCTGAGGGAGGAAAATGCAAACTTCCACAACACGAAGATCTTCTTAACGGCGAATGAATACATACAATTGGTGTTAGATGGACCCATCCTGGTGATTAATTTGCTGGTGGATACAGAGTCAGAAACTATCTATATCTACCATGAGATGTTGCCCATTGGGAGGCTGGGTCTTAGTTCAACCAATCTCATAAAGATCCTTACGAGAATATTTCAGCTTCACAACATCTGATACAAAGCTCCAGAAATGTGATTTGAGAGTAATTAGCTAATCTACAGTCCTGGTCCAGCCTGCAGTACCTGATACGATAGTAAATCGACCATTCTCCAGGCCGTCCATGGCTATATTTGAACAAATGCAGATCGAAGCCCTCGCATTGTTTTCCAACCAATACTCCAGCAAGATCCAAATAATTCATCCTCTGACCTTTAAATGGGTCAATCATTCAAGGACTACAAACACCCTAGTTCGGACCCTAATTCAGCCATCCCCGTGTTCAGAAGTACTGTTTCAGAAAAGGACGTGCTCAACGAAGCATGAAACGACTGAGCTCGGGGGGCTAAACCGAGGCAGGCCATTACTATTTTAAACTCACATTTCAAATAGGTTCACAACAGCGAGCTAGATGTTTCAGCATCACCGCTTGAAACAGAGATAGCTTCTCCTCGCACGGTCATGTTCTTGAACAAGCTTGGAACTACGCAGATCGTCTGGTCTATATTACAGAGTGGAGTGCGGGATGATCGGGCTACTGTGGACAATACTATTTGTTGAATCACGGCGTTCATGCAGATGAGACATGAGACATCTACGATCTTTGAGTATCGGCCTAGTGCTCTTCCAGGTCATATTGCCGAAGCAAAAAAAAATGTATTTTCGGATGATAGGTCTCTCGTTGAAAGTCCTAGCTTAGCGATCGTGTCACATCTATGCTTTTTTTTATTCGTTCATCATGCGAGATAGCTAGGGTATAGTCCTCGTAGTCATTGCTCATCAATGGGAGTATAGTCCCAGGGGCAACAGCCAACGGCAGAAGGCCGGATTCGGATCGCACCGATGGATCCAATGCTGATCTTCGATCGGAGATCAATCACCCCACTGCTTTACGACCCACCGATGATGGCGATGGTCGTCGGGGAGAACCCCAAAAGCGGGGTCAACAGGTACGAGGTGATGCGCCGATCCAGCATCGATGCTCCGGCTGCAGATCTTCCAATGGGATCCAAAGTGGCTTCTCAGAGCTCGGAAAAGCGCGGCGAGATTTTCTTGTGTTTGCCAGTTGTTTCCGCTGTCTACCCTCATGTGGGTTGGCCATCAAGGTTCCGTAGCCTATATTGGATGGCATTGCGGTCATCATGTGCTTCATCGTCCTCGTACTCTTGGAGGACAATGGTGCGCATGAGTCGACGGGGCGCACGTCGACCGGTGAACAGCTCGAATTGGGCAAAACCCTGTTCGGGGAGGACGTCGAGTCCATCTAATGCCACCCAGCCTCGGTGGGACAGAGCCCGGATTTGTTTCATGAGGGGTGTATTCAGGGGTTTATAGGCCAGCTAAAGAATGAGTTAGTTTCAGAGATGCCAATCTAGATAGATGGGGCGACCCAGAAGAGAGGGGGGGAAGGGGTTGGATCTCATCCAGAAGATATCAATGAAGACTTACATCGACGACGACACCTCCCGTCGGACTCTCAAGCCATTGTGTTGGGACATTAAAGTTAGGTGCGGGCTCTCCACCGATACTGTGAGCTGGAATACCGGACACGATGATCGTCGGTTGCTTAAAGGCCGCGGGCCAGAGTTCATCCAACGAGTCGAGAGTGCTGACTCTTGGGTGTCGATCCGGGCTTCGTTCGCTGGATGCGAAGTCTTGCCGGTTGTAATGATCAGCCAGCTTTTTGGCATTGGCGATGGTACGGTTGTAGACAAAAATATTTTGCACACCAAGGTGAATCATGGAATAGATAGCAGCACGTGCCATACCACCGGATCCAATGACAAGGCCGGTTGATGACGGACGCACGGCGTTCGCGGGAGAAAGACCACGGCGAATACAATTGCAGATTCCAATCCAATCAGTGTTGTCTCCATGTAGTCCCTTGACCGGGCCGGCACGGGTCTTTTCGAGATGGATAGAGGATTCATCCGACAGGCGAGGGTCAGACACATCATTATTCCGGATGGGGATGAGCGTGTTGACGGCACCAATCGCTCGGGCATGCGGTGACATGGAATGGAGGAGAGGTATGACTTCTGTCTTGTATGGAAGACTGACACTGGAGCCGCCAAAATACGGGTTCTCCACCAGCTCATTCAAGCCGCGTAATTCGGGGCATTGGAAGATCGTATAGCGATGTGGCATTCCACAGACCCTGAATGCAGTGTTGTGCATTGCGGGTGACATGCTGTAGTTGACATTGGCACCAAAGAGGAAGTACTGCATCGGATCCAATGCAAATGAACTGTAAAGCGCTTGTTGCGCGTCGCGAGCGGTGATGGTGGGACATAGCTGAGTGGGTGTTTCAGCCATGAGGGATGGGTGTGTGACAGGAGTGAGGGTGGGATTAAAGCAGCGGGATATGCGGCCGAGGTGACCAGTATTATAGGCGATGAGTGGTAGACCAGCCACCGGAAGACTCTGAATTCGATGTCGGAATCGTTGCACGGCCTCATTATCTTCCATCGTCTCGGCTGGCTGGCAGATTCGCACCACATTACATCCGAGCCTTTTCGCTCGCTCGTAGATGTTCATATATTCTACTCCATCCCAGCCGCCAGGTAGAGGCTGGAAGGCCTCGAAATGGCCAATGATTTTGGTTTTTCCTCTGCAGTTGATGACTTGAGATAGCAGGGTGTCGTCACGAGTCAGGTCAACAGACAGGAAACTGGGGCCAAGCCGCAAGCCATGTCGAACGAGTGTCAAATAAGTATCATCATTCATACGAATCTTCTGACCAGGCGAAAGAGACCCTCCGGGTGTGACGTAGCTTTCGACGTGGTACATCAACGGCACGATGATATTGCGACGGATGGTCGCCACCACTTGACTAATCCTATCAGCCAAGTTTGAATCAGCGCCAGGCTGACCAGATGGGCTCGTGACATCAATGACAAGCTCAAAGGCATCCACAGTGAACTCAAGTTCCTCAATATCCAAGTCCATTTCATAAAGAGCTGAAAATGGGACCGAAAGCGCCGAGGTATTTCGCCGAGTCTCAACGGGCAATAATGACAACGGAAAGGAAGCATGCTGGCGGCTCATCTCCGTGCGATCGCCGGTCACAAAAGCAATGAAGCTGAGGAAGTCACGCTGAACCCTTTTCAGGGTTAAGAAAGGTGTCGGCGTTTGTGCGCGCTGGTCGAGTTTGGGTTCCGGTGATGGTTCGTGGCCATCCTTGACCACTTGTGCACCGCTGCGGTTGATGGTCTCCGAGAGGTTGAAGAATTCTAGATTTGAACAGCCTCGGTATATAGGCCCTGACAATTCAAGGAAGTGTCGTACTTTTTGAATATCCCAAGCTTTGAGGTACGACTGAATGCTCTTCGGATCTCGGATGACATGGATGACAGGATGCGTCTGCGCATATTCTCTCAGCAGTTTCTGACCACTGCGCTCCATTGACCCGGCTCCGCAAGCAATGACACATCCTTCTTGATTATCTGATAGCATTGACTCGAATACCCGGGCTTCCTGTTGTCGGTACACCGCATGGTCGTTGTCCCTCTTGAATGCAGCGCGAGAACATCCAGTCACCTGGTGAAAATATCTGTCGGAGTCGATCAGACGGCGGCCAGAGGTAGCCGCCAGAATGACTGCCAGGCTAGACTTTCCAGTGCCTCGAATGCCGATGAGAACGATTGATGATTTGGGGGTGAAGTTGCGTGGGGTCTGCAAGAGTCCATTATCGACGAGAACCGGTGAGCCGCGGTTAGATTGCAATTCTCGCAAGGACGTCGGAATCGTATAGGGGTCGCCATATGCCTCTACCTGCTCACTCGATCGTCGTGAACTGGGCTGCGACCGTATGGCCGGCAGCCAAGACCCCGCTCCTCCAGAGCCATACTTTCGGGGCTGCTCATTGTGGTCGTCGTCCAGTTTGCGCTTGGTCTCCAGGAGGGACATCGTGTCGCGGGGGAGGGATGGCCGGGATTCACAGAGGAGTGCGAGAGCCCATTACCACAGGAAGCACGCGGATCGTCGGTAAGGGCCAGAATATGGAAAAGTTGCAACCTAGAATCCGGGGTTTCGGGGGAGGGAGAGTAGAAAGGGAGCTGGAGGAAAGACTTGGCCGGGGACAAGCGACAAAGCGACTGGGATTCAAGCGACCAGTGAGGGAACCGCACGGAGACCGAGGGGCCCCGGTAGGCGGGGATTTGCGGGCCACCATTCTGCCGCGCTACTCCTCTTTCCCCGGAACGAGAAATGGCCCTCCTGCGAAACTCGGTGACTGGAATGCGCCCTCGTGCTCCTCTTTTTCGCTTGTGCAGACAGCTCTCGCTATACCCGATTCTCCTCCAAACTTTGAACTTTGGCCCCCATTGACCCTCACACCGCTTTTCTCCATTTTAGCCAGCTTAATTCATGGACTAGACTGCCAACACTAGTCTGCGCAGCGCGAGCTGCCGTCGGCAAAAGGTTCAATTCCCACCTCGCTTGATCGCATTACTGGAATATGCGGCCGAACCCGACGAGCGGATCCTCGCAATCACCATGAGCTCCGAGTCTCGCCAAGCCACCGGGGCTAGTGGCAAGGCCAAACGACGAATGGCGGATCCGGACGACGATGGAAAGGTGAATGCACAAGACGATCCTGCCCAGCCCAAGCGGCAGCGGGTATCACGGGCCTGCGACAGCTGCCGCTCGAAAAAGGACAAATGCGACGGTATACAGCCAGTGTGCTCGACATGTGCATCGCTAGGTCGACCTTGCACCTACAAGGCCAATCCCAAGAAGCGAGGACTTCCCACAGGTTATATTCGATCCCTCGAATTGCTATGGGGACTGGTATTTCAGAAGATCCAAGGCAGCGAAGATGTGATGCGGGCTCTGATGAGGTCAATCAACCTCCCGAGTCATCTCGCAACCATGGGCAAGGAAGCAGAAGGATCGGATACCCTGCTATCATCGTTTAAGAACAGTACGGTGCTGAGGGATATCGAGCGCATGCTGGTGGTCCTGGAGCAACCGGAGGAAGAGAGAGAACGAAGCCTTCAAGCCTATGGTGATGGTGACACCCCACTGGACGTGGATGCAGTCCTCGCCTCTTCCGAGGCACAGGAATGGCAAATACCAGAAGGACTCGACTATCGAGAGACGTCATTCATGGGGGTATCGCCCTCGCGAGCGTCCATGATCAGCTCTGCCCCGAGACCTCTTGCGCATCGGACTCGAGAATCCGGTGTGCAAACTGTCCCCGAGGGAGCGCAGTCACCTCCACTCGCCATCTCTCTCAATTCCGATGATTCTCGATTGATTCCCGCCAATAAACTTCTCCAACTTCCTTCTAACGCATGGCCCCTTCTCGATATTTACTTTTCTTACACACAATGTTGGTTTCCTATTTTGGAAAAACATGACATCCTCCGCACCGCGTATCAATACGCCGAAGGCGATGTCTCCATGTCTCACACCGCACCTGGGTCTGGTGATCATGCCGCATTATGGGCTGCTCTGGCTCTAGCCTCTTTTCAAGACATGTCAGCCAATGTTGCTCATCCCTCCGATCAATATCTCATTAGCCCTTCGCGAATGTACGACACGGCTCGAAAACTCATCCCCTCCGAGATCGGCCCATACGAACTGGGTCATGTTCAAGCATTGCTCATCTTGTCTCTAATCAAGTTCGGTCAGCAGCAATGGACTGCGGCGTGGATGCTTGTGGGACATGCTGTTCGCATCGCTCAAACACTGGGCCTGGACCGGCCGTCGTTCACGGCTCCGTCAAGGTCCCCAGACAAGCAACTGGGGCGAGCCAAACACGTCTTCTTGGGGTGCTTTGTGCTAGAAACACTGATTGCAGAGCACACCTCTCAATGTCCCTCCCTACGAAAAGATGATCTCGCCCGAGTGGGACCTATCAGCGAGGATGGACTAGAGGAATGGCATCCATGGGAAGATCAGACAGCTTTCCGCCCAACTCAATCTTCTCGTGCTTCTATGCAACGTGGTCCTCTTCATGCCTTGAGCACCTTCAACCGCCTGGTCTCCTTAGTTTCGATCTTAAACGATCTCTGCTATTATAAGCAAGACCCGACAATCTCTCGTTCGCAGCTGGAATCACTTGAGCTGCAGCTACAGCGATGGGCCTCGGCGCTTCCGAAGAGCTGTCGCGTCGATTTGCAAAATCGACCGGTCAAGCTGCCCTCGCCTCACATCTTCGGGCTTGAGATGACCTATCAAAGTATCTTCTCTGCGTTGAGTCTTCAGATCGCTTCACGGGAAAGCGATCAAAATCTCCCGGAGATACCCCACAAGGGCAAGGCCATCGAAGGCTCCAAACGCGTCCTCCAACTGCTTCATGTCTTCATCGAAACTTATAGTCACTCGGCAACGGCGCCGACTTTTGGGATGATTCTTGGGTATTGCCTCCCTGGCTCAACCTCCCGGGGTCTGGTGTCCGATGTTGAGATGGGCCTCCGGGCTCAGATCGAATCATTCGCATCCAACCTTAGGCAGCTATGGATTGCCCAGGATCGATCCCTGGCAGGGCAAGCCTCCATGACGAGGATTCAAGGACAACACCTGGATATTACTCCTACCACCGAAACCCCGACACTACAGCATCATATCATGCCAGTATCTACTCCTCGCCATCTCCTCTCTTCGACCGACCTACAGCCTACTCAAAGTGACCATCTTCCCCCGTCCGAATCTTTCCTCTCCACTCCTTGGCTCCGAGCCACCCAAGGCATCGACGATACTGGCGCTCTGATCCATACGCCTACCCCATCGATGACTACCGTCGGTGGTGCCTCGGAAGTCTCCGCACAGCCAGGTCAACTAGACGGACTTCGACAGTCTAGTACATCTGCTCCGTCTAAACCTCAAAACATTATTCCCGATTTTCCTCCCTCGTTCCCCTCGGCGGGGCAGTATTCTACGTACCAAGACCCTTCCCTCAACATCAGTCCCTTTGTCGACATGGACGGCTATGGGCCCGCGAGACGTCAACAGCCACAGCGAATCGCACCAGATCTTGATGCCTTGTTCGACGAGCTTGCGTCACTGGATGGCGCTGAAAAGTGAGTTGACCCTCACAGCTCCTTTATCACTGAAGTACTAACCTCGATTGTACAGACCTGACAATTCAAATGAGTTTATGCAAAACCTCGGCTTCGTCGCTGAAAGTGGTGTGCCGGAGCTGTTTTCCTTTTCCAGTCAGATTGAGCCGTTCCTGTTGGCGCAAACGCAACAATTACCGGGTACTGCGCCTCCGTCTTCAGTGCGACAAGAGTCGCTCAGTATATCTGGAACGCCCAAGAGGTGATGTCTAGAAGCATGACGTCTGGTTGTTTTTATAGCCGCTGGTCGGCACTCCACCCACCTCTATGGTCCTGGTGGCCGACAGTGGCTAACTATGAGGGGGAAATCTTTAAGCAGCGGCGGTATCAGGATATTCCTCAATTCCGCAACGCATATCTGTTGAGGGTTGGATAGATGTTGTAAATTTACAATCACTCCGTGCTAGATAGTATAGCTAGTCTATAACCTTACTGACGATAAGCCTCTCGTGGGGGGCTCACATTCAATTTTTCTGTTTACCCAGTTCTGACATACATATCGGGAGAATAAAGTTTTGTCGGTATATGCGGACTCTCCAATTTTCACCTGAAATACGTCTGGGCTCCTGCCAAAAAGACTGTAGAGTATCGTATTGACTACGTTTTAGAAAAACAAAAATGGAATCTATAACCGAGGATGTAGATCAATTTGCAGGGGTGAAATCCATCCCATTGATATTTTGTAATCCCACCAACCAGAATTGCCCTATATACAACGAACAGGTATATACAAGAACCAAAAACCCTTCCACCACGAAAACTGCCTACTCGTCATCACCCCCTCAAGAAGCAGGCTTCTCCAACTCCTTAAAATTCACCGCAACATGCTCAATAGCAACCTTATACCCATAAACCCCCAATCCAACAATAATCCCAGCAGCCTTATCACTAAAGTACGAGTGATGACGCCACGCCTCACGGGCGTGCACATTGCTCACGTGCAGCTCGATAAAAGGGATACCCACACCGAGCAGGGCATCGCGGATAGCCACGGAGGTATGCGTGTAAGCACCGGGGTTGATGACGATGCCGTCGACGTTGCCGCGGGCAGCTTGGATGCGGTCGACGATTGCGCCTTCGTGGTTGGATTGGAAGGCGTCGAAGGTGCAGCCGTGTTGGGTGGCGATGGCGCGGCTGTCGTTTTCGACGTCGGCCAGGGTGGTGTGGCCGTAGATGTGTGGCTCGCGGGTGCCGAGGAGGTTGAGGTTAGGACCGTTGATGAGGAGGATTGATTTGCCCATTTTTGTGGTGTGGGAGTGTAATTGAGATTTAGATAGGCGTTGGAGGAGGAGGAGGGGTAGTGATTGCAATTGGAAGTGGAAGTAAAAGTGAAAGTGAAAGTTTAGGCATGTAGTAGGAGGAGGGTGTCAATGTCCGGACTGGGGTGGTGGGGGATGTTCGGGATTGTGCTGAATACGGCTATTCTGATTTGCGGGCGGCTTTTCTCCCCGCAATTTTGCCCGGCTGAGCGCTTTGCCGGGCTTCTATGCACGGACTCGTCGTGCCGGAAATCTTCTTTTTGCCCACTGTTTGGATTTTTGGGGGAGGGGAGGAGGGGGTTTGGAGAATTGTGCGAGGTCGGCAATGCGGGGTACAGAGACTGTTTTATGTACATTGAGGGATAATTACGTGATACGATTATGGGTGATTATTATACCCAAGGCACAGTTATGTCCCTTGCTCCCTTGAGTCGTGGAGAAAGCTCGCCGCCGAATCGGCCTAACATATTTGGATCCTACATGACTTGACTTCTCGAGAGTATCTTTCCTAAATGTTCATAAATATAGAACTCTCCATGATTTTAGGATCATTGTAGGCGACGTCCTCCATTGTCAATTGTGTTCTTCCTCCGCTACCAGCCAATGCACTTATCTCTCTCCATAGCCACCATATGTCTTAGGGGGCATTTTAGGACACTGGAAAAGACCAGACTAGTGCCCATATTTCTCATGATAGTCGACCCTGATGGATGTCAAACTCTAGATTCTGGCTGGAGGTAATCAATAATCTTTTAGATAGAATATTGATCGCCAATAGGGTATGATGTCACGACACCATAGCCAAAGATCTTCAATCAATTGAACCATCTTAGCTTAGATCTATTTTCTGTCAATACTCGTCCCCTCAATCATCAATCAGGCCTATCACTCCTCCTTCTGGTTCAAGCATTTGTATCAGTCATGCGCGCAACGCAGCCTCCTCGTCTCCACCCCGCGGTGGAGACCCGATAAGGCAAACCGGCTAACGGCGGTGTCCTCGACCTTTTTTTCACCGGTCATGAGTCAACCCGTCTGACACTCCAGCCTTCCCCTCAAACCTGCCCAATTTCAACGTCTTACAACTACTACACTCATACGACCTGATTTCTTGCTATCTTCACGCTCTACAATCCCTCCCGATATCGCTCCCGTCATGGCCGTGGGACAGCTCTCTCAGGTTGAGCTCGATGAGATCTACGCCTTTGCGGTCGACCTAGGTCGCAAGGCGGGCGATATGTTGATGGAGCGCGTTGAACAGCGCATCTCCGGCAATAATGGCCCGCAAACGTTTGAGGAGAAGGAGAATGCGGTCGATATCGTGACTCAGACAGATGAGGGTAAGCTGCGAGACGAGAGCAGAGCTTATCGAGATCAACCCAGACTAACTAGCATAACCAGACGTCGAGGTGTTTATCCGCAATGCCATTCAGAGCAAATACCCCTCACACCAGTTCGTCCAATCAATCTACACCTGTACACTAGCCACAACTAAACATTTCCCCTCAGATTCCTCGGCGAAGAAACCTACGCCAAAGGCGCATCTCGCGACTATCTAATCGACGAACAACCAACCTGGTGCATCGACCCGTTAGACGGTACACTCCCTCCCCTATCTACCCTCCACCCAAATAAAAACCCACAACTAACACACACCCAGGAACCGTAAACTACACCCACATCTTCCCCATGTTCTGCGTCTCCATCGGCTTCATCGTCCAACACAAGCCCGTAATCGGCGTAATCTACGCCCCCTTCCAAGACCAACTCTTCTCCGCCTGCAGCGGCCGCGGCGCCTGGCTAAACGAGAAGCGCCAACTCCCACTAATTCGTAACCCCATCCCGCCCATGCCGGCTAATGCACCCTCTCAGTGTATCTTCTCCTGCGAATGGGGTAAAGATCGCCGCGACATCCCGGACGGAAATATGCATCGCAAGATTGAGAGCTTTGTCAATATGGCTGCGGAGATTGGGGCAAGGGGTGGGAAGGGCGGGATGGTGCATGGGATGAGGAGTTTGGGGAGTGCCACGTTGGATTTGGCGTATACGGCGATGGGATCTTTTGATATCTGGTGGGAGGGGGGTTGTTGGGAGTGGTATGTTTGATTCCTTCCCTTGGAGGATTCACCGGCGCTTGGATGACTTATTGACTCTTACAGGGACGTCGCTGCTGGAATTGCTATCCTCCTTGAGGCTGGTGGACTCGTCACTACTGCCAATCCGCCTGAGGACCCTGATACTGCACCGATTGGAGATGTGCGATTGGGGAGTCGTCTATATCTGGCTATTAGGTGAGCCTGTCCCCACCCATGGCATAAAAAGCCGGCACTAACCTGTTTTTAGACCCGCCGGTCCGTCAGATACCGAGACTGGCCGCGAATCGCAAGAGCGTACAGTGCGCGAGGTCTGGCGGCGGGTCCGCCAACTGGAGTACTCTCGTCCGGGCGCGTAGATGATCTCGGAGATAAGGCCGAGGTCATGGACTACGCTGTACAGGTCAGATCTATATACAATTTCCGATGCGTACGAGTGTTTTTCATTTAGGACTGTTTGAAATGTTCCGTATATTCAGAGTCATGTTTCCATAACTGACGCCACCCCCAATCTATATAATATATGCAAGAATTTTGTGCTCTATACAATCGTCAAATGAACATGAGAATGAAACATGAGAAAGGAAAATATGGGTGAAGCCATCAGCATGCACAATGCACGTTCAGCAACACATTTTTTTTACTGGCTAGCGGCCTGCTTGGCCTTCTCAGCCCGCTCGGCAACGGAGCCATTGACAACGGCCTTGACGGCGTCAACAACACCAGGTGTGCCAATAACATCCTTGCCAGTCCAGAGACGGGCCTGCTCCAGACCCTGCCAGATCAGAGCCTCAGAGCCAAGGATAACCTTCCAGCCACCGGCGGAGGCCAACTGGGCGATCTCTGTCCAGGGAACGGGGTGGTAGCACATCTCCAGGATAACACCCTGCTGGTTAGACGCATCAGCCTCGGTACCCAGGAAGGCCTGGATAACAGCACGGGCATTCAGCTCCTCAGCAGTCTTAGGTGGGTAGTTAGGGATACCCGAGACGATAGCAGCGGGGGCCTCGAGACGAGCAGCCTCCTCGGGATCGGTAACGTGGATCAGGGGAGCCTGGGCGTTGGGATCCGGGTTGCGCGCGCGGTCCTCCTCCAGGATAGTCGCGACCTCGGCGGCGTCACGGTTAACGATGTAGATACGGCTGGAGCCGAGCCAGCGGCGCATCACGTAGATAGCAGTGCGGGCGGTACCACCACCACCGATGATGAGGGCGGGACGGCCGCGGAAGCGCGAGGCATCGGGAGCGTTTTGGACCAGCGCCTCGCGGATACCGTCGCAGTCGGTGTTGGTGCCGACGTATTGGCGGGTGCCGGTGGTGGGATCCTCGCGGAGGAAGATGGTGTTGCAGGCACCGGCCTGCCGGGCGTGCTCGGTCAGATCATCCAGGTGAGGCATGATGGCGACCTTGTGCGGCATGGTCACGGAGGAGCCGACGAATTTGGGGTTGGCCTTGATGGAGGCGAGGAAGGTGTCGACGGGTGGGGAGCGAGTGTAAGGAGGAGGGTAGGTGGCTGAGGTGCCGGTTACGCTGGAGAGCGGGATTTGCTGCCAGTTGAGGCCCAAGGCATTGTAGACGGTTTGGTGGAGGGGTGGGGAGAGAGAGTTGAGGAGGGGGTGGCCGTAGAGGTAGGCCACGCCGTCGAGGTGGGAGGGGCTGGTGATGGGCTCCTCGGGTTGTGTTTGAGCGGCCATTATGAATTGTGTGTATGTGAATGGGGTGGTGGAAGTGGGATGAAAGAGCAGAGGAGGGGAGGTGGAAGATTGAAGATATTATACAAGTTGAGAGTTCAGTCCCGGGCCCCGCGAGACAACAACTGGGGCTAGGCTAAGAGATCTGCCGTCCATTCCACAGGGTGCACGGAGCAGAAAATTTGGATTCGGCGGCAACTGTACCCCGTATTTCTTTTCAGAGTAGTAAAGGCAAAGTCAGTCAACTGTAGAACTACTCGGACATTTATCTAGTGTTATCTAATAAGATCATCCAACTCGCTGGTCTCTTGATTGTCCTGGTACGAGCCTATAACTCATGGGTGGATATTACTCCCGGGACTAAAGACGCATAATAGATCCCATGCACCACGGAAGTAAACTCTTTTACCACTCGAGAAAGTTATGGTCAAGTGATCATTCTTCTCTTTCCCGAGTTCTGTCTGTTTCTATTAGTGGAGGGGCAAACTTGTACAAACCTCGAAATCCAGATTTATAACCGCTTAGCGCTTGCACTTGGTTGTAAGATACCCGATCGGCAATCTCTTCATGTTATGTAGTTTAGAATTAGGTGGTCACGATCTCAATCTTCAAAAATGTCTATTCCCGGCGCTACGGATAGTTAGTGAGCGGCGTACTGTCCCAAGGTAGTTGGTGGTGGGCTCGGTGGCGGTTTTGAAGTAGATTGGCCGCGACCATTCAAGGTTGGATTGAGCCGAATTAAGGCTGTTTTAAGGTTGATGACTGGTTGACTATTGTATTTTGGCGTGCCAATTATGGTATACGAAGTCTACAGTACATAGTAATACTATGTACATGTATCCTATAGACTATAGTAGTTCAATGTTGATACACGTGACCGTGACTGCCCTCCTGAGCAAATTCCCGCCCTCACCTCACTTCTCCAGTTCTTCTCCCCCCCCCCCAATCGATAAGTTTTTCTTGCCCCATTACCAAGACTTGCCCAGGGTTTATCATCGGATAATAATCTCCGTCATGAGGACCAGACAAGTCGAAAATTCGATTGGCATTTCCTTCTCCAGGTTGGGCGCAAAAGTTTCCACACTTACCCTACGCGGCCAAACCATCCCCGGAGGATCGCTTTTCCAAGCCACTTCGGCTATCCACTGGCTCATCACTTTCGGACACCCATTGCCATTGGACCGTATCTCCATGCCCACCGTTGGAGCCGACCGGTTGGACGAATCAGAATCCAGATGTTTCACTACCGAGCCGACATGCTCTCTGCATCGATTATTGGAGCGTGTAACCGGCCGGGCTCCGCTAGAAGTCAACAACCCCGTGCGGTACATACCCCGTGGAGAGGCCATGCGATAAACGAGTCTAACTCCAGATATGTCCCTTTCCCCCGTGGTTCCACTCCGCGACATCGGACCTCCCCACAATTCCACGCCCCAGCCAAGCTGCCCAGCCGACCAGCAGAATTTTCTAGCCCAAATGGACCAATCCTGCCGTCCTTGCCCAGCCCTTGGTCTTGTTGTGCCTCTAAACCTTCACAAAATAGCCTTTGGCGCACGCCTCTGCCTTTAACCTCTGCGCACTGTTCGCTGGCTCTCTCTTGGGAGTCTTTGATATCGTTTTGCCGGTGTGGCTTTTTTAGCCTTTGCAAAACAGAAAGGTTGTGTTATACTCTTCTCCGCGCGTGCTAAACCTGTCCCCACGATTATCTTTCGCCCCCCGGTCTCCCCAGATACTTTCTTTCCTTCTTCCCCAGTCAGAACTAGTGGTCTGGGGATCGCGTGGCTATTTAGATCTCGCATATCCCACTTTCTTTTCCAACTTCAGCAAGAGCCTCTTCCTCTACTCTTCTCCTCCATACCCCGGACTTTCTCCCCTTGCACACTACATCTCCAGCTTGATACCCTTTAAAGGGCACAAGTTGTTTCCTTTGGACTTGGCTCCAAGGTCACCACCTATAATCCTACTTGCACACTCTTCTTCTCCTATTATTGTCCTTTGATTCTCTTTCGCCACCATGTCTATTCTTAAGATGGTCGAGGATCGGCCGACGCCCAAGGCTGTCTACAACTGGAGGGTCTACCTCCTGGCAGCCGTGGCATCGTGCGCATCCTGCATGATCGGTTACGACAGTGCCTTCATCGGTACCACCCTGGCTTTGGACTCGTTCAAGAAAGAGTTCCACTTCGACACCATGTCCACCGCTACCAAGAACTTGATCAGTGCCAATATCGTCTCCTGCTACCAGGCCGGTGCCTTCTTTGGCGCCTTCTTCGCCTACCCCGTTGGTCACTTCTGGGGCCGTCGTATCGGTCTGATGTCTGCTGCTATCATCTTCATCCTTGGTGCTGGTCTCATGTTGGGTGCTAACGGCTCCCGTGGTTTGGGTCTACTCTACGCTGGTCGTGTCCTGGCTGGTCTAGGCGTCGGTGCCGGCTCCAACATTACCCCTATCTACATTTCCGAACTGTCACCCCCTGCTATTCGTGGTCGCCTGGTCGGTGTCTACGAATTGGGCTGGCAGATTGGTGGTCTTGTAGGTTTCTGGATCAACGTAGGTGCTCCTTACAGAACCGTCAAGAAAACCTTACAGTGCGCTAATTTTTTTTCTCCTTAGTATGGTGTCTCCGAGACCTTGGCTCCCAGCCACAAGCAGTGGTTGATTCCTTTCGCCGTTCAGCTGATTCCTGCCGGTCTTATGTTGATTGGTGGTTCCTTCATTCGCGAGTCGCCCCGTTGGCTGTTCGGCTGTGGTCGCCGTGAGGAGGCTATCAAGAACCTTTGCTGGATCCGTCAGCTGCCCGAGGATGATATCTATATGATCGAGGAGATTGGTGCCATTGACCAGGCCCTGGAGGAGCAGCGCTCTACCATCGGCATTGGCTTCTGGAAGCCATTCCAGGCCGCCGGCAACAACAAGCGTGTTCGCTGGCGTCTGTTCCTGGGTAGCATGCTCTTCTTCTGGCAGAATGGCTCTGGCATCAACGCGATCAACTACTATTCTCCTACCGTTTTCAAGGTGAGCACAAGAAACACCAGGAGCAAAAATGACAATCTTGCTAACCCCCTTTTTTTCACAGTCTATCGGTGTCACTGGTACCAACACTAGTCTCCTGACCACTGGTATCTTCGGTGTTGTCAAGACTGTCGTTACCTTCGTGTGGTTGCTGTGGCTCATTGATCGTGTCGGTCGTCGTAACCTGCTCCTGATCGGCGCCGCCGGTGGTTCCGTCTGCTTGTGGATCGTTGGCGCATACATCAAGATCGCCGAGCCCTCCAAGCACCCCAAGACCACCATGGACGGCGGCGGTATTGCGGCCATGTTCTTCTTCTACCTCTGGACCGTCTTCTATACCCCGACCTGGAACGGTACTCCCTGGGTTCTCAACTCGGAAATGTTTGACCCCAACATGCGTTCTCTGGCCCAGGCCTGTGCCGCCGCCTCCAACTGGCTGTGGAACTTCCTCATCTCACGCTTCACCCCGCAGATGTTCACTGCCATGGGATACGGCGTGTACTTCTTCTTCGCTTCCCTGATGATCTGCTCCATCGTCTTCGTCTACTTCCTCATTCCCGAGACTAAGGGTATTCCCCTCGAGAGCATGGACCGTCTGTTCGAGATCAAGCCTATCTGGCGCGCTCACGGACAGATTCTCGCCACTCTGCGCGAGGAGGAGGTCGGGTTCCGCCACGACATTGAGGAGTCTGGTCTCGCCGAGGCTAAGCTGAATGCTGAGCAGGTCGAGAATGCTGCCGCGCAGCCCAAGACCTCGTATGCTTGATGAAAGACGCGGTGTATGATTTGTTGTCACGGTCGAGTTTCTGGTGTCGTTTTTGTCTGTGTTATAGATTCGTGTGTGGATTGATCTGTTGAGTCGGATCAAAAAGGGTGTGTCCCTATATTGTTGATATACAAACTTGAATGAACATAATTTGATGATTGAAATGTCGAATATCCGTGCATCTGTCGTAGAGGTAGAAGCTTCATTCCAAGCGACCAAAAACATCAAGGATGGAAAGAACTTTGCAAAAGGAGATTCGGGAATAACTTCGAAATTCATCTTGAACTTCGAGGGAGAAGGACAAAATTTCAACGGAGAAAGAGTTCAAATTGGACATGACCAAACCACCTAGCTAAGAATCATTCAGATAGTCATCTCACACGTTCCATATACAAAATTAAAAGATTATTCACGAGTAAATATGATCATATTCAGCTCACCACCCTTTCTCACCCTATATCCATGGTCTTACTATGCCAACGGATCAACAGGAATATCCACCGGCAACCCAGTCTGCATCGCCGTCTGCACAGCCTTACAAACAATCAAAGCCCTCAACCCCTCATCCCCCGAACAACTCGGCTCCGCCTTTCCAGCAATAACATCCACAAAATGAGCCAACTGCAAATCAAACGGCGCCTCCTCATCCGGCAACGCAATCTTCTCCGCAACCAACGGATTCGACCAACTCTTCTCGGCAGCCCCGTAACTCCACCGCGTCAAATCCGGCACACTAAGCGACGCATCCGAGCCGAAGATTCGGTAAAAGTCCGAGGCTGAGGCGTCGGTCGCTCGCGGGATCATCGGATTCTCGCCCGTGCCGGACTCGAAGTTGTGCGCGGAGGGGGTTGCGTCGCAAACGAGGAATGTGCCGACGACGCCGGAGGCAAAGCGCATTGTTAGTGCGACACCTTCGTCTGCGTCGTGCGGGGGACTGGGGCGTTGGGGGAGAGTCTTTTCGGCTTGGATGCGGACGATCGGGCCGAAGAGGTGGTGCATTAGGTCGATGTCGTGAACGAGGTTAATAGGGATGACGCCTCCGCCGCGAGCCCCCGAGGCACGCCAGTCCGTCGGTGCGGCAAAGTACGCGTCTGGCTTGTAGAGCGTCCACAGGCCATTGACGGCGATAGTGCGGCCTAGCGAGCCGGACTCGAGGACGGCCTTTGTAGCGCGGACGTAGGGGTTAAAGCGGCGGTGGTGACCGACTAGCAGCTTGAGGTGTGCATGTTCCGGGGCTCGGGCGAACTCGAGCAGGGAGCGGCCAGTTTCGAGAGTGTCGCTGACGGGCTTTTCGAGGAGGACGTGGACGCCGCCTGCTAGGAGCTCTTTGGCGACGGGGACGTGTGTGTGGTTTGGGGTGCACACGATGGCGGCGTCTGGTTTGTGTGGGGAAGATAGGAGGGATGCCACGGAGGCGTAGAAGTTGGTGTTTAGCTTGGCAGCCGTTGCTTCGCCGGTGGGTGCTGGGTCGACGAGGGCAATCAGCTCGGTGGCTGGATTGGCAATGACGGATTGAGCATGACGGGGACCGATGAGGCCGGCACCGATGATAGCAACTTTGAGAGCCATTGCGATGAGAGAAGCGATATAGACGATTATAGAGATAATAGGGCTTTGTTTCTGCTTGAGTAGCTGACAGGATTCAAGTCAATTGCATTTGTAGAAGGTTCAGGGTGGCATGTATGAATCATGCGGATATGATGTATCCGGAGACCCCAACATAGTGGACATTGTATGGCTTGGTCACCTCGGTTGGAGGGCCTTGGCACGCCAGGGAGGAAAAAGTTCTTGCCGCAGAAGACCCAAGGGTTCAGAGAATATAACCGGGGAGCTGCGGGGATTATATTCGGTGAGCTGGACAGGGAGTTCTGGCAAGGGGCTTTTCAGGTGCCGAGTCTGGAGATGAGGCAAGTGGAGATATCGAGAAGTGTAGAATGGATATGATTGATCCGGGTAAACGAAACAGCAGGAACAGGCAAACTCGGATTATACTAATTAGAGTTAGAGTCGTATATGCAATACCAACCCCAAAATTACGCCGGGGTTATTACTGGTTAGCAGAAGCGGGAAATAGTTGTCAGCTGTATTACAAATACCATTCTAACCGTATACAGTATAGATCCAAAATCTCTTTTCCATGAATCCCTGCACTTTCGTTTACCCGCTATCTATGGCGGGTCATCTGCTCTCAGCCATTATTCGTCCTCCAGGCTAAACCGCAAAACTCTCCACGCTGATAAAACTATGAAGACGACACTCTAGGGGAAGATGGGGTCAGGGGATAATGGTTTCTCGCCATCCCATTTATCGTGAGAAAAAAGTAGACCCGTGGACACCCGTCGGTTTCCTTTCAACTATTGATATTAGTAGTCTTCCTGGTCTTCTGACCTTGTACATCTTTTGCATCTACTATTGCATTGAACATCTCCCTTCTTTTTTCAACCCATTCTAAAGCATATTAAGCTCTCCATAATCTCATCTGCATCCTTCATATTATCAAAACACCCCTCCCTTCTCTCTTTCCCCTCGGATACATTCAACGCCGGTCGGTTAATCCCCATCCGAACCGCCAAGATGTTCAACCGCCCCGGTATTGCCTCCATGTCTCTGGGTAGACCTTGGATCCACGACCTGCCTGGCAAGTTGATGCAGGCTGCTGCCCACGGCTTCGAGGGTATCGAGCTCTTCTTCGACGATCTAGACTGCTATGCCCAGCGCACGTTTAATGGCGACCACATGGAGGCCGCCCGTCAAACGCGGCGCCTGTGCGAGAGACTCGGCATGACCATCATCTGCCTGCAGCCCTTTTCCATGTACGAAGGTCTCATCGACCGTGCCGAGTCCGATCGTTTGATCAATGAGAAGCTGCCCAAATGGTTCACCCTGGCGCGGGCGCTGGGAACCGACATGATTCAAGTTCCTTCCAACTTCCTCGGCCCCGATCCCACCACCGGTGCCCCCAGGACAACGGGCGACCGCACCGTGATTGTCCGTGATCTCCAGCGTCTGGCTGATCTCGGTGCCGGTGCCGGTTTCCGCTTCGTCTATGAGGCTCTCTGCTGGGGTGACCACGTCGACACCTGGGAGGCCTCGTGGGAGGTTGTCCGTGATGTCGACCGTCCCAACTTTGGTCTGTGCCTGGACTCCTTCAACATTGCCGGTCGTGTATATGCCGACCCTGCCTCGCCTACTGGCAAGACCCCCAACGCGGCCGCCGATCTGGCTGCTTCTCTCCAGCGCCTGCGCACCGCCAACATCGACCCTGCCAAGATCTTCTATGTCCAGCTCGTCGATGGCGAGCGCCTCACTGCCCCTCTGAACGAGGAGCACCCCTTCCACGTCGCCGGCCAGCCCGTCCGCATGAACTGGTCTCGCAACGCCCGTCTATTCCCCTTCGAAGAGAACCGTGGCGGATACCTGCCCATTCTGGATATTGCGCGCGTATTCTTCGAGGACCTTGGCTTCCGCGGCTGGGTGTCTCTCGAGCTCTTTAGCCGTACCCTCGCCGACCCTGATCCGTTTACCCCCGCCGAGCACGCTCGTCGTGGAATCGAGTCTTATTATAAGATGGGTCGTGTTCTGCAGTGGGATGGCCAGGTGGAGAAGAACACCGTCTCCATTCCCGAGTGCCTTGCAGAGGTTACTTCTCCTGTTCAGCACCACCTGTAAATGAGGGGGGTGACTGGTTCTTTTTTTCTCATTTATTTGAGACCTGTATATATTTTTATGTTTCACGATTGCATATATAGCTAGCACAATAAACTCTTCATGCATAGACCATACAGACTCCCCCACCCGATCGAGGTTCAATCTATGGCCTCGCTGCTAGCCTCATGCTCAATGGCCGGTGTAGTACTACCTATTTAGATCTAGAGGCTACGCGTTATTCTTAGAACCCATGTCAAGCGCGCTAATGTACTACAGACTGTGAATGCGACCTCGGGCCCACCGGTCATAACGGCCGGATCTCATAGCCCAGGCTGGAATTGGTGGTGTCAGAAAGAGGCCGATCTGCCTTTTAAGACGTGGAATGCTCTAACCAGGACCGGCCTATGACATGTATGGACGAGTCGTGGGGTCAGTCCCAAACTAAATGGGTGCAGGAGACAGGCAAGGGAGCGAATTGCTGTGAAGGGATAGCAGACTGACCATCCAAACGCTTGAATTCTCAATCGAAGATGATAGTTAACTATACATCTAATTTGAATATTTATGTGTCATTATTCTTTTTTAAAAAAGCTGACATGTTCGCTGATAAGAAGGTGCATACTTCTGCTAAGTTGGTCTTGCAGATCCGCTATCTTAACGAGGGAGAACCCCCGCGCGGTACCCCCGCGGCGGTCAATTCGAAGACTTTCCCCCATTCAAAAACTTCCCTTCCAATTGAGATCCACAAGCAACTAAGTATTCCTTGCCTAGATACTGTAGTACCATGCACGAATGGGAATTGGGACATTCAATTGCATCCGTCAAACACCGGATGACGTCATGATAAAAGTTACAGTTCATAGCTGGCGCCGTTTCCATTTTAGGAAATACTAGGGAAACCAATAGATTCTCGCATGATTCTAATTGATGTGTCAGATTATATTTCTGATGTAATTGACTAATACAACAAACACGAATGTCAGGAAGCAAGAAATGTTCATAAATGAGATGATCCTTCCTCATCAATGCATTCTTCTACTCTCTAAACCATTCAGAACTGCAAATTGAATCACGCTCGAGTCAATCTGAACTTCACCATGTCAGATCAAAGATATTACACCCTTGCGGAAGGTAATTCAAGCGAAAAAATACCAATGCTTGGCAATCGGCTAAATGTAACAAGGATGTCCCTTCGCAAGCAGCAGCACCGCTGTTCTGATGCGTGGCCAGCAGGGCGGTGGTCTTGGTCTGCTTCAAGATACCCAGCTCATTGAAACTCTGGCTCATTTCTCCCGAGAGAGAATTCCGGAGCGGTATGTATCAATTGACTTCATATCGACGTATCATTTAGGCTGATCGGTTGTATACTACAGAGTTGTTCATGCCAAAGCTGTTGGGTGAGTTAATGTGGTCACGTAATACTAAGGAATCTAGTTGAATTGACATTTCATCTCTAGCGCATATGGAGAATTTGAAGCAACTGCTGATTGCTCAGATATCACCTCGGCTAGCTTCCTCAACAAGGCTGGCAAAAAGACTCCAGTCCTCTTGCGTGTGTCCACCGTTGGTCCAGAGTCTGGCTCGGCTGATACATCTCGAGATGTGCATGGCTGGGGAATGAAGCTGTACACGGATGAAGGTAACCTGGATTGGGTCTTCAACAATACGGTATATGCCATACTTAGCTGTGTTCGTTTCAACTCCTCACTAACATACTGAAAGCCCGTTTTCTTCATTCGGGATCCTATCAAGTTTCCTTCTATGAATCGCTCGCACAAGAGACACCCGCAGACTCATCTTCCTGATGCAAACATGGTAAGTGGAGACTGAAAAAACTATTGCTAGCTAAGGCTAATTATTTCGGTAGTTCTGGGAGTACGTTACAAGTATTCATTCCAATTGCTTTAACTAACCTCGTCCTAGCTTCCATGTGGGTAATCCGGAAGGCATTCATCAGCTGCTGCATCTCTTCAGTGACCGCGGAACCCCTCGGTCCATTCGCTTCCTGAACTCCTACAGTGGACATACCTACAAGTTCACCAAAGAGGCAAGACAACCCCCTGAAAATTGGATTTATTGTTCCTCTATAGCGTCCAATGCTAACCTGTCCCAGGATGGCTCATTCAAGTACATCAAAATCCATATCAAGACTCAGCAGGGAGTCAAGAACTTCACTGCTGAGGAGGCTACCCGTATTGCAGGCGAAGACCCCGACTACATGATCCGGGACATGTTCGAAGCTATTGACCGAGGAGACTATCCCAAGTGGAACGTCTACGTCCAAGTCATGGATCCATCCGATGCTGAGAAGTACCGGTGGAACATTTTCGATATGACCAAAGTTTGGCCGCACCAGGACTATCCGCTGAGACAGATTGGCCAGCTGACCCTGAACCGTAATGTAAGTTAACATAAATCATCGGTAGTGCTATACTAGTCCCACAAATACTGACCAACACTAGCCCGGCAACTATTTCGCCGATATTGAGCAGGCAGCTTTCTCCCCATCTACGATGGTGCCCGGCTTTGCAGCATCTGCCGATCCAAGTACGTCAAAAATGTCGGTAATAATAATACATAAGTTCAGGCTAATCAATTATCAGTTCTCCAAGCAAGACTATTCGCCTACCCCGACGCCGCCCGCTATCGCCTCGGCGTGAACTACCAGCAGCTCCCAACCAACGCAGCCAAGGTCCCCGTATACTGCCCCTTCCAGCGAGATGGCAAGATGAGATTCGATGGTAACTACGGCGGAGACCCCAACTACGTCAATTCCTCTCTCAAGCCTACCAAATTCTATCCCGAAGTCAAGGGAATCAAGCCCCAAGCAGTCAGCCTGCACACGGAGCATGAGAAGTGGGTTGGAGAAGTCGCCACTTACACCAGTCACATCACGGACGAGGACTTTGTTCAGCCTGCTGCTCTGTGGAAGGTCCTTGGTCGGGAGCCTGGACACCAAGATCGGACTATTGCAAATATTGTGTCTAGCCTTAAGGGAGTTAAATCGGCTGGTCTGAGAAACGAAGTATATGGTTGGTATTCCCGATGTGTATATTTGAAAAGTGCGAGGCTAATATGTCACTTCAGCTCTTTTCTCCCGTGTCGATAAAGATCTTGGCAAAAAACTCGAAGAGAGTACTGAGGCTGCGATCAAGAAGTGAGAATTGGTGTCTTCGCTTTGCAACATCTGAAATGCAAGACCTGGAGTCAAGGTAATATCTCGTTATCTAATTTAGTGACTGTGTTGTTCATTGTTTGAGACCTCTTCTCCAGTGATCATGCTGGTAACTATATACATTCCGATCTTGTCTCTTTCGAAATTGTTATTCACCCAGTTAGCCGTCTCCAAATTGGGTAGGGATGGGCCTCTAAATTACAATGAATGGTTTCGGATCAACATCCTAACCTTGTCTCTGTTCAAAGATATTTCATTAATTCTAATCCAAAAGATAGCCCGAGAGACAATTCTAAAGCTATGTTGGGAGCTGGCTCGCAAGATCTTTCAAGGAATACTAAATTGAATAGGACACCCCTCTTGCGAGGTAGGTAGGCGCTCACGGGGGGAGATGTATCGCTGCCTCAATCTAGGGTAGCTTGAATTTGTATCAACGTAGTAGACACTTTTATCAGGACTATTTACCCATGTCAACTTTGAGATCGTCGTTCGTGTCAATAACAATCAGTCGAGAGGGTGTAAATCTAGCCCGGACATTGTTCTGTGCGAATAGATCGTTCATGTCTTCCAAAGATAATCCTAAAGAGGAGTTAGTCATGTCAGTCAATATACGTTGGACTCGATGCTTACCATTTGTTTCTGGAACCAGGAACCAGGTGAAGATCACCATCGCGAAACAGAATGACCCATAGACAAAATATGTTCCGAAGCCATTCACACCCAGAGTGGCGAACATGCTCGGTGTGGCTTTGGCTACGACAAAGTTGAACAGCCACTGGCTGGCTGTAGCCATTCCCATTTGTAGAGTTCGCATGCGCGCTGCGGGTATTTCCTAGATATCTGGTCAGAACGCGGAATGAAGGTATAGGAAGTAAGACCCACTGAGCAATAAGTCCATACGACAGGACCCCAGCCAAATTGATAGGTAGCGGCAAATACGTATATAGCCACCAAAGCGACATACCCAGCAGCATCTGGGTTGCCTCCTTCCACGGGTGGATCGAAGCGGATGTAGAAGCCGACGAAAAACAGCGCCAGACCCTGGATAATATTAGAGTCAAATGAAGAAATGAAGTGCACTTTGAAGTCTCGAGAATGACTTACCTGGACGATGCCAGTCCATAACAGACTCTTTCTCCGTCCCAGAGAGTCGGTCACAAACACGATGAAGATAAAGCAGGCAATGAACTTTACAATTCCGTAAATTCCAGTAGCGAAAAGGCTGACAGAAGAGCCTGATAGTCCCACGCTTTCAAAGATTGTAGCACTATAGTATGTCATGGCGTTGGTACCAGTCAGATTGCTCCACATCATCAGCGTGATGCACAAGAAACTGCGACGGAAGTATGATTTCACGGTGAAAGCCTCTTTGATCAATGTGAGCCATGAGGTACTAGATGCCAGGGCGCGCTCCTCCTCAAGCCCTACTAAGATACCTTGCATCTCCTCTTGCACATAGGGATGGTCAACCGGTAGGTTCCGTAGCTTGGAGAGGACTATGAGCGCTTTATCGGGAGTTCTCATGGCGAGGAACCGGGGTGATTCGTTGGCCAGCATCATACCCACAAATAGGATCACTGCTGGGAGAGCTTGAAGAGAAAGAGGGATAATATACTGAGCATGACCCTTGACATGCAGCGAGCAGCCGTAATTAATCCAGAAAGCAAGCTATCAAGGTTAGCCTGGATCAACATCAAGAATTTAAAGGGAAATGTAGGAATTGCGTACAGTCAGACCCGTCACAATACTCAGTTGATAAAATCCAGTCAGCAGGCCTCGGATTCCACGAGGTGCATTTTCTGACACATAAAGTGGATTAACTGTGGAGGCGATACCAATGGCGATCCCGGCCACGAATCTTCCCACATATATCGATGCAATGTATCCAGAAGCTGCAGCTTGCAATGCCACGCCGATGAAAACCAGCACCGAAGCTAATATAAGGGACATGCGCCGCCCGATACGGTTGGCCAGCCAGATTGAGACGAAGCAGCCCGCGAAGGCACCGGCTTGAATGACGGAGACGATATTGGACGAGAGATTGGCAAGGGCTGTTTCAGATTTATTATTGAGACCGTATTGTCTGAATGTGTCCGGTTAGAATAGTACAATTAAGGTATATCTTTAGTCCAGGCACCCACTCTTTGAAAGGTTCCATGGTCAAAACACCTCCGATGACACCCATGTCCATGCCAAAGAGGAGTGCGCCACCACATGCCTATTCAGATCAGTACTGCTTTCTCAGATTGTCATTCTCGCCGGGTTGAGGAGATAGTGTATGAGCTTACCACTAGACTGACAAGTACTGTCCGCAGATTGTAGATCTCTGGAGGGTCTGTCTGGATCGGATCATTGCGAATAAATCTTTGAAGAAACATCGTCTTTCAGTATCCGAGAGGAGGTAGAGGGCAGAAATGGGCCAATTTTCCTTGCAGAAGCGAAGAATATTTGGTAGAATAGTACCATAACTCTCTTTATGTGTCTCCTCAAAGAGATGAACTCCTCTCTATAATCATAGACCAAGCTCTACTTCGTCTTCCCTTCAAGGTTATAACGGTAGTAGACGGCCACTCGACCCCAGATTTCCCCGCAAGAATAGCGTTAAATTTAGGTTCCCCGCATTTTGATTCGTGCCATGCGAAGCCAAGAGTTCCCCAAGTTTCGCTATTCGTGGGGGAACAGTCACAAATCCAGACCTCGGACCTGACGGCTGTAGACGGCTAAAGAACTTGAGACAGTGATGACGACCTCGCGGGGTCATTGTCCAGTCAGGATACCCCTAGGCCCCTTCATCGGCTGATGTATTCTTATTCATGAACTGATTTCTCCGATGTCGCGAGGCGTAAATAGCTTGTGGTGAGAAATCCCAATACTGCACGCCCTTCAAGTCCACTCCAAAAAGTCAGTACTTGTAGGGTGCCTTCCAAGGTAGGATCTTGTTGCTCGAAGATCCAGCTCGCACGAAAAAGTCTAATTAGATACGCCTCAACTGCCGCTAATTTGAAAGATCTGTCTAAAGACCTTTTCAAGCGTATCCCTGGATAGCCTTAGAATTACCTATCATGTTAGTTTTTGAGAATTATCCTCAAAAGAACAAGGTGAATTTTAGCCAGGAACAGGTAAGAATTATTCTCATGTTAATCTTAGCAAGAAATCCAATTCAATTTTGTAACTAGTAATATCATATAACCCCTTTACAGCCCATCCAACGGGCGGTACACCTTCATCCACCGCTACACACAATGTCAACATAAAAGATCCAAACACTCAACAAAACTCATCCGAAGGGGAAACTCACATGGTCATACGGCTTCTCAGGATCCACAAATCGCAAATCCGTAGCAAGTCGAATCTTGCTATTAGGATCCTTATTCTTGCAACTAGCATGCACCATCCACGGGTTATGAAAAATAACATCACCCGCCTCATACTCCGCAATAAGCCATTTACGACGCCGCTCCTTCCCATAAGCCACCGTATCCCGACTCAAAAAGCCTCCATCGCTCATATTCTTATTAAACGCACTGACGCGTTCCTCGTCAGTCAAGTTTGCAGCATTGCGCGCAAACTCTGCCTCAGTCTGCTGTCCAATGTCGGTCGAGTTCTCGAGATACATGAGACCGCCTCCCTCGAGCGAGACGTCACCGATGGGTACCCACGCCGTGAGACTGGTAGGTGGACCAGCGCGGAGATACATCTGATCAAAATGCACGGGTGTGAGCTCGCTATTTGGGACGAAAGCTCGTAGCATAGTGCGCTGGAGCATGTGCGGTTTCTTCCAGCCGGTGAATCTGCTGATAAAGTCGCGAAGTTCTTGATTGGCGCAGAATTCAAGATAGAATGGGGCTTCGTGGGCGGAGATCATCAGTTCGAGGTATTTCTCGCTCTCTTCGTCGTCTTTCAGCCCGAATAATCGGCGGAGATTACCTGGTGGAAGGTACTTCTTGCTGTCTTTGTGCGAGAAGATGCCATCGATAGGTTGAGTCCCTTCTTGTAGAAGGCCACTAGGCGCCATGTAGTTGAAGTAGGCTTCGCGACATTTCAGAGAGGCTTCCTTTGAGATGCATCCTTTGACCTATCGTTTGTCAGCTCCAGCTACAGTCGAAAGCATGGTTCATCATACAAATAAATACCCATCTCTCTGAAACCGTTCATGCATAATTTCCAGTGGTGTGTCAAAGGAAGTCGGCTGAAGGTAACCCACACTATCCGGGTCCAAAGGCCCGAAATTAGACTCCAATTTGAGATTCTTCGGGTCAGCGGGGTGGTAAATTCCGTAGATATCATCTGCAGCGGGCTTCAGGTCTTCCTTGTGCTGGGATTCGATAGCTGACTGAGAGGCAGAAGCCTCATTGGTAGGAGACGCCAATCTACCGGGGGCCATGATGGCGATTTTTGTTGATTCTCAAAATTGAAAAGAGAAAATACAATCTGCTAATCTATGTTCCGTGACTGGACTTATAAGAAAAGCATATGGTTCACACTATCAAGTTAATTAGGGAGCGCGTTGTTGATACGGGGGTCTGAGAAGCTATATAGCCAGGCACCACACTTCCATGTTAATCAATCAACCCAGAATGACCACAGAATTTGCCACCAATAGCACATTATCGAATCTTTCAGACAAATCAGCCCATTTTGATCGCTGACCCTGATCTATCCCCGTCTGCAGCCGTCTAGAGCCCGCCCCACCGTAATTGGAGATGCGGGGAAACCAGAATATCTACAGCCGTCTATAACCTCGGCTACATCGCAACAGTCAGACCAAACAAGTTATGTTCTAATGAAAGTCTTTGAGATCCATCGTGGTCAATAACCATTTATGCGCTATTGTTCAATCCCCGAGCGTTGTTGAAGATGACGAAAGGTCTTGGCTTACGACAGTACCGGGCTTGCGTGAGATGCCGCTCTCGCAAGACACGGTGCGATCTGTAGGTGCTTCCCATGCAGGCTGTTATCTCCACATATCATACAGACTCCGGATGTTATATTAAGAGTGGAGCAATAATGGTGCCAGAGATTAGACCGTCATTTCATCCCATTCGCTAACCGCCACTACTAGACAAGGAATCGGTGACCCTAACAAGCCACCGTGCGTAAAGTGTGACCGCGAAGGCGCAGAATGTGTACTCGCTACCTCTCGCCGCGGGGGAAACTACTCACATCTTCGTCGGCAGAAGAAACAATTCGCATCAGAGAGACATGGGCATGAGGATGCGAGGAGATTTCCACGCCCCGAGCCGGCCCTATCTATCTCATCGCCTGAGAATGCCTCCCTGCACTCTGCGACACCCGGAGATCATGTTCATGATAATCTGCAGAATCCATCCGATGCACTCTTGATTCTTGCTCATGCGGCAGGGCAGCCGGAGGATCAGGGTCAATCTCAAGCTAACAGGGATAAACCGTACTCGCCTGGTCGGAATACTCGGAATACATCCTCGAGACAGGGTGGAAGGCAAGATGCACTAAGATACGATCATATGGGAGACACCTCAAACGATATGAGCAACACACAAAATTCAACGACTACTTCTCATCCACTGATTCATAGCGGGACTATACAACTACCACATATACTCGACCTTTTATCCTCGTACGCATTCTACTTCAACACATTCCCATATACGCATACATTCACTAATTTTATACTAATCTCTTCCAGATATCGCGACTGCTACCACCCTTTCTTCCCAATAGTCCCCACTACCGTCCTCAACCCCAGCAACATCCAAGAAACCCTCCACCAAGAACCATTCCTCACTACCGCAATCCTAGTCATAGCATCCAAAGACCGCCCCGACCTAACCACCCTCCACGACGCAATATGGGACTACCTCCGGCAGCGAATCCTCGACGTCGTCCTGGGCGTTCCCAGCACTCGCCACGTCGGTTGTGTCGAGGGCCTCCTCCTCCTCGGTGAATGGACACTCCTCAACTTCGGTCAAGCCGATGATGGCGGCGGCGAGGCAGCTTGGTCTATTCTCGGTCTTGCGGTTAGACTTGCGTATCGACTTCGACTTGAAGATAGTGGGTTTCGCGGCGAAGATAATGAATTGGATCCTATCGCGCAGCGGAAACGTCTCGCCTGGACTTGTATGTATTCTGCCTTCCGCCAAAACGATCTCACGCCACAAAGCTCATATCTCATCCCCAGTTACATACCTCTCAGACCGTCAAATCTCCATTCGCATGGGCCAAGCCTTCTGGTGTCGTGGCCCCGCCCTCTCCGTCCGCTTCATAGCCCAAGATTTTCCCACCCTGCAACCCAGACCGCAATCCTCATCCTCCTCCTCCTCTACAGAAGACTACGCCTCCTGGATCCAAGCACAAGTAGAATTAACAACGCTCTTCGGCAACGCACACGACATCCTCTTCGCCTCGAAATCGCGCACTATTGAACTGATCACCCGCGGCGATTACGTCAAGTATATCGATGACACGGGCAAAGCCATGGCAGCTTGGCAGCGTGCTTGGAGTGGGATTATGGTTTCCAGAGCGTTGAGGGGTTGTTTGAATCTTATGTTGGAGTATTTGAGGTTATATGTTAATGCGTTTGCATTTCAGGCTGTGCTTTATCGGGCTTCGAGGGTTGGTTCTGAGAGTAATGCTAATATCAATACTAACTCCGGTGCCGGTCTCGGTCACTGTGTGAATGTGAATGTGGGTGTTCGTCCCGGATCAAGTATGAGTGATCTGGATTTTCCAGACTCGACAATGGCAAGTGCAGATGCGAGGCATATCTACCAGGCTCTCGATGCGGCAGAGTCCTTGTTAAGGGTCTTCACGAAGGAGTTCGAGGAGCGTCAGTTGCAATGTCTACCGACGCGGTTTTACCTGTATACCTCTCTTCCTCTTTCGCCTTCCATATAGCCATCCACTAACTAATTCCAATTTACTACAGCTACGAAATCCACTCCTCAGTCTTCCTCTACAAAGCCCACTCCACCGGCGCAATCGCCCCCTCCCGCTACACCCAAACAACAACCCTAATCCAACGCTTCATCACCCTCCTCCAAACCATCGCAATCGACGACCAACACATTGCCTCGCGATACGCGCGGCTCCTCCACCAACTCTGGTTCCAGCGCCCGCGTGCCGATACCGCCACCGAGCACGCTGCGGCTGACAAGCCCGGGCTCGGTGTTGAAGCGCGCGATGCGCTTGGGGTGGGGGGTGGTGGGGTTGGGCTGGATGTTGGGTCTGGGTTTGGAGGGGGGTCGTTGTCGTTGTTTGAGGATGCTGGGATTGGGTTGGAGAGTTTTGAGGGGGAGGGGATGGAGGGGTTTTTTGTTATGCCGCCGGTTTTTCCGTATGATCTTTCGGGGGTTTTTAGGTAGGGAGGGTATTAAGGGAGTGGTATTTGAGAGGGATGTTCTGTTATTCTTTTATTGATAGATGGAGAGTAGATACTCGGATGTACAGACCTGCGAGTCAGGTAGTGCGGGGTGATGCTCAACTCAAGCCTTGTCCCGTCGAGTCATAACAATGCAATTAAGATATGTACCCGATGAATTAAAATATCGAGGTTCCAAGCTTCACAAGCTTATTTAAACACCAAGTATATTATCATTAACCTAGCTAATCAACTCAATGGCTCCATGTATTGCTATATCTTCAGCGGGGTAGATCAAAAGTCAAAATATCCCCACAAGCCAGCAGTATGTGCAGTGCAATAAAGACAAAAACAAGCGATGGAAATAGACAAAGATAAGCCAAAACGATAAATAAAAAAAAAAAACGAAATAACCATAATTTTTAAAAAGAAGCCCAACACCGTCGTTGAAGACCAAATGACGTCGCAAGACATAACGCGCCTGCAGCGGACACTCTTTTGCTCCACTCGAGCACGTGGTTCCCCCTCTTCCGCACTTATTGGTGCTACCGAGATCGGCTCGAGATAACAGCAGCGCAACATGTCGACGGCAGAACACCGCTAAGCGCGACTAGCTACGCCAGAACTTTCCGCCAAGTGGAGAGTGATCATGTAGACAGTCGGCGTCATCGCAGGCAGCTAGTCTCGGCGCAAGACGAGAAATTGGCGCACCACAGGGGCCTGGGGTGGCCCAGCGGCAAAAAAGCCGTGCGTCTGTTGTTACCGGGGGCTTGGGCAGGTCGTGACCAGTGTCGAAAGCGACGTGGGGCGGGTAGGCGTTTATGCCGCTGGGCCAGGTGGGATGGAGATGCAAATGCAAATGCAGGATGCAAGAAAAAAGTAGGAGATGAGGGAAATGAGTCGTCAAGTCAGGGGGAAGGCCTGCAGATGCAGTGGAGAGAGGGAGCGAGTAGAGAGGAAGGGGTAGGTGGAGCGACGAGAAGGGACAAGGCAGGCCATTCGAGAAGAGAAGGAGATGGAGGGGTAGGAGGGGGGATAGGTCAAGCCTCATGCCTCATGCCTCCTGCGCCCAGCGCTTCTCACGGAGGGGCATCTCCTCGCCAGCCTGTTTACGGCTGCCATCGACCTCACGCTTCCACGCCCAGTATTCGCCCAGTCGCTGCTCCGCATAGTCGGCGTAATCAAAGTCAATCTGCGAGATCTGGGCCTGGATGAGAGCCCACACGCCCCTGTAAAAGAAACCAGTGTTAGCACGAGTAGCTTTCGTCGTCTCCTGTAGGTGGGAATTCCTCGAGGAAAAAGAGACGGCACTTACCAGTACAATCCGGGGATACCACGGAACCGGTCCACGTCCTGGTAGAGACGGTCGACGATCTCGGCCTGCGAAGAAGCGTCGAGTCCGCGATTCTCGCAGTAACTCTTAGTATACTCGGTGAGGAATTGACGGCGAACCGACTGGGTGGGGATCATATTGTAGTCGCAATCGTAGCCGATCCACTCGGCCAAGTGGTTGGCAATGTCAAAGGCCGCCGGGGCGGGAACGGCGTACTCGTAGTCGATGAAGTTGACCGGGGCAATGCCGTCCTCGGTCTGCACGCCCGCATCATCGGGCAGGACGATCACATTGGCGCAAAGGAGGTCACAGTGAGCGAAAACAAGCTACACAGCCAGAAGAAAGGCAGAGAAAAGTTAGTGATGCTGTGCGACTTTTAGGAGGGGGGGAAACGCAGGGATGGGTTCTGCGGGAGGGGGTGGCGTACGCCGTCTTCACCGATGCCTACACCGTCATCCAGCTGGCCCACCACCCATTCGAGTTCCTTCTGCAGAGTCAAGCGACGGGCCTGCTGCTCGGGGGTTGCCACGGGCAGAGCGAGGACCCATCGCTGAAGGACTGCCCACATAGAGGGACCAGCCCGGCGGGGTTGAATAGGTGTCAAATCGGTATCGTGCTTCTCAACTCCGTTCGTAGGTGCCGAGCCAGCGCCGGTGTTGGGGAGTACTGCGTGCCATTGTGCGAGCTTGCGTGCTACACCTCGGAAGATAGGAGGAGTGACCAAGTCCTCGTGGCCACAGGGCTTGCCACGAATGAAGCGGTAGAGGAGGCCGTTCTTGAAGCGGGCGAGAAGGGGAGGAGCCAGGCCACGGCTGGCAAGGAGGGCATGGGAAGTGGTTTCTCCTAGAGACACAAAAACGGGATTTACTTTAGCGAAAATGTCGCACTGGGCCAGCGAAGAGCGAACGAAGGGCAAGCCATGGAGTGTTTGTCGCATGGGGCCAGATTCAGGGAAGACGGGGGAAAGGGCTCTTGGGACGATGCCCTGGGATTGTTTTTCATACTTTCACGGTCTATAAGGATCTCTGTGCCATTTCCATACGCGCGCATCAGGACCGCATCGTTGTCTATCTCCTCATCCGTCAGGCCAGCCTTGCGGTTGATAATTTTCAGGAGCTGCGCGATCGAGGTCAGTGATTGTGTCGAGGAGAGGATCCGGGGTGGGACGCACAGTATTGGTGATGCCATCGGTGAATCGCACAAACTCGATCTTGTTGCCAGGGCCTTCCCAGTGGGGGAAGAGGGTCAAGATCAAGCGCAGTGCGGAGGCCTGGGAGTCGGCCGGGGTATAGGTGAGGGGGATGTAGCGCAGGGCGGGAGCACCGTTGGTGGTGTCGGAGGAACCCATGATGGGCAGTATGAGAGGGACGAGAGAGACTGGAGGGTATTCGTAGGCGGAATCGCAGACGTGGTCGAAGTGAAAGTCGTCGCAGTCGTGGTAGGAATGTTGCCGACAGGAGGTGGACTCGGACAGGGGGGGGAGGGTCAGGGCGGGGACGCCTTTAAGAGCGCAAAGAAAAAAAGTCAGGGTCTGGTGGGGGCTTTTACACGGCGTTAGGCTTAGATTTGAGACAAGACTTGTCGCCTCAACAGTTTCTTCTCTGGAGCCTAGTATAACAAAGAGACCAGATGGAACCGGGAGATCGGCAGGGTTGAAAGAGGAGGAGGGGGGCAAGAGACTAAATATGGCGCATTCCCGAGTACCGTGAAGACGAGGTTTATGATTTGTTCTATGGGGAAAGAGGTCGCATGGGGAGGGTCCAAAAAGGGGACACGGTGGATTTTGGGGGCAAAAAGCTAAACTTTCGTGTTCAGTACACAAGACGGCAAACGGAAAGTGACTGGTTGAACTAAAGAAGATGAGACAATCAGAGATGGTCTCGTGCTTTCGTACCTTGATTGGAAGGGGCGGGCCTAAGGTTACAGCGTGATTCGATGGAAGCCGTCTAGAAAAGGCTAAGGCGTAGGTTCCTGTCACCCCCGTCCACATTCCGTCCGGTTCAGGGCGTATCAGGTACCAGATTATTAGGATGTAACATGAAAAGGGGGGAACTGCCTGGGGAATTAAAGTATGATGCTATTCAATAGAATTGTAATAGGTTAAACACGTCGGTATGAATATCCATCTGGAAAATGGAGGACCTAGATTGTTGACCGCCATCTAATTAAGGCGGCTACTCAGGCTAAGGCGACTAACGTCAACTTGGCTTTGACGGACTGGTCACTGGACTACTTCTCTCTCGTGGAGACTGTCACATGCGAATCCGCCCCTGAGACACGTTAAAGTCACATGAGCCCGATAAGCCCTGACCACTTCTTGCCCTGGTTTCCCTGTTTGGCTAGCTTGGAATCAAATTTGCTCGGATGCCGGCATATCTATTTCCCGCGCGCCCAATCCGCACTAGCGCGCTTTCCAGATTTTGGCTTTAAATACAGCTTCCGCCCGCCGCCCTTTACTTGTTTTTTTCTTTTCTTCTCCATCATCAGTAGAGGTTTACTATATCTACAATATATGTAAACAATCCCGTGGCTCCATCACAGATGGCTTGCTGAGGGTTATCCTTGTGGCTTTTGCTCTATGGGTTTCCTTCCGTTCCCGGCTCCGGAGAATAGTTCGTCTCTCTTTTTCCCTTCCAAATATGGCTGGGCAAGGGTTCCCCTTTTGGGGAGCTCCATGCGCTCTAGCTGTGGAGGGGGCGGTACATACCTTTTTCTCAACATCCTCGTGTTGATGGCTGGCTTGGGTGGTTTTGATGGCTTATGTCAAATGGGTGGCCTTTGGGTCAATCCCTGCGTAACCTTGTAAATTTTAAGCCGCAATTCGCGATCATCCAAATTTGCTTTGTGATGATTCGGGACGTGTTCTTGGCATTGGACGTTTAATGTCCTCACTGTCATGATTGGCATGGTGTACGCACACTTTGTTTGCGTGACGATTCCGTATGGCTTGCCATTATTTTCATGTGGCCAGCTTTCGTATTGTCGCTAGCTTCAAGGTCGCCCTGAAAGCCAGTAACAAAGCTTAGAAATGGTGCTGCCGGCCAGTAGTAACTTGAAGAAGCTCCAACTGCCGAGCGGTAAATCTAAATCTTGGGTGATCCACTCGACTTGTTTAAGGCTAGGGTGCAGGCTTCAAGATCAAAAAGCTCGATCAAAAATCAACTCGTCCATATCAACTGCCCAGAAAGTAGACCTGGCTTGACGAAACGAGGATCATATCAACCAGACAATGGTCTCTAGATATCTCATATTACACTGAATGAGCTACGCCCGTGAGCATGGATTATCTACAACCTTATCTCTATAATGCCGAGATATATATATCGAGGTCCCGGGCCGTAATGAGAAAAATAGGTGGACAATGGAGTTAATGGGGGGAAGAGAACCTTCTACCTATATACCGCGCTATCCCTAATGTCGTGTCCTACAAGCCACACAACGGAAAATCCCGCATTGATACTCTCCATCTACCAGGCTCTCATTGATATCCGCTGAACAATGTCGACAGTGATGGGTTGAGTTCAATTTCTGGATAAGTTCTTGGGGAGCCCCAGGTTCGCGAATTCGCTCATCGCGAATGAGCATCGTAATGACTAGCGAGGAGATGGACCCGGAAGAGTTCACAGTATTCATCATCGCGGGAGTAATGTGAGTGAAGTGCATCACTATGACCAAGGCAATCACCTCTTGCAAGCTTGTTTCATGAGGAGGCACAAGTGTCATGACCGCTTCAGCGACGTCAGAAAATAGGGGGTTATCCCAGAGGGCGGCTATCGACGCAGAAAACTTCGTCAATGCTAGGGATTTCAATGGCATGATGCCGAATTTATCGGCCGTGACGAATACATGAATGTTGTTTAATGCCTGGTTCTTTAAAGGGTTCGAGTCATCCGGGGAGTGCGCTAGGCTGATTGGGTGGGATTCATCATCAGAAGAGATAGGGCTTGTGGTAGGTTGGAATTGTAGTGTATGCCTAAGATCATCGTATTCTTTGAGATAGGGAAACGAAAGCACACGCTCGATCGTCTCTGGGGTATTCTCGTGTATCTCGATCGTGTTCTCGATAGACTCCTAAAACTATCAGCGACCGAGATCAGTTTAAATAATTGTGTCCACGTTACCCTGAAGCTACTGGAGAATGCACCGTTGAAGAAGCTTGATTGTGTGCAAACCACTGCTCGGTGGGCGTTAAAAGTAACGCCTTGACAAATTATTTTGATGTTGGAGAAGCGTCCCTCAAGGAGCAGCTCTCGCATTCAATCCGTTGTTTATGTTGGCGTCGCTATCTTTGTCCCTTTATGAATCTGGATTCATTAGTGGAAGAGGATGGGAATGGAGGCAGAGAAGAAGAAGGAGAAGAAGCTTAAGCTTAAGCTTACGAGGGCTCAAAGAAAAGCAATGTGAAGTCAGTTTGCGCGGGATATTCCTCAGGTAGGAAAGTACGTAAACAATGGTGGGTAAGAGAAAGGCAAGCAGGGAAACCAAACACGATCGTTTTACAGCAAAGAAGATACTGTCATCAAAGTTATGGAATATTCCATGTCCGTATACCCTGGGGTTATAACTACCATAATTCAAGGAGTTACTTACGGTCATCCGCTCATCTGCGAAGACATGTTCATTCATATTATTCAATAGGCCTTCAACTCGACCCTAGTCATCAATGCATCACCATCATGAAACGGCATCAATAGAAGATCACAATGGATCCCCAGATTTTGTAATCCTTCCACCTCTACTCAAGATATATGCCGACCTACTCTATCTTCTCTCACGCACGACCCGCATTACCAATCTGAATGCGCTCCCCAGACCACTTGTCATCGCTGCGCAGAACGGGCCAGCTACTGCCATCAGCCTTGACCAATGTAAGCTCCAGCTTCGTACCCATCACGCGGAATGATGACTTCTCCGGGTCAATGGGAGCGAAGAGGTTGTATGTATCTTGGAAGCGCTTGTTGTCGGAGGTGGGGAGGTCAAAGGTGATAGTCTTTTCGGCGAGGTCAACACGAGCGCGGTCCTTGTCAATCTTCTTCAGATAGAGGGAGACGTTCACGGAGGAAGCAGTCTGGTAGAAATCATTTCTAGAGGGTTTCTGTTAGCTGGGTCGTTACAATTGCGGTCTGCAAAACTTACCGAACAGACTCGACCTTCTCCTCGCCGGCCGGCTTGGCCTTGCCCACAAACATATGCCTGACCTTCTCCGTGCAACCGGGGATCTTCAAGAACTGATCGAATTCCAGCACCCGTCGCTTACAGCAGGACCAACCCTTGCTGCCTTCGTGGAAAACGGGGGCTCCAGGGTGGTGGACGCAGTTCACATCGCGTGCAGCTGAGGGAGTATATGTAGCACCGCAACCCTTCCGGCGACATGTCGCATTCTCAGGGATCTCCGCATCAGGGTCATCCGAGTCGGGCTCCTCGACGATAGGCTTTGCGGGGGTATTGGTTGGGCGCTCCGGTAGCTTCGTCTCAACGGGCGCAGGTGCGGGCGCGGGAGGAGTCTCAGTCGCAGGCGCAGCGGGCTCCTCAGCAGCCTGTACGGGTTCCGGGGCAGGTGTATCGTCAACGGTGGAGTGCTTGCCCGTGGTGCAAGGCGGAATGGCGAGGAATTCCTCAAAGGTCAGGACGCGGGGTTTGCAGCATTTCCAGCCTAGGCAGAGTTAGTTTTAGTCTGAGCCTCTAAATGAACGGGGTAGCACCAAGGTCCCTTACCCTTCTGCCCCTCGTGGAACACTGGTGGACCTGGATGATACACGCAGGCCTCCTCCGGATCGGCGAAAGTCTTCCCACATCCTTTGTGAACGCATTTGCCAGCCATGGTGTGCAACGGCGAAGATAGGATTGAGAATGAGGGTGGTTGCGGAGGGTCGGGAGACAAAGATGAGGGTCGTGGATCCCGCGAAAAGAGCCGGTTGGACCTGCAGGGAGTATAGAAGGATGGACTTGAAGGGTTCAGATCAGTGAGAATGCCGAATAAATGCAGGGCCCGCACGTTTTAGCCGGGGTTGAAGCTCGAAGGTTCCATTGCTTCCATGACTTCGGAGAACGGAGTAGGTGGGGCGATGATCCAATCAGACGGTGAGACAACCCGATCTTGAAATGGGAGATGTCAGCACACTAACCTGATCTTAGTTTGGACATTGGAAAATTTCAGTTGAATAGTGAAGCAATTGAAATAGTCTGGCCGTTGGCAATGCTTTCTTGAAAATGAACTATGATTGTTACAAAATTACCACATTAGACGAACGATTCAACATATTCGAGCTCCAGTCGACGATCCACGGGAAATGAAGGATTAGTACGAATGTACACACTCGGCTACGACTAAAATTCAGCTAAGACAGTGCTACAGGTCCATTGGAAAGGAGATTAACTCGATAAGCAGAAGGAATGCCATCTCAAGCTCAGGTTTCCTGCCTCGAGGATACTACCACTTGGTATACTGGCGGTGTAAAGTGGCAGAAGCTGGTCCACCTGGAAGCGGTCAGTCTCCAATGATCCAGTTCGTGCTGATTAGCTGGGAGACGCTAAGAAATTCGATGAATTGGGGCGTAAACAAAACAACTACCCCTACAACTTGAATGGATATCTCTTAACCGCCTTTTTACTTTCTCGGGCCTTCCTCATTCAATAATAATGGCCTCTCAATCTCTCGCTCGGTTGACCCTCTTCACCCGGGCTGGATGTGGCCTCTGCGACACAGCCAAGCACACAGTGATCCAACTCCAAAAACGACGACCATTCGAGTATGTGGAGAAGGACATTATGGACGCCAAAAATAAGCTCTGGAAAGATGTATATGAATTCGATGTTCCCGTCCTACACGCCCAATCTGTCAAAAATGGGTTGCCCAAGGAGGCCGAGCTCTCCGACGCAAGGAAGCTGTTCCATCGATGGACTGAGCAAGAGGTGGAGAAATTGGTTGACGAGGCTGAGAAATAAGCTTAATCACTCGTCAACTACTCGGCAATCCCTTCCAGCCTTCTTTTGTTGCCATCGTGGCACTCATTGGTTTGACCTTGCCAGCACCATTCTTGTTGCAGTAAGCAACTCACTATGTCCAAAGTTGTTTCAACGCCCCAACTGTACAGTAGAAAAGTATTGATATCTATATTGTGTTATCATCTCGTTTTGAAGGTGAACTATCTCGTCTCGTTAGATCATCAATCCTGAATCCCGGATCTCGCTTTCGCATTCTCTCATAAATCTCCGTAATGAACCCACCAGGAGCCCAAGGACCGTACAAAGCATGGCATGGCCCTCAATTATCCATTCTCCAAGTCATGTAGCCTGTTTCAAGAACATTCTCGGGATTATGTCTATTTTTAGAGATATTCGAACCTCGACGTCCCCAGCAACAAACTACCCCAAGCCATGGGTTTCTCAAAATCTGTTGATTCAACCTTCTATCCTCCCTTAACATTCAAACTCACCCGCCTTGCAAATTCAATAGAGGTATTTTCTATATAGATCATGGTACTTGGTCGATTCCCATCTCACTGGGATGGCACGTGAGTGGCGGCGTTTAGGTGCTTATTTCCGATACGCTACTCTCTGCTTACTGCCACTTCCTCAAAACCCTTCCTTCAATTAACTACCCAACTTCAACAAGTATCACGACTTATAATCCAATAAAAGTGTCGATTAGAAAAGATGACAGGAGATTCGATGGAGCACCTCGATCCTATCACGAGACGGAGGCTTCAGAACCGTCTCAATCAACGGGCCAGTCGTAAGTGGCAAAGAACCTCTTCCCCTCTACTCCCAGCTGACCTTCATACAGGCAAGAGAAGACAGGCAGAGAAACAAAAAGAGCAACATGGAAAACGTTGGATCATCTACACCAATGATCCCAAGACCTCTCCCGCGAGAGAAGATCGCGCCACAGCGACGCCAGAATCAAGTCCAACACCGACCGCCTCACCAAAAAGCCAAGATCAAATGGACCTCTTTGCATGTGGCACGCGTCGAATCTCACCAGCACAATTTTATAATCGAGTAAAGATGCAACTGATCGATGCCGCTGGCAAAATACCGCCTTCACCCAGTCTTATTCACTCTGTGACGCAGTTCAATATCCTACGAGCCATGTTCGAAAATGCAGCCACCATGGAGTTGACGACAGATGCCTTAAGCGAAGATATCGCATCATTATTCAACATTGCTGGTCCCATCACTTTCAACTTACCGCCAAGCTTACAGCCAAGTTCGACACAGAAGGAAGTCATCCATCATCCCTGGATTGACTTGCTCCCCGTTCGTTCATTTCGAGACGCTTTAATAGCGAGAGGCGCAGAATATGACGACGAGGAACTCTGTGGGGATCTCTATGGCCTGAGTACGACTTCGGGAAATGTTGGGCTGATCGTTTGGGGCGAGTCGTGGGACCCTTTGGCTTATGAATTATCAGAGGACGTGGTACGAAAATGGAGCTGGATGTTGAAGGATTCACCCGAGCTTCTTGCCTCTACAAATTATTGGAGGAGGAAACGAGGGGAGAAGCCGCTGAAATTTTTCGATTCACAAGAGCACTATATTCACGAAATCGAATGATACAGTGCGAAGGGGTTATTCTAATATGACGGGAAAATCTAAATGTCGTACTTTTCCCCAATCAGCTCTTCACTGATCTCCCAAAGACGCGTGATGTTCTCTTCATTCCGAACGTGAGAGTGCATGTGATCATTCGCCACGGCATTTTGGCACAAGAAGGATCCGTTGTCGTCAACTACCAAGAGGCAAAAGTGTCAGTGAGCCTTGCTTCAAGTCTTAATAGTTAGGACTAACCTGAGATGGTAGTATCAATCATTCCTGTGATCATGGTCGCCGCGCCTTCCGATCGGGTTGCCCAGGGTTGCATGTCAAACTTGTTTCCGTCTGCATCAACGAGAGCTGTTCAAAAATGAGTATGGTCCGGATATTAAGAGATTCGATTCACTTACAGCCAGGCTTCTCCCACGCCTTGACCATTTCCAAGAACTCTGGAGGGCAATGTCTTTGCAATCCGGTGTTGACGGCTGTCGAAGTTAGTCTTCAAAAAAATCTGACCAAGAAAATGGTGTACATACAGCCAGGATCAATGCTAAAGACACGGATGCCTTGGACCTTCAATTTCTCGCCGAGCCTTTTGGCGAACATGGTGCGCGCAGCGTTGGATTGGCCGTACGCGGCCCATGGATCGTAGATCTTTCCATCCTATGAAGAGGGTCAACTTTTAACATGCCCTCCGATATGGGAAAAATTGTTCGGACTAACGCTGAAATCAAGATCGTCGAGATGAACCTTGCCTTGTCTCATAATCGCACTCGATGTAATAATGATCGAAGATCCTGGGCCAGCTGCTTGGACCTTTGGCAAGAGAAGTTTCACAAGCAGGAAGTTGGCGACATAGTTGACACCAAACTGCATCTCAAAGCCATCCTTGGTTTTGTCAAAAGGGCATGCCATCACACCAGCCACGAAGACCACATGGTCGATCTTCGGCACATCTGAGAGGCCATGTTCAATTGCCCGGCGGACGCTACTCAGATCCGCCAGTTCGATGCCGAGGAAGCGAGTTTCGACATCGGGCTTGGACTCCTTGATCTTTTCGATGATCGGAGCTACCTTTGACTCGGTTCGGGCACTCAGGATGAGGAGCCTGGGATCGGCGGTGGACAGCTGGATGGCGAGTTCGCCCGCAATGGACTGCTCGGAGATACCAGTGATGAGAACTGGTGTAGCTCAATGTGTTAGAGAACAGATCAATGATACAGATACATTGACAGATGGTTACTTGTTTTCCCGGCAAGCGACTTGCCATACTTCTCCAGCACGACCTCAGAGCGAAGGAGCTGCTTGACAGACATTGTAGCTGATAGAATTGGAACCAAAGAAATCGTTTTCAAGAATGCTTCAGAAGACAATGATCTTTCAAGGAATTCCAGTGAACATTGGCTGCAATACTTATAGCTTTCTCCATGATTTCGAGTTCGTTCGACTTGGACTTAACAAGAGCCATATGTCCGAAAAGCAACGGGGCTACTGATCTCAAACTCCGAAATATGGCTCTGTTTACCATATTGAGCTAGTGTCTTGTCATCTGCCGTGACGATTTAAACCCAACTTTAAAATGTGATGACAAAGGATAGAAATGCGAATTGTATTCTCTGGTAGGACGAATCACGGCGCATATTCAGTTCCACACTCAACTTACCAGATTAGGTTAGCGCAGCGTCATCACCTTAATACCGCGGCACTTTTATGAAGCTGAAGATTTTGTCATTATGGAGCATAAGGATTATGAATAAAGATGCACTATTGTCAATCGGAGCCTCGTTGCCACAGACCAGAGGGATTACTCGTGACTGCTATCCCAGGTCATAATGGGCGGAACGTGGAAGCCGTTGAGAGAAGTATGAGTTCCATTGTGACTGAACTAACACGACTCGAGATTATGAAGTATGGATTCTATTAGATACAAAATTCACATTATTTGCCAAGGAAGGCCGTGGGTTCAGTCTGTTGATACAATAGACTTCAATTTATGTAGAAAAAGGGCGGATGCACCAGTCGTGAAGGATTTACAAAAGGCTTCGAAAAGAGTTCTTAGAGAAGATGAATAAGAGAGATCCAAAGAGGCTCGCATGCAAATACATCAACGAAGATCCCCACGGAGAAAGTTTTCGAATACAATCAGGATTGTAAACACACTGAAAATTCCTACATGGAGACTTTGTGCCCAAGGAGCGGTATATTATTGATGCCAGCACATTGCCAAGGGTATTCGTCGACCTCCACAGAGAAACGTTTATTTAAGTACAAACCGGCACTTATTGAATAAGCAATATGCGGCGTCAGCCACTAGTCTGGGCGATTTAATGCACTTGGACGCATTCAAAATGGATCCCTCAGACTCCGATTGGACCACGCGGGACTCGCGTCTACATGAATGCTTCCTCACCCCTTACGCAGATCACTCCCAAACACCCTGCGTCCTCCTTGAATTATGGCATCCTGCTTCATCAAGTTTCCAAAATGACACCGTCAAACAACCCCCTCCTCTCTCAAGTACCCAAGACATGAAAGCACCATGGCGACGACAGAATACAAACCCCTCCACGACAACAACACCCCAATCCGACCAGCCATTATAGCAGGGATAATCTCAACCTGGATTGCCACTTTCCTTGCAGCTGCAGACAGCACGATCACATCAACTCTCTCCGCCACAATCGCAAACGAATTCCACTCCCTCAGCATAATATCATGGCTCGGCTCTGGATACCTAATCGGGCTGACAGCTACACAACCCCTCAGCGGGAAATTGAGCGATATCTTCGGTCGGCGGGCTAGCTTTTGCTGCGCCTGTTGTATGTTTACGATCGGGAATCTTGTTTGCGGGCTCTCGCGGTCGAAAGTTGTCCTCATCGCTGCGCGCGTTGTTACGGGGATTGGTGGTGGTGGGTGTATTTCGATTGCGACGTTTATTGCATCGGATAATATCCCACTTAAGAGAAGGGGGATATGGCAGGGAACCGGGGCTGTGGTGTATACAGCCGGGATGGGACTGGGTGCTGTGATTGGGGGTGCTGTTAATGATGCGGTTGGTTGGAGATGGGCATTTATTGGGATCGCGCCCGTCTCGCTGATTTCTGGGATTGGTGTTGCGATGTTTGTCCCAGGTTATACCGACGATACACAAGGTTGGCGGGAGTTATTGGGTCGTGTTGACTTTGCTGGCGCTGCGACGTTGGTTACGTCCTTGGTGTTGCTTCTAATTGGACTCAACCATGATGGGCCGGAGCTCGTCACTGGCTTGTTCACGATTACCGTTCCGCTTGGAATGGTTCTACTGGCAGGTTTTGTTTGGATTGAATGGAAATGGGCTAGAGAGCCGATCATTCCTCTCTCGCTCTTCCGTAAACGAACGGTGGTGGCTGCCTGTTTGACCGCTTGGTTCATGTCGATGGCCTTCTATGCGCTTACCTTTTATGTGCCACTGTATATGAAGATGCTGGGTCATTCGACCAGTGAAATCGGACTGCGTCTGCTACCAGACTCTATTGGCGCTGGACTTGGATCTTTCTTGGTCGGGCTGGTCATTCGAGTGACTGGCAAATACGGTGTCTTCCGATATACCATGACTCTGCTGCTGGTGCTGGCATCAATGGGGTTTGCCTTTATCTCGGTTCACACGCCATGGATTCTTCCTGAGGTGTATCTGTTGTGCAAAGGCTTTGGTATGGGCGGAGCCTTGACCATGTTAATCTTGGCCCTGCTACATTCAGTACCGCATGAGAGGCATGCTACTGCGACGTCTGCTTTGTATGCCTTTCGATCTACTGGAGCGACCGTGGGACTGTCAGCTGCGAGTGCCATGTTCTATCACCGGATGAATCAGAGTATGGTGGACACGGGGTCTAGCTGTAAGGAAGGAGATCAGTGTTATCTGGATGCCTTGCATGGAGCTTTCCAATTGGCATTGGCCTTTGCAACTGCCGGGTTAGTGTCAGCCTTGTTTGTCGCAGCGTATGATAAACATGACCAGGAAGACGAAGGAAAGGAAATGGATGAAATTGAGTAAATATCGTTCTGGGGACCTGGGCAACACTACCGACAGAGGGAATAGTATCCTCGGGCGAGAATTAGGGTTCATCAAGGTTCGTTAGGCTAGGAACCGTATACCCTACTTAATGTGGTAGGGCTGGCTAGGTCCAATGATTAATACAGAATAGGTGATTATTCATGGCAGTTGATTATGAGATTCGGAATGGATGTCTAGGCCAGTCGCACTGAACGGTCTCGAACTGTTCTGATTACTCGATCGGAACCAGAACGGAAGCAGAATTGGTTGAGTCCGTCTCCACTCTTCTCAACGTGATCGGGTCCATTCCGCAGGCGCTCGGAACGGACTGCCTAAACGGTGCATTGGATGCGCTAGACATTTTACACCGACACTGGGCCAGTATAGGAGCCGTATGCTTTATTGCGATCGTAGAGATCTGGAAGGGAACATATTGCTATCTATATTTTCTTCTGAAATGCTTTCTATCGAGCCGTATTTGAAATAGTAAATATGTCACGGAACCAACTCGTTAGTTAATACGTAGGTGCTGACGTCATTGACCGATCGTGCCACCAGCATCTCTGGATCGTGGTAGTGTCAATGATGGTTTCGCTTTGAATGCAAACGGTAATCAAGCTGTAGATCGTATGATGGATACGGGGAAGAAGGTCAGCATGCGTCCTTGACAAGGTTGTATCGAGATATCTCCTCGATCTAATTGCTAGAGGCGGCCAAGAAGTTGTTGAAATAAGAACCTAATATTGCGAATTCCTAGCTTCTTAAACCTTGCTATAGGATGACCGCCACTACGCTCGAGCAGTACTGTCCCCTATCACTATTCTAGTAGATTCCATTCGCTCGTGCGAGGGTGTTAGAGCACGGAACTGGGGGCCATAGCAACTTCCGAGGTCCCGCGAATTGGGTGAGGGGGGAAGAGGGAGAGTTCGGAAGAATATGCAAGGATCTTCGCAGGGCCTCATGGGCTTTTAGGCCTCGCATAGGGATACATCAAGTAAATAGGAGAAGCTGCAGCTAAGTCAAAAACACGGGGATCGCCGGTCACTGTGATTCGCAAGCGCCGTTCCCCGCAGGACGAGACAAGAGAAATCTCCCCGCTCTCCACAATCCGGCAGCGGCGGTCTGGCCCAATGACAGCTGCGAGCTTAGGAATCAGTGGCCCAGAACTAAAGAGCTGACAAAGATGGTCTTTTCCGAGGATTTGCCCAGGAAGCTCTCACGGTAATTGTGTTTCCCGTCATTCGCTCCGTGGTTGACCTGATCCAACTGCTACGGTACGACTGAATCCTTATAAAGTGCGGGGGTGCCCTCGGCAGGCCAGACGCTTCCTTTTTCCTTTCTTTTTCCTCATTTCTCCATCTTCAAACCATCCTCTCTCTCTATCTCCTCCCTCCCCCCCCCTTCCTCCAAATCAAATATACTTTCAAAATGGGTGAATGCCCAGTACACAAGTCTGCCAACGTGGCTGGCCACGGCACTCGCAACCGCGACTGGTGGCCCGAGAACCTGAAGCTTAACATTCTGCGCCAGCACACCGAGGCTACCAACCCATTGCACAAGGAATTTGACTATGCGACTGCTTTCAAGAGCCTCGACTACTATGCCGTCAAGAAGGACCTGCAAAATCTCATGACCGACTCCCAGGAGTGGTGGCCCGCCGACTTTGGCCACTACGGTGGTCTCTTCATCCGTATGGCCTGGCACAGCGCCGGTACCTACCGTGTCTTCGATGGTCGTGGTGGCGGCGGCCAGGGCCAGCAGCGATTTGCTCCTCTCAACAGCTGGCCCGATAACGTCTCCCTCGACAAGGCTCGCCGCCTGTTGTGGCCCATCAAGCAGAAGTACGGCGACAAGATCTCTTGGGCCGATCTGCTGCTCCTGACCGGTAACGTTGCCCTCGAGTCCATGGGCTTCAAGACCTTCGGTTTCGCCGGTGGCCGTGCCGATGTTTGGGAGGCCGATGAGTCCGTCTACTGGGGCAGTGAAGTTGAGTGGTTCACCAATAATATTCGTTACAAGGCCGAGACCGAGGAGGATGCCGCTAAGCAGAGCGACATCCGCACTCGTGATCTCGAGGACCCCCTCGCTGCTGTCATCATGGGTCTGATCTACGTCAACCCCGAGGGTCCCGATGGCAACCCCGACCCCGTTGCTGCTGCCCGTGATATCCGTGTCACCTTCGGCCGCATGGCCATGAACGACGAGGAGACCGTCGCTCTCATTGCCGGTGGTCACACCTTCGGTAAGACCCACGGTGCGGCTGCCGCTGACAATGTCGGCAAGGAGCCGGAGGCCGCCGACATCCACCAGCAGGGTCTTGGCTGGACCAACGCCCACGGCACTGGTAAGGGACCTCACGCCATCACTTCCGGCCTGGAGGTGACCTGGACTCGCACTCCTACCAAGTGGAGCAACCAGTTCCTCGAGTATCTCTTCAAGTATGACTGGGAGCTCACCAAGTCCCCCGCTGGTGCCAACCAGTGGGTTGCCAAGACCACCGACGAGATTATCCCCGATGCGTTCGATGCCAACAAGAAGCACCGGCCCACTATGCTGACCACTGATCTGTCCCTGCGTTTCGATCCCGCCTACGAGAAGATCTCTCGCCGCTTCCTGGCTAACCCCGACCAGTTTGCCGACGCTTTCGCTCGCGCCTGGTTCAAGCTTCTCCACCGTGATATGGGTCCCCGTGCCCGCTGGCTCGGCCCTGAGGTCCCCAAGGAGACTCTCCTCTGGGAGGACCCCATCCCCACCGTTGACCACCCTCTGATCGACGCCGAGGATGCCGCTGAGCTGAAGCGCCACATTCTCAACTCTGGTGTTGAGCCCTCCAAGTTCATCTCTACTGCCTGGGCCTCTGCCTCCACTTTCCGTGGCGGTGACAAGCGTGGTGGTGCCAACGGTGCCCGCATCCGCTTCGCCCCCCAGAACAACTGGAAGGTCAACAACCCCGCCCAGCTGCGTGAGGTCCTGAGCGTCCTTGAGGAGCTCCAGCGCAAGTTCAACAGCTCCCAGACCGGTAACAAGCGTGTGTCGCTGGCCGACCTCATCGTTCTGGCTGGTTGCGCCGCCCTGGAGAAGGCCGCCGGTATCCCCGTCCCCTTCACCCCCGGTCGCATGGATGCCAGCGAGGAGCAGACAGATGTCGACTCCTTCAGCTTCCTCGAGCCCGTTGCCGACGGTTTCCGCAACTACGGCAAGTCCTCCCTCCGCGTCCGCAGCGAGCACCTGCTCGTTGACCGCGCCCAGCTCCTGACCCTGACCGCTCCCGAGATGACCGTCCTGGTCGGTGGTCTTCGCGTCCTGAACGGCAACTTCGACCGCTCCAACTATGGTGTCTTCACCCAGCGCCCCGGCCAGCTGACCAACGACTTCTTCGTCAACCTCCTTGACATGAACACCGTCTGGCAGCCTACTGATGACAAGAACGAGACCTTCGAGGGTATCGACCGCAAGACCGGTGCCAAGAAGTGGGATGCTACCCGTGTCGATCTCATCTTCGGTCACCACGCCGAGCTGCGTGCTCTGGCTGAGCTGTACGGCTCTTACGATGGCCAGTCTAAGTTCGTGCGCGACTTTGTTGCTGCCTGGGACAAGGTGATGAACCTGGACCGCTTCGATGTGGTTTACTCTGGCAGCCAGGGCCGTGCTCGTCTGTAAATGTTTTGAAATGTTGTATGTCTTGACGTTTATGATGTGAAATCTTTTTGGACAAGCACTACGGTCTGCTTACCTTATGTATCCGATTTGAATAACGAAGATTGTGAATAGTGAATTAGCCAGTTAATCATTTCCACTCTATTTTTGTTCTTTCGTAGTTTTGTTCGATTCGTCTTATCTATTCTAGCAACCCTTTAACCTTGACGCTTGAAAAGCCACCATTTTGCCCCACCTGCAACTTTTCAACCAATCAGCATCCATATTTGGTCTAACCTCGCAGCCAGGTTGAAATAGGAAATTTCTGCGTATCCGTATCTCTCCTTTCTCCACTATTCACCTATGAAACTAGAAGAAACAGAAATAGTCCAACGCAAAGCTTGTCGATCCTTGTCTGGACCCTCATCAAATTAATCTTCTTTGATACTAGTTTCCCCGATCCCTGGACTGTTGCATTAAGGTTGTCAGCAGGCTGCAGCCTTTAACGGCATAAAAAGGAACGAATACGACCATTCTTTCAACTTACGCGAGATATGGATCTCTCGGGTGACAAGCCCTATAGATCGAGGCGGACGCATCGGAAGTCACGACTCGGCTGTGCTAATTGTAAGAAGCGGCGTATTAAGGTGGGTTTATATCTTGCCTTGCACTTCCTCTTGAGTCGTATGGCTTGACTTGACCTCGAGCTCTTTGTCGTTATCGATCATGTTGGACATTTTGCGTGGTCTATTTTGCTTCCCTCGGCAGAAGTCCTGCATTTCATTGATCCCCGAGACTGATGAAGAGAACGATCTTATACAGTGCGATGAGAAGAAGCCGAGTTGTACCAACTGCGATAATCATGATGTTGAATGCTCGTTTTCAATCGTTGCGCCGACACCTCCAGCTTCAGAGACACTATCTCCAAATGCGACAATATCCGAAGCATCGCCTGAGAACCCCACGAAACTACGCTCTCGACGATTTCGACCCTATGCATACCCTAATGGAGGTCTGAAGCAGACTTTCAAATTGAGCAAGCCCAAAAATCAAAATCTAGTCCTGATCGAAGAAGCAGAGCCACCAGTCGAATTCTTACCCTTTGAAACCATCTCGCTGGCCGATCTACAGCTATTCCATAACTACACTATCTCAACCTATCAGACCATGTCGGATGACGGTGACCGGAACGGTGTCTGGCAAAATCATCTTGTCCAATGGGGCATGGAATTCCCTTCCATTCTACACCTCATCCTCGCCCTCTCTGCCCTGCATCTCGCATACAAAAATCCCGAGTCCCGCGAAAAATACATCCAACAAGCAGACAACCACTTTACATTCGGCGTACGAACAGTGACAAGTGTGCTATCACAACTCAACGCCGATAATTGCCAGAAGATTTACATGGCGGCCGTATTAGTCTGTTTCATCTACTTTGGCCGTGGACCTCGGCCAGGTGAATATCTCATCTTCAGCGAAGCGGGCCCTGCCGAATGGATAGTTCTCATGGGAGGCGTGAAGACTATTGTCTTCTCCTACCATGCCAAGGTATACAGCGGGATTCTGGAACCGAAAGGCGAAGAAATAGAGCCGTTCCTGAGCGAGTCTATGCGCATCGAGTTACACGAGCATACCATCCACGTTGAAGCATTTCAGCGACTCGTCAAGCAAGAGATAACAGACGAAACTCAGCTAGTCATGTACGAAAAGGCAATCAACGACTTGCTGGAGAAAATGCGAGAAGTCTACGAAAAACGATCCATTGGAGACCCGGGCATCGGTTTGATGCATTTACTGATTGGCTGGCTTTATCGATTACCGGAGGAGTTAGTGGGGTTGTTGGAACAGAAAGAGCCGCGTTCTCTGGTTATATTGGCGTATTGGGCTGTTATGTTAAAGTTCATGGATAGTGCGTGGTTGATGAAGGGTTGGTCGGAGCATGTATTGGAGGGAGTATCGGGGTGTCTTCAGCCGGAGTATCGGCCTTGGATTGAGTGGCCTTTGCGGAGGGTGAAACAAGACAGTTGATTATGATACCCATTTGAATTAAACGTGAATTTGATTGAAATCCACAAAGAACCTGTTTTAGGTCTTAGAATTAGGTAGAACTTCCACGGCGGCAAGAGGGGCATACACTAATTAAAGTTTGCTCCTGGTCGTTCTTTTGACAATACACGTGGAGCCGGTAGGTAAAAATTTCTATCAATTTCCTAAAAATAAGTATATATCTGCCTGAATGCTCACAATTTCCAGGGTTCTATTGGCATAGTCTAGGTAAAAATGTTTGGTATCAGTTTCTAAGCGCGGGTCCATCGCGAAACGATCCACCAGACCCACACGTATTCGTTCTCGATATTTCCCGATCCGGTAATCAAGAATAGATCGTCCAGGCGCCACTTAGAATGGCTTGACAATAAATATAGCAGCACCGTCGTTCGAGAATTAAGCATTCATTAACCTTTTTTTCACCAAGACATCGCGATGGATATCGTTTACCATAATGGCACCAATGGCTCAAGCCCCTGGGTTGAATTCTACCCATACACACCATCTGCAACGGCCGGATATGCCTTCATGGCAATCTTTGGTATCGCGACAGTCGTCCATCTCGTTTTGATGTGTCCTTTCCGTGCTGCATACTTTATACCTCTAGTATTAGGAGGTGTTTGTACGATATCTCCCATCTCAATTAACAATGTTCTTGGCTAACAAACCAACCAGGCGAAACATTTGGCTACTACGGCCGAGCATGGTCCCACCAATCCCGAACGGAAATCAGTTCCTGGGCACTCCAAGAAATGCTCATTCTATGCGCACCACCCCTCCTCGCCGCAACAGTCTACATGGTCCTCGGTCGAATGATACGCGCCTTTGACGCCGAACATCTCTCCAGCATGCGCCCGAAGTGGCTCACGTTTGTATTCGTCATGAACGACGTGATCTGTTTTCTCACACAGCTTGGTGGTGCGGGTGTTCAGGTCACTGGAGACGCCCAAATCATGGATATCGGCAAGAAAGTCGTTCTGGCAGGCTTGATCTTCTCATTATTCGTCTTTGCCCTTTTCGTTGCTATCGCGGTGACCTTTCACCGAAGACTGCAACAAAACCCTACACCTATTCTTACTATGAATCCGGATCTTGCGTGGAGGCGGTATATGTGGACGCTGTACGTTGCTTGTGTGGCGTTGATGGTTCGCAATCTTGTCCGAACGATTCAATTTGGGGCTAATCGGACTGCGGATGTCAATACGAAAGAGGTGTATATTTACGTCTTTGATGCTTTTCTTATGTTTTTGACTATGCTCGTTTTGATTATCTGTCATCCTGGGCTGCTTATTAAAAAGGCGCGACGGGCGAAGAAAGTGGTTGATTTCAATCAGCCTTTAGCCGGGGATAGGAGTTCGGGGCAGGTTCCTTTGATGGAATATGAGCCACGACCGATGGCTTAGCGCGGACTTGACAGTCAGTTTCTTTTCTCATTTGAATTTCAGGCCACGGCGTTAGTGATTGGAGCTATTAGATTGCAGTCTTTTATTGAGTAGTTCTACTAAGTGTTCTCGAGTTTAATTGTTTCCGATTCTGTTCACAAGATAGCATTGTTCTTAGGGCCAGGGAGATGGAACTATTTATCAATAGCAATCGAGCCGGAAATGGATATTAACTTCCACTCAAAGTGCTAATTATTAAAAACTGGAATAGTCATAACCGCATGAAACTTGATTGAACTCTTACCTCTGCTGATTCTGCTAGACCAACAAAGAAAAAAAAAGGTACAACTTGTACACGACCTCTCGACCCCTTGACCCCTTCCATATAATATTTAGAGTCTATTCACTCTCCTCATCTGTATCCTCCCCAGAAGCAACTTTATATTCTGACCTCAGGAGTGAGTACTCGGTATTCTCCTCCGTGTCTGAGACTTCAAGCTCATTCTCCCCAAGATATGCCTGCCTAAGCTCTAATTCTTCCCGCTCAGCAGCCTCAAACTCTTCAAGTGTTGCGCCGAGCATGTACGAGGATCCTGGAATTTCATCGGCCGGAATAGCCAAAACGGCAACTTCCAGGATCTGCACAATGCTGTGATGACCATACCGCCGAGCGATTTCTTGTGGAGTCTTTCCAAAATGATCACGGGCCAGCGCGTTTGCGCCATGTTGAATAAGGCACTCTGCCAGTTTGTCCTGGCCCATGGCAGCGGCTAGATGTAACGGTGTTCGGCCATACATCAACGGTGTAGATGCATCTGCGCCTGCCTTAATCAAGAGTATCGCCACGTGTTGATGGTCTCCTTCCATTGCCTTGTGGAGCACGGTTGATCCCAACCAGCTTCGAGCGTTGATATCAGCGCCCCATTTTAGCAAAGCCGTGACCGTGAGATCGTTGCCATAGAAAGAAGCAGAATGGAGAGGTGTCTCGATGTCCTCGTCAATAAGGACTGTCCGTGTCTGTTGGCGAAAGCCCATGGCGGTTTGAGGCCTCCGATCGAACTCTCGCGATTCTGGATCGAGATGGGTCTGGTTGATTGTACCAATAGCATCTTTCATTTTAACGGGACAGCTTTCGTTCGGGTCCGCTCCGGCACTGCAAAGAAGCTCGACAACCACGGGATTATTGCAGGTTGTCGCGAGGCTCAAGCACGTTTCATTGCTGTCAGTCCTCTCTGAAATGCTAAGACCCTTGCGAAGGAGAACCTCAACAGTGGCCTCGTTTGATCCTATGATAGCCATGTGCAAACCATTCATCCCTAGGCCTTTGGTCTGTTGGAGTTCAAAATTGATTTCCCCGTCAAAGGCGGAAAAGCGTAAATTCTTGTTAAGGGCATTGATCTCAGCCAACGACATTTGCTCGATTATCTCCGTCAAGCCAATGGCACAGGTAAGAAACCAATGGGTAGGATTGCCCAAACCTCTTCCACTCTCACGATAGAGCAAACTCACGATCCACTCGACACTACCTCCCTGTTGACATAAGCTCCAGTAATGTATCCCATTCTCCCAGTCGGAAAGCGCAATGGTTTTCTGAAGTCCGTTGAAAAGGAAGGCTTTGATCTTACTCGAGACCCCTTGTTGTCGGTCGTGATCGCTGCAGCTGACACAGTGCTGTAGCCAAAATGAAGAGGCATAGTCTTTGAAACGTTCGTCCGGACAAGTTCCCCAATCCCCTGTACACTGTGAATGTTGAAAGCTGGACAAATGCAAGAGAGTGTCCATGCACCGCGACAGCAATAGCATGTTCACCTGCGATGCATCGAATTCAGGCCTTGTCTCAAGATATTCAAGCACCGAGGTATGTGCGTAACGAAAGATTCCCAACTCGGTATCTTCGACAACCAAGTTGCAAGTCATTGCAAGTATATCCCGCTTGCTGAGTGGGCTATGTTGTCCACCATCGTCAACTGAAACTGCTGCCTGCAGTTCATTAATCTTTAGTGGCCGTTGGGTGGCTAGTAGCCATTTGAGGACCCGTTCTCCAATAGTCTTGCTGCGTGCTCCTGACTGCACGATCTGATTGTAGATCATGTCGTATGTGTCCGCCAAAGATCTGGGTAATCTCCCTAGCTCTTGGAGTAGGTCTTCTTCACACTTGATTCGATGTGAGTCGCAAAGGTTTTGCAGTTGGAGGGTGACCCATCGAAACCTGGTAGCTGTTAGCAAGCTCGCACATTTAAGTAACGCTCGGATACTTACATTCCATGAGCTTCATTTGCTAAACGCGTAATTATCAGGTCTTGTAAAAGATCAGATACCTGGCCGCCGAGCAGTCTCCGAGAACGAATAGCCAGATCCACTTCAGTCATCACAAATCGTTCGATGTCATCCGAGTTGTCAGCTGCATGAACATACAGGTTCGGAGAATGCTCTAGCCTCCAGACAATATCCACTTCGTCACGGCTGGAGACAAATATCTTCACCACGTTTATCGATTTCTGAATGATAGTTTCAAGGCCATCGAGGAGCTCGTGTCGTCGAGTAGCATCCGCTTCATCCAAAGCGTCGATGACGATAGTAGCCGGGGTCTCGTCTAACACAGCCAGAATCAATTCAATCGCATCATCGATCGACAACTTCAGTGGCTGCGGGCTGTCCTGGACATATTCCTTGTGCTTGTTCAGTGCAGAATGATGTATCGGGTAGTCCACTGATTTGCAAACAAGTTGCCTTGCAATACTGCAAAGGATATGTTCGGGATCCGCTCGTTCGGGCTCCATTTGATTCCTGGCACAATAGAAATATGCAATGGGAGCCGGCGACGAAACCTTTTCCCCTTGAGCAATGAGGTCATCCACGACCAAGGAACTAATGCGGAAAAGGTTCAGAAAATGCTTCCACTTCAAGGGCGAATATGACCTACATCAGCTTTGTCTTTCCCGAGCCCGGGATACCGTGTAACCAAAGGATAGATGAATAGCTCGTCGTCTGCCAGTCAGAGAATACCGGCTTCTCGAGGAGCCATAGGCCAGTATCTTGAAGACGCCCTTTACACACCGCTCGATGATGATGCATATAAGGAACATTAGATATCCAGTTCAAAACGCCTGACCGGTGGGTGGTATCAAGCTGGTCTTGCCAGTCAACCAATAACCCGGACATTCGGAGAATAGGTTGCTCCAAGCCCAGTAGTGCTGATGTCAATTGTTGCATCTGGGTTTGGAATGCGTTGTCCAGCATTGGATAATTCTGATTCTGGTTGATGTTGATGGCTATGCTCTCCGTGTGCTTTATGATACTGGCCATAGCTTGCTGTCTATCAGCGTCGACTAGCTGTGCGTCTTGGCTAACAAAGTTCTCTGCTGCGTAGACCTCCTTCAAAAGATCATCGATATTATTATCCGAGAACGATACCGCGCTCTTAGCAAGGCGCATGGCAGTGTTCTTAGAATAATAGTGAAGTGCTTTCCCCAGAAAGACCAGAATCGAAGCATACAGCCTGGTAAGTGACTGCGCTAGCTGGTTCTCAGCCGGGGTGAGTATTTGAGATACCAGGTAGATACCCTCGAAAATGGCGTATCGGGTGATCATCTTGGCGATAGTATCAACGCCCTGCAGCATAGCACCGAAAATGCTTGAATCATTGATTGTCAGCTGAAGGATCATCCGGATACCTGCCCAGGGCAGCGATGCATGGGTTGGATCATATTGTACTGCAATATCACCAACTTCCTTGAATTTGTTGATCCAGACGATCATCTTCTCAAAGACATCTCGTAGGATGATGATAGTGCCATTCTTTCGTCTGATGCGCCATCTCTTGCGCAAGCATTCTTCCCTTCGTTGCTGTGCCAAGACAAGAACATCCTCAAGGATGCCTCTTTTCTCGGGATTCTGGAAATTGACCAGAGAGATTTCAGTCTCTGGAACTGTATTCACAGCGTGGTCCCATAGACTTTGACTCTTTTGAATTATTGGTAGCGCAATGCCGGGCCCAATAGTGGCACCAGTGGAAAGCGGGGCCGGTGCGTTGAGAATAATGGTTGGCACTGTTTGAGCCATGGATATTGGATATTGGAAAGACTTTTATTTTGATATCATTCAGCAGAGCCCTGGTCATCCAAATATCGTGAGCCGTGTAAGAGCATAGGCAAGAGGAGACAGAAGACTGGCGATTGAGTCGGAGTGAGATTGAATAGCCCCCACCTGCCAAGTCATTGAGGCTGGAATGCCATTGGCGTGAAACGGGCATTCGCACCCGAGAGCGGCTACTGTGACGAATGTTTTCAAAATAAATATGGCGCTGTATATTGACACCGTTGTTGGTCTGGTTTAGTCTGGTTGACCCGTCTGGCCTTTAAAAGACTCGTAATGATCAGTCATTCATGCTCCGGGGCACACTTCAGAAGAATAAAGAAAGAGGAAAGATCAACCATCTTGTAAGTAGCGCTCAACATTAGTGAAGAGATCATTCATAAACCCTGTTCTGTCTCGGAAATAGAGTCAAGGCCCACGAATACACATCTACTAGACGAACGCGACAAGCAACCAGATGGTTCACTTCTGCATAAAATTTATATGTAGGTAGATGTAAATATCATTATTAAGATCCACTGGAGGCTAAACCAGAGCCATCCATACAAAGTCCCAACCCACACATGTCTAGGTCCGATAAACCTGAAAGCATACTCGTCACAGCACCGGCATAAGTACTATGCCGGTGACCAAAACTTCCAAAAACGCCATTCACCACCAAGGAATAAGAAGGTTGTACATGTAAAACTTCACACCAACAGATCATGAGACCTCGACTGGAAATATCGGACAAGAAAGTATACTTGGCCTAGAACCACATGATCCCTGCTACTAGGCCGATGACTATGGCCATGCAGCTGCCCCGCAGTTCTGCCGTATGCGCAGCAGCGTCTGTAGGCTGATCACTCGGCGCTTGTAGCTTCTGGTTCTGGGCCGCGAGACCCGGACCGCCAGTACTCGCATGCGGCCCATCTTTTGCAGAACGGGGTAATGTTGCCAATTGCTCGGCAGTCGCGTTTTGTGATGTGAGCATTGATTCCAGGTATTTGGATCCGAGCTGAATTAGAGGTTGCACCCGGGAAATAGATGCAGTATGCTTGGCGTGTTCCCAAAGGCCAATCGCCCTGCGGCAGACCTGCTGCCAATTGTTGCACAAGGTCGGGATCTGCAGTCCCGTTTCCTCCCTGGGGGACGTATAGGGAGGGGAAGAGTTATTATCGGGGTAAGGCGTGGTTTCGGAGCGGTGGTCGTCAATTGAGGTAGGTAGAGGAGAGGCATTAGAGGGCGTGAGAGGGGGGTTGAGGATTGTGGGAGCGGCGGGGAGACTTCGGTTGGAAAAGGAGGTGAATAGTTGATAGTCATCTAATTGCTGTATGAAGTATGTTCGAAATGCGCGAGCACGTCGACCGAACATGAATGATGATGATTCGGGGGCGGTATAGGAGAGTCGGCTTTTGTTCTCGACCGGGGTCACTTCGCCGGGCACTGACGGTGCGCCATTAGATCGTGAAGAGCGTAGTATGCGATTTCCACGCGTACGATATTGCGCAGTCATTACCCACGACTTTTGAGGGTCCATGGGAGGTGTCTCCGGTGGGAATGCAGCGACGCCATCTTGAATCAGGGGAAGCTCTGTAGGCACCAGCGATTAGCATAAACAGAAGCATTTCCTCGACGAAATCAGGGCCAATGGACGTACTGCGAGCTCCGCCGGTAAAGTAACTAAAGTCCGCGAACTTGATATTGTAGATACTCGACAGCGACGGCACGAGAGTCAATAATGAGAAGACAATCAGCGCCAGGAGAGGGAGCGCGCCCGGTTTATCGAGCCCCGGGCGCATCATCCACGATCACCGGTCGGAACCGGGGGCCGTTGGCGATGATAATGCGAGGGCGTCTAGGAGAACCAAGAGACACTAGTAACGGTCGCCTTGAATGCCATGGAGAGGGGTCCGAGGTGGTGGTTTGGGGGGTAAATGTCTCGGAATTGACGGGGGCCTGATTTAGCTGGAAGCGAACCTCAACAACACGCGCCGACGCGAAGAGATGAGGAGGGAGAGGACGAGAAAGAGAGCTGGTGGACAGGGCAACAGTGTCCTAAATAAATTAAAATAAGATTTTGTCTTGGGAGGGGAGAAGATCCAAGAAATGGATGACGGCGATAAGGCTGCGAGGGTCACCTCTCGGTGGTGTGAAAGGTCGATGCTCTCCTGCTTGGCGCTTTTTTTCTCCGTTCGGCCCGAATGACGTCGACGAAGGTCGCGCAGGTAACCGCTGCAAGCGTCGCGATTGGGTCTTGTTTCCCCTCTTTTGTGTTTGTTGGATCCCTGATCTAATTGACTCTGTACAATATTCTTGGGTACAATATTCTTGCGGCATAGATGACATTTGGGCCAGGAATGTGTCTCCGGCCACGCCTGTTTTTTTTGAGTTTTTCCAAACGGCTTCCAAGAATGTTGCCTCAGGCAGCCACAATCCTACGCAGAACCAAGTTTCTTGAAGTTTGGCCGGAACAGGAAATCATACCTGAATTCATTTGGAAAACTGGGTCACACAGGGTTTGATCTAACTGCTTGACGTGGGTGGGGTCAAGGATACTTTCGTGTGGAAGTCTCTACGGAGGACCGACCGCAACGATGATCTTGGGTTCGTGAATTTGCCGATACAAATCTAGATTTTTAGTTTTGTGTACCTAGTAGGGCCTCCTAGGAAGTCCCTTGACACAATAATCAAGGATATTTCCTTGTTGTGTATAGGGTATCGTGCGTATAAACTTGTAGACACACGGGCTCCACTCAACTTATTAGCAATGGGTGGGAGACCAAGGTAGATGGACCCCTAGGGTCTACGTAGTAAAGTTGTAGATGATCCTCCCAGCAGTAACCTTACAAGTTACAAGGTTTGCGAATTGACAGGTATAATGTGCTCCTAACTAGACACAACCGTACTCTACTTCTTCCAACCAAGGAGCTTCCACTAAGCACGTTCTATCTTCCTAGCCCGTCGGCAACAATATCTTGATAAAAGTACGGTCAGGTCACTACATCCTCTGAAAGACGGTAAAATTCACTGTAGATCTGGCTATCATGCTACCCGAGCACCCTATGCCCTACACAAGCTGCTACAATTTATCCCAGCGAATGATGCCAGCCAAGGATGCCTCTACCGGGCAATTCCCGTGTGCTGCTCCCAAAAAAGCAACCGATCGGCACGTTTAGTCTCATTTGCATCGCCCTAATCATGTCATCATCGCCTGTGGAGGCTATGGCGGGCCTATCCGTCTCTCACCTTTCGGGCTACTTGCATACTACACAATAAATATAGAATAACCTTTGCAGTACATTGCGCGTCCACAACAACATGTCTCACAAAAGAGACCTAAAATCTAAAAACACTTAGATTTCTCTCACCATACCCTACTCCACATACAATAGCATTGCCGCTCAAACCTAAATATAAACAACTCCAATCATGCCGCTAGCATTATCATGAACGCGCAATGCAGTGCGGGGTACACTCATCACGACGGAAAAAGCACTACCCTAGGCTAACAAATTTCCAAAAACTGCCCCATCCTGGAAGAGCCAGGATCGACCAGGCGTTTCCAAGAAACTGGGCAGCCACTCTGGTAAAGGCGTCGAATTGCGACCATGAGATCCTTCACCGCCGCGACTATGCAGGGACACCAATGCATGCTCCAACTGAAAGCTTGTCCCTCCAGTTTGACCTATACTAAAGGCTCCTAGAGTGACCGTCTCGCCGTCATCCGCATTAAGCAGCATTTTGCGGCTGGGAGAAGAGTGCAAGGTGCTATGCAAACTCTCCAGTACTTTCATGCCCCTCTTGGCCAAGCCGTATTGAGGAGCTTGTTGACAGAGGAGAGCAAAGGCATCGAAGAAGGTAGCAAAGCTAGAGCGGAGTCCTTGGTCAGGACTTATTTGCAATCCCTTTTCTGCAAGTCTTCTTTCGTCGGCTTGGACGGAGAGTAGGCAGACTCCGAGACACGCTAGAGCGTCTACAAGCCAGATTGGCAGCATGAATAGCCTTTCTGCGGCTCCGCCTTCCTCGTCGCCCGTCAATGCGTAGAGCTTAGTGATGGAAGAGATTGCCTTGCATGTAGCATCCATGAGTGCTCGACGGTGGGAAAGTGTGAGCAGGTCGGTGCCATGCTTGGGCAGTGTATTTGTCTCTCGATGGAGATGATTGCAAGGATCAGCAAAGGCCCTATAGAGCGAAGCCTTTGTACTGTAAATGGAAAGATGAAGATATTCTCTCTTGCGAGGAATTGCTGAGTCTGCAATATCCCAGGTTGTATCCGGGTTATCAAGCCAATATGCCGGAGGCAGCTGGTCAATAATCACTTCTTGAAACCGCTGTGCGAATTCGGCGACAACAGCTGCGGTGTGTTGATCGTCTTTCCAAGAAGGTGGGCTCATAAATGCCGTGAGATACCGAGCTAATCTGATATGAAACACCCGGTCAGTGAAAGGGGTCAGGGCATAGGGCGTAATAGCCAGTGCCTGTAGATTATCGTGAGGCGGATCGATGTCGAAGTATCCTTCGGGAATAAGCGGCCAGAGGCCGAAGAAGGTGCACATATATCTGATGTACAAGATGTCAGGATGATGATTGAGCCGACTTGGAGATTTTCTTTGTTCCTCACGTACCGATCCCAGACATAGAGGCTCCAAAAGGTTCTACGTCGAAGTTCCATGTCTAGTTCACTGATGGGGACACCCGGGTCTTTCAGATGTAGCCCTAGCTCACGTGCGCCCTTGACAGCAGCACTCAAAACCGACCAACTAGGCCTAATCTTGGCATAATTCTGGAGGTAACAAACGTGGTAGAATCTGTGCTGGATTGTGAGGATCGAGGGTTTTTTTTCAAGTGCTTGAAAATTGCCGAGATCATCGGCGAGCGTACAAAACCAATGCTCCAAGTGATCGAGATGAGTATTCAATACTCCAATGGTAGGATATTTGGGATGTGGCAGATTCTGGATGCTGAGAAGGCAGACTCGGAGGACTAGCACTCCAAAGTCGATATCATCTTCTGAAGCGGCTCCTCCAGAGTGGTCGTCTGTTTCTTGTGATTTGCACCATGCGTCGTATCTTGACTGAAATGACGGGGGATGGATTATCTCGTAGATTTGATTGATCTCATGTAAAAACATGCCAACCAGAAAGTCTGTAATTGATCGATCTGGCCAGGTTTTCCGGGACTTTAATGAACCCGTAGTCTCAACATGGTCACTATCGGACTGATGTTAGTATGACCGTCAAGTTCATTTGCAATATAGGGTCTGGAAAACAAACAGTGACTCATAAGTGGTGGGAAGGAAGCCTAGTCCTTGCGATCCACGCCCCAACGCTTCTAGGGCCATGTCGTTAGAGTCGGAATCATATGAAGATAGCGTGGCGGAAGTTTCCCGCTCCTCACTAGGGTCAAGACTAGAGCTTGGCCGACGAGGAGTTGGATAGCCGCCACCATCTCTGCCATTACCCATCTGTGGGGAAGCATTGGAATAGATACAAAGATGTTCTACCCCACGACCCGTGCAGTGATTGCACGGCCTCTGCCGATTGCACTACAGACGAGTCAGTATTCGTCATTCCACAAGTGAAGGTGAAATTATCCTCATGCCTTTTGCTTTCGTCGATTACACTCCAGACAGGACTTGATAGGCTTCCGCCGGGTTCGCTTCTCAGACTGCATTTTTCAATGATACAACGAGAAAGAATAGCAAGACTTGACCTACTAAAATTGAAGGGATTGATTTCGAATACAGCTTCTTTAATATTCTTATTGTAAGGTGTCAAGTCCTAAAACGGCCCCCATCTGAGGATGCCCCAGTGCACCTTAAACCACACGTGGCTACCAGCATCATGGAAGAAGTTAAAATCTTACTGCAGAAGCCCATGAGCTTTGCATATGGCCCCAATATTTCTGTTGGTAAGTCTCACTTAGTGGGCTACGGCACGCGATAGTGATCTAGAATATCCTCAACGAACTTCGAGGTAATCCATTTCGAATGAGCCATTCCAACACGTAGGCCTCCTGGACTTTTGACTAGTTTCACCATCCGATGCTTGATTACGCGGACGTCTGGATCTCCTCATCCTTTTGCCCGTCATTTTGGCCCTTTTCAGATAGGCATGTGACACCGTGGGCGACTTGAAGCTGCACAGACGAACCGAACTAAAATCGGGGCGCTAACAGGTTGGGGGCCGGCGCGCGGAATGGCCCTAAACCGAAGGGCCAGTCTATCTTTACTCGGGGGCCAGAGCATCGGGTCTCCACCACGTGGGTCCGCTTAGCCTAGGATCCATGCCAATGGAGCGCTTATGGCCTGGAAATTCAATGGTGAGAGGTCATTCTGCAGGCTCTTAAATCAGTAAATGGTCGCTAGAACAACGTGATAATTTTTCCTAGCGAACTTAGGCTAGGAGGTGAGGAAATATATCATTTTATGCACTATCCTTAGCACTGATCACCCACAGCACAAAGGCCGTGGGTGAGAAGATAGAAGAGATGAAGGAAAGGATACGTGTGTAGAAGAAAGGGAGGGTGGTCATAATCGTGACAGGTTGGCAAAAATTAGGCACCATATGGTGCGAGCAGGATTCTCATATGCTGCCAAGAGGCGCACTCGAGTTTTTTTTCGGTGTATCTACGTTAGTGCGTCTAGTGGGCAAGAAATATATGCCTTTTTTACGCTTTTAGAGGGGTAACATGGGGAGAATGAGGCCCATCGACGTTTCTTCGATTCCTCGATAGCTTATCAGCTAGTTGCTTACCGAAACTGACTAGATATCACGAACGGAGGTTGAGTAGATTGTCGTTTGAGACGATACGCTTTCTTTGGTCACAGCATTCTGTTGATAAGTTGTCGTGGCATCCTTCCATTTCTTCCCAATCTAAGCACAACACGCTAGGCAATTCTCGGATGCCTTTCTAGTTGTTACCTTTTCTGAATCAAGCCTATGGATCAGCAGTCAGGCTTGCGATGCTACTGGGGATTCTGGACTCGATGCCCCATTATGGTTCCAAGTCGGGAAAGGAGCTGGAATATATACTCCGGACAGCAAATACGTCCGCGGTGGTTTTCGTTACCTAACGGTTGTAAGCAACACGAGCGCAACAATTCCTCTGAACTCTCTTCACGTCAAATTTACCGCTGCTCCGAACCAGGATCTTCGAGCCTATAAAGGCTGGTTTCACTCAAACGACGAATTGCTGAACCAGATTTGGTATGCTGGAGCATATACAAACCAGCTATGTACAATTGATCCAACGCATGGCTTCACAACCTCAGACGCTATCTCTAACTCTGGCCTTAATTACTGGTACAGTAATGCCACTATTGCCAACGGAACCAGTACAGTGACCGATGGGGCAAAGCGGGATAGGGCTGTTTGGCCAGGCGATATGTCTATCTCCGTTGAGAGTGTTGCTGTCAGCACCAGCGACCTGTACAGCATTAAGATGGGGCTGGAAGCTTTATTCGTACTGCAATCATCCGATGGCCAGCTTCCTTGGGGAGGAAAGCCCTTTAACTATGATATAAGTTATACTTACCACCTACATACACTTATCGGAGTGTCCTTTCTATATCGGTTCTCTGGGAATAAGGTCTGGCTTTCAAACTATTGGAGTCAATACTCCAAGGGAATTCAATGGGCATTGAAAAGTGTTGATAGCACTGGTCTGGCAAATGTGGCCTCTAATAACAGTCTTGACTGGCTACGAGGGGGTATGGGAGGCCACGTGCGTTTTTAACGTCCTCACTAGGGCTCCTTGCTAATTTACTAATGTGTACTAGAACATTGAGGCTAATGCGATTCTCTACTTTGTCCTCGGAGAAGCGCAAAATCTAGCCCAAGAGCTCCATCGTAGCTCTGATTATGAACACTGGGCAAGCGTTGCTAGCGGTCTCAAATCCGCTGCTAACAAGCTCCTATGGGACGATCAAGCGGGGCTTTATCGAGATAACCAGACAACCGCCCTACACCCACAGGATGGAAACGCCTGGGCTGTGAAGGCTAATCTGACTCTTACCGACGATCAAAATCGAGCAATTTCTCAGGCACTAAAGGCACGCTGGGGCCGTTATGGCGCTCCCGCGCCCGAAGCTGGTGCAACTCTCTCCATTCATCAGTGGTTTTGAAGTCCAATCTCACTTTCTTGCAAACCAGCCAGATGTTGCTTTGGATTTAATCCGCTTGCAGTGGGGTTTCATGCTGCGAGATCCCCGAATGACCCAGTCGACCTTCATCGAGGGATATTCCACTGATGGTTCTATTAAATACGCCCCTTACGCCAATGACGCACGTATCTCGCATGCTCACGGTTGGTCAACCGGACCAACCTATGCCTTGACAGCCTATGAAGCTGGCCTTCAACTGATTGGGCCGGCTGGAACCACTTGGTCGATTGCTCCTCAACCTGGTAGTCTGACTACTATAGATTGCGGGTTCTCTACTTCCCAAGAATTATTTTCAATCAACTTCAAAAAGAATTCTGCTGGCCACTATGATCACTTCTCCTTCAGCGCCCCATCATCAACCACCGGCAATGTTGAATTACCGGGGGTTCGAGGGACATTGGTCTCCACGACTGGCCAACGCCTGAAGTTGGTTGGTGGTACAGCCACTGGTCTGAGAGGAGGAGAGTGGAAACTCATCCAATCAACGGACTAAGGGAGCGTTACCCGTGGCTTACTGGGCAATATGAGGAAGGTGTGGGATAGGAGGTTGTCAGTGTTTGTCAAAGCCTTCCATTAGGAATTAGGAGCGACGTTATCGAGTCTCAAGGAGCTAAAGACAATCGGAATCGTCAATCCTGTACCGTACATAGCCGACATTGACACTACCTTTAACTAGATATCACGATTCTATACAAAAGCCGAAGCCGTTAGTTCAAAAACATAACACTAAACGTAGTACCAAGTACAATACCTAAAACTATCTGCAGGCGCATGCCCTACCACAAAACAGCGCTTTTGTAAACCTTATTCTTCTTGGCTATTCTGTTTTGTGCTCCAAACGCAAGTACATACTGCGAGCGGGATTTATGTCAGGCGAATATGCGACAATGCTGACGGGTGAAGAGTGAATATGAAGAGATGAGAGGGAAGCAATTTGCATGCGACTGTTAATACCAGAGTTAAGCAATTTGATTAGGTGTATACAATATTCAGTCTCGGCTTAGGAGAATTCAAACTTGTTCTTTTTAACTAATATACCATGAGAGTTTTGCAACATAACGTGGAAATTCAATCAAGAAGAAGGAAAGAGGAATGTTGGGATGTTAACAAAGGCCACAAGACCACCGCTGTTTGAGGTTTTGAGAGGGGAAGCTCAACCTAAAGCTAGTTTCCTCGGTTTGAAGGCTTCAGATGAACGCCCCTGTGGTTTGACTTCACGGAGAGTGTCTATCCTACAGGTTGATTGCATCTCTTCGTTTAAAGTTGTCCAAGATGAAGAACGTACCTTACGTCATAGCATTCCAACACCCCTTAAGGGTAGCATCACAACAAGGCAGAGAGCATCCCGATATAGGGAAATGGCCTCCTTCAATCCTTCAAAACTACCTGCAGACTCGAAATAGCATCGGATAATCGTGTATTCTACTACTATAGATTCCTTCCAAATTGTCTGTATTTCATGATCGGGGAAGCTTAGGGAAAACGAACCCTCGAATACTTTGTTATTCAAGTGACTGCCAACCGAACTCGTCCGCTCTACCCGCGTTTTGCAATCGCGTCCACACTTATCAGTCCCAGTCTTGATCTATACGAACTGAAAAACAGGAAGACTAATTAGGTCGGCCGGTATGCCTTTCTTGAACTGATGGAAATCCGCTCCTTGACTAACCCGCTTTCTTGAGGTACTCGGGATCCTTGAAACAATCTGGGATCACATTTCCTCCCGCTGTGCGGAGTACATACCTTGACGTGACAACGGGAGCATACAACCTTGAATTAAGAAAAGGCCTCTCTGAGCTAATCTTTATCCAATAGGATCTGTTACAGATAGCTCCTTGTGATACCATACGCCCCTTGTTGTGACCCTCAGGGACCATCCCTTGATGGAACAAGCATCCCTTAAGCCTCAGGAATTCCATAGAGCACAGACACCCTTTCAAGGCTCCCGGTCTCCTAGATCAGAGTGCTCCCTTTGCAATGAAATTCGTACCCTGGTACCCCGCTAAATTCTTAAGCATTTAGACCCCCGTCGTAGAAAAAAAGTCTTGTTTCAACTCCCAGCGATGATTCCACGCCCAACCGCGACCTAAAGAGCACGAAGGCATAGACCGTGAGCTTCCGAATAAAATACCAGTTCCAGACCAATGGGACACCCCGAGATATCTGAAGACACCTTTGGCTATGAGTCAAAAACAACACTCGGTCTCCGGAATAGTATCGACGATGTAACGCCCATCCCAGCGCAGGAGAGCAGACTGCAACTATTCGAAACCCAACCTTCGCCCGAAGAACAACAATGGACACCCGATCTGCGAGACTGGCTGGTGTTCGTCAACATACTCATTCTTGCGATGATGGACACTTTCGATGCGACAGTGATGATGCCAGTTCTACCAGTAAGGAATAAATCCCAATGGACTGCTGGCAATCTGGAGCTGACATTTCGGTTTGAAGGAACTCGCCAATCACTTTGACAAACCCCTTGTCAGCACTCTTTGGGTTAACACAGTGTATCTCATCGTCAGCGCTGCCAGCCAACTTTTCTTCACAATGATGTGTGATGTTTTCAGTCACGGACCTCTGTGGATTATCGCCGGCGTTCTGAGTACGGTCGGTTCCGGTGTCTGCGGAGGTTCAATGAGCCTGACCGAGCTTATCATCGGTCGGTTGGTCCAAGGTATTGGCGGAGGCGGTGCGACGGCGCTTTGCTTCGTGATAATGGCGGATACAGCCCCAGAGTCCATCCAGTCGCGATATTCATGCTACATCCTCCTGGCACGACTGATCGGGTCAATGTTGGGCCCTGCTGTCGGCGGCCTTTTTATTGACAAGGGTAATTGGACGTGGGCTTGTTATTTCAACTTTGTCTTTTGTGGACTGGGGTTGTTGCTGATCCCTATCTCTGTGGATTTGCGCGTCTCCAAGAATATCCCGCTCCGGAAGCTGCGCATCTTGGATTGGTCCGGAGCCACGATGGCTTTGTTGGGTCCGTCAAGTATTCTTATCGGTCTAGGTTGGGGCGGAACTTTGTATAAGTGGACTGAGTGGCGGACTCTGATGCCGATTGCTGTTGGTTTTGCGACACTCATTGCATTGGTGCTGTATGAATCGATGTGGGCGTTGCATCCGCAATTCGGCGCAAAGGTATTCAGGTCTCCGGCAGCGATCATGACCTACATTGGCTGCTTCTGTCATGGCTTTGTGGTGAGTTCAAACCCTGTTTGTTGAAATGTGTCTGGGAGGCTAACGCCGAAATTTAGATCCTTTGCCAGATGCAATACTTTTCGCTATACTTCCTGGCAACCAAGTATTATACCGCCACCGTTGCAGGATTGGCACTGCTGGCTCTCACTGGACTGGCACTTACACCTGCAGCCGTGGTAGGAATTGTACTCGCAAATGAACCGCAATGTTCTAAATACATCACCTCTGGCGGCTGGGTTTTGACCATTCTCGCATCCGGTTGCTCCATCCTTCTCGACAGCAACACCCCGACTGTCGGATGGGTTTTCTTGTTCTTCGCAGCTGGTCTGGGCCATGGACTTCTTCTTGCAAGTTATAACATCGAGATCCACAATATGCCCAAGAGTGAGGGGAAATCGTTCGCCACCAAGCCGATTGTCATTTCCAACTTTATGCGCGCGTGGGGGATGACAGCCGCTATTCCCATGGGAGGCGTGGTGTTCCTGAACCTATTTGGGGATGAGCTTCAGAGCCTTGGACTAAAGCGTGATCTGGTCAATACTGCCAACGGATATCTAGTGCTGATGAATCAAGTACAGATGTCAGCTGATCAGAGGAGAGCTATTCAGGATGCCTCGGCCACGGCATTGCAGATTGTATGGGAGCTTATTACAGGCGTTAGCGCCGTGGGTGGCCTCTCCTCAGCCTTTCTGTGGAAGAAAAAGTCATAGAATAATCATAAATGTTATATTCATGGGTTCATTAGGGAGTGTTTCTTCTTTCTCTCCTGGTTTCTAGCATGATAGACCGGCTAGCGATAAACAGGAGTCGCGATATTGTCGTACATAACGTCAGACTGGTAAAGCACCGTATCAAGAATAAGCATGGATATCAATAAGCGTGGAAGGCATGGGTATTTAGGCTGAAAGGAGTAAAAAGGGGAGGCGTGCAAGGATCCCAGTAGTCTCACATGAGGCTGCATCGATCGCGGACACGCATAGCTCGACCCGGCTTGGTATTCAAAGGAATTTTAGATGGGGTGGGGGCTAACAGACCTGTAGTCTCAGGGGATGCCTTGAGTCGTTCTAGTTCCTGCTCTTTCATCCGTTGCTGGGCCTGGATTCTGAGGGGAGTTACAGCTTCCCGGGCGCCTTTGATAGTCCAGCCTTGGAGGCGATCTTTTCCCAGCTCCTGCAGGGTCTTTCTTTCGACAATACTGTACTTGTTTGGATCTTCACGGTCGAAGTTGAAAGGCGCATTCAGTGAGACTGGAGGGTTGGTGATGATGCGTGGAATTCTCAGGCTGTTGACCGAAGCGGAATGAAGCATGAACGGATGAAGTAGAATCACGTCTCCCACATTGCCAGTCATCTCGTGGAATTCATGGCACTGCTTAACGATATCTTCGTAGAACTCACCCTTCCGGCCATCGGGCTGGCCTCGAGGAACCATGTATGGGGATACCCCTTCCGGATGATTGTACTATCACCAGATCAGGTTAGAAGGAGCATAAGGATTGAAATGAGCTGCCAAGCCGGCTAAGCGTACCAAGTGCTGGGCAATCTTTTTGATGGCATCAGAGCAGACCGCAGTGCCACCGGCATGTTCTTTGATATCGGTAAACAAGGGGATGACTAGCAACCCCTGCTCGGGCGAATCGAGAAAATGAATGAAAAAGTCACCATCGACATGCCATCCATTGAGCTCAGATGGATGGTGTAATTTCCCCTCGGATTCCTCCGTGCCTAGATTGACGATCAGGGCGTCGTTCCAGGTGGCCGAGTGCGCCGCCACGCGGTCCTCGCCGCCGAGCAGCTCGCAAATGGCGGCCCATGCTTTAGGGGCGAAGGTCTGAACGGGCTCCGACTTGTGCTCGGGCATATTAATTCGTTCGGCGGCCCAGGTTGACTTGTCTGTCGGGGAGTAGCCGAGTCGCGTCCAGACGTCTGCGGTCCACTCGGCTGCCTTGTCCCGAGAGAAGCAGTTGGTTAGGCGGATGTAGCCATGCTGCATAAAGTGGTCGATCTCAACCTGGGACAGCTTGTAGTGGCTCTGTTGATCGGTAGAGGCCATAATGTCAGTGAAGTAAAGGGATGGAAAGAATAGTTAAAATATTTTTCTGCTTTGTCAATGTGGTGATTCTCCGTTGAGGACGAACATTCAGAAGTACTCATTGAGGAAGTGTCACGATGCTGACAAAGCACTGCGTTTTCCATCCAAGATGGGTTGCTCTTGCCTCTCGATGAGGGTCAAATGTTGACAATGTCAGTGTCAAAACTCCGTTCCAATATGGTAACTGTTACTCAATCGTGCTGCCAAGAGACCATTCCGGCTAAAATGGAGTTGAGACCTTGAGTTTGAACCATCCCCGTCGCTTCTCTCCGCAATTGGCGGCGTCTTACACACTAACTGTGTTGGGGATCCCCCCGGCTGGTCTGCGCCCATTCGACTTGCTGACCTCGTGAGATTGGCTCAAACTTTTGGTCAGCACTTCGCCTGCAGTGCTCTCTCTGGCTAGTTAAGCCCAATTTGCCTTTTTGGTTAGCTCATTTGGCCACGGAATGAGCTCCATTGTCGAATGCAACTTGGGGGACTCCCTTGCCAGCTGAAGGACGGCAAGCTTTTGCTCTCAGACCTCAGTCTTACTGGACTTCAAACATGCCCAAAGTTTGATACGAGCCACTTTAAACACTTGAACCCCCTTTTGACCGTTGTTTGACTCCCTCCCAAAAAGAAAACGGGCCCGGTCCGTTGACTATTAACGGTGGAGGATCGCCTAGTGGGCCTCGGCCCGGCTGACCGTGCTAAAACGGAGTGTGGGGGAGCCGATGCTCGTATTCACAGTATCCAACTACTTTCTATCTAAAGGGTCGACTATCGATGGAACTGGACATCAGACATCTAGGGCAGACTGGGCCACGCAATATGTGCTGTCTTGCCATATAGCCAGATCATGCCGGGTCTATTCCCTCCTTGTCGCAAGAGCCAGTTCAAATTCCCCCACGTCTCCGGGTGAAATGGTCAGGTCGGCTTCCCTTGGCACTTGGCAGGGAGGAATGCCGGGCTTGGTACCATTCTGATCCAAGCGAACCCCAGTCGTTGTTCTCAAAAATTTCCCTATCGGGCAAGGCTGAGGTAGCCGAGAAGCTAAATTAGCCAAATCATGCACCAATAGTATGCTCGGTCTCAACGATGGCCGTTGCACGCGATATTGAGTCAGTAGTGTGACCCTCTTGGCAACCTTCCGCCCCCCTCGTGAGGTGAAACCTTGTTAAAATTTGCATTTCGAGAAGAGAGCCTAGTCTTCATCAAGAAAAGCTGGGGTAAGGTTCCAGAACGCCACGCGAGATTAGCCGGTTATTGTTTTACTCTAGGATTCGAGGACGGTGGATTCCAAGGCCTTAAAGATCTGGGGCATCCTGCGATGGGGCTATCTCCCTAGTTCTCAAAATCTTCTGGCGCGTGTCTCGAAGTATTGCTTGAAATATTGGTCAAGACTCCAACCCGTCTATATTACATCTCCTGCCGTTGAATCTTCTTTGTAGGCATCATGCCTCTCGCCGTCGGACAGTCCGCCCTCAAGGGGGAAGTCGAGGTTGCGCAGGCCGAGATCCCTCAGCTTGAGGAGGTCAAATGGTGGCGTGAACCTGGTCTCCGAAGACTGTACTTCTGGGCCTCCGTTCTTTGCGTTGCGTCTGCAACTACTGGTTACGATGGGTAAGTCTGAACGATTACATCTAATATCTAGTAAATCGATGCTAACCGTGCACTACAGAATGATGCTTAATACTTCCCAGAACCTGGATTCATGGCAAAACTTCTTCAATACCCCTTCCGGATCCAAGCTGGGCTTGATGAACGCCATTTACCAAATTGGTAGTTTGGCCAGTTTCCCATTCGTGTATGTGAACTAATCAATTCGAGTCCACTCGCACAAAATGTCTACTTATGCTTTTGCATACAGTCCCTTCATGGCCGATCGCTGGGGACGCAAGCTCCCTATCATCATTGGATGTCTGCTGATGATTCTGGGTGGATTCCTTGGCGCATTCTGCAAGGACTATGGAAGTACGTATCTATATCAAATTTAGATGTATTTGGGCGGTTGCTAACTGCAATTCGCAGTGTACGTCGCCGGTCGGCTATTCCTCGGTTTCGGCAACAGTCTGGCCCAGATGGCCTCCCCGGTTCTTCTCACGGAGATCTGCCATCCCCAGCACCGTGGCAAGGTCACTACCATCTATAACTGCCTGTGGAACCTTGGCGCGCTAGGTCAGTATCATTATCTTGGTTATGCGTTACACTACTGACCTCAACCAGTTGTCGCATGGATCGCATGGGGCACGATGTACATTAACAACGATTGGTCCTGGAGGAGCTTGACTATACTCCAGGTTTTCCCCGCTGTGATCCAGATCGCTCTCATTTGGTGTAAGTTTTCAAACAACCCTTAAACAGAATCCGTCTAAGTAGTTCTTAGGGGTCCCGGAGTCTCCTCGTTGGCTGGTGTCCAAGGAGCGATATGATGAAGCCCTCCAAACCCTGGCCTACTACCACGGCAACGGTGATGAGCACAACGCGACCGTTCAATTCGAGTACCGCGAAATCAAGGAGACTATCCGCCTGGAGATGACTTATCAGAAGAACAGCAGTTATCTGGACTTCATGAGGACCCGGGGTAACCGCTATCGTCTGGCTCTCCTGGTTTCCCTGGGAATCATCTCGCAGTATAGTGGCAATGCTTTGTTCAGCAACTACACCAGCTTGATCTATAACAGCATGGGTATTACTGAGCAGACCAAGAAGATTCCGGTATGCTACCTTACATAACTAATCCCCTCATCATAATTTCTGGATAAAAGCTGACAATGTCTCTTAGCTGAACGGTGGTCAAACCTTGTTGAGTCTGGTGGTTAGTGTCAGCAGTGCATTCTTCGTTGACCGAGTTGGACGACGACCTCTCTTCCTGATTTCCACCGTGGGCATGGTCCTCATGTTCCTTGCGTGGACCGTCACTTCCTCTGTATATGAAAGGACCCAAGATGTCAAGACCTCCGGTTATCCCCAGGTTGCCTTCGTTTGGCTGTTCTCCGTCTTCTACTCCATCGCGTGGTCTGGACTGCTGGTCGCCTATTCGCTCGAGATCCTACCGTATCGACTGCGTGCCAAGGGTATCATGATTATGAACCTGACTGTCCAAGCCTCTTTGGTTCTTGGAAAGTAAGCTGCCCCGCTTTCCCAGCTGACATTACCGTACTGACTGAGGTGTGCTAGCTATACCAACCCGATCGCATGGGAGAATCTGCCCCACCACTGGAACCTGTCACTCATCTATACGGTATGTACACTTATTTCCAAGAATATTCTACCAACCAACGTGGGACCCTTACTGACGTCTTACTAGATTTGGATCTTTGTTGAGTTGCTTTTCGTGTATTTCTTCTATGTCGAGACTCGGGGACCTACTCTTGAAGAGCTGGCCAAAATCTTCGACGGCGACGATGCAGCTGTGGCCCATGTTGATTTGCATGAGGTTGAAAAAGATATCCAGGCTAGTGGAAATGCCACCCATCACGAGAGAGCTTGATTTTTCTGTTGCCTGAGTGCTTTTCTCTAATGGGGATGCTGTTCATGACCCAAAGCTTACCGATCTAATTATACCCGACTTGTTGGATGAGTTTAATGAAAGTGTTTAGGTTTTCATACCTGAAAGGAACTAGCCATAATGTGTTGTAGAGACTTGAAGTATGACAAATCTCCTATAGTTAACTTATCTTCTATAGTTACTGAATAGGCAAGTGTCAAACAAAGTTCTTTTCTCAAATCATTTCTGCCCCCACTAAGCTGATCCCTTTTCTTAGACCGAAGCCCCACGCCCAAAGCTTAATAGCAATAAGCCCCCCTCATAGCCTCCCACTAACAATAAAAGTGCACATTCTGCGATCGGGTTATTGCACAGCCGCACTCACAGCAATAAGATGACAATAATGTCACAATAATAGCGTTGGTGGTGGCTGGTTTACCATGGATCGAGATCCAACAGTACACTATTCCCAGATCACACATCATACATGCTGTCACCATCATACCAATCCACCCAAATTGGAGCGGGGATCGTGACCTGGCCATTCTCTTTGGCCAACTAAAATTAATTCCGCAGTCGTACAGCGCCTCACACAAACGAGTTCCTTGAGCTTCCGCGATCATGCTGACAACTAATCAATGGCTTTGCAAAGGCGGTTGGCTGCGCTTGCAGGAAGCGCCTTCCCCAATGATGAGCCTGCCTGCTGAACCCGACCGTTGACTATTTACAGGCCGTGATGCCCTCGTTTTTTAGTCTCTATATTCATACATTCTCACATCCTTTCCCTCTTCCTTGAACACTATCCTTCAAGATCCATTCTTCCCAGCTCTACTTTGACTCTTACTATCTCGTATTACACACATCCTCTATACATCATCAAGATGCGCATTCTCGATCTTGCTGTTGCTCTTTCGAGCCTGGCAGCCTTCGTCGTGGCTGCTCCGACCTCCCCTGGGAAAACTCAACTGCCCGATGGAATGCCTTCCCCGAGCCCAGACCAGCTGAAACTGATTGAGCAAAATGCTCATGGAACTCTGCCAAACGGTCCTCCTCCGCCAGTGATCAGCAGCGATGGCATTGTGAACCTGCAGTTGATTGCATTCAACGAACTTTTCGAAGTGGCATTCTTCAACGAACTGATCACCAACATCACCAACAAAGTCGAGGGTTATGATATTGACGATGAGGAGGATCACGTCAAGGCCCTGGATGCCTTGAAGGCAATTCTTGCTGTATGTATGCCCAACGCTTATGATCAGGCCTCCCATTGACTAACCTATTTCCCCTTGCAGCAAGAGGAACTGCATGCCCTGCGTGCCAACGACGCCTTGGAACACTTCAAAGTGAACCCTATCCAGCCCTGCCAATACAAGTTCCCCGTCGACGACTTTGAATCTGCCATCGCACTCGCTGCGACCTTCACCGACGTCGTTCTGGGTACCCTACAGGATGTCGTGGAACGCTTTGCTCTTGGGCGCGATGTCGATCTCGCTCGCGAAATTGCCTCTGTCATCGGCCAAGAAGGAGAACAACAGGGATGGTTCCGTGTACTCCAGGGCAAGATCCCAAGTGAATTGCCCTTCTTGACTACCAGCGACCTCAACTTTGCTTTCACTGCTATCCAAGGCTTCGTCGTGCCGGGTAGCTGCCCCAATATCAATGAGATTCCACTGAGAACTTTCGAAGGATTGGAGATTCTTACGCCCGCTGGCCCTCTCAGCCAAAATATTACTATCCAGTTCGAAGACCCCAACAATGAGGCGGAGCATTTGCTGTGGTTGACCTATATCAATCAGCAAAACTTGCCGATTGTTGAGCCCATCCGCGTTGTCAGCCGGAACGGCAAGGAGGTTAAGGCAGAAGCGCTCTTCCCCTTTGACGATAATGAAATGAATGGCTTGACCATTGCTGCAGTGACCAAGACTGACGGTCCATTCAGTGATGCGAGCAGCGTGGCTAAGTGGACACTTGCTGGGCCTGGTTTGATCATCGTCAATTAAACTGGGGCTACACTTTTTTTTGCTTGGATTTGATTACTGGACATCACGTTGGTAATTGCATTGGCGGGCACTTGATTGATATTGTTATGAATGAGATCGATGGCGAGTCTGTGTGAACAATGGCTTTATGTTTGCGAGCGATGCGTATATACTAATTCAAACTTTCCATTCCTTAAATATTTTTTTGTCTCGCGATGAAATAATACAGTAGCAGACCGAGGTGTGGAATCGGAAGTTCCCAGCTAAGAAACACTTGCAACACTACAAGCAAGACTAGCAAGAAAAGCTCCCCGGGCATACATGAATGGAATATACGAGTACTTATTGTAATGGAGTGAGTAATATTATAATGCAAGAGAGAATCTCAAGTGGAGATCTCACTATGACAAACTAAATCAGGATGATAGGTAACACATCCGATTCGAAAATATCACCCCTTATTTAGAATACACGAAGAACATCCATCCTTCACATCCACACAACCACAGCCACAGCCACAAGCACAAACTAGACCTGTGCTACATCCCATTCCAACTCAAGCTATAAGACCAGCTTACAGCTTACCCTGACCAGCGTTAGCATTAACGCTGGACACCACGGAGGTGTAAGCAGTAGCAGAAGCGATGTTCTGGCCAGAGAACTTGGAGAAGAAGCCGGTGTCAGACTGGCTGAAGGTACCGGAGCTTCCGAATCCGTTGATCTGGCAGACACGGCCGAGGTAGTTGCTGCAGGCGGTGTTGGCGGAGGTGGAGGGCGAGGTGAACAGCTGGCCATCGACGGGAGACTCGACGACGGTGTCGATGTTCTGGAAAACGTTGCCCTCGGCGAGAACGTAGCCGCCAGAGCCGATCTCGAAGGCGTGGCCGGAGTTGTCGTACCAGTAGTTGTTGACCTGGAAAGATGAGGGGTTAGTCAAAATCTTGCCCTTTTTGTTGGATCCGGCTACTAGGAGGGGACTTACGGCGTGCAGGAGGGTGCTGCCCTGGACCTTGGGGGCACGGCCACTGGTGTGGTAGATGTAGTTGCCCTTCATGGTGACGTAGTCGTTGGAGCCGTCGAGGTAGATACCCCAGTAGTGGTAGCCATCGCAGGTAGCAGAGTAGCTGGAGGAACCGTCGATGTAGCTGTTGGAGATGGTCACGCGCTTGGAGGCATCGGTACCCAGTACAATGTGCTGACGGCCAATGCGAGCAGTGGTAACGTGGTCAATCCAGACCATGTCGCTGTTATCGATGGTGATGGCATCCCCACCCCAGACGTACTTGGGGTTGATATCGGTGATGGCGATGTTCCTGGAAAAGCGCCCGTCAGTGGAATATTCTCAATAGCTGATTCCGGGGGTGAATACATACTGGATGATAATGTTGCTGGCACCGCTGACGATACGCAGACCCTTACCCTTGATAATACCGGCGGAACCCTCGCCGATGATGGTCTTGTCGGAGGCAACGGTGATACCGAGAACACCGGCGTTGTCGCTTGTAGACTGTCAGTATATGCCATCCGCTTTCCCGTGACATGGCTATTCCACTTACTAAGAGACCGAGACGGAAGGAGCGCTGGACTCGTAGTTCTCGCACCAGGAGTTCTGGTCAATAGCAACCTGGCAAGCAGACGCGGTACCCCAGGGAGCGCAGCCAGTGCCGGTGGTGGTACCCTCGGTGCCACGGAAGTCAAAGGTCTTGCTCAGGACAATGACACGAGCCTCACTATCACCAAGGTACGAGACCAGCTCGCTGGTGGTAGAAGGGTAGACGGCAGTAGCGGAGCCACCACCAGTAACGCCCTTGGCGAAACCCTCGGCGGCGCCGGAGACGCTGACAGCAGCAGCGTGGGCAGCGAAAGCTGCGAGCAGGGCAGTATACTTCATAATGACAACGAGGGCCCAAGGGAGAATGATTGAAAAGAGTGATAGGGTACGAGAGAGCTGTCAATCGGGGCATACAGCACACATCTTATATAACCCCCCAAAGGGAAGGGGGGCTACCGGATGATGAGACCAACATGGACTGCCAAACAACGGCAGTAGTAGTAGTGCCGCAGAAGTTCTTGGCTTCGGAATCCACAGCTATCCACCATACACTCCTTGGGCTAGATTTAGTCTTCTCGTGTTTCCGAAAGTCAGGGACCACAGGGTATATTGGAGCGACGCTGACCAATACCTACCGCCGTTGAACCGGCGAATAGGCACAGAGCCTAGCCCACCGATAATCGTCCATGAGAGGGAGGAAAACATGTTCCACCATAGCCGCCATTGCGGAGTAATCGCCAGGGGCAGTTTAGTTCGATTCGGACGACCGGCTGGCGGGGAGGGCAAGGGTGGAGAGAGCCAGAGGCCCACGTAGTTTGAAGAGCTGGGCAAAAGCTGGGCAAAGCTTCTGCGCCGGTGCAAATCGTAGTCTCGTACCAGAGGAGGATCAGTAAGGAGTAGTTAGCACGCGGTCAAAACTTGATCAAGCCACGTTGGAGTACGGAGTGCATTCCATGAAGGGCGCTAGCTTTGGTAGACGGCGAATAGGCAATTAGGCTCGGCATGGCGGACACGAAATAATAATTCCACAACTCGAAATTGATTAAAGTGCACGCCGGTGCGGTCGCAAGGCGCCACCTGGGGGTCCGTTGGAGGATCAGCTCGGTGCGTGAAGATGTTTCACCATGAGAATCGGCGGTGCCCCACTCTCCTCGATGCAGTACTGATTCCGTGGTCAGCCCGGTCCTCACTCTAATTTAAGGGTGAACTCAGTAGTACCAGAAGATGTGTCCAAGGAAAAAGAGACAGACTTGGGTAATCCGGAACATCTCCGGCAATATACCAGTGTCTTTGAGTTTGATAGCCTTGTTGTACTCACCACCCCTGGATTTTCTTCCGGCTGGGCTATGGCGGGTATCAGCATCGGGCAAGCTCAGGGCTGGTGCGTTTTGCAATTTTTGAAAGTCAACGAGTACGAATTCCTCCGTCTTGGCATATATTCTGACGGACGTGAATCCTCTTCGTGGACTTGGCCATCATAATACGGGACTCCCCCGTGCAAATCAAAGTTTGTCGATCATTGGCACTGAGGGGTCTACCTAGGGAAATTTCGCGTCAATGATATCAGATCCCGGGAATGCGACTGTCATTCGAGACTCGAGATTCCCTCGAGTGATCTGCAATCCCTACCGGATTCTGGTTAGCGCAGTGCGGTGGACAGTTAATCCATTTTCTGATGATCCACACACGTCTACAGTATCAGATGGATCAGATCCACCATTCACCTCTTCTTTCACTTTCTCCAGTCCTGAATAGGCTTACTGTAATTTCCACCGGAAATTGGACATTCATATATTCTGCTTAGTCCTCGTGGGCCACCATATAGCAATGGTTATGGCTTCTGGAAGGTTTGATACTCCACCCTCGGACACGCTGCCCGCATGTGGAAATGCATACTTTATTGAACAGGCGGAATGGGGCGACTGACAGGAGCGGTCAGCGTGGAAGTTCCTTGTTCATATATCAGTCATATACTCACTGGCGGTGATTTAAACCGGAAGAAGTAGGAGTTGCTTGGAGATGCAATATCAAAATTCCCAACAGAATGTCTTGTGCACAAGACTGAAAGAGTCCAGAAATTGCAAGCGGGTGCCGACGGAGATATCCGAGAGCTCACAAGAAAGAACGATAGACCTCGGAGATGCAGAAGTTGCGCCACAGATCTAGAAAAGGGAAATAGGAAGCGATAGAGAGGATGGGTGGAAATGCCCTTGTTCAAACATACCCTTGTGTAAACCTGCGTGCTTATCATCCTGCAGAAACCGTCAAAGTCCTTGAAAGGCTTGATCACCCCATATAGTCAAGGTACAGATGAGAAATCCTTGCCAAATGTCATCACTACGTCCTTACGCAATCCTACCAGCAAGAACCCAGTCGACCTTTTGAGACATTCCAGCATTATGAACGGCTTATCGAACTCGAAGTATTTGAGCTAGAATATTCACAATAGAAACAGACATCTATCTAGCTAGGAAAGGAAATATCAGTCGGATCTGTCCGCAAATCCTTCTCCGAAACTCCCTTTATCCACCATAGATACAGTGGTGTGAACCATTCAAGGAGCCGGCCGCCAATAGCTCCGATATCGTCATTAGACTTCCATCCAGTCGACGAGACTTTATACAGTTCTTCAGTCTTCTTGCGTTGCAAATTCTCGTAAAAATCAAATGCGACACGAGGAGACTCGCTCCTGTAGTGAGAGAGTATCAGTGACAACCGGATTGCATCCTCAAAGGCATGACCGATACTTTCTCCCTTAGGTGGCATCTGCAAAGAGGGCAATTATAAGTGACAGTCTTAAACCAACGAGGGAAAAATCGAACCACTTACCGCATGGGCAGCATCACCCAGTAACAAAACACGATTCGTATGCCACCGACCATTCGGAGGTAAAACATAGATCGGATAAAGGGTCCAATCTCCAACCTTCTCAATCATCTGGGCAATCTTTGGAATAGGAGAATTCTGCGTCCTCCTAACACCCTCCAAACGAACCCTCTCCTGGTCTTTCCCAATAGACTTCCACCCCTCCCGCGACCCTTGCTCCTCCATCTCCATCAAAAGAACCGTATAAATTAAGCTCCGAGCATCATCACAGAACGTCGTCAAAGCAGACCCATACCTCGACATCACAAGCGCAGTATCCTCAAAGAACGGCTTCTCCCCTTCCCCAAACAACTCCTTCACCTGAACAAACCCATAAGCCGCCGCCCATCCAGAGTAACCCGGTTTCCGATCAGCCTCGACAAACAAGCTCCTGGTCGCTGAATGAATCCCATCACAACCCAGCACCATATCCCCAGTATCAACCCCTCCATCCTCAAAGTGAACACGAACCTGATCAGAAATTTCTTCGATTCCAGTCAATTTCTTGCCATACTGGATCTTAACCGTGTCCAGCCCTTCTGCAACGCTCAACATGGCTTTTAAAAGCTCGAATCGCATCACTCTCCACCCCTTGTACCCGCCAAGCCCGCTTCCGTCGCCTGTATAATCAATGGAAGCGATTTCGCTGGCAGTTCGCATTGAAAATATTTGGATCGCGTCTACTTCACAGCCGAATCGCATACGTTTCAATTCCCCGAATACGCCGAGCTGGTCGAGGCAGCGTAGTGCTTTTGGTGTGAGATTTACCGGGCCGCCGAACGTGCTGGGTGCGTCGCGAAGTTCGTAGACGGTTATTTGAGGCTGCACTTCGTGTGAGGAGAATGCTTGTGCGATTGCTATTGCGGAGGCGATGCCGCACATTCCACCGCCGATAATGATGATCTTTTGGCCTGGGGTTGCCATTGCGATAAAGGTTGAGGATGGGGTGAGGTGGGCTGTGGGTGCGGAGGTATGTATAGATTGACGAGTTCCGAAGCTTGTGAAGTGGATTAAAAGCTTTGATAAAAGAATCTTGAAAGGAGTGTTAGTGTTCGTAGGGTGAGTTGGTTGTTTTGAGGATGCAGGTGGTTCCATGCAATCAGAGGGCCTGGAATACGAACACGAGCGCCCGCTGGACGCCATTCGTGTTCGCTGATGTGAGGATTGGCTTTCCGCTTTATGGTAAAGAAAAGTAAGGAGGCTGCCGTGTAATTGGCATATTGGTGCCGTAGGTTGGGATGTACCATGGTCTGTGTTGGTGTTACCAAAACAGCCAGCTGCCTACGGGAATTTAGAGGTGTGAGGGGGAATGCTGGTCGGGGTGCTCGACATGGTAAACTCGATGTCTGGAAACTCTGTATCATATATTAATTAAGCTCTAGTCATACATAATGCTCAACTATACAGTGATTTATATGCAACAAATCCATGCTCTCTTTATAATCTCTGCGAACTTTTTATAGCCACGGTCAGATCATTTACATGATGACAGGCAAGTTGCGCTGGAGGTAGCCGCGCCACTCGGGGAGAGTGCGCTGCCACTTGGTGCCAGAGGTCTTCTGGAGATCCTCAATAGCACTGGCATACTTAATCAGAGTGGGCTCCGAGAAAGCAGTGTTCATAATAGCCAGACCGTAAGGCATGCCAGACTCCGAGCCGGTACCGGCGGGGACAGTGATGACGGGATAACCAGCCTGGGCGGCGATCTGAATGCTCTGGGCAACATCGGGAGGAACCAGAAGACCGTCGAGGGTGCGGTTACCGTGCTTCAGAGCAGCGTCGATACCCTCCTCACGGGTGGTGCGGCGGCAGTACTCCAGAGCGGAGAAGTAGGTCTCGTTCATGATACCCTTGCTCTCCAGGGAGGCGATGAAGCCGTCCTGGCCGGAGCCAAAGGCAGGGTGAATGCTGGGGAAGCCACCCTCGGAGCCGTAGTTGTCCTCGTTGTACTTGACGAGATCCTCCAGGGACTTGATGTTGGTGTTGTTGACCTCGGCGAGGTAGTCGCGCAGGTTGTTGTAGAAGTCAACCTTGATGTATGAGTACTCGGACTCGTTGGCATAGCCACGGGTCGAACCGTAGTCCCAGTTCCAGCCATCGGGGGAGACGATGTCCTTGTAGTGGGGGAGCTCGGTACCGTTGATGATGGTCGCGCCGGCGGACTTAATCAGATCCAGCAGCTCCTCCAGCTGAGCAATCTGCTCGGCGTCGCCGAGTGCCCAGAAGGACTTCCAGGGCAGACCGAAGACGGCACCCTTGAGGGCATCCTTGTTGGTCAGGAACTGGGTGTAGCCACCCTTGGGGGTCAGACCCTTCTGGGCGAGGGTGTAGTTGTCACGAGCATCGACACCGTAGATGGCGTCGAGGGTGTACACCGCATCGCGGACAGTCTTACCAAAGGTACCAATGGTATCCTGGTGGAGAGACTCGGGGATGACACCAGAACGAGAAGTCAGGCCAACGGTGGGCTTGATACCAACAATGGCGTTTCTCTGAGCGGGGTTGATGACTGGAAAAAGGGGTTAGTGATTGGTGGTAAAAAAGAACACATTCACTGGATAAAATCACATACCACTTCCGTCGGTCTCGGTGCCAAGAGCAATAGGAATTAGGTTAGCACCAACGGCCACACCGGGACCAGTGCTGCTACCACCGGGGTTGACAGTGAAGTTGTAGGCACTGCGGCACTGACCACCACGAGCAGTGAAGCCCTCGGAGTAGTTGTTGGAGCGCATATCAGCCCACTCACTCAGCGCACCCTTACCCAGCAGGAGAGCACCGGCCTTGCGCATACCGTGGACAACGAAGGAATCGCGGGGCACGACGCTGCCGATCAGAGCCCAGCAACCAGCGGTAGTCTCCATGCGGTCCTTGGAGGCAATGTTGTCCTTGACAATGAAGGGAATACCGTGCAGGGGGCCGCGAACCTTGCCCTGAGCACGCTCATCATCCAGCTTCTTGGCAATGGCGTGAGCATCCGGGTTGAACTGCAGGATAGCGCTGGAATATTGTCAGTTCTAGTCCGAATCATACGAGGGCCAATTTGCACTTACTTCAGGTAAGGCTGGGTCTGGTAGATACGGTCGAGGTAGCAGTCTAGCAGCTGAACGCTAGTAAGAGAACCATTGCTCATACGCTTCTGAAGATCATCGACACTGGCCTCCTCCAGCTTGAACCCATGGCAGTGACGCATAGGGAACAGCGAGGCGCCAGGGGCACCCAGCTTCGGGAAATCAAAGGCATAGGGGTCGGTCAAGATCTGGGACGCGACCAGCGAGTCGACCTCCTGTTTATGAGGGACTGCGATGGCCGATCCAGCAAGGGCAAGGCCGCTCACGAGAGCCTGCAGCGTGGGCGACATGGCGAGTTGGATCAACAAATGAATCGAATGGAGGAACCCCACCAGAAAACCATGTGGCAGGAGAATACGACGATCCCAGGGGAGCTTGGCTTCATATACCGAAAAGTCTAGTGAAACCTTCCCATACCTTACTGGCCCTCCTGGAGAATGGATTCGTGACTAATCGAGGAATGTTGGCCCACTCTCGCCAAGTTGACCTCGCTCGACTTCCAGTATGGAGTCCATTCTCCTTCGTTTACTATCTTACGGTCGCCTCGTGGGAACAAAATCAATAGTGCTTGCTCAATATGGAGTATTTCCGAGTGGCTATCCTCCTCATTGGCCCTCATTCACTCTTGTCGGAGCAGATATCCGCGCGGAAGCCTCGGAACGCCCGTCAAGACCGTCGATGCTGATGGAGAGGGGTTTGCAAGGGGCGTTCGAGTTAAACCTTCATTGACCAACCAGGAGGCCCGTCTTGCGCCCGTCGGCGTTATCTTCGCCTCCGGCCCTCTATCAATCACCGTTCTGGTCTTGCACAGTGAAATCGCCCTGAAATTCTGAACAACCTTGTGGGGAAAAAAACCTTGACCTCCTGCCTAATCGTGCATAGCTCCCAAGTTATGAAGAATCTTCGGAGTTTTAGCGACCCACGGTCGGAGCCGGATCTTGCTCTTTCGATCGCTTCCACCGATCTAGGCCCACTCAGTGCCCCATTCCTGGCATTCCAGTCCGTTGACTGGTCCAGTCCTAGTCGGACTGTCCTACCAAGGCGAATCTTAGTCTGCACTAGAATGCTGATGATGACACCGGCGGAGTGGGAATTACGCGTTAGAAAATTTCCTGATAGGTGACTTGTAGATGGTCAACTCCCAAGCTTGGCTTTTATTAATATGCTTTTGGTATACTTTGAAGATACGAGAAATAACTCATTCGCCAAAAATCTAACGGCTCCTTGGCTGAACCGTAATTATTGTACCTGCATTTGCTCACAGAATGTGAGATTTAACTTGAATGGAAATTTCTATTTGGCTAGAAAAGACTGTGGTGATATCAGCACTCATGCCCGGGGAGAAACCGAGATTTCCGTCGAGAACCACGGACCAGACTCCCGGTACAGCGCCTGTGAATGCCCGCTTTTGGGTTTGATTGATCTGGAACAAAAACCCAATTAAGCTCCACCGGTTCCTGTTTCTCGAAGTCTCGGCAGACTCTCGGAGAAGCTCCTCTTCGATCTCGTTGGCCGCTCGCCCATGAAGAGTTGCATTGTCGAACACGAAAGACCCGCTTCCGCGTCCACTTTCCTCTCCGTACTGCACTTTGTAAGAAGTTGGAACTATTCTTCTCATCTCAAGCTCGAGGTCAATCGTTCATTATAGCTTGAATACCCCTCGCTCGACGCTCGTTAATTGCACCCTCGTTTTTTTGGAGTCCCGATTGCCATGTCTCGTTAGACCCGACGAATCCGTGTCATGCCATTCTTTTGAACGATCAGTCATGGCGATTCCCGAAGATATTCTCGCTGCAAATGCGACGGGGAGAATTCCCGATGGCATCTCTCTGTCCTATCTCGCACAGTCGCGGGACCACTCTGCTATCGTGGGCATCTTGTTCATGGTCTGCTTCGCCGGCTTGCTCATGCTTATACGTCTGTATGCGCGGTTGTTCTTGGTGAAGAAACTTGGTCTAGATGATGCATTGGCCGTCCTCACTATGGTATGTGCACTTTTCAGCCCTAATCGACTCCGGGGTTGCCCAGCGTTTCGCAGGTGGAGCATCGCGATGATCAACGTTCCGTGCAAATTATCCGTACAATCCGTGCATCAAAGATCACCGACTAACTAGATCACCAATTTGCAGATTGTCTACATTGTCTTCGTCGTTCTCTCGGTCGTCCTAATCAACCTGGGTAGTGGTCGCCATATCGAATACATCCAATATGTGCTCTCCCTGGCCACCGTCCGCAAAACAGAAGTTCTCGACTTCGTCGCCCACATTCTCTATACCACAGCCCTTTTCCTTTGTCGACTATCCGGTCTCGCATTCTACTTCCGCATCAGTGCGCGCTCAAGCAAGCTACGACTGGGTATCATGATTGTCGCTGGTATTATTACCGCCGCCTATTTGCCCCAGATTTTCCTTTTGATCTTCCACTGCAAGCCCGTCACTGGTCTTTGGCCTTATGCGTGGCAGGATGAGCCCATCACCTATAAGTGTCTTTCATGGGGATTGGTCTACTCTGTCAACTCGGGCGTCTCTCTCGCTTGCGATGTGATGATGTTCGTCATCCCGGGTATCTTAATTAAGGAACTACACGTCTCCTTGAAAAAGAAGATCAAGCTCTCTGTTGTCATGTTCCCTGGTGTCTTGTGAGTGCCTCCACATATCCCAGCTCACCGGACATATTACTAACAAATGCCCAGTGTAATCGTCATCTCCGCGGTCCGTGTCTGGCTGGTCGTCGTCGGACAGTGGGCATCCGACGGCAGTTGGGCCTACAACCCCATGCTCTGTGTCGAAAACGCCGAAATCTCAAGTACCCTGATCGCGCTCTCCGTCCCCGCCCTGAAGCCCGTCTTCGGAAACATTTTCAGCCACTTGACCGAGTACACCTCCAGCCATACTCGCTCCCGCTCCGCTGGCGGCCGACTACGAAGCCAATCGAAGCCCGTCAGTGGCCTGGGCTCCTCTACTCGTGACGACAAGAGGCTTTTGAATTGGTCTAAGCGCGGCCATGATGATTATGAGATGATGCCCTCTGAAATTTCGGTTACTCGTGATGTCCACAGTCGAGGCTCTTTGGCTAAGACGCCTGGTATTCGTGTCACGAATGAGGTGAACATTACGAGGGCAGAGGGTGAGAGGTCGCCTTCGCAGGCTTCTTCGAGGGCATCTGCTTCTTCTTCGCGAGCGACATAATGGAACTATTGCATGTACACACATATATAGACTAATACGCTAAAAGTTTTTCTTTGATTATTGTTGTTCTTTTTTTTGGAATGGCTATGCCGACTAAGGTTGGATTACGAGTTTTTGTCTACCAGTGGCCAAGTATATATCTCAGGCCACACGTACTCCGCCCAGCCAAACCCCACGTTTCAACGCCGAAGAAATTACCCCTTCCACAAGAACAGAATGACATTTCAGTAGGCATGGTAATTGCTGAGAATTTTCACTTAAAAGAACACTTCCCTGCTTGAGGCAACGCTCAAGGCTCGGACTCATTGGGCCTTGACATTCTCGGCGACTCTTCCCAGCGACCGAATCATACGGCACGATGCCCGTTTAGGTTACAGCAGGATCGCTGCTTAGAAATATGCGTGCTTACCAACCTATACTTGGCCAGGGAGGCTCAGCTAACGTGTCTAATTAATTGGATGATGCATGTTTCTATTACGACATTGTTTAACATTCGAGGGTATAAGAAGTCCTGCTTGGTCGCTGTCGAGTAGCTTGTGTTCCAGTGATCTAGCTCCACGCCGCGTCAAGAAACTATCCGCGATACGTCCACCCCCGAAAGAGCTTACTATTGAGAACTGAAGAATTCGGAAATTGGTTTATTATAACTATCTTCACTATGACCTTGAAGTATCTCGTCACCGGCGCTACGGGCGGTCTTGGCTCTCAAGTGCTGTCCTACCTTATTGCCAATGTCCCCGCATCACAATACGCAGCCGCGTCTTCAAGCGAAGCCAATCGCAAGCGATTCGAAGACCAAGGCATCGCCTTTCGCGTTGTCAACTACGATGATCCCCACAGCCTGGAGACCGCTTTCCAGGATGTCGAGAATCTCTTGTTTGTGAGCACCAACACTTTCGACGTCACAAAGCGAGAGAAACAACATCAAAACTTCGTGGATGCGGCGAAGAAGACGAATGTCAAGCATGTATGTCTGCAAATAGAATCCGTCCCATGATTGTAGAGACTCCATCTAATCTCCAAACCACAGGTGTGGTATACATCCCTTGCCTTTGGCGGGTTCGGGACCTCCGAGGCAGATGTGCAAAGGGCCCATCTGCTGACCGAGGAGATGATGCGAAAGTGAGAAAGCCCTCCCTAGCTGGCAATGGTAGCGACAACATAGCTAACCAGTCGGTCAGGTCTGGAATCAATTACACCTCCATCCGCGAAGGCCTTTACACCGAGGCATTCCCCGTCTTTATGAACTGGTATCCCAGCACCTCAGTCATGCATCTTACGACCGATGGACCGATTGCCTTTACTCTGCGCACAGAGCTAGGCGAGGCGACCGCCCGATTGATGATTCGAGGAGGCCATGACAAGGAAATCGTCCTGCTGACAGCTCAACAAACCATCAGCTTCTCCGAGATTATCGACGTGATCAATGAGACGACGGGCCGAAAGGTGCAGGTAGAATTCGTTTCTCCGGAGGAATTCGTGCGATTTAAGGCTACCGACGACGAAGGTGGTAAACCAGAGGCCTTTTTCCAAAAGCTAGAATCGTGGCACGAGTCAATTGGCAAGGGAGAAGCTGCCACGACGGATCCGTTGATGGCGGATTTGCTGGGGAGGGAACCCACGCCGGCCCGTGAGGCGATCCGGGGATTGTTAAGGGAGAATCGCGACTATGAGTGGCACCAGAACTATGTGAATCGGGGTTAGTGTGGTAGTAGGCAGTATGGAACAACAACCAAAGATGACAGGGTTATCATTTGCAGGCGCTGTGATTTGTTGCATGTGAGTGCCGTGGAGGGTTAGTAGTGCCAGTGCACCGAGGTAGCTCAGTCTGAAGGGACGACGGGCATTGGTTCGGCCGGGGAAACGTTTCTTGCTTGCTCGGCAACCGAGTCGGGAGTTGCTGCCTTGCAGCCTGAGGCGGTCGCGTGCTGGAAAAGGCGAGAATTGTATATAGAGACAGGTGATATGGCGATAATGTTAGGATATAGCTTCAATTGTACCTGGTCGATGTTTCCTCTCATTTTAAATATGTTAATTGTCCCCCCCTCTATAGAACTACTCATCAATCGGCAATTGAGCAGCGGCAATACTCACAGCCATTGCTGGCACACAGGAAATCCAGGCGACGCCGTGTCCGCCCGACGCTTGCAATTAGCCCGCCCGTGATTGGCCCATGCACGCTGACTCAGCACGTTGCCGACCCTCAAACCCGAGGTTAGTATGCCGGACTCCTTGACTTCATTTTGTCGCCATCAGTTCTTCCTTACGGTGATTCCAGGCCTGACTCCGCGGCTCCCGTCTCCATTGTGACCCTCTCACTTGCTCTCACGTCGCTATTGTCCGACGTGCTTTGAGATCGTCTACTTCGACAACGTCCCCCACGGGTGGAACTCGCTTTTTCACACCTTCTCCATTCGCCCGCCATGGCCTCCCTCCGCACCACCTCCCGCCTCTTCGCTGCGTCGCGGCCGTTGTTCCGGCCCGCCAGCTTTGCTCGCTCCTATGCAACCGTCGAGGCTAAGAATGTCGACCCTATCCCCTCCGAGAACCCCAACATGAAGACCTTCAAGGTCTACCGCTGGAACCCGGACACCCCGACCGAGAAGCCCACCATGCAGAGCTACCAGCTCGACCTCAACAAGACCGGTCCCATGATGTTGGATGCCCTGATCCGCATCAAGAACGAGATCGACCCAACCCTGACCTTCCGCCGTTCCTGCCGTGAGGGTATCTGCGGTTCCTGCGCCATGAACATTGACGGTGTCAACACCCTGGCCTGCTTGTGTATGTGCTTCAATTTCCCTACAGACCGATCAATTCGAGGTCAATTCGATATTTTATGCGCGCGGATTGACTAACATTTCATCTAGGCCGTATCCCCACTGATACCGCCAAGGAGTCTCGCATCTACCCTCTGCCTCACACCTACGTCGTCAAGGATCTCGTTCCCGATTTGACCCTCTTCTACAAGCAATACAAGTCGATCAAGCCCTACCTCCAGCGTGATACCCCCAGCCCCGATGTGAGTAACCATTCCGAACAACCCGCGATCGTCGTTATCTTTCAGATACTAATGCATTGAACTCTGTTGTAGGGCCTTGAGAACCGCCAAAGTCCCGAGGACCGCAAGAAGCTTGACGGTCTCTACGAGTGCATTCTGTGCGCCTGCTGCTCGACCTCCTGCCCCTCATACTGGTGGAACAGCGAGGAGTACCTCGGCCCCGCCATCCTCCTCCAGTCTTACCGCTGGCTGATCGATTCTCGTGACGAGAAGACCGCCGAGCGCAAGGCCGCTCTCGACAACAGCATGAGCGTGTACCGCTGCCACACTATCCTGAACTGCACGCGGACTTGCCCCAAGGGTCTGAACCCTGGTCGTGCCATCGCGGAGACCAAGAAGATTTTGGCCGCTTAGATCTGGATATAAAAATGGAGTTGGAGATCCTCATTTTTTCCTTTCTGTCCCTATGTCTTTGCCAGCCTCTTTTCATCTGTTTCCCTTGTCTACTATCTTAACTTTTTTTTTCTTCAACCTGTTCCGGATGTCTCAATAGGTGTATATTGTGGAAATTTGATTCTTACATGAATGCACTCGTGATCCATTAGATTGATATCGGCTTGTTCAAGAAACTTGGTGGTCGGAGCTTTTTATTCGGCTATATGGATCTCGCCCTTGCCGAATTTCTGTCGCACAGCATACCCACCATTCCTCCGCACTAATTGGCACATGTCGATCTGATTAGATCTAATTTTTTGGTCGATCGACATGTTCCTTGTCATTCAATATTTCTTTTGCCCACGATCGTTGCAAGACCCGCTACTGGCTACTGGTGCATATTCCCCGGTTATTTGTTTTCCATTATTGAGGCCTGACGGCTAAGGCTGATATTAGCACGTGATCTGATGCTCCCCATCGACCAGTTGGTCGATCACTTAATCTCCTAGGCCGCAAAGGGGTAAGGATCATCGATCTTCGGGCATCGATCAAAGAAAGGCCCTCGTGGCGTTGCTTTTTCTGAACCTGGTCACCCTGCATCATTCCAATAACTAGGGCTGGACCGGCTGGTACCTCGCTTACATGATTTGTCATAACCAACGGCGCTTCGGTGACAGCATAACTAGTCCAACAGGTGTGGATCTTGTCATGCATGTTTGGCTGTGCCTTCTCTCTAGCCCATCGCACATTCCAAGTTGAATGCGGGACTAGCCGCGATCGATGCGAGACCAACAGCCTCCGAAAAGGTTTATTTGCCATGCAGGGCGCTTCTCGAGGATGCTATCCTCGACCAGGATTAGTACAGGGAGTTCCTGGGCTTGTGCGTGCTCACCATCACTGCATTATAGATGCATTTCTTTCATATAGGGAGGGGGTGCGTAGCCCCCAGATGCAATATCACGAGAATTTGTAACCAGTCACAGCCAGAGGTCTCCATGTAGTCCAATTAGGTCGAGTCCGTGAACTCCTGTGGGTTTTCTTTGAACGATGGAAGTACCCCTCTCTCTTTCTTTGTTCTCCTTTCAGACCTCGTTACCTCTTTATCGTTGATATTGGCCCCAAGTCTTGCCCCCGAATCTTTTGAAAGACATAGATCCAGCATCATCATGTACGACTCCGTGGTTGTCCCTGTTATCGGGGCGATATCCCTGATACTAGGGTTGCTTACAGTCATTTATCGACTCTATGTCCATCCACTGGCGGGATTTCCTGGTCCTAAGCTCGCAGCTGCCACGTTTCTCTACGAGTTCTACTATGATATTATCAGGGGGGCATGTATATCTGGGAAGTTGAGCGGATGCATGAAAAATATGGTACGTCTGCTAGTTCGTTAGATGAAACAGCATTTACACGGTAAATGTGTCAGATGAAATGACTGGGGACGACTAACATGCATATGCATGTCCAGGTCCAATCGTCCGTATCAATCCTCGAGAGCTACACATCATAGACCCGTCCTACTACGATATCATTCATGCCGGCGGGTCTCGTAAGCGAGCCAAAGATCCCAAATACGCCGTGGCTTTCGGGGCGCCAAACTCGCTCGTTGGGACCATCGATCATGACCACCATCGTCTTCGTCGCAGCTACCTGAGTAATTACTTCTCAAAGCGATCCATAGCTGGTCTGACACCGTACATCCATCAGAAAGTCGATCAATTAATCCACCGCTTCGAGAATGCCTACAATCAATCCACGGTCCTTCACTTACAACTAGATTTTGCGGCTTTCACCGCAGACGTGATCACACATTATTGCTATGGCTGGAGCTATGGATACCTGGATGATCCCAACAGTGCACAAAGCAACGACCTCGTCGACGCAGTTGCAGGGTTGATGAAAATGTTCCACATCAACCGCTTCTTCCCTTTCCTGATCACCATCTTCTTGGCCGCGCCGCCAGCAGTCGTTCGCTTGTTACAGCCGCAAATGGCCAGTCTATTTGATGTCAAAGCTAGACTGCGACAACAAGCCGAGGCTACTCTCTTGAAGAAAACGGCCGGAGATTCTGACTCGTATTCAAACGATAATATCTTCGATGCCCTGGTGAGTCCGAGCGTGCCGCCTCATGAGAAAACGCTGGATCGGCTGGAGGATGAGTCTGCATTGCTCCTTGGAGCGGGCACGGAGACCACTGCAAGGGCTATTGCGGTGTCGATGTTTCATCTAATGAATAATAAAGAGATGGGACTGAAACTGCGCGAGGAATTGAAGACTGTGTTGAAGACTCCGCAGTCTAAAGCCTCATGGACTGACCTTGAGAAGTTGCCATATCTGGTAAGTGTTGCCGTGATCCTCAGGATTTTTATTGAAAAGTACAATAATGTTGACTATTTTTTGCTTTAGACCGGTGCTGTCAATGAAGGCCTTCGTCTGAGTCACGGTATGACCGCTCGTCTAGCTCGGATCTCGCCCACTGAGCCTATGGTCTACAAGGACTGGCTCATTCCGCCTGGAGTAAGTTGGCAGCTCTTCCAGATTTCAATGCTCATGCTAAATATTCTAAACCAACCTCAGACTCCAGTCAGCCAGTCAAACTATTTTGTACACATGGACACCAATCTATTCCCCGAGCCGGAAAAATTCGACCCCGAGCGATGGGTTCGTGCTTCGGAAGAAGGCGAGTATCTTAGCCGATTCATCGTCGCATTTACCAAGGGGAGTAGACAGTGTTTGGGAATCAAGTGAGCCGCGCATTCTGTCCTAACACAATATGTCACAATCATATACTAACTGAAAACTTCATAGTCTTGCCTATTCGGAGATTTATATGACTCTGGCTCACATTGTTCGACGTTTTGAATTTGCTCCATTTGAGACTGCCGTTGAAGACCTGGCTGTCTACCGAGAACAGGGTGTTGGATTGCCAAGGCGCGGGTACTTTGGCGTGAAAGCCATTATTACGGGTATTGTAGAGGAATGAGCGATGGATTTCATTGTACCTTTCTGCTTTCAATAATGGATACAGAGTTATAGGGATGGGGCCGTGCTAACCGTTTTGAATATGATCTTTTCAGATGTCTGCCAGATACTGCAATACCAATATGACCACAGTTTTACCAGAAGCTCCTAATAGTTTTGGTCGAGAGACGAGCGGCTCGGTGAAGGAGGAGAGGGATAAATGATAAACACGAAGAGGTTGGATTTCTCTCGTAGTTTCCAGCCATTAGAACTACCAGACCCATGGTGATATGTCAAGCAAGACGATTACTAGTCATCCAGGGCGCAGTCCGGTGGAATTATACTACGGTAGTTTTAAAAATCAGCTAAACCTCAACACTCTTGCGACTTGGTTGTCACAAAAAAAATATGAAATGCGCTCTGTGTTTTAATTTCATTGCCTTTGAATTTCAACAGAAACCGCCCTTTTAATGGCCATCGTAGAAAGACAGATGAGCCATCGCTAATACTGCACTCGGTGTGGTAGAGTATCACGTAAAGATTCATAAGTCGTCCACAATCTTCACAGTCGGAATCTCGAGATAGCTTGCACATGCTCCTCCCCACGAGACAGAGTGCTCCCCTTCGTTACGAACAGGGAAAGTTCCCTGCAGGGCTTCAAACTCGGCAGGTGCCATGAAATGGCCCGAGACCTTCATGACCAGTTGTTCGCCCGGTTCAAACAACATGCCCGTGGGCCAGATCTCAATCTCCAATCGCATTGGCTCTCCCACCTTTATCGGCAACTGCTTCCTATGCGAGAGCGTTTTCCAGTGGGGTTTCGATAGTTCTTCCGCGACATCTCGGTAAGATGCCCTCAAGATACCATGTGGACCAAAATACTTCATTGGATTTGTCAAAGGAGCTTCTTCTGCAGAGGCGACCCCCAAATCATGGAGTGGTATATTGACATGCTGTAGAGGCTTTCCATTCCGGTCTGCTTTTCTTAGATGCACGTATATATCCATATCTGGTCCGTTCTTTGTTTCAACATAAATGACAGCGCGCGACGGGCCGAGAATAGTTGTGCGCCGAGGGAATGTGAATGAAAACTGTATTTCTCCTGAGTCGTTATCCCTTTGCCAAATTGGCGCAAAATCGGCTTGGTAGACCGATTGACCTGGCTCTTGGGGCTGAGCCTCTGTCAAACGGCCTTCTGAGTTCAAAAACAATCTTTTGACTTCAGTCTGGCAATGAGGCCAGAAAGGTTCCTCGAAAGGAATATCAGTCAGTGCCGGCTGGTTGAATGGAAGTACAGTAGCGCGCACACGCGGTGTACTCTCCCAATTATTATGGGCTTTAGTATAGCAGTCAAAGAAAGCGGCTAATTCCTGAATTCTCTCCGGAGAGTACAAGTCGTACCATTCCTGGGTGCCGTGGATCACAAGCCTAGAACTCGATTAGTGTGAAACTAATGGCAAAAGCGACCGGAAGGATTGTCACCATTTCTTATCATGAGGAATTTCTTCATATCCTCGGAAAGATCCTAGAGTGTGAAGCATAGTTGAATAGCTGGCCAAAATGTAGGCAGGGACCTCAATTTGGTCCAGTTTTGCTCTTTTATCCTCCCAGTAAGAATTCGTAAGGACCGACTCCTCCGCCATTGTCACGATATCTTCCACCTCATTGCGGCCTGCCTCTTATTAGAAAGACACGAAGCTGAATAAAAGCAAAAGTTGATACGAACCGCACAGAAGACCTGATAACGCGTTCCAAAATTGCAACTCGGGAATTCCCCCTCGACGAAACTGCTCCCGAAGCGGATCACTAACGCCTTCAAGAGGAGCGATACAAGCCAGATGTGGCGGTCTTTCAGCAGCAATAAACCACTGCGATATGGCCAGCCAGGAGTTTCCTAGCATGGCTACTTTGCCATTGCACCATGGTAGAGCTGCAATCTCCTCAATAGCGTCGTATCCGTCTTTCCCGTCGCCGGAACCCCAGAATCTCATGGATCCTTCTGAGTCCATCGCGCCTCTGGCATCCACGTTGACAATAGCATAGCCACGTGGGACCCATTCAGCAGGGTCAGGGCTAAGTGATATTTCAGTCTAAACCTTCAAATGTGCAACGTCAAGCTCCTTACCCCTCGAAACTCTCATAGCCGGAGAGTCGGTTTTCTGCTATACCAACTCGTAGCGGGAAAGAGCTGAGATTCAAGTTTCCTGGTTGTAGCCTCAAAGTCAGGGGGTTAAAATATTGCCATAAACCCACTCTCAAACTCACCACTGCCCGATTTCCCATAGGGGCCCCAAACCATGATAGCTGGTACAGCAGTCTCATTGACGGGACGATAAATATCGGCGTATATCTTAGTTCCGTCACGAAGGCAGAGGGTTTGATCTCGCTCAAAAACCATAGGCTCATGAAGGGCTCGAGAGTTTTCTCTTCGCTTATGGCCCACTGGCAACAGGGTGACCGATGGATGAAATCCCGGGTATGCCTTAGACTCTTCCGGAGGAGGGAGAGGACGCCAGCGTATTTCAACGTCCGTAGACTCCATGATCACGAAAATGAGACAACAATGGGAATATGATGAGAGTTAGATTGAACGACAAATATGATAAAAGGCTAGCAGATGTGGCACTGCTAATATATTTATAAGGGACATTGACCCGGCCAATGGCGTAACCTACATTGCGGGGTGACTGCTTTGCGGAAAGCCTCCCGCCGGTACACCCCACATTTACGGGCCCTACACAGTAATCTAGTGGAGATAGCTTCAAGCGTCGGCGGGGTGTACCATCACTTTTTGGCGATTCATCAGGTTTAAGTTTTGCGGGGATCAATTTATAAATTATATCCCTTCATCCGAAAATACGACTTGCAGAAACATTCCCAAGATCCACTTCCAAGCAATCCTAGCGCGGTTTGGTACTTTGAATGGATCCAAAAGCCATTCTCATACTGTGGGATGTAACCATGGTCTAGAGTTTATCCATAAGGAAGGTAATAAAAGTCTTAAGGTGCATAGGCGCTTCCTGCTGTCGTATAATGTGAGAGTCTACTCGACAGTGCAGACCTCTGTTGACTGGGTAGAAAGACCAAGTTATCTTGAGAGGTTAAGTACAAAACTGAATCTTGGATATTATCCATGATAACAGAATGAATAACCGTTTTACTTCTGAATTCCTCTAGCCAGGAGAGCCTGCTTCTTTGTTAGTACTCTCTGATAGCCAATAATAATCATCATATCTGAACTTTTTTACTTTGTCCATCGTAAATCGAATCTTTTTTAGAGATCATCGGGTACAAATCGAATCAGTCTCTATAAGCCGTCGAATACCAACGAATCATTATAGCTCAGTAGCTAGGATTTATAGTGCCCTAGTAATCATTAACTTATTATAATGGGGACTAAAAAATTTCTGGCCTAATTAACCAGATGAGTCATTTCTTTTGATCAAATCCTTAGATGACGGTAGTAGCAATTCGTGAAGACTTTGAATGGTCGTCGGTGGCGATTCACCCTCAAACAAGGCTGCCATATTTTCTCATCTTTGGACCCAAGCCAAGGAAATTAGAAAAGGTGACAACGAATAATGAATATAAATTATAGAGGTATTTCTTCCCAATTTACTTGTGATAGGTCTCTTAAGTAATCAGTATGTCGACCGACCCGGGATCACACTCACTGAGCAGTCCGTGAGGGACACTGATCAGGCCACTGGGTCTGAGTCTGGACTAACATTTACTCAGTGATTCAGACTCTAAGTGGTGGTAGCCTAGGAAGGAAAGTCCCACCTGGTATAGGAAATGAAGTCGGTAGAGGGAATGTAGATCCACACAGGGGCGGGTAGGTATTTCCCGAGTAGGTCCCATGCCTAAAGAGAGAATCCAGGTAGGTATAGCCCGCGTAGGTATAGCCCGCGTAGGTATAGCCCACGTAGGTATAGCCCGCGTAGGTATAGCCCGCGTAGGTATAGCCCGCGTAGGTATAGCCCGCGTAGGTCTAGCCCGCGTAGGTATAGCCCATATAGGTATTTCCCGTTTGTTAGCTTTGTATGTATTTAAGAGGCAGCAATTATGCGGATTTCTCGAGATTGGCCAAAAGCGTTGAATCACATTACCTACTTCTCGTATCATGGATGTTCTTCTTGACGTTCTCGACACCTTTGTGTTTGATCGATTCTATGCAGCGATATTACCTGATACCGCTCCAGACTCTAGGGCCATCAATCTGAGCCTCTTGAACCAACATGTAAAGGTATATTTTCCCTTGGAGCCATCCAGTCGGGCAGAAGCCAGCCTGTTGAAGCGAGACAATATGGCGAGACAAACATTATCACTATTTTTGATGATTTGGTATGTATCGTCAACCCTGCGTTGGAAATATGAACCGTCTATTAATATTGTTTCTAAATAGGTTCTTCGGCCTCGCCATGTACCTTGTAGGCAGCTTCATTATGTACCACACGGTGTATGACAAGCGCCTTCTCCAGCACCCCCGATACCTCCCAAGCCAAATCGAGCAAGAGATCAAACAAGGTCTATCCGCAATGCCCGTCATGGCTATCCTCACAGCACCTCTTTTCCTCGCGGAGGTGCGCGGGTGGTCCAAACTATACAATTTCGCAAGCGAGGCTCCCTTCCCCGGGTACAACTGGTTGCAATACCCCCTCTTCATCTGCTTCACCGACAGCGGGATCTATTGGATTCACCGTGGTTTGCACCATCCTCTTGTTTATCGATGGTTGCATAAGCCGCATCATAAATGGGTCGTTCCGACACCTTTCGCGAGCTATGCTTTCCACCCTCTGGATGGATGGTCACAAAGTTTGCCATACCATATATTTCCCTTTTTGTTCCCACTGCAGAAGGTCGCATACTTGGGGCTCTTCATCTTTGTCACAGTCTGGACTGTACTAATCCGTGAGTCCCCATCATTACTGATCGCATTGATACCCTCTAACATAAGCAAGATGACGCCGAGTACCTTTCCACATCCGAGATCATCAATGGTGCAGCATGCCACACAATGCACCACCTCTACTTCAACTATAATTATGGCCAATATATCACAATCTGGGATCGACTTGGGGGTACATACCGTAAGCCCGAGGAAGACACATTCATGCGGGATCAGAATCATACAGGGAAAATCATTGATAAGGAGGATTGAGGATGTGGCAAATAGGGTTTCTAAAATTTGTCGCGGGTTGTACATATGTATATTGCAATGATTATTAATTCATAACTTCATGAGGTGCTCTGATAACACCATTGAATGAAATCATTCAGGTTCCCTAGTTCATCAGTCGCGGTGTTGTCAAGATATGGGAAGCTCTTGTCGTGCTTGTTGGTAACTTCCAGCGTAGCGTTTAAAAGCCACCAAAGTTCTTCGGCATGTTTAGGGTAGCCAAGATGCAATAATTGCTCTTTCTCTAGGGAGCTAACAACCGTATCCCAGATCTGTTTCCAATTATCGGCAGCTTGACTAATCTTTTCGGGCGAAAGATACTTGAGCAAGCCCGACCGGGCCTGGAATGCGAGGGATTGTATAGCTAGGATGGTGAGATCAGCAACGGGGTTGCTATTTCCGAAAATGTTCTTTGCTTACCGTAGATTAGAATGAGAAGATGCTCGGGGGATAATGACGAGCTCCAGGGTGTTGGACCAGTGGTTTTGGGCGTTTCAAGTAAATGCTCCACAACCTCACTCAGAGGAGGGAGAGGCGCGTCTATTGAATGAGCCACGGCGATATTACTGAAGGACGCAGCATCTTCGGCCTCCCATAGCTCAGCGCTCCAGGCAAAATGACAGTCCATCTCAAAAACCGAGAGTGCTGGATGGTTTTTGAAACAAACTGTAAGGAATCCGTCCGCAAGGAAGACCCAACATGCGATTCTTGAATATAATCAGCTTTGTGGTTCTAAATAGAACATGAACTCGCATCAATGACTTACCTGATACACATCTCTTCCGCGACCAGCATCCTCCACGTCCAGTCATCACATACCCTGGGTGCCGTGCTGCGCTTTAATTTGAGGATTCCAAGGGACCTTATGGTAGAAACCAAACAAGGATGTCGAATTATACGGATGCGACGTCTGGTTTGGATATCATCTCGCCCAAATTGCAACATTTCCATGATAAGGGCGCTTTGAATCAACTGCACCGTAGGCATCAGATGTGTGAGATCTTTCGGGGATGATGCAATTGATAAATTCGCAATTTTTCGGAAAATATACTCCTCTGCCACGTCGAATATCCATGGTGAAAAATTCGCGCCGTCCATGGGAAGGCTATACGCTGCACCGGCCAACGAGATAGCCAACAACAGTGGATTTGAAATACTGCCAGGGTCGAATGTTGGGAAATGCACGATTGGCAAGTGCCAGTGCAAAGATTGGAAGAAAGCTGATATAAAAACTGAAATATTAGATACACTCAGCATTGCAGTCAATTCCATGAGCTCGAGTGGTTGTTGATTGTCTATGGGCCCGTTGATCATTGATTTTGACGTTTCAACCAGCTCATTCGTCAATTGAGTAAGTTGATTGGACAGTTTCGACGGGAATAGAATGTCGGACGGGTATTCAGAGAGAAGGTAATCTGTGGATGAAGCAAGCTGGGTGGGGAATCCTGGTATCTGAAGATCACCAGAAAACGCTGCTAGTGGATCCGCAGGCACAAGCGCATCTTCAAGGTGGGAGTATAGATTTTCGAGATTTCTGCGTATGGAATATTTCGCAGTCTCTCCTATTGCAAGCCTATCTTTGTGTACAGATGGGCTGGCAAAGTGTCGAAGAAAAGAAAATGGGGCCCCACCATTTGCCATTCTGCGCGGAGTGCTGCTGATCAACGGTGAAGAGGACAATGAGGGAGAGACAAGTACAGAACAAGGATTGTCAGTAGATGCTTCAAAGCTGCATTGTTTCCCTAAATTCTGGCAGCGAGAGCAAGGAAAGCTCCGATCACAAGCCGCCTTTGCCGAGAAGCATGCCTGGCAAGATAGCCGCTTCCTGCCAGGTCGAGCTGGAGGAGGCAGGGGCTGGTTGTTCTTTTTGGCACATATTTTGCTATGTCTTCGAGTTACCTCCCTGTCTAGAGTCAGTAAAAACTAAATTTCCAATCACGAAATACGTTGATGTACGGTTTCTGAAATGACTTATTGCAAAATGGGCAGCGGGAAGTCAGCTGGGAGTTATCTGTTGCCTTGTTAACTAAGAGCTCGACGTGGAAATATCTCGGATTCTCACGTGTACTCTCATGGCGCACCAGATGCGTCTTTCTTTGGTATGCTTTATCGCACTGCGAGCATTGAAACATGATATAGCACCGGCGACACGACAGTTGATGGTTGGAATCTCCTAACCCTACCTAACTGGGGAGGGTTGGGTCACGTAATCCATCAGTCGAGTTCGGAACTGTCGGGCCCGGTTTTGCCGACCTACTAATCCAACGACTGGTAGGGACCGCCTATGAAGGATTCAACAATGACTTTCGCTATTTTCCATTGGAAATAATATCATCTTGCTCCTTGTACTACTTGTGGAAGTAACGCAATTGGAATTTCAAGTTCGGTCGAGAGTTCATGTATATTTTGTTCTCAAAGACATTACCTAGTGGATGGATCGGGTTGGCTGCTACGCTTGGATATATATATCTTACCTAGCTGTGCGCCCGCTGGTGGTACTTCCTGAACTATCATCGTTAAATACACCTGACAACAATCAACGCGCAATTTGATTCATCAGAATTGCAGCGGATGAATGTCATAGATATCTCTTTAAAGAAGCCCGTGTTGGTATCTGAAGTCTTTGTTCGGATCTATGTCGATCTATATTGATCTACTCTGCATCATGCTGCACTAAGTTCCCCGTGAACGTGTATAATCATAACGATATCTTGAGTTAATGGTCATGCTTATACAAGCTTCTTAAAATAGAAATGTCTGAATTTAGCCTCTTCTTTGCATTACAAATTGGATAGAACGTCTACAAGCCTAAAGGCGACTTGACGAAGAAGTAAACTAGTTATTTCTTTGGGCGTGATTGTCAATCAACCGGTTATGCCTTGACCGGTTGCAATGAAAGAAGGTTTTTGAGTGGCTGGCAAGTCCATACTGCCAAGCCTGTCTTGACAAAGGCCAAGGGATGCTTAGACAGCTACCTCGATGCTTAAGTCGATCCATCACTTTAACGGGCTCCATCAAGGGTTGTGCGCTGTCACATCTGTATCGGACGAACAAGAATGTAAAAGTCTTCCGACGGGCCAAAAATAGAAAATAAGAAGACAATAGAGAGACCATTGGAAATAATGGCCGGTAGTAGTGCTCGTGGAGCTCACGGCTGGCTTGCAGCATGAGGAGGCTGGTAATGCAAGGGGTTGCCCAGGTTGCCTGGAGAATGGGCCCCATCGTGCCTGAATATCCCTATCCCCATCTACCATACTCACTTTGTATGGACGTTTATTCTCGAAGAATAACACCGGTAAATCATTTTAACTGGTCAAAACACCGCAGCTAAGTGTCAGTCTAAGCGTGTCACATAGTCCCAGCGGCCTGTCTTAATATGTCCAGAGCCATAGAGTCCTCTACATAGTGATGACGGCGATGGTAAGGAGTGGTCGGTGCTCCATGTGGCTACCATTTGCACAGAACTATGCGTATTATTTATCAACCACCCCCTTCTGCCAGTTAGCTAGTAGATGTATATCGTGCTCGCCTTCCGAACCCAGAAATTCGTCTCTCAGAAATGCAGGCGTCTTTTTAAGAATCGAAAAGCTCAAGCTTTATAGCAAAGTCCAACCACTAGGAGCCTTGACAGGTAACTCTAAGGCTGATCATTCCACAGGCACCACTCATGATTCGCGGACATGTCGCTAAATTCCAACCACGTCACTAATTCTCCATACCGGGAGGGCTTGCCCGCCTTATGCTATGCTACTCTCGTCATCCTTTAGAGCCGACGATGATCTTTATCAATGCGCATGTGTCCGGCATGGAGGGTGCTACTGACAAAAAATCATAACAAACCGAAGATCACTAACCTCGCCAGTCTCGTCAATCGCGGCATAAAAGCCTACACGCCCTTTGATCCTGGTTGCAAATCTCTTTTCCGACCGTCTACACTCCTTAGTATTTCTCAGACAGAGGCTATTCCGGTCGTTCAATCCCTTCGATATGCACACTTCTTACGTTTCTCTGGTGGTCTTCGCCATGGGCGCCGCTGCCGTGCCAAACCTGCCAAAGGCAGCTGGCAACCCGTTCGAAGGCAGCTTCCCTTTCATGCCCTCCGGAAGCTCCAGCGTGGAAGATGGCGATAGCATGTCCAACCCGGTTCCTGCTTATATGGCTGCTATGCAAGCCGTCGAGGAGGCACAGGCAGGTGAATACAACAACCCTGCACCCACTCAACAGGCGGTTCCCTCGTCGATGCCATTCCAAGAGACGCCTGTTGCTCAGCCTGCCGCCCCCAAGCCGGAGAGTGACGGCAACCAGGAGTTTGATGCACCCATGGCTCAGCCCTCAGCGCCTTCGCTGAACAACCCTATTCCTGAAATCCCCGACTATGCTGTCCCGTCATCCATGTCGTCCGTTGTTGCACACGTCAAGCCCAGCCCAGCATTCTCAGCTGTGTACGAGTATTCCTCTTCTATGTCGATCATGGTCTCCGTGCCAGCCTCTTCGTCCATGGCTCCGATAGTGATTGTGGCTACCCCTGCCCCCGAGTCTATGCCCGTGGAGATGGCTCCCATCACCATCAACCCAATGCCCGTACAATCTATCGTGCAGACTCCAATTGCCAAGCCCTCTAGCTTCACCACCCGTCCCATTTTGAAGGCCTCAGCCAACATTCATGGGCAGCATCTCGCTTCTATGGCTGCAAGCTCCAGCGTTATGCACGCTACTCCATCCAGCTCGGCCACGCCTACGCCTAGTGCACATGTTGTCGACGATCCCTCTGGCATACTCAGCAAGGTTCCCCTTCTGAGTGGTCTTCTCTCTGGCCTTGGACTTGCATGATTGAACTCGTCCTGCACTTGTATTTGAACATATCCATCAAGGGATAGAGTCGGTTTACTTTTCTCGAGGGGTTATTGATACCCAAGCAATTTTTAATTGAAAAGGTGTTGGAGTTGGATCTGGAACCGGGCTTACATGCTTCTATTTCTTCAATATAACCACATTGAATAGTCTGAATACAATTCTATTTCAAAAGTAAACTCGCTCATAATTCTCTTATTCTCTCATGGGTATCTTCCAGTTGCTCCGAGCATGTCCATGCACCTCTCAACTGCCTTCTGCATTTCGTTCGTAGCCTCTTCCAGCAGAGTCGTCAACGGAACCTTGCCGGCCTTTTCTTGTTGCACCTTGATGTACTCATTGTTCAAGACTTTGTTGATGTTGATCTTCGATACTCCACAATCAATGCACTTCTGGAAGATCTCCTTGGTGAATGGATCCGCACCATGGAGTACCAGGCGCACCTGCTTGCCAACCTTATCATTGATCGATTGCAGTCGGTCATACTCCAGCTGGATACCACGAGGCCCATACTCGCCGTGGACGTTTCCAAAAGCGGGAGCTAACCAGTCGATGCCAGTATCCACAAACTCCTGAGACTCTTCAGGCGTCGTCAAGAGACCCTCCAGGTCCACTGTATCTGCCACTCCGTCCTCGCCGCCCTCGATGCGCCCGGGCTCCGCCTCCGTTGCGATACCCCGCGCATGGCAATACTCCACTAATTCGCGGGTCAAGGCCAGGTTCTCGGCCTTCTCGTAGTGGGACATGTCCACCATGATACTGTCGAATCCACCAAGGTCAGCCGCCCGGCGAATGATTTCGGGAGTTTGAGCGTGATCCATGTGCACGGTGACAGGGACCGATGCGTTGCGGGCGGCCTCTGCGGCGGCGTGCACCAGGATGCCATCGGCATAGTGCACAGCCCAGGGGAACAGGAGGATCATAGCTGGCGAGCGCTTGGCTTCTGCTGCTCGGACTGTCGCTAGAATGCCCTCCACGTTGTAGCAGCACATTGCGGGCACGCCATAGTGGTTGTCAGCGGCATGATCGAGGATGCGCAAGGCGCGGTTGTCTGTGAGAGGCATTGCGGCGTGAAGAGGTGGGATGATGGTGGAGGAGGAGGTTAAAGGAGAAAAAGTGAATGAGGGGTAATCTATAGCAGACCTTCAGCTGGAATCCCCCCACGCTGTTATATACGAGTCGTCGTTCTGTCCGAGTGTTGCGGAAAATCGCATGTTGTCCGAGCCCTCGGAGAACGCCCGAGATAGGCAGGTTACGTCAAATTGACCGCGGCCCAATTTACCCCCACCCCCACTGTTCAGGGTCCAAAACCGCCGAATGGAGGGATCGGCCGAGAGTATGCCGGTTAGTGCTGGTTCAGTGCCGGCAGAGTGGAATGCTCTGCTGGAAAGGGGTTGGGTAGAGGTAGGTATACGAGTGGCAATTCGACATATTAAAGGAATTACGAGATTCGAAGATGAAGGATTCGGTAAATGAGGAAATGGGATTGCAAACATGCAATTAATGACTATAGACAACATATGGGATATCTACACTAAATTCCAAACATTTTGATCACACTAGTACTTCCTTCAGCACCTAATCCTGATCTCTTAGCCATAAGCAGCACACTCAGAGCAGCATTGCCCAGATTCAATGGACAGTGCAGATCCCGTGCTTTCTGTACGCCCTTCTCCAGGCGACTAATAACATCATCGACTGTCTCGGAGTCCTTTCCAATGCGGCCTTCGATCATCTCCAGTCCCTTGGTCATAAACTGCCGGCTAGCACCTGCGGCATCGCTGACAAGCGTAAAGAATTGCTTGAGATCAACATTGAGGTGATGGGCAAATGAAATAGCTTCCGCTGCAGCCACGAGGTTGGTCAATTGCATGACATCGAGCACGAGCTGCAGGGCTTCAGCGTTCTCCTCGGTGGATTTAGTGTTGGAAACTTTGGTGATTGGTTCAGAGTAGTATTGGCGAACCATGGACGAGTCATCAACAGGGCCATAGCCTTGGAGCAAGGCAGAAAGATAGACTTGCTCGGCCGTGGAGCAAAGTGGCGTAGGGAACTGGTTCTGACGAGCGGAGGTAGTAATGATTCCCTAATACTCGTGTTAGTTGCGAATTCTATAAAAAAGGAAGTCAATCAGACACTTACCACATCCTTGAGAATAATTGTCAACGCACTAGCACCAGGGTGCCAATCCTCTTCCAACATGCGCTGCAAGCGATTCTCGTGCATCCACGTCCATGAATCGGATGACTTGATAGCATCTGCAGTCTTTGTTGCATCCAAACCCAACTGAGCAGCGAAACCCATAGCCTCACTAGCACCGAGAATGTGAATACCCGCCAACACCTGATGAACCATCTTCATATTACTCCCGGCACCGATCCCTCCAGGAACGAGATACAACTTCTTTGCGTCGGACATGGTCTCAAGCAAAAATTTGCCTTTCTCCAGTGCAGCATCTGACGCACCGGCCATGATAGACAAAGTGCCATCAGCAGCGCGCTTAGCTCCACCAGATACAGGAGCATCGATGAACTGAATGTCGCCACGACCGCGTGATTGCAACTCAGCCGCGACGGACTGGGCATATGAGGCAGGAACGGTCGAGCAGAGGATAAGAGTCGCATTTTGAGGGAGAGCTATGGACCAGGTCAACACTTTTTTCCAGCCTTCCAATTCAGCATCCGTTTATACATACCAGAAACAATGCCACCTTCGCCAAAGAGCACAATCTGCACCTGGGGTGCTGAAGCGACCATACAAACATAGTAGTCTTTCCCGTTGGCAGAGTCTTGCAGTGATGAGGCCGGAATTCCTCCCGCGGCCTTGAAGCGCTCCACTGAAGCGGGGAAAACATCGAAGCCGTGAACGGGGTAGCCCTCTTTTACAAGATGGGTGGCCATGCCGAAGCCCATGGCTCCAAGGCCGACAAATCCAACAGCAGGCTTAGACATGATAGGAAATCGGTAATTGATCTTTGAGGGAATATCGAGGAAAGAGCGACAATTCTAAATGAAAAGACAGGAAATACGACAGCGCGTGGGGGTATGAGGGGCTTTTCTGGGGAAGCCTCCGCGTGGGATGTTCGGCCCAAGTCCGACTGCCTGAGCGTTGAGTGCCCGCCCGGACCGAGTGGTGGCATAGACTCTAGTAGCGCATGGTTAATTCGGGAAGCGACTTGATTGAGAAATATCGGCTAAAATGCATGGGTTGAGTGCACACTATGGACGTCAATCCATGGCAGGGGTCTCTTGATTTCGCTATTGACCAGTGTTCCTTAGTCCTTCTCGGCCGAGATACATGAACACGACAAGATTATATGCCTTTCTTCTAATAGAGCTATGCCCTTGGGCATAAATAACATCGGTTTATACCAGTGAATATGCCGAGTTTGGAAAGAGGCTCCAAGGTGACAGAATAATGGTGGCTCAATAAGGGAAACTATCGATACTATTGTTTTTGTGTGAAAGCCACCATTCATATTGGTTTCTAAAGTAATTATAATGAGACATAAGAGACTAGAATCATGACATACCTCCCATAGATTTGTGTTCGGGAAAACTTAGTAGAAAAATGCTAGATATCACCAGGGGCGCGGCTCAGTGAGCCCATAACCCTCCCAATGATCGTCACAAAGGGGCCTTCCTAGGGTCACATAGGCCTTGTTATGAAGAATTTCAAGGGCTTCCTTCTCAAAGACCTCCTCGTCGAAAATGTCTTCAACGATGAAGTCCAGGGACAGAAACTGAGGGGGCTTGACCATTCTCGGGGGCGCTAGGCAAAGCATCGGGGTAGCTGGTCGATCGACCTCCGGCGCAGAGTCTCGCAAAGACGGCAGCGATACATCGACACTGTTGGATACTAAATTTGAGATCAAAGGTGAGAACATCTCCGCAAACTCATCGTCAGACTCATCGGGCAAATCACATCCACCATCTGAGTCGTCGTCGGTATCCGAGTCGTCATCAAGGAAATTGAGATCATTTGGACTGCGTACCTCGCTTTCATAATCAAAGTAAAAGCTATCATCTGAAAGGTCGAACATTGCCTGCTCAAGCTCATTGCCAGCGTATGCCAGTTCAAACTCAATCGGCGACTCGTCGTCGGACAGGTTGAGGAAGCTTGTTGCGTAGAGGTTTCTGGTGTCAAGGCGCTCTAAGGGGTGAGCACATTCGTAAATGCCAATAGGAATAACACCGTGCAAGGAGTTGCAAGATCTTCGGACATCTACCTGAGTCGATGAAGGAGAGATGTCTTCCGCCGAGGTTTGTCGACGCAAAGCTTTGCAAAGGTCAGCAATAATTTCCTCTTCGCTAGGAAGGACTTGGGGCATTATATCGAATTGTTTACCCGTATGTGTTGGAGTCTCTGGCCAGAAGAAAGAATTGTCTGGGCACTGCAAAACATCAGCCACGGTATTAGTGGGAGAAGTTGTTTCGTTGGGACCTACTCCGAAGCTGTCAGTCTCCTCGTCAGAGCTGTCCATGAATTCGGAGCAGTTGTAGTCATCACAGTCACAGCAGTCCTGATAGGTGGATGGGTGATCGTTTCTCTCATCCTTGCCACTGAAATTGGTGTTCATATGACCAGAAAGCTCAAAGATTGGAGCCTTCGAGTTTAAGCCCTCGATGGTACGATGTTTCGTGGACATGGAAGCGTCATGGACACGATGGGACGATAGCTCAAAATCGCACTGACCGCAGGTGTCAGACACAAGTTTTAGCACAAGGTTGTGAGTAGTTTGGATCTTATCGCAGTGTCCGGACAGACCTTCCCGGCTCAGCACTCGAAGGGTGTTGGTATACTCCTTACAGCTGTTCACGGTCCAGTTAGCGATATGCCCGCAAGCGGAATAGTGGTGGTAAGTGTAAAAACACATTGTTATGTTTGATTGCGGTGATTCAGAAGAATGATGATTGTAAAGATAATGATGCTTGGCTGTAGTGGAATAGGTTTGAAGATGAGATGAAGAGGAGAAGTTGCAGTTTGACTGAGGAAGCGATTCCTGCGTCTTAAATACACCGCGACTGTTGGAAACAAGTATCTCTTTCAAAGGCAGGTATAAAGCCATTTGAAGCGACATTTTTAGTATAAGACAAAGAGTTGCTTTAACTTGTTGGCAACGAAGCCATTGTGTCGAATTCTTCAAGGCCTTTGATTCGAACTTGACAATGAACTAAGAATAAAGATTAGTGTCATGGTTAACAAGACTTGGTAAGAACACGCTGAACAAAGCAAATAATGGGAATACTATAGCATTGTATGCGAGAACAAGAGGAGTTATTCTAATAATAGCTTGAGAAGATCCGGTCTTTCTCAGGTATTGGTGATGATGCCAACGCGCATAGCTAGACATCGACAAAAGGACTGTTCACGCTTTCAAAGTTCAAATAAACGATATGTACATCAAATCGCCTTAGCTTTCCATCTCCATCAAGTACTTCACACCAGAGTCCAGCAGCCACCAAGTCGCCGTCTCATGCATCCAGCGCAACAACGGCTTCTCCAGTGGCATGGCCTGCTTCTCATCGGACCGTCTCCACATCAAAGTCTCGCTGGAGAAAACCACCTCATTCTCTGTTTCCCTAAAGCTCAGGGCAAGGCGACCGTTGATAAATTCCATGTTCTTCATAGTCATCTCAAATTCCACCTTGTTCTTGGTACGCGCGATCACGCGATACACGCCACATGCAAGCTCTCCATGTTTGAAGTCCAGAGATGAGAGATAAGACGTCTTGAAGCTCCGCTGTTCCTCTGGAGCTCGACTGACAAGCCGGATCATCAAAGCTTGAGGGAATCGTGTAAAAGCCATCATATTGCGACGGACTAGCTTAGTGAAAAGTTGCTCCGTAGGAACATTCTTGGGCAACGCGTCGCGCGCGACAGACTTTGATGAATGATCGTAGAGCGCAAAATATTGGTCTGTAAAAATATCCCCCGGGATAGATTCAATCTCTATCGGTTTCGGAGATGGCGCTGATAGCTTTCCGCTATGCGACTTGTGTTGGATGCGCGATGACAGCCTTTGGTGGAAAAGGTAGAAGTATACCGCAGAGCCGCCAGTTATGACGGCGCTAGCCGTGACTATGAAGCGCATCATCGTGGCTAGAATGTGTTTGTTTTTGCTCTGACTTCTCCGACCTTCGAGGTGAAAAGTGTCGGGCAATATAGGGCGCAGAGAAATTTTGACTGGTAAGGTGACCGCATCATCGGATCTAAGCAACCACCGAACACGAGGATGTCTTGGCGTCATGCGCCACTCACGCGGACACATGGAATACCTTTCCCAGCCTATCATTATATGATAAAAGAAAAGGATGAATGCTTTTTTCATCTTTATTTGCTGGTTTTCCAAAGAAAAAGGTCATGGGACTTAGATATGTTGATATAGAACAATCATGAACCTCACTAAAATAACGAGGCGTATTCCTCCCAAACAAAACGCCGCGACGGCAATATAACACGAGTGGTATCACTTTGGAAGCGCAAAATATATCAAAGACAAAACGGGTTGAAGAAAGATAGAATGCGAGCGCAGCAGCCTCAAGCATACTGATGCATTGGGGCAGCTGGCTGGGCCTGCGCAGGCGGGGACTGGGGACCGCCCTGAGCAGCCTGTTGAGCAGGGTGTCCTGCTGGCACTTGTCCTGGTGGTATCTGTCCAGCTGAAATCTGGAAGACTTGGATGCGCCCACTATTATGCCAACAGGCAAGCTTAGTGCCGCAACCGCCGCAGTAGTGGTCGACATCCTTGAGTGAAGACATCAAGTACGGGATACATCCGAGGCAGCAGCAGAAGCATAGAACGGCAGCCCATCCACTATATCAGAAATTAGCATATTGTCGTTTCCACCATCAAGGATCCGACTTCAACTCACTGTGTAGTCAATCCAGTAATCGGTTCCACGCGAGTCATCTCTCGGCGGCCACAGGCGGGGCAGTCCACTGGGCACGGCGCGGACTGAAGCGCATGCAAGGGGACTGCAGTCGCATATCCACTCGGGTGTCCATAGGGAGTATAGTACATCTGCTGTTGAGGATGTTGTTGCATCTGCTGGGGGCCTGGCTGACCCGGGTATGCCTTTACTTCGGAAGGATATTGAGCCGGAGCGTGGTTGAAATAGCTCCCTTGAGCTTGCTCGACGGGCTGGCCATTGTATGCTTTTTCGGGGGCGGTAGGAGGGTTATGAACGGGAATAGGTGCTTCGTGTTCCTGTCGTGACTTTTCGTAGGTGGGCAGCAGAGTGCCTGATTGTTCTGAGGAGGGAGACAAGGGGGTGATGCCGGTGGGCTCGGGGCTAATTGGGGCAATGGTATCTTGGGGTTGATGGGCGGCTCCAGCGACCAGAGGACTGGGTAGTGGGCTAACTGGTGGGCTGGTGTGGTGGTGCTCAACAGGAATGAGACCTATAAGGGTTAGTTAACTAGATCGCCAACCCATGGGAGGTGGGTAGGTGCTCACCTTCGCTATCAGGTCTTTGAGTTGCCATTGTGACTAGACTTTTTTGCTGGGAATAGCGCTAGCAATCGTATGACAGAAGTACGTTCACAGGTGCACGTGTGGAAAAGGAAAGTCTGGATAGAATCGAGTCGCGCAACGGGGCAGCCTTACACTTTATTGCAAGCTCCAAATAAAATTCACTGTGGAGTCGGACATGGTTCTTAAACGTTACCCAGAAATAGCGTGTCCAGTCCCATGGTCATGGCTGATACCTGTACGATACTATCCGTGAAAAATACAGGCTATGTTAAACTTTGTTTAAGCTAGACTTCCTGTGTGCACTGCCTGATTATGTCGGCTTAGATCTCTCCAAACCGCAGATTGAGGCTACGTATTTACCCGTTGTACCGTATTGATTACAGTATGAACATCGAGATCCTAATGGAATTATAGGAGAAGTCATAGATTATTAAGAGCCAGTCGTGGGTCATGTTTGACTCTAGACTCTTCCACGCCCGCCTATTCACTTTACAATTCTCTCCGATCTCTTGCATAGGAGACTTAGTTCTCCCTAGTGCATCATGCAACATGCGAGGCAAAACGAACAAGGAGGCTATGTGTAGTGGTGTATCGAGGACGGAGTCTACCGTACTGTAATTGAGCTGCGGCTGTGCCAAGACTGCGCCCAGTCGTATTCCTTGACCCTTTCCTTCACAAGCTCGCCAGGGTCCACTTCCCCCTTTCCTGACTTGGCTATTGTGCCTTGCTAAGACTTCGTTAAGGGAGGATTTCTGACGGTACAACACCAAGGGTGTTGAACCGATTGCCGACGTTCTTGGCAGCCGGTACCATGAGATTATCTTGGGCAAGAACTGTTGGAAAAAAGGAAATTTTTACTGCAGCCAAGGCAGAATCCCAGCTCTGTAGGTGCCGAGAATGTTTTGTCTGTCGCCCAGGAGGCGTGACCCTGACCCATCACTTTACTGTACAGTACCCGTCCGTACAAGCCTTGTGGGCTTAGTGGAGGAAGGCAGCCTCATGACCTGACTTTTCTAGATTCCATCTTCCAAAGGCTGATCGAATATGATTTCGTACCTGATAAGAACGTAAGAAGCTGGTCAGATTATGCGTGTCTCAGCATTAGGCGATCCAGTGGCTATTGCAAATGAGGTTTTTTAAGCATTTTTAAGGTCTGTACTAGAGGGCATTTGAGGCCAATCTAACACACTTACACGACTCGAACAGAGCGAGACTTTGGCCAGCGAACAGCCAAAGGATGAAAAATGAAAATCCGCAGTTGAAGAAAGTCTTGAAAAAGAAGTATAGACTAGCAAGATAGATTTGAACAGTTATCTTCTGGAGGATTAGGAGGCAATTTATCGGTGACAAACAAACCTCCGAGGTCAAGTTCAATTTGAAGTGTCGGACTTACCATAACAGGAAAGAAAGATGCTATTCCCGATAGTAGCCTGCTGGAGTGTCCCAACTCATAAACGACAATGGAGTGAACCAGTTGATGACATAATTGATTCAAAACCAGATCCTCGAGGGAGTTAAACGGAGTCAATTAAATTATTCCCGGCGGCGTTAGTCACTGACGCGTAGGTGGGCCGAGTTATAAAATCCCCCATCACCAACGTCACTCCTCCCTTCTCCATCAAGTACTCCATCTACCGGATCTATGCTAAGAATGGCTACCACAATCAATTCAACAATCAAGCTAGCCAGCGGCTACGAGATTCCCCGTCTAGGATTTGGAGTGAGTATTTATCGAGTGTGAATTCAACGTCGAAAAACTAAATGATTTCAGGTCTACAAAACGTAACAACCCCGCAACCTCCACATCTCAACCTCAACCCCACTAAAGTTAACACATTCCCGAGCAGGCCCCCAGAAGCGACAGAGCGATGCTGTCTCGAAGCACTAAAGGCTGGCTATCGCCATGTGAGCAACTAGATACTGGCCGAGATTCAATTGCCCGGTTTCTTGTTTGTACCCATGTCTGACAACCAAGACAGATTGACTCTGCCGCGGTTTACAAGAATGAAGCTGGCTGTGGCAGCGCGATTCGCGCATCATCCATTCCGCGCGATCAGATATTCTTTACTTCCAAGGTCATCAATATTAGCTATGATGAAGCCAAGGCAACCGTCGAGGAGACCCTTCGTCTCACAAAGCTCGAGTACATTGACCTGATGCTGCTCCACAAGCCGATGGGTGGCTCTGAGAATCGCAAGGGTGCATGGAAAGCGGTATGAAGACTTCCATTCTCCGAACCCCATTTTACAATTAAAGCTAAAAACGTTTCAGTTGGTCGAGGCTGTTGAATCCGGCAAAGTGCGCTCGATCGGCGTCAGCAACTACGGCGTGCACCATCTAGACGAGCTCGAGCAACATATCCGCGAACTTGAAGCCGAACGCGGCGGCAAAGGAAAGGGAGGCGTCATTAGCATTAATCAAGTCGAACTGCACCCGTGGCTCGCTCGGAAAGACATCGTCGATTGGAGTACTAGTCATGGCGTTGCCCTCCAAGCTTACGCACCCATTGTGCGTGGCGCCCGCTTTGAAGAACCATCTGTCAAGAAGCTGGCGGACAAGTATAACAAAACCCCGGCCCAAGTTCTTATCCGTTGGAGTCTGGATAAGGGGTTCATTCCGTTGCCGAAGAGTGTGACGCCGTCGCGCATCGTTGCCAATGCCGACGTCTACGACTTCAAGTTTACTCCCGAGGAGGTTCAGGGACTGGAGACGGACGAATATAGCCCTTGTGCGTGGGACCCGACAGTGAGGAAGCTGGAGGAATAGAGGAGAAGACTAGAATAATGAGAGCATCGGTACGGCATCCTCTGGCTGTAATCTTTGACGAGAAGTATTCAAGAGGATCCTAGAAATTTGTGGAACTTTTACATGCAATTCTGCGTAGTTGACCCTCTCTGCGACTCGTATTAGCTTTGCATTTGCTAGAACTCGAATCTAGTCACCAGTTTAGCGTTTCTCATGATTGCCAAGGTTGTCTCAGGGGTGTGGTACTTTTGATATCGTTGAGCAAAGATATCTTCGCCACTTATAGCTTCCTCAACCAGCCCCCTAGCCCAACTGGCTTCTACTAGCACGATTATAATTCCAATATAACACAAGTACCCTCAATATCCCATCGTTTACATAATACAAAATGCACATCGGAGTTTTTCCTCGGCTTCGAGGTGTCACTCTTCAATATGAAAGAGCGGTCGGGCCAACCTTTTGTACTATCAGCACATAACATATTCCCCATTACCATGTGCAATCGGCAGACAGGATTTTGTCGGTCAAGTATAGGATTGTCGCATAAGACTAAGACGACGAGGGTTTGGTTAAAGAGACCTTGGCTGGACGGATGGGCCCGGTAGTGCGGGAAATGCTCTACCGTAATGGCTAAAGTGAGTTTCATAGTAGGGCTATATGGCTGAGGAGTTTGATAATATGACTGAACAGGGGAAAGATTTCTTTTTGCCTATTCATGTAGATAGCTAAGTTAGTATACTAAAGGGTAGACGGAACAAGCTGAATGGCACCATCATCTGACCCTCCATCAGGAACTCGCCAGAAAGTACAAATAGCCACACACCTAGACGCAGGCAGTCCCGTCAGCTGTGAGATGACTATTCAAGCGGCGTGCAGGACAGACAGGGTTGGGGCGGGGTAGCTTTAGAAGGTCGAGACCGTGAGAGGCTTATCTGCAAGACGCAGCCTAGAACTCTCGAGAATCATCGGCCGATCATGCGAACGACAGGAACCCGTTCCCTGGATACCCATCGATTATAACCCCATATCTCCTTAGCGAATACTGATACATAGTAGGTTTGGATTTTACTGAGCATCCTTTTTATTTGGGTATCCGTTAGAAGCCGACTAGGGGACTACCGATGGAAAGGGAGAAGGACAGATTTGGAGCTGAAGACTTTGCGCAAGGTGTGATGTTCGCTCTATAATACTTGACAGCTTGCAAATACTAACACCACGTTCGGCTCCGACCTAGGTCTCGAGGTTCTGGACAATGAGATGGGCAAGGATGACTGGCTGATCGCCTTCGCACCCATCACCCTCATCTCGACGGGGGGATTCCTCGCGACCAACTTCTTTCGGAATCGAGAGAGCACGGGCGACATAGACTATCTCCTGGAGCCGCAATGGGCGCACGACAATGACATCAAAAAGCCATTACAGAGTGCCATCACCCGAGCCGCCCGACACCTGGGATTCATCGACGACTGGGTAAACGAGGAACTCGCCTTTTTCGTGCCCGACCAATTCCGGCAGCTCCTCTTTGAAAAGGCTGAGGAGCAGAATATTGTTTTGTGGGAAGGCACACATCTTCGGGTTCTTGCCGTGCCCTTGGAATGGGCACTTGAGCGGAAGCTACGGCGCATCCATAACAGCAGAAGGCATACGAAACGAGCATCTGATGTCGCGGACGTGCTTGCGATCTTGAAGCATCTGCGGATGCAGAATGATGCGCCGTTGGATAGAGAGTATATCCGAACCCTGAATATCTGCTCCTTCGAGATACCCCCTGATCAGGCAACGATGAATGAGATTGCTACTGCTTATCGAGAGCAATATAACGAGGAAGCGTTTTCCTGAGATACACCGTGGCATCCATCGGTCGGCCGCTCTAGACTGTGTAGAAGTGGCCGGTATCGATGATAATGTTCCTCTGCGCGAATATAGGACTCTCGCCCCCTTCTTCGAGCACGAGTCTGCCTGCAGAGTCTAGGAAATCTGCTGGCAGATCGGCAATCATCTCCACATCGATCGGAGCCACCCTCCTGGTCCAGCTAGGAGCAGTCTCCGGCGTGAAAGACGGCAGAGGGTCCTCGAATGTCTTCCGGTATATGTGCTTGCTTTTATCGCGTCGCATGCCCAAGCTCATGCGCCAGTTGAACGCTTGTGCCAGTTCCTCAGCGATACACGCCAGAATGGCGTACCGCACCGGGTCCTCGTCACGAGGGTCTGGTATCCGATGCGCTGCCCAAGCCCCACGCGACTGGTACCAGAAGTACTCGACTTCCGACCCGATTGCATAGAACTCACGCGCAGCCACAGCCTCATATATACGATATAGAGCGCGCAGGGGAGTATCTCGAGCACGCCACAACGGCACGGAGCGCATATTTGTGAGGTCGGCGGCCGCTTTCCGGGACTGGAGGAGCGCGACATTGTTCAGCATGGTCTTGACCGGGACCGGCTCGGGGAGACGGAAATGCCATGTCGGCAGGGGAAGGAGCAGACGGAGCAAGGCTAGGAAAGGGCGTTTGTGCCGGTGACTGAGACGCGTGAGGGTACCGCGAAGCTGGAGAGGTGACTCGAGATTGCAGAAGAATCTCCGAAGCCGCATCCACCAGGTGATCTGGGGTTTCGGGCGATCCCGAGGCGACATCATACAGACAGGCTAGCGGGCTAGCTGGCTTGGGCGGCTTTTAGAAAGTCACGGCATGGCGTATCACGTTCTGGGAAGTGTTCGCATGGTCAAGGGTGGTGACATTTCAGGTCATTCCAGGTCATTTCGGGCTGGGGTTCATTGGAGCTTAACAGTCCGGGCCGCTAGTCCAGTTTGGGTAGTATTTGGTGCCTCATCGGTATGGCTGCAATGCTTGTCTGCCCGAAGTATATACCCTCATCAAATCACTCAGAGTCAACTACCGGGCCAAAATCTTAATATGAGATAGGCTCCAGAATTTCTCAATAAGGTTATTTAACTGTATTCCACCAAATCTTATCGTTACATCTCATATCATCAGCACATCTTCCATGGGACCCCTTGTTAGGACTCCTCTTTAGGCACCAACCATGTCAAATTTTGCGCCCCTTGAATTCGAAATCTCCCTATACAAACACCCTGTCTTAGATTTGACGATGGCTACCATGGCTGCTTTATAGTATTGCGACATTAAAATTGAAAGTTCAAATGTAAATGTTTATATACTGCCACATTAAAACTTTGAATGTCCCCCCTTTCCCAACCAACCAGCTCCACACGTGGAGCGGTCCCTGATCGACCCATGTGAACCCACTGGCGCCGCTGATTTGGTCACGTCCTGAACATTCCCATACTTCAGAGACGCCTCATTCGTCCCTGAGCCATTGTTTTTCTCTCAAAAATGCATCAATCGGCATTCTATCTTGCCTGGATGAGTTAAATCAAAACTACCGCCCTCAACGACTCACATCTCCCTCTTTTCCCAGGTGCCCTAATCCCAGCCCGGATTGGAACTATCGTAGTAATTTCCTTCCCGTTGCACAACGAACATTGTATCTACTGCTTACTTACTCAAATTTCATAATAAACTGTTACTCTGTAAGCTGACTGGCCATAATATACTTCTGGCGGGATCATGGACCCTGGGAGGCCTCGATGATTTGCTTTTGGCCCATGCATTCCTAACCCTAGCGAGCTTAGCACTATCCACAGTAAAAACAGATAATGACTTCTGGTTACATCTCTACCCACCAAAGATTATGTCTAGCGTAAAACTGTGAGCGGGGAGGCACCACATCCTGTCCACGGTACTCGGCACATGCGATGAGTCGCAGGATCGTTTGGCAGGGGTGTTGTACTGGGTGTGAGAGAGTTGGATTTTCCCCCATATAGACCGGGTAACGCAGCACGAGGATTATTCCTTTTTCTTTCCTTCGTACTCGTACAGAAGGCAGCATTGAGTTTCTCTCTTGCGCGGGGCTGATCACAGCTTGTACATCCGAGCAACGATCATCTTGCAGTACAAGGCGTGCTGTGCGACATCAAGCCTTACTGCAGTTCATATTGAGGGATCTCTGAGAGAAATCTCATCATGAAGTCCTTCAAGATGCTGACCGGCCTCACTTTGCTGGCATTGTCTGCGGCGGAAGACTTGACCAAGCATGTCGATGTCTTGTAAGTGTCATCGCAAACGCAAGAACAAAGTCAGAGATATCTAACATCCTTTTAGCATGGGGACACAAAGCGGGGGCAATGATTTCCCCGGAGCAGCAAGACCCTTTGGAATGGTCAAACTGGGCCCTGATCTGCTCCAATCCGGAACAGATTCATACGCGGGATATCTACCGAATGGCAAGTTCTCTGGCTTCAGTTTGATGCACGAGCAAGGTACCGGAGGTGCTCCCAAGTACGGCACTGTCTCGCAGCTGCCACTGGTAGGTAACATCACTGATCCTCTATCCAACATCACTGTTGCTCGGTCTGGAACCGACCAAGGCTCTGTTGGATACTACAAAGCCGAGACAGCAGATGGTGTCGAGGTTGAGCTGAGTGCTGCTGCTCGAGCTGGAATCTACCGGTATACCTTCCCAAGTGAATCGGAGAAGAATATCCTGGTAGATGTCTCGCATGTGTTGCCATCTTTCCGCGGCCAGGGACTTGGACAGAACTATGAAGGTGGAAACTTGACCATCTTTGGGGATGGCCATTATGAAGGTCTTGGAACCTACAATAATGGATGGAATGAGGCTCCCAATTGGACTATCTATTTCTGTGAGTGTCATGATTCAAGAGATGGCTTTATGGAAATACTAACATCAACAGGTGGCTACTTCGAATCCGATGCAACAAGCAACAAAACATACGTTGCAACGGGTGCGGCCCCAAGCATTGAGAAGATGGGTGGCTCAGTCTCATCCACTTCAAATTCCACTCGAGTCGGTGCACTCTTCACCTTCAATGAAGAAGAAGTGATTTCTCGTGTTGGAATTTCATGGATATCCCCAGAGCAAGCCTGCGACAATGTGAACCGGGAGATTCCAGCCGGCACGAGCTTTGCTACTGTTGTCAACGACGCCGTTTCTGAATGGAATGAGAAGGTTTTGTCCAAGATCACCACGACTAACACCAATGACACCAGCCTCAGTCTGCTATACACCTCCCTCTACTTCATGCACCTGATCCCCACGAATCAAACTGGCGAGAATCCCGGCTGGGAGTCAGATGAGCCGTATTATCAAGACATTTTCACATTCTGGGTAAGCTCACCTCATTGTCCGTAATAAGTCCAGACCGGCACAACTAACAAGCTTAGGATCTATTCCGTTGCTCCACATCCCTCATGCAAGTCCTCCAGCCAACTGCCTACGAGGAGCAAATCCGGTCTCTGATCGACATCTGGCGACACGACGGCTACCTTCCCGACGCACGGTCATCCAACTATAACGGCCGCTCGCAAGGTGGTTCCAATGCCGACAACGTTCTCGCCGACGCCTACGTCAAAGGTGTCCGCGGGTCTGTCAACTGGGAAGATGGCTATAAAGCCATGGTCAAAGACGCCGAAGTCACGCCCGCAAATAACCCCGTCGACCCCATGGCGCCAGACTCGTCAACACACGAGGGTCGCGGCGCATTGCCCGACTGGCTCAGCCTTGGATACATCACGCCGACGTACAGTCGTGCCGTTAGCAGGGCTGTCGAGTATGCGGCTAATGACTTTAGTCTGTACCAGGTTGCGTCTGGGCTGAAGAAAGAGCAGGATGCGAAGAAGTATCTCAATCGGTCTCGCAACTGGCGTAACCATTGGAATCCTAAGCAGACTTCGCTCGGATTCTCGGGTTTTGTCGTCCCAAGGAATACTACCGGTTTCATTGAGACTGATCCGTTGAAAGACAGTGGCTACTGGGGAGATCCGTACTATGAAGCGAGCTCTTGGGCTTATTCCTGGGCGGATGTGCATGATATGCAGCATCTGATCAAGTTGATGGGAGGCGCGGACACGGTGGTCAACCGACTGAATACCATGTTCACCGAGGGTGCTAGTGGATCAAGTGGGATTATCTTCGATGCCACCAATGAGCCGTGAGTTATGCCTTCTTCTGTCAGCTATATCAATGAGTCACTCTAACGAGCATCAATAGAATGTTCAACATCCCTTACCTTTACAACTATGTTGGTCGCCAGGACCTGTCTGTATTGCAATCGCGGAAAGTCGCCAAAAGTGACTATACCACTGGCGTGTCAGGCCTCCCAGGTAACAGCGACGCCGGAGCAATGCAGACCTGGCTGCTGTGGAATATGATCGGTCTGTACCCGATCACCGGACAGACTACATTCCTCATCCATTCGCCATGGTTCGCGTCAATGACTATCGATCTTGGCGGTAACAAGAAATTGATAGTCACCTCGACGGGTGGTGATGGCAATGGTGATGAGGACTTTTACGTGCAAGGTTTGAAAGTAAACAGCAAGCCGTGGAAGAAGAACTGGCTGACCTGGGATGATATTTTCGCCAATGGAGGCACACTTGAGTTTGAACTAGGTTCGACGGCCGTGAACTGGACGACGGGCGAGTTGCCACCGAGTCCAGCATCGGAGTAGAGCGACGTACATACACATCTCATATACATACTTGCACTTAATTTGTTTATTCTAAATTCTCGCACTCGGTATTTAGCACTTGCTTTGTCAGCGTCATCGCGTAGTTATCCTATCAATCATCCTCATTTTGATGCTTGCGTGCCCTGTTGATAATCCCTGTCGCATGGTCCCATTTACGGATAATGGTATCCAGAACATTCGAACGGTCTTCTTTCCTATTAGCCCGCACTTTGTCATCAATCATCCTTAGTCAACTTGTTTTACCTTCCAGCCTGTCATTCTTTTGTTGATAGTTTCTGGTCCTTCGGTAGGCCGTGATGATTGGGTTAAGAGATGATCTGCGTCTTGGACCACGGTAAAGGTGGCGCGACCCCGCATCAGTACTTCGGTTGGAGCTTGGAGCTTTGAAGTCGACATCAAAGTTTTAAGTGTCTGAGGTCAGACTCGCGGTTGGTCCCTGGCTCGATAGAAAACCTGTTAGGCGTTAAGATTGGACATTTAAAAGCGCTACGGTTCGACGGCTCGGTGAAAGTAGTTCTCCTTTCAACTCTTCTATCAATCGAAGATTTTAACGCAATTGATTGATTTCTCACCGAGAAAAAAGTCTACAATACCTACTATGCTTGGACTATCCAGTACCACAACTCAATTACTCCCGGCCCCAGGATTCACGATGCCAGCAACAATGGACCCGATTCTTCCCTCGGGTTCTCCCCACGTTACCCGCAGCGAAAAAGATTCCCTTCTCAAGACATTACGGGAGAGACAACCCACAAGAAAACCGGCAGGCCACCCATCAGAGCACGAATTCAAGCCCCAGGCAAGACCAAGAAAGGCCCATCGTGGCCCCGGTCCCCAAATATCTCGAGACGCTATCAGCCCCGCGAGGGCCCGACACCTTGAGCGCAACCGTCTCGCTGCAAACAAATGCCGGCTGAAAAAGAAGAGAGAACACGAGCAGATCCAGGGCGTATTACAGAGCGAGACGGCACGACGAGACATACTATTAGCGGAGGTGGATGTCCTGAGAGAGGAACTCTGGCGTCTTAAAAACCGAGTCTTCGCGCATGCAAATTGTGACGATCAGCATATCAGTCTCCAGCTTTCACAAATGAACCAGGATCTCCTCAATTCGAGCTCGCGGCGAAGCTCGTCGTCGTCTTTCGAGGATAATCTGTCTTCTGGTGGGTCAGAAGAAGGTGCAATGGGCATGGATGCGTGTACGACTTTCCCGGAGTGGGGAGATTTCTCGAGTACGCTGCCTGTCTACGACCAGGATCGTTGTGGAGGGTATTTTGATGAATTACTTGATAACTTTGTTGATGTCACCAAGATGTAGGGCATGTTTTCTGCTCTTTTTTTTGTATCTACTTAATCAGTTATGAGACTTATGAGAAAAATGGCATTAATCATTGATGTCATCCTTCTTACAAAAGTACGTTCTCGAATCGTTGTATCCAGAGATCGAATTTATTCAAACTACAGCTATGACTGGACGAATAATCCGAGAACGTGTACCTGTTTAAAATCCCTTTTCAGGATCGGCAGTGCGATATAGATTCAAGTATTGAATCTACAGGGACGCAACGGAGTATTTTCCCTGCTAATAAAGACAAGAGCTGAATATCAGGGCAATGGTAGCTCGCAATAGAGCTGGATGATGTACAGGGGTCCCGAGGAGAAACTCCTTCAGGCTTTGAGTATGTACATTGAACAGCCCCACTCTTTTCTACCAGTTTCATGGAAACGCATATGTGGAGAACTGCAACCACTCAACTGTTTCCGGATTCATCATCCCGTCCGTTCTTAGAGATCGAATGTTGGTTAATCGATCGGAACGGCCGGGACATGCCCGTGAAAAAGGTTCTGATTGAAGGGAACGAATGGCCGCCCAATTGTATACCGTAGGGCTGGGTATCAAGTGGAGCCGCCACCATCAAGCTACTTTGCCACTGAGGACGAGAGTTCCCGAGAAGTTACGATTTGTTAGCACTTGTCGAATACTTGAGACCTTGATGTCGACAGTAATATGACTGCAGTGGCTGATTTATCCCCTCTCTGCTGCCATAGGAACATTGGCAGCATACAATCGAAAACATGATTAGGACCAGTATTATCTTATAAAATGAGGTCATTTGCAGTTCTAGCTCGAATTTTAACGGTCTCCATATCCTCGGGCGCTACTGGCCACCTCACTAACATTAAGTTTCCTTGGGTTACTCGTATGACGCTTGTGTTGCTGTCGTTAGAGTCTTCATAAAGCATGTCGCGTTTCACTAACTTTTTACCTCTCATCGTTAACCGCCAGCTCTGTTCACCATGTAGATAACAGTTAAACCAGGGAGAGGACAAGTGGTTGTGGATAAGAGCAAACTACAAGCTGATGCGAAGGTTCCGGTTTGTCATAGGGACATATGTCTCTGCCCTAACTAGAAACCCGGTCTTCGTTGACGTTGCTGAGCATCTTTCGGTGGCAAGAACGGCTCAAATGACCACCGAGTTCAACAATTAAAATCATATCAAATACAGTGGATACTACTCGCTTAAATTGAAATATCGGGATATTCATGGTAGGTAATATACGGGAACAGTCTTGATATCCATGTAGATGCACCAGCGCCGGCACCCCAGCCTCATATCGAGAATCGAAAAGGCTTCCCTTGGCGACTCGCAGAGACGTCCAGACTACAGTGGGCCATAAAAGGTGAAGCGTATTTATAGGACTTCTGAATTGATGATTGGCTTTCTCGGAAGTCATAAGGTAGGAGTGTATCAGGTAGTCTTGTTGAGCTCACTGGACCACGCCCGGGGGCATGACTGCACGTTGTCTGTCTATTTTCACACGGTGATGCTTCACATCTTTATATTAGTTTTTATCGAGTATAGCCAACTGCATCCGAACAGTATGTTCGTATTATCTGGCCCTATCAATCTAGACTTGAGGGTTGGTATTGTTTTGAATTAGAGCAGCGTCTATACAAACATTTGTGCTTATGATTGAATAGGCGTAGGGGTAACTAATCACTGGCCGCTTCATTTTCTACAAAGGAGGAATTATTTCCATGCGTCCTGGCTAGTTACGGAACCCTAGTAGTGGCCCAATATCCATGTTGCGAACACCTCCGTAGAACAGCCACCGTAATGCCCTAGAGACAGTCAGATCTTACAAGAGCCAATGTCGACAAACAACTCGATTCGATGATCAGAGGCACACGGCCAATTTCTGAAGATATGACAATTTTAGCAGCTCATAGCAAACACGCGCGATGGCTATTAATACCTAAAGGCTTGCAGATATCAGAGCTTATATGCCTGTATTAAAGGCGACTTGAGTCTTGAGTCCTTGAGTCCTGTCCCGCCAGAGGTCACTTCTAATTAAGATATCCATCTAGGTACCTGCATCAAGATGTTTGGCGCAGTATTAAGGCCCGGTAATAAAGATTCTAGGATTGTCCGTTCGACCCAGTCTTCCTCTAGACAAAATCAAGATAATCAAGATTTCAAATTTAACAGATTAAACTTATAGCAGAGAGGAATTGACTGGGTGAGAGTACAATTTAAAAATAGTTCCCCAAGAGGCAGGGGTTGGGGAGGGATTGAGTTTCACCGAGATGCATCTGGTAAGGCGAGAGACCGAAGCAGTCGAGGTGGTACCCGGGACCAGGCCAGGAACGGCCGACTGTCGCCCGGTGGAACTTTATAGCTATCGCGATAATAATCAACACGAAGATAGAGATTGGTAGATCAAAATTAATAATAGTATATTCCCTGAATATTAATCAATCACCCTATTCCCTCAACAAAGCTGGCCAAGTCAGTGACCAAAACCGGATTCGCCTCCAGAAAACCACCAGGAGGCCCGAGCTCCCCCGCATCTCCACCTGGACAATCGCAGCTTACCCCCGCAGCCAATCACTCCCACGGTCTGGCCATCGCTGGGATGCGCGATAAACGTTGAGAGTCTCTCAGAGAGGGGTCCCGCAGGTCATCTCTTTCCCCTGTTTCTCTTTTCTTCCAACTTTCTTGACCTGTAAACAATCTGGACGCAAAGAATATGGCGTCTACTTCTGAAGTCCCCGCCGACGGAACAGGTACGTCACTGATGGAGCAGCTCTGTTGAGCTGCGCCAGGTTGAGCTAGGAGCTTGCTGGTCGCCGTTCGAGGCAATCCCTCATGAATTGATAGCTGATCTATACCCTGCTATCCAGGCGTCCTCCAACTTGACCCGTGGTTGGAACCTCATCGCGATGTGCTGAAGCATCGCTACAGCGTGGTGGAGAAATGGGCCAACGCCATCAATGAGTCCGAAGGTGGATTGGACAAGTTCAGCAAGGTAGAATTGAACCTGCACTCGTTGCGATCAATTAGCGTGAGCTAACCAATGGTCGCTCCTTCCAGGGCTATGAAACCTTTGGCCTCAATGCTCAGCCAAATGGCGACATCAAGTACCGGGAATGGGCACCGAATGCAGTGGAGGCTTCGCTGGTCGGCGATTTCAGTACGTCCTTCAGGATGAAGAGCAAAAAATCAAAGATCTTGAATCGAATTACTGAGACTGGCAGACAACTGGGATAACGAAGCCAACCCTATGACCAAGAACAGCTTCGGCGTGTGGGAAGTGACCGTGCCTGCTGTCAATGGCAGCCCGGCGATTCCCCACGAGAGCAAGATCAAGGCAAGTCCGTCCATTTCTAGAATTAGACAGAGCTCTCAAGCTAACGTCACTTTAATTGGCCTAGATCACCATGGTTCTCCCCGGCGGCGAGCGCATCTATCGCATTCCTGCATGGATCAAGCGGGTCGTGCAGGACCTCGACGTCTCTCCGGTCTACGACGCCGTTTTCTGGAACCCACCCGCCAGCGATCGATACACCTTCAAACACCCACGACCCAAGAAGCCCGAGAGTCTTCGTATCTATGAGGCACACGTCGGTATCTCATCGCCCGAAACCCGGGTCGCCACGTACAAGGAGTTCACCAAGAATATGCTCCCGCGTATCAAGTACCTTGGCTACAATGCGATCCAGTTGATGGCCATTATGGAGCACGCCTACTATGCCAGCTTCGGATACCAGGTGAACAACTTTTTCGCGGCAAGTAGTCGCTACGGATCTCCCGAGGATCTGAAGGAGCTCATTGATACTGCTCATAGTATGGGGCTGGTGGTACTGCTGGATGTGGTGCACAGTCACGCGTCGAAGAACGTGCTTGATGGCCTGAACATGTTCGATGGATCCGATCATCTTTATTTCCACGAGGGTGGAAAGGGTCGCCATGAGTTGTGGGATAGTCGCTTGTTTAACTATGGACATCATGAAGTGCTGCGGTTCCTCTTGAGTAACCTGCGCTTCTGGATGGATGAGTATCAGTTTGATGGTTTCCGATTTGACGGTGTCACTAGCATGCTTTACGTGCACCACGGTATTGGAACGTATGTCCACTCTCTCTTCGTCACCTGCGACATCCTTGGTCTCAAGCTAACTATATCATTAGAGGCTTCTCCGGTGGTTACCACGAGTACTTCGGCCCCGGTGTCGATGAGGAGGGCGTCACTTACCTAGCCCTTGCCAACACAATGCTGCACGAGCTCTACCCCGAGTGTATCACCGTCGCGGAAGACGTCTCCGGTATGCCCGCCTTGTGTCTCCCCCACTCCCTTGGAGGCGTCGGCTTCGACTACCGACTAGCCATGGCCGTACCCGACATGTACATCAAGCTGCTGAAAGAAAAGTCCGACAACGAGTGGGACATTGGCAACCTTGCATTCACACTGACAAACCGTCGCCACGGCGAAAAGACCATTGCCTACGCCGAGAGCCACGACCAAGCGTAAGTACAATACCTAAAACAGCCATCTCTCCCCGCAAACACTTCCTCTCTAACAAAAAGCCCTCCACACAAACAGACTAGTCGGCGACAAAACCCTCATGATGTGGCTCTGCGACAAAGAAATGTACACCCACATGTCCGTCCTAACAGACTTCACCCCGGTAATCGAACGCGGCATGGCCCTCCACAAAATGATCCGCCTAGTAACCCACGGCCTCGGCGGCGAAGGCTACCTAAACTTCGAAGGCAACGAATTCGGGCACCCCGAATGGCTCGATTTCCCCCGCGAAGGAAACGGAAATTCCTTCTGGTACGCCCGCCGCCAACTAAACCTGACAGAAGACCACCTGCTCCGCTACAAATTCCTCAACGAATTCGACCGCGCCATGCAACTCGGCGAAGCCAAGTATGGATGGCTGCATGCGCCGCAGGCGTACGTTAGCTTGAAGAATGAGAGTGACAAGGTACTCGTCTTTGAGAGGGCGGGGTTGGTGTGGATCTTCAATTTCCATCCTACGGAGAGTTTTACGGATTATCGGGTTGGCGTGGATGTTCCGGGGACGTATCGGATTGTGCTTGATTCGGATGATCAGGCGTTTGGGGGGTTGGGGAGGAATGTTAAGGAGACGAGGTTCTTTACGACTGATATGCCGTGGAATGGGAGGGCGAACTTTACGCAGGTTTATATCCCGACGAGGACTGCTTTGGTGAGTTGAGCCCTGCCTTTGGGTTTCTTGTGCTGTTGAGTTGTTTGGCTAACGGGTTTCCTGGGGTAGGTTCTTGCTTTGGAAGAAACTCTGTGAAGGGCAGTGTAGGGAGGGGTGTCGAGAATCCTCAACTTCGTGATTCAACAATACACGAAGAGTCATGACATACATCTTGTTCTGGATTTGGTCTTTTAGCTAGTTAGTTTAGCTTGTTCTGTTTAATCAAGTGAATGGTTTGAAGTTCTACCACTTTTGCCTCCTCTGTCGTCCACGTAGACAACAATAAGGTGATCTTGCCATGCCATCAGCCATTTACACGTCTAGATGGCATTAGCATCATAGCAGGACACACAGGAGCAAGGATCAATATAGGACATGGTAAACACCATGAGTCCAACCCCCAAGATACCGTCTGATATCCCCGAGCATGCCACGCCGAGAGAGTTGTCTACAACTACAAGCCTTCTACAAGTTACAAAATCAAAATCTTCAACAAAAGAAAATACAATTGGACACCAGGATATTTAGGGTCGCCATACAGGCCATGGGTTTTCAACTCTAAATACACAATAATGAAACACAAGCCTGGCTAGGGTGCGTCTAGCAAGGCTTTAAAAAGGAGAATCTCATCAACTCGCTCGTTAGACAAGACAGTGTGTTTTCCCTCCCTCATCCAAACAAACACATCAAGGCTTTCGCCTTTCATCCACCGTCCTATTCTCTTCTCAAGCCTTGCTCATTCCCACCGATATGAGATGCACTCCGGATAAACCCCTTCACACCTCATTCCCTCGGTAGATCAGGTAGCGTCCTCGTCTCCGTTTTCACAGCGACGTCCAAGGTCAAAACACCTTTCAGGTCAATATCAAGTCTCCCGCAAACAGATCACGTCAGAAAGACAAGAGCGGAATCAATTGTGACAATCAGAATCCCTTTCTGGTTTTCTTTCTTCTCTTTAAGATCGGAGTAGTATACACGCAATCGAAAAGGAAAAAGTGACGTCAAGTGGGAGAGGAGACACACAAGACTAGAGAGGAGTTCAAAAGACACAAGGAACAAAAGAAAGACCAGATCCAGACCAAGAAGGAGACATAGAAGAGAGGAATACAAACACACACGCAGTGGAGAAGGAGCTTGGCAAGAAGATTTCAGAAAGCAGCGAAAGTTTTTTTGACAAGAGGGATGTTGAACATGGGATGGAAAAACCCCCCGCCGCTAGCTAAGCAAAATGGACAAAATTACATTTAGGCAGAGCCCTCGAGCTCAGCCAGAATCTTCTCACCCTTGGCGCGGGCAGAGGCGAAGTCACCAACCATGTAGAAGGCGTTCTCGGGGAGGTCATCACCCTCACCGTTGATAATAGCCTTGAAGGAAGAGATGGTGTCCTTCAGGTCAACGAGCTGACCCTCGATACCAGTGAAGACCTGGGCGACAGCGAAGGGCTGGGACAGGAAACGCTGGAGCTTACGGGCACGCTCGACGGTGAGCTTGTCAGCCTCGGACAACTCGTCCATACCGAGAATGGCAATGATATCCTGGAGGGACTTGTACTCCTGGAGCATCTGCTGGACACGGCTGGCGGTGTTGTAGTGCTCGTCACCGATGATACGGGGGTCGAGCATACGGGACTTGGAGTCCAGAGGGTCGACAGCGGGGTAGATACCCAGCTCGGAGATACCACGGGACAACACAGTGGTGGCGTCCAAGTGGGCGAAGGTGGTAGCGGGGGCGGGATCAGTCAGATCGTCAGCGGGCACGTAGACGGCCTGGACGGAGGTAATGGAACCCTTCTGGGTGGTGGTAATACGCTCCTGCATACCACCCATGTCGACGGCCAGAGTGGGCTGGTAACCGACGGCAGAGGGGATACGACCGAGAAGGGCAGACACCTCGGAACCGGCCTGGGTGAAACGGAAAATGTTGTCAATGAAGAGCAGCACATCCTGACCCTCCTCGTCACGGAAGTACTCGGCAATGGTCAGACCGGTAAGGGCGACACGGGCACGGGCACCCGGGGGCTCGTTCATCTGACCGAAGACCAGAGCGACCTTGGAGTCACCCTCGAGCTGGATGACACCAGTCTCCTGCATCTCGTGGTACAGATCGTTACCCTCACGGGTACGCTCACCGACACCGCAGAACACGGAGTAACCACCGTGGGCCTTGGCGATGTTGTTCTAAAAGTATGGTGATTAGTATAGATCCAAAAGGGAGGAGGAAGTTCTCCTCATGCCACGGGGTTGGAAAAACTTACAATCAGCTCCTGAATGAACACAGTCTTGCCGACACCGGCACCACCGAACAGACCAATCTTACCACCACGGGCGTAGGGGGCAAGAAGATCGACGACCTTGATACCAGTGACGAGAATCTCAGCAGAGGTGGACTGCTCGACGAACTCTGGGGGGTCGGCGTGAATGGGGAGGAACTTGGTGGCCTTGACGGGACCACGCTCGTCAATGGGGTCACCAGTGACGTTCAGGATACGGCCAAGAGTGCCGGGACCGACGGGAACCTTGATGGGGGAACCGGTGTCGCGGGCGACAGCACCACGCATGAGACCCTCGGTACCTGAACATGGACGTTAGCAAGGCGATGGTTCAAGCCATAAAAAACATGCCGGGCCGACCGGGTGGGTCCCCATCCCCTTTTAGGGAAGGATCAAGGGCACGACACGGTGGCTCCGGGCAGGAATATACGCAGGGGGGAAGCTTACCGTCCATGGCAATAGTACGGACGACATTCTCACCCAAGTGTTGCTACGAAGCAGGTTAGCTAGATGCGATGAGAGAGAGAGAGGAAGGGGAGACAAGGGGGGAAATTGTTGAGAGAGGTCGGGGTGTGGACCAATCACAGGGCACGTACGGAAACCTCGAGCACAAGCTTCTGGCCGTTGTTCTCGGTCTCAATGGCGTTGAGAATGGCAGGGAGCTTCTCGCCCTCGAACTTCACTGTAGTATGGCGAATATCAGGTCAGCCAATGTCCCTGGGAGTTGTTTTGAGATCGATTGCGATGGCTTTGGAGATGGATTGGGGCCGAGGAAAAGATTTTCGCGCGTGTCCCCCCAAGTCCAGCCAGGGCGTCGAGGAGCAACCACGTACCGTCAACGACGGCACCAATAACCTGGTGAATCTTGCCAGACTGAGCGACATCCGAGCTGGCGAAGCGAGCAGAGAGGGCGGGCAGGGCATTGGCGCGGAGAGGCTTGAAGGCGCGGGCGACGGGGGTCGGCCGGGCATAGGCAGCCCTCCCGAAGGTCCGGGCGAGACCGCTGTAGAGAAAAAACCAGTTAGGGGGATGCGAGTTCATGATGAAGGAGGATGTTGATGGATGGAGGAGGTGAGTGTATGGGGGATCGAATGGGTGACGTACCTCTTGAACATGATGGAGGTGTTGAAGAGCGAGGTGTAGGGATAGAGAAGGTGTGGATGGGGGGAGGGAAAAGAGGGAAGAAGAAGGAAGAGAGGTTGGTGGACTCTCCTCTCTCGCTGGCACGGGAACTGGGCCGCACTACACCTTTCCGGGGCGGTTTTGCCGATGGTCCCGTGATGAACCGATGGTCGGAGACTGCAATTATACATGGGACTTCAACCACTTTAACATTTTCAACATCGACAATAGTTTCCCAAACTTATTTTCCAACCTTGATGTATATTATTCCAGCTACTATTTGACTCCCATCTCACCACAGTGCTGGTGTTGCTCTTTCCCCCGTTGCTAGGACACCTTCGTCCTTCTCACCGGTCGGCTTGGCGTCCGGATGCAGGGGAGAGCCCCAGCGCAACTATAAACACCTCTCCAGCATGCAAAGCCGTTTCGTATAATTTTCATAGCAAATACTAACCAACTATATACTTCCTTTTTTATAAGTAGTTATTTTTTAACCATTGACCTCAATTCTCGGGGTTGGTGGTGGTTCCCTGGAGCTCCCCAGTTCCCAGTATTTTCTCCGATCGAAAATCTCTGACGTGTAAACTCGGAGTGCTCGACCGCCCATCCGAGTTCTGGTATGGGAACCATAGAAATCTGCGAAAGCTCCTACGAGCCAGTGATCAGCTTCGTAGATAGTCGAAATCTCTATAGAACTGCTCGAAATCATCATAAATAGCATATCCTCTTCTCTATTGTGTATAATGGCCACATTGCACCTCGCAATGGCCCTTCGTCGTTCTCGTGCGCTTGGACAGGGGTTCTCCGCACCAGCTATGCAGGTTCCGAATCCCTCCGGGAAAAAAGACGCACCAACGGAGACCACCTACGTACGAGAAGGGGAACTCTACATATCAACCCAAAAAATACATAGATCAAGATTAAATAACAAAGCATGCATAATAAAACAACGAAACGGTCCAACATGTTTCTCTATGGCTACAAAAGAGATACATTGACTATAGCACAGTACGGGATACACGCATTTTCGGATGCTTGTGGGCCAAAGGACAAAAAACCATGAACGGCTCAGACTGGACTCGACCGGTGCCCATCGACGGTCAATTCAAAAATCGACGTGGCGAGCATCATGCAAGCCATAGACTCAAGAGAATATCTCTGGGTCCCAATGGGCGTGCGAAATGGATATCTCGCCCCGTTCGACCCCAATATCTGAGTCCTGTTCATCCCCAATCGGGCACCTAGCCCACTTATGACTTCTCGGCGGGGGCGCTCTGGACGAAGCCCTTGCCCTCGTAGCCCGGCTTGCTGATACCGTGGATGGGGTTCATCTTCTCGGACTGTAGGTGGAGAAATCTGTTAGCAAATCCCGGACCAAGTTCGACGGAGCATGGGTGCTGGAGAATCCCAGAAAAGAAAACTAGCAGTATCAAGTCCATAGCTGCAGAGAGTAGACGTACCAGAGCGTATTCGTTGGAGGCCTCCTGCCACTCCTGGGACATGGTCTTGGGCTGGGGCTTGGCGAAGTAGTGGATAGCGTAGAAGACGAGGAAGGAGGCGAGGGTGAGCTGGGTAACCTTGAAGAAGATCTTCAGGCCCTCGCCCTTGGGGGTCTCAGCGCGGGGACCGTGAGGACCAAAGGCAATCCAGTAGGCTAGAGGAGAAAAAAAAGATCGATATCAGCAATGCCGAAAAAGGAAATTCAAGGATGGCCGAATAAAATTCAGCCTCGGATACCGCAGGGTAGGCGAGTAACCACTTCCGAGACTGCAAATTGATATCGACTGGGTAGTACGTACCGGCCTTCTTCTCCTGGAGGGTCATCTGGTGCCAGTCAACCTTCATACGGTCACGGAGCTGCATCCACAGCTCGGCCTGCTCCTGAGGGGGCATGCCCTCCCAGCGCTTCTCGATGGAGGCCAGAGTAGGGTTGGCAATGGCGTGGTCGGAGGCAGCGCGGGCCTGCAGGGCGTTCAGCGAGGCCAATGGGCCGGCACGGATGGCGGCCGGGCTGCGAGGAGCAGCGCGAGCGATGGAGCGAAGAAACATTGTGCGGCAGGTGGGAGGTGGGAGCACCACGTCGAAAACGAGTCAATTGATGGTGGAGAGAGGAGTCCGGGACCAGAAGAGTCTGGCAGCGAGGGGGACTCGGCTGGAGAAGAGAGTGGAGGGGGAGGGTCGGGGGATGGGGAAGGATTGAAGTTGTTCTGGTGGTTTGAGGTGGAAAGTCGCGAGGTTTCCGGACTAGCGCTGGTCTGGTTTGTCCGCCCGCTGATTGGGCCGTTGCCCAGCCCGGCCGCCAGTGAGCATCATCATCATTCTCAGCAACATCATACGATAGGAATAGGCAGTTTATGTGCGTAGTATATGTATCAAAATTATATGAAAGACCTGGATAACTTGCTAGCAGGCAAGTATTTCACTCTCTACACATTTCTATCAATTCATCCCCGATCGGCAACCTACATCACGCCTACGCTCGTACGGACTCGGTCGCAGCCCTAGGAAGAGGGGCTTGTACAACCACACCAGAAAATCAAAATAGAAAATCACAGGCTATCAGATTGACCTCGAGCTCTCCGTTTCTTGATACTCTAACACTTCATCCTCCAATTCCCCCCAATTGGCTAACCTAGACCATCTTCTACCTTGTCGGTCAACCAATCCATACGAAGAGCATAGTAGACCCAACAACTAGACGCATTGGACAAACGACACATAATCAGATACGAGGTAAACGAGGCAAATGATCACAAATGCACAAAAGAACAAGAATCAAAAGATGATCATGATCATGGCTATCCCACAAAGGGAAAAGAGAGGAGAAATCGGGCCAAAGTCGTAACGGTCTTTGCATTGCAACTAGGAAAAAGAAGAAGAGAAAACGAGTAGAACGGTGTGCAGAGAAGCGGATGGACTTGATCGTGCCGTAGCACCGTCAAGGTGGGAAAACAAAAACCCCCTATCGATCACGCAGCCCGGACCCAGCCGGCGCCGTTATCTATTTACCAGCCTTGCCACCGGAAGCCTCGCTGAGGACGGTCTTCCACTCAATGTCGGACTTGTCATCGGCGTGGATGGAGGCCGAGAGGTTAAGGGCGTTCTTCAGGACCTCACGGGTGCTGGCATAGATCATGGACCACTAGATAGCAGTGTTAGTCAACGGGAATTGCTATTGCAAATGCGACACCTCGCAAATCAACAGTCTGGCAATTGAGACTTACCAGAGTAGGGGTGTCGCTGGGGACCCAGGAGATGAAGATGATCTTGCTTCTGTAATTGGAACATGTGAGTGGAATGAAACTCTCCGCAATCACGAATATGGCGGATGCCTAGAACGGGGGGGATGCGCACCTCTTGCCCTCGCCACCACCGAGGTCGTACTCAACGTCGTAGACAGCGTACCGGGGAGCGGGACGACCCTGGCTGTCCTGGGAAGCAGCGAGCTGCTCACGGAAAACCTCGTAGTCCTGGTCGTGACCGACAGCGTCGACAACAACGTCCCTCTTGTTATCGGAGATCTTGTAAATGATGTACTTGGTCTTGCCCTTGCTGAGACGGAACTCGTTGAATGCCGTCAGGCACTCATCCTGGACGGAGACACTGCGAATCGAAATATCAATACGAAATCCAATGGTAGTGGTGGTAATGGTGAGAAAACGGTGCGGGTTTGGCCGCTGACGGGAGAGGAGAGGGGAAGATCATACCCGGATGCGAGCTGCGCAACGAATTCAAATTAGTACATAATTGCAATGGGGGATAGAATTCGTGGCCTGCTTGATACTTACAGACATGGCTTTTTTTGTGTAGATGGGAGAGAAGAGAAAAGGGGGAGAGAAAGACGGGTCGCCTAGGAAGTGGCACACGATGTCAGTGGCTGAGATGTCAGGAACAGGGGAAGTCTCCTCTCGAGGTCAACCTGCTTGAGCGACCAGGGCGGTGAGGTAGAAGCTCCGAGGATACCAGCTAGAGGGTATAGCTCACACAAAAACCAGGGACAAGGGGATTCTCACAAGATTAACGGGGGGAATGGGGAGTGGATGGGGGGGATGAGGCGGAGGGGTTGTTGCCCAGGTGTTGCGATGGTGGGGGTGGCAGCACGTGATGCCGGTACACCTATTTTGGAATAAACAATGTGTTGGCCGAGAGTTATATCATGGCAGGCCTATATATGTCTATGACAGGCGGCTCTGGTAGCTAGTCTATCCAACAATATTGGGTATGGCTCTTGTATTACAAATTCCTTTTGTCCAGGCATCTATTAGGTGTGCTGGCAGCCTAGATTGCAGTTGACGTCTCTCCGACCATCTATGTAGCTCCACAGCCACGCAGTACCATTGCCGAAGATCACACTACCTAGCATGTATAGGCCCTGCACGACATACTTGTTCCGAGTACAGCACTTTCACATTGCAGTAGTGGAGGCTCTGATGTCTTGGGGAGATACAACTATGGAATTGAGGGTACCTACGCGCTAAAGTTGGACGTGGCCCTCAACCATGGGACGGCGGGCCCGTACACGTCACTGGGTGCCCAGAAGTATGGATGCCCTACACAATATGGCCTACACCAAAATTCTTAGCATGAAACATCTCTAATCGTACCTTACGATATTTCTACTACAATTCCTTTTCTGGAACAGCCCAATTATAAGAGAAAAAAAGAAACATAAATGTCATAATTCGAGCATCTGATCCAGTCACAAGCTCTCATCACCTATCTCCAAAATCCAGCAGCCTACTGCTTAGGAGCAAATTTAGCCCGCATCCGATCCGCAACAGCCTTTTCTTGCCAAATAAAGTTAACGCTCTCATGCGCAGTAGTAGCCTCAGCCCAGCGCTTGAATCGTGGAGCCTGCTGCTCCAACAGAGTAGGCAGCTTGGCACTAACCAATCCATGCTCAGGCTTACTGAAGCCAAGGATGCGAAGTAGGAAAGAGCCGGACAGAACCTGCAACCGAACATTAATATAAATTGCGTCTTCAAGCACAGATATCACGAAGAAGGCGAAAAAGAAACATACCTCGGCCAAAGTGAGCTTATCACTACCACCGAAGAAAGGACCCTTGCCCTCGGTATCGGCAAGAAGAGGCTCAACCTCCTTCACGATGCCGGCAACCAATAGCTCGACGGCAGCATCGCGTTCCGCATCCGAGGTGGATCTCAGGCTCGCGAAGAAGTGGGGGATGACCTTGCTGAAGAATGCATCGACGAAGAAGGACAAGCGGGCACGGTACAGCGCGTTCTCTGCGGGGCCGGATGCCGGCAGGAGGTGCGAGGGGTGTGCGTCGGCGAGGAATTGCGCGACGATGCCGGACTCGGTGATGACGTTGCCATTGTACGAGAGACTGGGGACCAGACCGCGCTGTATAAAATGATATTAGAGATATGCCTTTATGAGGACGTCGCACAGAACTGGGGATGCTCCGCTATCGGAAACTGAGCCCGGTAAATAGCTAGCTGTTTGGTGAATAGCTAATAGCATGTACATACCGGGTTAACCTCCAGATACCAGGGCTCGCGGGGCACGGTCAAGTCAATGGTGACCTCCTCATACTCCAGGCCAAGTTCCTTGAGAACGATGTGGGCACGGTGAGCCCAGGGGCAACCACGGTTGGTGTAGAGAATGATCTTGGGAGAGGCCATCGTGTGAGTTTCAATGCGAATAGCCGAGTGGTAAGTTCAATCAACCAGGGGAGTCCGGAGGAGACGGTGGAAGAATATGTAGGTTCTCAAAACTGGCCGAACCTGGGGAAAACGCCATTATTTATGTTATCACGGAATGTGGTAGAAGGAGGGGTGGATTAGTAAAAGAGGATTGCGAAATCGAGGTCCCCGGGTTCTCCTTAACGCCGAGCCGGGTAAGAACTGATGAGAAGATGTGGGGTGGGCATTCCGGGTGGAGGAAGCGGGTAACCCAACCATGGAAGGAGATCATTCGAGGCCAACTTTTGAATGAGATTCGAGTCTAATTATGTACATACATTAATGCTTGCACTATATGTATCCGGATATCCTAAAAACCAAAAGAGAATCGAGGACAGCGTAGAGTCTCTAAAACGGCGGGGTACCGATGTACATAAGAAGACGAAACAAGAATCAAGACCAGCATCCATCGTATGCAAGGGTGGCCCTCACTCTGCCCGAGTTCCGTTGCGCCAGCGTTCGGTTCCACAGGACATTGATCAAGTCAATGAAGCGAAGAGAAGAGGAAGAAGATAGAGAGAAAAAGGAGAGAGGTAAGGAAAAATGAAAAAAAGGGACGACCAGATCGATCACCGTAAAATGGGGGGGGTATATAGAATACGCATAAGAAAGAGAAAAAAGGAATTGCACACACATACTCATGCCACGCGAGCATCCCCAAACGATCGCAAGGGTACGATCGTCGGGGGTGGAGTTGGTAAGGGCGGCCAGCCTGATGAAAAGGAGTCAGGGAAGAAACACAAGCACACGGGTGAGATGACTTCTCGCGAAGCTGGCGCGACGAATTGAGAATGCTGCACACGCTGTCGTCAAGGCGTAATAATCGCATGAAAACAAGGAAGATCGAAAGAGGTCGACTCCCGCGCTCAAACTTCATCATCGTCTTCCTGGACGCCACCGTCGATGATCTTCCGCCAGTGTTGTGGCAGACAGACGCACACCAACGGGAAGGCCTTGATCTCACCGGAGGGTGCCGGTGACGGGCCCGGCCGGTGCGAGCCATTGGAGACTCCACTATCACGCTGTTCGCGATGGATGTCATAATCCTCAGCCCGTTCAGAGACGCGGACACCCGTGGCCCAGCCATCGTCCCAAATGCCAATCACCTTCAACATCTCACCGCGGTCAAGCTCAAACTCATCACCTGCCCGGGGAGAGTACGCCCATAGGGCAGCCACCTTATCACCGGGTTGAATGTCGTCTTGCGAGTAGTAGTCACGGAAGTATGACAACTGCTCGGACTGGCCACTGGTCACTGCCTCGGGGGATGAGTATTGGTTTGCAGTGCCGGAGAGAGGTGAGCTGTCACTGTCTAAGCCAGCCAAAGCAGAGCTGCTCGACAGCGAACCGTGGCGCTTTCCAGTAACTGGAGGAATTCGTCGAGACATGGCCCCGGGGCTGGCACCCCTGGCTTCCGAATCGGACGAATCGCTGTACTTGGTACCACCAAACATTGCAGCAGATGTTCGAGAGTAAGCAGGAGAGGAGCTGGGGACCTCGCGCAAAGCGGACATGCGGGCAACGCGGCCTCCAGGGACCATATTATATCCCGTTGGACTTTCCGGCTGCTGCTGCATGGGTGGTGTCGTACCCTTGCGTTGTGGGTTGGGTTGATTAAGTGCAGCATCCGTTTGTGTCTTGCGGCGACGTCGAGTGCAAATGAAGAGGAATGCCAGAAGGGCACCGATGATGGCGGCTGCCGCAACCGAGCCGACCACGATCCCGGCAATCTGACCCCCTGACAGACCGTGATTCGAGGCTCCACCAGCGGCGGCGGTAGTCGTGACGATCGGCTGAAGAGTCGCAGTTGAGCTTGGAATGACGACTCCGTTGCAGCGGCTCGTGGAATTGGAGCTGGAGCAGCAGGTATCGGTCGAGTTGGAAGCACAGTAGGTGCAGAGGCCAATCATGTTGGAAGAGAATCCGCAGTTCTTAGGCTCATTATCGGATCCACTGACACAGCTGCCGGTTATTGAGTCGGCTGGGTTTGAGCAGATGGTGAAGTCGGAGCGAATTTGTTTCATGTAGTCCTTGGTAGTTTTCGGGCAGAGTTGCTTGTTGACCATAATCTCTTGTTCGCTGGTGGCCATGAGCGCACAGGTCTCGGCGCATAGCGGTTCTGAATCGGCGGTAGACAGGTCGCAGTCGTCCTTGGAGCTCTGGATAAGACCGCTGCAGATGACACTGGTAGTATATTGGGCATAATAATCATTCATGGCGCTTTTATTCAGGCCATCACAGCCCAACTGATCGACATATCTAGAGGAACGCGGTTAGTTTCATTGATCGCACGCGCGAACCCCCCAAGCTCGACCATAAACATACTTGGAGGTGACATATGTGTCTGAGACGTAGTTGCTCAAGGCTGTATCGAATGTAGTGAGATTAGAAACGCCATCGAGCCATGGGCTGCCGAGAATGTTCTTGTTAGTTAGCGCACAATGCGTTTCGAGCGCAATCCCACTCACAAGTCCGCATATTGGCTCGAATTGACCGAAACTTTGGAGCTACTCCATGCTGAGCAGGCCGTCGACCCCGACAGGGACAGACAGGATGACATCTCGGGATGGGTGTCCGCCGCAGTCGTTCCTCCTGGTCGGTTTCCCGAGGAATGATGCCGTGGAATGTGTCAGATAGTATCGAGAGATGATCGAAATTACACGCGTCGCATATCGGTGTCAATTGCTGCTCGGGAGATTCGGAATGAATGCGGTCGATGATAGTCGATTGCTGCCTCAGTCCGAAAAAAAGTGTCGCTTCTAGCTCGGGAAAGAAAGGAAGGGAGAACGAAAAGGCGTAGTAAGAAGGAATGAGATTAAACGAGTGACTCGGGCGCCAACAACGGACGTGGACCCGCAGGGAAGGAAAGATCAATCGAGGGGCGCGATGGCCACGATCGAGGGAGACGAAGAGAAAGGATGGCCAATCGAGAGACGAGCGAAGAAGGGGAAGAGGAAGAAGTGTCAGATGTAGTGGCTCGGTTGGTCTGGGCGTTGGGTTCGGGGGAGAGTTTGGGGGGGGGGAAGCGTGGATACCGCGAGGTACAGGATGCAGCAGATTAGTGCAGGTACAATAGTACCAAGTACTCACTTGGTATTAAGACTTCAGACTAAGAGAGGGGGAGGGCAGGTTGGACTGGTAAAAAAAGGGGGGGCAGGAGCTCTGAGACGAACTGGTCTGGAAGAATCTGAAACGAGGAGCCTGCGCAGTACGAAGACCGTTTAATTATTACAGAGTATGTACTACAGTACAGTAGACCATACTATACATAGTTTACAATATTGAGGACGAAAATAGTGTCAGGCTGTCAGCATAGGGCAGGCGTATCGCTTTGTTTACTCAGTCGCGTATCAACTGGACCGGAGCTTCGACTCGACTCGGTAGTGACGGCGCTCAGAGACTAGCCTGATTGGCAGCACAGGAAGCCAGCAGAGCAAGCGGTACCTGTTCTAGTCCCGTCTAAGAGTTTGGCTAGTCCCGAGCGATACCTGGCGTTGGTCAAGTTGGTCGATATCCACCACTCAGAGTGCCCCTGAAAAGACCCAGTTGGCCGATCGCTATCACCCACCCGCGTCGCAAATTTTTCGAGCTTGATAAATACACGAAAGTAGTACTCCGTATGGCATACGACATGCGGTACGGGGTACGAGAGGCATTGAATTCTTCCGAGGCTCACCTTGCATCCTGTAATGGCACTGCAAGAAATGAATGTGAGCTGTATCGCGCGCGGGCTGGGATCATGCGAGGGATGGAGGATTTTCTCCTGTAGGATGCAGGCCATGCATCAATTCCCGTCTCTGCATTATTGGGTGTATACGGGGTAGTCTACGAGAACGACGATATCGTATCGGCTACAGAAAAGAGCAGTCAAGGCGATCTCGGCATAGAGCGGGAACACGGTTCTCTATACTCAGAGCCGAGCACTTTAGCAGAACCACAAACCCACGAAGACCCTAGCCCCCACCGCTCCACGATCGGGACAAGTCTACTTTGATACCCTTCCCTACGGGGAACTCTGCAAGACCGGTAACTTCGTTAGTTTTCCTCTATATATGTCGATCATGCAAAGGATGGACAACTCATGCAGAGTGCTTGGCATATAACTAGCTCTAAGTATAGATAGCAATAATGAGTTGACCTATCAACTCCACGTCTCATCGAGTACACAGTGCGCCGTTCATAAACGGCGACTGGAAAGTCAAATGTCAGTGCCTCACTTTCGAGGCCACAATGTACCACTTCCCTGCAGTCCTGCTACATCAGCACGTCACGTGACCAGACGTCATCTGATCCCCAGAATCGAAGCAGGCTGCCACTTGAATTTTGGAAACTGCAAATCAACTCATCCTCAACGACGTGAGCAGTCAAATAGGATATCTCTGCACCTCTCTCTAAAGCCTATTAAGCTTTCTTTGTGACCTTGGATCTTGGCCCATCCTCGATCCTCTCGTTGTTGCAGGTGATACATAGAGCGCAGCTTAACCACCCCTCCCTTCGGAAAGCCATGTGCAGCTCCGACATCTTCCTGGCGGTCCTCGCCGTCTTCTTCCCGCCCATTGCTGGTGAGCATATCTGCGCCCTTGCAACCGACATCTTCATCCAGTGCTTAATCTCAAAATATATATGAACATGACCACTAATCAACCCATCTTCCCGAACAGTCTGGATCAAGGCGGGGATCTGCACCGCTGACTCCATCATCAACATCGCCCTCTGCCTGCTAGGCTACATCCCGGGCCTCATTCACGCATGGTATATCATCATGAAATACCCCGAGCCCGACTACGACGACGTAGCCTACGAGCCCATCTCCGGCGGCTCCAGCCAACGCCGCGATCTCGAGAACGGTCGCGTGACGTACTACTATGTCTCACACCAGCCTCTGCAGCACCCCTCCCAGCGACAGTCCTACGGTACCGTCAACCAGCAAGGCCAGCAGGGAAACGTGCCTAAGCCCTCTGAGGACTCGCAGCAAGGTGCTGGAGCTAGCAGTGGCGAGGGACGGTCCGACGCCCGACCGCCACCTACTTATGCTGAAGCCGTGAAGGGTGACAACAAGATCCAGTCCCAGGATTAGAGAGAGGCGGGAGATGTTTCTGGTGTGACGACTGCCTTAATTCGGGTTTTTCTTTCGTGAGAGATCGTATCCGCTTGGCCTCTACCTCGTAAAAACTTCGTCCGGCTTCGGATAGGGTGGTTTTTTTCATGACTTTGACGAAGGATATGTTCTTATAGTTTCATTAACTGTGTTATCAGCACGCAATCCCAGGAATTAGCTTGTTTTATCGGTATTGCTCCATTTAATGAATTGTTCCCGCCGTATACAATAAATGGTTTTTATCGTGGGGACATTAAGGGAGACACCTAAACGAATCTATTCGTCAGGCTGACTCGTAGCCGCTATGCATTTCAGGAGTCATTGAACTATATTGAATGTTGTTCATCAATTTTAATTCTTGTCAAATGGATTGGTCTGAGAGCTGTTTATAAAATACCTATATGTGGATGAAGGTGCCGTAGATTGATGAGCCACCGTCGGGATATATATCGAGGAATGTTGTTTGTCCTACCTACTACGAGCCATCCAAAAGGTAAACCTACCTACTGGAAGGTAGAAGTAGCTGCACATTGGCCATTCTAGAGCCCACTCATACCCCGAATGCATACACCGGAATACATATTCCAAACAAAAATTAGAAAACAAGGCTTCGAACTCAATGTCGAGTCTCTACACTCGATAATGGCCGATTCCCACCGCCCCATCCGCCCCATCTGATAAGCGCCAATCTGCTCCGAGACGATCCTCTTCCGGCCGGAAAGGAAAGAGCGGACTCCAACACCCCAACCGACTACACCTCCTCTCCAAGTCCTCGGCCCTGACACCGGCCATGCAGTCCATGCCATTGCTCCTGCGGCAATCGCTTCGGTCTAGCCTACAACTCACGCGCACAACCACCCGACCGGTGCAAGTGCCTCATCTCCGCCCGACACCTCCGAGCGCTTTTCCCGCAAAGCCGACAACTCGCAGCTTCTCTGTTTGCCTCCAATGCCAGTTTCGACGGCTGCCGGGGTCATACTCCCCCCTCGATGAGAAGGATAAGACAGCGGCGGAGATAGAGAGGATCGTTCAGGCTTCGAGGGAGGGTGTTGTGCCTGATGGTGGGCCAGGCACGGATGCGGCTGCGGGGAGTCCCCGTGCGAGCTCTACGGAAACCGACGTGCCTTCAGTAGAACAGGCACAGACGAAGATAGATGATAAGATATTATTGGAAGGGATTGGGCCTGAGGAAGGGCGAGGAAAGGCGCAGAACACAATTGCCGAGGGCACGCAGACTGGCGGGTTACCCTCCTACTTGGAGAACCGGCGGTCACAATTGTCGAAACAATTCACTACGATGATGGATAATCTGCAATCCAACGTCTTCGTAGCTGGACAGCGTCTGAACGACCTGACCGGCTACTCGGCTATCGAGGCCCTCAAGAAGGATATCCAAATACAAGGTAAGAATGACGATCTACATGCCTTACTGCCCACCCACTAACATTACGACTCGTCTCTTCTACAGAAACCAGACTCCGTACAGCTCGCGCACATGTTCGCAAAGCCAAGGAAGACTACACAGCCGCAATCAACAACCGCTCCACCTCCCAGCGCGAAGTCAACGAGCTTCTCCAGCGCAAGCACGCCTGGTCCCCAACAGACCTGGAGCGTTTCACCCTGCTCTACCGCAACGACCACACCAACGAGGTCGCCGAGACAGAGACGCAGGAGGCCCTGTCTCGTGCGGAGCGTGAGGCTGAAGAGGCCGCTGCATCGCTGAATAAGAGCATTCTCTCCCGTTACCATGAAGAGCAGGTGTGGTCTGACAAGATCCGCCGGATGAGTACCTGGGGTACATGGGGTTTGATGGGTATGAACGTGCTGCTCTTCCTGATCTTCCAGATTGCAGTCGAGCCATGGCGGCGCCGGCGACTCGTCAAGGGCTTCGAGGATAAGGTTGTTGAAGCGCTGGAGAAGGAGAAGAGCCTGAACCGCATTGAAGGTGGTGTTTCTTCGTCAGCGGCTTCTGCAATCCTGCCCGAGGTCATCGATTCTACCGTCGAGTCTTCTATTGCCTCGATTGAGTCCCCTGCCGCGGAGACTGAGGAGCCTGCTGTTATTCCCGTGGTTCCTACACCCGAAGCTTCACCCCTCCCTGAACCTATCCTTGAACAATCTCTCTACTCTCGCCTTGCTGGCATCACCTCGCCGCCAATCTCTCTTGAATACTGGCGGCAGGTACTAGATGAGCTATTCAGTGAACGCGCCGTGGCCACCTCGCAGCGTGATGTTACCGTGGCTGCTATGCAGAGCGCCGCAGCCGGTGCGGCTGTGGTGGGCTTGGTGATTGCTCTCGTGAGACCTCGGTAAAGGCACAGCTCTCGACCTTGTATATGACAGACTACAAGATTAGTGGGACTGTGGTTTCCCTCCGATCTTGTCAGTTCTTACATACTTCCATGAGCCGTTTGGCCAATCATGTACAGACGGAGAGATAGATCTAAGTGAGTAATCAAGACTCACATGTACTATAATTGAAAGCATTTCCCTTTTTGTGAGCGCAACTCGTTATATAACGTCATGAAGGAACGTCATGCTAGAACTACGAAGATACATGTAGTGGATCTTCCGGCTAATCGAGAAGCAGATTCTCAGAAGCACAAAGGAAATTTCATGACTAGGCAATACACGGGACGATATAACACAAGTATGTACTCAAGAAGACCGGCGGGATGAAATCCTGCTCATAGCTGTACTACAGCCAAGAAAAAGAATGACACTCCTGTAGGTCAACCTTGGAGACCGAGGACACAAAGGGGGGAAAAAGAGGCTCATTTTTTGTCCATATTAAAACACGGTCTCTTAATCTTGACAAGACACACGGCCGCTCTGTCTAAAACAAAAGGAAAATAAAGATCACACAAGCACATACACAGACAAGATCGATCCAGTCCAGTCATCCATCCTCACCTTTCCCGGTCTAAAGAAACAAGTTTCCCACCACATTGGCATAGGCGGGTTCTTTCGGGTTCAAACGGAATCAATCACGAGAGAGATAGCGAAAGGGATTGGGTTCGTTTAACCAATGACGAGAGTCTCGTCCTCGGGGAAGCTGTATTGGGGAACCTCGAGGTTCAGGGGAGCGGGACCCTTGCGGATACGGCCAGAGATATCGTAGTGGGAGCCGTGGCAGGGGCAGAACCAGCCGCCGTAGTCACCGGCCTCACCGATGGGCACACAACCCAAGTGGGTGCAGACACCCAGCATGACCAGCCACTCGGCGCGCTGCACACGCTCGTCATCGGACTGGGGGTCACGGAGGGACTCCCACTTGGTCTCGCGGGCCTCGGTGATCTCCTCCTGGGTACGGTGACGGATGAAGACGGGCTTACCACGCCACTTGATGATGACCTGCAAAAGAGAGACGGATGTTAGGGATGATGGGAATTGAAGGCGAAAGGGGAGTTCCGTTGGATTTGACGTACGTTCTTGCCCTCAGGGATGGCACCGAGAGCGATCTCGACCTTGGCCTGGGCCAGGACGTCGGCGGAGGCGGACATGTTGACGAGGAAGTCTGGGTAAGAAAGCACACGGTCAGTATGGGCGAATTCCAAGTTGTACCTCTCCACAAAACCGTTCCCATCATTCAATTCAATCATCCGCAGATATTCCCATCTTTCCCCCCCGAGAATCATATAGATTTCACCTACCCTGGACAGTCGCCTTGGCGCCAACAGCGGTAGCCAGACCCATAGTACCGGCCATGAAGTAGGAGAAGACCTGGTTGGAGCGAGGAGCCTTGCTGGACTGGTATTTGCTGAAATTGGGGATCTTCAGGGTCGAGCCACGCTCGTTAGCGGAGGCGAAGGGGCTCTCGAACGAGGCCTTCGCATCGGCGACTCCCCTCCGCTGCTGGCAGGAGGTGACGGCGGCGCGGGAGGTGGACAGCTGCTGGCGGGCGCAAGTGCGCAGCAGAGTGCTGGAAGCGGAGGAGAGCGACATGGTGATGCAATTGACCACAGAGTGGGATGTTGGACCACAATTGCGTTGCGTCGAGTGGAGGGCGGGTGAGAAGAGGGAGGGAGTGGATGAAGTCGGAAGTCGAAGTTGGAGCCAGAGCTTTCGCTAGCGATCGGAATCACGGGGCCTGTCATTGGCTGAGCGGGTCCCCGGGTGAACTTCATTCTCGACCAACACTGCTGGGTTGTATACATTTTGATATAAAATTGATTATTGTTGGCATAAATATTCTGCACGGTTGATCAATGGTTGGATTTTTTCAATTTTCATTTTTGAGCATGTTTGGGGCTCATTCGGCTCAACTATCAACTGCTGTCTCTTCCCCAGGACCGAACCCGATGCGACCATAACCAAGAAAATAGCACCAAACCGGGCAGGCAATAGCCTGCCAGAAATCCCATAGAACTCCAATGCAAAAAGGTAAGAACAATATATAAGAGACCTGAGGGGCCAAAACCACAGCTATTCTTCCCCCAACTCAATCCTTCATTTCAATGTCGGGGTCATTCCGGGTCGAATGATCAACCGTTCGGTCCGCGATCAGCGCGCTCACGGGGACCACGGGTGTGCGAGGAACTGATGGTGACGATATGGCCGCTTCAGACTGAGGTAGACCAGATTCAGCAGAAGCACCATTGGTGTTGTTGGGCGCAGAACCGCTTCCGTTCAAGGTTCGCTGGCCCTTTTCCATCTCAGTGTGTTTAGCAGCATCCTTGGCCTTCTTCTCCTTGAACTGCTTGTACGTCGTAGTCTTGGGAATCACATCGGAAAGGAATTCGAGGTTGTCAATGTGTGAGACTGCGGTAGCTGTTGCGTAAACGAGGAAATCAGCATACAATCCGGTAGAACCTCGACTGAGGATCGATTGCAACCCACCCAAATCCTTGTATTGCACCGTCTTTCGCGGTTTTCGTTCTGACTTGACCACATTGTGTCCCTGCTCGGCGAGATACTGGATGAACATCTCCTATAGCTGACGTTAGTCGGCGCAGAAGTAAGTGTAGTAGAGGGGAGTATGCGGCGCACAGTAGCCATGGCGATCACAAAGGTCGCGTTGTTGGAGCATTGTACAATATCGTCATCAAGCTGGACGATCTTCTTGATACGGGAAACTGGTAGCTCATTAGACATTTGCTGGCATCGTCTTTCATGGACAGTTGATTGTACGTACTTGGAAGGGCACTCTGTCCAGTGATCTCCTCCGGCTCAGCCACGTTCTTTGGAGACATAATGAGGGTTGTCGCGCAAGACAAGATCGAGTGGGATTTTCGCCAGCTGTAGAGAGTGCTCGCCGTAGTAAAAGCAGGTGTTTCCCCGGTTAAACTGTTCTGGTCGCGCGAGTGTCGAGTCAAGAAAGTTAAAACGCGTGGGCGCGGCGTTATCTCAGCACGGCTCCGTTATCGATACTTGGCGCAGACGTATTCGACACCTCGACTCTCTGCCTCGTTCCACCGCAGCATTGTTTGCAGCTACTAGATTATTACCAGAAGCTGAACGCCCATTGAAAAATACTCGATATAGCGCCGACTAGGGTCTGTTCTTGATCTGCGCAAACAGCGCCGAGCTTGCGATCCCCCTGCTGCGGTGGAAAAGCATCATCGATACAGCTCGAATCCGACTATGCTGATTCCACCGCCCGGGTCGATGCTATGACCTCGACACGCCCCTCCTCCACGTTTTCACGGTCGCCCTCGATTGTTGCCGAGCGCCGTAACCTGCGCAGACTATCTGGCCGTTCTCTATCCTCTCTAGTCGACCCCGAACCTACCTCCGACGCTCAAGACGCCCAGGCCCCCGCGATCACCGATGAGATTAGCGAGATCAAGCGCTATGAAGACTTCACAACCATTGACTGGGTCCAAGATGCGGTCAATGAACAGAATGCTCGACGGGCCAAGCGGCGGAGCGGCGGCGGGTTCTGGGATCAAGAAGGTGTCTTTGGCTGGCGACGCAAAGTGCGCGAGTCTTATGATGCTGGGCAGGCCTGGCTTGTGGTGACACTTGTCGGCATGGCCATTGGTCTGAATTCGGCTCTCTTAAACATTATTACCGAGTGGTTGTCGGATATCAAGTTGGGACATTGCACAACGGCATTCTACCTGAACGAACAGTTCTGCTGTTGGGGTGCTGAAGGTGGTATGTTGGGCTTGCCTTGATCAATGCACAATGTGAATATTTCTGACTGAAAAACTTGGGATAGGATGTCCCGAATGGAAGCATTGGACTTCATTTTGGTTGATCAACTACATTGTTTATTTCTTTTTCGCGGTAAGTTCACTTTATGCCACAGTCGAAGAGGGCTCTAGCTAAGATATAGTTAGGTTTTACTCGCATTCGTTGCTGCGATTCTCGTCAAAACATTTGCTCCATATGCTGCAGGATCCGGCATCTCCGAGATCAAATGCATCATTGCTGGTTTTGTTATGAAGGGCTTCTTGGGAGCTTGGACACTCCTCATCAAGTCGATTGCATTGCCCCTGGCTATTGCATCTGGCCTCTCCGTGGGTAAGGAAGGGCCTAGCGTTCATTTTGCGGTGTGTACAGGAAACGTGATATCCCGCTTCTTCGGTAAATACAAGCAGAACGCGTCAAAGACGAGAGAAATCTTGACTGCATCAGCTGCCGCTGGTGTGGCTGTGGCTTTTGGTAGCCCTATTGGAGGTGTGCTGTTTTCATTAGAGGTATAGTCCAAAACGTCGGTGGCTGATAGGACTCTCACGCTGATGAATATTAGGAAATGGCCAATTACTTCCCACTCAAGACTCTCTGGCGCAGTTACTTCTGTGCCTTGGTGGCAACCAGTGTTCTGGCGGTAAGTTGTTGCTGTCCCTACTCCGCCACGAGGGCGTATTTCTGATTGATGTCTGCAGGCCTTGAATCCATTTAGAACTGGGCAATTGGTCATGTTCCAAGTTGAATATGATCGTACCTGGCACTTTTTCGAGCTGATTTTCTTCGTTTTCCTTGGTGTCTTTGGTGGTCTATATGGTGCATTCGTGATCAAGTGGAACCTGCGAGTAGCAGCTTTCCGCAAGAAGTACCTTTCCCAGTGGCCCATTACAGAGTCGGTGGTTCTCGCTGCTCTCACAGCCATCCTGTGTTATCCGAACATGTTCTTGAAGATCAATATGACGGAGATGATGGAGATCTTGTTCCGCGAGTGTGAAGGCGGACACGATTATAATGGAGTCTGCCAGTATGCCCACCCCGCTCCCGGCATAATCCCTTCTTTTGCGATTGACATCTTTCTATAGAACTAAAAACCGTTGGTCGACTGTCCTGTCGTTAGCTATTGCTACGATTCTGCGCACTGGACTGGTGATCATTTCCTATGGCTGCAAAGTCCCGGCTGGTATTTTCGTACCATCCATGGCTATTGGGGCATCATTCGGACGCATGGTTGGAATCATGGTGCAGGCACTTCATGAATCCTTCCCCAACTCTGCCTTTTTCGCCTCGTGCGATCCGGATGTGCCTTGCATCACACCTGGTACATACGCCTTCCTGGGTGCCGGTGCAGCGCTAAGTGGAATCATGCACCTCACCATCTCAGTGACGGTCATTATGTTCGAGTTGACGGGTGCCCTGACCTATATTTTGCCGACCATGGTAAGTCACTCCGTAATGACTCGGTTAATCATCAATGTTAGCTAACGTTCGGTATTAGATTGTGGTCGGTGTAACCAAAGCTGTTGGAGACCGATTCGGGAACGGTGGTATCGCCGATCGAATGATCTGGTTCAACGGTTTCCCATTCCTGGACAACAAGGAAGACCATGTTTTCAATGTCCCCGTGTCGCATGCAATGACGACAGACCCACTCACCCTACCGGCATCTGACTTCCCCGTGCGTGAGGCGGAGCACCTTCTGAGCGACAACAAGTTCCAAGGCTTCCCAATTGTGGAAGACCGCAGCACCAAGACACTAGTTGGTTATATCGGACGTACCGAACTACGGTATGCTATCGACCGTGCCCGCAGCCAGGGTCTGGTGTCACCCCGAGCACGCTGTGTATTCACCCAAGAAGCTGCCGAGGCAACTATCGTACAACGCGCATCTAGTTCACAGCATCTGCGAGCTCCGGACACGTTTGACGGAATCCAGGCTAGTGTAGGCGCCGGCGTTGTTGATTTCTCGCGGTACGTGGACCACACACCGTTGACTGTGCACCCACGTCTTCCTCTCGAGACAGTCATGGAAATCTTCAAGAAGATGGGTCCTCGAGTTATTCTCGTTGAGCACCGTGGCCGTCTGACGGGTCTGGTTACCGTCAAGGACTGCTTGAAGTACCAGTTCAAGGTGGAAGCCGAAGAGCATGCACTGGCAGCCACGAGCGCGTCCGAGTTTGGTTCCGCTCCGCTAGGCGGCCACTTGAGTACTCCTGCCCCGGAGACGTTGGAAGACCGGCTATGGCGGCTTATTCTCACGATTGCTGGATTCGTTAGTGGGTCGATCAGGACTCATCGACCAGTGCGTCTGCAGGACCGGACTCGTCCCTCGGACTCCGAGGGTATCTTGGATGGCACTGAGGATGATGCGTTTGTGGAATTGGAGGAGAGAGAAGATCGGCCTCGGGGTCGTTAGAGATGTAGCAATCATGTCACATAGGATGATAGAGGTGTTTTGGTCATGTACAGTGTTAATGCTAAGGTTGCTTGGTTCATGTGCTGTTCCAGCCAGCATACTGATCTATGTTTCTTTCCGTATTGAACTTTAGAAGATCAGACGTAGACATCTCATGTCTATACAGGCCCTGACGCTGAAGAGTATCGGCCCATCCGTGGACATCAGAGATCTGATGTCAGACAAGATAAGGTTCCATGTCACACAGCATATACCCCGGGCATGATTATACCTCAATATAACCATTTATAAACAAAAGCCCCCTAAGATCTCCAATCTAATCCAACAAACAGCAATTAAGCCCCCTCCCGCATCCCAACTAAGATACAACCCGCTCCCATCATCGCAGCTCCAAGCCACCACAGTCCACCCACCGACTCCTTAAAGATAACCATACCCAACAGGGCCGTCATCAAAAAGTTGGACGAGGTATTTGTGATGGAAACTTTCACCGTGGAGGGACCGGCAGTCAGGGCGCGGGTGAAGAGGGCCCACATGATGATGTTGCAGAGGACGTTGAGGCCGAGGCAGAGCTATAGAGACACGGAGTTAGTATAAGGTATTGTAATCGGATGAGAGGAATATCGAGAGTAAATGTGATCGAAGTGTAGGAAGCGAAGGAGACAGGGAACACGTACGCCGCGAACAAGGAGCTCTAGGAAACTGGAGGACTCGAGACCGAATAGGTGCGCGATGGAATGCGCGAATGCGGTGGTGTGAGTATCCGTTGTTCTATTGGGTATAAGTTAGTATCAATACCTAATATAATGTCGATGCCTTTGCAATTGTATCGGTTGGTAGCTTACAGCTTTGCGAAGAGGCCGTTCAGGGCCGCGAATGCGCCGCTAGCCACTGCGATGAGAATCCATGAGGTACCTGTCGAAGGTTGTGGTTGTGTGCTGGAGGAAGACATCTTAGAGCTTATATATATAATATAAGTTGTCTCACGGCTGTACAGCTGGACAGAATGTCGAGATCAAGTCAAGAGCCCGAGTTACCCCCTCGGCCGCAGAAGGCCGCGCGGGTGAACGCCAAGGCCCGATAAGATAGTGGTGATTGACATTAAACCCGGAGTATGAATATGAGACAGCGAGACTATTAGAACAGAAAACTCATTCGCTAAACTCTTGTAAAATCTATGAAGTGACATCTCTCATGGCGAGAGTCTCTGCAACTGCCATTGAACCTCCTCGCCTTCACCCTCAACACGTACATACCGGAATCGATCGTGCAATCGGCTCCGACGGCCTTGCCAGAACTCAACCGACTCTGGCACCAGACGAACACCACCCCAGAAAGGAGGCAGAGGAATCTCCTTGACACCGGCAAACCGCTCCTCCACCTCCCGAACACGCTGCTCAAGCAATGCCCGGCCGTCGTTGATATCCGTCAAGTCGATATCGGCAGGGACATCAGCGCCAGTCACAGATCCCGCCGACGCCTGCAACTTAGCCACGCTCTTGCGCCGCTGGTGCGCCGCCAGCTGAGCCGGTTCAGCAGACCAGAGCACACGACTCTGCCAGCTAGCCCAAGCGCCAATTTGACTGCCACGCTCTCTCGTGCGCCAGTACAATTCGCTCTCCTCCCGACAAAGCGGCTCCAGCATACCCTCCACCCGAACCTGTCGCTCAGTAGTCGACCAGCTAAAAGTCAACGCGCCCCATTTATTGCCTGCATCTGGTCCCTCTTGTATCTCGTCAGGCTCGGGAATCGCGCCTGGTGCGTTTTCGCCATCGGCCGCTGCCCGTCGTCCGAATACTTGCCCGCCCTTACCCTCCCGACTACCCCAGTTACTGTACACCACCCACCCGCGCTCATCAAGTTCTTTGAGATATACAGTACGCGCGCTGATCCGGCCAGATGGAAGCTCGGCCGTAGCGAGCGTGCACGTCTCGGGCGCCGAGCTCGCCGGCAACCGCGGGTCGCGGAACCAGGTGTGGAATTGATGTAGCGGGTTGGTGCCGTGGAGCTGGGATACCGTGAGGGGAGGGTTGGTCACGAATTGGTGTGCTCGTGCCGCATGGGAGAGGATCTGGCTTTCGGTCGTGGAGCTGGGCGTCGAGGTTTCGGAGCGGAGGGCTTCGGCTTGGACTAGACGGGTGGGAATTGGAGCGGGTGTTTGTGTCGGGGGAGTAGCGGGACTTGGGGACTCGGCTCCAGCTTCAATGTCTCCGGGGGCGACTGCGAGGTGGAATTGGAGTTAGCCTGTTGCTTTGTAGTTGTAGCTCGTAGCTCCGTAGCTAGGTGGGAAGTTCCCCGCGGAGGAGCATGTTGCCAGTAATTGGGCGTCACCAAGGTCGCGTGGGTATATTTGACGTACAGATGAGCTTTTTTGGCCGCTGCACAGTGGCATCCGATCCAGCTTCGTTGTGAGACATGTTTGGTCTGCGTGCGCACGAGGGTGTGGTCGTTAGAAAATGAAGGTGGGGTGGTTTGGAAGTGGTTCGGAAACCGATGCGGAGAAATGAGTCAAGGGTGACGGGTGCAGCAGGTACAGCAATGCGGGTGAACATCAAACTAGCAGGTACGAGAATAAAAATTGAAGATTGGAGTGGCTGGAAGCCTAGGGATCTTTGGTGGAAAGGCAGTCGAGGAGCCGTGGAAAGGTTGCTGGTAATAAAGTGGCATTCTCCAGATCGCAGATCGTACCGCGATTTCTTCCGAGACGTCATACCATATCGCTTCAATCGTCAAATCTTCATTTTTGCCTCATTTCACTTGTTGCAAAATGATTGCATAGTACCAATCTCTCAATAAAAACCAAGTGTACGATCAATTTTTGGATTTGGCAAGTCGTTACCATATATATTCGGAGGGCCTAGTTATGTAACATATATCATGCAGTGTTTGGTGAGGCCTCAGCACTGTATACGGGCATTTACTTTTTCTGACTGCTATCTCTATATGTTTAAAAGCGTAAGATATATCTACCTATCACTCGAGTGCCTTGTATCTCAATAACCTTATTTCTTTGTACAATATGTTCCGTTTCATTACATTTACCTACGACCCGTGCATCGGAGGCCACACATCTCCGGGATACGGACATAGAAGAAGAAAAACAGAAGGAAAGAGATAATTGATTATGGATTTCCTTATAACTCCAGATATTATCTCTCTGTGTTGGTATAGATCTTGTATACCAGCGCAGTGGAAAATGGCTTATGGCCCGATAAAAGATTGAGGGGTAGAGAGGCTAGGGCCGAGGATAACGACGGCAGTCCTCCAGAATAGCCCTCTTCCTGACCTTTCGCCCGAGCACTGGTTCCGTGGCTGGCTTGCTGTAGCAAGAGCTCTTGGTGTTTAGAAAAGATAACGGAATTCAGGTTCTTTGCCCGGCAAATGATGCAGGAAAAGCACGTTGAGCTCCAGGATGGTCATATCCCGCTCGGCAAGATGTCATAGTCGGGGTTGACGAATGTCCATCTTCGCATTAAAGTACAAATTGCATTGAGAATGATTGATCTCTATTATAGTCATGAGGATGCTAGAAATGGGTTAGTAAAGAATCTTGAGATAGATCAGGCGAAAACTCACTATCTAGAAGCGATATTTAGGAAATATCCTCCTTTTGGACGACTCTTTAGAGGCAGGGCGAGATGCAAACGATCGAGACTTTCCATTTTCACTTGATTCCGATGAAGAGCTCACTATCGACTCGTCATCCTTTGATAAGGATGCTTTCCTCAAAGGTTTAAATCCCTTTCCTGAGCTTGGAGGTGGAGGCGGGAACGCAAGATGCATGTTGGAGATAAATCAGCAATGAGAGAGGCAATGTAGAAGCCGTTAAATGTTAGGTAGAGCATGACGGAAATAGCTCAAGACTACGACATCCCTCTCGTACTTATAGTCCTCCATGGTTCGATGAAAATCAAGGTTCGGATGAAAGGGGCGAGTTATCGAGCCAATGAACGAGCCAAACACATATAGCTCTCTTATCACATCCCGAAGTAAGTTTGGAACTAACGTATCGGCTTCTGATTATCTTAACTCTCGCTGGCTCCTTCCGATAATCACCCCGCACGTAGCCTTGAATTTTAGATAATCACGATAAGGCCTTAGCTCTTAAAGTGTGGAGTTTTTACTACCTTGGTATGCTATGATTGCCTTTTACATAACTCGGCCTGCAAATAACTAGAGCGTTCATCAACTAGAAGAATCTAAGTAACAGTAGTATCGGCCCGAGGATCTTTATACGACAGAGGACTCTGTTTTTGTGTTTCTACCCAACTAGTCTCATTTGGGGGAGGTTATATGACATGGATAGCCTCAAATAATGTTGTGCACGTCCACCGGCAGCAATCGGGGATAAAATAAACCATCCATGGTAACCGGACGTGCTACCTATCGGGCACTCATTAAAACCATAGACCGATAAGATTCTGGTTTATTAAATTGGAACCCGACGATAGAATTGATAGGGAATTATCTACAACTCACACTCATTTGTTGCCCTTGACGAGTTTGAACACATTCGTCTCATCATTCTGCGCTTGTCCAACAAAATGAATGAATCCATCTGGGCGCTTCGCAATGGATAAGTCACCCGACTCATTCGTTATCTTGTATAAGTCCTGACTCTGCTCAATGAATTTAAAACCCCGAGGAGATTTGGAATCGACAGGCTCGCAGAGATATCCGGGTTTGTCACAACTAATGGAATATAATAACTCTGCGTTGATGATAGAGACGGTGTCGTCGCCGGCGGAATGGAAATTCAAAATCTGTCCATTGCCGGTAGTGGAGCGCTCAAAACGAAGATCAGAAGATCCGGCCAAAAAGTGTCGCAGTCTACGATGATGTAGGGTGCACCCTGATCGATGTCGAGTGCTTGGCCACCTAGGGCAATAAGAGCGAAGATAAGGAGGATTTCATAACTGTGGATTGGGGAGGGTAAAGAAGAATGCTGTTTGTGTTTGGATAGGAAATGGACAAAGGGACAGGTTTTGTTTCTAGTAGACGGATGGAGATGATGGAGGAAGAGCAATAGAAAAAATTTATATCGATCTGCTTGGGTCGCTTTTGAGAGGTCTTTGAAGATCGGCACTGCAGATTCCCTAAGTCTTGACATTATTGCTTTCATCCTCTTAGCCACAGAATGAAAATCAATAGTGCACTTTTAGCTCATTCGTATCTCAGTTACCAGATCGATTTTACCTCTCTATTTCCCATATTAAACATTTGTACAATACTGTTAAATTTCAAGAATCTCAATTATCCAGCGATCACGCACTGTGGGGGTATCGGGCAAATATGTGTTTAGAGGGTGTAGGTCAGTCAGTGGCACAGTGTAGATACAACTCAGCTGAAGCTCCACTGTCTCGCACTATGTATTCCTACACTATTTTCCGCAGTTGCGCTGTGGAGAGGGCTGGGCGCTATCTGACAGCGTCCACGAGCGGGTCTGAAAAAAGAAGTATAGACATAGTACACTAGTAACTACTAGAAGGTCGTTCTCGCAAAATCTGACACGGTAACCTAGATATATTATTCCTAGGTTTATGCATATTACATAGCTTTGATTCACTAATACTCTAAGCTCCTAGAAGTCTCACAGACGATGCTTCACTTATATCACAATGGATTGATATCTAATTTGATGTGACCCTCTAGTTATGCGAGAAGTATAGACCCATTCCCTCCACACTCTTGTTGTGCAACCATACCAGGTTTATTGCTTTCTCCTCACAGCTCATCTTTGCTTGCACTCGATCCTATCTTGAAATCCGGAGACTTCTTCTTAACCATCGCCGCCAAAATATCGATAATCAAATCGGCTGCTGCGACCGAAGTCGTCTCTGCCACCGTGTCATACGGAGGGCTCACTTCCACAACGTCGGCTCCAACCAAGTTCAGCCCCTCTAGCCCTTCGATGTATCGCTTGAGCTCACGAGTCGTCCAGCCTCCAGATTCAGGAGTTCCCGTAGCCGGGGCAATACTCGGATCCAGCACTGCAACCAAGTTGTTAGTTTCAACGTTTCTCCGTCACTATCGTGAAGAGCAAACCCTACCATCAATATCAATAGAAAGGTAGACCGGATTCTTTCCGACGACGTCCAAAGTTCTCTGCACAATCCCCTTCACACCGATATCATCAATCTCCCGGGCCTCAATCCGGTGGAACCCAACGATATCATTATCGATTTCGTAATCCTTAGGGCCGAACAATTTAGTCCGCAGTCCACCATGAACACTAGCACCCTTGTTGATACACCCTTCCCGACTGGCATGCCAAAAGAAAGTTCCATGCGTAATCGCAGACTGCTCAGACGCAATACCCGTATACCCCTCATAAGGATCCCAAGTATCCAGATGAGAATCCAAATGAATAACTGAAATGGGTCCATACACGCTCTTCAAAGAGCGCAAGATGGGTAGGACAATCGAATGATCCCCACCCAGGCTAATGATGCGCGGATGGGGCCATGCATCTTGCGTAGTCTTGGACATATTGCTCGAATGGTGGAGGACTTGTCGATATCCTTGCTCCATTTGCTTAAAGGCGTGGGCGGCATCGAACGGGGTTATGGGGATGTCGCCGCAGTCCACAATGCTTAATCCTTCATCGAATGGATCCACGCCCCAGACTGTGTTGTAGCTGCGACCTTTCTTCTCGCGCGAAGAGCCGGCGCGGATTCCTCGAGGGCCGAATCGAGCGCCTGGTCGGTAAGATGTACTGGTGTCATAGGGGAAACCGAGGATGGCAATGTCGAGGGGCTATTTAAGTAGTGTTAGTTTAAGTTTTGTCGCAGCAGGACCCAGGTATACAACATTTTCGTGATCAGAAGCTAGACATCGCTGCCACTCGAGATGAGCGAATGTCACTGGTTGGGAAAAGGGAAGATCCTTGTCGAGATCTATTAAGTATAAGCTTATCGTGCTTGTTAGAAGCAAGATGCATAACTATACCCTCAATTGGGTGCTCATAACCCTCTCCAAGATTAAGGGCCGAAGCAGCCTGAAGCGCCGACAGAAAGCAAAGAGACGAGAACTTCATTTTTCAACTCGATTGAAACCGATCTTTGTCCCATATTCAAGTTCAATTGCTTTTCTTCGAATCCATTTATACCCATGGAATACTCCAAAACCCCGCTCCGCAAAGCGGCTCTCTCGCTGGCTCCTGCCTTACACTTCACGATAAGCCAGACGCGCCCCACATCCGATCACCCAAAAACCCATGATATCTTAATTCTACACAAAAAATTATTCATTTATTACCTAAATTTACTTAAACATAATTTTGGCCCAGATATAAAATGATCTAGTCCCAAATAGGCCATTAAACGGCGAAAGTGTCAACCAGATGGATCTTCGGCTTGAGGCTGCAGCTGCCCCGAGGAAACCGACAGAACTAGTCCCAAAGAAGGTATCTCGGTGCGACTTTTGTTGGACGTGCAGCGTGGCTGTTCTGAAGTGGGCATTTCAATGCGAATTGCACGAGATGGACCCTCTCTGTCCAACACATAGATATTAAAGTGGTACAATAATAAATGCATTAAGTCTTTTTGAGTATAAAATGCGATATTGTGAGCCCCATACTGACACGAGTCATCATGAGCACAGAAGGTACTATAAACTGTTAAGAGGCAGTGGCCCGGATCGAAAAGGTTAAACTCTCAACGGTCGATTTGCTTCCCAGTACAAAGAGCCCGCTCTGACACGAAGGTAATCATGGTTATTACATGGCCATGTCACAGTCGATTCTGTGCAAAGATACGAAGAAGGGTCGTGGCGGTGAAGGTCCATCCAAGTTGGCATCTCCCTCTATCCCGCAAATTTGGTTCTTGCTTCTTTTAACCTAAACAGAAAATTGTTGCAGAATCTTCGATACGTAGGTCAACTTGGATCGCTCATGTGTCTTCTTCGCCTACCGGCCATCTTCACCTGCCGCCTCTCGCATGTCTACGAAATTGCATGAAGATTTGCTGATCCAGGATACCATCAACATAGGTATCTGAATACAAATCATCCACTATCGTTATATATGGCTATCTGACTCTCGATATACTTTGCTTCGGTACAATAGGCAGAAGATACCAACAGCAGCAAAGCACTCGGCGCAAGACTGAAGCATCGAACTTCAGAAAGTGTTGATAAACGACTCTACCAGCATGAGCAAAAAACACAGCCCGGGGAGATGTTCTTTCTCCCATAAAATCTTGGTTACAAGGATCTGAAATACATGTTCCGCTTCTGATATCATCTTACAAGACGAATCTTGATCATCTCTTCCACGGGATTCTCGCTCAATTGCTACTACCGTCGATACACTGACAAAAATCAAGTTGCTTACATTCTATAGAGGAATCTTTTAGGTACCAAGATGTTCAGATATAACATCAGATGTGCATAGTGCGAGTGGCGTGGCTAGATTCTCAAACCCCTGCTTTGACCGTGAACCATATACGAGATGAGCCATTAACAATTGCAGGAAGTGGAGATGCTCTCCTTCGAAACCAGTACAGGTATGATCTCTTTTCAACAGCTTGTCCCCGTTTTCTAATCATGCCAACATGCTTTCTCCTTCACAGCTAATAATCCCATTATCTCTAGTTTGCTGTGGCTTTTGAGGCTTCCTCTCTGAATCTTCCAGGTCAATTGGTGTCCAGATCCCCCACTGTGGGCCCAATGGGCTTTATAGTATATCAAACATATGGGCTTCAAATCCCTTTCCAGTCCTCTCGATCACTCAGTTATGAACGTGGACCCCTGAATCAAGCAATCATGAACCGACGAACACCTTCGCCGGCTCATTACATCAGCGAGGCGTTCAGCAAGCCAATGAACGAACGGTCCCTGTCTTTGGGGGCATCGTGAGGGCTTAAGATCGTCCCGCCCGCTGGAGGATGATTGGCCCTGCCACTCCACTTATTCATCTCTTCCTCGGGTGATCCCCCCAACCCCACTTTCTCCGGGGGCCAGAAAGTCTCCCTATTTCTGAACATCTTCCTCTCCTCCTTGCGTAGTGCCTCCCCGACTGCGCACGATGAGCTCCATCAGACCGCATGAGAAGCTCCGATCGGGCTGCGTAGAATGCAAGCGACGCAAGATCAAGGTACATCTCCCCGCTGGTCTCGCTGACTGATGTCCGCGGCCCACTGCTCAGGAATGTTGCAACCCCGTGCTGATTGTGCTAATCTATTCTATAATTCAGTGCGACGAGACGAAACCAATATGTAATCGCTGTAAACAGCGACCCGAAAAATGCAAATACGAATTCAAACTTTGCTGGACAGAAGGAAGGCCGTTCAAGAATAAAAATCGCCAGAAAGACAAGGCTCGACAACAACAAGCATCCCAAGAAGCACAACCAAGCGCCTCAGGGAGTGTTCAAGAGTGGCAGTCCGAAACTACAATACGTCCGGCAAAGGCATCTGTAAATAGCGATCTAGGACGGGCCAGCGGTCGTGTCACAGGAGTGCAAGATGATTCGGCAGAGGATGAAATCGACCGCCGGGCATCGTTGGCCATGTCCGTGAGTACGTGCTCGGATTACTCGGTGGCTACTCCGCGGACTGGGAGCTTCAGCTGGGTAGGTCAATCCAATTCCTATGGATATCAACAAGATCCCGCTGGGATGACCTGGCATCATTGGCAACCAGTCAAAACACAACACCAACAAAAACAGCCCCCTCCGCCTGTCTTTCAATATCAATGGCAGGTCCCTCAGACTATATCAACCACTGCATCACCAATCATTTCATCGTCTGAGAGTCGATTCTTCCTACATCACTATATCAACAACACGGCTGGGGTGATCTTCCCTCTTTCGCTCAAGGCAAACCCACTTAGCGAGTCCCTTCTTCAATCTGCCATGAACTCCTCACATCTCCTATATGCATTCCTCGCATGCTCCGGCTCTCACTATATCAGTTTACGTGGAGATCCAACGGGAGAAATGACCAAGAGCGTCACAAAATTCACCAACGCCGCCCTGAACGGGTTACGCAAGGCCATGGTCGATCCAAATCAGGCCGGCCAACTAAGCACACTAACCACAGCACTTGCACTATGCACATCTGATGTTATATCTGGGGGTATGAATACCTGGCGAATCCACCTCTCGGGGGCCAGTAATCTGGTCGCGTCCGTATTTGAACTTCAAAGCAATGATGATTCAATAAGCACCCAAGACCCGACGAAGCTTTTCCTGATCAAGTGGTTTACTCTTCTCGATATCTTCGCCGGCGTCGGCGGTCTCCGTAAGAGCGCCAACGCTGGAAGTTACTGGTCACTTCCTACGTCAAACGACACGGGCGGCTACATTGACGAATGGACCGGGTATTCGTTGGACTTGATCCCGATCATGTCAGAGATTGGAAAGTTGGCCCGAATACAACGAAAACGATCAAAAATCATGTCTCTCAACGATGACGAATCCGAAGACGAAGCAGCCAATCAACAGGCTCGTCTGGATACGGCAGAAGATATCCAGCGCATCGAGAACCAAATCTATGCCCTTTACGACCGCACGACACATCCAGACCTAGAGTCAAATCCGACCACAAAGACGACGGCGCAAGAAATGCGCCATATCCATCGAATATTCCTGCACACTAATCTCCTCCATCTCTATCGTCGTGTGCAGGGGTTGCCTAAAGAACATGCCAAACCAGCTCATGCGATTCACATGGTCATCGAGTTGCTGCTCAAGATCAGGCCAACGTCTATGGCGAATATTCTATGTCTTTGGCCTGTTTTCACGGTTGGCTGCGAAATTGAAGATCCCACTCAACGACAAATCATTAAAGATCGACTCGCAAATATGGAGGCGTTTGGGATGGGCAATGTGCAGAGTGCGCGGAAAGCGATGGCGGAGTACTGGGAATGTGACGTCAAAGAGAGATGGGATATCTGGCTGGAAGATCGTGGTTTTGACCTGAGTCTTTTCTGAAGGCACTTCTTGCCTCTTTTCGGGACTATTTAATAGCGAGGGAAATATTTAGCGGGATCTATTGAATGAATTATGACCTAGATATATGTGCACTCCGCAGATGAATTATACAAAGGTGCTGCAGGGCTATTGTTTGTATACATTTTTATACATGCTCAATAGAGTTTCAACAGAGGTTGACTCAGGATTTCTCCTTTTCCGTCAGCCGCACGGAACCTCGTTCAACATGTTGCTCTCCATGCGCCCTTGGAGCCATCCCCATTCCCTCAAGAGCTTCTTGAGTCTCTCCAGACAACTTCGGCCCTTTGTATGACCTCTTGCCACCAATAAACCACCAGATAACGACCAAAATGGCCATTCCATACGAGACCAGAGAAGTATAGTTCATCGACTTCGCGTCTACCGGTGGCCGGTTATACGGCAGACAGAAGAACACGTTGGAAACCAGGATATAGACAATGGCAACGCCGTTGATGAAGAAGCCGAGGAATCCATCGCCAAGGTGGAACCATCCCGGTGCGACTCGCTTGCGACCGGTAAAGAGGTGGACGCCGATTGCGAAGCCGAAGGAGGTGGTGGACATGACTGCGTAGGATGCGACGAGGGCGTTGAAGGCGGTTACTGACGCGACATATAGGGCACCCAAAGCGGTGGTGACGACAGCTGGAATAAAAGGGTTAGCTTTTCCATAGATCTTGCTCGGGAAGCCTCTCGTACCAATCAAAATGTTAGCTCTGGCTGGCATCACACTGCGCTCGTCAATCTTTGAGAAGAAGTCGGAGAATGGGAGCGCGCCATCACGCGCAAAGGCCCAGACACTTCTGACGGCAACGATTTGGAAGCCGACTTGACCTGTCAAGGAGGCGATGAAAATAATCAAGCCACACCCAAAGGCTGCGTTCGTGTTGTCGAAAGACTGGGCCATGATGCTAGCGACGGGATAGTTTGGTGCCGAGTTCAAGATGGCGTCGAGAGAGCCAGCCGAGTAGAAGATGGCAATCAAGACGATGAAGCCCCTGTCTTATAGTTAGTGTATGGCCAGTATCTGATGTTGACAAGGACTTACATTGAGAATGATCCGAACCATTGAACTAGAATGGTCTTGGGAATGTTCTTCGATGGGTTCGGGATCTCCTCTGCCATATGTGTGGAACTGTCAATAGTTCCAATGGCAAAGGCTGGTCCTACGAGACCCAGGATGAAGCTCACACCTGTGGGCCAGCCGGTCATATTGGTATACTCCTTCCAGACGAATGAGTTGGTGGAGTGCGTCTTGGGAAGAGCGGCGATGCAAATCACGACGACGAACCACACGCCCACGTTAACGAATACTATAACAATTGATCAGTGGAAAGAACCAATGATTTTGGTATGCAGAAAATACATACGGCCAATTTTGGTATACAAGGGCAGGATCTTGTTACCGAACTGAACGAACAACGCCGCAGACCAAGTGAGCACGACGAATACGACAAATACCTGCCATGGCTGACTATTATAATCGGGATGCCACAGTTGATACAGGCCGGTGATTTCCAGACCGGCGACCGAGTATAGCGATGCAAGTCCCAGTGTATATCCCAGGACGTTGAAGTATCCCGTTAGGAAGCCGATAGGCTTCGCGAACCTCGGGCCGGCCAAGGCTGCAGACCAGTGATAGACGCCGGCGGAAGTGGGCATGGCCGAGGTCAACTCGGCCATGGAGAGAGCAACAAAGAGGAAGAAGAAGTTATCGACGATCCTATCGTGATGGTAAACATTGTTTAGCACAGTTTCTTACGTAGGAGGGTTTGATTGCGCGACCGACGACAGACAACCGACCACTGGCGACCATCTTTTTTTACATACCATGCATACAGCAAACCAGATGCGCCACCATTATAGATCGATGTAATGATAGATCCGATCATCGCAGTCTACGGATAACCGGAAATCAGTATGGAGGAACTGGGTCCCTTCGCCAGTGGAGCCAACCATACCCAAGCACTGGCGGTAATGACCGCGTTGGCGGCCATTGAGAAAAAGGAGAATTGGCGTTTGAGCTCCTGTTTGTAGCCCAGCGCGGACAGGAGCGCCGCATCGTCCTGAATCTCCTGGACACTTGAAGACATCGTGGTGGAGATAGAGGCGTGCTGCTGGGGACCTAGGGTGGATTATTAGGGGTGGGTGGTGGATGTTGAAGATTAGGAGAGCGCCCCCTTGGAACGCGATCCACGGTAGTAAACGCCGTCACGCCGAGGGATCTAGCTCTAGTACGAATTCGTCAGGGAGAACAATGGTATTGATCAAGGTCGGTCGTGAAGAATCGGCTTGAAACGAATTAAAGTCGGGGAGTGGCTTTGGCCCCTGAAGACTTGAGGGGTTACTAACAGTTAGTCACTTTGGGTTGGGTCTTGACTAGTTGTAACTACTACGAACTAGTTTGGGTTAGAGTAACTACAGAAGTCGGGACGACTTTGCATAGTTTGTTCTCGAGTACTTTGACTGGAATTCGTGTCGACTGGTCGTACTTTTGCTCGCACCGAAGTACCAATCGGGGTCTAGTCTCTCCACATCCCTGCCCCTCCCACGCTGTGCACGCACTGTTCTCTATCGCTCCGAATTAACCAAACCAGCACGTAGTGCAGCTGGAAACCGTTGAACAGCTGGCTCGCATTCCAATGCAGGTTGACCGGTAATCCTCTGATCCACTCTCCACCGAACAAAAAAGCCACTCGACGTTAAAATCTATATCGCTTCGTAAACGCCAGATCCGATCTCTGGCCCAGCGCGTTTTTGTATAAATAGCGGGGAAACTACCCAGATTATCGGGTTCGAAACTATTCCTTCCCAACGAGGCACTGAACCCTCCAAAAACATAATGGCCATCGTGAAAAAGATTAAGGAACCAACGACTGCCGAAAAGGTTGCTGCCGGTCAAGCTGGCGCAACCCCAGAGGATCCTATCGATGCCCTCATTATTGGAGCTGGTCCATCCGGTAGGAAGAATTATCCGCAATCCAAAAACTTTTATTCCCTGTATATTAACTATTTAATAAGGGATGGTCTGTCTGCGGAATCTTCTAAGAGATCAACCGCCACTCTCTGCAATTATAGTCGAACGCCAAGCAGTTCCCGGTGGCATTTGGACTGGCCATATCCCAGAATACTCGACACTGCAAGATCTGATTTGCGAATATGAAGTCCACGGTGTCAAATTTCCACGACGAGAGCCTCAAAGACGGGCGACGAGAGACCAGGTCGCGGAGTTTTGTGATGCCTATTTCAAAGAATTCGAACTACACGACCATGTAATCTGGGAGCACGATGTGGCCCACGTCGAGATGGTCAAGCCTATGCTACACAAAGTCGACATTCGCCCTTTCGTAAAGGGAGGCGAGGTTACTACAGGCCAAACAGTCTATACACGCAGTGTTCTTGTTTGCACGTAAGAGGACCTGACCGATACTTATGGGTATGCGATGATACTAACGGGTTACAGTGGTCATAATATGGAACCTTATATGCCCAAGTTCCCCGGTCAAGAAACGGCAAAGTTCCCTATCAAGCATAATAATAACATTCGCGACGCAAGCGAAATGCCGGATTCAGATATTCTCGTCGTTGGTGCTGGTCCCTCGGCTATGGACATTATTCAGGAAGCTTGCGTTACGCAAGGTGCGAAGAATGTGCATCTAGTCGCACGTTCTCCTCACTGGTAAGCCGCTTACGCCTAAGGCCCATGCTCTAATTATGATGAACACAAGATACTGACCAGAACAACAGGGGAGCTCCTGATCTGTGGTGGCCTTGGCTATGGCAGTTTGGATGGACGGAACTGCATCTTATGCGCGTACTCTACCGCCGATTGCCTGTCTTCGTCGTTGATGCCATATTTTGGCTTATTCATCTCGCCTGGGCAGTCTTCCATGGCGTTCCAGAATGGAGGCCTCCTACCCGTAAGCAAAACATCTCATAGTCGGATGATATCAACTAATGACGAAATAATCTTTCCAGACGAAGGACCATCTGCAAAGGTTGGCCTCATCCTGCGGTCACACCTCGTGAAACCCTATCACAACGGACAATTCCGCATCCATGACAAGTGCGGAATCAAAGAAATCGACGGAGACAAGGTTATCCTCACCAACGGCACGGCCTTGTACCCAAGAATGCTGGTAGCTGCAACGGGCTGGTCAACCGAGTCAGCATATCTCCCCGAGGGATCCCCAGCCGGTGAATACGACTCTCTAGCTGCCGCAGACGCACCACGACCCCTATACCTCCGATTCTACGACCAAGACTATCCCGGAATTTTCTACATCTCTGTGTCGGCTGGCTTTATCACCTACACGGAGAGCGCCTCTTTCCTTAGCCAGGCTATCGGTCAGATTCTACGTGGGACCTGGACGCCTCCATCTGAGGAGGAGATTAAGAAGAACTTGAAAGAGGTTGTTTTGCATCATATTTGCCTTCCCGGTCTCATCGAGGAGGATCTTGCTGCTGCAGGCTTCAAGGATCTGCGTGGTAAGAATGTGCGCTGAACGATGGTAGTTGCACCATCTTGCAGAGCAGCATTTTTGTTTCCTTTCTATTGACCGAATCTGGAGTTTTGGGGCCTGCATCCATCCATGGCTTTGAGAGGCCCAGAGCTGAGGCTACTTACATTGCGATTGGGATAATGAGACACGACGAGCTTTGGCGATGAGCAGTTGAGGACATTTCTTATACTTGTAGATAGTTTCTCCATTCGAATATCATCGTGCATAAGCGAGAATATAGAATATGAAGATTATTCTCTGCCTTGTTTGAACTTAAGGCGTAATTGTTAGCTGGAGGCAAACCCCCAAACTTTTGGTTGAGTGTAAACTGTCGAGCACTGCTATTCACTGCACTCACGGGATATTTCATTAAATCTGCACTAATGGCACTTTAAATTTAGATCCGTTATACACCTGAGATGGTATATTGATTACAAGAGATGTTTGGAGGCTCTAGGTCTTGGGTACATTTGTGAAGTCATCATGTCGTGGCCGTACCAGCCCAGCACGAAACTGCAAATTATGCTACGGTTCCCCTGCCAGTCATTCCGTTTACCCCGATCTTAAATCGATCGCAAGAAATGACGTTAGCTAGGGTCACTGCTACTTGGTCTCATGTTAATAAGCCTGACCCCCAGCACAAGTCTTGAATGTCTTTGTACAATGCAACTTGCCAAGTATACTAAAGATTCTTTCACAACTCGAAGCCAATTACCCCCTCCTCCACTCCGAGTATGTTGAGATATCAAACGATTACATCTGGAATACCTCGCTCGAGTCCTTTCGTATCTCGCACGGGACGGCCTCTACTTTCGAGCTCCACTACAACCACACGAAACCGAGGACAAGCGCTCTACTCTACACAGGGATATGGGGATGCAAATGGCGATCCAGCAAAACAAGGCGTGAGCCAGCGCACTCGCGAGTTAGAACACCCAGGACCCGAGCAGTCCGAGAAGAAGTCTTCTACGGATAGGAAACAGCAACGAGGGTCCTCTGATACTTCGAAGAAGCCCTCCGAGCGCAAGTCCAATATTCCACCTCGGTCAGCGAAGGAGGAACTTGAGAATGAGATGGCCAGAGGAAGGGGGCAATCGTGATGTATCTATTCGATCGTTTTATACGAGAGCCTTCGCCCTCTCATACCTATCAAGACATAAGATAAATCCGTACAAGTCTGATCGTTTCTATCCGAATTCCTCTACATTAGCACGAATTCAAGAAGCTCATAACAGCTTTCCCACACTGATGTATTCCCTGGCATTTGTGCCTAATCTTCATTCTAAGCATATCAAACGCTAATCATTCTCAAAAATCGATCTCCGAGTGCATTCGCAGCCAACGGATTCCCCCCAGTAATCAACTCACGATGCAGCGTCGTTCCACCAACCTTCTCCGGGGCGCCTTCCATCATGACCGCACCTTCATTTCTCAACGCCGACTCGACCTTTTCAATCTCGCCGCCCAACATGGTTTCCATCACTTTTTCCTCCGCATCACTCCAAGAAGTAATCTTATACCCGGAATACACGAATGATCCATCACCCGCCTGCTTTGTGCTCAACAACGCAAACGGTCCATGACAGATAGCCGCAGTAGGCTTATTCTCTCGATTAAAATATCTCAGTATCCGACCCAATTCACGATCCCCGCCTAAGTCCTTCAGGGGTGCATGGCCACCCGGGATAAAGACGCCCGCGAAGGTGGCGAGTTCCTCGTCACTGATAGAGCTGAACGGTCGAGGATTATTGAAGCCATTTTCTCTCTTCATTCTTTCAATGAGATCGTGTTCGCGGCGACGCTCGTAGAAGTTTCCTGCGTATGCGAGCAGAGTTTCGCTGTTTGGATCGGCGGTTGGTTCGTGGCCCTGGGGCGAGGCGAAGGTGACTTCGTGGCCGGCATCTAAGAGCTTTTGTAGGGGCTTTGCGAGTTCTTGGAGGAAGAAGCCGGAGGGATGCTGGACTGTTTGACCGCTGTTGGAGCCGCTGGTCTTTTTGAGGGGGAAGGAGTCTGCATCGCTGAGGATGACGAGAATCTTCTTGGTTTTCATGTTGGGTGTTGTAGGCACTTGGTAAAGAATCCGTATTCGATGATCAAGAGATTTTTTAGGACAAAAGGTTTAGAATAATATTAATCTCGTTTTGTTCTTTTGTTTGTATCCGTGTTAAGGGCCTAAGTTTACATCGAGATGACGTAGTTAGAGATGTGCTTTATCTGATGCCCGGAATACGCAGCTTTCGACGTAATGATGATCAACAATTTTATTCAGAGAAATATTGCTTAATTTGGTTTCTAGGGACTGTGTGCAAGCTTCTAGAACCCCTCTTTGACAGGGTGGCTTATTGTTTCATGTGATGACCAACTAAGCACCTCCAAACGCTTCACCAGCCGGTATCAAGTGACCGATGTGAAACAACAGTTAGAACCTTCCCAAGGCGGATCCTCTTGATTTATTAACATTTAACCTAATCTTTATCCCTTAACCGTATATTGTCTCGAAGATATGTCGAACGCAACATCGGAGGACGTCCCGGATCATCTGAGATGGCAACTTAAAATCCTCTATTGGAAACGGGATGACAAGCCGTCGATTCATAGACGCGTTCTGTGGCAAGGCTCTCTTAAAAGTAACGGGATTTACTCTTACCTACGATCTGGAAATGGTAGTTTGGTACATCAGATCGGTCAACTTGTGCAGAACCAAGGAACTATACAGATCTGCGTCATAGATCGCGATAAATCGATCTATTGCCAGGATCAGTTTCCAAGATAAATGACCTAGTCTCTATATGTGACCTATGTTCTTAGAATAAATTTCCTTGTTATGATCAAAAAGTATAATAAGTTTCTAGTCATCTGTCTTGTAATCGATCTGCCCAAGAATTGCGCCGCAAAGCTTATCGACCAGAGCGGTTGCTTCTGCTCAAGAAAGGGCCAATCCCAAATCTAGCCAGATCCGAATACATAGCTACCTCAGCGTAGGGTAAAAATGATTTTACAGGCCATATCTAAAATATTTACCAAGACCAGATGACTCATTCACTTTTTTTGTATTTCATCAGCGTCTAGAAGCGCGATGCAGAGTAGAGATGTGTCTATGAACATGCACAAATCAAAATGGTATACAAGTCGTGAGCAACAAAGCCCCGACCAGAAAACGAAAAAACCCCAACCAAAAAAACCACCTTTTAGATCGCCAATCAACGCCATAACCTCGCTGAATGCCAATGAACAAATAAACCATAAAGACACGAGTATATCCCACAACCAGGTATATATCAAAGAACCAACCACATAGATAGATAAAGATCCGGGAGACCCCCATTACAAGCGCCGAACCGGAATAACCAAGCCTGGGGCCAAGCCGGGAACCAGCCCTGGCGAGGTGATGTAGGTGTTAAAAGGTGTTTCGAGTCGAGTGCAGTCACATAGAATCACCAGATTGAATGGGTATGGGACCTGGTCGTAGGAAAAATTCCAGGGAACGAACAAAAAGAAACAAAAGAGGATAGAGGGGGGGAAGAGGTTTAGACGGAGGGAGCAGCGCCGACCAGGTCGATGATCTTGCTTGCCACGGCGGATGGGTATCCGCGCGACATCATCTCCTGGACGATGCCGGCAGCTGCAGCCCGGTCATCGGCACCGAGGAATGCGCGAGTCATAGCCTCGTAGGTGCTAGGCTCGCGCTTCTCAATGCCGATGCTGTCGTAGATGGTCTTAGCCTTGGAGACATTGCCCTCGGTAGCCCAGCCGTGGATGAGCGTGTTGGCAATGTAAGCGGTCATCTCGACGTTGCGCTGCTTCATGCCACTGACAATTTCCTCGGTATCCGCAACGCGGTTGGTAGCAACCATGGCCTCGAAGAGGGCCTGGTACAGGCACGGCTGCAGACGTACACGGCGGTCTGCGAGCACGGAGTCAAACACCTTGCGAGCGGCGGGGAGATCGTGCTGAACGCAGCCCTTGGCGTGGACGAGCGAAGCATAGTGCACGGCATCCGGCTGGACACCGGCAGCTTGCATGTCGGCAAGGACACGTTCGGCGGCGGGCATGTCAACGGGGTCGAGCGAGGCGTGAGCATCAATGAGCAGCTTGTAGGTGTGCATGGTGGGCTTGATGTTGCGGGCCTGCATGCGCTCGTAGTAGGCGAGGACCTTGGAACGATCACGCTTGGTGTTCAGGAAGTACTGGATCATCGAGTTGTACGGTGCGGGGCGCGGCTTGTAGTTGGGCATGGATTCCATTTCCTCGAACATCTCCTCGGCGAAGCGCTCGTCGCTGACACGGCAAAGGGCGTTGACGATAGTACCATAGGTGACACTCGTAGGGCGGACGTTGTTGGCGCGCATCTCGGCGAAGTAGGCAAGGCAGTCATCAATGCGACGGGCCTTACCAAGCTTGCCAATAAGCGCGTTGTACAGGAACGAGGTGGGCTCAACGCCCTCAGCGACAGCGCGGTGGAAGATCTTCAGGGCCTCGGTGGCTTCGTCAAAGGTCTTGGTCGACTCCTTCAGGGTGGTGATGTAAAGGCCGAAGGTGTTGGCGGACGGCGCCGAACCCAGACCGAGGAGCTCCTGGTGGTACTGACCGGCCAGGTGACGATCACCGAGGGTGAGGCAGGCGGAGACCATAGCATCGAGGATAGAAACCCAACCGTACTTGACAGCGTTGTGAGCCGGGTTCAAAGGGACATCGGCGCGGGCCATGGCATGGATCTCGTGAACCAACTCCATGCGACCGACCTTGGCAGCAGCAGTGATGAGCTTCGCGTAGGTGATGTAGCGAGGGTGACGACCAATGCGACGCATGTTCTTGAGACGAATCAGAGCCTCGTTGAGGTGGGTCTCGGCGCGACCGGTGGTCTTCTCGAGCTCATCGGCAATGATGGCAGAGCCTCGGAAGTCGGTGGCATGGGCATACGGGTCGAAGGAATCCGGGCTAACAGAAGGGGTCGTGATGTTGGTCTCGGTCATGGAAACGGGGCTGTGGCGGTCCGACAGGAAGGAGCCCTGGGTCGATGCCTCAACGTGATCCTGCCATCTCTTGACGATGTCGGGACGGCTGGTGAACAGCTTGGCGACGGCCTGGTCGACCAGACGGGTAGTGTAGGTATCCAAAGGCAAAGCGGCGGAGAGAGCGACATCGAGCATGTGGGCAAAGCGGATCGGGTGGGCAACGTCAAAGAGCAGAGCACTGTTGCCAGCCAACATACGGGCCTGGACCTGAAGGGCCAGGGTGAGGTCGGCGGGGTTCAACTGCGAGATACCCATAGGACCCAGGCTAGCGACGGCGTGCTCCGCAAGAGGAGACACCAAGCCACCGTTCTCGACCATAGACCATAGAAGAGACATCGAGGCCTGAGGAGAGAGAACAGCGGCCGTCTCCATGAGAACACGGCCGAAGAGGTGAAGTGACTCGGTGATCTGCTCACGGACAGTGGCAGGGGCGACGGTGACCTGCTTGGCGGAGGCGTTGCGGATACGAGCAAACATGTTGCGAGCCTCATGGAGACCATCCTCAACTTGGCCGCTCTTCAACAACGCAACCGCGTACATCGCGGTCGGCTGGACCATATCCGGGGTTGCCTGACCCACAGTGTTCAACATGATCCACAGAGAACGGGCAGCAGAAACATTGCCCTGGCGGACGTGAAGCGCAAGGAGTGAAATGGCAGGATTCTGACGGGTATCGGGGGAGGTAGACAGACGGTCATATGCTTCGGAGGCAGTGGTAAGATCGCCACCGTCGGCCGCAGAAATGCAGATCCGAGAAATGGCCTGATCGCGAGCCGCATCGTGCAATTGCTCCTTAGCCTGATCCAGGGCCTTACCGTGCTCACCAACATTCAAAAAGTGCTGCACGAGGGCATCCTGAACAATGACAGCTTCCACAGCAGCCCAGCGGCTTTCGCGGTTCTCGGTAACTTCGTCGAACGAAGAACGGATCCGGTCGAGGAAGTGCATGGCGCCCTCTTCCTTGCCACAGGACAGATAAGCACGGATGACGGCCGCATAGACTTGACCATCGAGACGCTTGATGATGGCAAAGACACCGTTATCGTCAGACATGGCCAGGTTGCGGTACTCGTTGTAGCACTCGACCACGCTCGACAGATCGCGCGCGCCGGCAAAAGCGTCAATCATGAAGGGGAAGATGGACGCGTGAGGAGTCACCTTTTGCATCTCCATGTGAGAGTAGATGCGGATCATATCCTCGACCTTGCCCTCGCGAGCGCAGGCAATGATGAGATGGCGGTACAAGTCGACGGGGAAGACGAGACGAGAGTGGCGGCTCGTAGCAGTGTCGAACAGCTTCACGGCGATGGACAGGGAGTGGTCCTCAGCAAGTAGGTCACGCTCCAGCTCGCTCGACTGCAGCATAAACTTGCCGGGCTCCTCCATACCACCATACCGGACGCGTTCCTGTTCAAGCACTTCCTTGGCCTCGATCGCATGGTTGGCCTGGGTGACCAACAGCTGGACGAGAGTCTGATAAGTATCTTCGTCGGGAATTACCCTGCGACGAAGCATATCAGAGTACACATCGAGAGCCTTGTGAATGGCCTGAGCGGGCTCGGGATGAAGACGGATAGCGGCAACCAAAAGAGCGTTGTATGCATCGACCGTCGGAGTCAGACCTTCGCGGAGAATCGACTCGAATGCTGCCGGGATCTCATAGTAGTTCTTCTCCGAGGCTAACTGCACGATGCGCTCAGAGGCGATCCTACTCTCCTCCGAGATTGCCTCCGAGATAACAACATCCTCGACGGCCGACTCAGCAACGACTGCCTCGGTCACGTCCGAAGCCTCTTCCGCTTGTGCCTGCTCCTCCTGAATCTGAATCTCCCGGGCGACAGCCTCCTCAACCTGTGCGCTCACATTCTCGTTGACAGCGGCCTTGGTCAAGTGTGGGGGTTCGGGAGAAGGGATGCGCTCATCCTTTGCATCCTCGATTTCCTCGTTGGGCTGCCAGCCAATGCGCCGCTTGAACTGGAACTGGCGCCAGTCGGTATCGTCGCCGGTCTGCTGGGCGTGCTGCCAGGCAGCATAGTAGGCGGCTAGACCGAAGTCACCGTTACCACCGGTACCCTGGCTGGCCTTGGCGCCAGCGCCGGACGAACTGGAGGCATTCGAGAAGGCATTCTGGAGTTGTGTGGTGCGGGAAAACTTGGCGGCGGGTTGGAGGGAGAGTTGGTTGAGGGTTGTGGACGACGCGTAGGACTGCGATGCGGCCACTACCGACTGAGCATAGCCATGGGTGAAGGCTTTGGTGAAACTCTGACGCGCGAGATGGGTGAATGGCTTGAAGACCATTTATCTAGCGGGAGTCCTCTTCAGAGTGAAGAGGCAATGCTGGATCGAGAAAGACTCGTTAGATGGAGGGATCGAAGCGTGCCAGGTCGAGGATCTTACCTTGCACTCAGAATGATACTTAAAATGCAGGTTCATTGAACGACTTCAGTCGCCAATGAACGCGCCGAGATGCGGAAGTAGGGAATGGTAGGGGTGGAGATTGAAAGTAGAAGAGAGAGAGACCTGTGTACCGGACAGGGTCTTCTAGTTAGTTTGCTGGTAGGATAGGATGGGGATGGGATGGGAAAGGGAAGGGATCCGATGAGAAAGGAGGCCTGAGAAATAATGTTTCCCACACAAAAAAAAAAGGAAAGGCACCAGCGTTCACAAATAAGGACTGGAGGGGATTCTGGAAGGAGATGGAGAGTGGAGTGGGCCCTATGGAAAGAACTGGTTCTGGTGGTTCTGGCACTTTTGGGGCCGATCCTCTCCGGGAGGATCCTGGAATGTACTCGGTACCTGTCGAGTGTCGCGTGTGGCCTAAGTTAGCGTGTATCAAGACACTAAAATTATGTACTGGATACCCTTCGACGGAGCCATAGAGGTTACAACGTACAAGCCACATTCGAGGCTGCTACATTTTTTTTACTATACGTGAAATTGACACGTCAACACTCTTTCAGCTGAGGCCAGATATCTATCCGGGGAACCTAGGAACTACTCGACGTATCGAGGAAGCTAGATCGCCCGTGGCAAGAATATTACGAATCCTTGTCCATTAGACTTCGATAACCTCGATTTACTTCACGCAGTAACGAGTCACTTTACGTCGATATACTTCGAGGACTTCCCCGGTTCCTCCCTCATGTCAGCAGGGTCAGGTGGCTCGACGAAAAAACCGGACGAGGGGGAAAGTCGAGCCAATCAGAGAGATGCATATCCCTGCCATCGGGCAAAAAAGGGGGAAACAAACGGAGAAGCAGAAGCCAAAAGATGCCCACGGATTGGTCTATGAAACCCTGTGCCTGGATGACTCACCCTCCGTCCCGGTTCTTTTTCTTTCTCTCGGAGAAGTTGCCCTCCTTCCCCGTCGGCTCGGCCTCCCGAACTGTCCGACGGGGTTAACGGTCTTTATACATTGCGGACTTGCACCGGACATTGATGGTTATTGTCGGAGAACGGAGAATGGAGATACTGGAAAGGGATACGAAGTGAGTCAGATCGTCTTGTCTCACTCGTGGTCGATTATTGAGGTAAGCCCTCTCATAGTTTTGGATGGAAAGCAAGGTCCAACAGTGTTTTGTTCATCCTAAGGAGCTTGTGGGATCCCCGTTTCTTTTGTATTTCAATGTTCAGACACATATAGAAAGAGGGTAATAAGAATGCCAAGAAACATCTGACGATGGATGCTTTAGCGCCGCTCGGTCTTAATTCGGACACCAGTGGAGATCACGTGGCTGGGTATAGTTTATCGATTATACCTCTATAAAATACCCATCAACCGAAGTAAAGGGTGGGACAAGACCAGGAACTAACTCATCAATATGTGCAGAGTACATTACTAAAATCACTGTATACTTTCAACTCCGATCGTGAATGTAGCCTAATAGAAGAATAGCCTCAAGAGTACTATAGCCATGCATACTATACAGTCTGTAATTCTAGGCACCACCCAGTCGAAATGCAGCCCAGAGCAAAACAACAGCCGTATCCCTCCAACAACCAGCCACCACAAAAGATAAAAAAACGGACGATGATAGGCACACGACTGACGTCAGATGGAATATCCGCAACGCTCGGACATCCTCCCGCGAGACCGTGCTTGTACTTTGTCGATCGATGTCCCGTGTCACGCTGGCCTAAACCTGCTGCCCCTTCGGGACTTAGCTAGCTCCGCGCCCGCAGAAGTTCAGGGTTCAATCAGAACTGATCAGTGTCCCAATGCTAGTATTCCTACAATATCCACCGGCAAAGACCGAGGGAAGAAGAGGGGAAAGAAAAAGCCAAAATCCAATCTTCCCCATTCGCTTGATGCATGCCGCGTGGGATGGCGTTGGTGCCTTGGGTGCCTGCAGTGCTACCATTGACCTGTTTGGTCCGTCGTTATCAGATCCTGACTCGCGTAATATAGTTGTGGTACTTTGAGGTATGCACGGGACTCGAGATGGCTGTCTGCGAACGATAAGCGAAGTCATGCGCGGTGTTTAAATTAGTTGAAAGGGCTGACTAGGTTCTTGGCCCACCTCCGAGGTATATAGTGAAAAGGGACGGCACACTCGACCCAACTCTAACCCGTACATGTACGGAGTACTCCGCATGGCTATCAATTACCGAAGAAACGCCCAGGCGACGACCATGGTGCAAACCTTTCACGTCACTCACGCCAACCAACACAAAGTCCAAGGAACTGGGTCGGTTCCACCATCAGGCCCGTGTCCGGGGGAGGTGGAGGCGATGAGGGGGGACTCTGTGATAGAAGCTGATACCTACCGTAAAGGTATGGGAACAGCGTTAGATCTACATGGTAATGGAGGCATTTGGCTCCATTTACAGAAGCACACTGTCATGGCAGGAGAGGAGCGCGGTATCTTTTCTCGATTTGTATAGTCGGTGCCGAATAAGTCTCCGAAGGAACAACCCCCTCTTTTGAACAAAAGTATCATCCGCCGGTGTTCCTGTTGACGAAAGCATGCTATGACTCACAAGGTAGATTATTCATATGACAGCTAGCCACTGGAGGAATAATATAATTTGGATCCTGCTTTCGTCGACATACAGCGGGCGCACCTTGGTCTGACTAACTGTAGTTGTTATAGTCCGGATTGCCTCATTTTCTCCCTTCTTCGCTTTGGCACGAGGATATGGATGTTCATCATTTTTGCTGATCTCGTTGGTCTGATACTACAGATTGCATTTGCATCAGTCTCTTCTCTTTTTTTATGGGCCGGTGGTGGTCCACTGCATAGACTCCACCATTATGCGCGCCCTGTGAGGTATTGCATCATAGGTGATCTCGAGCTATGCTGATCGTAGGTTGGGGTTGCTATATTTCATTACGTGAGAGAGGAAGAGGTGCACAATGAAAGGTTGCTTCTAATTGAGATTCATATTACTTTTTAGTAATCAAAGGAAACAAAGAAAGGAGAATCAAGATGAGCAAGGTCTACTCGACTCTTGCATATCTCCCTAGATAATACCTCAAACTGCATGCATTATCGTTGTAAGCGGCCCCAACTCAACGGCCCGTGTACTCCGTACTAATTCCGTTTATAGTCAGTAGTCAGCGGAAAGAAGCAATGCCAAGCGTCATTCGATAAAGAGCATGCTCCAGTCAAGAAAACAATATGAGACTTTTACTTGCCGAGCCTCGAGCCATTTACCCCTGAATACAGGGTAATAGCGTTCAAGCCTCTTAAGGGGTTTATCAAATTTCACCACTCAGCAGTTCAACAATGGTTTGTCTTCTATGAAGGGAGAAGGAGCATGATACTCTATTGGGAGCATCAGGTGACCGGGTCCGGATATACGGGCATCTCAGGTATCTCAGGGTCCGAGTTTCGGGCCAAATTGCCTTACAGTTGGACGATCCAGTCGGTGCTCTGAGAAAATAAAGTGGAGCTCATCCGTCACGTTAGCCACTTTTGGTCACCTTAGTGGCTTTAGTAAGCTGTAGATGGTGGGTCCGATCAAAAACCCTCAAAGATTATTCAATCATAACCGCATCAGATCCAAAGCCTTACAAAGCCCGCTTGAAGATAGAGCCATGGGTGTATGGGTTGCCTCGCGTGTGATTCTATCGTATCACGTTTCATCTCATTTACCAATAGTATTCGCCTTTTTTGGGGTTTTATTTTTTTTTTCCTATATGGACTCCCCCAAAGGCTTCTCGAAGCCGCTTCCGTAAGCTTCCACTGGCCCCGCCCTACAGGGCATAGTTTTTATACCTGACCCTACCGGAATAACCGCGTGGCTAGCCGCGTGAAAAAATGTCATCCCCTTGAGAAATGTGCGACCATCCCTAGTGTGTAAAAAAAAGACAATTATTGGGACTAGGCAATTCTTCGGTAAAACAAAGCCTGCAGATACGCCGGACACGAGGGGTTGTAGAGTCTGATGCACGGGAACTAGTACGAAGCTAAGCCTGGAGCTTTCCGGCAGCGGGCCAGAGCTTTATAGGCCAAACTCCTTAGGGACTCCGAAGGAGTTTGACTAACTGATTAATTTATGACTGGTAGAGAGCTGGATGGCGCAATCCAGACATTTTCCATTATGCACCGACTCATGTATGATGATGGCTCCCTGGTCTCTATCGGCCAACCACAGACCTCATTCGGGATACAATGCGACTCTTTCGCAAATTACTCCGCATGTACAGTAGCCCTGTGGACTACCCCTCGAGACTGTTAGTATCGGCAGGCTCAAAAGAGCACTCCGTATCTCATCGTTCAAGGTACAAAGTACACAGTGTGGGTCTCGATCGTCGCTACCATGACGATGCTCATTTACTTCTCAAGACCCTTCCCGCGTCATCCGTCATCCGTGCCTGGCCCAGCTGGTACTCATAGACCGTGGCTTGATTCTAAAACCCCTCCTTCAATCGCCGAGGGGTATATGGGGGGAGGAGAAAATCCCCCGTTACGCTGTAAGATGGCAAAGCCCAAGCAACTGACTTCACTTCTTCAGCCCTTCAAATTCTCTGGTTATCCGAATCCTGCTAAACGGCAGGGCTGGATGTTTCCGTTCACAGACCCGTTCCCTACTCCGACGGTTCCATACCATAGTTCCATAGTTCCATCTGTTCCAGAATCTAGTCCATCTTATTTTCCCTATGGATTTTCCTTGTGGGTAGGTTCAATATCTCCCGGCCTTCTTCTGCCGTCCGAGCCACTACTGCCGGCCTATCCGAAAAGAGCTTCCACGTCTGGTGACAATCCACCCAAGTGGCTACTGACCGCTCGTCAACTGGCCTTGGCGGAAGTTCTTTCGCCTTTTTGGCATTTTTCATGCTTTTATTTCTTTAATCGTGGAGCAAAAAGGATCTCGGAGTGCGCGCTGCTTATAAATTGCGCCGGCCCCTCGTGGAGCTGGGAAAAATGAATAATAACTATACACCCGAGACTTGATCTCCTCCCCGACTCTTTTTTTCTTTTCATTTGAGCTTGTCTACTATACCCACTATCGAAGCTGTCTAAAGCTATTCAAGCTCCCCTCGCGTTCGCATCTATCCCTTATCATTCTCCTCGCTGCATATAGCTCTTGTACAGCACAAAGAAGCTTTACATTTCTTTCGCGCCTTCACAATGGTGTCGCAAACCGTCTTGCCGCAGCACCCTGGCCAGACTAAGCGGGGTTCAGAGAGCGATAGCTCGCTGGACGAGATCGCAGAGCAGAAACAGAAGCTGTTCATCACTGCGCTCGGAAAGCATGGAAAACATAGCAAAGATCTCGACGACTCTGCGTCGCCCAAGCGTTGGAAGAGCTTCTGGACTTCCTTCCGCTACCTCGCCAACCTAACGCCAAAGGAAGTAGATGACTTCATGGCATCCTATGTGATTTACAACCTGGATTGGGAGAACAAGCAGCAAATGACCGAGGTCTTGGGCCCCAACTACCAAGAAAAGGTTGGCGATTGCTTGAAGTCTTACTATGGAGTTCTTAACCACCTTTGCGCGCTGGGTGACGTTGAGAAAATGTATATCCCACCATGGATGAGCCGCAAGGCTTCCGTCTTGGAGAACCAGATTCTCTATGAGCGCTCAATTGCGCACGACATCGGCCTGACCGCCGGTGACAAGGTGTTGGATCTTGGCTGTGGACGTGGCCGCGTCGCAGCTCACATGGCGCAACATTCTGGCGCGCAGGTCACCGGCCTGAACATTGATCCCAACCAAGTCGCCCAGGCCAAGAGCTTCAACGAGGAGCGTGGTCTACACAACAACTTCATCCAGCAAGACTTCAACAGCCTCCCGCTTCCCTTCGCCGACGAGAGCTTCGACGCCTTCTACCAGATCCAAGCCCTAAGTCTGTGTAAGGACTTGCCCGCACTCTTCCGTGAAATCTTCCGCGTAGTCAAGCCGGGATCTAAGATCTCCCTGCTGGACTGGATCAGTCTCCCCGCCTACGAGCCCACGAACCCCGAGCACGCCGAGCTTATGCGTCGCGTCAAGCCTTTGATCGGCGCCGTCGGCACCCCCACCCAAGAAAGTCTGGAGATGGCACTGAAGGAGGCCGGCTTTGAGATTGTCAAGTCTGAGAACGCTAGTATCGACGGCCTGCAGGCTCCGCTGATCGATACCGTGGACCTGTACTTCCGTACCTTGCGCCAGGTTATCCTCGGCCTGGTCAAGCTGCATATGCTGCCGCGCCACTTCAAGACTTTGATCAACCGCCTGTGCCTTGATGGTCAGGCCTTTGTCAAGATGGACAACATGCGCCTGGCTACCACGAGTTATAGTATCATTGCGCAGAAGCCCAAGGCTTAGATTGTGGGCGAGAAAGGTCTTTTGACTCGACACCGAACGTCCCTTTCATGCAAGGTGATGTTTCATGCGACCCGATTGTTTTGGTCCTTCATCCATACAAATACCCATGTACAGTAATAAAAACCATAGAGGCTTGGGAGGTTTGGGTTGTTTTTGAGGTTTGGTTTTTCTTTTTTTTGATGAGCTTACGCTGGAGCAAGGCTGGAGTTTTCGGTTTTTGGAAAGAGTTAATGTCAATTCGCGCATATAACCATCTCGGCATCCACATAGCTTTTAGTTTTAGTGTTTTAATCGATATATAAATATTGTCAAATCTATCTAGGTTTTCCGATGTATCAAGGGGGAGTGTGCTGGGAGAAGGCCAATAGCTGAGAGGACCGTAGTTTAACAAGGAACATAAATATGAGTTGCCCAATCAGAATCAATTCCTGATATCATCTAAGACTTTTATTTGAAGATGAGATGAGATTCATCACTGCTAAGTTAGAACTAAATACACGACCGTAAACGTACCAACAATAGCAATCTATACAATACAAGTTTCGTTTGAACAAAACGCCAACATTTATCCTGCAACTTCCCACCCTAAAACTTGTCCGTTGAACTCCTCATATTAAGATGGGAGATTCAATTCAGGATATTCCGGGAGGCGCTCATCATGGCTATCCCCCTTTTGAGACTGCGGAAAGAATCCAGCAACCTTCGACAGAACCCAAATCAGCTTATTCATAGACCAAATGCCTAGTCGCGAAGATGGGAAGAGAAACCCCAGAGTCGTTTGAGAGATTTGCTGACACTCGACAATGAAGGGCCGCATTTTTTTCTTCGTAACACTTTAGTGCCCCCATAACGTCGTTCCTCTGCCGTGCCAACTCCCCTGCGAGCACATATGCACCTACGAGGCACAGGTTAGTCCCCAGGCCAGTGAAAGGACTGGGGCAGTACCCTGCATCTCCCAGAAGCACGACCCGACCAGTAGATAGTTGGTTCATTTTGATCTGGCCTAGCTCGTTTGCATAAAAGTCGTCGGACTCCTTCAACCCACTAATCAACCGGTCGGTCTGCCAGTCCATATCTTCGAAGGCCTCGACAAATGCCTCTTTCTGGGTTTTCAACGATTTTTTGTAAGATGCCTTCAATTTCGGCGATTCTTTCATGGTGAAAAGAAGTGCTCCCGTAACGGGACGATCGCTCGTCCGAGTCATTATCATTTTTCTTCCGGGGGCGAGGTGACCTCTGGCCAAAGTACCTTCCCCATCAATTCGAGGGATGCTAAAGTAAGCACCATGAATTCCGAGAGATTTGAAAGCGGCATCGCTCACCTCCCGGCCAAAGGCAAGTTGTCGAGTCCGCGAGTGCTGTCCGTCGGCCCCAATAACGAGGTCATACCGTTGCGTCCGTCCATCTGAGAAAGTCACATCCACACCCTGTGCACTTTGGTCCAGAGATGTGATAGTCTGGCCGAATAAATAGGCTATCTCTTGCCCTGGACCGAGTTTTAACGCCGCGTTTTGCTTGATGCTGGCATCGTATAGGACCTGCACCATATTACCACGCATGATTTCATACTCGCTGGTCAAACCGGGACCACGTTGGCCAGAGGCAGAGGCACCGAAGTAGGCTATTTGCGTCCCTGAAGAGTCCACCATCTCAAGGCCTGTTTCATTCACACAACGTGCCCTGATTTCGTCTAGTAGACCCATCTTCCTCAGGATATGGGGAGCTTGGGTCTTCAAGTCAATCTGCTGGCCTGTAGATCGTAACGTGGGAGAACGCTCCACAATAGTGATGTTGTGTTGTGGATTAGACCTTTGGAGAAGCATTGCGATAGCTGGTCCACAGACTCCAGCGCCAACAATGAGCACGTTGAGAGACATTCTCTGTGACTGTAGAGTTGGCCGACTTGAGTAGCTGAGATGACGTTTCGGGCTGCTGAAAGATGAAGAGAATGTAAAAAAGTAGCCTGGATAGGATGTATATTTTTCCAGCCGACGCAAGAGCATAATTCTGGATCGAGAATTAGGGGAGGGAAAGGACATTACCGTATGGCTAGGTCGACGTTGATTCCATTTTATAGAAGTTGAAGTATGGAACGGCTTTATCGGGCGTATCGGGATATTCCGCTTTAGGCCCGAGCTCCCAACCACCAAGCTTCTCACTCTATTCTGACCAACTTTCGCGAGATTACATCTTTCAACCGTCGAATACATACCTAATTGCGTTGTATTTCTGTTCTGGAGATATCGGAATAACCGCAGCTATCGGTCACGTCCGTGCCAGGAACTGCTTTGTCAATCCACCCCGTACGACTGATACAAGGCATCACGGACCAGCAGAAAGCCGAAATGGCCTCTAATTCTCCTTCGGGCGTCCGAAAGCGCCGCCGTCCCGCCTATTCTTGCATTGAATGTCGACGCCGCAAAGTCCGCTGTGACCGGGCAAACCCCTGTGGGCAGTGCACAGCTCACAACGCACCCTCATGTACATACGCAGAACGTCATCCTCGTGTTCCCCAACGTGCAGAATTGCTTCCAGAAGAGAGTGAGCGAGGGAATAGAACTCCAGAACAAGCATCCCGACCTGATGATAATGCCCTGCCTGGTACTTCCTCGGCTCCGACTCGGATTCGCGGCGCCTTGAACAAGACTCGGGTTTTCGGTTACGGGCATTGGATGAACTCGATGTCTATGGTACGTCGGATATACAAAGGTTCTTTCCTTGGATAGTTCTCTCTCACTAACAATTCAGACAGATAGGCGGGCTGCCAACATTAGAGCCTCTCATGAAGTGCTATCAATCAATCTTTCACGTGGATAGCCACGGCGCGCAAGATCCTGCGGCAAAAACCGTGGCTGAATGCAAGCAATTAGCACGAGACGCGAAGAGGCAGCGTCCTAGTCGAAAGTGTCTGTCCCCTGACATATATTGCTCGTTCCCTGACGGTGCAGTGATGGATGAACTGGTACAGCTGTACTTTGCAACCTTTGAATCCTGCTATCGCATTCTATGCTACCCGTCTTTCATGAGAGAGTATAGAAAATATAAGAATGACCTGGAACATGCAAAGAGCTCGTTCGTCATTGAATTACTTCTCATCATGTCTGTGACAGGTGTACTTCATTCTGATGCTAAGACTCGTGACGAACTCGCCGCCAAATCACGGGAGTGGATTCAGACTGCACAGACATGGCTCTCCGCTCCTTTGGAAAAGAATCGTCTCACCTGGAATGGAATCCAGATTCACTGCTTGCTGCTTCTTGCACGGCAGGTGACTCGGCTGGGGCCCGATCTGATTTGGATCTCAGCGGGCTCTTTAATACGCATGGCAATGCAGATGGGTTTGCATCTCGATCCAAACTGTATGGAGGAGATGAGCCTACAAGAAAAGGAAATTCGAAGACGATTGTGGTATACAATCCTCGAGATGAATGTCCAGGCGGCTCTGGACGCCGGGATGTCACCCATGATCTCAACGGGGGACTTCAATACCCTGCCACCGTCCAGGATGAGTGACGAAGAGCTTGAGCTGGGAGGAGCACAGGTGGAGGCTCAAAGCGAAATGAATGGGTTATCCTCCCAGAAGCAGCTTCTCCCTTTATTAGCAGAGTCTCTCCCCCTGAGACTCAACGTGACCAAGGTCATCAACAGCCTTCAGGAGGAACCATCCTACGAAGAAGTCATCCGTTTAGAAAAGGACCTAGCAGCAGCCTGTCGCACTGCGACAACTGCCCTTGACAGCACTCCATCGCTCAATCTTATATCGCACACCTCCCGATTTGCACTCAGTCACTTCACCCATCTCCTCCGTCGCTTCGCACTCTGCCTCCACTTCCCCTTCGCAATCCAATCCAAGAAGAATCCACTCTACACCTACTCGCAAAAGCATTGCCTCGAAGCTGTCCAAGACATAGTCTCCGTCCTCGATGACGAACTGTACACTCGCCTCCTCCTCACCGGAGGGGGTATGTTCCGCGATCTGATCACCCGCGGCGCCTTCATCCTCTACCTAGAATCAACATCAGACATCGACGCAGACATCTCTCTGGTCTCACGGAGCCGTAATCGCGCCCGACGGGAGTCGATCATCCGTGACGCTCAACGGGTCGCGCAATATGCGAAGGAGAGGATGCTTCATGGCGAGACCAATATAAAAGGGTATGTGTATATTAGTATGTCGACGGCGCAGATCGAGGCCTTGTTTGATGGGTCGTCGCCGGAGGAGGCGGCAATGACTGCTGCGAGGGAAAGCTTGGAAACGTGTCGTGGGATTTTGGAGGCAATGGCTGTGAAAGCGTCGGGTGTTGACACTGGGTCTGCGGTGTCGGATGGAGTTACGTCTCTGTTGGGAGATCTAGATGGACAGTTTGACTTGGATGATGGGAGTTGGGACTTTGATTTTGGGGAGTCGATTTTCTTTCATGACGGTGGAGATGTTTCGTTGTAGTTATTGTCCCTATCCTTTACGGATGCATCTTGTGCAGCAGCATGTATATCATGTCCTTGGTTACTTGGTATTCACCTCTAGCTGGATAGGAAGGTGAGCAGGAAGCTAGCTCTCATATTTACCATTTTCTGCACTATATCTACTAGATAACAATAGTTTCAATATCCCTTGCGTCCACGAAGATTGTATAGCTCGAGTGAATGAGTTTAGGGTATGCAACAAATGGCCAGACACGCTAGTCCCCTTTAGGAGATTTAGATACATCCCTGCCTCCACCGACGAGGGGCACCCTTTCCCTCTGCCGTTCTTTTCCCCTTTCCCCTCTCCACATTACAAGAGAACGCTCAAAATTGACGACGAAGGATTCAATCTACCATTAACGACTATACTATCACCGTGGAATTGGGAATTCTCATCTCCCGTGCACTACGAGTCCCGCGGGGCGTATCACATTGATAAACCAACCGACCACCCCACCTTTCCTCCACAAAACCGTCCTTCCGCATCCATGTCTCCCCAACCCTCCTCAGTGACGGCCTTGTCTGCCCCCGGCAAGGTTCTCCTGACCGGCGGCTACCTCGTCCTCGATCGAGCCTACACGGGCACCGTTTTCGCACTCGATGCGCGTATCCACGTTGTCGTCCAGCAGTTGAGGCGGGGACACCGCCGTGGACCTTCCGGGGCCAATGCAGATGCGAAAGCAGCCTTGTCCGACGCAGATGCAGAAGCTGCTAAGCCCGAGGGAGAGGAACAAGAGGCCGAGCACACCGTCGTCGTGCGATCACCGCAATTCGTAGATGCGGTCTGGGAGTACGGTGTGCAACGGTGCGAGAATGGTGGGGGTGTGAAGGTCATTCAAAAGAGCAATGGGTATGGTCTTTTTTCTCATTCAGAGCTTGAATCCTATGCTTTTACCGCCGCTAACTCTCGCATCTTGCTTATAGTGCTCGCAATCCCTTCGTCGAGACCTCTTTGAGCTATGCGTTGACCTACATCAGCTACGTTGCCGACTCCAAAGATTTCGGCTCCTTGTCGGTTACCATTTTGGCGGACAATGACTACTACTCCGAGACAAAAACGTCAAAGGGCGATGCACAGGGTCGCGCTGGACGCTTCGTCAACTTCGGTGTTCCCCTCTTTGAAGCCCACAAGACGGGTCTGGGTTCATCCGCCGCCCTCGTTACGGCTCTCGTCTCCTCCCTGGTGATCCACCGGACTATGCAAGCAGATGATCTGGGTGCTGGACGTGACAAGCTGCACAACCTGGCTCAAGCTGCTCATTGCGCGGCCCAGGGCAAGGTTGGATCTGGATTCGATGTGGCGGCTGCCGTATATGGATCTTGCCTGTATAAGCGGTTCTCGCCTGCGATTCTGGAATCTGTCGGTGATGTGGGTACCGCTGGATTTGACGAGCGATTGTTTGCAATTGTCGAGGATGTGGACCCTAAGCACCCCTGGGACACCGAGTGTGTGGACTTTGGCATGCAGCTCCCGCGTGGGATGCAGATGGTCTTGTGCGACGTTGAATGCGGCTCTCAGACGCCATCGATGGTGAAGAAGGTGCTGCAATGGAGGAACGAAAACCGCAAGGAGGCCGATGTCCTCTGGGGAAGCCTTCAGAACAATAATGAGCGCCTGCGACAAGAATTGAAGCGCCTGGCTCAGCGCCCAGACGCCAATGCGGATAACGAATTCTCCGAAATCACGAGTTTGATCCAGCGCACCCGGCATCTCATTCGTACCATGACCCGCCAAACGGGCGTTCCCATCGAGCCTAGTGTGCAGACCGAGCTGCTGGACAGCTTGACCGAGATCGATGGTGTTATCGGAGGTGTCGTGCCCGGTGCTGGCGGATATGATGCCATTGTGCTGCTGATTCGCGACGACCCCTCTGTGATTACGCGATTGAATGAGCGATTTGAGAACTACCAGAGTGCAGTGGAAGACGACTTTGGCGGCAAGATTGGCAAGGCGCGACTATTGGGTGTGCGACACGGATCCGAGGGTGTGAAGAATGAAATGCTCGACCAGTATGCTGGCTGGGTCTAGGAGACCCAGTTGCCTATGATGTCTCGTTACCTGGAAGATTACTAGGCGAGCCTGGCTTCGTCTAGCAGTTGATGAGATCCTGCCCTCAGTCGCCCGCTCCCTGCATGTCAGACCTGGACTACCACACCTTTATGAGCCCCATCAAATTTATGAATCACACGAGTCATGGCTGGTCCGCGAAACATCGCAGCGATGGCTCGAAGACCCATCTCTTTTTTATACCCCCATCCATCCGTCCTTTTGTATGCATTTATTTATCATAGCGACAACCCATGGCGGCATAAGTGTCAGTCCTACCGATTAGCCTTACTTTACTCCGGAAACCCCTAGAGAAACCCTTCACTGTGTGTGACCGAGGTTTGTTTGTCGGGTGTCTCAGTCGGACTTGGATGGGGTTAACGACCCGGATTTTCTGAGCGACGAGCATACGAATTACGGCATCGCTTCACTAATTGTAGCCTAGAATGGAATGACTCGGCTTATCCCTATTCAGCAAGCAATTGACCGGACCAGTGATGGTTGGCGTCCAGTAGACTTTATGGGCTTGTTCTGGAACCTGTAGATTTCCAAAGTGGCTGAAAGGCTATACGTCTAATTCCGATTGTATCACAGTAGGACGAGCTATCGATTGACCAAATCCATAGGAATCGATTGTCAGCCCTACAGTAGTTGGTCAGGGTCTGCGAACACTGGGTTATTTAGTGATGCGGTTGTTATACTATAGCGAATCTTGAACTAGAAGAGAAACAGGAGCATAGTTACGTCCATCTCCTATCGACACATCCCTCTCGTGGATCTCGCCAGTCGTTGACTCGTCGAGATGAGGTAGTTAATTCTTGGCTTCTCGGCAAGCTTAGTGCTTTCCCCGGATCTTCCTTATCGCGTTTTCCATTACGGGGTTAGATGTCGACAGCATTTCATTATTCTTCCTAACCTGATAACGTTGACTATTGATAATTATAGTCTCGAAACCACTTTTTCCTCCCTCGACTTGTCTCCATTTCCCCCGTTGCGGGCTTTGTCTGCCGATCCTTCAAGGGTTTTCTCTGCCCGTGCTTGAAACTTCATTAACCTGACCCGTTAGCCGACCTTCTTCCCTCTAGTGCAACCTCCTTTCATCTGATTTCATTTTTTTTTCTTCTTCTTCCCATCTGTTAATTTAAAATATACTTCCTCTTGATCTATACTACATCGCCTTTGAGGGTCGCTATTTCGCTAGCGACAAAGACTATTGCGCCTCCCGCTTAGGGTCGACTCCTCACGTTTGGACCGTCCGCATCTTCTCCTCCTTCTCCTCTTTCCACCTCTTTACCCTTTCCCTCCCCTTTGACTACTTCCTTCCATCCCCCGTTGGTGCCCATCTTTCCCAGCCTCCCAGGGAAAGCTAATTGCCACCTACCATCGGGGCCACCGCTACCATGTCTACCACCGATCACCCGGAGTCCGGGGTGCCCGACTCCAGCGACCACCACGAGTCGGGGGCCACCACGACTTCTCCGCAGCAGAGCTCCCAACCCCAACCCACGACCACAGAGTCTACTTCTAGCCCAGCAAATCCAGACCCGGTCGCCGATGCACCTACATCGACCGCATCGGCGGATCCTCAACAGTCTCCCGCGGGCGAAGATACAGCCACTGCGCCCCAGCACCCCGCAACCGGTGGCGAAAGCGTCGCCCCTATGACAGCAACGACTAGCACCACGACGACCCCGGCCAACGACACCACCATCACCACCACCGCCGTCGCACAGCCTCAAAATCTAGACACGCCATCAATGGGAACTCATGAGCCTAAGTCTGGCGCGGAGCTTTCGTCGGACCAGTCAGAGGATATCTCGGGGAAGGAGGTTGAGGATGCGGGTCCGTCGCTGGTCATCACGTTGCTGTTAACGACGGGATCGCGGCACCCGTTCACGATCGATGCGAAGTATCTGCAGAAGCAATCAGTTAATGTCGAGAATGATGATCCCTTTGCGATGAGCGTTTATACGCTGAAGGAATTGATTTGGCGGGCATGGCGATCGGGTGAGTTTGGTTAACCCCGGGATGACTATCTCGATGGTATTCGGATACTTTGATGGGTCTGATGTTAATTCTTGGTATTAGATTGGGAAACTCGTCCTTCGTCACCGAGCTCTATCCGTCTGATCTCTTTCGGCAAGTTGTTGGATGACAAGTCCCCTCTATCTGGTAGGTTCTCTAATCGGAAGATCATGGTATCGTGATATGGCCACCAGGTTATCAGATATGCTAATCCATACGCTTTCTACAGACTCGAAATTCAGCGCGGACCACCCCAACGTCGTACATATGACCGTCAAACCGCAAGAGGTGGTGGATGAGGAAGATGCCAAGGGTGCAAAGGCGCACCTGAACCGTGACCGCGAAGCGAGTGAGCGCAGCCCTGGATGTCGCTGTGTCATCCTATAGACGATATATCCACCATCTGCATGGGGCCATGCTATATATCAGATGTATCTGGGCCTGATTTCGAGCTCCTGATATCTTACTCCACCCTCCGCTGCGCATCACCTTTGACCTTTCCGGAACCGCCCCTACACTAGCCGTCGTCTACCCGTGGCATCTCGATATACCCTGCCTGGACGCAGGATGAACACTGGGTCGAGTCCTGGCTGTTCCGTTATACCCGATGACTTGTTCGACTATAGTCTGCCTACTGATCCCTGGGACCTGCCGCATTTCTTCCTACATTACCCTCTTGGACCAGTCATGTCTGACTCTCCATGGGTTTCCACCTTACCCCTACCTCTGTTCTGTCTCACACTCTCATATTCGCCTTGCCCTGTCCTTCCTATCTATCTATATACCCCACCATCCGATCCCTTTCTCCTTCCTTTTCTCTCGATTGACTCGCCATTTTCCTTTCCCGTCTCTTTGTCTTGTTCCTCCTGTGTCTATTTTCTGAATGGCTATCTCATGGGATTTTTGTGTATCTACGAACGTGCCTGCTCTCCATTTGTTGGTTTGGTTTGGTTTCTTGATTCCTCGCTCGTCTTGATCATTTCGTTCTCGTAGTGTATATGGCTTTTTTTGCACTGGTACATAATTAAACCCTCACGAGATATTGATGTTGATTGGGACTTTGTATCGAGTAAGCCTCCACAGTCAAAGATTATTTAAGTCTGGAGATATGGAGGTGATTTCTAGGGTGTATATTGAGTTGGAAGATCACCTAACGGGCCGTCTCGCAGTATCTACTGTTGATAGGGAAGCAGCGTAGAGAGATACACAGAGTTGCTGTTACAGTATTCTATCGCTCTATCATTGACACTGGATGAAAGGGCGACACAGGTAAAGCAGGAAGGGACCTAGTGTAATGGAACATTGCGAGCAGGAGATAATGGGAGATATCCATCGAGGAAACGAAACGAAACGTTAAAATTAATTCATCCAAGTCTGATTCTCTTAGAAGTTCATCTTGAGCCTCTTCTCCATCTCGTCGTGGAACGAAGGGGGTTCCCGAAGGTCGTCGCCTGCAAGAAGAAGTACCAGTTAGCCAGCCATGTCACCCAGTAGGTATTATAAGACAAGACAAAGCAAGTCTCAACTCGAAAAGTCAACACCATAACGAGGACACCAAACTCACCCTGGAAAACATCCTCCCAACCAATCTCCGTATCCCGACCACCCAGCACAAGAATATCCTCATGCACATTACCACCCTTCAAACCACCCAGCACGGCAGGCCGGAACGTACCATCCCTCACAATCTTGAGCTCCATCCCACGACGCACGGGCTCCGCAATACCATACGCCCGACGCAGAGACTCCATCTTCATCGAGTCCTGGGTTGCGCGCCAGGCTAGCAGGCGGGCCTCGAGCGGGTGTGTCGAGGAGGGGATGTCGGCTGCGGATGGGTTGTTGGTTGACGAGGCGGTTGCGGTGGCGGGGAGGGTGAGCTTGTTGCGGAGTGTGTCTGGGAGACCTGGGGCGGAGGGGGCGCCCTTTGAGAGGTGCGAGGCGTGTGTGGTTTGTTGGCGGGCGGAGGTGTTGGTGGTTGAGGTGCGGTTGCCGCTTGGGGGTGCGATGCGGAGGGACTGGGATGGTTGTTAGTTGTTGGTCGATATGGGCGTGTTAATGATGACTGGGGATTTGGGTGTGGATTGGGAGGAGGAAGCTTCAACAGGTGCTGTAGCTGGGATTGGGGATGGCCAAGGGGATGCTGGTGGCATCGGGGATAGGCTCTCTAGAAAGCCATGGGCTTGATGGACCGGAGGGTGAGGCCCAGATCCGTAGCTTGATAACGCACCATTATGACGGTATGGGAGTAATTCCGAGGGTTCCTTAGCTCAAATGATAAGATTCAATGAGGATCTTGGAGATTGACAAAGCTGCAGAGGAAGAAGATGAAGAAGCAGGAAAGTAATGGAGGATGATGACTGAAATGCGGAGGACGGCGTCAGGCAGAGAGCAGCAGCGCGTCCAGCTCCTCCGGCGGCCCACAAAGGCCGATAGAGCAATTCCCTTCTCTGTGTCACGTGCTCTACAATTCCAATCTCAAATCATCGGCGAAGCAGAGACTCGGCCTCTCCAGAAGGAACAATCCACCACCAAACAATCCCAACCACATCAATGCCTCAATTAATCTCACCCCTGGCCCTCCGGGCCCTACGGACACTCATCCACCGTCCTGCCACAACGTCAACACCCCTCCGCACTCTCACAACCAGCGCCTTCCGCCGCGCAACTACAACCACAACCACCCCGATCACCTCCCACTTCACCTTCACCCCAATCTTCCGCACCCAAGCAGCCCTCACCCGCCAATTCTCTAGCTCCCCCATCATCCGCGCAACCTACAACCAAGTCCGCCGCGGCTGCCGCAGCGGCCAGCGCGCGCGCCGTGGCCGCTCCCCAGCATTGAAGAACCACCCTTCTCTCAAGGGCGTCTGCGTCAAGACGGGTATCACCAAGCCCAAGAAGCCTAACTCAGGCGAGCGCAAGGTTGCCAGAGTTCGCTTGAGTTCCGGCAAGGTCGTTAGTGCTATTATCCCCGGTGAGGGTCATAATATTCAGCAGCACAGTGTTGTCCAGGTTCGGGGTGGTAGGGCGCAGGATTGTCCTGGTGTGAAGTATCATTTGGTTCGTGGAGCTATGGATTTGGTAAGTACTTGATTTTTGATTTGGTTTCTGGCGGGTGTTGTTGAGGGGATAGGCCTACGTGATGATCAGGACTGACGAGTTGTTATAGGGTGGTGTTGGAAGCCGTGTGACCAGTCGTTCCAAGTATGGTACGAAGAAGCCTAAGAGCAACTAAAAGGTTGGAATTGTCTGTGTAGGATAGAGAGACATTGGAGGAACGATGCAGACTGGCATTCGGAGTGTTCAGCCCCGAGCTGAGCTCAATTCGCTGTCCTGTGTGGACCATGTCCTTTGAGAAGAGTGGCATCATATTTTCATTTCTTTTTCTAAACCACTGTATTTATGCAACAGCCCTTGTTGTCATTTACTGTATCGCATGTACTATTATGAAGTGATTGGTTATCTCGAATACGTCCAGCCTGGCTCGAAGTAAGCTTTAGGTCTACGCAGTAGAAAAAAGATCCGTCGAGTCTTAATATTAAAGAAGTCGTTCAGACTGGGAGCTAATATTCGTAGTCTTTCAAATTTGAGTACGTCAAATGTGGGAATAATATAAAAAAACCGTTGCTCATCCTGTGAGAATCCTCTTGTACTCCGGTGACCGATGCAATCAACTTCGAAGAAAAAGAAGATGATTAAAATGAAGAAAGAAGAAAAAGGGAAACACGCTGTCGACAATGAAGATAGTAACACATGGAAGCCATCAATCCTCCAAAAGGTGCCGCGCAAGGAAAGTTGAATAAGAATAAAGAGCCAATCGAAATGTAATCCTACATCCAAAAATCCGCATTCGAGTCATTCTAGATGACACAGCAGTATGGACCAGGATGGGATATCCTTTTCCTTTGGCCATGGGAAGAGAAAAAAGGCATGGTCATCGTTAGAGAAGCCATCACAAACTCAACCGATTTTCCTCATTTTCGTCTTCACTTTTCGCTCGCCGAGCGGTATTTGTAGGTGCCGCGGCACACTTTGACAAAGTCAACCACCGACTCGATCACCATATGCAGCCACTGCATGACCCTCATTCGCGCACGTTGACTGGCTAGCAGAACCATTGCACCAATCAGACACAGGACAACGACATAGCGACCGAGCGCAAGGAGTCAATCTTTCTTGTCCCAGCCATCAGGCTTTTGAAGGTCGTTGACCTTGAACCACCGGTTGGTGCCTGTAATGTTACAATTAGGAACGCGATTCACGGATTATTTGGAGAGTCGGTTTGCAATGCTTACAAGAATAGCCCTTCCAGTCAAAGTTCTCCTCGGGCTTGCAATGACAGCGCAGGTCCAGCCTCGTCTGCTCATCGCTCGGGCAATGGGTGAAAGGTACGTGGTAGTAGGCGATCTCGTTGAAGAAGTGGATTTGTTCCTTCTTCAGCATAACGGCTGCGGCGATGGAGTGGACGGGTGCATCGCCCCATCGCTCATAGAAGAAGCCACCATCCTGGTCCAGGGAGGAGAAGTAGTCAATGTACGCCTTGGAGCGCAGCCACTCCAGGCTGCCGATCTCAAAGTTGGACCACTGTAGATTGAATGTTAGCTGTCTTGAACATTTAAGAAATCGATGCACCAGGGACGACATACGAAGTGGCATTTGTTGTAAGTCTCACCGCCGTCCTCACTGATAAACTCCATGGCGTTGCCACTGGGGACGTGTTCGGGGTGGCTCTTCAGGAATTTCTTCACGCTATCCCAGAGAGTGGGAATGGTATCGATGTATTCGTACAGACTGATGACAAAGCTGTACTTCTTGTCGTTCTCCTTCATGAAGCGGAATGGGTCGTGGCCGATATCACAGTAGAGCTCGATGCTGGGCTCCACGCGCCAATAGTATTCGTAGTTCATCATCAGTGGGTGGCGGAAAAAGAAGCCCGACTCGTAGCGGCACATATGGCGATAACTCTCTGAATCACCGTAGATGATCTTCTTGCGACCCATCTCCTCTCGCGCCTCTTTAGCCTTATCCTGGTCAATCCAGTCCGGATACGACCAATGCTCTTCAGGAATTTTGCCGTAGTGTGTTGTACCGGAGGCCAGTGAGGTGGTAAGTTTCTTGAAGTCATCGTCGAATTCTTGATCGTTCAGGAAAACCCAGTCGTAGTTGTAGTTACGATTGAAGCGATCCTCGACATTTCGGATGGATTTGGCGATCTCCCAGATGTCGGAGTTGCGGGCGAGGGTGACAAACGTCGCATTGACCCGCTCGCTGCTGTTCGTTCCAACATTTTGTGGTTTTGACGATTTGAAATCTTCGTAGGAGGGTTGAGGGCGAGGGAATGAGGATGCGCTGGGCAGGTGGAAGGAGGATCGAGAGATGATGTAGAAAAAGGCCAATCCCTGTGGGGACGATGATTAGCGCCACTGCGATTTCATGCGACTTCAACGGCTGCCAGGGGCGGGCGGCGCTGGGCCAAGAAGACGATTGAAGTACTTACCACGACGGCGAACACCAGATACCGGGTATATCGCGCGGAGACCGACATTGTGTCGAGTGGGGAGAGGAAGAAGGCCTGGAGGAGCAGGCAAAGGTAACGAGTGGATGGATGCGACCAGGCCAGCGGAAATGCGGCCTATCCTTTTTTTAAGTCCTCAGTGAAGAATGATCAACATCCGCCGATGGACCAGAGCAGATGTGAAGGGAAGAAAGAAAAACACGGGTAAGAGAGGTGTTTAGGGGAAAGTAGGTGGAGGAGGAGTAGGAATGGGGGAAATTAGATTCGCGACCGACCAGGCCACGCAAGACAATGGCGACAACCGCTTTGAGCCGCGTGGTTTCACCGAATGCGAGACATTTCGGACCGTTTAGGGGGGGGAGATCCAGAACCTGGGTTGGAATTGTGGCCCCCGGGAATTGCTTGGCTAATAAAAACCCGATTGTACTTGATTATTTAAAGTCTGGGATTTCGATGATGCAAATCCCCCATCTGGCCAGTGACGATCGACAGTATAAAAAGAATCGCAGAATCGTCAGGACATGGATCCAGAGCTTACGGGCGTAATCCAGTCTGGCCAATCATAGAGTGCCGGGTATTATTGTGCATAGTCCAATTGAAAACAACACACGATCCCAAACAAACTGGACAAGTTCACGAATAAGTAATAATAGTTACCCGTTATGTTACTGATATGATAGTGCGGGGTCTCAAATTCAAACTCTGATGGAATATGAAACAAAGAAGACCCTGTAACTAAGAATAAATCCCGACACGATCGATCATCTGACAGCTCTCCTCCTTGCGCTTGGTGATCCCCACAGTACGTCGAGTCAACTGGCCAGTTGATCGACAGGCAGATCTCATGGCTGCCTGAGGCCCCCATCCCTCCAGAACTTCGCACCTCACCTTCCCCCACCACCAGCCGATCTCGCCTTTCCCTTCCCATCCCTTCCCCTCTTCCCCCATTCTCTGATCCCACCTGGCATCTGGCCAAAGAGGCATGTCTTTCTTTGGTTTCGATACCACCCTTCCACGGGACCGCCAACAAGGTGGCCCGGCCAGGGGTTTCTTCGAGAACCCGGATCCCTTCGCGGAGGTTGCTCGTGCGCAAGCACTGGAAGATGACGATGGGTGAGCTATCGCCATTGGCTGTATGACCAAAATGCGCATCTTACTAACTAACATGACTAGAATTGACTTCGAGGATACCTACGATGGTCTCGGTGACCAGCTCGACGATGACCAGGATGCCTTCAACGATGACACCTTTGGCGGTGGGGATGCTGGAGCTGCCACTACTGGTGCGGTTGGGAGAGACTTTGACTTCTTCGGCACCACGGCCAAGGTCGCCGATGTCATTGGAGAGGAACAGGTTCGCTATGCCCTGCAGAACCCTTCGGCAGCTCCGTTGGCCGCCCAGCAGCATGCCGCTGCCCCAGCTCCGACCGCGACGTCCACCACCACCGCGACCACCGCCAAGCGCTCTGGATATGAAAAGTACTCGGACCCGGGATACATCCCCGATCTGCAGGCCAAGTCCAGCGTTTGGGGTATCTCGCAGAAGAAGCCCGACCCGATTCCAGCTGCCAGCCGGAGACCGATGATGAGCTTAGAGGAGGTTGAGGCACAGATGCGCCAGCGGTCCCAGCCTACCGCGACGATGCCATCGCAGTCAATCCCTCAACACATGGCCGAGCCTTCCTTCCTACCCCCACCGCAATATCCCCAGGGTATCCCCGAGGGCTTCCCCGCAATTCCTCCCGAGTACTTGCGAGCTGCCCTCGAGAAGGGTGTGCTCCCACCGGGTATGCCTGGTCTCCCTCCCGGTATCCCGGAGCTCCACGGTGCCCCTATCATGTCTGGACCTCCGCCGATGCATCTCCAGCAAAATCAACTCCCTCCTCAGAACCTGCCTCCTCAGGGTCACCGTCATCCCGGCCCGCCTCAAGGTCAGCGTCAGCAGCAGCAGCAGCAGCAGCAGATGCCGCCGCCACCATCGTCCCGTGGACCCAACGGTGGCTTGCCGGTCATCACCAATCCGCAGCAGCTTATGCATCTCACTGAAGAGCAGCGTAATGCTTACCTGGTGGAGGACGCCAAACGAGCGAAGCGCAACCACAAGATCTTCCTCCTGTCTCGGGGCAATGGCTTGATGACACCCCAGGACAAGAACTTCATCACCCGTATTCAGCTGCAGCAATTGGTGGCAGCCGCTGGAAATGTGGCCGATGCGGACCCGGAAGCTGTTCTGGCGGAAGACTTTTATTACCAAGTCTATAGTCAGATTCGTGGTGCACCCCGCCAGCACCCACACCAGCCTCTGGGTCACTTTGCCCAGACCTATCTCCTCCAGACCGGAAACCGCCTGGGTGGACACGGAAACAGGAGGGCATTCCAGAGTGCCGATAACCATATGCAACGCATGCAGCAGCAGGTCCAGCGTGCCGTTGAGGCGGCCAAGGCCAAGCCGAAGAACAAGCAGCTTATCATCGAGGGTAGCTTGGGCAAGATTTCATTCAGCAATGCCAAGGCTCCCAAGCCCATGCTTAACATCAAGCGCCCTGATAGCTCCGAAGGTCCTCGGCCAAAGAAGGTGCAATCAGACCTCAGCCTCAGCGACCGTAAATCCATTCTCACCAACATCGAAAGCGTGTACAGTGCTCTGATGGCCATGGAGGATATGGAGCGGACCATGCCCCCTCCTCCCGAGGAAGGTGATGCCGAGGCCATCCAGGAGCATATGGAATGGCGGCAGAAGGTGCACTCGCTGAACCAGAAGTTGTGGCGAGCCCTCAAGGTTATGGAGCCTATTGTACCCAACTCTACCACCCCGCACCCTTTCATCGCATTCTTGTCTTACCCTAAGGGCAAGAAGGCCATCCCCCGTATTTTCCGTCACATTGACCAAGAGCAACGTGTTACTATTCTGACCATGATCGTGGTCCACCTGGACAGCTTGGATGTGGTCCGTCTCGCGCAGCCCGGACCGGGTGAGGCCCAGCCTTCCATCGCGGTGCGCGAGTCTATTGACCTCTTCTCGCTGGCAGTGATGCCCAGCTTGCTTGGCTACGTGAACGAAGCACCCTTCAACATCATTATCGGTCTGCTGGGTCTGGTGATTGCCCAGACGCACGTGCAATCGGTGGCTCGTACCAAGGTTGGCCTGGGTATTTTGACGATGCTGCTTAGCCGTGCCGAGATTGTCAAGGAGGCCGGTCAGGCTGCCGAGCGGGACTGGCAGCAGTGGGTTGAGAAGTTCAATGTTCTCTTCGATACCCTCGAGCCCTCGCTCGCAGATATCTTCCCCGGCGCGATCAACACGGGTGACGACATGTATGTGTGGCAGTTCCTGGCCGCCGTGGGTATTGGTGCTAGCCCGGAGCAGCAGCAGCGCCTTGTGATTGCTGTTAAGTGAGTGACTCCCATATTGAATTGTGAAAGTACTTTGCTAACCATGTTGCCTTTTAGGGATCGTGTGATGGAGACTGTGGGCTACAGCAAGACCCTGCCTGCCGATATGGCCAGCCAGCGGCTGGGCAATGTCAACCTGTTCATGCGGGCCATTGGTCTGGATGTGGAACTCCTGGGTTAAACCCGGAATTGTAATATCACCGGGAGACCATCTTCGCGGGTTTCCTCTCTTCTCGAGTTGTACTATTGCAGCCCATGCCCATGGCCGTGGGTTTACGCATTCCATTTGGGGGTCTCTCGGGAGATGATTGTCCCTTGACCAGACTGGATCTTAACACCGGTCTGTTCTTGAGGGCTTTGCAGACATGTCTCAATTTGGGTGTCTTGATACCCCTTCTACCGCGCAAAGTTGCTGAAACGCACATCGGCGCCGATTTCACTCGAGAGTTCTTGAGTCGGATGATCCAACCCAATAAACCTGGGCATTTCGACATACTTTGGCTGGCGCCAACGAAAAACACTTGACCGGGCAGCTTATTTTTTCCATGCCCCGGACCTCGAGCATCTACGTGTTCTTTATTTTCTTCTCATACCAATTCCATCCTTTTTTTTAAAAAAACTGTACCCATTTTCCTCACGGCTGTGTTTAGGGGGGGGGAGAGCTTGATATATGGGCATACTTGCAATGAACTGATGCCTGGGGATTGTTCTTGACCCAGGGTAGGGTCTATCCGTGTCCCCTTTGTTAGCAACTAGTTCTTGGTCTTTCTGGATATGGTTGATAATCTACGATTTCTCCGATATCAGTCGGGTTTGATTGTACATGCTGTCCACCATCTTATGATCCCGAGTAAATTTAGGTAGTAATGGTTCCACCGGCCAAAATCGGGACAGCAAGTATAATGCCGCGGGCACCAGGGGCGAACCACTCGGGCCACGTACTGGGTCCCAACGGGAAGTCGACTGGGTTTAACAAGTTAACTGGACCTAACCGGACCATCGTGAGCCTAATTGGACCCTGGGCCCCCGGGGGGTATGGACCCAGCCGGGCTTCTTATTCGGCAATGGTACGCCCGGTGGGACGATGACCCGCACGGTCCTGAGGTGAAACGGGGCTGCCTCTCTTTAACGAGGAACTTAATGTTTGGAAATTGACAGTTGGCTTTTTGAAAGGGGGCTAGTTCAAGCTCATCCACCGGAGAAATTTCTTGGGTACAAGTACATATGTAGCCGCCTATCTTAAGCTAGAGTTGTAGCTAAGTATAGAGGGCTGACGGCTAAGAATGCCATGCATAGAGATTAGAGACTGCTGGTCAAATTACCCGATCATGAATTAAGCACAGGAGAATGTTGATTCTGTATAATTCAAGTAGTCGATGTACACCGCCAGGACGATCTGTGATCTACACTCTGGTCCGTCTATCATTTCCCAAGGTTCGTCCATTGACGAGTCCGTCGCAGAGATAGTGCTGTAACGTATCATGGCTGGCGGCCATTGCGCCATACCGGCAGTATATGTTTTACACACAACAAGATACTGTAGAGTAAACTCTGTGGTACATATCAATATTTCATAAATATAACCGAGTATAAAATTTTCAAGTATACAATGAGGCTGGTCTGGCCGCGTAAGATGGGGCCAGACGAAGGAGATGAAATATGACGGAGTGCCCCCCCACTCTTTGGCTCCTTTTGGCTGGTTGGCTCTCTCTTTCCTTCTTCCCCTTAAAAGCTGCCCCTCCTCCTCCCTTATCCTCTCCCACTCTCATTCTCGAACTCTCCAATCCCCTCAATTCCTCCTATCTTTCCTAATATCCTTCCATCCATCATGCCTGCTGGTTCAGTCCTCGTTGCCGGGTGAGTTTCCTCCGTTTCCTACATTCTCCCATTCCCATCCCCACCCCCGCCATCCTGGCCCCATTGCGAATTCCCCAGCTAATTGATCCCACTAGTGGTACCGGTTACATTGGCTCCTTCACCACCCTCGCCCTTCTTGAGGCTGGCTACAAGGTCGTCGTCGCTGACAACCTGTACAACTCCTCCGCCGAGGCCCTGAACCGTGTCGAGGCTATCTGCGGCAAGAAGGCTGAGTTTGTCCAGCTCGATGTCACCGAGGAGAATGGCTTCGACAAGGTCTTCGAGGCCCACCCCGACATTGACAGTGTCATTCACTTTGCTGCCCTGAAGGTGCGCTCATATATCCATGCTGAATTGGAAGAAACCAATTCAGCGCAGCCATTGTCACGAAATAACCCCGAAACTGACACTCTTCTTTACATCCAGGCTGTTGGCGAGTCCGGCGAGAAGCCCTTGGACTACTACCTGGTCAACGTCTACGGCACCATTAACCTGCTCCGCTCCATGGTTAAGCACAACGTCAGCAACATCGTCTTCTCCAGCTCGGCCACCGTCTACGGCGATGCCACCCGCTTCCCCAACATGATCCCTATCCCCGAGGAGTGCCCTCTGGGCCCCACCAACCCCTACGGTAACACCAAGTTCGCCGTCGAGACTGCCATCACCGACGTGATCAACGCTCAGCGCAACAACGCCATCAAGGCCGGCAACGAGGCCGAGGCCAAGAAGTGGAACGGTGCCCTGCTCCGCTACTTCAACCCCGCCGGTGCCCACCCCTCCGGCATCATGGGCGAGGACCCCCAGGGTGTCCCCTATAACCTGCTCCCCCTGCTCGCCCAGGTTGCCACCGGCAAGCGCGAGAAGCTCCTCGTCTTCGGTGACGACTACGCTTCTCACGACGGCACCGCCATCCGCGACTACATTCACATCCTCGACTTGGCTGACGGTCACTTGAAGGCTCTCAACTACCTGCGCGAGCACAACCCCGGTGTCCGCGCCTGGAACTTGGGTACCGGCAAGGGCTCCACCGTCTACGAGATGATCAAGGCCTTCTCCGCTGCTGTCGGCCGCGACCTCCCTTACGAGGTTGCCCCCCGTCGTGCCGGTGACGTTCTCAACCTCACTGCCAACGCTACCCGTGCTACCAACGAGCTCGGCTGGACCCCCAAGTACACTCTTGAGAATGCTTGCGAGGATCTCTGGCGCTGGACTAAGAACAACCCCCAGGGTTACCGCCAGCAGCCCCCTGCGGAGCTGCTCGCTGCCCTGAAGAAGTAAGGGTTGAGTTGGGTAGTCGCTACGATTTTTTGCTGATGAGGTTGGGATTTTTTTCTCTTTAAAAAGTATCTTGTTGAGATATTTGTGCGTGGGCATAGATAGTATTCATGGTAGAATATATGAAACGAATTTCCTTTTTCGCTATATATTTTGATTTCACATTGGTAATCCTTGAAGGTCGGAGATTAGCGATGGAGGAAGACGAGATATATAGTGGCTCTCACTATTGTGTATCCGAAGGTATTGAAGACTTGACCGAAGTACTCTATACTTTTCATTATGCAATTGTGTTCTATGCATAACATCAATTCTATAAAACGGCACTACCGCATCAAGAATTGGTCCTAATGTATACCAACCAAAATCAAAAACGCCTCCCATGATTTCCAACCCACCCGATCTATAAACACTACCCTCAAGATGGGCCTCAACCCATCTAATTCTTATTCCCCTTCCGACTCCTCCTCGACCCAGCACTCTTCTCCTTCCCAGAAGAAGTCTCCTTCCGATTCTTCTTCTCCTCCGCCGCCTCCTTCTCCTTCTTCTCAAGCGCCCGCCTCACAGCACTCTCCTTCTCCGCCTCCTCAATCTGCTTCTCACTAAACTCCCACAACCGCTTACCCAAATCCTCATCCCGGACATCTCGTCGCGCGCAGTCTACCTCCCGACACTCCTTGATCATCCAGCCGCCCTCGCCGCGTGAGTAGCTCTCTTCCATCAGGGCGTACAGGATACTCTGGGCACCTTGTTGTGGTGATTTGAGAATCAGGCACCACAGTGGCCAGGTGAGGAGGTACAGGAGCAGACCCCAGAGGGAACCGCCGGTTAGCCAGCGACGTGTCCCTGGGGTGCGCGAGAGGCCGGGGTCGACGACGAGGACGCGGGTGCAGGGGGGTAGACCGTCTGGTCGAGCGTAGGCGTTTAGATGACGCTGGAAGGAGTGGGCGAAGGTCATGAGGGAGAATTTGCTGAGGGCGTAGATACCCTTTTTCGATACGGGAGGTGTCTTGGATTTGTTCTTTGCGGATGTAGCGGAAGCGTCATTTCCACGCTTTACAATGTCCAGATCGAATTTAGCCCCGATGTAGCTGGAGCACGTTGCGAAGACGACTCGGACGTCTCGGTGGGCTGGTTGCACACGTAGTGCGGGGCTGAGGATGCTTAGGAGGTGGAAGTTGGCGAGGTAGTTAATCTGCCACTCCTCGTCGATGCCGTCGAGGGTGTTCTTGCGTGCGCTGGATGGGACGGCGACGCCGCCGCAGAGGACTACGGCGTCGAGGCGTCGGGGAGGATTGTTGTCGATCCATTTCGTGGCGAAGGTGCGGATTGAGTGTAAAGACGAGAGGTCCACTTGTTCGGCGTAGATGAGTTGACTGCCCGTTGTACGGCGCAGATCTTCGATGTACTCGACGAGAAAGAGGTCGGAGGGGGGTTGCTTGGTTAGGAGGATGACTTGGGCGCCGCGAGTAGCTAGTTCTTGAACGACGGAAGCTCCAATGCCGGACGTACCGCCCTAGCAAGGAAGTTGTTAGTAAAGAGAATTTAGAGACTGATCCGTGGAATTCCATACTGTCACCATCACCACCTTAGAGTGCATCAACCGCTCGGAGGTGTTGCGTGCTCCGCCAAAGTAATACTTCAGCGCGGCGATCAAGAGAAGCCATGGTGCTGTCTTGATCACCGTCCAGGCATATGGGATTGAGCTAATGCCCTCCTGAATGCCCTGGGCAATAATGGGAATGGGCATGGTGGGCAGGTGTGAACTGAGCTAAAAATAACGAGAGAAGGAGAAAAAGACGTGGAGCTGTCCGGACTCGCGGAGAGTACGTGGCTTATCGCCCCCTTATCGCCCCCTTATCGCCCATCTTATCAAGCTTATCGCCACTGACTGCGGGTCTCGTCTTGGCTTTCCAGAGAGCTTTCATCTTTCATCTTTCAACTCTACGATGCGCCCACAATGTCCAACTTCCAAGAGGAAGATGATGAGGACTACTACCTCCCACTACAAGACCAGCGGGTTTTTGGTGCGGGTATACGGCGTAAACGTGTACCCTTCGTGCGGTCATCAGAACATGAGCTCAATACGATAAACCCGACACGCCCTTCGTCTATACCTCCGGGGCCGAGTATCGCGGACACATACCTCTCGATCGTGCTTAAGAAGCCGACTACAAGCACATCGCCGAGCACGCCAGAAGATAGAGAGGTATTAGCTCCAGAGCGCACCGCACACTCCGCACCGCCTGCATCAGAAGCCATCTCACCTCCGCCACCTGCTCCTACATCCCACACCCAATCCAAAGACCACTGTGAAATATGCAACCTCCCAATATCATCAGAGCCCGTATCAGACGAAACCACAGATTCCTCAACATCCCGACCCCACGAAGCCTCCCTCGCTCACCAAGTCTGTCTCCAACATTCACATCCACCCTCCCATCTCGACCGGACTCGCACCGGCTTACGCTACCTCTCCAATTACGGCTGGGACCCGGATAGTCGTCTCGGACTCGGCGCAGCAGGACGTGAAGGTATCCGTGAACCCTTGAAAGGGCGGATCAAACATGATACTGCGGGCTTGGGCACGGGTCTGGATAAAGATGGAGATCGGATACGAGTGGCGCCGCCACCACCGAAGAAGAAAGTTGAAAAGTTGAATGCGAAACAGGCACGGAAGGGAGCTGCTGAGGCTAGGAAGAGGGGAGAGAAACTTAGAAATTTGTTTTTCCAGAGTGATGAGGTATTGAAGTATCTTGGGGAGGATGCATGAAGGATGCCCGGGATTGATGAAATACGGTTATGGAATATGGTTTGTGAGCTACTTGATTATGATACCCATTGATAGAGAATACAGAGTGATGTTTGATATGAATGATTCTTGCAATCGACCTGCCGTATGATCTATCGAACTATGATGCTTTGCTGAAGAAACGATTATCCGGTCTCTCGAGGCCGAAATGCTCCCGCAATGTCGAACCTGTGTACTCTTTGCGGAATAAGCCTCTGCGCTGCAGCTCTGGAATCAATCTGTCCGTGACTTCCTCCAATCCCTGAGGCAAGAATGGGAATGTGCAAGTGAACCCATCGGATGCCTCTTCTTTCAACCAAATCTCCATCTCCTCGGCAATATCACTCGGCGATCCTAGGAAAGCAAGCCCGGAAAACCCACCATATCGCTGGGCCAATTGTCGAACCGTCAAATTCTCCTGCTTCGCTAGTCTCTCAGCACCCTCTCTACTCGTCTTGCTGGCGTTCGTCTCGGGCAAATCCGTCGGCAAAGGCCCATCCGGATCAAATTGAGTCGCATCCACCCCAAGAACGATGGACAAGGACGCAATGGCGCTATCATAATGCACCAAACTATCCAACTTGAGTCTCTTCTCCTGCGCTGCCTTCTTGCTATCCGCAACAATGATCAGCGCCGCAGGCAAGATCTTCAAATCCTCCCTCTTCCGGCCAGCCTTCTCAACCCGACTCTTAATATCCGCATACAAGGCCTTCGCAGCCTCAATATCCTTCGGACTGCAAAAGACCACCTCAGCCGTCTCCGCAGCCAACTGTCGCCCAGGCTCACTCTGTCCAGCCTGCACGATAACAGGCCACCCCTGAGGCGGTCTCGCAATATTTAACGGACCGCGCACCTTCAACTCATCCCCCTCATGGTTCAGCACATGCATCTTCTCAGGATCAAAGTACTGTCCCGTCTCGACATCGCGCGTAAACGCATCATCCGCAAAACTATCCCATAACCCGGTGACAACGTCGTAGAATTCGCGCGCCCGCTTATACCGGTCTCCATGGGCCATGTGCTCATCGAAGCCGAAATTATGACTAGACTCCGGGTTGCTCGTGGTAACGATATTCCACGCTGCCCGTCCACCGCTTAAATGGTCTAGACTTGCGAACCGTCGCGCAACGTGATACGGTGTGTCATACGTTGTGCTTGCCGTTGCCGCGAGACCGATTTTGTCCGTCACTGCGGCGAGTGCGGATAGTAGAGTGAACGGCTCGAAGGATGTAACTGTGTGGCTGCGCTTGAGTGCTTCAACGGGCATGTTTAGGACGGCGAGGTGATCGGCCATGAAGAAGGCGTCGAATTTGGCGGCTTCGAGCCTTTGGGCAAAGTTTGCGATGTGCTTGAAGTTGAAATTGGCGTCTGGGTAGGAACCTGGGTATCGCCAGGCTCCTGTGTGTAGAGAAACTGGTCGCATAAATGCTGTGAGGTGTAGTTGGCGGCTTGGTTGGGAGTCTGCCATGGTGATTGTGGTTGACTTGGTCTATCGGTGGTGGAGCGTAGAGAGATAAAGTAGTATTGAGGCTTTTCTCGTTTCTATTTCTAACTAGAATTTGAGATTGTTAATTCAAACAGAAGCTTTATACCCCGCTGCTTGTAGCTTCACATTTATCGGATTTATAATCTCATTTATAATCTCCGGCGTTGAAATACGACATGGCGTGCTGCACTAGGCGGCTCACGCAAGATCTCGCCAGTGATCTGTATTTGAACGATGACGAAGAGCTCCATAGCTGATCTAGATAATCACTCTATCAATAGACCAATTAAATTTCTTTCCATGGCCTCGGAAGTGTTCGCAGACAGCTGCAGATTTACTTTCATCTCAAGCTTTATACTGCTAGGATCTAGTTCCTGGCACGATGAGAAGTTAAGCAGCACGACAAGTTAAACATAATACGATTAGGTTGCTCTCTGTCTGCTGCAGAAGTATGAATCTAGGGAATAGAGAAAGGCTGTAGCTAGACACGCTTCAACCACCGCTTATTTAGATCTTTTGAACCGTCTTTTGAACCGTCTCTCTGAACAGCCACAGAATCATCTCTTGGAGGATTCTTTTGGATTATGATTAACGAAACTCTTCGGGAATATAGTCAGGCAATAATGTAAACCTAGTTCATCATGCAAGCTGACCTTTGGCCGTGCCAGTAACCGGGTCATGTATCTATTTTCTATCACCTTCTATCTGCATCGTAAACTACAAACTAGACACATGCTATCACTCCTCCAACGGGAAACCATATCCAACCAGCATGGCCGGCTCATCAATGTTATGATGTTGGTAGCTATGTGAAGGTCAGAATGATTTCGTCTTCGTGATTATAGGGATCAAGGGGAAGATAATACCTCAGGACACCAACCGCACCAGGGTCGAGCATCAAGGAAAGAGGGAACTCCATGGGATATCCAAGCCAACGCTTGGTAAAGGCACGAAGGAGATGGCCATGAGCAACGAGAACAACATCGCAATGCTTCTCACCGTGCATGTTACCCCGGTGAATGTCACGGATCTCTGCAATGAGATTATCAATGCGGTCGGTGACCTCTTGGGCGGACCTGCAAAGGTCATATCAGCCACGCCTTTCTTCAAACCAAATATATAGACTGTAGATAGTCTATACGATATCAGTGGGGAAGGCCACTTACTCTCCACCCTCACAGCCATCACGCCAGATATCCCACGGCTTCTCAGCATCCAAACCATGCTCCTTCCGCAAAGCCCGAATCTCCTTGGTCAAAAGACCCTCATACTGACCATAATCCCACTCAGCAAGTCTCTCAGTCTCACTAATCTTCTGAGCATCCTTCAGCGCCTGCTGATCCGCCTCGGAAAAGGCAATCTGGAAGGTCTGCATCGCGCGCTTGCGCGGGCTAATGTACACATGTGCAAGGTGCGCCGGGTCAATTAGCTTGCCAGGTCCGACAATCATCTTGCCAGAGGCGCGGACTTGTTTCTGTCCATCTTCTGTGAGGTCTAGCTCTGTTTTGCCAGTGTATTGGCCGCTCTTGGACCAGATGGTTTGTCCTGAGGGGATCACTGTTAGAATGCGGCTTGGTAGAGCTTAGTATGGTCCGGACGTACCGTGTCGGTAGAGGAAGACACGGGGAGTACCGGCGTCCTTGTCAGGCATTGTGATTGAGGGTCTTTCTGTGTATGGATTTCTTGTAATTCTTGAATAATTACAGTCAATTGATTGGGGAAGTGGCGGGTCCGCGGGGTGAAGAATAAAAAAGAGAAACCCCGCGGCACCAATCGCGGGCCTTCACCGGAGCACCGAACGTGTTCGTGGTTGAAGGAAAGTCTATCCAATCGAAACAGATAATGATTATTCAGTGCATTCTACCCATTTGAAGTGAAAACAATTGAACAAGATTTGCCTTTTTGTGTACAAGAATAGATCATCTCATACACCCATGAAACTCCAAGTTTATCTGTTTGAGCTGGAAAAAGTACATGATGGTGAAATAATATACGAAGCATACGAGAAGCACCTGGTATCCTTGAAACTGTAAGAAAGAACGTCGCCTTAACCCCAAGTTCCACCGCCACCACCTCTGCCTTGTCTCCGTTGGGCAGAGAGACGCCAATCGTCCTCGCCAGCGAACCGATTATGCAAAGGCTGGATGCGCTCGGCTTTCTTGCGCTTCGACAAGCGATCCGTGGGCGCGACCTTGAAGAAGGTCGGTGCCGCCTCGACAAGCCATTTTGGCTCAATGGAGGTCGTGCAATGCATGTACTCCTTGGTGGTGAGGACCAAAGTGTGATAGATGACATGCTCGGAGGGCTTGCCGAAGAGCGCAGAGCTTGGATGCATATACACTGGGGTGCCTTCAACGAGAGTCTTGTATCCTTCTTGGGGATCCTTGCGAGCCGCATTCCGGAAGAAGCCAGTGCAAAGTGCCTGTCGTACCATGGTAGTGTTCCGTCCACAGGAGACGATCTTGTGACGGTAACGGTTCATAATTCCGAGAAGCTGCTGGCGCACATCTTGAGCACGGCGGATCTGCCGAGCTTGGATGAAGTTCTCGAAGCACCAGGCATTGTTGAACTTGGAGTTCTTCCAGCCATTATAAACATTCAGCAAGGTGAGATGATCACCATGAGGATCATGGAACTTGGCTTTCTTCTGATCGGCCTGTTGCTGCTTCTCCTTGGGGCGGTAGAAGACCGACTGAATGGAAAGCATGGCGACAATGCTGAGAATCTCGTCGGAGCATCCCATATCAACGGATGCGATGAGAACCTTGGCAAGAGCGGGCTCCATGGGGAAATCGGCCATCTTACGACCAAGGCGAGTCAAGAGACCTTCATCGTCCAGAGCTGACAGAGCGTACAGCTCCTCAAGAGCAGTCAACATTGTATTGGTAGGTGGGGGGTCCATGAAGTCGAAATGAAGGAGGTCGTTAATACCCATCGCTTTAAGCATGAGAATGGTATGTGAAAGATTTTGCCGCTGAATTTCGGGGATAGTGGTAGGAAGCATTTCAGACTGATAAGCTGCCTCGGTGTATAGTCGGAAACATTTGCCGGGTCCTGTTCGGCCGGCACGGCCAGCTCGTTGCTTAGCCTGTGCTTGAGAAATGGGCGTGACCACGAGAGAGTCCATGCCAAGCTTGGGATCGTACGCATTCTGCTTCACGAAACCGGGATCGATGACGTAGTAAATATTATCAATGGTAATGGAGGTCTCAGCGATGTTGGTAGCAATGATAACCTTTCGGCCTCCAGGCGGGGCTGGCTCGAAGATTCGACTCTGCATCTCACTGGGAAGCGCAGAGTAGACGGGAAGAATGACCAGCTCGGGCACTGTTGGCCCTAAAGCTTTCATCCGCTCGTACAAAATCTCGCACGCCGTATCGATCTCTTCTTGTCCCGTGAGGAAGACCAGGATATCACCACCCGCCTCTGTCAAGTGAATCTGCATCACAGTGATAAGAGCAGCATCCAGGTAGTCAGATTCAGGCTCTTTCGAATACATGATCTCGACAGGGAATGTTCGTCCAGGGATCGAGAAGATAGGACATCCGTTGAAGTATTCAGAGAACTTCTCGGCGTCCAGCGTGGCGGAAGTCACAATCAAACGAAGATCAGGCCGTCGCTTGATGGTCTTCTTCAGCAATCCAAACAGAATATCAGTGGCAATCGTGCGCTCGTGCGCTTCATCAAGCATAATTACGGAATACTTCTTGAGATCAGGATCCATCAAAATCTCTCTCTGAAGCATTCCGTCCGTCATATACTTGATCTTGGTCTCAGGACTGGTGCAATCCTCGAAACGAATTGTGTATCCAACCTCGGCACCCAGTCTGCAGCCAACCTCTTCTGACACACGTTTCGCAACAGACATGGCAGCAACACGACGGGGCTGAGTGCAGCCAATGATACCATTGTTTCCGTATCCGGCCTCTGCCAGGTACTGGGTCAATTGTGTGGTCTTTCCAGAGCCAGTATCACCAACCACAATCATCAACTGATTGTCCTTGACGGCATCGAGGAGTTGTTTACGGAATTTGAAGACGGGCAAGCTTTCACGCTGTTGTTTGATGGGCATGTCGGTCCGCTTGCCGAGAGACACATTCTTGCCCATGGTCACCCTCTTCCACTCCGGCACTGGCTCGTCCTGCTTTTGTTGGGTATTGCGAAGATCCGCGGCAAACTTTCGATCCTCTGGCGCGACCATGGGATCCTGCCACTGCGCATTCAGATCGACTTCGGCTGCCCGTTCAGCAGCCTTGTCCTGTGCCTCTGACTGCTTCAGTTCACGTCTCTCTTTTGCGAGATTGGTGCCAGACATGGCGGCACGGTTCATTGAGCCATCAGGAGCCTTGACCACACGAATAGGGGACAGCTCAAGTGATTGCTTCGTCTGGCCAGCCAAGAATGGAGGCTCTTCATCCCGGACTTCGATATCCACATCTTCCTCCTCCTCGAAAGTTCCCTCACCCTTAAGAGTGGCGTGGTACTCCTCTTCCAGATCAGGGTAATCCGCCGCAGACGCAACACCGGATGCAATGAGCTGTCTGATCTCCCAACGCTCAGGAGATGTCATACGCTTCCGGTTCATCATCGGTCGGCCATTGGATCCCTCGATAACGGGCACATCCGAGCTAAGGTTGCCATATCTGTCGTTGCCTGACGAGCCATGAAGACGTTCCATATTCGCGCCTGACGCCAGGCGCTTTTGTGGGATAAGGTCCATGCCGGATACCTGGTCCACCTCCTTCATCGATAATCCAATGCGGTTACCTTCCATGCTGACAACCTTGACCTTGACCGGCTGGCCGCGTGATACTAGATCGGATGGATGATTCACTCGCGCTCCTTCTTGCATGGCCGATACATGAACAAGGCCATCTACCTTCCCTCGGACTCCTCGCAGGTTGACGAAAGCACCAAAGTCTTTCACACCCGTGACTTGCCCATCGTAAATTTTGTAAAGAACTGGCGCATCATCCAACTCGACAGGGGGTGGACGGCGGAAGTCGTCGTCTTCATCTCTGTCGCGATCTCGGCGTCTGCGGCGGTCGTTGTGGCCGTTGTGGCCGTTGCGATCGGTCTCCCGGTCCCCATATTTGCCAATAGATCTTCCAAACTCGTCAATGTAATCGTCATTCTTGCTGCGTCGGTGTGCGCTGCGCGATCTTGAGCGGTATTTGTCTCTGTGGCGTCGTCGGCGGTCGTGGTCATCGTACCCGGGGCTGCGGCTTCGTTTCCTGCTACTGTGGTCATCTCGCGAGGCGCGAGGCTTATCTTCCTTGGCCTTTCCGGCCAATCCTTCAAGCATTGCGAATGTGTCGTCCATGGCGCCGGCTTGCGCGTCGGTTTCGTTGTCGGCTGGGGGATCCAGGTAGTCATCTTCCTCCCAGCGCTGGCCTCTGTCTGGAACAGCAAGCCCCTTGAACACGCGAGACTTCTTCTCCAGAGCATCCAGCTCATCCATAATATTGTCGCCTCCGCCACCCGAGTCTCCATTTTCCTGCTTCTTCCCTTTGTACTTGGGGTGCATGGTGAGCACCAAACGGTCAACACTGTCCATCAGACTTTGCGGAAACTCGGCGCCCATTTCATCGAGACTTTTCTTGAAATTTGGAAACGAGCCATTGCATTTCAGATGTCGGTCAATCACGAATTCCGCCAGCGTCTTGTCGTTAATGCCCAGGTAGTTCTGGAGCTCGGTCGTCACCCGCGAGACGAGCGAGAGCAGCTCCAGCGACTCCAGGTCATCCATGGTGGCGACCGTGGAAAAGAGCGACAATGATGAAAGAAATACGAGACGCGAACGAGAGGAATTTCGAGTGAGCGAGTGCGCGAAACACTGCTTGGTGATCGACGCCGTGCTCCGCGAGCAAAGAGTGAATGCGGCGGAAAATCAGTCTGGCCGAAGTTGCCACCGATAAGCGATAAGCTCAACCAAAGTATAGCACTTTATACACGAGACTATTATAGCACAACTTCTTCAGGGATAGTATTTCGAATTTAACCCAAATGAATTCGAGAGAAAGTCCTACCAAAGATAGTCTCAAAGATACTATCCATAGTTTCTTTGCCGCTAGTTTCGGACTTTGATATGGCAATCATACATACGGGGGGAGAATTTCCGTGGTCGGAGAGGGTGTCAGGTATTATACAAACTAATATACAGATATTATTACATTTGTTGTCAATCATGCTGAGACTGATTTGGACTCGATGTCCTCAGATTCCTTGGAGTCTTTCTCCAAGTCTTCAACCAGGTCGTCCTCCGGAAGGTCACTGTTAGCGGTATCCTCGGAGCTTTCCTCCACTGGACTTTCGTCAAACAGTTCACCCCCAGAGGACGTTGGTTGACTGTCTGCAGACTCGTCTTGCGACAGGTCTACTTGCATTGGGTCCTCCCCTTCGCCATGAGGAGACAAGAGATCTGCGATTGACATGATGCGCATCTGATCAAGCTTCTGTTTCTGCATCGCGATCTGGCGTTTGAGCGAAGCATTCTTTCGCAATTTCTTGTTGGCCGAGAATTCAGTCAATGCCCGAATCATCCTCTCTTCAACAAGTTCTTTCACATGAGCCGCAAGAGTCCGGTCCGTAAAGATACCACCAAATCGGTAGCTCAGCCACGAGTACAAAATGATGGATCTGTGTAAACTCTCTAGCGCATGCAAATACTCCTTGTTTCCCGAGACTCCTTGCTCTAGAATCTCAAGATCAAGGCTTGGAATGTCCAGCAATCGGCCCCGCGTGTTTTCGGCGACACAGTCGGCAAAGGACCCACAAACCATGCGAGATGATTGATCCCTGGTTTCCATGGGTGCAGCCATGAGCGTGAGCTGATCATGAATTCGCAATCCCTCCACAGAGTCGATAATCTCCGCATTCTGCAGTTGGCTTTCCGTCTCGCACATGAAGAACAATGGGTCGACTTGAGCGATTTCCATCAGTCGCTTGATGAGATACTCGAAGGGTACACTGCTTGGAAAGTAGGCTGCAAACTTCTGGAACGCGAAATCGGGTGGCCAAATTCCCGCTGCTCGAAGCGGTGGGGGTTCTGTGTTCATTGCTTGTTGAATATACGGAAGGTCAACTTCTTCAATACAAGTGACGAGGCCAACGTTAGGCTCGGACGAGTCTTCTGGGCTATTCTGGGCATTAACCGGTCGATAGCGGCCAGCACGTCCGCCAATCTGCTTGATCTCAGGCACAGACAGACGTTGCAGGCCACTTGGGGTCCGTTTGATGAGGGTCTCGAAGATGACACGCTTGCAGCTCCTTTGGGAGAGTTAATGAAAGCTCCATCAAAGCATTGCGGAGTTAACTTACAAGTTCAATCCCATACCAATCGCATCACTTGCAACAAGGAAATCGTAATCATTGTCCGGGTCGTTGAATAAGCTGGCCTGCTGGGTCCGAATCTCGGCTGGGAGACCACCGTAGACAATAGCCACGCGGCGCCCCGTCAGCTTCTCGATGTCTGCTTTCAAAGCATGAATTCCAACCCGGGAAAAGGAGACTATGCAGTCTCCCTTTTCGAGTTTGTTCAAGTTGCCCCTCAAGCTATGGGGCATCACCTCAAGAGGATTTAGCCGCTCGTAGCGATGAATCTCAAGGTTATCGCCCGTGAGGGCGCATAACTCGCGAATAAGCGGCACAGCACGCGTTTCACCACAGAGATGCAGTTCTTTGACCTGCGCTCCAAGTACAGCTCGAGTCCATGCCCAACCTCGCTTTGGGTTGGCAATCATCTGAATCTCATCAATGACACCAACGTCGAACTCGCGGCCAAGACCGACCATTTCCACTGTATTGCTAATGACGCGGGGATTTGCTCCGTTTTCTGGAAGCTTGACATCGTCTCCTGTCACCAAACTGACGGGAACACCCTTGTCCTTGAAGCGGTGGTATACCTCCTGCGCCAACAGCCTCAGAGGTCCTGCGTAAAACCCGGACTTGCACCCCTCCAGCCTTTTCAATGCATGATAAGTCTTTCCGGAATTCGTCGGGCCGACATGTAGATGAATCGTCCGTTGGATCGAGCGTGCGCGAGGGTACCATTCGGCGGGATATCGAAAGTCGGCTACTTCTCGTTGTCCTTCCAAGTTCGGGGTCGAGTACATCTCAGTCATGCTATCAGCATAAAGAATATACTGCAGTTCATCCCGAAGACCCTGTTCCCCAGACCGCAGATAAGCCTTTTGTAGCGCGACTTTAATACGGCGATAGGAGCTTCCTGAGCTTTGCTTTTCGCTGGTCTTCGGTTCCTCTATCCGGCAGGCATTCATCATCTGGCGCTCGAATCGGCCCCATGCTTCCGGTAGCTGGCCTGTATTCTGTAGCTTGTATTTGATATCTCGTAACACCGTCTCCACCACTCGACTGAAATCCCGCGTCGCTGCAATATCCTGTCGAGCGGATTGTCGTGTCGTAGAGGACTTTTTCTTCGGGGGTTTGCCGAAGAGACTGTTGTTGTTATCCTCGCTCGGCTTGACTTTCGGTTTTTGATTCCGCTTCGATCGCTGGAGGGCCGGAGTTATGGTGAAATGTCGTTCAGCAGGCCGAGTGAGTGGTCTCAAGGCGCAGAAGAGCGAGCGGCTGCCTCTGCCAGTCCATGACTGCATTCCTGCACGCTGGGAGCGTTGCCAAGCAGAAATTGGGAGGGAAAGATTGAGCCAGCGGTCAAGAACAAGGGTTCTCCAACGATAGACAAGGAATTGGACAGGGAAATGCGACGGACAGAGCCACGAGACAGGCGGGTTTCAGCGCGGTTTCAAAAAAAAAAGAATCAAAGTTGCGCAAGTTGCTTATCGGGATGAGTTCCCTGGCGCGCCACCCGGAGATCCACTTCTTCCCTGTCGAAGCTCCCCCCCCCCAATGGTGGGGAACCCTCTCCTACCAATATCCTGGCAATATACCTCCTACGACTACCACTACGGGCCACCTAAGTCCCTTGCGCACCGCCTCGAGTCGCCTATCCTGGGCTTTCGGCGCATTTCACCGTTCATCCTCGTGCATCTCCGTCGGTTCCGTCCCTTCTGCAGTACCAGTACCAGTCCCGTGGGCTGCCCGCCAACATGGGCTCCTCCATCATCGACATCCAGCGCGACAGTACGTGACTTTTCAGCTGATTACGCTCTTGAGCGATGGCGACTGACCTTATTTCTTCATCTTACAGTTATCCTCAACACGATCCGCAATGTCGTCGGCAATGACGTGGGTTGCATTCTCTCCTCTCCCCTCTACGACGGACGCTGATGACTGCCGCCTGGATACAGTGGAAAGTTTTGGTGGTGGACGAGGCCAGCCGAAAGCTGATCAACAGTGCTGTGAAAAATGAAGAGATTCTCAATTTGAATGTCTCTAGTGAGCGAGTCCCCGACCTCTTGGTGCCTCGGTCGGTCTACTAAATCACAACACTCCGCAGACATCGAACAAATCGAAAACCGCCGGCAGCCCAATCCGGACATGAATGCGCTATACATATTGTCGCCGCAGTCATGGATTATCGATTGCTTGATGGCCGACTTCGAGGTTGGACGATACAAGAAGGCATACCTGGTTTGGACCTCATGTGCGTAGTGGGGAGATGGCGCTTCCGTGGAGTACGGGTTACTGATGAGGTTTACAGTCCTCGACCCCCAGCAGCGTCAACGTCTTGATCGATCTGAAATGGCGCGCAATCACATCGCTGACTACCGGATCTTGAACATCGACTTTTATCCTCGAGAATCACACCTGGTCACCTTCCGCGATCCCTGGAGCTTCCCGATGTTGTTCCACCCAGCCTGCAACGGATTGGTTCGCAAACATCTTGAAGAATTGGCTCAGAAGGTATCGTGACTAATATACCAGTCTTATCGTTCCGCATGCTCGTGTACTGATCAGGATGAAGATTGTCTCTCTCTGCGCCTGCCTGGGTGAGTATCCCGTTATTCGGTACTACCGTCCGCGTGCCCCGACCCACGAAGCCGGCGTGCTATGCTCCCACCTCGCCCGTTTCATCCAAAGTGAATTAGATCAATTTGCGCAATTCCAGCGGGACTTCCCCCTCCCTCGAATCGACCTCGTGGAGTGCTACTTGTTGTCGACCGTTCGATGGACGTTTTCGCGCCACTTCTCCATGAGTTCACATATGGGGCCATGGTTTTCGACCTGTTGCCGGTCAAGGATGGAGAGAAGATCACATACAAAACCCTGCTCAACCAAGGCAAGCCCAACGAGGAGCTGAAAGAAATGGAGATTGGTGAGCAGGACAAGGTCTGGGTAGACTACCGGCACATGCACATGAAGGATGTGCTCGAGAAACTTGGCGATGATTTTGCCAAATTCAGAGCAGCAAATCCACAATTTGCTGAAGAGTAAGTCTACTTGGGGCAGGCGATCCTGTTGATATGTGTTCTTGACTAATACTTGGATCCTCAGCAATGAAAAGCTCAGCGTGAATACGATCAGAGATATGCTGGTTGGCTTGAACGAGTTCACGGAAGGGAAAGACGCGTACACGCTGCATTTGAATATGGCAGAGGAGTGTATGAAATTCTTCCAGGAGCGTAAGCTCATTGAAGTCAGCTCCATTGAACAGTCCTTTGCAACTGGGCTTGACGAGAACTTCAAGAAAGCAAAAAACTTGGCAGCGCAACTTGTCCAACTGCTAGATGACGAATCCGTCATCCCCCGGGATCGACTGCGGTTGATCCTATTGTATATTATGTACCGTGGCGGTCTACTCGGCGGTGACATTCGAAAGCTCATGGCACATGCCCAGCTTCCAGGACAAGATGGCCAGGTAATTGCCAATCTGGACCTTCTCGGAGTTCGAGTGGAGAAACCACTCAAAGATGAAAAGCCAGCCGTGCAGCCGTTGTTCAACCGCAAGGCCCCTGCTCCAGAGTCGGAAGAGCTCAGCCTGGCCCGCTATGAATTAAATCTCAAGCAGATGCTCGAGGAGCAAATCAAGGGCACATTGGACTCCACCACTTTCCCTTTCACAAGACCCCACACCGAGACCGATGGTGGATCAGCCGCCCAGGAGATGCTCTCCCAGCAAGCATCTCTGCGCAGTGCCAAACCAACCTGGGCGCGCACTCGCGCTGTTGATCAGCCACGTCAGCGCATGATTGTCTTCATGGCCGGTGGTGCCACCCACTCCGAGGCTCGCGCCTGTTACGAGGTCTCGCAGGCTTACAACCGGGATGTGTTCCTAGCCACTACCCACATGCTGACCCCGGCGCTCTTCATCCGTCAAGTTGGGGATCTCAGCGTCGACAAGCGTCGATTGGACCTTCCTGCGGATCGACCTAAGCCCACAGCCCCTGCTCATCTGTTCGAGAGGAACACACCTTCACCCGCCCCTCCCCAACCACAAAAGAAGCCTGTCCCACCACCGAATCTCAACCCGCCCGTGGCCCCGGGGGATATGATGGCGAACCTGTCCCTGAATAGCGGATCGGCCCCTCCACCGGGTGGCAAGCTTCACAAGAAGGACAAAGATAAGAAGGATAAGGACAAGAAAGACAAGGAAAAGAAATACCGGTTCTTTAAATAGCTGGCTAGCAGAATCGTTCAACCTCCAGTTTCGAAATACTTCATCCCCATCCTCCTGTCCTCTCTTTTGAGCGCTATGTGATACCATCTTTTCTGTGTCAATTTAGCCCATCCGACTCCGAGTTTTCAGCAACTTATTGTCAACGGATGGATGATCAAAGGGAAAGTGGAAATGCACGATTTGAGATTTTGTACATAGTATACCAATGGATTTCACACATTGTCGCTCTCTATCTTCCAATGTAGGAAGCTTCTCTCTGTCTAATATCCAGCAATGGCATATTTAATAGAGCGATTCCTAGAGAACGCGCGGACGGGATGTCCTCCCTGAGGGAAAATATATATGCTGGTAGATTTTCCAACGAGTCGGCGTAACTTGAGACGGAACGGTTAAAAACCCATTAAATTTGAAACTAGATTGCTCAATTACAATCTTTACTCTCTGAAAGAAGCCTTTCAAGTTAAAAGGAGCTCTGTATAATCTATAGAGTAGCTGTCTTATCGTATCGCCGTTTCTTAAGGTGAAGGGAATTGCGGAGTGGCCCGAGCCAATCAGTGCACGTGAAATCTCGATGGCATCGGAACATCAAGACTTTGAAAAAAAAAATACCATCGTCATCAACGCAACGCCACAAAATATGGCGCACATTACCGAGCATCCCTCTCGGGCAAAGCGCAGAAAGCTTGATGATGATCACCAGGTCAGCGAGGAGGTGAATTTCACATCGCCATCCCAGCTGCGCGAACTCCTGCTTTTCCAGCAAAATGCTCCTACCGCCAAGCAAGGTCAGTCTCCGGCCCTTGAAGCCGTTGCATTGTGCCCGCTAATTCAAACTGGACAGGTATTCTCAAATTCAAGGAGTTCCTGGTCTCAATTGGCCAGACGGAAAAGGAGAATGACAGGGCCCAGAAGCTTCGTGTTCTCAAGGGCTACTGTGATAAGCAAATCACTCCGGGAAAAGAGGAAGACTCCTCGGTCTGCTTCCCGGACATCATCCAGACCTGGGGTTTCGCCGATAGCAACAACAATGAGCCTCTCTTGACTAATATTCCCTCGGTGCTGGCAATCTTCCTAAAGACCATCTCCCGGCACCTCGAATTCCGGGAATTTGGTGTCGCGTTGTGCAAGCACCTGCTACAAAAGGACCAGCTCAGACTTTTCAACCGTGGCTTGACGGCCACGAAGACAAAGGAGCATCTGATCTCTCCATGTTTACGTCTTCTCACAGAAATTGTCACTTACGATGGTGGCGCTGCTGCTCGAAAGCTGTACCTCAGCCGTTATATCACTTTCAAGCGGCTTGAAATTTTCTTGACACCTAACAAGCTGCAGCTTGAGGCTGCAGAAGACGATGCGCCAAAGTCGACACTCCGACGGAACGCTCTGAAGTATCTTCTTGCCAATCTGAGAGTCCAGCACACCTTGGAGAAAAGCGACATTCTCGAGCAGCCGAAACTCACTCGATCGCTGCTTGAGCACGCGCGAAAAGACTCTCGGGCAGATGTCTTGGAAATCATCAAAGCAGTGGAGCGAGATGTTGTGCAAGATGAATCTCTGCCCCGAAAATCCAAGAGCAAGTTCTTCAACAGATGGAACCTGGAGAAGTTGGTGACACTTTATGGCTATGACCGCGAGTCTGATGAACCCAACCCGGAAGGAATAATAATTGCCAATGAAATTCACCGGGTCCTGATGAATATCTGCAAGACCTCTGGTCTCGGCGTCCTCCTTCCCGAGACTGGTTGGTATCCCGTTGGCGCCGATCCCGAGACTCTACCAATTGAGGATGACGAATGTATCGAACTGGGTCTCGACTCGCCTATTCATGTTGACAAATACCGAGAGTCCGTCCCCGTGCGAAACAACTCCTTGTCTCATTTGATTCAATGCCTTCGCCCAGATGTGGACAGTCTGCAGATCGAGTTGCTGGTCACTATTTTCAACGCCGCCCCTGAGCTGATTGCCGACTTTTTTACCAAGAAGACCATGTTCACGGCAGACCCCAAAGCCACCCCGTCATGGATGGCTGAGTCTGCTTTCCTCTTCTCAACGGTGCAGCTGCCCGTTCCCACCAACTGCGGTTGGAAGGACAAGCAGCCAGCCCTGCCGCCTCCCGCGTCCATTGTTATTGAGAATGTTCTTCCTCGTCCTCTCAGCCAGAAAACCATGACCCGGTGCCTGAACCAAAATGCCGAGATCATTACTCTCTTTGCCGTGAGAATCTTGACTCTTGCATTCACGAAACTGCGGGCTGTCCTGAAGATCTTCCGAGCTGATCATGGACAAGCCCAGTTGTTCTGGAACCAGGCTTCTTCGAAGTTGCTTGCTGAGTTCTCTCGTCGGATTCCAGCCGTCAAGGATGCGATCCTATTGTTCCGTCGGACTGCAAAGGAGGACTTGCAGCAGCAAGAAGCTGTTGCTGAGCTACTGGCTTGTTACTACGAAGTCATGCCCGATATTGCTCTGGAGGAAAATTTCGACGTCTCATTGGTGTTGGTGGATGTTTTGAAGCGCCTGGAAGAGCCAAAGCTCAGCGCTGATGACTCTGAGATGCTTCTGAGCCAGTTGCAGAGTGTGCTCCAGATCGCGCAGCAGTCTGCCTCAATGAGATGGTGGCAAAAGCCAGGTATGCAGGCTTCTCCAAACCGTAATATGCAAATTCAACAACTAACGTGTTCTGCAGCATCTATGCAATATTCGCCGTTCACCTCAATTCTCAGGGTTCTGGTTGAAACTTCAGATAAGGACTCTGCACGTCGCATTTCGTCTCTGTTAAGGTCTGTCCTGGCGGAAAACTCCGTCTTGCAGAACCTCCCACAGTCATTCAATGCCCTTCTGTCCAGTCTTGAAGATTCAGAATCAGAGACTCTGCACAAACAGTTGATTTTTATTGACAACTGCGTGTCCCGAGTTGCGAAGAAGCCTGTGCACTATTTGGACTTGATCGGATCCAATTCTCAAGATGAAGCCGCAACCAGCCCTCTCGTTGCAGCTATCGTTGAACAATGGCCTTTTGTCGTTAAGGCTGGTGATGAATCTGCTGAAACGGCCACTGGAGCCTGGATTGCCAAGTTGCTTGCGCACTTAAAGCAGGCTGGGGAAAACTCAACTGCACTGAAGGCTGCTCGTGACGCTTTGATTGAAGCTACCGAGACGAAGAAAACCCGCTCTTTGATCAAGAAATGCTTCAAGGGACAAGAGGACGTCGATGACGAAGATAAGATGGATGTGGATTCTGGACCGATCGCCCCGACGTCACCCGACAAGACCTCAACGGTGGATCTCGATGAGATCTTCGGCTTCCTGCCTACGGAAGGCACCACACATAACGCACTGCACAGATGGGAGAGAGAGGATCTAGAGCAAGCAGTCGAACAAGGTCGTATTGCGGAGTTGATGCTTTGTTTGTGCTCGGAGCACGAGGAAGTTCGGAGACAGGCATTCGCCAAAATTGCTCGCTTCATGGTCCAGCTGAAGGTATGTACTAATATCCCGGACTGGAGTTGGGTCTTTGCTGACATTATCCACAGGAGTCCAAATATGTAGAGTGGCGTACTGTTTATACTCTGACGGGTGAGCTTCTCGAGACCGTCAACAACATCGGTCTCGAGGAGCCCATTCCCTGGATCATTGGTGAATGTGCTGCCAACTGCTTGAATATCCTTACCAGTCCCCTGCACAAGGTGTATGGAAAGGTCAACAAATTTTTGCAGAAAGCTCCCGTATGGGAAGTGGAGAAGATTCCATCCTACTGGATCGACAAGATTTTCCTCAACGAGCCTGAGTTGGATGACGGCTACTTTGACGAGATTGACTGGCTACTGGGACTCTTCGTGAAGGGTCTGCGTACTAAGGCCGTACGTATTCCAGCTATATGTCCATTCTAATTTCAGTTACTAATCTTCTTGAATAGGATATGGAAATCTATAGACGTGCCAACGTCTTCGAACGCATTCTCTCACTCTACCAATCCCCGACGCTTGGCGAGGCGGCGCGACGAAAGATTCTGCACATTATTTACCGAGCTGCACAGGTGGGCGGCAGTACTACGCTGATTACCCGCGCGGCCGTAATTAGCTGGATTCAAGTTCAGGTTGCAGAGACTGATGCGAAGGAAGTGGCATTGCTCGTGGCCTTGGCGCGGAAACTGTACGAGACGTCGGACCGTGAGCGGGTCGATGCGTGGAGCGCTGGAACTATTGAGCATGCCCTGAAGGAGATCTCTCAAGCTTAAGATGTAAACATTTCTGTACAATAATTCCAATACTGCTATTTCCGGGCTAAAAGATGACTTAACTACCTATGTCCAGGTCAGGCATCGTTCTTTCCCAAGTTGGCATCCGAGAGTAAATTCGGACATCCTGTCCATGGACCTTTATGCGACTTTCCCTATTATGGTTGCTATACCTTTTGAATCATAGAGAATGTTTTATTCCAAGCGGGGCATGGATAGTTTCTTCCTTAGACATATTCACATACTTCACCTATTGTATCAGATCCGGATTTTCAAGTATCAGCCCGCCATGTCTGATCAACCTTCCAGCGACGAAACCTTTACCATCGAAGGAGTTCTCACAGATGATGATATCGGACGTCTTGAGAAGGCCGCAATAATCGAACCAATTCCATCCGAATCAAAACACAGTGGCACCTGCACGGTCACGATATCCCGCCTCCAGTTAAACCCGAAGTTCCTACCGCCCGTGCCATTTACAACAGCAGACGATGATATCGACGGAGGAAAACCCTACCAAGTGAGTGTCCCATTGTCAACAGAGAGTATTGCGGTCCTTGAATTCCTTGGCTTCACACCCGCATCTGGGAGAGAGCTATGGGCGGGGTTCATTTGCCAACAGTCCACACCGCATCCACTGGGATTGATGGACTATGTATATGAACACATCAGTCTTCTTCAGACCTCGCTATTTCAGGAAATGCCTATCAATAAAGCCATGATTTTGATTGGTTTAGAGAGGAGCATCATTCAGACTTTGTTCGACCCTCGTTATTCCATGGTATTAAAGTCAAACCGCAGCCTGCATGCCTGGGTGAAGTATGCTCTTGCGGACAAGTATGCCAGGATTCTTAGGTATCATAAAGACCTAAAAGGACGTGCTCTGTGGCTTCGTATTTGGGGAGATACTTAGGCTCACTGTGGCCCTACTATTCGCTTGTCATTATTTAATATTTTTAGTTCCAACCTACTTGATTGTTTCACAAATTTGACTTTATAACTAATTTTACGTTTCCAGAAGCAAGTAGAGCGACATCAACCACATAATCTGATAAAAGCCTAGTCTTAGTGTAAATTATCTATACTTATGTGCTGTCATTTCAAGTTCGGTGATGCAAATCCAAGTTACTCATTAGCCCTTCTTTGTTGTGTAGCTTCTTTCATAAAGTTTTGGAGCCAGGAACCCGGAGAAGCTGTACCTAGGAACACGTTCTAGGTAGGAACGAAATCATGAAACGTCATTCTTCGTCCTCGATCGTCATAAAACTTCGCACAAAGGCAAATTTAACTGTTTCAAAATCCATTTTCGTCTTCAACGTGAAGCCCGTCTACTGCCATTCACCAAATAATGCAACACGCACGCACCAGCGAATCCCAGTTCCCACTAGAACTGATAGAAGAAGTCAATAGAGCACGCGAAGAAGCCACCGAAGAGAGCAACACTTTACAACATACCGAACCTTGTGTTTATATTGTCGTCCACGAGAAGCAGCGGAGCCGTGATGAATCAGATTTCATAATTGAGGGCGTCTTTCACAGACTTACTTCGGCCAATGATCAGACGATGGATATATTCAAGACGCAATATCCCGATTACCCACGGTCTTGTTTCTATGCGCAGGGTACTTGGCAACTGATTGGAGAGAATTCGGTTGGCTGGTACGTGTCTAGGAATGGGACGTTATCTTTGGAAATCCATGACCATCGGAGGAATACTTGTCGGGTTTATGCTGAAAAGCATTACATTGAGTGATAATTACGAGGGAAGAGATTTTATTGTTTAATTTCATGCGCTCTTTAGACTTACTGAGAAATTGCGATGATAGCTACCTTGCTAGAGCTAGATTGGTTGATACTTCCACCTCGGCGATCTGCAGGATGGATGGTCCAAATTTCAATCGTAGCTGTGATTACCTAAACTGTCTATGTAGGGGAAATTTATGAAGGAGAATCAAAAGGTTTTAAGGAGGTCTCTCAATAATGAACGAGCTCCAAGTGGCTATCTCCGGCGTGTGTTGCACAGGAGCTCGTAAGCACGCGATTTAGATATGCTTCACCTTCTTTACTTTCTAGAGACTCGGTTACTGAAGACACCTTGGATATTTCTAGACAGTTTCATTATCATTGACAAGATGGTCTCTAGACTTTGTTGGGGTTTAGACCTTATGAACACGTAGTATACTACCTATGGTACCAAAACGGGGAAGGTATATCCAAGATATTAAGTTATTGCAGCACTCCAAAAACGAGATGGTAGAATTGCAATGAAAGCAATTTCACTAGAAGGATGCAGATATCGTATTTAATCCCTGACTTGAATTGCGCGTATGGTTCCCAAGGTGGCCGCTGTCAACTGGTGGACTTCCCCTATCAGCCCATTCGCATATCAGAGGAGGTCACGAGTGACGCCGCACACCCCTCTTGCCTTCTTTGCCCTTCCAATACCTCGCTTCGCGCCAGCCCCAAACATAATCCTCTCCATTCATCTTCTGATTATATCAAATTTAGCTCGCTAGGCCTCCCTGTCCTGATTGTGCATCCCCTTGGAGAATCCCCTGGTCCAAACCAGCGACCCCCCCTCCATCCTCACCGACCCCGACTCCGCCTTGAGCCTCGCCACAAAGTGGCTTACTGCTGCTTCTCCTCACTCAACTTCAATTATCCCGATTTTCGCGCCCTCTTTCCCCTCTGCCCTCATCAGTTCGATTATTCCTCCTCACACCGAACCTTGAACTCCTGACGCACAATTCCTACCGGCGTTCTCACTCGCACTCTACGAGTTTTAGCCCCCGCCGCCCAATGAGAGGACCCTGATCTCCTGTGGATAAAGATCGCACACACCATTCCCAGACCAGGCCGTCATGGCGCGACGGTACGAGATCGATGAGCTGCTATGGCTGCGCTCATCGCCTCTTGTCGCAAAACCTCCTGGCCTACCCCCGATTGAAGAATGGATGTATGTTTAAGACTTCCCTCCAACCTCGGCCACTCCGCATCCCCACAGCAAAGACTGACCTTATCACCCCCCTCTATAGGCCTCAACCTGACCCAACGACCCAAACCAAGCCACGAAACTCGCGTGATCCCAATAACCCAACTGAGACAACTACCAACAGAAGACCGAGCTTTTTTGAAGCTCGTCACATCTCCCGTGGCTCCAATTCAGGTAGGTCTTGCTCTTGGGTCCTTCGCTAACTGGTCATGGGCCAGTTTTGTTCGTGCGATCGATCTTGCTAACCCGGTTTTGATGTTCTAGAAGACATCATTCTTGGCCCTCCAAAAACTGCCTTTGCGTCATCACGAATTGGTGGGGTCGGTAAAGGGTCGTTTGACCTGACGGAACGGTCCGTGCGACCTGGCGATTCAGATGAGAAGAGTGACCGTTTCAATTTCCGCGACAAGTTTTTCAAAGATAAAGACGCCCCGGAGAGAGACTTGGAGCGCCGAGATGGAAAGCCTGCTGGCCTGAACGGCCGACGCGGGGAGAGGGAGGACTGGAATGCTGGCCGTCCTCGCCGTGGGCTCGGTCCAGACGAGCAGGACCGCAAGCCACGCCGCAATGGCGAGTTTGACCGATGGGAGAATAGAGAAAATGCGCGGGATCCAAACAATGATCGAGCAATCCGGGACCGAGACGGCCGCCCTGCAGCGAAGAAGGATGGCCAGCCGGGACGAGCCAAATTCGAAGGAAGCTGGTTCCGCGATGAGACCACCCAGGAGGTTGCCGATGCTGATGAGGACAAATCACAGCTACGCAACCGAGAATGGCGCCGTGATCGACACGGCGCAGACCGCGACTGGACCCGCGGTGCTAAACTTGAGCAAGAGCCCGAGTGGCTGGATAGCAATGACCGAGATGAGCCACGACGTGCACATACGCAGGAAGACTTTGAGCGTTGGAAGGAGAGAATGAAGGCTGGATCTGGTGCTGGTCAGCAGGCTCCAGCTCAGGAAGAGAAGAGAGAGTTCCCCGCAGAATCGCACATTGCTGCACAGCAGCCAGAGTCTCATGCTGCCGACGGGGAGGGTTTCGGCAGTTCTGGTACCCAGTTCATGCAAGACACCTCGATGGAACGCTTCTTTGGCATGCTGGGAGATACGAAACCCCACGTCCCCGAAATCAGCTCTCCAGTCGCCACTGAACAAACTCCCAAGAAAGACCTTCTAGCTGCCGGCATGAGCGCCAAACCCGGCAAATCCTCTCGTTTCGCTGGGCTGTTCAGTCCGCCACCGGAGAGCCCTGCGAAGGAACCTGAGCCTCAAGCACCTTCTATGGCCATGCTATTTGGTGGCGGTAGCCCAGCCAATGCACATGATGCTGACCAGGAAGGGTTCCAGCGTATTTTGAAGATGCTGGGAGGCGGGGGCAACCGGTCTAACAATGGCACTCCTCAACAGGGCGAGATGCTTCAGCAGTCGCGCGAATCCTCGATGGCGCACCCTGCACACCACCCACGCGTCATGCCCAACATGTCGTCTCCGAGAGATTCTCTCCCGCAGTCGGAGTACATGAGCCCTCATGAGAACCCTATGGGCCCTGCGGCTGGCAAGGATCCACAATCTCGCGAGAGAGAGCATCTGCTTCGGTTGATGCAGCAAGTCCGCGTTGGACCTCCCTCGGGTCTTCCACCCCAGCAGTCACCTCCGAATGCAGGCGTAGCCCCTCCCCCTGGCCTGATGCCCGAAATGATGCCTCGTCCTCCTCCTGGACTGGGTGCCCAGAAGACACCTTCCTTCCTCGATGACCCGGCCATCGCAAACATGCAGCGACCGGACAGTGAGCAGCTCCGTCGGCGCGCTCCTAACGGACCCCCGCCCATGGGATACTTCGATGATGTGCCCTTCCCTCCTCAGGGCGCCCAGGGACCCATGACTCCTGGTGGTTCTCGTCCTATTCAGGGCCTGAACCAGCCCCCAATGCCACTTCAGCGGCCTCCAGGACTGGACCACATGCCACCTCCGGGCTGGGCCGGTCAACACCCTCCCCAAGGCAATGGACCAAGCCCCATGGGCCCTCCTCCTGGTATCCCAGCGCCTAACCGCGGCTTCCCACCGGGTATGATGCCGATGCCCCCCCGTGGCCCCCCCACCCGGCATGATGCCACCGCCAGGATACATGGGTGGTCCGCCTCCCCCCGGTTTCCCTCATATGCCCCCTAACCCAGAGGCCATGATGGGAGTCGGTCCGGGTGGCCAGGGCCCATTTGGCCCAGGTGGTCCCGGTCCCCAGGGCCCGCCCCCTCATCCCGCCACCTCCTCGAGATGTTCGGCCAGCCCAACGGTGGTGACGGCCGCGGTGGTATGGTCGGCCCCGGTCAGTTCAGATAGAACAAACATGGCACGATGATCTTGATGCCTGCATTTAATCTATCCCATGTTTTTCTTTTATTGCTCAATGAAATATGTGACAATTTGGGCAAATATGTGGTGGACAGCATGCGGTGCAAGAGTTTCGTTTGTTTTCACCCAGCCTGGTTACACGGCAACGTTGCATCTTATCGAGAGATCAAAGTACATCTATTCTTATCTTTTCCTTCCTTGATGTATTCGCTGATGCCCATCTTCGGTACTATGATGCCTATGCTTGGTGCTGCTGCTTTTCGATAACCCTCAGCTCTGGCTCGTTCTGTGTTTTCCTTTTCGCTGCATACTATCTTCTGTTGCAGTTTTTTGATTGTCATTCTCCGATGTTCTCTATCCTCGAAAGGAGATGACATTGCTGTGTATCTAGTGCTGGCTGTGAACGAGTACATTGAGATGCAGTGATATGGTTGATAGGTCAAGTGGTGGATCAATTGTGAATCTATGATCCAGAGGAGGTTTGGAGTCTAAGATATTGGTAGACTCCCTCTTATTGTTGGAGATGGCTGGATAAATACAATGTGCCCATTACTTGATACAGAATCGGTGGTATTCACATTCACTTACTGTAATCCCATGTAGAATACGACTAATGATTCGATACTACGTACGGACCTAATGATTACCTTGCTTTGTTAAGAGAAAAATGCCCTGGTTTTTCCATAACAAATTTCCAGTCTTTAACGAGAAAGGGAACTGACTGGAGTCTAGGCTGTGCAGAACTCCCTACGCCTCCTTTTAACTGTCTTTCGAGATATACCTCTCCTTATGATTCAATAGTATCATTCGGAATAGTCTTCTATCTGACAATATAATACCTACAGAATTAACTACATACTTTGTAGATTTAATGAGATGACTCTTGCTTTAGGCATTCGTCCCTTCTACTGCGAGATATGAACGACTGCCCGTATGGCTAGGTAATTTTAGTATACGGCTAATGGAGAGAGGGTTAACATTGGCGGTTATGCTATGATATTCTATTTCGAAACTCCCTGATATATCCCGAACCAATGATAGGATTGATGGTTAATAGAATTTCAATAATACTGATATTTAATAATGTCTTTCTCTCCCACGAGCTATATACGCTCTCTGAATGGTGAACAGAAGTAAAATTCTATCTAGTCTCCATAGCTTAAGTACATCCTGCTCTAAAATATATAATATTCTATAACTCTAAAGACAGGACTCCTTGATTTACACCACGATGCTTCCTATAGGTTACCTATCTAATAATTTCGCGTGTGGCTCGATTCGCGTTCATTTTCTGATTCGAAATGAGATTAATAGTTCTCACAGGCACTTTAGAGCATGGAACATCCATCACATTCGAAAGGAATAGTCATAATTATACTAGCTTCAGCAAGACTTAGAGGGAAGATTCTGCTAGATTTATTATAGGCACCATGACATGATTCAGACTCTTAAGGGCACGGCGTAGGCATTATCATCCACGGGCGTCGAGTCAACAAACATCACGTCTCGTCACCTCACTTGAAAAAAAAAAACAACTCCTCTCTCCCTACCGTCTTGTTTGATAAAATTTTCGAATTTTCCATCCAAACCTCACGTTTTGATACCGTTTCATCGAAAATGGAGCCAGAACAGCAGCCAGGCAGTGGCGGCTCTCGCAGGGTAAGCCCTATTATCATCAACATGAAAAAAAAAACGGAGTTTGATATTGAAGGGAAACACAGAACGACATCATCCGTGACTCTTCATCGAGTCCGGAGCCGTTTCGACTACCTGCCGGTCCCGTACGCCGCCGCCGGCTACCCCGAACCCGTCGTCGCTCATGGAGATTTCGTATGCCTTCGACTCATCCCATGATCACTCGCTCACGAGCCCGCGATGGACAGCCCGTTTCCCAGCTTGCTCGCTTGTACGAGGCCAGTTCTCGAGTACTACGTCCCTCGACAACGATCGAGACGTCTCAGGGTAAGTTCATGAACATTAATATCCCTGCCAATTACCTGATGGCGAATGATACTCTCCCTAATGTTATACTCTAGCACCATACATGGCACCTGCTAGGAATATCACTGTAAACGAAGGACGTGCCTGAACCTTCAGGGAAGAAGTGGCTAACACGGAGACAGATGACAGTGACATCGACAGCGAGGCAGAGACTGATACCGGCTCTTTCCACGGTATTCTGCCTTCCACTCGTTGCCATGAAGGTCGAGGATGGTCTCCATGTCACCCACAGAGCCAACACTTTGCCATCTACGAAGATCCGTCAGGCCAGCCAACCCCCCAGGCTCTCACCCCAATCCTATATTCCGACTCAGATGAGGAGAAGGAGAACTCTTATGGCTCTTCTGAATCTGACGAGGAAGAAGCGAACGCCGATTCTACCTCCAGCTCTGATGAGGAGTGAATGCTTGTTCGACCTGATATCGAAACCGCGCAGTGGGGTATTGACACTGACGAGGTTGATCCAGACCGAGATATCACCGAGGCGGAGATCGCACTCCACGATCTCCAGGAACTTGGCGTTCTGGATCGGTTCAGTGGGAACGGACAAGACGACAACCCGGATATTGCCTGGTGAAGAGGACACGTCCAGGATCAAGCAAACATCCCTCTTCAAATGCAGTGTCTCACGCACCACCGGCGTCCATGACAATTATCACACTCGTGTTGCGTGTTGGTCGAGAGGATGAGATTGCGGATAAGGGCTGAGAAGGGCCGGGTGATATGGATTTATTTGTGGTATGGTCATTTGCGGGCTGCGCGTGGATTTGTGATGCTCCTAGGATGAATATCGCTTATGTATCTTTTATTCAATGATTAATGACTAATGTGTGTACGAGTATTATGGAATCTATTCAATATTCAGTCAGGGTCATTAGCTACGTAGCCAGTATGCTCTATGAAGCTGCATAAGCAGTTTAGTTTAGAATAAACATCAAAGGACTGTCATACAAGACCCAAACAGGCTTAATTAAGTCAGTATCCATTCTCCACTGGCACATCATTCTTTTTTACTTGTTAGATGAGCTAACATCTTGAAGGTTGTATTTAGTCCTTATAATTTTGTTAGATGTTCACTTAGAAAAGGTGCATTACAGACTAGCTAACTATTCCGCTGTCTATTTAGATGGTATTCAGGCTGGGTTCTCCTCTAATATCTCGACTTCCATTGGGTTTTATGCCATATCCTCTCTCTAACTACGAACCTTACCTCCTACTGATATAAGAACCCTGGCGTGTTGCCATTTTTCGCGCTATGTAGCAAGATATCATGTTAGCACTGGCGGTGATACAAGGTCAAATTGTAGTAACTGGGGATTATAATGGATCGTACTCATGACACTACGATGCTAAGCCTAATCAGAAACACCCCTCTATACAATGGTATAATGATACCAAGGTTATCCGCATTTGCATTATGTACCCATATATAGTGGGGTCCTATAAGCTTAAGCCTATGACTCAACCTTTGAATCATCTTATTAGTTATGCTTTGATAGATCACTCGAGAGATTTTTACTAGGGCTTTCTGAAAAGACCTTAGAAAGACCTTTGGAAAGACGTGAGAAACAGAGGAGATTTCTAACGAGGCATCAACCCGAAGTCTCACTTCGCTTATTCTCTTTCAACCTTCGACTTATACCATCCCCATCGTTTACTCGAACTTTTGCCCTCGCGTCCCTTTTACCTTCACGTACTGAACGGTCCGACATATACCTCTCCTAAAAGTTCTTTCCTCCCCTCCTCATCTACACTTAAATCTTTCTCCTACCTATCCATCCCTACCACCCGTCTGTTCTCTCTTTCCTAATTCCGTTCGATACTCAAACCCCCCTCCATCAGCCCCTGCTCTTATATCGCAACTCCTCGCTCGACTCTCTCGTCGTTCCATTTCTCTTATATCTCACCAACATCGGTAAGCTCTCCGACTCTCCGACTCTCTCTTCTCCAGCACCTTAAATCCTTTTACCTCTTCGGCGATTGAGATATATTGAAGTTCGCTCTTGCTCATCTATCTATACCCCTCCACTCTCTCTTTCCCAATTCCCTTTCGTACTCAACCCTCCCTCCATCAATCTTCTCACCTTCGTCAGTCCTCCTTCCTAACTAACAGGTCTAGGTTCCTAGTTGCCTCTCTCACTCTACCTCTCATATCTCTTCTGCATCGGCAATCTTGGCGACACTCCGGCTCTCTCTTCTCCAACACCGCGAATGCTCTCTCATTGCTCCTTCTGCTAACCAGACATCTCGTCCTTCTCTTCTACTCATACCTACCCCTCCAGCCATATAGGACTCAATTGTCTCCTTCCCAACTCTCTTCTATACCCAACCCTCCCTCAGTCAGTATCCTTACCTTTCACAGTCCCTTTTGCTATATCATAGCTCCCATCTAACTCTCCCGCTCTAGGTTCCCTTTATCCTATGACCCTATGCCTTTACTTCTTCAGTGATCACGACATCTTTAGCTTCTCGTCTGCTCACGTTAGACCCTCCTGGGCATCTACCACTCGCGTCTCTCTTTCCGATTTCCTTTCTATACCTAAACTTCTTTGGGTTAGTATTCGCACCTTGAACAATCCCCCTTACTATATCACGGGTCCCAATTCGACTCTGCTATTCCTTTTACTTTTCTAACTCTCCCATTCAGTTCCTCTTCCTCTGCCGCGGGCCCCTATTCGACTCTTCTATCCATTCCCCTTTCTTATATCTCTTCAACATCGGCAACCCTGACGACTCTCCGACCCTCTCTTCTTCGGTACGTCAAACTCTATCCATTCACCTCTTCGGTGGCCGAGAAATCTTGGAGTTCCCTTCTACTCCTTTCTACACCTCCCAGCTACACCTCCCAGCTACACCTCCCAGCCATCTTTCACTCAAGTCTCTCTTCCCAATTCTCTTCTATAATCAACCCTCCCTCCATCGCTATCCTTACCTTCATCACTCATACTTCCCATCCGACAGGCCCCCTTTGACTCTCCCATACTTTTATTTGTCTTATATTCCTTCTGCACAGGCAACCTCGTCAACTCTCTGACTATCTCTTCTTCAGATACCTCGAACATCCTTGGTCTCACTTACGAGAGCCGCCAAAGTTGATTAGGCTCTGGTAACACCCTTTCCACGGGTTATCAGAACTTCATCGCCTTTGCCATAATCCGAAAGGGTTTGACAAGTCATCAACCTCTTTTATATCCTACAACCCCACATTCGGTTTGTCAAATCCCCTACTTCTTGAGATTTGGTGCTCACAACAACTGTTTTATACTAACAAACAAAACAGCCCGGTTTGTACTTGATACGCCATCTTTTATATTAGAACATTACACTGACACATCACAGAAACTCCACAATTACGACCAGAATCGTCAACATGAGTGATGATACTGGAGATAACTCTCCCCCTCCAATGGGGGAGGGTATGACATCCATGGCATCCTTAACCCTCGAAAGCCTCAACTCCGCGGACGTAAATGCTAACATGACTCAAAATGAGCCATGGAAGGCAGACGTTGACCTTACTATGGATCTGAACAATGATCTCTCGGAGGCTCATGAAGGGGATGAGACTGCGTTTTCTCGCTTCGATACTAGGCTTGAACTTGCGGAAAATGATAGCTTGGGCCTAAGCCTCGAAGAAGGTTTGGTTAACTTTCAAGCGGTATACTCAGGGCCGCCGAGGCAGGGCAGACAAGCGTTCCAACGTGCTATTGACGACTTCACGACCGCCGAGTTAGTTACAGACTTGGATCATTCTACTGAAAATCAGGCATCCTTCCTATCCGAGGGGGGTCATGGTGCTCAAGGGCCATCCTGGGGAGATGATCAGTCTAACGGCCCGAGTTCCGAACGTCATGCCTCGCTTGATCATGGCAAACTTGTCGATCAGGATCCAAATGATATTCCACATAGTTGGAAAGATGAGTGTGATAACGAACAGTAAGTTATATTTATTTGGAGAATATGACAATATATCCTAATCAAACTTTATTATTAGGTACGGCCAGGCTGAACAGCGGTTCAAGCTTCTGGACAATCCATCGGCCAAGGAAAAGATCCTATTCACTAAGGCAGAGGAAGAAGAAGAAGAAGAAGAAGAAGAAGAAGAAGTGCCAGGCCATAAGATTCCTCAGAGCTGTTTTGTGAATAGCGAGGATCTACATGAGGAAGACGATGGGGCGCTTTTTGTTGAGGAAACCTTTGGTGATAATTTCCCCTTATCTAACGAACAGGCTGACGCCTCGGGCTCAAATTCCAAGCTCAATCAGATAAAAAAGAGAAGGCAAACGCCCTCTTTAAAGGAAAAGACTGCATCGATGGAGGTCGGTCTTCAACGATTGCTTGGAACGAAGCGACGTGATACCGAGCCTACCAATCAGACTGAGGGCAGCTCAAACCAGAGGGTTTCCCGACAAAAAACCAATCGATTCTCGGCCGAAGAGCTGGAAAGCATCTGGAGCTCTAGCAGTATAATTGCTAGTGCGAAGGAAAACGCGGCATTGCCTGAGATCCCGACTTTTACGAATACCGACAAGTCTAAGGCTCTGAATGAGCTTATTGCGAGCCTTCCAGATCTATCACCAGAGGATCAAGCGGCCGCCAAGTCTGACAGACAGCGTATTTTGGAAGCAACCCGAAAATTTGATCACAAACCCTCGAGCGATGGTGCAGGCGGTTGGAAGGTCAAGGGGTTGAAGACCAGCTTAAGTCACCATCAGGTAAGAAGAGCTATGTTCAACCCAACAATGAACCTATGATCTAACATTGGTATAGGTTTTAGCTGTTGGCTGAATGGTATGCTACCCGTCAATGACCTGGAGACAATATTTACTGATAGAATTCTTAGCGAGAGCGGGAGCGATCATGCACTGAGCCTTTCGGGGGACTGCTGTGTGACGTTATGGGGTTTGGGAAAACGGTGACATCTCTTTCTACCATCTTGGATGGAAGACGTGTGAACCAAGATGAAGAGAAAGCCCCTACCTTGATTGTCGTTCCACCCGGAATGATCGGCCACTGGTAAGTATGGCTGAGCTGCGACCAATGTCAACAAGTCGGCTAATGGATCTGGACAGGGCGGATCAAATCACCAGGTTTTTCGACACCGAGATATTTGGAGCTGTCCATGAGTATCAAAGCAGCACGAGAATGAGTCAACAAAACAATCTCGAGGTCATGCGACGAGTTGACGTGGTGTAAGATCGTCCTTGAGCACTCACTATATTAGCATTCTATTGAAGCTAATTTGGCATAGGCTTGCCTCGTATGAGCATGTACGGCGGTCTTACCCAACGCCAAAGGTACCAGCAGGGCTTCAGTCCCCGGGCGAAATCAGAGAGTGGTGGGCCGCCTTCTTCCAAGAGCATGTGGGTGTTCTACATAAGATGAAATGGCATCGAATCATTATTGATGGTACGTATTGGATATTTGTGTGCATTCTGGAAAAGTTGACTGAAAAATGTTTAGAGGGCCATGTAATCAAAAACCGTGACTCTGCCACATCGATAGCAATCCGAGGACTCATCGGAACTCATAAGTGGGTTGTGACTGGAACTCCTCTGCATAAGTACGTCCAAATACCCAGCAGGTTGACCTTTGCTAACGTTCTAAGCTGCATCGAGGAAATGTATCCGTATTTCAACTTCATTGGGGCTCCACGCTGTGCTAATATCGATGACTTCAAGCATGAGTATTGCGATGTAAGAGAATGGCTCCCCTATGCGCGTTGCTTACGTCCCACACGCCTTTCAATGTGAACTTTCTGACGCTTCTTTTGCATACAGGGGAAGAGGAACTCAAGGAAGCACCTCATTGACACTCTGAAATTGATCCTCCATCGAAAAACGCATGAAAGCAGGCTATTTTCTCGGCCTATCCTCAAGTTACCAGGGGTGACTTTGAAGGAAGAGAATGTTGAGCTCTGTGAAGCTGAAAGGATCTTGTACGACAAGATCATGCTGATCTTCATCGAGAATTTCAATAAAATATCCCGTGGTCTAATCTTTGATGCTAAAATAGTCGCAGACTCTGGCCCGGAAACCGAGGTGCGCCAATGGGGGTGCATTTTGACCATGTTCTTGAAGCTGCGCATGTTTACCAGCCACCTGCTTACGGCTCAGGATATAGTCCAAGACGCGTTCAACGAAGATACCATAAATGCTCTGAAGAAAACAACGGATAATGCATCGGAGCAGATCACCAGAATGCTTATCTTTGCAAATAATGGGGGTTCAATTCCTGTCGCAGAAAGGGACTCTCTGGAAGATGAGATTGCTCCGTTGAAGCCCACAGGAAACCGAGAAAAACTGATCAGAGAATTCCGTGAGTTTATGGAACAACTCTACAGAGAGGAAAGGTGGCAAGATAGCAAGGAGAGACATGACTGCCCTCGTTGCGGAGGTATCCCGGTCCAGGCCATAATCACCTCCTGCAAGCATTTGTACTATGCAGAATGTTTTGACCAACTTCCGGACGAAGATGGAATGCTTGGGAAAGAGCAGCGACTATGCAGCAAATGCCCGGGACCGATAACTGAGGCTGCCTATTATGGGGTTTTCGACAGAGTCAACCCAGAGGGATATGAATCTTCAGTGTCAGCGGGCCCATCTACTGGGACTAAGCGAAAACGATCCGACAAAGCCGAGAGATCCCGAGGATCCAAGAAGTCGAAGAGTACTTCAAATGGTACTTCAAAGAGAGTACGGTCATCCATGATGTTCGGCCGGCCCGGATCTCAACCCGACGACGCTGCAGATGAGGATGCGTCTGACAAGGAGGAAGACTGGATTCCAGTCATTGGGGAGACGACACCTAGTGCTAAACTCACAAGGCTCTGCGAAATACTAGTTCGATGGATTGATGAAGATGCAAATGTCAAGATCCTCATCTTTACCCAATTCTTGGACACAGTCCGGTTGCTGAAGTTGATGTGCAACCAGAAGGGCTGGGGCTCTACCACGGTGAGTACTCCATTCACGCCCCTAAACTTAATATCTCACTAACGCTACAATGATAAGTTGACTGGAAAAATGGCTCCTATTGCCCGCGAGAAGAGCATCTTCAAATTCCGCGACGACCCAGAGATTCAAGCCATGATCTCCTCATTCAAGACAGGTGGCGTCGGACTGGACCTTTCTATGGCAAACAAGTGCATTCTCTTGGATCTGTGGTGGAATGAAGCTCTGCAGGAGCAGGTAAGTGAACTGCCCCTGTCAGCATGCCGAACTACCAACTGACATGGACCAGGCATACGGTCGCCTATACAGAAAGGGGCAGAAGCGGGATGTTGAAATCATCAAAATCGTCGCTACGGGGACCATCGATGACGTCAAAATGCTTCGACTCCAGAAGGACAAGACGAAAGCCATCCAGAAAGTAATCAGTCGCCCAGTGCTTGAAGACCGAGCTGGTGTCGAAGAAATTCTGGAAACCTTCGGCACAGTCACTATTATGGAGGGAGGGGGATTCCGGATTGAACCTAACGTCGAAGCATGATCAACAGGATATCACGGGGGAAATGCAGCGGAAAGCAGATACGGTATTCGGCGTGGACAGCAGGTTTCAGGTTGCGTTCTTTGATTTTTCGGTTTCTTCGGCGGGGGGATGAGGATGATGCCGATTTGAGATTGGGTTTTCTGTCTTTTAACAGGATGATGATCTCAACACAGATTGACAATTGCTAGCACTAGTTGAGTTCATAAGCAGGCATTCTCGAGCATCGTGCTCTGTCGAGGCACTTGTGATGCAATCAAAGCTGGACACTGGGTCGGAAACCCATGGTGATATGGTGATATTTACAGTGCATTTAGCAGCAAGTTTCACAAATTGAAAACCATTTGTGCTTTATTTCGTGAAAAGTATCGCATGTTATGCCATAAAAGTACATCATTAGGAAACCGTCCATTCCGAATACAAAAATCCTTAATTAACGCCTCCAATGGAACGTGTTTCGGGTATCATGATAATGCAGAACAAAGTACAAAGTCGGCCATCAAAGTAGATCATCAGGCAGTGATGGCCGAAGGGGAGCTGAGCTCCTCGGTGGAGATATGGATGTCGTTGTTCACCACATTGAAAGATTTGGGAACCATGGAATCGGCGCCGAGATCTTCCACAGGCAGCGCAGTCTGATCAGGAGTTGATACGCTGGTTGCACGAGACGTGGTGGAATCGGCGTCTGTTACCGTGGACGTAGTCGACATGTTTTCAGACATGGTGAAATTAGACACCGATTCGGAGACCTCGGAACGGACTGATTCCGGCTTCGCAGTTCCATCCAAGGGCACCGAGGTCTTCGTATCGACTGCCTCGTAAAACAGCATGAAAGCACCCCCTGGGACATGACATGGCCTTCGCTGACCATCTGCACGTCATCGTCACTGAGTCGATACCAGCGCTCTGGCTTCTCCTTGTCACCCTCCGCCTGCAGGACCTCGTCAGGGACTGGCGCAGGAAAGATGGATGTGGGGTATTTGCGATAGCAGATATAATGACCGTTTTCGTGGCGGCCATAGTGTGTAATGATGGCACGGAGTTCGTATTGTCTGCTAGGCATGCGGATTGCCTCGCCAGGTTGGGGAAGCATTGACTCCGAAGGGTCGGTAACCCAGCGTTCGGAGGGTTCTTCAGACTCACTAGTAGGCTGAGTTCCAAGACACCAGTCATTCAAATCAAGGTTCTTGGGGAATTTGACTGCTGCATAGTTTTTCTTCAACATCCCCGTCATCTCATCGAACAGGCTGCGATTGATGTGGACGACCAGACATTGAGGTGCCCGAGCTATCACAGCCTGGCGAGACTTGGTAGTAGTCATTCGGTTCTTGGAGGGTATGTGGCATTTGTTTGCCAGCGTCTTCTCGGCAAAATCGTCCTCCTCAAGAGCAGTTTGTACGGCTTCGAGACGTGTCTGCGCGGATGTCTTCACAGCATCTGAAAGGCCGGGCGACTGTAGCTTGTCCGCTTCATCTTCATAAGACATACTTCCAAGGAGGTTCTTCAGCTGGTCCCGTGCTCGTAGCAGAGTACACTTGGCACACTCCACACCCTCGATGGGCTCCAGTGTCATATACTGATCTAGACATTCACGAATGTCGTACTCATATTTAGCTCCGAGAGGAACTGTAAGGCAGTTGAAAGGGATGAGCGAGAGCCCCTCTGTCCATCCACACTTCATGCACCCGACCCGCTGGGCAAGTAAGCCCTCGAGCGGATTGCGAAAAGAAGCCTTCTCGATCGCTGATAGCACATTCTCGTCGACTGCCGTTGTATCCACGCAAATTTCTTTCAGAATGTTTTCCTCCGGCCCGGCCATTTTCAGACCCATGTTCCTCGTGTCCCCTCGCGACGCTCGTTGGATTTCAATGTCGACCTGATCCACCAACTTGGAGAAGTATTCCTGCGCATCCTGCTGTTGCCAGCTACTCATCGACTTCAGGTCCGAAGGAATCCAAAGCTTATGTCCATGGTTTGATGCACTGTTCAGAAGGTCGATGATGCCTTTAAGCGCCTGGTGTGTCGAGAACGGGTTCTTCTCTCCCAGAAGATGGACGTTACGCCCCAAGAATGCCGAGAGCGACTTTAGCGACGCCAGACCCTGGATTATACTGTTCTGATAGCAAGAATTATCCCAGTTGCCGAGACCTGGAGGGATGGCGTCTTTGTTGTTACCCAGGAGAGCGCTGCCAATTCCGGAAAGGGATCGGGATCGCGGGAAGAATGGGAAAGAGTTGTTATCCAAGCCCAATATCCGTTGCATAGACTCGCTCTTTTCATGGAAGGACAATCCCGAGGGGCTCGAGGGGGAGGAGTCGGACGGCGACATGCGGGAATCTAATGCGACGAGGACCCAGGACGGGGTAAGATAGACGAACACGTTCCAGAGCGACCGTATAAGGGAAACCGGAGCGAGGCCAAAATGATCGAGAAGTAAGTAAGTACAGAATATGGCGATTATCGTGTATGCTAATTCTTGGTGGTTCCGCAGGGCCGTAAATGGTGTCTCATCGTGGCTGCTCTGACTTGCGTAATGATGAATGGGGCCGCTCGAGAAGATGTCAGCTCCCTGTCTATGAGCATTCATGGCGGAATGAGAGATCAGGCGAGCCGCAGGCAGCAGGAGATAGACCTGTGTAGCATGGGCCGAGTGGGTATGGTGGTGAAATCGCGGAGAGCGCAGTTCGAGGAAAGGGAAAGGTGGAGAAAGAGGAGCCTCTCGATTTGTATACGGTCATTATTAATTTCCACCACGCGCCAGAACTGCGCTTTGGGCTGGTCCCGCCCGCCGTAAAGTTTTTTTTATCGATAGCAGGACGATCCCCACACACAACTTGACTATCTCTTCCATCTCTTTTCAAAACACATCCCACAATGGCCAAGAACAAGCGTGAGTTTGAGACATATTTTGCGACTTATTGATTAAATTGGCAGAAACTAAATTCTTGCAGCAAAGGCGAATAACACTCGTGCAGCCCGGCGGGGCGCCTCCCCAAGTCTCGACTTGGATAAGTCTTTGACCTCTTTACCTCGAGCCGAGTCTCCCACCGTCCAGCGTCCCTCCCTCTTAGTCGATCGCGCAAATGCTGGTGTTCAAAAGAAGAAGAGCAATGGCAAGAAAATATCAAAAGCCCAGCGCTTGAGACAGCAGAAGGGCATGGAAAGGGCCGAGGCGGTCCTAGACCAGCTGGAGATTAAAAAAGCCAAGAGTATCACCCGAGCAAAGTCCATAAAAGAACGAAGGGTATGCGAAAAAAAAAATTGCCTATGAACTGTGATCTAACTATGGTATTGAAAATATGCTGACGGAATCCCTCCTTTTCTAGGGTGATTGGGAAGAAATGAACAAGAAATCAACCGCGTTCGCCGCTCTCCAACAAACCCAGGAAGTCGACGACGACGAAGATGATGATGATGATGAAAACGACGATGCCATGGCAACTGAGCAACTAGACCCCAGCAATCCTATGATGGCCAGCATTTTCGCGCCCCAGTCCACGAATACGGTATCCAACCCCGTCGCAGCCGCATCTGCGCCCACGGACGAGTACGACGAAATCACCTGAACGCAACAACACATCATAAAAGACCGACCCAATCTGGGGAGACTATTTCTTCGGCCTGAGCTGGTTGATCATGCGCTCAATTTCAGTACTTGCAGGACCGGACGCTTTAGTCCGGAGGAGTTCGAGGGTGTTCACGTCCTTGGCCTTGTGCGCCTCCTCTCCCGCCTTGACAATCATTCCGCACTTGACCCACATTTCTATCCGGTCGGCGACAGGAAGATGTGTGCACTTGGGGACGAAGATCGAGGCAAGCTTTGTGTTTCCGGCGCCAAGGATCTCGTTATAGAAAGGCTATACCCGCTCGCATCAGCGCGCATCCAAAAATAAAAAGGAAAATTCAACAATCTTACCTCCCATCCAATTGGAGATTTCTTGACTTTGCCAATCTCCTCCAGCTCTCCCCAGTCGCGTTTAGCCACCAACGCGCGGAGCCTTAACCACCAGAATGCCTTCTCCGGCATCTTGAATTCACTCTGCAGCTTCTGTGCTCTTTTACCGTAGCCAGCTCGGACCAATCTGTAGATAGTCTCGTTCAAACTGAGACCGAAATATTCACTGTGATCAGCGAGATCTTTGTCGAGGGACTCTTGAACTTTCAGAAGCTGAGAAGCCTCGGAGACTAATTTCTGTTGCAACATCACGTTCGGGTCTTTGGAGTCCGACAGGAGCCGCGATGCCTGGTGGAGTTTCTCAGTTTTGCGTTGCGGCTCTGTCTCTCGTAGAGCCTCCGATAATAGGACGTTGGATCCTTCCATTGGCCTGTCGTCTTGGTAGTAGAGATCCTTGAGTAGCTCAGTATCTTCTCCTCGTGCTGTGGTCTCGACCAATGCTGAGGCCATAGGGCGAGTGTTAATCATTCTGAAGAAGCTTGCAAGGGGAAGCTTGCCCTTCAGGTGAAGGAGAACATAGTTCACCAGGTCATCATCACCACTCTCGATTGCTTTGTCGAGAGCAAGTTCATCTTCTTCCATATTCAGCAGGAGAGGGACTTGTTTACCTGCCCGCGGCTCATGGTTCAGTAATTGAGTGGCCAAGTGCGATCGACCTTCATCATAGGCCGTCTGGGCAATGACCTCGAAAGAAATTCCTGGCTTCCCTTCCAGCCTTTGAACAATCAGTTTGCACACGGCTTCATCATCGACTGTTGAAACCCGGACCTTTTGACTAGCCCAGTGAACATAAATTCTGTCTGCGGGGATTTGAAGATACTCAGAGACCCGAATAGCAAGAAGATACTGGTGACGACTGATGAGTCTTTCAATGAGTCCTTCTGGGGTCAAGCGGAGGTATTGCTCATATGATATTGGCAGACCGATCTGGTAATCTCTGGCAGCAGTGAGAACTCTCAGTTTCTCAGTCATCTCAACAAATTCATCGCTGTTGTAAAGCTCCAATACCGATTTCCCAAAGGATGCAGCTTTCAGAAGCCGCTTCTGCCAGTAGGCATCGAATTCTTGACCTGCAGCTTTGATGCAGGCATCGACTGCACTAGGGAGACTAGAACGAATACGCTGGATATTCTCGTCGGCTTTGGGCGACTTCTTTTCTAGTTGATCAACAGAATCAAGAAGGACTGAGGCAGGCGATGAAGAGCCGAGTCGGAAAATTTCTGCCGTTACATCTGCATCCTGTCAGTATAGTTTCATACATGGGAGATGGCGCTTCTGACCGGAAACCTTGTGCAAGAACTCGCAAGTATCATTAGTGAGGAGTCGCACGCCGTCAAATTCAGGGATGACATGCACCCGTCCATCATAGTAATACCTATTTGCAGATATCCTAGTTAGTAATTGGACGAGATTATGCGAGGTGTAATCCCTACTTTGATGCCGCGCCGTTAGGCCCAACAAGGTGGATCTCATCCTCCCACGCAAGAAGAACAGCATCGTCGCCGCACCAGTTCACACTACTGGGTGCCACGCGAGACTTTGAGTCATATTCACTGAGTTTGTTCTGGAAGTCGTTACTGACAACCCATAGCTTTCCTTCTCCCGTGAACAATGCCACAAAGCGACCCGTGGGTGACACAGTGACATGCTTGAATGGGCCATCTTGCAAGATCTTGTCTTCCGCTTCCGTAGAATCGACCAAGTAAACGGTCTTATCGACTGCGAGCAGTACCTCCACAGACCGGGAAAGTGTCTGGGCTGGAGGGATCAACGACCAGGATGACACCTCGCCCTCGGGACACGGCGCTAGTAGCCTTGGTCGTGGCTCGTCATACTTGGAAACAGCAATCAGCTGGTTGTTAGACAGAAGTGCCACAAGACCGGAGGCCCAAAACTGGCAGGCTCGGACGCCGTATTCTTCTGCTCCCTGGATATCGTCAGTTAGGCAGACTCAAAAAGAGAGTGAGACCAAGATTTACTTACATTTCCCAAGGAGAACGAAGTAAATTCACCGTCAAGGCCAAAGTAACGGCGGACAGTGCCGTCCTCGGACACCACTAGAAGCTCCTCTTTGTCGGACCAGCCGAGCCCACGGACGGTAGCTTGCTCCCACTAATCTACAATCAGTACATACACTCAGAATTTGTTTCTCTAGGAGATGGACAAACATTAATGCGATTGATCTGCTTCCCTGAGCAGGAATAAATGTCGATACTGGACCGGGAGGCCTGGCTGTCCCGCAACTGAAATGGTTTGCTCTCATCACGATAAAGCGCTCCACAAAGCCTCAGCTATAGTCTCACTTTGCGATTAAAACTGGGTCATACCTATGGCTCCCCCATAAGGGGCACCCGCGACGATGTAGTTCTCTAGTTCAACGTCCTCGTCGAAGACAGCGTCATAGACGGGGATTTTGCGGTAGAAGCTGTCGCCAACCTTCTCCCAGTTGGCGAGAGGGTTTGAGGGCGCCATTTCTGGGCAATAATTGTCAAAGACGAGGGCCCTGGAAAGATCATCAACCCATGCCCCGTGTTGTTACGGTGGTTGGGTGTTGGCTGGCGAAGCTCCGCGGCTCCCACGGGGAAACCACGCTAGTCTTATTTAGGTCAGTTCCATGCCCTAAATCTCAGGCCGCAATTCTGCATCTCATGCCCGCATCCGCCTCGAAAACAACCTGTGACGCCATCCGACTTCGCCGAAAGAGACTCGGCAAGGGCTCTGTGGCCCATGGATCTTCAGAATGGATGATACCAGACTTGAAGAATTTGTGCGACAGCTGTCTGATCTTGAAGTCGCGCTTTTCCTCTCTCTGGTTGCGCGCGAACATTGCCTCATTGAGACCACGGGTGACCTTATTGACGACCTCGCCAAAGAACTAGCCTTGGTATGACAGATTCCTCTGAATGAACGTGGAATTTTGGCTAATGTGGCTCTAGATATGCTCACGCACTTTTGATCTTTCATATTCCATTCTTGATTGTTCCACGGAAACCTCCATTGAGGACTTCCATGATGAGATCCTCACCGCTGATGCCCGCAAAGGACAAGAGCGGTCGTCATATTTCAGATTGAAGACTGGATCTGTGTGTATTCATTGCTCTATGATGGATCTTTGAATGACCGGCTAACCAATAAAGTCGAGTAACCTTTCGACATACATGACACCACGGGAGCGCGATCAGAGCAGGTCTCCAGCCCCAAGAAGCACCGCCGATGAAATCAATGTTGTCAACATTGTCATTGCTAAGAACTTCAATCTCGTAGATGATGACATCCAAGTCCAGGCTCTACAGGTTAGTCTTTGGTCGTCGATAAGGGAACGGTACTCACAATCTTCACAGTTAATGCGAGCCCGAAGGTTAGCTACGGAGCCAGGAATGTTAAACGCACCCACGGACTTCCTTTTCATACCACTGGTAGTAAGGGAGTCTGACCAGCTTGACCCACCATTAAATACTCATTTGGTAGGTCTTTTTCCGCTTTTACATAGACCGTCTCGTTCTAATGTTATCTTGGCAGAATGAGCATCTTCTCGTCTCTCATTTCTACAACTGGGTAGATGGCTTCGTGTATCATGAGGAAGATGAATGGTTATCCGACAGCCAATTGTCGGCTTCCTCGGTAATTCACAAGCCAAAGCACCAGCAGAAGAAAACCGCAAAAGTCGATGAAACAGTAAGTTTATCTTTCCCTCTCCAATGTGGGTGACTAAACCTCAACCTCGTCTTAGGTGATGGATAAGCTACGAGAAGCTAGTGAATCGGTCACTACAAGCGCAGAAATTGTCCGATACATTCAAGATATCGTTGTCTTCTTACGTCTGAGTCGCGCCGTCGGTGGTGGGATTTCTGCCAAGGCGAACTTTCAGCTCGCCCGATTTGCAGAGTCAGTCGGAGTTATTCCCCCTACTGCCCACTTTACTAACTCCCTCTCATAGATTCCTCGCACCTTTACACGGAATAGATTATCTTACTCCTTCAATCGTGGCTCTCGCCGCGAGAAAGGTGTTCCGACATCGTATCGTCGTCACGGCTCCTGGTCAAGATCGAAGTTTACAGTATGGGAGTGATATGGTGGCCGTTTCCCATGTCCTGGCAAATGTCACACCGGATTCAATCTTGGATGGCATTTTGGAGCTGGAGCCTCCAATTTGATGAATAGGCCATGCGAACGTTCTCGTCCCTCCCCTGTGGCGTGAGACACGTTTCAGGTCGTTTGTATCAGTTAACAGCATTCAAAATACCCCTCTAGCCAATAGAAACTGTTTCTCCTTGATGCATGGCGGATTTAGACTAACGAAACACTTGGCAGTTCGTACGTAGGTTCAGGACATATGACTACCAAAAGAAGGCGAGAATAGATCCTCCATGGTTATAGTTCACAAACTCCACTCCAATCTACGAAAGAATATGGACCTTGTTTAGCGAAAGCGCACTTATACAATAAGGCTCAGCGAAGCTCCTCCAGAAGTATATAGACGACAGTGATATCTGTTAAACAGGGGTTGTATCCGATAACCCACCAAGAGTGATTGAGAGCAGACTATGCGGTCTCTCGATGTCCGTTATCGCCCAGTGTACGTGGCCTCAACCTCAAAAACAGATCAGGAGGTGTGTACTTCTCTTTCTTCTGTTTATCTCCATTTGCGCCTGGTTGAGCGCCAGCATCCAAGCATCGCTCTCCGTGACCGTGGGCCCCGTCATTTCCATACCAGGAACTCTCCATGGCCTTGGAGTATGTGCGCCATTCTGTGAGGACAACGTCAATCTCGATCTTGGTATCGCCAACCAGCGCGTCCATCTTGATGTCATTCCTGTCATAGCCGAATGGATCTTCCAGTTGTGAACCAATACCCTCGATGCCGTACAGAGTGAATATCACCAGGCAGACAATCGGGATGGCCCACCAACCCATCTCGTCGACCATTGCGAATGGTAGGACACACCCGAAGAGGGCCAGGACCTGTTTCTGGTGGATGCTTCACAATATAATTTAGCATTTGCAAGTCATGGAACCAAGCATGAAAACTTACAGATGAGCCACTGGCATCGGAGTCAGCTTAATCGTCTCCATTTTCCCATACGCATCCAAAAACGTGTTCAGCTGTGCCTGCATTTGACTCGCGCCGGGCGCATTGAACCAGCCGCGGTCTTCACCGCGCTTGATAAACCCATCGACGAAAAAGGTAAGTTGATACGGGAGCCCAAGTCCCTCGTCTTCGTGGCCCTCCAATCCAGCTGGGAGCAACCCCGCGTAGTCAGGGTTATACGCCGCGGTGCCGCGCTCATCCACGTCATTTCCAAACGCACCGCCAATGGCCCAGGCTGCTCCCCATTCAGCACGCAGGTGATTCTTCACTGCGAAGGGGATAGCCATGAGAATACGGATGGTACGTTCGATATCCTCGCGCTCGGCGAGTGTGGGAGGGCCACGGGTTGAGCTGTAGCTGTTAGTGACAATGGTACGGGTCAAGTTTCGCAAGCAGGTGTTCATCGTGCTCATGGCATTGCGACCGTCCCAGAACCTATTGTACGACGTTTGATTGCGGAAAACGAGCATCAAACCCACGACGATAGAGAGTGACGGGATCTAGAGATGTATTAACAGGTGGTCTCCTCCGAGGGATTTGGGTAATCTTCGTACGATGGTAGTCGGAAGTCCGACAGTCTCAAAAACATAAGTGTCAAGGTAAACGACAAAGGCCGTGAAGATGGCATGCAGGAAAACTGGTAGCAGGATCTGCGCGTGGATAGCGCCCTTGATGAAGCGGAAGACAAGCGGCCATCTACATCGAGTTGTGAGTTACATTTCTCAGCCTCGGGAAATTCAGCGTCCTACCTTCTTGGCTTCTTTCGCGACGACAACAGATGCGGGTGTGTCAACCGCCGTTGGTGGTGTCGCCCCTGCAGAGAGGTGTTTTGGCGACTCAGCGTCGGGGTGGTTGGCTCACTGAAGACTAAGCGCATCGTGTCTCCGGGTGGATCAATCGATCCGCGATGTTCAAGGGTTCTGCTGTGGAGCTGGCACCGTCGATCGGCGCAGTCACTCTTTTCACCAACACAGTTGGCAGTGACCGAATCGTGGCGGCCAACAGGTTTCGAGGAGGGAAGGTTGAAGCTCCGTCGCGTCTTGAGGTGGGGGGAAGACGCTATGATCACCAAGTGCTGCACGTCGACACCCTTGCCCAGTGGCTTTGTTGATTAAGCGCCATTGGTGGGCTCCTTAGCCAGTGATACACCGCTATTTTCTCCAGAATTCGATTTGAGAGTACTCTATGCAAAACATGCAATCCAAAGTATGCAAATGAATGTTCCCTCTATTATTGGCTACTTTTGATTCAGACTGACTGGACAGTAATGTTCAAGCACAGAAGCAAAGTATTCGGTCTTAGATATCCGAGAAGTTGAACCGGCTGGCACAAAATCCAATATCGAGCCAGCCTGAATTGCGACGGGATGAGAGCCGAGTGAATTGGAGAATTCAAAAATCAATTGAGAAATTACCGACCTAATCTAAAACGAGGCTATTACCACATTCGCTCCCAGCATCGTCGCACAAAATTCATCTGCGCCAACTCGGCCTTTCGACGCTCCTCCCATCCACCATCTTCCCATTCCTTACATTCCTCGTCCACCTCGGCTTTGCCAGAGTACAAGTCCGCATGAGCAGGATCCACAAACTTGGTCCGATGATAAACTTTCCAGAATACAAACATAACAGCCCAGAAAGCAAGACCGAAATAGGATGTCACAAAGCCCTGCACGCTGAAGGGCTTGAACACCGAAAATCCGTTAAAGATGGCTGTCAAGGTACCAATGCCGATCGCAAAGCTGGCAAAGTAGGGCTGGAAGGGAGATGCCCAGGGGACGAAGGACTTGCGATCGATGCCCTGTGCCTTTAAGGCGCGGTACCAGCCAATGAAGACGACCAGCATGCCCGTATAAGTGAGCACGAAGGCGATGGTCGTGAGATCCACAAACCAGTAGAATACGGTCACCGAAGAGGAGCCGGCGACGAGGAAAGTGATGCAGGAGAGAAGCGAGACGGTAAGCACGCAGTACACGGGGATACCGGATGCCGTACACTTGAGAAGGAATTTCGGGGCCTGGCCATCGCGAGCCAAGGAGTAAAGAGTTCGGCTGGAACTATAGAGATAGGCGTTTCCGCAGGACCAGCCAGACAGAAGAATCAGGAAATTGATCAGATCAGGAAGGCCAGTGATGCCCAAGTTTTGAATGCCAATCACCCAGGGTGAAGCAGCAGATCCAGCGGCACCAGAGTCAATGGCGGACATAAGACGAGGATCGTTTGGATTGCAGATAATTCCAACGGCTAGCACGCCGACGACGTAAAATCCAACGATACGCCAGAAGGTCATCTTGACAACTCGGGGAATAGTGTATCGTGGGTTCTGAATCTCTCCAGCAGCCAAAGCCGGCAAGTCAGGACCGGCCACGGAGAAAGCAGCATACACCATCACGGAGAAGAAACCAAGGAAGCGACCGGTAGTGCCATCCGTATAGTATTCAAACATCACGCCATCGGTCCAATTGCGGAATCCATATGCATCATGCTTGGGGTTCCCGCCGACCATCGTGATGAAGGTAAGGAGCACGAGCCCGATGAGGAGTAGGATCTTTGTCGATGCCATGATGAACTCGCTTTCTCCGTAGTATTTGACGGCGACAAAGTTGAGTAACGAGCAGACTACTAGAGCCATGGCTACCCAAACTGCCGGATTGACACTCGTTGTCCAGTATTGCATGACTGTTGCGACAGCAGCGTATTCGGTACATACTAGCATGACACCTCCATAGAAGTATACCCATCCCCTGCAAACATGACCATTAATCTCAAACTCAAGAAGTGACACTTGTAGGAACTTGACTTACATTGCAAAACCAAATGCAGGATCAACAAACCGAGCAGCCAATTCGAAAATGGATCCTCGAATAGGCAGATATGCACACATCTCTCCAACGCTCAGATTAGTCGGCAGAATGAAGAGCACTCCCCAAACCAGATATCCCAGGAACAGCGACAGTGGACCGGCATCCCGAAGGTAAGACCCGATACCGACGAAGAGGCCCGTTCCAATGGACCCTCCGATAGCCATCAATTGCACATGGCGCGACGCGAGACCACGTTTAGTCTCACGATACGGCTCGACAACGCCCAAACTGGCATCTTCGCTGGGAATAGGATGGTCTTCTGCGGAGATTTTCTTCTCCATGGTGGTCAATGATCATTTGCTAGAATGCCGTGAGGGGGCACCCAGCATGTGAGCGGGGAACATAACTCCTTATATACGCACTGGCGTTGGAATGCGATGCGGAGAAATGTCGCCAAGTATGATGCTTGCTGATAGTGACCCCGCGTCCCTATCGGGCGATGGAAGCGATGTAGCGCATCGGACGACTTCCACTACGAATGATACATCTTGGCGTGAAGCTTAGATAGATATGGCTGGGAGATAAGAGCGATAGCAGGGTTAGTCGTGTTATCAGTGATTTTAGTGAGGACCTGAAAGGGGGAGGAGATGGCGACGCTAACCAAACTGCCAAGTGATAAGCGTATCAGCGATTGGACAACCGCGTGGTTACCCCAGACGGCAGCCTCTCCAAGGGACCCCGTGCAACCTTACTGCATATCATTGCTACAATCAGTCTTGGGTTTGGTGATTGGACCATTCAGAGACCATTATCTGAAAGTTTGGAGACGGGAATTTTTAGCCATTAACGGCAAAGTGGTAACTCTCTATATAAAATAGTACAGGTCTTGTTCAAGGACTTGATGAAGGAGAGACACGGGAAGAGTACAGCCGAAGAGTCCAAGCCCCTCAATGATGACTTATCTACATCAAAAGTACCATTGCCCGGTCAAGTATGGCACGATGTTTTCACGCCTTGGTCTGGACGTTGAAAGTTCCATGCAGTCTCAGATCCCTCGAACTGGCACCAACATAAACAGTGTACTTCCCAGGTGCGACAGCCCACTTCTGTGCCTTGACATCCCAGTATGAGATATCGCGACGACGGAGTTCAAACTTGACGTGTTCACTATGACCAGCCTTGATATCCACGTTGTCGAATCCACGCAATTGGCGAACGGGCTGCTTCGCGGACTTGGGATACTCGATGTACAGCTGAGGTACATCGGCACCATCGACAGATCCAGTGTTTTGGACGGTCACGCTGGCACTGGCAACGGTATCCCAGAGATCCTCATAGCCTCCAACGGATAGCTTTCCGGTCGGGTAGGTCGAAAGCTCGGAGGGCGAGTTGATCTTCAGGTTCGAGTAGGTGAAGTCAGTGTAGGAGAGTCCGTAGCCGAACTCGTAGCGAGGGGTGACATTGTATGCATCGAAGTACCGATAGTCGATGTAGTTGCCTTCGGTAAATGTGCAGTTGTGAGTATAACAGATGTCAACATTGTAATCAGACTCATTCTTGGCGATGGTGTAGATTAGTCGTCCGCTGGGGTTGACATCACCATAGAGCACATCCACAATTGAGTTGCCAGATTCCTGACCCAAGAGACTGCCATAGAGAATGGCAGTGATGTTATCATGCTCAATCCACTGGTCCATAAGACGGGCGCCAACGGTGTTGATTACCACGATAGTGTTGTTACAGTTATCAGCAACTTCGTTGACAAGAACGTCTTGATCCTCGTTGTAAAGTTCAGTTCGATCAGCACCCTCGCCGGCGAGGGCATTGAGGAAGACAAGGCAGACATCCATGTTCTCTGCATAGTTAGTAATACTAGGCGTAACAGATGTGCTGTCAGAACCTTGTACGACAAGCGTGGAGCCGCCACTTGAAGTATAGGTATCATTTGCAACCCAGCGAAGCATCGTACCATCCTGGCTAGCTTTGATGGTCAACGCAGTCTCGGGGGTGATGAGGTATGGCAGAGATCCTTGGCCTGATCCAGAGTCGGTCGCAAGATGGCCATCATAAGTAGGGCCTGAACCTTCAACGCTGAACTCCATATTAGGACCAGCGATGGCAGCACGAGCATGAGAGCCGAAAATGGCCATCTTGTGGGGCCTGTTTAAAGGCAGAGCATTGTCCACATTCTTCAGCAAAATCAGAGACTTTGCACCATGAGAGCGGATCAGCTTAGCATGGTTGGATCGAACGTCAACGTACGCGTCCTCGTCGGCGGTCGAGGGCTGGGTGCCGTTGTCGAGGTTGACATAGTAGTAACCAATAAGGTTGCGGATAGCCATATCATTAAGACGGGCCTCAGTCAAGTTATGCTTTTTCAGATATCCCTCGATGGTAGACGTAGTCCATAGACTAGCGGAACCATAGTCAAGACCATTGGTCGCAGAGGCGAGGGCATGCTGCTGGGCATTGGTATCCGGGAAAACAAATCCAGGGAAGCCAAGCTCAGTCTTGAGAAGCTTCATGAGAAGCGATGAGGATTCGCATGAGAGGGTGTTGTTAACCTCAGTCATGGCACACATGACACCCCCAATGCCGGAGTGCACAGCGTCGTAAAAGGACCAAAGATAAGTTTCATGCAATGTCTTGTCATCGGCATTGGAAGAGTACGGAGCACCGGAAGAGGAAGAAGAGGAAGATGACGATGAGCTGCTAGCGACGCTACTGACACCAGAAGAAGAAGGTCGTGCTGCTGCAGTTGCCGAGCCCGTCGAGGAACTCATGGAGGAGTTGAAGCTTGATGAAGAGGAAGGGCCTCCACCTGCACCGCCGCCGTCGCCGCCCATACTCGTACGGTTGGTTTCCTGCTCGTTCAAGATGAAATGCTTAAATATTTTTAGCTATTTGCTGCATTAGTTTGCTTCTGGGAAAAAGGTTACCTTGGCACCAGCAATCACACCTGCATCCTTATACGCCTTCGAGCTGAGACCCGTTGCAATACCATTCAAGTACGGATCGGAGCCGAAAGTCTCAACTAAACGCCCACCCCACGGAGTTCGACCCAATGGATGAGAAGTAGGCCCGTTGACAACCTGAATACCCTTGAGGTAGAACTCGGTAGCGACGGCTTTGGCTTGCGCGTAAAAAGCCTCCTTATCCCAGGTCATTGCCAAAGCGGAAGACTGGCTGAAAGCCGAGACATAGTAATAATCCTGAAGACCCATACTTCCATCAAGGAACTCAAGGGCAGTGAAGCTTTCGCCATCGGTGGTGTTCACACTGCTACCGGTGATGAGCTTAATCTTCTCGGTCGTATTGAGCTTGGCTACAAAAAGAGACGCTTTTTCGTAGGCTGTTTGCCAGTCGCCGAGAGAGACTATAGTTTATAATATTTAATTTTACCACCAACGGACCTTGGTAGCTGCAAAGATCTTACCTTGACTATTAGAGAGGAGACCTTGACTTGAGGCACTCGTTAGACTAGCCAGAGCCCCGAGAAGAGATGAAGAATAGACCTTCATCTCGAAGAGATGAATAGAACGGTTAGTATAAGCGTGTGAAGAATGAGCGCTGAGAATGTAATAAATTGACTTTTTTTTTCTACTCTATCTTTATGAGCATAAGATTGCTATATAAAGAGTTCATGACCTCTGATCTGCAACATCAAGTCCAAATGAGGTATTCTTTGACTCCTGCTAACGCGTCATTTCAGGATGTTAAATATGAGCCAAATGGGTTCAGGGTTAGAGAGCATGATCTCAATTTACACCCTATGCACCTTACTCAGCCCGATGTTTTAAGATGGGGTTATTACGTGGAATTAGGGGCCAGGATTACGCGGATGACGGATGTGCCTGTAGAAAAGAGGGTCGGTCGGGATGCAAAACTCGGAAAATCCGACATGTAGAGCCTATTATGGTTGCACGCACGTGGAGAAATAGAGAAATCGGCAACCCGAAGAAATGCCGGTGCCGATCACTACCCGGTTTAGGTAGGGAAAGATGTGAAGACTAGTTTGTAGCATATAGAGCAGTGTATGAAACAGTTTCTCTGTGGTCTTCTCTGTCAAGGCTGCCATCTTAGATGGCCAGATAGTGTCTTTTTTAGGATTCGATCGAGGGAGTTGAGAAATAGGCGTGGTTCTGCATCTTCTTCTGTAATGAAGCTGGCTATCTATGAGGGGAATGTGACTGAAGTCAAGTCAGCATGTAAGTGCATGTTTTGTGAATATATACCCCTAGCATGTCTGATCTATCATGAATATTTTCCAGGGATCTCTTTCACTTGGGAAGACAATAAGCATAATAGAGCACTGTAATCCGATTGAAATCCTATGACGGCATGCCTATCTCCGCTTAATAATCTAGTGGAACTTGCCTGCCTAAATGTTGTCATTAATCTCGAACAATTAGCTCTTTTGTTGCAAAAAGTGCTGCTAAAGCTAGGCTCCAGGTGTGAGACTTCTGTTGTGCCTCCTAACGCGAGGCAATTGTTTCATATTCACGGATCATCCGATATAGAACAAGGTTGCACTTTTTGCCAACCTTGATGAAATACTCTGTCGCTCGCAGGCTTATTCTGACCTAAGATTTTGTGTGGCATTACCGCTCACATTTATTCTAGTATACATCACTAGTCGAATTGTCTTTTAGCTCTTTGTCAGATTATGTATATGACTAGGAGACTCTCAAGTGCACAACACTTCGGTTAAACGTTACCTGTTGACGTGGAAGAACTATGTGATCTTCAAATTATGTATATCACTAGTAATAATCGCCTCGAACCCTCCAAAAGTCTGCTCGCCAAACTCGAGGGTATCTACCGCTGGCATCCAGATACTAGGCAAGTCCATATTGAGCAATTTGTATTAATTTTATATCGCAAAATGGGTATCAAAATCAATACTAGATCTCCTTCTCCACATCCCTCGGCACCTGAGAATTAAGTACCCGACGCTGCTTACACGTCCTCGAAGTCGGAGCACACTGATAATTCTGGAACATCCGCGGCGACATCTCACAATCTCTATCGTCACTGCAAGGATCACCAGGACAGCTTTTCCCAAACTTCGATGAAGCAGAGGTACTCCTCCAAATATGACCTTCTCTATGGGTGACTTGCATTCGACACTTGACACTTGCGGCCCGTCATCCAATGGCCTTTTCTCTGGGCTTATCACCAAAGGTGAATAGATTATAATGGGGACGGTCGAATGAGATTATTTCTTCTTGGCATGTTCTGTCCCTGTGAGCTGTTAGCATAGCTGTGCCTTGTCAGTCGGGAACCTGGCGGGTTTGTTTACGTACTCGTAGATTGTGCAAATATTGTCGAGTCCGGGGTCATGAGAACATGGGATATCTATAGATCCGAGAGTTTTGTATCTGTTTAGAGTTAGGATTAATCTATGAAATTTATGTCAAGTCAGAATACATACATTAAGCCTTTCAGCTCAAAGCATTCGCCCCACTCTGCGCGTTGCTGGAAGCCATTCATAAACTGTGTTGATGTTGATAACACAGGCTTTATATACGCGAATTTAGCGATACGCTAATATATCAAAACTGCAAAATGGACACATAATGCATCAACTTACCAGAGGTTCACCGGTGCTATTGAAGCCTGCGGATGCCAACCCCGCGAGCACGAGCCAACTTGTTGTAATTGAAAGCCTCAGCATATTCTCGATATGCACCGTAGCCAAAACCTGGGCAGTTCCTCGCCTCGGAATAATTAGAAGCAAGAAATACCAATAACGAACAAAATCCTAACCCTTAGGTAGTCGAGTTACAAAAAAAACAAAGAAACCTTTCTCACACCCACACGGCCAAAGCCAAACACTATAAATGGTCCAAATCCCCCAAAAAGCCAAGCCCTGCTCCCTCACCTGCAAAAAGGACCCCTCGGCCCCAAGCGCCCAAAAAAAGCCGTCCACTCCTGGGGGCGCTTTTGCCCGCATACTCGAAGCCGCTCAGTGGTTTATATGCCCCGCCCGCTTATCCCGTTCTAGAAAGGTGGGAGGTTACCTGCAGAGGCACGGGATTCTGGGTCTCATTTTATGGTCGGTTTTAAAGAGCGGGCATGAATTAGTGCGATGTGCTGAAATTAGTGGTTAGGGCCACTAACCTAGTTAACTAACTTTAGTTGGAGGTGAAGGGAAAGGAAGGGTCCGTTGCGATTTGAGCTAGGGCCGCCAAGGAGAAGCATTCAACCTTGAATGGAATCATAGGTGGAAGATATGATGAAAGAAAACCGCTTATTCCAATCTAGGGTATCGAGGCTTTGAATTAAGGTGAATACGGAAAGACCCGTTCAATGCATAACATGGACTAAATGCATGGGCGCTTACGTATCAGACATCTTGTGAGAATCCAGGAACCGGTGCATTTTACCCGCCGAGGGGCCAAAAACAAGCCATTCGGGGCCGGGCCGGGGTCGTTTGAGATACTAGGCCCCCGGTTTTCAAGATCTAGAGCTCGGGGGCCGTTATGAGTTTTATTTTTACATTAGCTAGTTTTAAACTTGGATCCCCGTCGTGTCGATCCTTGCTTGCTCGGCGGGTGGCTGGTGATGGATGTGCATGCTGCTGACATGGGAAAGTTCGCCTCGAGTATTTCCTTTGTTTAACGAGATACTAACGAGTTCCTTTCGTGGATGAAAATCAGGACAATGAGATGGAAGGTTGTCGCGAGAGTTAAAAGGCAGCTTCTGATTCCTGGTACTCTTTCTCGAGTTATAAGATTATAGCGCAGCCTTTCACCGACACAGGAATTAAATCCAGTGCTACGCTGACAGTCCCACTACGATACGCAATAGAAATTGGCATATAAAAGAATTCATAGATACCCAGGCTGTCACGACAGAAACTGCGGAATCAAACGCCAAACTCAAGACAAGAAGTTTTGAGAGTAATTCGGCATCTAGATAGTAAACAGGGCAAAACGAGAATCCGGCCAAACAGAAGGCTCGTAGTTCGCCCCAGAGATCACCAAATCCATAGAGAACAGCCCGGGTTTGCTGAAATGGGGTATATCGAAAATGACGGAGGGTGGGATGCATCACGGATAGAACGAGATAGGGAGAAGGGGAATTGCAGTAGAAATCGATATTAACTCGAAGGAAAGAGAGAAAATGGAAGTTGTTGATAATGGAAAGAGGAAACGCCGAAGTGCCATGAGCAGGTCCGGTTGAATCGCAAAACGCTATTGTAAAATGCGGCGGGAGAATGAGCTGGAAAGTCCAAAGTATCTCAAGATCAAGGGGAGTGAGTGTCCAAAAAGGACATCCGAGTAATGCAAGAAAATGGCGCAAAGAGGAATGATAAATGCACTCAAATAGCACGAAGTGAATTCGATGAATAATTGTCCGAGAGATCGTCCATTAAGATTATTTCGGGTGTGCGATGCCCTGATCACCGCATACCCGCACGCCCGTCAAAGGCTAGTGGGCCCGAGTCGTTACGTGGGGTCAGAGGATTGTCATCGGATGTCTCTGACCGGCCGGGTGTGTCTGCACGAAGATGTGGTTGTCGAGCCGCGGGAACGTTGAGAGGCTGTGTAGGTTGGAATCCGGGGATGCTGATGGTGGCGCTGCGAGCAAGGTCGTCATGACTGGTACTCGGGGCCTGGGAGTCCGAGCTGCGGCCATCCTCCATATCGATTCCAGAACCAGATGCTTCATCATTATCGTCTTGTAAGTGTAAATTCTCAACGTCGGTGACAAAGTCCGGTTCTTCGGTGTGCGGTTCCAACGGGGTCGGCTGTTGCTCCTCCGCACCGTTCGTCGTGGCTTGTGCAGTTACGGCGGGCTGCGTCCCTGAAGCAGACTCGGCAGCATCATTTGTTGGTGTGGCCTCGGTTGGGGCTTTGCCTTCGTCATTCTCAACGACATCGTTGGTGTCGTCGACCTCCGCGCTGAGATCGGTGAATGCACGACAGTTGGGACATTGGAACATGGGATAGTCGGGAGAGTGCAGTAATCGACTAATACATTTGTAATGCCAAACGTGGGCACATGCTGCCATAAAAAGACATTGATATGGGCGCTGGAGTGAGAGATGAGTTAGCCGCAAGTACAACTGTAGACAGGACGCAAAGGACGAACCAAAACAGAGCCGAGGCAAATCGAACACTCTCGACAACCAGAATAGTCGGCTCCATCTCCTTTCCCGAGGTTTTTGATGAGACTCTCGGTGTTTTTACTGACCAATATGTTAGCCAGGTATAAAATGCACCAGTGTGAAAGGACATCCTTACTTGAACTCGTTCGGCTGTTGCTGCCAAGAGCGATTGCACTCAATTCGGATCCGAACACAACGGAAAATCATCTCTTCGCCACCGCGGAAATCAATTCCCAGCTGCACAATGTCGCCATCCTTGATCGAGTACAGACGTGAAACCATATTCGGCTGACTCAATCGCATATGGTTCAAAAATGTGCCAGAGGAACTTCCGACATCCTTAATGTGCCACTGGCCATTACTATAGATGAACTCGCAGTGTTTCCGGCTGACCACCTTCGATTTAAAGCCTACGGGGGCGTCCGAGGGCTCGGTGGGGTTGGGAATTGGGATGCCATCGCGTTCAGAGTACCGACCAACTCGAATGACGGAGCTCTCAGAGGGTAACGTGCGTGCAATGGGGACGAAAGGGAGGGACGGTCTCGAGCTCTGGAAAGTGTCCTGGTACGGGAAAAATCGAATGGTTGCCTTCTTGGAGGTCACGGTGGTGACCTGGGCAGCGTCCGCCGGAATCGCACCTGTCGAGTCGGGCGCATCGGTGGCTGCAGGGGGGTCGGTTCTGGGGAGGAAATGGGATCCTCTGGGGCGGTGGTTCTCGCGAGCGCGATCGTACGAGGCGGGCGACCTTGCACGGCCGAAGCACTCCTTAATCGCGCCATGACATTGGGGGAAGGCTGAACTGGCTCGTTTGGAGGAGTTGACCTAGAGGACTCGGCCGATGACGTTTGTGTGTCGACGCCGAGACCGTGGGAGCTCGCAGTGGGTGCAGAAGTGTAGCGAGACAGGGCTGGTTGGTCACTTTCGGGGCCTGGAGTAGTGGAGTTCCCCACCTGTTGCGTTGGAGACTCCGGACCCGACGAGGACGGGGATAACCAAGGCACTCGACTACTGAGACTGTTACGCGATCGATGCCCGGGAGACGAGTGAGATAGATTTTGTGTATAGGCACGAAGCTGGCTGAAGCGACGGAGTCGCCCTGGGCGCGGACAGTCGGAGAGCGAGGCGGAGGCGGTGGCGGTTGAGGCAGACATGGGGCTATTAAAGTACGGCGGACTTTGGTGGGGGGGGGGGGAAGCGTGTTGGCTGTTGGCTGCTTTTGCTTGGCTAATTATGGGGGGGGGTTCGGTGGTGTGGTTTCAACCTGTGTCTTTCCTGCTATCGGTCGCCTGCATGCGACGGGGATTGCCTCGCCCAGTCGATCGATGGGGGACTGGCAATGGCACTGTCTGAAGGAAGGAGAGAGGCGTTCTACCTTGGGATCTGCAACTGGACTAGAGCGGCTCAAAGGGCGGTTGAGCGGGACTATCTAGGCATGGGCCCGAGGAACAAAGAATCGCACGAGGGAGAGGGAAATGAGAATTGGGAGATAAGAGAGAAGTGAGGAGAGGAGAGGAAGGAGGAGGAATGAGAAGTAGGAGGGCCAGACGAAGGAGAGGACGTAGGCTTGGTATGATGTGGAAGGAGATTTCACGGAACCAGACCCAGTCGTTCCACGTTTTATGAGTTGGTCTCGATGGGACGATGGACACTAGGAAGATACACTAATTTACTTTCCATCGTAGGGCGTTAAAGGAAGAGGCTAGTCCATTCCACAGGATTGTGGTCAGCATCCTATACTTTGTACAGACACTTCGACAAAGACCGCTAGATCTATAGAAGACACGAAAGAAAAGCTACAGAATAAACCTGTATCAGGACAACAAGTCCGTCTTGTCCATACCGGTATACCATCCTCCCCAGACTCCGAACTCGTCGCCCCCCTCGCCTCTCATCCCAATTTTTTTTGCGGGGAAATAACCTCCAATCCGGGCCGAGTTTGCCTCTTGTAGTTTTAGCCGACGGGCTCTCCTACTTGGTCCTGACTGCTAAAGAGCTAAAGACGGGACTAGGACTAGCTTCGCACGGGTCGACTTTCCTTCGACCTAGGATCCCAGATCCCGCCTCTTGAGCTTGGCCCGCTTCTTGCATTTCCATCCTTTGGGTCTATTATCTTCCATGTGATGCTGCGACGTAAATAGGCGTAGTCAAGGGCCTCGTTAACTCTCTTTCCTACCTTCATCCTTCACCCGGGCGGATCATCCGTCCGGTGATCATCTGCGTCACTAGGAAGGAATCACAAGGGCGATGAGAAAAGATGGAACCTCATTGGGTCTGTGCTGCACGGACCCTACCGACGAGAAGTGGAAAAGAGGCAAAGCGGAAGGAGAGAGGCAACGAGGATTGAGAGGGCGGGGGTGGGAAAGAAGAAGGCTGGGATGTTTCATGACAGAATGGAGGGAAAGAATGTAGATGAAAGGGAATGATTTGAATATTATGGATAAAGAGTTATATTGATATAGGTACAGATATAAATGCAAATCTATATAGATCAATCATAGGACAGTCACACAGTTAAATTGCTTTTCCTATTAACTTAGTCATGACTGGAAAGTAACTAACTAACTTAACTAACTATAAGTTATCGCGGTAGCAAGAGAGTGTTAGTCCAGTCAATACACCCTAATCAGATTCTTCAAGTCTTGATAGAATACTTATCTCTAAATACCATATATAAATAATAATAGTCTAATATACCGTCCTCTGATCTCCGTCATCCATTAGTCGATTAGTCGAGACGCCGCTCTTTGCGGATTGGTCGCAGCTCTCGGGATGATGTATGATGTTATGCGGGAGCTTGACAGGCCTCAGGAGAGAATACAGATATTCAGATAACAGCAGGAAAATGAAAAAGAAAAAAAAGCAAAAATCGAATAGCCCAATGTCCATAGTCTTTTACTAATTTATCAAGTGTCAAATTCCAAAGAATCGGGTGTGTCGTAGACAAGACCGTTCCAACCCGAGTTGACACTTGAGCTAGTTTGCTAGTTACCAGTTAGTGAGAGCTCGCGCCTGCAACCTCGTTTCACTTCCCTCCACTTCCTTCCCTCCCCCCCCCCTCCCTGCGGATCATCGTTCCCTTATCTTGACCTTTTTTTTCTATCTTCACCCTGAGTCTCTGAATCCGACTCTGCTTCCTCGGGGATCTCCTTTCGATCACGCGCCGCGACTTTGTGTTCCCCATCCCGAAGCTTGACCCGGGTTGATGCAACTGCCTACCGTCCAGCCTCCTCCTCATCTCGACCAACCCAAGTGTCTCCCCACAGAAATTTGAATCGCACCTCCCTCCTTTATCCTTCCCTCCAGCTTCGATCCAATCGCCTTCGCGGCCCTGATGCGGGCCTGTTGAGGACGGCATGAGTGGAATCGTCACCACCTGTCTGTCGTGCCTGTCGGCAGTCGACCGATGGTGTCATATCACGGCCTGCCTGGGTGGAGGCCGTTCCCGGGATGGCATCTACGAAACCACCCTCGCCGATAATGAACGAGAAGCCGTGTCGGATCTATTGGGTTATCTTGAGAATGTACGCCGCAACTCTTGTTTCTGTCACTCGGAGTCCCAGATGCCGTGAACCCCCCCGATCGGTGATGCCCGTGACCCGCGCCGATAAACGTTGCTAACCACAGCCCCTGTCCTCTTTCATAGCGTGCCGAGACTGATTTCTTCGCCGGAGAACCCCTGCGCGCCCTGAGTACTCTCGTATATTCCGATAATGTCGATCTCCAGCGAAGCGCTAGCTTGACCTTTGCCGAAATCACCGAACGAGGTGCGTTTGGATAATACCCGTTGCCTATGGCGTTGTCAGACCTGACCCCAAACCTGCAGATGTGCGCGAAGTCGATCGGGATACTCTCGAACCCATCCTGTTCCTGCTCCAGAGCTCGGATATTGAAGTGCAACGAGCTGCTAGTGCGGCACTGGGCAATCTTGCCGTCAATGGTAAGCATCAGCTGTGATCTCGGGACCTCCATGCTCATCTCGATCGCTGACCCCAACCCTTAGCTGAGAACAAAGTCTTGATCGTCGCCCTCGGAGGGCTGGCCCCTCTGATCCGTCAAATGATGTCGCCCAACGTCGAAGTCCAGTGCAATGCCGTCGGTTGTATCACTAACCTGGCCACCCACGAAGAGAACAAGGCCAAGATCGCTCGCTCAGGGGCGTTGGGTCCTCTGATCCGTCTCGCCAAGTCGAAGGATATGCGTGTGCAGCGCAATGCGACCGGCGCATTGCTTAACATGACCCATTCCGGTACATACCAAACGCTTTGAGATTCGAGGGAGCCTTGGAGGTGGAGACGCTAACTCAAGTCAATAGATGACAATCGCCAACAGCTCGTCAACGCCGGCGCCATCCCCGTCTTGGTTCACCTTCTGTCATCCCCCGATGTCGACGTGCAATACTACTGCACCACAGCTCTCAGCAACATCGCTGTGGACTCGACCAACCGTAAACGTCTGGCCCAAACCGAGTCGCGCCTGGTCCAGTCTTTGGTTCACCTCATGGACTCCTCCACCCCCAAGGTCCAGTGTCAAGCGGCACTCGCTCTTCGCAATCTCGCTTCTGATGAGAAGTATCAACTAGAGATTGTTCGCGCCAAGGGTCTCTCTCCCCTACTACGACTTTTGCAATCCTCTTACCTCCCTCTCATTCTCTCCGCCGTGGCATGTATCCGCAATATCTCCATCCATCCGCTCAACGAGTCTCCTATCATTGAAGCCGGCTTCCTGAAGCCGCTAGTCGACCTTCTGGGCTCGACCGACAACGAAGAAATCCAATGCCACGCCATCTCCACCCTTCGCAACCTTGCTGCTAGCTCCGATCGCAACAAGGAGCTAGTTTTGCAGGCCGGAGCAGTCCAGAAATGCAAGGACCTCGTTCTTCGCGTCCCGCTGACCGTTCAATCTGAAATGACTGCTGCGATCGCTGTGCTGGCCCTCAGCGATGATCTCAAGCCTCATCTTCTCAACCTCGGCGTATTTGACGTCTTGATTCCACTGACAAACTCGGAGAGTATTGAAGTGCAAGGGAACAGTGCGGCTGCCCTTGGTAATTTGTCCTCTAAGGGTAAGTTTCCTTCTTGTGTCTAGGTTGCCTCATTGCCACATGTAGCTAACAATTCACTAGTTGGCGATTACTCAATCTTCGTCCGTGACTGGGCCGATCCTAATGGAGGTATCCACGGCTACCTCCATCGATTCCTCGCTAGTGGTGACCCTACATTCCAACACATTGCGATCTGGACTCTGCTGCAGCTCCTCGAATCGGAAGATCAGAAACTCATTGGATATATTTCCAAATCAGAGGATGTGGTGCAGATGGTCAAGTCTATCTCCGACAAGAACATCGAGTCCGACGAGGAGGATGCCGATGACGGCGAAGGGGAAGTCATTGCCCTTGCGCGTCGCTGCCTAGAGCTGCTCGGGACTGGTCCTAAGCAGACCTTAGTCGAGGCATAAGCCTGTCAACAATTCGTTTCTCTCACGTGTGCGACAATTTACCCTTTTCGGACCTTTTGACTTCTCCAGATTCTTTCGTCTAGTTTCTTCCTTTTCCGTTCCTTGGGTGTTCATCTGGGCATTGGATTCACCGAATTCAACTTTCTTTTTTGTCAGCGGGCATTTGGCGTGGTTAGGACCGTTTCTATTTTCCTTTTTTTTGTGATACTTTCTTCAGTACGAGTTTTCTTCCATGACCATGGATTTTTGGGCCGGTGCCGCTGTCTTTTCCTTGTTCCTACGCATACACCGTGTATTCAAGCTAGATATGGGGCCTTTGTCATAATTAATTAGTCCGCTGTGCACAGCGAGTCCGGAATTCAATTAGCTAGAATGGTTGTCGTAAAATCCATCGAGGTTATACTAGCTGCCATTTACCGCGGAAAATAGTACCGCCGGTCCAGATGGATCCAGACGAAGCTCTCCGAGCAAAAAAACCTCCTCCACTCCAACCATCTCTTCAACACGAACAGGTCTGCAATTGCCTGCCCTCAAGGGATAATCACACCATGGCTACCTCCATTCCACCCGTTGCCATTCCTGGGCAACGCCTGGGCTCCATTTCCACATACTCTGCCGGACCCGGCACCCATGTCCAACAATCCAATATCTACGCCTCCATCGCCGGCCCCGTCGTCGTTGATCCCGCACAGCCCAAGACACAGACGAAGTCAACACTTCGTGTCTCAAGGATCCTCCCGGGCACATCGCCAGCAGCTCCATCTCCAGCTTCAGCCGCTCCCACCAACCAAAAGCCCCGCTACAACACCCTCCCGGCCGTCGACTCCATCGTCCTCGCCCGAGTAACCCGTGTACAAAAGCGCCAAGCAACCGTCTCCATCCTCGTCGTCCTTGACGAAACCTCTTACTCCACCACCGACCCCTCAAAACTCGCCTCCGACAACGACAATGTCGCCTCTATCCTCACTACGGCCGCGAACCCGGAGAACCACAGTAGCACGGACGAACTGCGGTTCCAGGCGCTGATTCGGAAAGAGGATGTTCGGGCTGTGGAGAAGGATCGTGTCGTTATGGATGAGATGTTCCGCGTTGGTGATATCGTTCGAGGCTCGGTGCTTTCGCTCGGTGACCAGAGCTTCTATTATCTGACGACGGCGCGGAATGATCTCGGCGTTGTTATGGCGCGGAGTGAAGCGGGGAATATGATGTTCCCCGTTAGTTGGAAGGAGATGAGGGACCCTGTTACTGGGGCTGGAGAGCAGAGGAAGGTTGCCAGACCTTACTGAATGCTTGTCGTTCCTGCTTTTTCCCCACAAGATATCCGGCCTTGAATGATTCTGTCGAAGTTACGCCTCGAATGCCGACGAGCACATTCATGGCTCGCGAACCTCGTTTCTGGCCTGGCTTCGCATACATACGACCTTCTATCTGAGAGACACTGCACGCCCATTGCATCACAAGTCTTGTTGACCGATGCGTTCAGAGCCCACCGATTTCAGTCATCACCTATCCACGAGGCGGCTCGCTCCAGGTCCTACCAGACGGACCACATCATGCCCGAGGAACGAATACCTCCCTCCGACAGTGCCGCACCGACTGGCATACGAGCAGGCATGAGATCTGCATGTACAGCACCACTACTGCTGCATAGGGATCACTGTCCCTGCCCACAGCAATTATGAGATACCCACTAAACGAATGAAAAAGGACATGATTAACTTCTTCAATCCCCAGTCTCTCAGCTGCGGTTTATTCTCCGTAGAGTCATTTATTGCCTATTTACCCTCCTTAGTATACACGGTCGAGACTTTTTTCCATGTCGGATTGTGTTTGTCAATGGAGGGAGATTGATGGATTCTTCGGAATCACGCGGGGAACTCTCATTTTCTGCGGAGCCTTGGACTCGACTTTTTCTGTTTGAACTTGTTTTGACAGAATGGAGATCTGAGGGTTACATTCTCTACTTGTGTATCGGAGACGGCACTTTTCTGGTTAATACCTTCATACAACAGGCCACTCGTTCCATAGAACAAGAATATAAAGATCACTTTTGTATATTCACTTCATCTATGTATCATTCAAACGAAGAGCATCCAAACCCCAAAAATCAAACTCAAAACACCGCCCCAACGTCCATCCTACTTCTTCAACGTCTTCTGCTTCTCGGCATCAATCAACTTCCGCCCTTGCACAACAAGACCCTTTCGACTCCTAACGGCATCCATATACCGCTTCGCCACATTCTCCCGATCCGCCAACTCACCCAAATCCTCCAATTCCTCCTCCGTAGCGGGCACCCAGAACGGATCCTCGTCCAGAGCCTCGAAGCCCGCAAAGATAAGCTGGGGCTGGGCCGCGCCGGACGTACGCTTGCGGATCTCCTCGGCGAATCCGAAGGACTCGGCGACGGGGAGGAGGGCGATGATGGTGAAGAAGGGGGTTCCTTCTTTCATTATCTCGGAGAGAATGCGGCCTCGGCGGCGGGTTATCACGCCGTAGACGCGGCCGAGGACTTCGGCTGTGTGTGGAGAGGGGTGTTAGTTGGTGGGATGGATTTTGGGGAGGAGGAGTACGTACTTGTTGCTTGGATTTCACAGGAGTACATTGCGAGCATGATGCGGGGACTCCAGTCTAGGAAGCCTTGGGTGATGCCCTCGCGGACGAGCCTGATGGAGTCGCCAGTTAGACGGCCCATGTCTAGCTCGTCGCTGGAACTGGCTTCCACAGAAAGATCCTCCAAGAAGACCGCGACACCTTGCATCGGTTCTTGGCAGAGTGGTCCCTGACCTGTTGCCAGTTGGAAGGCGTAGGCGATTTTGTCGCAAAGGTCGCGTGTCAGTAGGGCTTTCAGATCATCGGAAGAAACGACATTCTGCTTGGAGTCCTCAAGCAAGCTAAAAGGTACAGGTTAGCATATGTAAAAGAAATGCTGTCGCAGCTTAGTAGTTGAAAGACTCACAATTTCTCGCAGGTGTTGACTGCAGTAGCATCCACCAAGATGTTAGGGCCAACTCGTCGAGGACCGAATGCAGTGATTCGGTCAACGACATTCTTCCAAAGCTCTTTGTCTTCCCTGACCTCTTCGTTGAACACCTTGTCCAGCTCATCACGGAACTCCTTCAGCGATAGAACGTTACCCTCGCCAACCTCACCAGCGGCGTCAACTTGCGGGGCACCGTCTGCGACTGAAGACTCAGCCTCCGACTTTGACTCGGCAGCCGTGCGCTTCTCTGCCTGGAGGTGCTTGATAGTACCGACTTGTTTGGTCAAGAACTCGGTGACAGCAGCAGGCATTGGCATAACACGCAGTCGGACGGTCATCTGTTTAGACGCGGAGACGGAGAAAACACTTCCCCGGCCCAATTCTGGGTTCTTAGGAGGGGCCATCTCCGCTGCATCGACAATAGTCTCACGGTAGGGAACAATGGCTTCACCTGTCTGGATTTCACAACGGGCAAAACGCTCACGGAGATCCTTGACGCACCGCTCCAAGTGCAATTCACCTGCTGTCAAGATAACGTGTTCACCGCTGGGAAGAACCTCGTACAGTGCACAAGGGTCACTCTGTTCAAGAAGACGCAGGCCAGTAATCATCTTACCAAGATCTGCCGGGTTGACGGGCTCAAGGGCAACGCGGACAATAGGCGGGGTGCTCAGAGAAACACCAGCCAAGTTGATGCTACCTTCGAGTTGACTGCAAAGAGTACCAGTCTTGAGTACATGGCCTGCAAGACCACCGATACCAAAGACCACACCTGCTGGAACAGACTGGAGAGGCTCCAAGCTCCTACCCATGAGCAGGTACAAGTCTGTGACCGTAACCTTCTTTGGCTCCGGGCTTGCATGGGGGTTGGCTGGAGAGAATTTGGGCGGCAACACATAGATTGAGTCTCCGACTGACAGTGTGCCTGAGTAGAGTCGAGCGAAGCCGATGAGATGTTCTGGGTCTTCCTTCTCTACTGGCTCTTCCGGCTCATCGGTCTCGGTAATCAAAGTTGTGTTCTCGAATGCGGATGTCATTCTCTCAAAGCCATCGTTCTGTCCTGCGCTAGCCTCTGCTTGCATCTTCGCAATCTCTTCTCTCTTGCGACGAGCAATCTCTCTAGCCTCGTCAGCAGTCATAGTGCCACCAGCACGCTTCTTGCTTGAGCTCAATTCGCTTTCGGGAATGGCCACCATCTTGCTAATGTAGGCAACAACCGGTTCCTCGGGGCCGGTCTTGAATGTCACCATGGCTTGCTTGATAGACTCGGAGATTTGGTCAGAGCCAGGTGAAGCTTCAATCATATCAGGAAGACGAGTGGCTTGCGCAGCTGGGGGACTTGGGAGATACTCAATGACGGAAACGAGGACAGCCGTAGACAGCGGCAACCACTGAGAGAAGAGTGTGGTCATGATGTTCTTCGGGTCACGCGAGCGGAGAATATAAGGAGGAATGGAAATGTTCAAGGACTTGGTGATCTTCTCCAACAAAACAGGGTCACTATGCAAAGGTCAGTTGGGGGATTCACGTCAAACCATTACGTTCACTGGATTACTCACCCTTTGCCCTTGCCACCGCCAGTGGTCGCTTCATATGCAGCCCAAATGCTGTCCAAAACCAGTTGCACGAACATAGGCTTCAATGCCCTGCCCTTTAGATGCTTCTGTCCTAGCACACGCTTTGTCTTTGGATCCAAGTAAAAATCACCCCAAAGAACTTTCTCCAAGATTGTTCGCTTGATACCAAGTTTCTTCTCGTAGATGGCAGCAAATTGCCTAATGGTAAACGCCCATCCGTCCACGGCACTGCAGAAGATGACGTTGTTCTTCTCGGGCGCGAAGTAAAGGTCCTCATCGTCACGCTCCTCGAACTCGGCGAAGTCGCTCACGCTTTGAACAGACTCGTCCTCCAAAGACTTGTTTTTAGTCTTATCCTTGTCCCGTGCAGCAGCGGCGTTGACACGGTCCTCCATGCGCTCTCGCCACTGCAGATCCTCTTCCATACGCTCGCCCTGGTAGAAACTACCAATGACTGCGTTGACCTGTTCCAAAAGACGGCTAAGATGGGAGTAGGCTTCGCTAGGACTCATCATGAGCTCAGTAACCAGTCGATCCATCTTGTTGATGACAAGGATGGGCTTCAGCTGCTCAACCCAAGTCTGGCGCAGTACGGTCACGGTTTGACTGCAGACACCCTCGACTGCATCGACAAGTACGACAGCACCATCACAAAGGCGAGATGCCGTGGAGACTTCACTGCTGAAGTCGATGTGACCCGGAGAATCGATCAGATTGATCAGATACTCTTTGGGCACGGGCGCAGCATCCGGGCTAGAACGACGAAGCATCGAGAAGAACAGCGAGATAGCTGAAGACTCCATGGTAATACCTCGGAGCTGCTCATCTGGTCGCGAGTCCAAGTAGCGGATCTTGCCCGCCAGCTTGGGCGAGATGATGCCATTGGTGGCTATGAGACTATCCGTCAATGAAGTCTTTCCATGGTCCTAGATGAGCGAAAATCAAAAGAGGCGGTTGATTAGTGAAAGTACCTCGGGCAAGAACGAGAACATTCAGTTGTCGTGTGGACTTACGACGTGGGCGAGAATGCAGATCTAGCGCAAGAATTAGTATATCGCGGGCCTGACATCACAGGTGGGATGGAGGGGCAGGGACTCACATTGCGAATATCTTCCGGCTTTCGCTGCAGGCGAACGAGGTCGTCTACGTTGACCACAGGCATCTTGGCTGGCACTGGTAGCTCTCACTATATTCAGCAAGTCCAGTGGGCGCAAGGTGGTGGGGAGAGCGTAAAGCAGTCGGACTGGCGGAGAAAAAAGTTGCTGAGAAATGGAAATACAACACGCGCTTTCTCTGGGCCCGACAATTAGAATGTTGGAGCCGCGCAAAGAACGACGACCTCGGTTTTAACTTAACTTCGAATGCCGCAAAAGAGAAGTATGGATATCTTTTACTTGAGTTTATTCGTTAATTATTCTAAAAGGTCTAGAACGTGACACTAGTGCTATACAGTTTCGTCATTGCAGTTGACTCATGATGAATCAACCGGATCCTTCGATGTACCTCGAGTCAAGAGCAGGCCTCAACTCTGGTTTCTCTGACTATTGAGAGCAAAATACACCTTGGAAATCGCTATATTACTCCTCGTCAAACGAAAGTTTGATTTTCTTGGCCTTTTTGGACTTCCGAGGCGCTGGTGCTTTGGGCTTAGCCTCGTCGGCCTCTTGCTTATCTTCAGACTTCTCCTCTGGCTCATCCTCGCCCACAACCTTGACCTGTTTCCGCTTTCTAGGGCCCCCGACTTCGGTCAGATTGCTCTGTTTAGCCGTCGAGGTCTCGGTTTGAGACGGCGCATTGTCCTGACCAGTGCCCGCGGGGTTGTCCTTCGCGGAGGTTTCGTCGTCCTTTTGATCTGATCCTCCCCCAACAAGAGCCTCATATTCTGCTTTGGATAACACCTCATTACTCTCTTCGTCGACATAGACGGGCGCATCGTCGTCCTCCTCGTTCTTGTCCTTGAGTTTTCGAGGGCGCGCAGCGGGTCGCTCGAGGCGACCGGAAGTATCGCCATAGTGGCCACGAAGCTTCTGGAGAAAAGCGGGCTCTTTCGCCTCTATAATGATTTTGAGTAGAGTCCGTCAAGTAGGCAAGGCGTGACATACCGTAGGCAAGCTTCGGGTTCTTCGACATGGTCGCGCGGCACAGTGAGGTTGTAGCTCGCTGCTGTCAAGTCAGGATCATGCCGTATACCCACACCCTCATGAAATGATCGTAGATAGCCAGTCAGTCAGAGTAAGCCATTGAAGTTATTGCTATTGACTCTGGTATTTACCCTCGAGTCATAAAGCAAGGTAGTGAAGAATTGTTGAAGAACAGGAAGCAAGTCGGGGCCATGAACAGCTCGCTCGGCGCTAAACCGCAACGGGACACATCGAAAAGTCCAAAGGAGCCGCTCTTCGCGTCTGGTCCTCTCCATCCATCTACCTCCACCCAAGCCCCAATTAATCATGCTCTGCGCAAGTGAGTCCTCCATGATTTGATCTTTTCAAATTGCTACTATTACACACCTGTTTCTAACCAGTTTCCCGCAATAGTCTCCGGAGAGGCCCCCCAAGTGCCGGTCGTCTCTTCCAAGAGCGGTAGGTCTTCCCAGCCTCTAATCGCCAATCGCGCCTTGCTAACACCTCTACAGGCAGTGTCTTCGAGAAGCGCCTAATCGAGGCGTATATTGCCGAGAATGGCAAGGATCCTGTGAATGGCGAAGAGCTCACCACCGACGATCTGATCGATGTCAAGTCGCAGCGCGTTGTTCGACCGCGACCTCCCACCCTGACCTCCATTCCCTCTCTACTCAGTGTATTCCAAGAGGAGTGGGATGCGCTGGCTCTGGAAACATATACCCTACAGCAGAATTTGGCACAAACGCGGCGCGAGCTGAGCGCTGCGCTCTATCAGCATGATGCCGCCGTGCGAGTCATTGCGCGTCTGACGAAGGAGAGAGATGAGGCCCGTGATGCGCTTTCGAAGGTGACCGTTGGTGCTACTCGTGCTGCAGCTGGTGGAGAGGCTATGCAGGTAGACTCTGCTGCCTTGCCTCAGGCGGTGCTGGAGCTGATTGAGAACACACAAGCAAGGTATGTAATCTTGGGAGTCTTGCTAGCCGACCATCATGTAAAAATGCTGACAACGATGCTTTGTTTAAAGCCTCTCGAAGACTCGCCGCAAGCGTCCAGTTCCCGAAGGTTGGGCCACCACTGACTCCATCTCGACATACAAGCCCGCCGAGAGCTCTGAGCCTCTTTACCCTGGAAGCCGCACCATCGCGGTCAACTCGACTGGCGAGCTGGCACTTATTGGCGGTGCCGATGGTGTTGTGGGTGTCTACTCTCTTTCCCAGAAGACCGTCGTACAGACTCTGAAGACGGATGGCCCGGTGACGGATGCTACGTGGGCCGGTGACAAGGCAGTCGTTGGATCAGCCACTGGCTCTGTTAAGGTCTTTGAGAATGGCAGCGAAGTGGCCACCTTTAGTGCCCATGGTGGTGAGGTAACTGCCGTTGCAGTTCATCCCAGTGGTAGCATTGTCGCCTCTGTTGGCGTGGACAAGAGCTATGTCCTCTATGACCTGACTTCCAACACTGCGATTACTCAAATCTGGAGCGATGCCGGTGAGAAGCATCCCCTATCCTTTTTCATCTGATACTTGGAATTTGAAACTAATCTTTTTCATCTAGCATTCTTGTCTGCTACATTCCACCCTGATGGCCATATTCTGGCTGCTGGCAATGCCAATGGGCAAGTCAAGGTCTTTGATGTCCGGACTGGTAATGAAGCGGCCGATTTTGCCATGTCTGGCCCAGTGAAATGTCTTTTCTTCTCCGAGAACGGAACCTCTTTGGCAGCAGTGGCTGCGCAGTCCACCACCGTCTCCATCTGGGACCTGCGAAGCTTCAAGGAAATCAAGGTGCTGGACACCGGCAGCCAGGTCAACTCGATCCACTGGGATTACTCTGGTCAGTTCCTCGTGACTGGTGGCCCTAGCGGAGTGACTGTCCAGCAATGCAACAAGTCGGCCAAGGAATGGTCGGAGCCTCTCCGCAGTGCTGTCCCCGCTGTTTCTGTTACATGGGGATCTGCTGCTCAGACCATTGTCACCATTAACGACGCCGGTGCAGTCACCGTTCTGGCAGCATAATTATGAATTTTTTGGGCAAAACATGTAATTTTAGAGCTGGATATCTGAGTTTCAATGGTGTTTCTTGCGTTTGCGACAGCTCTTGATGCAGGAAAAATTAACAGTCTTTTCTTCACGATCTGAATGATTCATACTCATAAGCACTTTTTTTCTCAAATCTAACTCTCCTAGCAAATTTGCTTCTGAATATTTCGCCTTTAAATTGGCTACTCCCCTCCTACTTTATCTACTTAGCTTCCAATCAAGTACGCAATTCGACTGACTATTGTCTCACCGCCTAGCTTCAGCGATAGTGACCGCCTTGGTAATCACAGCAGAATTGTACCGCCTCCGGGGACTCGGGGTCATCATGTCCACCCAGAACCATCCTCTTGCCTCTACTACCCTGTGGTCATCTTTTATGCCAATTCAAGTTGCCGTCCCGCTATATCCACGTATATTGGGCCTTGGCACTGCTATGAGTGAAGATCCTGGCGTCCAGTTCATGGGCGCCAGGTCCAAGGTGAGCAATGAAACCTCAAGATGGCCCGCGGGGCAAGTGGAAATAGAATGATGGATTTATTGACCATGCATGCCTTCGTTGTATAGCCAACTCAGCGTCACATGTCGGAAGAGTCTAGTGAGGGGGGACAATCGTCCTGGCACCACCATTTTCATCCTCCGCGTCCTGAGATGTCAAGCTCTCGACCTGCCCGATTGCCACCTATAAGAACCCCCCGAGACGGCTTTGACTATCGACGACCAGCGGAGGCCAGACCTCAGGACGACGATGTCATCGATCTGACCAACGAACCTGAGACTCCTCCACAGCGAAGTCAGCATCGCAACGAGAACCGTCTTTCATACTCCTCACGACTCCCGCGCTTTGGAAGAAACATAATGGCCGAGGCAGATATCGTCGATCTGGAGGATGAGCCGGACAACGCTGGAGAAGGACCTTCCAGTAGCCCAGAGGTTCAGTTCGTCAGCGCCACAGTACGCCAGCAACCACCACCTCGAAGGTGGGACCCTGGCAGCCTGCTCCCGACCAACTTCCCGTTGACTCGCAGTCGAAGACCGGAGGAGACGTCGCGATGGCCATCTCTTCCAAGACTTCCGAGACCTCATAATATCATGGCTAGCCAGATAGACGCGCTGTTCCTCGGTTCCAGAGACTCCATCCCAAGCATGCCCACCCCTGGAGTTTTTCTCGACTACGCCTTTCCCTCATTCTCTATGGAACCAGCCTCAACGCAACAAGAAGAGCGACGCCAACGTGAGGCATATAAACCACCTAGCCCAGCCCCGGAAGGATTTTCGCGCACACTGGGTGAAGATGACGTTGCAATTTGCCCCAATTGTGACTGGGAATTAGGAACCGGAGACGGAAAGAAGCAGGAGATTTGGGTTGCGAAGCAGTGTGGTCACGTTCGTATCTCCCTACTTGAGCTAAGCGTCGTATTCATCAACTAACAATTTATGGTTTAGGTCTACTGCGGTGAATGTGCTGAGAACAGGTCTCTCTCCAAGGCCAAAAAGGCACAAGCAGCTCCAAAAACCAAGCCTTTCTCCAAGTGCCAGGTCGAGGGCTGCGGTAAGCCAGTCAGTGCGCCTACCGCCATGCTTCACCTATACCTATGATGCCCTTCCATGACGTCCCAGTTTCCTCATTTGCATGACGGGTGGTGTTTTTTGGTTGCATCTTCATTATTCCTTTTTCTTGTCGATACCCAACTTGCATGGAAATACGGGGCGTTGATTCTCTATCCTCTGGCTTTACTAGTTATCCTCATTCTCGATATCCGAATCATTTTCTGCATTCCTTCTTGCAGTCCTTTCAAACTTGAAATTCAATCTTCCATGTGTAGTTGCAACAAGTACGTAAACAAGGAACAGATGATTCCATCAGATGAGAGGATACTTTGATAGTCAAGGACTGATTGTAGAATCGACTTCATTTCGAGGCATATGATAACTCGCCATTGCAATGCATATCGCATGTGGGAGACCCTGCAATTCCAGGGCATAGTGAAATGGACAAAGAAGTGGAAAAATAGAAGAAAGAAAGAACCCAGTTCTAATAGTACATATGATGCGACGGCAGGACCATAGCCACAGCCAAAAAAAAACGCCACAAAGAAACACCCATAATCTATACACCACGCAGATCACCGTGGTACGGCGACCAGATACCACGCACACTCTCGTTCAGACTCGTGACGGGCTTCTTCTGCAGCTTCAACTTCTCGCCACTGGCATCCTTAAGGATCATGGCCTTTGCCAGGATATCAGTGGGCTCGAGATTACGCACACAGATTGACTTCTCACGACCGTTGATGTAGTGGCCCTTAATAATGGGGTGCTTGGAATGTCGGGGAGAAACACGGATCTCGATCTGGGGGTTTTCGCGGGCGAAGTTGGGGAGGGTCTTGGTGAGGAAGGCCCTGTGAAGGTAGCCGGTCAGTCTCAGAATCAAAGAATATAACATGGAGACTCAAGCTCTACTTACAGCATGCCCCGAGAGCTGCCGCCGTAGTTGCAGTAGTGGAAGTCAAGGCGTTTGCATTGTAGGATAAAGGCACCGACGCCGTTCTGAGGATTCACTTCATCAGCTCCTGACCTAAATTTTCTTCCTCTCTCATCCATCACCCATTCTCAAATCACATACCCTGGCAGCCGTGACCGTCTTGATTCCCTTGACCGGCATTGCTGTGTATTGCGGTTTCAATTCGTTTTGGTTGCCTCCAGTTCTCCCCCGGCACATTTTCAGGTGCACGTGAAGGCGGTGAGCCAGCGCCAAATCCGGCTACAGCGTTAGCCGCGGTTACCGCCCTTGATCCGACCACTGCAGAACGCGACCACTCCTGAAGGGTCAGCTTCTTAGGCTTCATCTGATCTCCCGCATCACGAGCCACGGCTGAGGAGTCGAAATGACTGACAAGCTCCCACCGCCTTTGCTGGCCCTCTTCCAGCCCCGGCCACCCCTTCGCTACATTGTCCCCACAGACCGCGCTCCAGAGGACTGCCCGAAAAGTACCATCTCTGGTGTCGCCCAATATCTTGCTGCTGCAAAGGAGTTCAACGAAGAGTCACCATACAATGCGACCGAGTGTTGGTTGCAGCGCAAATCGCGCGAGAAGGTTGAGAAGCAGGAGACCTTGACCTCTCAGCTGACTGATGGCCTGCAAAACTGTATGATCCATCTACAAGGCCCTTTACATCTTGACTCAAGTCGCTAACGTTTCTGTACTATAACAGTCAATCCCAAGGAGGACCCACAAGCTCGAGGTGATCCATTTAGAACACTCTTCGTTGCACGACTCAGCTACGACGTGAAAGAAGCAGACCTGGAGCGAGAGTTCGGCCGCTTTGGCCCGATTGAGCGTGTAAGACTGCCTTGATCGATAAGACCTTTTCATCTTCAAGATAGCTAATCATCGCCACATACAGATTCGCATTGTCAAGGATACCGTTTCGCCAAAAGCAGAGAAGAAGGCCCACCGAGGATATGCCTTCATCGTCTACGAACGCGAGAAGGACATGAAAGGTATAATTTCCAGATCTTGCACATCACATACGCCCATTGTGAGCTTCTCATTTATGGTAAGAAAGCATTGCTAACACAGTGACCCCGATATCAGCGGCATACAAGGAAACAGATGGCATTCGCATCAAGGATCGACGAGTCCTAGTCGATGTGGAGCGTGGTCGCACAACCAAGGGCTGGAAGCCACGTCGCTTCGGCGGTGGTCTCGGTGGCCGTGGCTACACTAAGGCCATGCCTTCCCGCCCTATGGGACCAGGTTTCAATGCACCATCCGGTCCTGGTGGATTTGGTGGGGGATTCCGTGGCGGCTTCGGTGGTAGAGGTTTCCGTGGCGGAGGCTTCCGCGGTGGTGGTGATCGTTTCGGCGGCCGTGGAGGAATCGGTTACCAAGGTGGCCGCAGTGGCTTCGGAGGGCAAGCACCACCAAATGCACCATCTGGTCCCGGCGGCGGACGCGGAGGTGGTTATGGAGGCGGTTACGGTGGTGGAGGCAGGTTTGACCGTGGTGTGACTGGCAGCAACCGCGAGCCCGTTCGCCCTCGAGACGCATACGCAGACCGCGACCGTCGTGACGACCGTGACCGGGGCGATCGGGGAGATCGTGGAGATCGTGGAGATCGTGGAGACCGCGACGGTGGTGACCGCTACAGAGACAGAGACCGCATGTCAGACCGCAATGGAGATCGGTACCGCGATCGAGAGCGTGACCGTGAGCGCGATAGGTACAGCGGTGGTGGCCGAGAGGACTTTGGACGCAAGCGACCCCGTGAGGATGACGGGTATGATGACAATCGCTCCAGAAGACGATACTAAGCGTTTACCACGTCCTTTTTCCTTTTTTTGTCATGGACACTACCCCCTTCCCTTCCTCAGTCCCAACTTGCTGGTGGGTATCCCTGATACTGTCCGTCTCATGTCCCTTTCCATCGTCCGGGTAAGGGAGGTTAAGACGGCGACCTATGCGCAGATAACAAGGGGGTCTGAAATATCCAGCACGAGCGATCGAAGTTTCACAACACACGCTACTCCTTCATGCTTTCGTTGACCACAGGGTATCCGGTTATCGTGCGATTCCGCTCCCCTGCGCCAACATGCACATAACTTGTGTGATCCCTACGGAGTGTTTTTGTATTCCCCGTTTTCCTTCAAGTCCCCCTCTACATTTTCCTTCTTCAATGTGTTCCAGTCTTTGGAGGGTCCCTCAAGTGACCCTTCCTTTCTCCTTGGGGGTAAGTATGTACTTTAGTCGAAGCAGTCTTTCATATTCAAGTGACGGAAATCAAATGGGGCTACGCTCAGGTAAGACCAGGTAAGGGCCATTGCAATGACATACGCGCAGGCATCTTGCTAGGTAGTTGCAAAAAAATGGAAGTAATACTGTCTATTGGGACCCAGTCTCTACGTAGAAGTTGAGTAGTAAGACTTTTTTTTATATCCAATCTGGTATCTATCATCATAGGCACATCAATCGGAAGAACCCATGCTCTTCCCAAGACAATATATGGGAGGATAAGAAAAAACTGTTCAATATATTTGAAAAGAAATGAAAAAGAAGCGCCCACCCCAAACTCCGTAAGATGCCCTCAGAGAATCTTTTTTTGCATCGACCAGACACAAGTCGACGAACAGAGGCAAAAGAGACAGCAACACGATCAATTCATCTAAGCATCAGTGTCCATGCCACCCTGCTCCAGGATCTTAATCTCTCCAGACTCCCGTGTCCATTGAGCCTTAAGATCGACCTTGAACTCGGAAGATGTCACACCGAACATCTTCAAGATGGTAGTTTGCCGGGAGTCGAGCGTCTCACCCTCACGGCAAATGGGGAAGCCCTCCTGGCCATTGGTCAGCTCGAGCATAACCTTGCCCTTGACCAGACGGGTGGGGATGCCCAATTTGCGCAGGGCAGGCTCAATGGTGTGGCTGACGGGCTCGTCTTGGTCGGCGGGGATCTCACCACCACGAGCAGTGACCAGACCGTTGGGGAGAGTGAAAGAGCGGGTGGCCACGGTGCCGGCACGGGCAAAGTCAGAGGGGCGGAAGTTCTCGAAGTACTGGGTGACGGAGTCGGCGGGGCGAGAGGTGAAGAGCAGACCGACGGCACCGGTCAGGTAAGTGGAGAGACGGTGCAGGTTCTCAGCGGCTTCATTTTCGGGGGTAGTGCCGAGGGCGACGGCCATAACCTTGGTCTTGCCGAAGAAGAGACTGGGAATATAATGTTAGTGGGCTAGTCTTGATCAAGGCATTGAGTGAGCCGAATGATGCGGGATACGGTGATTTCTTTGGATTGATTCCTCAATCACACTCGCATGCCCAATTGCCAGAAAAGACATACCGGCTGTCTCCAAACTCGGCGCGCACATCCTTCAAGTAGGTGTTCCGCATGTTATCCACCGAAAAGACAAACAGGTGATCATATTCCTCGAGACATTCCCGGATATTGGCGTACAGACGGCGAGTCTGCTCCTTGTGGTCCTTCTTGACGGTCTTAGACTCGTGGACGACGCGCGCACGCTTAGAACGAGGCATTTTGAGCTGCTGGAGAAATTAAATAGAAAAGTCAAAGGCGTATGTTTCGTTGTCGTAGCGGTCGAGCGCCCAGTTGTGGCATTAGTTTTTTTCGCTGATAACCGGATCAATAGTTGTGCCGACCTTATCCGACCCCCACTAGCCTCGATGGGGAAACCAGCTGCTCGTTGGTTCTCGACTCCCGCTTCCACGACTTGGTGACTTTCGCGACTTTCGAATACCATCGAAGCCGCCGAGGGAGAACCATGCTGGATTTCATGGACTACGTCCAGCTCGCCTTTGCCGAGGCGACTAATTGGAATCAGGACAATTCCTACTCGGCCCTCACAACTACCGCGCAGTGTAAGTTCGGCTTTCAGGGATGCGCCGAGTTGATCTAACGCGTTCGGTATAGCGATTCTGGAATTCGAGACTCCTGAAAGACTGCGCGTTCGTCTCTCATCACTTTCAACGCCCCATTTTGCAACCAGCTATACCCTTGGAACGGTGGGATTGCTCGATGGATCCATCTCATACCTCTTCAGCACCGTTCCCTTGCATAACACCCCCAGCCGAAGCGCATTGATCCCACTTCGAAAGATCTCTCCGGGCTATCGACAAGTACAAGCTCCCGAGGCTCCAGTACTCACATGGGGATGGGACTCTCTTCTTGATGGCGTTAGGATTCCCGGCCTTAATGGCGGGTTGCGCTCCGCGACTGCCGCACTCAAGAATGGCAACCAATCACCAGAAGACGAGGCGCAACGAAAGGCAACACTTTTGCATGCCTCGCTACATCTGCCATCGCCTACAACATTATATGCGCTATTCCTACGCCGGATGTCTCCAACAACGCAGCTGTCGCTCGCGGTTTGTTCCACCCAGGGACCGCCAATGTCGAAGTCCGCGCCCCAGGCATCCATGCTAGCCCAACTATCCCATGACACTGGCAAGTACTGCAACGAGTACCTTTTCAGTACGGATAACGCGCTCCTTGGTTGGCGTGGTCTCTGGAACTTTGGCGCCGATCCTCGATATACTCCCGACGGTGCACCTCCTCGTCTCTCCCTTCTGTCTGCTGGCGCAGAGGCGTATTACTCCCCAGTCTCCTCAATAATTGGCATGTCAACTGGCCTGCGATTCAGCACACTACCAGCCGCGACTGAAGTGCCATCTTCATCCTCCTCGTCTTCAGCGAGCCACCCCATCTCTACCTTCCCGTATACGTTGACCGTTACTCTCACCCCAATCACCGGCTCTCTATCCACAACGTACTCCCTCCGAGCCTCGCCCAATCTCTCCTTCAGTTCCCGCTTCGGCTTCAACGTATACAGCTGGGAAAGCGAGATGGTTGCCGGATGTGAACTCTGGCGGCGAGCTGCAAAATCCACATCCCCTGCCGACGACGGACTCGAATGGGCCCGCCGTAAAATGCGCCTGCATGACTTTTCCGCTCCTCTCCCGGGCTCCCCGCCAACATCTCCACTACTCTCCGACCCGGTTCAACCCGAGCCGGCTATCACCAAGTCAGATGAGAGCATTGAGGGTGAGGCGAGTGACTCGGTCATTAAGCTTCGCATTGACCAGTCCTGGAATGTGCGATTGCTCTGGGAGGGTCGAGTGAAGGAGTTGTTGGTGAGTGCGGGTGTCGGGCTGGGCCCGGGGTCATTCTCGCTGGCGCCGAATGTTTCCTCCGTGGCGGGGAGTGGGTCGGCGCAGAGTGGAGGCGGTGGTCCTAGCACGTCGTACTGGCGCGGGGTGGGAGTGTCGGTGATGTATTCATCATGAACATGGTGGTATGACTACGATCGGTATTTTCTTTCTTCTGGGTTCTTCCCACAGTCCATACACGTTTCTACATGTTTGGACGTGCGGTTAGCCAACTTCTACGATTACATCCTGCATGTTTTAATAGGCCGCAATACTGGACATATTGGCAGTCCCCCAATGTACATATATTCTCATGACAACATATCTCACGTTTCAAGCTGTTGAACTATTTATGTCGGGCCTGCATCCAAGGCAGCCAGTCCTGGCAGTTAAATTATTAACGGGATATCATTTTAATTCAGGACGACCTTAGATGCGAGCGTTGATGATGTCGACGACTACATTCAAGTTAGTATTCAATACCTCGCATATACTTGATCGGGCAGACTTACAAGCAGGCTTCAAGCTGGCACCGCCAACGAGGAAGCCGTCAACATCGGGCTGGGTAGCGAGCTCACGGCAGTTCTTCTCGCTGACGGAGCCACCGTAGATGACACGGACGTTGTCCTGGGACTGAGCGTCGATGGTCTTGCCGAGCCACTCGCGGATAGCGGCGTGGACCTCCTGGGCCTGCTCGGTGGTAGCAACCTTGCCGGTGCCAATGGCCCAGACGGGCTCGTAGGCGATGACAACCTTAGCCCACTGCTCCTTGGTCAACTCCTTGGCGGCGGCGTTGAGCTGACGGGTGACGACCTCGATGGTCTTGTTGGCCTCGCGCTCCTATACGATTGCAAATAGAATCGGGTGTAAGCGGAGGTTCTTCATCTTGGACCTGTCCCGATGCCCCACACCGGGTCTCGGGAAGGAAAACGGGTAACCGAGTTGGAAATGACGTACCTCGAGGGTCTCACCAATGCAGAAGATGACGGACAGACCACCGTCGATGGCGGCCTTGGTCTTGCGGGCAATGAACTATTGCAAATAGTTGTTAGCATTGGGTTCTCTGTGGGTGGTGGTTGGGCGTGTAGAGCTGGTGCGTTGTTCGTTGCCCGCATCGCGCCGCGGGTTGTACATACCTCGTCAGTCTCCTTCAGGATGACACGGCGCTCGCTGTGGCCAATGACAACCCAGTCAATCTTGGTGTCCTTCAGCTGCTCAACGCTAATCTCGCCGGTGAAAGCACCGTTGGGCTTGTCGAAGACGTTCTGGGCAGCAACGCCGATCTTGGGGTCGGCCAGGCTGCGGGTGAGGGTGAGGTAGAGGGCAGGGGGAGAGATGACGACCTCGGTGGTAGAGTCGAGCTTGGCCGAGTTGAGGTTGTTCACGATGCTGGTGATGCTCTCGGCAACACCGTTCCTATTATGCTGGTCAATTGCGCTGGTCTTGCTTGTTGTAGTACCTTGACTCTCGAGATGGAGGGGCAATCCATTGAGGGATCGCGGGGTAGTGGAGTAGACAAAACGTACATCTTGAAGTTACCACCGACGAAGAATTGGCGAGGCATAGTGATGGATGTGTATGGTATGGAGGTTTTGGGAGATTGAGAATTAAAGAAAGATTGGAAAGAGAATGGATAGGGACGAGGAATGCGGGCGGTTAAAAGAAATGGAGGGGCATGTCCCGAGGATCGGTAGAAGCCTGAGTGGCCAGGCATCCCACCATGACATAACTAGCTGACCGGTTGACCGAGATGCCGGTTCCATGAAAGCTCGACGTAGTCTTACTGCATTGGCTCGAGTCGCGTGAAGATGTATCCAAAGTACCCTTCGTGTGAGAGTGGTGGATGCAGGTCATCTGGTCAGTCTCTATAGGTATAAGTTAGGCCTTTACTTGGCTTGGAGCAAAGCAAAGATCATTCATATTGGTGGCAAGACACAAGCAGTAAATCAGAAAAAAGAAAGAAAATCAAATCAAATCAAATCAAATATCCCAACGATGCCTCCTCATCAGTATTCTCATCACTGTCATCATCAATATTCCCATCATCAGTATTCCAATATGCCAGGATTTCCCACAAACATCGTATATGTCTGTTTGCAAGATCCCGGTCAATTATAGCCGTAATCTGCATACCAATTCCAACGAAAAACAAAACATTATAACATGAGACTTCGAAATAAAGAGGAAACGATATAAACACAGATAAAAACGATAAAAACGCGTTGAGTGTCAAATAAATCCCCCCCCCCCCAAAAAATAGTATAAGTTAATTAGAATCATCCATATGGCCGTCATTGGGATAATCATAGCCGTAATGTGGCATGGGAGGAGGATTCCAGAAAAATGGGCATCTCTCCAACTGCTGCCGCTGCGAATCTTGAATACTCTGTTGTAAAAGTCTGCTCTGGTATTCATACGCTTGTTCCCATCGCTCAAGCTTAGCTTCACACTCCAATAGTCGACGTCGAAGCTCCTGATCGTCCATGCGCTGGATACGATACCACATGTTGATATCGGAAGGCGCAGTCTGAGCAACCTTACCGGCACATCTAGCCCGCCGGATGGGCATGCCATTGGGAAAGCCATTCTTGGAGGCAAGGATATCCGTATAGTGATATCGAGGCTTGTCTCGTCGGCCAAAGTGTCTTCCTCGAGACTTCTGTCGGTATTGAGACCCATGACCGATTGGAGTACGCTTGTTGGGGCTGCCGGACCTGTTCTGGACGGTGATAGATTGATGCTGTGGCTCTTCACAGTCGTCGCGTTCCATGTCGTCTGGATCAGCTTCTTCGGTAGATGAGCTGCCATCTGACTCGGATGAATCTTCGCTCATGGAATTGGCATCCTCGGAATCACTCGACTCAGCTGAAGACTCCGCCTCTTCAATGTCATCATTGTTGCAGTCTCGATTACTAGGAGCAAGGAAAGAGTTAGACCATGTACAAACTTGGCTGATAATGAGACGGGGTTCTCGTATCATAAGAAATCAGAGGGATAACTGATTCTAGAACGGGAGAGCTTACTTATCAGTCGTTGTTTGTCGATTAATTGGTCTATAATGCTGCCGCTGCTCACTGGGGACGGGCGTATGTTGACCCAACTCGAGGCAAGTGAAAGGATTCGTCACTGGTATCGGACGAGGCTGTGGCCCCTGTACAACACCAGCAGAGACAGTGGTAGGATCCGGTTTCATAGATAAATCCTTGGAGATCCACATTGCAGTTGCCACTGCTGGGTGGATAGGTGCAGTGGTCATTGTACGACGCAGAGGAGGCTTAGTAGGCTGCATATCGTTTTCATTTTGACGCTGAGCGAGGTCAACCAAATCTCCCATAGGAGTTCTTGGATAAGGTCTATTATTCAAAGGTCTCTTCATCAAAATAATTTCCATAGAGACTGTTTCATAATCAGCACGGTGGGCATTGCGAGCCTTGGAAGCTCTATCACGCTCCTTTGCATATACGCAGCTCCATTCCACCGAGGGATCCAGTTTCTTTTGCTCGTGGATTAACTGGTTGACATGGGCCCGGCGAGTAGCAGACAATTTCTGATATTGATGGGCTGCCGAGGTCTTATTGGCTCTTTTATGGACCAACTTGTAAAACTCGCTTTGACTTAGATGCATGCGCGTGCGCTCGACCCGGGTCCATGATGGCTTCTGCCCTGGAATTGGATCTGCCTTGAAGAATTGATAACCCTCGTAATTTATGGGTTCGGCAGGCAGTTCTTGTGCATGGGTCAAATTGAGGAGTATATGAGCATCTTGGACATGCCCAGCATTGTCGGTTTGAGGATTGCATGCTGGTTGGGAGGGTGCGGGTTCAGGTTGAGGTTGTGCTTGCGCTTGCGCTTGCGGCTGGGAAATAGGTTGTTTCTCTTGTGCGTCGATTGTGCTCTGGTTAGCCAGATTGCAAGTCGTCATGGTTCTAAAAGAAGAGAAGATGCAACAGAGATGCACATAAATTTTCCAGAGTGTAGGAAAATGAAAACGTTATTATAATGGAGAGCAGAAACCGGACGCAGCCAGGTGAGGCTTTTATATAGATAGAAGACCTGAAGGTTACAGCTAAACACCATTTTCACCCGGGTTTCAACACTCATGATCGTTGGCCTTCACGACGCTGACATTGAACGGGGAAGAAGGAATGCTCGAAATATTCTTTTATTCGGATTTTTTCCGCAATCGGTCATGCAACTTTTAAATTTCGTACTTTTGCGATCGGGCGCTCGCAGTCAGCAGCCTCGTCTTGGGTGCTTCAACCCCCGCAACCCTAAGCTGAGAACCCTTGCTTTCATGTTTTGGGGGCCAGGGCAACTCTAGTTCATTCCCATAAAGTATGTCCGCAAGGTCCCCATTCTTGTCGGCTGATCAAACCGTGCAGCGCGTCAAGGCTGACTAGTAGGGCTGTGGCTATCCCCTAATTCCCAATCATCTTAATACTCTTCTGTTGGCTGTAACAAACTAAATCAATTCCAACGTAGCTGGCTAGGATACAAATGTTTGATTTTCCCTGCGTAGGGGACAAATATGGGCGAGCACAGTCGTACAGGGTGAATGGATGGGTTATGTACATTGAGAAGTACGGGTGTTCCTTGAGGCTCAATGATCCTTGTGCACGGCCCGCTGCAGAGTATAAGATTGCGAATTTTTGAGACTTGTGATTGGATGTGTATCGAATCCGTTCGCGGGGAACTTCATCAATGTTTTCCGTCTTCACGGAGGAGAGGGTTCCATTGGCGCAAGGCTTTCCCTGGTGTTGTACTTGAGGCTCTTCTCCATCACTACACCGACTACCTGTGATATTGTAGACCTCCACAATCAGGGTCAAATTAATCTCCCAGATATAGATTGCGTGGTTTTCAAAAGGTCTTTGTCCGTTCATCTCTGAGAGACCGGAATTCCATTGTTGGATCTTTGTGCTCTTTGTCTTCAATATTGCCTGAAATACAGTACAATAGAATTAATGGATCAAGGGGTTTCATAGATTGTTCACTTTGTTCGGCATTCGATATTTAAGTCCTTCGCTGCACATATATCGGAATTGCTTCAGTAGGATAACTTGTTTAGTTCCTTGAAACCTATACTAAACAATCTAGATTATCTCACTGCACAAGACTTGACCTCAACCAGCTTTTCACCATGCTTATTCCTAAATACGAGACCCCCTCGTGCTGGAAAGGCGCCTTTTGTTTCGCAGCCCAAGATCTTGTTAATCCTCAGAGTGAAATAGCGCAGAGATATCCACATCTCTATCAGGTGTTTCGAGCTCGTCTGGGATCTGCATATGCTGTCCGAAACAACAGGCCGGTCTCGTTATGCTCTCATACCACCTTCCATCATGGGTATAAGGGTTGTCGGAGTGATGGTGACGTATTTCAGAAAAGGGAATGGCCTAATGCGTACGATCGAGCGGATCCAGTCAGGAATGCCACAGGTAACCGCATGAAGCACATGTGTAGCGAGCTGAAGGATCGTATGGACGTGTATGGCTTAGCCGGCGAAGGAAGTAAGTTGAGTCCCGTCTTTTCCCGTTTGCCTTTAAACCCCCAATTGCCTCGTGATTCTGGTTTGCTAACAATCTCTTAGCTTTCGGTTCAGTATTTCTTGCCCGTGAGCGAGACAATGACAACAATAAACCCGAAAATCTCCAACACTATGCCGTCAAAGTTCAGGGCCACGAGACTTTGCTTGGTGCTTTGCAGGCGAATCATTGCGATCCTCCCAATGGACCGGTCCCAGAAAACCAAGAGTCCCTTCGATATATTCCTGAAGAAGCGATGATCATGCTATTTCTCTCTGAGAGTGACAGGTTTCCCACCCTAGACTCGGTCTACACCCATGACCGCTTCCAAGCCATTGTTATGTCTCCATGTGTTGACTACAACTCTGATCGACAACCGTCACCACCAGGCAATTTCTCTCGTAGATTCCCTGGATTTACAGCAAGATACTTGCTAACCAAGGATCATAGACCATTGCTCAACGCGGATGAGGGACGCAAAATTGCAACGCAGCTTTTTCAGGCGATGAGACAGTTGGCTGATATGAACGCTTGGCACAATGACATCTCAGTCAACAACATCCTCGTGGATAAGAATCTGAATGTAAGTCTAACCCCTATCTTAATACCCCCAAAAGTTTTCAATGCTAACTTCATCTTTCATCTTTAGGCTCAGATGATCGACCTCGGAGATATTGCTTTCGGATTAGACGAGCGAGCCTTCTTCGAGCGCAACTACGCGTACGTTCCTTTCCAGGAGTATCAACTCTCCCCCGAACTTGCACAGCAGATTACCACCAGGTTTGGTATGTCCGTTTATGCCGATGTGACTCATGATTTGAGACATGAGGTTATGTGGAAATTCGCTACCATAATCTATGGAATCCTTCATGGCTTCTGGCCATGGAACGAGCCCCCTAAAAATGGAGATGCTCACCCAGAACTGCTGGACGCTCGGGTATTCACTGATCCTCAACAGATCCTACCCCGGAGGTATCGTATTATTAATGATCCTCTGCCTATTGACGAGAATTTGCCACAGGACTGTAAGGATGTGCTGCAGGCGATGTTCAGTAAGAATCCGGAGGATCGGCCCACACTTGCTGAGTTGGAGGGTTATCCTTGGTTTTCGCAGTGGGCACGAGAGACTCAGTTCTATGAGAGGCCGTTCTCTAGGGACTTTCGGCATGCGTGCACGAGAAGAAGCAAGTGATGATACCCTGTATCTTATTTTGGTACTATTCAGCCCCAGTAGGCATATTCCCAATGTTTTGGGGCTGTAGATCTTCTGACATTTCCAGGCGGCCCAGTCACAAACTTATGCACGTCATTCATTACTTTGACTATTAACGAATCATAATTCATTACAATACTCTCACCACGTAAGATGTAGAAAAAGGTTATCGGATTGGTGCGGTTTTACTGACCCGACAACCAATCATAATATAATACCGTACGATAGGCAGCCATTTTAATATCTTGCAGGTTGGAAATAATAATAGAACGCTAAGAACAACAAAAGAGATCGTCAGATAGAAATGAGGCTCAAGTCAAGTGCCCGCCCTCATGCTGAATATGGCAAGTGCTCATGCACATCGATACAACGGGGTAAAACGGGGGCCACCGTCGTCATCGTCTGAGGCTGTCCAGACGGGCTTGAAGGTCGTCATCACCAGCGTCACCCGGCCCACCACCACCGCCGATAGCCTGAGCAACCCGAGTTCCGCCTGTAGTTTCTTTGTGTATCTCGCCCGACGGTGTCTCACCCAGCTGTTATTAGACCGGTTAGCAATTGGCACGAGATCAAGGCCACAAGTAGAAGAACGAACCGCCTGAGTCAAGTCGACACCGATTTCATCAAGGACTTCCTTGACAATATCCTCGCCTTCCGCTTCGTCATCCTCCATGCCGGTTGCCTCATCAATCGCGTCATCCATCATCTCCTGTCGTTCATCCATGATTTCGTTCTCGCGTTCGAATTCCATCGTGATGCGCTGTAGGGCCGGGAGGTTCATTTGCCTATTCATGCTGCCCAACAGCATCGTTGCGCCCTTCATCGACTGCATCATCTGCTCATTGCTCCGAACGGTCTGCAGTGTAACAACGGTGAGTCTCTCGAGTATGTCATTTCCTGGAGCGGGTTCTCTCGTACCTGGATGCGAAGCGAGATGGCCTGTAATTGTGTGCGCATTTGGTAGAATTTCTGGATATACCTGATAGGACAAAGACAGTCCGTCAGTTCAGTCTGCGACAAATAGAGGCGAATGGTGGGACCTGTAGCCCACTCACCGTCTCGTCCGAACCAAGTCCTTAGCCTGGATCTTGCAAGCTCCAATCTGGCCATTCTTGGCGCTCTTCTTGATATCCTGCACCAGTTTCTTCTCTTGGTTCTCCAACTTTGTGCGCTCGCGATCCAGTTCACGCTGCGTTCGATCGAGGGCCCGTTGGTGTTTGCGAAGACGCTCCGCTGGCGTCATGCGCTTGCCAAATGCCCATTCGACAATCTGCGACTCGAATCAGTATTGAATAAATGTTTGACACTGTACAGGAGAGCTCACATTCATGGTGGGTGTGGGGGGGGAAGAAGGGGATCTGGAAAGAGCAGTTGGGGCCGTGCCTATTGACCAGACAGGCAGTGACATCAAGCGGGACAGCGGCACCGATCAGGTAAGATAACGGGAATTTACTGCCGTCTTCCAATCTTACCGCCCAGTCACATGCCAACTCTAAACCTATTTAGTTTAGTCCCTGGCCTGCACATCACTCTAACTACAGCAAACTAGACACAAGGATGCCTAGAAATGCCTAGTAATATTGGATAGGCTGGGAGATCTGGCCTGCACTAATTTGGATGGTTAAGGAGAGTCTTAGCCCTAAGTCTAGTATCATGCGTACTTGTTCCATACTAGGGAATCTGTGTCAGAGAACGCAAACTGTAGCCTACTGATGCCAGGGGTTGGGTATAAAAGGGCTAATGGATAACAGCCACTTAAGGCTTTTTGCTAAGGACGCAACGGTTCCACGAAATCCTTTTGTAGTTCTTCGTCAAACACATTTTCTGGTACTCCACTTCAATCCAGGACCCTCTACGACGGGTGCCATGTATATATTCCGTTCAATGTTTAATTAGTGCATTGATCGAACTAGCCAATAGATCCATACATAAGCAAAACGTATAGTCATAGAAATAATATTCAGCGTATCAACCCCTTCTTGCTCACTTTGCTCATTCCAAATAGACGATCACCGCCTCGCTGGACTTGACCTCTAAATCGACAGTGCCGCCATTTATCGACAATGAGGACTTCGTGTATTTTTTGACCTTCTTTTCGGTACGCGGATCTTCATATACCCATTGTGTTCCGTCGAATGAGATCGTCTCTGCAGTTGCCGCCGCTCCGTTTGGACTGCTCAGTTTCTTCACCTCGGCTGTCTTAACGTCATCACCAACAGACAAGGCTACCCTCACCGCATCGTTCTCGCTCAACGATCCATCAGACTGACGCAAGTTGATTATTGCTACTCTCGCGATGCTGCCGTTCTCATACGCTGCATAGGATGACAAAAATGGCGAGTCCAGGTCGATATTGGTTACACGGGTGTTCCCGCTCGACCCCATGAATTCAGCACTGAATATATGGGAATAAAATGCAGGTAGTACCTCACCGTGAGTGTGGTTGATGTTGGGTCTCCAGAGAGAAAAGGGAAATTTAGTTCCGCATTGAATGTTTACTCCTGTGACACCCTGGGAAAATCAGCGATGATCGTAGGGTGAGCGTGCCTTGTTAACCAACGTACGATCGACATAGCGTATAGAGAGAAGTCAATTTGCCATAGGGCGGACCCGAGGCTTCCTTCAAGCTGGATGTACTTTGTACCATTCCCCAGGGTGTTGCCAACTTCTGCAAGATAGACGGGGATGTTACGTTTTGGGTTTCTGAGGTATTTCACTGCCTTGCGTATGAATTCAGACCCTTTCACAACGGCAGTATGATTTAATAGATCGGCTAATTAGTGAGCATGGGCACCCTAGGCAATGGAAAGCTCACGTACCTTGGATATCTGTGTTGGGGTTTTCTTGTGTTTGGTAGCTAATTTACACGTTAGTTATCATCTTCAACGGCGCATAGTACTCACTAATGCATTGCCACAGATTTCATGCGGTCCGCGTACTGCTCCAGTCCATTCTCGAATAGGTCGGGTCTGCCGATCAGTATGTGACTCAAAAACAGATTGTTGAACCTATAGCCTACATTTTCCAGTCTTTACTCGTGCCCCCTGGAAAGTGTGTTCTACCTCCGGTCTCGCTTGATAGGACGACACCCTGCCAAATCGATGAACTTCCAACCCCAACGGCGTCATCAATGGCGTCAGTCCACTGCGCCCATTCCTTTGCGTATGATTCCATTTTTTCCCTCTTGTCTCCCCCTTTGAATCGACCATAATTATTCGGTTCGTTACCCAGTTCAAAAGCAAACAGACGATCCTTCCCAATGGCCCTGTAGGCGGCGCGGGAAAAAGCAATTGAGTTGTTGAGATTCTGCTCGGCCCAAGGAATATCCAGCATGAACTGGGCGGTTGGAAAATTGGCAAAGCTTTCAAAAAAGGAAGGCCCGATCTGTATGCCTTTTGGTATACCACTTCCGACTTCACTGGGTGGGATAGTGATTGCTTCTTTTTGGCTCGCGTTGAACGTTCCATGGTCACTAGATAGTAAGCCTTAAATTCAGATAGATAATAGAACGCATCTGGAATATGGAGTTATTACAGTGAGGTTCCTCCAACGCGAATCAAAGGCCTTGCCTGGGTTTTGTTTGCAATAACCTGGACTAAGTTTCGGGACGCAATATCGGGAGAGGTTTTGTTTCCTGATGGACTCTTAGCTTTATCGACACCTCATTGAGACTCGCCAGTCATACCACCATAGTAGACAAAACTAGTTTCTTCAAATGCAAATCCGAGAAAGGAAGGGTTCACGGCTGCAGACGCATAATGAGGAACATTATGTGAAACGTTGATGGGTATGAATGATGCACCGGCAGCGGTCACTAGATAAAGTACTGAAATGAAGTTCATCATTGACACAAATTGATAGCTTCAAAATGCGCCCTTAATCTTGGCTTACCTTCTTGTATTTATCTATCGTCAATTGATCTTCTGCAGATCTTACCTGATCTATTTAATAAGCATGGAGGCGCAATACAGACTCGCACGGACTATATGATATCATTGCTGCTTAGCATATGTTACGGCCCCCAGCCTTGATAGAATACCGTGATTGTTTATCTTATTTTCTTATTAAATATATTACTCACAGTATGCTCGTCAGCATGGCTTTTTTTTATCAAAGAAGGCACAAAAGATAGACTGTAACCAACAAAAGCTATAATCCTAGGAGTTATTATTTGAATATTTGAAATAAATTCTGACTAATCCCCTTTAGGCGTCCACTCATGACAGTACCGGAGAGGAAACTTATAGCTGATGGCTTCGAATACCAGTTTGATGTCAATTACCTGTCGCATTTCACAATGATTGCCCTTCTCTTACCATTCTTACAGCTCTGGATTGGAAGGATATAAATCTAAGTAATGAGTCTGATCCCTAGGTTAGCTATGGGCAATCTAAAACCGCCTTTATATGGCTATCAAATTATGTGAACAGATTTCATGGCTCAAATGGTGTCCACGCAGCCTCTGTCCAACCTGGACCAGTATTGACCCCCCTTTATCAATACGTATCGTCTGAACTGAGCGCAGAATGGCTATGCGATCTATCATGGCCCCAACTATGCGAATAGCTGAACAAAAGCTGCATCAATCATATGAGTAACTGTAGCGCCTAAGTTGGAAGCATGGGGTGGCAAATATGTATATGACTGCAGGGTGGGTGGCCTAGCTGAAAGTTATGTTTTTCAGCAGCGGACCAGGGCTATGCGCCACATGTATTTAACAAATAAGGGGAGGATCCTCTTTGGGAAATAAGCTGTAGGCTTGCTATGTTGAAGTAGAATGGCCAGCATATTTCAAGATGTACCGCGCGTTGATATTCTTCATGGTAACGAGTTACTAATATCAGGAATCCGAATGGAAAGATGAAATAGGTTGAGACAAACATCCTGTTCCATTGATATCCAACATGTAAAATATACTTGCCAGGTGGACATAGTATGCCATTTGAATGGAATGAGTGGAAGAAGCTTAATAGCATCGTGACAAGCCACCGTGTTATTTTTGTCGGCCGAGGAGGCTTTGTTGAATTGCTCAAGATCGTCAAGTAATGACTTCAAGGGTAAGTATATTGACGAGAGGTTGAGATGGGCCTCGTCCATACGCAACCAGGAACATACCATGCGTTCCCGAATATGTGGATTAGTCACCGGCTGCGAATTGAAGAACCCTCGTGCCATTACTAGTGACGCGTGGATCTCATCGATCACATCTCCAGATTTTAGAGATTCAGTTAGAGCTGGTAAGGCAAGTCTGATTAAGAACTGGAGAAATGCAAAAGCTAGTACAGCACACGCATTGCCTGGTGAGATAGTAGAAGCATTCTGAAACAAACCGATCAAACGATTATGATAACAATATCCAGCATTGGTATACCTGGTTGTTTCTAACGGCATCAAGTATGCAAGGTGAAAAGCCGAGAGTCCACAGATATCATAAACTCATGCTGTTGCGCGTCGGGCAAGATCACCTCGGTCCAGACCGTTTTCATAACGTCCATAGTTAGAGGTATCATAGAAGGCACCACGGCCTCGACATAATGATACAGGAACTCCAAGATCTCGAATGATAAAGGATTCTTTCGGACAACTGGCTAGGCGCAAGCTGCTCTGAAGGCCGAAAGAAATTCGCATGCCTGCAGTGGTATATTCCTTGCCCCGTAATTGGATTCCATGCCGGCATTTTTCGACCTTGTCTCTAGTAGCTAGGGAATTCGAGGCCATACCCGTGGCTTTGAGAGTGGTCCAGTCCAACATCAAATATATACTCAACAAACTTTCCAACGTCAAAATTCCATGACCATACGGGAGGTACCAATACTTAGAAGAAACGGGACAGGGGCACCGATCATGTAAGATAACGGTAATTTAGTGCTGTCTTACCGCCTAGTCACCTGCCAACCCTAAACCTGTTTAGGCTTTAGTCCCTGGCCTGCACGTCACCCTCCATGGAAAACTGCCCACCGACATTCAACTTTTGTCGATGGACCTGCAACTCACTTTGCGCCCGTCATGAGTCAGGAATACTTCCCAGGAGAAGGCTCCTCGAGAGCCGGTTCGTCTCGGTTCGCCGGCGAGGATGAAGAACGGAGTCCTTTCACTACCCAACCCCCACCGGCTTACATGACAGTCGGCAACGGTTCAACCTCGGCCAGTGCTACGGCGCTCATGACGTCTCTCAACAACGATTCAGGGTACGGTGGTAGCATCGCTGGTGATAGTGCTGGTCATATTGATGGAAGCGATGCTTGGCGCACGGGACTGTTGGAAGACAGACCGACGCCCGTTCACACCCCGACGCGCGCCGGCGAGTGGAATCCTGCTGGTAAGTGGACTCGACGGGGTTGCTACAAAAATTTCCGGGAACAATTTGGACTGACGCGACACCTTTTCTTGGTGTAGCTGAGCATGAGAAGCAAGTTGTCGCAAACCACGTTCACCAACTTCTATAGTAAGTCTATTCTTTATTTTTTTTCGAGGTTCATCATCCCTCGGTACACTAACAAATCTTGGTCTTTTAGCAACTCAAATCGGAATAAGCTTGGTCGCGCAATCTCTCGGACTATCGAAACACTCAAGGAGCTCCAGGATATGAACCGCCAATGGCCTGCCCACTACCCATCCGTGCAGAATACTCCTCAGTCGCCCTCGGATCGGCCGCAACTTACGCACACATACTCGGAATTCGGCCAGGATGATTACAGACCAAGCACCCCGCCTCGGCCGGAATTAAGGCGCGCAGCGACTATGACCGGTGGGGACGATCTTGGGGAATCTAGCGCGGCTGCTGAACGACGCGTGCCCGCTGGGCCTCGATTGATGACCCCACAAATCGCCCAGGAGTTCTCGATTTTGAAGCTGGATCTAAAGTTGGGCGCGTTGTCCCAGGCGGAACTGGTACACTCCTTGGAGAAGGCTTCGATTGCCTCATTACTTGATGGAAAGATCAGTCAAAGCATCAAGCACCTTTTGTCCCTACGAGACCGGATCGAGGACACATCGAGCAAGGTTCTGGTGACGGGAGATCTGAACGCCGGCAAATCGACATTCTGTAACGCGCTTTTGCGACGAAAGGTCTTGCCAGAGGACCAGCAGCCTTGCACCAGTATCTTCTGCGAAGTTTTGGATGCTCGTGAGAATGGTGGGATCGAGGAAGTGCACGCTGTTCACAAGGATATCCAGTACAACCGCAACGACGAGAGCACCTACGACGTTTTCCCCTTGGTGGAACTCGAGAACATCGTTATTGACAACTCCAAGTACATGCAGTGCAAGGTTTACGTGAAGGATGTACGGTCTATCGACGAATCTCTGCTCAACAATGGTGTTGTGGATATTGCTCTTATCGACGCGCCTGGCTTGAACTCGGACTCTCTCAAGACAACTGCTGTTTTCGCTCGACAGGAGGAGATTGATGTCGTGGTCTTCGTGGTTTCCGCGGCTAACCACTTCACACTCTCCGCAAAGGAATTCATTCTCAATGCTGCTCACGAAAAGGCCTACATCTTCATGGTTGTGAACGGCTTTGATCAGATCCGCGACAAGCAGCGGTGTGAGCGCATGATTCTTGACCAAGTCGGCAAACTCAGCCCTCGAACCTACAAGGAGGCCGCCGAGTTGGTCCACTTTGTTTCGAGCAATGCTATCCCTGTTGCTCCTCCTGGGGCTGTTTCAGGCTCAGGCAGTGGTGGCGGTGACGGCGGTGACCCTCACGATGATGACGACGACTCCAAGGATAAGGGCAAGGGTAAGGGCAAGGAGAAGGAAAAGATCCAAGACTTTGAGAACCTGGAAGGCGCTCTTCGGCGCTTTGTTCTCGAAAAGCGGTCGCGGTCCAAGCTTGCCCCTGCTCGCACCTACTTGCTCAACCTTCTGGCCGATCTCAATTCTCTAGCCACTGTGAACCGTGACGTTGCTCAGTCAGAGCTCAAGCGAGTTACGGATGAGCTGGCAGAGCTTGAGCCTGCTTATGAGAATGGCAAGAAGCAGAAGGCTGAGCTGGCTGAGGGTGTCAACAAGGCCATCGATGACTCCTGCGACGACGTTTACAACCACACGCGGACTACTTTGACAGACACTATCGCCCGAGTTTCCGAGGCTGACCTCGGGGTTGAATATCCCGGTATCTTTGCGGCATTCCAGTATGCAGAGGACTTGAAACACGCAATGCTTGACCAAATTTCTCTAGCTGTCAATGGTTGTGAGGATTACGCTCGCGAAAAGACCGTCCAGGGAGTTGGGTTCATTCAGAACATCGGTCTGTTGCATGTTGGCGAAGACAAATTCTCTCCTCTTAACTTCCGCGCCGATCTGATGTTCCGTCGTGGCCGCCGCCATACCTTGGCTCGGCAGGTTGATACCGAGGTGGAACTCTGGGACTTCTTTGACGTTGCTGGTCTTTGGGAGCGCCAAGAGAAGATGGCCGGAACAGGCGTTGCAATGACCGCAGTCACTGTTCTTGGTAGCCGAGCCTTAGGTGGCTTCAGCTGGGTGGACAGCGCTCTCAGTGCAGTCAAGGTCATTGGCCCGAACAACTTGCGCCGACTGTTCTTCCCTAGTATTCTCGCTGCTGGTAAGTTTTTCAAATTCTCGTATTTCAATATGGACAATTACTAACCTTTTGAAAAGCTGTCCTGGCTACTGCTTACGTGCTGTCTACTATCCCGACAACTCTGCCTCCTCGTCTATCCAAGAAGATTGCAGCAACCCTTTCTGAGATGGATTACGTCCACTCTAATGCCAACCGCATCTCGACCGAGGTTCGACGCATCCTTCGTCTGCCAGCGAACAATCTGCAAACAAGCCTGGCTCAGGACATTGAGGACCTTGCTCGGCGCAAGCAGGAGGTTGGCAAGGTCAAGCAAGAAAGCGAGATTGCAACCAAGTACTTTGCCAATCTCTTCCGTGAGAGTGGAGAAAACCGCCGCTCTGTGGAAGACCTTGATCTTGACGGCCCCTTACCCGGTGCCATGGGTGCATTCGACCCATAAGTGCTATCCATGTACCAACAGCCATGACTCTCCTTACTCTTTTTACTTCTTTCTTTTTGCGACTCTTATCATTATCATCTCTATCATCCCCGAGCATGTACATTCCCCACCTCCTACACCCTTTTTCCCCTCCGATATCCCTTCTCCTGTGTACGGTTTTCGTTTTCTTTTTCTGGGCGTCACAACTGTTCTTTTGAAAAGGCACAGTCTAGCCCCTGTCCCATCCGTTTTGTGGCGTGTTCTGGCGTGCATCGGAGGTTGTCCCAAATTTAGCCCATGATTCCCACCTGAATTCGACATTGTGACCTTGATTCTATACTTAAAGGATCTATCTGCCCTTCACTAGCTATTAGATTGTTTTCCATTCAGCTAGAATGGGCACCAAAATAAGAAAGCAATCTCCATATTATCTACTCAAGTTCATGGCCAAACTGTACTGAGATGTCTTGAAGACTTGGATTCAGTGAGACGAAATAAGGCTCACAATTGGTGGAACTCACCTGCACATGCAATGCAATCCCGAGAATCCACGTATTGGCTTATGGAAGTCACATCCAAGACATCCCATTTAATACGGTAGTATCTCCATTATACACTCTGCTACATCCCACCCGCCCACTTTGGCCGATTGCCGGTAGAAATCCCCGCAGGAATCTCCGGCAGATGCGGGGGTGGATTACTGTTCCGCTATTTCCGGGTGAATGGTCTCCTTCGCATGGATTCGGCATGGATTTTAGCGTGGCTTTTCAGGGTCCAGCGCCAATCAAAATAATATACCCCCAGGCAGGAATATTTCTGTTTTCCCAGAATGCTATGATCTGCATGATTTAATTGTCTGAGACCTGCAATTAGGCTGTTTACAACTTCCAGAATAATGATTATTGCCGTTCTAGTGTCTTTCTTACCCCGCGAGGTATGACCTTATATGAGATCTCCATCCACGTTCCTTGATTTTTCAGATATCAGCTTTCGAATACCAGACTTGAACAAATTCACGATGAATTGGCTCCTCTTTTTGGCAACTTTAGGGCTTCAAATAGCCACCCAGCAGGCCCATGCCCATAACACAACCTATAATAACCCCATCATTCCCGGATGGCATTCTGATCCTAGCTGCACGTTTGTATCAGAATGGAATAACACCTTCTTCTGCACCACATCTTCGTTCCTAGCCTTCCCAGGTTGTCCCGTGTTTGCAAGCACAGATCTGGTCCACTGGGATCTAATCAGCAATGCCCTCAACCACCCAGCACAGCTTCCACAGATTCAAACCTCGACAAACGCCCAGATGCTGGGGATCTTCGCTTCCACGCTACGCTACCATGATGGCAAATTCTACTTGCTCACCGCATGGTTGGATACGGACAACGACGGCGTGCAGTTTGTCCTGTTTACGACCACTAATCCATATGATGAAAAGTCATGGACAAACGCGTTCCATATTCAGAACCCCTTGAGCGCCATTGATCCAGACCTCTTCTGGGATGATGATGGCAGCGTTATTATGGCGTTTTCCGGTTCGCCCATTAAAGCATCCTATATTGACTTGACAACTGGGAATGCGAGTGAACCGTTTGATCTGTGGAATGGCACTGGCTACAACAATCAAGAGGGACCCCATCTATACAAGAAGGATGGCTATTATTATCTCCTCATCGCCGAGGGAGGCACGGAACTACTTCATTCTTCTACAATCGCTCGCTCGAAGAGCATCAAGGGCCCTTGGGAAAGTTCGCCGCACAATCCCTTGGCCTCAGCCAGATATACGGATCGCTACTTCCAGACAGTGGGCCATGCGGACCTTTTCCAAGATGCTACAGGTAATTGGTGGGGTGTTGCACTGGCAACTCGAGCCGGACCAGAGCTATATAATGAGACCATTTATCCGATGGGTCGAGAGACGGTTCTATACCCAGTGAGCTGGCCAAAGGGTGACTGGCCACGAGCTGATCAGGTCATGGGTGAAATGAGTGGTCCCTTGCCGCCGAAATCCTCCAAGAAATCTTCCCTGTCCACATTCATGGGAGAAGCAGATATCGTGGACTTTGTCCCGGGATCCTCGATTCCCAAGCATTGGGTCTTTTGGCGAGCACCAGCGAAGCCGGAGTCCTTCACGATTTCTCCTCCGGGACATCCCAATACCCTCCGGTTAACTGCGTCCAGAGCTAATCTCACTGGAGACGCATCTTTTAAAGCTCTCGATGGTCTGACTCTACTGGCTCGCCGCCAGACAAACACCCTCTTCGACTTCTCCGTGGACGTGCATCCTGGTTTCTACAAAGCCCAAGGAGAAGAGATTGGCATAACTGCTTTCCTGCATCAAGATCATCATATCGACCTAGGAATTGTCTTCACGGGAGGATCCCTAGAATCCAAAGGAAACCTGAGCTTCCGTTGCCGAGCTACTGACTCGGATGCGACCAATTCCACCCTCCCATCTCCTGTGGTGACACCCGTTCCCTCGTCGTGGCTATCAGAAACCATTCGTCTCTTTATTCGGGCTGAGAATAGCACTCATTATCAATTGTCAGCAGCGCCAGCTACTCGACCTCGCGAGTCCAGACTTTTGGCGATATTCAGTGGGTCACTCATCAGTGGTCCTGATGTTTTCACTGGTAATTTGCTCGGTGTTTATGCTACTACCAATGGTGGGAACCATACTATGGAAGGGTATGTTAGTCGATGGAGATACACACCCATCGCTCAGCAGATCGACTACGACGATTTTATACAAAGCCCGGGTGTTTGAGGGATTAGATCTCGAGTACCTATGAGATAGCTAGTAGAGCCAATTTCTTCAATGCAACTGTCTTATTATGGATATCGATGCTAGTAGCTGAACAGAGATATCAGCCAGTAGTTAATGCATAGATTTTTGCAATATGCATGCTAAAAAGCGACAAGGGAAGCAGCGTGTATATTAATCAATCCATCAATCCCGACCCAGAAGCATCCTTGTAAAAAAACTCCATCTTGAATGAATCATAACACAAGGACGCCTTTCCCAATGCAATATCCTGAATCGATCGTAAAATAATGCTAGATTCGAGGAGTTCGATCACTGCTCATCAGGTTTTGGAACATGTTTCCGAGTCCTCCTGCCATGCCCCCATCCAACATCCTCTAATTCTCGAACCTCGCCAAGAAGCATCTCAGAATCAGCATTCTTCGGATTGTCAGCTAGCTTGCCAGCATTTCGCAGAAACTCTGCGCGCATAGCCATAGCGTCGGGGTCTTCATAGTCCAGCTGCGTCATTTGAGGCTCACGGTTCTCTTCGTCTTCATTGTCGATCTGCGCGGGCAGTGGGTCTGCCAGAAAGTCGAACTTGGCACCGCTGAACATTGAAGATAGACTTTGTTCGTTGCGGCTGTTTATGCGAGAGAATGAGTTGTCTCGTGTTGGTTCTGCACTTTCAACTGCCGAGCCGAGACCATCGTCGTTAACGGTGTCGATGGAGCTTGCTCGCGACGGGGCACGAGTGAGCTCGGTCGCTCGGTTTGATGAATGCGATGGTGCACGGCCGAGAAGGGGTTTGCGTTTCCGACGGTGTGGGTAGCTGCTATCGTCCGTAGTCATGCTTTCTGATTGCCGTCGTGATTTGGCAGCTTGGGCCTGCTGGAGGAGGCCCTTAAGCGCAGAGTCAAGAGCGGATGGGGCAGCTGGTTTTGGTTGTTTCGCAGTTTCCTCGGTGGGTGCTGCATCAGTATTTCTGTCTGGCGATGGGGTGCGTGATTCTGCGACACTTGCTTGGGGTAAGTCAGTAGGCTCTTCATCGGCAAAGCCGTCGCCAACTATAGACATCACCCGGGTCTTATCAACTTTCTCCATTGGCACAGCTTTTGTCCGCTGCAAAGTGATGGGCTCTTTTGCTAATCTGGAAGACCCCTCTCGAGCCTTCTCGGCAGATGGATGCATCTGCTTCCCATTGACAGAGGCTCCACTAAGCGTCTCCCTGCTGCTTTTGCTTTGCGACACGGGTCTCCGGACAATGTACGGCTCGAATGGCTTCTTCTGTCCCGTTTGCACGGAAATCCAGAACCAGTCAGCGGATACAGCGGGAACACCCCATTCGGTCGTATGTCGAAGCTTGTCATGGCTCGCCGTTTGAGGATCATTACAAATAAGAACGGAGGCCTTGGGGGTCAAATATTCGTCGTATGATGCTCCCATCAAGTCAACCAGCTTAGAAAGATGTAGAAGGTCGATGCGGGCAAATCCAGTAGAGCATATTCGCATTCCCGCAAATCCTGGGATGGGAAACTTCGGAAATGGGGTGCTTGCAACGTGGGATTCCGGGGGGACCAAGGCTCGGGCATCTAAACATCTTTCCAGCCACATATCTGTGACGGTCTCGCATTCAAACGCCATGTCATCGGTCGACGGAATATCTGACCTCGGAGTCTTATATGGTACCATAACATACAGACCCTGTCCTGTCTTCGGTATGCTAGGGCTGGAAAACTCGGTTAAGGAATCAACACAGTGAGCCGCATTGAATTCCAGATGATGTCGGAGAACGCCTTTCTTGGGGGAAATCAGTCTCGTTCGAGGAAATTTGAACGCTTGGGGCTTACCTGCTTAGAAGTAAAGCCATGGATGTAGAAGTAGCACCCATCAAGAAATCCTTCGGGGACTTTAGCCAGGACTTCAGGTGGCGGTCGATTGTCCATGGTTTCACTAAACGTTGTCTCGCTCACGAATGATTTGGCTACTTGGATAGAAGGCTTTGGCCTTTCGGTGTCAGGTCCCTCCGATTGAGCATTTCTGGATTCAGCCACCTCATTGGCAAAACCCGCGCCGATAATGTCTCCCCAGATATTTTCGTTCTGGTCGATCAGTTTCGTGCTCGCCGTTCTGCGTAGCTTCTTCCTCGGCCGTGGATTTGACGAGCTATCCTTGGCCGCTGGCCTGCCTTTTCCAAGCTGTACTTTTGCACTCATCGGTATCGTCCGATCCCATGCTCCCACACCTTGCTCTTCCAGTGGCAGTGTAGGGTGATATTTGTCCTCGTCCAAGATCATCCCGCGCTCAAGGCAATCGTGGAACCATTTTACCGTGACAACCTTTATATTCCATTGCGTAGCAAACCTGTATTTCTCGCCCTCTGTATTGCGAGAAACGAGATGGGTGACGCTTTTGGTCAAGTCTTTCCGAAACTCGGCACCATTCTCCAGGGTCATGTCGTGCATCTGGCGTCGAAAGGCCACTAGGCACGTGTCAGTCCAGTCTGGGCAGTTAAGCCTTGAATCGAGCCAACTTACTATCGGCAAATCCCGTGATACATATCGTGAGACCAAAGAAGGTAGGAAGCTCGTATTGTTTCACCAAGGATTGTATGTCCGTGTCCCCGCCCTGCATCCACGATTGCCGAACAGCCTCGATCCATTCTGGTCTCAGGACGGTCACGTCGTTCCGTTCGCGGGCAACAAATTTGTATTTCGGGGAATCCGTCGCGCCGACAAGAAGGTGCGTCACATCTGCCGTGAGGTCGGGTCGTTCAATTGCGCCCATCTCCTTCGCGACATTGCTGAGCTGAGTCTGTTGGTGAGGATAGACGCGTCAGTCTAGTGCCATTTGGGGTCTCCAATTTGGGATGTCCATACTTTTTGCTCCAAAGGGACTGAGGTGAAGCAAATGATTGCGCCCATGAGCGGGTGCTCCTTGTCTATAGTCTTGGGCATTAGCGTGATGCTGGTAAAAGGTGCTTCGTTCAACTCACCCGAAGCCTCGGTCTCAGCCATCCTTCATGGTCGGCAGTTCCACCATGTACTTCCTACTGGAATTACTAGCGAAACACGCTTGCGTCAGTCAAAGCGAGGGCAATTGAGATCTGAAGGCCAGTCCGATCCCGCGCGTCGCGATAATCTTAAAGTCACGTGTGGCAACCCTCGGCGAGTGGGGGGCCGCGACGGAGAATGAAGTATAAAACACTGTGGAAGGTCACCAATACATGCTTCTTGATTTTTGATCATCATTCATGTTCCAGATTGGAAGTGTTCCAGATTGGAAGTGTTCCATAATTTAGATATTATATTATGTTATATAATCTATTCTGAGTGACTCGAATTGATATATCTGATAAAAGTTTTAATATTTCCAAGCCTTCCACCTAGGTTATCATCTTTACACCTGGGACATGCAAAAATATATATTCCGAGTGACTACGCTCGAAACGAGGAGAGGGCACACGATATTGATAGCTATTGCAGCACCCAGTAAATCGAAAAATAGCCTTATAGTACTTAGTAGTGGTTAAAAATAAGAAAGTCTTGCAAAACCTTCAATAAAGTACGATTGCAGATCTACTAATGATCATGTTTCCTGGGTAGATGATCTCGTACCTCGAAGGACCCGTAATGAGATGTTGATGCCTCAGGCATCAAACGACGGTCTGGTGCGCGTCTGTGGTTCACGCGTCACAAAGAAACCCATCAACGCCGCAAATTGGCAATCAGCGTCAATCTCTTTCCCCACCTCGCCCTGGGTTTATTGTTGTTTATGCACGCTGCCAGGGCCGGTCCTCGCGGTACAGGAATCACCCGACTAATCTCCTTGAACTATTCCTCGAGACCACCGAACACTTCCACCTATTCGTCCGCACCTTCACGGTCAATCACCGAGGAAACCACGATGTTTAAAAAAGCCGTTAAAGATCACCCTGGAGGGACGTCCAAGCCCCTTCAGTCCAATTTCCTCCGCGCAAACACCGTCATTCCCTCCAAGCCCGCACAGCCGCAGTCTGTCGGCGTCAAACGAAAAATCGATTTGACGAATGGCGGGGAATCCACGCTGGGCTCCCTCCACAGTTCCGTCTATTTTGACGAGAATGACTTCGACGATGATCTGGATCTCGACATTGATGAACCAATCGCCCTGAATATCCCGAGTGCAACGAGCACCACCTATGCGCAGAAGCCTGACCCAGTCACTTATCCGACCATCGACCTCACATCACCAGATTCCCCCGAACCCTTGTCCGCCCCGGCGAATAAACCGCAATCGGACATCGCATATCCGGATCTACCACCCGCGTCTCAAGAACAGGCTGCTCCTCCGAGCAGCATGCAGTATCCGTGGTCATCCTCCCCTCCCTCCCATTTTCAGCCGCCACCTAAGCCACGTACCCTTCCATGGTTAAAGGAGGCCAAAGAGGAGCCTCTGCAAGAAAAGAAGAGCAACCTTGTCACCCCAAAGCGATCAAAACCCGCAGAGCCTTGGAATAAGAGTGCGAGCGCCATCAAGGAGGAACAAAAGGAGCTCAGACGGGAGTACAAGAAAAGCCAAAAAGCAGACGGCGCACCCAAGCAGAGGGATAACGGCAAGGTGGCCAAAGTTTTCCTTAGCGATGAACAACTACACGTCGTGGAAGCTGTCGTCGATCATGGGAAGAGTATCTTCTTTACTGGTTCCGCAGGTACCGGAAAGTCAGTCCTCATGAGAGAGATTATCAAAAAGCTGCGGGAAAAGTTCAAACGAGAACCAGATCGAGTTGCAGTCACAGCGTCGACTGGGTTGGCAGCCTGTAATATCGAAGGCGTTACTCTCCACAGTTTTGCCGGTATTGGGTTGGGCAAAGAGGCTGTGCCTGAATTGGTTAAGAAGGTGAGTGCTCTCAGCCTGTAGATGAGAGTATGCCAATGCTGACATTTGGTTAGATCAAAAAGAACCAGAAAGCTCGGAACCGCTGGCTCCGCACTAAGGTTCTGATTATCGACGAAGTATCAATGGTCGATGGTGATTTGTTTGACAAACTCGAGGAGATTGCTCGACGAATTCGTAATAATGGTCGTGCATTTGGAGGTATCCAGCTTGTTGTCACCGGTGACTTTTTCCAATTACCCCCTGTACCAGAAGGCCATGGTCGGGAGGCAAGGTTTTCCTTTGCAGCAGCTACTTGGAACACTACGATCCAACATACCATTCTCTTAACGCATGTATTCCGACAAAAAGACCCCGAGTTTGCCTCTATGCTTAACGAAATGCGTCTGGGCAAGATCAGTCCCAAGACAATTGATGCATTCCGGAAGCTCTCTCGTCCCCTTGATTTCCACGACGCTCTGGAGGCGACCGAATTGTATGATTTCCCCTTGTTGACAGTCATCTTGGGATTTGCTAACATGTTACTAGATTCCCAACTCGTGCTGAAGTTGAGAATGCCAATTCCCAACGAATGAGTCGACTATCTGGTGAGGTGATGACGTTCCATGCAGTTGATTCAGGAACGATCCAAGATCCCCAGCACCGGGAGAAGCTACTATCCAACTGCATGGCGCCAATGGCTATTCACCTCAAGAAAGGTGCTCAGGTGATGCTCATCAAAAACATGGAAGACACCCTCGTCAACGGTTCCATCGGACGAGTTGTGGCCTTTATGGACGAGTCAACCTTCGACTGTTATAAGGACAATGAAGGGGTCTTTGTTGCCGGGGGCAATGACAACGAGGAGGATGCAGCTCTACGTGCCCGCAAGAAACTCAAGCCCCTGGCCCACAAAGAAGGCGGAGTTACAGTGACACGAAAATGGCCACTGGTAAGCTTTGTTCAGCCTGATGGAACCGAGAGGCATCTGCTTTGTCAGCCAGAAGCCTGGAAGATTGAACTTCCCAACGGTGAAGTCCAAGCCCAGCGCCAGCAGGTGCCTTTGATTTTGGCCTGGGCACTGTCAATTCACAAGGCTCAGGGCCAGACTCTCCATCGGGTGAAGGTTGATCTGGGTCGAGTCTTTGAGAAGGGCCAGGCCTACGTTGCTCTGAGTCGTGCTACTTCCCAGGCTGGTTTACAGGTTATGCGATTTGAGCCACGCAAGGTCATGGTACATCCCAAGGTGACAGAGTTCTACTCCAACTTGGTATCCATCACTCAGGTCATTCAATCCAAGAAGAAAAAGACGGGTGGGGCGGATGACTTTGAGGATGAGCTATGATCTAGGCGTGATGGAACTATGCAGGCGTAAATTTGCCTGGAACGGCTTCATCGGAGCTGTAGTATTCATATATCAGTTAAACATAGAGATATCCCATGATTACGATCTATTTGAAAGGCAGCAACCTCTTGTTCGCTGAAATCAACTTTCTGCAGTAGTGCCCGTAGACCAATAGCAATCATCAGACTGCTTAAGTGGCAACGCGTCTTCCGTTTGCTTTCGGAGTTTTGACGCGCCTCCTTCCCCCACACTCCTCTTATCGATAAACAACGCACGTGACCTGACACAAGCATCGGCCTCGAGAAGTTGCGAATAACTGCGTCGTCCGAGCTTCCTCTCGTCTGAAGCACATCAAGTTTGTCTCTCGATCAACACTGACGTCATCCCTGCCAAATCCTCGATTCACCTTTTCCTGGGGGGTTTTCGCGACTCTCGGTGACCATGGCTTCCGAGTTCATCGGGTATAATGTACTCGTGACCTTGCAAGTCCCGCCAGGTGGGAAGCTTCAAGGGCAGGTCGCCAACGTCATCGGGCAGACTCTACTGCTTAAAAATGGTATGATGCTGAATATTCCACAAACCCCCACCGAATAACGTTCTAACCCACTTCTCCCATAGTCACACTCCTGTGGAATGGCCAGCGCCATGCCCAATTTTCGATCGATGCCTCCGCCATCATTGATCTGTCACTCGAGTCGACCAAACCAGCTCCGCCGCAGCACCAGCACATACCACAGGGGCCTCAAGTGAATGCACCTGCTTCACGTGGACCCCCTCCTCCGCAGTCTTTTGCCGACCCCGCCATCCTGAGCTTCTCCAAGCCCCCTTCCCAGCTCCCCGCACAGACTCACTTCATGGAGTCAAATGTGGCACAGGGTCCAGTCTCTGTTAGCGCATCCTTGACTGAACCCTTCAGCAACTTGGAACTCAATACGGCAGCTGCACAAGCTGGAGGCCATGGACCCTCGCATGCAAAGGAGCCTCAGGTTGCACAGAGCCTGACGACCCCCACTAAACAGACACCGAAGCGAAACCGACGCGGAAATGACGAGGGATTCATCAAGCATGGCGCTGCGGCAAGCACAAACCCCAAGAGCAAAGGCTGGCGCCAAACTGCATTTGTGGAACCTGCCTCCTCAACCAACCATGGATCGCCCGAACATGCAGTCCAGCCAGGCGCAAAGCTCCGCAAGAAGAAGTCGCGCCGTGCTTACGCTGAAGACCCTAGTGGGTGGGCTACGGAGGATGCAACCGACATCCAAGAGCTTGGGGAATTCGATTTCCAGAGCAACCTGTCCAAGTTCGACAAGCGGCGTGTGTTTGAGGAGATCCGCAATGATGATACCACGGCCGATGAGGCTCGCCTGGTCAGCTTCAACCGTCGGCCAAAGCCCGGCACTAACGGTGGAAAAAACCTTCACTGGACGGAGAATGTGCTTGACAGCCCTCCAAACAGCGACACTGGCGACGATGTCGACGTTATTAGTGATGCCAGACTCAGTAGTGAGAACATCTCTGGACGTGACCGGTCAAGAGCTTCTGGGCGCATCCAAACCTCTCGCAAGGGCAGCGCGATCATGGCACAGCCAATGGTGCCTCAAATCAGCGCGCTCGGCCGCAGCCAGCTTAACACCTCCCGCGCCGCGAGCCCCGACCAAGCCGATCTTCGGGATCGCCTATGGTTGGAGTCAACCCCGCTGGTGCCTCGCTGCGACTGACGACTACTAACCGCAGCTGTCCCACCGTGAGTCCGTTGCAGACTCTTGAAGTGGAGCAGATTGCCGTGGCGGAATTCGGTTTGTCGGAGGACATTCTCACCGAAAACGCTGGACGGGGCATCGCAGAAGCCGCAGTTGCTCTGCTTTCTAACGATGCAGCTGCTCCTACTATTCTGATCATAACCGGTAACCACCGGACCGGAGCAAGAGCGATTTCTGCTGCCCGCCACCTCCGAAGCCGTGGACACCGTGTCACCGTTTGCCTGCTCGGCCTGGAGCACGAAGAGGAGTTGCTCGAGAATTGCCGCAAGCAGCTGGATATTTTCAGGAAGATTGGCGGAAGAGTGCTCAAATGGGAGGACTTGTCAGCTCGTATCACCACCGCCGACCTGGCTCCTGACTTGGTTATTGATGCCCTGTTTGGCATGCACCTTGCCTTCGATGACCTGCGGACTGATGACCAAGGCGTTGCATTTGAGATGATTGCATGGCTGAACCGTAGCAATATCGAGATTCTCTCTGTCGATGTTCCGTCCGGGATGTCGGCTTCTAGCGGTACGTATCATACCTATTTCACTTGCTATATTTGACACGACTAATGATTGGATTTAGGAGAGGTTACAATGGCCGATGGCGGTCGGCTGTGCGTCAACAGCTCATCCGTGGTGTGCCTCGGGGCCCCGAAGACCGGAATCCTCAACGCTCTACTTTCCGGAGAAGGAGAAACCTGGAACCTTACCGTGGCCGACATTGGTATCCCGCAGATCGTCTGGCGCAAGTACGGCACTCGTCGCCGTCACGGTATCGACTTCGGCAACCGATGGGTGGTGCCGCTTCGGCTGCAGACGCTGGCCGCATAAGTATCTCGACGGATCTAGCTTTATCTGCATCGATCTCAGACTCAAAATTTCTCATCACAGGCGTTCTCAAGGAGTGGAATGATTTCAAAAGGGAGCTTGTGGCTCTACCGGCGTCTCTTCTGAATCTTTACTCTGTACATGTATGATTAGCGACTGCACATCTTCAATAACCAATCTACGAGGCACTCCTTTCTATTCCATGTAGGCAAACTCAAACCGTCGGATATTCCTAGTGCCGATATAGTAGATGTGATACGAAGTCAATAGCAACATGGCAACGTTTTCCTGACCCATGTTGCGAAAATTCATTATTATCTCCCGTTTGTCTACAGAGTAAGCTGCTCCGCGGCTTTTATAAGTTCCCCCAAAGACTGTGCGGTGACTTCGTGGCCGGTATCAGAAGGAGTCGATGTCAAATCCGACGGAACCGAATGAACAACATAGTCCGCAGCCAGCGACGCCGCATCAGTCGCGGTCCAGTATGCACCATCAAGCTGATCCATGATCGCAGCTGTCTTGGGCGTAATGTAGTCATTCTCCACCTTTCTGGCCCTCAATAGAAAAGCAATTATCTTGAGGAAAGCCTTGCCTAATCGGCCCCATCCGATGGCCATGTTCCAGAGGCCCAAGACACTGCTTTCTAGGACTTTCATCCACTTCATTTCGCTCGGACTTAGTCTAGCGATGGCGTGGATTCCTGCGACGCAGAGATAGTGTAGCATGACGATTGGGACGGATTTCCAGCCGTGGAAATGTTTGTAGAGGAGGATGAGCGATCCTAGGACCTCTACGGCACTAGACTTGATTTCTGCGGTGTCGAAGTCGGGTTTTCCCTCTGGCTGTTTGATTGAAAGGATCTCGAATACGTCACACAGGCTTATCACTGTGCATTGGTAGTACATCCTGGAAGTTGCTTAGCATGACAGGGTCGCGTGGAAGGGTGGAATAGAAAGACGTACCGTAAGCACAGACTATGCGGCGTGCTTTTTCGTTCTTGTTGTATTTCCAGTGGCAGCTCTTGATTCCACTGTAGCAGCTTCCCATAGATCTCACAGCCTTGAGCCCAGCTGTCTTCAGCTGGGCCCGAATCACGTAACTGAAGTGATAAAGTTGCAGTCTCGTTGACCAGTCCCGCAAGCCTGCCGCGGAACCGAGCAATCTTATAAGTGTTGGATGCGAAAATTGGAGTCTGAAATGGGTATGGGCTCCACATGTTGTTGTCATCCAGAGACGTTGCTTCTTCCGGAGAGAAGCCTATTGATGGCGGCTGGGGCCATTCGCTATGTTTCTTGTATACCTGGGAAGCCAGACTGTATTTTGTTAGAGGGGCAAGTTGCAACAAGGACACATTTTGCAATGGCGATGGCCGGGTGTCGGCGAACTTACGATTGAACATCAAAAACACCCCATGATATCAACTTCTGGGCTCTGGCCATACTCTGTCTCAGATCGTCATTGGCGCATTGAAAGTAAGGAGCGCCTTCTTTATGCAAACCAGATCGGTAGTACATGGCTGCCCCTCTCATGATGAGTTCGGTACCCAATCGATCGGTTCCAAAAGTACAACATAGTAAACCAAGCAGGATACCAGATTGTATTGTTGGAATGTCGGCTGTTTCCTTCTCGAGTGCCCAGAGTCGAAGGATTTCATCGTAGAGCTTTTGCCCGAGCGCCTTTTCCTGCCGTCTATCGGTGAAAGAATGGAGACCATATGAAAAGCTCTGGTACAGGTTAGCCGCTGCAGAACATTGCGAGGAAGACTTTGACGTACACAGCCGAACAATAGCAGAATGTGAACTAGAAGCGGGGAGCAGAACTTTGTAGATCGCGTTTCTAGATCATGAATAAAAAGCTCTTGGTCAATCAAATGCCAAGTTGGATTCTCCCAGTTGAAGTAAAACGATAGCAAGTGGCTTGCTACATCGTCCTCAACAAGTGAAGTCCAATGCTGTATTGACTTGGTCTGAATTAGAGGCTGGCGCTGAAGAGAGAGGCCTGCTCCGAATTGGTTATCCCGAAAGGTGAGGTGCATCCGATCTAGATTGAGGTTGAACTTCAAGCCAGAGGGGCTTTGAGGTAATCGTGTTGACTGTTGTAGATCTGCGAGGAATTCCGGACGACGCTCCTAGTATTCCAATCATGGTTGGCCACCGCACCCAGCATGACTTGCATGAATCCAAGAAGAGACTTACAGATATCAATTTCAGAACAGATTTCAGATTCTTTGGGGGACAATGCAAGAGGACTTCACCCAGTACGGACTCGTAGTCTTGAATCCTTTCTTCCAGACGTTGAACACTGATCTGCCGTGCTTCCCTTTTCGTAGCCGAATAGAGACATGGTTTCCCAATGGTGAGACAATAGTCACACGATGGACGATTTCCATTGCACCTCAGCTTAATTACGTGACAAGCATCACAAGCTCGAGCTACACGTTGACGTTTGGGCAATGGGCGTCTGCCCGATATCCGAGGAATGGCAACTTTGTAGCGAGCATTGCCTTCAGGCTCATTAGGCCAGGTGCTCATGGCTTCTTTCGGTTGATCTGGCCCGTTGGCTCGAAAAGACGCAGAAGAGATGATTTGTAGCTGTGGATAGTAACTTCGACCGCACTGTCTGCAACGCTCATCGACATCATCCCCACCCTTGGACGTGCCTGTCAAGTACACGAATCCTCCGTAACGCGACGGGCGGAAGTCCCAAGTACTGGTACTCTCGTCCACTGCCGCACAAGATTTGTGAAATTGGTGGCCAGCCGTAGGGAGCAGGTGATGCCAAAGGATTGCCCGGCACCGAAGCTGCTGCCACGAGCGGCTGTTTCCTTGGGGATCTTTGCAGAGTGTATGATGTAAGAACTGCACTGGCGACAGTGCTTCGGGTTCGAGATGTAGCTAATTTACCCATCCAATCAGATTGCAGCTCAGCTGATAGGACCGGGAAAAGACCCCATTACTGTATCTACAGAGGAGACCCTAGATCCTTCTTCGAGTCCGGAGTAGAAGCCTCTTGTCACTCCTCCTCAAGAAGGAATACATGTATCATCTTGATAATCATTGAGTACTCGAATCGTTCTTATTCAATAATAAATAGATTAACAATATAAAAAAAGACCCAAGAGGAAGCACAGTACAGTGTACTCCGGAAATATCGAAATTCCGACGAGGTATACCAGATTTAGACTAGAGCACCTTGGCATGACTGGAGAGAAAGATCCGAACGTTACAGAGAGCCGAGTCATATGGTGGTTGAAATATGAAACGTATAGAAGGAAAGAGTCAAGGGGAATGTTTTAGGGAAGGCTTCATTCTCGAATGAAGCTTATTTCCACGTTGTTACAGCGGATGAGCTTGATCCAGCAACAAACTGCTGTACTGATACGTGACAGATACAGTACAATGTCTGTAAGTAACGCAACTAGTTACACTAGACCGAAACGGGCTAGTCCGCCGTCATTCTTGCGGCCTTCTCGAGTCGCGAGGGTCTGCGTTTCTAGGGAAGCTTGAGCTTTAAGCAACATGGGTAAAGGTACGTTTTGCGCTCTAATGACTCGTCTAAACTCCACTGACACTTTTTAACTACATATAGGAACGGACAAGCTTTACGTACAGCCCCCCTTCATAACAAACCTCCACCCTCTAAGCCACCCTACTGTCGCCGAAACAACTACTGACGAACGTCCGAATCTAGATCACACACTCCGAGTGGGCATCGGAAGATGCATTCTCAGCCAGCGCAGGCGCTGGTGTCGCCAGAGCCCGACAAGGAGGCTCCCATGCGACATTCAAGCGACTACCGTTCAATTTTTGCTCCCTCTCCCTCCAGCCGTTTGCGCATCCGGTCTGCACACACGCAGGAACCATCTTCGACCTGACCAACATCTTGCCGTGGATTAAAAAGCATGGGACCAACCCGGTAGACGGATCGCCGCTGAAGAGCGGCGACTTGATCAAGCTCACTATCGCGAAGAACGAGGACGGCGAATATGTCGACCCGGTGACGTACAAGGTCCTGACGGACAACACACATATCGTCGCACTGCGAAATACGGGCAATGTCTTCTCCTGGGATACTGTGGAACGGTTGAATATCAAGGGGAAAATGTGGCACGATCTCGTCACGGATGAGGAGTTTACTCGCAAGGACATCATCACCCTACAGGACCCGCAAAATATCGAATCGCGCAATCTCAGCTCATTCAACTACCTAAAAGAAGGCGAAACGGATATTCCTGGACAGAGCCAGCCTACAGGATCTGTCAACGCCAATGCGCTTGGTAGTTCTGCGAAGATCTTGAAGGCAAAGGAGGCTGTGGCCAAGGCGCGCGCAGAAAGGGCTCAGCAGCAGGCCGGTTCTGCTGCTTCGAAGGCTGTCTCCAAGGCTGGCGCTGCCGGGGCAAATCCATCGAAGTCGGTTACGGCCCAAGCAGGCAAGCCTACGCCATACAATGCCGCGAAATTTACGACTGGCAAGGCTGCCGCTTCGTTCACTAGCACCGGATTGACTCCTCACACATCGGCCGAGTTGGCGCTCCTATCAGAAGAAGAGTACATGCTGAAGCGGGGACGGGTCAAGGCCAAGGGCTACGCTCGGATCGACACTACTGCCGGACATTTGAATGTGGAGTTATACGCGGAATATGCCCCAAAGGCCGTATGGAATTTCATTCAACTAGCCAAGAAGGGCTACTACAAGGGTGTCACCTTTCACCGAAACATCAAGGGCTTCATGATCCAAGGTGGTGATCCTACCGGTACGGGTCGAGGCGGCGAAAGCGTCTGGGGCAAGTACTTTGCCGATGAGTTTGAAGGGCCGTTGAAGCACGATGGACGAGGCACGCTCAGTATGGCCAACAAGGGCAAGAACACGAACAGCAGTCAATTGTAAGTCATGCTCGTAATTTGTCACCCGCACTCAAAGGAAGTCCTGCTAACATGCATTTCTAGTTTCTTCGCCTACCGAGCCTTGCCTCACCTTGACCGCAAACACACTGTCTTCGGCCGACTAATTGATGATCCTTCTCCCTCGTCTACGACCCTCAACGCCCTCGAAACACATCCTGTGGAGGCCAACACCAACCGTCCTATCCCCGAAGTCCGCATCAAGGACGTGACTGTCTTCGTGGACCCATTCGAGGACTTCCTCAACCAGAAGCGAGCGGAAGGGACCCAAGGTACTGCCGCCGCAGACGCCGATGGCGATGAGACGAGTCGACGTGCCGACGATGACCGTGTTACCTGGACTGGAAAGCGGGTCCGGGGCGCCGGCGCAGATTCCAATGCAGAGGGACCAGGCGGCGTTGGTAAATACCTCAAAGCTGCACTGACCGACCGAGGCGGCGAGGAAGATGAAATCGTAGAGTTTGTGGATGAGGAGCCCGAGCCCGAACCGGTTCGTAAAAAGGCCAAGGGCACTGGCGGCTTTGGAGACTTTAGTTCGTGGTAATCGGTCCTGTTCATTTCTTTTTTATCTCCACACTCGCCTTGGCGCTGGGGCGTCTGCGTGGATGAGGTGATTTCTTGTACATTTTCTTTTCCCCCCCTCTAAATACGAGTGGAGGGAGCTGGGACCAGAGCTCATTTGGACCGGAGTTAGCGTGGCATTTGAGATGGGAACTATCATGAAGGTTCATTTGTTCAAGAGTGTATGACTTCGTACTCCTAGCCTTGTCACCAAGAAGTATACAGAGCTCATCGTAGTTCTATGAACTCAATCTCTGTACAAATAGCTATTTGCGTGAGTATGTTAAAAGCATCATCTAGCGTACCCATGAATCTGTGTAGATGTTCTTGTATACTTCAAGATTGTTGACAGAGTGGTGGTATTCTTGAATTGATATCGTACGGGTGGGTATACTTCGGATCCCTAGCTAAGGGATCAAGATCAGTCAATGTCAAGGCGAACCTGCTATTTTCGGAAAGGTAGCAAGATCATAGTCTATCCAATAGTGTTTCGCTAGTCAGTTAGTGCCAGTCAATTCCAGTGCCCTAGCGGAGCCGATCAGCGGTCTCGTGGTGCGCAGTAAGGACAGATTGAATGTTGGGGGCGCCACTTAAATGGACGTGTAGTATAGAGATCTCCCCAGTCCCCAGAATCTACAGTGTAAGGTGTACTCCATCCATACCGTACCTGTAGAAAGCAGGGATCATCGAAGACCAGTAAGCTCGTCAAACTACCAAATTTACTCCCTTCTACCTACTCGAAACCTTTTCTTTCCTTCCATTCTTTCGGCTCCTACTCCACTTCCTCTCCTCTCCGTTCTTGGCTCTCTCTCCTCCGCCCAACCGTAACGGGGCGGAGTTAACTGGGCCCTTCCAACTTCCACTTCCACTTCCATCGCTTTCCCCAATCCGGATCCCATCATCTCCCCAACTCCAACTTGTTCAACTCATTACACTTGCACTGCCACACCTCATCCATCCACCATTATTCCCTGATCTCCCATCAGATACTCTCAATCTCCATACTCTTCGATATCATCGGTAAGTTGGTCTTGATTCGTCCATAGTCTGCAGCTCCCCCCGGAGGTTCCGTGGAGTGGGGGGTTCGGAGGAAGGACCTCAACGCGTGATGGCCATCAGGTCTATATGCACTTGTTGAGAGCCTAGCGGGCAGCCGCAGAGCCTCGAACCATCGCCTATGAGCTTGATCGCCTCAATGGCCGTTCTTTTTCCTCCGAGCGCCTGTTCCGCGCTGGAAAACAACGGGCGCTTCCACCCCCTCTGCGCCCTGCTGCTGCCCCCAGCTGTCCCCATTGACTTTGCTTCTTCTCTATTCCTTGTCGCTAGGCACCACACTTCCCCCCACAGCTTATACATGCCAATTCCTTCACCTTCTATCAACCTTGTCCTTCAAATCAGACTTGAATTAACTCCCGTCAAACCAATAGTCACTACTTCCGCCGTCGACCGACCGAGGGACTACTACTACGTCAGTCCGCAGTATCTCCATCCGCTCATCACCAACCCCGCCTTCTCCCTCCCCCCGTACACCGTCCGCCCCCATCCTTGTCGACCAGGGATATAATCAAGCTGGCAGGAAATAAGCGCCGCAGCTTTTCTCAGCAGGGTGGGTTGCTGAGCAGAATGTTCAGTGGCTCCTCGAGCCCACCCAAAGACAAGACAGACGCCGTCTCAACTCCAGTCCCTGGGCTTGACACCAGCGCCCTAAACATCAATCCCGAAAACGCTAGTCCCCGCGACAAGAGGTTCTCCCCGCCCGGTGCTGGATTCTTTAACCGCCGACAGAGCGATCAAGAAGGCGCAGCCGGTGAGAAGAAGCGTCGCAGCAGTACCGTCACCAAGGCGGCAAGCTTCTTCAGCAACGCCAAAAACTCCTTGAGTTTGAACGGCACGCGTGAATCCTTCTCGGCCATTAGCAGTAGTCCATCAGGCTCCGAAAGCCCCCTCCAAAGGCTGGGTAAGATGGACCCGGCCCTGAGCGTCCCGCAAGGGTCCTTCAACAACTCCGCTGGAGAATCGGCACCGACTCCACGATCATCTTTCCGCGTTGGTGTTACGGAAGATAGGAATCGAAAATGTCGCCGCACAATGGAAGATACACATGCCTACCTGTACAACTTTCTCGGTACCCCAGCCCCTACGGCGCCCGACATAAATGGCAACGATCCTCCTGGGTCAGGTAGCGGGTCACAAGCGTCGGAGGCTGCCTCAAATGTGGTGGAAACAGACAACGGTTACTTTTCCATATTTGACGGGCATGCTGGCACATTCGCAGCAGAGTGGTGTGGTAAAAAACTGCACTTGATTCTCGAAGAGATCATGCGCAAGAACCCCAACACGCCCGTTCCTGAACTTCTCGATCAGACGTTTACCAGTGTCGACCAGCAACTGGAGAAGCTCCCTCTTAAAAACAGTGGATGTACGGCTGTCATCGCCGTTCTTCGCTGGGAGGACCGTGTGCCCAGTTCTCAATCGGCCACTGGATCTGCCGCTCTCGCTGCTGCGGCAGCCGCAGGTAGGAATGACGCCAACTCCGATGCCAACGATACTCCGACTCAGGAGGGCCCCTCTGGGTCAATCCCCAAGTTGCAGCACAAGGCTCAGCGCCAGCGCGTTCTATACACAGCCAACGTCGGTGATGCGCGCATTGTATTATGTCGCAACGGCAAGGCCCTCCGGTTGTCCTACGATCACAAGGGCAGCGATGAGAACGAAGGGAAGAGAATCGCCAATGCTGGTGGGCTGATCCTGAATAACCGCGTTAATGGCGTGCTTGCGGTCACTCGTGCCCTTGGTGATGCCTATCTCAAGGACTTGGTTACCGGGCATCCGTACACCACCGAGACTGTCATTCAGCCGGACGCGGATGAATTTATCATTCTAGCCTGCGATGGGGTAAGCATTATTCGCCCTTTCTTTCAGACTCTGTCCAAAACTAACGTTTTTTCTAGCTATGGGATGTTTGCAGTGACCAAGAAGCTGTTGATCTTATCCGCAACGTACAGGACGCCCAACATGCATCCAAGCTTCTTGTCGACCACGCCCTCGCACGATTCAGTACCGATAACCTCTCGTGCATGGTCATCCGGCTCGACTCCGCCCGTCTGAAGAACGTTGTCAACAACAAGACGGAGCCGATTGGAGTGGAAGGCGACCCAGCCACGAACGTGGCTCACGGTATGAGCGAAGCAGACAAGATTGTGGAGGGGGCAAGGAAAAGCATGGCCAACGCGGGAATTGCCGATTCAGAGAAGGCAGAGCAGATCGGAGAGGAGACTCTTCAGAAGATGGCTAACAAAAGCGAATCCTCCGAGGCCGAGCTCTACGCGCACGGTAGTCTGCCATCGGTGGATATTCTGGCCTCGACGCATACGTCTCAGGGAACCAAGTGATGTCAATAAAGTACCCATTCCCCCCATTTTCAATTGGCAAGGTGCAAGAATCCGATAAACATACATGTTTTTGACTCCTCTGATCGCACGCGGTCCAGGGGCTTTTTCTCTGTCTATCTCGTTTCCCTTCCACTTTCTGATTATTGCACATTGGCGTCAGTTATTAGTTGCAACCAACCCACCTGCGGTTGTCTTCTTTTTACATCGGCGCCGCCTTTGAGGAGTATATGGGCAGATTCGGCCTGGATGTTGCAACCACTCTATTATCTGGCGTCTATCCTATCTCATGGATAGTGTGCCACTTTTCTTTTCCCTCTTTCTTTCCCTCTAACATGCCTGGGCTCATGAGTTGAAGACCATTGTTTTTTCTCATCCTTATTTGTTCTTGAATATCACTTCCGTGTATGTATGGGTAGGTCGTTTCACTGTGCAAATTGAAAGCCCAGTCATTATGCCCATGAGGTTAAATTAAGAATGAGCCTGTAGAGACTGTACTTAGTTTACCTCTCAAATTCGAGAGGTTCTAAAGTTCCGGCTGGAATAATTGGAATGATTGGTCATTTGAGCATCTTTGTTCGTCACTATAAAGATCGGAAATGTCTAAAAATACAATTTATGCAGTAGGTGAGCTTGGGAGATAGCTAGAGGAACAGACGAAAAGGTTTAACAAATACAAAGTATCTCCCATGGCCTGAGACCAAATTCAGGTCGAAGGAGAGATATCAACAGGTCGAAACCCTCGATAAGATCGAGATAAAGCGGACGGCCGATGGAAGAGAGAAAGAGATCGATCGTCACGACGATGATGGACGGCTATAACTTCTCCGAACCTCGCCATCTTTAGACCTCTAGAGAGAAATCAGTGCGCTCTCCGCCGATGATGTTGTCACGCTTAATCTCCAGCTCGCCATGCTGAACCTTAGTAGGCCATGAAGCAGCATAGTTGGCATCGTGCACGTCGCGCCAGAGAATCTTGACATCACCGGGTGTCTTGGGATAATCACCGATCTCGCCAATCTTGACTTCCACACCCTCGCGCTCACTCAGCTGCTGCTCCAAGGCCTCAATGCGGGCCTGGTTCTGCTCAGCACGCTCGGCCTCCTGGGCCATAGCCTCACGCTGACGCCTTCTCTGGCTGCGGAAGTGCTTCTGGCGCCATTGTTCCTTGTCCAAGATGCCGTTCTCGATCTCGTTCTCCTGGATCTCAAGGACTGCCGCGATATCGGCAACAGAGGTCGCCTTCTGGTCCATGAGGACTCGCGCACGCTCCTTCTTCTCCATTGGGTGACCGATCCTCTTCTTGTTCAGCCTGTCGAATTCCTCCGCGTCGGAGGGGTCCTTTGGCCGTCTGGAGGCCAGGAACTCCTCGGTGACTGTGATCATCTCGGGGGGAGGAGACATTTGTCGGCGCAGCGAGAATTCACGGAGCAATTGGTAGGCGCGGAGGCCGAGGCGAGCATCACCGAAGTGCACGGAGTAGTATGGAGTCCACATATCCCGGCGGAGCTCGGCAGGGACAGTCTTCTTGCCGTGGTAGACCATTTGGCGCAGAACGTTGTTCTCCTGTTACGGAAGACACGGATGGTTAGAGGCTTGCGGGACGAATGGGGAGATCCGGACAGAATCAGGTCAAATCGGGTGGTTGGTGACATGATAGTCCGCGATCAATCAAATTAGGTTAGAGAGAAAACTCACCTCCAAGTACCGAGTCAAAGAGTACACAACCTGCTTCGTCTGAACATTGTGGTAGACGAAGATGTGCTTTCCGTGTGTGAGCGAGTTCAGTGCCTTTTGCAAGCGCACGCTCTCACGCTTCAAATGTTCCTTGAATGCATTCGAGCTCGACTCGCGAATCTTTCCTTGGATCGGCTTTGTCGAGTCAATGGGCGGGTGTCGTACGAATTTCTTCAACGAAGCAACTCGGGTTGAGTCCAGGATCTTCTGGATCGGCTTGGACGCCGTGCTGGCTGAGGCCATTGCGGCCGGAATATGTGCGCGATTACCCGTTAACAGGGAAGGTAGTCGACTGGGCGAGATCTATCGCATTGACAGAGTAGTGGAAGGCCGTGAGGTGTGAGGGTCGTCGGGTGTTGATGAGAGGTGAAGACGGAGGTGGATTTTTTGACGGGGCCATCCGCAGGTCTTGGCGCTGGCTGCTCTCCGCATTGACCTTATCGCTCTAGACACCTCCCCATTGCAAGCCGAATTTCCAGGATTCATCCTTATTTCGCGGTAAAATGCACCTGGGTCTGATACTGCGCTGCCGCTTCCGCCGCTGCTAGATTCTCTACCCCTTCTGGGTGGCTCAAGCGTCGCGATGGACGGCCCAGACGGCGGACACGCAGCTACGGAGAATGACGCAGGCGTGCGCAGGGAGCGGCCGTGGCTTTATGCATCGGTAGGGTCTTTACCTGCACAGCTATTCTTGCGAGGCTAACAATTCCTAGAACAGAAAGCTCCGGCATCTCCATGGCATCTCTGTCCGCAACTTGGTAGTCACGCCCCCTTCAAATCGAGCTCGAGGCAAGACCATTGATGACGACGATATCCCCAACACCCTGAAGTCGCCCTCCAAAATCCTAGCTCAAAATGAGACTCGACCACTACAACCGTCGCGTTCCTTTACAGATCTCAAGTCGCGCCCGAGTCAAGATGGTCATGTTGATAAGAGACCCGAGATGCGCGAGTCGCGTCGCCGAAGCCTGCTGCCTTGGAACGACCCCAATCCGCACACGAGGCAAATCCGGCTAGAGGACATTACCAAGAGTCGCATGGCGGATACTTTCTTTTCCTTACACTGTGATGGCATTGAGGAACCGGTATATATCAGCGAAGTGGTCGACAAGGCAACCAATCCCAGCTTTCGGTCTTTCGATGTGGACTTTTGTGGTCCCGCAGTGTCCCGCCTGGATGCGTTGACTCTAAAGCTTTGGGCGAAGACGGAGAATATGTCGGAGTATGCTCTGCTGGTCGAACTACAGCAACACTTGCGCTCCTTACAGTTCCTGGGAAAGACAATTGAGGGCTTCCATCAGCCTCTGCCGGCTAATTGTATTCTGTTTCATTTCCCTGACGGAGTGTACACCAATCTGACTGACATTCCCCCGGTCGAGCTGCCATTCAATGGCGCGGGCCAACGAGGTACTGCGGACGGGGCTGTGCTGCCGACATCTTCCTACGACGCGTTAATGCGATTGGCAAACCTGGATGAGTGCATTCAAGACGCACTGGCGACCCGAGAGAAATTGGAGACGCAAATTGGAGAAATCTTGAAAAAGAACGAGGCCGCTTTATCGACCGAGAGCGAGGCAGCCAAGGCGCAGGACCGCCTCGCCTCGATCAGACAGGCTGTCGCTGCCGAGCGCAAGCAGATTCGAGCTGCGAATAAGCGCAAGGAGGACCTTATTGCTAGCATTAAGGCCCGGAAAGAATCTATGGAACAGGGCCGCCTTGCACAGGAGAAGGCCCGAAGCCACCTCCCCGATGCTCAGGAAAAGCTTGTCAACAGCGAACAATTACTTAACCAAAATGCGGATGAGACCAAGGGCCAGATCCGGCGCATTGCCGAGGACCTGATGGTGATCTATCCAATCGATCCTATCCCTGACAAGACATTGGCATTTACCATTGCCGGACTGCCACTTCCCAACTCCAACTTTGACGACATTGACCGCGAGGGGGTTGCTGCGGCACTGGGTCATACCGCTCATCTTGTATACCTGCTCTCTTTCTATCTCTCCGTCGCGATGCCCTACCCGATTAGTCCGAATCTGTCGACCTCCTTGATCCAAGATCCAGTGTCTCAGGATCTGCCACAGCGGACTTTCCCCCTCTACCCCGTCAGCGTCCAGTACCGCTTCGAATATGGTGTCTTCCTTCTAAACAAAGACATTGAGTTCTTGCTTAACAAGCAAGGCATTCGCGGCCTGGACATTCGACATACCCTTCCAAACCTCAAATACCTTCTTTACATCCTCACTGCAGTCACACCCGATATCCCTGCTCGCAAAGCGGGTGGTATCCGTGGTCTTCTCACTGGAAGACTAACCCCAAATATGTCTCGACGAGGCAGTCTCGAAAGCACCGCATCTGGTGAGCTGGTCCAGCCACGGAAAGCCTTCGATTTGGTCTCCCGCATGAACGGATTCGCACTGGATCATGGAGCAAAAACGCCGGCGGGGACTGCCACTCCGCCACTGTCATCGCGAGCGTGAGAATGTACCGGTGAATCTGTTTACTGTGTGGAAGGTAATCCTTGATCAATCTTTCTCGGCTGGGTTAGCTTTGTGTATTTAGTTGGTTCTATGGGTCTGGTCTGTATGCATTTGTTTTGTGTATATGTAGAAGGCGTACATACCAGGTTTGCATGAGTGAATGCCATGTTCTTTTCTCTGTTGATCTGTGCAGAAGACTATTGACGGTTTGTAAACATATTAAAGTTGGTCAGTCTGTTCTATTTTAAAAGATGTACTTCCAAACCTAGGCGCATATATATATCGATCGAGCTCCTGCCTCGATTGTAGCGTAAGAACCCAAGTTATGATGGATGCAATTCAATTCTTGATAGTCAGCAATGTAACTAACTCATTACACTTTTGCTACCCCGCAAGGCCCTATTCCATTATACAATGGAAATTGGTGGCTGGTCGAGAACACTGGGGCTCTTTCGTAGGCTCCGTAGTACCCGGGCAGTTTGCTATGGCCCTCACGACGATGCCTGCTTTTTCTCGGTCATAAAAAATTTCCCTTTCCTTCCCTTCCTAATTGACTCGGTAACCTCTCCTTTCCGTCGTGTTTCTATATTTGTTTCTATACATTTTTTTTCTTTTTTCTCCCTGTGAACTCCCGGCACCCAATCGGCTGGTCGCTCATCTAAGCAAATTCCCACCCCCACCGCCCTTCCCAGCTTATCTTCGCTTTGCATCGGCTTTCCCCAGCATTTGCTATCCACCCTGCTGCTGCCCGACCACCTCTCGAACCCCTCCCCCTTCCCAGCATGGGACAGGACACCAATAGCGCGGCCAATGACTCGCGAAAGTCGCCGTCGCCGTCTGCCCCGCAGCATAGACGCGGCTACCAGGCCTGCGATCCATGTCGCAAACGCAAGGTCAAGTGTGATTTAGGCAGTATGCGATCAGCGATCAACCCCTCCTCCCCGCGCGGCATTCGTCCAACGATGGCTGACTGGTCGCAAAATTTTCATAGGTGTCGACAATCCCCGTCCCCCACCTTGCGTGCGATGTCGTCGCGAAAGCAAACGATGCGAATTCTCGGCAACTCGTCGCAAGCGCAAAGCCTCCGAGGCGGCCGAGGACGATGCGGAGGCCGTCGAAGTACTTCGCCGTGACAAGCGGATGATGATCGGAGAAGCAGCTGCAACTGAAGTACAAACTAAAATTGAGCCAAATCAATTCCCTCCCCCAGAACCGTCCGTCGAGACCGACAGCTTTCGTGCTCGGCAGAGATGGCCCGAGGCCCCCCCCCGCAGCTGCTACTACCACTCAGCGTTTTACGCCTAATGCGCCCATCGCCTCACAGGCTAGGCAGTTCCTTGAATCGCGAAATCCTCGCTTACCACCGTTTCAAACCGGCGAGCGAAGTACGGTGCCTGGGTATGGAGGCCCGCCGATGATGAACCGGACTGCCGTCGAACTGTTGTCGCCAGCCATCACCAATACCCACGATGCTTTACATCTCCTCTCTGAAGCTGCAGGTCGAACAGAAGATTTAAATCGTCAGAGCCTCGAGAATCGCTACGGTGCCAGACGCTCGGTTTCCTCATTCAACTCTGGGCCTTCTCCTCTCGCCCATGCAAACTCTCCTGGCAACGTGAGCGGGTCCTTTTCGCGCACTCCTCGGTCCGGTATGTCGGCTGGTGGGAATGGTTACTTCCCAGGCTCAGCTGGAGGCTCGGGAGCTGTCGAAACTCAGATCCCCGATGACGGTGGTCAGCAGGAAGGCTCTCCAAATCCTCAAGACCCCGGGTTCCTTGATGCTGTGCGAGCATGGTCCCGACTGCGATTCGTCCGTGCCGGATGGATGACGGTTGAAGAGGGTATGGAGTATGTGGCATACTACTACGAAAACCTTGCGCCAATGAGCCCCGTCGTGACTCCCGACTACTCTCAGCCTTCTACACATCGCGTGCTGCTAACGGACGAACCTGTCCTGGCGGTGACTATTCTCACGATTGCTTCCCGACATTTGAAACCTAAGGGTGATGGCGCTAGTACGCGTGCCTTTTATATCCATGATCGTCTTTGGTCATACTTGCGTGGTATGATTGAGCGTCTGTTTTGGGGCCAAGAGAAATTTGACGCCCAAGGAGGTCGCCCTCGATCATTGGATCTTGCGTCGGGTGCTGGCGGTCCTACGTCGAAGGGAAATTTGAGAGCCCTGGGAACAGTGGAAGCCTTGTTGATTCTCACAGATTGGCATCCCCGAAATCTTCACTTCCCCCAGGTGATGACGAGAACACACTTTTGGACAGGGAAGCTCAATCACAAAATCGTACCGACAAGGACCTAGATAATGAAAGTGATCCGACGGGTAACAGAGGCCCATCGGCAGAAGGTCGAGTTGCGTTCCAAAAATGGTTGGAGCCTGCCTGGAGGTCAGACCGAATGTCATGGATGCTATTGAGCACCGCCCAAGCCTTGGCCTTCGAACTTGGTGTTTTTGACCACAAGAGCGAGTCCAAGGGAGTCCCTGAACTGCCCTCTGAACAGGCACGCAAGCGACGCCTTCGACGACTGATACTAGTCTTCATTACACACAGTAGTGGACGACTCGGGATTCCATCTATGCTGCCTCTAACCGAATGGGGACGGGATATTCCGGCGGCTACAAGTGACTTGAAAGACGGTGATTTGGACCTGAATCAGATGCAAGATTGTTGGATGGGTATCTCGAAGATAGTGTACCAGGCCAACCATCAATTGTTTGCTTCCAGCGAGCAAACTTCGGAGTTGATCAGGAGCGGGAGGTATCGCGAACAGATCGACTGGTTCCAACCGCAGTTGCGAGAATTTCGACAAAATCTAGACCGGGTTAATCGTGAGTTCAACAAATAACTGTCTAGACCTCCGGTGGATATAGGCTAACTAGTAACAGTGTCCCCGGCTATGCGAAGCATCCTGATCATTGAATACGAATATACTCGTAAGTTGATCATCTCTCGGATTGTTGTATGACGATAAGCTAAATATTTCATAGGTTTATATGTCAACTCGCTCGCCCTTCAAGCAGTCGTCGACCGTTGGACTACCATGTCAAATGAGTCCTCTGTCCAAGCCCAGACTGGTCGGTCAGGACCAGGGCCATCTGCTGGTAGTACTGGGTGGTTCCGTACTTTGATGGAGCTCTACCGCGTCAACGAACAATATATACAAGAAGTCGTGGATGCTTCACGTAAGATTCTACAGACTGTGTTGGAAGGTCTTGTACCGGGCGGGCGTCTCAAACATGCGCCCATCCGAACGTTCTTCCGCATTTTGTCCGGCATGATATTCATCCTAAAAGTAAGCCCCACCGAATTCTCTGGTGCAAAACGACAACTATAGATCCAAACGCTGACTTTACTCCTCCAGACATTCACCCTCGGCGCCCGAGAAGACGACGTGCGAGTCTCTCTGGACCTGCAAGATCGCACTGTAGAGGCGTTGCGGACCTTCGTCGTTGACGATGTACATATCAGTAACACTGTCGCGCGCCTCTTGGAGCTTCTTACTAGCAGCATTCGAACGCGATTCCTTCGATTCGCACCCCACGACCGTGGCGCCGATGGTGACGGACATGCCTCGGCACCCGTCTCCCGCGCCCAGTCCCCGCCACGAGACAGCATTGCAGGTCGCCCACACACACCTTGGTCATCAACCCAAGATGCAACTCCGAGCGGAGGCCTAGGGGCCTACGTGGACAGCAACGGCGCCGGCGGGAATCCGTTAGCGCCGATCGGATCGGCTCACGATCCCCTAGCCAGTATCCCTGCGCAGCCGATCAACTCGTCAAACTTGAACGTCTCCTTCATGCCGCCTCCGCCATCGGTCTACTACAACTACTATGACTCGAACTCGGCCATGTCGGCGAACGATCTGGAGCGACCGTCATCCAACCACGTTGTCTCCTCACAGGCCGTCGGGGATAGCAACGGGGCGGGCTCTACGTCCGGTGCCTTGCCGGACTGGTTTGCGCTTCCTCTGGATCAATTCTTCAACAGCTCCAGCGGAGCGGTGGACCAGGGTCTAGGCGGGACGGGCCCGATGTTGGGCGAGTTTGATATGTTGGAGGTACTTTTGAACGAAGGCTACGACGGGCACGGAAACGGCGAGAATGAGTCTGGAGGAATTCCACCCCATTTCTTGGGCTAAGTCTGCTCTTCGTGCGCCACGTATTGGACTGGCTTGGTCATCTTGCGGATATGACTCGTACTTTTTCTGTCACATTTCTCTTTCTTTTACCCCGTACAAAACTTTATACCCCAGCGGGATCTTCATGTTGGCGTCGGTTGCATTGGAGGAGGTCTGAACTTGGTCAAGTTCTTTTGTTATTTGTTGATACATTTTGTCCAGGTAGTTAAGTGTTTTAAGGACAATGATTGGCCAGTGCCACAATCTGGATGAAACAGCGCCGTGGTGCCTCCTGCCTGATTCATACGGGCCCGTGGTTTATACTTCGTATTTTGTTTTCTAATTAATATCAGATGACATGTGTCAGGTTGACCTTGTTGTTGGTGGGTCAGTAATTGGTCTCATGCTGGTCATTGCAGAAAAGAGGCGTTGCGGTTGCGGTATTTGCTTCGTTGTGCACGATGAAGTGGCGTTTTCGAACGTTTTTTACTATCCAATTAAGAAGCCTTATAGTTTGTCCACAGATTCTACGGACATTTCATCTGATAAGCAAGATAGTGATAGCGATACAATTTGTCTAATCTTCTGCCCATTGCACTTAGGCGTTCAGAAATCGCCAGTTTACTTGAACTCTAGTTCCTCGAATACTTGAATAGTTTCAATCATCTAATTACCATCTTGATCCCTCACATATCACTTCGCTAATTTGTTTCACCATTCCAGGCTGCTAAATTCCAGACTGTCCCGGCTTCGAGATTAAGGTACCCCGGCCGGTCTCCGTCGGTCTCAAGCCTGCGGGGCACGAGTTTCAACTTCGCGATATGGCAGATCCTCCGCTTTCACATGCCATGCTTAGCGAGCTTGTTCGTTGATCCCAAGCCTCAATTTACATTGTAGTTACTTTTTAGTGAACTGTCGTCATTATCTTTTCAGCCGCGCTAAACTAATACTACTACCGGGTGGCTTGAGTCTGCATGTCTTGGAAATTCTTGGAATCTTCCTTTTTCGGTCACAATGCCAAGTGCTACTATCGTGAGTTGGGTATCGCCCGTCTGTGTGATGACGATGGGACCATGATGGGATAGACTTGCGTGAGATAGATTGGAGCAAGACCGGGAGGTTCCATTGAATTTTTGTTTTCCGGGCATTGAGATTGGTTGACTGGATTCAATGCGAGGTATGAGAGCCACCGACTTCTCCCAGTATGGCTATCACGACATCTACGATGGAGACTCTGCAATGAAGTGTAGGAGAGCACGAAAAAGAAATATGGTAACTTCGGACATGTCGAACGCGCATGAGTCCCGGTATTCTAGTTGGAAGTATAGGGGAAAACCAGGCAGCACTTGCCGGAGTCGGTATCTGCGCCGTACTCTAGAAGTTACTGCATTGTGATGAAGACATACTCTGCCAGCCTATCAACATGAACAGACGCAACATCGTAGTTTGCGCATCAGGGACCAGGGCACCAAGCCCACCGGCGTCGATCCCTGGCCCTGCATCTGGCGCCATCGAGCGAGACAGCCGATCTCCTACGCTATTGGGTTATTGTGGTATAGTCTAATGAAGGGCGATCGCCCGAGGGGATCTTGCACCCGGGGGGTTACGGTGCAGCCTTTTGATAAGTAAGGCGTGTGTTCGTGATAGATCATAGGTCAAGGCGAGTAGCCTAGATCGGGTTAGGAGTGTGGGCATTTGTTTGGCTTACTGCATGGTCCTCCCCGGTCGAGGGTCACATCGGCCGAGTCGATCTTCACTCGGGAATGAGCGTGTGCGTGAAGGCGAATGGAGTGGGGATCCATTGCGCATTGAACATGAATGTATGAATGACTTGAAATGACTCGAATGGGTTGGATATTGGAGGTGTTTGGGTTGGACAGGGTCTAACGGACGTGCAGGGTCGATCTGGTGACGGAGTCCGATCGGGGCGCTGATCTGATTTGCAGGTAGACCGGAAGGGTTAATGTGGAAGATGTAATAGAATAGGCTACGAAGATAGTAGGATAACGGTATAGAGTCATAGTATCATGAATTTCGTAATAGAATCGGGACACTGGATAACACTATACTTGTAATACCATAGGGTTTACTATTGCATAATTCATTCTACTATCAGGCTGGAATATGATTTGACTACACCATTATACCAGCTCAGGCAGACACTAAATAAAAACGATTAGAGATTATTAGGCGTATGATGGCGGTTTCACAATACCCCAGTGGGCCCAAAGAGGAACCTTGAACCCTGAATTTAGTTTCCGTTAAACCTGCGATTAGCTCCTTTCTATCCACTCCCTACCTTCTGTCAATACATACTAGGCATGTCTATACTTTTCCATTTAGGATTGATTCTTGGGAATTTGGTAACCGGAACTGTATGAGAGAGTCTTCTGACTGTTCGCTCACTCCTCTCTACTGCCGTCTAGACTGCCTCACCAGTGGATGGTCGGATCCAATCAAGCCCCCGAGTTTCTCATCCTCATCCAGAATGATCAAGTCAGGTCAAGACGCGATGTGACCCTAAAAGAGAGGGGCAAGCCAAAGAGTTCCTGGTTTCAGTCGATGATTGGCTGCATCTGGAGATAATCGGGCCCTGATCGACATAGCCAAGCCCTCCGTCAACGTCCATTTGCTCATTACTTGACCCTGTCAAATCAACTTCCAACCACCAATAGACACAATGAAATCATGTCCGGACTATCGCTTAGCTCTGAATCTCCGAACTCCACCCTCCATCCATCTCAGGAACCAAGTTCTCGTGTCCAGTCTCGAATGGCGATCGTCAAGCCTCCGCCGAATGGGTATCAAGCTTCGAACGGACTCGTGTCGGTCTTGGCCGGACTTCCCCGTTCTGGAACAATGTGATCGCCCATTGACTACTACTACAGTACTAACGGTAGTAGTTAGTTACCCAAGATAGCTTGTCGCAGTCAAGCCTCTATGCTTCAGAGCCCCGTCGCAGCTGCGGCACCTCCCCCGCCCTCGCTGTCTGCCTGGGCGTCCTTGGCTCTCGTCGCTATCAGACCCATCGGCATGTCGCCATTTCAGCGCGACACTGTCTCATGCTCTCTTTGGCCTTTCACCCCCTGATGTGTCCACCTCTTGGCGGTCTCCGTCTTGCCTTTCTGGCTGGCCGATGGAGTTCCGTGATGATCTCGAAGTTTATGCCCCGGCTGTCCCTGCAGATGCTGGATCGGCGGCCCTGGCTTCCCGGAAGAGCAACATCTCCTGGTTGTCGCTCTCCGGGATCTGGGGCGATAGAGTACCGCTCCACTACTGATACCTTCGAGCCATGTCTACGCCCTGGATCTGCCTGACGGTGGTGTTAATGCCTATCCGCAAGGCCTATAAAGTAGCCCTCATCGCCGGCCGATAGAAGGTCTTTTTTTCAATCCACTCAACTCCATTCTTTCGAGTCTAGAGCCGTTCTTTCTAGAGTTTCATTCTTTTTCTTCCTATTCCCATTCTTTTTACTCCCATCTCCCTGTCATCCATCATGGTTGTCTTCAGCAAGATCACGGTCGTCTTGGCCGGTTTGGCGTCTGTCTCTTCGGCTGTGCCGACGGGCAGCTCGCGCAAGAGCAGCTTCACCATCAACCAGAAAGCTCGCCCCGTTGCTCAGCCCAAGGCTATTAACTTGCCTGGCCTGTACGCTTCTGCCCTCTCCAAGTATGGCGCTGCAGTCCCTGCTAGCGTCAAGGCTGCTGCCGAGAGCGGCTCTGCTGTCACCACCCCGGAGGACAACGACGTGGAGTACTTGACTCCCGTCAACGTCGGTGGTACCACTCTGAACTTGGACTTTGATACTGGATCTGCCGATCTGTAAGTTTTCATTTATCTAATCTTGATATTGCCTGCATTAAAACATTGGCAACGTCAATATACTTACATGAACCTAGCTGGGTCTTCTCCTCGGAGCTGTCCTCATCCGAGTCGTCTGGCCACAGCCTCTACAAGCCCAGCAGCAATGCCACCAAGCTCGCTGGCTACACCTGGTCTATCCAGTACGGTGACCAGAGCTCTGCTAGCGGTGACGTCTACAAGGACACCGTCGTTGTTGGTGGCGTCTCGGCCTCTGCCCAGGCGGTTGAGGCTGCCTCCAAGATCAGCCAGCAGTTCGTCGAGGACAAGAACAACGACGGTCTGCTTGGTCTGGCTTTCAGCTCTATCAACACCGTCAAGCCCAAGTCCCAGACCACCTTCTTCGACACTGTGAAGGGCCAGCTTGACTCGCCTCTGTTCGCTGTTACCCTGAAGCACAACGCTCCCGGTACCTACGACTTCGGCTTCGTCGACAAGTCCAAGTACACCGGCTCGCTCACCTACGCCCAGGTTGACAGCTCTCAGGGCTTCTGGAGCTTCACTGCCGATGCCTACAAGATTGGCTCCAAGTCTGGTGGCTCTATCACCGGTATTGCTGGTAAGTGATGCATTTTTTGATTATCACCCTAGTCTAGAATGAGGACTAACCTTCTATCTCACACAGACACTGGCACCACCCTCCTGCTCCTCGACGATACTGTTGTCTCCGACTACTACGGCGAGGTCTCCGGTGCCCAGCAGGACTCCTCCGCTGGTGGCTACACCTTCCCCTGCTCCGCCCAGCTCCCCGACTTCACCGTCACCATTGGCGGCTACGACGCGGTTGTTCCCGGCTCTCTGGTTAACTATGCTCCCCTCCAGTCGGGCAGCTCCACCTGCTTCGGCGGTATCCAGAGCAACTCCGGCTTGGGCTTCTCCATCTTCGGTGACATCTTCCTGAAGAGCCAGTACGTCGTTTTCGACTCCAACGGCCCCCGCCTTGGCTTTGCCCCCCAGGCTTAAGCGAACGGGTTGATCCCACCGGGCAATGAGTACACTCCTGTGACTCTCTCACGCCGAGGGATTTACCCTGATATAGTGAAAGATATAGTACAGGAGAGGGAAAATTAGTCCCCATGATATTATGGAGCTGGCTAGCAGGCTAGCTTGAATTTTTGGTGGATGAGTGGATTGATACATTTCGTTCTTGATTGATTACCTTTTGGCCTTAAGTCTTGACGCGGCTTGGCTTGTACATGGTGTCTTGAATAATGCGTGCAGCACATAATACATACAACGCATTGTTATTTATTGATATTTCTAGTGGGATTTTGAGTAAGTAGTAGCAAATATCGTAGTATCAAGATCTTTTTTTCTGGGTAAGGTCGTGCTGGAATTCTCATGTCGAGTGCAACTTGACCACGTTCTACATAGTTGTACTCCCTCGGTATAGCAGGAACAGGGGTTCAATCCGTATCCTCTAAGGTTTACCTGTTCATTATAATCCCTGCTACCTACCCCGACTTTGCTTTAGAACACGGAATAACATTTTCCGCCCAAATTGCTGACATGTAGTGCTATCGTTTGGATATATGGGTATACAGTCATTTCGGCCACTTTCCCCCGGCAAAGCCGTAGAATAGTTACAAGACCCGTAAGGCCTCGAAATTCCCGCGATGAACGACAGAGATGGTGTGATCTTCCATCAGAATTCTAGACCGGTCGCGAGATCTGTTCGAAGAATTAGAGCCATGCATGTGTGGAGATGGAGGAATGCCGAGGAGAGCGGCGTGAGTGGGCGACTTGCCCGAGTAGTGGACCGGGTGGCGGGTCGAGATGATCCGCCAAACTCCAGACTTCTTCTCGACCTTAAATCATCCCGCAAATCAATCTGTACAGGACCTGTCCCCGGACGAGATCGCAATACCCCAGGCTACTCCAGTCTCGATCATTATACAACTTCCCGAGTTGCTGGCTTCTCATCTTCTCGGCCAGACCGACACACCTCGCCGCCGACCGATCCCACCAATCGCCCCTGTGAGCTGATTCCCCTCGCTCCCTCTCAGAACGGCTTTTGTACGCGCGGCTCGAAGCCACCCCAGAATGGACGTTTAGGGCAGATTCAGACTTGACTGTCTGTGCAGAGCATTCGATAACGGATTTGGCGGATTTGGACTCGTTATATGAATAGCAGTCCCCGGCCGGCCAAGTAGCCGCCTGGAGTGTCTGATCATGGGAGATGCGCCTCGTGTGACTCCCCGCCAGATCTGGGCGAACCCAACAACGACATCGACGCATACGTATGCTTCAGGGTGTACGCCATTCGTTCTACCTAGCGAAGGTATGCAGATCTCCTAATATCCAGTCGGTTGAATGGGTTGAGCAGACGTCTAGAGTGACCGACCATCGCTCTCCGCCTCAAACCATCTCTGCTTTTTATGCCCGAACTAACCCCGGCACTTGTGCCTGTTTATAGGTATTATACATATCAATAAATCGTACGCCCTGACTTTGACTGGCAATGCCGTCTACGAGCCCGTTTGCACCGGCGACCCAGCCGATTACGTCCATGTCTCCGCCATCCTTGACACTCGCGACCCATTCTACTCCTCCGTCACACCGCAACTTTATGCCATCGGCTGCGCAACCGTCGTCAGCTACGTCCTTGTTATCATCCTCCTCATCACCCCGCGCACATTCTACGTCGGCGGCCCTGGCGGCGGTGCAAACTTCCTCGGGCGTCATGGCATGATCAGCGGATCCTACAGTGGCAACCCATCAGCCGTCGGTGTTGGAGGTCGGCCATGGTTGCAAAAAGTAGCCGCGATTCTCGTTGCGATCTCCTTGACTATCGCAACGGCGGACTCATTCAAAGTCGCCGAGCGCCAGTATAACTACGGGTACTCGGATGCCGAGGCGCTTTCGGAGGAAGTCATTGATGGCACGGAGATTCGCATTGTTCGCGTCATATCCAGCACGTTCCTCTGGTTGGCACAGGTTCAAACGCTGATTCGATTATTCCCGCGACATAAGGAGAAAGTCATGATAAAATGGGCGGGCTTTGCGCTGATTGTGCTGGATACGACGTTTAGCTGTTTGGAGAATTTTATGGTACGGAATACCTCGACACACCCACGATTATACGACGATGCGATTCCTGCATTGAGCTATTTGTTTGAACTGGCTCTCAACTTGTTGTATGCGGCTTGGGTTATTTTCTATTCGATTTCGAAGCACCGGTATGCGTTCTTTCACCCCAAGATGCGCAATATCTGCCTCGTGGCTCTATTATCGCTTTGCGCGATTCTAATACCCGTGATATTCTTCGTGATGGACATTGCAAAACCGGAGATTGCGGGATGGGGTACGTATATCAGATGGGTAGGCTCGGCTGCGGCGAGTGTTGTTGTGTGGGAATGGGTGGAGCGTATAGAAGCGCTCGAACGAGATGAAACAAAGGATGGAATTCTTGGAAGAGAGGTCTTTGACGGGGACGAAATGCTGGAAGTCACTCCTTCAGAAGAGGTCGACTGGCCGCGCTACTCGACGCAAGGACACGACAAGGGGGGTGGAAACGGCACATCGTCAGGATGGGGCGGAATGATAGGGCTGGGGGGTCGTCCGCTGCGCACGCGAGTCGGTATTCCTCGTGGGAATCGGAATCGTGGCAATGGAGTGCTTGGTCAAAACAATGCAGCCATGCCTCCTCGACGGAACCCTCGTCCTACACCCCCACCGGCTGCTGTGACACCCGTCAGTCGGGCTGATACTACCAGTGCCGCCAGTACAGTGTACAATGTTCGATATCATCCAGTGGCTAGCCCGACACCACCCGTGGCAATGCCACATATGGAGGAAGAAGGCGATGAGCTAGAAGAGCAGAAGGAGATGGAAATCGAAGGGGCCCAGGACGCAAACGCTGCCGGACATGATCATTTAGGTCACGATACCAGAGAACAATCACCACAGATTGTTGCCTCTGACCCACGATGGCGCGCCCTGCTCAATCCGTTCAAGAGGAGACGCGGGTCTTTGCCCAAGGAAGTTGCCTCTGCCCAAGCTTGCGAGGAGCAAGACGAGGAAGGTCGTGACTCCGGATCATTCGATGATGATCATCAGCCGCGTCCTACGCAGCCACGGGGTAACAACAACTTCTTCTCCCTCAACCGAAAAAGGCATCCTGGCGCGGGAACGCAAGGTACAGACGCACCTTTGCCTGTTACCGTCATCCCAGCTCGTCGTCGAGGCCAGCAACACACCTGGTCTCCTCAGAATCCTCTGCTGGAAATCCCCACTTCTCATGAGTCCCGGCCTGGCCGCCCTGACCTGCCCGTAAGGGTTATACCCTCTCAACCGCAGGCCTCTGCTCCCTGGACGCATGCGGACCTTGAGAACGGTGATGGAGATTACACTTTGCGTTATGATCCGGACGCCGCTGCATTGATCAACGAAGACGTGAACTGTGCCCGCGATGAGCGCCCTGATACGGGTGACCGAGCCAGTTGGACAGAAACGACCGTTTCAGACGAGCGGAACGATACTCCGTCTGGTCAGGCGGGCTCTCAGCACGACGGTGACTACGGGCACCCTACCTCTTGATCTTGCATTATACCTTCTCCGGGACCAGGCGGGTTGTGTATCTTTGGCTGGCATTGCGCGGTGTTTCTTAGCGATTGGACTTATTATTCGGGAAAGGGTTGGGCAGGCTTGGAGTTTTCAACATACCAGCATTCTATTGAGAAGATTACATACATACATTTAACTTGGAAAGGCTAGGATCTGTGGACATGGGATTTGGGGTTGATTCTTTGATTCATCTAGTACCCGTGTTATATACCCTGGGAAACATACATAATACTTTCAATGCCTTTTTTCGGGTCCTCCGAGTACTCTTCTATGACTTGACATTATTCGACAGATTCCTCTTGAGGTCTATTCTCCTCTTGCGTACTTTTCGAACCCAGGAAAATGCGGGCCATGGTGGCCATGATGATGGAGATGACACCTATATATGTCAGTGAGAAGCAAAGGAAGAGATGGATATGGATAGCTTACTCAATGTCCAGCACATCGTATAATATCCGAAACGCTCCGTGAGAGCTCCGGCGAGAATGGGACCGAGAGTCATACCGCTCGTGGCGGCGACCTCGACCAGAGAAAAGACACGCGAGAGACCTCCACGCGGCCCAAAGATACCCGGGTTCTTTGCCTCTTCAGCTTTGACAACGCCTGCAGATGACTGGTTAGCGGTAGATCTCTCTATGATCGGATAAAAGACTCACAGGTCAATTCTACAGGCCCAATTCCCGAGACGAATGGCCGCAGGGTTCCGAATACGATGCAACAAAAGATATACAGTGCCTTGCCTCGACCGGCCGCACTAGACCATTCGAACTGCTTGTTTCCAGCGAAACCCAGCAAGACGAGGAACACTCCCTGCAGAGTAAGAGCGATGGTAGCAGGGGTGCGAGTTCCAATGCGATCACGAAGATATCCGGCAAGGGGACTGATGGGTAGACCTGGCAGGGACAGGAAGAAGAACATCAATCCGACACGCGAGGGACCCCAGCCAAAGATATCTAACACATGCAGCGGCAGTGTGGCATTGAAGCTTGTATTCAGAGTCGGGCCCCAAACCCCAATCACCAAGGCCGTCATCACACGGCTATTGCCCAGCATCGTCCGCCAGAAGTTCGCAGTCGGAGTCTTCCCATCTTGACGACTCTCTTCCTCACCCGAAGACTCTAACAAGGGATCAGTCTCTTGAGCATCCGCCAAAGTCTTCCCATCCTCTTTCTTCTCAACCATCAACAGTCTCGCCACAACGTCAATCACCAAAATCACCACGGGCACACTCCAAGTAAACCAATATCCTGCCATCTCCAAAATCAAACCCGAAACCATCGGCCCCGTAACCATAGCCGCATTCACAAATGCCATAATAATCCCCATCGTAGTCCCAATCCTCTCCGGCCCAACCGTATCTGCCGCCGTCGCAAGGCCAACAATCCAAGCTCCAGACCCCGAAATCCCCTGCAACACGCGCCCGCCGAAAAAGACACCCACGTCCGTGGTACAGGCTACCATGAACGTGCCCACGATACAGCCTGCCAGCGCCACGAGGAATGGGATCTTGCGGTTGGGCGCTTTATCGGCTAGGTGGCCGATGAGAGGACCACCGAAGGCGGAGACTAGACCGTGCAACGCCAGTGAGATGGATGTTAGGCGTTGGGTTTGCTTGGGATCTTGATGCATGCGTTCCTCTAGCATGTAGGGTAGCATCGGGACGAGGAAGCCATAGAGGAAGATTTCTGAAAAATGGGTTGGGTGTGGTTAGTGAGATTTCTGATGAATAGATGTGGGCTATATAACGGTGCAGTGAGAGAACGAACCGATGAAAAGGGCTAGGGCGACGGTGGCTAGAATGAACCATTTCGCTGAACGCCATGTCCAGCGTGGTGAGCTGGTCTCCGAGTCTCCAGTGGTAGTCATTTTGCTTTGTTCTTGTAGAGGCGCGGTGACCGACTATTTATGTCCTGCTTTACAGGATGAGTCACGCCGTAGCGATGCCAAGTAGGATATAGTTACGATAGAGCGATGCAGGTATTATATTTCCGGAGAGATCTGGAATATGCTCTTATCGTTGGTGGGTGTGTTTCGACATCGAAGGCTCCCGCTCGTCTCTTGAAGAAGATTGAAAATCTCACTTTTTGCAGGTGTCGCGGGGGCGATGCAGAGCTGGAGGCTCCGCAGCCTCGGCCTTCTGCATTGGACTGCGTGGGGACTTTAGTGTATGTAACCTCGAGGGAGATAGGGTGGACCACGAACATCGAGCTTATCAGATGAAGGTTAGGTAGTGAATACTGACAAGTGTAGATTGTATATAGAGTGTTAAACTTTGTATAGTTGAGAAGCCAATATTTCGAATTGGCAGGACAGACTCGTGGGAAAAGCAACGATATCCACCTTTGATACATAACATTGATTAAGCTAGAATGCCTAATATCATAGTGTCTATCTCAATGCACATTAAGTGATTGTATTAAATTATATTCATTGTTTCTAGAGAGTTCTATCAGGTATGTTCCTCTATACCTAGTGTATAACTATAGTTGACAGGAAGTATTTAGTCACCGCCTTATTCAAGACCCTGATATTTAGTCTGATATAGCTCTAGAACTCAAGACAGTATTAGAAATGATAGATGAAGCTCTGACCTAATTTCCATTCAGCCACGATTCTTCATCCAACTAGCCACATTTCAACTAGACTCCGCTGGGTAAACCCTCATCTCCTAATAGCACGAGTGTCATTCGAGGATTCGCCAGATTCAAAGTGGGGCGAGACTCTCGGCCTTGCCGTTCGGGAACTTTTTGCTCCGAGCCATCCTCCCCCAGACTGGATTTCCATTCGAAGCCCCCTCGTCGATCTTCCCAGTCGATGCTGTGCCACGAGCCTGATGTCGCATCATGGCGGCCGTCAATCAGAACATGTTCGATGCCAGCATCGCGATGGACCGTCCTGGTGGGGCCTCACTGATGTTGCTTCCACTCAACTTGATTGCCCAGATTGTGTCAAATGTCAGTTTCCCCAGTATCTTAGTGATTGATGATCGTGTAACTGACTTGCCACCGCTGCTAGGTCGAGGATACCGGTGACACAGCGCGACTATGCCGAACATGTCGCGTGCTCAACTATATGGCCCTCCCCCAGCTCTACCGCAGCTTGACCCTGACCTCCTACGATAAAATCCGCTATCGCGGTGAGCAGCCCGAAGGTAGCGGGAGCGCAAGCCCATTTACGATGGGCCTCAACGCCGTGATTACGAGACCGTATGCGACTCTTGTGCGATCGATCACTCTGCGCGGCGATTGGAAGGAAACCGACATCGAGGAACACGCGCAGGTTGGGCGGGTACCTGACTCCTCGATGCTGTTGAACATTGCGGTGCGGGCAGCCGTCGATCGCATGACCAACCTTGAAACCTTCAGTTGGGAACTCAACACGAAAATGCTCGAAACCGTCTATATAGGGTTAACCAAGCTACCTAAGCTGACCTCATTAACGATTCGATTCCCCTCTACCCGTCACCCACAACCGACATTCGTGCTTCCGGGCATGCCGAACTTGCGCTGCTTGAAGATCACCGACATCGATCCCTTGTGCTACCCGGATGACATCTCGACCATCCTCTTGAAAAGCAGGAAGCTACGCGAGCTGAAACTCCACTGGTCGCCTCGTATGCGAATTGCGCAGGAACCCAGCGTATCACTCCACGATTATTTCCGGAAATGCACTGCCGCGAAACAACCCCTCTCCGTCAAAAAGCTCTCCTTCCAAAATTTATATGCTTTTCACAGTGAAGAATTTGATTTTTCGTTCGACCCCACAACCGTTGAAGATGTGACATTTTTGAACGGATCGGATACCGTCGGTTTGATGAATACTTTCGTCGAGAATAGCTGGCCCACCGTTATGCCCGATCGAAAGCTCAAGATCAGATCCATGAGGATGGATACGGTATCGAAGCGGAATTCAGAGTTTATAGGAAACTTCAAGGGCCTTGAGCGATTATATTTTGTCAATGTCTTCGATAACTCACCCGACTACCTCAATTCTCCGCGTCCAGGCATGGGTCCTGCCTGCGCCGCGTTAACACCGCCAATATCAGATTCTCCTGCTGTCAATGGTACCACGGCAAACTCTCCAGCTACGGCCGCTTCTCCAGCTAGCCAGCTGAATATTGCAATCAGTGTGCGAGACAGTTATCTCGCAAATATCACCATAAATCACGGTGCAACCCTGCGCCATCTGCTTCTTTGCTCAAAGTGGCCCCTTTCCACATCCATGATCGCTCGTCTTGTGCACAGTTGCCCCAACCTCGAGCAACTGGCTCTCGCAACCGACTTTTCCAGCATGGACTCGCTTGGAATGCTGGTCCCGTTCCTCCGCAAGCTGGTTGCCCTCCGACTTCTCATTCCTGCCGGTTCTCCAGCACCCCAGAGTGGTACGAATACCAACGCCCCATCATCAGCCACTAGTGCCCACGCCGGAGACCCATATCTCAAGTCGGCGGTCCCCAACTCTGTGGCCAATCCACACTTGATCGCCAAAACGAACTTGTACCAGTTTCCCAAGGAGATTGAAAACATTATCCTCAATGCGCGCAGTCTCGCAGACATTGTCGATCTGGATGACGAGTTGCTCATTCAAATGATGAGCTACGACCTGGCGGACCACCAGATCTTTGGCAATGTGAAGGTCGTAGGGATGGGCTGGAAAGCCTTCGAACTGCGCGATCTCTACAAGACGCCTATCCCCACCCGCGCAACCTCCGAGACCCAGTCACCTTCGTCGGCCGTTGAGACCGCGACTGCAGAGGAGCAACTGAGACCACCCAATGGAATGAATGGTCATTCAGCCAACGATTACGGTTCACAACACCGGTCCGCTCCTACTCCGTCCAAATCTCCCACCGCACCCTGCACCACCCCCGCCGGCAACATACCTTCCTCTACGCTAGGAAAACGCACACGAGATGATGATTACGACACTACCTATCAACCTGCCCCGCCCGCTAATGACACGGCACAGACCTTTGATCACCCTTACCGCGATCCGAGCCTGGCGAATTGTGGACACTTCCCGCCCGTTATAACCAACGACGGATTCGTGTACAGACGGCACATGCGGCGAGTTGGCTGGGAATTCCTGAAAAATTGGGAAATCTGGGCACTCGATGCCCAAGAAATTTGAGGTTCAACCGAGCCGCAAAAGAAATGTTTTCATTTCTCGGCATTCTCTTCGCTTCTTTTTATTTATCCTCTCAACTCCTACGATACCTGCGCCGTTTATACTTTACATCATTAAGCGACATATGGAGTTTTTGAGTTTACGGGGTCACTAGGCTGATTTTGTGTTTTCATTTCGGGGATTTTCCATTACCGGGTTAGAGTGGTAGAGTGGGAGTCGGGAGGGTTGGCTCTAGATTGGGTGGATTGGGTGGATGACAGTGATCGATCTGCTTATTGACATAGCTACGAACACTCGTTGTATGAATATCTACCATTAGAATATAATTGAATACTCTGAACGTGGCCCCTTTGAACAGTGTTTCTGCACGGTTCTAGTTCCATGTGGGTCCCACGGCAGGTGACAAGCTTGGAGATAGCTTGTTAGCATGGCCGCGTGGCCTAATTCGAGGGGGAGGTTAATTCTTTTATTTCCGGGGCAGCATCGTTAGAGAACTATCGCTACGTTTGCAATAACCTGATAAACATGATGTGGGGTTGATGTTCAGGGCCTTTCAATCAAGGCGGAAAGACCCAAGGCATTCCTATATTGTGCGAAAGTCTCGACCAATAATCGCAAACTAAAGATATGACTACTTCCAATGCCCTGGGATTTCTCAGCCAGACGATTCTCCTTCATCAGTGTTTTGTTAGTGTTAAATCGGACAGGAGGAGAAAGGATCCCCGGATATGAATTCAGCCGCGCCAGCCCTAAACGGGATTTTGACTCCGCAGGATCCTCTCGACGCAGTCAAATCATTGGCTGTTCCTATACATCGAAACCACTAATGCGAATCTAAATCAAGCTTGACGTACCTGCATAATGGATGAGATCTGGAGTCTTCGTCACCAACAGAGGGCTTGGCTTGTTAGTCAATTATCCGAATAAACTCCTTGTGACATGGTCCGTTCAGTATCCCCACAATTCTCTAATTTAGACTCAACAGTGGACACTTCTAGCTATGTGCCAGGGCACTTTTGCCTAACAGGGCTGAACAATATAGTTGTTTTGAGGTGAGAATGACCCGTTCATCATCATCGTGGGTGGTTATATTCCTCGATTCCCAAGCTTCAAATCGATCTATGTGCAGGTTCTGGGGCCGAGTCGCGTGGCTTTCGGCCTACTCTAATGGCTTTGGGCTCCAGCACTACGGACATACCAACAAATCTTCTATCATATATCTGGATCCTTGGCTCTTCTTGGCACGCGTCGATCTTGCTCAAACTTTCTCTCATGGTGGAGTGCCTCAGGGGAACGGGTTTTTGGGGATGCCGTCTGTCCGGTGTGGCGTGGCCGCGTCATGATCATGACGACGAGTATAGAGCAGTCTCTCAATATCATGTACTACTTAAAGATACAGGACTCGATTCCAAAGAGACTACAGCTCACAAGGCCTTCACTCCTTTCTATACGATCCCCTTCTTGAGCCGCCATGCATTTCTCCACTCTTTTGCTGCCTCTGGTAGCTTCTCTTGCCTCGGCCGCTCCGACGACCTCTAGCTCGGATAAACCTACTGTGACCCTTGACTATACCACCGTTCAAGCTGCAGCTGGTAACGAGACCCTGGGGTACTACAAGTACCAGAACATTCGTTTTGCTGCCGTGCCTACCGGGGATTTGCGATTCGCCAAGCCTCAATGGCCCTCCAAGGAGTCCGGAGTCAACAACGGCACGACCTATGCTACGGCTGATGTTGACTGTTCCTCGGAAGAGGACTGTCTGTACATGGATGTGTGGGCACCGGCTAATGCCAAGGGCAAGAAACTGCCCGTCTTGGTCTGGACCTACGGCGGTGGTTTCACTGGTGGCTCCAAGTCTCAAAACACGCCCGAGGGTCTGTTCGACTTGTCTACTGAGTTTGTGTTTGTGGCCTTCAACTATCGTCTCGGTATTACTGGTATTGCCAACTCTGTGACCGCCGTCCACCAGGGTGCTACCGACAACGTTGCCCTGTATGATGTCGAGCATGCCTACAAATGGGTGAAGAAGTATATTACCAAGTTCGGTGGAAACCCCGATGACATCACTGCGTTTGGCTTCTCCGCTGGTGCCAGTATGCCACTTTTCCAGATTACTCGCTATGGTGGACACAGCGAGCAGCTCTTCAACAAGGCCTACATCACCTCTCCCGGCTTCGTGCCCGGCGCGGGCCACCACCAGGGCGAGATATTCTGGCAAAACGTCTCGACTGCCGTTGGTTGCACTGGCGGTGATCTGACTTGTATGCGTGATATTGCCTTTGCCAACCTCACCGATGCTGCCACCGATGTCTACGACACTTACGGCTACCAATTCCAGCCCCGCGTGGACGGCGACTTTGTTGCCGATACCTACGAGTCGCAGCTCTACCAGGGCCGTTTCAACTGGGATGGTCCGCTGGTTATCACTCACGAAGAGCACGAGAACAACGGCTCGCCTACTTCCGGTGTTAACACTACTGCCGATGTCGAGGCTGAGCTTCGCGCCTTCTTCCCGGCTATCACGGATGATGTTGTTGCGGAGATCATGGAGGTCTTCCCCGAGTCTGACTATACTAGCCCCGGCTACCGCTTCGCAGACATGCGCCAGTCCTTTGATCTTACTGCTCACAACTACGCGCTCACTCGTGCCCTGAGCAACAATACCTGGAATGCCATGGTTGCCCTTGAGCAAGCTACTCACGGTACTGACCAGAGCTACTACTGTATGAACAGTCACCTCCATTTGTTATCAACAAAAGAGTATTTGGCTAACTTATATGTCGCAAATAGGGTATAGTACTTACTCCCTCTCTTCCAGCAGCTCCAGCTCCGCTGCTTCCGGTGCTGGCGTTGCTATCAGCAGCGCTTCCTCTGTCAGCTCGACCGTTGCTGTACGTATAATCCCTCAAAGCCTTCTGCGAACGACAAGTTATAGCTAACATTTAATTTTCATAATACAGCGCAAGATGCAAAAGTACCTCCTCTCCTTTGTCCTCACCGGCAACCCCAACACCAAGTGGGCCAGCGACAAGGTCTACTGGCCCAAGTATGGCAGCAATGCCACCGAGCTTGTCTTCAACTCCACCATGTATCTTCAGGAGGATGACCTTGCCAATGCTAAGAGCACTTACTGGAACAAGGCTCTCTGGTACTAAATAACGCTGGATGGCGAAGCATTGGGGAGTCAACTCACTTCGAAGTGATTGGCCAGGCAATATGTTGGTTCATGACGCTTTGTATTAGTACCGTCAAATTTATTTTAAGACCCTCTGAGTACGGAAAAGTCTTCTTTGTAACTTTTAGATATCGTCCTTGAGTTTTGCCAAGGAAACCTCGTCTCCCAAATCTGTCAGTTATCCACGCTATGACAGCAATTCCAAAACAAATTCTGTCACTGCCCTTCGGCAAGGCGAGCAACACTTGTATCACCGGCAACTGCAACTCCCACAACTAGAGGTTCCAATAATCGAAGTGGATCCATATTTATATACAGGTCCATTTGAAAGCGACTATTAATGTAGACTGTGTGCATAATTCATTGCTTGTTAAATAACATAGCAAACTGATTGCGGGGTTTCTACTTGCGAGGGATCGCATGGAGCTTCACCTGGGAACATGAAGAAAAAGATCTGACTTGAGAAAATGATATTTGCGATTATTGACATTTAGTCTGACTACGGAAAACAGAAAACGTAGCCTTACTGTCACAAATGACATCAGCTCAAGACTCAAGACTACCGTGTCCCACGATGGGTGACTCTGCGGCCGATTCGTTAGGCCGCGAAGTTGATAGAAATCACCCAGCTACCTGCTTAACTCGATTCAAACCCTGACAAGAAGTCTAGGCAAAGGGTGAGCCACCGGAGCCACCAGGGCCGGACGAGCTTCCAGATCCTCCGGAAACACTGTCAGAGCCACCACCAGATTCAGCAACGCCACCGCTGGCGGTATAAACAAAGCTGTAGTTTGGATCATAGGTGGCAGAAGTGTCAACAGCAACGGTAGTCCAACCAAGCAGGCCATCGCTCAGATTATCACCGAGCCAGACGTAGTTCAGAACCGGGTCCGAAGTAGTACCCTCGGTCTCATCAGAGAAGACTCGGTCCTCGGCGTTGGTGGTAAGAGTGACGGTGTTGGTACTATACGGAGAAGTTGCCTCAACCTCGGTGATGAGGTCCTGGTCCCAGAAGAGCTGGCCAATATGAGCGACGGTGCCGCCAGTGATAGTTCCATTGGACAGGACAGTAACGTTCAAGTGGGCGACAATGTGGTGATGGGTAGTGCGTCCGGAGTAGTGACCAGGGAAGAGAGTGTCGAAGGACACCACTCCATCACTATCGGTGGCCTGGATACCACGCAGGAAGGTTGCGTCGATGTTGGAGGTATCGGCAGTGTTGCCATTACCCTGAGAGACGACGCCAGAGTAGACCCCAGTAGCATTGCAGTTCCAGATGTCAGCGTAGAGATCTTCGATACCCTCGCAGGTATTGACATCGACAAACTGGACATCGAAAATGACCGGCACGCCCTCCTGGCTTTCGCGGAGCTCGGATCGAACCAATTCGCCCTTGACGTAGAAAGGACCGGTTTCACCCTCTGGGTTAAGCACGCAGGTGGAACTGCTGCTGAACAGAGAGTCCGCAGAAGTGTCGGCAGTAATGCTCGAGTCATCAACCAGATGAGAGGTGGCGAGGACATCGGAAGTATCACGGGCGGCCACACGACGACGGTGCAGATCGTACAGGCTACGACGACGAGCCTCGGCACGAGCATTCAGTCCGTTGGCCTCGAATCGCTTGGCACACTTCTCAAGGCCACGGCGAGTATGCTTTCGGAACTCACGCTTCATCATCTCAGCTCGGGCATCGTGCTTCTCGTGTTCGCCTGGGTGAGCCAATGCGAATGGAATAGTCATGCCAACAAGGCAGACGTTCCACAGAGCAGTGAATCGCATTTTGAAGAGATACACAGTTTTCTTTTCAAGACAGGTAGAATGAAGTTCGCTTTGCTGGAGAATGCTTTGCGAATAGTCATTGTTCTTGCGGCCATGAACACCCCTTTTATACTTCTTCTTTCGTGATACCAGGATAGTTGTGTCTTCGGTTTGTTTCAAATCGGTAATTCGCCATCCAAGGACGTATAGATCGCCATGACTAGATGACGACGTCTGTTTCCCCCCAGGGTATCCTACTGCTGCGTAAATTGCCGCTCGTAATTGGCTTGGGAGTATTCAGGATTGCCAAGACGAAACAGGCCAAGCACTCGCCAAGCAGGCTAAGAGGTCGGCCACGCACCCCCGGATTTCGACCTTGCCCATTCCGCTGCGGGGTTGGTAAATATTCATCCGCCAGGGTGAATGTGAAAGCTCTTTGGTGGATATTGAGGAACCACGATAGGCTCGAGATGCAGCCACTCGGCACTGCCAAGAATATCATGAGTAGTGATCGACATGAGGAGAAGCGGAGTCCCGGAGCTAAGGATTAGCTCAAAAGTTGAGTATACGAAAGAGAAAAGAGCTATAGGTGTCAAGCTTTGCAAAGGTCTTCAAATGAATATTTCATTAATATAGCGATATAAATTTCTCAGTTGTATAGGGACTTGCCAGTAGCAACTTTCAGAAAATTAAAGCGGCTCTATCTACTTGATGGAAGTTCTATACATATCGACACCAGGTTGAGGAAGCATCAATATGAAACTATGTATGCAGCTATGCCAAGAAGAGAGCGGACAAATCACCAGTGGAAAATTACTCATGAGGGGGCATTCAGAGAGGCGTAGGCTGAAACCCTTTGTCCGATATGCATATTGCCTACGAGTCTTGCAGATGCAGGTACTGGATCCCCATGTAGATCATGTGTGCGTGTCGCTTTTGGAACGGACACTACTCTGATCGACTGCATATGTCGCCGACAAATCAAACCCATGCGATGAAAGCCCTGAGACGCGTCAGCGGCAACGGGAAAATACCATGGCGGGAATATCTGACGGACTCGGGGATATACTCAGGTGTTTATATGCATGTTTCCCCGGCGCTAGCTACTTGTTGCATGAAGAAGTATAGCCTTACGCCACGATTAACTACCTTGGAGCCCAGAGTAGGTCTGGATTCTTATCATCAGGCATATTCAGATCTCGGAGCACCTCCTCGCCGCTGACTAAACAATCTATCCCTGTCCAGAATAAATGAAAAGTCTTGATTTGTGTTAGTGAGTTTAAGGGATCGTCTTTTCTTGGCTAGTAAGCGAGCGAGATGGCAAGGGATCGCCGTAGCTTGAGGATACTCTAATTTTGTGGAGTGGCTCCAGCCGCTCGGGTGCCACATCCTATGTTTACCTCTCTAGAATTCTAAGGTAGCTGCCATATTGGAGTCGACTTCCAACAAGTCCTATGCTTGGCTCACAATGAGGCTGATTGGTGCTATTCTGATTGATTCTGGCTTGTGAAAAATGAGAAACGTAGATTAGAGCTTTCTCTTCAGGGAAAATTATTCCGTCTTGATTGCTACTCTTGTGTCGTTGGATTCTACAAACAAGATGATGGCGTCTTTCAAGGACAGCATATTACGAATTGACTTCATTAATTAGTCTATCCTTTCTTGCCACCGGTAATGGACCTAACTCATCGTTTCACTCATTCTTGGCATACATTTAACGATGTATATAGTATGGAAAGAAAACGAATAGATCCACAAATCAGAAACCACATGTCTTGCTTCGTGATACTCGATACAAAGCTCGAGGTCAACTTATTAGGGCCAAGCCCAGTTTGGACTTCGACCAGAGAGGAATATTCCAAAATTCTGCATTAACTACCCTCTTCTTATAGATCGTCGTGTTTGATTTCAATATTTCAAAAGTGATAGATGAGGACACCCCCGGATAATTTGCTTGATAAATTCCATGTCGCCGACCACGTAATATCTGCTATAGCAGGAAGTCATGCAAGCTGGAAACTTATAAAACTTAGTAGAGACGCCTTGAACGCCTCCATGGTCGAAAAATCTTTTCTGTAAAGTATATTATGAGCGGATACGAGAATTCTGTCGTTCCTGAGCATCTTCTTTTCCTGTCATGGACTTCTGTATGTTGCGTCTCTTATATTTGTCATGTTTTCTGAAGTCCATGTGCCCCATGCAACGGCCAAGTATAACAATATAGCCCGCTGAATACCACTGATTCCAAGGCTTGCAGCCTGCTAGAGGAAAAATCAAATTAGCCGGGTCTTTCGGCAAATATCCCAAGTAGGGACAACCTTCACTCACGTTGTTGTGCTTGCGGGGTGGCCCCGCTCCTCCTCTGCTGAATTAATCAATGACTGACCTGTCCATTCAGCGAAGTTGAAATACGTGTTGACCGGATGATGGCCCGTTTACCCGGCTAAGTGGGGTCGAAGTCCAGCACACAAGATCATCATGAATGGTACAATGTCTCTCATCCGCTGACGACCTGCGCATTGACAACCCTGTTTGGGGGTGAAATCAATGCGTGGGGGACGCACAATAACTGGTTAGGAATCGGCATTCATTCCGATCCTTAATCATGAGTCATTGTCTGCTTCCCTTTGCTTTCCCCATAGGTGGCTCACATGATTCTCTGCAGCTTACCAGAGGCCGAATTTCTCAACCGATTTCTCTCATTCTTCCTGAAATATTTCCCTCCTGATAGCACGATCCAACATCCCCCTCGCCTCGACTGAAATATCACCCCGAAGAGTGCAGGTTGCTGTCAGTATCGGCAAGCCTCCGTTGAATGACTGCGAATATGGCTACCTCAACTGCGACCACGACCTCCGTGTCAATAAACAATTCCACTTTCAGGTAGACTTTCCACCTTGATACTGGACGGGCGCAAGCTAAACAACTGGGGATAGACTCACAGGACCTTACGGTGACTGGCGTGATGACCTGCAATCTCAAGGTTTCGCGGTTGTAAAGAATGCAATCGCTCCTGAGAAAGCCAAGTACTATCAACAAAAAGCGCTGGACTGGCTCACGTCCTTCAATACTCCCCTAGATCTGAAAGATCCATCGACATGGACGGTCGAAAACCTACCGTTTCAAGGCAAATCAAACACTTTCAACAAATATAGTGTTGCTCATGAGAAGTTCATGTGGGAGGCGCGTATGGAACCCAAAGTTCTAGATGCCTTTTCCAAAATCTGGGGAACTGATAAGCTACTTGTCTCTTTCGATGCGTTGAATGTCACTTTACCAAACATGGTGGACAAACCCACCCGAAAGCCTTGGCCACATGTGGATCAGTCGCCCTTACGTCGAGGCCTCCATTGTATTCAAGGCATTATCAACTTGAGCCACGCCGGTCCCGAGGACGGATCTCTAATTGTACTTCCACGGTCTAATACGATTACCGAACACTTTTTCGATACTCAGACCGACTCATTAACTTGGGATAAAAATGATATTCGATGGATTAGTGAGGATGAAATGAAGTGGTTCCAAGCGCGCGATATGAAGCCCACAAAGGTTATGGCGGAGCCTGGCGACTTGATTCTATGGGACTCGCGCACCATTCATTGGGGCGGGGAGCCCAGCGCTCAAAGCAACACAATTCGAACCGTTATTTACGCATCGTACTCGCCAGCGCACTGGGCGACTGCAGAGGCACTTGAGCGAAAGAAAGAAGCGTTCGAAGCGTTTCAAGCAACGACACACTGGGCTCACGATAATATTGTCCCCCGCGAAAAAGAAGCTTATCTCCCCGATGGAAGTCTGGATTCCCGCAATCGGTCTAGACCTCTCGAGGAACCAGAACATACCGAGCATTTGCTCCGGCTTGCAGGGGTCAAGCCGTATTAATGCCATGAGCCGAGGCTTGAAAGCTCACAGGGCTATTAGATGAATTCATAACAAGTTGCATTAATTATTCGGTACTTTTGCCCACTATTATGACGGGAGCAAATTGTGAGCTATCATAATCTCTTGTCTACGGCTCTACGCGAGGTTCTTTGTACACTAGCACGTTCCACTTAGCGTCCGAGATAGCCAATCATCACCTTTAGTTAGACCTAGGCTTACGAGGCCCGCAATCATCAAAAGGCAATCAAAAGGGAACAATCTAATTGTCTAGTGCCCGTGACTATCACGTGAGACCACATCAAGAAAACAATTTCTTTTGACTGAGGAACTCTTTGTTATGGCGAGCGAGGTTCTCGGATCTATTGTTAGCACAACTAAGATTCTCCCGTAGAAGATCACCCGAACCAGCGAAATGCTAGTCGCGATCTCGATAATTTGTTGTATATCGTCGTCCTTGTGTATTAGCTACTCAATATACCGATCAGATACTTATCTTGGTTTCATGGCGGGCTGATCCAAATCCATCCATGGTCTGAGCGGAGCCCCGCTACGCTTATGCTAACAACCCCCCCTGGCCTTTCTTTCCCTCCCATGCCGTTCAGACCCTCAAATTCACGATCGCGTCGGCGTCGAAACTCCTAGCTTTAGCCTACGAAAGAAAACTGTCGCAATCATGGCCGACAAGGAAGATGATATCGCGGTGGTAAGTGGTGCACAAACGGCCTGTCGGAGCTATTCTCACATCCCGCTCAGGACCCCTACTTCTACTCGATGAAGGGTAACCAGGAACCGGATGATTTTCGGTCGTGAGTATCTCCTAAGTCTATCTGTTGAATAGCTGTCTCACTTTATTACTAGGGAGACTACCTCAATCGCATCGACAATCGCAAAGGGGCGCTTGGAAAATGGCCGAAGGTCGGCGCATTCCAGCCGTGGCCTAATTCATTGACTAACGGGGATCATAGATATCAAGCGACAAAAGAAGACAATTATTGGTTGGTCCCGGCGTCTTTATATCCAAGACTCATTGATTAACAATGTGTAGGGGCCCTTCTGATGAGCAACAATTCGAGGCATTCGAGATCAGGTGAGTTTTGTCCCCAGTGTCATCTTCTCGTATCTCTGGAAAGCGCAAAAGATTATTGACACAATAAGCCATATCTTGTTCCTTGTGTTGGATTACAACCAACCGAACCCTCTTTTCCGTGCTCCTATAGGCGATTCGCCCAAGGTAAATTTACCATACTTCGACCTTCTCCACTTGCAAATAGCTGATCTCCCGGGATAGCATATTCTTGACATTGGAACTGGAAAGGGAAGCTGGGCAATGTAAGTCAATGAAATCGGGTATGAAGAAAGTCTCTAATAATTGCATAGTGACGTTGCGGATGTCTATCCGTCAGGTACGGGAATTCTGATCACGACGTCGCACGAGGTCGCTCTATTGTCAGATTAAGAGACTAACACACGACAGCTACTGTCCGCGGAGTGGACCTTTTCCCTCCTCCTGTGACCTGGATGCCTCCCAATTGCGTCTTCGAGGTGGACGACGTTCTCCGAGAGTGGACATGGAGAGAGCCATTTGACTTTATTCATTTGCGTATGATGTATGGAAGCTTCGACGAGGAGGGATGGAATCAAGTGTACAAGCAGGCATACGAGTGAGTATTAACCATTACTGCTTGGCAATCATAGACGTGAAATCCGAGTTCTCATGTTCTTTCTTTATAGCGCCCTGGAGCCAGGTGGCTGGATCGAGCAAACGGAGATGGATATCCGAGTTCGCAGCGACGACGGTACCCTGAAACCGGATAGTCTTCTGGCTGGTTGGGGTGACCTGTTCCTGAAGTGCTCCGAGAAAGGTGGCCGGTCACTCAGAACCCAGGAAACGATGCGCGCCGCAATGGAGGAAGCCGGCTTCGTGGATGCACATGAAGATCTGTTCAAGATCCCTCTAGGCCCTTGGGCCAAGGACAAGATCCTTAAGGAGGCCGGACAGCTCCAGTATGCTCACTGGAGCGCTGCTATCGAGGGCTGGGCAATGTGGCTTCTTACTAAGTTTGGAGACCCTGAGCCGTGGACTCCGGATGAGGTGCAGATCTATCTGGCCAAAGTGCGCGCGGAATTGAAGGATCCACACGTCCATCGCTACGGATATTGGTGAGCTCTCTTTCTGCATGACTATTTTTTCTATTAATTCATTTGCTAACAAAACTAGTCGCCGTGTGTGGGCGAGGAAGCCTACTGTAGAGGAATTGATGGCAAAGGCGCCGAAGACTGAGGAAGCAAACGTCAAGAGCGAGCCATCGCCATAAAGCTGCATCTTTTCTTCCAGACTATCAGATTGAAGCCAAAATTGTGTTGGTTGATATTCTACAAGATAACATTGACCGTGTGAAGTACTTTACTTTCAGTGTGGTTTATTGAGATCTACCTGTGATTTAAGTGGCCTTGCCGAGGCAGTTCTTTTTGGGTCCAGATTATCAATAATCACTCGAGACCTAGCCTTCATAGCCCACGTATGCCCTTGAAAGCTTCTCACGAACCCACTAGTTGAAACAGTCTTTATTAGTAACAGAGTATGGCATTCTCGAAGCTTGTCACTTACATCACCAGCTTTGAATGGGGATCTACAAGGAGGATTATCGCTCGATGTATATTTCTCCAAAACGGAGACCGTAGCATCGTAGTCAACGCCAAAGAAGAAAGGGATCGAATATCGTTCTTCCCCCGACAGATTGTTGACACGGTGGATGGTCGACTTGAAAGTTTTGTTTGTCCTTTGAAAGTTAGAACACTCGAATGTCAGTCTTTACTATTGAAACTTACCAAGTAGACAAGCAGTCCGCAATATTGACAACTAGTGTTCCTGGGATAGGAGGTGCCAGAATCCAGTCACCCTTATGGTTAAGTATTTCTAGACCAGGGACTTTGCCTTGAGAAAGGATTGTAAAGCATTCCCAATCCTACATGTGATACTGAGCCAGGATTCAACGTGAACGAAAGTCTAAACGTTAGCTTACCGTGTGCGCTCCAAGACCTTCTTGTACTTCCCCTGGTACCGGCTGGGCGGGGTAATGCATCATTCTTGAGGTCACTCCTGGAGTCCGGATGCTAGAATCAAAGTACGTTTCCGGTAACCCAAGTGCAAGAGCAAATATCTTCATCATCTTGCGGCAAAGATCCAGAGCTGAAATGCAGTATTGAACGTATGTCTCCGAGAATCCGGCAATTGTCTCCTCGTCTGGCCACTGGTTGTCTCCGTAGAGTTCATAGGGATCTGGAGGAAGGGTAGCATCTTTGGGCTTGCTAGAGTCCATAGCAACTTCGTAACCGATGTCAAATGCCTCTGAGAGCACGCCCACCGCTTCCTCCTCTGGAATAGGATCATCTTCAGTGCCCGTGGACTTTTCGCCGCCTATCGGGCTGTATCCGCGGAATTTCTAGTGGAAGGTTAGCACGCCAATACATCTCTACCCAGATGAATGGTGATAAATGGTAACCTGGGAATTTCCAATATAGGATTTCATCTTCTCCTCCTCGGGAAGGTCGAAGAAAAGTGCTGCCGCATTGTGGATCCCATTCACCAGCTCCTCTGGAATTCCGTGATTCTGAATGTGCGAGACAAATTAGTACCCGAATTTGACGATGTCTTGCAAATGGTATATTGTGACGCGCCATATTCTCATACCTTGATATAGAAAAACCCAACCTGCGAGCAAGCATCGAAAATTGTCTGAGCAAGCTTCTGACGCTCCTCAAGAGATGCGCTGTCTATGTTCGATAGATCGATAACAGGAATATGGTCACAGTTCGCAAGCTGCGAAGAATCAGCCTGTTGGCTCATGATGTTTCTTGGCTGCGTCAGGAGTCGAAAAAGTTCGTGGTGAATGAATTGTCTATCGAGGGGGGGGATTTGTGGTCGTAGTTGCTCGGCCGAGGAAGAATTGAAGAACCTATCTTATCTTCCGGCGGCGTACCCCTCATATCTCCGCATCGTTTACTCCTTCCAGTCTGAGCATTAGTTAACGCCTCCGTTAGCCGAACACGTTGGGCTCTAAAACTTGGAATATGTTGTCAGGGGAAAGCATGTCTCCTATGGTCTCCATGTGGTGAGAATGTGTTCACCTCTCCCTCAATGCTACAAATCTGTCACGACTGTGTCTCCAGTTAGAGGGAAATAGTTTCATTAATTTCCTGTAGGACTATAGCCCATTTATGAGTGCGCCTAGCCTCATACAGCGAGGTTTGATACTTGGCTGACTGTCTTATGTTGTAGACTCGGCCATATCGATCCCTAGTCTAGAAGCTTCCTGGTTTCAAACATGATAGCTTATCGTAAACGTAAAAGCGTGCCAAAGAAGGGGCGGTACAGTATGTGCCCTACTTCCAAGGAGGTGCCGGGATCAACCGCGATAGACGCAACTTGACTGACTACCCTGATAGGTTCAATCCATCTGGCGGATATTTAGTAGCGACCACCATGCGCACTAAGGCGTTTATGCATGTTGGTTCTACAGTGCCGAATCTTGTATGGTCAGACCTACCTAGAAGAGAATTAAATGGCTTTCCCTCAGGATGATAGGATGACTCGATAATTCAAGAAATTTGCGGATAAGCATGGTAGCAGCGAGGAGGGCCGCACTGAAAAGTCCAAAGTCTCCTTGCAAGGATAAAGAAGATTCTTCTGGTTGAGGATCCCGACCGCAAAATAGTGGAGTTTCATTCACCAGCAAGAGGCACCAAACAATTCATGGGTTGTGATCGACAAACCTGGAATTAGGTTGGTACTAATGACTCCATGGTCAAGGGCTTGTCATGTAGGGTTCAGGGGCTTGTTTTGTGCCTATGGGACCATGGGAAAAAGCGTGCACTGATGGGTTTAAGCTTTTGGGATAGGAGAATCTCGACATAATTTCTCCCTCCTTTATCGACATTTTATTACTTTGAGAATGTTTTTTTTTCGGTTGGAGATATGCTTGGAATTGACAAGGCCCTTGTTGCTGGTGGCAAAAAGGGGGATATGGAAGAATTAGCCAGGTTCTAGAAGCAATGGTCATTGATTTTGGCTTTAATTCAATGCTATCCTCCAGTATGCTGTACTTGTATGGCCGATAATCATGGATAAAGATTTTATTGGCAGTGATCTTGATGATTGAATTTTACAATGAATGGAAATGGAACCAAATAGGGGTCTCAGGGTCTGATAGGCAAATTAACTTTTTTGTAGCCGATTGACTACTCGAGCCGGGATTCGACAACGGCTTTGAGGGCCCCAGCGTAGCCAGCGGAACCCAAAGAAACAAGAAACGAGCCACGGCCAAGTAAAGAATCTGAAACTGGGCCAGGGGAAGGAGGACTCCACGCGTCGACGTGTACTTTTCAGCTCTGCCGCTGTCTAGAGTAAAAGACCCAGAGGACCCAGCCCCTTCACCGCCCAATCAAATGGCCACAACTACCGTCACCGCCCCCACGAGCGCCGATCCTTCTTCGTGCCCCTAAATGTTGATTCCTCTCCTGCCCCCCGTTCTACTTTTTTCCCTTCAACCACCTCTCCAACACTACTCACCCATAGTCACTCTTTTGATCGGGTCTCACCTTTCACACAATCATGGCAAACGGTCGCTCTTCTCAGGATGAACGCAAGCTCGAGGGTGGTGCTGCTCCCGCGCCCGCTCCCAGCACCGGCCTGCACCCGGCTTTCTACATTGCGTGCGTCGTCACCAGCGAGACCCTTCCCTTTGAGGGTCCCTCGCTCTCTCTCCGAATCAATAGCTAATATGTCCCCAGCCTGTGGATTGCCTTGAGTTCCAGCGTCATTCTGTTCAACAAGTGGGTTCTTTCTACTGCCAAGTTCAGTGAGTGTCTCCCCCTATCAGTCTAAACCCCAATGTCAGCCGTGGACGATTTACTAACTTGCATTGCTTCTAGACTTCCGTAAGTGCTTTCCGATTTCTCGACATACAATGGAATCTGCGCCTGCGCATTTCGCATCTCGAGGCTAAACAGCTAATATCCGAAACAGCGCTCTTCCTCACAACATGGCACATGATCTTCGCTACTGCCATGACGCAGGGTCTGGCCAAGTTCACCACCATCCTGGACTCCCGCCACAAGGTTCCCATGAACCCTAGCACTTATGCGTGAGTACTTCACACCACAAATCACTCCTGCAATTGATCTGCACAGATTGCTGCTAACACTGCGATACATGAATAGTCGTGCTATTGTCCCCATCGGTATCATGTTCAGCTTGTCCCTTATCTGCGGTAACCTGGCCTATCTCTACCTCAGTGTTTCCTTCATCCAGATGTTGAAGGTAAGCTCAAGATCCCTCACCCGTATCATACTGTTGAGCACAATCCAACAATTGATCCTATAGGCTACCAACGCTGTCGTTACTCTCTTCGCTACCTGGGCCTTCGGAATTGCTCCCGCCAACTTCAAGACCCTTGGCAACGTCGCTATCATTGTCGTCGGTGTTGTCATTGCTTCCTTCGGCGAGATCAAGTTCGACATGCTTGGTTTCCTGATCCAGTGTGGTGGTATCATCTTCGAGGCTCTGCGCCTCGTCATGGTCCAGCGCCTGCTTAGCTCCGCTGAGTTCAAGATGGACCCTCTCGTCTCCCTGTACTACTACGCTCCCGCCTGCGCCGTCACCAACGGCATCGTTACTCTTTTCACCGATGTCCCCCGTATGACTATGAACGACATTTACTCTCTTGGTATCATGACTCTCATTGCCAACGCGCTGGTTGCTTTCCTTCTTAACGCCTCTGTTGTTCTTTTGGTACGCAATGTCTTCCCTTTGTTTCCAACGAATTCTCTCGCTAACTAGCCCATAGATTGGCAAGACTTCGGCCGTCGTCCTGACCATGGCTGGTATCCTCAAGGATATCCTCCTGGTCTGCGCCTCGATGATGATTTTCCATGACCCCGTCACTCCCCAGCAGTTCTTCGGTTACTCTATTGCCCTGGCTGGCCTTGTTTACTACAAGCTGGGTGCCGAGAAGCTCCAGGCCCTTACCACCGACGTGCGCCTGCAGGTCGGCGAGTACCGCCGGGCTAACCCGGCTCAGGCCAAGGGCATTGCTGTTGGTGTCGTCGCCACCATTGTCCTGCTGGTCCTGTACACTGGAGCTCCGTCTTCCGCTCGTCTGACCAACTAATGGTTGCCCGTTTGAATTCTCCTGCTATTCGCAAGAAGGTGAACTTGCCGAATACGTACCACAATAGCTTCTCTATTGTTTCTTGCTTAAGCCGCTGTGGTCTCACCGAAGTTGGCTCTACACTTTTTTAACTGTCTTTGATAGAAGGGTATGCTTCGTTTTCTTTGCTGGAGGCATGCATGTACATTTGGAGGGGTATAGATGAATGTCCTTGGGATTTAAGGCGAACACAAATTTCTTTTCAGGCCATGTCTTTGTTCTAATGATTGTGTTTCACTTGCCTGACAGCCTTGATATTACCAATGGATACCACTGAAAGTAACACTCGCGTCCCAGAATTCGAAATGTTCCAAGGCTTTCCTTTGGAGATGCCTTGGGGGGTTTGCTGCCGTCATTACTTGTATGGATATCGCTTGAACAGCACATCGGCCAAGCCGTACAATATAGCACCCACCGCAAATGTGCCCGCGAAAACAGAGAACGCAACAAGGTATTCCGGAGCATCTTTGGCCGGGAACAGAGCGCTCCCATACAGTTGCGCGAGAGCTGCAATCCCATTCATCAATGCCAACATGATAGCTCGCATATCCCGATTGACCGATGCCAGGGCCGTTGTGGCGAACGATAACCCGAGCGCATTTCCCGTCCAGATTGTCATGTTGATGAAACACAGGAAGACCTACCGACCCGCATAATTCTGAATTCCAGCAGTGAGCGCGAAAAATATCATGCCCACAAGGAGGTTGGCCGCCAAGAAAAGACCTCTCTTATCCAGGTTATGATCGGCAAAATAGCGGACCAGCAACGCAACTACCAGCGACACGAAATACAATGGGGCCGTCCTATACTGCGCCGCTGTCGAACTGTAGCCCATGCCATCGATCAAGGTTGAATAGAAGTAGGAGATAGCCAGCGCTCCTAGAATCGACATATACGCTGGAACAAGCAGCCAGGCGCGCCAGTCACGGACCGCTTTCACAAACGAAACAAGCATGGGCGTTTCTCCATCTAGTCCGTTTCCAGTTGGATCCGCCATCCCGTCTTGGAGGAGCCGTTGCTGTGCGAGTTGCAGTTCTTCCGGGACAACCCACGGCTGCGATGGGGGTAGTCCAGGAGAGTCCAGTGCACGAGCAGACTGATTCCTGCTGTCGTGACGCCTTCGACTATGAATAGCCATCACCAGCCACGGATGCCATGGGCTCCATCGAGAGTTGAGGTGATGGCACCTCAGACGCTGCCAAACGCCCCGGATAATATACCTGCTATGAGGAAAATGATGAATCGCTTGGACCTAAGTGTGTCAAATGATTGTCCAGGAACACAGAGGTAATAATGTCATCAAACATACTGCTCACTCCTTCGGTACCAAGTTGAGATGAGGAAAATAACGGCAGGCTTTGTGAAAAATGATATCAATTAGAGTCAACAAATTGGAAATCTGGATTTCGTCTCACTCACGCTGAACCCAGCTTCAAAGACACCGAGCAGAAAGCGTAGTGCAATCAGATGACTCTGGTGTTGTACAACTCCCAAAAGCGCCGCCACCGCACCCCAACCGAATGTGATCACAGGGATAAAGAGTGACGGTCGAGTCTGGGATAAGATCATGCTGGTATGACGAACAAGATTAGCTAGGATTTACTTCTAGAGGGACTTAATTCGCAGCTCATACTTGGATGGAACCGCGGCAATAGTATAGCCAATAACCCACGCTATCACAGCCGTATAGTATTGATCAGACGTTAAGCCGAGATCCTCCTCCATGCCTGCAATCTTTGCTAGGCCAATATTGGAACGGTCCTGCCCATGTCAGTAAAATCTCAGTCTGTTCAAAGGGGCTTTACCAACCACACAAGAGAAAAGGTAAAGAATGAACACTGATGACATTAAATGAAGATCGATCTTCCGGATGAGTTTCTTCTCCGCGATAGGATCGATTTCTTCAACATTCTCATTGTGGAACACTTCTTTCTGCTTTGAGATCGTCGGCTGATTGGACATTGCTCTGAGACAAACCTGTATGTTTGAAGGATGTGAATTGGATGGGGAGCCTGCCTCGGTTCTAATATATCGCCTTTCTCACCGGGTCACTGTGACTTAGACTCACACGGAACTCTGTCAATCCTGGGGAAACTGCGGAGAAGATGCAAGCTAAGCTCCTATGGATGTGATGGTTGGGCAGGGGCGCATTTAAGTGGAGAATCTTGGGATAGCTATGTTGTGGATTATTGTCTGAAAAGTTCTGGGCTATGTAGTCTGAGGGTATCCATGTCAGACGTGTATTTGTCGTCTCGCCAAAATGATACTACGGCATGCATTGGTAGCTGCTCCGTCTACATTATAGAGCTGTGATACTTGGCTCTTGTATTCATCTAATAGAAGCCTTGACGATGGACCCGGCGTTGAAAAGCCTATGCTTTGTTGGTACATCGGCTTGATCTGCGGCCCCACGGATTCGACATACCGGCGAGATTCCGAGCGGGGAAGTTTCAACGATGCATGTCCTTGGTGAATTTGAGTCATTGCGTAATATCCCTTGATTCGACAGCTCCACCGTGTGTGATAACTTTCGGGGAGTCTAGTCAGACTCCGGAGGGGAATCTTGCCCGGAGATTTCCCGGATATGTTGTGGTGAGGTTCTCCGCAATTCTACTAAGACCTAGTACTGCCCCCGCGTTCAAATATTTATGATTTTACAGACTAAGAACCCTGGTTGATACGTATGCTGCGTTTTGTTCCTGTTGAAATATGGCCCATCGGTGAGTTTAACTTCTCGGTCACTAGAATCTACGACCCGATTGTGATCTGACATTTCTTGCTCATTGTCTGGACAGACAAACTGCTAGATACCCCGACCTCAAGGGACAAGTTGCCCTTGTCATTGGAGCAGGTCAATCAGGGGATATCAAAAGCAGTTTCTGGGGAAATGGGGCGGCCATCGCGAAGGTCTTGAGTGAGTCAGGTGCCAAAGTCATCGCCTGCGATATGAACTTGGAATCAGCTCAGCAAACATCTGCTCGAGTCAAAGGAGATGGGGGAATCTGTGAGGCCATCCAAGTCGATGCCACGAGCCAGACCGATATTAGGCGAATTGTGAATCAAGTGATGGAAAAGTTCGGCCGAATCGACATTCTTGTCAACAACGTCGGCGGAACAAAGACTGGAGACCCGGGGACTATGTCAGAACAGGCCTGGGATGCGCAGATTCGTCTGAATTTGAAAACCACCTTCTTGAGCTGCAATGCTATACTGCCCATTATGGAGAAGCAGGGATCTGGCTCTATTATTAACAACGCATCTATCGCCGGGATGCGATACCTGGGTAAGCCCCAAGTGGCCTATGCATCCGCCAAGGCGGCGGTCATCCACCTTTCGAAAATAACTGGCATTATGTATGCTGGCAAGGGTATCAGAGTGAACTCTATTTCGCCGGGTATGGTTTACACACCGCTGCTGGAAATGCTAGGCAATAGCGATTCTGCAGAGGATCGCGAAATCCACAAGAAGATCACCGAGCATAATGTGCCCCAAGGCAGTATGGGAGATGCATTCGATGTAGCTAATTGTGTGGCGTTCCTCGCGAGCGGCGCATCAAGATACATTACGGGTCAGAATTTGGTAGTGGACGGTGGACTCACAGGGTCTACGGGAACTGGGTGGTCTTCTCAGCTGCGATCATCTAAGCTTTAGCAGCTATCTGCCTTCACGTATGATCCCATAGCTACTATTGTTTCAATGCATTCCAAACAACAGAAAAGCAGAGATCCAAGGTCCTCGAATATTATTATAGTCGATATGCCCCAAAGTGAAGGCTAAAGTCAGATTCTAGATCGCAATTATACTTGTAGAGCTTGATGATTCGCTACAAGTTATCGTCGTTTAGATATGCACCAATTATAACAGCTAGTCAAGAACGAGAATACATGAGACTAGCTGCGCTGAAACACGCCGTCTGTGAAATCAATAACCTGTGCCTTCTCAATCACCCCATCGAGGCTTTTAACAAACGCTTTGTGCGTTGGGTCTTCCTTGACATAGTAGTCTCGGTCCTCTGCGCTGGCAAATTCAACAACAAAAGCATGCGTGATACCATTCTTGGGATTGTTGATCAGTCCAATCATTCAAAAAGGGCAGAATGTTACCAATTTCATTTGTGGGCCTCGGCTTAACTCACTTGAATCCCTTCGATCGAATTATCCAGGCCACCCGAGGAAGCCTTGATGTATGGCTTGTTAGATGTCGGGTGAATGCAATTTTCTTTCAAGCCAATCATACGATCGCATGTCTTTAGAGGCAAGCAAATAGTTAGCTTTAGAACCCCATGTAATAAAGGGCGCTCCAATATCTCACATCCTTGACGACTTTAGCGTCTATGCCAGATTTGAACTGGAACAGAACAATGTGTGTGATGGACATAATGGCTTTCGGAAAAGCAGGGATGGCGAGGAACCGATTGGCAATAAGAAGAGGGTTGCCAGTTTCTTAACAGATGTTGGGACCTGTTGACGCGGGGTTGATTGCCAGACCCACGAGTCCACGTGATATCGACATCTCGACCGTACCTGTTTGAATTATTCTATTCGAAGAGACATAAGACCTTTTTGGCCGTGACACGCTCGAAACGGGAAGTTTATTCCCATTGCTGGCGTGGGCGCACTGGCTAAAGAACAAGAGCCGTCGCCACAGATCGCCCATACGAAGACCAGGGTGCCATTAACAACTGACTTTTAGAAATCAAAGCAGGTGTGAAAGCTATCCTCTTACATTCGACTCTATAATTATACCTTGAGTTTTTGGTTTGGCCATTGACGAGGTTCTCGTTTGCTAATGGTAAAATATGTTCCATATAGACCAAGGTGCCGACGCTCCACCTGCTGCCTTAGGTCAATAGGCACACCTGCTCTATTGCATTTTATTTCCTTCGGACATGTTCGGCGGTATCGTTAAGTGACACCAACTGTCGGCACTAGCTGTATCAAAGATGGCAGTAGCGGGGTGAAGACCGGATTTATTTCCGAGGCATTGGTGGGCGGTCGCCAGAACATAAAATGTTGTTTATGACGCTGTTGTAATACCTCCCAATCATGCAAGCAAAAAAAGAAATGGCAGACAAGGATCCTAAGAATGACCCTATCACAGTTGACCAGGTCGAGTCCATTGCTCGACAGAAGCTTCCAAGTAATGTCTATAACTACTATGCGTGTGGTGCCGATAACCAAACAGCGATGGAAAGAAACCGAGGTGATTTCGATAGGCAAGGTGAAAAATACATCGATTTCAAAGACTATTCTAACATCTTTGGCCAGTTTGATGATCCTGCCTCGCATACTACGCGATGTTTCTCAAGTTGACACGTCTGTTGCACTCTTCCAGAGGAAGTTTCCAATTCCGGTCGGCATTGCACCGAGCGCCATGCAAAAACTTGCAGGGCAAGATGGAGAAATGGGAATGGCAGGTGCAGCAGCCGCAATGGGTCTAAACTTCACTCTTTCTTCAAACTCCACAACATTGCTGGAGGATGTGGCTTCCGTTAGGACTCGGTGTGAAGTCAGGTCCGTGGCTCCCTTCTGGTTCCAAATCTATCTTACCACCGACTTGGAGCACCGCGTCCCCTTGATCAAGCGCGCAGAAGGTAAGCTAAGTGGAGAAGATGAAACTTAAATCTTGCGAAATTCACCACTGATATCAACATAGCGGCGGGATATGAGGCCCTCGTCCTTACTGTCGACACCCCAGTTCTCGGAAACCGCATCAATGAGCGCCAAACTCCACTGATCCTACCTGAGGGTATTCGATTGGAGAACCTCGAGCCCGACAAGATACAAGGAACCCGGAAGCCATCACCGAATCGTATCTTGATGGATGCGCGAACTCCCGAGCAAGCTAAGATTGCTCTTCAGGAGATTGGGGGCAAGGCACACAGCGCTTCTCTGACCTGGGAGTCAACCATCAAGTTCTTGCGAGAAACTACAAAAATGAAAATCATTCTTAAGGGTATTCTAGCACCTGAGGATGCCCAGCTTGCAGTGGAATATGGTGTTGACGCTATCATTGTTTCTAATCACGGTGGTCGACAATTGGATAGCGTGCCTTCTACCATACAAGCATTACCCGGTGTAGTGGAGGCGGTGGGTGGGAGAATTCCTGTGATTCTGGATGGAGGAATTCGCCGTGGAAGTGACCTCTTCAAGGCATTGGCACTTGGTGCAGACTTTGTGCTTGTTGGCCGTCCAGCATTATGGGGGCTGGCTTTTGATGGCCAAAAGGGAGTGGAAACAGTGATGAATATCCTTGAAAGGGAGCTGACCCGCACTATGGCATTGGCTGGAACTTCCAACTTGCAAGAAATCAACTCTTCTTTGCTCAGATTGTCTGTAGATGGACGTTTGAGTAAATTGTGAACGGACTGATATTTGTATCTAGAATCGCAACTCGCTAACATTTCAAGTGAAGTGACACGCTTTCTACCTTCAAAGTTATCCTAGCTAGCCAGTCAGCGTATGAGCAGTAGCGCGTACACCAAGAATAGTTGGCGGACCTTTGACTATGATCAAGAAGAAAACGAGACGTAGAGGGACTGGTGGATATTTGCTCGATCAATTTTGGTCAGCGAAGTTGCTGCTGTTACTGCTGCTTTCTTGAGGCAAGTCTTCTCTTCCATCTTGCCAGCTCGAGCAATTCATGCAGCGTTTTGCCTAGAATACGGTCAGCTATTCCACGAGCGGCTTTCATTACAAAAGGAAAGTCTTACCTCGACGCTGATAAACTTCCTACAATATCTGCACCGAATAGTAGGTTTGATGATTTTGTCGTGGGAGATGAACATGTACAAGTGGGCAACCGCGAATAAAGTCAAGCTGACACCGGCAAAATTGAGTATGTTCTCGACAAACATTCTATACAATCGGTCAGAATTAGAATCCCGGGGCTTGACGTCTCCAGCCACAGCTAAGATGACAGGTTACTTAAAAGGAGATACGCACCCCCATGCCAAAACAAGCGCACCGTCATCCCGGGCTTGCTTGAGAGTGTTATAACCCTCGCCTTCAACATAATTGGGCCCCTGAGACAGAACGGCGAATTTCTGGTCCATATTCCGGTTCAAGAAGGGCAGCAAAGAAACGATCGGCAGTACCATATCCGACACAAACGAAGTCACCACTTTGGTGAACGCATTGGCGATACTAGATTTCGCATATTGGGTTAGTCACAAATAAAATTCGCTGTATTTGAGGACGAGTCGATTTTTCTGACATCAAACCGAGGGCGACCTCGAGGACATTGTCGCGAGCTGCGAAGTTGACAAAGGCCTGCCATCCATGTCGCACCTGCTCCCCGGCAGATTGGCCGACACGGATCAGGACATCGGTGCTCTCATCGAGACCTCGCATCGTGTTTAGCGGTTGATACCTCGCCGAGGCCATCGGAGGGTTCTTTATTGTCCGTAAGGTGGGTGCTTTCACGCGCAGACCTCGCGTCATCGCGCATCGGCCTCAGTCAGGTGGGTGTGGTTAGGGGCCAGGAGAGTGGGGCTACGGCTGGGGGCCTTTGATTTGGCCGTCACTTGGCGTGAGGGGCGTGGCCAATGGTATTTGTAGCTGGTGGCCGTGGGCGGAAACTACCAAGATCAAAATCTGGTTATCTCCAAGTTTTGGACGAATCGATTGTGTCTAGGCGGGTGAGGCACTGACGGGATCGACGACATCCCTACCGTCTGACCTCGACACATGAGAGAATTTTTTGCAGTGTAGAGTAAAACGTCATAGTAGATGAAGCTGGTGTTTTGTTGGTTACGGGAAAAAGGTAAATGAAAGATTAATTAGATAGTGTAAAGAGGATCTTATATATCCACCACCAGTTATATGGTACTCGAAGAAAAGAGAAGATCGCGGATAACTTCGAAACCTTTGTTGTCAAAGCCTTGCTAGTTCAACTGATCTTCAAGCGGGGCTTTCTTGGGAGTGCGTTGTCTGCGAATGGAGGGTCGGGCTAGGTGTGTCTCGAGTAGTGTCTCGAGTCCAGCGCTTCTCGCTGTTGCTTCCAACAATCTCCTGCTGGCTGGTGTTTTTGGTCGAGCCCACATGACGCATCCAGACCTTCCGGTGTACGAGCTTGAACAGCGGACGCATGTTCGACAGGCAAGCCGCTACAATACCCACGGCGGGCTCAATGCACGTCCATACACTAGGGTTGACTTGGGTATCTAGTCGCAGTTAGAAAGATCCATTAATCTGGATTGAGAATTCGGTCCACGTACAAGTAATGTCATCTCCTGCCTTTGACAAATCAATGAGGGAAACCAGTCGGACGATATCGAAAATGAGAGTCCTATTCATCCCTCGTTAGTTTGTGAAAAAGGTGTCCCTCGAGAGCTCATGCTTACAAGAAGCCCAAAACAAAAATGATCGAGAGACCAGTCTTTTGCGCCTTGGAAATAGGCAATCCCCAGACAGTGTGCATGGGCATGACCAAGATGATTGCGTCTGTCACAATGTTGGGGATCTGCAGGCCATAGTAGAACTTGCCCAGGTCCATACAACCACCGGGAATCATGGGATTCCAGAGCTTTTCTGTCGGAATGCAAGTAAAGCAGCCCGCTAGAATACCGCAGGCGGCCCAGAGAATGATAATCATCGACACAACCTTGACAGCGATGTCCATAGGTTTCACGGGGAACAATCGTTTGTAAAGCATCAAGATGGAAAGTTTGATCGAGGCGACGCAAAGTGTGTAGAGAATTGAACCAGTGAAAAGGGTCTATGATAATGTCCACGTTAGGTTTGGCTATCTTTAGGCATGTCGCTTTCAAAGGTGTCCATCCTACCTTCAAGTAAACGGTGAGCTGCTCAGGCTTCACATAAACAATATGTGTTCCTAGACCATTGTAAAGAACTGTGGGAAGTTAGAGAAGGGCTATCTTCCAAGATGTCACAATCGAAGGTCAACTTACGGACGACACCAGCGATTGAGATTCCCCATTCCCAAAGCTTCCACGCATGATTAGACTGCTGTTCCAGCTTAGAGAAGAAGGTTGAATCTTACCAGGGCTGACAGCATGAGATAGTCGTCTATGAACAGACCAGTTCCATTGATCTTTCGAGACAGAATTCGAAATCCGACCGCCGTAGTAGACAGGATGAAGGCGAAACACGTAGACGTGATGACAACGTGCCGTAGGTTATCGTGGTCGACGCCAGTTGCATCCTGGGAGGTTGTCGACATTCTTGAGTGTATACCAGTAGAAGTATTCAATCCAATGCGAAGGATTTGGATGTGAGGTTTTGATGAGAGCCTGGCGAGGAAAACCAAGACATGACATGGCAGTGGGATCCACGACCTCAATATATGTGTAGCATGGCTACCAGCCACCAACGAGGCAATAAAGCTATGATAATAGGTAGCTAGGATAGACAGGTCTCAAGGTTAATTTTGCCCCGCGAGTCACTCGATTGATTTCTCAAGTCTCTCGACTGTCTTGTCTTGTGGTTACTAGGCGACCCAGCGCCACTCTAAGTGGGAGAGTAAATAGACCTGTCGCACCCTTACATGCACACGATGATCTAAGCCCTAGATCACTCCGCACATCTGGCCCTTCAGCATCAGTCGACAGGCAAATTAATTACCCCGATCGGGGTAAGTGAGAGCACATAGAGTTCTGGGGAATATTCAATCGCCTTCCCGGAACTCCACAGTCTCATGTAAACGGCCTTATCTGACAAAATAATCGTCAATAGTAGACTCGTCACTTGCGGCGACTATCAAGGACCAAGGTCAAGATTTGTGGCCCCTTCTACATGACCTTGCATAAGTTTGTGGCTAGTGCGGTGGCCATAACATGCGGGGGAGCCACAGAATCGCCTAGGTCCGAGATCTTCGTCGCTAAACATTGACGAATTCCTTTATAACGGCGGATCGATGTACGATCGAACCGGGTCCATGGACCTGGTTCGTCCGATCAGGCGATTCCACGATCCCGGAGCTGCAATGGACTCCGGAAGCTCTGATACATCGCAAAGCGTATCCACCTCGCTAGGACCACCTGTCAAAAGGGTCAACCATGAGTCCAGGTTGATCATCGCTCCTCAAATTCTGAAGCAATTGATTCCGAGCCATTAATCTTCTTATATGACCTACTTTGTACTAATATATTTGATTCTTCAGACCTTCCCTGTGATGGTTCCAGATATTCAAGTGAGGAGGCTCCCCGGGATTTTGCCTGGTGTAGCACCAACTCTTCAGGAGTAGTTATCCGCCCCACCTTCTATTGAATAACATCCAAGCTAAGAATCATGCTGTGAAATTCAGAATACACAGTCCTAGCTCACAGGGTACAAACATAACTCCTTCGATCTAACTAGTTCCAGAGTAAGCAGGCTTACTGACAACATATGAACCTAACTTCTTCCATTGACATCATTCCGCCGTATCCCTGTGATTTGTGAAGAATTGACAAGTCTGCTGTCTGCAACTCCCAGGAATTTGGTTCCTCAATGGGTGATCTACAATGCAGTCTGGTGCTGATATCTCATTCGTTCGCCACTGATCTTCCGTTAGAAGAATCAATCTGGCCCATAGGAATCAATATGCGAACACACTTGCAGATCTATCTTGCATGCTCCGAGTGCAGGGTTCTGGTTGCCGTGTATTGAACAGGATCTCACGGTTGCAATATTACAACATTTCCGCGTGATCTATCCGTAGCTCAAAGCCACGCAGTATGTACTACTGTGTAGGTATCTATACGTATCATATTTCTTTTGTCTAGTGGGGCTTCCCCAGTATATTTGTTTCCACCGTCTTACGGGGCGCTCGGGGTCTGGATCACCGAGGAAATTTCAGTCCGACTACCACTATCCGGGTCAATCGAGATTGACGGCGAGATATTAGATGCTTCGCTTCTTTCCGCACAATCTATAGCGGAAGTATTCCTTATCATGCACCGGCATCGTGTGCCAAGTTTTGCGGAAAATATATGGATTGGTATAGACCCATTAAGGGATCAGTCTCTTTGCAGTTAAAGCACACACATATCTCGATCCTCAAGTCGAGAAGATTGGCTTCTTCTGAAGAATCTGCTCAAACACCTGCAGCGCCGTGTCGGGTTCTACCTCAATTAGCAATCATTCATATTGTGATCAGACGAGAAACTCACGATAGTAAGGAACCTCATGCCCCGCCCCATACACCTTCAAGAACGAGAAATTGTCCACATTCTTGAACATGCCCTTTTCAGTGCCATTAACTGTGTATGGCGCCAGGTCCTTCGCGCTGAATTCTGTATGTCCCGAGAAGTCCACTGCGTTGGCGACCTCGTAGTTGCCAAGCCAGTTGCAGATCCAGTCGGCGTCACCCGCCCAGACGAGCACATTAATACCGGACTTTACCACGCTGGAGAGCGTAGAGAGGAAAGATCGGGGATCTATCTTGTCAGTTCCTGCATTAAGATAAGCAGATGAAGACGCAGACTTACTATCACCAGTTGACGCAAACTTATTATATGGCCCATTCGGACATTCCTGGTAGCTGGACTGCGCACCAATAGCCTTCACAACATCAGCATTGGAGAGATAGGTGGAGTATGTTGAAGGTGGGTAGGGATCATTCGACGGCTCGCGAATATCATAGACGTCCCAGTCGCCCGAACTACTAATCGGTCCTTCGATCTTATTGTAGCAGACACTATCCGCATTCTGGCAGTCCGAGTTACTTCCTGATTTTGTGCACTTTTGGATAGCAGGGAGACATTGGTTATTGTAGGCGCTCAGGAAGCTGGTGCGCTGGGAGTCGTCGATGAGCTGCTTGTACGAGTTGTTGTAACTGAAATCGATATATGCCTTTTCTTGGATTGTCGAGTCGATCCAGCCGTTGTTAACGCCAAGGGCGACCAGGTTGATGTTTTCTCCCGAGACAGATCCGGCCTTGATGGCGGAATTTTGCTCCTGAATGTACGAGGCGAATTCAGGGCCATAGTGCCCACCGTATGACTGATAAATTAGCATTGTTCTGTGGAATTAGGAGGTTGACTTACCTCGGTGAAGATAGCGAAATCGCGACTTTCGTACTCTGGGAACTGCGCGTAGAATGCTTGTAGGAGTTTCCAGACGTATGGCGCAGCTGTGACTGTGCTAGTCACGTCGTCGGTACCATAGGAGAAGCCAACACCAATGGGCTGGTCAACGTATAGCATGTTGGCGTAGTTGTTCCAGCTGTACTCATTTAATGAGGGAGTGCTGTCCCCGTTGACAAAGTGACAGGGGCCATTTTCCTGGAACAGGCCGATCATGGAAGAGCATCCAGGACCGCCATTAAACCAGGCAGCCAGAGGAGCTTGCTGTGGGTTATTCCGCGCCTCGAAGAACCTATCTAATTTAGATAAAAAAAAGAGAAAGTTTAATTGATGGTGACACCTACCAGAACCACATATTCATGTTACTTCCGACAGATAGATATCCTGAGTACTGGTTTACCCCGGGGGTAGTTTCGCAAATGCCCGAGTTCTTGACGAACTCCATCTTGGCTCCGGTCGCGGCATGTTCAAACACGGTATATTTGACGCCATTTTTGACGACAGACGAGACGCTGTCTTTGGCTGTGCTTGCGGGAGCAGCTCTAGCCCCAACTGCCAGTAGAGGTAGTAGCCACCTTTGATGCCGCATTGTTAATGGAACGAAGAGCTTTATGACCGATGAAAATAGTAGTTACTTTGTCCTGACAACCAGAGGGAATCTCGCAATTAAATACTCCCCCGGCAAGATGAAACAATGCCATGGCTTCATACAAGCCAATATCTTCATTGCATTAAGAAGCATCATCAGACCCGCAACTTAGTAGTGCCGTCGGAATACGACGTTATTATCGATGGCTCAGGGTCATGTAAATCATCTTCCAAATTAAGGCAGTGCCCCGGATGCATGTTCGACCAGTAAATCCTAAGCTTTGGTCAAGAGATTTTGGTGGTCGGCAGCCAAGACCGGACTCCGTGTGGATATGCGACGGGTTGCCAATAAACATCCCCGATTGTGGTTACATTCGGCTCATTGGAGGTGCATACATAAACAATATGATTCGGTGAGGGGAAGGTAAGGCGAAAGGATAGATCGAGGCGGGGAAAATCGTGACAATCTCAATCGATGAGTTTATTGCTAGTAAAAATTAGGCTACCGAGTTTATCAAACAACGGTGGGGACTTCGAACGCTTGGTGAGCAAAAGAAAGAAGACCCTGAATCGACCGCTTTAATAGGACAATTACTGCTGACATTATTAAATTAGAAGATATCTTTGGCGTATTGTCTCATGTGTATCCTATAGTTTGGATAATCTATGGCTGTATCTGTTGCAATACGGAGCAAACCTGCGGTGTTTACATCTAATAGCGCATGCCCACAACCCACAAAAGGATAATGACGTGCTAGAGCCATTCTTGGTAATCGTAATTTCCATACTATTGCAGCGTGCTGCATGGATAATATGAAGCATGAGACGAATTCATTTAGATCCCATTCAACATCGCTCTTACATTAAGTTGAATATGATAGACTTCATGGATTCCTGGCGGAATGAGAGTACGGCCCAGGGTATTACAGGTCTGGTCTTCTTCAGTAGTGGTTTCTTTTCATATTGGCCTCGTCTGAAGATCGCGGGGCACGGCTATCGACAGTCACCCATGTGAATACCACCATGACTGACTCAAGCGATAGTCTTCAAGTGCCTTCTTGACAAAACATAGTGACGGGCGACAAACGTCCAGAAGAGAGATTACGAAGGGTGTTAAGGAAGAAAATGAGAACTATGAACCAACCTCAGAGCCCCAGTATGGCGTACCCAAACTGAATGCTGTCTACTAACTTAATGGAAAATGACCTAAATTACCAGAATGCCCCACTATAATCTCAGATTGCATCTTGGGGTTCCTGGTAGGTGTTATGCACAGGGGAATCTATAGTTCACTGGATATTCTAGAAGCCATTTTGAGTTATTGGCTACGGTTTTCTAGAAACTTCTCCCCAAGCCCACCTAATACAATCTCGATGATCGTCTTCCAATATTACGTATGTTTTATACTTGCGTCAAATAGAAAGGCGAAAGATACTATACACGCGTTAGGAAATTATGCTCTTGGAGGTGACTCTGTTAGAAGGAACTGCTAAGCCCAGAAAGGGTTATGATGGGTTGGAATGGTTTAATGATGTGAGACCTACAGGACGAAGACAGTGGTTTCTTGTTGTTACGTTCTAAGCCATCCTTTCTCCCATAGCCCTTGTCGGCAGGGGCAATCAAAGTAAATGGGTTTACATTAAGAGGGCTAGCATGTTACATTTTGTAGAGTAGGTTATACCAGCTAGATACTCGCTCACATCGAGTGCAGATTACAGTCAGGTGGAACTCGGCGAGTATATCAGTGGGTGGATTGGCGAAAAACGGGGCATAAAGAAGGAAGGAAGACGTCAACACATGGCATAGGGTATCTGGCAGGTAAGAACGCTTCAAGTAATTGCACCCATTCATTTCGGTGGCAGGCCATAAGTCATTGGCCCGGGAGCTGTATACGGCGAAAGTAAAGTGGCTCCTCGCTCTCTAGCCGCTCTCCCCCTTCGCTCCTCTCGTTTCTGAAATTCCTTCTCATCTTGAATCAAAGTACAACACGTACAACATGTCGCTCGAGCACAGTCTGAACAAACATCTCCTTCAATCCCATACGCTTTTCTTGTTCTCGTGTGTTGGATTGTAGCCAGAAGCCCTGTAATTCGGTGTCAGCAACGGGGTTCACTGCGGGATTTAAAATAAATGGGATGGATAACTCACATTGACATCCGCAGAACAAACTCATCGCAGTACATGACCCATTGCACGTGTCATATCCCAACATATTAGTCGGGTCCTCTTTCCGGGACTTCATGGACAGACGGTGCTGAGTCTTCCCATACAATATACATGGACAGAAAATTCCCAAACAACAGATTCCGATATTCGAACAATCGCATAAACCATGAGTCCACGTTCCACCTTGTACCTCCTGGTTTGGATGCATTATCTGTCCGGGGTTGTGGAATGCACTCAAATCCTCCGCCGGCGGGGCTTGTGATGAGTTCAAGGCAGGGGTCGCAGGTGGAGGGAAGTAGGAGGTTTTTGGTGATTGCAATGGATTTGCATCGGGTTCTATTGAGAGCATTTCGCTTCGTTTGGGTGGTTCGCGGAGTTTAAGAGGTAATGGCCCTGGGGAGCTTGGTGGGTTGGTATAGGCATATTGGGGTATTTGGATGGACTGTTGGGGCTCTGGGGAAGTTGCGAATGGGGCCTGGAAAGCTGGGTGTTGTTCTGGTGGAGGGTATCGGGAGTATGTAGGAATGATGCCCTCTTCTTGTAGCTGTCGCTCTTTCTCAGTTGGTATGTATTGATGCGATTGGATTCGTTCTTGTTGCTGGTGCTGGTGCTGGTGCTGTTGCTGGTGCTGTTGCTGGTGCTGTTGCTGGTGCTGTTGCTGGTGCTGTTGCTGGTGCTGTTGCTGGTGCTGTTGCTGGTGCTGTTGCTGGTGCTGTTGCTGGTGCTGTTGCTGGTGCTGTTGCTGGTGCTGTTGCTGGTGCTGTTGCTGGTGCTGTTGCTGGTGCTGTTGCTGGTGCTGTTGCTGGTGCTGTTGCGTAGGTACTAGTGGTGGCGAGACCGGAGGTTGATCAATCGCATGCTGAGGCTGCACAACTTGGCTAGAGTCCACAGGTAAATGTGGAGGTGGAGATGAAGGCCCAGGAAGTTGACTTCCAGCATGCATTTCCACAGGAGTTTCGATGAAAGAGTATCTTTGGTTCTGGTTTTGAGCAACCTGGGTGTCAAGGTATAGTTGTCGACGCATATTGACGACTAGAGCTCTCAAATAAGTTTTGTATATATTCGTAGAGTTTTCAATATGGCGCGCTATCGTCCATTCGTAGCTTGAAGGATGTGCATGTGGTTTCCACAGCTTAGAAGCAAATGTGTACCAGAGAAAGCTGTCAGGGTAGTTGTACCGTCTCGACAGCTTCCCCCTGTTGATCAACACATGCAGCGCAAGCTCAATTCACAGATCATCCGTCGATCATCCACTGCGCGACATGCGAGATCAAGTCGATCGTAGAAAATGAGTAAACTCCAAGCTTACAGGAGATGTGTAGGTGGAAAAAAGAGGTGCATCACGGAGGGGGAGGGAAGAGAGTTAAACGATCAAAGTGGAGATCGAAACTGATCTGAGGGGGACTAGGTCAGAGCTCCGCGGGGATGGGGCGCAACGAGTGGCTTGGGAGCTCCAAGTTCGCAGCGAAGCTGTTTTGTTAGGGAGTGTCCCCGCCGGGCTAATGCAATGTCTTCACATCGCCGGCAACTCTGGTTGGGTTAGAGCCCGCCCGGCTCCTTCCGTTGGGCGTTAGCCCCGTTCTCATCACAGGCGATCACACCAAAAGGACGATATCACCTGTTTGGAGCAGATAGAGACATGGATAGTCCTTTGGAATTTGGTGTCATTGTTGGCAGTTGATGGACTATATAGCGCTCTGGGGGACTCTTTCTAGGTATATCCCGGGACCTTCTAACTGATTATTCTGGAAGTATGTATGTTTTACAGGGTTCTCTGGTGGTCAAAGCCGCTTCGAGATCTTCTTTCTTATGCACAGCGTCAAACAACCTTAAATCTCGTAAACTGTGGTCGTGTGCCCTTTTATAAGTATACTCGAGTTCGTCTATGGAGGTAATAACGTCACTTTCCCGCTTTGTTGTTGCACCGTTTGCTGCCAAATTGCCTCGACCCCGCCCTATCGCGCCTAGTTGGCGGGCCGTCGACTAGCGTAGCGTTAAGGATTAGTATGGAGAAACCACAATAAGAATCGAAATGGGAATAGGGTAGTGTACGGAGTAATTTTAAGAGCAATTAAAAACGTCAAGGTGCGAGTCTCTAGGGAAATCAAATGGAAACTGAGCCGGTTGATTACTCTTGGAATTAGGCAACTACTGGGCAGAAAACGCCAAGCACGGAGCTACTTTTCGGCGTTCGCTCCGGTCAAAGCTCCTAGAGCTTCCTAGGAAACCAGTGAAGCTGCTTTATTTTCTTTTTCTGCCTTTTTGCTTTTTCAAACTCAAGTTTGAGCTCTCTCCTTATTCGGCACCTTCCGTGATCTGTAGTTTCGCTTCGCGGGTTACATCCCGAGCAGGTCACATGAAAGTCGCCCTGAGGTCGCAAAAGTATATATTGGCGGCCGATCGCCCACTCACTAAGATACTACAATCCAGGTTGGTCCAGATGCATATGGCGAATCAAAGTTATCCGCTAGACATAAATACCTCATCCCCCCAGTGTATATTGACAGACAATTAGCGCGGCTCTGTGTTCAACCGTTGAATGAATCCGACCGTTATACTCTTGATTATTTCAGATTTTTCAACAAGGCCATTCTTAGGGCTGTGATAATTGGCCAACGAGGCAATTATCGCATACCACAGATGGAGTTCAAAGGCACTGTTCAACACCATCAAGGGGTTAATCATGAACAAAGCTATCCGACCCTCGCTCTCGGCATCCGTTTTCTCAGTATGCAATGAAACCGAAAAGGGATTATCCAGCAAGGATAGCAAAGCATGAATCCTGCCGAGTTGCAAAGAATGGCGGAGACGACGCCTATGACCGATCGTCAAGAGTGCACGCCATGAGCGGAGGCCGGTGATTGGTAGAAACACTCAAGAAAAGAGCGTTCCAAGAAACCACAGCTATATCGGCCCGAGAACTTTGTTATCCCTTGTCCCCACAGTACAATTTGCAGTCTTGCACTTCGTAAGAGGAGGAGCAGTCGCGGGTCAGTAGGTCAGTAGTAGTAAGAGTGCTCGAGGAACTCGAGTTGATGATTCTTCGAAGTTGGATCAAAGATACCGGCAGATCATCGTGTGTGCAAGCTGATGTTCCAGCATGAGATGTCGATCAATTACCTATCCGTTAAACATTCCGGGATCTCCGGCTCCAGTGTGTTGTAGGTAATCAGGTACACCAGCCATTTGAAGGTCGTTTCATTTCCTGGTCAAGGGAAAATCGCAGCTGCGAGAGATATAAGCTTCGCGAATCAGGTGCCGCTGAGGACCCCGTGGGAAAGGTCGAGGATCCGCACAGTGCATAGTTGATGAGAACGAGCCTCGTTTGCAGTCGATAACTGGATCTGGTCGAGACAGAGATTATTTTTTTTTGTTTGATACTGTCCCTTGCAGGATACAGGTAGAGAATAGAGAATCGGTAAGAGTGCGAGTGTGGTTGGAGTATCCGGGGTAAGAAGAAAGAGGAGGAGTTGGAGAAGGTTCCTCGGATCTGGTGACTTCATCGGTCTTTGTCCAGTCCCAAGACAGGTTCACGGGACTTGCCACTTTCGTTGTTTCTTCTTCCTTGTAGTCAATAATCATAATAGATCCCGACACCTTTCGGTCCTTCACGAAGATCAGGACGTCGAGACTCCCAAGGCGGTGACGGACGATCGGCGTCACTGTGTTACCCAGCCCGAACCACCTTCTCCCCATTTAGCTTCCTCGATCCTTTAACTTATCTTTCCACTTCCCCCCGGGTGTCTGAGCTTCGTTTCTGATCCCGGCTTTCCACCGATTTGCGGTCAGCTCTCCAACCTGTAAGATCTTTCCTTTATCGAACGTGGCCCGACTTGTGTCTTCTCCAAAAAAGAAAAGGCTTCTCACTGCCTTGGTACCCCCCCAGTCAACCTCCTTCTCAAGTTGCTTGCTCCACTAACTTGCTTCTGCTCGTCTTCGTGACGCCAGCTATTCCTCTGTGTCGCTCAAGCCATCCCTGCCACCCACCCCCGGCCAATCTTCCCCTTCTCCCACTCTAAAGAATTCCCGAATCTCTTCTTACACCTCACGTCCACACACGCCCACACCCCCCCCAACAGCCAACCACCGCCGGCTCCGCTTCCCTTCCATTCCGACCGTGCAGGGCCTGACCAATGTCCTCTCCATGTCAAACCCGCCGCCCGTTCCCGAACACACCTTGCCTGACCCCCTGGTGACACCTGCTACGCCTGCCCATCATGATTGCTCGAAGACGGCCGAGCGAGCTCGGCCCAACCCACGTCACCACTCTTCGCAGGATCAACACTTGTCCCAGGGGGCTCAACAGGAGCAATCCCCATCGCGTGCAGAATCCCCCACAACTACCCATCAATGGTCCCAGCCTGGCTCCAACTTGGCCCTAAAAAGGGCGCCGACGGTCCCGCTGGAGAAATTTCCCCGTCCCGACACTACTTACAGCCCACAACTGTCCGAGAGAGATAGTATCTTTGCGACGCATTATCTCCCCTCGGACAGCGCCGCAACTACCCCACAATTCCCCCCCCGAAATCCCTTCCGACAATGAGCGCCAGGTCAACTCGATTCCTGGCCTGGATGATGTGTCTGGCTCTCTAGCTCCTCTCTCCAAGGTTTCTCCCCATCGTTCTCACGTCGACCCTTCCCACATGGAAGTTGACGTCCGCAGACACATCCCATTGCGCTCCTCTTCCCTCTTCTCCCCGGCCGATGTCACCCGTTTGTCTCGGCTGCGCTCGTCTATCTCGTCCGCAGACCAAGTGAAAGGCAAAGGGGTGCAGACGGGAGTTCAGTCGCGATTGCCTGGGCCATTGGATGAATCAGGTACGAAAACTAGTGGCTCACAAAGTTCCCTGGCTGAACGCAGTCTTCTCCCGTCCGTATTAGACGATGTCTCTCTGTCACCACAGTCTCTGACGCCCCCTGCCCCCGGTCAGGACTGGCCGATGGTGAGCCCGGAGGCAGCACCTCATACTTCACGGGCAGACTCTTCCCGGGGCATTGCGTTGGACCGCAACTCTAGCAGAAGTCATCGAGGTCGTGTGGACAGTTCCATTGAAGCAGATCTCAGCAACGTAGAGCCAGCCTCTCACGTCCGCAGCCGTAAGTCTAGTCATTACTTAGGCTTGTTCAAGGAAAACACCACCTCGCCAGACCGCAAACGAAGAGAGGACCGTGCCCAACAGCACGATGAGATATCCGAGCAGACCGATCGTACCATGGAAATTGAACACCCGGCCTTACGCCTAGTGGCAGAGGAGGAAGGTTTACTTCGAAAAAGCATCTCGCTCCCTTCGTTAGCCGATGGACCTACGTTTGACCTGCCGCAGTCGGTCGAGTCAAGTCGCCAGACGGAGGAGGATGAGCTTCACAAGCGTCGCCCACCGGTCTTGCCGCACAGTCTTTTGGAGGAAATTCGAAACTTCCATCTCACGCCCGGTGGAGGCCGAGGCTCTTCCTTCTCTAAGAGTATCCCGACGCAGTATGCTGAACGCGGTCGTGACTATTTCCAGAAAGAGCCTCACATAGACCGGTTTTCCGAGTCTTTAAGTTCTCTTGAAGAGGAGGACCGCCGCCCGTTAGCACGCTTTGAAGATGAAGAAGAAGAGGAGAACGAGCAGATTTCATCTGCTCTATACTTCCCCCACGAACGCATTGCAGTTTCTGAAGGAGTTGAAGGTGCTCAGCCTTTAGTGGCAGACCCACATGGCGCACAACCGGTGCAGCTATCCGCTGCGGAGAAGGGCCATGAGCTCATGTTGGTCCCTCAAGAGCGAAGTGCCTCCCCTGAGCAGGAAGTCGGCCACGTGGATATCTCCTTCAGATCTAAGACCGAAAGTAAGACGCTTTACGGCGAGCTTGGAGACATCCGACATCCGACCGAGGCCGTGCCGGAGAAGCCTTCGACTACGATTTCCGAGCGCACCTATGAGTCTACTTGCGAATCCGAAGCCCCGTCAGCGGATGAAAGTGGCTTATCCGTTCACGACGAATCCAGTTTGACCGATGACGCGGAGTTGACGCCCACGGCAACTCCGACTCAGCGCCATCGTTTCCCTCCTAAACCTAAGCGGAAGACTCCTGCCCCTCTGGGAGCAGTGGAGCTGAAGCCTTACCGGCATCAGGTTGGCGGTCATACGACCGTTTTCCGTTTCTCTAGACGTGCTGTTTGCAAGCAGTTGAATAATCGAGAAAATGAATTTTATGAACGCATTGAACGAAGACATCCTGATATGCTAGTGTTTCTCCCAAGGTATGTACACTCTGTGGTGTGGGGGTGCTTATGAGAATCGTTTCCAGTCGATAATCTCATGAGGCGCCTGGCCCCACGTTCTTTGAAAACCATCTGATACTAATAATCTGCAGATACATCGGTGTTCTTAATGTAACATTCTCGAAGACTTCCAAGCGCCCTAAAAATCGTCCGGACCAAGCCCATGATGCATCCGAGGGAATTCATACTAATGGAACCTCGTTGAAATCCCAAGCCCTCGAAGCTCCCGAGCCCCAGCGGATTGTAAGCCAGAAGCAAGTCACTGGCGTAATTCCTAAAGTCATCCTTGAGAATAATAGGCATATCATCCCAGCCGATCTTTTCTCTCGCACCCACCGACCGCGTCTGATAGATGATACAATGCTGGGGCGACCTCGCTCAGCCGATGGTTTGGGCAAGCTATCTACCGAATCCGATCCATCCTTGAGGAAGCAGAACAAGATTTGGGGAGCTACCACGGTCAACCGACAGCTGCAAGAGCAAGTTCTGCGGGAAGTCTTCAGCCCACCAGCGATCCATCAACATCGACGTCATGCTCGCGGGCATCTTCAGCTACCCCGGGCTTCTTCTGATGTCTCTCGTCGCCGCGGGAATTTGTCAGAAGATCACACGGCGAGCAGCCGCCCCTCGCCCCTTACCAAGATAGACGCTCCACAAACTGCTGCATTGAACATCATGTCACGCTCTGCCGAGGGTCACACACTCTCATCATCTGCCTCTACTGCCCTGGAAGAGAATCGCAGCCGACTTGAGAATGTGAAAACCCAAGACCAGCCGAATCGGTCGAATTCGCTCAACCGAGGCCAGCAGGTACGACGACGTCACTCGGGAGGTGGTCTCCAACGACGCGGTAGTCTCAACAGCCATAATACTGGTGATCTCATGTTCTTCGACGATGAAGGTTATGGTGGCGATAAGGAGGATGAAATCTTTTCGATGGAGGGTGATGCCCTCGTCCCCCCTAAGGAGCCCTCAGCAATCAAGCCTTCATCCTCCCCCTCTTCGGAAAGCACCTCGGTCAGTGAGCAAAACTCCACGGGTCGGTCAATTCGAGAGCCCTCTAAGAGTTCGCGAGCTACGGTCAAGGATGACGAAGAAGACGTCGGCGCCCATCTTCCAAGCAATCCCAAGGAAGCCCAACTGAGGAAGGATGAACGTGTCCAGTTTTTCCTTCTCCTGGAAGACCTCACGGCTGGCATGAACAAACCATGCGTTCTCGACCTCAAAATGGGCACTCGACAATATGGTATTGAGGCAACTGAGAAGAAAAAGAAATCTCAGAGGCGCAAGTGTCAGTCAACAACGTCACAGCAACTAGGCGTTCGTCTCTGTGGTATGCAAGCCTGGAACGTCAAGAAACAAGAGTACATCTTCGAAGACAAATACTTTGGTCGAGACTTGAAGTCTGGCCGGGAATTCCAGGATGCTCTCACCAGATTCCTCTATGATGGGGTGAGCTACACCAGTGTCGCTAAGAAGATACCGATAATCCTCGAGAAGCTATCTCTCTTGGAACATATGATCCGGAAGCTGGATCGATACCGGCTCTATGCTAGCAGTCTATTGATTTTGTACGATGGAGAGCAGGCGACACCCCCGCAAACTCCTAGTCATCCTAGCGAACCACGTCCGCCCCGACGTCAGGCATCTGAGGACGGCCATAACAATTTTGACGTCCAGCTAAAGATCGTTGACTTTGCCAACTGCGTGACTGGCGAAGATGAATTACCCCCAGACACACCTTGTCCACCCCACCACCCTCAGGACATTGATCGTGGATACCTGCGTGGTCTCCGCACTCTACGAATGTACTTCCAACGGATCATGAGAGAGATCACGCAAGACGAGTTTGTGGAACGCGGCGAGGGCGAAGCAATTGCGCTCGGTTCCCAACCCGCTGTCCGTGAATCTTCCTCTGATCAGTTTTGGGATGAGAATGTGATGGAGACTGATGCGGGTGAAGTCAGCTTCTGATTTCCCCGATTTATGTCTCTTTTCTCTTTTTTTTCTCTTGCGTTTCCTTCTTCCATTTTACTTGTTTCATTATCTGGCACTTTTTCTCCTGTTTATGGCGTTTGGGGAATAGACAATGTGTCCCACATATGGAGTTCCCCTTCTGATTTCTGCTCGATTTTATGTTTCCTCTACGGTACCGTCCTCTTGAATGACGAGGAACCTACGAATAACGACCCCCACGGATGCTCCGATGACCCCCTTTTCAATGCCTGAAATGCATTTAGAATCCCGGCTGGCTTTGTTCTGAACGCGTTTCCCCCCCTCTTCTTCTTCTTCTTCTTCTTCTTCTTCTTCTTCTTCTTCTTCTTCACCCTCCTGATCTTCTTCAAATTTCGCTTCTTCCGACTACGTGAGTAGTCGTCTTTGATTCCCCCATTCACAACTCGGTTCACTTCTCGGTCTTGTTTTATTGATAATACCCGGCCATCGGGCTATCGGTTGATCTTCTAGCAATCCGCGGGGTTGGCGCCAGGTTTCTGGTTTTGTACATGATATTCGTTAGGATTAGACAATAAATCACTTACTTCTTACTTGATTCTTCATTCTTTGCATTGCATCGACTTAGGCGAGCAAGGGAAATGACGTTGTCTTGGAGAAATAGCAAAGCAGATAGAGTGCGCTTCATTTATCCGCATGAGCTTTTTAGGCTGGTGTTTAGATGGATGATTGAGTAAACTAGTTCAAGATTTTTATTCCCCGCTGATCATAGTTGGGCCAAGCTGTGATATCACCGCTATAGATCAAAGTTCCGGATCGTAACCTCAGAGATCCTTCTTTCCCCAGTTGAGTAATGTTTTATCAGATTGGGCAATCGGGCATCTCCGCAATGATGCAACCTCGGCCAATGTCACGTGTTCACTGATAAGCAAGTCCCAGCTTTACTCCACTCCGCCTTGAGTCAGGCTAGCTGAGCTGTCGGGTACAACTCATTCCCCTCATTCCTCTAGGCATTTCTCTGTTCCCTTGCATTTATAAGTTTTCCTTCTCATAGAATGACCAGAACCTGACCCCTGAATCACGTAAGGTGGACGATCAACAAAGAACCAACTGATCCACCCACCTGACCCCAACCCCGACCGCTCAAGCTCCGCCTCCGGTCACGGAGCAGGCTGCGGAGAAGCTATCCGACTGACGCATCATAAGGAGAAAGGTCCCAGGGCGTCCGATATATATATCTATCCTATCTAGTCGGCGTATTTACGCGCCGACTATAACTGTCAACACCCATCATGCCTGGCTCCAACGGCCAAACAGACCAGCATATCGATAAGCGAGACTTCGACGCGAATCGACCTCTGTTGCTGGCCTCGGATCAGCATGCCTCGAATGAAGAGTGGAATCCAGACTCGGCTCGGTCACGACCGAGATCGCACTACTCACGCCGCTCGGGGGAGAGCGGACGGGGAGGAAGTGACGACGGACTGTTGAGCGATGTGGTTGATGGCATTGTTGAGCGGGACCGAAGGAAAATGCACAAGGAGGTGGTCCGAGTGATAAGCTTTGCTTGGGGAGTTGTTACCTGGTATGAATATCCCGGGTCAAGCTTGGCGACACTTGATTGCTAACACTCGTCACTGTTAGTCTTGGAGCGGGAAGTATTACCGCCTTTTCGCTATACGGCCATCTCCTCCTTACACGACTTCGATATACCCAGCTCCAGGTCAACGCTGTGTCGATTGCCGCCGAGATTGCCATGTACTTGCTAGTCCCGCTTTTCGGCTACCTTTGTGATCGATACAGTCCATCGCCGCTGGCGCTGTTCTCGGGACTTCTATTCGGAGTGGGATATCTGCTTGCTGCGCTGACGTACAGGAGTGGACCTCCTGTTGATGCTGGTGGCTCCGGCTGGCCGTTTTGGGTGATGATCGTGGCTTTCATCGCGATTGGCATGGGTACCAGTTGCATGTATCTGGCAGCCGTGGCAACGTGCGCCAAGAACTACGGCAGGGGGAAACACAAGGGAATCATGCTGGCTATTCCCATTGCAGCATTCGGCCTTAGCGGCATGTGGCAGAGCCAGCTTGGAACATATGTTTTGTACGAAAAGAACCCGGATGGCAGTCGCGGCGATGTGGATGTCTTCCGGTACTTTATGTTCCTGGCCATCCTATTGCTGGTCATTGGGGTTATTGGGACATTTGCGTTGCAAATCGTTGATAGCGATGAGGAGAAGTATATTGACGAGACGGTTGAAGAGCTAGAGCGGAGCGGATTACTTGAGGAAAGCGAATTCTTCCGGCCGGTCAGAGCTGCGGTTGAGTATGGAACTTTTGCCGAGGATGATGACGATCGCTCGATCACTCTCTCTGAGGAGGAGCGGGAGCAGCAAAGACTTGAAAAAGAGCGGGAAGAGGAGGAGCGTCGGAAGAAGACCTGGTTGCTCAACTATGAAACCCGTGTCTTTCTTCAAGATCCTACAATGTGGTGGTTGGCTGCCGGTTTCTTCCTGGTGACTGGACCAGGTGAATCATATATCAACAATGTGAGTTCCCTGCAATCTACTGCTCCATAATCAATCACTAACATACGCGACTTAGCTCGGGACTATCATTCCTACCTTGACACCTCCTTCCTACGAAGCAGATGCTTCGCCTCCAGCTGGTCTTCCTTCCACCCACGTCACTACCGTTGCATTGACTTCAACAATCGCCCGTCTTCTCACCGGCTCTCTATCGGACTTCTTCGCACCCCCGGCCACGCATCTCTTCCCACCTATCCCGGAGGGTGCGCGTCACCGTTCCATTACTCCATCCAACAGCCGTCCAACAATCTCCAGGATGGCCTTCCTCCTCCCTTCAGCATTCCTCCTCTCAATTGGCTACTTGATTCTTTCTACGCCAATTCCCCTCCAGGAACCATCCATTTTCCACCTCACAACTGCCTTGGTCGGCTTCGGCTATGGTAGTGCTTTCTCTTTAACTCCGATCATTATTTCGGTGGTATGGGGCGTGGAGAACTTTGCTACGAACTGGGGTATCGTTGCTATGATGCCTGCCCTAGGTGCTGCACTTTGGGGCGTGGTCTACTCCACTGCCTACCAGAATGCAATTGACGCGGGTGCTGGCTTTGGATCCCCCGATGGTCAGTGCCATGGCTGGAGATGTTATGGGCTTTGGGCTGTGGGTTGCACTGCCAGTGTCTGGGTTGCTATTTTAGCTTGGGCAGCTGCTTGGAGGGGCTGGAAGCGGAAGGGTGTTGTTGTTTGAGCCGGGATTCCTATATATGGCCCGAGCCTGGATTCCTCTATATTTTCGGTTTTCTGACTGGCGTTTACCATGATGCATTTCTTGGCGATAGAGTATTTGTGAGTGTAATTAGCGATAATGCATTTGGGTATCTCTATGAATTGGAGTATTCTATACTATTATCACAGCTTTTGTTGATGCATCCTCGGCGCTCAAGTGCCCGGGCTAGTTCTTCTGTTCATGAACCTCCGCCACCCTCGGTTGCTCCACATCCGTTTGGTCCTCGACGGACTTCAGAAGGTCCACGGTAGGTGTATCAAACTTCCTATCGATATCCTCAAGCTCCAGACGACTAGTCTCTGGAATGAAGAAGAATCCAAAGAGAATGGCTACAGCCGAGAGGGATCCATAAATAAAGCCCAGTTTACCACCAAGATAAACATGCCCTGGTGTATCAGCCGTCTCCATATACGGGTAGGAGAATGTCACGGCAAATCTAAAAAAGCCAATGTCAGTACTATTCTTCATGGTATGTCTGAAGAGGAGGGAGTGAAATGGGTGGAATCCATACTCGGTAATGAGCTTCACGAAATAGGCAATCTGCAACGTCATCTCTCGCAGAGGAGACGATGGGAGTTCTGCACCAAGCACATAAACAAGAGGCGCCCAGCCAAGAGACCAACTAAAGCTGTATATGACCAGCATGGCCACGATTCCTTGTTTGGCTGACACGTTACTCGAGCCTGCGGTTCCCAATGCACCCATTGTCATCAATGCTGCGGTTTGCATCGTCGAACTGACATGGAACATTGCCCTAATGAATAGAAATCAGCATTCACTTTTGCTTGCCCAGGAAATATTCAGTATGTAATGATGTGATGGATATCGACATACCGGCGTCCAACGCGATCAATGAGAGACCCCGAAATAGCGATAGCCCCAATATCAACAGCATTGGTGCCGAGAGTGACACTGAATGCGTTAATCGACTTCAGCTGCTTTACAAATAGAGTACCATACTGCGAAGCAAAGGCCTGGCCGGTAGCTTGCTGGAAGAAATTCGCAGCAACAACGACGAACGTACGTTGTCGGTTCTGCGGCGTGAACAAATCACGGAAGCGCTTCTTCTCAAGTTGATGAGCCACCTTTTGAGACAAGATTTCAAACTCCTCTTGTATAGACTCTTCGGGTGTATTTTTAGGCTTGAGTCTAGTTAAAGACACAAGAGCTTCGGAGTGTCGACCGCGGAGAAGGAGCCACCGCGGGGATTCGGGAACGAACCAGATAGACCAGCTGATCATGAATGGGACGACGAGGATAAGACCAAAGGGGATTCTCCAGGCCGCATTTGAGTACATGCTGGATGTTCCACGTGTGATGGAGGTAACGACGAGACCGCCGACTTTGATGCTAAGCCAGTACAGCACTCCCATTCCACCACGGACCTTTGCCGGGGCGAGTTCGGTCAAAGTTGTTGGAATTACCGCCATCTGCATACCGAGGTAGACGTCTGAGGACTGAAATTAGTCAATAACCTTGGAATAGATAGATATGGGTTTCGCACAATGCAGAGCTCTGCCAGCTTGTATTTGGGCGTCTGTTCGTGAACTTATCACCACCGAGGCACTTCCCAGGGCATATACACTCATGACCGATATGCACATTCGTCGTCCATACTTGTTACTAATATATCCACCGAGAAACACACCTATTTAGTAAATCAGATTAGCAATTCATGTCCAGCACCAGCATATGCAAGAAATGAATCCGAATAGCGACACACCAATAATTTGCCCACCAGCTTTCAAACTGTTATACAAGGACGTGAACAAAGGGTGCCGTTTCCAGACACCGGTCTTCTCGTTATAAAAGCCGAATTGCCGGTCAAAAGCGTCCATGGCCTGGCAAGACGCAAAAGCTTGATCGCTGAAGCCATAGTTGAAAGCCGAAATCACTAGCAGGCTTGTTGAGAGAATGAGCATCGGACTCAACGTCTGCCTAGAGAAAGCCATGTCGTCGCCGGCACAACACCAGGATTGCAGGTGGCGGGTAGGTGTCGAGTTATCAATCAATTTGATCAAATCAATCAGATAAAATAAGATGGCGAGGAATGTGGAAAGCAAGGCTGGCCGTAGCCGATGGGCTTCACTGGGCTTCTCTACGGATCCACCGACGGGGCAACCAGAGCGGGATTTGTGTAAATGGTAATACGAAGATAAGAAAAATATGCCTACAAAAAATTGAAATTATTACTGGTGCTGAGTAGTAAACCCCCTCAATCATACCCTACTAGGATACACCCTGCGTAAGTGCGTATCTAGCCCTGCAGCCCTACGGGGTGCTAAGCTTTGCCAGGGCAAGCTTAGCCGGATGTTCGGCAAATGGCGGCGTCGCTGAATCGCAGGGTGCGAACTCAGGATCCACCAGATCCACATTTTCGACGAGAATCCACCGATCAGGCAACGAAATTACGAGGCTGTTGAAAGAGGAAGGAGCATTTCGATTGTAATCCCTCAACCTTTCAGATGGTCTTGATTGATATCTAATCGAGTACGGGGGTGCAAGGATGCTGTTACTTATGATGAAAAAGATGGCTTTCAATATCGTTGACATTGCATCCATAATAGAGCACCCATCGCTTTTGCTTATCTTGTAACAAATTGCTGCTTATGGCGGGCTATTAGCCGGTAGATTACTGGCACAAGTTGTAGCCGATTCAACAGCCGAGCCTTCCGCGAGGGATTTAAGTAGAGCAACACAACTCTGTCTCAGAATCGTAACCGTTATACTTATGTGGCTTGTATTTGGGACGGTCTTCAGCCAAGGTTTAGTCCTTCAAAGTGTAGGGAGATATGGGAGTTCAAAGACAGAAACCCGTATTGATTTTTGGAACTATGTATGGGCTACACCATAAAGCCCAAGATGTATGTATTATCTTTGTCCGCCGTCAACCAACAAGGACAAATGAAGTGCAACGAAGGCAACCAAGATACCTCGAGCAGCTATCAACCTGTCCTAATATTACACTGTACCGAAAAATGCACGATGGTACCGACTATCATGTCTCCAAAGCCTGGCTAGACGTCTGTGGAGGCTGGGTCCCGCCCAGTGAAAACTTTGTACAATCGCTTGCTGGCTGCCGGACCCACGCGAGTATCAGACAGCGCTCCATTCTTATTTGCAGATTTCTAGAGTAACGTATTGTTAGAATATCGAAGGAATCGAAAAGGGTAGATAGCACGATCCGTAACATACCTTGACGTCCTCCAGCATTGTAGGTCCATGCATTTGCATACCGCGAATCAAGTCGGTGACACAAGAGTATTGTGATGAGATACCGTATGCCATCGGGGCAGTGACTCGATTCACTTCCTGGAGCATCTTCACAAAAACATCATGTTTGTCTTCACCAGGCTTGACCTGGCCACTTTCCATGCAGAAATTCGCGTCATGTGCATCCATTCGTTCCCACCGATATAGAGTCGTAGAGATATGCTCTGTAAAATTCTTGATCCATTCCGCGGACTCTGGGGGCGCTGCACTGTGATGAATGAAACAGGAATGTGTCACTTGCAACGCGAGTAGGGCATCTTCAATCGTATCGTCATCAACAGGTGGAGTAGTCTCTGGTTTGCGTTTCGGTTTCCTGCCTCGGCGACGTGGTGCAGATACCTGACTCGAAACTGGCTCGGGTTCAGGTTCGTATTGACTCAAAACCTCGGCTACATAGGCTCGGTTGCGAGAGTTGCTATTTTTGCGCATCCAAGCTGTGAGGCCTTCAATGAGGTAGATGACTGTATATCCAGGGTAGGCACTTTTGAGCTTCAAGACATGCACTTCCAATGACTCTCTCTCCTCGCCGGGTGGAGGGTCAATAACCATGTCAACAAAGTCTTGTGCAGTAACCAAGCAGAGCACATGTTTTTCTTCCGAGATATGAAATGGAGCCGGTTCCCAATGACCGGCTTCTTCGTTGTATCGGGCATTCATCTTTCGCCGCCACTTGACCACATTCGGAATTGGGCCGGTGAAGAAATGATACTCAACTTTGAGTCGCTTCATGAACTCGATAGCTTGATTTCCAACACTTGTTTCTTCAAATGAACACGAAATGTCCAGTATCATCTCCGCGGTAGAATCTTTTCTATCCACCTTGAGCTTATTGACTTCAGCAATGTCCGCGGCCAGTTGCTTCTCTCTAGCCTTTTCCTCCTTCAGTTTCAGTTTCCGCTCCTTCTCAAGCTGGCGTTCTAGATCCCGTTGTGCTTTAGCGTCGGCCCGGGCCTGTGCTCTCGCCTCCTTCTCTTCCGTGGTGAGCTTGCCAGATTTCTTCGCCGGTTGTCGCGGTTCAGCAATGCCGTCCACTTCATCAGAGAAATCTCCAATCGTCGATGCATCCATTGTAGCTCCCCTGCGTTTTTGAGGGCGAGATCCAGCCTTGTTGTTGAGTCTGTTTCCCTTTGGTGCGGTATTCAGGGTAGATAATAAGGCAGCGGTCTTGCTGGAGAACCCCGATTTAGAAGCGGAAATCTCCGGGTCCGAGAGTTCAAACGTGTCATCGAAATCACCAAGCCCAAATGGGTCACTGAATTCCTGTATGTCATCCTGCTTTCCACGCCTTGTACTTCCATTGCCTAATGACTTCCAAAGATCATCGTCGTCATCGTCGAGCGTGATCACTTCGGACTGTGTGTGGTTTGGTCTCGACCAGGTGGAGTGTTGCTTCTTGGAAGGTTCTGGCGCAGATGATGTGAAAATGATAGGGTCGGATTCGTCGGCATGGCGTCCCTGGTACTTCTTCTGCGCTCTGGGGTTTGAAGGCGGCAGGCTGAAGTCGTCATCCGAGAAGGAGAACACGGGTGGATCGGGCCGTGGCGCCCTCTTTGTCACAATTCTTTGCCTAGGAGGAGAGCGCTTTTCGTCGCTGACGCGGCGTTTCTTGGCCGGCTTGTCAAGAAAGTCGTCGCTCAGGGCAGAGAAGTCGATGAAGTCGGACGAAATCAGCCCCGAGGTCGCTGTGGGCCCAACCGCAGCCTGCCGTGACTCGGCCGGCACATGCTGAGGTCTAGGCTTATCAGGAAGGGGCGGATCTGAAGAAATGAGGTCAATGACCTCGGGCATGTTGGATGGATGCCAGCGACACGAGGGGCGCGATGCGGGAGAAACGCGACGTCACGAAGTCATGTGACCCTTATCGGATATACAACCAGGAGATATGAAGGAGAAGAGAGAAGTGAAGTTAAGTAAATCGAGAGAAAGGGGGTATTATTTTGACTATCAGATAAAATACACGCTGCGAAGCAAGAAAGCAATCACCACTGCAAGGAAAGACCCACAAACGGCGAGCGCGACAAATATTTGTTGCCATCCGTGGAAAGGACGCCTCTCAACCGACAACATAGTCGAGATTTCCTCCTCCAGTCGATCCTCCAGGGCAGTAAGTGAGAATTCTCGCTCTGCTCTTGCTTTGCCAGCAGCCGCCATCCGGTCTACTTCCTGCTGGGACATACCATAGAGAACCTTGTCCATAACAGCGGTCCATTCCTGAACCGCGTGAGCGTCACGGAGCCAGCCCGTTTCGCCTTCAACAATGGTCTCCAATGGACCGCCGGTGTTTGATGCTAGCACGGGAAGTCCTGCAAGCATGGCCTCAACGGGTACGATACCAAAGTGCTCGTTGATCGGGGTGTATAGCAGGAGTTTTGACTGAGCGAGCAATGTATTTTTAAAGGTGGTGGGAACGGAGAGGAGGAACAAGACATCGATATCGTCGGGGATTGAGAGCGCAGAGACTACCGTCTTCGTCGTCGCAGTTCGTAAGCCGAGGTCCTTTGCGAGATTGTCGAGCTCTTGGTGATATTGGACATTCTCTTGGACGCGGTTGTCATATCCACCTAATTGGAGAAGTTGATTTAGTTTCCATAAAGCAAATGAACATCGTCCGAGGAAAAAGCGAAGAGTCCATACCAGCAATCACCAACCGTGTTCCCTTCCTCTTTCCCTCGCCCAGACCATTATAAGCGCGAATCGCCAGCCCCATATCCTTCTTTCGCTCGAAGCGATTGATGCTCAACAATATCTTCTTTCCATCCCAAAGAGCCTCTTCCGGCTCTTTCTCGGGTGTATTCTTTCCGGCATTTGTATCGACACATGGGTATACAACCTCCACATCCCCGAGCTTGTCGGGCCCGAAAACACCACGAAGCACTCCGCGCGAGAAATTCGAGTTGGCGACAACCCGGTCCGAAGCGCTCATCGCCCATCCTTCAAACCAGTCGAAAGGGAATCGGTATAGAACCTTTGCGAGTCGCAATAGGGAGCCGCCTTCGTTTCGCCGCGCAAGCAATTGATCAGGGAAATGGCAGTAGAAGAGAATCCGTTGGCGTCGAGACTTGCGAGGTTGCGCAAAGCTCTTCAGGATAGGTACACATGCTGGAAGTTGGTCCACAATGAAAATATCGTCCTGATCTTCCTCACCAGGGGCGGCCTTATCTTGCGCCTTTGATTTACCCCTCGATCCAAGCTCCGTCAGCAGGGATGCGGTCAGGTGGAGCTGGCGCAGCGATGCCATGAGGATATGGAACCTCCCAAAGATATGGGCCGGAAATATCGTGTTCCCACGCACACGAACATCAAGAGTGCCATCGCGCGCCTCGTCAAAGCAATGCGACTTGTCGCGATGGGAGGTGTAGATTGTCACTCGGTGGCCGCGATTCTGCAGGGCCAGCGCAACGTCGATGATCAGCCGTTCCGCACCACCAATACCTAGATCGGGGTGAATTATGATCACGTTAGAGGGTGTAAGGCCCGGCATAGTGGGTAATTAGCTAGACGCCCGTCTGTTGGAGTGCTTGTGTCGAGAGCTATCGATTGTTAATCGCGTCCCGCGAAAGCTACGATAAAGACACGTGGGAAGTACGTCATCACATGACGCCCGTATGCAACTTTATCCATAATTATGTAGCTGTCGAACTTCTATATAGTTGTTCAAGAATACTAGCTTACGGTTCTTCATGAATTGCATATATACTTACAATGCGATTAAGTCTTGCTTAACGCATGGATCTCATAGACCTATCGCTGTGATGCCTTATTCAAGACTGACCACTCGGATCGCAGCCTGCTCCATCTACCGATGGATATAGATTGTACCGGCTTCAAGGAGCCTGCAACGTCTGAACATTCCCTGGAAGTCAATTAGCATTCGATTGGCGACCAAACTCAGGTATACAGACATTATCATCTATGGTATGCAAATATAGGAACAAAAATACAAGAAAGACAGAAATTATACTTCCATCGCCACAATCCGGGGATTCAAAGAGCGGGGCCCATCTGCCCTACCGGCTAAGTACGACGGTCTCGCTGCCGTGTATCCGGCCATACTAGCTCGGTCTTCTTTGCGGTCGCATGCTCGAGAATAAGTCATTTTTTTCTGATTTCTCCCCTTCCTACCTATGGACCACATGTAGCATCCAGGTCACTATCATGGCAGACGAAGAGGGTATTCAGACTAACGACCATGCTGCTCCTGAGCGTGCAGTGGAAGCCCTCGTCATACAAGATGAGCTACCTCCGCCAACCAAAATGTAAGATTTGCCAAGGACCATAACCACAAAGTCTTTCCACGTGCAGCGAGATGAACTAATATATCCATATAGGCGACAGTGCATGATCGTCGCAGCGGGCTTCATAGTCATGTTCATGACCTGCGCAATCATTTTCGCTTACGGTGTATACCAAGCTATCTACGAAGAAATGGCCAAACAACCACAGACGCCCTTCACGGGCACATCATCTTCAATTATCAGTTTAATCGGAACACTGTCTATCGCCGTCATGTCCATGGGCGGGCCCTTCGCCATGACCTGGGCGAAACTATACGGTCCCCAGCCGGTGATCATGTGCGGCGGCGTTGTATTCGGACTCGGTTGTATCCTCGCCAGCTTAAGCGAGTATGTCTGGCAATTCGCCTTGACACAAGGTATCCTTGTGGGCATGGGTACATGCATGGCCTACGTACCGACCATGTCTGTCGCGCCAACGTGGTTCGACAAGCGGCGAGGTCTGGCGATGGGCATCGTTATCTCTGGCTCGGCTTGTGGTGGAATGATTTGGCCCCCCGTTCTACGGGCTATTACTTCGCACATCGGATTCCGCAATGCGCTGCGTATTTCGGGTTGTCTCGTTATTCTTTTCGTTCCCATCGCGGGCTTTACTTTGCGCTGGGAGCCGAACTTCAAGGCGAAGGTTCGAGGCCAGACAGCTGGAGTTTCCAGAAAGACGGGCTGGATCAATGTTCCTCTGGTCAATTGGCGAGTGGCCAAGTCCAAGAAGTTTGTCTCGCAGGCTCTGGGTTGTTTCCTGCAGTCGTCTGGATATGCGACGCCTCTATTCTTCTACGCTGCCTTTGCGCGGTCTCTGGGATATAGTGAGACCATGGCGGATAATTTTATCACGATCAGCAACGCGGCCAACTTCGTTTCTCGAATCGTCATTGGTTACATGGCTGACAAGTATGGTCGCTTGAACGTGCTCTTCCTGACAACCGTTATGAGTTCGATTGCCGTCTTTGCCTTCTGGCTTCCTGCCACGTTTGCGAATAACGCAATCTCTGGAACTGCGGCGGATGTACTTTTCATCTTGTTCGCTATATTGTATGGCTGCTTTGGCAGTGCATACATCTCGCTCTTCCCGGCTAGTCTGATCGAGTTGTTTGGTGTTCAACATTTCACGTCGGTTAACGGGGCGTTGTATCTGATTCGAGGAATGGGTGCCTTGCTTGGAACACCTTTGACTGGACTGTTATTACCCGGACAGTCTGCCCTGTCGGCGCCTTTCAATTATGAAAGGGCGACTATTACTGTGGGCGTGTTGCTCTTCGCTGCTAGTGTAGCCACGCTTTGGGTGAGAATTGAGGGTGCAGCTGGGAAGGCTTGGACATGGAAGCTGTAAGGCCAGGAAAATTTCGGAATGCACGATTCTGTAGTAGAGAATGGAAATCCCATGGCAGATTCAACTACCACATATCCTAATCCGTGACCCTCCTTCATGACCTACCATCGAGGAGGCCTAGGATACCAAACCTCAAGAGTGTCCAAACTCCGGCTCTAACCTTAAGCTCAAGAGACCCTTGATAGTACACGCGACATAAGTTACACATGAGCTTTCGAAGGAAACAAACGCACATAGCGAGAGTAAATTCGGGACAAGTCCTCAACAAAATCCCCACCACAACTATTTAACGAAGGAACCATTTCAACACTCGCACTAGTCAATCTAGAGACATCCAACGTAAAGAAAATGTACAATTGAGAAAAATCCAGACGCGAGTTCAGAATCTACCAGTCATAAAAAAGCGAGGGTTGTCGTTGCAAACGCAAGAAGATAACCACACAAAATAGAAAAAATATGTAAAAAGAAAAAAGGGTGTGAAAAGTGGACTGTGCATCAGGAGAGTAGACACTGGTTTACTATGGCACAGGGCAGAAGGGCAAAAGAGGTATCGAAGCAATCGACGTTGAAAAGAAAAGAAGAAACCAGGTACGTGTCATAATACAGGGAATTGGGCGAGATCAGGGGGTTGTGTGTTGGAGATAGGTAGGTAGGGCAGGGGGCATAAGCGAATCGCAGATAATCGGATCAAAATGACAAAAAGGGGTAAGAAAAAAGGGTATGAAACAAGTAGAAGCAGAGAAGAAAAGTGTACATATCCAGGTGTGAGAGCGGTAATGACAGGCGTAAAGGTCAAAAACACAACACGCTTTTTGCAGGGGGCGAGTATGTGAAAGTGAGGAAATGGGGGCCGAGAGCTCGGCTTAGAAGCAGTTGAGAGTGCTCTTCTTCTTCTTTTTGTTGAGGGCGTTCATACGCTCCTCCAGCTGGGCACGAGCAGCCTCGGCTTCCTTGCGGGCACTGCGCTCCTCCTCGACAGCCTGGAGTGACAGACGAGCGGAGTTGCGCTCCTTGCGGAGTGTGGAGAGCTCGTCTTCAAGACCCCAGGCCTTCTTCTTCCAGTTCTCGCAGTCGTTCTTGACCTTGTTGCTCTGGGTCTCGAGGTCACCAAGGGCTTCTTCGAGGGTAGCAGTCAATTGCTTCTCAGCATATAGGTGCTTCTCGATGGTACGGATACGGGCTTCCTGGTCCTCAACGATCTGGGCATTGACCAGCTCCTTGCTAGCATGGCGTGAGCTGGGAGGGGACACGCTACCGGAACCGTTGGCGGCAGAAGCGATGGTTGGGAGAGGAGGAAGGGGAATGGCGGGAGGGGGAGAAGGCAAAGAAGCTGCCGATGAGCTCTTGCGAAGGTTAGAAGTGAGAGAGCTGCTGCGGTCGTGGGAAACATCGGAGGTTCCGTTCTTGAGTTGAAGCTCAAGCTGCTCGATACGCACGCGGTAGGTCTCGATGTCCCTCTCGAGAATAACGATCCTAGCCTTGGCATCCTCCAGAGCCTGGTCACGCTCCTGCTGGATGACAGAAAGACGGTTGTGGTGCTGGTCGAAGCTGTTGGTGATCTGCTCCTCAAGCTCCTCAACCAGGCGCACGCTCTTCTGCTTCTCTACAGTGATCTCTTCAACAAGAGCCTCCTTCTTCTTAACCTGCTCGTCCTTCTGGCGAAGAGTGTCCTCCAGGGTGGCAACCAAGAGAGCCAGCTCATTAACCTTGGCCTCCTGGGTGGCATTCTTCTTGTTCAATTCTTCAATATCACCGGCGGCCTCAAGCTGCTTGCGAAGATCCTCGTTGGTATCCATGAGCTCAGCGTACTTCTCAGAGAAGTGCTGTTTCTGGGCCAAGACATCTTCAATCTGGTCGGTGAGGGTCGCACTGGTAACATCGGACTGGAGGAGCGAAGAAACGGCCTTGAGCAAGTGAACCAGCTCATCGCGGGAATCAGTAATCTCCTTCTGCAGATTTGCCATCGTCTTGTCGTGTGCGGCATCCTTCTCAGCAAGGCGAGAATCTTGTTCAGCTTGAACTGCGGCTCTGGTCCGCTCCTCGAGCTCGGTAAGTTCGCGCTTGTGAGACTCCTGGAGGGAGTCCAAGTCACCCTTGTGGGAGTCAATAGCTGACCTGTGAGTGGCAATCTCCTGCTCGAGTTCGGTGATGCGAGTCATATCGACCGGTGCAGTGTCAAGCTCGGTGGCAGAAGACTTTGCAAGCAGTTGCTCCTGGAGATCCGCGTGGGACTTCTCCAACGTGGCGATCGTATCGACATGGGTGGAGATAGTGGTCTTGTGCTCTTCAATATCGCTCTTGAGGCCGTTCACAAGCTCCTGCTGCTTGACGCGCTCAGCCTCAAGGGCCTGTGCGGCAGCCTCCTTGTCGGAAGATGTGTCGCTGGTACCAGAGCGCTCTGAGCGCATGGCCTCCACAGCGACCAGGGAAGACTCCAGCTCCGCAAGAGTAGTGGCGAGCTGCTGCTCGGAGGCCTGCAGAGACTCCAGCGCAGACTGGTGCTTGCCCTTCCACTCGGTCAGTTCGCCCTCCAGAGCATCAATCTTCTTGTCCTGCTCTTCAGCGCCGGCGTCCAAAGCCTTGGCTGCGACCTCTTGGCTCTTCAACAGGGCGTTTAAGTTCTCAATCTCGGCCAGAAGCTGCTTCTCGCGAGCTTCGTGGGCTGTCCGGAGCTCCTGGATTTGGTTCTCCTGGTTGACGACTTGGTCACGAAGCTGAGTAACAAGCGCCATGTCGACAGACGAAGCACCCTGCAAGCTGGATCGCTCACGAGTAAGACCAGAAATGATAGTGGCCTTCATCTCCATCTCCTTCTTGACGCTCTGGTTCTCGGCTTCCAGGGACTGAAGACGCTCCATGCGGGAGGAAAGCTCGTGCATGGTGGCATCCAGGTTAGCCTCGAAGTGTTGGTAGACATCGGGCTTGCTGGAAAGCTCTTCGTTGGCAATAGTCCGCAGCGCGGTGAGCGAACGGTGAGCGCGGTCGACACCCGATAAGAGGTTCTGGCTGGTCATGCGGCGGATCATCTTGAAGCCAGGGGTGGAAGGAGGGCTAGGCTTGTGGCGCTGGGCCTCGGCCTCGGCCTTCAACTTCTCCACAAGGGCGAGGATCTCCTCATGCTCAGTCTGGAGCTCAGCGTACTTCTGGGTCATCCGGTCAGCATCAGCTTGGTGCTCAGCAAGCACCTTGCGCATCTTCTCGGCTTCCTCAGCGTCGGCTGAAGCAATGACAGAAGAGGCGATAGGGGTGACGGGTGTGGAGATATCGTCGTGCTTGGAGTCTTCAGAAAGCCCGCGCAAAGCAGGCGATTCCCCGGCCGAGGACAATTCCGAGGAGAGTGATTGCGAGAATGAGTGTTGTGCTCCAGACTTCAAGGTCGGAGCGGTCGCATCTTCTAAAAAAGACACGGGACGCGAGGGTTCGTTCTGAACTTGCGGGGCTGGGTGACGAGCTTCATCGAGCTTGTCCTGTTGCATTTCAGCGAGCGCCTTCAGGGCCTCCTCATACTTGGCCTCGAGCATCTCGTAGTCACTGAGAGTGTTCTCGTGGCTGAGACGAAGCTCGAAGAGTTCTTGGGTAACGGTCTCCAGCTTGTCAACGACAAACTTGGACTGTGCGGGGCTGGCAACCGGCTCTTCATACACGGCTTCAGCGCGGAGGGCCTGGAGCTGGCTGGTCACGTTCTCAAGAACCTTGAGATCCTCACCCGGTTCCTCAGTAGCCTTCTCGACCTCTTCAACAGGCTCTTCCTCCTCTTCGATAGTGGGCTCGGCCAAGCCCTCGTCGGATTCGGGAATCGCAGTTTCCGCAGCCTCGTTCAGAACATCCAAAGAGGGAGTGTGCTTGTGGTGGGAAGTTTTGACCGGGGGAGGAACATGGGAAACATCGGTGCCGTTGGTGTGCGGCTCCGCCTCCTGCTCCTCCTCCTCCTCCTCCTCCTCCTCCTTGCCGCCGTTCTGATATTGGTGACGGGTATCAAGATCATGAAGGAGGTTGTCCAGTGCACCCAGGCCTCGCTGGCGCTGAATAACATGCTCCAGCCGAATCAGCTCGCGCTGCATCAACTCCATGTCCTGATCAGACTCGGCAAGACGGTCTTCCAAGGTAGAGATGTATTCCTCGCAGCCGGTTTCGTTTTCGCGAGCACGGCTGAGCTCCTTGCGCAGCTCGGCAACGAGGGTAGCATGTCTCTCCTCTCCGGTAGACGCACCGTCCAGCTTAGATTCCAGTTCATGGAGATAAGTCTCAGTGCTGGCCTCGCGGTCCAACAGCTTTTGCAGACGCGATTGCAGCTGCGAGTTCACAGTCTCGACGTAGGTGCACTTGGTTTCACGCTCCAAGAGGGTGCTTTCCGTGGTGGCCAGGGAAGTACGAGTGTCAGACAGGGACGATTCCAAGGCCTGAATGGTCTTCTCGTACTCGACAACAACCTGTTCCACAGATTCGGCAAAGGACTTCGACCGCTGAATTCGCTCAATGGAACTCTTGCCCAAGTCATCTGGGTGAGCCTCATGTTCTCCGTTGGTCGAATCATTGGCCAGTTGTGAAATCAGCTTGGTGTGGCGCTGGCTGAGTGCATTATAGCTTTCCTGGGCATCAAGTAGCTGGTTCTGCAACTGAATCTCACGCTCGTTCTTGCGCTCGCTCCGTTCCGTAGATGCTGCATCCCGGCGCTCGGAGCCTTCTGAGTTGCGAATCTGCTGACGGAGGAAGGCAACCTCGGCCTTCAATCGATCGATCAAAGCCTGCTTATCGCTATCATCGGCAACTTGCTGGATGCGGGGCTTGCTCTGAATTGCACGGGCTCGTTGCGCGTACTGAACGGTGTTGAGGGTCTCGCTGAGATGGAATTCGGCAGGGGTGACACAGGCAATCATGTATGTAATTGCGTTGCCACCCAGGGAATCTTGCAGAAGGCGGGTGAGTTTTGAGTCACGGTAAGACACGTGAGAGCCGGATTGGCGAGACGAGAGCTGGGAGATGACCTTGCCGAGTGCAGCCAGACCAGCATTGATAGAGATACCCTCCTTAGCGCGTTCGCCGGAAGCACCGGTGTTCTTGAGACGTTCGCTACCTGCCAAATCCACGAAGTGAAGCTTGCTGTCCACAGTCACGGACTCGCCACTGGAGAAGGAATCCACTGGCATTGACATGCGCTTTTCCTTGGGGGACATTGGCTGCGCGGAAGTCTTGCGCTGGACGAGGTTCAAACTGAATACGGCGTGCGAACGGGAAGACTTGGCGTTAATGGCGGTCGAGTCGGTTTGGCGAATGGTCGAGCCGTGGTTCAGAGCTCCAATAAGGTCTTCGAACGAGTTGATGTTGACCTGGTGGAGGCCGGTCAGCAGAATGCGACCCTTGGCGTCCTCGCGAATCGTGACGGAGCTGCGGTCAGTGGCAGACACCGAGTCGGGAAGAAGCAAGTCACGAAGTTGTTCGTTATAAATCTAGACAGGAAATGTCAGCTTCCGGATGCAATGACCATGCAATGTAGCAAATCGAGGTGTACCTCAACGTAAGTGGCCTTCAATTGCCAATTCTTTTCCACGGGTGCTCGTGAAAGGCTGGAGGCCGAGCTCATGGAGTATCGTTGCGGGGTCCGAAGACCGGTTGAGCTGGAGCCGTTGCGGACGTGTTTGGGTCCATCGAGCTTCTCGAACAAGGCCTGCGCAGCGCGAGGAATGATACCTGTAATGAAAGTATACAATCAGCCAGTCGTTCCCACGACACCTCGCCTTCTTGAAGTCCGCAAACTCACCCATCGCACCAGAGTTTCCCTGCTCATTTGGCCCGGATGTACCCATTGTATATGACTTTCCCGCACCAGACTGGCCATACGCCAATATGGAAACGTTGTAGCCCTGGATGAACGAGTTGACACTGTCGTTTAAATATTCCCAAATACCATCCTGCTCCACTGTTTCGGGGAAAACGCGATCAAACACAAACAACTTGCGACCTTGGGGGACATCGACCGCAACGCTGGTTGGGCTTGTGACGTGAACCATGGACCGTTGGAATCGCTGGGGAATCAACTCGTATCCGGGATCGGTGGGCTTGAGAGGTGGTCGCACTCGGACAGCTATCGCGCCAGTCAGTTAATTGTTCCCAATTCTTCTAGTTGTGTTGCCATGATTTTTTTTTCGAGTGGTACTGCCGTCGGCCTTGCCGCCGCAGTACGCGCGCACGGCAGACGGAATCTCGGGGGAATTTGAAAGAGGACGTACCAACTTTGACTGCAGTCTTGCCATCCTCGTCGGACGCGCGACTTCCGCCATGTCGACTGCTCATGCTCATGCGACTGTTGCTGCGCGGCGTGCGCATCAGCGCGCTGATGGGCCGCGGGGCGGGTCCCGTCGGTGACGCTGGCGGTGAGACGGTCATTCTCCCCAGGAGAAACCACGCCGGGTGGGAAACAGGGGAATGTTGAACGAAGACGTCAGAAAAGATTGGGTTGTTCGTCGGCGATGCTAAGGAGTCGCGATCATCAGGAGTCACAGAGACAGGGGATTGTCTAGAATGTGGAGAGTCGCGAGAATTAGTGTCCAGAACCAGAACCCCTTAATTTTTTTGGCGGAAAGGAAAAAAAAAACACATGGACAACGAGTTGAAAATCGGTCGCACAACATCGATACCGAAGATGTCGGGAAAGAGGATGAAGGGAGACACGTACCTGGAGGGTTCAGACGGTCCTCTCTCTCACAAAGAAACAATCAATTGCCAGAAATGAAATCCCCAGTCAGGCAGGAGAGGGAGGGTAAGGAGGTGTAAAAGCACCGCGCAACGTCTGGAGAAGGCCGTGCACGGGCTAACTCCAGGTGGATTAGCTCCGATTAAGATGAAGGAGGATTCGGTGTGGTTGATGATGGGTGGTGGAGACTAAGAGACGAAGGGGACAAGTGGATTTGGGGGGGAGAGGGGGCCAGAAACAGTGGATGGAGTGGATGAATTGGGGATGGATTGGCAATTGGAGTGATTTGTCCAGAACCGAGAGAAGAGAGAGGAAAGAAGTAAAAAGGCGAGAGAGAGGGTTAGAGTTTAGGAGGAAGAGAGAGTTGTCAGTATACAAAGTTTGAGTTGGACGTGTCTTTGCGGGAGTGTTCCAATGGGAAGAGAAGTCTGGTTCAGGGGAACACTACCACATACTACGGTACTACAATCCTAACTACAGTACAGTAGTAAGTACTCCCTCTTTACTAGTACACTACAATCTATTATGAACTATCACTAGGCAACTACTGGATGGGGCTTCATCGCCGTACTACTTCCACTACTTCGGCCGCCACCTCGGTTCGCCAGAGACTACCGAACTTATTAAGCCCCCAGGTTGGAACCCCCCTACCGTCCACACTTTCAATGTTCCAGGTTCAAGGGAGGTGAGGGGGGGGGGGGGGGGGATATACATATTAATACTATGTATATACTATTTATATGTATATAATATTTCCTTGATACCAGGAGATGTATCTGCAGCTGATGCATCTCCTGGAATGTTAACGGCTCGGCCCCACGGGAGTTCCACGGTTCTTCATCAACCACGCGTCCTAGGAATCTGCCCGTCTGTACGATATACTGAGCATATGTACAGTATGTACTCCGTATACTATACGGAGTACTCGGGATATTTAATCCTCCACCAGTGGAGTCTCCCATTCCAAACCCTTTAAACGCCGTACTTTTGCCCTCCGGGCTACACGATGACAGTTGAAACAACCGATCCCCCCATCCCAGTCGTTAGACTCGAGCCACCAGGAACCAGGAACCAGTCCACCCACCAGTTCTCCAGCGTGGTTTGCGTACTCTTGTACACCGTACGGAGGAGTTCAGTGGGTTGTTTCAGATTCGTACTTTAGGTTATTACCTATCACCAACGGTGCATTGGTCCGGTCGGAGACAGTTCGGCATTCCACGCAATAATCAGAATAATACAGTACTCCGTACTGTACCGAGGATGTTCCTCCACGCTCCTCTTTCTATCCGCTCTTCGTATAGACACCCCGTCTACTCTACTACTCCCACCATTCTCACGGTACCGGGGTGCATAGCGGCTTTTTCAAATGTCGATCGCCTCGCGAAATGAAGACCAAAGGCTAGCCCAGGGACGGAGACGGGCCAGCCGACCAATCCAGTAATTCTCCCCTGATCCTGGGCGCTCCACCCGTCCAGCCCGCCGCGATCTTTCCTTTGGGCGACGGTGCCTGACAGGGAGGCTGAGACCTAACGAAACCCTAGACAAGCGTGAATTCGGCGCCATATCCAAGTAGAATCTCTAGTCGCAGTCTACCATTGACCAGGATAATACCGCAATGGCATGTTAGCCGCGTTCAATCTTAATAGGGGAGAGTCCGAGGTCTCTCCTCCTTCCCCAAATAATTTCACGTGGCCCAGCGAACAATAGCCAACACGATATTTTCATACAGCCCAAAATTGAGATCCAAATCTCGTGCATCAAACCCCCGATAAAACTTCAATCTCAATCACATCCAACTTTCCAAAATACAGCCTCCTTCGATCGCCAGTTAACTCCCTCAAATTATTAATCCAAAGAGTTCATATTTACGGTAGGGGGGACCGAGCTCACGCCCGGATGGCGCATGATCGACGCGTTTGTTATTAAACGTGGTGTGCCACGAACTCTGTTGGACGTGAAGGATCTCATCCCCATCGCCTCAATAATGATCAGTGTACATTGCATAGCCCTGCACACCCGTGATAAAATGAGGTATCCCTTGCACAACCTATCAACACTAATAAGTGGAGCGCGTCTCGGGTCGGTCTCGTGCGAGGCAAGGTTGATGCACTTTTTCTTTTGTAGGGCTTTTGAATTTGGGGGATATGAAGGATTTCTTGTTGATCGATCTTCATTCTGCTTGACTCCACCTGACTGTTCGACCGAGACCGAGACCTAGCCCATCTTTAGGCATTGCAGTTCAACTCATGTTTGCTTCGTCCAGTTCCATTTTTGATGGCATGGCTTGTAGAATAATAAAACGGGAGAGAACATTCTCGCAAAGTGAGCGTTGAATATCTAAACAATATCTTGAACCCTACAATATCCAACTCGTCCGGTATATGATACTGAGTGAAGTAGCTCAATCCCTACCCAGTTCGCATCCATCGCGTTCCATCTCAAAGGAAGAACAAACCAACTCCATCTCCACACCATCAGCCCAATCAACTACTTCACTGACTCGATCCCATTGACCCGGCTCGTACTCCCTCTGCATCTCGCCCAGGCCTATGCCGATTTTCTCCCGGAAGAGCCGGGCCCTGAGTAGCTGCATTGGCCAGGCCCACCGTTGGTTTCAGGTTTCGAGCTTGGTTCCCTCCACCCCTGGCAGGAGCACTCAATCGCCATTGCCATCTGCCATCGGGTTTCAGGGGTTAACCGTTGGCGGTCATTCAATTGCCAATGAGGATCGGCACCACGAGATAATTTGGGTCTCGATCGATTCCTATGCTAACTTAGCAAGAAGGTTGCTTACATAGGTTCGCTGGTTTGAAACAAACTTCGTGTTCGGAAGGGGCGCGGGTTTGTGACCCACCGCGACGTTTTTAATTTAGATTGTGATAACTCAATCACGTTTCTTGGCATCGCGGACATTAGAGACGGCATTCGGATTGGGTAAGTACAAGTAACTGCTTCTGAGTTGAGCACTATTAAAATACTGGATTTAAAGTGTACTCTATTTGGTAGAACCCGATTCAAAAAGACAGGAATAACTTCGATCGGTGACTGTCGTCGCTATATATTTCTGCAACCTCGATAATGCTGTGTCACCATCATCAGCAAATCGTAGAATTGAATTCCCGGGGAAATGAAAATCAGGCGGCGGCGAGGATAGTTCTTCCAGGTTTAGGAAATGATCATTACATTTTCGTCTAGAGATTTTCATCTAAAGAGCCAAGTCTGAATATAGAATTCAGACGAAAACTTCTATATAGACTATCCGGAGCAAGGGGAAGCGACCCTAATTCTCTCCAAGTGTAGGTGATTTTGAAATTCTGACATCACCGTAGTCAAACATGCGTGCTAGATTCTTGCAATAAAACACACGTACGTTAGCTCTTAATTAGAATACTCTCGTGTGTCAACTCGGATTTCTTTTATATCCTATTCAACACTACTTAATCGCCTCATCGGACATTCAACCCTACCGTAACTCGCTAACCGCCTACCACTCACGAATTCCGAAGGATTCACGCTCATAGTTTCAACCCAGATGGAACCAACCACCCAAAGCACTCTAGTCATATTCCCTACAGTTCGTGCACCCGACCCTCAACCGAGAGAGGACCCTTCTTCACCATGATGGTGAGAACCTCGTACAACACATCCGCAGCCGCCCTGCAGGCGAAATGATTAGCTTAGCCCCTGAACTGCCGACGTCTAAAGATCCAGGACGAAACAAAACTTACATTGTCGAAAGCTCCGCATTGGTATCATACGCCGGTGCAACCTCAACAATGTCGGCACCGATAAAGTTCAACCCATCGAGACCGCGAATGATCGTCCGAAGTTCGCGAGTGGACCAACCTCCAGTTTCGGGGGTACCGGTAGCCGGGGCAACTAATTATAAAGTATTAGTTGACCAAAATCTAGATTTGGGAATTCTGGTGGCAAATGACCTACAGGCAGGGTCAAGGGTGTCAATGTCGATGGACAGGTAGACGGGGTTCTCGGTGCCGACGCGATCCCGGATCTTCTTAATGATACCGTCGGTACCGATCGTGTCTATTTCTCGGGCTTCGACGATCTCAAAACCGCAGTACCCGTCGTTCTCATAGTCTGAAGGACCGGAGAGGGTTGTGCGGATACCGGCGTGGATGTTGGTGTCGTTCCTGAGCAAACCTTCCATGGCAGCGTGGTAGAAGTAAGTGCCATGATTGATGGCAGCGACCTGGCTGGGCGAGCCACCAAAGACCTTTGGTTTCCAGGTGTCACTAGCAATAGCTAGTTAGTGTCTTGATCAATTCTTCTGAAATTAAGGTTGCTTACAGGTGGCTGTCGAAGTGAATTACGGTGACAGGACCGTAGGCTTTGTTGATGCTCCGTAGCAAGGGCAAAGTAATAGTATGATCACCTCCGAGAGTGATAACGCGAGGAAGAGTCTTTCCTGCACGAGAAAGTCCTGGCTTATGGGCATCGGTAAACGGCTTGCGCATGAGAACACTGTTGTGGCCCTCTTCGATCTGTTGAATAGCCCAGGCATTGTCGTATCTATAAGAGAGAAAGGTCTGTCAGCTCTGGGTTTCTTTTTCGTACATGTGGAACTTGACGAGGCCACTTACGAGGTCACTGGAACATCACCACAGTCCAGAACCTTCAGATCGCTAACGAATGGGTTCGCCTCAAGTGGCACATTGTAGCCTCCGCTGTTGTATGATGGTTAAAACTCCAGACTAATTGATGGACCTCGGGTTCCAGAAGACTAGAACATACTAGAGATTGAGACGACGTGAGCCTTGTCTGATACCACTTGGTCCAAAGCGAGCACCGGGTCTGTACGAAGTACCCGTATCAAAGGGAGCTCCTATAGCAGTATGAGACTGAAGGATCTATGAAGACTCAATCGGAGTGACGAAGTATTCACCTAGGAAGGCAATGTCGTAACTTTCGTCCTCGCTGGAGAGACATGGGAAGTACGGAAGGCGGCCGAATGTCGAGATACCGGAGAATACCGAGTCAGCCTAGAGTTGTTGTATCAAGCCATTAGGTGCTCGTCCTCGACTTGAATTTGAGTATTTCTTTCAGCAAAGGTTCTTACCTGAGTGCCGCCATCTCCTGGTAGGGTGTTGTACCAAAGTCCTTTGTGTGGCCCAGACATTGGAGCCTGTCCATGGTCTCCATGCGCAGCTGAAAGCGCGGAGAAAAGGAGAAGGCCGAGAGTGGTAGTAATCATGATTGTATCACGGAATAACGTTTAAGATGAATGAAACGAACACCCACGGTGATGTACAGCCAATTTTGGACTGCAGTGAGCTGTAGTGCTTGGACTATATATGCAGAATACTACGATGAACCCCAGATTCTGCTTTAACTACTATGCATAAGTACTTGCTCTCTACGAGTTTTGTTCAGAGTTACGTTATCGTACCTGGCATTGCCCTGTCTCCCCTCTTTACCCATATTGAGCAACTGATCTGAAAGCTAGATCAGCATAGTTTCACCTAAACTCCCAATTGCTTGGCCAAAGATTTATTCATGGAATTGAATCACTATCTACTGAATCCTATCCTCGCTATCTTACTTCCCAATCGGGATAACAAGCTGGACAGCACATGCGGGGTTCGCGGCTTGGGTATGTAAGCCCTTATGCACGGCCACATGGAGTTAAAGATTAAATGGAAAAAGAAAATAAGTCCAAAGTCCAAAAAGGGAAGGCCGGGGGAGAGGGAAAATCTCTATCAATATGGGGAGAAAAAGATAAGCGTCTATTTTGGGTTGGTCTTTGACGTGGCTTATCGCGGGGTCGTCATTGGCGATCTCTGATGGATCTGTCCGAGAAAGGCGTCAGCATGTAGATCGCAGCCCCGCGGAGGACACCAAGCTTTACACAATTCATTACTTCTCGTTGATAAAACAGAAGAACCGGGAAGAATTGAATGATTCTCGGACAGGCTAGAACTTTGATTCAGCCATGCATTTGTTCCCCTAGATTACTTTTCTCCGTTTCATTCGCTCTTAACTCGAGATGTGTGAATACTCCAGGATTAGACGTTAGTTCACTGATAAGACTATGCCGGGGTATAGAGGCTCCTCCAACTATATGAGAATTGGAGCTTATATGCGATTGGGGTAGATATATACTCAGTATTCCATATTAGAGAAATTGGATTTGGTAACTTCATCGAGGCACGCTTTTGAACCTCTTGATTTCACAAGGCTAGGCATTGCCGAACCTACACCCCTTAAGTTTGGTCTTTGAACAACAATTGAGAAAGCGTGAAATATGAGCGCAGAAAAAGAGATAGAAAAAACGTCCCAAAGCGATGGCCTCGGCCTCTCTTCTGAGCAAATCCAGACCTCGATCGAGAAAGGTGATACTCACCTCGTCTGCAATGCAGGGGGCTCGGCAGATGGGACCAAAGCCCATCCACAACCGACCAATGACCCATTAGATCCATTAAATTGGTCGACTATGCAAAAACATGTTATACTAGCAATTGTGATGCTCAAGTGAGTTTTTCAAATAGTGTTGTTCATGGGACATTTTACGCGCTAGACGTGTCGTGCAGCCTAGAACAGGAGAGGCCTTGAACATCGGCTAACGCTGAAGATATTACTTTCAGATACTTTCTCTTCACGTATCTTACAACAACGACGGTACCTTCTTTCACCGAGATTCAAGATCAGTTTCAGATCAGTTATTCGCAAGTGAATTGGACTGTCGCCGTACCCGCCCTCGGTCTATCCGTTGGTCCTCTTATGTGGTCTTCTCTGAGTGACATATATGGTCGTCGACTTATCTTCCTGATTGGAACTACTATTGCTTTGGTATCAACAATTGGAGCAGCTGTCGCTGATAGCTACTCTGGATACATGGCTGCCCGGTTCTTCCAGGGATTTGGTGTCAGTCCTGCCTCAACTGTTGGCATGGCTGTTGGTGAGTTCTCTTGGCACCCGTTTAGTGGTCATTTGATAATTTTCTGGTAGTGAATGATTTATTCTTTGACTATGAACGAGGACAGAAGCTTGGGCTGTGGGTGTTGGCGATAGATTCTGGACTTCTGCTTGGGCCGACCCGTAGGTTCCTCCACCTTGCTCGCCAGGGGACCATACTAACAGACTCAATTTGCTAGTGGGTGGTTTTATGGATCTAGTAAGCTCCGCATGGATTAACTGGTTCAATGCAATTCTGTTTGCCGTTCTCTTGGTACTGGAGCTGTTCTTCATGCCCGAGACGCTTTATCCTCGACAAAAAATGCTGCTTTACCAAAGCAGTACTGTTACCAATAGCACCACCCCCATCGCTATCGAAAAACAGGAAACCAAGGGACCAGAGCCACCTGCACGCGAGATGCTCTCTGGAGAGTTCCATTTAGACTTGCACCGGACAAAAAATCTAGCTTTTGTTAACCTACGACCGATCCCTGGAATGCGGCACCCTAAGCCCTGGGACTCTATTACTCGCTTTTTCATCACTTTCAAGTTCCCCACCATCTCCATCGCAGTGATCGGATATTGTTTCCTTTGGTATTGGTGGGTTCTATCAGTTATTACCATGGTGCCAGCCGCATATGCGAACTATACACCGCTTATACAAGGGCTGTTGTTCCTTGGCTTGCTCTTGGGTACTATAGTCTCAGAGATCTTCTGTTCTGGGCGACTGAGCGATTATATTGTTGAGAAGTTGGCAAAAAAGCGAGACAACGTTCGCGTTGCAGAAATGCGGTTATGGCTGGCCTACCCCGCGATCTTGGTTACAGCAGGTAGGTTTGGCGAAAAAAGCCCTTTTGCAAGACTTGACTAATCGTGTAGTTGGCTCAATTTTGTGGGGCATCAGCATTGATAAAAATTACCACTGGGTGGTTGGACAGGTTGCTTTCTTCCTCTGTAAGAGATAACTTGACCCGCGGTATTTTGGTTGCGAAAACTGACGACGAAACAGTTGCCGCAGGAATACAAATCGGCAACACTGTGACCAGCAGTTATATTGTCGACAACTATCCTTTACAATCGACGAGTGTCATTACATTTTATGCCGTATTCCTCAATTTAAGTGCATTTATTAATCCGGTGAGTCAATGTAGCCAAAAAAAAATCAAGGTGCCTACAGTTTGCTGACTATGACATGGCTAGTTTTTCATTGCGTCTTGGCAAGCCTCGGTTGGCTGGACTTGGACATTCACCGCGCAAGGATTGATAGTTCTATTTGGAGGAGCTGTGCTCTTTGGAGTCCTACACAGATATGGGGGGCTCATGAGAAGTAAGGTACCGCAGCCATCCTGGGTTAATCCTGAATATGATATAGTCGTGGAAGTCGAAGCCGAATAATTAATGACAATCTGAGAGATTTTGTGCAGAGCACACAGTCTGCTCTCAATTAACTGATTTCATTGAAGCTCCAATGTTTTTTGAATGGCATTCAACAGGATTTAGTAACGAAAAGAGCTGGCTACAGAATTAGGTTCAGGAATTGGGCGAGTGTTCTGTGTGTGACTGCGTGATTGGAGGCTTACAGCCGTGTCCAGGCCTCTGCGTGCGGACAAATAATCTAGCACAACCCGCGAGAACATGACGAGATAGGCCTCATGCATAGAAGAAGATTCATCTTACGAGCGATAATTATCAAGCCAAGGGATTTTAGTCACTGAAAACTGGCCTTATCTCTTGCTTTACCGACCCGGAGTAGATGTGCTGGCTAGTTTGTATCGAAGCGGGACGCATTGGAATCGAGGTAGAATATTGCTCGAATTATACCTTGCCAACCAATAATATTCTTACCTCGATGGGGCTTGCATATTGGCAATCGTGGCCAATCGGTCGAGGTATCTCGCGCTTCAATCAACCTTCCTTGTTGGGACAATACCTGGAGAACGAGAAACCCCGCGGCTTCCTGCGTGACCACGATAACGAAACATCAATTCTATTGCAAACTTTAACATGATCTTGATATCTGTTCACGTAATTGATAAGAGCCCTTAGAATGGAAGCCTATCGAGGTACAGCACTGCTCCCACAGAACTGCATTCTCTTGTGCAGAGCATTATCGGTAGTAAGAAAACCGGCTCCGCCTATGATCTCACGAGATATCCCACAACCCGACCTCGGATGCACAGCGTACTTATAGGCTCTCACCATCAAAAAAGTCTGTTAGTCTTAAAGCTATAAGTGCTGATCCAAAATATCCGTTATTAGAGGTGCACTGTGTTTGAGCAGAGGTACTTAGCCGACCATCATAGCGTCAGATTTTAACGTGCGCGTCTTTTTCTGGCTGAGATTCTTTGATATACAGTAAGAATGCGCATCAAAGAACTTGCCTTTTATCAAATATGACTTTTGCGTCTCAACTAACAATTCAACCGGTTTTTGCATCAGATTGATTACCTCGATGAAAGACAACATGCCTCCCGCTTACGAGAATGCCAATCCACCCGATCTCGATGGCCAATTCAACGAGTCTATCGAGACACCCCCAAACGAGTATACATCACTTCTTCCTAAACCGATAGATCCGGAAGATGCGACTCAAATAGATTGTGTCTGGCGAAGAGGCGATTATAAAGTGACGCGAACGAAACAATTATTGACAGAGTTCTGGAAATTGACGACAAGTTCTGTTCCCGTGATTCTGGCCTATACCCTGCAGATGAGTCTTCAAACAGCCACAGTTGTCATTATCGGACATTCATCTCCGATGAACTTGGCAGTCAGTGCTTTCTCAATGATGTTTGCCTTGGTCACTGGCTGGATGATTGCGCTCGGTGGCACAACTGCTCTGGACACTCTTGCTTCATCCACTTTTACTGGAAGTGGCAACAAACATGATCTTGGCGTTCTGCTTCAACGGGCATTCTTGGTACTGGGTCTCCTATACATTCCTGTATGTATACTATGGGCCTGCTCGAATTCCTTCTTCCAGGCCCTTGGCCAGGACCCAGAGCTGTCTTATCAAACATCTCGATTCCTAACTGTTCTGATCCCCGGCGGTCTGGGGTACATTTACTTCGAGACCATGAAGAAGTTTCTCCAAGCCCAAGGTGAGAGAACTCTTGGCTAATACTGTTGATTATTTGGAACTCATCTAACCTACCATGACATAGGAATCATGAGAGCTGGAACGTATGTCTTGATGATTACCTCGCCACTAAACGCAGGACTATGTTACTTCCTATGTTACACCCTGGACTTCGGACTTCTGGCTGGTCCCATAGCCGCAGGAATCTCATACTGGATGTCATTCTTTCTCTTGTTGTTATATGCTCGATTCATTGCCGGTTCTGAATGCTGGGGTGGATGGACGTGGGCAGCCTTCGAAAACTTAGGGACGTTCGCAAAACTTGCCATTTTGGGATTCTTCCATGTCGGCACCGAATGGTGGGCATTTGAGATCGTCGCCCTAGTAGCTGGTCGACTTGGAACGATTCCACTTGCTGCCCAGAGCGTTATCATGACCGCAGATGGAATTCTTAATACAATCCCGTTCGGTCTTGGTGTCGCAACTTCATCTCGGCTCGGTAATCAACTGGGCCTACGCAACGCAAAGGGCGCATCAGTAACCGCCCACTCCTCAGCTGTGCTCTCTGTGATATATGGCGCCCTGGTACTAACAATTTTGATGGGCACTCGTGATCACTTTGCCAAAATTTTCAACAATGATCCACGGGTTGTTGAATTGACTGCCGAAATTATGCCGTTTGTTGCGCTGTTCCAAATTGCAGATGGTTTGAATGGAAGCTGTGGTGGAAGTCTTCGAGGAATGGGTCGACAGCACTTAGGTGCTGCAGTTAATCTTGTCAGCTATTACTGTTTTGCGTTGCCTTTGGGAATATATCTGGCATTCCATGGCTGGGGGCTGAAGGGGCTTTGGGTAGGGCAGTGCGTTGCGTTGTATTGTGCAGGAACTCTGGAGTGGATTCTCGTCGCAATGACAAATTGGGAATCGCAGGTGCAAAGAGCCTTCAAGAGGATGGATGTGAGCCACTAGCAGAATTGTTATCTCAAGCCCAGAGGTCTTTTTATGGTCGCTACCATACTTTGCTATTCGCTTTAGTTAGAATAAGCGATATTTCTGATAAAGGAGTTCATAGCATCATTTCATAGATTCGATTGTATGTGACGCCAGATACGGTGAACCTGTAGGATTCGAGTCGACTCCATTTTTGAAACCGTTCCTCTGTTATTCTTTAAGGCCATAAGAGCCTGCAAATGGGCATTCGTGAAGAAAAGCTGCAAGAAGGACTTTTTAGAGAAACTTGAGCTTCATTCATCCTAGTTCTACGAGAACTGTCTCATCTTCCAGACCAGATGTAGATGATCCACCAGCCAATTAATCACTGGAACTCAAACTCTAGCAACGAGTTAAATCAACCAGTCTCAACTCCAGAGGTGACTCCTTTCAAGAGGAATCTTGGACTAGCTTGCTCAAATAGTCCAACAAAATCACTTACAGTCCGTTCTCGGGCATCATGAGCGGCAAGCATAAACTGATCTTGGATTCTGTGTGTTTGTTAGACATAATGCAATTAATGAGAATCGCATAAAGGGACGGGGACGCACAATATCATCTTGTTTGTCAAGGCATTAATTCTCTTTGCTAGTGGATCTGGAAGGATTCCTTCACCAATGAAGACGTTCGCCTCAGGCCTGAGCGCAGGAAGGAGTGCCTTGAGAATGGCGACTAAATTCTCGTCATTCCAATCGTGGAGAATGTGTCTGAATATATAACCGTCCGCAATGACTGGTTGTTCCTTAAAGCAAATAGCCTCTTAAGTGGTAAAGCCCAGTCATTTTCACAGATGATATCCGACTCAAAACTAGATACTACCAATTAATCGCATCGGCAATTCAAGCCTGAAAGATAGATAAGCCATCAAAAATACTAGACAGTGTAGTTCGACATGCCTTGGTGCTTAATAAACATACCTCTTTGAAGCGAGATTTCTGAACGCATGAGTCTACGCGTGCCAATATGGAGAAACCTGACCTCGAGGAGCAATCCAATATGCGGCAATTTACCCCAGCTGGTTTCTAGTGAAACTTTTTGGAAGTCTGTGGAGCCAAAGCTTTCTTGAGTTCATCTACATGAAGATTTCTATCTGCAGTGTTCGTGGACTCTTCCTTGGATTAGAGTAGAGTATGCTATGGAGTAAAGCAAAATCTAGTTCAAGCACTTTCCTCCGCGAATGCTTCTGCCCTCGATTTACTATTTGGGTCCAAGTACGGCTTTTCGCCGATACCAACCGCTCGGTGGCCAAAGCGCTCCCCTAGCCCTTCGTAGTCAAATGTGGCAGTGTGGAAAGCTGATCGATTGTCCCAAATCGCTGATTTTCTGGGTCAGATAATTGAATATCGTTAAAAAGGGAGGATACATACCGATATCGTTTTGATTCCGCCATTTGAACCTCACCTGAATGTCATGGCTCTCAAGGATAGTGTTGTAAAATTTCTTCAAGAGCTCCTCTGATTCAGTTGGACTGAGCTCATTGATTTGCTTAGGGAATGGCCCAACTGCATAGATGCTCTTCCAACCCGTAACCGGGTTAGTGCGTACAACGGGGTGGACAGCGGACAGCTCTTCCCCAACGTTGAGAGGGTTCCCTCTTGGCTCAGTATAGATCTTGACGTTCTCAGGATCCGCCTTAGCAGCGGCAATGAAACCAGAACCACTATACGTCGCTGTCAGGGTCTCAAAGAACTTTTGGTATGCTGGTGAGAACCGGTCGTAAAGTTCATAGCCCGATGCCCAAAGTGTGTCGCCGCCGGTCTTTGGCAACTGGGTCAAGCGAAGTGAAGTATAATCAGCCGGCGCAGGCTCGAATTGGATATCGGAGTGCCATTGAGCCGAGTCGTAACGACGGGTGTTGAGCTGCTTTTCGTGGCGAAACATCTTCTTTCGGGCAAGCGAGCTAATGGTGCTCACCTGCGCGTCTGCGACTCCAAATTCGCTAGTGTTGTTAAGCACTGGATGAATGTGCAATGTCGAGTCAGCTGGTTTTCCAGCTAGCTGACCCAGCCGATGAACTAGCTACTTCTGCAGATCATCCGTAAGGTTGTCTTGGGCACGGAAGAAGACAACACCCCGCTGGGAGACTGTAGAAAACTTGTCAGAGGTGAAATTCAGCACAGATGGTGGGGGCATCGTACTGGTGATAGCAAGATCCTGGATGAGCTCGTCTGAATTCGGAGCATTCAAAAGGTCATCAACAATATTAACGTTGCTGAATTCACGACCGATCGCAGGCGTCGTGTCCTCGGAATCGAATTTATCCAAGGCCCCATTGAAGCGCAACGGCGACGGATATTGTACCTGCTCAGCTACGCTGCCAGGCCCAGGCCGCAAAGGAAGCGCAGGATCGGGTACTCGGGGAGCCATGAAGGTGCGTTTTAATCACAAATGATAAATTAATGTGTCTCAAACTCACAAGAGTATGGATTTAGCTCGTCAAAATCAAGTGTTCGGTCCCTTGTTATAAGTGTTTTGCCCACCACTCCACCTGGATCCGATAAATCACGTCATGTCTTGTGGAACTTGCATCTTTACCTACTAGCTTGTCAAACATAAAAGGTGCGGGGTCACTCATGGTATACCTGGAGAACCTCAGAATCGCCCACTTCTGGACATCCTCGAACCAAATGAATGAACTGACTGCATTATTCCACAGAGTTCAAGATCGCTCTTCAGGACATGCATAAACTCGCGCTTTCGATAGGAGCAATGCAAACGATCGATACTCGGAGTTATCCTTTTTTGGCAATATATGTGTTGTCGGATAATGCCTCAAACCTACTCCATTGATCTCGATCACGAAATGTGACTCTTAAATCACATCAATGCTTCGATTACGTAGGCCATCCGTTTAGCCGAAACCCGGGAGCTGACTAGAACATCCATATGTAGGCTGTAGTTATGAGATGGACCCGCGCTCTCTGTCTCCCGTAGATAAGCCAATTACAGAATGTCCAACACGTAATTATTGTCGTAGTAAAACTGACGTTACTTGACCAAGGCCCCTCGACATTCATTCATTGGGACCAGTCACAACAGCATACTCTACAGCTCCCAAACAGGGTATGCTGAACTAGCCACACAAACCTCACAATGTCTGGCCGTTCTGAGGCGCACAGAAATATTTTTGCCAAAGGTCTGAAAAGCTCAGAAAAATTCTCGCGAAGCCAAGCAGCCACCAGTGATACATTTGGGGTTTGGAAAGGAAGTCGCAGAGAAGAGGTATCTTGGATCTTGCGGTTCACTTCATACTCGCGGAGTTTGGCGCTAGTTGTTTCAAATACATCGTAACTAAGGTTATATTTAGATGTCATTAGTGATCGTCTATCTTGAATTGAGAAAGATTCTGGGATAATCCAAGTTCTCACCTGAAGTCATGCTCGAGACGCCCCTGAAATGTTCTTGGAACATCTAACGGAAGCGGTCTTAGCGGCTTCCGACCGGTTGATCTATGAAGAAAGTCTTCGGGATGGAACTTGCCAGCGCCTGGATAGTCCGCATACTTTTCTAGTTCTTCCTGTATCTCCCCTTCTTTCCCCACTCGTACGTTTGGCATGGTCTGGATTCAGTAGACATGAAGCTGGCGCACATTTTCAAACAATGATAAATGGGCAGGCATTTCATCCGGTGATACGAAATCTTCGAATAGTATTCGAAGTGCCCCAGCATCTCCGATCACTTGATTAGCGCTTTGTCCACTGAAAGGCAACATCTGGGTATACGTTAGTAGTGAAGACCAACGATCAAACAAGTGTCACAAGTACTGGATGTGCAGCATCTCCAATTAGCAGAAGCTGTCCCCGAGACCAATGTCGCAGTGGACGGAAAACCTCACGGGGCCATTTGGTCGTCTTCGGAGCTTTGCTACCAGTGTAAAAGTTAGCTCTTCGGGGATGAATATTTTACGATTATCATACCTTATTATCCGCATCAGTTCTGGATGAAAGTGATAGAATTTTCACAGAATCGAGTGCATTGGATCTAGAATCTTGTAAGCGTCTATGATGTCGTAGATGAAAAACCATTAGTTAGTCAAGGCGCTTACGGTCATCATCGGCCTGGAGGTTATTCTGGACACCAGCATGGATGAATCAAATTTGCGCAAGGTTCGATCAGTATGTGACCTATGACATGCCTTGAAGATGAAATGTTCAGGGGGAGATCCATGCACCGGATGTGCAATATCCACAAAGCCCTGCATTTACAGTGAGCCTAATCGACTGGGCCGACCCGAAGGGGTCCAAGAACAAAAAGTCGCAACAAAAATGCACTCCGACGAAGAAGACTCGCAATAAGCCAGGTGTAAGATGCAGAAATCCGTCTCTGGATAGTGATTCTTCTCCAAGGTCTTCCCCGGCTGAACAGGGAAAGGTTTTGGGGCTAGACGAACTACTCTCTGCTGGTAGTGTGGATGGACTACAAGACTTTCTGGAGCCAAACACATTCATTGATATAGATGATAACACTGTATTTCCATCAGCGTCTATATTAGAAGCCTCATGGGAACAAGGCCCCAAGCTTTTCCATGGTCTAGATGCAGGAATAGGACTTAACACACAAGGTCCCAGCTATTCTATGGTTTCCTTGGTGAGTCTATACAATGGACCGCCTGCAGCTTTACATTTCACTGGAAATCTGCCATCTTTCATTATTCCGACCAAGTAGGAACCTGTTACAGGGGGAAGGAGATGACTTTTGGTGTGTCATGCAGGCAGTTGATCTGTCTCTCTCCACTGAAATACCCCATACGTCCCGGGACCCTCCGACAAGGGGCCTCCCACGAACGAGATCAATGTCGGGTGACATGAATATGACATATAGTTGCGCCTGTATTGGCAATAAAGCCAGATTCTTATCCAATTGGCAGAAAATGGAAGGCAAATATTCCCCCGTGCCCGTGCTTGTCATCCTTCAGGCCACCCAGGATAGCCGAATTCTTTGGGAACGACTGATGCATTGTTCTGCTTATTGACATGATCGTGGCTCGGTGGCTGTTTTAATGTTTGCAATGGGACTGTGTAATATTCTTCGAGGTCTGCAGTGCCTGATATTGAATCAACAATCCTCGCAGCACTCGATTCATCCTGCAAACTATGGTCACCACGCAAGTTCCACCCGTGGTCCCGCAGCCTTCAGCAATGGAATTACGACACAAATGAACGGGGCCAACTATCGAGATTTCATTTTTGACAACATTAATTTCGGGCCCATCAAACCTCGACCGGGAAGTTTTGTCACAGACAGATTCCGGGTGGGGAGCTTTGAAGTCCCACAAGAAGATCAAGCCTTTCTAGCAGATTTTCTGATTGCTCGGACCTTGAGCAAACTGAAATATATTCTCGAGTCCATGGCAGGATATCTCGAACGAGTTTCTGACGTGTCTATACGGTCCATCGAACACAGTAAGAAATGGCCCGTACATTTTGTCCTAGAGGATTTGCAAAGATCAGTCCTCAGCACTGAGGGATCAGTGAGAGAAATCATTCAGTGATGAGATGGTTTTAGCATTTATAGGATATCTACGTGCCAATTTTAGACCACCTTTTCATAGCATTTGCGTGCGATGCCAGATGGCAGGTTTTAGTGATGAGTGTGAATGGATTACCAACACTTCGATACTACCTACCTCACTCTAGTGGCAGGCCAGAAAATGGATCGGCACAGAGAGCATTATGCATGTACTGCTGTGGCCAGATAGACTCTATGAGCAGATTAAATATTCTTCATTGAAAAATGACTAACTACTATCCTCCCCAGCTATGCGTCTTTTGGTTGATGGATGTTTAGCCAGCGAAGGGCATGATCGAGTCTACAATAAACAGTATCATGATCATTTCCACCAATGGTCCCAGTTACCCGCCTAGCAATTCCATTGGCGTTACTTCCGGACCCTTTTCGCATCCTTGCGCTGGCCTGAATTCCCAAGAGCAGACTAGCCAGCTGCATGGGGTGGGTACTAGCGGGAACAGAATCGGGTGGGGCAAGCCACGTGGTATTATTGGACAGAAATCATCCCAGCTCCGTTTGGAAAAAGCTTGGCATGGCCTTAGAATCAGGGCATCGTCATTTATACAAAATTACAGCTTCGAAAAGGCCAGAAAACAGCGATTTGAATGCCCCCCGATTACAACTTTGTCGCAGCCCGAAATATTGGCAATTTGATTTCTAATCACACCATTTTGCATTCATAATAATTAATAATGCAACTCAGACCGGATTTCCCCCAAACCTTTCAGACTCGCTTATATCGGCCTTTTCATTTATTCCTTTCACTCGTCCACCAGATTATGCCTTAATATAGTAGGGAATCGGACTCCTTCCTTTGTATTGAGACCAATTTCTACCAATATTTTGCTTTGTTTCTATCTTGGTCACCTATATCGAGCGATCGAGTCCTATACAGGCGCTCGCGACTGTAAGGATATACATCGTTCGTGGCTCCATTATCAGCAACTAGCTTACATAGGAGTTCGATTATAGATGGCGACTAAAACTACGGAGAAGTCTCAGCGTTCCCCACTCTCTCTATACCGGCTGGTTTTGTCTCAGGGTACCATTACCGATGAAGTCCTCGAGCATCAATGGGAAGGGGATGGAACCGCTGAAAGCCCATATCTCGTGGAGTGGCTGCACGAGGACCCGCGAGATCCACATCAAATGCAGGAGTGGCTAAAATGGTCTATTACTCTACTCCAGGCCGCGTCTTTTCTCTCCATAACATTCGCCTCATCTTCACTTTCTGCCGCCAACCCCCAGATTCAGGAGCAGTTTGGGGCTAGTACGGAGCTGGTAGTTGCCGATACGTCGCTGTTCGTGCTCGCCTTTGCCATTGGCCCTGCGGTATGGGCACCTCTCTCAGAATTATATGGCCGACAAGTGATATATTTCATTACATATGGGATGACCACTCTCTTTGCTGGGGCGACTATCGCCAGTCCCAACATCGCAACTCTTCTGGTTCTTCGATTCTTCTCCGGAGCATTTGGTTCATCTGCCATATCCAATGCTGGAGGTGTCGTGTCTGACATGTACACAGCGCGTGACCGAGGACTAGCCACCATTGCTTTCATTGGAGCTCCTTTCCTTGGTCCTAGCCTTGGGCCTATTGCTTGTGACTTTTTGGCAGTGTCCAAGGGGTGGAAGTGGGTTCAAGGACTCACTACAATCTTCAATGGAATGATGTTCTTGGTGGGAATTTTCCTGGTTCCCGAGACTTACTCCCCCGTTCTTCTGCAAAAAAGGGCAGTAAAACTCAGCAAGATGACAGGTGCTGTTTACAAGAGCCGGCTCGATGTGGAACAGGGACACAAAACAGCTGGCCAGGTCTTTACGAAAACGATGGTGCGCCCTTGGATTTTGCTTTTCTTAGAGCCAATTGTGCTACTCCTTTCAATCTACATGGCTATCAGTGAGTTAAGCAGAGTATTCCAGCTGCCTTCAAGTGCCCAAGCTAATTATTTTACCACTATCGTGGTTCACTCATAGTATATGGTACAATGTACATGGAATTCGCCGCTTTCCCTATCGTGTTTGAAGAAGCCCGCCATTGGCCACAGAGTACTTCTGGGTTATCCTTTTTAGGAATGATGATTGGTCAGATACTGGGATGCGCTTACTCCATTCTTGACGATGGCCGATACAAAAAGATTGCTGATCGAACCAGCTATGGTCGCCCTCCCCCGGAGGCACGACTGGTCCCTGCCATGGTCGGAGCCGTGACGCTGCCCATTGGCCTGTTCTGGTTTGCCTGGACCAACTTCCCCAGGATTCACTGGATTGTCTGCCAAATTGGAACTGTCCTCTTCGGATTCTCCCACGTCTCTATCTTCCTCAGTGTGGTCAATTACCTCGTTGATGGCTATACTGTCTATGCCGCCTCGGCGTTGGCTGGGAATGCCGTCATACGTGCTCTCTTTGGTGCAGCCTTGTAGGTCTTTTTTTTTCTTTCGGTCCGTACTGCAACAACTGATCTAACAATATTCTATTCCAGTCCTCTCTTCACTACACCTATGTACGATCGCTTGGGTATTCATTGGGGATCTTCGATTTCAGCATTTCTCGCAGCGGCTTGTCTCCCATTTCCCTGGATATTTTACAAATACGGCCCTGCTATCCGACGCCATTGTCGATATGCGGCGGAGTCTGCCCGTCAGCTAGATGCTATGACTGACCGTATGAGGGCCCAGAGTGAGCAGAAGACCGCGGGCGAAAAGTCCACCGAGCAGTCTGCACAGGCTGAGAGCTCTGCCTCTGCTACAACCAATGAGGAAATCAATCTTCCCCAAAAAGACGACATGGCTTGAGACAGATTATGTCGCACTGTGATTGAATTTTGGATCTATGAGAGGTGAATCCTGGATCTGCCATTGGGGACAACATTGATGGGTAGCGCTTTTTCCACTCTGCGCGACGCCCAAGTTGGTGTTTGGGGATAGTTTAATACTTTCGGGATTTACGTTGTCGATAAGATGTGTCTTTGGAGAGAATCAAAGAATCAAAGAACAACTAGATCCTGGATTGCTCGGCTAGCCCCTCGCTCGGGCAGTGATGAACTACCTAATCCATGTTCTTCAGGCCTCATAGACCGTCCATGCACAGCGTTCGGGCAAGTTTAGGTTGTAATTCCTCGCGCAATAAGGTGAATGGCACCAATCAATGCCGAAGTATATTTGTGACTCTATTAGCAAAATATATGCAGAGTGCAAGAAGTATATGGTATCTATCAACAAAACGCAAGGGCTGTCTAGCGCGATGCAAAAATTGACCCGAAAGAAATTAAAACAGAGTACAAACACATGGAGTATATGAAAGCCAGAATGCTAAATGTGTACTCGACCGAAACGACAGTTTGAACGGAGAAACCAGGCCTTAGGCAGAAGCTTCGGCCTCCAGCGGAGTGCTTTGAACCTGGGATACGCTCGGGATATCTTCACCCTTGAGGTAGTTCTCAAACTCGCCAATTTGCTTTCCACCTTGAATCCACCGCTCGCGGTAGGCTTCACGGCGCTGCTTCGCCAGCTCGTTGAGGGCGGGCCAATAGATAGAGTGGTCGTACTCGAATTCGAGGTCACCACCCACTGGTTTCATGAGCTGGCTAGGAGGTACGTGTTGGCGCAGGTCTTCATTGAACTTGAGCTTCTGTCGTGTATTAGGATCGATGAATGGAGTGATCAACTTGAAGAATCCCCAAATGATGAAGGGTACTATGCAGAGTGGGAGGTCAGTTAGGGCAACAGAATCAAGCCACACATATTCACTAACCATTGATCACCAATGCACGTCCCAATCGCTCGGGATAGTGGTTCTGCAAAATATCGAGGGTCTGCTTTGCCTGACCGATTGTCGCATTCTGACCAGACTTAGTCTCCTTGAAATTGACAAGAAGGGCCAGAGTCTCTTGATCGGGACCCATAATATCAATGACGCGCTCCAGCATGAAGACCAGATGCTGGATTTGGCGTTCGCTCTTCTCGGTGTTTTGATTCGAGGGCAGGAGGTATAGACAGGGCCGACCGTGGATATCATAGCCCATGATAACTTGCTTGCCCGTCTCATTCTCAATTGAGATATACTCCGGTGTCAACTTCTCCATGCCATATTCCCGACGCCAAGTCAGGGTGCGTTGAAGCCGAGCTTCAGCCTCGAAGACGTTCCACTTAGTCGCACGAAGGTATCGGAGCAGGCATTCGCGGGTCAACCACATGCGCTCATCATCGGTAATGGGCTCAGTCGGGGCATTCTTCTCGGCTTTGGTTGCAATTGTGGTCCAGGAAGAGGCCGTCTTCAGCACAGTCTCGTACTTGGCCTGCTGCTCCGGGGTGAGCTTCGCAGGCGGCTCGGGTTTGGCGGTGTCAACAGGGTGGGTGAAAGGCTTCTGGGCCACTGATGAGGCAGTCACAGCATCACCATTGTTGGTCGATGGCACAGCCCCGTCGACTTTTGCGGAATCATTGGCAGTCATGGCGGTCGATGGTAGACTCTCTGCACGATGCACGGGATGCTTAAGGGATCAAGCCGATCTTGAGACTCGCTGCTAGGATAAGTTGTCCTTGGCTGTCATTGGACAGAAGGTTGGATAGTGCTGGCCCACTTTTTGATCTTCTCCGATTCTCCGAAGTCCAGCACATTTTACTTTTTTGGGACGGGCTTATGTCAGCAACACGTTCACGCGTCGCGTCGTTCCCGATCCCCTCGATGAGAGGACCCGACAGCGCATTCAGTGCCAACTCGACCACTTTGCCCTCGCACCTCGTCCAGACGGAGCAATCATGACCGACACCACGGCTGAGCTCAATGAGCTCTTCGTGGCATCTTTCCCCAATGGCTTGCCCAAAGATATCCTCACCGAGCTCCAATCTATCCTGCGGATCCATTTGATTACTGCGGAAGAGCTCTTCTACAAATGGGAATCATACAGCATTAAGATGGGTGACGAGGTGAAATTGAGTATGGAGACAGTCCGAGGCTTCAAGCAAGATGTCCAAGAAGCCCTTGAGCGCGAAAGTCGCGGCAAAATTGGCCGGCAAACAGAGAAAAGGCCTATGGTCACGGCGACCCCGCGCGCGGCGGCAGGGACCGATGTATTTGGAATGTATGAAGATGAATATAGCTGGATCTATGCCAATAGGAAATGGCTAACCACTCATGATTGACTTCTAGGTTGGACGAGTTGACACCAAACACCGCGAATGCTCGGACGATTAATGGAAATGGTTCAGTGAAGCGCAAAGCCGAGTTTACCTCTCCTGCCACGCCAAAGGTTGGAAGAATCGAGAAAGTCGGTACACCAGCTGGTGCGAAGACACCTGGCTCCGTGGCAAACGGCCCAGCGGTATCATTCGCCGAGCGCCCCAACCCTGGCCAGACGCTGGAAACACTTAATGCGCACCTCTCGCTGCCAGAGACACCAATGGCACCCTTCCCGGAAGCGCGCATCCGACCAACGGCAAATACAGATCTTAAGAAGTTTGGGTACAAGCCAATGGGAATGCGACTGTCCGAGGCATCTGAGATCCTGGACGACCGAATTGACGAGTTTGCAGCTATTTTCCAGAAGCACTACGATTCCGACGACCTGACTTTCGGCAGCGCTGCTACTCAAAGTACCAGCGAGATTATTGCAGTTGGCCGGATTGCCTCGGACTCTCTGGAAGGGAAGCTCAACCCAGCTTCTTTGGTCTTGGAGACATCGCGCCGTACTGGTGCTGGAAGACGAGTTCCTCTCAAGGTGGACTCAGTCCCATCATTGAGCTTCTTCCCCGGTCAGATCGTCGCTCTTCGAGGAATCAATCCCTCTGGTGACTATTTCACTGTGAAGGAGATTCTTCCTATCCCCCTCTTGCCTCCCGCTGCGTCTTCGGCGGTGACTCTGGATACTATTAATGAACGATTGGAGAGTGGTGGCAGTTCACCGCTGAATGTCATGGTAGCGGCAGGCCCGTACACGTCAGATGACAATTTGGACTTTGAGCCTTTGCAGGAGCTCTGCCAGAAGGCCGCAGACAGCTATGCAGACGCCGTTGTCTTACTGGGTCCCTTCTTGGATATCGAACACCCGTTGCTCGCTTCAGGCGACTTTGACCTGCCCGAAATTAAGGGAGTTGACCCAGACACGATGACAATGACCACTGTATTCCGCCACTGCATTTCGACGCCTCTCTCACGCCTTGCACAGGCTGTACCCAGTATCACAATCGTGGTTATTCCGTCCGTGCGCGATATCATTAGTCGTCACGTCTCTTGGCCACAAGAACAGCTGCTTAAAAAAGACTTGGGTCTACCGAAGCAAGTCCGCATGGTCTCCAACCCAGTGACCTTGTCCTTCAACGAAGTCGTCGTGGGCATGTGCTCCCACGATGTTCTCTCTGAACTTCGTCGTGAAGAAGTTCTGCACGGTCGACCCGCGGAGGGTAATCTGCTCACACGTTTGCCCAAATACCTCGTCGAGCAGCGCCACTTCTTCCCTCTCTTCCCTCCAACCGCCCGCGCCAATCTTCCCAAATCCGGTTCAGATACTGGCCTGGCTACTGGTGCGATGTTGGACCTGCCCTACTTGAAACTTGGCGAGTGGTGGAATGTGCGACCTGATATTCTGATCGTCCCTAGTATGCTGCCGCCCTTTGTCAAGGTATGCAGATTCCAAGATATCTATAACGCTCTGGCTCGCCTACTAACCATATCATTGCAATCTAGGTTGTCGACAGTGTACTTGTTATCAACCCCGGCACCCTGTCAAAGCGCCGAGCCGCCGGTTCCTACGCGCAAATGAGCATCCACCCACGAAACGTGACAGACGAAGAGCGCGAGTCCAAGCAACTCGATCATAAGCTATACGAGCGGTCCCGTGTTGATATCAACCGAATCTAGCGAATCAGCGACAACGTTTGGTATAATCATCTGGCATTCTCACTTGGCGTTGGAGGCGCAAAGCAAATAGTAACGGCATAGAGCCTCAACGCACGGGACTCTAAATTGGACTTCAAAAGACAATATCAACGAACTGAATCAATGAAAACATATCTCGTAACGAACCATTCCTTCCCATTGGTATCATACAATAGTCGAATGCAATCCCGCCATAAACCAAGACTCCAGTAATGCAAATTATTTTTCCCGAGGTCCCATCACAGTAGACTGTCAACCTCAACTCGCAACTTCTCAATCAACGCAAAGTAATGACCCGTCGCCCACCCATCTTCCTGCCCGCAGTCCTCACCCGAACCGCCGCCGACGCAGCAGACGCCGGACCACCACCACTCCCACGCAACGTCGCACCAGGCCCCAACCCAACACCCCCAGCACCAGCGCCGCCAGCAGCACCATTCCCAGCCACCGCGCCGCCACCACCATGACCCTGCCCATTCACCAGCGCCTCAAGACCCAAATCCCTCCACACAGCTTCATGTCTGCGCTCCATAGCCCGGGTAATCCCAAACACGGCATGTTGATGCGGGACGACATCGTCTTCGTCTTCCGGGTTTGGGGGCTGGTATTGCTGTTGCAGGTAGATGTCTTCGATGGGCAGGAAGGAGGGGATGTTGGAGGGGGAGGAGGAGCCGTAGGTGGGGTTTGTGGATTGGTTGGTGGTTCCGGTTTGAGAGAGGTGTTGGGAGTCGGATGATATGCCTGCGGTGGACATGTGTGGTTTTGTGAATTCTTCGAAGAGGTCGGCTAGTCGGGGTTGGTGCATGTGTAGGTGGGTTGCTGAGGAATCTTTGCTCTGGGGTGGTGTTAGTCGAGAGTCGGAGGCTGAGATATTGGGGTATGAAGGGTCAGTGGGTACCATTTTGGGCTTTCAATTCAGGAAGAATAGTAGAGATTTTGGTGTAGTATGCAGGTTGGATCTTCAAAAATAGAATTGTCTGTTGTATTGTTTGGTCAAGGTTCGAATGCGTGCTGATTGTTGACATCAAACGGCAGAATATGGACATGCTACACCGCCTTCTAAGCTCCGCATTGTCACGTGTTGATATGGCCCCCCCCTCCAGTTCCAGCGTCTTGGCAGTCTTTATCCACAAGTACAAAGAGAACACAACTAAATCCAGAGTATGACAGGTCCTTTGTATTCGAGTCTAGTGATTCGGACCTTACGAACATGGGGTGAAACATGAAACCATTGTAGAACCTTTAGAATAAACGAAACAAACCCGCGCCAGTGCATAATTCTTCCCATGGATAGAGAGGTAGGTGAAGAAGATCCGAAAGAAAAAGAGAACCCTATCTCAACTTTTTGCATCATGTTTTCAAGAACATGGCCTTTCATACATCACAGGTTCGTACTCATACGGTGGACAATGGGAACCGCGCTGGGTGGCAGACTACCCATTTCGGTAACTACCATGTCCACGTACTCGGCCGGCGTGACATCGTACATGATGTTGAGTAGTTGGAGATTAGGGTTTTCTTTCCAGTTGGAAAGGGGCGAAGAGGAAGGGTTGAGGGAAGAGGCGGAAGGGTCGGGTTTCGGGGCACTGGATGCAGCTTTCCCGCCCTTCTTGTTATCGGGCTTTGCGGGGGCTACTGGATCAACCAGCCCGGTGACTTGCTGTAGAGGTTGAGCCGAGACCAGCTCGTCGGCGTCGGCGATCTCGTTGACGACAATGCTGTCAAGGGCAACACGGTCGGTGAACTTGACCGTCTCACAGCAGACAATGACGGGCACCTCGACGCCACCAGCACGCTCCTTGGCGGACATGGCAACTAGAGCAGTTCCAACCCGGGAGTAAAGGCGGCCGTTACTGGTCATGGCGTGTGCACCGAGGAAGACCTTGGTAGCATCCTTAATAGCATGGCTGATTGCGTGAACGAGAGAGTATTGCACATCCAAGCCAGCGTTGGCGAGGGCCCGAGCAAGATTCTTGCCCTCGAAAAGCGGGCGCGAGTCGATGATTGAGACACGGAACCGTTTGCCTTGCTTGTGTGCTGTGAGAAGAGTCTGCTTGACAATGGAGCTGCCGGCAAACGTGACGATCACGTCGCCATCCTGAACCTTTTGAGCGGCGCTTCCAGCAATGACTTGATCAGCCACAGTAATTTTCTCTCGAATAAAGTTGTCGATGAACTCGCAGAGGGTGGCCTTGGCGGACAGTTCGGGGGTGGAGGGGTCGACAGAGGCGATAGCCAGCTTCAATGCACGAATAGCATTACCCTGGCTGATGGAGAGCGGTCGACACGTCGAGAGGTATGTGATTTGGTGTGAGAGGTGGGTTGTCAAATGGCGAGAGAGCGAGGTGCCGAGGGGAGTAGTGTAGGATTCGATGACCTTCAGAGATTACAGAATTAGTATTCGGGCCTGCATCGACCTCAGCAGCAATTGAGACTCACCCGCTTGAAAGCCAACAGGGTTGCAACGCAGCGAGCACTGCTGCCGCATACAACGTAGTCCCGGAGCTGCAGACCCAAAGCCAGGACGGCGGGGTGCACTTCCTTGCCAGCACCAGCGATAGTCGTCCGACGCGGCTGGCCGTAAAGATGTCCGAAGACAGCAACACTCTTATCCTCCTTTTTCGTCGGCTCATCAGCAGCAGTCTGGCCGGTAGGGGCAGATCCACGGCGGGGCTGCGCGGCCTTTTGCCCTTTCTGCGATGCGCCTCCACCAGCAGCATCCTTCTTTGGCGTCGCCGGAGGACGGCCCTGGCCAGGACCAGGAGCTGAGCTGCCAGCAGCACCAGCTCCACCGGATTCCTTAGCAAGCTTTTCCCTCGCGCGCCGAGCAGCTTTCTCTGCCTTGGCCTTCTTTTTCAGTTCCGCGGGAGTGAGTGGCTTGTCCGCGCCCGCAGGGACAGCAGCATCAGCACCAGCTGCAGGGGGCTTGGAGGCATCTTTGTTCTTGCCAGTTTGGTTTTCCGACGGTGCGGGGGACTTTGCGCTCTTGGACTCGCGGATGGGGAGGGTTTGGGTCTGTTGCGAGGGGGTGGTGTCGGTCGCGGGAGAGGATTGCGCTTGTACGGATTTAATGTCTGATGAGGACTTCAGCGCTGAGTCAACGGAATCCGCCATGGTGAATGGCTGAATCTCTCGGAGTTCGAGGGGGGGCTGCGTTGAGGATCTTGAATCGCGTTGGTGGGGAGGGAGAGTTGACTCACGGAAAAAGAAGTGATGCCATAAGCGGCCCACTGCCCGGCGCACCTGCCCTAATCTCCGCCTCCGCATCTGCAGGTTCATCGCAGTTCGTCTTGGATGTACAGATGAGCACAAAAAGGACCTCTACTAGAATCGAATTACAACTCGATGATCATCTTTTTACGTCCAGACCAAGATACTAAACAACCTCTTTGAAACATGGATCATGTCAGGTTTCGTTATTCATTGCTGGGAATCTCTCGCTAACATAAGGAATAAGCAACACAACAAAGGGCAGGGATGTACCCATTACAAGAAACGGACATCTTGAGTCACAACCAGGCTGATTGCTGCCTGAGAGCGTGGCTCCAGTCCAAACAAAGAACGAGTTGAAAAATACAGTGCGCCGCCAACACCAAATTTACACGCTAAAAAGCTCAATGAATCAATGCTAACGATTGTTAGCAGCGATTGTTCCAAGTACACGTCGCTTGCGGGTCCTTGCATGTTCATTGGGACGCCAGCGTTCATGGTCAGTTGCGAGCTTGCGCTTGAAGACTCCCAGATCGCCGAGCAAATCTTGCATGCGCTCCTGCACCTGGTAAGCTTCCTGTTCACTGTTATCAAGAGTGATTGTTTCGTCGTCGTCGTATTCATCATCTTCGTCATCTTCCCAAACCTCTGGCTCAGAGTCGGATGGCTCGACAACAGGGGATCCCTCCGGATTCTCCTGGTCGCCGTCTGGTAATTGATCCTCTTCCGCTAATGATGATAGGCTTTGACGGGGTTCGAGAGTGACCGGTGGAATAGGGTTTTTGAGACTCTCTAGTGCGAGCTTCAAGTGCATGCGAAGGGCCTCGTTCTCGGTCTGTAATTGGCGGATCTTGCACTCGCTGACCATTTTGGTTTCCTCCATGAGTCGCTGCATCTTCTCCACCTTTTGTTGGTATTCCTCCAATCTCTCATCTTGCAACTCTGTTGCACGCTGATTGGCATGTGCCTGGCTCACGCTGAGTTGAAGAGTGCGAATAGTCTCCGCCATCTCAGCGATCTGCTGATCACGTTCGGCAGCCGAAACATGGTCCTGGTTAACGCGAGCACGGGTGCGGATGTGTTTGGCCTGATCGGCATAGCGCAGCGTCGAAAGGGTTTCCTCGTAGTCGGCGGGAGAGATACAGGCAATCATGGCCGTCTTGGAATTACCACCCAGGCTGTCCTTCAAAAGCCATGTCAAGATCGAGTCACGGTACGGCACTAGTTCCTTGCCCTTGCGCCCTCCTCGAGTTTTCTTGGGGTCGGCGAGAGCCGCAATGACTCGACCAAGTGTAGTGAGGGATTTGTTAATGTTGGATCCTTCGCGCAGTCGCGCACCAGTGGCTTCAGTCGCTTTGGCACGCTCGGAACCTGCGAGGTCGACTAATCTAATGCGAGCCGTTCGCTCTGTCGTTTCGTCCGTAGAGAGATCGTGATGGATTTGCTTCAATGTGATGGTGAAAACGGCATGCGATCGTGAGGATGTATCGTTCATCTTGGTGCTTGCGACTGTACGTGATACGTCGCCCTTGCGCATATATTTCATCAATTCGACGTAATTCCTCGCCGTGACTTCCGTCAGGTCTTTCACATATGGGCCCTCCGAGGGAGACTCGCGGATTCGAAGGTAGTGTGGAGGGTCAGTTCGAGGGACTAGCAAGTCTCGCACATGCTCGTTGTAGACCTCGAAGTAAGATACGCGAACGTTGTAACTGATATCGGGTGATGGCGAGGATTCTATGCGCTGGAACAGATCCTCACAGGTCCGAGGAATCAAGCCTGGCTGCTCCGGTGTACCCATCATGGTATAACTCTTTCCCGAACCAGTCTGACCATAGGCGAAAATGCAGGTGTGATAGCCTTCAAAGTTGTGATCGAGAAACTCCTCGCCCAGGCAGTTGTACACGTCCTCTTGGTGTGCATAATGCTCATCTTCCTCGTCATGCGACCAGAACGAGTTATCAAAGGTGAAAGATTTATCTTCGAGGACTTTGCCTCGCGCTTGTGATTTGGGCTTTCCGCGATCGACGGGGCTCGGCTTGGGCGCTTTGAGGCTAGTCATTTGAGTGTGGGGATCCATCGCGATAAGGCATTCGGCTTGACGGTCGAGTTCTATGCGCGCACAGTCAGCTAAACCATCGCCTTGCTCCTGTTCTCGATAATTCGCTCCATGCTTGCGGCGCGACTCCATTTGCAGCACATACCTCGTTGGAGGAACTTGCGGACTCGCACCACGACGCGCACATTACCGCCAGGAGATGGACTGGCGATTCCATCTTGGCGATTGACCGGTATAGAGACGCTTTCTCGGGCGCGCAGAGATGGACTGGACGCGGTTGATCGCATAGTCGCGGCGGATGCCGAAGTCGAAATCACGCTAGGCGAAGTGATGCCAGTGAGGGCGGAGGAGTCGGAGGATGTCGCAGACGAGATCGAGCCAGGGCCGGAGCTCTGGCCGATGTGTCGAAAGAAGCGCGGATCCAGCGCCATTTCCCTACTATACTCCCTCAATAAATGAACACAAGCTTCGACGGCGTCGCGTCGTCGTTCGACGAGATGAGTGTACATGCAACGAATCGGTAATACAGGAAAGGTGGGGGTTTGAAAGGAAAGATCGAGCCAAGTCGACTGTTGGAGAATGAAACGAGTGTATGTGATAAGAGGGGAATCAAGAATGAAAGGAAAGGGGTCGGTACAGTTGCGCGTTTGGTTGTTTCCTTCCTGGAAGTTGGACAAGTTGGAGGTTCTCGTTTCAGCGGTCCTCCCCGCGGGGGAGTTCGGAGTGTAAACACGGTTCGGCAGGGGTAGGATCTTCAGTTAGGCATGCCGACAATGCTTCGCTAATGCAAAATGAATGGATATGGTAACAATTGAAGAATTGGACAATAGCCTGATACAAGAAAAGGCGATATGTTTGCAATTGACGTAGCTGGGGATGGTTGTGGTGGTCGGTGTTAGGGCGATAGGAGACGGTGGGGGTTGCCAGGGCAATCAATACGCAGCCCAACTCCCGCCTCACGAGCTGACGAACTTACGGGGACTAGCGAACTTACGAACTTGTTTGGTTAACCAGTTCGGTGATGGTCAAGCTAACAAGTCAGCGAGCTAACGAAACATCCTTGACTATCTACAGCCACTCCTGTTCCGAGCCCAGCGCCGATAACGTGATCAATGGGTTTGATATTGTTATACTTTTTTCGTATGGAACAACCAAATGCGCTCAAGCATATACACTCTCTCAATCTGGGATGCTAAACATCACTAACACGAAAAAGGACTCTCTTTTTTCAGGCTTCAAGCCTAATCAAAGTCCGCTGTCTCCGCATTCATCGCCTCGAACAAATCAGCCTCGTCCGTCATGCTGCCTCTCTTGTTCATCTTAGCCTTGGCTCCGTCGCCAAATGTCGCTGGGTCAGCCTCCGGGTTACCGGAGGCATCCATATGGGATGCCAACAGCTGTTCGGGAGACCAAGTCGAGCTATCTTCGGCCTTGTTCCTGCCAGAGCTGAGCTCGCTCTGGGCTTTGGCCGACGCCTTCTTGTCCTGGGTCGTCCAGGCGCGACGTTGTTGGTCGTCGCTGGCGGGGTACCGCATCGCGGTGTCTGTTTTGGAAGATGGCATAATGGATTATCCTGAAGCTATATTCAAAGTTTCCATGGTTAGTATCGTCGATTTGTATGAATGGACAGCTATATAGTTCTCCCCCAACACCTCACGCGACACCCCAAACAAACTACCTCGGCGATCTCCTCTCTTTCCTCCCTGCTCCAGCGTGGGCCGATAGAAGGGGTGATTGAGGGGAGAAACATACCAGGGTCTTGTGTACTTTAATCAACCGTAATTCATCAGAAGTGGTGAAAAGAAGCAGATTAGGCGTATGCTTTCGTTGCTATATTTATGAGGGAAAAGTCTGGGGTCAAGTGGCGGCGCGGCCACTACCATGATACGATCATGACGACGACATTCACCACCACCGTGGTCGCTTCTCCGCGATTTACCAGTGAGGTTTCTCTGACCAATTTTCGTCTTCTTTCTCGAAGCTTGTTCGTAGTCGGTTGACCAGTTATAATGGTGAGCGGGAGTTGCCTCGAAACATGGGTGGGTTGAGGCAATTCCACGGGTGCGGGTAACAAGACATCATGGGGGAAATTTGGTCGCCACAGAGCTGTCTTGTTTAGGTCTTGATCGAGATTGGCTTAGCCATTATTAGAATGGCCAGCTATTTGGTGGCAAAATAAGCTCTTTCCGAGCTATTGTAGCTTTGATCCTTGAAAACAACGCCATTATTGGATATGCCCACGCGGTAAGAGCCGACTCCATCCGGTTATCCTGGTCTCATGAACATCTCAAATGCGGGGTGGCCATGTTCTTATTCCTCACTTCTCTTTGAAGCTTCAAGTAGAGATTTTGATCATTTGTGAAATGCTTTGGACGTTGCTGCTGGCTATGCTCTACAAGACATGCCTACCTGAACACCCCTGGAAGAGTGCTTACCTACCTATTTGGTTTCCCCCATGCTTACAAATACTTCAACTAGGATGGACCTAATTACTCTTAAGGCTCCAGCCAGTTGGACTCGAGGCTCACATATCCTGTTTCTGTATTAGGTCCTAGGTACTAATCTTGCGCGGCCGCGAGACACATGAGATTATCGGTGGGCAATGACAGGGGTATATGCACAAATCACCTCACACAGACCAATGACTCATACTATGAAGGAGGTAACTAGTTATCCTACACAGTTGATTCGTCAATAAGGATAGCTACATAAGCTGCCGGGTGTCGGCACATCCTTCAGCCCAATTAATAATCTCGAATGTATCACAGAAATCCAGGGGGCCTAGTATATAGCTAGAGTAAGCTGCGAGGTATATCACATTGTATGAACAACAGCATATAATCCATAGACGACAACATGAGCAACTGTTGCGTGAAAGGTTTCAAGTGGGATGGACAGCCCCAAGGTCGAGTGGAAACGACCTCATCTGGTGCATCGACATATGTAACGGGCTCCAATCCAGAAGCCTCGATCCTTCTTATCCACGACCTCTTTGGTTGGACATTTCCCAACACCAGATTATTGGCAGACGCGTACGCAGAGGAGGCAAACGCCACCGTCTACGTCCCTGACTTGTAAGCCGAATCATATCAAAGCATCCTATATGTACATACCACTGACCTTCCAAACCCAGCTTCGGCGGCGAAGTGCTATCATCCGATATCCTATCCAAGGACACATCTGAATGGGGACCGCTCGATCTTCCAGCCTTTACAGCCAGAAATAGCAAAGAAGTCCGCGAGCCCGAGATCTTCGCCTTTGCAAGAGAGTTGCGAGCAAAGTACCAACGCGTCGGCGCCATCGGATTCTGCTACGGCGGCTGGGTCGTATTTCGTCTCGGTGCTAGGGAAAGCGGAGGGTTAGTGGATTGTATTTCCACCGCACATCCGTCCTGGCTCACTAAGGGGGAAATTGACAATGTTGATGTGCCGGTGCAAATCCTGGCACCGGAGATTGATCCAGTGTTTACGCCGGAGTTAAAGGATTGGTGTAACCGCGTTATCCCGTCGCTAGGACTTGACTACGACTATCAGCATTTCCCGGCTCTGGATCATGGGTTTGCCATTAGAGGTAACAAGGAGAATGAGGCTGAGTTGAAGGGTCTCGTTCGGGCGAAGAATGCTGCTGTTTATTGGTTCAAGCAGTACCTTCACTGACTGTCGTCGAATATCAAGCGGGAGCTCGGATTTGGAGAGTCCTTTAACAAGTCCTATTAGGAATATAGTGTCTCAATTATTTGCAATGTCGTGGATTGGAAAATATTTGTTTGCATAGCTACTTGTAACCTCAAGGGAAACCTATCAGAACGTTCAAGGATAACGCGCGTGTGGCATTACTCCCGAGCATCAAACAGTATATAACACAAGTCTCTAGCACTATACCTATGTCGAATACACGGTTATTCATAATAAGAGCCTTCTCATAATGGAAAGACCCTAAAAGATGATGGCACGGGTCGGAATGTGGCAAAGTAGGGGGACACGCGACCGTTTCCAGAGTAAACGCCATCGATAAGATCAGATAACTTAAAAATCAGATAAGTCCGGTCTTATTAGCACGTACCAAGGTAGCTGTCAACAAACTGGATGATCTTGTTTAGTTTAATGTACTGATTTCGCAGGGCGTAGGCTTGGTGGCGCATTCTGGAAGGGATAACCCCTTCCATTCGAGAGCGAGCTAGAACAAATATGTTTAATTCCAAGATCGTGAGGAATTTAAGGGTTAGCAGGGCGTATCACGATTCCGGGGAAGCGAATCGAGGGGGATAAGATGCGGATGTTTCGCTTCTCCGGACTCAAACATTTCAACTGTCGTTCTTCATATGCCAGCTTCTAACGATGTATAACCCATTTCTGAAGGCCGAAATCTCGTCCGGTATTCACACGAGTCATGCAGGACTGTATAGGCGACCGTTTCTGCGTTTCGCGTCTAGTTCAATCAAATCAAGACCCTCCCACGCTTTCGCAGTCCCTCCGAGTCAACCAGTCGAGCCACTATTCCACAGCATCTCCAGCATATCTCTGCAGTTCCCCGCTATTCAATTCAACTACTTTCGATCGAGCCCCTCCAAAAAGTTCATGTCGTTAACCACAAGTCCTGGAATTCTGAGTCCATCCGATATTGACAGTGTATTCTACGATCTCAGGCCAATCCAACCTGAGCAATTAGTAGGGAAATGGGATGGCATTGTCCTACCCACTAGGCACCCATTCGAAAAGGAGCTTGAAAAGTTCGACTGGTTTGGCCAAACCTTTGTTTCGACTGAGGATGTGGCTCCCATTGTCGTTTCCAGAAATGGAAGGCCGGTTGAATATCAAAATTGGGGACGCACTTCGGTAAGTCATCTTGATTTCTCTATTCATGAATATCAAATGCATTGTGCGCTAGCTAACATTATCTGCGATATAGTTACATGAGGTCAAATACCAGGGCGCCGTCTCTACTGCGCTGATCTATGATGACCATCCTGTGATGTTGTACTATCGAGCTGTGCGCCCAAACATAGTGGCAGGCATCATGGAAAGCAAGAAGTTCGACCGATCTGGGAGGTTTTATTTCTATCTCAAGCGTAAATGAATTGCGATAGTAGCATTTATGCACCCCGCTATACTCTATTTCTTCGGCGCCCAAGTCTGACGCACCTCGTTATCAATCACCTCAATAGTATCCCACTGCAAAGAACTCCATTGTTCAGGCTTCTCAAGCGCGTCAATGTAATGCGCCAATGCCAACACAGTCTGAGCTGCCCATCGCTCCTTGCTAACCTTCCCTATTCCAGTAGCCAGCGGTGTCATAAGGAGAGATTCGATCCTATTATCCACATTACCACGGTTGTGTCCTTCAACCTGGCACAGCAAGCTCCACACACACTCATAGACCACTTCACGATCCCAAGTCACGTCCTCCGGTTCTCTCATAGTTGGACAGATCGCTACCCATTTGCAGTTGCGATGGTTCGCTTTGAGACTCTCTGGGAATTCAACTAGAGAACAGGAACCCGGGGGCGCAAACCCCCGCCACTTCTCGTACAGGACAGACTGGGCTGCGCGAGTCAGCGCGTGGTAGTCGTCTCGAGGACTGAATGTCATTGAGATAGCATGATCGAATGCGCCATCTAGACGACCATAGGAGTTGGCCGGTGACACCACTAGATCGAATTTGACTGATGGTGGGAGGCTGTTGAGGCGCTCGTTGAATTTGGTGATCTTCACCTTGCTCGGTTCGTAGTCAGACCAGTACGTTTGCAAAGCCTCGTCAAAGGCGGTGATAAATTCGGAGTCCATGCAGAGGAGAATGATTTCTGGGATATTGGACGTCATGACTGTTCGGATAATTGATTGTGGGTTGAGTGCTCGTATTCTGGTCTGAGATGTGTAAGGTTAAAAGTTGAAATGCGGGAGTGATAGATCGACCCGATAGAGGGGTTAAAGTGTCCTTTTACGGGCCCAAAATCTGACCAGGCTGACGGCTAAAAGGTGGATCTATCGCACCGCCACGTTAACAAACAATTGAGGCCAGGAAAAATCTCTGATAGTCTAGCTAAAAGCAAATGAAGTTGCCTGATCAGGCACCAACTATGAGATAAAGTACACGTCAATGTAGAAAAAGGGTATTGGCAAGATCGTGTTTCTATCAGCTCAGCCGCCAATATCAAATGTAAAATCAAACAAGAGAAGAAAATCGTCCAAGTCATTGTAAAAATCAGGCCTCTTCAATTCCCAAATCCCTCTCCTTCTTCAAGGTAGGCTCTTCTACTGCATCGTCGTTTTGACCTCGTGATACAGCCCGGGCCTGCTCCTGCGTCGACACATACCGGACCAAGCTCTCACAGAGTCTATCCAGAATCCATTCTGGTTCTGACTGGTGCGCCAACATGGGACTATTCTCACCGATCCAGTCCCAATTCAAGACGCCGTATTCATCTTCATCGACGCTAGTACCGCTGTGGAAAGGGTGATTACGATCCACAGCCGAGCTCGGTCGTGAATTCGGGTCGGTAAACTGAATGAGGCGAGTAAATTCGACCCATTCCTCATAGGTGTACCTTTTTCGCTTTCCTTCTCGGGCATCGTGTGTAGTGCGACGGATAGCAAAAGCAAGTTGCTGCGCGAGTTCGAATGGAGATGGATTGGCATCGCGAGCGAGCTCCTCAATAGTTCGTAGCGGATGACCATCGCCTGATCGATGACGAAGCGGCACGACTGGCGCCCTTTCTTGGGTATTTGAGGCTACCGAAGCTCTATCCTCCGTTTCGGCTGCCTCGTCAGCCTCCGTACCGACCTCGAAGCCGCGTCTCAACCGCTGCTTTTCCTGATGTATCTGTATCCACTGTCGAAGAATCGGAACACGAGCAAGGATCCCTTTGTATGCTCCTTGGCGAGGCATGACGAAATAATCGCTGAATTTCTCAGTCGAATGCTTGTATCCTGCAACAACGGTATCGCTCATCTGTGAGATGAGCATGGTCATCGTCGGAATAGCGATCAGAGACCACATGACGAAGAAAGGTCGTCCGGCATTTGATTGCGGCGTGATATCTCCGTAGCCGATGGTGATCAGCGAGCAGAAGCAAAAATACAAGCCATCAAAATAGGATATGTCTTCGAGTCTCCAGAAGACAACTGCACCACCCGTCCACACGATCGCGTATACAACTATGCTGATAATCAAGTCGTTCCAGCGGCGGAAACGCATGGTCTCGTATTGAATCGCACGCATTGCGTCAAATCGATCTTTCTCCTCCCTCATGACGAGTAATCTGGGACGGCGACCGGAAGCCAGGGAATTGATGGTATTGTGGATCGGTCTGTGTCTATGATGCGGGTGATGTCGATTGTGATGAGCCTTGGATCGGTGGCTCGCATGCTTCGGGATAACAATGTCCTTTTCTAGAGGCTCACGAGCATCGCGAAGCTGTTCGAACGTGACAGTTCTGTTGAATGTGGTCTGTCGCTTATGTTCAATATGCTTGCGCACGACGTTGTCATAATGAACTTCCCGAGCAAATTGATGGATACTGCCGACTACCAAACCAAGCATGATGATTCCAATAACCGCATACGGCCAGATCAGACCTCTTCCCACCGCAGACTGTGGGGTCACATCACCAAAGCCCAAGGTCAAAACGGTGATATCGCAGAAATACAGCGCGTCGGCAAATGAGATTTCCAACACTCGTTGAAATATGGCCGCACCGATGAGAAGCCAGACCACAAATCCAGTCATCTGTAGAATGAGGGTCCGCTGGTCATCAGTGAGGGAGAAGTGCTGGGGATACTTTCCAAGGAAGTAGCCTAGCATGTTAATCATCAAGAGAGATCCCAGGATAAAATATAGTATTGCAGCAATGACAGCACTCCAATATGCTTGCGAATAGACTTCATTTGGTGGAATCGGGGGGCTGTAGATAGACAGGGATGCTGTAAGTCCGCAGAGCTAAATCGAAGATTAGTCGTCGGGCAGATCCAACATGGCTCGGTAACTTACAATGCCTGTTGCAAGGAACCAGGTAACGATCGTTACGGGCAATGCAATTATATAGCGAACGGTTTGAGTGAAATTGAGCAGCAAGAAAATATTACCAACGACACCGCAGAAAAGCGACACGGCATTCATTGCAGTGACCCTATCGGCTTTGTTAGCCAAGTCCTGGTTCCTCGAGTCTCGAGACCACTCACCAGTGGGGATCATTATATCCCTCCTCAACCCAGGTGCCGGCGGGTCCTGTCTCTCTGGAAATAATCGTGTTCCTCCAAGGCATGACAAGTGCCACGATGGACATGACATTAGCAAGCGGCCCGGCAGCCGCAGCTACGAGAGGAATAGCAGTCGAGGCAATCCACCACGACTGGGGCTCATCGTCCTCTGGAGGTCGCATGTGAAAGCGACTGGAGAATCGCTCCCATCGTGACAATTGTTCAGTGGTAGCGTTCGCGGCGGCCGCGAGTGGTGGGAACTCATTCTGCATTGCGGCGCCATGCACTGCGACCGGAAGCAGAAGGGAAGGACGAAAGAGCCAGGGAAATCGCAGAGAGATGTGCAGACAGCTGGGGTCAAGACGTGGAAATGATAAAGAACAGCAACGCCGAGTCTACCAAAGTTGAGATGCTCAAGGCTTCATCCCTAGTCTCGCAGCGCGTACTCTTGTACGCGGGAAATGAGGAATGTCAAGCTAGAGAGGCCGTAGTGGGGTCATAAATAGATCCAGGATCTGATGCGGAGCTCCTGTCGTCTTGCTGTGACATAATCAGCATTACAAAAAGGTGACAAATTTCTGAGGATGTACGTGAGGTATAAAATCCCTTTGTGGTGGTGGAGATGATGTCAACGAGCATGTCAAAAAAACCTTCCTCGCCTTCGATCTACAGTCCCGTGACTCTTCCCCGCCTACAATCAGGGATCATGCTATGTCATGCGATGACTTGTCAATGTTGAATTAAATAATATAGGACTCAGATGTCAGATCATAGAAACACATGGAGAGCTATCAAGGGCTCAAACTAAATAGCACTATTATCGCCAGAACTCGGATGTGAACAGGTAGCGCGTTAGAGTTTAGCGTTGGATTTATTGTGGGACCTTCTGCCTCCCTGATCTACGAATTTTGCCATTCTATCTGATTCGATCTGATCTGATTTGATCAAAAATCTTGCCGTGAAGGATTTTATTTGTTGATTGCCATAGATTCGGAAATTTTGATTCCTTTTGCAGCAAACTTTACGACAAACGGTCATCGATAACGACCTCCTATCCCCACAGCTCGTCAATATGGTACAAACTTGAAGCCTGAATTGTATATGCATTTGATTTAAATATAAACAGTAGGTCTGAACCTCAATTTCCAAAGACTTTGTAACTCTCAGAATAATATAGGTAGTAAGTACAAACGGACGAGGTATCTTTCACGCTAAGAGAAATGAATATTTACAAAGGTAATGAGAGAATGCAACCATCGCAACAAATCCAGCCTCATTCGCCTAATGTTCCAAGGGTACATCAAGCGATCTTTTAATTCTCCAATCAGTTCTTCCAATGTGTCGAACCCGCAAGTTCTGCCCTCATGACACCCGGGCCCATCTCCGTTGCCACACCAGACCCGGGCAGTTCACGAAGCTTCTGTCCCTGATACACATCTGAGCCCTGTCCATGAGAGGTAGGAGAGCTGAGAGTAGGGGAAGATGGCTTGTCGTCGTATGAGCCGAGTTCTGACATTGGAGGTACCGGTCGCTCTGATCCGGTCGAGGGCGTTGTCTTCTTGCGAGGGCGCCAGCATAGGAAGAAGAATAAGATACCTGCAATCGCAACTGCAGCGAGGACGCCGACAATGATTCCCGCAATAGCGCCTCCAGAAATAGATGAGCTTTTAGCCGTGTTGTTATCCGTGCTTGCGGCAATTGGTGTTGTAGTGGGTGAACTGGTATTGCTGGCAGCAGAGGTAGAGGCAGCGGTAGCCGATGTTTGAGTCGAGCTTGACGTCGCGGATGTCGAGGTTGTTGATGTGGATGATGCTGATGATGTGGTGGATGAAGTGTCGGTATTGTTCAATACAACTTCGTACGAATGGATATATGATCCTGCGACATGGTTGTTCCAGGGCCATAACTTGCAAGTATAGCCGGCGGAAGGATCAGAGCAGTTTCCATTGTTGTAGAGGTAGATGCAAAAGTTTCCTCCTTTCGGATCCCAATCGAATACATTTCCCTTGGGATTATCGATTGTTTTGCATGACTGGATGTCATCTCCATGATCCGTAAGGAATCCTTCCGAGGAGTTTGTCCAACTAAAGACCCATGCCGTAGCCGATGGAATATGAGCCAGATACAGTGGCAGAAGAAGGAATGATGAGGCCACCATTGTAACTGATGAAATGACGGTCTATTCACAACCAACAAAAGGAGATTTCGTGCATAAACTTCCAGAGTCAAAATTTAATGGGGTGTGTCTACTTTTAACTACCGGGAATTCCTTCCAAGAAAAGCTCGTATTCTGGGGATATTAGTTGCATGCCAAGACGTAAAGACGGCACAGGCTTGTGGTGGTTGAATTGTCCCTTTTCTCCCCGTCCAATGAAACCCCGGTCAAGAGAGAGCACAGGCCTAGGCAAAGGGTCTTCGGGCCCTTGCGAGAGGTCAAGCGATCCAGCGATCCCCCTGTGTGGTCCACCGAGGCTGAAGAACACGAGGTGATCAGCAAGGGTGCCACTCCGCTCATCATACCCCGAAACAAACTTTGCCTGTTCTGAGATCTCCCTGTCTGGCTTTATGGGAGAACTTGAGGACATTTTAAATGGTATATCTTGATTTCGCTATAATTTCAACCGGAACTTTAGCAATGAGAGGATACTGGACACTCGGGGAGGGCTGGACTGCGTTTTGTGTGGTGAATCATGAAATTGGCTGGTTCAGGCACGGAGAAATCCCCTGCATATACGGATTCGAGGTTGTATTTGAAACCCCATGTTTGACTTTTCTCCGACAAACATGAGATGAGGCTCATACCTATCCTCGTCGACATGGCTGGTGGCCCCTGTCAAGTGGCTGTCAGGAACTATGAAGTCAGATCCAATCAGGCAGGCCCCGAGTTTTGGCAACCATACCTTTATACGAAGTGTCTTAATAGACGTTACGGAAGCCGGCAGAGGCTGGTCGTCTTCGCCTTGAGCTCCATCTGTCAGAAACATCAAGACATCTTGATTCGGATGCTTAAATTATGGGTCAAGCCACTTGTCCCCGCGCTACTTTTCTGTCCCAAGGGTTGAGGGAGTCGGAGATGAAAAATGGTTCTAGATCTTTATGCAACACTTCAGGACGCTAGGGAGGACACTAAGCCTTTGTTTTTCATGTCCTTCCTTCTTCCAGTGGAAATGGCAGACGGTTGCATTTAGCGTCATCTACAAGCCTTCTCGAAAGTCGGAAGAAGCAAATATGGAATAATCAATCAGCGAAAGCTCTTTTCAACAACCTCGACGTTTTAACTTCCCCATAGTGCTTCGCAGATTAAGGTTGAGTACCTAAAGGTTAAGTCGTGTTTGTAGTAATCCTAGGTGCCCGATCGAATTGAGGTAGGCCGGGGGTTAAAGCAAATCCATTGAGTAAGGAAAGCTAGGTACGGAGTAGTACTACGGTGTTTACCAAGGGATGTGAGGTACTGGCAGTGACATAATAATTTCTTTTATGGTGCTATTAATGGTACCGGTATAGGTAACAGATCTCGTGCCTCGTGTTTTCCACAGTGTTTACGGCGTCGCTAGGATAAACGAGTCCAGTTGGATAGTGGAGCCAGGTAAATATATATCTAGCATAGTCTGAATTGCCGACCGGTGTGGAGTATTGCAGTCGCGGTAAACAGGGGATATGTACACTTGACTATCTGAACAATGATCCATGACAGATGCAACAAGTACCTAGTGCTATGGTAAGGCAATCATATAATCCAACTGCCGTACGGAGTACAGAGTCGATAACCTAGACAACTCCTGCTGCTCCTGTGCAGACTACGAGCCAAGAAGGACAAAGGGCTGGTCCGGGCGCAGGGAATTTCTGGAAGAACACGTGCCTCCACGAGATCGGAAAAACCGAGCCATCGGATCCTATCGAAATGTAAGACCAACAATCACCAAGAACCAGGAAATTCAAAATAGCCGATGATATCGACCACCAGAGAAACTAATCGAAAAGGCGCCAAAAGCGGCAAGCCCGGACAGACCCGACGGGGAACGAGCAAAGCGACGACTAAACGGGCAAAGAGCATCGACCCTATGCACCATGCACCATGCAGGCGCCGGGGCCACAGGCCAACCAGCAATTATATAGGCGCCTATATCGGCGAAAAGAAACCTATTCATCACGCGACATTAATAAACGTTCCAACTAACCAAAATGCCAACGTGGCGACGGAGAAGAACAAAACTGTTGGGAACGGACACTTTCACATGCAAATTCCCCTCTTTCCCAAGTGGGGCAGACACGGGGGGCTACGGAGACACAATTGACGGATTCCACTGACGAGACTGGCTGGACTGATTTAGTCTGGAGGAGTCTGGGAGGTCTGGGAGGTCCAGGGCACTGTTTTTATGGAGCAGCGTGTGAAGTCCGCGCGGGGACAGCCATCATAGGCATTGGGAAAAGGATTGAGAAGCCTGCTTGATGGATACTACGAATAATCATGACTGCACCTGCTACCAACTAGAAAAGCCACACATGCACTCGATCCTAGGGCGATCGGAGGCCCTAGCAAGGCATTCAAGGCCATATGGGCATTAAATATAGGGCCATCAGGGCATTTCAGGGACGGATGGGTGCAGTCCGGGTAATTCATTGGTTCTCGATAAGAAGTTTAGCTCTGTGAATTCCAAGGTTGCGTGGGCTAGACGACATTCAGTATAGCCTCATTGGCTAAGCTGGTTTCCTTTTCTTGATCTCCCGCTATTTTAAATTATTAAATATTATTATTTAATCAATTCTGGATCTTGATTCTCAACATTCTCAAAGGTGGGTAGGGACCTGACCGTTTTCCCCGTTTGGGCCAGCTCCTTGGCTGCTTCTTTTGGGTTTAGCTGTCTAGCTGTTTAGTCCAGCTCTCTTTTTTTTCCTAGTCTGATTCTTTTTCTTTCTTCTATTCGTGTCCCTCTTTGCAAATCCCTACCAGCATCGAGGAGACTGTGGTCTAGAACACTAATTACCAGGTCCCTCCGCATGCTATCCTAGTACTCATCGACTAGGACCAACCCCAAATCGAACGGCGGCGTCATTTTTGCTTTTTGGCATACGACTTTTGTCGTCCGAGACCGAATTCGCCATTCCTACATTCTTTCCTACTCCCTCGTGAATACCTGTGAATATTGAATCTGGGAGAAATCTTCACACTCAAGAATCAAACTGCGAAACTGCATAGCCAAAATGACCATCATCGACATCGGCAAGGATCTGCCGACGCTGTTCAAACAACAAGCGCAGGCGACGCCTGATGCCATCGCCCTGGAAGATGACGCCATCACATACACCTATGGGCAACTCGAGAGCGAGGTCGAAGCGCTCGCTAGTCGCCTGCGCCAGTTTGGCGTCAGTCGGGACTCGCTTGTCGGAGTGCTCCTGCCTCGCAGTGCTCACTACCTGATTGCCTGTTTGGCAGCTCTGCGCGCTGGTGGTGCTTTCCTCGTACTCGAATTGGCATATCCAGCGGGCCTGTTGGCGGACGTCATCGACGATGCCAACCCCGCCGTGGTGATCACCCACCAGAGCGAGGTCGAGAAAGTCAAGGCGCAATGCCCACTGATTGTGCTGGACAAGCCAGCCGCGGAGATCAATGGCCATGCCAAAGAGGCGGCTCCCCTACCGGCCGATGACGATTTGGATCGTCTGGCCTTCGTGTCGTACTCATCAGGCACGACAGGAAAGCCCAAGGGTATTGCGAATCCCCACCGGGCTCCCGTTCTTTCGTACAACCTGAGATTCGGTGTACAGGACCTGCAGCCGGGAGATCGAGTGGCCTGCAATGTCTTTTTCATCTGGGAGATGCTGCGTCCGCTGTTGCGAGGTGCCACCGTTGTAGCAGTGCCCGACGATGCCAGTTATGACCCGGCTGCGCTGGTTGACCTGCTGGCCGCCAAGCGAATCACAGAGACCCTTATGACCCCGACACTGCTAGCTACCGTTCTCTCACGTTACCCTCGAATTGCGGAGCGTCTGCCAGAGTTGCGCACCCTTTGGTTGAACGGTGAGGTGGTGACCACTGACCTCGCCCGCAAGGCTATCAAGGCCCTTCCTAATACCCGCCTCCTCAACTGCTATAGTGCCTGTGAAACCCATGAAATTGCGTGCGGAGATATCCGCGAAGTCCTCGATACTGAGTCTCTCTACTGCCCGGTGGGCGTGTCTCTCGACCCAGCACACACGTACATTCTGGACGAGAGTGGAAAGGAGGTCGAGGCTGGCACGGCGGGTGAACTCTTCATTGGAGGAGACCTGCTGGCACGGGAATACCTCAACCTTCCCGAGACAACCGCCAAGGCATTCACGCCTGATACATTCGATTCTACGCCCGGTGCGCGCATGTATCGCACGGGTGACTTGGCCCGCAAGCTGCCCTCGGGGCTCCTAGAAATCACTGGTCGTGTGGGATCGATGATCAAGCTCCGCGGTTACTCCGTTGTCCCGGCCAAGGTTGAGAGCGATATCTGCCAATATCTGGCCGTGGGTCACTGTGCCGTAGTTGCGCATGGCGAGGGTCTGGAGCGACAGCTGGTTGCATACATCGTGGCCGAAAAGGAGGCTGCTGGGGATCGGCCGGCGGTGGAGATCAACGAGACTGGACACAGCCCGGCAGCTCGTCGCATTCTTGAGCCCTACCTTGCACACTACATGATTCCCGCCTTGTGGGTTGAGTTGGGTGAGTTGCCAACGCATGAAGTGTCTGGCAAGGTCGATCTTAAGAGCCTCCCTCCACCCCGTAGCGCCAGCCCAAGTGGCAGCGACCAGACGATCGACAAGGATCCCATTGGCATCAGTGATGTTGCCGCGATCTGGGCTACCGTCTTGAAGACTTCCAAGACTCTTCTCAAGCCCGAAGATAACTTCTTTGATCTGGGTGGCCACTCTCTGTCCCTGGCTGACTTGGCCTCGCGACTTTCCAGACACTTTGGATTCCGCGTCCCCATTCCCCGTCTTGCGGACAACACAACTCTGGCTGGTCATTTGGAGACCGTGCGTGCTGTCAGAGATGGCCACACCGCTGCCGTGCAAGCAGACCTTCCCGCCGTCTTGCTGGCTGATTCCACTTTGGACGAGGACATCAAGCCTCCTGCCAATGCCTCCATCACTTCGATCGCTGAAGCCAATACCGTGCTCTTGACCGGCGCCACCGGCTTCTTGGGCGCTTTCCTGCTCAGTGATCTGTTGGAAAATACTTCGGCTAAGATTATCTGTCTTGTGCGTTTCACTGATCCGGAAGACGACGATCAGGCCGGTGGTGTTGCCCGTATCCGCAGAAACCTGCTGGATCTTGGTCTCTGGCGCGATACCCTCATGGAGCGTGTCGAGATTCTTCCTGGTAACTTGTCTCGACCTCAATTTGGATTGTCCTCTGAAGCATTCGATGAGCTCGCGGGCCGTGTTCAAGTTATTGTTCATGCGGCCGCTACCGTCAACTTGGTCTACCCCTACGCTGCGCTGCGTGGCGCCAACATTGGCGGAACCCGGGAGATTCTCCGTCTGGCGTCCAAGGGTGGTGCTACAGTGCAGTACGTTTCTACTAATGGTGTTTTGCCGCCATCCGGCGAGAACGGCTGGTCCGAGCACACTATGATGGATGTGAAGGATGTCCCTACGAAGCTGCTGGATGGTTATGGCCAGACCAAGTGGGTGGCCGAGCAGCTCGTCCTCAAGGCTGGCGAGCGTGGCCTGCCTGTCAAGATTCACCGCTGCGGTACTATCAGTGGTCACAGTCTCACGGGTTCTGCTAATGCATGGGATCTTCTGACTGCGCTGCTGGTCGAGTCGATCCGTCTCGGATACGCCCCGGAGGTCGAGGGCTGGCGTGCCGAGATGACCCCCGTGGACTTTGTCAGTAAATCCATCATCCACCTTTCCACCCAGACTCAGGCCGACCAGACCGTCTTCCATCTGGGTGACCCCAACCCCGTCAACACCCGCTCCGTATTTGAGAACCTGAACGATCTCGGCTACCCCACGAAACCCCTTTCCTGGGATGAGTGGGTAGCGTTGTGGTTTGAGAAGCGAGGCTCAACCAAGGGTGGTGACGGTTCCTTCACCGTCGATATTCTGCGTAGTGGTATGCCGACGGTGGAGTTCCTCCGTGGCATCGTGGTTCTCGACAACTCTCTGACCAGGCCGTTCCGCGCAGTCGTGGGGCGACCCAAGGTGGACAGCCTGCTTCTGGAGACCTACACCCGCCACTGGTTTGCTCGTGGTTGGCTTCCACGTGCTCCTTCCCGTCAACAGGCTCTTCAGCGTTCAATCCAGCTCACCAAGAAGGGACCGCTCAGCGGCCAGGTGGCCGTCGTTACGGGTGCATCGTCTGGCATTGGTGCTGCCGTGGCCGAGGCTCTGGCTAAGCAGGGCTGCTCCGTTGCATTGGGCGCTCGCCGCCTCGATGCTCTCGAGTCTGTCAAGCGAAAGGTTGAGGCTCACGGTGTCAAGTGCATTATTCGCTCAACAGACGTCACCAACAAGACTCAGTCCGAAGCACTTATCCAGGCCGCGAATGACGAGCTTGGACCCGTCGATATTCTCGTTGCCTGTGCTGGTGTGATGTATTTCACCATGATGGCCAATGTCCAGACTGACGAGTGGGAGCGCACTGTCGATGTCAACTGCAAGGGTCTGCTCAATGCACTGTCTTCCACCGTTCCTGGCATGCTTTCTCGCGGCCGCGGTCACGTTGTGGCAATCTCCTCCGATGCGGGTCGTAAGGTCTTCCCCGGCCTTGGTGTCTACTCGGCCAGCAAGTTCTTTGTTGAGGCAACTTTGCAAGCTCTCCGTCTTGAGACGGCAGGTATGGGTCTGCGAGTTACTAGCATCCAGCCCGGTAACACCTCAACACCCCTGCTGGGTATGTCCACCGATGCCGAGGCTGTGAAGAAATTCGGAGAGCCCTCTGGTGCAAAGATCCTGGAGCCCTCGGACGTGGCCAACTCGATTGTGCACGCTTTGTGTCAACCAGAGTATGTCTCTGTTAATGAGATTCTGGTTGAGCCACGGGATGAGCCTATTTAATTGCTCTATTTATCCACATTATATGATGTATTTACGAATATGAGATCTAGCTAGATTATTGATTTTGTTGCTACCTTTGATGATTAGAACTATGGAACGAGGCGATTGCTTTACTTGGATTTTACAATCGACGTACTTGAACATCACAATTGCTCTGCTTGCTGCATACTCACCAAGGTGCACCCTACAGTCAAATCACTCCAAGGTATGAGATAAGATCCTCTATAAATAGCCATCCAGTTATAATCCCCGTCGTAAGCACATTCAAACCTGACATTCTAGAAAAAAGAACCACTGCACCTGCCACATGCAGCATAAGCATAAGCATAAGCACAGTAATCCAACCCCGCCCTCATACCTAACTGTACCACCCCAATACAGTAATTCCATCAATTAACCCATACAACCACACCACAACCTTCAACCACTAAACTCTGATTCGATCGCCACACCACCTTCCCACCTTCCATGTATCCAGGCCAGGTCCCAAATCAACCAACCAGATTAATCACTACCCTCAACTTGTGAACTAACCCCTCCCGTCCCACCGGAACCCCTCGGCTCCTGCGGGCCTGTGGCACCAACGCTTCCCATCCAACCAACCAACAGCGTTATCACCCGTCACCATGCAGGACCATGTACACGGACCTCCTCCGCTCTGGGCGCGGGGTTCGTATCTGTCCGTTGGTGACATGACATGACATCAGATGGGTGTGCCGTCATTGGGGGCGTGAAGTACCTGCTTCTGCACGTCTACTTGATATGGATTACGGGAAGTGTGCTGTGCGGGCTGGGTAAGCGCCGAGTGCATGTGGTTGCGTTGGGTGCTTATGGCGGGTATATTGGGGAGGTGTGTGGTAGCGTTGTCACATATAGGGTACTTTGGTCTTCGACTATGGACAGGCTAGGTTGAGGATCTAGGATGAGGGGAAGTGGGGGTTATACTACCGATTGTGATAAGGAGATACGAGGTACAGGACTACACGTGGAAATAAGATGACGTGCATGGTAAGCGCGGGAAGAGGTATTGTAAGAATCAGATATAGTGTGTATGGCTTTTGGATTAAACGAGTGGTCTCTTGTGGCCTGCTCTATAAGAGAGATAGATCATGAGGATACTAGGGTACCAGGGGGGAAAGGGCTGCTGAGGTCGAGGTTTCGCTATGTACAACCCAATTCCTCCGACCTCAACAGGATCGCTGATGAAAAGCAGAAAGAAACAGGAAAATCAGGCCACAAGAACAAGATAGAAAAAAAGTATGACAAAGGAAATAAATCCAAAAGCCTGCAAAGCACAAAATTGGGGAATCGCTAGATGGTATCACCAAAGACAGAATGACACGAGCATCAACGACAACAGAGATAGAGCGCAAGAGCAAAGCGCATCACTGTCAGATAACGCCATGCCGGGTAATCAAAAGATCAAAGACGCCACCCCGAAAGGGAAACGAAATGAAATGGTAAGAAACGCAGGATAAAATAGAAGCGCCGAAACCATGAGCTTTTTGAGGAGGGGGAATCACCACCGACTGGGTGATGGAAGAAAAGGAGCTGCCGATTGATCCAAATAAGCAGACGCAGACCGTAGAAATAGAGCGACAAACGAAGAAATGCCAGCCAGTGTGCCAGACCCAACGCGCTGCAAATGCAATTCAACCAGGGGTTTCAAATGCTCCAGAAATGGAATAAGGGGGGAAAAAGTCGGACAAGGTGTCTGCTATAAATAACTCTTCTCGAGTAAAGGGAGAGATTCCGAAGAAGCCGATTATGTCGATAATGAATCTCTTCCGGTTTGTGGTGTATGACGATGGCCTTTCTTTTCAACCATCTATGGAGCTGACGGCCGACGCAGAATATCTTCGCAATTAGCATCGAACCGCATATTCCACAACCGGATACTATTCATCAGCTTCTCCGTATTCTCAAGCTCGCGATCGCGGCCAAAGATCGAGTCAACAAACTCGCAGCCTGCATTGCGACCCATAGAAACCTGCCCTTTGCTACTTTCCCTCTTGGCCGCCTTCCACATGAACATCTCGCAAGCCTTGAGGAGCTTCTTGAATCGGTTCCACAGGCGATCGCCGCTCTCGAGGAAATCCTCAACGATATCCTGGGACTCCGGGCTTTGAATTCGTGGGAGACATTCGTCGGCGCGCTTGACCTTGCCAGCGAGTTTGATCAGGAGAAGCCAGAGGTCGCCGGCGACGTCGGCCATGGGGGTTGATGCGCCGTGGTGGAAGACGGTCCAGTCGTAGATCCACTTGCCGAGGGAGTTGGCATCGAAAACGCTGCCAAGGAGAATGATAGGTGCTTCCGTCGGGTCCCAGTTCTTGGTCGAATAGCCGGGTGGAATACCGGCGCGCTCGGCATCCTCTTCGGTGGCAACGGGTGGTGGCTTAGCAGAAGGGGGTGCTGGCTTGGGCTTGGATGGGGTACGGGTGGAGGTGGACTGGCGACGGCCGTGGGAGCGACGAGCTGATTCGATGTCTTCGCTGTTAGGTGCCTGGGTGAAGTAAAAGTGAGAATCAGCGGCTGACGCTTTGCGGTAAGAGGTCGACGCGGTTCGACGATGCTGGCCGGGGCCATCTCGCTTCGGCGTGGAGGGTTGTGCTGTAGCAGGTGCATCTGCTGGGGGACGGCCATGGCGGGTCGGGCGAGGCTGGGGCTGGGACTCGTGCGGCGACTGCTTCTCATGGAAAGAGGCGTGACGCGGAGTATCGAATTCCTCAGCCACATCGACGAAGATGGGCTGTTGCGATTGCGGATGGAAACCAAATTTGAAGCCGGTGCCGGCGCCTAGGCCATCCCCTGCAGAATGCCCCGTCTTACGGGAGCGACGGTGCTTGGGTCCCGCAAAAGAAGCACTTACATGATCGTGCTTTCGCGACGGGATGCCATACTCGGGCGTTGCCTCGTAGTAAGACTGCGGGTAGGTCGAGTACCAGGCGGGCTCCTTGGTGGTGGCCGTGTAGCTGGCCTTGCGGGTGTGTCGTCGCGAGGTACCTCGTGGCGAAGAGTATGCGTTGGCATACTGAGAGGCATATTGAGCGTAGTATTGTGATGTTGGGGGTGACTGCGAGTAGTCGTAGGTTGACCACCCCTGGGGTGGACTAGAGTAATGATACATTATCGAGATCGAACGAGCATGAGCGACGGGCAAAACGCAAGCTGATATATAGGCGAGAGTAAAGTGATATCAGGTGATATCAAGTGCGAGTCGTCAGAGTAAATTTGCCGTCGGGTTCGAGCTAGGAGGTGGCGATAATGACGGAGCCGACGAGTAAGACGTAGTCAAAATAGAGAGATGATGATATACCCCCAAGAAGAACGGGACCGAAGAAGAAACCAGTTAAGAAAAGATGAAAGAAATTCAGACGCAAACGATCAACGGCAAAAAAAAAGACAGCAGAAACCAATCAACCCGAATATATTATACAGGATATCGTGCGCAAATGAGCAAAACGACGCCGGGGTGAAAACAAGTCCCAAGAGGTTGAGTAGGACCGTCACCGTGGTACGGTTTCCGATCGGAGAGAGGAGGAGGGTTGAAGCTGAATGTGCCGAGAGTGCATTTGAACGTTGTTCGGTCTGAATCAGACGCGAGAGGGTGAGGATATTTTGGCGAACGAGGCAGGGGGTGAAGCCGTAGTCGTCAAGGTTGAATCTCGTAGTCGAGATCCAGGGGCGTTTCTAGGTAAAAGAAAGGACTCTGTGACCACGAGTCCCAGCAAGTTTGGTTAAAACTTCCCAGTATAGGGGAAGGGAAAAGGTGTGGAAGAAGAGTGGTTGTTAGAAGGAGAGGGGAAGTTGGTAAAATGTGTGTGGTGTGTGTGTTTTGTGGTATCGGGGTAGAAGTGGAGAGGGAAAATTTCAAGGGCGAGAGATGGATCCAGCGAGGTCAGCGGCGACCCGCTGGGCTTTTTTTATTTTTTATTTTTTAATTTTTCTGGGTCTTTTCTGGATCTTTTTTGGGCCTTTTGGGTGCCTGTTGGTTGGTGGCCTGCGCCAATCAGCGTGGCCAGGACCACCGAGGACGTGGGAGTTAGCGTCGGGGGAAGTGGCGATAGGGCGTGTTATTTATGCGTATTCGGATTTCCTGGCAAGAAATCTACGTCGAAAGTATGTCAAGCAGATAGAGATCCTGGCCATGAATTACTAGAGATTAATTATTCCAGTAATAGGGAGGGTGTCCACCTTTTTATACTCCCTATTGATTCTCTTAGGTTGGATATTCATGCCCTACGACACTTACTATGACTCAACTCCGACTCACGAGGTCATTCACTACTGTCTTATAAGAAGTTCGAGTTCTCTCTGTAATATTCCTCCATCTTCACACACAACTTACCTTGACCCCTCCTCTCCTACAGGTTGTCCACAGGGCTACCCCTCAGACTAGTCCGGATGGAGACATCTTGACCTCACAACTAACACGCTAGATACGATACCAGCACCTGCGCTTGCTGACAGGGCTCGTTGGCCCGCGGGACCTTTGGGCACCAGCCAACCGCAGATATAGATGGTTGGGATCACGATACAAGGCAGATACCTAACTATGACTCTTTAACAAAAAACTTGGATGACTCGATGGCCGTCATCTATGAACAAGATCGAGACATACCGGCTGATGTTGCCACCAAAACGGCCAGCACCTAGGCAATACTAATTTCAAAGCCTTATTGGCCCAGCTGGATTTAGTGCACCCAGATATCAACCACTAGACAGCGTGTCAAGACACCGTTGGATTAGGAATCCATCGTCCATGTGCCGGCATCTTCCAGAAACTATGGGTACAATCAATACCATGCCACCCTGTACAGCTCAACTTTGCATGAACACCCGCGAAAGATAACTCCCTCTGGGACTTTTGGAAAGTCAACTAGGGCATGTGGAAAGTGCAAGAGTGTACGACGGATGCTACTCTATCGGGGAAAATAGTCCAGTCCCGGTAGTTATTGATAACCAGACCTGCCTAACATGAGCCTCAGAGCCACCCAACTAACTATACATACATCATGTATGCTGTACTGTATGTCGGTAAAAAGCAAACGAAACACAAACCAGAACTCAGCACCCTTCGTTGAATAGTTCCAGATAACAAGTTGGTTCCATGGTTGGCTCGCGGCAACTCGATCGCATCCCGTCAGTTCTAAACGGGCGCTCCCGTCTCGTCCACTGGTTCTGACTCCACAGACCCATTTCTCAAACCGCCATGTCTTCGGTGTCCACTATACAGCACGTTGCCATGGCAAGAACAAAGGATCAAGGAAAATTAATACTTTAGAACATGGAACAAAAGAACGAGTTCCATCTACCTTTCCTTATTGACACACACAAACCTTGATACTACAGTTGGGCAACATCACGGACCACGCATGGGCTTTACCGCTGCAAGTTCGCTGGGCAGCAATCCGTCCATCTTGGGCCAAAACGGGGGTCTGATGGAGAGGGTTCGCAGACCGCAACTTGCAGGACTGGAATAGTACTATAGTAGTCGAGCCTATCCAGAGCCTAGAACAAGAATTATTTGTGTGGGTTTAAATATTCAAAATTGCTCAGCCCACTACAAAAATAGTGATGCTATCATTTGGCCGAATGGCCATGGGAGAATAGATTGAAGTATACTTCCTACAAGCGAATAGTAGTAGAGAGCAACTCGTAGACAGTGTCTCTGATACTTGATTGCTCGCATTTTAAGTTTCATCCTACAATGTCATAGCATTTCATCTTCTTCATATGACTCCGGATGCTAGCATGAACGAACGTTGACTGCAGTCATTGTTCACGTGGGTCAACTCCAAGTGCGACCGCACCAAGCCAGCCCTAACCGACTGTCATCATTAACGAGTCAAGCCAGTTTATCTGAGAGCAGATTGGCTCTATATGGCCCGTCTCCGCTTATAGTGTATGGCCTATGACGTCCAATACGAATGTCCACTCTAGGATATCACGAAACATCCCTTGTAGGCCGAACCACCCAGTGAACCTTCATCCATACAACACAACTACACAAAGAACACCATACTGGACTGTAACCCAGTGAAAGAATCAAACAAGAGCCTCATAGCACCTGCTGACCACTATCTCCTACGCTCACGCACCAACCGCAGGGATAAAGTAAACAAAAAGAAAAGCATGGAAATGCCCAAACGTCCAACCGCATCCTTACAGAGCCTATGCGAGGACATTCCAGGACCAACCTGGGTAATTCAATCAAGGGCTATTGGCAGGGTCCTACACTCTATCATCTCATTGGTCAGGTCAATTGGTTGAATAAGTTTTTTCCATCTGCTACAGTATCGATGAGTCAACCGTTCGAGAAATCTTGCCCCTTGACTTCTCTTGACTTCTTGCTAGGCAGCCAAACGGAGACGACGTCTGCGCCACCGGTAGGCAGCGCCGATCGGTGAGTGTTGCACATGGCGTTCATTTTTATTTTTTGCTTTTTTTCGGCTCTCGAGGTTTTGACTTTTGAGTGATTATTGTGCTTTATCTATTTCTTGGTATTAATAATTTCTTGCTTTGCTTCTGATTGTGCGCAGCCAGAACGGTTTGCTAATCTATGCCCACCCGCATCCCAAGATATCAGCGAATCCTACGGAGTACTCTAGACCGTTCTTGATACTTCTTTTTCTATTTCAAAGCACTGCCTCCTAGTTAAAAATACCAGCAAATCAGTTACACACATAGCACAACCAGGCCCCCTCAGCTAGGACATGCTGTGCTGAAAGACACTGCCAACCCTCAGCAGGGCCTGACCTACCCTAATCGCCGCATCGCCTTCCAGAAACGTGCGTCCGACCTAACAAAGCCCCAGTCCTGCGGGCCGGGAGTAACTGCAAGGCCCACCCACCGCACCAGGAAACAGTCAGCGTGCACAGCAGGGTTGATCATTAGTTAGTTCGGTTAGGTGGAGCGCCGGGGAAAGAAACAAAGGATCGGGTTGCGCCAATGGGCTCGCCGCGGCCTCGCAGGCCTATGGGGATCCTCACGCATATTCGCCTTTTGTCCCAGCCTTCCTCGGCATAGTCTGTATACTGTATGCGAGTATGTAGGGACATATGCCTGGGCCTATCGGTATGTGCCCTGGGCATGAGGATGCATGAAAGCTTGGAGTATAAATGATATCACAATAACTGTGATCAGGTTCATATATGCGCATATCGCTATGCGAATGGAATTCTATGGCAGGGATATTGGTAAGCTGACTACCACTGATAAATCCGTGTCCTCCGTAATGCGGCAGGCCCTTGCACAACACTCAGTAGGATTGAAATTATGGAGTCTTCCTTCGTTGAACTATCAAATATAGTACGGAAAGAATTCAGGGGCAACGGACCCGGCCGTGTCCATAATCAAAGCACCTCCTTCTGGAACCGTCACGCTCGGATTTCCACTGTAATTATCGGCGATATGGTCCATGCTCTGAAAATTTTAATTTCGCAATCCTGGTTGGCGTTTAATTAGAAAAGAAAAACTCTGCCGTGCACAGTCCAATAGGACCGGTTCCTCGGTGTCGTCCTACGCATCTGATGGATCATTTTGATAAACACCTCCCCCTTACCGGGGAGAATCAAAACAAACCATACGCGATGAGCTCGAGGAAACAGCATCTGGGAAGTGGGTGTGCAGCTCAAGGACTGGCCAAAGAAATAGCCTGCTGGGAGAGTGATATTTTCTTCCAAGTTTTAGAATTCAATGGGAAATTTCGAATGACTGTGCGTTGTGCGCGCACTGATCACATACCGGGCTGTGGCTGCCCTTACCCTGAGCCCTAGCTCATGCTTACATTCTGGAAGGAAGAAGGGGGGATGGAATCTATTGCGCGGCTCTAGCGAGAGATCTGACTCGGTTAGGGGTCTTGGATTGAATGGTGTGGCTGTATGGAGGAGATGTTTGGGTCTCCTGAGCTCAGAGTCGATGGAGTTGCTCTAGAATACAGCCACAGCTATTCATGCCCCACACTAGCTCGGCCGTCGCTGCACCCCAGACTTTTAGGTTACATACTGGAGATGAGTTTGAGCTTCGTGGCATTCCAGTCTGGCTTTAGCGAGAACATACTATGATGCAAATTTATATGTGCTATAAACAAAGTCTGTGGAAATGTTTGGATAAGGGCTAATTTTGAAGAGTATGGTAGACTTGGCAATCAGGGGAGAGATGTTCTACCAATCCCCTTGAAGACGGCTTCTCATGGAGGTCTGGAACAAGTTTAGAGTGTGGATACCCAAAAGATTCATTCTCATCGGATCTGGTCATGGTTCATGATAGTTTAGGGTCTTTAGGCAATAATCGAAGCGGGGATATCATGAAAGGGAATTTCTACTACTGTGCTCTGGTCTGCTGATGACAAGTACATTGAATGGCTGCCAGTGTATGAAAACAGTAACGAGCCCCGACAAGTGATTCCCAGCAGTATGTCAACAAAAGATAATTTATTCAGTATGTGCAGAAATGGTATCATATTCTCGGGCCAAAGCCGTAGAGCTCCAAGCTCCACTTTACATGACTTTAATGACGAAGACCTCACATCCATTCATCCAGTCCTCTCAATCCAACTGGAGAACTCAAATAGGACCGATACAGAAAGGCTATTCACACTCAGTTCCCCCTCAACAAAAGTCCCAGGGGTAAAATTCCAAGCTAGATCCAAAGAAAATATAGACGATCAAAAAGCTATTTACACCACCATATACTCCCCATCACCCCGTTTCGCCTGCATCACGCGAGACCAACGGAAGGCCTGAGACGGAGCCGGACGACCGCTACCATCCAGTGGTGGCGGGGGACCCATCTCAGAGGGGTACACGGGGTAAGATGACTCGTCCGAGTGATCTGCCCAGATCTTTTCCAGCAGTTCCAGGCAGGAGAGATTATTTACGAAGCCCGAGTCCTTGGAGATATCCTTGCAGCGGGAACGAATGGCAGCCCGATGGTCTTCTTGGACACACTCGGAGCCCACAATGAAGAGGGGCCAGAGGAGGTATACGTCGGATTGGACGGCGCAGATGCAGTGCATGGCGAGGAGGACTAGGTGCTGGATGCGCGGGTGGCGGGATGGGAGGCTGGGTTCGGCGAGTCGTTCGCAGTAGAGGAGTGCGGCGTGGCGGAAGCACTCGGAGATTTGGTAGATATCCTGGAGGTTCTCGGGAGCTACTTGATATGGCATCGAGGGTGCTGCGGGGGCGGGTATAAAAGCGGGTGGATTCCAGGATAGATGGGAGGCGGAAAGGGGTGGAGATGGGAATGATGCTTGGGCAGGTGGATCAAATCGCCAGGATTCGAGGCGTTGTCGTAGCGAGTACCATTCAGTCCAGAATGCGGGAGACGACGGTTTCCTGGCTTGATCACTGCTTTGTGGTGGAGTTGGCATTGAGGTGCCATATCCCTGGTCTGATATAGACCCCGAGCCAGTGCCTGCGGTGACGGTGTTCCAGCCAGGGAACACCATATTTGGAGGGAGAGAGGCGGTGGGAATGGTTACGTCGGCAGGGCGAGACTCGGTCGGCTGTTGATCCTGGCTGAGCAGATTTAGACGACCAAGCTGAGAGATTAACTTGAACAAACGACCATCGCAGCCAGCCAGATTTTCGAGGCCCCATTCTCCGTCAGTGATCGAGCTAATCTCCAAGCATTTCCCGCGAAGCTGCACATCACGATCATTCGTGGTCGCTGTCAGGGTATCAAACCATGAGAACATGCGAATAAACCATTTAAGATCGTCTGATATGACAGGAGAATGGCGCATGCGAATGGCAAGTAGTCGCGTGACTCCTGCGAACTGCGTCCGGAACTCGGCCACGCCAGTATCGCAACCATGAAACAGACACAGAATCAGTAGCGTTGCTAATACCGAGTCTGATAATCTGCGGCGGGGATCAGCCAGGTCGGCATTCAAGGCTTTGACGGCCATTCCACGGTGATGATTCTCTTCGCGGGCATAGCCCTCAGGAACCGAGATACCATATCGATCTTGGAATGCTTCATCGGTCAGCGCTCGATGGGCCATCGAGGACATGCGTGCCGGCAATGTTCTCTCGGTGGATGTATGATTTCGTTCCCGACGCTGACGCAGATTACTCGTCGCCAAGGTTGCAATCGCTTCTTGTAAAGCGGGACTATCTTGAGCCAAACGGAGGATTTGAATACGGAAAGGATTTGAAGGGGTATCGAAGGCGACGATCATGGGGGCAATGACTTCGGCGAAATAACTGATCAGGTACCGGAGACGAGGTGTGCGCCCGACAGATCTTGCCAGGAGCATCTGCGAATATGACGGGCGATGACCCGAGTCCCACAGTATTGAATGTTGAGGATCTCGTCGTTCATATTCCTCGTCCGCATCCTGTGATGGCGATGTCGCGTTTGTGACGGGCCAATTTCGGGCGACTGGCCAAATGGGAGCAGCGAAACTGGCATCAGGGCTTAGGGTGGGTGCGTAGTGCATTGAAGCCTCCGATGCGATACTGGGGCTAGAGCGATTAGCGACCATTGGACGAGTGGGCAGAGGAAGCCCAGATATTTGAGGTGGCGCCGCCGGTATATTAGACCAGGTGTGTGGATCGGGCATATCCATAACCCACGACATGCTTGCGGACATATCTGGAACCGTCGACATGGCGGGTGGATGCCGAGGATCTGACTCGATTGAGTTCAACACTGTGTGATCCAGCATGGGAGCAGTCATCCCCGTAGGAGGCGCCGCAGTAGATAGTGGAGCGAGATTTGAAGGTATTTGCGACGAGGGCGGACTCTGGCTGCTCGAAGCAGCTGCGCGCTGCGCTCCTTTCGAGGCACTCGCCGATGAATCTCCTTCGGTCTCCATGACGGGCAATTTCTGACCTCGCAACTTGCCTCGACTCGCGACACCTACTCCCCATGTCAAGGTGGTTTTGTATCCGGAGCATTCACGACCCATCTCGAGGCACTGGGAGCAGTAGGGCCGGCGCCGGTCGCACCGAGCCCCTCGTTTGGCGCATGCAAAGCAATCATCGGGAGCACCGCTCACGACGGTTCTCTTGCGGCGTTTTCGAATGGGCGCGGTGCTTGGCTCTGTCTTGCGGGATTTGCCCTTGGCCGCGGGTTCCCGAGTCGGGCGGGCCGGATTCTCGGGCATTATGGGCGAGTTGAGGAGGATACACCCACGCGGGGCTCCATGGGTGGGAAACGTTGAACCGGTCAGAGGAGGGACAGAGGCGTTGTCGGCCGCGTCGTAGGGGAGTTCGGGTTAGGAGGCAAAGAAGTGGTTTGCGGGATCTGAGCGAGGATGACGGAGTCAACTGGAAGAATGGCGATCGAATGCGCCGGGTGTGGTAGCAGGCAGAGGGATTAGATTAAGCTGGAAAAGGGTCCTCGGGGGTAGGAGAGGAGTGAAGTAGACGTATGGGAAGAGGATTCGGGGTTCGGATGTCGTTGGCAGTGACTTTCGGAGGCTTCTCGGGGGCTTTGAGTTTGGGGTTTCTGGTTTTGAGGGGGCGGTGGATTTATAAAAGTAGCTCGTTGATCTTCCGTAGTGGAGGAGGATCCGCAGTTTAGTTCACCAGTGTCTACGATACTGGAGACTACATACGACGTTTCTTTCGACTGGTTGATCCAGTTGATCAGGGCGATCACGATAATCCCAGGGACAAAGGCTTCCAAGCTGATCTGATCTACCTCGAACGGCCAGCCACGGAGGGTTTTAGCCGCATGGGGATGGAAGATGGATCCAGGATCATAATTCAAAATTGAGCTAGAAGCTTCACCGAAGCCTGGGACGTGTTTCACTGGCGTTTAAATGATTATATGATTTCGTTTCACCTATGTAACTATTTAATATTTGAGGTGCTGGTCAATTAGGAGGTTGTCTCATGTCTTAGGGTCATGTGCGGAGAACGAACTAGTTACTTGGTATATTAATTGAACAATGTACCAATTATTTCTCCGACTGCTAGTATCGTCTACTTTCTATATCAATATTCTATACACTTTGTATACTTCGCATCTCTTCTCTTACCATCTTCGTGTCAGCTTGAAGCGAAATGATGCCTTCGCCAAGGATCCCGTCGTTTCCCCCGACGGGACTAACTCCCGTTCCAGTTGGACATTCCCCTCGGATCTGATCCGCTCTCCAACCTACATCTTCCTCTCTTTCCTATTCCCCCTATCATGCCATGCCAGTGACAGATATCCAATCACCTGCCAATCGCCTCCTCTTCTGATTGCCTACATCCACCAGGCAGTCGTCGTTCGGCCCGTGCGCCGTCGGCTATAACCCCCTGTTCTCAGGCGCAATCCAAAAGCTAAACGGTCACTCTTCAGCTTCCACGTCTCGTTGGATCCTGGCCCGAGGCTCGAGACACAATGGGTATGTTCAGGCCGGGTCGGGTCCGGTCCCTATTACTCGCTTTCCTTGCGACAGTCCTCGTGTGCACCGTCTATCTCTACTGGACTCCAACCACCGCATCCTCCACCGTCTCCGTCGTTCCAAGTACCGCCTTCGAAGTCCCGCTCGTCGAACGCCAGAAGGATTTCTGGAAAGCCTTCCAGCCCATTCTCGAACGTCATAATCCCAACTGCCCATCCCCCGAGAAGGATGGCGACGCCGGCGCAATCCATTTCGATCCGGTCAAGGACAGTCCGCGGCCGGATCTGACGGTGATGAGCGAAGCGGATCAGAAGGCTATGGAGGATGCGCATACCAACTTTGTAGAGGATATTAAGAAGGCCGGGAAGGATTTGAAACCCGCTCATACCTCCGGGAAGCGAGGTTTGGTCTCGACGGCCGGTGCGACGTATCTCCCGGTGTTTGTCTCGACTCTGCGTATGCTACGCCGGGCTGGGTCTACTCTTCCAGTGGAGGTGTATATGAAGGATACGAGCGAGTATGAGAAACACGTGTGTAATGATATTCTACCCAGCCTCGATGCACGGTGCATGGTACTCGCCGACGTGGTGGGAAAGAATGTCATTGAGCATTATCAGCTTAAGATCTTTGCGGTCCTCTTCTCCTCGTTTGAGGAGATTGTGTGGATGGACGCAGACTGCTTCCCGCTGGGTAAACCCGAGGAACTCCTCGATTCGGAGCCTTTCACCTCGACAGGTTTGGTTATCTGGCCCGACTTTTGGGCTTCTTCGGCATCTCCCTTGTATTACAAGATTTCACGGCAAAACGCACCGCCCATGTCTGCTCGCCAGTCTTCGGAGACCGGTGTTTTCCTGGTCTCGAAGAAGACGCATCTCCTACCTCTGCTACTGGCTGCCTACTATAATTTCTATGGACCATCCCATTACTTCCGACTGTTAAGTCAAGGCGGGCCAGGGGAAGGCGACAAGGAAACTTTCCTTCAAGCTGCTACAGCTCTAGGTGCACCCTTCTACGCCGTGAGCGAGAGAGTGCAAGCTGTCGGCCATCAAAACGGAGAGAAGCTAGCAGGTTCAGCCATGGCCCAGACCGATCCTCGCGAAGACCACGCTCTCACCACGCAAGATAAGTGGCGAGTCAAGGACCCGTCCGTGGCATCGCCCCCGCATATCTTCTTCATCCATGCCAATTATCCCAAATTCAACCCTGGAGACAACGTCTTCGGTATGGGCTGGGAGACCACTCCGACCATCAAGGAGGATGGTTCAGATAGTCGTGCGTGGACTGCCCCGCCCGAGGCTCTTCGTCGATTTGGATATGACGCGGAAAAGGCCTACTGGGAGGAGATCAAATGGGTGACCTGCCACCTGGAAAATGTTTTCAAGTCATGGGAGCACAAGGCTGGCCTTTGTGTGAAGGTTGAGGATTATTGGAAAAATATCTTTGCCGAACCGCACGAGGACGATCCTAAATTTACCGAAGACGGTTGATCAAGTATTCAACTTGGTCTCTCCTCACTTCACTGCAGGCCGCATGTGTGGTCACAAGTCCCGATACTTTGGGTACAAGGGGACCATGCATCACCATCTACGAAGCATTCGGCCTGTCACCATCTACCAGGCGTTGGGTCTGCTTCGAGGCAGTGCTCGTTATATCTTGGGACACTAACAGAGCCTGCCTCGTGTCATATCCACCACGATGGAGCCCTATCGTCTGACACCACAAGAGGCACCGATACCTGGCAGCAGCCAGTGTCCTCCCGGCATTAGAAACCGGTAGAAAGCCCTGGTATTCTCGCTGCTTGCTCAAGGTCGAAAGCTCCTCCTGAGCATCATATACACTGTACATTAGCACAACAGCCAGCAGCGGGATGATCCAGTGTATACACTGTCTCCTACCTTTTTTGTATATTAATCCTGTCTGTTGGGACTCGTATGCAATATAAAGAATGGAGCACGGAGATATTCCAAACTCCTTGGGTCATCTGCCTGCCTCTGTAGAATATCCCATTAGACAGGATTTCTTGCTTGTCGACGATCTTATTTCCTCTACTTGGCAAGCTAAACCGAATATAAACTTACTAAGAATCGATAGTTCATCCGGGAGGTGGCGATCAGTAGTACGACCTCCACTGAGTTAGTACTTTTATCGTAAAGCTGAGTGCAGATCAATACTTCTTGCTTTATGTGTTGCAATATTTCGATCCACCAGCACCCATCCTCACGCCTATCACATGAACCTAATGCAGAATTCTGGGCAGCAAAGCGGCCTTTTGAAAGTATGAATTAGCTCTGTACCATTGCCATCGGGCAGGACCTACCTACCTTTTTCCTCACAATGAACACCTATCCCAAGTATCCCACCGCTTGTAGAGGTATATTTAAACCCCTAGTACTATTTCCTGCAACTCGCTCTTTTTACCCCTCCTCTCTACACTTACCGAAAGAATATCAATACTACTTGCAGTGAAAATGCGACCAATTCAGTTTATTTACGCCTTTCTCCTAGCCACGGGCGTGATGGCACTCCCAACTGAGCTCCCATGGGATGAAGACCGAATCCAACTGCTGAAAGAGCGTGAGGTAAGAAAAGCGCCCCCATTTTGAGGGCGACGGGCTGACATGAAGTGACTGGCAGCCTCTTCTTTGTTGTCTTCCGGACGGTTGTGTAAGTGATGGCCTCCCTCACAGACGAACGATAACTATATAGGCAAAGGCTGATGGAATACAACTGGCAGCCTAAATGTTGGTGTGATAAATGGTGTTAGATGCGAACAATCTAAGGACGGTCTTTCCTTGGAAATTGTTGCTTGATTAATGCGCCCTACGATTTGAAAGATCTTGCTACCATCTACGGATAGAGGGAGCTTTTGGCCTAGTCTTAGTGTGGGTTTTCTCCTATGGTTTCTATGTATCCCTACATCTTTTTGTTAATGGAAAGACAACATTTTTGTCGACATAGACGTATCCACAGATAGATATAGTAGTCTATTAATGGATCAGCCTTATTCGCCCCCTAATGGTTGTAAAATACTACTGCTGTTGCCGGGCCGGAAGGGATTGTGGGAAGAAGTAGACTGCCGAACAAACGAATGCTCTTGTGTATGTCAGCGGTGGAACGCTCTCAATGCTTTTAAAAGGCAAGAGGCCCTAACTTGAAATTCGTCATATCGTACAGGAAAACACAAATCCCTAGCCCCCCCCCCGAGATCATTTCATAATAGTATTTCTACCAATTGATTTATTTCTTAATGCCCTTCTCGCGCAGACGCTGCTCTTCCTCGGCCTGCAGCTCGGCATCAATCTGAGCACCCTTGGAGGGAGTGTTACCATGCATCTTCGCCTAGAAAGAAAAAGAAACGACACATTAGCCACATATGTTCCTTGAATCTACATGCAAACTCGGGGTGTTCCTTCTTACCGGCTTAGTAGGATCCTGCTTGCTCAACTCAGCCTCCGGGTTGGAGAAATTGTTGTGGTGGTGCGAAGAGTCGGGCTTGTTACCCTGGGAGGCGAGCTTATTGGCGATGGAGCGCTCATCCTTGGAATCAAGGTTCTTGTGGCTACCCTTGACACCTTCTTTGTAACGCTCACGTTCATTGATAACGGACTGGGGCTCGTTACGCTGATCACCGGCCTCGTAGAGGGAGCGGTTGCCAACGCTCGACTGGCCGGAGCCGTGGGTCATCTTTGATGCGTGGGTGGACATGTTGGGTTGTGAACTTCGGAAATTGGATGAGGAGTGTTTGGAATGAGATTTAGAAGCTTGAATGATCGTTCTTATAACTCGTTGTCTATGGAAATCCTCAGTCTTATACCTGGCAAAGTAGTCTGGTGTGATGTCATGTTGGAGTCACTGAGATCATAACTGTGGGGCGAGTGGCCGGGATGGCAAACATTACTTATAGGGGTCTTTGATCGTGTGCGTTGATGGATGTTTGGTTTTGATGGAGCGGGTTTGCATCAGAGAGAGGTATAATCAAGGCAGGAGGTGGTTGTTGTGACATCGTTGAGGGAGATCAATCGGGGTCCGGCGAGAGCTCTTACATCGGTGCTCCACTTGTATACTCCGCTATTTCTTGGAAGTTCCACAGTTGCTATAGAATTGAGTCGACACTTTTACTCCTTTCGTTTAGTTGGTCAATAGAATGATTTCACTTTATCAACTATGAAAGCCGAGCTTATTTTTTGGCGACATTGCTTATCGTTGCAGGGTGATCGTCATGATAGGCTATACCTCATCCCTACCGCCCAAAGTTACTAGGGTTGGCCCCAGTCAGGGGAGACTTTCCCCTTGCCCCAGACCTATCCCCGATCGTTCTCTTGATTGGCTTCTCCTCTACTTAGCCCTATTCGGCCTTTTACATGCTCAATGGCATTCAATAGCCCGAGGGCCTTCTGCAGGACACTCTCCCAACCACGCACAGGATGGACGTCGCAATCCCCGACCCACTCCGGCCATCGGAGGCCATTATACACACCACGATCACGCCTGAGATCACAGCTATCCTCCTACTCAGGCCTCAACTCCCAATCTAAAGATCTTCCCAGGCTATCTTGCAAATTACCATTTCACCACCATCATCATCATCGTCGTCACCACCACCACCACCACAATCATCACGCCCATTCAACCCGAGCAATGAGTTCATCCACCCCCGCAACGGAGGTCCTCCCCCGCTTCCGGCAGCTCTTCACCGAGCTCGAAAAGCGTTTCCAATCAACCACCCTAGGCAACGATAAATGGTACATCCTCGCCATCTCCACCCTCGCCGCAAGTCCCGATCCCGAGCGCGCAGACCAACTCTACCTCCATCTCTGCTCGCAACCGGGCAACACAACCCCAACCTCCCGACAAGCCATCATCCGCCGCCTCCGCGAAGCCCTCATCAAAGCCGTGCCAATAGTCGGCGTCTGCAAACCAATCGAAGCAATCCTCTCAATCGGCAAAGTCGAGCGCGAAGAAGATAAAGATTACACGTTTACCCGCGAACGCTGGGCATGCGATGAAGCCAACCATGACCGCGGCACGGCGTGGATGCAGAAGCTTTATTCGCGGAATACCACGGGCACGTTGAATCTGTTTGCGGCGCATAAGGACTTTTCCTGGTTATCGGAGGAGATTACCTATGGGTTGTTTTTGTCGGATAGACAGGTTTTGGATGATGTCGATACGCAGCTTGTTGTGTTGCCTGGGATTATGAGCCAGAATTTGCCGAATGAGACGCATTGGCATATTCGGGGCACGAGGCGGTTGGGGTTGCCTAAGGAGGAGGTACAGGTTATTTGGGATTGTGTGCAGCTTGTGGCGGAGTTTTTTGATGTCAAGCTGAATAAGGTGCCTACTGTTGAGCAGGTCGAGTACGATGTTTAGAAGTTATGTATGGTAGAGAACAAGATGCATAATGACCGTCTCCGAGCTTTATTGAATCCATATCTAGGAGAGATGCACAATGAACTAACTGCTATTGATTACCTGCCTACAGGTGGTTTAAGTACCTAATCTACTAGGTGGGATCGAATTTAACTATGGGTTTGAATGTTAGGTACTCGATGACATTGTTAACACCGAGTTCCATGTTGAAATATATAAACAGAATTTCGAAAGAGTAATGACAAGCACCTTAGCATCATCAAATAAGCGAACATCATCAAGGATGAGTAAATAATTCAATGAAATTGTATATCGCTGTTGAATCAATACACAAAAGCAGAACCATCATCAACAAGGGAGAAAGCTCAAGCAATGACATAGATCGGACCGATAACAACCGATAAGAGAAAAAAGTTCGCAAGCGGCCGTGGGCCGAGCACCACCAAAACGCCTTGGCTTCCACCTCTTCCCTCCTCAACATCACAAAAAACTACAAAAAATCATGGGGAAACGCAAGCAGGACCTCGGCGACGTGCCCATGGGCGGCATGCAGGCCGGCGACTCTGATTCCGACGACGTGAGATCCCTCGCCCGCGCACCGCACTGCAATTGGGGATTGCTAACTGTCCCAGGATGTGGACATGGTCAATGTCGACTTTGAATGGTTTGACCCGCAACCTGCGGTCGACTTCCACGGACTCAAGAATCTGCTTCGTCAATTGTTCGATAATGATGCGCAGATGTTTGATTTGTCTGCGTTGGCCGATCTGATCCTCTCGCAGCCGTTGTTGGGCTCGACGGTGAAGGTGGACGGTAACGAGTCGGATCCGTATGCGTTTTTGTCGGTGTTGAACCTTCAGGAGCACAAGGCATGATCTCATCTGAATACAGACGGACTGATGGAAAGACTAACCGTCTACCCACAGGATAAACCCGTCATCCAAGACCTGATCAACTACTTCAAGGGCAAGGCCGCCGCCAACCCCGCCCTCTCCCCCCTCAGCCAGCTCCTCTCGCAAACTCCTGTGCCCCCAATCGGCCTCATCCTGACCGAGCGCATGATCAACATGCCCTCCGAGGTTATCCCGCCCATGTACAACATGTTGCTGGAGGAGATTGCCTGGGCGATCGAGGATAAGGAACCCTACAACTTCTCCCACTACCTCATCATCTCGAAGAACTACGAAGAGATCGAGTCCAAGCTCGACATGGAGGAGTCACGGCCACAGAAGAAGAAGAAGAAGGGTGGTGAACCCTCCCAGCGGTTCTTCTTCCACCCCGAGGACGACGTGTTGGAGCGGAACGCAATCTGCACGGGAACGATGGAGTATACCAACAAACAGGATGAGGGTCACTCGGATTCCAAGCGTGCTTTCCAAGAATTGGGTATTCGCACCAAGGGTAGCTTGACCTTGATTGATGGTGCCAACTTTGAGAATACCGTCAAGGCGCTTACGGAGTACTTGAAGCCGCCTGGCGTGTAAAGCTGATTTTTGGTCCAATTCGGTCATTTCATTCATGTCCCATTTACGAAATATTTTCTATTTATTGGTTTCCTTTCTTTTCTTTCTGCTTTAGTACCTCCCACCCCAGCGCGTGGTCGCCTGCGGTTATGATTTATAGAGCTCACCATAAAACAAAAAGTTCATAACTTCATGAAATCTCGCTTTACTCCCATTGGGTACCCTTCAGGCGCTGCATAAGGTATTCGACCTCGACAACCTTGGTCAGCGGGATCACGCATTCCTGTAGGAAGATAGAAGTTAGCAATCCGTGCTCGAGATCACTCAATCGTTCCAATTCGGTCGTACCTTGTACATGGCCACCACGGCATCGATATCGATCTTCGAACCCTGCTCATCCGGGAAAGCAGGGTCGGTACCATAAGTCTTAGCCTTAAGGCCCAGACGCTCCAGAACCTTCTTCTCAACCTGAGCATTGGTGATAGCGGCATCAATACCCTCACGGTCCTCAGCGCGAATCAACCGCACAAAGGTCTCGGGATCCTTCTGGAACTTGGACTCGGCCACGAACTTGCCAAAGTGAATGCGACGCGACAGCGCCTGCAAGCAGGCGACATCACACGTCGCGGCCGATCCGTAGTTCTCCTGCGTCTCGCCTCGGTCCTCCCGACCATCAAACTGCGGGCAGATCGCAGGGAGAATCTCCTTGATATACCGCTCCTTGATAATGTCGTTGACATTCACGTCATTCTCATGCAGGATGTGCGGGTACGACAACGGCTGTAGGATGGGCTCCTCGAGTACGTCGGGGAAGAAGGGGTATTCGTCGGGTGACTGGTAGCGGCGGACGCGAGACTGTATCCGTTCCTGTTCGCGGAGCATGTAGTCCATCAGACTGTGCTCGCTGTTGGGGATCTTGACACCGCCGGGGACATAGATGGTCTTGTTGAGCGGGAATTGGACTCGTTCGATCAAGTGGAAGGTAATGGTGTCCTCCAGACGGCTAGTAGTTTTGGTTGATTAGCAACCGCTCTTGTATGAAGCTAATTGAGAAGCTGTAGTTATTGATCATGGTGGTGCTGGAAGGTTTTTGTGGCGCGCCTGTCTCATGGCGGGGCGCGGGGAAGAAGCTGAAGCAATAGCTACGGCAGTACTATGAGGGTTATACTGCGGTCGGGGGTGTATTCAACAAGTCGAAAATACTCACATTAGCTGGAAACGGATGTTGGCAAGGTCCAATGCCTTGGAGACATCGGACAGATCAATGGCGGCGTCCATGGCTTCAAAGGTGGTGAGTTGAAGAAAAGGAAGTTCCTGATGGGGCCTGCGAAGTCGGAGTCAATAATTCTTCGGAGGAGAACTCTCGCACTGCAGGTTGGTTTGTGTGACAGGAAGGGTATATATAGACCATGTCGCTTATTTTTGTTTTTGACTTGATGAATCGAATTTGCTATTCATCGTATGCAAGTATCCCATGTACCATATAATCGAACCTATGAGCTTCGCCATGGAGTTTGTTGCGCCTCTATCGGGTACTCGGTACTCGGCCAGTACCGAGCTCAGCACAGGGAATGACGAGCATCATCGGTACCCAGTCGGTACAAGTACCAACCAGCAAATAGGAGTACACCTTGCATCCTCCTAGCTGACTAGCTCCTATCGGCGGTAAACACAGTAGGATCCAAGCTGACTTGCTGATCCGAAAGACCCAGTTTCAGGCCTGTAAAAGTACCGTACAAAGGGCGTACCCGGGGAACGCGGTAAATCATCGCGTGGACACCTGACGATTATCTCTCTCCCCGTTCGCAACTCCCGCCGCTAACTATCCACCTCTTCAACCGCGCATGGGTCTTGGTTGAGAGCCCCCGCAAGACAATCTCCGGGCATGGAGAACCACCGCCGCGATGACTCGCCTTCTGGTCTCTCAGATATTGTCGAAGGCGACGGTCTGCTGGGTACTGGTCTAACGGTAAGCTTTCGTCTTTTTTTTTCTTGTTTGGCGGCACACGCCAAACTCCCTCCCTCGGCATCGCGCCCGCTGACCGGTTTGCCTCGCGATAACAGACCCGACACATTGAAGCCTTTGGGCGAAAGGTCACGTCAACGGCAGGACACTTGATGGGGCCGGCCGAGCAGTCTCACGGAACACACTATCACAATGCCATGTCCGACCTCCACCGCGAGCTGCGCCGGCCGACGGCGCAGCGGAAGGTCTTTTCCCTCACTCAAACCACCCCTACCGACCTAGTCCGATCGAAGCTGTCGACCGCCGAAATCCAGTCGCGAGCTCTTTCTTCCCTGCCGGATGACCTTCTCGCCAACATCCCCGAAGATTCTAGTTCTTATTCACTCTTCCAGGGCTTCCAGGCGACCCTTCCCGAGGAGGAACATGGCCATAAGAAGCACAGGAGACGCAGTTCCAAGGCACAGAAGGCTTTGAAGGACAGTGAGAAGGGTGGAGCGTTGACCGCGGGCCCTGCGGCATTGAGGGAGGAACGAAAAGCGCTGGGTCGCCGGTTGGATCTCATGGGTATTCGAAAGAATATGTGCAGCGCCGAAATCCACGAGATCGATAACAAGATTGCCAATTTGCACAAAATGCGCCAGATCGTACTGGATCGATTAGCCGGGTTGGAAATGGATGAAGCAGCTATGGAAGTTGAAAGTAGGTCGAGTCTAATTGACGCGTTTTTTGTCAAGAAATGGAATCAGGGACACGCTCTAACATGCGCTTTACAGTCACGGAACTTGATAACAAGTTGGAAGATCTCCAGGAAGAGGAAACCCCCGAATCATCTGTCACGGCCGAGACACCAAAAACCTCCGAGATTAAAGACGACGCAGGTGCTTCATCCGGTGACCCTGCCATGGATGCTTCGTTCATGTCGGAATCGATATATGAGAAATTGCCGACCCCATCCCCTCGAAGTTTACGACACCGATCAATCCGCAAACGATCTATGCCGATCTTGCACGAACATTTCGCTCCCGGATCTTTAATCAAGGAGATTGACGCACACACTGATATGGTTACCGCCATTGATTTTGACTATCCATTTGGTACTATGGTTAGCGCAGCATTGGACGATACCGTGCGGGTGTGGGATATGAATGTGGGCCGTTGCTCAGGATTGTTGGAGGGACATCATGCCTCTGTCCGCGCCTTGCAAGTGGAGGATAACATCGTCGCGACGGGATCCATGGATGCGTCCGTCCGGCTATGGGATTTGAGTCGTGCTCGACCCGTCAGTCGTGACAACCGATTGAACAAGCATGAACGGGATGGACTCGATGAAGCAGACGATCACTCCTCGTCAGTGCCACCTTCTTCGAACTTGGAAGATTGCCACGTCTTTTCGCTCGAAGCACACGTCGACGAAGTCACCGCGCTCCACTTTAAGGGCGACACCCTCATCTCGGGATCTGCAGACAAGACTCTGCGACAATGGGATTTGGTCAAGGGCCGTTGCGTGCAGACGTTAGATATCCTTTGGGCGGCAACCCAGTCTTCCTCCTCTATGTCTGGAGACGGCAATTGGCGCCCGTCTGGCCGTCTTCCAGATGCGTCCGCTGACTTTGTCGGGGCCGTGCAATGCTTCGATGCAGCCTTGGCTTGTGGAACTGCAGACGGTATGGTCCGCCTGTGGGATCTACGTAGTGGCCAGGTGCATCGTAGCCTGGTGGGCCACACTGGGCCCGTCACCTGCTTACAGTTTGACGACGTGCACTTGGTGACGGGTAGTCTGGACCGCAGTATTCGGGTAAGTTTTCATTCTCGTTCGTGACTTGATTTTTCCAATATTCTAACTCTGAGAAATAGATTTGGGACCTCCGAACCGGATCTATATACGATGCCTATGCCTACGACAAGCCCATCACCAGCATGATGTTCGACTCTAAGCGCATTGTAGCTGCCGCTGGCGATAGCGTGGTCAAGGTCTACGACAAGGCCGATGGCCACCACTGGGACTGCGGCGCTGGCGTTGGTGTCGACGAGGAAGGACCGTTCCCTGCGACCGTTGAGCGGGTGCGCCTGAAGGACGGCTACCTCGTCGAGGGACGTAAAGACGGTACCATGGCCGCTTGGACGTGTTAAAGTGACTCCCTTTTTGAATTCATAGCACCCTACTTCCTGCTCTCCCCCTTCTACTCCATCCCCCCTTTGTGTCTCCTTGTCAGGGGTCTGTCACAGCTTCTCTCTCCGCTTTGTCCTCCACGCCCGTTGTATAGTATTCCATCCCCATGTCTAGATAGAGTCTGGATGTAGCAAGCTGGCGCATTTGAAGAGGCAGGATCATGATATCAATTACTGTTGTTATACACATAAACAAGCTCATTTCCTGCAATTACATCTAGTCCATTCAAATACAACTTTGATGGTTGTTATATTCTTCTTTCACGCCGACTCGATAGTCGAAGTAAGAAGGTGAGACCTTGGCCTGGGTAAATCACAAAGAAATATAAAAATAGCATCACAGGAGCAACAACCTGAAGACTTGTAGATCAAAGAAATAAAGAACTAAGAAAGACATACAGTTTCTGGGGGCAGACAAAGCCATGAAAGGCAAGTATTCATAAGAGTGACTTTGTCCCAACTGCGGTGTCGAGGGCCGCTGAGATTCTTCCTCACAACTCGACCCGATCGCCGCTCCACCCCAACTCTTCTTCTCTTCACTTGCACTTCACCTTCACGCCTGCTCCCTATATTCCACTGCGATCGCAACACATGAACATTTAAGATATTAAAGTTCAGCAAGCAACTCCTCTACTGCCTGCGATCCCTAGTTTCCCACTGGCGCGGGCTCCACCCCCATTTCAGCCAACCAGCCGCCGTCACGTTCCGTCGCGTCTCTGCGCGTCTCGCCGCTGCAAGTCTGGGGTCGCGATCTACGAAAATCATCGATATCAACAAAGTGCACCAGCGGCTGCATGCTGAATTGAATCTGAGTATCAAACTTTGTCACTGGTAAGTGTCGAGTGTCTTCCTGTCGCTTCCCGACTGCCATCCCTGTGGTCCCTGGATGCTCCGCAAGCGTGGTGTGAGACCCCCCTTCTGAAGACTATACCTCCCCCCACCAATGGATCGAACATGTATGGAATCTGATTAGCTAACTATTTTGTGTATACAGGTCTCGTGTGTTTGAATTTCACACAGAAATTGATCATATCTTGCAGTGTTGCTTACTGCGGCGACTAGCACTGTGTTGCTACTCAGTAAGTGCCAGGCTTCTTTGTTATGGTTCTCGCCACCTATTCTATTACTTGATTTTGAGCATAAGATCTTGTGTACCTTCTGAAAACAAGACTGCCAAATTCAAACTGGAGAGGGTTCCATATTAGCCTTGTCTTTTCCTGTACAGACCTGACTTGGCTGTTTGCTGGATCTTTGCTCCTTTCAGATCGCTTCGTACCATTGGTTTCTTTGTTGTTACACGATTTTTTCCAGCGTCAAATATTGTCCTTTGCGGCACATTGGAACTAACCTTTTACGCTAGGATGGCCACTAAACGCACACGTCGCCGCCAGAAAGGCTATGCTACTGAGTCAGAAGACGAAGAAGCCGTTGAGACTTTACTAGACTTTATGCCAGGACCAACTCTGCCCGCTGTCCCCATTGCAAACTCTTGGAATTACGGCGCAACCACAGGGACAGGTCTCCCTCGAAAGATGGCTTTGCAGCCTGCCCTGGATGCCAACCGAGTGGCCAAGAGAATCAACGCCGGCCTTGATATGGCAGAAAAACGATCAGCCAGCCCTCCTTCGAGGAGGATCACGCACAGCAATCTTGAGCCCATTGGGACTCGAATTCGAAAAACCGCTGCCAAAAATGGGGGCCCCGTTCCGCGGCAACCCACTCCGGACCAGACCCAGCTGATGCATACGCTACAAGATGCAACTAATTCTCCGCCTGGATCTGATGCTACACTTTCACCCCCCGTCGCACAAACAGTCTCCACAGACTCCAGTCCCCCCGTTGACCCGCCTTTACTACGACGGCTATCAGACTCAACGAATGAGCCTTTGTACCCGTCACCACTCAAACGACGTGGGAACCACAATACTGATGCTATTGTGCGAAGCTCACCCGATCGACAGAGCTCGGTTGATAATGCCTCCGAGGTGTCGTGGAGTCTAGAACGCGATATTCATGAAGACGACTTACAACGAACGAGACCAAGCAAATATCGAGGAGAGCCCCATGGCCAAAATATCACCAAACCACCTCGACGCCCATCGGGTTTGTCCATGATCCAAGATACGATTCTGGAGGAAGATGAAGAACAATCGGAGCTGCTCTCTCAACCGGCGAAAAGGATCGATACCGTGCGCGAGCCGGCAAATCCACGCTTGTCGGAAGAATGGGAGGCGCCGGTACGGACCATCATTCCACAAGAATATGAATCAAGAGCCGTCTCAGGGAGTTCTCCTCGCAGAGATAGTCTGGCTCAGCAGATTTGGTCTTCGATGTCATCGCAACAATCTGGAACTCGGACGAATAAACTGTTTACATCCCCACGACGGAGCAAGTGGCTTCGAGCATTGCTCATCCTACTTATCCCTCTGGGCCTGTTCTATGCTTTCCAGTACCAGGACGAGATTCTCCAAATTTTCCCGGGTGACAATCTGGCCAGAATCCGCTGGTCCTTACCGTTTGGAAGATCACCGATAGACTTCTCGTCCAATATGACGGACTCTGCAGCCTTCCACGGTCTGCAAAAGAAAGTGACGAATATGGACTCGCAATTCTCGTCTCTATCGCGCGAACTCGGTTCAATACGGTCAGAGCTCGCTCAATCTCCGCGAACTACTAGCATTGTAAATCCCGGCCGGCCTGATAAGCCGGTGCCAAAGATCAATTTCCTGTCGCCGGGAATGGGGGCAGTCGTTAGTCCGAAAAAGACTTCTCCATCTGCTGGCCGGAAGCTGGATTGGATTCAGAAATTCTACCAGTACATACCCTTCTTCAGGTCCGAGTATGGTTCCCGGACTCCGCCCCCTCCCGTGACTGCCTTGGAGCCCTGGAGTGATGTCGGAGACTGCTGGTGCGGTACTCACGATGGCGTCTCTCAGCTGGCCGTTATTCTCCAACACCCTATCGTACCGGAAGAATTTGTGGTTGAGAACATTCCCTTCGCCGCAACCCCTAACCCATATACTGCACCCAAGGACATTGAAGTCTGGGCTCATTATGCAGTGTTTCCTTCCTCGGACCAGAAGGTGGATGAAATATCAGAGTCATCGTTCACGTGGAGTGACGTCAATCCCTGGAAGGGCGAGACACCAGAAGGGAATGAGTTGGGCTACGTGGAAAAAGCCTCCGTCGTGACTGAGGAGACTCTTCCTCTGGTGGTGATGAGCACCCTGCGTATAGCCAATAAGGATATACCCGAGGATGAGTACTCGGGTGATGCCAATTTGGGTCCGAACTTTTACCGCATCGGCAAGATGATGTACGACCTTTATGCCGAGGACTATATACAGCATTTCTCGTTTGAAAGCACCATCGAGATCCCCAATCTTCGTGTGGATCAGGTCGTGTTCCGAATGACGTCGAATTGGGGCTCGAATCAGACGTGCATCTACCGATTCAAGCTTCATGGGCATGTGTAGGAGTTTGAAGGTCAGAGTATAGATAGATAGACATTTGCTTTTCATTCTTGTCTTGGATTTTTGTTTCTTCTTCGTGTCTCCTTCCCCTTTATGCCGCCGGTTCGTAACGACTTTTGATTTTCTATATCCAGGCCTAGGAAAAGGGTATGTTTTTGCTTTTTCTGTTCGTTTACTTTACTTCAGATCTCTGCTCGTCGGCGATACCTTGTATTTAGCGCGTTGCATGGCTGCGAGGATGGCGTTCAAGGGAATTGGTGCTTTTGAAAATGGAATACAGCGGAATACAGCTGATCTTCCGGATGTCCGTACCCGCTTCCGAGAAATGGTTATAAATAAGTAGTTTATCCACATTGTAGGCTCAACTAAACACTGCAAGGGAGATCCAACAGCGCCAGAGGCTAGCTAGACCAGTCAGAAAGCGGTATCTAGCAAGAAAAAGCAAAGAAAAAGAGAATCTAGGTAGCCGCGCGCACTGGCCCAGTCACACCCGATGTGATAGGAGGCCCTAATTATGTCCTGCAGCACTGTACGGCGGCAACGGCAAACCAGCCCCCGCCAGCATGAGAGCCCAACAGGTTGACAACACATCTGGTGACCTGGAGCTTTGTCAACAAACATTTCCAACTTTTACAACGCCCGCCAAAAAAAAATAAACAACGAACAAAATGGCTACCAAGGATGATTCACCAAACTATGAAATTAACAACGGAGACGTGAATATCAGCAATCATTACTTCGGAAATCACTTTCGTTGGACTCAGCCGCCTGGCGATGAACCTAAAACCATGGAAGAGGCCCAGGCCCGGATTGACAAGCTCTACGAGTCTGGAGTACCGTTCTTTTCGAAGGAGATGATTCGGTTTGCCTTTGAGCAGTGCCAGCGCAAACCTCCTCGCGGGAAGATGCTGTACACCAAAGATATCACTGGGGCAATGGTCGAGTTTGAGAGTCAGACGGGGGATGTTAAGGGGGAGATTGACAAGGATGGTGTTGAGTTGGAGTATATCCTGTATGTTGAGGTCGGACTGAAGAAGGATGATTTCCTCTGATGCTGACGTTCTTCCCAGACTCGATCCAGTGCTTTCATATGACTGTCGCGCTCATCTGAAACACCATCTCTGGTGGGCAGGCATAAGGGAAGACCGGCCCCCATTCTGCAGTCTGACCATTCAACATCCCTCGCTGAAATTCAAGAAAGAGACCAAAGAGCCCGTGGATCCCTGGCCAACACAGCCCCGCGAAAAAGTCTCCCAGAAATTCCAGGCCCATGTCCAGGATTGGCGAGAAACCGAGGTTGCCAAGAAACTCGTTCAGACTCTCACTGCACATACGGCAACTCATCGCATCACCAATATTGTTGGCCTTGCTTTGGGTGCTATTTCATACGATTATGATGATCGTCCGCGCTCGTATATTCAGCATGCTCTGTTGCTGGTGCTGCGCGAATGGTTGGCTGGGCGAGATGGGAGGCGGGATGTCAAGTGCTATGCCCAAGATCCTGGCTACCGGTGTGTGGACAGTGAGGTATTGAAAGAGCATGGGATGGAGGTTATCGATGATCCCCGGGCATGGCTGGAAATCGACGACGAGTCGATTGTGTTCTCGGTGAGTCCGAATGTGCCCGTCAAGGAAATCGTGGCGGACATTGCTCGGCCGGCGGTTATTATCTGGGAGCGGGTGGGATTTGAGGATGGAGATCAAGAGGGGAAGATGTCTAGGTGAGTATCTTGTCTATTCTGGGATTCGGAGTAGATAGGTTAGTGGGTTTGTACTAATTTAGTATAGCACTGATCCTAGTTCTCCTCGGGTGCGGGCCATGTTGGAGAAGTATGAGTTGTTTGACTTTGGGGCAGAGGAGGATGATGACTTTTGTCGGACGGTGATGTACATTCGACGGTGTCGGGGTTGAGAATGGGAGTCTTTGAAGCAGAGTTAATTTTCCAGTTGTTTCCATGTCTAAGATGGTCAATAATGTTGGATGTCTTAATGTCTTATGTTCTGCCTGGTGGCCTGGAAAATCGGGCCGCGACTCCAGCATGGGCCCTCTAAAGTGGCCAAATTGAGGAGTTGATGCGGCTGGGATTCTGTTCGTATCAGAGGAGGGGCATTAAGGAATTATGTTGAACTTGGTTCGGATTGTAGATCGGGATTTTTTCTGGGACTTTTTTTGCCTTTTCTTATCTCCTTTTTTTACATGCTTTAACCTCTACTCTACTCTCCCTTTCATACCTTTTCCACTCTACCACAGTAAATGACCCACCCCCACTGAAAGAACATGACGAAGGCGGAAGACACTCGGCCTCACCTCTCCGGGGCCTTCACTTCCCTCGGTCACGCGCCTTTTGTGCAGCCATCCTCGTACCTTCGCCCTCCAATGGCCTCCCAACCCGAGAGACCAATCGATGTGGAAGAGCGGCAGGGCCTGGTGAGTTCTCGTCTTCTTGGATTTCGTGCTCCCATCCCCATCCCCATCCCCAGTCCTAATCCCCCGCCCCGCACCGAAGCTTTTTGTCGCGCACCCCTCCAAGCCAATGCGCAATCTCCCAGGAAACTCTTCGCAAACGCCTCTCTCCGCTAGATTGAAAGATCTGACGGGGACAATGGACTTGAAGAATTTGCTGATGTGACGGGGATCAACCGCAGAGCAACGGAGGGGCCATGCTCCGAATTGCCAACCTCTCCCTAGTTCGTGGCTGTCTATATCCAGATCTTGACTAACGCAGCGTCAAACAGCGTGCCATTCGCAACTTCCTCAAGGTCCGCACTAGTTACGACGTTCTCCCCCTGAGTTTTCGCCTGATCATCTTCGATACCGGGCTGTCCGTCAAGGAGAGCTTGAACATTCTCATTCAAAATGGCATGTCGCACTTCCCTATGCTTCTCCTGACAAATTATCTCCAGTAGGATGAATATTCGAGATATAAGAAACACCCGCTAACTGCAAGGGCAATGATCTGGAGGTACAGGCATCGTTTCAGCCCCGTTGTGGGACTCTAAAGCATCCAAGTTTGCCGGTCTTCTGACCACTTCCGACTACATCAACGTCATTCAATACTATTTCCAGAACCCGGCCGCCCTCGATCAAATCGACCAGTTCCGACTGGATAGTTTGCGCGGTGTGTATTTTTATAGATTCCTTCAAATCACCCGCTATGGCTCGACACTGACTCATTTTGGTGATGCCCATAGAGGTGGAAAAAGCATTGGGCGTCGCACCACCCGAAACCATCTCCATTGACCCCGAACGTCCTCTTTACGAAGCCTGTCGGCGCATGCTCGAGTCTCGTGCCCGCCGTATCCCTCTCGTTACGAATGACAGCCAGACCGATCGGCCCCACGTCCTCAGCGTCATCACTCAGTACCGCATCCTCAAATTCGTCGCCGTCAATGTAAGCGATACACAGATGCTGCGCCGTCCGCTGGGAGAGCTGTTACTGGGCACATACAAGAATATCGCCACGGCTTCCATGGATACGCCTGTTATCGACGTGATTCATATTCTGGTCGAGCGCAGTATTTCTAGTGTGCCAATCTTGAATTCTGAGGGTATGAATATATTGCTTATAGGTCTTTTTGCGGCCTGGTTTTTCATCCCAAGGCTTTCTGAGTCAATGCTAACGATCTCGACTATCCAGGTGTCGTGTATAACGTCTTTGAAGCTGTCGATGTCATCGCTTTGATTCGAGGTGGTGTCTATGACGATCTGGGTCTTACTGTAGGAGAGGTGCTGAAGAAGCGTTCACCAGTATGTCCTGCGGAATATGACCACCATTATCCCTTCCCTTTGAAAGTATACTCATTCATCTCCAGGAATTCCCCGGCATCTACACTTGCTCGCTCAACGATGGACTGGATACCATCTTCGACACCATCCGCAAATCTCGGGTTCACCGTTTAGTGGTTGTCGATGAGCACTTCAAGCTCAAGGGCGTGCTTACCTTGAGTGACATCCTCCACTACATTCTCCTTGAGGGAGAAAATGACGAAGTATGATTGAGTTTGCAAGTATTTTCCGTTCCCCACGCCTATACATAACCTTCTTCCTTTTCTTGCATGGTACTGGCGTTATTGCGTTTCTTGTTCGTGCCTTTGTGAGAGCACCGGATTGAAACATAACCATCAGGCCATTGCAAGGCTTTTGGCGATCCATTCCAGTCTCTGATCCCAATTTACTGCTAAACCTCTGATGAATGTACAAAGATAATTTACAGAATCTCCCATCAAATGTGGAGACAAGACTGGGTACTTGGTCAGAAATAGATTTCATTCTTCGTGTGCACTGAGCTGTTCCAAACTTGTTGAACATTGACAATCCAAAGTCTAGTTGAACTCCAGAACAGGAAGCAGGAACCCACAGTCCACTCCAATATCAACGTAACGTCCAAGTGAGAGTAGCAGGAGCCCAGTAAGGCGGCTATTTCGCGGGCAGGCAGCGTAAACACGCTTCATCTGTCTCTTCTTTTCACTCTGATCCATCCTTCTCCATCTCTCCCCCAAACAACCGAGCACGTGCCCACCTCCATCTCATTTTTGACGCACAAAAATGACTCTTTTCCAAACCCTCTTCCGATCACGCAAGTCAGAGACAGATCGGCCTCGTCTTCCTTGGCCTCGGATCCGCCGCTCGCAGTCTGCTGCGGTTGTGCTGGAGGGGCATCTCCATCACTCGCCAGGTGATGAGGATATCCTCCACGCAGCTCAGCTTACTGGCGAGCCCGAGGTCCAGCACCAGGACCTGCAAGTGAGCGGCCAAACGGTGCAATCTCAAGAATCAGCTCACAGCAACATCACCGTTTGCCGACGCCCCTCTCAGCGAATCTCGCTGCACTTGCAAGAGCTGAGTGAGGACTGGTCTGTGGATACCAGCAATGCCTTTGAGGAGTATGCCCGGGAGGGCATCCACATCCCTGAGGTATCGGATCCATTTTCAGATGGAAAGATCGCAAGTTCTTCTCGTCTGGACCGCCTTTCCTCCTCTCGCTACAGCGAGGATCCACTGCCGGTGATCTCGGAGTCAGGGAGACGCAGTTACACCGAAGACTCGTCTCACCTGGCGTCCGGAAGATCGTACGGCGAGTACAGCCAACGCTATGCTCGTCGTCATGACGTTCCCCACTCGGTCTCTGTTCAGGAAAAGATCAGTTCTCTCAGCGGCCAGTCAAATTGCATCACTGGCTTGGGTCTTCTTGACCCAGTCAAAGCCAGAGAGGCATTCAATGTGGTGGCAAGGCAGTTCAACCTTCCACTGGGCATCTTAGCCGATGAATCGGAAACCGCCGATGGTAAGCATACGCTGCAAATCAGATATATGTTTCTCATTACTTTTGGATTTGTCTGACCATTGCATATAGTCGTCCAAGAGGAACCGACCCTCGAGGTTGGAGGCTCATCGCGTCGGCACCGATTCTCCGGACTACTTCGCCCTGTGAAGTCGAGCTTGGCCTTGGTAAAAGCTCCCTCTGTTGCGCCGTCGCGTGTTCCCAGACTGCGGCGGACAAAGACCTTTGTGGACCTCCTGCGCCGTCCTGAGCCGATGACATCTCTTCATGGGATGTCGGCCGACAAGCTCGCTCGCCTAGGAGGAGCCAGCTTCATCACATTGCCGTTTGATTTGGCGCCAGCTCCATTGCACCTACCAGCATGCATCGTGGCCTCAATCATGTTCTTGCGCAAATATGGTGAGTACCTACCTTCATTTGTGGCGTTCCCAAGTCCCGAAAATCTTAAATACTGACTAAGTGAATTTTATAGGCGACCATACTCGCGCTGGAGATCTGTTCGTTGATCCCGGTGACCTCAAGGAAGCCATTCGCCTGTACGACTCCTTTGCCAGCCAAGTCCTGTCCGCCACAAAGGATGAGCACCGAATCTCATCGGCCCTCCGCGTGATTACCATGCCCATCTGCCAAGACGGCGAGACGACTCCAGTGCTCACTGTCGCCTGGACCTTCAAGGCATTGTTGGCTGGCCTGCCCGAGGGAATCCTTGGATCTACCGTGCTGTACGAAACGTTGAAGAAGATCTATCTTCTTGAAGACGTCGTTGGTTCCGATATCCCACGGGCGACCCGTACTCGGCTCATCTCCCTCGCCATCGTGGCATTGACCAGTGAAATGCAATGCTCCCTCCTTTGTGCCGTCGTCGGGCTTCTTCGTGACTTGCTTCGAACCCGCAGCATCGAGTCCGATAACACCGGGAAGCCACTCCGGGTGGTGGCAATCGCCGGACTGACGCAGGTGTTTGGACCTCTGTTGAGTGGAACTGGTACAGGGGCTACTGCTGGGTCGTGGCGGGATCATGAAGACTCGCAGGCTCAAGGGGCTGCCCAAGTGCTGCAGAAGATTGAGGAAGAACTTGTGACGGGAATGTTACTTGAGTACTGGTCGGATATCAACGTTCAGCTGCGGGCGTGGACCAGATCTTCTTCGGCAGAGGATTACATTCGGGGGTGAAGAGTGAGTTGTGAGCTGTGAACTGTATGGAGTACACGTTGTTTTAGTACGTTTTGTTTGAGTACATACTGTTTGAGTACGAGGGTGAGAATGGGGAAGTCGAAGTTCGTTGTTCGTTTGTTGTCCGGTTGGGCAACTCTTTCTTGTCATTATTGATTTCAAGGGTTTCCCTTTTTTTCGTGTTCGTTTTGATTTTATCTTTTGAGGTTCCAGTCGAACAGTAGAAAACAGTATATCCTCGAGTAGAGTCAGTAGTTAGAGGGAAGATCAGGTGTTGTTTAGTGTTGTTATTGTAAATGATCTACACTAGAATCTTGGAATATACTGTCTATACTATAAGACACTATAGCATGCATATACCGGGTATCTCTGAACCTTTAGCTATTTTCCAAGGCATGCCAGTATGTACTTTCTCCACATCAAAACCCGGTTTAAGGTCGAGTTGGCCCCACTGGCATGACTGGGCGGGTTGAGATCCCGCCAGGACCCAAGTTCGAGAGCTTTAGCAAGTCGACCAACCAGAGGAGATCAGCTATACTCATAGTATACTCTAGATGATAGAGACTACTGCATGTCACTTAGCTTACAGTAGTAGCTCTACTAGAGCTCTCCTGCTAATATTCTTCTCCCCGATTTCCACCCGAATCCGGAGTTCTTCTCTGGTGATGTCAAAGACTCTCCACCCCTCTTTCGTCCCCCCCCAGGAACTAAGAAACTATGAACCAAACGGGACTATCACTAGAAGCTTTATGGACCAGTAGGATCCCTCCAATGCCTCCCTTGTAAAGTCTAGACCGTGGATTATTAGCCCCTCCTCCCCGTTTGTCGTAAGAGACTCTTCTCTCTTCTGTATCTATCCTCATCGGCCCATACAGCCGGCGGGGTGAATCTACTTACCCTTGTTCAGACCTTGTTACCTGGTTATCTCCTACGAACAATCCATTTACCCTTCCATCTTCTCCTCTCTCTCTCACCATCTCGTGCTTTGTATCACCCTCCCTCCCCAATCCCGATTCTGTCCCACTTACCCAATCCCACACAACTCATCCAAGTTTCCTCGCCGTCAGATGCTGAACGGACATTCGCCCGGATCTGCTGGACCGCTGGAAGTTCTGTCCGACCGTGGCTCCAAACTCGGTCGACCGACGACCTGGACCCTGCCCTTGACCTGAACAATCTCACTCTCTGGGCGGGCAACACCCTTTTCCATCGCTTTCTCTCCTCCAGGCACCGGGCCACTCCGGATAACCGTGGTTCTTCCTTCTTATTGTCCTCTCCATTTCCTGGGAGTCGTGTTCCTGCTGGTTCCAGCTGGTCGACATCTTTCTTCGGAGGTTCATCTGATTGAGAATTAATTGCCTCTGTACCTGGAGCTTGAAGCTCAAAAAGCCCTACATTGAACCAGAACGGTTACGGAATCTACGGGACGTACAATCTATTGCACTGGATCTACCAAGCCTACCCTTCTACGAATATCCTCCTAGCGGAAACTATCTAGCTCCATCTGTCAACTCCGCAGCTCTTTCCATCGCGGCTTCCAACTTTCCCTTTTCCCACGAAAGGAAGCTCAACCCATCGCTCTCTCCGCCGCTACTTTAAGTTCAAACCAGGCGACTGCCCTAGAAAAATCAAAGAAGGAACTCTACCATGTCCACCGGCAACGTGAACCCTCTGCCTAACGGCTTGCCAGTCGTGGATCCCCTCACCACCATCGGCACATCCCCCTTCACAACAGCCAACACCTTCTCCGGCGACTTTCTCAGCCTCCCAATCCCAGACGACGAGCACCTCTGGGGCCTCAGTCCAATCTCACCAACCATGGGCACCGGTGGTTGGGACACGAAGGCTGACGCAGCCGCCTTTGCGGGCTCAGCGCTGGAGCGCGATCTAAAGAACGCCCAAGTCCGCAACGGTCAACCTACACCCCCTCCATACGATGATCAGCACTTGCAGGATACATCCAGCCTCGAGGCTGAACCGGCGAGTAAACGCCGCCGAGCTAGAGAATCCAAAACCGCCGCTGAAAGTCTGAGTCCCAATCTAGACGACTGTCCACAACAAGAGCGCGCAAAACGAGCCAAGTTCCTCGAGCGCAACCGTCTCGCCGCAAGTAAATGTCGGCAAAAGAAGAAAGAACATACCCAGCAACTGGAATTCCGGTACAAAGAACAGTCTGAGAAGAAAGAGTTGCTCGTGGGCGAAATCGCACGGTTACGCTCGGAGATTCTCAGTCTGAAGAACGAGGTCTTGAAACATGCCCAGTGCGGCGATGAGCCCATCAAGCTTCATCTGGCGCAGATGGTGAAGAAGATCACCGATACAGATGGTGGTGCACCCGCCGTGCCGGTTGATCAGCCCATCCCATTACCGGAGCATGTCCCGGCTTCGCCATCAGATACCGCGGCTACGCCGACTGCGACGACTGGGCCGGGACCGACTGGGTCGACGGCTCTTTCGTTTGGATTCGATGATCCGTTGCAGTTGGAGCCTGCGGCAGCTGCGGCTGCAGAGGCCTTTGAGCAGCAGTTACGTCGGGATTCGGAGGTGTCGATGGTTTCCGAGTCGTCCTATGCGTTTTCTGCGGATGAGACTTTTGATGACTTGATCAATGTATAATGGGGTGATTGTTTCATGCGTGTCCTTGCGAGATGGGAAGTGGCCTCGCCCTTTGATTTTATCTCGGGTCTACCTTTGTCTTTGGTGGACAGCAGACCTGTTTAGCGCGGCGTTACTTTGGATATCGGGGGAGCTTTTGACTAAAAGCGTGGCCTGGATTCTTGATTTCCCTTACTTTCTTTACTTTTCTTTTCTCCCTTGTAATTTGATGTGCGATCCGGTCTTACCCCTAGCGAGAGGCTGGAGGGTGTCTGGCGTTTGTGTCTTTTGAATCGAACTGTTATGGGGTCTACAGCCAGCCCAGGGGCGGTGATGTCTCCATATGCTTCCGGTTTACGATCTTTCTCTTTTCCCTCTGATCCGTTTGCTTGTGTCGATGTGGTGTTTCCTCGAGTTGGAAGGCTTTTTGCTTCTTTGGTGGCTGTTTGTCTATTGTTGATGTTTATGGGTGGTTTGATACGGGTTGTCCTTCGTTACCTCGATGAAATAGGTCAAACTACCTAAGTTCCAATACCGAATGGATCTGGATTACTTCCAATATTTTCCTTGTTTCTGGTTGACTTGTAGACTGTACATAATTTGCCTCGGAGAAATTGTGATAGTGTCAGCGTACAACTCTAGGAACAGATCCTGCTCAAGTTTGCTTTACTCAGGTTCGATGAGATAGGAATATTTACGAATGTAATAGTTTAATGAGGTACTATTCGGGCGACAATCTCGTATATTCTATGGAGATCTATAACATGTCGTTTTATATCCGAGAAAAAAAAGCGTGCTAGGAACCTCTGTACAATCAAGTCAGGCCCGTCCGGCGGTAGACTCAACGTGCATCGCACGATCCTTATCAGGAGCCGACTTTGCAGGATCAGCACGATCCAAGTACTGACCCCGGTCATCATCGGTATGGCTCGGATGGCCCTCGGCCTCGGTATCCATTGCATCCCCCTTCCACCCACGCTCGGCATCGGGATCCACCCCATCAAACATCTCATTAATCTCCTCCAGCGTTTTCCCAGCAGTCTCCTTCAAACAGAAGAAAGTAAACGCAACGATGAGAATATCCAAAAGCCCAAACAGCAAAAACGTCGCCCACCCAATCCCAGCCATGATATACGGGGTCGAAAAGCTCCAGATAAAATTAAACAACCACTGCGATCCAACGCCAAACGCAACGCCCGGCTCGCGGATACGCGTGGGGAAAATCTCACTCGTGCACGGCCACGGTAGTGGACCCCAACTGAAATTATACGCGATGATGTCGAGGTATATCAAAGCGACGGTGGCGATACCGGCAGACGTGACGACGCCATCGGAGGGCGGGTACTGTTTTACCACGGCGCCCGTGGCTAACATGCAGACAGCCATAAAGGAAGCCCCGCTCGCCAGTAAGGGGCGACGGCCGAACCGGTCAGACATGAAAACGACAAAGATAAGACAAGCCACGACCTTGATTGCGCCGAAGATACCCGTTAACAGGAGATTCTTATCTCCCGGCCCGACAAGCAGCGAGAAGAACTGTGGGCCAAAGTAGGCCAACGCCGTTGAGCCGGTGGACTGCTGTGCGAGAAAGAGGCCTCCGCCGATTAACAGCCGGTGCAAGTTCGGCCATTCGAGGAGTTCGCGAGGGCGGAAACCTGCTGTCGCGTGGCGCTCTTCTTCGAGGCCGCGGCGCATTTCGTTGAATTCTTCGAGTACGGCGGGGCCGGACCCGGCTCGGATCCAGACTAGACTGCGCCAGGCTGAGGTTGTTTGGCCGTGTGCTAGGAGCCAGCGGACGCTCTCGTCGAGGGAGAACATTCCCAATCCCATTAGTGCGCCTGGGACGAGCTGTAATCCGATGGGTAGTTGCCATTGTCTTGCAGTGTTGGGGATGGCTTTGACGCCGTAGTCGATCCAGTAGGAGATCAGGATGCCGATCGTGTAGGTTAATTGATAACAACTACCGAGTTGACCGCGGATTTCCTTGGGACTCATCTCGGACATGTAAATCGGGATGATAGTTGCAGAACCACCGATGCCCAGACCGCAGATTACTCGTCCGACGTAGAATGCAGCGAGCGAGTGCGTGTCGATTACTTCGAGGATGACGCCCAGACAGAAGACTAGCGAGCAGAGCATCATGGCGATGCGTCGTCCGTATCGGTTTGTTACGGGCCAGATGATGAAACACCCGGCTAGAGCGCCGGCTTGTTGGATGCCGACGGCGATGGAGCTCACCCTCGTTTTTTGGGCTGATGTGAATTCAAAGGAGTCCTGGAAGGACTTGAATGTGAGAACGCCGCCTGGATTGGGTTAGAATTTGTGTTGACCTTGAGAAGAGAGAATTTGATGGTTGATACACATACCGATGACACCTGAATCATAGCCGAATAGTGCACCACCGCAGCAGAGTACTGCTGCTAACCAATAGGTACGCCATCGGGCCTTTGATAGCCTCAGGGCTTCCATGGCGAGATAGTCGTCACTCTCCGAATCCAATTGATGACTGAGAAGCTCGGGCTGTTGGGGCAGTTCCGAGTACGAAGCAAAGGAGTCTGAAGTACGGTTCCACCAATTTGAAATTCGGGCCTGCCAAGACGAAACGATTGACTCAGGAGAAGCACGGGGCGAACGTGTAACCTGGGCAGGGGAGGTTCTTGATATAGATCGGTGGATTACATGGTCGGGCATTATCGCGGAGAAAGAAAGGAAGGATCAAGAATTGTAGTGAGATCCAGAGAACAGCCCTAAGGAATGAATGATGGTCGGTTGGAGATGGCCAGATTTGGCAGAGGCAGCTGTTTCGGGAAGATGTTGATCTCCGGATTTGCAGCGTATTATGTCATGGACTGCCGACAGCCGACACGCAAGTCGGTGGGGAGATCACGCCATGTGCACTAAGCAGCTCTGGAATGATTCATAAATGCTGGATGTTGATCATCTTGATAAAAAGAAAGACAAAGTTCAGGAACCAGGTCGGATCCAAGCGAAGAAGGAGACGGATGAAAGTTGGGAGCATCTCCAAGCCTCCCGTCATCAGGTGGGTGTAACATATACAGATCTATAACGAGTATTTAAGCCTTGTTAGTGTGAGGATAAGCTTCCCCGCATGTAATCTTACAGCCGATTACGCGGCAGCCACGAATCCCCTTCGAGGATCCACCGCATCTCCACACTGTTGACTCCATCGCAGCCGACTGCCGATGGGCGATTGATAGCAGCCGAGCACGAGACAAGGAATGAGTGAAATCTAAATTGTTTTTACTCCCTGCAATGTGGACAGGGATCGGAGTAGAGGCCGATCCTGCGGGGATGCTATAAGACCGCATACGCGTGCAGCTGTACCCCTCTCCTTGGTGTTTTTCTTTTTCTCTCTTCATTGCTTTCTTTTTCCTCTGCCTTGTAGATCTGACTCGGCAGCTGTTCTATTCATTCTACCTTGACAACTTAACTTCTCGTCATCATGGCTAAACGCCCTAACTTCCTCGTCATTGTCGCCGATGACCTTGGTTTCTCCGACGTGGGCTGCTTTGGCGGCGAGATCCGCACTCCGAATATTGACCAAATCGCAAAGGAAGGACTGCGGTTTACAGACTTTCATGCTGCGGCGGCATGCTCGTGAGTTGACACAGCCAGATATCCTTGAGATAGATGAGGTGGTACAGAAATACTAACATGAATTGCTCTCTCCAGCCCCACACGTGCCATGATCATGACTGGCACTGATCACCACATCGCCGGTCTAGGTAACTTGATCGAATGGACCAACATCTCCGGCCAAAATGGTCCTAAGGGGTCTGCGATGAGCACGGCGCCCCAGCGTGGTATGCCCGGGTACGAGGGATATCTCAACGAGCGAGTCGTAGCTCTCCCCGAACTCCTACGAGACGCTGGCTACCACACCGTGATGTCGGGTAAATGGCACTTGGGCCTGACCCCCGAGCGATCCCCCCACAAGCGCGGCTTTGTTCGTTCATTCGCCCACCTACCTGCTTGCTCCAATCACTATGCCTACGAACCCGAACTCCGCGATCAGGATCAGATCCCCACATTCATCGAGGCGAGTTATATCGCCCTCCATATGGAGGATGGCGAGTACGTACGCAAGCTTCCTGAGGGATGGTACTCGTCCGATGGGTATGGAGATAAAATGATTGATTACCTTCGTGAGTGGAAGGAGAGTGGTAGTAGTGCCGGCCCTGAGGGTAATGGAGACCGTCCTTTCTTTGGATATCTTCCCTTCACTGCGCCTCATTGGCCTTTGCAAGCTCCGCGGGAGTATATCGATCACTACCGTGGTGTATACGATGAGGGACCCGATGTTTTGCGCGAGAAACGTTTGCAACGACTCAAGGAGCTCGGTATGATTCGCGATGATGTGGTGCCGCATCCCGTTGATGCAGAGGAAGTCAAGGCTTGGGATGAGTATACTCCCGATGAGAAGAAGAAGTCTTCAACGGCTATGGAGGTATTTGCCGGTATGGTTGAATGCATTGATTACAACGTCGGCAAGGTAGTCGACTATCTGCGAGAGATTGGGGAGTTGGACAACACTTTCGTGTGCTTCATGTCCGACAATGGTGCCGAGGGTGCCGCTTACGAGGCCTATCCCATGGTCAAGAACGGCGTGATGCCTCACCTGCAAAAGTACTATGACAACAGTCTTGAGAATCTGGGCAACGGAAACTCATTCATCTGGTACGGTCCCCGTTGGGCCCAGGCTGCTACCGCCCCGTCTCGTCTCTACAAGGCCTACACCACCGAGGGCGGCGTTCGAGTCCCTTTCACCTGCCGCTTCCCCAAGAACATTTCTCTCAACCCCAGCGACACTACCGGTGCCGCAGGCGGTATTACTGATCAATTCGCCACCGTCATGGACCTGGCCCCCTCCATCCTAGATATGGCAGGCATCAAACACCCAGCACCAACCTACCAGGGTCGCGAAGTCGTCTCCATGCGTGGCCGCAGTTTCTACCCCTGGGCCACGGGCGATGCCGAACGCATCCATCCAAAGGATTTCATCCAAGGCTGGGAAACATGCGGTCGAGCCGCACTCCGTTGCGCAGATTGGAAAATCGTCTTCATCCCCAAGCCCAAGGGTCCCGAGCGCTGGCAACTTTATAACCTTGAGAAAGATCCCGGTGAGGTAAACGACCTATCAGAGCAAGAACCCGAGAAGCTTCAAAAGCTCCTCAAGCTCTGGGATCAATATGTCCTCGAGACTGGTGTTGTTCCGCTGTGCCCTGACCTGGGTGAGTTCTTGGAGGCGACGGAGGCACAGATGCCGGAGAATGCGTGGATGGAGTTTGATTATTGGAAGGAGGGTGCGAGGGATGAACCGGAGAAGTTTACTCGACAGCCACCTCGATTCCAGCGGGTGGTGAAACCTTTCTAGGATGTGTGAGAGGGTTGATATTGCATGTAATGATACCTTTGGTCTTGCTTTGATGATATCATGAGAGAATAGAATTTGAATTTCATCATCACAAGTTTGTTCACTAGGGTAGTGGTGTAGACTATCTGGTTTTAAAATGCGGAGATTTTGATCTCGAGTGTATGCTTGGGTTAAGCATAGGTTAATCTATAGAACACCATTAATTGATGCCTGGTTTTCCGGGCATCCTCGGGCAACGGGGGGTCCGTTTTAGTAATCCCCGAATTATTTGACTTGAGTATTAGTTATGCTTCTACTTTGTTGAGACTCCTCCCGACCATTAAATAGCGCAGGACTCCCGCTACGCGTTCATTACTCAGATCGCTCGCCTTGGCCCCTCACCCTAGTGAGGAAAACAAACTGCAATTATGTCTTCCAACACAAGCGAAGATACCGGCTTGCGCATCGAGCTTATCAACCAGCCCGACGATTTCTATCATGCCTTTGACCCCATAGCGAATGCATTTGGCCACCAGGCACAAGATGGTCTGTGGATTGCTATGAACCCCGGCTGGGACACATTGGAGGGTAAAGCGGCCAGCGCTGCTCGCATGGTATCACGATGGCGTGCAACGACAAAAGACGACCATGGCAATCCAGATGTCATCTTCCTAAAGGCCACGTTACCAAACCCCAACCAAGGAGACCGTGTCATTGCCGGAATCGCAATCTGGGTACAGGCCTCAGCCGTACAAGGTCATGGGGATCCACCTATGGAGAACCTGAAGGAATCTCTGGAGGTGGAGACCCTTTTTCCCGAGAATGAGCCGGAACAGCGGTATGTCTGCCAAGCCATCCGGTCTTTCCATAAGCGCCGAAACCAGGTGATCAAGGAGAAAGCTACCGAGGCCATACCAGCAGTGATGATTCTGGATATGTGTACCGTCGACCCGGCTTACCAGCGGAAAGGCATCGCTACGGCTCTGGTGCAATGGGGTCTTGATGAAGCTAAACGACGCGGTATACCGGAGTGCATCACCGAGGCATCTGTGATGGGTCGTCATGTGTATGCGAAATTAGGCTTTAAGCCGGAAGGACCTGAGATTGAATATACCGTTGATCCAGAGTTTGTGGATCGTCCGAGGCCTCGGAATCTATTTATGCGCACGGGAACCACTGCATGAGATGTACTGGCTGTAAGAAGGGTTCCATATGATGGAACTAGCCAGGTTCCGCTATAATCAAGGGCTTTTTTATGTTTTATACATGACTGAAAGGAAAATTAAATGTTTATATAGACATCATCTCTTGAAAATTGTCAGATCTAAGCTTTTCCTCGATTATTGTGGTACATGCGCCACGACTTCAATCTCAACGCGCATATCGTCCTCACCCAGCCGAGAAACGCCAACGCATGTCCAGATAGGCTGATGTCCCGGCATATACTTCTCAAAGTTACGGACCATCGCTGCCAGCGCCTCGTCATTGATGGGAACGTGATATGAGTTCACACGGAAGACCTGGCTCCAACCTTCACCACCAGCATCTTTAAGATTATGCTCAACGTTGGCGAAAGCTTGATCAATCTGCGCGTTGATCTCTCGGAAGATTTCGCCAGTCTCACGATTCCAGCCACCTATGCATCTAAGATAAGTGACACGAACTGATTGAAAATGGTGGAAGCATTACCTTGGCCTGCACATTCAATGCGGTCGCCGATCCGAACAGCTTGGCTGTATCTGAACTTTTGGCGGTTGCGTTCACCGACGCCCTTGTAAGAGAAATATTGAAGGTGAGACATGAGGAAAGTTGTCAATGTAATTTAATTTTCGCACGAGACAGTTAGGTAGACGATATCTGTTTGAATTCCCAGTAACAAGTTCTTTACTACAAGTGATCGTGCGATTTATATTTGACGCCACCTTTAAAAAGGTATTTTCACCGGCGGAATTTCGAATTCCGTCACCACTTCTCTTGTCATATCCACCTCATGTTTCCTCCAGTGGAGATCTTTGAACAACAGTTCCCGCTGAGTGTCCAATCAAACACTTGATTCGGTCGGCGGAATACGAACTCCTGCTAAATTATCGGGATTTAAAACGAGAAAGCAAATGCAGACGCCGGTCTATGACGCACAATCTCTATATAGATGTTAGCAAGCGCACTTAGACTTCGCATGCCTGTATTAGTCCCGTCATTTTAGATGGGCGAATATGCGTCCACGGCGTCGAATGCTGCATATTCTAGAAGATGATGATACCCTAGTTAGTATAGTGACAGATTACCTTAGAAGAAAGAGAAAGACCTTTCCCACTTTTTAATAAAACTCGGTTCCACCACCAATCATATAGGAAAAGCCTCGCTAAATACAATAACGCCATACGAGCCCATGAAAAGGTATCTACAAGTTAATAATGCCCCGAACCTCAAATCATGAAAAAGAAATCCGTAAACAACTCCCGCCGCACACACCTCGAGTCAGCCCATGAACGCGACACATCCTGTCTCCTCGACATCTCTTCCAATAATACAATGACTTTCTCCGCAGAAGGGTGACATGCAAGGGAGGCAGCAGGTTCCGAATCAGGGGTTGGCGCCATACGTTGCATCTCTTGGACAATCCAGTGCCTTTGCTCAGGAGAACCTTCCAGGCCTGCAACAAACAATGGCCAGAGAAAGCTAACCGGCAGGTGTCCTGATTCCACACCTGCAGACTCAACCGTGGCTAATTGAATGATTTGGTCGACGGCGCCATTGACGCGGTCAGTTCGAGGATAGATGGCAAATGCCACTCGGTGAAGGTAGATGAAGTTGGCTAGAAAAGTGGCCATGTATTGCCTGAAAGTCCGGCAGACTTCCAGTGCGACTGGCGCGCAGAGGGTATCGGTCAAGGCCTCGGGATTGCCGTATACATCGATCACGGATGGGCGGCGGTGCCAGAGTGTTTCGAGGTCTGCTCCCACTTTGTGCGCGATTTGGAGGACTTCGAATTCGTCGCCGAGCGTGCCACGACTGCGGTGATGGAGGTCAATGCAGACGATGCGTCGCACTATCTGTTGTGCTTTTACGAAGAAGCGAAATGCCGGGCCGACTATTGCCTCGTAGACGAGATAGCTCGGGCTACGGAAGGGATCATCGGCGCTGTCTTCCTTGCGTTCCTCGGGCGAGGCGGCTCCTTGGGGTTGCTCTGGTATCCTTCCCACTGGCTCGTGATCTGATATATGACCTAGCCCAGTCAATGGATCGCCCTCGCGGCCTGCAATAAGTGATTTCACATCAAGCAGTGAGACCCAGGACACCAATAAATGGCCGAGTCCAGTCCAAGCCTGAGTGCGGTCATTGAATCTTTGCAGTAGAAGATAGGCGGAATGCAGATACGATGTACCTGGAGCGCAAAGCTCTGGCGATGAGAAAACCTATAGGTCTCCTGGTAAGTCACTCATCCTCATTTTTCAAGCTTAGACACGTACCTCAGATAACATCAAAAAGAACACTGTCGCAAAGACCTTGGCTAACATTGTATCAGTCACGTCTCCAAGGAGACACGCTTGTATCTCCGAGCTTGCTACTCGGTAGTATGTTGGCGCCCATCGCCATCGTTTCCCCTCCATCATGGCTTTGTGTATATCCGAGTAACAATATAATGCATTCAAGAGTGGGCCATAGTCCCGCGCATGAGCGAGTATCGAGGGCCGAACGTATTTCCACTCCATTGCCACCGGCCCAAATATCGCCGCAGGAGGATCGATCACCAAGAAGTGCTGGAGAAGCTGCTCCTCGTACGTGGTGCTCCCAGGATCAGGCCAACTGCCACGGGTAGTCGCAGCGTCCGAGGCACTGCCAATCGAAACTCCATCTACCAACGAGGCTGAGCCGTCCGGACTTAACGGTGAGCGTCTCTCGCCAACGAGCTGTCCTTCTTCCGAGGCAGTTCCTGCGATGCCTGCCAACGATTGCGGGGGTTGACTGGTTGTGAAAGCGGCCAATCCACTCGTCAAGTCGAGATGCTTCTGCTCCAACTCGGACGTAATCCCTCCCATAAATCCAAGCATATCAAATGAACCTCCTAATTCCGGTGGGTATGAATCAGGGTCTGTAGGTAGCCGTCGCACTGGCGCTGCCCCCGCGGCCATTGTCCGATGCTGCTCATCAGAGCGGAGCACAGTGTTAAAGAAGTTGATGTCGGGCGAACGCTGCGACGCAGCCGCAACGACCGCCGCCGCCGACGTCGGTCCCAGCGCTGGGGCTGGTCCAGCTTGTGAAATCGTATGCGTAACTGCAGTCGAGTTTGGGTCGTGTGCTAGTCGAGACGAGGCCGACCACGGGCTACCGAGGGCGATGGGTGGTTTGTATGCGCAATGCAGGCGTAGACGATCGCAATTTGAACAGCTTGGCTTTGTCTCATCGCAGCGAACCTTTCGAGCCCGGCATGTCAAACAGCCTGTCCGTCGACGAGGACCAGATCTGCCTGCTCCCCGGGCTTTGGGCACCTGTCAGCCGAGAGAATGGTGTTAGTTGCGCCATATTGGTGAAGTTTCATCTCAGGGGAAGAAATAGACTGTAGTCACTATGTACCTCCATATCGGAACAAGTGGTCCCAGCTTTGGTAGCGCCAGAAGCATAGTCGGCGCAAGTCAGGGTTCAGTTGGCAAAGAAGTGAGGCCGGTCGGCCGTGACCGATTTCCCCGCAATGGCGCTGGTCCACACGATAAACGGGTGATTGCAAAGGTGGGTTCGATGACGAGCTCGGGAGGCCTGCGGATGGTTCAGGGGCCCAGCATGGTGATACTCATACATTTGCTCGTCCGTATTCATGTCAAAAATGAAAATGAGAACTAGGATGAACTGATTTAGGGAGGCATGCACGACGCTCAGACTCCCACGTGGTCGATCAGGGACGACGCGGTTCCTGAGCCGCTGCCCAGGTGGTTCAGAACGGTACCTAGCGATGAATGATGATCGATGATCTACAATAGCCTTTCTATATCAATGCTACATACAGACTTATCATTTCAGGATAGCGCATAGTTCCTTCCTGGATATCTTGGGAGATGAGCAGCCATAAATAGATAACGGATGGATCTATGTTACTGCGTTCAATATATTTCACAGGCAAAACAATTCTACAAGAACTATTGCGGCTGAAGGCAACGCTTGCGTTCAGGAACCGCAACTAGATTGACAGGAACTAAATGATCTATATACCATATAGTACGGATGCTAGTGCTCATTCAGCCACGTTCTCCAGAATCTCCACAATATCCTCCTTCTTCAAGGACACAGGATTAGCAGCAGTGCAAACATCATCCAAGCTATTCACAGCAAGAGCATCAAAGTGACTTCGATCCACACCAACAGCCTTGAGTGTACTCGGCATATCCAATGCATTAAATAGCCCACGGACAGTCGTGCTCGCATCGGCCGAGTCTCTATCCAATCCACCTTCGCTCGTCAGGATCCGTTCAAGCGTAGGGTCACTGCCCCAGATAGCTCGTTTGACTCGGTCCTGCTTCTCTACCTGGTCACTATCCGGCGGCGAATGCAATCTGTTGAAGCGAAGAACGGCTGGTAACATCACACAGCTGGTTTGACCATGGCCTACCCCTAGCGGTCCAAGCTGGTGTCCAATTCCATGACTCGCGCCGACGGAAACTTGCGGGGCCAGAAGGAGATTGCCTGCAATGTCACCTGCGGCAATTGCACAATCCAGTCGTGGCTGCAGCTGTGATGGGTCTTTCACTGTGAGCAGGAGTTTTTTTGCCAGCGTGGCGAGGGATCGCTCTGCAATTTGGAGCAGTTCTTTCGATAGAGGATCGTTTGAGCACAGTGCCTCAACACAGTGGTCGATAGCCCGGACGCCTGTGGAGATCCAAACCCACTGCGGCGTTGTGAGGGTCAGACGAGGATCCAGAATGACCAGCCGTGCGAACATCTTGGGATGCTTCATAATACGCTTGTGAAGGGTGACCGGGTTGGTGGATCCCCCATAGCAGGAGAACTCGCCAGCTGATAGCGTGGTCGGGATGAAGAGGATAGGCAAAGTAGGCTCGTTGCCCACACCAGTCCTGTCTCGCATCGGAGTGCCATCTGCAGCCCTGGCCTGGTAGAGACGGTCCAAGTCGTCGACCGTTTGAACTCCATTAACCACAGCGTAAACAATCACCTTTGCTCCATCAGACAGAGACCCTCCACCAAGGGTAACCAGGAGATCTGGCTCCACCTTGCGGATGTCGTTGATGATAGGGACCAGGTCATCCCAGGGAGTGTGAGGGCGAATCCCAATCCAAGTCTTTGCGTGTCGGTCTCCGAGGGCTCGCTCCAGGTCTGAGACCAGCGAAGTCTGCTTGGACAGACTTGTAGAGGCGATAATGTACACCCGCTTCGCTTGGAAGGTTTTCTCTGCGTGTTTGGCGCAGGACTCGGTGAATGGCAATCCGTACGAGATGTGCATGTCGGGGCAGTTGCTGGCTTCTGGGCAGGCCAATCGATATACTTCCTTGGCTTCAGTTGCCATGGTTGCTGTCTCTGTATGAATATCCCTCTTTGTTTGTATGATGCTTGCTTCGCCTTTCTGGTTACAATGATTGTAACCAGCCCATCGGCTGGCTTATGTATCAATCAGCTCGAGTAGGTCGGGGCTAAGCTTCTCCCGCTGACGTCAGTGCATTCTTTCCAAGATGGCCGATTGGGGGCTTTTGCGCGGGGGCCAAAAGTTATACTACCATATATGGAATAGTGAAATGGAGAAAACACATAACTACAAGCAATGATGGCAGCTTATTGAACGTCGGTTGCAGTTTGTACTGCCCCGCTGCACTGCACTTGCTTCCTGATAGGGTGATACTCAATGACTATCAGGTTGTGTTACAGCTGGCTATCCCAAAAATGGTCAATTTCAAGGCCAAGACATGGCTAGCTGCATCAGAATTCAAGAGCTGTAGATCATTGAGTGTCGTAGCTTTAGCGTCCGTGTATATCTGGAACCTTGTTCCCGTCCTGATAGAGTTGCAACAGAACAGGCGGAACTAGAAAATGGAAGATATATGAATTCAAACGTCGGGGGATAAATCTAATACACAGGATGACGAGCAATTCGTCATCAGGAACCAAGATAAAAAATTACACTTTGTAAATAGCGTCTCCAACCACTTACTCAACCCACTGCAGACCTTGAGCAGTGCTCTTTGTCCGCCGGGCCAAAACCTCAGAGACCTTCTCACGCACACCATCCTTCTGGTTCCATAGTCCAACAAACTCTTGAATGACCTGGTTCTGGCCCTTGCCATTGCTGCGGACAAACTTCTCGATCTCGGCCTCGGAGGGCAGAGCGAAGCGTTCATGTGGGTAGCGGTTGTAGTCACCCTTGCTCAGAAGGGCCACGCGGCTCTCACCCTCGGGAATGGTGAAGAACTTGTCAACGGTCTCGTTGGAGACCTCGGCCAGAGTGGCCGGTTGCCAGTTAGCCTGGCGGGCGGGCTTGGACATCAGGCGGGCCTTGACACCCTCGACGAAATCGGGGTGGCGCATGAAGTTGGCAGCAATGTCGTATTCGCGCTGGAAGGTCTCGGTGATGCTCCACTTCTTGCCGAGGCGCATCTGGCGAAGAGTCACCTTGAGAGAAGTCGGGGAGCGGCTAGACAGGGTTTGCAGGGTCTTCTGGGCCCACTCCTTCTGCTCGGTCTCGCTCTCCAGGGCCTGGAGGATCTCCTCGACGGTGTTGAACTTGAAGCAGCGGTCAATGGCGGAACGCAGCTGACCGGCCAAGAGAATGGGCTCCTCCTGGAGAGAAGGAAGTCCAAGGGAGTACTCGGCCATGGTCTTGTTGACAATGTTCAACCGCTCGGGCAGGCGGACGTGGTCGGGGAAGACCAGCTCCGAAAGACGCTGGGTCATGTTGCTAAGCACGCTGGAGTGCAGGTAGTGGGTAGCAATACCGGAGTACAGAGCCTGCACGCCGTTCAGACGCTCTGAAGTGAGGGCAAGGTAGGTACCGGTCTCGCCGTCCAGTCGCGGGAGGAAGAACGAGCCACCAACGTCGGGGAAGAAACCGATCGTAGTCTCGGGCATGGCAAAGACAGTCTTCTCAGTCGCAATACGGAAAGGAGCGTGCATGCTGAGGCCGACACCACCACCCATGGTAATTCCGTCCATGAAAGAGATAACCGGTTTCGAGTATGTAGCGATCGTGTGGTCGAGACGGTATTCGAGTCCGAAGAAATCCGTAGATTCACGCTGTCCCTCGACTCCCTTCTCGTTCTGCAGGGCCAGAGCGGCCACATCACCTCCAGCGCAGAGCGCCTTGTTTCCAGCTCCCGAGATGAGGATAACGTTTGCGAGGTGAGACTTTTCCCATTCCTGTGTGACCAACACTGCTTAGTACTTGACCCATCTCCGGGGGGACCACAAGCCAACTGACCTTCAATCGAGGGAGAATCTTGCGAGCCATGGAGCCATTGAGGGAGTTGAGCTTCTTAGGACGGTTGAGCTCAATGCTGCGGAGACCGTAGATGGAGTTGAACAAAACATCGTCGGGCTCATCGCCGGGGAGCTCTTTGGGTAGTTCGGGGGAGGTAGACATCTAGCATACAGTCAGCATCTTAGTATGAGCCCGTCCATCTAGTCGCCGAAAGAGTCCTCTTACCGAAGCAGCTGCGCGGAAGGCAGGGTTCGTCACCTTGGCGCGTAGAGGCATTGCTGGCGAGGAGCACCGCGAGATCCAGCTCGGCGGCGAAGGTAACCGGGAAAAAGAGTGTCTTAGCAACATGGAGACTAGACACCAAGGCCAAAGAGGGAATCGGAGGGAGAGGGTGGGCTAAAAGGATAATCAGATGTTCTCCGCTTTACCGTCGACCTCGGGAGTTTTCTTGGACTGGATTTTCTTCCGGTCCGAGGGCCGCTTTCTCCGCCTCAAACCGCGATGAGATCAACACCCGCCTCGATCATCTTTACGTAAAGTGCTGATTGACGATGCTTTTAAATATGGTTATAGTCGGTTGTTAATAAGAGTACTAATCGAACTAGACATTCCTACTTTGCTTCAGCGTCTTCCACGTTATCGCTGGTATTACATAGGTCACTTAGGATGCTTCTTAGAAGGCTCCGGCATATGCTTGTGCTTGGCCCAAGCATACGAGATCAATTGGAACTCGTTGAAAGTTGGAAAATGATATTCTATTTGTACAGATGGCCAGAATACAGATAATTGAAGGGAAAGAGATATCAATGCACACACACGCCACGACCCCGAAATGCACTTACAGGTATTTTGCGGCCGCAGGCTTGCTGTTCAGATCCCGCGAGTGCTTCTTGAGGATCTGATCCAGCGCCTTCTTCTCAATAATCAACCTCGCAGTCTCCAAAAGGTTCTTAACGTCCACATCGCTGCGGTCCATGATAGTCGCATAGCGGTTCATCTTCTCCACCTTCTCAAACATGTCCATGTCCACCTCGTCCGTGATGAATGTCGACCGGCCCTTCTTAGTGTTCCAGCCGTTGGCCTCCAGAACCTTTTCGAGGAGGTAGGGGGTAGATTTCGAGGGAAGTGAGATCTTGTCATCAATGACAATCAGCTCACCGCGCTGGAATCGGTAGCTCAATGCGATGCGCCACGCTTGGTCGTAGATCTTCGCAGGCAGGTCTGTCGAGAAGTCGCGGGGGTGAGGTCCGTGAGCGACACCACCACCCCTTCGAATTGGCGATTGCTTGTCACCGACACGAGCACGACCGGATCCCTTTTGTGGGATGACCTTCTTGTGACTTCCGTGCACATCGTCTCTCCACTTCGTGCTGGCAGTGCCTTGCCGAGTCGCATCACCCTCGTATATGATTGCGCGATGAAGAATATCTTTGCGGATGGGCATCTGTAGTTGTTTCTGGGTGTAGTTCACCAATCGAACGGGCTCCATGGAAGGGAAGGAGTAGGTCATAACGTTGACGGGGAGGTCCCATGGGGCGAGCGAGGAGGGATCGGAAGTGGTTGAAGTATTGGCCTGGGCATCTGTGGCCATGGATCGTGCAAGGCATCGTCGCTAGTACCAGAGAAAGTCAGTCGGTGTCCTCTATTCAATGGGCTCCTCGCGATCTTGGTGAAGCTAAAAATTGGGACCATACTGTCACATTCTCCGATCCAGAAAGAAGGCCACCGGAGCTGCGCGACAGCAGCCGCAGGGCCCGAAGAGTTTCGCTGCCAGGCATTGTGAACAATCGACCACAAAAGGCAGATCGCGTGCGTTGATAATGTGCGGCGTTCTGAGTAGGGAAGAGCAAAAGTTGATCGATTCCGGGGAGGCGGTGGGCGCCAGCAAAAGTCTTGGCTCCGAGCAGAAAAAGTTCCCCCGTGGACAACAACACCATCATCCGCCGAATCCCAACCCCAACATCCCCCATCGCATCTCTTTCACAATGGCTCATTGCGAGCGGGCATCCAAGCCGCTGCTCCAATGCCTCCGGACCACATATACTAGAAGCTTGCCTGCCGTCCAGGCACGCGGCTTCCAGACGTCGGCAGCCGTTGCAGAGGCTCAAGCCGAACAGACCCAACCATTCCACAAGAACCCCGACCCATCGCTCGTCTCAAGCCCTCGACTGGAGCGACGACTGATGAGACAGGGTACCAACCCCGTTGGATCTCGTCGTCGCCGTGCTGCCCTTCAGAGTTCCGCCAATATCCCCTTCGAGCAGCTGCCCTACCAATGTTTCCAGGAGGCGCGAAAGGTCCTGTTGGAGGACCGTGCAGAGAAGTTGAAGGAGATTGAATCAATGAGGCAAAAGATTGCGAGAGTGGAGGCTCAGTCTGTTGAAGAGGCTGGAGGTGAGCAGGTGCACAAGTCTCGCGTGCGCGCCATGCAATTGCACTTGGAGCGTCTCAAGATCCATGCCGACATCAACGACCCATTGGTCAAGCGGAAATTCGAGGACGGACTTGGTATGAACCATATTTTTTTGCAAAAAATTCATTGACTCGATACTTATCTCTCTCTTTTGGTTACAGGCGACATGAGCAAGCCAATCTACCGCTTCCTGGCCGACCGGAAATGGCGCGAATATCGCCGCAAGATCCTGGTGCAGCGCATCACGCAGATGAATGTCGTTCCCGACGTTCTGCCCCACTGCGATCCTACTGTCGAAACCAAGCTGTACTTCAACAAGCGACAGGTCCAGCCTGGAGACTACGTCGAGGCCAAGGTTAGCACCGAGGCACCCAAGCTTGACATTCAGATGTTCGAGCGTGGAGAGAAGCTCGTCACAATTGCCGTTGTCGACCCTGATGTTCCCAATGTGGAGGCGGATAGCTTTGACTTCAAGATGCACTATCTGGCTGTCAATGTGCCCATCTCAGCTGTCAACACCAAGGTTGACCTTTCTCAGCTCGCGGCAGACTCGCAGGTCGTCCTTCCTTGGCTGCCTCCCGTTGCCCAGAAGGGTAGTCCCTACCACCGTCTTTCTGTGTTCATCATGGAGCAGAAGGACTCCCAGCCTCTTGACTTTGCCGCTGTGAAGGCAAAGGAGACTGACCGGGACAACACACTGCTGCGCACTCTGCAGGCCCGGTACCACCTCAAGGCTATCGGTGCCCACCTGTTCCGCAGCCAGTGGGATGAGACTACTCTGGAGGTCATGAAGCAGATTGGATACAGCGGAGCCGATCTCGAGCTCCGCCGGAAGAAGGTCGAGCCTCTTCCCTACAAGCGGAGAAACCCTTCCACCATGAGGTGAAGGCATTTCATCCATCTCTCTTCCATCTCCTGTCCAAGCCCCTGTTTGAGTATAGATTTGTATTGTACAATTGAATATGTATGAATATGCACAGCAATCCAGTTTCCTTTTGAAAAAGACACCCAACTCCCTGTAGATGCAAAAAGATAACATGTATCAAAGTCCTGCCAATATCCTCCACGCTGAGGGCGTCTAGTCCAATTCCGCCGGTTGCATTGTATTGTGCACCCATTCCATCTGCGACGGTGGCCAGACTCGCGCGACAACCTTTCCGTTGATCAATCCCAATGGCACAGGCCCGAAGGTCCTCGAGTCCCTCGACCAGGGAAGATTATCGCCAATTAGGAATACATGTCCTTCGGGAACCTATAGCATAGATGGAAAATATTAGAGACCAACTTCCAATCCAGAAGCATAGTTTCAAGATCGAACGCACCTGAACCATGTCCGGCTGCGTCCCAGCCCCAGTACTATACGGCGGGTCACGACAGACAAAATCGCCAGGCATCCCGATCACCCTTTTCGCAGCATGCGCGCCGAGGATGTTGGGGTGATTAAATCGCACCACATCGCCAACCTGAATATCCTTGCCGTTTGCATGTCGTCGTGAAATAAGAAGCCAGTCACCCCGCGGGTTGAAAGTCGGATACATCGAAGGTCCCTCACTCGATTGGATGGTCACTAGGTGCTCCCACACCAGGGTGCAGGCGCAGAACACACCAGCACCATTGAAGGCCAATCGAGCGATTGCCCGTGGGCTGCTTCTCAGCGCTGATCGGAGGAATTTTTCCATATGTCGCACGGCAATTGCATGCCCTGTGAGCAGCTACTTGAGCTGTTCGCATCGAATTGGATTGTTATCGGGGATCGCGGGAGAGTCGGGTCATGTGACCCGTCGGTTTAAAAATCAAATTTCCTCGCGCCCGCACTTTCTTCCTCTTCTCAGTGTCCGAGTTGGCGAATCCCTCTGCATTCATTGCGAGGATGTGCTTGCACAATCATTCGATCAAGCTATTGTCTTGACCAGTGCGATTTCACTCAATCGCCCATTAATGTGTGGGATCATGATTGAGTGGTACGCTGTCTCGTCGATACCCTGAATCTCAAATCAGGAGCTTCTCAATTATGATTGAAGATGCAACGCAACACAACACGCCGTATGCCAGTACTTGATGGTATCCCTATATATCAAAATACTCTCCCTCTGCCTATCGCTGTTGGGATGATCACCGCTTCTACAAATGCTAGAGCTTGCCGTCGTCGAAATTTATCACCAGGACGAGCAAGTGTGGACAATGAAGCAAGATGAACACAAACGGCCTTGTCGGTTGACAAGGCTGTCCCCCAATTAGTCTCATTCTTGACCCCATTTAACTATGGGACTGGATCTTTGAGGCTGGTATAGTGGGGAGACACCTCGATGCTATCTTAGAATCTTTTGCAGCCTCTATTCAATTGAATCCCAACAATTTATGATTTGAATCTCATACACTTTCCATACGAATATCCTCTTCAATTATCGCCGTCTCATTCAGTTCTTCCCATCCGACTTCCATATTGCGTCGGCATCTGTTCACAACGTCTCCGTCAGCTTCACTCAATCACTAAAGATACAAATTAACATACCAGGATGCTTTTCAACGGGCACAATACCCTCCCTCTTCTTCGCCTTCGTCCGATAATCAACCCCAAATCTCTCATCTCGGTCCCGAAGTAACCCGTCCATCCCACCCTTATGCGCTTTCTCGACCGTCTCAGGCGACGTGAAGCTCCCCATCAATTGCGGCGGGCCCATAGGTACGGGATCTCCCCGATCAACCTGCCACATGTGATACGTCTTGCCATACACGGGTGCGATATCCTCCATCTCGGCCGTCTCGGCCGCTTCCCATACTACGGTGGGCATGCCCTTAGGCGTAGGCATGATAAGCATGCCGCTCTTAACCTCGAACTCATGCGTGTGCCACAATTTTCTTTCTTCGGGTGGAAGCGTTTTGAAAATTCGTGGAGAGACCATATATTCGACGCCGAGGAGGCGTGCGTTGGCCTCGGGCGAGTCGTAGATCAAGCATTGTCGGACATCTGATGATGGTCAATTGATGGATACCGTGGTCATTCGTGAACGCACTACTTACCCTCCGTCAGGTGTGTGCAATAATGGTTCGATTCGATACATCGCGTGGGTTCGTCCGCGTAAACGTGGAATGCATTTAGATGCGCACATATTTGTTTGACGGGCGTGAAGTCTTGAGCCATTGCAGCGCCACTTTCGAGTACGCGACTCTTGGCGGTGCGAGGATCTCCTGGGATCTCACTCGACTCTGATGCGGAGTTCTTGGCGCAGGATGCCATCTTCAATGATTGTTCAATAGGGTTGGTTCGGAGTGGTAAAATATTCAGGTATGCCGACTTTTCAAGAAGGATAACTGAAAGCAGTGCATGAAATGTTTTCAAAGTAATATCCTTGGATGAGTTATATACAATCGGTCATCGTGTCGAGATATTTGTCTTGTTGGTCAACGTGAACAATTTGACGTCACAATGATTGCAGATTCCAGACTCGGCGCTTGATACAGCGAACCAACACAATTCATTTCAGGTAACATGAATCTGATGGTTGTAGTCTGCTATAATGGCTAGATTACTTCTTGATTCTTCCAAGAGATGGTATCAAAAGCTGAGATGCCTGATAGTCACTGCCCTGCCGGCGACTTCCACCTCTAGTTGGCGGCGTCGAAGACTCCATCCACGGAGTTGGGGTTTTGGGTATTCATGCCATAACTATTCAAATGGTTATCCATGAGGTTGATTCAATCGAGGTCATATAGAAGCAGTTCATTTACGATATCTATCTCTCGACAATAAATGGTGGTCCCTGATTGGCTGGCTCATTGAGTGAAGATATATATTCTGATGTCCTAGGTCTAGGTATCAGGTTGCAGATAGATATTAGATAAGGTTAAGGAACTCTGCCCATGCCCGACAACCAAATACACAGAGCGAATCCATTCCATTTCCACATGAAATAATGAGTAACATAGAGCTATCGGATTTATTTCTCAAACATTGTACCTGGATCATGTAACGAATGTAAATTTCGTGGACACCAGTTTCGAAGCCTACGGGCAGTACGCCCGGCAGATCCATCAACGAAAATCTCTTCCAAAAGCGCCCCGTGATCATCAAACTTTTTGACGGGCACGAGAACTTTGATTAAAATCCCGAGCGTGGATCCAACGCATCCTGCGATGCCCAACAGTTTCAACGGACTTCAAAGCGCAAATGAATCCACAGTGTCGCTACGACTACAGACTAGAGAATCACAGGAAAACTCATAGGGCAGGGCGCACATGACTGATCGGCCGATAAAGCGTGCATCAAAAGTGGCTACTAGCGACTCGAAGTGGATGGTCTAGACCCAGACTGGACTAAAGGCGGCGCTATCAACGCACTACTACCGGTTACATAGACACAGATCGAAATGGTGTAAGAGCGGCAGGAGTGTAGAGTACAGAGAGGGTCCACGGAGAACTACCGGAGGTCAAAGAGTCAACAGCTCAAAGGAAGGATGCAAAAAAGAGTCATCGCTAGTTGAGATCAACGGCATTGTTCGACTCGGATACGGTGTACGGCATAATGCGTTGAGTCAGTGAGGATGCGGAAAACCTTTTCTCTTTTCTTATTTGTACCAAAGCCACTAAACTATGCAAGTGCGGTACCGCTTTTCTCTTCTTGTACTCCATACGGTAAGTTAGTTCGTTCACTAACGAGGACTCGATTTAGTGTCCACCCATCACGGTCGGGAATCTGGCACAAGGATCACCCCCCTCATCTTGACTTCATCACCGCTGTTCTTGGACTCTGACTTTTCAGAGGCTCGAGGGTTTCATGCGGAGAACGTAAGCGGTACGGGCAACTTTTACTCCACGGCAATCCCTTGTCCTGGTGATCTATTCAGGAAGGGATGGGCAGTGGTTGTGGAGCCCAGGGTTGAGCAACTCGGGAAGGGTGTGTGTCCACACTAATTTACTGAAGATTTGAAGATCGTCCTTTAGCTTTTTTTTTGCCCTCTTCTCGGCCGTGACTTGGCGTGGACGAGAGTAGTCCCGGTTATGGTAAGTGTAAGTTCTGGATAGACCTTAAAGTAAACCACGGATTGGAATAGTACAGGATTGTGGCATGGCGGTGGCGCTGCACGGGCGAGAGGTGTGTTTTAATCAAGTAGATCCACGGGTATATGGCGGGGACTGTTGCCCGAAGTGGTGCCGCGAGGCGTACGTGGATCTGAGTATAGTTCTAATAATGTGCAGCTGAGACGTGGATGCAGTGTACATTATACGGTGAGTGCTGGATGGTTTACTTTGTACAGAGTACAGAGTACATACTACAGTAGACAATAATAGGTGTGTTGGGGGCCGAAGATCTTGACTCAGCCACCATGTCCAAGCATCGAGGTTTTCATTGATTGCTTGCGTGTTCAGCGATGTTCGAGTCTCAACCTGGGAAAGCCAATTAGCCCAACTCATTAGGCTTTGCGGCTGCTTGAGTTTGAGGCTGTAGGCTTGTCAGTGCCGATACCGGGGAGTCGAGTTTCAAGGGTCTTGCGATGTAGAATTCGGCCAAACTCAATCCTGAAAATCAACTTTATTCCTCTGATTTCTGGTCTACAGTATACCTCGATAGCCAATCACTACGACCGTGGTCAACATCAATTCCAACGTGAACCAACATCTGGTATACAGCAAGGAATCAACCAATGCATGCTGCTTGATATCAACCTTTACTTGGAGGATTTCCGGGACCGTCCCTAACAATCGGTTGGACCCTGTCTATTGCCTGCATACTTATCCGATGCATTCATCGAATGTACTCCCATGGGTCAGGACGTGCATGAATCGAAGTCTACACACCATTCCGAGTGATGCAAAGGTATATCCCCAAGTGGTATGTTCTCGTGGCCCTGATGAGAGATATATCATATCACAGCCCTCAAGCCTGATGGTCCTAGGCCACAGCTTCTGCATCAATCGATTGATCAAGGCAGTGTCCACCTTATCGAGGAGCCAGCGACTAGCGTATGTCCTCCTGCTTTTAAGTACCTAGTACCAGTATCCCCTTGACAACTGTTTATTGAAGGTCACTGGCTTGGGTAGAAGCGCATGACAAGCATAACAGGCCTGTAAGAACAATAATGGCGTAGGGCTCCAAGACTAGAAGCCGTTGATCCTAAGATCTCGTGTATGCTCTGCAGTCCTTATCTCGTGGGAATTGGACGTGTGTATCTGACATACCAGATAATTAGCGAATAGGCGTCCTATCTGATAGAAAGCACTCGATAGATGATCCTGTTATCGTGGTTGGCGTTATAGATGCTGTCAGCTTCGAAATACTGAAAATATCCAAATCGAGATGCATAGAAGTGAACATCAACGAACAGCCATACTGTGGGGACATGGATGGGATCGTTGCAGTGATAGAAGGTGTGATTTGAGAATTTCCTTGATAGCTATTGATGGATCGTAGCTAGAACATGCTGGACTCGAGCGGAAGGTTGTTTAGTATCTGCACTCCTTGAAAAGGAATGTTCAATAACGTCGAAGAATCTATAACCGCCATAGCCTTGTGGACATTACGTGCGAAAATAACAAGTATACCCCACCAGGCTGTGCCTGATATCAACTCGATTTTGTTGGGAGTCAACACCGAACTCGCAAGGCAGAAGCGAAGTCGCAAGGCTAGCAAAATTATTCCAAATCGGAAGTACACAACAGAAACAAAACTAAGACTTGAGTTTCAAAAGCACTTCTCGTTGCGGATATAGCTAAGTTTACGCTACGGGACCATAATTACTTACCTCGTAAGCAGACGCAGGTCCATTTTTTGGGGCCGCGGTGTCTCGCCGGGCCACGATGCCAAACGGCACTAACGAGGAATCGCTGGCCCCTCAGCTGTATGGAGTACATACTCGGTACGCCTCGTTGCATAGAGTCGAAAACCCGACCATCACCTGCATAAGACGATCATTCAGTGTACGAGAAACCGACGAAAAAAGAAAAAAAAAAGGCAGAAGACACCCCATGCCAATGGCCTTGCCTATCAGCCCCTTTCTTCCGAATGTACTGTACTGTAGATCAGCAACCAGCACGGATCTGTCAGATCGGGGGGTCGAGAGAAGGTCGAGAATGTGCCATCTCACTGCATTGCGCCAATACTGCAGAGGGACACTTCCTTCGCCCTCACACCCCATACATACCCTCACCCTTTACCCTGTTCCTTGCTGGGTGCTCAGCTGCACTGATCGCCCGTTTGGGTGTGGGGTGGTGGCAACGGGTTACGATGGGGGGCTTATGGGTCGTGTGTGGTGGAAGGTGCAGTACCAGCAGTAGTCCTGTCGTAGCCTAGCAGGGCGCCCCTGGAAGAAAGAATATAACGGCATGTCCGAGTGTCACAGTTGTGCGATGTGTGATGAGCCGAGTTCATGGGCTCGTAGGAGGGTTCAGGATCAGCCCCTGCATGGGGACGAGCCTGGAATGGACACGAAGACACGAAGACCCATAGTAGGGAGGATGAGGATGAGCATACTCCGTATTGAGGCCTGCTTGCAGCCTCCTCGTACGGAGATCCGTCGTATAGTTAGCTAGTGGCGTTTAGAGATCCAGATGGAGGAGGAGACTAGGAGGAGGACCTCCGTTCTCCGTCCGGAGCGTTGTACAGTTGCATAGCTCAGGCCCAGCTGACGCGGGTGCAGGGGCCACGGGAAGAATGAAGTGGAGCAGCAAAGCGGTTAAGCAGCGGGAAAAGAACAAGAAAACCTGGGGTGGGTTTGAGCAGGGTGTTGCATGTAGATGATGATTGGGGGCTGTTTTCTTTTTCCTTTTTTTTGCTTTTTAGTTTCTGGAGGGGAGGGGGGACTTTGTCGGGGAGGAAAAGAGTCTGGTCGTGGTGATGATTGGCCCAGCCTCCCCCTGCGTGCCCCCTTAAGAGCCGTACAGACCTGAACCTGAAAAAAAAAAGAAGTGAATGGAACTTAGGTGATTGGAGGATGTAGTTCCCCAACGGCGGTTTCCACGAGCAAAGTTCCTTAATGGTTGGGGTTAGGGTCGATGGTTCTTGCTGGGCTTGACCGCTTCGTTTGTTCCTCTTCCTCGGGTCTTGATGGAGTACCGAGTCGTGACATGTACATGCACTATTCCGATTCGACTCCAAATCTTCCTTCGAGGAGTACGCAGTCTACAAAGTATATGGTAGCACTGCCGCTAAGAGCATCCTTAGTCCTTGCTATAGTCCCAGCCATAGTCCCAAGTATAGTGTGCCAGTTAGACCCGTAGGAAGTATACAATACATAGTTTGAG